ACCGAGGAGGACGTGATCTCTACCGATCCCGGTCAGGTTATCTCTGGTATGGACAGCGATGACTCCAGTCTACCGCGTACGGAAACTCACGCAGGCGAGGAGAGCGGCCTATCCTTTACGAACAGTGGCGAAATACCGGTAGGCTTGGCGTCGACTCCGGCAAATGTGGCTGAGGCCGAGCTCCGCAAGGAGTTCCCAGAATATACCCCTGACCTCATGCCACAATCCAAAATACACGCCGCGGCCACCGAGGAAATGGTTCATCGCACGTTGTCGGTCATCGTTGAAAGCGACTGGAGCGACAGCTGTAGCTGTGCGTCCGAAAGCGCTGAGTCTACTGGTAGCTGGGGTAGTTTTGACTGACAGACCGACGACGAGAAAGAAGAGGAGCCGGTGAGCGGAATGCTCCCAGTGACCCAGGTCGAACCAAGCCAAGGCGGAGATGCAACCGACATGGATGAAGCGAAGTATGTTCATGAAGGGGCCGATCTCAGTGCGGAAGACATCGAAAAGGAGATGGCGGTGTTACCAGAGATCTCCCTGACGGCAGAAGTTAAAAGGGAAGATCTCAAGGTCGGGGATCCAACTGAGAACACAGCAGAGGAGATTGATCGTCTGCGTGATATCATTTGGGAGCGGCGTCACCTTCTCATCGGCAAAGGGAATGCTTTACCTCCTGCGGCGACGGGGGCGATCTCTGACATCGACGTTGGTGGTGCACGACCGGTGGCTCAGCGTTGTCGCCGGATCCCGCCTCAGTTCCGTGAAAAGGTGTTCCAACTCGTCAAGGGGCTACTGGGGCTGGTTCTGTTCTCTCGACATGGCGAGTGGGTTCTGGGTCGTGAGTATGACCGATCGAGCCCGAGAGATCTCCGCGTTCATTACGCCGTTCGGCCTGTTCGAATGCCTGCGAATGCCGTTTGGTCTGAAGAATGCCCCCCAAATCTATCAGCGGCTGACCTATAATGCGTTATATGGCGTGCTGCGGATCTCGCCGGGTCAAGATCGCGCGGATCTCGTCAACATTTTCGAGGAAGGTGATCCTGAAGATCGATCGCTGCCGTCGGTGCTGGGGCGTCGCTCTTACATCGACGACATCTTAGTTGGAGCAAGCTCGTGGGACGAACTGTGTGAGAAGGTCAAGAAGCTCCTAGAGGTTTGTGACCGCTGGAATCTGTCTATTAGCGCGGAGAAGAGCAGTTGGGGTATGAGCAAAGTTGACTATCTGGGGCATCAGATCTCCGGTGAAGGCATGTTCACCAAGCCGAAAGATTTGGCAAGTCTGGAGGCGTTGAAGTTTCCCAAAACGCTTAAGGCTCTCCAGTCATTCCTCGGCAGTCTCAACTACTACAATCGCTTCATCGAAGATTTCGCAGTATATGCCACAGTGTTGTATGAGTTCGGAGATTCCGATTTCATCAAGGGTCGAGCCACAAACGTCAGCGGAAATCACGAGGCGACTGTGAGATGGGGCCACGCGCTACGAGCCTTCGATACCCTGAAGTTCAAGATGATCAACGCACCCATGCTCTACCATTTTGCCCCAGAGTTGGATCCTGTTGTGATTGTGTACGCAAGCAAGTGGGCGATCTCTGCCTCTCTCGTTCAGTGTCGTGATGGAGTGTACGTACCCGTCAAATTTACGAGTAGGACACTGCGGTCTCACGAGATCGGGTACGACATTGTGGAGAAGGAAGTACTGGCTCTGCTAAGAATCCTCGATAGCTGCTTCACCATGCTGAGTGGTCGACACATCCGAGTGCTCACCAGACACACGACTCTCGCATGGCTCTTCCGCGCGGAAGGCTTGAAGGGACGGCTAGCTCAGTGGTCGGCGCTGCTCTCCCCCCATTCGCTAGAGATCGAACGTTTAACGAAAGGCGAAGATGAGCTACTAGGTTTGGTTGCCGCCAGTATCACTCCGCGCGCAGAGATGGATGCAGCGTTGGAGGAGATCCCTCCGCAGAAGAAGTCGACGAGAGTATTGGCTATCCCGATGCCGACTTTTACGCCCGGAGAAAACCTTTGCGTCGTCAGCTTTGACGGATCGGCCAAGCCGAAACGAGTTGGTGGAGCTTTCAGCGCTGTGGTATGGGATGCTCCTGGATGGAAGGTTGTCAAGGCTGAATCTGGCTATTTACCGGACCTCACTGTGAACGAGGCCGAGTACCATGGCCTCCTTCTCGGACTTCGTTTGATTGCCGATCTCCAGATCGACCGTCTCAATGTGTGTGGCGACTCCAATTTAGTCATCCGCCAACTGCGTGGAGAGATGGAGTGCAAGTCATCGGGACTCCAGCTCCTGCGTGAGAAGGCCAGAGTGATTTTGCGGTCTTGGCCGCAATGCGAACTCATCCACGTAAAACGCGATTGGAACGAACCCGCGGATATGCTGGCGGGACAGGCGCTGCAGCGTGGTGCCGGGGTAGTTGTCGAGAGTCACACCGATAACACGGACCTCGAGACCTTGAATCGACGGGGCGAGCTCCTCAAGACGCGCGAAGAACGTGACGCCCATTCGAAGGTAGGCGCTGTCACGCGAAGCCGATCTCGTACTGTCGCACCAGCCGTGTTGCAGGAAGACGTCGTCAAGCAGCTGCGCTTGGAACGTATTTGCCGTGCTCAAGACGAGGAGGTGTGGATCTGGTCACTGAAGTGTTTCCTGCACGGTGATCTCTCTCAGATCTCGAGCCGTCAAGCCAAGACGTGCAGTAAACTGGCTGACAGTTACGAGGTCGACGAGCATGGCCTCTTGATGTACTGTCCAGTCGAGGGGCGCGGTTGTGATGTCGAGGACTGTGGATCTATGGTGAAACTGGTAATGCCGAGTACACTCCACGAAGATCTCCTGCATCATTTCCACACAAGTGTGGAGGGAGGTCATCAGGGAGTCAGCCGAACATTCCAAAAGCTTCGGAGGCATTTCTACTGGCGAGGTATGTTCCGAAGTGTGCAGAAGTATGTCGGGGAGTGCGTCGACTGCGAGACGGGAAAAGGAAAGCCCACCTTGCGGGGGCGATCGCCGGGCGATATCGCCGCTAATTACCCTTTCCAGTCGTGGCTATGGATCATATCCCCACCCTCCCGAAGTCGTTCAAGGGCAACACAGAGCTCCTAGTCTTCGTGGATCTCTTCACCGGCTTCGTTGTGGCAAAGGCAAACGCGGACAGGACCGCACCAACAGTGGCTGAGGCATACGAGGAATGCATGTTTCGGCGGTACGGAGCCAGCGAAGTAATCAGGCACGACCAGGAACCGAGCTTCATGTCCGACTTTTTCCGGTCGTTTAATGCGCTGCTGGGCCAGCGTCAGCGATCTACGCTCGCGTATAGACCTCAAGCAAACGGCACAGCGGAGCGGATGGTCTAGACTATTTCCAGATCTCTGCGGATGTACGTTGAAGACGAGAACCAACAGGACTGGGATGAATATGCGGAGCGGTTGGTGTTTGCGTTGAACACATCGCATGACCGAGTACGCAAGGACACGCCATTCTTTTTGCTGCACGGGTGGGACCCTAAAACGACTATTGAGGCATCGTTGGCTGTTGGAGGGACCGGAAGCCGAGATCTCGACCCACAGAAATGGAGGTTCAAGATCCAACGCCAATACCAACGTGCTCAGACAGAGACTCGTCGTCTCCTCGCCGAAGCTCGTGAGAGTCGCGCGGAAGCCCACAATGAGAACGTACCGGAGTCACCCATTAAGGAGGGATCGCAGGTGTGGCTGTACCTCGACCGAGTCAAGATCGGATACGCTCGGAAGCTCGCTCACATGTGGCATGGGCCTTTCAGAGTCGCCACCATGGTGAGCGACTACGCTGCCAAGCTGGAAATCAGCGGGACTGACTACCGACTGTTCCCTATCGTACACATCTCGAAGCTGAAGCTGGTCCAACAGTTCCCCGAACGACCCGCCGAAGATCTCACTGTTGATGAAAGCGAACGATTTGACTTTGACGAAGAACTTCTCCCCGAGGATAGCTGGGAGGCACAAACTCGCGGTGACAACGAGTATGAAGTTGAAGAGATCTTGGATGTCAAGACGGAGAGACGCACCCGCTACGGTCGACGGCTCAAGGAATATTTGGTGCGTTGGAAGGGCCACGCAGAGACGAATTGGGTCAAGCAAGAACACCTGAACTGTGGTGGTCTGCTGTTCGACTTCCAGCAGAAGCGACGGAGCCGGCAGAGGTTCCATGTGATGCAATCGCGTGGAGAGGCCGACATCGCCGAAGAGTGAGGCGGTGTTGGGGGGGGTAGCGTGGTGGACGCTATCCGTAATGGTGGATGGTATTTGTTGCACATTTACATTTGATTGAGTGGAAGAAGTAATGGAGAGAAGATCACGCGATGGAATGGAGAAACGAGGTTAGTTGTGATGATCTGGTCGGACATTAGAATTACGACGAACGAGTACTCGGGGGCGACTTGGAGATCCAGCCCGGTGTCGCAGTGCTGGAGGCACCTGGGGTGCGAACGCGCGTCCGACGACTGCTGAAACGCGCTTGCCACGACGCGCTGGGCCTGTGCGATGGTGAAACCCGGCACCGTTCGTGTCGGAGACTACCTTCGCGTTCCGTCGATTTTGGCCGGATCGCTGTCATCGCCGACTTGGAGATCCAGCCCGGAGCCGCAGTGCAGGAGACACCGAGGGCGTGAAGGCGTGGTCGGTGGCCGTCGGACTAAGTGCAGTCCTACGCCTGGAGTTTGTGCTATGGCCTTGATCACCACAAATCACTACCCAGAATGCACGGCGACCTACGACATGCCTTTACATCTCCAGTTGGGGAGATCTCCCAGTCATGACATTGACTGTGTACAATTAAGTTGTGGGGCGGGAGTGATATGAAATGGAGTCGAAGCCGGTGTATTACGATGTCGATAAAGAAGATGCATGCTCGAGGAGACTACCCACTAGCTACGTACATTGGTGAAGGAAGAAATGTCGGACGCTGGAGATTTCCGGGGGTCCTCCTAGGTCTGTTCAGCTGACTCAGGCTAGGCGATTGACGAGGTCGCCTTGAACTTGCCTCGAAGGCGCGTGTGGATGGGTTCGTTCATCGATGGGTGTTTGGCACGAGCGTTCCAGTAGAACAGGCGCCACGGCTCCGCCTCGTCAGTCGTTCGTAAGACGTGTAACAGATCTCCAGAGGCACCAGAAGCTCCCTTAGGGAACCACGGGCACGTTGCGATCAGCGGCACGAAGAATGGCTACAGAAGAATGTCCAAGTCGCACACATGAGCCTTGCACAGGCGGGCCACCTCTTCGAACACAGGCAGCAGCATCTTCACAAAGTGGGATCTCCGATTGTTACGATCCGAAGTGAACTTCACCTCCCAAGACTCAGCGCTGGCCTTGGAAATGGAAATCTCGATGGAGTGGGTGATCTCCCAGAACACAAGCGCGCCACGATTATCGTTCCGAGTCAGCACATCGCGGATGATGGCCAGAAGAGGTTGGAAGCGGGGGTCTCCAATGTCGAACGAGACTGGGTCGGGCATGTTATCCACAAAGATCTTCCAGGGACTCGCTTTGTATAAAGCTTCGACCGAGGCTTGTGGCCAGGGCCGATAGTGGCCAGTTTCCCCTTCTTAGGGTTGCACACCCCGGCGGGTAGCAGCCAGTCGCGTGGTAAGAACTTCGAAGCGAGGTCTTTGGCTGTAAGCTAGTCAAGGCGGTGACCGGCAACAACCTCCCACAGCCACGACGTGACATCGGCAGGGCGCGCAGCTTCGCTGGACTCAGGTGGAATTGCGTGTGTGAATGGGCTTCAGGCTGATACAGAGATCCACGGGCTGTCAGACGGAGATCTATGAAAATCGCTTGTCTGACAATGAGGAGGAGCTACGTATCCATCGCCGTAGAGGAAGACAACTCAGCTGGCGCTCCCTCGGTAGTCGCAACGGCGCGCTTTGCACGCTTCGACTGTGACGTTGGATCAGAAGAGAGATCTCCACTTCGCTTTGCCGAGCCAGACGGGAGCTGCTGCGAAGATGTTCGCGCTGGAAGATCAGAGGAGACAAGGCTCGTGGCCGTTGACGCCAGTGTGGCAAGAGACGAACTGGAAGAGGCCGACGCCACGCATCGTTCCACCTCAGGTTGCGGAGTCGGTGCAGCTACCAGATTGATCAAGTTGCGCAACGCTCCAAGGTGTTCCTCACGCTCCGCTAGTTTGCTGCGGAGATCAGCAGAAGAAGCCTGCTCCTTCAGCAGCGACTGTCGACTCGCATCCAGCTCCGCCTGCAAGTCGTCGCGAGCGAGGGAGGCCTCCGCTCGCTCTCGTTCTACAAAGCAATAAACGCACAGGTCAGCACAAGAGTCAACCCGCCACATTAGCACGCGCGATCATGACCTGCAGCCACTGCGCGATCCTGAGCTGTTGCGAGATCAGCCTGACGATGCTCCAAACTGTTCTTGAAGACGACGTTCTCACGCTGTAGAACGGTGTTATGCTGAGTCAGCCGAGTGATCTTCCTCTCCAACTCCTCCAGTCGCTTCCCAGCCACCTTATGCCGCTGTGCGAGATCCGATAACGCTGTCGCTGTGGGGATCAAGGCGTTAGTGATGCAACATCAACAACCTCAGCACTTGGGACGACGTACCACCATCTTGCGCCTTCTTCGACGACGCCACCGCTTCTTGTCGTGCTGCTTCTGCGTCCTCACGAGCTTTGGACGCATCCAAGCGAAGGGCGTCCATCCGTGGCGCTGCTTTGTTGACCAGCGTGCGCGATTGCGCCAACTCGGTCTGCAACCTGTCGATTGTCGCCTCCGCTTGGCGCAATTGATTGCGATATCTGTCTCGTTCGGCATTGGATCGTTGCAGGGCACGTCCCGCGCGTCCGTCACTAGTCCGATCATCATCAGTGGCAGCTTCGCTGGTAGCCAACAGTCGGCCACCTGGGGTCACCGATGCAGTGGGAGGAGGGGTCCAGGTAGCCTTGATATCTGCCAGCTCGATCATCCAGATCTCCGAGGGCGATCTCCAACTGACTGGGGACGACGTTAGAGGGCGATGCTGCAGCGGACGGAGTGACTTCATCGGCATCAGCTGAGCGAGCGGCGACCCGTGCGAGATCTGCGCGTACTTGTTGTTCAGCAGCTTCGGCTTGCTGACGGCGTTCTACTTCGGTGTTCAGGGCCTGCTGGAGATCTCGGAGACGACCGTCGGCTTCGTTGCGCACGCGTTGAACCTCCAGATCGCGATCATGGATGGATCGATGAAGACTTGCAGTGTGGCGACCAGATGCTTCAAGAAGATCATGGGCGACGTCAAGACGGCCCCGGAGATCCAGCACCTCGTGATCGAGGGCCGCGGTGACTTGAGCAGCCTGGATAATGCGCGCGTGTTCCGATAGAGATGGCTGCTAACCGGAGTATGGAGCCGCGGCCGGTATAGATCGTGACAGGCGGTGCAATCTCCGTGGCTGTAGGTCGACGACGGGGCAGCACTCAGCAGAGGGACGCCGGCGGCCAACGACGAAGGCGACGACGTGGGTGGAGAAGCAGACATGGTGCAGGAGCTCTACGCGTGGCAGCCACCTGCTCGATAGCCTCACGCGAAGAGAGGGCGGATGTCGTAATGCGGGTTGAAGGGTTGTGAGGCGATGGACCCGGAGGTTACCCGTAGGTGACCTGAGAGTGAGCCACTTGAATTATGGGACACCCTAGCTCGGCGTCCCGTATAGAAGGCTGGCGACTGATTACGAAACCCGATGGCGTATTTACGGAGATCCAGAACGGGGAGGCCCGTAACAAGGACGATGACACCGCACGGAGACAGCAGATGACGTCATGAGGTAAAGGCGTGCAGCATACTGGTTGGTTGATTGGCCGGCAGACGAGCCGCCGGTAGATAGGCAGTTCAGTTCAGAATTTCCAACAACGAGACAAGGTACTTCTTCATATTAGTCTTTGTGTTGTGCGGTTAGCGCCTACGTGTGTACTGTGACTGTTTCCTACCTACTTGCGAAGTGTACTCGGGGTTCTGGATTGATTTGGCCTCCCCGGTAACCTTCTAGTAGCGTAGTGTGTTGCATTGTCTGGACTCAGGAGATCAGCTCTCAGTGTTCGACAGTAGGACACTCTAAACGGTTTAGTAAGGTATTGGTGTGCGTCTCGCACTTTGGTTTGGACCCGCAGACTAGCTGCGGCAGGAGATCTCCAGTAGATCTCGTACATATTGTACAACAAGTTGTCGTACAGTGGGAAGAGTTACCTCGCTGTACAAGTGCATCCGCGACAGAGTTAACCTAAGTCTCTGCCTGCGAGTGTAAGGAACCCCATATTCACCCCTTCATATTACACGTCTTCTAGGAATTACGCTAGATAAAGATCCGAGTCTTGCTACAAGGGTACACAAGGGGAGGCCTAGAGATCTCGGGACTAGTTCTCGTTGTCTTTGGGTATTTGGCTTGCAGGGGTAACCCCCCCGTAGTTGCGTGGCAGGACACGTGTGGGAGTTTATTAGTTTTTATCTGAGGGACTCCACCACATACCGGTTTGTTTTATGGCTGCAATCTATCAGAAGCAACTCACTGAAACGAGCGTACATACGCCGCATGAAAGAGGATGACAGAGAAATGACACCCGTCTCGCCGGCGGCCGTCTCGTCAACTGTTACCACGTTATCTGCATCTGCGGATGCAAAACCAGCGACCTCCACGGCAGTCCGCTCGTTATCATCGGTAGACGTAAGCGAAGCAACGTGATTCCGCACCATGTTGTCCACGTCAGACTTCACAACATTTTGGCCATGCGATAGAAGTTAGTGGTAGATTTTCGACCTCTTTGAGTCAACAGCTAGCATTCCTTCAACGCGGGCCTCTATGCGAGCGTCGTCTAATCCACGAGAAGAAGGAAGCGCAGCAAAACTATCTGCAGTAACATCATGATTGTGCACAAAAGTCCCATGAACGACCCGAAATTGCCATATTCCGTTCCTCTGGCATGCTTGGACTGTAAAACGGAAGCCACATCCAGTGAAACGAACGTGCTGACGTGGTCTCTCTCCGGTTCCTCGAGGCGGTCGACCTGGCCAGCCGTGTGTACAAATGTATACACGCTGGTATGGATCTATGAAAGCAGGTAACTTATCGATTTTGCCGAGCTTGTACTTCTCAGTAACTACAATCCTGTCGTTGCGCTGGTTGTTGTTCATTGTTCCTTTTATGGGTAGCGTTTGACATGTACGCTGTTGATAGTCTCGAACGTACGATAACCATGCACCCCAGTTAGCGTGCCATTCTTGAGGCGGATCAACGAGAGCGTTGGCTTTGTAGACAAGACGAGCTGAGTGGTTGTTCATAGCAACGGGGACAACAACGCGCGATGCCGATCCTGTAGGCTGGACTTGACTACTGGAGTCTTCACTGCTACGACTCACACTGTCTGCGTTCCGCGCTTCTCCTCTCACGCCGTCGTGCTCACCCGCGTGCGTCAGAATCACACGGTACCAGCAGACCTCCGATGTTCATTCTCCCGCGCGAAGATGTGATGAAAGCGCCTGGACACGCGAGTCCACCAACGCTTGAAGCAGAAGACACGTGTAGTTCTCGAAGGAAAGCTACGCCGACGTCGCCCGCGAAGACCTTGTCGAACCAGTGCCGGGGTCGCGGTCGTTTCTTCTCAAGTGCACGGCGGTGAGCAAACTTAGCTCTAATCCGCACGCGTTTTTTGCGGTAATTTAAATATATTCGGTCCAGGATAATCCTGTACGCATATGTTAGTAAAATCCTGGATAATCCTGGATGAGTAGGGCTAAAATAATCCTGGACTCCAACAGTTCCGGACTTTTTTTTTTCGCCCGCTCTAGTTTCCCCCCGATTACTCAAAAAGATAAGCTGATTATGACTGATTGAAGAGCACCAATGAACGCGCGAGAATGCGGCGCATCTGTCAGTACCCTTTTTTTCTGAAATAGGCTTACTTGGTGCTTCAAAAATCTAAATTTACCGTTTGGACGTAGACTTTTTGTACCCACTGTATTTTCATGGTTATTAGTTCGGGTATTGTATAGCATTCCAAATATCGAAATTTGCATCAATTTACTTAGAGGTAACTCAAACAGATACTACGATAGTATCTTGGCGAACAAACAATACTAGCACTACTAGCCCTAGCTATTAATAGTGATATGTCAAAGCGCACAATGATACAAAAGTTTAGGATATTTACACCAAAAGCAAACCAAATTCACCAGGCCTCGAAAACATCTTGATTAGACGAAATATTTTGCGGGTATCTGATAAGGTCGTTTTTACAATCAACTCGTTGTTACGCGCTCCACATGGTTCTCCCGACAAGCGGCTCGCTCTACTCGCATCGGACAAGCCTGCTGCAGCTAGCACGAATCGCCTCTGCCTGTCGTGCAGGCCACTGTTGGGTCCTGGGTGGTTTGCAGCCGCGTGCTTCGTTTGCGGACCGTCAAACCGCATGCGGGGCTAGCTACGCTAACTTCGTATGCCTAGGGTGCAATTTTGGCTAATTCTGAGGGAACAAACAGTTCGACTTACCGAAGTGGACAAGAATGCTCGTGTAACGCGTTCGCAATACAATACATTTGATATTGTACGTGGTAAATACCCACCGAATTAGACAAAAGAAAGGCCATTGGGTCTGTTGGGGAAAACTGTCTCAGGTGTAGGACTTCTTCCCCAATTTTCGAGTTGCTGATTGTGCCAAATACCATGCAAAACAAAGGGTACCGCGCGGTCAGCTGTGCCATCGAGGCTTGAGGTATCGCTTTGACCTGTTATGGAATATATATCCGCATGGGCAACTGAGCCTGACGATGATGGCTGGGCGCCCATAGTATTTTGTTCTGGTCGACTATAGTAGTAGTACTATTTTACAATGCATATAGTAATAAAAGGTAATTCACATAATAGTATAGGTAATTACTACTAAAGTAATCTCGTTCTGAAATCACGCTGAATGCTATACAAATTCAATGAATGCTATACTAACTAATTCAATGAGACCGTCTTGAGGACTCCGAGCAGTGCAGCGGTATCTCCGGCGAGTGCCGAGACTTCGACGTAGGTGATACCGTGCTCGCTGCACCAGGCGCGAGCAGCTTGCTGCTCTTCGAGGCCGGCTGCGTCGATGCAGTCGCTCTTGTTGCCGACCATGACGACGGGGGTCGGAGCTTTCGGCGAGCCGGTCTCAACGCTTGCGGACGCGGAGATCTCCCGACGAGCTACATCGAGATACATAGGCAGCGTGCACCATGAGACCGGCTCCTGCAGACTAAACACCAGTACAATCGCCTGGGTACTGCGGAGGTAGCGTGCAAAGATACTTGACCCCGCGAAGCTTTGCGGCGGCACGTCCCACAGCTGTGCAACAAATACAAACCAGTTAAGGCGACAGTTAACTCGTAGCACTACTGGAGCAACCGAATGACAGTGTGCACCACCTCCACAACCACCGGCTCGTGCCCCTCGAGGCGAAGCAGCTTGGCGCCTACGGCAGCTACAGTGCAGCGCAAGGTGCAGTGAGTCAGCACAGTTCTCCTGTCCTATGTCCAGAGGCCTCTCATTCGCCGCTTGCTCACCCGTGGTGGACGGTGCGTACTCGACATCGAGCGCAGTGCCGATCCAGCGTCTGAAGAGCGTCGTCTTGCCCACGGCGGCGTCGCCCAGCAGCACAACCTTGATCCTGTCTGTGGCGGACGAAGGATCCGAGCCTGTATTTTGCGCGGCGGGCGCGTGCCTCCGCCGGCTGCTGGAAGCTTCAAGGCAATCACGGCGTTAATCGACGCAGATGGCTGCTCCATGTTCGTTGGCCCCGAGCCGTGGCCCACGAGAGGCAGCAGCAGTCAAAACAGGCGACGTCGCCTACCTTGTGCTCCCATCGCGGGGGGGGGGGTACACTGTACTGGCTGGGGTCGCAACCGAGCTCACGAGCTCGGGCGCCGTCGGAAAAGTTTCTTAGTCGTGTTACGCATTTTATTCTTATCAAGCATATTTGATTATTGAAAGCAGCCGAATCGTCCAATAGACTATCTTCAGTTTTGTCTCTAAGTAAGAATATTCTTTTTTCTCCTCGAGTCGTCAGCAGCTGGTCGCCGCCGCCGGACAAATGCGCAGCTCGCTGGAGAGAAGGCTGCAGCGGTTCACGCACACGAGCACTCTGCGATTTCCTCCTCCGCGCGCAAGTGGTCGACGCCTGATAACTCACCAGTAACCGATGGACCCTGTAGACGAATTCAAACTGGCCGCAGCGCTCTTCATCTGGGCGCTGGGGCTCGTGGGCGGCGTCGCGCCGCTGCTGAGCAGCCAGCGCGTCAGCAAGCGCGCCAGCAGCGTCCTCAACATGGTGGCGGCCGGCATCTTCCTGGCCAGCTCGTGCATGCACCTGCTGCCGGACGCGCAGAACAACGCAGCGCTCACCGAGTGGGGCTGCGAGCACACGGCTGAGGTCTTCCTGGCCGTCCGCACGCGCTACGACGGCGACAACACGCGCTGCTTCAAGTGGGCCAACTTTTTCTACGGCTGCGGCTTCCTCATGGTGCTGCTCATCGAGGTGCTCGCGCACGCGCTGCAGCGGCACTACGGCAAGGTGCATGGCCACGGGCACTCGCACGGCACGGAGCAGGAGCGGGACGCGCTTCTGGCCATTGAGGTCACGCGCGCTGCCGAAGTGAACAGCCTTCCCAAGTCGAACGGTCACTCCCATGGTGGCCACTCGCACGGGCACTCGCACGGACGGGTGGAGACGGGGGCGTACGGCACCCAAGGTGAGGCCACGGAGCTGACGGTGCACGGCGAAGACATCAAGGAGGAGCCGCACTCGCACATCCACGGCATCGTCAAGGGCAACCCCATTCTGGCGCTGGTCGTGTTCATCGCACTGTCCTTCCACTCGGTGATGGAAGGCATGGGCATGGGCGCCTCGAGCTCACCGGCGTGGGACATCCTCGTCGCCATCTTGGCGCACAAGTCGCTGGCTGCGTTCGCGCTGGCGCTCGAGTTCCTGCACCACAACGTCTCGCGGAAGCAGCTGCTCTCGTCGGTGGCCGTCTTCTCGCTCATGACGCCGACGGGAATCCTGTTCGGCCGGCTCCTGGTAGACACCAACCACGCGACGCCCGCGGGCGGCGTGTGCGCTGCGTTCGCCGGCGGCACCTTCCTGTTCGTCGCCATCATGGAGATCATCCCGCAGGAGCTGCAGGACCCGCGGTATCAGTTGGAGAAGTGCTCTGCTCTGCTTGCCGGCTACGGCGCCATGGGTGTGCTCTCGCTCTGGACCTAAGCACGCACACACACACTAAATACAACATTTGCCGTCGGCCAAGAAGGCCGCGTAGAGGGCTTTACTCGGAGTCGTGCAATCGCTGTCGCTGTTGTTCTCGATGGTCAGGTACGACTCGCCCTTGAATATCGTCTCGAAGTAGACTGCTGCGTCGGCGACCGCTCCGCTGTAGATGGAATACTGAGTGTCGACGCTCTGCGTGTTGTACGCCTGGCAACTGGAGTAGCAGCCGTTCTGTGAGACGTCGATCGTCACGTGCACCGCCTTGGTGCACGTGGAGTCCTCGCTGGTCGACTGGACGCACAAACTGTTGACTTATGTATTCTCGAAGACAAGAAAGCTTCGATCATCGTGGGGCATTCAAGAGCCCGTAAAGCGATTCGCCTGGCGCGAACGTCAATGCAGAAATTCACTGATAACGTTAGTAAAAGAAGTTAAGGAGAGAAAACTTACTGAAGTAATAGTAGCTAAACCACGCCTCAAAAATAAAGTGTCTTGGGCATTTGTCTTCTCTCTCGAGCGCGTCTCGAATACACTGCAGCAACTCTACAGTCGCCTTCACGGACAGTAGACACGCTGCCGCCACCTTGCATCTCTCGAAGCTCCCTCGTCTCTGTTTATCTGCCGTACTTCTGGAACTCCCACTCGCGGTTGTCCAGCGGGCACACCTGGCGGGTCTTGAGCCACCGCGAGATGCAGTGGAAGTGGAAGGCGTGGTCTGCAGCAAATAATATCAAAAACGCCATAAAAGTTAGGTTAATCTCCAGCCATCAACCCAGATCCAGCCGCTGCAAGACGTACTGCAGACGCCCCAGGCCACTGTGCACTCCTCGCTGGTGGCCGACGCCTGGTTGGCCTGGCACTCGATGCACAGGTCCATGATGTGGTTGCGGCAGATGGCGCAGTTGTCCACCACGATGTCTGCGCGCAGATACGTAAAACAACAATAATAATTAGTGACTAATTTGCTGAAAGATCTTGCTGGAGCTGGCCAGAGCGACGCACCCCAGGACCACAGAGCCACGGCGTTCCACTTCTTGATCTCGAAGCGCTTCTCCTCGCTGGCGGCGGCAGCAGCGGGCGCCACCTCCGCCTTCACCTCCTCGCTCTTCATCTCCTCGTCCATCGCGACTGCGTTCACTGTAGCGCTCGCCGCCTGGGTTTTTCTTCCCCTTTGCGCCAGATATATCGTACTTAAATGGGAATTCGCGCTTAGGTACGATACTTGGTCCAGTGTACCACATTTTTAAAGTCGGTAATGGTCAAGTTGAAGTGGACTCACAATTTCCTGCTCGTGTTTGTTTCATGCTACGGTTCCTACGCGACTCACTAGCTCGCCACTGCATCCTACATCCCAATGCAGGCGAATTAACTGCCCACCGAGTAGTTCAGCAGTGACGGATCAATCTTCTGGCCCTTGGAGCGACGCTTGCCCCGCTTGTTGGACGAGCCCGTCTCGGAGGCACGCTGCTGGGCGTCCTGGTGCGCCGGCGACTTCTTGCCGCTGTGCTGTGTCTTCTTCCGCTGGATGAACTCGGTCGCGAACGCCGATACGCGGGGCGTCGAGCCCAGGTACGCCGCGAGGAACTCGCGGATCTCGCCAGGGTCCTCCACCGATGCGCAGTATTCCAGCAGCGTCACGTTAGCGTTGCTGTCGATGGTCTTCAGCTGCTTCAGGGCCCACGCCATAAACTCCGTGGACACATTGTTAGATCCAAACGCGTTCGAAGTGCTCACTTGAGCACTGCTGGACGAGGGCTCCTTGCCGGCGGACTGTGCTGCCCCAAAGTTCCAGAAGGAAGCGTCGCTCTCGGCCTTAGGCGGGGACGGCTTCGCTGCGCCGTTAGTGGCACGAATCTGCTGGCGGCTCTTCAAAACGGACGCAGGCACGGGGCCCAATACTGACCGAGAGGGCTTGGGGATCGCAGCAGCAGCAACCTTGTTGCCCGCGACGATGTTCATCCAGTGCGAGCTGGTCGGTGCATTCTCGTTGGCTTTAGCCCGCTCCTGAGCCAGGCGCTCTTCTTCGGCCAAAATATCGCGCATCGACTTCGAGGTGGTGCTCTTCGCTACAGTAGCGGGTGTACCCCACGGACTCGCGGCCGGCGCCGCAGCAGGAGCTGGGGCGGGAGCAGGGGTTGGTGCTGGAGCTGGTTTGGCAGCCGGAGCCGGCGGTGCCGGTGCCGGTGCCGAAGCGGGCGTCGGTGCCTCAGCCGACGGCGCGGCAGGCACAGCAATGGAGTCCACACCGAGCATCATCTTCAACTGTGCTCCCATTTGTGCGAGGTTGGCCGTGTCAGACTTCGCATCCCCCATCTTGCTGAGCATTTCACGCTGCTCTTCCTGCTGGATATCCTTGAGCGACTTGGAGTTGTTGGATGCAGCAGACGTCGACCGGGTTCCCCATGCGTTGGTCTCACCCTTGACAGCCGTTTTCTTCTCGGTCTTTTTAACTGGGCTCACATTCTTCTTCTCGCTTTCAGCAGCCTTCGCGGGGGACTTCACAGGCGACGCGTCCTTCAGCTGGTCCTGCTGGGCACTAGTCGGGCTGTTAGTTTTGATCGGCGAACCGCGAGTTTCCTGGGCAGCTCGGCGCTTCTCTTCATTCTGGATGTCGTGGAGGTTTGCGGACGGACGCTCTGGAGACTTCGGCACAGATCCCCAAGCATCGACCACGGGAGCAGCAGGGGGGCTTGTAGGCGCGGGGGGCTGGGTGGTCTCTGGTGCCATCGGCCGCTCTTGCTGTAAACCGGCAAGCGAGCTAGTAGCACTTTCCAAACCAGACATTTCCGGCGCAGCATTTGGCCAGAATGCCTGGTCACGCCGCTCGTCATTCAGGAACATCGCGTTCTGACCGATAGACTGCGGATTCTGCAGGTTAAGCTGGTGCTGGGTGCGGTAATCGGACTGGAACTGGATTTGTATCCCATCCGAGTGGAAGCTGTTGTTTGCTGCAATGTTGCTTTCTTGGTTGCTTCCAAATATGCCCAGTGCGCTCATGATACCTTCACGCTGACTGCGCTGCCACGAACTCTGCTGCTGAAGAAGCATTTGCTGTTGCTGTTGCTGTTGCCGCTGCTGCTCTTGTTGATGTTGCAGCATCTGCTGCTGCTGATACAACTGCGATTGCTGCTGTTGACGCGCGATTTCGAGACGCTGCATCTCCATGCGCATCTTCTCCTCTTGAAGCATTCGCTGTTGTTGTTGCTGAAGCTGCATCATTTGTTGTTGCTGTTGTTGTTGTTGTTGCTGTTGCTGCTGCTGACGTTGCAATTCTAGTAACCGCTGCTGCTCCATATGCATTCCTCCAATGCCGCTCATACGCGCCGGCGGGGCAGCGAAAGGCATTTGGCCGGGTCCGAATTGATTCGCCAGAGCCCCGAAATTGCCCTCGCGGCCAAAACGAATCGGAAGGTGCGGCTTGAAGTAGCCAGCCTCGAACCATTCACGCATCTCCGCCGTCTTGAACGGGCCCTGTTGCAATCCCTGGGGGTCCAAGTAAAACCATTCGTCCTCCACCTCCAAACGCAGCGACGCGAGCCCCGGGAAGCCTTCGCCAGCAGGCATCTGTGGCAGCGAGAAACTGCTCTTCTCCTCAAGCACGAGCTGGTCGCCAGCAGGCTCCAGCGCATCGAATAGACGCCCTCCACTCGATTGGCGGCCTAGCAGATTCGCGGCGTGGTCTCCCAATGGACCATTCGCGCCATTTGCACTCTGCTCCTCCTCTGGGGTAGGATCATCCCAATGCACCTCTTCACTGTCGCTATCTTCAAACTGCCCCGCAGCTGCCGCGTCCTCCAGTTTCTTGTCAAAGGCATCTAGGTCATCTTTCATCTCATCCTGGCCGATACAAAAGCCGCGTTGGCACCGCCCGCAGCACAAAATCAGCAAGATCAGTCACTGAACGCCGACAAGCTTTGATCCGCTGCACACCACGACTTACCGGGTCGATCTTCGGTCCTTGGAGCTCCTCCCTCATTGCATCCATCTCTCGTCGGAACTTCTCTGCAGCCTCTGCCATGCTTGACAGGTCCTGCTCAGCAACAAGAGGTTAGCACTCCAGCCGAATCCCGCGCTGACTGCAGCAAGTCCACGCACCATTTCATTGCTATCCGCGCCTGGTTCCAGTACATCGTCCCAAACGTCGTCTCCGTGGGAAGTCTCGGTGATCTTGGCGCCGCGCTCCCACGTTGAGTCCTTCTCGTTGTGTCGGTGGTGCTCCTCCTTCTGCTGCTTGGCTGCGTCAGCGTCGTCCCCGCGCGCGCCTCGCTCCTGGTGTCCACCACGCGCCCCTTGCGCGCCTCCAGAGGGCGCATTGCCCCGTCCACGGCCGCGCCCGCGATTGCGGTTGAGCGACCACTGCTTGTAGATCTCCTCGTAGTCGAAGGGCAGCGTGCTGACGGGCGGCAGACTGTGCTCCGAGGCCACCGACGTGTCCGGCGGGAACGCGGGCGCCTCGGCCGTTGTGAAGTGCAGCGCCAGCAGCTCCTCCTTCGTGTAGCGCAGCACCTTGCTCTTGCGCCGCTCGCCCCGGTGGTCGTCGCCGCCGACGCCCGTGGCCGCGTCTTTAAAGGGCGTGGGGCCGCCCGCCCCCGACGCGGCCGACGACACGAAGCCCTCGCCGTCCTTGGACCACTGCGGGCGGTACGCGGAGCCCTCGGACTCGGTGCGGCCACGGCCCTTCATGGCGAACATTGTGCGCGGGCGCAGCGAGATGTTGCTGCTGCTGCTGCTGCTGGCGGCGCCGTTGGACGGGCCCGTCGGGGGCTTCTTGGCCGCGTCGTCGCCCGCTGCTGCCTGCTGCTGCTGCTGTTTCTTGCGGTGCTTGGTGGTCTTGGTGACGAAGTCGTCGTCATTGCTGGGGCTGCTGCTCATGGCTGCGGCCGTCGGTCGTGTGGCGTGTGGCGTGGTGCTGCTTGCTCTTGCGTTTGTTGGTTGCTCCTCTTCTTCGGGGTGAGCCGAGCGAGCGTGGGGGGAGCCCGTAGGCTTTAGAGCCAACTCGCCTAAGTACGAGCTGAAAGATTTTAGCCTGGCACTCCTAATTAAGGGTAGCGACATCTTGCATCTGCGCAATTGCGGCATGAGCGGCGCCGCCGGCCTGCGCAACTGGCGGTGCGTTGCGGCGGCTTCCTCGCTGTCTTCCATGGGCTTGCTGTATTGTTGTTGTGTCGTGTCGGTCGGGTGTTAATTATCTGCCCTTGAATCCGTTGCAGTGGCGAGATCATCCAGGCCAAAGCCGCTGCGTCAGGCGATGCAGCCGCTGCTGAAGCCCCCGTCGACTCCCAGCGCCATGCCAATACAACAGCCACGGCTATAGCAGCTACGGACGGACGTAGGTCGGTAGGATCACCCGAGCAGAAGAAGGTTCTGCGCAAAGACGAATTCGGCCGCGACGTGGAAGTCGTCGTGGAGGACACGGGCAAGCGCCGCAAGACGTCCAGGAGCGAGCGGAAGGAGGACAGGAAGAAGGACAGGAAGAAGGACCGCAAGCACACGCACAAGCACAAACATAAGCAGAAGAAACACAAGCACAGGCGTGGCAATAGCAGCGAGAGATCCAGATCGCCGAGTCCACAAGGCCGACTTGTCGGGACGCCGCCACCGCCGGATCCGTTCCGTCCGCAGGTGGGTGTGCTTTTGCAGTGCTGACAGTGCTGGCAGAATGCTAATTATTATGTTGACTGTTGTGTTTTTGTTGTGCCGATAGCTGGATGAAGACCGGGGTGGGCGTCTCCAACAGCGCCGTCGGGAGTGGAATCAAGGCCGGGGTCGAAGTAGCGGGCGCAGCAGGAGCCGTTCACGTCATCGCGATCGAAGTCGAAGCAGGGACTCGAGAAGCCCACGCAGCAGCGGCCACCGCCGACATCACCGTCGAAGTTCTTCCCGCAGTCGTAGTAAGAGTCGAGGCCGCAATCGAAGTCGGAGCCCGGTATCTTCGAGGTCACGTCGGCGGCGCTCGTCAGCCTCACTCGAGCGTAAGTGGACGCACAATGCCTTTGACGACCGCAGTCCCAGTCCACTGCGTGAAGTCGATCCGTTCTACCGGCCAGAACCAGAGAAGTGGGTGTCGCGAGCAGGCGGCGTCTACTTGCCTCGCAAATAGCTCTCGGAAGCGACGTCGCCTCAGGTCGTTCACGGCTTTCGACTGCAAGATGAGCACGCTTCTCCGTGACTGGGATGAAGGTGTGCAATACGAGACGTAATGCTCCCACTACACTCATTACCTACGTGCTAGACATTGATTTACGCTGTCCTGCTGTCCTTAGGCTCGAAGACCAAGCGCAAAAAGCTCCTCGAGTGGTTTAGCAGCCACTTTGACCCGACGTGTGACGGCGGTTGCCTGCTTGAGAGCGAATGCGGGGCAGACATCGCTCTCTTCCTGCCGCGACTTCTGTCCTGGATGCACAAAACCACTGCTAGCGCCATTAACAAGACAGACGAGAGCGCCATTGTCGCGCAAAAATCGGGGAAAATGAAATGTTTCGCGCTTGCAGAGCAAGTCTCCTGCCTGTACGTGTTCTTCGGGTCGACGAACGCACACGCGTACTATCGCGAGTTCCAGCACGTGGATGGGCTGCAGTTGGTGCTGAAAATCGTGGCCATAACAGGAAACGATCCTCCGACCCAGAAGCCGCTTGTGTCGACAACTGACCGAGAAACCCTGCTTCGTATTATCCTGCGGATCTCCAAGATGAACCGGCAGCGTAAAGAAGAGATCAGCAGTTTAGACGGCGAGTTGGCTGTGATTCACGGGGTTTTGGCTAGCGGGGATATGGATGACTGGAAAACGGAGTCGCGAGTGTGGACACTGTGTCGGGAGGTGCTTCTGGAACAACTCGTCGGCAACCCGAACAGCCTAGATCGAGCCCACGAGGCGATTGTATTCATGTTGAGGCACTTCGAGGTGCGCCTTCAGCTTTTTGGAGCGGAGGTAAACTGGATTGCTGTGCCCCTATATGGTAAATCACGCATCTCAAGGATCTAACAATCAACTAATGACTTGTCGTATCTACCATGGTGCGGTGCTAGGTTCTCCGAGAACTCATTTCAGACACTTCATTCTCCTATGACCCGGAGTATCGACGACGAAAAGAGTATGATCTTGTGCCTCTCTGCCTGACCCTCGTCAGGTCGACCGATGTGTATCTTCAGCACGAAAGCCTCGAACTGCTTCACGCTCTGTTGCAGTCGTCGCACCTGCAGGTACGTTAACGAAGTTCTCAAAATGCATGCCAAAGCCGCTTGGTGGTGAAAGTGAAATTGCTTGGTAATCACGCAGGAGGCCATCTGCGAAGCGCTCGTGTATTTAGTCAGCCAAAGCGCCAAAGCGCTTGATCCGTACGCTTCTTGATACTTAATAATCTCCTGCCTCTTGATCTGATAGCTGTGATGCCGTCTTGTTTGGGTGTTTGACTTGCAGCAACGTAGAGGAAAGTTTTATCTCTGTCGAAGACAGCATGGAATACGAAACTTATGTTCACCTTCGTTCGGCCTTCGCACACGCATCGCAAGCTGTCAACACTCTGATGCATTCAAACCGAAATCTGCTGCCTATTCTGGTGCGTTAGTTCTTTAGCATCGATGGCATGTACAGCTTTTTTTGCTTATCTCGTCGTGCAGGTTGACAAATATGGTCTTCTCACGCCCCTGTCGTTCGTACTTGTGGTTGAGCGACCTCACTCGCTGAAATGGCACGCCGCTGCCATCAGCATTCGCTACATCTTCACTCACCACTTCCGGGTAAAAATGAGCATCCCAAATGGCTCGGGTGCAGGAAAACCCGATTGGTATCACTTACCGACCGAATGCTGTTTGCGTTCATGTTAGGGAGCAGCCTCGATCCTCAGTGATCTCTTTGACGTCCCGACGGCTGAACTGTTCCTGTGGAAGGACAAGCGAGGGGATGACGGGGAGCAGCTCGCCGAGTTCCTCTTGGGCGACGACACGCACCAGAGCCACCTCGCGCTGCGATTTTATCAGTGTGGATGGCATCGCCCGCTGTCTCCGAGGAAGCAGTCCGACCAGTCCGGCACCGATCGCGTCCTCAACGACATCGAGCACAATTTCGAGACAGCCGCACGAGACTACGTTCCCGAGGTGAGCACGACGTGGTGGTGGGACCCATTCTGCTTTAATTAACGCGCGCGCCTTGTTGACCTTCTTTGATCCTAGCTCCAAGTGCAAGCTCGAGTGGGTGAGAACGCCGACGAAGCTGGGGAACTGGAGACCCTGGAAGCGCAACGCGAGCACCACCTGCGCATCCAGCTCCAGAAGCACTTCGCCCAGTTCCGCCACATCTCCGCAGCATCAAGCAACGCCTATTAGACAGAGGCCGAACTAGCAATCTACGTGAAATTAATACTTCGAGTAGTGGGTCATGGAACATTACGCCGGCAGTTTTTTTCCTTACCGTAATTTACCACCGAGAACATTCCTGAAACCTTCTTTCGGGACAGCAGCGATCTCAACGACGACCCCTCTCGACCACTTGAGAGCGAGAGCCACGTCTTTTCGATATGAGGGTAGTTTTAGAACCTCTGAACCGGTCAGATCTAATAGACGTTGATTTGACGACGCCCACTTTATAGCGAGAGCCACGTCTTTTGGACCTTTGGGCGTTTCGGGACCGCTCGTTCAAACCACATTGATAAAACCAATAGAACATTACGCCGGCAGATTTTACTAGTAGTTCGGACCAGCGCGACGTGGCGTCTCATCATTGGTTGAAAATCTATGTCACACACCTTCATGTTCGCTTAAGTACGCCAGAAATTCTACCTCCTTCTTCCTCATTCCAGAATCTGCCGGCTCGAGGAAAGATGGTGAAGCTCTTCTGTGCGATCGTTGGTGCGGCGGGCAGTGCGTTTCCTGTGGACATTGACGCGGGTCAGTCGGTGGGAGACTTGAAGAAGGCGATCAAGGCGGAGAAGACGAACAAGCTGAAGGACATCGATGCAGGTGACCTGCAGCTCTTCCTGGCGAAGACGGCGGACGGCGCGTGGCTAGATGGAGCTGGCGCGGCATCTGTGGCGCTCGATGAACGTGGATACCCGCAAGGCTTCGGGCAGATGGATCCCACCCTGTGGATCAAGAACCCCAAGCACTTTGGCGATAATTTTCAACCGGGTGAAGGACAAGTTCACGTGCTGGTGAAGGTCCCGGAGCAAGAACACGCACAAACTGGATTGTGGCTTGTCACTGGATCCGTTGACAACGCGTTGATCACGAAAGGAATTCGCTGCAAACTGTACTGGATGGCGACGTTACGCATTGGATACTACGATCCTACGCGCTGCATCGGCAACAAGAATGTCGCGTTTTGGTATGAAGACAAGAAATTGTGTTTTCATGTTTTATTCGAGACAAGTACGTGCCTCTATATGCTGTCGCTGCATCGTAATACTGCTTCATTGAGGGCTAACTCTGTTTCTTTTATAGAAGATGCTGCTTTGCTGTTCGAAACTGACTTGAGGACTGGGCCACAAACGCTGGGCTCTCCGTTAACTAACCAGGTTGTTGAGACGCGTGTTGCACCAGCTAACGCTGTGTCTACTGATCTCCAGCGCGTCTTCTACTGCGACTACGTTCCAGACGATTCGGAATCTCCTCAAAACACAGTTTCATCGATATCGTTGACTACAAGCGTTTCGAATCTGGACTCATCGACTGACGAGTTTCGTTTTCAGCGGATTGAGGACGCGAAGTTCTTCCTACCGTACGGCAAGGCAGAAAGCTGCCATTTGGTGTCGAGAAAGCAAAGCAGAGACCACAAACGGGAATTCGCCAAGTACGATCGCGACTCAAACAACAGGCTTGCGCTTTCTCGCGAAATGCATGGTTGGTTCGACGGTATGAGCATTGAGGTTCCCATCGTCAACATGCTACCCGGATCTGTTGAAGAGAATCAATCCATTGGCAACAGACGCAAGGTACTGTGTGAGCGCGTAGTTCTGGTGTGTGTAAGTTTACTGACATTTGCGTGTAGGTCGAGGTCTTCGTGAAGGTTCTGGATGCTCAGTGCACAGATCGCGTTTTCAGTCGTTTGAAAGGAGGATCAACCACGACGGACGATCCGCTCATGATGAAGACGTTTGTTCACGTGGAGGATCCAGAAACATTTTGTTTGTGCATGAGGTGGAAGCACGACGATAATGCGGAGCGTTGGAGAAGCTTTTGGGATATGACTCCTGCGGTCGATTGAATGGAATAATGTGGCTCCCGAGTTAAATACTTCGAAGTAGTATTTGATTTCTTGACATACTTTGATCCTGATAAATATAAAGTTAGTAATATACAAAGATGGCGTACTCTCCTGAGCAATACCAAGCTAGCAAGGAACGAATCAAAGCAGCGCAGAAGCGCTACTACCAGCGCACACGCGAAGCCCGTTTATCTTATCAAAAAGACAACGATGACAAGAATAGAGACCAGATTCGAGCTCGCACGTCTTTTCGATATGAGGGTAGTTTTAGAACCTCTAAACCGGTCAGATCTAATAGACGTTGATTTGACGACGCCCACTTTATAGCGAGAGCCACGTCTTTTGGACCTTAGGGCGTTTCGGGACCGCTCGTTCAAACCACATTGATAAACCAATAGAACATTACGCCGGCAGATTTTACTAGTAGTTCGGACCAGCGCGACGTGGCGTCTCATCATTGGTTGAAAATCTATGTCACACACCTTCATGTTCGCTTAAGTACGCCAGAAATTCTACATCCTTCTTCCTCATTCCAGAATCTGCCGGCTCGAGGAAAGATGGTGAAGCTCTTCTGTGCGATCGTTGGTGCGGCGGGCAGTGCGTTTCCTGTGGACATTGACGCGGGTCAGTCGGTGGGAGACTTGAAGGACGCGACCAAGGCGAAGAACCCGGCGACTATCACGTGCGACGCCAAGGACCTGCAGCTCTTCCTGGCGAAGACGGCGGACGGCGCGTGGCTAGATGGAGCTGGCGCGGCATCTGTGGCGCTCGATGAACGTGGATACCCGCAAGGCTTCGGGCAGATGGATCCCACCCTGTGGATCAAGAACCCCAAGCACTTTGGCGATAATTTTCAACCGGGTGAAGGACAAGTTCACGTGCTGGTGAAGGTCCCGGAGCAAGAACACGCACAAACTGGATTGTGGCTTGTCACTGGATCCGTTGACAACGCGTTGATCACGAAAGGAATTCGCTGCAAACTGTACTGGATGGCGACGTTACGCATTGGATACTACGATCCTACGCGCTGCATCGGCAACAAGAATGTCGCGTTTTGGTATGAAGACAAGAAATTGTGTTTTCATGTTTTATTCGAGACAAGTACGTGCCTCTATATGCTGTCGCTGCATCGTAATACTGCTTCATTGAGGGCTAACTCTGTTTCTTTTATAGAAGATGCTGCTTTGCTGTTCGAAACTGACTTGAGGACTGGGCCACAAACGCTGGGCTCTCCGTTAACTAACCAGGTTGTTGAGACGCGTGTTGCACCAGCTAACGCTGTGTCTACTGATCTCCAGCGCGTCTTCTACTGCGACTACGTTCCAGACGATTCGGAATCTCCTCAAAACACAGTTTCATCGATATCGTTGACTACAAGCGTTTCGAATCTGGACTCATCGACTGACGAGTTTCGTTTTCAGCGGATTGAGGACGCGAAGTTCTTCCTACCGTACGGCAAGGCAGAAAGCTGCCATTTGGTGTCGAAAAAGCAAAGCAGAGACCACAAACGGGAATTCGCCAAGTACGATCGCGACTCAAACAACAGGCTTGCGCTTTCTCGCGAAATGCATGGTTGGTTCGACGGTATGAGCATTGAGGTTCCCATCGTCAACATGCTACCCGGATCTGTTGAAGAGAATCAATCCATTGGCAACAGACGCAAGGTACTGTGTGAGCGCGTAGTTCTGGTGTGTGTAAGTTTACTGACATTTGCGTGTAGGTCGAGGTCTTCGTGAAGGTTCTGGATGCTCAGTGCACAGATCGCGTTTTCAGTCGTTTGAAAGGAGGATCAACCACGACGGACGATCCGCTCATGATGAAGACGTTTGTTCACGTGGAGGATCCAGAAACATTTTGTTTGTGCATGAGGTGGAAGCACGACGATAATGCGGAGCGTTGGAGAAGCTTTTGGGATATGACTCCTGCGGTCGATTGAATGGAATAATGTGGCTCCCGAGTTAAATACTTCGAAGTAGTATTTGATTTCTTGACATACTTTGATCCTGATAAATATAAAGTTAGTAATATACAAAGATGGCGTACTCTCCTGAGCAATACCAAGCTAGCAAGGAACGAATCAAAGCAGCGCAGAAGCGCTACTACCAGCGCACACGCGAAGCCCGTTTATCTTATCAAAAAGACAACGATGACAAGAACAGAGACCAGATTCGAGCTCGCAAGCGTAAACCCAAAACCGAACTTATTGATGGTGAAGTCGAACTTAATAATGAAACCGAACTTAATTAATTAATTTTTTTTCCTCGGATAAAATGTCGCCTATGATATAAAGTCAATCCTGATACAAGACCCAATATTATAAAGTCATATCTACGGAGAATAATATAGTCAAGCATATATAGGCAACATGTTTGCATACGAACTCGAAGGATTAAAGAGATTAAATATTCAACCCATTCGATGGGGTAGTAGCTACCGTATTAAGGTACGTGGCAAGACGGGGCGCATGGTATACATTAGCAACATTTCCCACCCCACCAACCAAAAATTGGTAGCGAAGCAGTACCAGATCAGTCTAGGCAAGCTCCAAAAGAATGTGGCTGCTGATTTCAAGGAAGACAGTAAGTACCGCTTCTACCAAGGCAAGAACATGGAGTCGCACCTCTACGAGGGGATTCAGCCTGCTGAGTTCTACGACAAGCACGAGAACGTGCTCGCAACCCAGAAGTCTGCCTTCAAGGTCAACATCGCTCTTGGGTACAAGCTTGTCAGCAGAACTGATGACAGCGAGACTCGCTACTTCCACCCGAATATTAGCAACACGTCTGTATGTAGCACTCCTGTAGCTATCAACAGCAAGGCTGATATTCGTAAGAAGGTGATCTCGGAGATTCGCTCCATGGAGTTGGCTGACAAGCTCAACTACCCCAGATCCGGGTACATGGTGAAGGGGATTACTGGCTTCAAAATCTATATCTACCAACGCGACCATGCTCTGGGTGATAGCGAGGCTGTCATTCCTAAGGTGATTCGTGATAACAAGCACGTCATCAACTTCCCCAAGACGAACAACAAGTGTGTCTTCCACTGCATTGCTTATCACAAGCAGGAGGGAGCCAAGAAGGATCCTCGCAGAATCCAGGCTCTGGTGAAACAAGCTACTGTTCGTACAAGGAGATCACCTACACTCTGGGTCTGTTCCGCAATTTCAAGCCTATCGACATTCTCCAATTCGATGAGCTTGAGGAGTGCTTCAAGCTGAACATCAACGTCTTCAACATGGATGTTGAGACGGGCAAGGTTGAATGCATTCGCTGCTCGGACAAGGACTATGATTCGATCAACATCCTGCCGCACGAGAATCATGCTCTCTACATCACGAACGTTGATATGCTCCAGCAGAAGTACCAATGCTCTACGTGTGAGATGATGTTTGTTAGCTCTGATAAGCTACGCAACCACACTAAGAACCAATGCGAACTCGTGAACATCGAATCGTTCCCAGCTCAGCCAACCATCTACCAACCCGCTCCGAACAGCCTTCGTTCCATGCTGACTAAGTACTCCATCAAGGATGCTGACCATTACATCGATCACTTCATTGTCTATGATTTTGAGGCTATCCTCAAGCCTACGGGTGTCAAAAACGGAGAAAATACTATCTTCATAAACGAACACATTCCTGTGTCTGTTGCCGTGGCCGACAGCTTGACTGAGGAGGTGCGATGCTTTACCCGAAGGAGTTGCTCAAGGATATGCTCCAGTACATCAAGGAAGTTGCGGCTAAGATTCAGCAGTACAACGTCTCGAAGTCCGAGTCTTTGCTCCGCAAAATCATCAACGTCCATGGTTTGACTGACGCTGAGGTTCCTGGTCTAGACTTGGGTAAGACGTACAAGATGGATGATGTCAATGCTTGGATTCAGAACGGGGAGTTTGCTTGTTTCTTCGATTTCCACAGCAAGCTCACATTCGGTAAGAAGCGCTCGGATTATGGCAAGCTGAAGCAGTGCATTGGTCAGGTACCAGTATTCGGATTCAACTCTGGACGCTACGACATCGACCTTATCAAGGCGGACCTGTTTGCAGTCATCGGTACTGACAACATCATATCAGTCATCAAGAACCCTAGCTACATGTGCATCGCCACGTCAGACATGAAAATGCTTGACATTAGCAACTATGTTCCGGCAGGCACCAGCTATGCAACGTACTTGTCGACATATCTCGGTGAGTGCAAGTGTGATGACAAGATTCGATGCGTCTGTGGCCTAGGAAAAGGCATCTTCCCGTACGAGTACATTACTTCATTTGACGTACTCAGTCAGCCGGAAGTCCCTCCTAAGTCGGCGTTCGACAGTGCTCTTCGTAGCACTAGCATCAGCGATGAGGACTACAGTTCGTCTGGGAACACTATGGCATGAAGTGAATCAAGGATCTACTCATTTGGTACAACAACCTCGATGTATTACCCTTCATCAAGGCCATCAAAGCCCAGGAGAACTATTCAAACGTTTCGAACTTGATATGTTCACTGATGGTGTGTCGCTACCTGGTCTCACTGAGAAAGTCATGTATCAGACGTGCTTCAACAACCTCCAGCAACCAAGTAAGGAGCCTGCTGAAGCGTTTGACTTTCCCGCTAGTCGCTTAAGTGGATATAAGACCCAGGATGCTGATGCCGATCGTGAATTCAATACGACGCTAGAACACCTCAACGACTTGCTAGAGCGACAAAAATACCTGTGTGGGCTATGCTACAAGCAACTCACAGCTGATACTGCCTCGGCTGACCGAATCAATAACAAGCTCGGACACATCGATGGTAATATCTTGATCAGCTGTGTGGGATGCAACGTTGCTCGCAAGAACATGTCGCTAAAGGGCTTCCGCCACAAGAAGCTACTTGAATTCAACTCAGACAGGTTGGTGTACAGTATCGATAGAGAAGAGTAGGACATCTACACCAAGATGAAGGCGAACATTGTGGTCCTTCTATCATCTTCAACAGATACGCGAAACGCAACGAGACCAAGATTCGAGGGGGTAGGATCTGCAAAAAGATCATCGGCTACGATGCTAATGCTCTGTATTTGTGGGCTCTTGGTAATGAAATGCCATGTGGACGGTTGACTACCATCGAAGCATACACAGGGATCGTCGATGATATTGTAAATGACAAGATCTTTGGCTTCCTCGAGTGTGATATCCGTACACCAGAGCACCTCAAACCCTACTTCAGTGAAATTTTCAAGAACACCCTTATCGACTGCAGCGATCGGAGTGTCATCGGTCAGCACATGTTCGAGTACAACGAGGAGCGCAAGCAAAGCCGAGCAAAGCCGGCTAGCAAACTCATCGGGAGCTACTTTGGTGAGAAGATCCTCATTTATGCACCGCTACTCAAATGGTACATTTCTCATGGTATGGAGATCACCAAGACTTACAGCTTCATCAAGGCTAGCTCTCACAAGGCATTTGCACCATTCATGGAAGCCGTATCGAGCGCGCGACGAGAGGGTGATGAAAATGTTAAATCCATCTGTAAGATCATTATTGAGAAGGTATCTGACTCTGATATGGATGATTTAGTCCAAGACTTGAAAAAAATCATTTCGAACCCTAAATCATTTGATGCGCTCATTATCGATAGATTCATGAATGAATCGACAACCAATCCTACGATTCATTTGGTTCTAGACTTGTTGACTAAGCTGAAAACGCTTAGTGAGGGTAGCAATAATAAGGCTATGATTGCTGAGATGATGAAACTGGTTGGTAATAGTGCGTTTGGTCGATCTGGCATGGACATGAGCAAGCACAAGGAGGTCAGGTATGAGTCGGACGATAAGGCAATCAAGGCCAAGATTGAGCACTTCACCTTCCATGGAATGGAAGAGCTGAATGATTCATGTGAATTCACTATGAAGAAGCGAAAGCTCAACAATAAGAACCCAATTCATCTATCGATTGCAATCTATCAGCTCGCTAAGCTCCGTATGTTGCAATTCTACTATGATTGCATTGACTTCTACTTCGACCGTTCGGAATTCCAGTACCAAGAAATGGACACAGACTCGGCTTATATTGCGTTCAGCTGTGAGAAGCCATACGTTGAGTGCATCAAGCCCGAGCTTCGTGAGCATTTTCAGCAGCATAAGTACGAGCGGTTCCCACGTGATTATAGCGAAGAGATGGCTCAGTTTGATCGCCGAACGCCAGGTTTGTTCAAGGATGAGTGGTCTGGTGATGCTATGGTATCATTGTCCTCTAAGAACTACATTTGCTACCTACCAGACGAATCTTACAAGGTCAAGGTTTCCGCGAAGGGAGTGCAGCAGAATGGTGGTCGAAACGGTAATATCCTCAACCTAGATGGCTTTGAATCAGTTGTTCGCGGTCGCATCACGCTACAGGGCACTAACAAGGGGTTTAGACTCAGTAAGGAGAGTAAATCAATCATTACGTACACCCAGACTAAAACAGCTCTAAACTACTACTACGACAAGCGTCGTCTACTTGCGGATGGTATCACCACCGAACCGCTAGACATATAAGCAACTACCTGGCAGGGGATTTTTTTGTTTTATAACCATTTAGAGCGATGGATCTGCTGTTGTCCAAAATATACTATGACCCCAAAACGGGCTATGTGGGTGCCCAAGCCTTGTACCAGAAGGCTAAAGAACTGGAGCCGAAGATTACGATGAAAATCGTCAAGGAATGGTACTCAAACCAGAGCGATATTCAGCGATTTCAGGAGCAGAAGATGCGATACGATGGGTTCTAAATCGCATCGACTAACCCCAATTCGTGGCAGATGGACTTGGCGTTTTGGGAGAAAAGACCAATCTTGACTGCGATCAACATCAACTCTCGCCTAGGCTACGCAAAACTACTAACCAACAAAACTGGCCCGACCGTACTAGCAGCAATTAGGGTTTTTGTCCGCCTCCATAAGGTTGACATTCTCACAACCGAAAATGGTTCAGAATTCATGAACCAACAGGCTCAGAAATTATTCAAAACTAAGAAAATTGACCATTTCAACAATGAGCCTGGAGATCACGCCAAAATGGGTAAAATTGAACGCTTCAAAAGAACTCTGAAGCAGCGCCTTGTCAAAATCGAACCAAAGCGACTAACCCAGAAGCTCATAGCTGCTGTTATTGAGAACTACAATAGCACGACCCATCGGACGATTGGTATGACCCCCAACGAAGCTAAAGGTAAGGTAATTGAATCTGAACTAGTCCACAACCAGGCTGAAGCCGAGAGGATTGAAAACGAGTTCGAGGTCGGTGAAAAGGTTTTGTATCGACTAAAAAAGAAAACATTTGATAAAGAAACAGCAAGATGGTCTAAGGCTGTGTATTCGGTGGTAGGTATTGATGGCTACCGCATCCAAATCAAGTCGAAAAACGGACACACTCTTTACAAGGGGCCAAACGATCTAAAAATTGTTAAAGCAGAAACATCTGAAGCTACTATCAACAGAGGTGATATTTTAGAGGTGGAGAAGATCTTAGACCACAAAAAGATGCGATCCGGCAAGTACAAGTATCTCGTTCAGTGGGTCGGTAATGAACTTGACTCCTGGGAGCCACAAGATAATCTTAGATTAGTCAATAAGAACAAGAGATCAACCTTAGAGAATGAGTACTGGAAGTCGATAAAAAATGAGTCGAACTAGCTTCGAAATAAGATTAATAGAGCAATCCTCTGTAAGCGTTGACTCATCTATATCTATCAATCTATTTTCCAAAAATAATGCTTAAAAATATATGACTTCATATATAGAATGTGTTGCAACTGCGTAGAGAATCAACGTGAGCTTGTACAGCTCCGAAGAAAGCTGTGGATAATTCAAGAGGTTAGTCGAATCAAAAATGAACTCAGAGATTTAGACCCAGTAGCCAATTTCCGGAAAACCGTGTGCAATCTACAGTACCGCGACCAGTTAGAAACGATATTTGGTGTGCCGTTTCATTGCATCAAGGATCGATACATCAATCTCCTCAATGAGCGAAACCGTATCTGTCATACGTATCAACCATTTAGGCATGACTCCGTTATGCCAAGCTATTGGTGAGTAGTATTTAATCGATGCTAATATTTTTTTATGACTACCATGATATAGTTAGACGATGTTTCCCAACTTTACATCCCTCGCTCAACGAGAGCAAAAGCGGCAGGAGCTACTCGAACGAGCTGAGCGCCGAGTTCGTCAAGCCAAGTCCAAGCGCCTTATGTACGAAGGTGCATCATGGGCTAGCGATATCGCGAATGGTATCACTACTGTTCCAAAGAAATCAACACAATCCGCTCAGTCTGATATTTCGGTTGGCCCTGACGAGGCTACGCCGGAAGAGTTAAAAAAAAGTCTGAATATTGAAAACTCCCAAAAAAACCCTGAGCCCTCAACAATGGTAGATGCTGAAGTTAATGCAACACCTGAAATGAACGATGCGTCGACTACTGCAAAGCCTCAGTCCGTTGATGCTTCCAGTACTGCTAAGCCCAAAACCAGTGATGGTTGGGTCCACGTGAGCCCCGATATGACTGATGTTGGAGTTGATAATAGTGCAAGAATGACAGATGCTGGTGTTGGCCCTGATAGTCCACTGCCGCAAAAGCCCGTCGAAGAAGATTTGTTCGACGAAGACAATGCTGAGATGAAAAATCAAACAAAGTCAAAGGAAGCGGTCGCTAAAATCTTCGAGGTTTACCCCATCCTTGCAGAACTAAATATTCACCCTATTGCTTCCAACGGCCGGCAGCTTACTAAGTATTATATTGGGATGGATGCTAAGGTGTACAGTATTAAACTGAAAAAATATGTACTAGTTCCGAGCATTGATTGGTCTGAGACGTATGACCATATTGGTGAGGTATTAATTAATGATGTCAGATTCCTCGCATACGTCAATGAGAAGGAGCGACGTAATGAGATGGGTAAAGAGGACAAAAATAGCCCATACCAGGATTGGCAAAATATCGGCTCAAAAAGAAAAAGAATCAATGCCTCAGAAGGAGATTATTCAAACCGCTCTAAGCAGAGACTTGACGACAGTTTTGTGTTCGATACTGGAACATCCACAAGATCCGATCAAATGGACAGCAAGCTCAAATTATTTTGGACAATTAGCAAAAATAGGGAAGTCCTTGAATCTAACGGATTGATAAAGAAGATTGTACCAATTCTTAATGGTTCCGCAAAATCTTCTCCTATTGACAAAGATGGCTATGTTTGGATCAATGGCAATAGCATTAGCGTTTACGGGAAAGATAGCGATCGTGTGAAGCAAGCAATCACTCAGAAAGAGAACTGGATAATGACATTCCAATCTTTCATTAATATGACTAAAGCCAGGGGCCTCGAGTTAGAACTAGTTGGTAGCAATGAAACCAAACACATAAATGATTTTACCCCAGCTAATGGTGAAGCTCAGCATGGGTTAATGAGTGGTATTGATGAAGACATGGACCCAAGCCTATCAAACGCTGATAACGACGCCAAGAATATCTTAACTGATTACTACAGCCAGTTGCACGCTAATAGTATTGATATTCCATTTCGGCTACAACCAATCGTGAAAATCAACGGTGTTGTTAAGTCCCATCCATCATACTACTTTGGGCAGCCATCGGGGTCTAGACCCCTAAATATTTTAAATCGTGAAAACAAAGCACACGAGCAGGTGAGTGGTGTAGCTTGGAAGGGGCTAATGAAGAATATCATGTGGATGGATACCTTTTCGTCCCTACTCAACGGGGTTGAGGACTTGGACCGCTATCTTAATGAGGTTGAATACCCCTTCCCATCGAGCGATGAAGAAGCAGCTAAGATACTTGAAGAAAAGGAGCTTGATAAGATAAGACGTAAAAACCTGGATGCTATTGAAATATTGAATGAGGCTATTCTAAAGTCTGTACACGATATTAGACAGCAAAGCGTTGAAGAGTATGAATACGATGACAGCTTGCAAAAGCTTCATGATGAGTCAGAAGCAGCTTTTCAGGCATACGGTGAGGCTCAGAAACGCTATGAAGAAGCAAAAGAGGCTGTTAGAGGGAATAACTCAAAAGCAGCGAGATCGGTGTTGAAGGCAGCTACATCAGCTATGAAGGCGACAAAATCGATATATCAAACGAAGGCTAAGCGATACGCCGAGGCAAGCGAGGTATCCGGTAGTGGCGTTAAACGAAAGCTTCAAGGTCGAGGATTGCGCGGTGCAGGTGTTGCCCCGCTGGAAGGTGTAGTTCGCCGAGGCCGTACCTACAATCTCAATGAGATCCAAGGATTAGCAACGCCGTCAGCCTACACATACAAGCAGATCGGAAGCAAGTATATTCGTATCCCCGACCTTGATGCTAAAAAGCTCGTGATCGTTCAGCCGAATCGGCGTAAAATGTGGTCCTAAGTGGGAAATCAGTGATAGCCTCCAAGCCATGATCAAGGCACTTGTCTATAAGAACCGTATCGATCAATCCGCTTACGATAAGCTCAGCGTTGAAGATAAGAAACTGTTCAAGGAGGTTCTATTGATTACTCATCTCCAATACAGCTTCCACGATAAGTTAGAGGATCCTCTAGATACGCTTAGGGCTGAATACGATAAGCTAAAAGGAGAGCTACAACTCGGAAATGACAACCCCAGTATCATCAAGCAGCTCAAGTCTCTCACGGTGGATATGTACAGCAATCGACTGATTGATGATAAAGAGTTCAAAGATATTATCACCCGTTTATTATAAAACCATGTTCTTCTTCAACTCGCGCACTATATCCAGTTCCGGAGGCAGCTATGGTGACAATAGCGACCTCAACGTCGCTGAGTTGAAAGCTATCATGAAGAACCTCATCATTCATGATCGTCCCCAGAAGACCCAAGCCGCTGTGTGGGCTACTGACCTACACAAGTCGACCAAGAAGGTGGAGGCATCTACCCAAACGGAAGGCGGCCGAGTCTGGGCTTACCAGCCAAAACAAAGTCAAAGTCTGTGAAGACATTTGCTCTATAGAGCAGAGCGGATATACTTAGATGTCTACGTCTGTTTTCTTCTCTCGATAGAGTCTGATTTTTTATCTCCGATATCGATAGCCATGACAGCATTCTTGCCACTATGCACGTTGTACATTGGGATATAAGCATTATTCCCTATCGAAACCACTCCAGCGTGCATCGTTATTGAACCGATGACTTGGCCAGTTTCAGGGTTAGTCAGGTTCTTTTTTATCGTTTTACTTGGTCCGCAGTCCATGATACTCTATTACAACGAAGTACTCAAGATCTGCTCTATATTTATCGGTGCGAAATTATCCCTGAGCCAATACCATATATAACCCTCTCGTGGAATTCGACAATTCGATCACATTGTAGTTGATCAGTATCAACGACATTAGCGTTAGTAGTCTGAGGGCAAGCGGTCTTCGCCACGAACTGGGTTTGACAGATACCATTCTATATTTACTCAGACATAATCGCTCTCAACTCATTGAGTTCAGCTTTGAGATTATTGATTTGGCCTTGCTGTTCTTGGATAGATTTACACAGTACCGAGGTTAAACTGGCGAGATCGATTCCCCATGGATTCACTGGAAATCCATCCGGATTAAGCTCATCGTTTGCTCCGATATCTACTGCTTCTGGTATGACCTTATACAGCTCCTGCGCGATATAGCCAACATGGACAGTCTGCTCTTGAACCATCCTGAATTTTCTAGGTCTCATTCTCATAAGGCTTGCCAAACCATAGGGACAGTCTACAATGTCCGCCTTCAACCTCTCATCGCTCGCATTGGTATAGCTTCCTCCACGCACCGGGACATAGGCTGTCCACGCGTAATTAGCATCGCATTTTCCCAACCTGATAGCTCCTACGGTTGAATCAGTACCAATCGCTGGATAGTCAGTCTGAGACCAATTGAATCGATACCTAGCAAATCCATCGCCGCCTCCCTTTACGTGCATGAAATTATTCGCCCATACCTCTCCGCCTGAGTGAATGGTTGCTTCTGGCGACCACGTACTCATACCAACTCCCAGTCTTCCTGAGCTGTTTAGATAAGCTTGAGTTGTGTTTCCAACCATGAACCTTAGCGGATCGCTCGTAGTGGTGCCTAGAGCTACACCACTACTTCCTCCCGCGACATCGTTGTATACCTGAATTTCAAATTCGATTGGAGTAGTAGCATCGTTGGCTATACGCATTGCGCGTTGCCAAGACCCGCTTAGTAAATTCGCGCTCGAAACTATATCTATTTTTGCAGTACTGGTAGCTGATCCAAAGCGAATGTATCCTACTTGAGTGATTCTCATACGTTCAGTCATTGGTGATAATGCATTAGCTCCTGACCGTGTACTGATTGCAAAATCAGCCATTAAATATTGAAGACTCGTAGCGGTTCTAGTACAATATAGATTAACGCTAGGGGTGTACGTTGTCATATCACTAGTACCTTCAATCGTGAACGATAATGCGGCCTGAGCGCCAACCGTATTGCTTTGATTACGAATCATGAGATTAAAATCAGAGGCACGCGTTGTTGATGTAAATGATGTCCGGGCCGCAATCTGACATTGGGTAGAAGTAGTGGATATCAGATTGGTTGACGTTAGAGATGAGATACCTGATGAGATGCTACTATTAGAGTAGCCTTTGATGCTTCTGCAGTTCCTGCTCCGGTGGTAAGATCTAGATAGTTCAGCTCAACGGTAGATGCTGTGCATCCAGCAAGCTTGTTCAGCTCCGCACCTGTAGCATTGAGAGTATCTCCCCTGAGTTGAAGCGTAGTAGGATTGATATTCAAGGTCGTTGCATTCATAGTTTGAGTACCTGACTTACTAATCGTATCACATGTGATCGTAGGCGATGATATTGAAGTCGAAGCTATAAAGTTTCGTGATATGGTTAGATCGCGAATGCCAGAGTAATCTTTCGTACTATTGAGAACCACAACGCTACTGGCTGAAGCGCCCCCTTCGATAACATTGAAAAAGTAAGCATGATTGAATTTATCCAAGAACTGACTCCATCCCAAAATTTAAGATTCGGAATGAATAAACCGGTTCCACCAGCGCTAAGAGTTAGATTGCTAAGCGTACCTAGACTAGTAATATTAGGCTGAGCAGCGGTTTGTAGCGTTCCTGTTATCGGCGTCGCTGTGAGCGAGCTCAGGGTTCCTAGGCTGGTAATGTTGGGCTGAGCAGCTGTTGTTAGCGTACCCGATACATTGCCCGAGCAATTTACAGCGGTTAGAGTACCTAACGATTTTATATTAGGCTGAGCAGCAGTCTGTAGCGTACCAGTAATGTTAGTTGCAGTTAGCGAACTAAGACCTGTAATGGATCGACTTGCACCAGTAAAGGTTAAACTGCCTCCGATAGTCAATCCAGTAAGCGTACCTAAGCTGGTGGTATTTGGTTGAGCAGCTGTCGCTAGCGTTCCATTGATGTTTCCACTCACGGTGAGCAACGAGAGTGTCCCTACACTAGTGACGTTGGTCTGAGCAGCAGTTGCCAATGTACCAGATATGTTTCCACTCACGGTGAGGGACGATAGCGTGCCTAAGCTAGTAATATTAGGCTGAGCCGCTGTCTGCAGTGTGCCAGTAATCGACGTTACCGTCAAACTACTAATAGTAGCAATTTCACCTGATGCACCAAGCACCAGAGCTTTGCTGATAGCGGCAGTACCTGGAGTAATATCAGCTACATACGTTGGTACGCCTGAAACGGAAGCACCATTAACAGTTAGGCTACTACAGCTTAGTGCTCCAAGACCGCTGATGTTCCCACCACTTCCAGGGACAAGCGCTACACCAGGTGATGCTACGCCTTGAGAGACACCGGTAATATACGTCAAGCGATAGTCATACTTGTTCAGATAAAGTGTCTGAGCATAGTCATACGTTAGAAACCAGCTGGCATCCAATTGGAGAAAGAATGCCGGATTATAAATCGGCGATGTGAATATCGGGCTAGGATAAGAAAAACCTGAACTCATCTTTGTTTGATCCTATATAGTTTAGACGATAATCATGAGCGGTATTCCAGATTTTGGAGATTCAATCCCTAAAAAATTCAAAAGCGCCTCTATGGGTGATATTCCAGCACTTGACATCAAAGCGCTGTTTAGAATGGTGGTTCTGGGGCCATCGTTCTCAGGGAAGAGCAACTTATGTATGTTCATCCTCAAGCATTCTCCTCACGTATTTGCTCATCTAACGATCATTGCTCGTAATCCTCACCAGGAGTTACATGAGTATCTTCGTGATAAGCTTGATGGCTTTATCACATTCGCCGACCCTGACTCGCCTCCGAGTGTTGACGGGTACGTCATTCACCAATTAATTCCAATAAGCCTGAGCTCGTCATCATCGATGACTACAGCAACGATAAGCTTCTTCAGAAGAATTTGTTCTCACATCACTTCACTAGAGGGCGCCACTTCAAGCTATCAACCATCTTCTTGAGCTACAGCTACTTCGCAACGGACAAGATGATCAGATTGAACTCAGAGTACGTAGCGATCCTGAAAGCTAATTCTAAGCGAGACCTCCAGATGGTTGTGAAAGATTTTAATATCAAGGGAGTAGATGAGCGTTCAATCGTCTATTATTACAACAAAGCCACGGAGCCAAAGGGCCAAATGCTCTTCATTGATTCGGTCAAGGGTCAGATCAGGTATAACTTCGATAGACCGAGTCGTATCGAGGACTAATTCCAATTTATCAAACAAAAATATGCCTACAAACATATAATCAATATGTCCAGCTTTATCAAACTCGACAGCACCAATCTGGTACAAGATGGAACCAATTCAACCTGGAAATACTCCTTTCCCGGATCGGCGGCTGACCTTCGCGATGTAGTATGTGCCATTCAATCGATTTCGATGTATAACAGCGAGTATAACATTGATTCAATGCAATTTCAGAACACAACGTTCAAAATCGAAGTACCTACCGCTGCAACTACATCCACAATCAGTGTATCCCTCCCTGATGGTATTTATTCGTATGACGATATCAACCGAAGCATTCAGACTGCTCTTGTCAATGCTGGGGCGTATCTAATCGATCCGTCGGGGAATAACGTATTCTATATCAAAATGAGTGCTAACAGTGTCTATTACGCTTGTCAGCTTGATTTCTCTCCTACGCCTACAACTCTACCAACTACCGGTGGAACATGGACCAGACCTACCTCCGGTTTATACTCCTCTGGTGGTACTGGATTGCCGACTACTACTCGCATTCCTCGACTGATCATCGATAATGCTGAATTCGGTAAAGTAGTTGGTCTCACAGCGGGTACATACCCCTCCACATCAGCTACTGTTGGAAGGGCTCAGCTATCGAACATCATTCCTCAGATTCACCCGACCAGTTCTTACATCGTTCGTTGCGATCTGATCAAAAACGAATACGTGGCTTCTGGTGATATTGTCAGCGCTTTTGATAGAGGTGATGCCGCTATTGGAAAGGTCATTTCATACAAACCGAGCCAGTATGCGTGGATGAACTGTCACAATGGCGCTCGAGCTAGTATTACACTCAGTATCTATAACCAAAATGATAAAAAAGTGATTTTCAGAGATACGTCGGTATCCATCATGCTTCTGACTCGTCCAAAAAAATAAGCCATCCAGAGTATTTTTTTAGGGCGGCTACAACGTAAACGAACCACCAGGCTTACGACGTGCCCTGAGCGCAGCCATCTTAGCCTTCATCTCTGGCGAACCCTTTGCTGGACGTTTCTTTGCTACGCCTACACCATAACGGCGACGAACCTCCTTTCGCACAGATCTGATTAGATCCTCATGTTCCGGCTTGGTAGCTTTTGATAGTAGGAACTTCTCTCCAGCATCGACCGCGTCGGTGATGACCCCCTTGCGCTTTGTGTATGCAAGAGCATTCTTTGCAGCCTTCTTTACGTCAGTCCTTGATACGCGACCTCCTTCCTTGTCGCTATCGGAATCATAAATACCAATGCCGGTTAGGGACTTGATTGCAGCTCTGGCTGGAACATCAGCCGTTGGCTGACCAGCATAAGTAGCTAAAGCAGGAACCGCCGCATCAACGGCTCTGGATAGTAGTCCCGAATCCTTAGCGAATTTGTATCCTTTTTTTATTGTATCCCAAACTTTACTGAATATACTTCCACCTTGAGCCTTCTTGTCCCCCTTTTTGATCTCATGCTTCGTAATGTCAAGTCTGACACCACGTCCAGCTTTACAAGCCTTGAGCGCCTTTTCAAACGAAGCAGGGTGGAGATGGATGACTGAACCACTACCCTTTAGTTCGCTTGAGGTGAGGCTGAGCTTACCAGTCTTGAAAGCTTTGGTGAGCTTCCGCGCAGGAATATCACTGGAGATTTTTAATTCACGATACATGATTGCTATATACATTGAATTAAATAACGCATACTATTCTGATAAATATTATAGTAGATATATAATAATAGTACATTTGTATCATGATCGGTCATATCTATCGTATTATCCATTTGGAAAGCGACGTTCAATGCGTCGGCTCGACGTTTAATGAGCCGCGTATGAGATGGCAAAAACATAAGCAGCACTATCATGAATGGGTCAGCGATAAGCGTGGTAAATGTGAGATCTACCCTTACTTTCAAGAGCATGGAATCAATAAGTTCAAACTCATTCCTATCAAAACTTATGATGTTGTTGATCGTAAGCACCTAGAAGCATACGAATCACTGTGGATTTCAAAACTGGCTTGCGTAAATAAAGTGAACCCATTTCAAATAAAAAACTATACAAAAAGCAGCACTGTGAAGCGAACAAAGCATCTATGACCGCAAGATTAAATACCAAACATCAATGTGAATGTGGGGGTAGATATACCCATGTGAATAGGCTGAAGCACTGTCGAACACTAAACATCAGGCTTGGCTAGAGAACAACAATATTTTAAGTCTTTAAATCGATCTAGCAGATCCATTCTTTTTTTTGCTTGCAATATAGCCAAAGTAAGCTCCATATTCCACAGTAATCATCGTACGTCCCCTGGTATTGCTTGGTATTGTATCGTTGGATCCCATACCGCGTCGGAGCCCCCTCTGCCATACTATCAAAGTATTCACCATTATGAACCGCCGTCCAGTGTCCTACCTCAAGATTAGGAGGGCGAAGTAGAACCAGAAATGACCCTTTCTTGGGAGAGGGGACTTTATATCATTTGATTCGAATATATTATCGAGTTGAACGTTCATTTTCTCAGCGAGTTCGATGAGATCATGATCTGAGGTGATTGGTTTGATGAGGTGCGACATAATATTTAATTTTATCAAACTATATTAGGATCCATATAGATTCAACGATGAGCGAAACTCAACTATCCGATCAGTACTTGTACCAGAGCTCGCTTAAGAGCGACCCGGAGATCAAGGTATCATCGAGCAAGCGTGTACCGCACGTTATTGACCTAAATCAGGGTTCGTACCAGAATGGTGTCATCGCTATCGATACTACGGCTCAGCTTAACGGTTCCGAGGGCTTCGCAAGCCGCCGTGATGCCTACATTATGCTTCCCTACAAGGTCTCAATGAAGAATGGTGGCACTGCTCAAACTGCCACTGCCAATCGTCTATGTGCTACTCTAAAATTCGGAAATTGGAACGTTATTCATAGTCTGAGTCTGGAACTCAACGGACAGACTATCGTCTCTATGGCTGACTACAAGCTCTTTTGGAACAACGTTCGTGCTCAGACTGGCTACAGCCCTCAGTACGTTGAAAAGCATGGAGCTGAATCGTTCTTGTACCCTGACGCTGCTCAGTCGGTATCATACAGTTCTGGATCCGCATCTACCAGTGGTGATGGATATTCAAACATCATGGCATTCTCGTCTTCCTTTGCTGTCTCGGCTCCTCCTGGTGGTGCAACTATTCCTAATGATGGTTTCGTTAAGCGCCTTCTATCGAATCCTCCTACGGCTGGCGCTGACTTCTCCAGCTCGTGGCCGTCGGTAGGTGGTGCTGCTGCATCGACTACCATTTCTAACCAGACCTCGCGTGGAGCTTTCGTAGCTGGTGGTACTGCTGCCAATGCTATTATGGGTACTTGGAACTACATGCTTAAGATTAAGCTTAGCGAATTGCACCCGAGTTTTCGCGAACTAGACCTCATGGCGAACCCTCAAATTCGCCTGCGTTTCCGCGTTAATCAGGGAACGTCTGTGATTGCCGTGGACGCCACTAATGGTATGTCCCTCACTTCAACTGCTCTATCCAGCGGTAATAGCTGTCCTGTCATGGTTGCCGCTTCTGCTACTGGTAATCCCATGAGTGGTGTGCTTGCTGCATCCGCTGGCTTTAGTGTTGCTTGGGGAGCGGTTGTAAATGCTCTTGAACCTACCATTGATGGAACATACATGCCGTTTACTACTGCTCGTTTGTATGTTCCTTTCATCCATCTTGAGAACCCTCAAGCTATTATCTCTAAGCCGGTTAAGATGGTTCGCTACAATGATTGCTACGCACAGTGGTTTTACCAGCGTGCTGGTATTGGTAAGTCCTCGACTCAACTAAATACTTCTTTCGATCTACAGCTATCGGCAAGTGTTAAAAACGCGAAATATGTTGTGCTTTTACCATTCGCGGAACAGACAAACAACTTTGCTTCTGCTACTGTTCAGCAGTTCCAGAGCCCCTTCGATAGCGCTCCATACACTCTACAGCCCGGGTCGTCGATTCGCAACTTTAACGTTCGTATTGGCTCGACTCAGGTGTTCGATATCAGTCATGACTATGATTTCCACCACTTTACCAACGAAATTGCTAAGATTTCAGCGATTAACGGAGATCTAACCCCTGAGCTCGTAAATGGTCTACTTGACTATCAGACGTGGTCGCTCACAAACCGCATGCTTATTGCCGATGTCAGTCGCCTGACTGAGCGCGATGTACCTCAGGCTATTCAGATCCAAGGTACGAACGCCGGATGCCAAGGTGTGAATATGCTGATCCTCGTAATTAGCGAACAGGAACTAACGTTCGATAGACTAACCGGAGAGGTTCTAGACTTCACTACAGCGTAAGTAAAAAAAAAGATATTTTTTAGGTCAGTTCCTTGAGTAGCTTTGGACACTTGTCAATCACGAATTGACTTTTTCTTAGCCAATCGAGATAGCCTGGATCCAATTTACTGATCTGCTGTAAAGATTTGCCTCGATACTTACCCCACGTCATCATATAGGAGTTATCGTTATTTAGGAATCTTGAGTGAAGAAAGATTTTCATTTCCTCGCTAATGTTGAGACTGGGTTGGTTGTGAATCCAACGACAGTATCCAGGATCATTCTTGAATACATCCTCAATGGATTGACCTTTGTATTTTCCGAAATATAGTTCGATCGTCATGTTCTATGTGTGGGTATCTATATACATAGCCTCTTAATTTTTTTGAGAAAAATATTAATTCTGAAAATGACGTCGTAATGTGCCAGTAATTATTGGGAGTTTCATCTTACCCTCGCATGTGCGATCCTGCCGCGCTGGCTAACGGACACCTTCTCGAGCTCTGAGGTGGTTGAGAGGTCGTGTAGGTAAAACGGACGACTATCCACAAAGATCGTTCTAGCACCGTTCTCGGAGGTAAATTACGGTAAGAAATTATGAAAATAAAAAACTGCCGGCGTAATGTGTACTACGAGAGGCTGCCGAACGAGCGAGTGCAGCGCCTACTTCCTACGTCTCCTCTCCTCTTCAACTCAGGCTCTCCTCGGGCGTGTAGTGGTCCTCGAGGAAGCGCGAGAGCGCCTGCAACTGCTCGGACACGATCTTGACCTTATCGCGGCAGATCTCCACGTCCTTCTCGGCGCCGTAGGTGCTGCGCGTAAAGGTGCGGTAGTCCGAGACCAGGTGGATGTGGTTGGCCAGCTCCGTGTGGATCTCCTTGACCAGCTGCAGGAACTCGGTGCAGGCCGCGTTGAAGGCTAGCGACGAGCTCTCTTCCGAGGACACGCGCGGCGCCATGAGCGACATGGCGGTGGCCGCCGTGCGCACCGCCGTTACCAGTTTCTGAGCCGAGTCAGCACAGGAGGTCAGTCGTGTTGTCTGGGCGGGAGGCTTTACGGGCGCCAAAACTTCAGGGCGGTAAGCACACACACACAGAGACACACACCTTTTCGACCACGTTCAGCGCCTGCAGCACCGCCACGTGCCGCGTGCTGGACCACGGGTCGCTCACCTCGGAGAAGTGCACGCGGCTGTCTCCTTCGCCCTCCATGCTGCGCTGCTGTCGGCGACAATAGTGCGATTCGCTTTGGCAGGAGTAGTTTATCACACAAAAAATGCGCATCTAGCTGGAAACGCTCTATTGCTGGTACACTGTACCACATCGCACTTACCTGAGATCGACTAAGCGATTGGAGCCCTCCTCTACAGGCGGCATCTTCTGGTGCAAACTCCATCAGATGCATTCGCGCGTTCCAGTCGCCACAACGGCCTCGAGCCGCTGTCTGAGATTGCCACCTGCGCAGCAAAGGCTCAACCACTTGGTCGCGTCGCTCGTGGCACCGAAAGCCTCGGTGCACCGCGCGACCAAGCCGTCCTCGCTCGCTCCTTACTCGAACTGGCAGTGTTAACGCGTACATGTAGCTGACATGGGTGGCGAAGCTCGCCACACCCGAGATGTGGTGATCCAGAGCAACACACGCGGACTTGCGGAGCAACTTGCCTGAGGTCGGCGTCGTTTCGCTCGTCTATCGTCCACCCTGCAGAGACGGGCAGCCCTAGTCGTCTTTCTCTGCATACAAACTTCAAGTCAAGATCGCCACCTAAATAGTGCGCGCAGCGTCACACTCGGGTGACACCCAGCAGTGACAGACAGCATTTTGCAATCAACCAGGCAGGCAGGCAGATAGACAGACAGAGATGGCGTCGGCAGCGGAGCTCATGGCCGAGAACGAGCGCATGGCGCGCGAGATCCACGCGCTGCTCAGCGCCAACACGACGCTGCAGAAGGAGATGCTGGCGCTCAACTCGGAGCGCGACGACCTCGAGGCCTCGGGCAGCAAGAAGGTGCAGTCGCTGGCGCAGGAGCTCGAGTCCGTGGGCAAGGAGCTGGCCTCGCTGCGCTCGCAGTGCCAGTCCATGACCGAGATCCTTGAGCGCGCGGACGCCGAGAACGACGTGGACGACGAGCCCGTGCCCGTACCGGTGAGCCGCAGACTCTCCACCGCCTTCAACCAGACTGTGCAGCGCGCGAGGGGCATGTCCATGCCTCGGCAGCGCCGCTCGTCCACCGTGGACATGGTCGCGCACGGGCTCACCAAGGCCGCCAGCTACATGGGCAGCAGGCACAGCCCCGAGGACCATCGCCGACCCACAATGAGCAAGGACAGCCCGCCCATTTTGTCCAACTCCAAGCGCACGACGGACACCACCAAGAGCCTCTTGTTCTCCACACACTCGCACTACGGCAACTTCCGACGACACAGCGGCTTCCGCAAGACTCGCGAGCCAGCAAGCGACCCGGTTGTCGTGCTCTAGCAAGGCACCACCCACGTCAGCATGCTTCGACAACGGCAAGCTCCTGTATTTCACTATTTAACACCAAGAACCCCCGCACAACCGCTGTGGAACACCACACGTCGAGACCACCACAACCCGGACTTCGCTCCCCCTACGGTAGAGCAAAAGCTTCAGGGAAACAATTGTTAGTCGAGTTTAGTCAACTTCATGTGCTGTACATTCGAGTCTACATGCACGTGGATATGTTTATTAGCATGAAAACTAGCACTACTTGAGGGAAAACACTCCCTGGCGCATCTTCGTCTACTTACAGCGCGTTAGCCGACTTCTGGCGCGCCAGCTTCTGCGCCTTGAGCGAGGCCAGCGTGGGGCGCTCGAACTGGGACTTGCCGAGCTTACGGTTCACGTAGTACACGCGGCCTGTAGAGCGCGACACCTTGGCCTCCCAGCCGACGGGGAGAGAGACCTCCGGCAGCGCGTCCAGGTTGAACGACTCGCGCACGGGGCGGTCCGCCGGCTTAGCCGCCGGCTTCACCTTTGCAGACTTCGAGGTCACGACGGTCGTCGATGCGCCGTTCTCGGACGAGGTCGTCGTCGTCGCCTCCTCAGGCTTGCTGTTCGTGCGCTTGCTCCGAGAATCGTACATGCCCTTCACGACCGACATGCGTCCCTTCAGAGTCGACATGGCGCCCGTGACACCCACCTCCATGCTCTTCACGATCGTGTTGCGCGTGGTGCTGCTGTTCGTGGGGCTATCCTCACCGTCAACCTCCGACACGTCGAAGCCATCGCCGTTGTCGCCCTTCTTATTCGAGTTCCAGAAGCGCGAGCCCACGCTCATGCTCGGCATGCGCGGGAAGTGGCGCTCAGACATCCGCGCCTCCGAAGAACGGCGGTTGAGGTCGTCCGAGCCCGTGAGCGAGTCCATCAGCACGGTCTCGCGCGGCTTCTTCTCCTTTTTGGAGCCAAGAGTGCGGAAGATCGACTTCTTCGGGATCGACTTCTTGTCGGGCACGACACCCTCAGCGTGAAGCTTGGCGATCTGCTCCGTCAGCTTCTTGTTTTCGGCCTCGAGCTGCGATATCTTCTTTTCCTTGTCACGCACGGTGTCCTGCAGCTGGCGGACCTTGACGTGGTTGCCAGCAGACGAGAACTCCTTGTCGCTCTTGAACTTCTCGATCTCCGCCTTCAAGCCCTTCATCGTAACCTTCATCTCCTCGTTCTTCTCGCGCAGCTTCTTGTTCTCACCCGTCAGGGTCTCGATCATGCCACCAGCGTCAGCCATAACCTCGCTCGAGGCAGCGGATGTGTCGGCCGTCACTACACTACTACGACGCTGCAGCTGCGCATTCCGCTCCTGTTCCTCTTGCAAAGCTGCCTTGAGCTTCTGCAGCTGATAAGCCATGTCAGCCTCACGGCGTTTCTCCTCGAGGGCGGCCAGGTACTTGGGCCGCTGAATCGTCATACGAACCACGGCCTGCACACGGATAACCATCGCGCGCATCTTAACGTAGCGGTGACGCTTGACGAAACCACGCACATACCGCTGGATGATGACAGCGTTGTGGTTGCTCTTGACATCGGCCGCCACCTTGCGGCCCTGAATGCCTCGCCAGTGAGCTTGAGCCTTCACAAGGCCGTTCATGAACGTGTTGTATCTCCGCATGGCGATCACGCACCGGATCACTGACTGCAACTTGATGATCGCTTCCAGTTGTCGGAGGTACTTGATACGCTGTGTGAAACCAAGCATGATGTTCTGCAGGTACGTGGCCTTGGCATCCAAGAACTTCTTGCGACGGTCCTCAAGCTCTTCAAGGACACCAAGCTGGAAGTATACACGAGTCTTACCCATCTGGTACTGCACGGGCGTCTCAAGCTTCAGCTTGTCCATGAGCAGCTGGCACTTTTCCGCCGCAGTCTCACCGCCACTTGGCACGAACAACCAGAACTTGTCCAGGATTTCAGTGTGCTGCAATCGGTTCGGGTACGCAGCGCGCGAGATACGAATGGCTTCAATGACACCAGCGCAACGCAACTGGGACACCACCATGTTCTGGTCCATGACCGTCGCACTCTTGATCGGGTTCGGCTTAATGCAACGCACATAGTGCACACGCGTCGAGTTGATCGTAGCCATCAGTTCCGTCAGACTCTCCTTGAACTGGGTGCCGACAGTCGTGATGGACAGAGCACCTCCACGCTTCCGGCGTCCTCCAGCCGCCTCAGTAGCAGCTTCCTTAGGCGCGGGCTTCGGTTCGAAGAGCTTGGCAATAAACGGCTTCGACGAACCACGCATGAGCTCGGAGAGATCGGGAAGCAGCGAGTCCTTGTGCTTCTCCAGGAAACCCACCGAATCGTACATGACCGGAGCGGCGTAGTGCTTGATGAGGAACTCGGTGCGCGACGTGCGAGGGAACTCAATGACGTGCGCCATGTCATCCTTGTGCAGGGAAGTAACCTTGGACATGAAGGACTCCTCGTTTCCCTTCGGACGCATCACTTCTTCGTTCAGCAGCGAAATGATACCCATGCGCGACTCGATCACGGTCAGCACATCCTGGTTATCCGCGTACTCGATGTGGTCCCAAACAATGCCTTCCTCCTCGTACTCGATCTGCACGGTCTTGAACACGTCCTGGGTGAACTTCTGCTGAAGCTTCTCGTTGGCGTAGTTAATGCAGAACTGCTCGAACGAGTTGTGCTTGAAGTGCTCGAAACCGAAGATATCAAGCACACCCACGTGGTTGGCCATGTTCGCGTCGTCCGCGAGCGACTGGTTAATCGTGGCCACGAGCCAGTCGAACACATTGGAGTAGATAGCCTTGGCAAGAGCGTCACGGCAGTCCATGGCCAGCTCCTTCTTAAGAGGCACGCTGTAGACATCGTTCACAGCGCGCATGGTACGCGAACACAGAGCCGTCTGAAGGGCCTCCCAGGTAACGCCAAGCATCTGAGTAGCAGAGTTAGCGCCAGTGTCGCCTTCAACGATCAGAGACTTCTCATCGTCAGACGGGTCGGACTGTAACTGCACCTCACCAAGGTGCAGCACACCAGCCAGCACCTCAAACAGCGGCCGCTGGTCATCGGGCGACAGGCCGACGAGCCCCAGCGCCTCGCGCGTCTTGTTGAAGTGTTTGGCGTCCGAGAGTCCCTCGATCTTCTGCGCCGTGTTGTCGCCCGTGTACACGTAGTGCTTGCCCGCCTCCAACTGCAGCTCGGGGGCAATGTCCGAGTCCAGCAGCTGGTAGAAGATGTGGTAGTTGCGCTCGGGCGCTTCGTGCTGGATGACACGCGTCTTCTCGAGCAGGTACGTGCGGCACTTGGCGCCGACGAGCGTGCCGTTCTTGTCGAACTGCAGCTGTGTGAACTTGCCGAATCGACTCGAGTTGTCGTTGCGCACCGTCTTGGCGTTACCGAAGGACTCGAGCAGCGGGTTGACCTCGATAATCCTCTTGATGGTCGAGTTGTTGAGACCGCCGGCGATGGTGGCCAGGTGGTTCATGAGGATCTTGGTGGTCTCCGTCTTACCGGCGCCGGACTCTCCGCTGACCAGGATGGACTGGTTGCGCTCCGAGCGACGCATGTTGTCGTAGGCCGCCACGGAGGTGGCGTACACGTGCGGGGGCAGCTCCTCCTTGGGCTGGTTGAGGTAGCGCAGGTGCTGCTCCTCCGCGTAGAGGTCCGGGAGCCACTTGTACGGGTTCACGGCGATACAGATGTCGCCCGTGTACGTGTAGGGCAGCTCGCAGAGGAAGCGCTTCTTGACGTTGTACAGGATGGCGGCCTCGTGCAGGTAGTTGAGCGTGATCATGTCCTCGATGCCCTCGGGCCCGACGTTCTCGTTCTGGTAGGGCAGCGACTCGAGCTGGTGCACGGCCAGCAGCGCCTTGGTCTTCTTGGACAGCATGTCCACGCATCGCTCCTCGGTCTCGCCGTCGGGCAGCTCCACCTTGCAGTAGATGTTGCGCGTCTTGCCGTCGCCCGAGTTCTCGTCGCGCAGCACCTCGGCCGCGAGCCACACGTGCGTCTCGTCCGGCACGAAGCACTTGGCGCCCACCACCATCTGCAGGTCGCTCATGGCTGCTGGCGTCTCCAAATCAGGCAGCGCTCGCTCAAAGGCGGAGGTGCGCGGCTTGGGCGAAGGAAAGCGGAATGCCACGCAAGGGGGGCTCTCGCCGGCCAGGATACCGCGTGCCAAACCGGTAAGTGGAGCCATTTTCTCATGCGGCAACTCATTTCACATGGACTTTGTATGGACTTCGAGTTGACAACCCTGATCCGGCAACCACATAGCCCGGACAAAGCGCAGCTGGGCGCGAACAAAACCCCTGCGGCAACACCGGCTGGGATCGCCCGACGGCGCGCGAGGATCTGTGCGCCCCCCGTAAAGGCTCACGGCCGTCGCATGCGCAGTAACCGTCTTGGGCGGGCCCCATCGGAGCGGCCTACATGTTCATGCAAGACGTGTATGTGCTTTTGGTGGCGGCATTCTGTTTGCTATACCATGGCTTCATCGAGTCGAGGCAACACGCCAGCGCTGACGTTAGAGACTTTTTATGAACGGAAATGATTTTTATGTGAAACACTTAAAATACCGATAAGCTTCATCTTTGTCCAACGAATACCGGTTTCGCCTCGCTCCGATCAAGTGTAGCGGGCAGTCCGTAAAGCAACTTTGTTACGACACAACGACACCGGTTACAGCACCTTTAAAGAGGCTTCCGCAACCTTAAAAACGGCTCGGCAACCCTAAAATAAAATTACAGGCTTCAGCAACCGGAAATTTATCGAGGAGAAAATGGCAATAGAGGCGCAAATTTTGAAATCGAAATTTGACGATCATACGGGCTGGTGACTGCTCAAAGCGCGCTAAGAAGAAGGAGCTGCACCGCATCAAGCGAGACTATCACCACCACGACGCTATCCGCCGTGGTTCAGCAGCCCGCCAGGTTCTACGGGTACTGCGTGCAACACGAAGTAGTCTTAGTTAAAAGCACCGCAAGTTCTGTGTCAGAAGGAGAGAGATGCAGGCGAAGCTCGGCGTAAAATACTCGGAACTCAAGCATCACATTTACCTGGTGCAAGCATGCCACTTGTTGGCGCTGCGTTGGATCAAAAGTGCGAAGCCAATCGGCCTGGAGCATGAGGCCATGGGCCAACAGAATTCATGTTCATCACGCCAAGACATCGATTATATACAAGTGCAGCCTACACCTACCAAGACCACCGTCTCATAGCACTGGTTTCTCCGGCTAAATGGTAGTTGCTAAGGACTTCCCGGTCCAATCCGTCAACCATACAGTAATAGCCAACATAGCTGTTCAAGCCACATATAACGCCCTACGCGGCTTAGCTTTCGCTTCTTCCCATCTAGGTTTGGCTGTGATCTCGATTTGCCGGACCGCAACCGTGATCTTCATGTCTGCTCGAACGCGCACAGGCATTACACGTTGGAGTACGAACGCAAGCACCTTACACCTTTCTCCGCACAGTGCAACGTACCATAAGATGCCTCCAGGCGCGCTTCGTTGCCACAGTCTTCGCCGCAGCCCTCCACGCACATTCTTTGGCGTGGGCATCCACGTACAGCCCTCGCAGCGTCTTAGTCGCTGGCTGTCGTCCATTTCCGTCCAGTGCTTGGCCGTTGGACGTAGCTACTCACTGTCCAGAGGCACAGGTTAGATGTACTCGCACCCCCAAGCCATGGCAAACACACTTACTTACACGTCATCGAGCAGGGGTAACATGGCGCTTGCTGCTACTTCTTCGGCTTGCCTTCCACGTTGGATCTTTCGAAATGAAGCATATTTCGCACGAGCGTCCGGCCGCGTTGGACAACCTTGACAATTTTACAGTACGAATATCTTACCCCAAGTAGAAATTTTGCGGTAAGCTACTCAGTAGAGGAAATGTATCGTAAATTGCAAGGTTGCTCAAGCAACTTTAACAAAAATATAAGGTTGCTCGAGCAATCTTCTGGGATTTTTATGTTCCTATTAAGGTTGCGTTAATCACTTCGAGGGTAGCGAGCAGCGTGGCGGGTCCGAGTCCTTTCCGCTTTCGCCTCGCTCCGATCAAGCCAGTGCTGGAAGTTCGCTTATAAGTATTAATCATGGGTAAAAGTCCAATGTCTGCCCGACACCATCAGTAATGGTGTCGGGCAGACATTAAACTTTTAGTAAATACAGGGCTTGTATTCGGTAAAACCCATAAATAATAGTGTCGGATGTTTGGGAGTATTCGTCCTGGACGAAGGACGGTCGAATCGTCCGTCCTTCGTATTCATTGGTGAAGTTGCAGACGTTTTGTTATTTTTGCGGCCATTTTCGGAAAGTTAAGTTCGTCGCTCGGCCCATTTTCATTTCAAGGTTGAGGTTAGATTGAGTTCATTTATCCTAACTAAGATAACGACCGACGCATCCACCGTCAACACCGAGCTCATATCTCCCGATGCCCCGCCGAATAGTTGAAACGGTCTACTCGACTTCCGTCGATTTGGTACCGCGGACAGCGAACGCGGTCCCGCTGCTCCTTCAGCAGCGCCTGCCCTCCGAAGCTTGAGTTCTCCACTGCATTTTCCTGGGCCGACTTGCGTTCCTTCTTCCCAATGTGTTGCAGGCCACCAGCGAGCGCCCCAGCAGCGCTTTATGTGGCGACGTGTCATCACCTTCCCCGAGTCAGCCGTATCTGGGTCTCTGCCACTGCGATTTTCTTCGCCCCACCGCGCCATGAGTGCACCATGAGAGGACAACCCCGTCGCAGCCAGCTCCACGTAGCGCAGGTCACGTTGACTGACAGCGTGCTGTGGAGGGTGTGCGCACGTTGGAGTGCCGCACACCCGACGATCTGGTGACCTGCCAGTATCGCACGCAACCTTTGTAGGCTATGACTACCAGGAGGGCCCACGGCGTCACCCGTGGCCTGGTTTGTAATGGGAAACGGCGCGATGGGCTACATGTAGACCACCGTGGACCCCCCACAGGCCCCGCCGTCCGGCTGACGGTCAAAAGACCGCCGCAATACGCCGCTGCACGCAGCGACGCAGACATTCACAGCCGGTCCACGGTGTCATTCGTGAGCTGCCCGCTCGGCCCACGCATTGTCGATGTCATACCGTGGCCCAAAGCATAGCACACCATCGGTCTTCCCACTCTTCGGGGCAGTACATACAGTCACAGTCTCCGGAGTTCCCGTCACCGCCGCACACTTTTGTTTCTAAGTTAGTAGCAGGTACTTCAATTATTGTGTTTTGCTCCCATTCTGTCTAAACGAAGGCGTAGATGGTTGTTTTGTATTTTAACTTCATCGTAACTCGTTGTTTTACCATAACTCAAAGACCCTCGCTTCGATGGTATTCGATGTCACTCTGTAGCAGGCTGGCGCTTAGGCTTTGATTATCGTTGGAATGACGCCTTTGCTACCGCCAATAATCATTTAGTAAGCGACTTGCCCTACGATGCACGAGCGAAAGCTCGATTCTTAAATCGCTTAAAAGCTTGATTTACACGGAAAATCCATGATTTCCATGATTTCCCATGATTTCCATGATTTCTCATGATTTCCATGATTTCCCATGATTTCCATGATTTCCCATGATTTCCATGATTTCCCGTGTAAATCAAGCTTTTAAGCGATTTAAGAATCGAGCTTTCGCTCGTGCATCGTAGGGCAAGTCGCTTACTAAATGATTATTCTAAGATTTGACGTTGAATTAGCGAGCCTAATCGCCGGCAGAATGGATGGAGAGCACAATACGCGCCATGACACTTAAGCACGGATAAGATCTCACTTCTATACATGTACTGGTAGATCCGTCGGCATATTTAGGTTCGGTTTCAACGAGGGATACATTTCGTTTGGCGGGCATGGTATAAGCCTACTCATCCGCTTCGTCGACCAGGACTATTATAGCGTCGCTTTTGGTCTCTTCATCTTCCTCCTCCTCTTTCTACACAGCTAGAGACTTCACTGGCTTCGTATCTTCCGCGCAAACGCATCGAGAAGAACGAACTTTGGGATTAACGGTGAGATTCTGGATCGTGAATTACTCAGTACATGTATGCAAGTTGCAATCCAACTTGCTGCTGCAGAAGGTATTACATCTACATGTGAGCTTAACTTGCCGGTGTTTATCAACATAAACCGATAATGTGCAATACAATACAAGTACGACCTCAACACAGCTGAGAGAATCCTCAGATTACTCACTGAGTAACACTCGATGATCCTGCTCACTGAGTAGGAGCAATCAAGAGTGATTGTAAAGGGCGCAATCAAAAGCAATCACATCAACGTACGCCGCCCACTTCCGAAAATGGCGTCCATGTTGCTCCGCCGTCCGATGCTCGTGCGTAGGGCGCAGCGCTCTCTGCCCAGCGCCCTTGTTTCCCGTAGCTTCAGTGACGCCGCTTCTTCCGATGCGCCGCAGCGTCGCGTGTGCGTGGTGGGCTCGGGCCCCGCGGGCTTCTACGCGACCAAGTACCTGCTCAAGGAGCACGGCGGCGCGCGCGTGGACATGTTGGAGGCGCTGCCCACGCCCTTCGGCCTCGTGCGCTCGGGCGTGGCGCCCGACCACCCGGAGGTGAAGAGCGTCATGAACGACTTCGACAAGGTGGCGGCCGACGCGCGCTTCCGCTTCCTGGGCAACGTGCGCGTGGGCGAGGACGTGACGCTGGCCGAGCTGCAGCGCCACTACCACGCCGTGGTGCTGGCCTACGGAGCCGCGGGAGACCGCGAGCTGGGCGTGCCCGGCGAGCAGCTGCGTGGCGTCATGTCGGCGCGCAGCTTCGTCAACTGGTACAACGGCCACCCGGCCTTCCGCGACCTGGAGCTGGACCTGCAGCAGGCCGACACGGCCGTCGTCATCGGCCAGGGCAACGTGGCCGTGGACTGCGCGCGCATCCTGACCAAGAACGTGGACGAGCTGGCGACGACCGACATCGCCGCGCACGCCGTGGAGGTGCTGCGCAACAGCGGCGTCAAGAAAGTGTTCCTGGTGGGGCGACGCGGCAGCGCGCAGGCAGCCTTTACCATGAAGGAAATCCGCGAGCTGACCAAGCTGGACGGGGTCGCGTGCGTCGTGGACCCGGAGGACATGAAGCGCAGCTTGACGCCCGCGTCCGAGCAGGAGATCAAGGAGCAGCGCGCGCGGAAGCGCATGAACGACCTGCTGGTCAAGGCCGCGGAGCAGTTCGGGAGCGTCGCCGACGCCAAGCGCGTCGTGCAGATCAAGTTTTTGAGCTCGCCCGCCGAGATCCTGCCGGATGCGAACGATCCGACACGAGTGGGCGCCATTCGTGTGGAGAAGACCAAGCTGGAGGGCGAGCCCAACCAGCAGCGCGCTGTGGGGACGGGCGAGTTCGAGGACATCCCGTGTGACCTCGTGCTGCGCAGTATCGGATACAAGTCGCTGCCCATTGAGGCAGATGCGCCTTTCGACAACCGACGCCACGTGGTCTGCAACGAGCAAGGGCGAGTTGTCACGACCTCGGACAGCGGAGAGAAGCAGCCCGTGGTGGGCTTGTACTGCACCGGATGGGTGAAGCGCGGCCCCTCTGGTATTATCGGCACCAACATCGTGGACGCACGGGAAACCGTTAGCTGCATCGTGGAGGACTTTGCGGCAGGCAACTTCCTTCACAGCGAGGCAGGCATTGACGAGGAAGTGGGTGGAATGGATGCTGTGGAGAAACTCATTAAGACGCGTAACCCGGACAAGCAGCTCGTCAGGTGGACTGACTATGAGCGTCTCAATGCTGAGGAGAACCGCCGCGGTGAACTCGTGGGCAAGCCTCGTGAAAAGATCACGTCCGTTGCGGAAATGCTGGCCGTTGCGAAGAGTGCCAACTGATGATGTTCATCACAATAGAACAGCACGACAGTTTGGGGATATCACACTTATCGATAACAAAATACCGTGATGTCTTAGCTTCTAGCGCCATTGCGCTCATTTTGGCGGGTAAGCGCAGCATTGGCAGCTTTCAGCGCGCGATTCTTCTTGCGCTGCAAGAGTATCACAAACGAAAAACGTACGCGTAAGATTAACCTGATTCATGCGCGTCCGCATCGATGGAGTTACCTATGACGCACCTCTTCTTCCAACAGCCTCCTCAGGCGTCGACACTCCACTGAGTCACCACTTTTGTCCTCGTCGTGACTCGCCACGGATGGAGGTCGAACCACATTACTTCTGCTCTCCGGCCGGCCGTCGAAAACAATTTGCTCGCTATCGTCGACAGCGAATGGGTCAATGAGAGGCTGGTTCACCCGATCTCGAAGAGCTGCTGCGTATGTTGGTTTCGTTCTTCGCACTGGGGCCGAGAGCGGACGCGCTGGTTTAATCCGGTCCATTACCGACGGAATTGCGACAGCAGAGCGTGGGTGCTGCAAAGGAAGCCGAGCTGCTGCTGTCGCCATCTATTGACATCAACACTTAGTTTTTCTGCGATGCACAATGACATCTATTCGGCTCGTACAATGGCCTTGACGTGCCGGAGCTTGGTAGGGTCCGCCAGAATATTTTTTGGCAGTGAAAAGGTTCTGGGGCAGAAAGAAAATACAAGGTTAGTTGCTCTGCGTTCATGAAGGAGAAAAACATTTCCTTGTACCTTTGGCTTGTATCAACAGCGCTAACTAGCCGCCCAACGTACGTGTACAACTCCAAGCAGTCCTCACGAATGTTCTTAGCACGGACAGTGTTAGTATGGCGGAACCAGCACCAATACTACATTTCACTCACATCCATTGTCTCCGTCGCGGTCTGCTGCATTTGCTGAAGCTTTGCGTTTGTTTCGTTGAGCTCTTCCGTCTTGCTTTTCAGAGACTGTTCATACTATTCGAGTGTAGTACATTTAGTAAAGAGCCCGCAGGGGCTACATGATAGCTAGTGTTCCACTCACCTGCTGTCGGATAAGGGCGATTTCATTCTCTTTTGCCTTTTGCAAGGATGCCACCCGCAGACGAAGTCTCTGCAGAGGATCGAACACCGAGCGTAAGTGACATGCTAAGCATTGCATGAAGCAGCTCGCGCATCACCAACCTGTTCGAATTGCTTTTCACGATCCTTTGAGGTCCCGGAAGCGTCTACTGGGTTGATGGTTGAGGTCGAATACTGCTGGAGAGGGTTCTGGCTGTCTACCCCAACATGCTGCGCTTGGTTATTTCGGCTGAGAAGCGCTTGCATTTCTGCTCGATGTCGTGCTGCTTCCGATGCCAAAGCGCGCTCATATTCGTTCGCTTTCTGCTGTAAACAGCCTTCCAGCGTGGCGATTCTTCGCTTTTGCTCGTTAATGACTTGCCGCGCATTCTCCTTATCCTTCTTGGCTTCAGTCTACGAGTAGTAAAAGCAGTAGGATGAGCTGCTAGCGATGTGGTGGGCAGAATTACTAGTCACCCCACTCATGTCGTACCACAACTACCGTAAAATTACTCTTCGCATTGTCATACTTTTGTCGTAAGCGATCGCGGTCGGATCTAGCGTTTTCAGCTGGCAAAAATTGCTTATGAGTAGGAGTGTTGCAGCAGGACATTATCATAAATAAATGTACTCACCGTCAGTTCTCAATAAGCCTTGTACGTGTCCTGTGGGCCCCAGATGCCTTCTCTTGAGGAATGCACCAGAGGCCGCAAAATGATCGCCTTGGTCTTCATCGGCAAATACTGATTTCAGTACCAGTCCGTCCTACATGCACGCCAACTTTAAGCCTTCGACGCACCGCAGACTACAAAACAACAGGCTAGAATCACGTACGGCAAATTTGATTTCACCGCTCTCCGAAATCTCTTCGGCCTGGAAACCGAGCTCGTTTAGTGTGGCGACGAACCTGTTGTTGTACTCGGTGCGCAATCCCTCCAGCTGTCGTCGCAAGATGCTCAGCTCTTCTTGAAGTTTTCGGATACGCCGATCCTTGTCCGCAATGGTGCCGTTGATGTGATTCACGCGTGGCTGTCCACACCATTCACTGGTTAGTAGTGGCGGACAAAGTGAGCTTTATCTGCAGTACTTGCCTGGTTCTGAACTGACCGACAACGGTTAGCAAACTGTAAAGTACCAAGGCACTCTTCGTAGTGCTCTTTCATCGGATGGATCGTGGCAATAAGAGTAGTAAAACAGTTCCCTCCTGCGAGCCATGTAGCATTATCAGCGCCCAGGAATTAGCTAGTAAGTCAGACTTTTTCGTCGTATACGAACCGATACTATTCTGCAGAAGACGCGTGAGTTTGGAGTCTCGGTAAGGGATGTAGTTGTAGCCGCTCTCTGGATCCAACGACATGACTACTTTGCCGACTGCACTTAAGCTGGAGTTAATGTGCAATGCCTCCTTGAGACGCTGACCGTCAGATTCACTTTTCTTTAAGCGCTCAGACCTATGTGAGCATGCATACTGACGTCAATACCTTACTCAACAGTTTGGTTTGTAATGATTACAGTACTTACCCCGCGAGGTCAACCATGTTGAGCATCCCGTAGATCACTTCCTCTGTGTCTCGAACTCCAGCAATCCAACAAACCAGCACAAGGTTAGACCCCGCAGTCTCAATAGCCGCAAACGTGCACCACTACCTTGCTGAAATACGTGGATCGTGAAAACGGTGTGCGATCGAGATGAGACTGCGTTCATTTTGGTTTCGTGCGTCGAGCGAAGTTTCAGCCCGCATTGCACTATGGCATCCACCTCTTCTCTTGACGATACGGTAACCATAGACAAGTCCTTCACGAAGACCCTGCCTTGAGCATCCTCATGGATCTCAAAGTTTGCTAGAGCATGTAACCCACAGGTAGTCAAGGCAACCCGTTAGTCCGAGTACTTGAGGGGGGGGGGGAGGGGGATAATTCGTAGTGCTTGTGTTTCATGCCTTTTTCGTAGTCGTAGTCTTCTTCGATTCGCGGTGGATTCGAGCTGAAACTGCTCGCAGAACAAACTCAAGATGCGGGGTGAGGGGTTTAACGGTTATCCACACAATCTTAATTGACGCCATACCTTGCAGCACTCTCAGTTCGAGGAATCTGCTGTTGCTGCTGCTCATTGAAAAACGCATAAAGATTATGATAAACTACACCGCTTTAATCACACGTAGATGAACGACACCTGACGAAGAAACCACTCGGCGCTGCTCGACGTCTGATACGAGACTGGTCGTCCAGTTTTCTTGAGGTACCTACGTTTTTAGGCAGTGCAAAGCGAAGTGACAAAGAAAATAAATATAATATAGGTTGTAAAATTTTCCCAGTGCTCCCTTACGCTCGTGCGAGGTCACGGACTCTATCGCAGTAGATTTCCAGAAAGCTGACGACGAGGGTCACTTCCTAGTCAATCAAACGCGATGTTATGCTGAAACCCATGTTTATCATCTGTACAGATCTCACACACGCACGCACTTTCGACTTGCTCTGCTGACGGTTCACCATGTCAAAAAGATACTCGATCGACCGAGAGAGTAGCCCAGCCTTGTCTCCGCCAGGTTCACCAAATATGCTGTGCGCAGAGGTACCGATCAGAAGTTGGTTATTTTACTCATGTCATTGTGATGCAGCGTCTGAATAGATTCATTGATATACCTGAATGTTTTACCTGAACCGGTTTGTCCGTAGGCGAAGCAGCAGCTATTGATGCCCTTCAAAGCGTAGTCGACCAAACATTTACTCGTCTAACCATGCATATCGACACAAAAGCTAGTCAGATTACATCAAACGTCATGAATGAGCAGCATGACCCGGCTTACCGCTTCGAACAACGTTTCTTGAGTTGTGTCTGTCCAGTAAATCTGTCATAAGACACGATTTGATCAGTGCAAACACCCGCGGGGGCTATCACAGCATCTTTCTGCCCTACATTGTCGAAGCTAAAGGCGTGGTTTCCGTATTGCATCCGTTCCGTGTCCTAAATGCCCCCAAGGACAAGCACACAAGCACTTCAGCGACCTCACAAAAATATACAATGAGCTTATCAGACCAGCTTCCCATACCTTGATCACGATATTACTAGGAGTCTCTTTCTTCCGCTCGAACATGTCTTCGGGGGCGCTTTGACCGTCTGCACAAGGTCTAGCACGAACATACACCTATCGTGATCGAAGTTATGAGCAGTCAGACGCGCATGTGTAGGCTTGCCATCAAGTTAGGTCGAGGATCTCAAAGCCAACCTTGACGTTGGCATTCCCGAGCAGCCGGGTGTAGTCGGTGGTGACCTTGTGGTCCATGATGGAGCGTCCACTCTCTCGTGTCTCGGATCTCTTCCCGACGGCAGGGCGTCTTCGCTGGAGCTCCGAGGAAGTATTTTCAGTAACGTTTCATCGGCTGCACGTGCGCCTCTTCATCACACACACACTCGTACGATGGGGCTTACGACGCCGAGCAACTCGGTCGAGTATTTGCATCATGTGCTTGCGCATGTCCAGAAGCTCAGCGCCCAAGCTTGTGACGAAGGCAACGCCAACAAGCACTTGCAAATTCGAGTTACGCACTGGGTTCGGAAGCTGCGCAGTCAGCCCACATCGAACCCGACGTGGCTAAAAAGCGTACTTGAGTACGCCGATGTTCTACTTCAAATGCTGCTAGAAGGCGTGCGTGCCTGTGTGAGAATTATGGTTATATTTCCTGTGCTACAACTGATCCACATCTCATTTCACATCAGGTGATCGAGGAGCCTTTCACGAAAATGCCACCCCAAGGCCCGTTGGCCGCCCTGCCGAGGTATCAGGTGGGCCCCCAGGGTGTACTCGTACTCCGTTCATCTATAACCACTGGCTGAATGTATTCTCCATTTATTTCTTACGCGCAGGTTGCAAGGCTGGCAAAGACAGCTAGACAATTCGTCAGAGTAGCGGCACGACCAACGCAACCCGCAGCAGTTTACCCAGCAAAAGCTCGCCCCCGTACTGGTCACCGCAACAATTCCGAGAACCAGCGGGTCGTAGCGGTGACTCGAAAGGTGAGCAAGCAGATTCAAACACAAGAGCAAGACGATCAGTGGGAATGGCAGCGCGTCTGGAAAGGTGCTTTCGACAAAATGCACCTGCAGCTGAAGCAGAAAACAGAGGAGACGGAGGCCCTTGCCACGGAGAACAGGGTACCTCCACTCTTTCACGCCCTCCGAGACCAATATGCTTATCGTTGTTGCATCTAACTCGCGTGCGCTCGCAGGAGCTGCGGTCCCTCGTTGCAGGCTACACGAAAGCTCTGGAGGAAGCCGAGCGCAGGCAACGCGACATCGAGGCCAAGCACCTCGCTGAGATCGAAAACCTCCGCGCCGTGCACTCCTTGGAGCTGTCCAACCTGCAGGCCAAACATCGCCAGAAACTCCAAGAAGTGGCGCTGCAGAACGACGAAACGTTGATCAGCAGACGTCGAGAGAGTTTCTTGCTTCGACCAGCAGCCAGCTCCGCGGTGCGTACAGTATGGCGTAGCGTAGATCCCGGTAGTCACCAGTATGTTCTAACGTATATATCGTCACGACAGTCCCAACACGAGGTCGCAGACGCCAACGCCGACTTCCTGCAGTACATCGACGCCTTCTACTCGTCCACCCTGCACCTCACGGCCCAGAACAAGGCTTGATTGACAACAAGCTGCTGTACACACGTGGCAGTACCTCAGTTACTCGAACTCGAACAAAGTATCGAGGCATACAAATTTCAAGAGAAAGTAACGGTTCCCTTGCAACGGTATCATCATTGTGCGATAGAGGCAAGAAGGAGAGAGGAAGCGCACCATGTCGGCCAAGACCCTGCAGGGAGACCCGCGCCGCCCCGGCGACTTGCACCCGTTCGTGCGCGAGCAGGTGGACCCCGACGACGCGCCCGGCGACTGGTACGCCTTCTTCTCGCTCGTGCTGGGCTTCCTCGCCTTCACCATGAAGGTATAAGACAGCTACTATGATTATATGCCACGACTGTTATTACGGTAGTTGTATTCGCTCAATACTAACGGCGTCGTGTTGCGATATGTAGTGGAAGGAGCTGGCGTGGGGCTCGCTGCTGCTGTGCGTGGGCTCGTTCACCAACATGAAGTCGCAGGACATGAACACAACGCAGGTGGCCATGTCCTTCTTCTTCTCCACGAGCGCGCTCGTGTCCGCCTACATGGGCGCCATGCATCCAGGCATGCCCATGCCCCCGTCGGCCCAATCGGTCCAAGCGCCGGCTTCGTAGACGAGAGAGGAGAGAAAGGAGAAGGTAATAGGGAGAGCATATCCGATCCAGGCTGCGGGCAACGAGCTCCTGCTGTAAGGAATGGAAGAACAAGAAGCTGTTTGGTACTGTGCTTTGGCTGTGTTCAGCGCAGTTTGGTTGAGTTTTTCACGGTTGAAGTGCATTTTACCAGGTAACGACCGAGTGGAGCTATTTCGGAGAGCTAACTAACGTGTCTTTGGGCTGGCCTGCAGCGTGCTATGACTCCTATGACTCCTGCAACGTTTGCTGCCAGACAATGACAATTGGTCTTCGTGAAGCGCATCCTGAGAGCTTTGGAGAGCAAGCGACACGGACGAAGGACTCGTCTCGTGAGGATGGAGAGGGGTATCCAAATGCCAGTCGGGAGGCTGCGGCCGTGCTGCCCCAGAAGCTGCTGATGAAGCGGCCACGCGGACCTCCACCAGCGCCGAGGATCTTGCCACCTATCCGACCACCAAGTTCTGGCGCGACTGCAGCAGTATCATCAATTATGACTCTGGAAGAAAAGCAGCAGCGGCAGATGCACTCGTTCCTGCGCAACTTCCTTGCTGCAGGAGAGAGCGGCCGCTTCCAGCAGGTGATCGACCTCCATCAGCATGGAATCGACACGGGCATCACCGTCACGGACGCGACGCTGCAGGAAGTTGTGCTCACAGTGCCGAATCTGCGCGGGTTGAATCTCTCTGGGTGCTCACATATCACGGACGCGGGGCTGTGGGCTGTGGCGAGACACTGCCAAGCACAGCTGGATACGATCTACCTGGCCCAGTGTGAGAAGGTGACTGAGCTTGGCCTTCGTCTTCTCGCGCACAATTGCAGGTTAGTGCTGGTGGACCTCAGCGATTGTCCACAGCTCAACGACGCAGCTCTGCAGACGCTGGCAGCTGGGTGCTGGATGATTGAGACTTTCATCATGAAGCGGTGCAGAGGCGTCTCCGATGCTGGCATCGTCAAAATCGCACAGTGCTGCAAGGACCTACGCCACCTCGACGTTTCCGAATGCTCTCGACTGGGAGAGTACGGAGACAAAGCTCTGCTTGAGATCGGCAAGTGCTGCCCGAAGCTGCGTGTGCTAGACTTATTCGGTTGCCAGCACGTGCACGACCCGGGGATTCGCGCCATCGCTAAAGGCTGCCCTCTGCTGACGACGCTGAAGCTGACTGGATGTCGAGATGTCAGCAGCATTGCTATCCGAGCGCTGGCCCAACAGTGTACTCAGCTCGAGGTTTTGTCACTTTCTGGATGCATCAAGACGACGAACAGTGACCTTCAGCTACTTGCTACCAACTGCCCGCAGCTCACGTGGCTCGACATCAGTGGTAGCCCCAACATTGATGCACGCGGCGTGCGTGCACTAGCTCAGAACTGCACGTCGTTGACGTATCTGAGTCTGGCTGGGTGCCAACACGTTGGGGACGCTGCCTTAAGCGAACTTACCAGTGCCGGAGCGGGAGGACTCACCAAGTCATTAGGGGAACTGTCGCTCGCAGACTGCCCTCGTGTCACGGAGAGTGGAGTCGACGCGCTAACCACTGTTTGTACCAACCTTATCACGCTCAACCTCACGAATTGCAAGCAGATTGGTCGGAGGTTCCTCCAGAAGCTCATTACCAAGCTTGAGTTCGTGCAGTGGGCCACGAGTTTCTTCGGCTACGAACCACTGCCGAACGCCGCCGAGCTGTGCCGTCAGCGCGACCTCCGCCTGCTGCAACTGGGAAGTGCGATCAAAATTCAGTCGGCGATGCGCGGGTGTCTGGCTCGAGGAGGGCTCTGGCAAGCCAAGCTCAAGTTCGTGGAGCGGAGAATTCTACCTAAAATCCAAGCGCGTGTGCGCGGATTCCTGGTCCGGAAGCGTCTTGCAGCAGAGAGGAGATACAAACTAGAAGACCACGCTGCGTGGTTGATCGGCCGAGCATATCGAGACCTGCAGCTCCGACGGATGCTGGCTCGCGCAAAGCGAATACGACAAATCAAGGAGCACGAGGACGAAGCAGTGCTCATTTTCCAGAAGATATTCCGTGGCTACCGAGACCGCAAACTTGTAGCGAAGATGCGGTACGACATTTACTGCGAGCAGCAGTTCCAAGCTCGCGTTTTGGCCATGCAGAACTTGGCGGCGACGAAACTGCAGCGTGCGTACCGAGGCCACCGAGGACGGTCTGACGCCGCCATGCTGCGCTCCATCAAGGAAGCAAAGCGTCTCCAGCACGAGAAAGAGGTTCGCTCTGCGGCATTCTTGCAGCGCGTGTATCGGGGCCACAAGGGGCGCAGACTTCGAGCTCAACGCCTTGCAGAGCTGCTTCACCAGCAACAATGCCACCAAGGTGCCATCAAGATGCAAAAGGTGTTCCGTGGCCACCGCGCGCGACGGTATGCAGTGATTCTGCGCGCTGAGGCAAACGAGCTGCGTATTCTCAACGCCGCTTTAACCATTCAAAGGTACTGGCGAGGCATTCGCGACAAGCACTTGGCTGCCGTGCTCATTGGGCTCATCAAGCTTCGAGCTAGAGAGAACGAGGCCGCGCATTCAATCCAAGCTGCTTATCGAATGCACGCCTCTCGAGGATTCATGAAGGCGATGAGGCTAGCTATGGCCGCGCAAATGAGAAGGATAAAGGCTGCAACAGACATCCAACGGATGATACGAGGACACCGTGGGCGAGCAGATGCGGAACTGCGGAGAGAGCTGCAGCGATTCCGCCACCAAGCCAAACCACTATTCGCAAAGGAAGCGCGGCTGCAAGCGCTAGTGGATGACTTGAACGAGAAAGTGGAGCAGCTTCAACGCAAAATCGCAGCCGACGAGGAAGAAGAGCGCGCGCTTACACTGGAGCTCCAGAAAACGCTGCAGATTAAGACCAAGTACCACGACTCGAGTCGTATTACCGGGACCCCGCAGCGCTACCTGACACAGTATCTCCAAGTGCAGCTTGCTGATCAACTACGAGCTAAGCGCACCGAGATCGCGCTTGATGGACGGGCGTTTGAAACTCTGACGACAAACCTGAACGATGCCCAGAAGCAGTTGAGAGGAGTCAGGCGAGAGCTGGAGCCGCTAACCGAGGGCGTCATCAAGAAAACACGCGAAAACCGCGTCAAGAGGCTACAGGATAAGGTTCGCCACGAGCGCCGCGCCGCGGTCATGATCCAAAAGATGTTCCGCGGCTTTCGCGTGAGATCCGCGGTTCGAGAGGGAGGCAATTGCTGGATTCAAATGGCTTCACCCGACAACGGCCGGCCATACTACTACAATGCGCTGACAGGGGCCACGCGATGGCATCGACCACTAGCGATGGACATCTTCAGTGACCATTTTGCGGAGCCGATGCAGGAGCCCGTGGTAGAACAAATATCGTCCCTGGAGCCAAATGCAGTGCAAGGTACAACGAGTCATCGCAGTCGTTCGGATCGCGATCAACCACCAAGTTCTGCGAGCAATTGGTACGAAGCTTTCGATGACAAGATCCAGGCGCCATACTACTTCAACAGCCAAACCAAAGAGTACCAATGGGACAAACCCGACGCTGTCGATAACGCGTACTTCACGGACACTCAATCGTCTCGAAAACGGCGCGAGTGGCTCGAAGACCAGCAACAAGACATTGAGGGCCTTCTAGCAGCTACGCAAGTTCGTTTGCCGCTGTTGGGGCAATGGGAGAGGCGTGTGGACCCGTTGAGCGAGCATCTTTTCTTCTACCATCCACCGACAGGAGTCGTTAAGGCTTCGCTGTCGCCACGCACTGTGCATGCATCACTTGGGGACACGACCATGAATTCGCGCCGCTCTGCTCGCAGTATTGGAACTTCTCGCTCTCTCCATTGGCAGTACCGATACGGCTACGAGTATGATGCGAATGGCAAGCTTGTGACGAGTTCCAGGTCGCACCCCCGGCCAATCTGGACGGAGCATACCGATCCGGACAACGGCTTGACCTACTACTACAACGCGCTCACGAATGAGTACCGATGGGAGAAACCCGAAGACTTCGACATCAACTACGAGGCGTTCGCTAGTGGACGAAGCGCGAGCAGCTCTGCTCGTAAGTGGTTCGACATGGCCCATCAGAAGGCAAATGGAGACGGCAGCAACTCGCTCACGACCCGATCGTCCAAGTCGCGCGCTCTGGGTAAGAAGTGGGTCGAGCTGGTGGACCCAGAGACGCAGAACACGTACTACTACAACGAAGTCACGGGCGAATCGAGGTGGTCGCTCTCGCCGCGCAGTGCTCGCGACACTTCCGACACCGAAGACCAGATCTCGTTGGCGCTCTTCGCGCAGGTGAAGCAGCTCCGTGAATCCCCCGTGCCGTATTCATCACGAGAGCAGCACATGAGTTGGCTAGAGGCCGCCCTTGCTGAGAAGGACTGGAAAAAGGCTGACGCGATCGTCCAGCATATCTTCATTCGCGAGCAGAGCCAAGCTGTGACCGAGCGTAAAGCTCGAGAAGAAGCGGCCATGAATAACAGTATTCCACAGGTTAGCACTATTGATACGACTGCGAGTACGTGGATTGAGTGCCAAGACGAAAGCAGCGGCGCCACGTACTACTACAACCAGGCTACAGGCGAGACAAGCTGGAGTAAACCATCAACAGCGTCCACATGGGAAGCGATGCTGGGTAACGACGGGAAAACTTACTACTACAACTCAATGACAGGCGATACGGCGTGGGAGCAACCGACATGAATATGAACATGAACTGTACTGTATTAGCCCACAACTATCACCACACTTTGACTCATGCCTCGAGCCCACCAACGCAGACCATCTTCGTCTCCTGGTATTCCTCGAGGCCCAGGAACGAGCCCTCGCGTCCCAGTCCGGACTGCTTCACACCGCCAAACGGAGCCTGAACGTTTGAGATCACGCCCGTGTTCACGCCGATCATTCCGCAGTCCAGCGCAGCAGCCACACGCCACGTCCGCGACAGGTTCTGGGAGAAGAAATACCCGGCAAGACCGGCCTCCGTGCCGTTGGCCATCTCGATCACCTCCTCCTCCGTCGTGAACTTGAACAGCGGCACAACAGGGCCGAAAATCTCCTCCGACCACACACGCATTGTGTTGTCTACATGGGCCAGCACTGTAGCCTCGTAGAAGTTGCGGCCGATGTCGCTGCGCTTGCCGCCGACAAGAGCAGTGGCGCCGTTCGTGACAGCGTCCTCCACCAGCTCCGACGTCTTGAGGAAGGCGTTGGGGCCAATGAGCGGGCCGAGGTTCACGCCTTCCTCGCGGGGCGGGCCCATCTTGAGCTTCTTGACGCGCTCCACGAGCTTGGCCGCGAACTCGTCGTAGATGCTGGCGTGGATGAAGATGCGGTTGCTGCACACGCACGTCTGGCCGGTGTTGCGGAACTTGGAGGCCATGAGGCCGTCCAGAGCCTTGTCCAGGTCGGCGTCTTCGAACACAATGAAGGGCGCGTTGCCGCCGAGCTCGAGCGACACGCGCTTGACCGTCTCGGCCGACTGCGCCATCAGCAGCTTGCCGACGCGCGTGGAGCCCGTGAACGAGATCTTGCGAACGTCGTGGCTGCTGGTCAGCGCGCCGCCCACCTCGGCGGCCTTGTCGTTGGGCGACGGCACCACGTTGATGACGCCCGCGGGGATGCCCACGTCCTCCGCCAGCTTGGCCAGCGCCAGCGCCGACAGCGGCGTCTCGGCCGCGGGCTTGACCACCGCCGTGCAGCCAGCGGCCAGGCACGGGCCCAGCTTGCGCGTGATCATGGCGAGCGGGAAGTTCCAGGGCGTGACGATGCCGCAGACGCCCACGGGCTCCTTGATGGCCATGATCTTGTGGTCGGGCGCCGACGTGGAGGGCAGGAAGCCGTTCGAGTGCATGATCTCGTGCGCGTAGAAGTCGATGAAGCCGGCGGCGTAGGCCACCTCGCCCTTGGCCTCGGGCAGTGGCTTGCCGCTCTCCACGGACGCGATGACGGCCAGGTCCTCCGTGTTGGCCACGATGGCGGCGTGCCACTTCTTGAGCAGCACGGAGCGCGCGGCGGGCGTGGTCTTGCGCCACTTCTTCTGGGCCGCCAGCGCCGCGGCGATGGCCTCGTTCGTCTCGACGCGGCCCATGTTGGCCACGCGCGCGATCTCCTTGTCCGTGGAAGGGTCGACCACGGCGAAGTGCTTGTTGGAGTGGGCCTCGACCCACTTGCCGTTGATGAAGCCGGCCGACTGGATCAGCTCCTTGTTGTGCACCTCGGCGTGGAAGAAGCGGCGCGTGGCCGAGGCCGCGGACGGCAGCACGGAGCGGTGGATCTTGGACGACAGCATGGCGGCGGCTTGGGCTCGGCGAGGCGGAATCGGAAGTGAGCCTGGCTTTTCGATGTTGAAGGACCGCTGGACTGCAGTCGATCCCCTCAGTAAGTTTTGGAAGCGATTTGAAAGGACATTGGAAATAATAAACAATCAACGGCTCGTACTTTCCCGCAGTAGTCGATCCGATTTTACGGGGTATTTGAAGGTAGTGGTGCACTTACTGAAGGGATCGACTGTATGGGGGTACGTCAGCGCGTACGCTCCCAATATGCACTTTCCGGTGCGCTGGTGACGCCTTGCTCGGGCCAATGGCAGCGACCGAGGCGCGTCCAAGGGTGTGTCTTACCCACTCAACCATGTGCGAGCGTACAGGGGTGCCCGCACTATGGCGAGGGCACGGCGGCGGTGGCTGGCGCTGCTGGGCGGCCCGGCCCGAAGGATGAAGGAGTCGTTCTTCTCCGCGTGGTTGCAGAGCTTTGGTCGTTGCAGTCGCATTCCCGGTGCGAGCGTGGAAGGGATACGTACGCTCGTGTTAAACGGACGACGCGTCGACACTTGAGCTTCGAGGTCTTTGGTTTGACTCGCTGACAGTCCACTGCAGTTGCATTGTGCAATACGCATCCTTATCAAAAAAGCTCCGACCTCCTAAAGACTTCGGGCCCATGGATCGTCGACCGAAGGAACGCCCGCGCTCGCGACACTGAGAGCTGCATCGGCGTCAGTTGTCGTCTCACTCTCGACCTCTTCACTCGCAGCTGCGAATTTTGCTGCGGCTTCCGCCCGCCGCTCGCACACAATGTTCGTGGCGACGTCCATCACACGGAAGGCGCCCGCGAACTCGGTCGCAGGCATCTCCGCCAGCAGAGTGGCCACAGCCTTCCCCACTGCATGCGCCACCTTGAACTGCGTCGTGGGCTCCACAGGCTCCGGCGGGTCCTTATTGGCAGCAGCTGCGGTGGCGAGGCGATACTCACGCAATGCCTCTTCCTCGGGGGTAGTCGGCACGACAGCAAGTCGGGTTTGCCCCCTGGATGCTGAGAGCTGGTCGGGGCTCGCCTTCGCCGCCGCAGCGCGCTCCTGGTTCCGCAGCCGCTGCAGGATGTTCTGCACGTCCTTGAGCGTCGGCGTGCAGTTCGAGTTCTCCATGATATAGGAGCGGATCTCCTTGGGCTTGACGCCGGTCTTGTGCATGAGCTCGACGCAGCTGAGCAGCTCGTCCGAGAGGCCGAGCCTCGCGTTGCTGTACTGCTGGTACGTCTCCTTGTCCACGCGGTGGTTGTGCGTCAGCAGCGCCCGCGTAACGTTCACCTCGTAGCGGTTGGCCTCCGGGTCCACGAGCTTCAAGCACGCGTTCACCTGCACGTTGCAGTGCATGGCGCGCACGTCCTGCCACGATCAAACGGGAAAAAAGTCAATGGAAGTTGGCGCTAGACGCCAGACTGCAGCTTACCTGGCGCGAGCGCCGCCCGGTGCCGCGGGACACGTAGCCGCCGCTGTGCGTGCACACGAGCGTGACCGAGTAGTTGACGTAATTCTCCGGGATCAGGCGCGCGCTGTCCGCCGACGCCGCCGGCTTGGCGAGGCGCTCGGCTACTCGCCTGTTGCGCAGCTTCACGGACGTGGACGTGCGCTTGCGGAAGATCTGGAAGCTGCGGCGCGCGTACGAGTCCATGTAGCTGTGGAACGCCTCCCACGAGTCGAACGCGCGGCGGTCCAGCGGCGCGCCTTCGTGCCGCTCCTTGGCGTCGGCCGGCGGCGCCATTCCTGCTGTTAGTAAATGGGTAAAGTGAGCTCTTATTTGGGCTCTTCATCGCTCGTTTGGGTACTCTTTTTTGGCCACTTCGCCATGTTGACCCATTCAAGCGCCCATTGTCGATCCAGGCAGGACAGGATGCACGCGTTCGTGACGGTGGGGACGACCAAGTTCGACGCGCTGATCTCGGCGCTGGACACGGACGCGTGTCTGTCTGCGCTGGTGGCGCGGGGCTTCACGTCGCTGCGGATGCAGATCGGCCACGGCGAGCACGTCCCGCGCGCGTCGTTCCCCGGGCTGGAGCTGAGCCACTACCGCCACGACCCGCAGTACAAGAAGGACGTGGCCCGGGCCGACCTGGTCATCAGCCACGCCGGCGCCGGCTCCATCATGGACGGCCTGGCGCTCAAGAAGAAGCTCGTGGTGGTGGTCAACGCGGCGCTCATGGACAACCACCAGACGGAGCTGGCCGAGGCCATGGCCGACCAGAAGTACTGCCTGCAGACCTCCGTCCAGGACCTGCAACGCACGCTCGAGCTCGGCAACTGGGACGACCTGCAGCCGTACCCCCAACCGGATGAGCAGGCCTTCCCCGACCTGGTTGATGCTGTAATGAGCGTGACGGAAGCTAGCAAAGAGCAGTAGAGAGATGATAGAGTCAAGGAGAATTCATAGATAAAAACGAGTGTGTATGTGTGTTGTGGTGGTGTCAACAATCTTAACGCGGAAATCCCATGGCGACCACGTTGTCGGTTTCTGCAGAGACGCCTGAAACATGCCAATGAAAACTGCGGGCTGTTCACCTTGAATGGCCGACCTTGTCGAGGCGTCTGAGGTTGAGGGCACCAAGCTATCCATAGTAAGTTATGATACTAGTAGCTTGCAGCGGGTGACCTACTCATCGCTGTCTGCCTCATCATCTTGTGGACAGATCGTTTCGAAGTATTCCAGACTTCGCACTAACTCGGCGCCGACAATCTTGGCAGCTTGCGAGTCTGGCGGGAAAATCTCCTTCAGCAACCTACTCGCTTTCTTGATCGCCGACGACTTGGGAGCCCGCTGCTGCTTCTTCTTCTTCTGGGATGCCTTGCTCCGAGTTTCGCACGCTGCATCGCCAACACTATCGCCAACATTAGCATCTCCTTCGACCAGGAGCTTTTCGAGTAGAGGAGACGGGATGACGTCGGAGAGGATCAGTTTGAGGAGATGCAAGTAGCTCTCCTTATTCGGCGGGGTCTCATCCCGACGTTTGGCCGCTGTCCTTGACGCCAGTTTCTTGGTCAGCAGCTTGGCGAAGCCGGCCTTGTTGTTGTACGCCTCGTACTTCTTGCGTTTGATGCGCACGCCGAGCGTCCGGCAGAACGACCGCAAGTCCCTGCAGCTGCACTTGGATATCGCGTGCTGTAGCTCCTCGGACCTGTCCTCATCGCTCAGGCGCTTCGGAAGCTTCAATGTGACGCTGGAGGCGCTCATCGGAAGGTGCTTCCCAGGACGCGGCGATTTCGAATCTGACTGGGTTATCAAGCAGTTGAAGTTGTTCATTAGCGCTCAGTGTACTGCGTAATTCGTCATTAGCGTCGAACATCAATAGCCGTAACATGTTGAATACATGTAGATTTGCTAAATGAAAACTGCCACTGGTTCGTGCTGCCACTACTTCCGAGTCGTCGTTAACAAGCTCTCCTCGATCGCCTTCACCACGCGCTCAGGGTTTTCGAGGTGAGGGTAGTGACCACCTTCAGCGTCTTCGAAGCGCTGGGCATATGGCACAGCAGTAGTGAACCACATGATCTCGTCGTTGACATCAGCGTAGTCCGGGTCCTTCATGCCGAAAAAGGCAAGCACCGGCAATGTCGGGCACTTCCCGAGCTCTAGGAGTGAAGACGCTACGCGAGCTTTGCTAGCACGAGCGAATCGCCCAACGTTTAGGATGTTGCCCTTCTCAACCTGTAGGTGCGTCTTGAGTATCTCCAACTCGGCGTCGAAATCTTCAGGCCGTTTGCCGGGGTAGAGCGTTTTGTAGTACGACGCCCAGATCGCAGCGCCATACAACGGGCGGAAGAGCAGGTGCGAGAGCGGTCGAAACCACGAGTCCATGGGTGACTCTCGCAGAATGGGTCCGAGCAGAACTACAGCACCAACGCGGGGTCCGCCCTCTGTCTTCTTTGCAGCCGCCGCGGCGAGCACCATCGACCCGGCGCTGAGTGAGTTGCCCAGCAACACGAAGCTGCAAGTTGGGTCCGAGGCGCTGATCTTCTGCATCAAGCTGGTCACATCAGACGCAACGGACTCCGGCGAATAGGCCGAGTAGGTGTGCTCGTCATCGTCCTCGAATGGCGTGGAATCGCCGAAGCCGCGCAAGTCTCCAAGCAGCACGCGAAAGCCCAATCGGTGGTGCAGCAATGGCCCCAGTAACCGGAACTGGCGGCGGGTGTCTCCGATGCCTGGTAGGCAGATGGCGACGATGGTGCCAGCGGGCGCATCGGGTCGCGAGTCCTCGAAGAAGACGTAGGAATGCGGGGCGCCTTGCAGGCGGTAGTCAGCGGACGACGGGAACACGCGCGGCACCACGACCTCAGACTCGGTCTGGACAGGAGACAAAGTGGTATTTCCCATTAGTGACGCGACGGGGGGGGTCGAGTTGTTCTGCGTAGGCTGCGGTGAATTGTGGAATGAGGTGCGTCGGAGGTCAAGTTGAAGCGGAAGGTTTGAGCGCGTATGATTGGTCGGTTTCGAACATGCATAATCATATCTAGCGTAATATCGGTTAACTGTTTTAATGGTTTGCAATCGTGTCTTCGGCCAATCAGAGACTGAAAAGCAACGATGGCGACACCTTCGTCGTCGAGGCCGATGCCGCGGCTGCTGGTGCTGTACGGCAGCGAGACGGGCACGGCGCAGGACGTGGCCGAGTTCGTACAGCAGCGCGCGTTCAACCGGCAGCTGCTGGACACGCAGGTGGCGGCCATGGACGCGTTCCCGGTGGCACAGCTGCTGCCGCAGTGCTCGACCGTCGTGTTCGTCGTGTCCACGACGGGCGACGGCGAGGCGCCCGAGAACATGCGCAGCGCGTGGCGCAGTCTGCTGCGCAAGACGCTGGGGCCGCAGTGGCTGGCGGGCGTGCGCGTCGCCGTCTTCGGGCTGGGCGACTCCAGCTACGCCAAGTACAACGCGGTGGCGCGCCGCCTGCAGGCGCGTCTGCTGCAACTGGGCGCCTCGGAGCTCATCGACCGGGGCCTGGGCGACGACCAGCACGCCTACTGCTACTTTGGCGCGCTGAACCCGTGGCTGGAGAAGCTCTGGGCGGCTGTGCTACAGCTGCACCCTCTGCCGGAGGGCGTCGCCATCGACGACTCGCCGAAACCGATCGAGCCTCGCTACTCCGTGGTCGTGCACGGTGCGGGGGATAGCGAGGCGGAGGCTGCGAGGAAGCTGACGCCACGAACGGACGAGTCGAACTTCTACGCGCCACCACGCACGGCGGTGGGGGTCGAGAAGGGCATCTACTTGGCTCCTGTCGTTGTGAACAAGAGAATTACGGCCGAGGACTGGGAGCAGGATGTCAGGCACTTGGAGTTTGATATCAGCAGTGGTGGTGGTGGTGGATCGAGTGTGGGTGGAGCAGCGGACGCTCCGTTCAGGGCCGGGGATATCACCGTTGTGTACCCTGAGAACGTGGCGGGCGTGGACGACATGCTCAAGTACGTTAAGATGGACGGAGACACTGTCATCTCGATCAAGGCAGCAGACGGAGCGAAGCAGTTCGACCTGCCGTCTCCGGTTACCGTTCGTGATGTATTTGCAAAGTATCTGGCCATCCTGGAAATCCCGCGCCGGAGCTTCTTTGAGAGGCTCTCGCTGTTTGCAGCGAATGAAGAGGAGGTAAGGTGTGTACGTGCGAGTTGAGCTTTGGCAACAGCGCTGACCTCTATATACGTTTTGGTATGGGACAGAAAGAAAAGCTCGAGGAGTTGGCCTCGGCCGAGGGTGTCGATCTCTTGTATGACTACTGCATTCGTGAAAAGAAGACGTACGCCGAAGTGCTCACCGACTTCCCGAGCGTGACGGTGCCGTTGACGATCCTGCTGCAGCTCATTCCTCGCCAGCAGCCTCGCTCATACTCCATCTCTTCGTCGGCTCTGCTTCACCCTGGTCGCGTACGTGGTCGTTCTCTCGACAGTATCATTGTCTTTGCCTGATGATGCTTATTCTGACGCTGGAGTTGTATCGTGCGACAGGTGCACCTGACAGTGGCCATCGTGGACTTCTTGACACCGTACAAGCGCCGCCGCAACGGCATTTGCTCGTCGTTTTTCACCTCGCTCGATCCGTCGAAGGAGCAGAAGCGAGTGCCCATGTGGATCAAGAAGGGTCTGTTTGAGCCGCCGAGCCTAGATCGTGACGTGCTGCTCATTGGACCAGGAACCGGGCTCGCCAGCATGCGGGCAATGGTGCAAGAGCGACAGTTCCTGCGTAAGCAGAGTGAGGGCAACGCACCAGGAACAACATACCTCTACTTTGGTTGTCGCCATGAAAGCAAGGTACGGATGCGATAGATGTCGTTGGCAGGTATGGTGACGAATATTAAGGGTCGGCTGGTTCTGCTGCTCAGGATTTCCTGTACGGGGACGAGCTTCGACGACTGGTGACTTCAGGCGATCTCACGGAGCTGCACACTGCGTTCTCGCGTGACCAGGTACTAGCTGCTCGTGCCTCACAGCTCCAACAATCTTGGTTCACGAAACCTCACACACTCGTGTCATGCTTGCAGGACCACAAGATCTACGTGCAGACGCGTCTGGCTGAAAACAAGGAGGCCATCTTCGACTTCGTCATGAACGGCGAGGGCTGCATCTACATCGCCGGGTCCGCCAAGCGCATGCCCAACGACGTCTACGAAGTGCTCCGTGACATCCTTCGGTCTGTAGGCAAACTCCCGCTACCGACTGCAGAGAAGGTGATGAAGGCGTTGGCCCGCAAGAAACGCTACGTCGTCGAATCTTGGTCGTAGGAACCTTCACAGCCAGCAGCTTGTACAGAGCAAGGTTAGACCAACACGATTTCCACGGACCCAAAGTCTCCATCACCCCCCCCCCCATTTGATTCGCTAAAACCATTGCAAATCTCGAGGCTATGGACACAACGCAGGTGCCGGAGCAGGAGCAGGAGCAAGAGCGGCATGTGCGGACGTTCGTGAAGCTCGCGAATCTGACGCAGACGTCGCAGCTGCACGAGTGGGACCTCAAGTCTCTGCAGTGCGCGCGGGAGTGGGCCCGTGCAGCCGAAGATGCCGTGGCTGGCGACGACTCCCCACTGGACATTGAGATGCGCATCCGTCAGTGGTTCCCAGTCGCCACACTGCCCACGCTGCCGTTGGATGGAGTTCTGACGGCCGACGCATTGCGCCATGCGGGAGTTCACTTGCTGCGGTCGATTCTGCAGAGTCCGTTCTTGGCGTCGCATCCGACGCGGTCAGAGCTGCTGGTCGAAGTGCTCCAGGAGCTTCAAAGTAGACGCCAACATGCCAATGAAGTGGAAGAACATGCGTCCAATAGGTACTGGCTGGATTGAGTGGGTGAACGTAGTTGATGGGACTAATGCTGTTCTTTGTCGTTCGCAGTGGTCTGCTGGTGAAACGCGTCACTGGAGCCCCACGCACAGAGGCTATGCTGGCGATTGCTGGGCGACTGAGCGGCAGGTGCAAGCGCATTCGCGTTTACGGTATAATTGGATAAATACTGCTGCTTCGCGTGTAGCTTGTATGACTGACTTGTTTTCTCGAAATGGTAGTGCTTTCGGGCTCGGTGTTGATTCCCCCACTCAAGAGCTATGCGCTGTCGCCTCGGGTCTTGCAGCTAAAGGCGATGGCCAAAACATTGCAGCGAAACGCAGTGGACGCCCGCGCAGCAGCTAACCCCGAAACATACTGTGGATTCCTCCATGACCTTCGAGCCTGCTTTGAAGAACCCGAAAGCAAAGACGTCCGGGTAAGCAGGTGAATTTACAGTAGATCAACTGCCATGGTGTTACTGACTATGCTTCTGTCTGCAGGAAGTTGTGGTCCTGATGCTAGTGATGTGCGAGTGGCCCAAGGAGGAACCCCCGCAGCTTCGAGGGATGATGGAGGATCTCGTTAAGGTTGCGTGCGATTGGGTTAGATGCAAACCTATTCGGTTCTGGACCTTCGAGCCGTGGCTGGCAGCCATGCTGGCTAATAGGTCAGATGCCCTGGCAAGCGCGTACGTATCGGAGCTGTTCAAGACGGGACTTCTGCAGCCTTGTACGATTCTCAACCGTATCCAACCGCTTCGTTATCGTAAGGCGCGTACTAACTGTCGATGCATGGACTTGTTGCAGGGGAGCGCGAGTTTGCAGTCCGAGTTGCGACGCTATCCTTACAAGGCGAGAGCGTGGAGATTTTTCTGCAGGAAGCCCTGGCGAAGCTGGATCCACAATTGCAGGAGATCTACTTTCGCATAAATTAAAGCCCCAAGGTTCACTGCCTGCAGTGATTTACTTGCGTTTACTTCACTGCGTTTGGTGTTGCTGCAGCCGACGAAGCATCTCGACGATGGCATGGCGGTTGCTTCGCAGTGCGAGGTCTATTGCTGTGGGGTATGGCGCTTCCAGGAGTGGAAGAGCTGCGTCAGCACCACCGTCACCAATCAGTGCGGCGCAGCAGTCGGCGAATCCTTCCTCCCCTCCGATCAACAAGGCGGTGTATCCGAAGCGGTTGCGTTGATTGACCAGAGACCAGGTCCATTCCTTCTCGAGGTGAGCAGACTGGTGAAGATGCCTCAGGATGATCTTCAGCGAGGTTAGCGCGTTAGACGCCGTGGCAAGATGCAGAACCGAGTTCCCATCGGCATCAGCCACGAGGACGCCCGCCCCCTGTCTAATGACACCGAGGTTAGTTGCCGTGAGTCGTAGGACGGGAGCAAAGTGCACGAAAGCTCACCGAAGGAGGAAATCAACAGCATCGTGCGCATCCCATGCAGACGCATGCTGAAGAGCTGTGCGGCCGGAGTGAGGATGACGTTCGTCCAGCAGTGTCGGGTTGTCGGTGAACAGTGTGCTTAGAGCAGCGACGTCGTTATCCGCTGCAGCATGCATCCACGAGTCCAACAGCTCCATGACGACAGAAATGGACAAGTAAATTAAGGTTAAGTGCTCTCTCTCTTCTGTACAAGCTCAGACTAGACCGGGGCCGGGCATGGGGCATAAGGCTTCATCAGTCTGTGGTGAATCCATACACCTCCGTCTCCAGCACCGCGTACAGCACTGCCTTCAATTCATTACGCACGACGTGAAGTGGCAGATCCAAGCGGTTGAAGCACGCGTGGCTGTGGATGAAGCCATCGCCCACTAGCGACACTCCTTTCAATGTGAACGGGCAGAGGCGGCCGTCATAGCTCATCAACGCCCCAAATCCACCCAGCGGTACACGCGATGATCCCGTCGAGAACTGAAGCAGGCGGCGTCGATACTCGTTGGGCATTTCGCGTACAAGTTCCCAGAACCACTTGAGCGCTCGATGGTTGTGCAGGTCTTCCGAGTACTTGGTGTTGCGCTCCCAGTCATCAACGTCGATCTCATCGGAGCCACATAGAAGGAAGTTGAACTCTTCAGGATCGAACAGCAAGAGCAGATCTCGTGGAATAATTTCGTACAGGCCACGAAGAAACGCCTGTAGTTGCGGCCCCACACTCTCCACCATCAAGTACTGCCACTTCCGCTCGACGTAGTCGCGTTTATTGCTATCCGTGACGGGGATGGCATCACCCCCTGGCACCAGTTCGATATCACGGTAACAGTCCCCGTCCTTGACAGTCACAGCGAAATCGAGCCCAAGCGCGTCTGCGTTCTCGTTTTCAAGTAGCCATCGCAGGTTCTCGTATACTTCGGGGTCGAAGTCTTCCAAGTCTGAAAAGGTGAGTGGGTAGCCCAGCATCAGCTTCAGCAGAGGAGGCGCCAGGTGGAAACACATCATCGAGCCTTCCAATAGTGCGCGACCCAGCAGCCGACCGACCGCATAGAGATGTAGTAGCTGATCTGGCAAGAGGTTCGCATTTGAGCACGGACTCAGGTAATACGTTTGCTCGCTCTTGTTGGTGCAGTTGAACAACCCACGGGAAGGGTCCACGAGCATTTCGTTCAGCAGCACGAACCACTCACGATGGAGTCCTCCAGCATCAACACCGCTCTCATCGAGGAAGTTGATGCGCAGTACAGAGTGCACATTCTTGCGTGGGATAATTGCGAGCGACTCCATCGAGTCTTCGAAGACGTTAGCCCGCTCCACGTTTAAGCGCAAATGCTCCCGCTCAGCCGGGACTAAAAGCGCAGACGTTGCGGTGACGAAATGCGCGTACTTTGACGGGAAATCTCTGGCAGCGAGTGCCATCGTCTCAGGCAGAGGCGGCGACGCTGGTGGTCTTGACGTCTCGCCCTGTGTGTTGATCCGTTCGGCGTCAACACCGAATTCACTGTCGAGGGGGAGCTTCGAGGCATCCATCAATTTATCAGACGCCGCAGCGAGCATAGCGCGCCGTGCCTGGGTGTCCCGTACCAAGCTCGCAATGCATTCTTCAACCGATCCCAGTAAAGACTGTGCTTGCTCTCGGCCAGCTGCATTCTCCGTAGTAACATGTTCTTGCTCTGGTTCTGGTTCTGGGATGTCTGAACTAGCAGAGGACTCGGCTTCCCCATGCATCAAGGTGTCCGCTGCACGCTCGACCGCCGGGACTGACGGTGGAGATAAGGATCTAGACGATGCCTCTTCGCCTAAAGCAGCATTAGCCTGCTCTTCCGACACAGAATTCTCATCCTCTGCTGACGTTCGAGCCACTGTCAATTCCACAGCTTCCGTGGCCAAAAACTTGACCACAAAACCTGTAAACTGAGTATCACCCCATCGGCCGTCGCGAAACCAATACGCTCGTCCTTCGACGTCCACTTTCCTCGTCCACTCCTTCCTCCGTTGAGCACGCGCATGACGACGACTAGTCTGCACCGAGTGTGTCGCCGTGACCAGCTCCACCCTGCTCTCGCGCTTGAACAGTGGTAACAGCGACAGCCGCGTGGACAACCGCTTCTTGCCTGCCGTGTCTCCACTACCTCCGTCTTGCTGCTCGCCGCTGACGACGACCGCCTCCCCGCACACGGTGCAGAACTTGAAGCGCTTAAAGTTCTCGAAGCCGCAGACCGCACAAACGTTGAACCCCTCCTCTGCGTCTCTCAGCGCTGCGTCCAGCCGACGGTCTTCAGAGCTGCGTGGTGCAGTACAATAGGCTACAACGTCAGTCTTCTCTCTACCACGACAAATGCACCGACCGATTCGAGGGAGAAAGTTGTGACGCACTTGAGCAGCGGGGCGTGCAGCTCGAGGGACCGCTGGCGCCGCATGTAGGCGCGTCTCGCCAGCATGGACAGACAGAAGAAGAGCAGCGCTACGATGGCGAGCACCGCGAGGAAGCCCAGCACGGCCTCCATGGGCGCTTGCGGTCGAATCCGAGAGTGCAAGGTCCACTTGGCGTCCATCTGTCGAGCAACAGCTACCGTCATTCTGATTCGCTCGCCGCAGAAGTATTTGCCATAGATAGCGGTTGCATATAAGTAGAAAGGTTAACAGGAAGTGGAGCGTATACTTTTGGGGTCGTCAAATGGCGGTACAGCTGGATGAGTGTGCAAAGCCTGAACTGTACACCGAAAATAATGCTCGCGCTCCGATTACCCGACGCCGCCGCGCTGGTCATCAAGCACTTGCACCTCAACCCGCAGCGGCGTCTTCATTACTTTCATGCTCGTTTCAAGAGGTTGTCAGTCCGTCGTGAAGCCGTACACTTCCGTGTTCAGCATGGCGTACAGCACCGCCTTCAGCTCGTCTCGCACCACATGCAGCGGCAGGTCCAGCCGATTGAAGCACGCGTGGCTGTGGATGAAGCCGTCGCCAACCAGCGGCACGGCATTGAGCGTGAACGGGCACAAGCGACCATCGTAGCTCGTCAACGCGCTGAAGCCGCCCAGCGGCACGCGCGACGAGCCCGTGGCGAACTGCAGCAGGCGGCGTCGGTACTCGTCCGGCATCTCGCGCACCAGCTCCCAGAACCATTTGAGCGACCGGTGGTGGTACAGCACTTTCGAGTGTTTGGTGTTGCGCTCCCAGTCGTCCACGTCGATCTCGTTGGAGCCACACAGCAGGAAATCGAACTCCTCCGGGTCGAAAAGCAGCAGCAACTCGCGAGGAACGACCTCGTACAGACCTTGCAGGAAAACCTGCAGTTGCTGCTCCACACTCTCCACCATCAGGTACTTCCACTTGCGCTCCACGAACTCGCTCTTGTTGCTGTCGTTGACGGGAATTGCACTCCCGCCAGGCACCAGCTCGACGTCGCGGTAGTGATCTCCATCCTTCACGGTAACAGTGAAATCAAGTCCCAGTGCGTCGGTGCCATCGTTGTCGAGAAGCCAGCGGAGGTTTGCATACACTTCCGGATCGAAGTCTTCCAAATCCGCAAAGCTCAGGGGGTAACCTAGCATCAGCTTTAGCAGAGGTGGTGCCAGGTGGAAGCAGAGCATGGAACCCTCGAGAAGCGCACGTCCAAGCAGGCGGCCGGCCGCGAACAAATGCAGCAGTTGCCTTGGCAGCGTTTCAGCATTTACACACGGGCTCAGGCAAAAGGTTTGTTCGCTCTTGTTCGCGCAGACGAAAAGCCCGTGCGCCGGCTCCACTAGAGCCTCGTTGAGCATGACGAACCACTCACGTTGCAGTCCTCCAGCGTCGACCCCTTTTTCTTCAAGGAAATGAATGCGCAGTATTGAGTGAAGTTTGTGAAGCGGGATAATAGCAAGGGACTCCATCGAGTCAGCAAACATGTCGGCACGATTAACACTGAGGCGTAAATGCTCTCTTTCAGCAGGAACCAGCAGGGCGGAAGCACTCATCACAAAATGGGCGTACTTGGAGGGGAAATCTTTGCCAATGAGTGTCATCGACTCGTTCAGAGATATCGAGGTGCTTCGTTTCAGAGCAGTCGGGGTTGGCCCGACCTGGACATCAAGAGACAGCTTCGAGGCATCCAATCCAGCGTCTGTCGTCGACCTGAGCTTGCAATGCTTCGACGATACATTTTTCTCCAGCGCAGCAGTGCGTTCTTCAACAGATCCAACAGAACGGCGTGAACTCGATCGGTTCCTGTCTCCATCAGTGTAGTGCAGTTCTTGGTCTGACACAGGGGACTTTAGACCACCAGTAATCGGAGCATCAATTGCATCGTTCGAGAGAGAATCTACCCGAAAGTACGTGTCCCCAGAGAGCTCCACCGCCGCGGCTCCCTCCGTTTCTTCCTGTTTTCCGCTTGCAGGCTCAAACTCAGCAACAAAGGCTGCTGCGAGGGTGTTATCAGCAGCGTACCGGCTGTCGCGAAACCAATACATTCGCCCTTCCACATCCAGTTTGCGCGTCCATTCCTTCCGGTTCCGCGCTCGTAGGCAGCGACGAGTTGCTTGCCTCAAAGGCAGCGGCTTCGAAGGTGTCAATTGCACGTGTTTCTTTCGCCCGAACATGGGTAGAAGCGGTTTCTTGTTCTTCTCCTCACCGGCACTTTCACCTTTTCCTCTTTGCTCCTCATCATCGGTCTTCTCCAGAATCGGTTCCCCACAAACCGTGCAAAATCGGAAGCGCTTGAAATTCTCGAAAGCGCAGACTGTACACGTATTGTACCCTTCTTCAGCATCCCTTACGCACAGAGGTGACAACCATTAGCTCTACAGACCGTTCCAGACAACCTTCTTTAACGGAGAGCAACCAACCTTAGCGCTGCATCCAAGCGTTTATCCTCCGAGCTGAATTAAAGCACGAACAACCAATCCCGTCACACGACAGCCATTAGAAGATGCAAGGGTGCTTGACATGTTCGGGCGACGGCGAGCTCACTCGGTCACCCGCTACCGCCAATTTCAACGTAGTACGCACTCGATCAGCGGCGCGTTCAGCTCCGCCTCGTGCTCGAACCGCTTGAACGAACGCCGCGCCAGCCAGCCGAAGAACAGCACGAAAACCAGCGCGACCGCAGACGCCACGGCGATGGTCACCCCCGCAGACATCGCTTAGGTCGAGCGCGAAACCGAGAATGCCGCGCTTGAGGACATCTACAACCAGGGGTTGCTGTAGCAAGCGTGTGCAAATATCACAGAAATTTTCGCTCCGGTGTGTGATACACACAGTGCGCAATGGATCAAGAAAGGGATGATCAGTTTTGAGGAGTGCGGTGTGGATGCAGTACCTCCGATCAAAGTTTTCCAAAGTCCCTTCGTCAAAGGGTTCGTTTGTTGACCGCAGTGCTGATACGTTCACCTTCGAGCCCACAATGTGGGTGCTGTTGAAAATCCAGGAGGAAGTCGACTTCCTGGGGGTCGAACAGCAGCAGCAAGTCGCTCGCAAAAAAGACTGGCACCTTTCCATCAGTAGGTGCTGCCATTTGCCTGCTGGGTGACAGCAATGGCGCCGCTGTCTCGATAGACGGACGTCTCCATCATTCGTCCTCACTCTTTACTTCTCGTCTGAAGCACGCGCACACTTCCGTTGCTATTGACTAGACACTGGCCGACAGTAGAGAAATGACTTCGTACAGAAGCAACGATAATTATTTAGCAAAATTTCCTACGACTGCTTTTTACAATAGCTTTGGTTCATAGTAGAGTGTTGAGCTCCTCGGAGCTGACGTTATGCTGTCGTGAACCCCGTGAGATCGGTGTCCAGCGTAGCGTACAGCATGTTCTTCAACTCCTTCTTGCTGTGATACAGTGGCAAGTCGAGACGGTTGAAACACGCGTGGCTCGAAATGTACTGCGTCGTCTTGTACGGCACGCCCTTGAGGGTAAACGGGCACAGACGACCGTCGTAGCTGGTGAGGCCACCAAAACCCGACAGCGGGACGCAGGCAGATCCCGTCGCGAACAGCAGAAGGCGACGGCGGTACTCGTTGGGCATTTGCCGAACAATCTCCCAGAACCAGCGGGTGACGGTAGCGCCCTCGAGATTGGGAGACAACACGGTGTTACCCTCCCAGTCCGTCACGTCAATCTCGGGGGAGCCACACAGCAGATAGTCGAACTCTTCCGCGTCGAACGTCATCAGCATCTCACGCGGGATGACCTCGTACAGACCCTTCAGGAACGCGTACATCTGGTCTGCCACACTCTCGAAGAGCGCGTATCGGAAGCGCCGATCCAGATACTCGCGCTTGTTCGCGTCCGTGACGGCCACGTTTCGTCCATTGGGGATCAAGTCCACCACAACCTTCTCGGAATCGTTCACTTGCTCGATAATACTGAAGTCGAGTCCGAGATCATCCACGCCGTCGTTGTCCATTAACCATCGCAGACTGCGGTAAGTTTCGGGGTCGAGGAACTCCATGTCGGCAAAAGTGACCGGCATGCCCAGGATGATCTTCAGCAACGGCAGTGCCAAGTGGAAGCCCCAGATGCCACCTTCAAGCAGAGCTCGACCAATCAGTCGCCCAGTGGCAAAGTAGTAGGCGAGGTGGTCCTCGCCCACCTCGGCGCGCGACTGCGGGTTGAGGAAGTAGCTCTGGTCGGCCTTGTTCGTGCACTTGAAGAGCTGAAGCGTCGGCGACGCCAGCATTTCGTTCACTAGCATGAACCATTCGCGGTGCACGCCGCCAGCGTCGACGCCGCTTTCGTCCAGGAAATTGATGCGCATGAAGGAGCGCAGGTTCTTGGGCTGGATGCAGTACATGTGGTCCATGGACTCCTCGAGCATGTACTCGCGGTGCACCGAGAGCTTGAGGAACTCCACCTCCGCAGGCACGATCAACGACGCCGTGCTGACGACGAAATGCGCGTACTTGGATGGGAAGTCGCTCTCGGCCAAGGACACGGCCTCCTTCCTCCTCTCAGCTCCGGCGTCCGCCAGCGTCGATTTGCCCGTGGCGAACTCGGCCGGATCCGACGCCGACGCCTCCACCAGCTCCAGGTGCACGTCCGTGGGCAGCACTGGCTTGGGGTCTTCGGCTGTCTCTTTGTCCTCCTTCGGCTGCTCCACAGCCAGCACCAGCTCTGTGTCTGCCGCCTGCCCTGGCTCCTGCTCTTGCGCCTCTTCATGCTCACTCGTGCGTTCGTTCTCCTCCTTTTCCTTCTGCTGCTGCTCCTGCTCGGGTTCCTCCTCTTCCGGGAACTTGAAGCGCACCGTATATCCAGGCATGAGCGTGTCTGCCTCGCTGCTGGCGGGCAGGTTGCTGCCGCCGCTGCGGTACCAGAAGAGGTTCCCTTCCACGTCCAACTTGCGGCTCCACTCCCGGCGGTTCCTGGCGCGCCGCTGCTGGCGACTGAGCGACGACATCTTGCGCGGCCGCGGGGACATGACGAGCGACGAGCGCGCGTCACTCGCCACCACGTTCAGGGCGCGCACCGACTCCTGCCGCTCGTTCTCGTCGCTGCTGCCGTCGTCGTCCTCGTCGGCCGTGGCCATGGACAGCGACGGCAGCTTGTCGCCGCACAGCACGCAGTAGTCGAAGCGCTTGAAGTTCTCGAACTCGCAGCTGGCGCACTGCGTGTAGCCGGCCTCGGCCTCGCGCGTGGCGGCGTCGATGCGGTGGTCCACCGACTCGCCCGAGAGCAGCGGCACCTCCATGTCCAGCAGGTGGCGGTTGCGCCGGCACGCCATGAGCCACACCACGAAGAAGATGACGCACAGCAGCAGCATGCCGATGCCCTGGTACAGCATCGACGCCTCGGTCGTGGTCGCGTTCTCGCCGTCCATTGCGCACGTGCACTACAAGCCCGCAGCGAGCGGGGTCCGGTCCGGTGCGAGGCGATTGAAGACTGTGCACGGCAGCAAGGCAGTCACACGCAGTGTTCCGGGATCCGCCCATCACCGCCTATACAAAAGGCAAGTCGCGCCCCAGCTGCTGCGGATTCTATCGGATGGGGATTACGCCGATTTTTGGTCACTGGAGCTGGGTAATTATAACGAACTCCCTCGCGATAAAGGCAATCCAGCACGAGATTAAAGTGTCGATGTTGGTATCCAAAGGTAGTAGGGACCAGCAGACGAACATTTAGCTCGCGTTAAAGCGACATTTGCCAGATGCCCAAAGCGCCCCGAAACATTACATGTTCGGGTGGTTTGCTTCGGACCTGCTGCGTGTGGGCCTGTCGGCCCCGTACGTATATGGTGGGCGCTGCATGATTCATTTTATGGGCGCTGCTTGTTTCACGCCGCAGCGACCCCGGCCTCAAATTTCGGATCAGCGACTTCAGTTGAACCGGTCCGTGACCTACACTTGCCATCTTTTGCAAAACGGTCCACGAAGTTTATGACAACGGTCCTTTTTTACCTGCATCTCTGTATGTAGGCACGAATCGATGATGGCAGCACCAAAGTGCTCTCCGTTTACGCAGTGCGTCAGCAGCTTCAAGTGGAAGTGCTGAATTTTGGCGTGTTGGCCCAGTTGCACCGAAGAGCAGAAATACAGCACCAATGACTCATTGGTCATTGGCATGCGCAGAGCTCCTGTTCAACAGGAACAGGAACGGCAGACTGCTGTTCCAGGACTCCTTCTGTTCTTACGTTACTGGTACAGTCAGCGAGCTGAAAAAATATGTCGCTGACATTCGGATAAGCTGTCTAGCCTCGACGAAGCTTTGTAAGACTTCACACGTTTCGCTGTAGTGGGGTGGATATGATGCTGCGCGATCAAAGTCTTGCGTTGTCGCTCTCGATAAACTTGCCCAGACGCGGAGAATCGATTGTTTTGAGGCGCAAAGCATGTTCATGTGCATCTGGGTGGGTCGCTGCAGGATGGTGTAATAATAATAATACATTTATCATGCTTGAAGTCTGCGCTGTTGACTACGCCGTCGTGAACCCGTACGTCTCCGTGTTGAGAGTGGCGTAAAGCACCTCCTTGAGCTCTGCCCGAGTCGACACCAACGGCAGGTCTAGCCTGTTGAAGCACGCGTGGCTTCGGATGTATGAAGAGTGCACGCCCTTCAACGTGAACGGGCAGATCTGTCCGTCGTGGCTCGTCAGGTGCCGGAAGCCCCCGATCGGTACTCGCGAACACCCCGTCGCAAACTGCAACAACCGACGCCGACACTCGGGGTTCATATCTCGCACAAGTTCCCAGAACCACCGAAGTACTCGTGTCCCCGTCAGATTCCTGGAGCACCGCGTATGTGTCTCCCAATCCGTCACGTCGATGGTGTCGCAGCCACATAGCACGTAGTCGAACTCCTCCGCGTCGAAGAGCATCAGGATCTGCCGCGGAATCACTTGGTACAAGCCCTTCAGAAATACGTACAGCTGGTCCGAAACACTTTCCAGCAAGAAATACCGCAGCCAATGCTCCGCAAACGAGTGTTTGTTGGAGTCTGTGACCGAGATATCTCCTCCATTTGGCACGAGCTCCACCGTCACCACGTCCCCCTTTGCATCCCGTCTTGTCGCCGTAAAATCTAACCCCAATGCATCCGCGCCATCGTTTTCCAACATCCACAGCAGACTCTTGTACGTTATCGGGTCGAAGTCTTCGTAGTCGCGGAAGGTGAGAGGGATACCGAGGATGATCTTCAGCAGTGCAGGTGCAAAGTGGAAGCCCAAAACTTCACCGTCTAGCAGAGCGCGACCGACGAGACGCCCCACTGCAAAAAAGTAAGCTAAGTGTTCCTCGCCAATCTCCTCTTTAGAGTTTGTGTTGAAGAAATACGTCTGGGTCTCGCGATTTGTACAAGTAAATACGCCCAACGACGGATCGATCATCAGCTCTGTCACAAGGGTGAACCACTCACGATGCACACCGCCAGCATCTACAGCAGTCTCCGATGCAAAATCGATTCGCACCACTGCACGAGTATCGCTGTCATCCATGCAGCAAAAATATTCCATCGATTCTTCCACCACGTGTTCACGACGCAGGAACAGCTTCATCACTTCCAACTCTGCGGGTACAATCAACGAGGACGTGCAGACCACAAAATGCGCGAATTTCGTCGGGAAATCCTTTCTCGACAGATCTAGGAACCCCTTGATGTCGACATTCCTCGACGAAGGCGCCCCAGTCGCGAACGCAAGAGCGTTCGCTTCTTCAGCAGGCACGGTCTGGATCTTCATTAGCCTCGTCTCATTCTGCAGTTTGGCAATGACCCACCCAGGTTCTCCGTCCGATGGCTCTAGAGATACCCCCGTCTCTGCTGCTTCTTCATAGCCGTCTTCTTCTCTATAGAACACTGGCACGTATCCAGGATACTGGAAGCACTCTTGGGTCGCCTCACGATACCAGAAGACTTCTCCACACTTCATTTGCCGCTGCCACTCTGACCGACGTCTGTTACACAGCACCGCCAGTACAATTCAATGTGCAAGTGAGTAAGTGTCCTACCTGCAACGCATAACCAAAAACCAACGACCATGAGCCGACCTTGCACGCAGTTGTCGCGCAGTGAGTGGGCCCCTCGCTCGCGCTTTCTCTGTCGGCGAGAGCTTTAGCTTCTCCCCGCAAATCACGCAGAACCGGAACCGCTGCGTGTTGGCAAAATCGCACACTCGGCAACGCACGACCTCCTCCTCCGCCTCTCTGTGAGGCACACCACAGCGTCCAGCACACCATCCCAGTCAGCAAGTCTACCCATTGCCTCCACCAGCCCGCTACTTTAATATCCCAAAGTTACGCGTACAGCGTTGCAATGTCGACGCGGTGCTCTCCGGTCGTATCTCCCCTGCAGTATAAGCCACCGCTCAGTCAGAACCCTCCGCCAGCTCAAGAACCAGGGATTCGCGACCTGCCTGGCGATCAGCGCCTGCTGCAGCTCGCTGGAGCTGCGCTGGTGATACTTGCGCTGCAGCGCGCGGAACATGAAGCCGATGAGCAGGTAGAGCGTCACCTGCGAGGCCACGATGAGCAGCACCAGCAGCTCCGTCATCGCTTCGCTCTCTCTCTCTCTCTCTCTCTTCCGGAGCTTCTCGCTCTCTCGGAGCATAATCAATTTTTTCAAAGGTCATTCATCTGAACACCTTACATGCTTTAAGAGTCACTATGGCGAGGTAATTTGTATTTCAGGAAAATCATCTCCGGATCGGTACAACATGAGCACCACTGCGCTGAGCGACAAGAGCGCGCTGGTGCTGGAGCTGGGCGGGCGCTACGTCCGCTGCGGAATATCCGGGGAGCGCGCCCCTCGCTGCGTGACTCGCTGGGAGGTGCGTCGTCCTGCTGTCCGTTATGGCCAGTAGTGAGTGCTGATACACAGGCGTCTCTGTCCGTATTCGTAGGTGGGCGACCTGCTGCTCAAGCCTCTGAGCGCCGCGGACTGGCGCCGGTATCTGTACCCGAAGCTGCACGCCCTGTGCTTTGAGTGAGTTTTGCGTGCGGGTGGGTGGGCTGTCCATTGGTTGCATTGTCACTGGAGAGCTAACGCTCTTGTGGACAGTCTGCTGCTGGTGAATCCGACGCGCCGGCGCTTCCTGGTGTGCGAAGATCTGCTGCTGCCCCGCGTGTTCCGGGAGACGCTGCTCAACATCCTCTTCGATGTCATGAAGGTGGGAGTTTGGTTGCACATGGCGTCTTTGATGGTGGCTGACTGAGAGCGCCTGGGGTTTTAGGCGTCTGCGGTGACGTTGGTGCCGTCGATGCTGGCGGTGCTGTATGCCACGTCCAACCACACGGCGTTGGTGGTGGACTGCGGCTGGAAGGAGACGAGATTGCTGCCGGTTTTCAAGGGCATCCCTCTGCCTTATCTCTATGAGAGTAGGTCCCCGTTTTTGGCTTTACTTGCGCTTTGGAGATACTGATAGCGTCATTGGCTTTGTGGTGTGATAGCTGTTCCTGCTGGAAGTCGGAACTGCTGCGAGTTGATCAAGAAAGAGCTTAATGTCGCTCAAGACCAACCGATGGACGGCTCCAAGGTCGAATCGCCAGTGACGGAGGCGGTGGAAGAGGACATCCTTGAACGAGCGTGCTTTGCCCAGCAAAAGGTTGGCCTGATAGAAGTGTATTTGTGCAGTGGTGATAGTTGGTTTTACGGGTAACTTGGTATCATCGTAGGATCCACTGCCAAATGTTGTCGACGCCAAGTTCCAAACCCACGACAACAACGTTCTGCAGGTCGTTTGACTGCAGAAAAATAATACCTGGGTTGTGCAGAAGGTAATTGTGAAGTTATGTGTTTGCTTGGTCGACAGGTCCCCGGAAGTCTGCGCACAGGCGCTGTGGAGCAACTGTTACTAGGTATGCTGTGCTTACGTTGCCCTGACGATCTATCAATTAGCTCTAAATGCTTGTTTCCTATGCTCGCGCAGGCGACGAAAGCACGGATGGAACGTCAATTGTTGACGGCATTGTTCAAGTTTTAAAGAAAACCCCGCTTGACGTTAGGGCCGCCATGCTGGAAAATCTGCTGTTCGTTGGAGGAACCGCAATGATTCCAGGTATTTAGATTTTGGATATTTTGGAGATGGATCGATGTGCTGACCAATTTATCTTGCTTCGTCTTGCTTGCCAGGCTTGCCGCAGCGTATTATGGCAGAGGTTCGCGAGTCGCTGCATCACGATAACGAGTTCGCTTCTGCTTCAGTTGCTGTAGACCGCGCACAGCTTGTTCAGACCTATTTCCCTCGGAATGTGCTAGCGTGGGTTGGAGGTTCCATCTATGCGGCGACCGAAAGCGCGCGGGCATCGGCGATTTCCTCGCAAGAGTACAGCAGCTCCGGAGGCACCAGCATTCCTGACTGGCTTACTGTTGCTGACGGCGAATTTTGAGGTTGCGTGATAAGCTGAAATACTGGAGGGTGGTTTGAATGCTGAGTGTATTTCCTACTATCGGAGTTGCCAACTATGAAGGGGTTCGATTTATCAATTCGGTAAGCGGTACGACTTCAAGTGTCAAGATCTTATCGTTGTGCTTCATTTGCGCGCACTACTGTCGCGCTAGCGGTCAACGGTTTAGTTACTTGCTCGTACGCATTCCCAGTGGTTTCCCGGTGTCGTCCCATGGTGCCTTCATATTAAGATCAGGCATGCCCTTGAGAGTCGTGGTTGCACCGCTGGGTCGCTTCAATGGAGCTACGTGGTGCGGCAGTGCAGACTTTCGTGGCTGCATCTCCTTCGCCACCTTTGCATCTGAATCTCCCGGTGACTTGACGTCTTCCTCGCGCCGGTGTTCCTCCTTGGAATCAGCTCGGAACTGGCCCTTGTTACGAGAAGTGATGCAGTCGACGGCTGCTGCATCTTCTTCCTCGTCCGCATAGTCGCCTTCAACCTTCCAGAGACTAATGCGTCGCAGTTCTTCACACCCACGCACCCCGTTGCGGTAGGTTTTCAGCTGAATGCCCTCTTTCTGAAGAGAAACGTCCGGGAAGTTGGTGTCTAGGAGTGGCTGCTCTTCCTCGCCATTCTCGAGGTAGACGTAGAACGTGTAGTCGTAATATAGCAGCACAAGCACTACGCCACCTACGTGAATCTTGCTGGCAATGGCCTCCACGTCCTGGATGGTCAATGGACAACGTATGAGTGAGTCGCACACTACCTTTTAGCTGATAGTCCACTACGAGCGAGAGCCCACCTGGAATGCAGCGCACTTGTCCATAGCAATCTCGAAGAAGCACTCGACGTTATCGTCCTCGAGCCAGCTTCCAACGTTCCCTGATCCGTTGACGAAGGACCCGCCAGTGCGCGCCAAGGTTTGCACGAATTGCTCTGCCTTGGACATTTCCTCCTGCATTGCCGGCACGATTTCGGCTAGATGCTCCATCGACGGGGTGAATAGCGACGTCGCTGGCATCTTGGACACTTCGCACATAAAGGTCTGTCGACACAACAATGCTCAATGAGTGAGGTCGCCGCGAAGATGAAGGGGTCCACGAATCTACTTACCAGGGCATTCTGCTGCCGTCGCAGCATGGGGATGATGATCGGAATGTCGGACAATTCGAGCTTGGGTCCTAGATCAACGTGGCCATTGTAGCACCAGTTGCCGAATCGGAAGAGAACCTCGCGCAAACTCGGAGTATTTGTCGACCCTTCAGCGCGTGGAGTACGGTGGATGAGGAAGGTTTGGTTGTAGCCTGCGCCACTGACGTCCTTGCACTGCACCTTCAGTGGTTTCGGGGGGCTCTGATGCTTTCCGATATTCGCAGCCTGCCACAGCGTGAGCTTCTTCATGTTGCTGCAGTCGTCGTCGCGGTACGTCTGCAAGTGGATGCCCTGCAAATGGGCGGACAGATCCGGGAAGCGAACATCCAGGAGCGGCTGCTCGCCGTCCGCCGCCTGCAGCACGACGTAGAAGCTTCGTTGGTAGTAGATCACTAGCAGCACCAGACCGCGCACAAATGTCTTGCTCGCCACGATGTCGATGCCGTCGAAGCACTCGTAGCCGCCGCTCTGCAGCTCGAAGAAGGTCCGCGAGTTGCTGTCGTCGTCTCCGTCCACCCACGAGTGTTCCTCTGCAGCTTTCATCAGTTTGCGCTCAATGCGCTCGCTCGAGAGCTCAGCGCCGATGAAGTCGTACACGTCGTACAGAGTCTCTAGAGGAGTCGAGTACTGGGACGTCGCGGGCATGGCCTTCCACTCGCAGAGGTACTGCAGCGACGCCTGCTGCTTCTGCAGTGCCGGCACGACCACCGGCAGGTCGGCGAGCTCCAGGTCGGCGCTGCCCAAGTCGACCTTCCCGCTGTAGCACCAATTGCCACAGCGGAAGAGAACTTCATGCAGGTTGTTCTTGCTGGACCGGACGATGTACGTCTGGTTGTATCCGTGACGGAGCGCCACGACCTCGGGTGTCGGAGCTCCCGACTCGTCCGCGCTGATGTCGGCCTCGTCGGCCTGCGCCTTGGAAGCGGGCTTGCGCATGGTCTGGCGGTCGTCCTCGCTCTTGGCCTCCATTGTCGCGGCTGGGATCACGTCGAGTCTTAAGTGCTTGCTTGCCTCGAAACTGCTCCACTGAGCGCTCACGGACGGAGGGACGCTCCGGATCAAGCCGTACAGCTTCGGTTGTGAAACGATCGAGGCGGTCTCCGCTAATTCAGGCGCAATGTCAAAAACGGATAGCGGAGGCGCCACCAGGACAGGGCAAACTCTCGTCGTCTCATGTTAGGCTACATATCTACAGCTTTGCATTGCATTGCAGAGCGACAGCATGCTGAACTATGTGCAAGTGGGTCGCTCTATGCCTACCACTTGTGGGGCTGGGCCCATGCTCCGGTGGGCTTAGGACCTGCAGGCGCAGCAGCGCTGGGCGTCGGAGCTGCAGGCTTCGTGAGCGGCTTCGCCCACGCGTTTCCGGTGGAATTGGTGGTCTGCGGGGCTGGAGCGGCGGCACCTCCGGGCGGCGGGCCCCAGGCGGCACCGGGAGGCGGAGGCGGTGCCTGACGACGGACGTGAGGGTTCTGCACACGGGCATGGCGACCACGCATAATAGCCTGAATCTTGGTCGCGGCCTGCTGATCCGTCAGCGGCAGCGCCTCCGGGAAGGCCGTGCCGATATTGGCGTCCTTGCCGCGACCGAAACTGAAGCACTTGATGTTGCACAGGTACGGCCCTAGCTGCACGTGGTTGTTCTCCTGGCCGTTCAGGTAGCACATCGTGTACAGCGCCATCTCAAACTCGGGGCTCACACCGATCAAGCTGCAGCAAAAAGAAAGTCTTAGTTAGACGCATTCCCTGGATGCCTCCTTGATGATAATTTCATAAGCTGGCGCACCTCGTGGACACAGGCTTCATCTCGTCTTCCCACTGGAACTGGAACGTGATGAGCTGCTCCTTGTTGTGCGGCTCCATGAATCTGCAGCCACGCTGCTTGGGGCGGATATAGCCCCTGTAGTCGATGCGGCCGTTGCGCTCCTCGTTGTAGACCTGCAGCCAGTTGTGGCAGCCGCAGATCTTGCCCTGCTCAGCGATCGCCGCACAAAACGTAGCAATACATCAGCTAGTGCACGTTGATCCAACCCCCGCAATACAGACCCGTCCTCACATTCTTCTCCTCGCCCACGAACACGTGCTCGAAGCCCGACGAGTCGTTGCGCACTTCGCGCCGGTAGAGGCCGAACCAGATCTGCTCGAGCTTCTTCTTGAAATCCTGCAGGTCGCCCGAGAACTTTTTGTTCTTGACCAGCCAACTGCAATTCCACCCAGAACCATTTAGACCATAGAACGCTGCTATTGTTGCAACGAATTGAACGTACGCGTGCGCATAGCGCATGGGCGCCGTCTCCAGCACAGCGTTCAGGAACGCGTTGTTCTCCGCCAGCTCCTGGGGCGTCACCCGCTCCGTGACTCCGGTCTGCTCAGTCGCACAACCTCAGCGATTAACACCTTGCAACAAACACGCAATCAATTGCAATGCAACTGTCGGCAGCGCACCTCTCGCTCGTAGTTGTCCAGCAGGTCGAAGAGCAGCTTGTACGTGCGGCGCTCGAAGACGCTCGGGTCCACGAAGGTGAAGAGCGGCTCGCGCGCCACATCGCCGCGGGTGTACGCGGTCTTGCCCTCCTGCAGGTTCAGCTCGTAGTGCACGTTGGGCTCCAGCCGGTTGGAGTCGAGCTCCCAGAGCTTGTTACACGCGGCCGAGAGGCTCTTGAGCTCGGCGACTGCAGGCGACAGCTGGACATCGTCAGCCAGCTACATCTTCTGGCAACAGTGCTGCATTGCGATGAACGTACAGGTCGGGGTGGCGCTGGCCATGCTGCGGGCTTCGGGGCGTCCTCGGGGGTCGGCAGGCGATCGCGGAATGACAATTGCACGGGTCCGGCAGTATCCATCCCTGCTGTGGTTTACCCACACTGTCGTCAGTTGCTCTGGAGCGAATGATACAGCTGTTGATTTCCGCCAATCACCGCCCGGAAATCCATCGTGCCACCGGAAACACTGCTGCCACAGCGGTACATTAATGGACCCGACCGGAGCACATGCGGATCTTCAAAGATACTTTTTCTAGCTGCCCTTGCGTTTTCGGAGTTTTGGCAGCAGCGCAGCAACCGCTTAGCCCTATAAGACTAAGCTGGTGCGTTCCGATGCATAAGCTTCCGCATAAGCATCAGCGTACGCTGCGTTTTGTTGGGGGCAGGGCAAGCACGCGAAACCCTGCTGCAGACTCTGGCGCCGAGCCATTGCATTGCGCCAAGAGGCGAGCAAGCGAAGCATGGTGGCGCCAATGTTAGCGCGAGATGAGATGCTGCAGCTGTCGTACTCGGCAGCAAAGCAACTCAGATGGATGACCCGCAGGCGTGCCCTACGCTGCCCTGCACTCGCTGTGCTGTGCTGCGCTGCGCTGCCAGCATGGGATGCCACTCGACACCGAAATACAGGATCGAAACGCACCGGCGCCGCATGACGCGCCTAATGGATGGATTTAGCCTGCGATGCTGCCGACATGACATGGAAGGCCGAGTCTTACTGAGGCAACGGCACGGTGGAACTGAAGCTGGTTTAACACTGAGCGGCATCCCAGCACGATCGCGCGTTGGACGCCGACCTCGAACGCTCCCCATGGCACCGAATGCGCTTCCACAACGAACGCGAACTCCCTGTGCCCGACCTTTTGCCTGGATGCCCCGAGACCGAGAGGGGGTATCGCTGCCGCCACGATAAAAAGCCCGCAATGCTTGCCGCGCGGGGTTTCGCTTGGGCGTCCGTACCTATGTAACGGGCCTTTAACCCTCTGCGATCCCAATAACCTTTGATCCATAATCATCAAATTCGGCTGTTCCCGTAGTAAACGAATCTTCAAATCAAGTGCCCTTTCAAAATCCATGCACTTCCTGAGCGGCTACGTGACCGAGCTGGCAAAAAAAGGACAAGAGTGGTTTTGCCTGGGCTTGGCTCCTTGAGCACCGATCGAGTGCGCTCGCAATGATGTGCCGTCGGCGCCACACTCGCACTCGCCTCGCCGCGCGCAGACCGCTCCCCCCGCCCTGCTGACCAAGCCCCCCGCCAAGCTCCATGTGGGTCCGTCCCGGCGTGCTCAACTCGCGCAGACTGCTCTTCTCGTCCGCCTGCGGCCGCTCGCGCTCGTCGCTGGGCAGTCTGCGCGTCTTCACGTCCTCCCGCGCGGCGCTGCAGGCGGCGGCAGCGGCGCCCTCCGCCCCCGTCAAGGAGCCCGTCGGCGGCGGCTACAGCCACGGCCCATCCATGGCGCCGCCCGCCAGCGACAACCACCAGGCCGCGTTCACCGACTTCCTGCCGGCGGTGCCGCCCGAGTGTCTGCGCGTGCAGCAGGGCGTGCAGACGACGCGCGGCTCGGCGGCCGGCACCGTGGGGCCGTCCTCTTTCACCGCCATGTTCCGGGACATGTCGCCCTACATCAACTTCCACCGGGGCACCACCATGGTCATCCATCTGCCCGGCCAGCTCGTCGAGTCCAACCTCTTCGGCGCCGTGATGCACGACATCGCGCTGCTCAACACGTTCGGCATCAAGCTCGTGCTGGTGGCCGGCTCGCGGCCACAGCTCAACCGCCAGCTGGCGCTGCGCAAGCTCTCGCAGCGGTTCGACTGCGGCATGCGCATCACCGGCCCCATGGAGCTCCAGTGCGCCATGGACGCGGCCGGCTCCGTGCGCTTCCAGATCGAGAGCTACCTGGGCCGGGGCATCGTCAACTCCCCCGGACGGGCGAGGACCATTAACATCTCGTCGGGCAACTTCATCACCGCGCAGCCGCTCGGAGTGCGCGGCGGCGTGGACTTCAAGAACACGGGCGAGATGCGGCGACTCAACGTCGAGAAGGTGCGCGCGGCGCTGGACGACGGAGACATCGTGCTCATCTCGAGCATCGGCTACAGCGCCAGCGGCGAGGTCTTCAACTGCCTCTCGGAGCAGGTGGCCAGCAAGTGCGCGGTGCAGCTCGAGAGCGCCAAGCTCATCTTCATGCACGACGGTGAGGAGCTGGTGGACTCGCGATCCAACTCGGTGGTGCAAACCTTCGTGATCGAGCAGGCGCAGCAGTACGTGGAGCTGGCGCGGCAGAACCCGGACATCAGCGGGGACTTCCTGCTGTACTTGAAGGAGTCCATCAAGGCCTGCGTGAACGGCGTCAAGCGGTCTCACCTCGTCAGTCGACACGTGGACGGCGGTCTGCTGCAGGAGCTCTTCACCCGCGACGGTGAAGGTCTGATGATCACCAAGCACATGTACGAGGGCATTCGGATGGCCACCACCAACGACATCGTGAGTATCATGCGCCTCATCCAGCCGCTGCTTGATGACGACGTGCTCGTGTCGCGCGACCAGGAGCAGATCGAGAGCAATGTGGACACATTCACGGTGGTGGAGCGCGACGGAGCGATCATCGCGTGCTGCACCCTGCAGCCGTACGAGAACAATTTTGCCGAGATGGGCTGCGTAGCCGTGGACCCGACGTACCGCAACCTCGGCAAGGGCAACGCCATGCTCGGATACATCATGCGCAAGGCAGCGGCCATGGGCGTGACCAAGCTGTTCGTCATGACGACGCGAACAGCGCATTGGTTCATGGAGCGCGGCTTCGTGGAGGCGACAGTGAACGACCTGCCCCCGTCGAAGCTCGCGAAGATCGACCTCAAGCGGAAGTCCAAGGTCTACATCTGCGACATCAGCACCAAGGAGGCTCTGGACGAGAAGGAGATGCTCCTTGGTATGGAATGAGCCGGTGGTGGTGGTCAACTGCCAATTTTACGCTAGACTGACATTTTGCCTATCGGTCAACTCCGCGATTCCCTTAGAACGGAGCGAGCAGCCAGTCATATTTAAACTTTACAGCAAGCTGGACAGCACTGACCCTGCTCGGACGATTTCTCTTCTATCGCTTCTCCATGGTGCCTACGCCGCCAATTATTTCACTGACCTATTTGGCGAGGCTGTCTGATGTTTGGCAAGCGTAACCCGTGTATCCTTGGAAGCAGGAGCACATTCCCGTGCTGTAGTCGCACACTCCGCGGTTGGAGCACTCAACGAGGCACAAATTTCCTGCGGCGCCTACGAGGGTGCCACCGGGCACCGTCTTGCCCTGGCAGTTGGTTTCGTCTACAGTTGTGCCGGGGTCGTTTCCTGTGGGGCAGTGACCTGTTGAAGTTGAACAAGCCATCGCACAAAGTGAGCACCAGACATCGGACAAGTGCACCGCGCAGCTCTTTGGACGTACGTTTCGAGCAGTCCGCGCCAAAATACTCGGTGGCCTGCAGCTCGCCGCTCGCCGTCCCGACCGCCCAGCCCGAGTCGCAAACGCACCCAAAAATCCTGTCAGCGTCCCATGTGCTGGAGAACTGCAGACGACAGGCGACAATGTTGGCGAACTCTGCTGAATCGTCCGGCCAAGCCGTTGTGCATGTATGGGCGTACCTGTCCGCCGCCGTAGGTTGTTGGCGGAGAAATGGGCAACGCATTCTTTGCAGCAGCCATCTCGCTCATGCTCAAGCAAGTTCCTTGGTCGGAGCAGTCGTTGGAGCATCCCACTTCATGAACCAACAGTGTCGAGCATTCTTGTGAGCTACGAGCGACAACCACGCTTGGGTTGATAGATACTGTACGTACTTCGTTGGCATGCGGCGCCTTCAAACCCGGGGAAACACGAGCAGGTCCCAGAATTGCGGTCACAGACCCCCTTACCAGAGCACTCCACCAAGACGTCATGGGCTGTAGTAGCGTCCGTGGGAATGGAGCTCCAAGCATAATCCGATGGGCACACACCTGCATACAGGAAGGGATGTTAGCGATGAAACACTACCAAATGAGAATGACGCCTAATGTACGTGTAGAGCAGTCTGGTGACTTGTAGTCGGCGATATCGGTCGGCGCACCCCAGCCAGTGTCGCAAATGCAGACCTTGGATAACAGCGTGCAGGTGCCATGGCCACTGCAGTCATTGATGTACGTGCAGCCTTCGCCACCGATGGTCGTGCTCTCCTCGATTGTGTTGCCCCCGGCATCTTTTGTGCGCACAATGAAGTTCCCAGTCGCCGAGTTGGGAGGAGTCGTGACCTTGTCGAACGTGAAGGAGAGACCAGTGGCTGGGAGGGTATTTGCACCTGCAATTTTGATCGACACTGAACTTGACGTCGAGGTGCTCAGAGTAGCGCTCGGAATGCCAGCCAGGGAGCTGATGATGACTGGAGCTGCGCCAATACTGTAACCTGCAGGGAGAACGGCTTCAATAAAGCCCCCGGCAGGAATTGTGGCAACAGTGTCCAACGTCACAGTAGCTGTCGTAAGCGTGTTGGGGGTCTTCAGTAATGGACGCACACGGCCGTAACTCAGCGGCTTTTTGACGATTGGAGTGCCCGATACGGTTGTCAGTTGCTCGAACAAGTTCCCGCCGCTATCGGTGATCTTCACTGTGTAATCCTCCCAGGTGGGGGAGCAGTATTCCACAATGAACTGGTCGCAGGAAGATCCAGGGTTTACGATGGTCTCGAGTGTGAATCCACGGCCAGTTCCTGGGGCGACTGCGGTGTTACCAGTTGTAACTCGTATCTTGGTTGAGCTCAGCAATACAAATGCGGCGTTTATCGTGGGCAAGTTGACGATGTGGCTAAATGCCACGCCGCTGATGTCGAAACGTGATGGGAATGTCACTTCGACTCGACTTCCCGACGGGATGTAGGCCGCGTTGGCGAATACGACGTAATAGTCAGTTGAAATCCCGGCAAAATAGGACACTGGTGTCAGCGACGCTGATGGGAGTGTTGAGCTCGTGTAGGTCAGTCCGGGAATGGCCGTGTTGACCTGGAAGATGGCTCCTGAAGAGTGGCGCGAGTCAATGCCAAAAACGCCCGTCGTCTGTGCTGCCGGATTGATAATGTTGTCAAATGTGATTGACACCGTCGTCCCTGCTGCAACGTCTTGTCCGGCAATCGTGAGCTTTACGTACGGGGAAGCCACTTGAACCACAGTAGAAGCCACGTCGATATTCACCATGCTTGACAGAGCCGCGCCCGAAAAAACAATCTGGCTGTTGCTCAGCGCTGGAAACCTCAGTGCAATCGCGCTACCAACGCGCAAGGTAATATCGGTAGTGAACGTGACGGTGTACGTCGTTGTCCTGCCGGCCACCAGTGATGCCGCCGTCACTGCTGCAGTATTCGAGATGGTCCCTGAGGTGAACGTGGATCCGGCTACTGTAGTGGACTCAATTGTCATGCCGCTTGAGCTCTTAGTGCGGATCGAGCAGCTCGATGTTGTGCCCTGGCCTGCGGAGCATCTTGTCAGTCGCTGCTACACATTCAAAGCTCTTTGCAAAGGTCACCTCCACCTGGATTCTGGATCCCATCGAGTGTGAAGGAGATCGCCCCCGGGACAGCGTCCGTATTAACGATCGTGATGGTTGCCTGGCCGCTTGCAGACGTCGCCAAAACTGTGCTCGCAAGGTCGATACCTCCGATATTGCTGAGTGTTGCGGACGCCACGTAGAAGGTGGAGGGGAAGGTCACCACGATCGTTCCTCCGACGGGGATGGTTGTGCCTGTAGTGAACGTCACGTCCACAGTCCCAGTGACGCCAGCAGTGAGAGACGCCGGCGTGACGGATGCCGACGAGATCGCTGCATCGATCATCTTCGCACATGACTGCCAGAGAAGCAGTAGCAGCAGTAGTGACCACGGCATCACTCGCGCATCAAACCTTGGTATCCTTTGCGGCCTTTCAAGATGCAGATGGCTACATAGAAGTTCCAGTAAAGTATCAGCGGCCAAGTCACGACTAGGTCATGACCTAGACACATGGTATTCGTAGGTATCACCACATTAACCCCGTGTTACCTGGCAAATATCAAGGTCAGGTCATGACCTAATTGCTGTGTTCCTATTGGCTCAACATTCGCGTTTTCTCAACAACTCTTCCAGAACCAGTCGACCCCGCGACGCTGCCGCCGCGTACGACGCCCGTTATGGACGGTGAGTTGCTGTGCATGCATACTCTTTTCGGCTCTCTCTTCGTAGCCGTGGTGATGAATCTAACCTACCTCATTTTGCTTTGCTAGCGGGACCGTCCTCTACATCACGAGCGCCGACGCGTGGCCAATAGCCACCAAGCGGCTGCGGCAGCCCCACAAGAAGGTGATCGTCGTGCCCCATCACGTTTCAGTTGCTGTATGTGAGGGAAAGCTTACATAGCACTTCGTGCAGGTGTTCGTGCAGGTGCTGCTGCAGTTTGGCTCGCTTCCGCTCGACCTGCAGGACAAGCTCACTAGGTGTGCATGTATCCACAAGCATGAGGCTGGACGTGCACTATAGCAAACTACTCTTGTATGAGCACACCTACCTTGTGGTGCTGAGCCTACCTGAGCCCGAGTCGCTGGACTTCGACTTACCAGGCCCAGCGCGCAACACAGCAGCACAGCATGTAAGTGGGTGGGTGTAAAGGCCCTCTAGTGTCGGTGAATTTTAATTGGAGGCTAACCAACGCATTATCGGATTCGGTGACATGGACACCAGAAGATGAGAAGCCATTGATTGACCCTTCAATTTAGACACTCAAGCCTCCAGTCAGGTAAGAAGTTGTTTTATTAGTATGATGTTATGCTACACGAAGGGTACTAATTAACTTGTTTGCTGCGCAGTAACTTCGAGAATCCATCTATGCTTCGACGCCCCCGTTCAGAGTCAGCCTAGGCGATGGCTACATCGGCTGTCATCCCCCCTCAACCAACTTGCGTACGTACTTGATGACATACAACCGTCTCGAGAAATACTTCGTTTCCTTTGCTGATGATCTCCATTTTGTCCCAAATGTCGACTCTAGATATTTAATAGAAGGTCGGTTGGCCAAGCCTTCATGCCATTCAACCCACAGCTCTTTTACCGTTGATGGTTGACGACTCATACTGTATTGTGGTACAGCCGATGAGCTGAGAGGCGGGGTCAGTTGTTGCTGCTGTTGGGTATCAGCTGATTGTTCAACTCCGTCACCACCTCGAACTGTCGTCTGGCTGTGGAGTCTGCCTGAGGAGTCCGGCACAGGTTGCAACCGGAAAGTAACCTCGCCCTGGAGAAACGAGGTAAGTTGCTGCTCCGAGTGTTCCACCAAGTTGACTAGTTGTCGGTGACCTGATGATATCGTATCCATGACTGTGGAGTGCTGTGTACTTAGTTGCTGCGCGAGTAAAGGCATTGCAACTTGAAGTTGCATCTCCACGGGGTGCTCAGTTGAGCTGGCCCTGGCAAGTGCCTCAGAGCGGTATTGCTGGAACTGTTCACCAAAGATTTCATGCTGTTGAACAGTAGTGGGCAGGAGCTCATACAGGAACGCAGCGTCCTCAAGCACGGCGATCCGTAAGTACTCCAGCAACTCGATAAATCCACGTGCTGCCAAATTTTGTTCCCAGTCTCCATCCAATATTTTCTTCTTGTATGTTTCAAGATCAGGGAAAATCTTCCGTTGCAGGTCTTGGGGAGGTTCCACACAGGCTCGCTCCAGATAGTACAGCCGCGAACGTGCGGGGTGCCCTGACAAGGCGCGCATAGCTTCCCGTGCGAGCGGAGCTGAGTATACACCCTCCATTGTGTCTTGCCCCCATCTGCCATGTCTACGAGTTTGGGAGCTGTCCACATCGCAGCGTTCAAGCTACCGAACTCCCTGCTGTCTATTGGTGTGCGTCTTCTTGTTAAAAGTTAATCCGAGACGATTGAACACACTCTCGTAACGTTTCTTGTGGGTGTTGTACGAAATTGACTTCGTACGAGTGCGACCACGCAAAAACTTGACGTCATACCAATCTTTTGCTGTACGAAAGAAAGGAAAGGGCTCCAAATCGATATGAAAGCGCTCGAACAGGTAAAACGCAACTGCACCAACAGGGCATACGTGAACATCTTTGTTGCGAATATAGCCGACGTGCTGGAGCTTCCCGTACATGTTTGTCTTTCCGTGCTGGATTAGTATCACCAGAGCGATACAGGTCTGAAATCCTCCTCCATCCAGCACCTGAGAGAACATGTCGGCTAGCTCGAGGTCACGTGCGTTCTCCCCGCGTAGCAACCCAAAGTGCGATACCAGAAACGCCGCCCGCCCACGCAGATCGCCCAAAAGAAAAAAGGTGTCACAAATCTGTCGGAATTGCTCCTCAGAGTGATACCCATCGAGCAACGAACCAACACCACGATCTTGGTAGTTCTTTTTCCGTGTTTCCGTTGTTTGGGCTTGTACATTCTTTATCAGCTGCTTGACTTGAGCAGACCGGGGATGGACATTCGAGTTAATCTTCAGCGCGACTTGTTGGTTGTAGAGATCGACGATTGCATTCACGTAGCCGCAAACAGTCGAACCGCCAACGAACGTGCCCTTCTTCTTCTTGGATTCTCGACCTACCACCTGCTCCGTCAGGAAAAGGTGAAGCTTCCCTTTTGTGACCGTAGCTCCATCGCAGAAATGCTTTTCACTGCACCAACTCTGAAACTCAGTCTGATAGCTTTCATACTTTCTCTTCGTGTTGATCGGACGCGTATCTAGAGTTGCCTGTAGGGTAGCCCGTTCGCTCGCTTCTATCTGCATCTGCACCGCACTGTCATCAGCCTGCTGCCCCTGCCCCGAAGCTGTCGTTGGTGCCGCATAGGAGCGGATCGAGATGCCAGAGTTCCTCCCCATATTGCGACCTTCTGTGTTGTCTCGAATGAGTTCAGGTAAAAAAAGAAAAGTATCATAGTTAGGTCCCAAATCTGATAGTGACTCGGGTCATGACCCCTGTACCCAGCTGTGATGATACCCATTAAACACTTCTGGAACTGATGAGTTCGTATATCCAGGCCCAGCACCTCGATACTCGAACTTACTCGACGTCAGTGTGAAAAGCATCAAGTGAAATGAATATGTGGCGTCGAGCTCTAGTGCGTTGCGCGCTTGCGCTCCAGCCGTCGCACGCCGCGTCCAGGTTGCTCCCATCGCAGCCTCTGCGCCTGTTGTCCTCCACTCCGTCTGCCCTGGTGCGTGCGACCAGCGCCGCGTTCCCGCCCTGCCGCTGCTCCAGCCACAAGCGCTGCTTCGCCACTCAGACCAGCGACGACGACAATGACAGCAACTCGCCTGCGCCTGCAGCCTCTGCCGAGTCCAGCACTGAGGCCGCCGCCGACTACTCGGGCGCTCCGGGCGTGGAGAGTCCCGGCGACAAGTTCGTGATGGTCTACACGTGCAGCGTGTGCGAGACGCGCTCGGCCAAGACCATCAGCAAGCACGCCTACTACAAGGGCGTGGTGCTGGTGCGCTGCCCCGGGTGCGAGAACCTGCACCTCGTGGCCGACCGTCTGGGCTGGTTCGAAGACGACAGCACGGACGTGGAGAGCCTGCTGCAGCAGAAGGGCGAGAAGGTCCGCTTCGTCATAGGCGAAAACGTCCTCGAACTCACCGAGAACGACATCCTCGGCAGCAAGAGCGAGCAATAGGCAGACGGCATAAGCTTTGAATAGAGGATCCTTCGCGTGCCAATCTCTCATTTGATTTTGTTTTGCATTCGTACTTGTTCAGCCTGCTATGATCTGGCACGGTGCGGTTCTAGCTACGGTCCCTGCCTGCCGGACGTACGCTATGTTGTTGGCTTAGTTTGTTTTAGTCTTCGGTCAGATGCTGAAGCCACACCCGCCGACCCTCGCCACGGAACATGACCTGCTCGTGCGTGTTGACCTGCACTGAAGGGTTCGCTGACGCCAGCTTCGTCGTCTTGGCGAGACGCGTCGAGTCGATCGTGCTCGTTTCTATATGGTGCTTGCGCTTCTTGCTCTGGTTCTTGTGCCGCACCATGTGCTCGGACAAGCTCTCCTCCTTCCCGTACACGCGTGAGCACACGGGGCACTTGAACCACTTCTTGCCGTTCTTCATCTCGATGATAGGCTGGAGCTCATCGGGCAGCACCACCGGCGCCAAATCGGTGGTGTTCAACGTTTTCTCCTGGTCCTCGTCGGGCTTGCCAGCGCACTTGTGGAACTGCATACCGCGACGTGCGTTAAACTTCATATCACACAGCGGGCACGTGAACGGGTGCAGCTTCTTCTCGTCCACGGCCTTGTTCGGCAGCAGAGCCAAATTGGCAATGCCCGCCTGCTTGTTTTGGCCGATACGGATGCCATTTTGCGCCGAGTACATTTCCTTGCTCGTCTCCATGTAGGCGGCAATGACGCAGCCTGCCACCATGGCGTCAAATTGGTGCACGTGTTCACGGACATCACGGAATTCGGCAAACATTTTCTTGGCGCGGCTGCCCACAATCTCGTGCAGATCCAAGTTACTGATCGTGTGGTCAATAAGACGGCAAGCTTTTTGTTTCATCTACAACGACGCCATCCACGTGAGTAGGCTTTGAACCTTTGAACGTCATGAACTCCAGCATTCGAATACGACCAAACATACCTGGTCCTTGTAACCAATACGCGTCCTCCGCTCGTCCTTACCCATCTGACTCAAGTTCATCTCCACGAACTCCGCAGCTCGCCTCAAGTTACCAGCCATCTCGCCGTCCTAGACCACAGCATCAAGCCAGCAACGGATGAATACGTTTTCCAAATTCCGCAGCTCACACCGCGTTGCCCAATTACCTGCGAGATCAGCGTGCGCAAGTTGTGTCCCGTCGAGAAGAGCTTGTTCGGAGCAGGACCGTGGTGCGACTTGTCCTCTTCGCCTTCGAACTTACGGTACGCACTTCCTTCGTGCACAATGTGGTCTTGCACCACGGTACCACATCCGTTGCCATCCACACCGTTGCAGATCGTGTCTCCACGCGCATAGTCCGTGATGAAGTTGTTCTGCTCTGTGTTGCCGCACGTCTCGCAGCGGAACCGCGGCGCTGCAGTCATCGAACAAATCAGAAGTCATTACTCCGCTGCGCCTAACTGTAATTAGCACGTTCATCACTGCACCTGTCTTCTGCTCGGCGTCGAGCTCTGAGAACTCGTCGGCGTCCGACTTGCCCGCCTGCTTCATCTTCCGGATCAGCAGCATCACGTCGTTCACCTTGAGCTCGGGCACCAGCAGGTTCACGATGCGCTCCTCCATGGGCAGCGCCGGTTCGTCGGCTTGTCTGGCAGCTTTGGCCGCAGCAGCGCGCGCTGCCGCCTCCCTCTTGGCCGCTTTCTTGGCCGCCTCCGCCTTCTTCTTCTTGTCCACCTGCGCAAATATCCACCACAACGCCGTTAAAACTCGGGTTGACGCTCTAATCCGCGGCTTATTTCGCAGCTGCAGACCATCACGAGCGGCTCGTCGTCCAGCGAGGGGCGGTCGGCGGCGTCTGCGGCCGCGCTGGCCTCCGCCTCGGCGGCTCCGAAGCCCGCGAATACGTCCTCGGCCGCGCCGTTGTTCAGCGCCGCGAAGAAGTCGTCGGCGCCGGCGTCGAGGTCCATGGCTGGCAAAGGTTGGTGCTCTGGACGATGGAGGGTGCAGCCCTGAGCGTGCGAGGGGCCAGGGGAGGGCAGGCAGGGCGCAAGAGAACGAGTGCGAGTCCGCCCTTCACCTTCGCCTGTTCCATACAAAGCCAATTGGCAGTGTGTCCTGAGAGCAGTGAGGCTCGAATTTAACGTATGCCGTCAGCTTAAGGCAGACGTGAAAATAACGTAAGTATTCAGATTAAGAGATATTGACCATTTTCGGGTCAGTAATTACATGTGTTTTGCGAGGCGATCTGCGCGACGTGTAGCCATTTCTGCGAGCGGTAGCTGGCTCGACACACGGGGCAGAGCGAGACCTCGTAGATGTTGAACTCCTCAAACGCCGAGAGACATTGCGAGTGGAAGGCGTGCGAACAGCTCAGTAGTGAGACGCCTGCCATTGACGAGCTAAGAGAAATTGGTCAGAGAGGGGGAAATTGAAGCACTGAAGTCGGTCATCGAAAACTTACCAGAACGAGTTGATGCAGATAGCGCATTCGCTCTCATACCGGGCTTTGGCCTGCAAGTCATCGTTGATAGTAATGTGCATAAAATAATTAAACTCATTGCAGCGTCATAATAGCACACTTCAACAAGGTTCGTCACGAACCTTGTTGAAGATGGCCAGCCAATCGTCACCACCGGGAAAAAGTGTTGCTGGGTCTGCGAATGATGTGTGAGAATTAACCTTGAAAGCAACACTGTAAACTGTGCTGCTTGCAAGAAGGTGGACATACCTGTTTCGGTCTCGGGTACGGAGTCTTGGAATACGCGGCGGCTCATACTCAGCGATTTGTCGAATTCGGCCAGCAATGCGTCGATGGAGTCGTCGCGCTTGCTCATTGCAGTCACCAATCGATCCGTTGTTTTGCCGACTCTGGCACGAAATGCAATGCTTTAGTGTACACCTCGCGCATGATGTATATGCTGGCGTTGCTCCTGCGGTACCTGTTCGCGAAAAATCGCCGGCGCCGAACGGGGTCCCCCTTGCCGGAGCTATAGAACTGTGGCCCAACGTTGAAAGTTGGTATGAGATACACACATGCGAGTACATATATCTTGCGCACCTTTTGCCACAAGCCAGCAGCTTGGCGTCTTGCCAAGAATCCGCGAAACATGGCCTGTTATCATTCTGTTAGTTCTCAAACAAGTATAAAAATCTCGTTAACACCAACCTGAACTCGTTTGGCACTGTACTCGCGATGGAAAGCTGACGCCATTGTTGTGGCGCGCTTCTGGTAATCCTGCTTCCTGCACAATGGACATACGCGCTGGTTCGTCCGCAGGAATCTGTGCTTACACGTAAGAGAGTTATGCCCAGCACACGTACACACCAACGGGGTAGCCATGACACATACCGCTCGAAACTCATGATGCAGGCAAGGTGGAACATGTGCGAGCAGCTCAAAATCACTTGCTCTTTAACTCCGAAGGGTTCACGGCAGATGGAGCACGGGTGCTGGGTATCCCCTCGTGCTTCTGCTTGTTGTTCGCATTCTTCCCATTCGTCTCTAGTCAGCTTTGGCGGTGGACGTGTGACCTGCCGTGACATCAAAGCAAGGTCAAACGCGCTCGACTAACAAGTAAACAACAAGTTCACCGTACCAGGCCTCGCTTTTGGGCGAGTGTCAGTCGAGGTCGAAGTTGCTGGCTGCGTTGAGTTCTGCAGGCAGAGCAGAGGTCAGACTCATGTCGACTGGTGCTTGAACGTGGTCGCTCTTCGTTCTCGAAAGTGCAGGTCTCGCAGACCCACACACAGCGATACTCCGAGCTCGATGCACTTCGAGTTGTCAACTTCTCCCGACTATCAATCTGCTGCAAGTAGACCATCGCAGCGTGAGCGAGTCTCTAGCTAGATGGCCACGAAGATGTAATAACCTACGGTGGGTTTACGGGGTCGACGTGGCCGAATGCGTAAATCGAGTGTGATAGATCGAGCTAAGTGGTCCTAGGATCATTTCAGCGTTAGCAAGGTTACCAAGGCGTGAACAGGGGGCTAGTGCACGAAGCCTACCTGTAGCGCAGCCGCGTTTATGACCGTGGACTTGTCCAGCTTGGCTGCGACTGCAACAAGGACACCCACGCCAATTCAGTCCTCTGCGGATCGGCCAAGGCAAATCCGAGCTCTAGATTCACCTTCGTTTCGCCGCCTTGCACGACTCATTTGTGTCAGAGTTTGATATACCAACAAGCTCGCCACCAGCTCGCATCAGCTATCGAAGGAGTTACCTGGAAGCCCCGACGACGCACAAAGGCCAAGCATGCCGTTTCAAAGCCAGCAAAAACGCCTCCAAAGGGCGGTCGATTTGCGGCCCATTCGAGATAACGGCCGCTGCCATTCCTCCAGCCCTCGCCCCGCTTCGGTCCTCTTTACCGAGGAAGTTTGCGCATGGAGCCCAAGCACTTCGACCACGAGGAGGAGCTCTGGTGCAAGATCAGCAACGTCAAGCTGAGCGAGAAGTCGCGCCTGAAGGACGACGAGGTGAAGCCGGTCAAGGACGACGAGTCCCGGGCGGCTCAGGCCAAGTTGGACCTGGAGGTCGAGCGCGAGTGGAAGCAGTTGCAGGATGCCGGCGCCGGGAAAATTGAGATCGCCAGCAGTTCGTGGGCCAAGAGTGTCTGCAAAGGGCTTACCATGTGAGAATCACCCAAGGCACGGGTGCTGTATGTTATTATAGTGCAATGCGGAAACTAATCTTTTATTGTGGTGGCAGCAACCACATGAACATGCGCTGCGCCGACACGGGTCGACTGATGTGGCAGTCAGATGAATGGTAAGTTCATAAGTGTACCTGTGTGAGTGATGTCGTGTTTCAATAGCGCTGACAGGAGTGATGACAGGGGTGACGACATCTATCGTGTGGAGCAGAAAGGTAACTCAATCGTGTATTGAAATGAGTGTGTTTTCTGTGAGTTGATGATTTCATTGTGTTCTCAGCGCGTCTTCCGGTGGACATTCTCAAGTGCTCGGCAGTGTCGCGCGAGATCAACTTCAGCTCCGCCGAGGAGATCTCGCAGTTTCGACTCGAGCAGCGAGTTTTCCTCGACGGAAGCTGCATTGAAGGTGCGTGTTACTCTGCTGTTGTTGAAGTGCGACTGGCGACAGCACGAGAGCCAACTAACTGGAACTTGCTGCATTTGCCTTGACAACAGAATGGCTTTTCAACTTTGGCTACGTGATCCCGGGATCAACCAACACGTGGCAACAGACCATCGAGTCGGCAGGTCCAGAGAACATGCTGGACCCAGAGATGATGAGGTTTGGCTGGACTGAGCTTCGATTTGTCTTACTGAAGTGGACTTACAAGTTGTTGCGTGCTACACAGTGGCAAGCTCACGATCGAGACGGCATTCTACGACGGCCAACTGCCGATTGCCAAGACCGTCTACAGAATATATTATGTCTGACATCCTGCAGCGAATATTCGCAGCAGAGCCCACTGCTCCACTGGTGAAACACTACAGAGCTTAGGCCTCGAGCAATTCACGCTAATACAAATGCACGTACGGAAGATGACGCCGCTCTTTCAACCGGCGCTCTATAGTTCTAGGCGCTTGAGGCGCTTGTGCTCTTCTTCCCTTGCCTCGCTTGCATTGATCTCGTCGATGGGATCGGGGTAGCAAGACAACTCGGACTTGAACTGGTACAAGTCCCGGATCCGAATAGGCCGCGGTAACGCGCGCAGCTCCGCCAGCTCCGCTTTAGTCGCGTTCTTGCGCTTGTCGTGCGCCACCTTCTCGGCCATGTTACTGCGGCCGATCACGTGCACTGCCAACTTCTTGGGGCTTTGAAGAATCCACTCGCGGTAGAGCTGCGCCATCTCGCTCTTCGTTACCGTCTCCAATTCCTTCGCGAGCTGTGCGTCCATGTCGAAAACCAGGCGGCGCGATGTGATCTCGTACCAGTAGTGGTGCGTCGTCTCTAGGAGGTTGTGGTCAGGCTCGAGCTTCAACAGGATCTGCGCTTGGGCGTGGTCATGGAAGTGCTCGTCTGCCATCATTTCGATGGCTTCTTCAAAATCAACCATAAAGCGGTCCACACAAGCGGAGATGTACTCAGCAGCGAACAACGACGACTGAACCGTCACCCCGAATCCCAAAATGCCGTTTGTCACCCGAACAGTACACGAGACATCGTAGCCCAGCTCCTGCTTCGTGCGAAGCGTGTCAAACAGTGGCTCCTCCATTAACTGGTGCAGCAAGTCAGCATATGCCAAGTGCCGCAGCGTGAGCGGGCCGATTTGGTAGTAGAGCTCCACCTGTGTATTCGTCTCGGATCTGTTCTCGCTGCGTTCCTTCAACAGGAAGCCCACAGGAGTCTCCGGAATAGCAGTGATGTGGCGACGCGGGAAGTCGCGTAAATCGAGTGGTGCAGCTACTCGCTGCAGGTGAGTTTCGACCTTGTCAATCATTTCAGACGCCACCGAACGAGCAATGTTGCCATGCGCGAAGCTCGCAAGCCATGCCTTGCCTGCCCACAACTGGTTTGATACAAACTCCTTCAGGGATTCAACGGTGGCGACCTCCATGGAATCTAAGCACGCCTCCAATGGGAACGCGCGCTTTTCCAGAAGCTGCAGTCGTAGGTACTTTGCTTTCTGAGCCACCTTCGTGATTCCGTTCTTGGATTCGCGCATCAATTCCTCCCGCATAACCTCGAATCGGGCTTCATTGATCTTCGTTCCAAATACAGCGGCAACCACCACCTCGACCAGCAGGTGCAACTTGTCGTTAAATCCACCAAAAACGAGCTCTAGGCCAGACTCCTTCACGTGGAGGGAGTACATGAGCTCGGCCACGTTGGCGTGGTAAGCGTACTCATTAAGGGCGTCCCGAACCAGTTTGACGTACAGCTGCGTATGGGTCCAATTCTCGACATTCCCCACCACGCTCGGCAAGTGTATCAGAAGCGCAACGTGTGCTCGCGGTGTCGCAAAAACTCGATCGGGCTTGTACCAAAGTTTGCCAAAAGACGTCTTTTCACAAACGAGGTCATCCACACCTGTCGTGTCAACGAGAGAAAAGTCTCGCGGGATAAATTGGTTGGGTCGGGGCAAATGAAGCTTGGGGTTTGTCCCTGCACTTTTCCAGCGCTTAATCGTGGAGGAAGAAATGTCCTCCTTCGAATATTTGACTCCGAACCACTTTTCTTCGATGACCTGAATATCCAACGCAACCAGTAAGTATATATGCTGGCGACAAACGTCAAGATTTGAGCACTACTATTCGTACCTGAGCTTGAAATTCAGGCAAATCCGCAAACGTCTGTGAAACGATCGACACACAAACCGTCTCAGCGGTTAAATGCCGCAGCACCTCCTCAGCAAGCTCCTTCTTGAATTCACCCTTGAAGAGGTCGTAGCGCAACAAATCTTCGGGCGCAACCTTGAACATGGACTAGTGCATTGTTCATGGAGTTAGTCGGACACGATTCATGATATGTGCAAGCATAAAATAAAAAATAGTAGCGCACCTGCATGATTTCACCCAGCTCTTCACAGCGCTCGACAGCACTATCTTCTTCCTGGAAGCGGAATGAAATATCGGCTAGCGCTGCAAGCTCGTCAAAAATCCACGCAGGGCAGCCATTTATCCGTAGCATGTGCAAGTACTCAAAGACTGCATGCACGATTTCCTCCCAGTGGGAAATTCCCTCCAGCGTGAGCTTCATCGTCACATCAAACTTTGCAGCGTAGGTTCCACAGTCGTAGCCATCCGTGTCGGTCACTCCTGCCGTAACAGCGGAAATCCATCCGCGCTCCTTGAGCTGTAACATAACGCAATGAGTGCCATCGATAAGGTGAGCGTTAATGATCACGCGAGCTCTTTCCCACTGGTTTAGGTCGTCCACGTACATGTGACAGCACCGAGCCCTCACTTTCGTGGCCCAGTAGACTTGCAACGTAGTCTGCAGGTTTCTGGTGGTGTTGGCCTAGAACCGGCGGGATCATCCAGTCCAGATGCAGCGTGTGGATATCCCGGACGGGTACAATCTTGCAGAGGAATGGAGCGCCTGCGCCATGAGCTCCAAAGGGCGGTCCGGCGGCCGCGAAGGACGGCACCTTCACCTGCTTGTTCGGGATCGCGCTAAACGACTTGGTAACCCACTGTTCCATTTCATCCAAAGTGTTCTCGCCGCACACCACGAGCTTCATGATGTTCGCCGAGTAGTACTTCTCGTAGAACTCGACAATCTGCTCGCGTACGTCCACCTCCATCTTCTCGGGCAACTCCTGCAGACTCTTCTTGTTTCCCCAGCTGAACCGATGGTACGGGTGGCTTGCAGGCGACATGTCACACAATACTTGCTGCAACAAGCATAACAAGCATCGTCAATACCATTCCGCCATTGCTCCTCAACTGCCCCGCACCTCACCTGTGTGCGGATCCTGTCGTTCTGCGTGGCCTGACTGAACTCGGACTCAATGGCCGACAGCTCCCTCTCCATGGCCTCCGCCTTCAGCAGCGGCGAGATGAAGAAGTGCGCGAACATGTCGAGCGCCGGCTCCAGGTGCGCCGGCCCCACCTCGAACGTGTAGCTCGCGACCTCGTTGTCCGTGGCGCCGTTGCTATAGCCCCCGTGGGCGCTCAGGAAGGACTCGAACTCGTTCTCGTCCGGGTACTTGGCGCTGCCCATGAACAGCATGTGCTCGAGATAATGCGCCAGGCCGGGGAGCGTCTCGGGCTCGGCGAAGCTGCCGACGCCCACCGTGAGGCAGGCGCCGGCTCTGCGGCTCGGGGCGCCGTCGCGCTCCTCCTCGCTGTCATCGAAGCTGCTGCCGTCGTCGTCCTCGCTGCCGCTGAAGTCGCTGCCGTCCCCGCTGAAGCTCTGGTCGTCGTCGTCGTCATCGTCGTCGTCCAGCTGCTGGAGGCTCTCGCTCTCGCGCGCGACGGCGGCCGCCACGTGCGGCACCTCGGCCGTGGAGATGAGCAGCGCCTGCAGCGCGTTGGGCAGCGTCAGCAGCCGGTACTTCTTCTGGTCGTTGGGCGACTTGGACCGCTCCACGGGGTCCTCCGGCGACGACGCCATCGCTGCGATGCTGCCTTGGTGGGAAAGTGACATGACGATCCACGAGCGGTGCCCATTTTATAATACCCATTTCGGCTTTAGTTTGATCAAGTTAATTGAAATGGCCTATTTTAGTGAATGGGCTGAAAGAGCTCATTTTATAGACCCTTTTTTGCCGCCCCTCGCCAGCCACAGACCGAAAGCAGCAGAGGACCATGAAGCTCGGCCGCGGCATCAACGTGGAGCACATCAAGCGCATGACGCTGCGCACCGTGCGCGAGAGCACGGAGGGCCAGCCCGAGACGCTCGCCTTCCTGGACGCGCTGGAGCGCAACGACTTTGACGAGACGCAGTGCAAGCGCGAGGCCCGCCACATGATGCTCGTGCTCGAGGCCAAGGTGCGGCCCTCGCTTGACCCGTAGAGGCGCTAGGCCTGCATAGAACTGATGGGGATTCTCACGCGAATGCGTTTGTGTTGCCATTTTGCAGAGGAAGCGCCGCGCGGCCGAGCACCGCTCCACGCTCAACTTCCACGTGATCCGCATGATGAAGGGCCACCACGACCCGCGTCGCTAAAGGAGCCAATAGGGAGAAGACGGCGCAGCGCGAAGGGGACGACGTGCCTGCTGCCAGCTATGTAGAAGGGTTGCCGGCAGCTTGCAGCCTTGCCCACCGCAGCACTGCTGCGGTAGGCGCTATCTAACCGATAAACTTTCGCTGGTGTCGCATTGTGCGTCGCCACGCGCCGTTGTGCATGTGTTGACGGTGTTATGCTTCGGATTGAGCGCTATCTCGTAGCTGGAATATGGTCGGATTTATTTGCTGTAGTGTCATCTTGCTTATTGTATCGGTACAAGATTATTGCTGGTTTTAAGGGCATGAACGCTCTGTCCAGGAACATATTAACTCTTCGCTGCTTGCATCGAGCATCTTGCCATCAAAGGGTCAATCTCGAAAGCAACAAGAAGGTTTGTAATTGCGAGCAACACTACTATGCAGCTAGGCCGGCAAGCTTTGTCTCGGAAAAATCGAGTTGCACTTTTCAACGTCGGCGAGTCACAAAATTATTGGTTCGAAGCGTTCATCGTCGTTGCTGCTCACAACTTTTTTTTTACAAGAGCCGTGATGCACTGCCATCGCGTCTTCCTAATGATACGTCAGCGCTTGCAGGGCAGCAGCAAAAAGTAAGAGAATGTGCAACTTCCAATTCATAATTCAAACCGAACCAGTTTGCAACATATCACGGTTATTACACTGGGAAAGGTTTTGCCTTGGCTAAAGAGAGCTAACTCTTAAACCGTCGGTCTTCCTAGGGGCTATTTCGTCTTCGGCTCAGAAGCAGAGACTGCGATGGTGGCAAGTTGCCACTGAAAACGTGAAGCTGTCCGAGTATCTGACTGACAGGTGCTGCCACTTAATCAATTTCGTTGCTAACTGGCAGGTAAAGTGCCAGAGGAAACGCAGAAAGCTCCCTTAGTTGCTGGCGCGGCTTATGCTGTACATGCGAACTCGCAATGCCAAGTTGAAGTCAATGTAGCCATCAAATGGGTAGAATACGACTGGTAGAAATATGAGCGTGATTGTGATTGGTAGATAACTTATTTTCAGTTTAGAATTTCAAAGACCGAAAAGCAGCGACGATGGACGCGCTGCACGCGCAGAAGGAGAACGTGGACCTCCGCCGCGGGGGCATCGCCGGCAAACTGAACTTCGCAGGTAGAAGCCACCGCTGCTGCACTGCCACCAGTCGATGGGTCCTGACTTATTGCTGCTCCGGTAGGCACAGACAAGTTTGCGACGCCGAAGCGTGGGTTCGTTATCCATGAAGACTCCAAGTCCAGCAGCAAGAACGGCTTAAAGGAAAGCTCCACTAAGAAGAGGTTGGTGATTCGTTGGCCTCTCGTCGATTTCTCATAACTGACGCTTGATTTGGTTGTGTGCCTGCAGCAGACGTGCGCTTGGTGACATCTCCAACAAGCAGCAGAACCGTCAAGCCGACAACAATTCTGGTGTGATCCCATCGGCCAAGAAGGATGGGTTGGGGAAGGGTCTCGGCCACTCGAAGAAACTCAGCGCGAAGAAGCACAGCAGAACTCCCCTCAAGCCCAAGACGCCGCTGAAGTCTAGGACGGAGGTGTCGCTGAAGCCTGAGACAGCTAGCAAACCACCCCGTGTGGAAGAAGTGCCGGTGAGTGCATTCTGTTGTTCTCTTCGCTTTGTGATTCGCTCACGTTGCACTGGATTGTAGGATATTGAGTTTGCGTACGGCGGGTTACCCTCTCCGACGTCAGACTCGGCATACTTGAAGGGACTTCGCGACGAGATCGTGCGAGACATCCTAAACGACAAAACCCCAACTCTCTTCGACGAGTTTGATTCTGCTGACACCTTCAATCCCTGGAACGATGAGCGTGAGAGAGCCATGCTGGAAAGTGGCGAGCCCCCTTCTCCTTGGTGGGCCTCGGTGGACCCACAAAAGGAAAACGAATCGGACGGCATCGAGGCAAAGGGACAGGAGGACGAGGGAGACGATCTCAGTGATCTACCACCGCCAGATAATCTTCCTGATGATGCGCCAGAAAACTTCGACGATGACGGTTTGCTGGAAGATCTCCTGAGCGTGGACGTTGAAGCCGCATGCAGCGGTTGAGTAGAATCGTCGCTTGCTCAATCACATGCATTGGAGTTCATTGAGGCTTGCTCTTTCATTCATCGTGACTATGTAATTCATACCGACCATTTCACTGTGTCCCCATACGAGCCATCGCCAAGAATTTTGTTACCACATCGTCATCCACCGTCTGCCAGTCGTCTATTGACGTAAAGAACGCCGACAACTGTTCCTCGGGGCTTGGTCCTGATGGCTGTCGTCGAGACGAAATGGGAAATCCGCGCTTGGTACAGTCCAAGACGGCTTGAGCTCGTTCGACTAACTCCTCAGGAATTCCTGCAACAACGCTTATCTATCAGCTTATCATCTGAATCTCCTTTAGGACACAGCGTTCTTACCACATTTCGCAGCACATTTCAGGGCATTGCTATGGCCCGAGATACCGTGACGCAACTCATATAGCGGCTCCGAGTTTGACGTTCCTGAAGTCGATTCTGATGCGTCCGTTGACGCCATCACAGTGCAAACTACACGTGCGGTTCCCTCTGTTCTTTCCGATTGTTCTTCAGCTTCTTGTACAGGCAATTCGCTGGTCACGAGAGAAGGCTCAAGTAGGTTGTTGCGAAATATTTCCTGATCGTGAACCACAGTAAGTAAAATCAACGGTAGTGGAAGGTCTGTACAGACAAACGTACCAGGAAATGGGTCGTCAAGATAACGCGTGGTCTTCCACGCGTGAAGCTCTTTGTGGCTAAGTGGCTGACTATAGAGCTCTATGACACGATGTAGTTAGTACCGAGACAGAATGACAGAATTCATCGAATGATCTGTACCAGTAGAGCTATCCCGTCAAGCTCAGCAGTTCCTTCACAAACAAATTAGCTAACTGATACATTGCTGCATCGGATTAAACTAAGAAAACCTTTTCCGAATTCATCGATCAAGAATAATGATCGACCATCACCGTGGTTCAGCATCCACGCCATCTTTGAAAACGTAGTGTCAGCGTTATTTAGTAGCCACAAAAAGTACTCGCGCTATTGCACCTGGTTGCAGTCAATCGTAAAAGAGCTCTGGGAAACTGTCGCGGATTCCATACTGACAATATGAGAGAATTGGTTAATCCCTCGGATCCGCTGTGTCGTGAAAAGTTAAGTTCACCTCTGAATCCTGGTAAAGACTTTCGTAACCAGTCCTATCTCCGCTGCGTTGGCGTGTTAGAAAGTATCACAAGTAACAAGATCCAACCTAATTCGTTCATTACCTTTTTCCGCTGGCACGAAAGACCCAATCTGTGCCATATATTGGAGCAGACCAACCATTTTCAAATACACGGATTTGCCTGTCCAGTATAGAGTTGTTAGGGACGACCGAAGGACACGGCGACCATCTTTCTCACCTGATCCGTTGTGACCCGTTACAATCTTGATCGAGTCACTGGAGTCTAAAACGACATCGTTCGGAATGTAGTGTTCGACAAGCAATTCCTGGAGTGGGTGGCGGGCTTGCGTCGCTTTTAGCGTACTGCTCTCAGTTATCTGGGGCCTATAGATAACGCTCAGTGTCACTTCGCGATAAGAATGGTGCCAATGTAGCTCACGTACTTCGAGAAATTGAAGCTCTTTGCGCAGGACGCAAATGCAATCAAGCAATCGAGATATGACATGATTCCAGTCATTTCTATCAAGTCAAGTTGCTGTTAGAGCTTGTTCTGTAAGTGTGAAAGGTTAGGTACGAACCATGAATATTGCTCTCGTACTCCAGCAAAGCCATTGTCAGCTCTTCCAACAGCCCTGTAAGTGCCAATTGTTTATCATAAGTAGCTATCGAGCTCCTCGCAAACCACAGAGTAGTACCTCTTTGCATGTCAAGAATATAACCTGCACGTAGACATTAGTTACCTTCAAGTGTACGCTACAATTTTCAAAGCTGATTACCGTAGATGTCGCCTATCGACTCATCCAAATCACGGCAGCAAGCGTCCTAGGTAAAGGGTCTTATAAGTTTCAGGACGATACGTGTATGTGCACGCATCTGTACCTTGTAATAGAACGTCGTGTCATCTTCTTGGAATTGAAACACGAAATCCGGTAGTGTTGTGGGGGAATCATAGCAGATAACATACCCTACTTGAGGGATGTACTGGACTGTGATGGATGACAAGACGGGATTCGCCTCTTGGACCTGAAACGCGACCTCCGTCAACACCTGCACACAGATCCGTAACACGTTAGTTCCTGGGTAATGCGCATGCAACAACTCCGTCGCACATTATCAAGGTCTTCGTAGCGCTCTCTTGCTGCATCCAGGGCCGCTGACACACCACTTCGGATTACTACCGTGTTTTCTTGCTGACTTTCTTCGAAGTCGACGACGTTTCCTAGTAGATTGCTGATGTGGATCACGCCACGCTCACTTAACACTCTTGAGAACACATCGGGGAGTGACGGGCTGTTTGTTTTACAGTTACCCTCAATGAGGGACCTGCCGTACATGTCAAGATGCAATTAGCCATGATATCGTAGAAATTAAATAAATGTGAGCTTACTGTGCTTCTAAAAAGCTCCCGATAGACGTTGCAAATTGGCACCAATCACCGACTGAAGCACAACGCCGTTTGATGCGCTGAAAAATCCCAGCTACATCTCTGAACTGCTTTAACTTTCCAAACTGCACTTTGTTAGAAGCCGCAAAAGAAACACAACTCAATCAGGTTACGAGATGTTACCAGTTGTTGCCGGAGTTCATCGTTTTCAGTTGAACTAAAATATGCAACAGCACGTAACCGTGCGTTGATTTGCATGCTGCTCACCAGGGGTGTTAGCATCCAACGTCGCAGCATACTTCCGCCGGATTTGGTCACTGTGCGGTTGAGGAGACCAAACAGACTGCACTCAAGCGTTAGCAAAAACCTTTCCTCAGGGATATAACCTGTAGGTACTCAGCACCTGAATCCTTCTTTGGCTCGGCCGGACCCCTGCACAGGTGCCAGCGTGAAAATTACGGCTAATCATAGTCGTGCATGCATCGACACACACCTTGACCAGAGATGGATGAGCCTCCTGTAATACATTGGAGGCGTGTGAGTTTAAATAGTCGGCTAAGGTTTATCATGAGCATCGAAAACCAACGTGGCTGAATATCTGGAGCGACTGAAGCGTAGACTTGTCGATATACATGAAACCATCGAGTGCAACTTGTTCGACCGTTGAAAAATGTACGGATTCAACATCATCCAGTTGGTTCCCGATCTGCAACAAAAGGTTCATTTATCGAAAGTATCGTATAGCCTCTGCAGCGGAGCTTACCTTCTCCGTGGATAAGTAGAGCAGCAGGGCTAGACGCGGCCAACTTCAGTATAACCTTTTCTTTTTGTTGCTAGTACAGCAATTACAATACGTACCTCCTGTGGCTCGAATCAACTGTGTGCTTTCGAAATCAAAGAAACTTCCCAAGAATGTGTATGCCTCTCGGCTGTAAGAAGCATGAGTTTTCAGTGTACAGATCAGCGCTATTAGCAATAATAAGCTGAATGCGTGTTGCTTACCGAGATGATCGAGCTTGAGGTTTTCTGTACTCTGGAGGAGCAGTTCCGATCTGCACGTGCTCGATAGCTTGACACCCTTTTAGGTAGTTGAAGTCTTCATGTCATCTCGATTAGTTCGATTAAAGTGAGGAATTTTGCCATTCACTTCATCATTTCACCTGAATGCTACAACATCACATGTCTGTCAGTTGATTCGCGTCCGACAACGCTTGAAAATGCAAGAATACCTTCCGAACACTGACACCGGTCTTCGTTTGATGCGTTTCGTCGAGTTTCTTGACCATTCGAAGCATCCCGTTGGAACTCGCATTGCGCGAGGACACCAAGACATGGTTCACTTCAAATTGCGTATGCAAACGCTCGATGATCTTCAGCAGGTAAGGTGAAAGAGCGGGGATTAGCTCGTGGGACTTTGGACTCCCACCCGAATCACAGCCACCGCGCCACCTCCTCGAGCTCATCAACGTCAGCTATTTGAAGCTGCAACGTCTTGAGACTTGTCGTCAGCACGTTGTAGATGGCGACGCCCAGCTCGCCTCGGTCGAACAGGATTGACATGAAGACGAGCTCCTCGTCCTCCACTTCAACATCGCTCACATCAGACAGCTCCTCCTTCTCTTCCTCGTGTCGCTGTCAGAGCACGGCGTCAGACCTAGGCCCCCTCCCCAAGGCAATCAATTACCAGCGCTAGAATACCTCGACTCGAGCTCGCGGCATCTTGGCGCCCCTGCCAGGTGTGCGCACTTCAACGCGCGAATGCGGAATCGAAGCGCGGGTTGCCTCTCCCGAGAGTGATGGTCTCCACTGCAAGTATAAGTTGAAAGAGGTTCAACATTTGTTTATAAAGGCTTTTGCGGTAGCCACTCTCTGATTCACTTCCTGAACGTGCGTCGATCACAACAAGAAGGCCGCGAAATGGTACGACCCAGCGGCGTGTGGCTGAGTACTTAGTGGCGCTCCTGCTTGCTTACCGGATGCGTTTTGTGGCCACAGGCGACAGCGCAGATCTCAGAGAACCTTATCACGCTCAAGGGCTCGACTGAGATCGTCACCGAGTTCTTTTCGTACAGCATCAACACGTACGCGCTGGCGCTTGGCATATGTGCCTATTGGAAGTGTGAAGTCGAGAGCTGAGCGTTTGCAATGTTTTGCAGCATTTTGTACCAGCGTGGCATCTACCCTGCGGAGAGTTTCAAGCAGGTGCAGAAGTATGGCCTGAACATGCTCGTCACCGACGACGACAAGCTCAACGACTTTTTCACCAAGTTCCTGCAACAGTTGTCGAGTGCGTCTGCATGAAGGCTATGCGCATGATCTGGGCTAGATGCATTGACACTGTGCCTGCTATTGCTGCTGTATAGACTGGCTTCTGAAGGGCGAAGTGCAGAAGCTGGTGCTCGTCATCACTGGAATTGGGACGCAAGAGGTGCTGGAGCGGTGGGCCTTCGAAGTTCACGCCGAGACTGGCACAGGCGAAGGGTGCGTCAACTTGCTGTGGTTTTGTTTTGTAAGCTTTGTTGACTTACAATGTCCGTGCTCCGTGCGCAGTGGAAGCACGGCAGCCTCCAAGCCCAAGAAGGAGATCATGTCTGAGATCCAGGCGATTATTCGGCAGATCACGGCTAGCGTCTCGTTCCTGCCTTTGCTGGAAGAGCAGTGTACCTTCGATCTGTTAGTGTACACCGACAAGAACTCGGAAGTTCCTGCATTGTGGGAAGAATCGGACCCTCGCTACATCAAGGATTCTGCAGAAGTGCGTCTGCGATCCTTCTCCACGAAGGTACGCGCTTTGGTTAGCGTAAAAGTTCATTCCGTTGCGTCGTGCGACTTAGTCAGTTAACCTGGTGTATGTTGCTACTCAGGTCCACAAGGTCGACGCGATGGTAGCCTACAAGAACCCGGAAGCCGACATCTAAGTGCCGCATAAATGCTGTCGTTTTCTGCGAGCGGCATCACCGTATCTACTTACTGCTTCTTGTCCTTCTTTTCAAACCGCGTCAGAACAGTCTCAATGTCCTTGTTGAACGATTCCTTGCTGAAGTACCCGTCCTTATCAAAGTAACGGCCGACGTAAAGCTCCTCCTTCCTCGGCTTTTCGTTCGTGCCGGCGTGGTGGATGCTGATTGTGTAGTGCGACTCCGTGTTGGGAAATGTCGTCCGCACCAGAATGGTCGTCCCTGACGCTCCCTGCAATTATTTCGAGCAACACCAACAGAGTCAGCGCACACTCAATCGTAACATATCAGGGTGATCTGTCCCCACCGTTCGCGTCATCCGCAGGAGGATGTCCTTCTCAATGAAGGAGGTGTAGCCGAACAAGAGCGCGTGGATGAAGAAGAACCTGAGACCACAATAGAATACTCAGTCAGAATGAGGCAATAAGAGTTCCGTCCCAATTGCATGCTGCAGCACACTCACCCGGCGACGCAGGAGTAGATGAGGACGTGCTCGGGGATGGCCGGGTGCTGGTAGAAGTGCGACACGGCCGCGATGACCGTGGCCAGCAGCATGAGCAGCAGCTTGGCGTTGTCCCAGCCGTAGTGCAGCTTAAAGTCCTCCTTCCCCTTGAAGAACTCGACGACGGTGTCGTCCAGGAGGTTCTTGACGGCGTTCTGGTCGCCCGTCTCGATGTGGAGGTCTGCAGCCATCAACAAAGCCAACACCGTCAGTGAGATGCCAGCCACGCGCACTATTCGTCTACAATACAAGATCCTGCGGCATCAGCAGCAGCGCGCACCGTTCAGCACCAGCTCATCCTCCGAGTCCTTGCGCTCCGGCGCGGCGGCGGTGCTGCTGCTCGAGGCGCCCATCTTGCTGTCTGATCGACGTGGCACTTGGCCAGATATTTTCCGCTGCTACGGCATAAACTCGCTATCGACCATATCCAGTTTGGTATCATACTGCATCCTACACCGGTTTGGTGTCAGTATTCCGTACGATGGTCTCTCCTGCGAGCTCATCTGCTTTCCATGCTGAACGCAGCCAACGGAAGCAGGCCAAGAGACAGCGAGGTAGCAGCAACGACGAATCTTGCAGCCTCCGCGACGCCATGGCCAAGGCGAAGGTATCAAATGAGGAGCTCAAGCGCAAGATCAAGCGGCCAAAGGCGCGGCACGAGGCCGCGGCAGAGTCGCCCCTCGCGTCCGCCGTGGCGCCACCCAAGTTGCAGTCGCCAAGTCCCAGCTCGCGCGGTGCGTAACTCTATTTGGCACTCAATATAATCGGATGCAGCGGCAGCAGCGGGAGAAAGGGGACGATGTACGCAGCGCAGGGGCGAGGACGCTCACCGTGTCACCATTCGCATGATGCAGGAGGAGCCTCCAAGCCGTCTCCAGCGAGCAGATATGACAGTTCATTAGGGCTGCTGACGAAGCGATTCGTGGAGCTCATCCAAGCTGCGCCGTCGAAGGATTTGGACCTGAACACGGCAGCGGAGTCGCTCGGTGTACAGGTAGGATCCGGTTTGTGTGTCATTCTAATGATCCAAATAGTTTCACACGGAATGGCTTCGCGCGGACTGCTCTGGTGTGTGAACGGGTAGAAACGACGCATATATGACATCACCAACGTGCTTGAAGGCATCGGCCTTATCGAGAAGACGTCCAAGAACAACATTCACTGGAAGTACGTGGGTGAAATACACCGAGCCCTGGGGCGTCGGGTAGAACAGAAATTCGTTTGACGGTCTTGGTTGTGATTGCTGCTCCGCAGAGGTGCCAGTGGGCCGACAGGTGGTACAGACAACTATCAGGGAATTGATCATCTTCGACAGAGCATTTCAGATTTAAGACAGGAGGAGCTGAAGTACGACCAGCATATCAAGATGGTCAGCCAGAATATTCGACGTCTGTACGAGGAAGAGGCATTTGACAAAGGGAGCTTTGAGAACTTCTGCTACGTCACACATGATGACATGCGGCGGCAGGAAAGCTTTGCAGACCAGAGCGTGATGGCGATCAAGGCTCCACCAGGAACAACTTTAGAGGTTCCAGACCCCGACGAGGGCATGCCCGCCGGAAAACGCCGCTTTCAGATCTTTCTGAAATCTACAGGTACGAGATGCAGGTGGGAGTTTACCTTTGGTTATTCCACGAATATTGAGCTCACTGGTTTTTTTTCACTTCTCGTAGATGGCCCTGTGGACGTGTATTTAGTTCGACGAATGACTGATGACAAGGAAGCTGCAGATGCGACTGGTTCAGCGAAGGAAGCTGGAGCAGTTGCTGCACCTGATAGCCCTGCACCTCCTTTGGACCAGGTGAGTCGAATGTTATACGACGATTTTATTCTTTCCGATATCACGTGCTCATTGTGTGCGTCATTTTGCCTTCTGTAGCAGAGATCGTACGACTCGGATAGCGGGATCTTCAAACTCGCACCTCTCAAGGTAACCAAACTCCGAATCTCTCCTTTCACACACAGAGACGTGTTACTGGTTTTAGTTGTCAATATTAACACTGTCACATTCTATGGTGACAACCAGACCGATCCAGATTTCTGCTTCAACCTGGACGACAGCGAAGGTATCTCGGACTTTTTTGCAGACATTCCGTAGAAAGTGATGGCGGTTGTGGCCATGGCGCACTATTTCAGCAACATTCTTCAGCTAACCGCCTGCCTCGCCACGATAGCCCGCGGTCAAGCCCCATTCGCTTGGACCGGCAGCGGGCCTGCCCACATATTTAATTCTGCTGGCCTAGAGAGTCGATTCCTTTACTCGGTGAGAACCACGACCCCAGTAGCTGCTCCGCAGCATTTTGACTCAATCGGTGTGCCGGATGCGACAACATCAGCACAAGCGTCTGCCCAGCATCAACAACCAATCCGGGCATTAGACAACCACACTTCCCGGGATAGCGCGCGTGCCTCTCGATGCGCCCCAAGAGTTTACAGTAGCGAACAAAAATGAACTGATGCGTACCTGGTGCAATCTCTCGACTGATCCGCCAACTTCTAGGAAGTACAACTTGGCGAACGGGTTCGTGCTGTCATACGCACAGAGTTGATCGAACACATTCTGAAGAACAACGGTAGTGAGCGCTTGTTCCAAGCCTTATTGTTTCCAAGCAAACTCACCTGCGCTGCCTCGTGCGGTACATCTTGATGCCAGTAGATCACATCCAAGTGAAATGCAGGATCGTTGATGAAAGCAAGTGAAACTTCACCTTGGGTAGCTTGGAGTTGTGTGCTCTGTTCAGGTAGAGAGAGACCCACTCCATTAGTTGCTAGGACAATCGTCAACTGCATAGTCAAACCATACCTGCTTCACCTGCCTGTAAACCAGCAAGAGTCGAAACGACGATGTTGCCTGGCGCTCCTGTGAGTTATTGAGAACAGCGAGCGTGGGGTTAGCAATGCTTTAATCGTTGCAATAATGAGATGTCCATCCTTACCATCTCTCTCTGTGCTCGAAAGTAGTGAGCAGCGTCAGCCAATAGCGCATCAAGGTTGACCATGTCGTCACTCTCGGTGGAGCCAAACAAGCCGGACACTGCCTCAACTGCTGCATCGATGTTCATTGTGAACTATTGCACCAATAAATTGGACAGAGCTCAGCTACAACCAGCACAGCAACAATTCATCCAATAACGTGTTCTTGTTTGTACCTCTTGAACGACAACAAGCCGCGAGTGCTGGGCCTTGGAGAGACCAATCTGGTGCTGAACAGCAGAAGTAATAATGGCGTTAATAAAGTCCGAGGAAACCCTGCGCAATTCGCTGCCAGCACCCACATTGCTCCCCATTTGCATCTTGATGCGCACGATCTTTTGCACCGCTTCCTGCAGCATTCGAGCGCCGCCGTCTTGCTCCTCATCCACTCCACACAAGCAGATCATCTGCACCGCCAAAACACAACAGAGTATGTCACAAGGTCCACCCAGCAGTCAGAGCAACCTGACCGCCCACATACGAGATGCTCGTCGGCGAGCGTTAGCTGGCGAAGCGCCTGCGCGTCGTCCAGCGTCGGAGCGACCTCCATGGCTTTGCACGCTCTCGCAATACGCCGTGTGATTGGTCCTTGGTCCCAGACGAGCTCTCGCCTAAACCGAACGGAAGGAAGGAAGGAGCCTTCTCCAACCCCCGAGCGATGCCTGCCGCTGACGGATCCAGCAACATGCAAGCGCGTCAGCGCAAGTCCAAGTCCAGCGCCGACGTGACGGCGCTCAAGCCCACGGCAGTCCGTACCACCAACACCAACAATGCCGCGTTCTACCGGCAGCCTCTCCAGCTGACGTCTTCGACTGGGCTATCTTTGCCAAGAAGCGGGCCTCCTGCTGCTGTGGGAACCCCTCGACAGGGAAACCAGAGATCTACTAGCGCGCAGAGACAACAGAACCAAGAACCAGCCAGGGAGAGATCCTTGGAGCGCGCTCAGTCCATGCCAAGTTTGCATGCAGGAAACGGCGAAGCTGGGCCTCAGCGCGCTCGCTCGACGATGGCAGCGAGGCGGACGGGGCCCCCACCTCATGAACGATCGAGGTCACCATCGGCGAGACGCAGGGAGCTGCCTGAACCAGTAGCGGAGCCCGTCGAGGGCATCTACGAATACGCCGAGACCCAACAAGAAGCGTAGCAGGTCCAAGTCGAGTGCTCGGGAGAGGTCGACAAGCTGCAGCCGCCGTGAAGAAGATCCTGAAGCTGCAGACAATGACGAAGTCGAAGAGAAGGAAGGTGGCGATGAAGAAGATGAAGAGAAGGAGCCCATGACCCTTACGGTGGGCTTTGGTTCCAGCATATCCGTTCGAGAGCTTGAAAAAGGAATGCGCCAAATGAAGCACAGGTTGGATGCCATTGTACCGGGGCGAGACAAACTCAAAAAACAGTTCGACGAGGTAGACCGTGAGATTTCTGACATCGAGACGATGTACAAGGCGTTTGCAAAGCTTCTAAAGAGTCGGCTTAAACCGAGAGACGCATCGCCAAGTCGCTCCCGGACCAAGAGCAAGAGTCGATTAGGTGTTCGCTCGCAATCTTCCAAGCGAGCACGCGGTGGTGACGATTCCAGCGAGGGAGAAGAGAATGGAGTTGTTCTCCTCGGCCCGGTGGATCCGGTAGTTGCGGCCTCGCGAAAAAGGCAAGGGTCGGGCGTTCTGGAACTTAGGGCTTCCCCGGCTCGGCAGTTCTGGGGTCGGTCCGACGTTCCGAAGGCACGGGTGGACCACAACCGTAATGCATAGTTGACAGCACGCGGTAACTCGGCTCCATTGCTTTTGCAGGCATAATGTGACGATTGTTTGCTCAACTCAAAAAACTAATCGGTGATCATCGCAGTAGCATCAAGAATGAAAAAAAAACAAGGTCGACGAGTTCACACCGCTGTCGTGCTTCTAAGCAGCGGGAACGTGCACACCTGGAATCAAGAGGCTGCCTCATTGACGGGTAGCATTTATTTTGACATCGGTTCTTTACGTTTCCAGTCGTATCTACAGTGCTGTTTTTCATTAGACCTGTTTAGTGCAGTGCACGAAAGTCCCTACAAATGCACTAAAGTACTTTTGTGCACTTTTGGCGCACCTGCACACAACTGATGCTGGACATTAGCGCGTGCACTAAAGTACTTTAGTGCATTTGTGGGGACTTTCGTGCACTGCACTAAACAGGTCTATTTTTCATAATCTGACGAACAGATAGTTACCACGGATGCATTCGTCGCTATTCGCGATGCTTACCGCATAAGAACAACATGCTGTGTTATAACGTTGTCTCCTATCGCGCTGGTGCGAGCTAAAACTGCATCGACAAACAAGTGACTGAAGTTTGCGTCACTCGACGAGGCTATCATTTCACTTCAACGAATACATGTTGTTCAGGTTCATGGGTGTATTCCAATTAATCTTTGGTTGACGAATCCGGCCTGTTGCTCATCGCGAGCGCGGTGTATTTCATGCCCACGCCAGCGAACTTCTTCTTTCGCTCTTCCGCTTCTTGCTTCCGTTGCTCCAACTCCTGCGTGCGCTTCGCCCAGTACGCCTGCTTCTTGGCGCGGTCCTCCACCATTTTGCGGAACTTCAAACCCGACTGCACCTCCTCCTCCGTCTCGTCACTCGGACTGCTATCCTCGCACACCATTTGCAGATGCGTCACCTGCACCGTCACGCAGATCACCGTCAATCTCCACGATCACTACAAAACTCCTACCCAGCTCGACGCACCCAAGTATCGCGAATCTCCTCCGAGTCGGCCTCCACATCCAGCAGCGTGTCACCCTTCTGTGACGTGATAGTGAGCCCAGTTTTACCCTGCGCCTGGATCAAATTAACCGTGTGCAGATCGATCTTGGTCGGGTTCTTGATGGAGTCGTGCAGCTTCCACAACAGTCTAACAGTCCGCCCGCCAATGGTGCAACCAGCATTATCGTACGGCAAAAACATATCAATAAGTCTCGCAAGAATATTTCAGCTGAAGCGTTTAGGTTAATCGGCCAAGAACGCACGTGTGCCCGTCCTCGTCGAGTTTCACGTGCACTCGCTCCGTCCCCGTGCTGAGGCCCAGAATCGACTTCTTGCGCATGAAGTAGGCGCCTAGGATACACCCCGTCCAATGCGTCACCCCTCCAAGATCACCACGCTCCCATAGTTAACATGGCGTGCGCAGCGTACCTTTCTGGAGCACCAGCAGCCTCTGCGCGCCCTCCTGCCGGGTCTGGCACTGCGCTAAGCAGTTGAGCTGGTTCCCCATTATCCTCGACCCGCACTTTTGGCCAATGACGGACGACGCGGCCCACTTCAAATAGCCAGCTGGAAGGCGCGCATTGAAGCCATCAGCACATGGCCAGAGTCTCCCAGCCGCCGCGTCATTCGCCATTGAGCCTCCGTCCATGGGCACGCAGCAGTCTCGCCACGCAGCGGCCAATGAGGCTGAGCAGACGCCAGTGAAGCGCGCGCACCCGGGACTGCGGGAGCTGCACCGCCGAGCGGAGACCGGCGTCTTCTCCGACTCGGAGAGCGACCGCTCCGACGCCAGCGACAGTGACAGCGCTGCAGACGGAGACGACACGGACGACGACGGCAGCGTGTGGATGGTGCTGCCGAGCGCCTTGAGCTCCACCGGCCGCACGTTCCGCAAGGTTGAGACGTCGGTGATGGACGAGGAGGAGCAGCTCAAGCTCGTCAAGAGGAGGGCCAGGAAGATGCAGAGCAAGAGCCAAGCGGCCGATGCGGATACTGCAGAGGCTAGAGAAGAGGAGGCAACGGGTGAACCCATTTCGCCGCGAGATTTCCACCGGATCAAGGTCATTGGAGTCGGAGGAATGGGCCGAGTGCTGCTGGTCCGTCATCGCCGAGATGGCAGGTTGTATGCGATGAAGGTGGTGTCCAAGCGGTCGGTCAAAGAGAAGGACATGGCGACCAGGGTTTTGTCCGAGCGAGACGTGCTGGGAGGTACCAGTCACCACGCGCTAGGTACGTTCGACACTACGAAGCGGAACTGACCATTGTGCATCGTTGCAGCTAACACGATTTACCCGATGGATGCCATGACGACCAGTTCATTTGTATTGGGCTTTCCAGACCAAAAGCCACTTGTACTTTGTGATGGAGTACTGTCCTGGTGGGGAACTGTCCACACATCTGGAGCGAGCAGCGAGGTTCTCGGAAGAGGTGGCAGCGTTCTACGCAGCGGAACTGCTTCTTGCGGTGCAGCAGCTACACCAGCACGGCATCGTCCACCGGGATATCAAACCGGAGAACGTTCTGCTAACTGAAGACGGCCATCTAAAGCTCGTTGATTTCGGTATCAGCAAATTCGGCATCACTCAAGCTACTAGTGGGGCGAGGACCATTTGCGGCAGCTACGAATATCTAGGTAAGATATCATTTTGGCGGACTACTGGTGCTTTTAGTATTAACTGGGGCGTTTCGATACTGACGAGACAGCTCCCGAGATATTGCGAGGAGAAGAATACGGCACAGCTGCAGATTGGTGGGCGTTTGGCGCGGTGTTGTACGAACTTTTGACTGGTCTTCCGCCTTGGTACAGCCAGAACCCCGAAGAAATGTGCAGACAGGTCCTCCATTCTCCTCTCATTCTCCCAGACTTTATATCATTGGAAGCGAAGGACTTGCTTCGGAAGTTGCTAAATCAGAATCCGGGTAAGAGACTCGGCTCGCTGCTTGGAGGGCCAGAGGTGAAGGAGCACGCTTTTTTTCGCTACATTGACTGGGAAATGGTCACATTTCGAGAAACACAGGCTCCGATTCGGCCATGTGAATCTCCCGATGCGGTGGTACGTCGATACGGTGCCCGATGTGCCTTATGTTATCGCGAAGTACGATTTGTCTAATGGGTGCTTATTTGGTTGTGTTGAAGATTGACGGTAGCAACTTCCCCGATGAGTTCACGCATATGTCTGTCGGAAGTATTGACAGCTCCACGCCTAGACTTGGTGGTGGCGAATCGTTTAAGGGATTTAACTTTGAGGCACCGGAAGACCAGCAGATCGAATACGGCTTTACACGTGATGTTAGTTTGTCCAACAGCAGGGAGAATACACCGTAGACCCATCTATTACAGTAGGTATTACTGCCTGTAAGTAAGCACGTTTCCGTGCTGCAAGAAGAGATTGCTTGAATTGTACAACTCGTTGACTTCTCGGTCTAGCCACTCGTTAGGACGGTTCACACAAGCGCAGGATAGATGTGCTGGTCGTACACGGTCACCCACTCACAATTGCCCTCGTCTAGAACCCAGCACAAGTGGGTAACGTTGGCGATTTCTCGGAGGAACAACCCGCCACGCTCGTCCATCGTTCTGAGTCCAAATGTATCCGAAGTGTACTCTATCGTATCCTTCATGTCGACCATGGTCAAATTCATAAACTTCGTCTGGATTTCCTCGATCGTGTCAACCTCTGAGTAGCGACCGAAAAGCGAGTTCTGCCACGGTTTGATAACCGTATCCGCCGATGATGCGAAGAAGTGGGCCTGCTCCACCTTCAGGAAATTCGATTTGCGGCAGTGCTGGTCGTATACGCACTGGTCATTACCGGGTAGGCAGCGGTTGACGTTGTTGTACACGGGCAGGAAGAAGTTTGCGGTGGAAAAGCTGGCCAGCGGCCCACATTGAAGTGTGAGTGCAGCCCCTGAACCCCCGGGTTCTCCACCGAGTAGAGTACGAAGTCCTTCTGCATCTTGCCGTAGTAGTCCTCGGGACCGTAGTTAAACACGGTAGCAGCTTCAGCAACGCCCCGTTGCCAGGAGCAACAGATGCGCCGACGCTGTTGGGTCCTGTGAACTGACCGTTCTGAAGACCGGCCAGGCTGATGAAGCGCTTAACTTTGTAATCATCCATCTCCTCAATGACGCCACGGGCGATAAGTCCACCTTGCGAGTGACCGATGAAGATGTAGCCGTCGTCGAATGCCGAGTTGTTCGCCACCACCTCTCGAACAGCTTCCGGGGCCTGGACCAGGAGTGACTTGGTGGAGCATGTACCGCCACAGAACGACAGCGCCTCCACTGAGCGGCCTCTGCGGTCAGGTTAGCCTCAAAGTTGTTACCAGCCTCGAAGGTCATTGTTGCGCCGTGGAAGAAGACCAAGGGCAGGTCGGATGCACCCAAAGCGACATTCTCCAATACGAAAGCGCTTGACACCAACGCGAGAAAGATGCAGCGACAGAGCATCATGTAGACAGACGATGGCTTGGGTACTTCCTGGGAGAATCCGTTGTGTGAAACTGTCCGAGAGTCGACAGCGACAGAGTGGCAAACCCGATGGATGTGTACCGGAACTCGTATGCCCGGACGTGAATACGTCATTTTTCAACTTTTGTTTATGACAGACTAGCGCTCTGGGCGCCCGCTACGCGGACGCTAGGGCTTGGTTTGTTAGACTGAAGAATCTCGTTGGCTTGAATCTCTTCTCCTCCAATAGTGATCGTGGTCATATCCGAGCCCTTGTACACGTACTTGTAGATGTACTTGACAGCCCTGTTTGTCGAACAGACTTCGACGTCGATGCGGCAATTATATTTCTGCGAAAGAAATGGGTTGTATGGCACAATCCATTGGTTGATCGTCGCACTGTCCCACACTTTACCTTTGTGGACCACAAACCATCGGAACGCCGTTTCCGACGGTTAATCAGGACTCTTATCCTGGACCATAGTCGTTACCTCGGTAAGAGGCTTGGGGAACTTCTTGGAGCACCTACCGTTCTTCATGCAGGGGCAGTTCGGATTCTGTCTTCCACATGGACCGTGCATCATACTTGAGATCACCGTTTCGTAAAATTCGGGGTGCTTCTCCTTATCAGGGAGCTCTGCTGACACTAATCGGTCCACGTCTACTGCGGACACGGGCAGGTCGCAGAATCAGAAGAATGTGTGCGTGGGGAATCCCTCTCTTTTGGTATTCTACCACATGGACCCGAGCGGCTTGGATACCCAGGATGCCTTGGTCGAGGTCCTTGTTCAACGCTTTCAGCTTCTGCATGAATACTCGCGCAACGACATCAGGCCTGTCAGTCGCCTTCTCGTTCGGTCGCAGATTCTCCTTGATTTCTGGCCAGTTAGGGTTGCACGTCATGGTGATGGACAGATTTGGCGCGCCGGTCTCTCTTACGATTGCCATAGCGTCGAGGAAACGTTGGTACATGTAGCGGGGCCCTCCCGTAAAGGTGGGAGGTATAATAATCTTGCGCCCGATATTTTCGGCGTCAGGGGCATCGGAATTCTCTTCTTCACGACGTGTCTGCTCTCTGGTAGACCCGGCAGCGCGTCGTTCCACCTCCGCATCAGCTGCAACTCTGTGAGCATCAATGTTCTCGCTGCGCAACGCATCACTTAGTCCCTGAAGTGTCTCCAGACGGTACTGAAGCTGGTTCAGTTCTATGTAGCGTAGCCGCTCCTGCTCACACTTGGCCCACTGGTCTACACAATACTGCTGTGTGAGACGTCCACCTCGCAGGATGAGAGAATTACTCGCCGACCTGTCGTACAGGAGATATGCCTCGAACTCCCTTAGTGACATCCGTAACAGCTCTCCATCACCACGTACGGAATGCCATACGTCCACCCGGTATCACCGTAAGGTAAGAGCATAGGATACTGTAGTGGGTCGTAGCTGTCGCTAGTCTAAAGTATACGCTTGAAGCCACCCTGACGCGTAGAGAGCAAAATATCGCGAGACTGCACCGCATGCTCATCAATCACAATTGATGCCGCTTCGGATGCCGTTGGGGTGTTATGCGTACCCGGGTTTGCATTCCGAGATACATGCAGTCGAAGCTGGAAGTCATCGTTATGAGGGATAAGATTCTGCAAACGCAATGCAGGATCATCGTCCGGTATCTCTTCTCCAGCGGCCATTCGCCGTTCCTGTTCTGCAACCGCTTCTTCGTAAGCAGGTTGGGCCCGCTGAACCAATATACTTCGCGCGTGAAGAAACTGTTGCGCGTAAGGGTTGTGTCTTTCCATAATTTCATCGATCTTTTCCAGAACCGCTCGATCCAAACCGTCTGTCATCTGCATCCGACTTGTCACACGCGCGTTCATATCCGGATCGTTGATGTAGACCTGCGCGTACATTGACCTCCCGCTCTCTGACGGCAATTATGACCCAATTCGATGGCAAACCGAGCCCATAACGCGGAAGTTGTACACACCATCCCGACACACACTGTGATCTACAGTGAGAGAGCGCGACCGTGAAGCGCCCATCGACGTGAACGCGAAGACGTTGTTGTATGCACGAATCGAGCGCATAAACGCCGCGTTGTCGAACAGTTGAAGAAGCACTGAGGGGGCTGCGTGAGACGGCCGAACGCGGATCAAGCCGTTTCGAGAGCAGCAAGCGGCAGTCTCACCAGGGAATTTCCGCGCATTACAGTATTGACACACCCTCTCTGTCTCGCGACTGTCGTCTGTAAAGCGCGTAAAGTAATGACGCCCATTTGGAACCGTGGCGGGGTCGAAGTCTTCGTAGTAAGCGAGACCCTTTTTGTACTGGAGCGATCGTCTGCGAAGTCGGTCCGCCTCTCTTCTGCGAGCGCGCTCCTCCTCCGGCATGGTCCCCCGTCGTGCACGTTGCACAACTGCGTCTTGATTTCTGCGTTCTTGACGTTGCTCTGCCGGCATGTTGCTACGCCAGTTAGCCGTTGCAGTCGCCGTATTTTCCCGTTGTTGCCGCACCTGCTGATCGTTAAGATTGCCACGTCTAGCTCTCGTGCGCGCGGCATCCGCTTCTCTGTCGCGGATAACTTGGGACGCTGATCGATTTGCTCTGCTACGTTGCTTTCGAATTCTGTCTCTTACGCGAACACGGGTCAACGGCGACGGTGTCATATCCGGGACGGCGTACTCCGGGCGGGCGTCACTAAAAGGGCCCGATCGTCTGTCATTCCAACTGTAAATGCTGCGGATGACGTCTCCCCAGTAGCCGACACTTCATTCGATATAAGTTGCGGATTAAGAAGTGTAGCTGGGGCCACATTACTCGCCGTAGTAGCCTCCAACGTCGATCTTGCCATACCCCGCCCTATCACACACCCTGTAACGCTGTCACCACTCCAGGAATTTCAGATTCTGTATCCTGCTCCGCCGATTCTCTCTGCTGCTTTCGAAAACGTGACAACGCCGAGTTCAGGTTGTTTACCCTTCTTTTCTTTCCCGCTTGGCTTTCGTATCCATCCGGTGCAGGATACGCTTCTCTGACATCGTCTTCGCTCGTATACTTTCGTCTTCGAGACATGAATCCTGCAACAAAACAAACGAAGCTCTTTTAGTTCTCCGTAAAAGTAGCATGCCACTATGTATGGTTCTATGCTTGGTTAGTAGGTGAGTAAGATCAGCATCGCCTATGCCGTTTGTCTTCCGCCGCACCGCCTTGATGAGATTAGTACCGTGCGTTACCGTGAAGGGACTTCTGTGCTGTTTGCAACCCGCGTCCGCAGAAAAAGCCTAATGTGACCACATCACCTACGGTATTCCCAGTGTTACTATACCAACTGCAATTTAAACGACGGTAAGACGCCTCATTAGCCAAGCTTTTGAACCGGTACTTTTTTTTGCTTTCAGTCCCTCACCTCCACTTTTACCGCCTTGATGCACAACCCACTTTGTTGCCGCCGTTTCTCAATACCTTTGGAGAAATTAGCTGCGGGTTATTTTCGGTGCTGAAGCGACTACTCCCCACTATTGGGTTGTGATCACTTCCTTTGGTCACCGTTTTATAGTGTCTGTTTAATGCCACGGAGCTATTTCAGCCCAGGCAATTAACCACTTTCGGTTATAAGGGGTAATGGGTCAGTTGTTGGGTATTGCTTTGTTTACCGGAACATCCACTGGCATCATAGGCATCGAAGGATCGTTTAGACCGCTAATCGGTACATAACCCGAAAAAGCGTAGGCAAGGTAGCACACATCAAGTTTTCTTCTACTACGACACAGGTCGCAATAGGCTAGAAACCCATGAAAATACCGCTCTCTTTTGTCTTGTGTGTTGTTGGATTGTATGTTTGGGTGTGGGTTGGTCGGAAATGCGGTAAGCGGTTCCAGTTGCCGAAGCAAAAAGATTTCCGTCGCCCCCCGAAAGGAACTGACGGTCTCAGTTTGCCGCTAAACAAAAGGTAAGCCATAAGCCATCAAGTCACTGTCTCCAGTGGCTCGGCTCGGGTCCCCACCCAAGCCTCGTGGCTGGCCGCATGGGCTCTGTCGTGGACACAGAAGAACGGAACTGAGGTTTCCCCCAATCTAACGTGCCGGTCCCATACACTAATAGTGTAACACGACCACTACTCCGAGTTTAAACAGGCGGCCCGGCAAAGCCGGCTTTTATCGCCACATGGATCTGCCAAAACTCGGGTGGGTATGAGACTTCCCATGCCGCTGGCGGGCAAACATGGGCGCCTCAGGGTCGCGGCTCCGAAGAGCAAAAGGTGCGACAGAGCTAAGTCTTAGTACGGCGGCTGGTGCCGGCTGCAATCTTTCTTATCCTAAAAAGGCGTTTAAAACACCCCTTATTAAGGATGGAAACGGGTTTAAAGCAGAAAGCCACAGTACTACAGTATAATCATGCCAAATAATTAAATCGGACACTCATACAAAGTAGCAATGTTGTGGATTCAGAGCGACTGTCCGGCGGCTGCGCCGTCCGTGGGTGTCTCGGCGCGGAGTGGGCCGTCTCGTAGGTATGGCGGTCTACTGCAACATCCCACGGACTCTTGAATAGGTGTCCCTAAGAACGCCTAATAAGCACCAGTCTACCCCTGATTCCGTACTATAAACCCTCGACTGCCCTGAAGGTACCAGTTATCCCAACAGGCGGAACTCCCGAAACCGTAAAGTAGTTTATTTATGTATGGGCATGCAGTACTCACTGTTGTGTGTGTCCGCTGCCGCTGAAGTTCGCCACTCGCTTCTCTACGCCAGGCGCCCTCCGCTCGCTGCCTCGGTCCGTCCGTCCGTCCGCCGCGCGCCAACTTTCAAATGGGGGATGTGATAATCACGCCCGCTACAGTCCGACTGGCTCCGTGTAAGTCCGAATTTTAGCGTGATTGTGGCTGTTTATGTAATTTCGTAGATAGTTAAAAAGCCAGTTCCAGTCGACTTGATGAGTGAATAATGTATGCAATAAGGCCGCGGTAGCGTAGTCTAATTGACAGGTCTAGGCTGTAGGGGCGGAAAGCGTGACGCGATGACCGACAGGGTTCTCTCGGTTGGAGGACGGAGAACTAGCGCTCTGGGCACCCGCTACGCGGGCGCTTTGACCACGGGTTGCTGGAATAGCATAGCTTAAAAGTATATGCATCATTTTGATTTCCATAACAATAATGTGCGGATACAGTTGACACATATTCGTTGCTATAACTTCGTGCTTTAGTAGTAAATGAGTAGGAATACATTTTCCTATTAAGCTAATTACCAAATGTCGCTCACTATGCAAAGTTGAGTACCTAAACATCGAGTGAGCTGAATATCGTTGCCGTTGTATTATTGATCACCCGTTTCTGCGAGGCGAGCTACATTGTCACGGACATGTCTTACTACAGTGTAGTGACCTGCGTGTTTACTTACTTTGAAGTAATAACTAAAGTATTGAAACTATGATTGGATGTGGTTTATACTGCGTTGCAAACTGGTAGCTGTCGTCGATACCGTACTCTAGTGTTGGTACTACGTTAGCACTGAAAGATTGCAACTTTGCCAGCATGAATTTACACACTGCACCGCGCTACATGTAGTAATGCTGGTTTGCGCGATAACAGTTCAAATAGACATAGCAAATTTAGCTCAACTCAATACGGATCGGTAGCGACTGTGCGCCTTCGATGGTTAGGTTGTTGTGTATCGTGTATATGCATATTAAGCGTTTGGCGGGACCCCGGGGTCCCCGCTTGCCCCGCCAGCTGTCATAAGCAACCGGTATATTCGGTAAATTCAAGTGCTGCATGTTTGTATCGATGCTATGTATCTCTGGTAGTATCGACTATCGAGTAGCACAGAGCTGCAGAGTTCGCAACTTTGCGTGCGACGCCGCTGCTGCTGTAGTAGGCTCTAGCTTCTAGCAGTCAGCTTGAATCTTCTTGGTCGTATCTTCACCAAGACGCTTAACAGAACGAACGAATGCAGCAGCTTTGTGGTCACGACGATTTCAATACTTAAGTATCACGTTTGCGCCGAGGAACCTCTGCACCTCCAGTTGGCCTAGCCTTCATACTGGATGCTAGATGCTTGAAGGTGAAATGAGCTCTAGCTAAACTCGAAACATTATCACAAAATTGTCACAACATATATATTATCACTACCCCGCCGATAAAAATAAATAATTCCGGTCGCCATCGGTACATGATGCGGGACCCCGGGGTCCGGCCAATAGCTTCATATATATATTGCTCTAACGACAATGTCTACACTAAGCTGCATTATGTGCATACTGCAGTAGTTTACGGTACACGTATCTAGGGTAGCAGCGCGCATTTATTTTGAAAGCTGCATGCGTCGCCAGTGTCACTACTATTCTACGCTTTGCCTACTCTGCATCTTTCATTCATCTGGATTTATAACGCGTCATTGCTCTTGGTGCATGACGTACAGTACTTAGTAACAGTAATTCGAAATTGCGCACGACCATGCTGATGTGCGCTGCGCGCAATTCGAGCAGCATTTTCTAAAATTGTTTTGTTGAAGCGCGAGAGTTAGGGCACCTGGGATATGATCGATTTTGATTTGAGTTGGAGTGCATTGTTGTCACTTGGCTGATGCGTCTATCGTTCCTATGGAAGCGAGTGTCGGACAGCAGCAAGATCCTGCCATTAATCAGCTTAATAAAAACATAAAAAGTCGTAAGTAGGACGCCTCGATGCGCGCGCTGGTGATGCACCTGGGTTTACTTAATTCGACCAACTACTACGTAGTAGTAACTTAAGCTGAGCACGCGACTACTCAAATTGGTGTATTATAATGCTTGATTTCTGCAAATGAATACAGCACGATTGCCAGCTACACCACGCCGCGTGCTGTTTATCAGTTAATCTATGTGCAGCGTTAGGTTCGTTCGCACACATTCTTGGTGTATTAGAAAATGAACGCCTAATAAGCACCAGTCTACCCCTAATTCCGTACTGTAATCCCTCGACTGCTGAAGGTACCAGTTATCCCAACAGGCGGAACTCCCGAAACCGTAAAGTAGTTTATTTATGTAGATGTATGCATGTACTCACTGTAGCGGTGTAGCAGTGTCCGCTGCCGCTGCACTCCGCTGCTCACTCCCGTACGCCACGCGCCTTCCCGCTCGCTCCCTCGGTCCGTTCGTTCGCCGCGCGCCAACTTTCAAAATGGGGGATGGGATAATCACACCCGTTAAAGTCCGATTATTTCCGCGTAAGTACGATTTTTAGCGTGATTGTGTCTAGTTTTGTAGCTTCGTAAATAGTTTAAAAGCCAGTGCGAGTCGATTTGATGAGTGAATAATGCATCTGTTAGGTCCGCGGTAGCGTAGTCGAAATGACAGGTCTATGCTGTAGGTGCGTAAAGCGTGTCGCGATGACCGACAGACAGGATTCTCGGTTAGAGGACGGAGAATTCCGCTTACTCGGTGCTTATGCTGGGATAGCTCTGATGCGAAGGTGGTGGGACAAATCGAAGAGGTAGATTTTTACCCCTGCCATTCGTGGGGTGTTGTGAAAGGTTGTCGATTTTGTGTGTTTATACTAGTACACTGCGATTTAGTGAAAATAATAATGTTAGAAATTCACGTGTGTCGGATGGACTTCTTAGTAGCGATGGTTTGGAAGAATTTCGAAATCAATTAAAACGATTCGAAAATGCAATATTAACTGCGCATTAACTCAAAATAGATCAAAACTAACGTTACTTGGCTCAAAATAGATTGCGCAGGAAGCCCTACCGGCATTCATGGTGCTGGCATGCAGCTCATGCAGCTCAGGCCGCCCTCACGGTTCCGGCATTTTCACGCTCAAGAGCATCGGGGCATTCCGGGTACGAGTGCAGCCTTGCCCAGTCCGTGGGCTCGCTCGAGACCGCGTTGTGGTTGACGTAGATGAACGCGAGCATGTCGACCTTATCGGTTGTCAATCTGTTGCGTTTCTTTGAGTGTATAAAGTCCATGATGCTCCAGGCGCGCTCGCTTGCGGCCGACGAAGACGGGATTGCGAATACGCGTCTGGCAAGCTCCCACAACAGCGGATGACCCTTCTTGTTGTTCCACCACCACGTGATAGGCGCTACTCCTTCGTTGTATCTCTTGTCAGCAGGGGACCATCGTCGCTTCAAGGTAGCAAAATCGTTCAGCGCGCCGTTGAACACTGCTCTCGTGACGCCCAACTCCTCCAACAAGCCGCTCCGTTCAGCGAAGTCGCAGCCTTGTCTATAGGTATCCTTTTCGTCGGTACCGACAAAGTTGTCCGGATCGGTGTGGGGGTCTAAGAGGAATGCCAGGTCAGTAGCGTCGGTATGAACGTGCTCCCATCGATCTTGAATGAGTGCCTGGATTGCCGCTTGAAGATCTGACTGCTCGTCTTCAGTACCATAGACATGGTGATTCAGAAGCCACTGAAATCGAGAGTACACGCGAGATGTCGGACAATTGTCGGACTCAAGCTCATGGAGCGCTTCAATCACGGGGTCCAGAAATGCCACAACTTGCTCCAATTTTCTCCAGAATGATGCTTCACGAATATATTGCTTGACTTGGCTGAGTTTCCCCTTCGCCTTCTTGCTCGAAGCTGAGTTGTTAACCAATTCTTCAAACTGCGACTCGGTAAACAACTTCTTGAGCACGTTCCTGTTGTCCAAAACCCGCACCAAGCACGCGTGAAGAGAGTACCACCGCGTGGCAACAGGTACACTCAGTACGCGTCGATGGTCATTGGTTGTCTCTCACAACATGATCGTAAACTGGCTGAGTAAAGCGTGATGGTCTCGAACGTAGGACGTAATTGCAAGCGCCTTGGTCTGAACGCTCTTGAAGAAATCGTGCTTACACATGTCTTGAATCAATAGATTCAGCATGTGAGCAGCACAGCCACCTCCGAATATAGGCCGAGACCGCTCCAGCAGCTTCCACGCAGCGTCCATATTACTGGCGTTGTCGGCCAGCACACCTGCCACAGTGGCATTGGTTTCACGCTCAACTTCATCAATGACCCGGCCGAGATGGCCTGCCAAATACTCCGCCGTCTCCGATGCCGTGCCAGTTGCCAGCGAGGACCAGAAGACCGACCGCACGCCCGGAGCTACAACCATGAAGTTTATTATGGTTGAGTGGTTGACGTTCGTCCATGAATCCGTCACGATCGAGACTACCTCCTGCAGCCGAATGAGCCTAAGAGCCCTCTCACGAATTTCATCGCGTGCACGCTGTAGCAGCACGGTGCTCAATCGGTGTCTGGACGGGAATCGAATTCCTGGTGCCAGGAGCTGAAATGGTTTTCGAAAGGCATCGGATTCGACCAGCACACACGGCAGGGCACATAGGAAAAACATGCTCGCCAATGCCATTTCAAATTGCTGCTGCTGCTGTTGCGCTGTCGGTACAGGGGCGGACTGCGGCGTGTTTCCACCATCAACGTTTCCAGCACCAACACCAGAAGACGACCGACCAGCCGGTAGCATCGGCACCGCTGCTTGGCCGTGAAGATCGGCGAACATTTCGTAAACGCGCTTCTTGATTGCAGCGGGAGCGTTGGGGCAGTCCTTCCGGTGGCGCTGCATGTTCTTCCCAGGCTGAGCGCTACGGATGAGGGCGGCGCAGAAATTGCACTCGGCGTGCGGCTTCGAGCTCTCGTCAGTGACTTTATCGAAGTAGCGCCATATCGGGTGGGTGGGACGGCCAGGTCTGCGAGTAGCTCCAACGCGTGGGTTTCGCACGCGAACGATCGGAGAGTTTGCAGCTCGTTGAGCAGCGATGCGGGGAGACCGGCGCACAGAGTGTGAATTCGTCGGGCGGTCGTCGGGGGAGCGGTCGTCGGAGGAGTCGGCCATGTCCTCGTCTTCCGTGGCGTCGGCCGCATTTGACGCTCGTCGAGCTGCAAGCCGAGGCGATCGGCGTACTTGGCGTGGGGTCGTAAGTTGACGGCCCGGGGAGTCGTAGTTCATGCCGTGGTCATCCCCAGCGTCGGACATCACGGCCTCCTCCTCTCCGCTTAACGGGGTGCGCGTTGAAGAAGGAGAGTCGAAAGAGAGAACTTCTGGCGGAACCCTGGCGGAATCCTGCAGATTCGAATATTGAAGTTGCGGTTGCGACACCAAATCCCAGCTCGAGTTTTGATCCATTTTGATCCATTTTGAGATGCTCAATAAATTTAGAATGATCAGAAAGTTTTGAGAATTTTGAGGCCCTACTAATCCAAACCATCCCTACTTCTTAGTGCTTTCACTTTGTGGGAGTCTAGCTCAAACGTTTTCGCACGGAATGGTGGTGCACCCGAATATGATGCAGCATGCTCCAATAAAATGTTGCACTAAACTCGCACGTTGCCTGGTGTCGAAGAAGCCGTGGCGATAACATTGCCTTAAGCTGTGAGTTATCTATCGCCAGATCTGGAAGAAGCCGTTGGCGATAACATTGTAAGAATTAGGACTTGAGTTATCGATCGCCAGATCTTGCTATTAGGGGGGATCCTTACACAAGAGTAGGGTAGATGTACTGGTCGTACACAGAAGCCCACGAGCAGCCAGTGTCGTTGTCATCAACCGCCCAGCATCCGTGCGTGACGTTCGCGATTTCGTGGAGGAAGAGACCACCACGCTTCTCCAGGGTCTGCAAGCCGAAGGTGTCCGACGTGTACTCGAGCGTGTCCTTCATGTCCACCACCGTCAAGTTGTTGTACTTGGTCTCGATCTCCTCGATCGTGTCCACCTCCGAGTAGCGGCCAAAGATGCAACTCTGCCACGGCATGATAACATCATCCGCAGGCGAGGCGAAGAAGTGGGCCTCCTCCAGCTTGAGGAAGTTGGCCTTGCGGCGGTGCTGGTCGTAGATGCACTGGTCGTTACCGGGCAGGCAGTGGTTGACGTTGTTGTACACGGGCAGGAAGAAGTTGGCGGTGGAGAAGCTGCCGAACTGCGGCCAGCGGTTGACGTTGAACTGCGAGTACGTGTACTGCGCGTCGGGGTTCTCGATGGTGTAGATGACGTAGTCCTTCTGCATCTTGCCGTAGTAGTCCTCAGGGCCGTAGGCGCTGTAGTTGAACATGGTCTCAGGCACCAGCATGGTCAGGAACACAGCATTGTTGGCGATGGAGACTTCAACCTTGTCGGGGCCGATGAACTGGCCGTTCTGGAGACCAGCGAGACTGATGAAGCGCTTGACCTTGTGGTCGTCCATCTCCTCGATCACCGCACGAGCAATGGGGCCGCCCTGCGAGTGGGCGATGAAGATGTAGCCATCGTCGAACGCCGAGTTGTTCGCCACCAGCTCGCGGACAGTCTCCACAGCCTTGGGGACCTGGGTCAGAAGCGACTCGGTAGAGCACGAGCCATCGCAGAACGAGAGCGACACCACCGTGCGGCCTTCAGCAGTCAGGTTGGCCACGAAATTGTCACCGGCCTCGTAGGTGCTGAAGACTCCGTGGAAGAAGATCACGGGCAGGTCGGACGCAGCCGACGCAACGTGCGCCAGGGCGAACGCGCAGGACACGACCGCGAGGAGGACGCTGCGGCAGATCATCGTGTCGTCCGGGACGAGAGAACTTCGGGGCGAAATCCGTTGTGTCGGTCGAAATGCTCGAATTGGTGGCAGCACGCGCGCGCTCTTCCTTTCCTGCAGAGCACGGCACGGCTGCAGCAGCAGCTGGAGAGGAGGGATCCCAGAGGCACAAATATCGTCGGAGGCGAGCGACGTGCGCAATGGGAACCGGCGCAAGAGTCGGAGGTTGAAGCCAATGTCTTGAGTGGTGCGATCAGCGAGAACACAATGCGGGATTTGCACCCGTCAACAGCGAACGTCGCGATCAAACACTTGTAAACGCTCATCCGTTCACCGGGCCAGCACGCCCAAGCCTCACGCCGCCGGCAAACATAACTTTCATCAACAATATTTACTCATTGCTGATGAAATTTACTACTACGGTAAGTACAGGTGCATGACGCTTGAGATGACAATGTCGACAGCATTTTGCACCGAGACCTTGGCGCCCTTCGGCACTGTCCACTCGCGTTGCGTGGAGATTGAGCTCCAGATGGGGGGTATCGTCGAGCATAGATGGATCCGGTAAATAAAAACAGAGCGAGCGCTCGGGTGTGGCGCGGCGCCAGCACGATCGCACCGTCGGGCGCACCGACGAGTGAGTGTGTACAGTACAGTACGTAGCGGCGTGCCGGACTTGAATGCTGCGCGAATGCCTTTCCTCTGCTCCTGGATCTTCCTGGTACCTCCTCGGTGGCGTTGTCGTGGTCCCCAACTCTTGATGAATGGATCGCACGCAGCACCGACGGCGTTGCGAGTGGCATCCGTCCAGTGGAGTCCACTAGTGGACGGCGTCCACTACAGCTCATGGACTCGCAGCGAGCAGAATTGACACAGCCGCAATGGCATTGACATCTACATGAACTGCCTTCGTTGTAAGTTACGAGCGGTCTTCATTGCATTTGTATTATCATGAGCGACTTCAACATGCTCTTCAAGTAGTCAGAAGGCGTAGTACAAGAATTCTGTTCACTCGAGGTACCTGTACAGCACCGCACTCAATTGACGAGACCAGTTATTTAGTGCAACACCGCATAAAGGTGGTCATTGTAGAGCGGAGCCCACTTGCAGTCGCCGTCGTCGCCGCGCCAGCAGCTGTGCGTGATGTTGGCGACTTCGTGGATGAAGAGGCCGCCGCGCTCGTCCAGCGTCTTGAGCCCGAACGTGTCCGACGTGTACTCGAGCGTGTCGTTCATGTTGACGATGGTAAAGTTCATGAACTTGGTCTCGATCTCCTCGATCGTGTCCACCTCCGAGTAGCGGCCGAAGATGGAGCTCTGCCACGGCATGATACGATCATCAGCAGGTGAGGCGAAGAAGTGGGCCTCCTCCAGCTTGAGGAAGTTGGCCTTGCGGCGGCGCTGGTCGTAGACGCACTGGTCGTCGCCCGGCAGACAGCGGTTGACGTTGTTGTACACGGGCAGGAAGAAGTTGGCGGTGGAGAAGCTGCCGAACTGCGGCCAGCGGTTGACGTTGAACTGCGAGTACGTGTACTGCGCGTCGGGGTTCTCGATGGTGTAGATGACGTAGTCCTTCTGCATCTTGCCGTAGTAGTCCTCCGGACCGTAGGCGCTGTAGTTGAACATGGTCTCAGGCACGAGTGCAGCCAAGAAGGGGGCGTCGTTGGCGATGGAGACCTCGACCTTGTCGGGACCAATGAACTGGCCGTTCTGAAGGCCGGCCGTGCTGATGTAGCGCTTGACCTTGTGGTCGTCCATCTCTTCGATGACTGCGCGAGACACGGCACCACCCTGCGAGTGGGCCAGGAAGATGTAGCCGTTGTCGAACTCGGAGCTGTTGGCGACGATCTCACGGATCTGAGCGACAGCCTTCGGGACTTGCAGGACGATCGCTTCTAGCGAGCAGGTCGACTCGCAGAATGTCAACGGCACCACAGTGCGGCCTTCCGCCGTGAGGTTGGCCACGAAGTTGTCCGCGTTGCTGTGGTTGCCGCGAACGCCGTGGAAGAAGAACACGGGCAGCGAAGAGAAGTCGGTCGCGGCGGTCGTCACAGTGATGGCGGTGGACAGGAGCGTGAAGAGGACTCGGGTACCGAACATGGTGATTGCTGGGTGCTTGGCGCTTGCTGACAAAATCGATAGTGGTGGCCGATGGACAGGCTACACAGGCTTAGCAGTGGTGTGATCATTCGGGTCATGCTTCCCGGAGAGCCGTACCTATGATGTGCATGCCGGATGCAAGCAGCATTGCAGCACGCGATCGACGAGCGTGCAGCATCTGCACTCACACCAAGCGCTGCTGTTGCTGGATGTCAGGCGTAATGGGACCCAAGATGCATGGATATTATAGACGGCGTCGACCTAAAGCAGAAAAGCTTGGAGCAGTGCAATCGGCTTATGGTTGGGACATCGGTTCGGGCGGTCGAATTCGTAGCCACCACTGTGAGCTTGGCCAATTCAGCACATGCAAGTCGATTTCACTGGCATGGATAACCTTGCATCACGGTGACAGATGTCTACAGTACATGTAGTTTCAAGACTCTTGAATCAAGACCGGATAAGCTGAAGTGTATTGTTTGCCCTGGACATGTAGCCACATCTTCCGGGTAAGCCGTCGACTATCGATACAAACGATACACCCGCGATGATGAGAACCCTACGAGAGGGAACACGAAGGCACTTCACAAGTATGATGGCCCATGCTTGCAAGACTTCGATAAGGCTTGACAGATACTCCACCCCGGGAGCTTGAATCATGTGGAATGATAAAGATATGGATTCTTAAAGCGACAAGCGAGCTGGCTGCCGTAAACGGCGCAGCGCTCTAAGTAGCCTCGGCTTCAGTCAGCGAGGTTTTACTGTTCTGAAGCACGTGCAAGGAGATTAAATACCTTACAACTACCAGTAATGATCTCTCCACGATTAACGACATCTGTACGAAGCTCTTCATCTCCTTCAAGACCTGCACCATAACTTGATGTGACGATTTCATCGACGCCTATCTCCTCCTACTCCGGATCGAGTGGGTCCACAGCACTGGATGGTCTTGTAGAAATGTCGAACTTGGGTCATGAACAGTTCCGATTTTTGTCTTTTAGATCAGTATATTGGGAAGTCAGCAATTAATTTCATTGAGGTGTTGCAAACTATTTCACTGTGTTAAGATAAGATATCAACCAATCAAATAGTCTAAAAAGCGTGACATACTCACAGAAAAGGAATTTATTATTAGTATAGATATCGGCCCTTCATGTAGGTAGCACACTATCTTCATTCATGCCTGCCAAGTTCAAGCTGTCTTCGTGAAGGCGGGAGGAGGCAAAGGACGGCTCCCTACATGCCTGTCTATCCAAAAGCTTCACGCCAGTCATCCCGTACGAGTTGTACGACCCCACAGCAACAGCAGCACCTGGTGAAGCTTGATACCCGCTGTACAGATCACTTCGGCGCTCTTGCAAATTGCAGAGACAGATCGTAGTACATGTACAAAAGCACGGGGCACGGTCACAGCATTGAGGCGTCCCGATTCTCTCGGCGCGATTCATCGGTACCGCTCGCTACGGGAAGGTTGTTGAGTGGACGCGGCTCGGTGCGGTGAGCTTTGCGACCGAGCGCGCTGGTAGCTCACACAATCGAATTTGCCGGCAACCTCCCGAATCCTTCGACAACAGCAATGGCAAGTCGTCTTTGTCTGTTCGCGCTCCTGTCCTCGGTGTTCTCACTCGCGGCCGCCGCGACCGACTTCTCTTCGCTGCCTGTGTTCTTCTTCCACGGCGTCCGCGGCAACCGCACCAATGCCGACAACTTCGTGGCCAACCTCACGGCCGAGGGGCGTACCGTTGTACCTCTCACCTTCTGCGAGATGCCCTGCTCGCTAGAGGCGATCGTCCTGCAGGTCCCGAAGGCTGTCGCTCAGATCCGTGAGATCGTCGCCAACAGCTCCGAGTTCGACAACGGCTACATCTTCCTCGCCCACTCGCAGGGCGGTGCCATCTCTCGCGCAGTCATCGAAGAGATGGATGACCACAAGGTCAAGCGCTACATCAGCATGGCCGGCCTCCAGAACGGCCAGTTCATCGGCCCCGACAAGGTGGAGTACTCGATTGCCAATGATGGGCCGTTCCTCGCCACGCTCGTGCCCGAGACCATGTTCAACTACAGCGCCTACGGTCCGGAGGACTACTACGGCAAGATGCAGAAGGACTACGTCATCTACACCATCGAGAACCCCGACGCGCAGTACACGTACTCGCAGTTCAACGTCAACCGCTGGCCGCAGTTCGGCAGCTTCTCCACCGCCAACTTCTTCCTGCCCGTGTACAACAACGTCAACCGCTGTCTGCCGGGCGACGACCAGTGCGTCTACGACCAGCGCCGCCGCAAGGCCAACTTCCTCAAGCTGGAGGAGGCCCACTTCTTCGCCTCGCCCGCCGACGAGCGCATCATGCCGTGGCAGAGCTCCATCTTCGGCCGCTACTCGGAGGTGGACACGATCGAGGAGATCGAGACCAAGTACATGAACCTCACCATCGTCAACATGAACGACACGCTCGAGTACACGTCGGACACGTTCGGGCTCAAGACGCTGGACGAGCGCGGCGGCCTCTTCATCCACGAGATCGCGAACATCACGCACAGCTGCTGGCGCGCCGACCAAAAGGACGGCTGCAAGTGGGCCCCGCTCTACAACGACTACCTCCACCCCGCTCTACACTAACTTTTAGTACAGTACTAGTAAAAGGTAGGGCATTCTACAAAAATAAATAAAACCACCTAAAAGTTGAAGCCAAAACTTGTGTAGCGTTCATGTGGCAGACCAGCCTCTTGACGCATTGTTTTCTCCAAACCGAAAAGCTCAGTTTGTTGTTAGCTGCAGCTGCTAACGCCTCGCCTCGGCCCGCGGCCCCTTCCTCCTGCCGTCCGACGCCATGGGCAACAACGCCAGCAGCCCCGCGGCCGGTGCCTCCGCCCCGCCCAGCAGCAGCAGCACGAGCGGCATCGGCATCGGCATCGGCATCGGCTCGCAGCGCGGCGGCTTCCTGGGCGCGTTCCTGTCGGGCCGGCGCCTCGAGTTCACGCTGGCCAACATGCGCGCGCTGCACGCGCAGCTCACGCGCTTCGCCGCGCTGCCCGACGCGGAGATCGTGGAGCTGCTGCGCGTCCTGGCCGAGTTCCTCATCTACTCGGACCAGCACCGCGTGTCCGTGGAGCTCGAGGACCTCGCGCGCGAGGCGGCGGACGACGTGGCTACGGACGACGCCGGCGCCTACTTCGACTACTTCGGGGAGACCAACATGCTCGCGCTGCTGGTGGAGCTGGGTGCCAGCCGCCCCTCCGTGCCCGTGCAGGTGCAGCTGCTGCAGACCATGAGCATCCTGGTGCAGAACATCGCCACGCGCACGTCGCTCTACTACATTCTGAGCAACAACCACGTCAACAGGCTGCTCGAGTGCCCCTTCGCCGTGGACGCTGACGACGACGTGCGCGACTGGTACGTGACGCTGCTCAAGGCACTGTCGCTGCGGCTCAACGAGGAGACGGTGCAGTTCTTCCTGGACACGCAGCACCAAGGAGAGGACTTCAGCTTCCCGCTCTACGCGCGCGCGCTCAAGTTCGGCCGCTGCAACGAGACGATGGTCAAAGTGGCCATCAAGACGCTGACGTTGAACGTGCTGAAGGTGCCCGACCCGCGCGTGCGCCACTTCGTGCTGCAGTACGACGACCTCAACTACTTCCGGGACATTGTGGAGATCGCCAACGACCTGACGCTCAAGCTGCAGGGACTGATGAACAACTGGCCGTCGTCGGAGACTCGAGCGGAGCGCACCGCCACCACGGAGAAGCTGGAGGAGGCCGTGGACGCGTACATTGACCACTGCTTTTACTTGCAAGACCTGCTGGATGTGAACGTGCCCGAGCTGTGCTACAAGATCGGAGACTTGCTCTTCTCGAGACATATCAAGTGTCTATTGGCCACGAGTATTCTGCCGGACTGCGGTCCGCCGCCGCAACGAGTGTCGACGCAACTGGCGCTCTACCTGCTCACTAGACTCTTGGGCATTTTGGAGCACACACCGCTCGTGAACGCCATTGTCTTCATGTTGCTATCGCCGGACGCGACTGAGGATTGCGAGTACTCGGCTGTCGCTCTTGGAGCTGGATCGCGGCGGAGGCATAGCAGCTCTCACTACCTGGAGACCGTGGACAGCAACGACGATGAAGAGGATACAGCGACAACTGAAGCCTCACCGAGAGCGCTGTCTCCGCGACCATTGTTACGATGGGACAAGGAGGCGCCTCCAATGCACGTGTTTCGCCCCCATTCGGCAACCACGTGCGAGTCTTCGTTGTGCTACGTGCAGACCCGGTTCGCTATTGGCGAGTGGCCCGTCGACGAAGTGAAGTCTTTCGTTCCGCAGGGCCCCAACTGTTACCGACAGTCGCTGCTATCGCTTTTGTGCTCGAGTGATGAACGACTCTCCTCGACAGTTGTGCTTCTGCTACTAGCCATAGCCAACAACAAGGCTGTTGATCACTTACTGCTGCGCGAGCTGGATCTTCTTCCCTTCCGATATCGCCACGGCAAGCGCGAGGATGAACGAGCGAATGGAACCAGTCACGACGACACCATCGGAGGTAAAGATAACCCGGAACACTCCGTTCTTCCGGCTACAGCATCTCTATCGTCGTCGTGCACTTCGTCTGGATCTCAAGAAATGGGCGATGACAGCGACCTCAGTGCAGTGGCTAATGGTGCGAATGACAAGATTGGTGCGGTCCAGTGTGCACCGCATGAAGACATTGACGAGGTGGGAAGCGACCCTGGTCTAGAGAAAGTTTCGTCGTACCGAGCTGACGCATACCCGTACTCGTTAGTGGGGTTGATTTTGGAATTTCTGGCGCGAAACCAGAGCTCACGTTTGTTTAGCGTGCAACTTTGCGCTCGGTTCTTGGTGGACATCATGGTTGACACGCGTTCGCCGTTGCCTCACCACCTCAGTCGCTCACATGCAGCTACTCTCAAGAACATTCACTCGAGCAGTGCACATCTCGTCATGGAGAGCATGCGTGGTTCAATGGCAGAAGTGGATTTATTTATTTACGTGCTGGAAAAGGAGGTTGCAACCTTCCAGCGCAAGACATTCCCTATGGAGCTGCAGCTGGACTCTTCATCCCCTTTTGAGTGTCTCGTTCCGCTTGAGAAGGAAGCGTCTGAGAATGCACCGGCATGGGCTGGCTCTCGTGACACACTAGCACTGCGTCGCCCGTCAAATGAAATGGAGGTGTGCCGCAAGTCCATGCGCGTCTTCCTCACTCTTCGAAAACTGCGCGAGCTGCTGGATTCAACTTACGTAGACGACGAGTTGGAGCAGCTTGTTGACTACCGCCACCCGCGCACTAGCGTGCTAGCTAGTGCTGCCGGAGGGAGGGGCTCGTGCACGGCGCCATTGGATGGCATGGTATCGCTGAAGTGCATGTACCGCGAGCAGCGCTTTCTGCTGATGCCAACGAGGCTACTGATGGTGATGAACCCCGAGGCTTTTGTGCTCGTAGAGAAGATTCCTGATCAGAACGACGATAGCAGTCCGCATGACGGGGAAGGAGAAGGACTCGTGAAGGTTTTTGCGCCGATCCACCGGACGTATTGTACGATGGACCCACGAGATGACCGTGTGCTGCAAGTATCCGTACGGTCAGTATCTCCAGTGCCAGGTTGTCGCAGTGCTCGGAAAGACAAGCAGGATACGTCAACGTCCGGTAAGCTCAAGGACTGGAGCGTGCTGCTGATGTTCCCGACCGCAGAAGACTGTGCGCAGGCGCAAGCCCACATCAACATTAGCGGCACTGAGGTGCGCGCTTTCAAACTGCATCAGATAGAGACGAGCCTTACAGCGCACCTTCAGGTGACCCAATCCAACAGCGGTGAGCGGCGCGGGTCGTTCTTCATGAACGCAGAGCTTCAAAATGATGTTGATGACGAGCGCAATGGCGATGAGGTCAAAAGCAGCGAAGAGGATGCGAGTAACGAAGACGAAAGTGCGGCCGAAGACGAAGGAGTGGAGGGAGAAGACGAGTCCTCCGATTGAATGTTAAGTCAAGATGCACACAAGTCGCAGCCCTAATGCCATGTCACCTGACAACTTACCGCTAACGCGCGGGGCTACTAGCTCCGGCAGTGCTTGAGGTTCCGCTGCCGCCTCCCATGACTTCGGCTTTCAACCGCAAGAAACCGGCGCGGACTTCACTTGGCTGTGCATTGAGAAAGTCAGCGGGGAAGAGCACCGACGCATCGGCTGCAAGACTGAGCAGCTCCTTGGTGTTCTGTGAGGAGAAGCATGAGTATGAGCGAGATGCAGCAATAACGATAGATGCTGGTTTTCAATTGAATCCCGCGTACCTTGAAGAGAGCCGCAACACTTGTTACGAGTGCGCGGACGCTGTCTGGCTCAGTGTCACTGTAGAGTGTTTTGACGGCGATCATCAGCTTGTCGACTGCAGCGGCACGCTCGCGCGCGAACTGCTGTTGCAGCGCAACCAGGTCGCGCTGGATCTGCTCGCCGTTCACGTTGCGCGCCTCTTTGGGGAACAACCTGGGCGCGTATTTGATGAGGAACTTGATGTCGGAGAGCTCCGGCAAGTGGGCGTAAATCTGGTTCACCATGCCTTCGACGGTCATCGGGTCGATGCGGTCGAAGTAGAGGTTGCGGATTTTCAGCTCCAAGTCAGCGGCGCGCTTCTTGCGCTCGGTGGCCGTCCGCAGTACGTCGAACTCGCGGCGAATGCGACTGGCGTCCAGCTTCTCGAAGGTTTCTATGGAGAACTCCTGTGGAAATAGTCGCTCAGCGTTGCGAAGCAGTGAGCGAACGTCGATTGCCTGCGGGAACAGCTTGAGTACGCGGTGCAATGCTGTGCAAAGTACTGCGCTAGCTGCTACGCTGTCTTCGTGGCGTTCAAGGCGGTATGTTTTGTCTCGGAGCAGGTCGAACAACTCGAGTTTGAGCTGTTCGCGCTCATCTTTGAGTCGCAGCTTGCGCAGTATTTGCTGGCACGGCGTCTGTATTGTCTTCGTCTTCGAGGGGCTGCTTATCGTCGTGGAGACAGTCGGGGCGTTGTTGTCGTTGTTCTCGAACGAAAATGTTAACGGGTCGTCATCCTCATTCCGTTGCACGAGGTGGCCTTTGGCTTCCCAGCGACGTTGCAGTGGAGTGTCGTCGATGTTGATGACGCGCAGATGTTGCAGGCGGCCAAGCTCTTGGGGTAAAGAATTAAGAGCGGAGGAGCTGGCGTCGAGTACCTGGAGCTTGATGCAGTTGCCGAGTGTGCTCGGCAGTTGCTCGAGTCTCGGGTTGTTGTTCACGTAGAGCTCGCGCAGAGCAGTCAAGGATCCGATTGCGTCGGGAATGGCTTGCGATCCCTCGAGCTGATTGAAGCTTAGATCAAGTCGCACTAGAGTGCCGGCTAACTCTCCGGGTGACGCTGAGGATGGCCCAGACGAAGCGCTCACGAAGAGTTCGGGTGGCACATGTGTGAGCTGGTACTGGATTAGATGGAGCATGCCATGTTTCTTGGCGCCTTCCACCTGAGAAGCAACGCTGCGTCGGCCCATGCTGGAAAGGATCGAGTATCGAGTGAAGTGAAGAAATGAATTCATGAAGCGTCGCTTTCAAGAGGTCATGGATGGATATGGTATATTCTTGCGGACGGGTTGTGTTTTTTTGTTTCTGATATTGCTGTGGTAGATGGCGGCTAGATGGCGGGGTTCCGATGGATGTAAGGCAAGTTGCTCGGCAGGGTCTTAATCTGCATGCGGGCACCATCTTCTTCGTCGATAGTCACGATACGCGGTATGGGTGCAGCACTGCCCGCCTCCGACGGGGCGGGTCCATCAGTGAGCAGTTTGGCTTCAACGCGCTTCGTGATCGCAGCTACCGACCGGACCGAGTGCACTGACCGAATCGACTTGCACTCTGACAGCACGCTGCTCGCCACACTCATGGCGTCGTCGTCCTTGGCGTCTGCCCGATCCCATCCAAGCCGAGACAGATCGTTCCCGTTGAGAGCTCCGCCTCCATTGGCAAGTTCCTCAAGCCGCTGTTGCTCGCGTTCGCAGCGCTTCTCCTCGGCCTCTTCATAGTCCACAATAGACTGCACCTGCGCCAGCTGCTGCTCGACTTGTGCCACGCGCGCCTTGATCTCCACGTCGTCCATGAACTGATCGATGTCCAGGTTGTTTGCGAACTCGATGAGGTCGTTGGCTTCGGCGTCCTCCAGGCACTCGAGCTTCTCTTCAGCCGTAGCCTTCGTAAGCGCCCACATGGGTCGATGTAAGTTCTTGCTCTTCTTCTCAACGGCAAGGCCCGCCCCGTCCGCGCCATCTTCGCCGTCGTTGTTGCTGCTACGCGCAGCCTCGCGCAGCTTGGCCTCTCTCTGCGAGAACCGTTCTCGACGCTTTTGAGCGGCCTCCTCGTCTTCCGCGAGAGCTTCCTGGAGTCGGGCCCGCTCCTTCTGCAAGTCGTGGAGCCACTTCTTGTGCTTCGACAGAGCTGTGTTCTTCTTATCGCGGCGAATTGCGTGCTGCATTTTGACAAAGGCACCATCAAATGTGAGTGCATTTGCACATTGTGGCAGCAGCAGCAGCCCACTCGACTAAACTCACCGCAGGCTCGCTTAGTATCGGCACGTTCAGCCCCAAGGGCTCGCCTGGATTGCCCGCTAGGAACGCCGCCTTGCTGTTGTCGACTGCATTGTTGTTGGATTTGATGCCGCTGTATCGGTTTTCCTTTGCCAAAGCTGCTTGAGCACATACGACACCATCAGACCCACGGCTTCATTGCCCTCACCAAACAACGAGATCACTTACTGCTGGAAACCCCGTTGAATGGCCGGTTGCACAGCATGACGCCTTTGTAGTTGCCGATGCTCACGGCTGCCGCCGATGCCCCCGTCATATCCGCCATCTTGCCTGTACTTGAGCACTTCCTGCGCTAACAACCAGTAGACTGCAAGTCCTTGCGGCGTCGACTGGAATCATCACCGCCCCCCACGCTTTTTATATCGACCACCTTCCACTCCAAAGTTAGGCCGTTGGTGATCGTTCCAAGCACCTGCAAACCTTCGCTTCATCCATCTGAAGGACACCAACACGGCAGAACATTTCAATGCAGATAAATTAGATCACATCCTCGCACTCTATCCCATCGCGTTGCTGAAGTCCCCGTGTCCGAGCAAGCAGAAGTATCTTGGCGGGTTTCCTCGTAGTAATGTCGCTATCGCCACAGTATAACACATTTCATAGTAAATTGATTTATTCTTGCTTCTATGACGTTCGCCGACCGCGAGTCTTGGCCTTCAGGATGCGCCGGCCCTTTGCGTGCTGAGGAGCGGCTCCCATGTTGAACCCGCCGTCAGCGGGGGCGCCGAAAGCACCAGCGTTGGGGGCTCCAAAGCCAGGGGCGGGGGTGGTAGCACCAAAGGCCGTGTTGGGCGCAGCGCCGAACGCAGGAGCAGCAGGTGCTGCGCCGAAGGCAGGGGTCGGACTGGGGGTTCGGAAGCCAGAGCTGGGAGGACCGCTGCCGAATCCGCTGGCCGCCGCACCGAAGGCCGGCGCGCCGAACGTCGTCGTCGGAGGTGGAAGACTACTGCCGAATGCAGGAGCTCCCGAGGGGGCCTGGTTGCCGAACGCAGGTGCTGGGCTCGAAGACTGGAAGCCACTGGGAGCCGGACTAGAAGACTGGAAACCATTAGGAGCGGGGCTGGAAGACCGGAAGCCTCCAGGCGCAGCAGCAGCGCCGAATGCGCTACTGGGTGCGCTGGAGCCAAATCCGGCTGAAGCGGCAGGAGCAGCTCCAAAACCACCGGGCACCGGGGCACTTGATGCGCCAAATGAGAACGCGGGCTGGCCAGCGGCTGGTGCAGGCGCAGCGGGGGCTTGGCTGGGTGCACCGAAAGAAAACGCCGGGGCGGCAGCAGGTGCAGCAGAAGTCGTCGAGCTGCCGAATGCAGTCGACGGTGCAGCAGCAGACGTACTGCCAAAGCCACCAGTGCTCGGTCCCGAACCGAAGCCACTAGACGAGCCCGATCCGAAAGCCGTTGTGGTGGAGCCGAAGCCCGGCGTGGTTGCCGGCGTCTGGCCAAAACCAGTGGATCCCGACGACGACGAACCGAAGCCAGAAGATGCTGCGGCTGGCTGAGCAGACGACGAAGAGCCAAACGTAAAGCAAGGGGTCGAAGAAAGAGCCGCCGACGCGATAGGCGGAGTCGACGTTCCAGCGGCAGGCGCCGCCGGAGTTGATGCCCCAAACGTGAATCCAGGAGCGGAAGACGTTGCAGGGGCGGAGCCAAATGCAGGGGCACTGCTCGTAGCAGGTGCCGTCGAGCTCTGACCGAATGTAAAGCCAGCAGTAGACGCAGTAGACGCCGACGTGGCTGTAGTCGAAGTAGCAGGTGCCGAAGTCGCCGACGAAGTAGCAGGTGCCGAAGTCGCCGACGAAGCACTGAACGAGAAAGTAGAAGCCTTAGCCTTTGCCTCCTGTCCACTGGGCTTCGGTGCGGGGGTGGACGAGCTGGAGGACGACGATCCAAACGTAAAGCCGGTCGTCGCCGGGGTCGCCTCCTTTGGTTTGGATTCAGTAGGAGCGGTTGAGCCTGTACCAAAACTGAACGCCGGCGCAGCGCTCTCTTTCGGCTTCTCCGTAGTTGTGCTGCTACTGAGTGCTCCGAATGAGAATGGCGGCGCCGACGTAGTCGAAGCAGCAGCATCCTTGGCAGGTACCTGCGGCGGCTTCGATGCAGCACCAAATGAGAACGATGAGGTAGACGCCTCCGGCTTCGAATTCGACGCACCAAAAGACACTGCCGAGCGCTTTGCAGGGCGGTCCGACTCCTTCGGGCTCGCTTGCTTGGGCTCGGGGGTTGCACCAAAGCTGAAGCCAGAGCTTGACTTAGCAGCTTCAGTGGTCGACGCTGCGGTTGTGCCAAAACTGATAGATGGCGTTGCGGCCTTCTGGCACTCCTCAGGCTCAGGAGCCTTGCGCTTGCCCTTGCTAGTGCTGTCCGAGGAACTAGCACTTGTAGCACCGAACGTAAACCCTCCCGATATGCTGGTGCTCGTAGTCGAAGCCGAAGGGGCAGTGACACCGAAAGAAAACGAAGGTGCGGCAGCAGGCTTCTCGGTTACAGTCGAAGACGGTGCCGCGTCATCACTCTTCTTGGTAGGAGCCGAGAATCCAAACGAGATCGGGGCGGTGCTCGTGGATGCATCCGGCGTTGCATCCGATGCTGCGGGGGCAGTGAAGCTAAAGCCACTGGCAGCAGGCTTGTCGGACGCGACCGGAGCACTAAAGCTGAAACCGCTTGAAGTGATGCTTGCCGAGGGCTTCTCAGAATCCTTTTTCGCATCAGCAGCCGGGACACCAAAGCTAAAGCCACTGGACGAAATGGTTCCAGCTGGCTTATCACTCTCCTTCTTCGATTCCGTAGTCGGGGCGCCAAAGCTAAAACCTCCTGCGGTAATTGCTCCGGCTGCAGGTTTCTCGGCATCCTTCTTTGCATCCGCGGCGGGGGCACCAAAGCTAAATCCTCTCGAAGAAATTGATCCGGGGGCCTCAGCCGCAGGAGCAGCAGCCTTTTCGGCAGGCGCACCTCCGGGCTTTGCCGTCTCACAGCACGGGCATTTGGCGCTGGTAGCCTCGTTCAGCACACTGCATCCGGGGCACTTCCACTGCCCTGGCTTCAGCTGCATAAATCTCGCAAGTGGGTTCACCGCACCGTTTGTAGAAGTAGCGGGGGCAGATGCAGTTGCACTGGGCTTGTCGGCGTCCTTAGGGGCAGTCACCTTCTTCGCAGCGGCCTTAGGCTTTTCGGGCTCTTTCGCCTTCGGGGCCTTCGATACCCACTCTGTCGTCTTCACCTTGGGTGACGAGGGCATGAAGTCAAAGGGGGCGGCGCCAGCATTGCCCTTTGCCGTCGTCTTGTGACTGGACACCTTCAACGGAGGATCGCGCAGGCTAGGCGGGGGAGAAAACATAAACCGCACGCGGGTATCCTCGTCATTGGCGTCCGCCTGGTTCACTCCTTCAGTGCGAATCGGAAGCGTGAACGTGAACTCGCCAATCTTCTCCACCGTACCCTGCTCCGCGACGGGCGCCTTCGTGGTGGGGGCTGGAGTCATGGACACGGCCTGGGGTGAGAACAACGACGTCACGCCCGTGGCCGTCGTGGTGGTAGGTTTGGCTGGTGTCTCGAGAGTCGTCTTGGGTGGGTTGCCGAACGAGAGTGTAGTGGGCTTCTGAGTGGGCTGCGGGAACGCCACGCGAGGGACCGTAGTCGTCGGGGGAGCCACATCATCGCTGTCAATTTCCATCCCATTCTCGAGGCTCTTGTTCTGGCCGTCAACCAGAGCGAGATGGTACTTTGCCCACGACATCGACGTCGACGGCGTCGGCTTCTGGGTCTCGCGCTCCAGCGGGGTCTGCACCTTATTCAGCGTCGACAGAATCTTTTCCGCGACAGCCGCCGAGTACGCGTTGCGCGCAGCAGCGTCGCGCTTGGCGCCAGTGAGAAGACGCGACGGGCGGGGCTTCCTCATCAGGCGCTCCTCACGCGTCAACTGTCCACGCAGAGCGGAGCCTGAGAAGAGAATGGGTCCGTTCTCGCGGTTGCGGGGACGCTTGCCGAAGGGCACACTGTTCTTGGTCGTCGTTTCCAGTCCACGCGTCCTCTCGTCCTGCACGACCAAAACGCCGTGGTTCTGGTTGCAAATGGAGCCCGCCACGTAGCCCGGGAACGAGGTCGGGTTCGGAAATCCGCGCGTAAAGGGGCGCTCAAGTCCATTGGCCAGCGCGGCTTGGGTCATAGCCAGTTGCGCTTGCGGCGTGGGCTCGACCATCTCGTGCAGCTGGTGCTGCAGGCGCTCGAACTCCTCGAGCGTGATCGTCTTCTTCTGCTTAATGACAGCGAGTGCCGAGTCGTGGGGCGTGGGGGAGTTGGACTTGCGTCGGCGCTGGGAGCTAGAGATGCGCAGCATCTTGGACTGCTGGGAGGGGCCGGGCAGGAACACGCGCTTGTCGCCGCGCTTCCGCTGCGAACGCATCATGGCGGGGCTGCGCTCGCCACTCTCCGTGCCGCTCTCGCGTGAGGGCGAGCGGGACTTGCGGGACCCTCTCTTGTTGGGGTGTCTGGGCGGCGTCGCCAGCTGCTCCTTGCTGTGCGCGACGAAGGACGGCGCAGCGCGCGTGACGGGGGACGCCGGTTCGTCCAGCATGTCCTCGTCCTCGGGCGTCTGCTCCTTCTCGGGGGTGGCGGCGGGGGCCTGGGGCTCTTCCACGGTCTGTTCCTGAGCCGGCGTCGGCGTCTCCCCCTCCTCCTCGGCCTCAGCCTCCTCCTGGGGCGCGTCCTGCTGCTGCTTCTCGGCCTCAGCGTTAGCCTCGACCTCCTCCTCGTCGTCGTCCATGTCCTCCTGGGTCGTCTGGATGTCGCTGGCCTCCTCTGCGGCGGGCTGCAGCTGCGCGACCTCCTCCTTGTCCTCCTCCTCCTCGTTCACCAGCTTGTTCACGAGCGGGATGTAGCTGGCCAGGCGCGCGAAGAAGCCGCTGCCACGGCGCGTGTGCGTCACCGCGCGGCCGAAGAACGCGGCGTCGTCGTCGTCTTCCTCCTCCTCCGCGCGCTCGCGCTTCGAGGACGGGTAGGGCGCGGCGGCGTCGCGCCGGCGGTGGCGCGCCTCGACGCGGCGCTCTCCGCTGTCCAGCGGCGCCGTCAGCGACGCGCTCTCCGTCAGCATCTCAGTGAGTGGCTCGACAGGCAGGAACTAACTAACTTAGCTAAGGAAGGAGCGTGCGTCTCGCCCAAGCTTCACTCCACTTCGGGTGGTTTCTTCTGCTGCTGCGGCTTTCTCGATGTGGGTGGGCGCCAATTGGGACCTCGAGGGGCCGCCGTTTTTAGTGGATAGTGAACGCAAGAGGTTTTTCGGGGCCTTCTCCGAGGTTTTTTTGACAGAAATAGATCCTGTTTTTAGCGGGAAAATTCGAACTGACTTGGCGTTTGTATGGTTTTCGTATTTTCTTAATAACTTGTCTATCTTTAGAGAGAATTCCGATAAACGTAACGACTTCAATCGTGGCGGACTTCTCCATGAGCTCCAAGCCCGTGTGCGGCATCAAGGCCACAGAGATAATACTGCATTGATGTATTGGTGTACAATGGCGGCGACCACGTTGAGCAGGACGCCGTCTGGCAGTCGGCGTGCCAGCGGGGGCCTGTTCGGCGCATGCACATCTGACTGCATTCACGTCCAGTCATTTGCCCGGGAAACGGCGTCAACGGTCGCTAGAAAAGGGACCTAGCTTCAACTTCGAGCATACTGGAATCAAGTCATCGGTGACTCTGCGGAGACCTTCATCGGGTCTACTACCTAGACACCTTCACTGTATGTAGCTAGACCTACACCACCGAAGCAGTACCGACCAAGCTGACCGGCGAACGCTTCCCTGCTCCCACCGACGACCACGTCCTGCTCGCCGCAGGCTACTGCAGGCCAAGCCGACGGTTTTCCGGCCTGTGGCAACGTGTTGGGCAACCTGTTGTGGCCAAAGGGGATGAGATTGGGGGTTGCCCTACGTCCCGTGAGCTGCGACGTCAACTCTTTCAGGCGAACAGTTTCGTGCGAAACCCCGCGACTCGCTTTTTTTCACGGTGTGAACGTCACCAGAAGCACCTCATGGTCGAATGCTATTTTTCGCTGCACAATAAGCCGTAGACTTCGGGCACGAGTCATGCCTCAAAATCGTCATTGGTCGTGGCCATTTTGGAGCCTAGTTCCGGTGCGTGAGTATTTCCACTTCACACGTTCACCTAACGAGAACAGGTTTAGGTGGCGCACCAGTATTTCCAGTAGGTATTTATCGATTCAATGTCTCTCCATATACGATTCGGTATCCTCTCATTGTTAGGCAGCTTTTTATTCATCGTCCGCAACATTAGGCTCTGCACAAACTTAGTGCTCATTTATCTGCCAGCATTGGGCTCAGGGAAGTGGAGCAATCACCAAATCGAGGCAGGAAGCCTACGTAACGTGTTCGTAAGCGAGGATGCAGCGCACCGCGCCTCGGGCGTACTTAAGTAGCCGCCAATACCGCAGTAAAGCAAAGTGCAAAAGATTAGCTGCACTTGATTTACATGTTTAAATTAAAAAAAAACATTACCACCTCATCCGTGGTTTGCGGAATGCCATCCAACAAACAGTAGCTGCAAGAAAATTCAACTAATCATCAAATGCGGCTGTGGGCGGGTACTTGCGGACTACAGCAACTCCTCCAACTTTATGAAGCGGTCGATTTCAACTCGTACGAAGTAAACGCACGAATCTGGACTGTGTTTCTATCTCTGCTATCCTACTTTCTTTCGCCTTTTTTCCATAATTTCCACGAATCCACAAGATTGGTGGCGCGGGAAGTTCAGTGGCCTGTGCGCTTGACTGGGTACCGGTGATGAAGGCAGCAATCATAGCCTAGAACAGATCGTGGATACGGCTTAGTGTGGTATGCACGAACGAATGCATAGTTGTTGTCCTGTACCATTAAGCTTCCTGTGACCGAAAGAGCAACTCCACAATATTGGGAAACTAAAATATAAAGGCATTCAAAAGATTGGTATAATCAGCAAGCGCTTCCACAGTAATCACTCTGCTTCGGCTGACAGGCAGTTTTAAGGCACTTGGCCATAGACCTGTACTTTGCATCATTTCCTATTTGTAAAAGCCCATTGGACTTTTACAGGTAAGGATTACCAACTGATGAGTGATCTGCTAACCCCAGCCAGCGCTTAGGCTATGCCCACAATACAGACCTCACGCACAAACACTCATTTAGTACCAGCGCTCCCACAACTTCTACCCGACAAGCAGCGCGCATCGCGCTTTCTTTTGTAGGAAACATGTCAACCATGCGCTCAATTCCAGTTCCAGCTCTGTAGACGAACGAATAGTAAGAAGTCGGTAAAGACGATTGTGCCACTTTTCGAAAACTTGAGTCGGAGAACAGCCAATCAGCGACGCCCAAGTCCAGTAACTTCAACTGCTTGACGTGCAGCCCTCCTCCTTTCTTCTATCATCTACTTCTTCTACCATTGGCGCGTCACCTTGGATGCACAGCTGCAATACAGCAAACACATCTAGTTCAAATGCAACGATGAGAGCAACAACTTGGCCGACACTACCTACACACATGTACACTACAGTGGCCGCACTCCTAACGTTAGCTGGAGCCTAGCGTTTTCTCCACCTCGCCAAACTACGGCAGCCGGTATCGCCACTGTCGCCTGCGTCTTAGATGGGCCATTGCTGGGGGAGCACACCCTGGCATTGCTGGTGTCGCTTGCCTCCAAGCGACACAACGCCGTTTGCTTGCGCAGTAGGTGCATGCCAACCAACGGACTGTTGGAGTTTCTCGAAATTCTTAGGTTGGTACGGCCTCAGCGACTCGGTAGTTGTCAGAGCGGGCGCAGATCGGTAATACGTATACCCGGGTTAGTAAAGAGATATCGAAGTGCTTAGATTCTGGCGTCTGGAGTGACGTGTTTGATGAAATGGATCACATATTTTTGCATAATAAACGTATAAAGGTTATAGTTTAATGGCGCTCGTTGCAGTGGCTGCACAGAATATGTCGTTGAGATCTCCGTGCTCGTGCTCGTACTTTTGGTTTCCTATAGTCTCCGTGATGAATTGCCTCTGACTGTTATGCATATCTGGACCTTAACCCAACACGACTTTTCTACAAGCTATACTCGAGACGCTGCAGGGTCCTTGGCTGTACTGTAGGTTTGCATTTGCCTAAAGAATCAATACCGGGGCAGGAGTGGACTCTCTTGTAGCGTCAGTGTCCAGGCGTCATGGTCCATGGCACGCTAAGCTCCTTTGTCCGACTTTACAGGCAAACCACAGTGATCGTAATGAATCATTAGTCGCGCATTTGTTGCAGCTCCGCATACTGAACCTCAGTCAGAACTGATTTTCACTGCCTTCTGCCATAAAGCAACTCGTCGGCAACATGAGTGAGTCTGCGAGCGCTACCCTGGGCCTCCTCCAGCGCCTAAGTGACGAGAATAGGACGGAGGAGCTACAGAATGTGATTGCGGCGTGCAACTTTATGGGGCTGAGGCTGCTGTGCCAGGAGCTGGGCATTCGCATCCGGAGCAGCAAGTACGAGGCGTACCAGACCAAAGACGGCTACGCAGAGATCATTTTCACTGAACTGAGGGCGAAGACCATGCGTCGCGATGTCCCCCCACCGTCGTGCCACTCGCCCGCCAAGAACGCGCGTGATCTCACCCCAGTGATGACTGGATCGCCGGTTCCGGAAGCTATGGTCACATCCGAAGAGGACGAAGCCCCCGCCCACGCCGCTCTGCAGCATCCAGCAACACGCGACGAGTGGGAAAGCATGCTGAACCCCAACTTTAGACCTGTCAGTAAGGACATTTTGGAGCGCACGCTCTTGATGGTATCGATTGAGAAGGCAGGCAGGGCGCTGAAGGAGCTCTTCCACCCTGACTCCGACGCTGCCAAGGTTGTGCGCGCTGAGCTGACATCGCGCCTGGAGCGACTGAAAGGGCTACAGCAAAAAGAAAATGGAGAGGAAAAATCGCAGCGGGCGTCTACGTTTCCGTGAACTCCCTAAGCTCTTGGGTAGCAGCGAATGAGATGGTACTCGAAACAGCATTTAGTTCCAGATCGTAAGCAAGGGCTTTCGCTCGCATAAGCAGCTTAATCCGCCAGACAGGAATCCTAATTTGACAAAACTAAAACTTGAGAGCGAAGATCAATCACAGACCGTGATTCGCAGTTAGCCTCGTCAACAAACACGTCACTCCAGACGCCAGAATCTAAGCACTTCGATATCTCTTTACTAACCCGGGTATACGTATTACCGATCTGCGCCCGCTCTGACAACTACCGAGTCGCTGAGGCCGTACCAACCTAAGAATTTCGAGAAACTCCAACAGTCCGTTGGTTGGCATGCACCTACTGCGCAAGCAAACGGCGTTGTGTCGCTTGGAGGCAAGCGACACCAGCAATGCCAGGGTGTGCTCCCCCAGCAATGGCCCATCTAAGACGCAGGCGACAGTGGCGATACCGGCTGCCGTAGTTTGGCGAGGTGGAGAAAACGCTAGGCTCCAGCTAACGTTAGGAGTGCGGCCACTGTAGTGTACATGTGTGTAGGTAGTGTCGGCCAAGTTGTTGCTCTCATCGTTGCATTTGAACTAGATGTGTTTGCTGTATTGCAGCTGTGCATCCAAGGTGACGCGCCAATGGTAGAAGAAGTAGATGATAGAAGAAAGGAGGAGGGCTGCACGTCAAGCAGTTGAAGTTACTGGACTTGGGCGTCGCTGATTGGCTGTTCTCCGACTCAAGTTTTCGAAAAGTGGCACAATCGTCTTTACCGACTTCTTACTATTCGTTCGTCTACAGAGCTGGAACTGGAATTGAGCGCATGGTTGACATGTTTCCTACAAAAGAAAGCGCGATGCGCGCTGCTTGTCGGGTAGAAGTTGTGGGAGCGCTGGTACTAAATGAGTGTTTGTGCGTGAGGTCTGTATTGTGGGCATAGCCTAAGCGCTGGCTGGGGTTAGCAGATCACTCATCAGTTGGTAATCCTTACCTGTAAAAGTCCAATGGGCTTTTACAAATAGGAAATGATGCAAAGTACAGGTCTATGGCCAAGTGCCTTAAAACTGCCTGTCAGCCGAAGCAGAGTGATTACTGTGGAAGCGCTTGCTGATTATACCAATCTTTTGAATGCCTTTATATTTTAGTTTCCCAATATTGTGGAGTTGCTCTTTCGGTCACAGGAAGCTTAATGGTACAGGACAACAACTATGCATTCGTTCGTGCATACCACACTAAGCCGTATCCACGATCTGTTCTAGGCTATGATTGCTGCCTTCATCACCGGTACCCAGTCAAGCGCACAGGCCACTGAACTTCCCGCGCCACCAATCTTGTGGATTCGTGGAAATTATGGAAAAAAGGCGAAAGAAAGTAGGATAGCAGAGATAGAAACACAGTCCAGATTCGTGCGTTTACTTCGTACGAGTTGAAATCGACCGCTTCTTGAGATGAGTCTGCTCACGCACGGTGAAATCTAGATTGGATGCCCAAAAGGCGTCTCGCCGGATCTGAAAGGCATGAAGGCATCACAACAGCGCGTGATGGGGGCTCACCAGCTCAGCAGCGCCTCCGCTTTAGACGTGCCACCTTCACGCCGACGACCTACGTCATGCAGCACGATGCTAGTCGTGGCAATGGTAGTAAGCTTACTGTCTTCTGCAAAAACCACCCTTGCATCGGTGCCTCCGAACATCATGAACTCAATCGCTCGTAAGCCCCCAGTCCTTTCACTGACTGAAATAACATCTAAACTCACTCACTTCTTGTGCTCACTCCTTCTAGTCCAGTGGAACTTTGACGACGGTAGGAACGGCTGGGGCCAATCCACATCGCTCGAGATGGGGGTGGAGGTGGATGCAGGTTACGGACGGCTGCGGGGTGTGATCTTGAACAGTGGAGACCCGACGCTCGCCTTTGTAGACTCACCGGAGCTGCGCGTGTACCTCGGCGCGGACGAGCGCGACTATCTCGTCTTCCGCATGAAGTACCTCGGCCGATGCGACCTGGCCATGGTATCGCTCGAGCGATCTCCGTCCGAGCCAACAGCTTGGCCAGATGCTGACCCGCGAGTGATGAACGAGCCTATTCGCATCCCTTTCAAGCTGCACTCGAACGCTTTGGAGCAGGACGATCTGTACTTCATCCCCATCTGGAAGCATGTCACGGGGGTCATCCGCCGCGTAAGGTTCCACCCCTGTGTCTCGCGCTACACCGTCACTGGCCAAAGCTTTTCGCTCGACTGGGTAGCATTCACCAAGGCGCCAGTCGTCACGAAGGTCCGCGGGTGCATCGACAAATACTTCGGCGATGATGACGTCCCCAGAAGTAGCAACGACGACACAGTAGCCCACCTCAACTGCTCGGAGACGGAGCGATGGACCAACGGCTTCCACCACTCCTCGGCAGCAGTGTGCGCTCCAATGAAGCTCCCTCGGGCGTCTACGTACAACTGCGTGCGTGAAGGCGGCGAGCTGATCTCCATCAACGGGAAACACTTCGGCAAAGCAGACGCGATCGTCACCATCGACGGGGTCGAGTGTTTGGATGTCGTTCACGTTGTGCCAGAAGAGGAGTTGCAGTGCCAATTACCCCCAGCAGCGACCGAGTGGCTTGCAAACCCAACGTACCCGTCAATTGTCCGCGTTTACAACGGACGATTGCTTGAGCTATTTGATGAAGTTCCCTTGCTGTCATACGCCGCTCCAGTAAGTGCACCACCAACTCCGATAATCTCCAACTTGGCTGCCCACGCCCTCGATGTACACTGGAAGGCGCCCGATGATGTGTGGGCGAGTATGACAGTCACAGGCTACCGTGTGGCTTGGAAGCAGTGTACGGATGAAAGCTTTTCACCAGACCAGGCTGTCGTGGTAGGAAACGTGACCTCCACGACACTGATAGAACTGGAAAGCTCGACGAGCTACCACGTGAAGGTGACACCTCTAACGGAGAACCAGGGGCGATGGTCGAGCGAGTGGAAGAGCATCGACTTGTATGGGCGTCGTCCCGTCCTCCCGAATGCTGTGCTTGGTATCAATTCTCCGGTATCCTCGTGTGTGAAAACGTTAGCCCAAGGTAGGCCGATATCTGTTCGAAGGGTGTTCACCTCAACGACTAGCCGCCGTATTACCAAACCTCTGCAGATTTTGTGTTCCCACAGTTCAGCGCGCGTCTGCTGACAAATCTCAGCTCCTTACCAAGTGCCGTAGCACTTCGTACAACGCCCACGCTTGGACCAACCGGTGAAGTCGGTGACCAGGGCCACTTCGGCCTCTACATGAACGGCGACACACATGTAAGACCGCGATTCACACGCCCATTTGCCCACTCTTACACAGCCCCAGACTAATAGCGTCTACATAGGTGGAAAACTGCAACGCCTCCGTCTCTTGTTGCGATGGTTTTGACGTGACAGCCCCAAGCGGATCCACCGCTGCCGTGGCAGGGTGCTCGTACATGTGTCTTGAGAGTGAAAACCGCGGGGCCACGTACGTCAACGGGTCGACCCATCGCTCGATTTCAACGAACGCTATGACGGCAGTCCCTTTCCCAGCGAAGCAAGTGTATCTCTTCAACTCATCCTCGCCCAGCAAACCAGTAGACGCCGCACCAATAACGGCAGCATGTGGCACAGCTCTGCGACTGACAGCATCGCAGTCCTTCCTCACGGGGGCAGCATGGTATCCGCGGCAAATGAACGTCCGAGAGGGATTCAGCACCACCTTTTCGTTCCGAGCAGCCAATCCATCAACTGTATGTCGCGTCATGGACAACGTCCACACGAACTGCCGATCCCGAGGAGGTGACGGCTTTGCCTTCGTTGTGCATAATGACGTCCAGCAGGAGCTCGCACTGGGCTCTGGGGGCATGGCACTCGGCTACGGAGGTCTTCAAAACGCACTAGCGGTGGAGTTCGACACGTGGTTCAATCCAGAGTTGTTGGACGTCTACGAGAACCACATCAGCGTACACGTCAGCGGAAATGGTGGAGTTGTGCAGCCCAATCACACTTACTCGCTCGGCTCCACCAGCAACCTCCCCGATCTGACAGAGGACACCCACATGGTCCGCATCGTGTACAAACCCAACCTTGATGAAAGCATGTACGTCCCCGCCAACCTTGCTCCTTTCACCCTCCTTTATAAGCGTTCTGCGATAACCAGGAATCATTGTTACCGTTGTCGCGTAGGATCTTCGACGAAGCTTTCACTGCTAGCACGCTTGCAGGCAACTTCTTCTCATCGGGTGCCTGGCGATCAGGCATCGGGCTCCTCGCGATTTATCTGGACGACATGAACAGTCCGGCGCTGACTGTACCGTTGCGAATCGAGAACACACTTGAGCTTTACCACGGTCGTGCCTGGGTAGGCTTCACGGGCGCGACGGGGGCGAACGCCTGGCAAACACTCGACATTCTGTCATGGGATTTTCACTCATTGCGTCGCAATATCGTCTCCACGCCTCAGCTGCAGGTGACCTAGAGCCTGATCAGCAACAGCAACCTCAACCAACGACAAATTATAGTCAGATAGATACCAGTCATCGCAACACGTACACTATGTAGGGGTCAACAAAAAGCAGCACAGGTAGTTCAACATGCACTCGCGTGTATTCTTGGTATTCTTGCTGTCCTGCTCTCCACTCGGTGCGTGCGTAGGCCTCTTGCTTGCTCACGAATCTAATAAGTATTTGGTTCCGACTGCAAGAGCCAAAACAGAAGACGGAGCGGCTTTAGTGTCGCCCCATCCCAAACTGCCGTATCCATCCAAACGATCTTCACGCTCCTTTAACGACATTCCAATCCAACCGTGATAGGGGATAATACTGCCCCTACCCAGTATTCGCAGCAGTCAGTCCTCCGCTGACAGTTTAGTACGAGATGCCGTTCTCACGCAGCAGCTTCTCGAGCTGCGCAATTCGTGCGTTGGCAGTGTCCAATTCGGCCTTAAGCTTGCCCTCGGGCGTGTTGTCCGTCTTGCTGCCGCCGCGTGCGAAGCGAGCCACGCGAGCGGCGATTCCAGAACCGACGCTGTTGGACTTGGATGCAGAGCGCGCGCGCTTGCCGTCGTTGGTAATCTTACCCTGCATTTCGGGACGCAGAGACATCAGCACGGGAGAGTTGTCGGCGCCGCCCAACCAGTCGTCAGCAGTCATCGAGGGGATGCCGGCGTACGTGTCGGGGAAAATGTCGTCCTGGAAAGCGTCCGACTTGCGCGGCACGAACACGTGCAGCGGCTCGATGGCGTTCGACGTAAGCTTGAGCAGACGCGTGGTCTCGCACTTCATGATGTCGCAGCCGCGCTTGGGGATCATCGCCATACCCTTCGCAGAGGTCGTCGAGCGGTACTCACTGATGGGGAACGCAAACGGCTCGCCCTCGGACATCTCGTAGTAGCGGATGTTACCGTCGCCCTTACCACACAGGTACAGGAGGTTCGTGTCCGGGTCGTAGAACGGCATGATGACGCCGGCGGCCTGGTCGATGTCCACCTTCTTGAGCTCCTTGTCGAGGTTGCGCGGGTCCCAGACCTTGAACTGGCGCTGGCTCTGGCGCGTGAAGCCCACCGTGACGAACGTCTCCTTGTTGCCCAGGAAGCTCATCTTGACGCTCTTGGTGCCCATGTGCGCGTTCTCCTTCTGCGCGGCCACCTGTCCGGAGCGGGCGTCGTACAGACGCACGACCTTGTCCTTGCACGTGGTGGCGAGCACGCTGCCGGTCCAGCTCCAGGCCAGGTCCTGGATCAGGTTCTCGCCGTGGTCCTCCATCTTGACGATCTCGGCGCCCTTCTCGATGTCCCAGAGACGCACCGAGAAGTCGGACGACGTACTGGCCAGCACGTTGTTGGCCGTGGGGTGGAACTTGATGAGCGTGACCTTGCGGCCGTGGCCCGTGAGGTCCACGAGCGGGTCCACGCACGTCTCGGCGAGGCCGCCCTCGGGGATGCCCCAGATCTTGACGGTGGTGTCGTCCGAGGCCGAGGCGATGAGGTGCTCGTGGAACGGGTTGAAGTCGAAGTCCAGGATGGCGCCGCGGTGGCCCGAGATGAGCGGGAAGTCCGGGTCGAACTTGCCCACCTTGTCGTACGGCACCACGGCCATGGCGCCGCCGCCGGCCTGGATGGACACGGCGAAGAACTTGGTGTTGCCCTTGATGTAGTTCTGCTCGCCCGTGGCCGTGGCCAGACGCACGTTCGTGTAGCAGTACTCGAGCTTGGCCGGCTCCACGTACACGTGGCGGAACTTGCTCTGGCGCACGAAGTGACTCATGCTTGTCAGTCAGTCAGTCGGTCAAGTGGCGGACTCGAACAGGGTCGACGGGGGACTGGCAATAGCACAAGCGCAGCAAGCAGCAGCATCAGTATTAGTATCCGAGCAGCACAGCCGCATTGTATCACTGCTATCAGCTCGTCCGCCGCCAATGCGCCGAGCAGCTGTCGGATCTTGAGACAGTCGACGCGATTGGCGGCGCCAGGGGAGCGCGAACCAGGCGCAAGCAGCGACGGACGCCAACGCCGACGTCTCACACACACGCCGCTGTCTGCGCTGGTGGACGCGCGTGTGCGCGGCTCGCATCTCCCCCCTGTACGGACGGCTGGAACGGCCCGCGTCACTCACCTCTGTTCCCTCGCAGCTTTTTTCTTGAATATGCACAGCGAGCCCCCCTCCTCGACCTCAGTTTTGCATGAACCCTACCACACACGAAAAACCTCGCGAGGAAAAACCTCCGCTGATTTGCTGTTGTGGGCTTGCGGCTTGGAGTTTGTATAGGGACGAGGCGTTGGTATCGCGAGGGAGGTCAACCAAGTAACAAGATCCTTTATCGCAGGATGTTCGAGTTGATATTGTCGGTATACTACGGAAGAGACACTTGGTGTTTCGAACAAAAGGCAACTTTGTGCTGCGAAGTTTTTGCCACTGCAGACTTTGAAGCAGCCAAGCCGTAGTACTGTAGCCCCATGACACGTGTGCCCTGCAGCATGCCGGAAATATTCGCGGGGACGAAAGCGATCGCGCTATTTGTGCCGTAAACGTGCCGTGCAGTGCGCCAAGGCCGGGGCGGACCAAAAGCTTCGCGCTCGCAAGCTGTGAGCAGCAGCCTTTACATTCCGATGTTGCGGTCACGGCGGGCCGTGGTTTCGTCGTGTGCTCATTTATACTTCGCGCTGCTCATTGATATAGGTGCAGGCGTCAGTTGCAGCACTGCTGTGGCATACACTACAGTGGCCGCACAATCCTAACATTAAGTGGTGTCGAACGATATCTTATACGAGGTACGCGCCGATGGATGAGCGGGCCTTGCTTGACCTACATCGCATATCATTTGCTGGTTTCTAGCCCCCGCTCCAAGCTTCAACCAGTTCGCCTTTGCGCAATGCAATATCTAAACTGGCAAGCAGCGTTTGGGTAGGATATCCAGCTTCCAATCCTGTGAAAGGCACGAAATAAACTACTGCTGCGGGTGCAGGTTTCCGTCTCCTCCTCCTCCCAAACTTGAAGAGTTTGCTGCTCCCCTCCGGGTCGGGGGATAGGCAGCCTTCGCTTTCCCGATGCACCGGATCCGAAAAAAATAGGAAAATAAATTCGCTGAATAAATTACCGATTTATTTTTCACGCTCGTCATTTCCAATCAAAAAGTACAGTATCCGATGAAGCGGCAGCGGACAAACGAAATGGAGCCGACCGCTGGAGCGAGCGCCGCGCCTGCCGCGGCGGAGGCGCTGCTGGAGCGCCAGGACTTCGTGGACATGAACCGCGGTACGCTCCGCACCGTCAACTCGACGCCCGCGTTCCCTTCCTCACCCACTCACTCGCTCATTTTCCGTCCCAGAGATGCACGAGTACGACGAGATGCGCGAGAAGATCATCAAGCGCTCGCGAGAGATCCTCAAGGCCAGGTGCCATACCTCATATACTCTGCACAGTACATGCATGGCTGGCCCACAACGGACGCAGGGCCAACCGTGCCGCGCCTACCGACAACCGGCAGCTAACGCTCGTTGTTTTATGCATCGCGACGCTACCACAGCAAGCAGGCGATCTTCGCGTTGCATCGCGCGGACAGAGCGGAGGCCTTGAAGCTGCTGGGCAACGCCGAGAAGGTGTGTGCAGCGCAGCGCCCGTAGTTTATGCAGTGCGGTGTGTTCTCTTGGACGTTGTCACTAACTGAAGACTGGTGGTGCAGGTGATCCCGGAGCTGGTGGCGCTGACGGAGCAGAACCCGTCGCTGCGAGACGGCGCCCTGTCGTCGTCGTTGGAGGAGTATGCGGAGGCCAAGTGCTTCTGCTACTACCTGGACACCAAGCGCCTGTTGCCGCGTCGCGACGTGCCGGTCGTGCAGAAGAACGAATATCTGGGCGGCGTTATCGACTTCACCGGTGAGATGACGGAGCGCTGAGGGTGCAATGATGGACATTTCGTTCGAGTGAGCTGATGCGCCCGGGCTTGAATATTTACTCTACTGTAGGCGAGTTGATGCGGTATGCGGTCGTGAAGGCTACTGCAAGGGACGTGGAGGAGGTCAAGCGCTGCAAGGCCATGGTGGAGGCCATCTCGGGAGAGTTGATCCAGTTTGACTTCCGGAACGGCCCACTGCGCCGCAAGTTTGACTCGGTCAAGTACAATCTGCGCAAGCTAGAGGTTAGTCTCTGTATTGGAATATTGACTCAGCGGCTAAAGACGCAGGTTGGCTAACGCTTTATTTTTTGTGGCGTTATGCGTACTGTCCTCGGTTCGGCAGAATACGCTGTACGAGTTGTCGTTGGTCACGAACTCGGGTCTGACGTTGCAGGCACACTCAGTACAGGAGACGCCAGCGCCATCAACTCGCGAGGATGAGGAGTAATTAGCGAACTCTAACGGAATAATGGCGATGAATAAAATGTGCCATGCAGTTCTCGTGAAAGTCGCTGGAAGCTTCCTTGATGGAACATGATATCCCGTTAGCTTGCTTGCGACTTGAAGATTCTCATCACCACTCTTAACACACACTTGCACGCCGAACCTCTGACCGGTGGCGATACAGGAGAGGAGGGGGCGACCTGCAAGAGAACGTGACGCCACTGATACGCGCAGCGCAGAAGCCGATGAATGTTACCCAAGGCATGCCTCGAACCACAGAGTCGACCCCCTCCTCCCCTGCCTTCTCGCCCCTCCCCGCTTTGCTCTGCTAACACATTCCAGGAGCTGAATTCAAGGTGGCTGGTTGCATATTTAAAACGTTTGCGCGACGACATGGCAGCAGAGGTAAGCTACCCGTTAATTAACTCTTCCGTGTCGCGATCTGGGTAAGTCATGGCAATGTTCTCGTCGCACGTAGCGCTGTGTGTGCCTTTTGCTGCTGCTGCTGCTGCTGCTGTTGTTGCTGCTGTTGTTGTTGCTGCTGTTGTTGGGAAGGGGGAATGGCTTGGTCGGAGCAATTGAAGCGGGGCACGGTCCAAGTTCTTGCTGCTGCTGGCCCACAGAGGCGAGATGGGAACAACGGGATGATGACGACGGACTAGCACAATTTGTGGCTGGCCTCGCTGACCGTGCTTCAATTGCGTCAGGAAAGAAAAGGTTTTGTGTGTTATAAATATCCGAGTGTTTTCTCAGAAAAATTAAAAAAATGTAGTCCTGCAGTGGCAGCTGAGACACACCTTGATCGACAATGTCAACAACACGGATCAGAACCATGAAAACGATGCATGAGGGTTTCGATCTTAGTTCCGCTTACCGATCCCCATCAAACCAGCTTCACACAACTTAATCTTGTCGATTTCCTCGAACGGGACCCCTTTTTCCGCCAACTCGTGCCGGGACGCCAATCCTTCCACTTTGAAAGCCATGCCGCACCGGTCCTGCTCAATCTCGCTCTTGCGCTGCTCAGTCGCAGCTCGAGCCCTTTCAGCCTGCATCTGGGCCTTCGCGGCTCCAGCTTTGTAGCGCTCTACCTCACTTTTCCATTTCTCTCCGTCCGCACGGAAGCGCTCCCCTTGGACAGCACAGATCCGCTTGGTCTGCTCCGACTCGTATCGATCGTGGATGGTTTTCATTTCGTACTCCAGCTTGCATGCAGCCACCGGGCTAAACACGCCGGAACTCAGGGGTCGCTGGGCTTTACTCGATCGGAATGCCACCTCGATCGGCCTCTTGCGTCCTGCCGTCGTACCCGCATATTCTGCAGCTTCTTTGACGTCATCGTCTTGTTCGTCGTCTTCGACTTCGTCTTCGTTGTCTTTCCCTGCACTGGAGCTACTCGACGGCGAGCTGGAGCTACTCAGTGACGCCTCTACCGGAAATGTAAACTCGCGAAACACCGGCAGCAGGTCACAATAGCTTGGAAAAATTCTCTCCGCCTTCGTACGGAATTTGCCGTCAACTTCACCGCGAAGCAAGCGCGGTCACTCGCTCGGATCCCGCTCTTCTGCATCCATTGAGCCAAGTTGACGTACTGCCTCTCAATGTTCTGAATAGTGTGTTCGACGTCAACGGGGGCGAAACCCTGATACCATGCAGCCTCCAACTCCTCCAGGACCTCAAGTGCCACCTTCGCTTTCCAGTCCAGCCGCCAGCGTTGGTAGTTGCCTGGACTGAGGACCCACTTCGTCACCGTGCTTTGCAATGGCAGGCCAGTCGCAGCAGTCAAGCGTTTGCTGCATCGGGCTGCTGCTGGGTGCCGGTGCACCATGATCGCCGACCTCACGAGTGCTTCCGCCCCAGGTGCAGTTTTCGAAAGTGAGAGCTCGTTCGCATGGGACGAGCAAGATGGAGCAAAGCGACCAGGTAACGTCCGTGTGACGAAATACAGTCTTCATCACATGTCATCTGTTGCCATTGTTACAGCAAGTACGTTAAGTTGTTGAAGCGGCCGAGGACTCCGCCTGGGTGCTCGACGGGGTCTCCTTAACCTTCTGCGAAGTAGCGGAGCCTTTGCGATTGCCACGTCGACGAGGAAAAAGCCTGCTCGGGAGCAGTCCCTGCCAGCCAGACTTTTGGCTCTTCAACACTCGCCCACCACCGTTCTCGACCAGTGCCAGCAGCTTTGCTGCCTCTAGTGGATCCTTCCCAGCGACTTCAAGCGCGTGCTGAAGCGTGAAGTGTTCGGGACAGAATGATACGCCGGGGACGCCGAGGACAAGTGCGCGGCGTCGACACTGCGGGACAGCACAGATCTTCTTGCCCTCAGGCGCGTCCACTGCCAGGCGCTTCTTGCTTTTGCTTTTCTTTGGCTTCTTTTGCCGCGTCTTGGCAGCTTTTTTCTTCACTGCAGCCCCCTCTTCTCCCAGCAATGCTGCTGCCATTCGCTTGGCCTCCTGCTCAGCCATCTCAGCATCTCGTCGCCGTTTAACTCGGATTTGCTCCTCAAGCGCGAGGATCTCCTGCGGCATTTCAGTCGGGACCTCCACCATCGTGAACGTGTGGTCGGAACGCTTGCCTTTGCTGTGGAAACGCTCAAAGCACCCCGGGTTCCCCATCCAGCGCACGCTGCAGTATCGATCACCGCAGGTGGCGCACTCACGGTCGGCAGCTTTGCCACATTCCACGCAAAGTCCTCGATCTCCTAGCAGTTCTCGTCGCTTTTCAGCCAGAGCCGTCTCAACGCACACCAGTGCATGCCGACTGCTTCGCACTCCGCTAGACGACGTGGAACTCCAGTGGCACACAGCACAGAGCGTCTGGGCACAGAACTCACAGCGTTCATCGCCACTACGCGCGTGACATTGCTCGCAGTAAACTTCACCGGGCTCAAGAGGTTGGGCGAGTAGCTCCACCGCGTGCGTCTTACCGTCGGCGCGCCGGCCGCGAGCGTGCGTACGCGCCATGCATGTCTCGCAGAGTGCATCCTGGCAGGTAAGACATCGCTGACAAGCCACCCTCATCTCGCACTCGACACATGCCGCAGCTTGGGCTGCGTACCATTCACGGGCGTGGGATGAGCGGGTCTTGCCTCGAGCGTGAACACGCGTGAAGCAACGCTCACAGTAGTGCTCGTTGCAAGGCAAGCAGCGGAGAGTCGACGGTCTGGAGCACTCGACACAGCGGAAGAACGGCGTGCTCAGGGTATTCAATGCTGTATACGTGTGCCAACTGAGGTCCTCTGGAGGGTTCGCCGCAGCGGTGGGGAAGTGACGGTCGTAGAAGCACGCGAGGCAGAAATCCACGTAGTCGCCGTTAGGTGAGTAGCATTCATTGCAGCGGCGAGCTGCGCGCTCTGCGGTGCAGATACTGCAAGCAACCCAAGGCGTCTCAGCGCCAGGCCCCGACTTTGATGTACGCGGGCGTTGAGAAGCTGGCTTGTAGTGCGGCCACGCGAGCATCCACCTTTTCGTGAGTCGGTCTTGGATCATGGGACGGAACGGCAGAATTCCTCCGGTCACTTCGTCGCGGGGTTCCTCAAGTAACTTCTCGTCCGTAGGGATGTACACGAAGTAGAAGGTGCCCGTGCGCTTGTCTAGACGTTGCTCGTAAGGTGATTGCTGTTGAGACTCCAGCAGCGCTCGAACTTCTCGAGCTCCCAACGACCGCCACGCACACTGAATCGTCATCGCAGCGTACGCGCGAGCTCGCTGTGTAGCGATGTACCATCGGCGTACTCGGATCATCCGGAAGATTGTCTGACACAGTAGAGCGGTGCGCTCCCAAGCAAGCACACGCTCGAGCGCTTCTTCCCGGAGATAGAGAGCCATCTGGGCATATGAGAACGGCTTTTGTGCCTCATTCTCCCAGAGGCCTTTGACTGTACACCGCGGGTAACGAGACAAAGCTTCCTTCAGCCATCGCTCTTCCTCTTCAGGGGATATTGGGACGACAGGTATAGCAGCGGCCGTATTGGCACTCCCCAGTACGTCGTCGTCTTTGACAGAAAGCTGGGAACTTCCCTCGGCTGTCAATTCAGAAGACGATAACAGTCGTCGTGGCATTCGCAACACCGCTGACAGTTCCCTCTGGAGTGTTGAAAGCTTCAAATTTGCAGCGTATACTACACAGCGCTCAGCACAGCGACGGTAAGCCACGAAAATTGATCTCTCCTGAGGCTTTCGGGTCGCAAACGCTAGCGAAGCGATCTCGCCAACGTTGGCTATCGCGTCGTCGGGGCGACCCGCGTATCGACGAAGGTGCATTTCCAGCATTCGGTACGAAATCGGAGTCGTTGAACTGCGCAGCGCACGGATCAGACCAGCTACACGCCCCTGTTGGTTCGGATAACTGTGCGTGACGAGCTGGGAGATCACGCGTTCGGTCGGTAGAATATTGAAGGGATGTTTGATGCTGGCAGAGACTGTCGTCTCCCTCGCGTAGCTCTGCGGGAATCGGCGGGCTCGAATTCTTGGGAACATGGGCACCAATGCAGCTTCTTCCTTGCTCCAACCGAGGCCTTTCGCCTTCTGCTCGGACGACACTTTGTCCAATAGCTCAGGTAGCGGAATTTTCCCTAGAGGGGAGGCCACGTACTTGGTGAGCCCGAATCTGCTCAAGAACACTGCGGATGTCATACCCTCCAGTGCATAACCAACCCAACCGACTCGTGTTGCTCGTTTAAGAGCGTCCTGAATGGTGGCCACGAAAGCGATAGCTGCGACTTCCCTTTCACGCTCATTGATCGCCACGAGAGTTCGCGCCAGGGCTTGAATTCGGATAGCCGCAAACTGTTCCTCGAACGAGTAATCGGGCCGCTCCCAGGATATCTCGTGAGTGTGCTTGTTGAAAAAATATGAGCGCGGCGCATGCACCGGCGAGACCCCAGTTGGATACACCTCTTCCCAGCCAAAACGCAACGCCATCTTCGTGTAACGGAGACTGGTTGATGCTTGCAATTCCGGAGCGGTTTGCCGATAGAAAGCTGGGAGCTGTTCCAGAAGGCGAATGATCGCTCGACCATGTGCGTTGCCCGGACGCGAGTTCACCGGGAAGCTCCAATTGCGGCGATGCTCAGCTCGCACGCTGTTGTGATAGGTCGGGGTCAGTAGGTCAACGACTGCATTAAGCGTACCGTGCAATCGAGCCCGGCGCTGTTCTATTGCAGCGTCGGTCGGAGCGTCCTTAGTGCTCTCTTCTCTCTGCCCTCCGCTTTTCTTCGTAGGCGACTTGACGCGTCCTTCTGCCGGAGCCACGATAAGCTTCTTGCTACTGGCATCGCGCTTTGCTGGAGATTTCGCGCTACTGTTTGAAGGTGCGTGAGCTTTTGACTTCAATCGTCCACTCAGCCAGGCGTTCACGTGCGAGTTGCCCTTACACTGAATCTGGAATTTAAGCGTGACCAGCTGCGTTCGCTCTTGGCGAGAGTTATCCCACTCAGCCTCAAGAACTTGACGCTGTCGTTGGCGTCGCTGCACTCGTTGCAGCTCTTGGAGACGACGCTGAGCTAGAAACCGGCGTGTTTGGGCTTGAATACGGATGACCTTGTCTTCTTCCTCAATTGAGTACGTAGGTTTCTCGAAGACATAGTATCTGACCTGAACTTGCTCCGGTGGTTGCAACTCTTCTTCTCCGCCAGGTACCGCTTCAATATTGTTCGGTTGTTGCGAATAAATGGCGTACACGTACGATTGAGTCTCGTCGTCCCATTCCTCAACGTAAGGGTAGCGTAGAATATTGTACAGAAGCCGCATGCGATGTGCCTTAGCCTCTTCCTCCAGCCAAGCGTCCAACGCCTCCTGCTCCTTCTTGCGCTCTGCCTGCCATAAAGGTGTAACATGATCAGCGTGAAACTCGGTAAGGTACTGTTCGCGCAGTTCTTGGTGGCGTCGATTGACTCGTAACCCAGTCACCAATTTGTTCCCAGCACGACGACGCCAAAGACTCTGCACCTTGGTAGCCGTTGCATTCATCTTGGCAATTGTGTCAACTCCTGCTCGCCAAACGCGCGCCTTCTCCTGATTACCACGAGCATTCCTTGACGCCATTACGGTATCTAACAGAATACGCCCAAGCAGCATCCGGTGTGCTAAGGTGCGTTGTCCATCTACGAAGGAAGTCGCATTCTCAACGCCGAGTACAATCACCTCCATTGGTATTCCGAGGAGCTCAGACAGTCGCTCGTGACCATATTGCAAAATGTCCATGCACTGGCCAAACCTCGCATGATCATGCCTTTTCACCTCCGTTTCGAAGGCGAAGAACGTCAGCTCCTTCATGTTGAGTTTCACCTCGGATATCGTAGTATTCGCGTCGAAAAAGTGCTGCAGCTGCCACCGCGTGACTTGGTTCTCCTCGACAGCTCCAGCAAAAGCAAGTGCACGCGCGTCCAAGCCGGGAAACCGTTCAAGGAACATTTCCCGAGCCACGTTGAGCTGGTCTACGAGCCGGAGACTGCGCAAGCTGTGTACTGCAGAGATCTCCTTCGGCTCTTGTCGTGTCGAGAGCAATTGTTGCTGTGTAGTGACCTCTCGCACGTGCGCAGCCAGAATGCTAGCAGATGATTCGCATTTCGCGTGGGCTTCGGAAGTTTTCTTGAGGGCATCTTCAAGCTCGCGGGTGCAAGCAGCTTGCTTGTCGCGCACAGCTTTAGGCGGGTTGCGGAACTCTTTCGCTTCCTGGAGTACGTCTTCCAGCGCGTCCTCGTACTTCTGCTGCGCATCAACGCATGCTTGCAGATGCTTCTGCGCGAAATCACAGTTGCGTTTGAGCAGTGCCTGCTTCTCTCGGGCCACTACCAGTGATCTACGCTGCCTCTTCGTTTCCTGAATCGTCTTGTAGGCGAACAGGTTAGTTAGCATCATCTGCATGTCCTTAGCGTCGTGAACTCCAATACATTCAAGCTGCTCCTCGCACGCCTCGTGGTCGAGATCCCGAAGCCGCTGTAGCGCGTGGACGGGATCAGCGGAAGCAATCCAGCGATTTTTCTGGAACACCTCACTGTACTTTGGACTGAGGCCAAGCCGCCGTAGCCATTCTTGCACGGACATCCCGCGAAGTTCGTCGTCTGGGTCGTAAAATACGGTCGAGAACGATAACATCTTCTCAATTATTACACCCAGGCAACAGTCCGTGCGAAACGGGTTCGTTTGCTTGCGCTTTTGGGCTCGCAGTAACTTCTGCGCGGCTCGTTGGTGGGCATTCTGCCGCCACTTGAGCTGAATTCGTACTGCCATGCGTGAGCGCAACTCCACGTAAACAATGTTCCTCATCACGCGCATTCGGCAATTGGCACCACGGAAAATACGCTGAATCTCGGACGCCGAAGCGTTATACAGCTGCATCGTAGCCTCGAGCACGTTATGCGTCGCCGCACGAATGCAGTCATCCGCAGTCTGGTGGGAAACCAGAGCTGTAATGCGAGCCATCTCCTCCCGAAAGTGTTTCCGCATAAGATGAATACGAATCGCCCGCTGGATGGAGCGTGCAGAGCGCTCGCGCTTTGCAATCTTTCGTCCCATACGACCCCGCACAAGAGCTTGAACTCGGGATGAAGCACTATCTTCTCGCTCGAATTGGCGACGTCTCTCCTCCCGTTCCTCCGTGATACGGCGAACAAATAAATGCCTCCGTAGCCTTCCTGGAACAGCCTTAAGCCACCAGAATTGCAAGTATCTGGCCGTCCGAATGCGGTTAGCGTGATGGACACGGAAGAACCACTTGATCCGCCGATGAGCCACTTTTTGGCGGCGCATGAGCCGGACTTGCTGCTGTGCATAATGTCGACGAACATTTCGCTGAATGAATGCAGCAGCTTTGTTTCGCTTCATAGCCAAATACGACAGCCACGCGCAGCGAATCACACGAGCCATGTGGTTGTGCTTGAAGGCAAGCACCTGGGCGTCAAACTCTCGTTCCTCATTCTCCTTTTCGCGTAGACACCCAAGCAGCAAAAACGTAGACCACTCGTTATTACGCCTGTACCAGCAACGCTGAAAGATAAGTGCTGCGTGCCACTCCTGGTCCCGAATAAGGCGAAGCTCACGAGTGGTGATCCTTCCGAGGAAGCCTCGCGCGATTCGCTGCAGTAGCACAATACTTGACAGCAGACGTTCACTTTCTTTTCGCTGCGCACACAGTACCAAGCGCCGCAAACGCCGCAGTCGCACAGTCCGAAACACGGCTTGGACAAGCATCGCTGCGTTCCGAAGGGTTAGGAACGCGTCACGGCAAACACGCATACGAGCCAGCGACTGCACCAGAATTATTTGTCTCCGCACTCGGTGATAATGTATGCGAGCCGCACGCATACGCTGCAGTGCTTGAATTCGGATGGCTGCAGCACGGTAGCGCGCGAGTGCTACTCGGAAGCGACGGTAACGGTATGCACTTTGCACAAGCTCGGCTGCTCGCCACAACATCCGTCTGTGCTCACGGACCTCACTCGGAATACGAAACGGGAGATCAGGGTGAGCCGGGGCGAGATAGATATCGCGCAATACGGGACTAGCAAAAGGGTGTTGGCGGTGCATTGCCAAGAAGCGCTCTCGACCCAAGTGCCTTCGGATCTCAACTTGAATGAGTCGTACAGCAGTATCACGGTCACGCCAAATAAGCTCTTGAGTAGTCTCGACCCATTTTCGAAGTCCTTGCTGTTGATAACTGCGCAGAACGTACTCGATCGCGACTTTGAGGCGTCTTTTGGTTGCTTGACGGTGATACTCCTGTCCACGCTCGAGAAAACGCGCGTGCTCCACAACAGCTTTCCACTGCATGAGTGCCATGCGGCGCTGGTTGTCCTCAAATTCTAGGATCCAGAGCGCCATAGCGCGCCTCATACGGTGTCGACAGTACGCAGCACCCCCGGGAAGCTGAAACGAAAACTTTAGCGGAAGCCGTTCGCGCTCTTGCTGGATCATCGAATGCATTGCTTGCCGTGTCTGCTGCTCTTGATGCGTCACTCGCGTTATCTCAGACCCAAGCGACGTCATGACTGAAGTGTTGACACGCTGGGCTAGCGCTCGCAGTTGGCGCACATTGTGCTCGTTAGGTTCCACCGGAGAGCTAAGGATTTCCCTCAGCCGTTGCCGCTTGACCGCAGGTGTCATTGGCTCTAGCTCATCGGTCGGTGCCTTCGTCACAGCTGCTTGGCGCTTTGGACTGGCCGCAGTTGCATCTACTGTCTTCTCACTCGTGGCAGCAGCTTCACCAGGAAGAGGACGTGATTTTGATGCCGTAGCCACAGCAGTCATTGCATCTCGCTCGCTTTCATCTTCATCGTATCGGTGCGCCTTACTCCATTGATCCCACTTGGTCACTTGAAGCCGACTGGAACTTACTCGTCTCTCACCTTTGGCACTTGAATCGACGCCCTCGCTGTCTCGAAGATGCTGCTGAAAATATGCCGGAGACGCAATGGGCATTCGACGAGTGCGAAATATCTCGAGCATGTGCTTCGGGAGCAATAGCGTGTCTGAAGCAGGATGAGTTGGAGGTGCAGTTGCTTGCTTGACGTCTTGGGTGTCACTTTCTTGGTCTCGTTGCTCCGATTCCAGCTCTCCACCAGACATGCGATGACCCCCGGTCGGCTGGATAAGCGGAAGCGGAGACAGTGGAGGATCCAGCATGTACTGGCGAGGGAATATCGGCGTGACCACGCGATAGCGCTCCATCTTGAAGATCCGACTGGGGGTCTCCCTCCTGGCAACATCAGCAGCAAGGTTGTCAGCAGCACCCCGTCCCACTCTACGTTTGCCAGTGCTGCTACCAGGAGGACCACTAGCTGACAAAACTTCGTCTGTATCACCCCCGCGCTCACCCCACGCTACCGCGGGGCGGTGTTGTCGCGGTGGGGACTGCTGGTTCGTGCTCCCTGCGGCTCGAGTTGGTGATGGCGGCCCGCTGGCTGCCTGTCTCCTTCTCTTCTTCTTCGTCTTCTTTTTCGTATCGAGAACACGTTCAACATAGTTCGGTGCAAATACAGCCGCGTCATCGCTGAACTGCCGGGAGGTGTCACCGCTCTCCGGTCGACCTGCAGCTGTAAGGAGGAGGTTCGCACTCTCTCGCTCGACAGGCTGCGGCTGCAGCACCAGCAGCTCCGAGTCCAGCGAGACCACCAGCTGCAGGTGGTGCTGCTGTGACGGCGCTGCATTAAAGACACAATATAGCAACGCAGAATGATTAGCAATTAATTGCCGTTCAGCCCCGTCGAACACCTCACTCTCGGTCTCTCACCTGGAGCTCGCCGTACCTTGCATCAACAGCGAGATGACGAGGCAGCAGTTGACGTGCACGCGTCTCGTGTCCGCCGTCTGCGTCCTGCTACGTCTGCAGTAGCCCACGACCTGCAGCAGTGCGTCCACCAGCCCTTCCGTCTCGAGTCGCAGTCGGTCGGCCAGCGCTCGACTCTCCAGCATCAGCAGCCCAAGCGCTCTCGCCGCAAGCGCTGCAGCAGCAAACAAACGCACAGCACTTGTGAGTCAAATACTACTACTACTACTACTACTACTACTACTACTACTACGTATAGTGCATCGCAACACAGTATCGGACGCACCCCGCAGGTAGACGCAGTTCTTGGCGTTGCGCAGCACGCGCACGCAGGCGTTAACGACGTCGGCGTCGTCCGCGTTGGGGCCGGCCGCCACCCGCGCCGCCAGGCCCACGACCAGCAGACGCTCCGAGGGCGGCGACGCGTGCTGCGTGGCCTCCAGCAGCCGGCGCTTGCGGTGGCGGGACTGCGGCGAGCGCGCCGCGCGCTCCATTGCCGGAGCGGCGCCGCCATCCTGCCGCCACATTATTGGGCCCCACTTCAACCTGCGGTGCGTCGTTTCGGTAAGATACGAACTGTCGTCGGTAAGAAAACATAAATAAAAAACTTCGGTAATCAAGCGTGCCGTTATCAAAATTGCATGCTTCCATCAACGCTCTGGAGCCAAGCGTCCGCCTCCACGGCAAGCTGCGTCGGCCCTTGCCTACCTGAGGTCCATGCAGCCAGCCAGCCGAGTCTATGCACTACGGGCATCGAGCAATGGGGTCGAGCCGAATGGCGTTACAGCAACCATATGACGACAACACGACAGAAATTAAAGCAACCACAAGGCCTGAAGCAGCCCTAAAACCAGCTGGCATCCGGTAATTTATTTTAAATGACGCGTAAATGACAGGGGCACGTCGCCCTCGTCATGGTCTTGCTACATATATCTCTAAATTTAGACACGTCGTGGTGGCGTCTAACTGATGTTCTCTACACAGCAATACGTGAAACACATGATAATATGTGTCCCACATTTTCAACACTTGGCAGATTTTGAGCGACAGCAAAAATGGAGAAGAAATCGCTGGCACATGAGCTGGTGCGCGCGAGAATTGCCGAGATTGCACTCCTCAAGAAGAAGCTGGATGAGCTTACCGAGCATCTGGAAAAGCTTCTGGCAGCGCAGCTACAAATCCAAGCCCTCGTCGAAGATCGCGAAGAGAACAGCTATGCGTTAGCAGCCGTCTTGGGCGATGAAGGGGCCGACCAAGGTGGTCTCACCGCAGAGGACGACGCTGTTTCCCTCGATGTTCTATGGGAGCTGGCGGTGCGAAAAATGAAAGACTAATGCAGCATAGACTCTGTATTTAAAGGTAAATACAGACTGTGGTGTTTCTCAGAGCTGGTTCTGTAGCTGCTGATGAATCTTGCTAGCTTTAGCGACGTCGCGTTCAGAGAGATGACGTTCTTGGGAGTAACACATGATGACCCACAGCATTTTCAATCGCATCACCTTGACGTCGTTCTTGGAAATTCTAGAAAGTTGCATCTGCAAGTTCCCCGTAAGATAGCTGTGGGCTTGGGCTACTACCATTACACCACAGCTAGCAAAATCAGGTTGTTGAGGGGCACAGATCCACTCAATCGGATCGAAGAAAAGATGGCCACGGGGGTCAGAAGCCTTGTGCCACCGCTCCACATAATCACGAAGCACCTCCTCTCCTTCATTTTCTTTGTCTTTCGGAAATCCAGTCCACACGATTTCCATTTCATGGTGATAGTCATCATCAATGAGCGGCTCGTACATGTAAACATGCACCCGAAGCTTGCTTGTTTTTGCCGTGTAGCGTAGGCGAAGGATAATTACCCCCCAGTGGTCTGCGTGCAGATTAACGGGGTGGATAATAAAATTCGTTGCTGCAAGTGCTGTTTTAGGGAGACTTGGCCATCCGATAGCCCATGTCAGTGATGACAGCACATGGCACTTCCCCACCGATCTCGCAAGGGTCTCCAAGCAAAAGTCCACAGGGCTATCATTTAGCCATCCACGACAGATCCCTCCCACGATGTTGTCAAAGCTGATCAGGACTTTGTTGGAGAGCGTCACAAATTCAGTGCGTAGCCGACTTGAAGTAAACGTTGAGATAATTTCGTTCGCTAGACCTTGGTGCCGCTCGGGAACAGCATCACGCGGTAGTCTTGCAGTTGCTGTCTCCGCAGCGAAAAGATCCACGATGGAGTCAACTTTACGCCAATCTTGCTCCAGCCACTTTCGGTCCTTCAACCATGAGGTACACTTCGCCTTGATCGCGTAGAATCCTGTTAGAGCACCTACATATTATCTAGAAACATAAACATGTTAAAGCAACCCTATTAAAGCAACCATATCACTAAAGCAACCATACCCGCTGAATTTCCACAGTTTTGGATCAATCGCCAAGACGACGTCGAGAACAAGTCCTTGCTTCTTGGCCTTTTCATCCAGTACAATTGGCTGCTTCTCCTTCCGGGTAGTAGTCGTTGCTGCCTGCATTGATAGGGCGAGGTCTTGTGGAATTACAAATGTGTGCATGTAGTCCGCAGGTCGTACAATTTCCCAATGACAATCAATCTTCCGAGCTCTTAGGCATCCTCCAGCTGAACAGGATACTTCGACAGCATCTCCATCACGCGCTTCAGATTTGAGGTTTTTCTGGCCCAAATCAGGAACTGATCCAAAGTCACGGCAAGTTCAGTGGGGTACTTGTGAACAGCAAGACGGTCGGCTTTGAGACTGATCGTAGTTTGCCTCAGCTGTTTCGGAGTTGACCTTGACTTTCCTTGGCTTGGTGGCTTAGGAACTCTAACGACATCGACCTGGCGCACGCACGACTCTGTGTCAGGCTTCGTAGAGCTTGAAACCTTGTCACAGCTACTCATTCCGCAGCTGTCATGAGATTTCTCGTCGATGGGGGGTCGAATTGGAGATGACTGCGAAAGGTGAGTGCGTTGTATCGGTAACATACTTTCGTCGGACTCGTAATCGCCATAATTCATGGTCATGGGGCTGCTTTCCAATGCGTCCATGAGCGTCATAGTCCCCATTGCCTCCACGGGGTCCAGAATGGAGTCTGAGACAGGTTCAGATACATCTTTTTCTTGCTTGCTATCTTCAGCAGATTCTGTAGAACTCGGTTGGGGGGGCAGGGTTGACACGGTTGAGCCCTATGTCGATCGTTTCCTTCCAGGCACTTAGCTCTTGGTAGAAGTCTGCACTAGACAAATCTGACAGGTGTTCCAATAGCGGTTCCAGCATCGCTTTTGAGTATGCGCATTTTTCAGCTGAAGACAATACAACCTGGTTTGCCCGTTCACCTCGCCGTAGCCGTACGTACGCAACTTGCTTCCTAGCTTTGGTTGGCGAAGCGTTACCCCCCGCAGCATAAAGTGGTTGTTCTGGTTCAGCCCCAGTGTCGTTCGGCAACTTTATTTTCGGCAACCTTAACTTGGCCATCTGCACAATTGGCTGTAACATTTCCGCTGCAGCCGTCAATTCGTTTTGCACTTCCAAGGTCTGGTACGTACTCCACCGATCATGAATTGCCATAGCTGGAAGCAGTTTGAAGCCATGCCCCTCGTGTGCTAAGTGCATAAGATGACGACATGGTAAATGGTGACTGCTATAAAATAGACAAGTACACGCCCACTCCACATCGTGACAGCGAAAGGTTTGATTCCCGCAATAAATTTTCCATTGTGAAGGATTCGACGCTGTACGCTCACAAGTCGCATCTGCCATGAAGTTCACAAATCGTTCCCACTCTTTTCTCACGTTCTCGAAGATGTCTGGGTACAGTCGAGTTGCTACCGTCCGGAGAAACATCGGTATGGTTTTAGGAACGGGCGAAGCCGAATGGTGCTGCGCGATGACGAACCCGATCTGCTGAGTTATCATGATTTGATACTGCACCAAGCCCGCAATAGTCTTGTCAATTCGTGTCTTGTGCCCCAACAGTATTTTCACTTGATTCCAGTTTGACTCGATCCTGTTCGTTGTAGTATTCCCAGTCGTGAAAAATTTGCTGCGAGCAAAGTTTGCCCACATGTCTCGACACGAATCCCAGTTCTTTTCAAAGTACGAGAATAAAGCTTGTTTCTTGTTGTCTTCGCAGTATTGCTTCAATGCACCGTAACTAGAATCGTAACCTGTCTCTGTGGAGCTGCATATGGTTTGTTTTCCAAAGTTAGCGTTACCACAAGAATCATAAATAGAACCTATTGCGTACCTGTACAGCGTTTATAACATCAGGTTGAGTAACTCGTCGCGTTCAGACACCTTCAGCTTGTATGGGGCCCGCTGCATCACCTTCTTCCAGTACGAAGTGGCATGGAATTGACAAAGTAAAACTTTCGCAGCAGGAAATAGTGTTTTCAGCACCCTCCACTCAACGAAATCTTTGTCGATCACGATGGAGGATATCATCCGCCAACTTGGGTTCTTCTCTTGGAAATACTCCAGGATTGTTGTCATCATCGGAGCTCGTTGGTTGAGGCCTATGAAGTCTACAACTGGGAACCCTCTACCAGTAGCGGTTGTGACGACCAGACTCCCTGAAATATCCAACACACAACAGTAGAAAATCACTTTGTTAATAAGGTTGCTATATCATCGATATAGTTGCTATAACTACGCAAGGTTGCCGTGACAAAGATAAAGTTGCTATACCGAACAACTCATACGCACCCAAGTGATAGCCCAAATTGTTCGTGCCGTGAGTGAAATCCATCGTAAGAGTGTCGCCCCAGCGCTCGAACATCAACTTCTGCACCTTTGTTTGCATCACGATACCGCATGTCACGTCCATTTGGTCTTGAATAACAAGGACGTCACTACCGTCGAACTGGCGGATAGCTTGCAGCATGTCTTTCAAACGGGCCTCCGCTGCGTCGTGCCCCATAATACTGCGGATCAGATTACGGGTCTGTTGAGGTGTTATTTTGCAGCCTAGCAAACACACAAGCGCGAACAGTAACGTAAGTATCACTTCAGCATATCATATATAAAACTACGCACCGATTCTCTCATTCAGGAAGTTCGTGATGTGCTTGGAAGAAACACTAGCATCCGTTAAAGTCTTAACATCTTCGAGATCTTGCTCGTCCAACGGAAGTGTCTTTGTTGTTAGGTACAACGATGCTTGCGTTCGGGTGGTCGGGTGCGTGTGGGTAAAGTTCTGATTATCAACAGCGACATGTGAGAAATACTAACAAAGCAAACAAATACACGAAAAGGCAGATACCTCGTTTCTTATGACAATTCGAAATTTGCCATTTTCCATCAGCTGAACGGTTGGTGTCATGCGTGCAGGACACCCGCAATAGTTGCCTTTTCTATTGTGATGTCCCTTGGAGCGCGACGCTTGTGAAACACCGTGTGTACAGCGGAGGACCTTGTGACTCCAATTAAAACGTGAAGGGATTTGGTCCCGATGATTGCTGCATATGAAAGGGGGTTTCGTTAATAACTTAAATTTCTCATCAAACAGAGGTCACACATACCTGTTGTACTGATTTCGTGTCTCCGAGCTTCGTACTCGAAACTTGAGGTGGTGCGTCTGCTTGTATATTTTCAAGTGTGCGTTGAACTTGCTCCAACTCTTGATAATCGCTGGGGTAAAGGGCGGAACGGGGTTGATAATTTCTTCGCGCTCCTCGTTGATCTCCCGCAACTCGTCAAGGTGCTTGCTTGATCGCTTCCGCGGTATGTACTGCTTGTTCAGCTTGGATAAACGTGGGGCCGAATCAGCGTCGACAGACTCGTGAAGCCGCAGCTCCGCCTTACGCTTTTTCGCGAAAGATTGGGCTTCATCCCCAGCAGAAAGCTTGCATTTGGCCAGAGCGGTATCTATCGATTCCAAAGTGAATGTCAATATTAATGATAGCGCAACCTTTTTGCTTACAGCAACTTTAACGAGAATACCTGGTGTTTCTTGCGTGCTGTGGCTTTCTTTCTCGGCTCGGGGCTCGGTTTGCGTGTCCTGCGTTCTAAACAAACTAAAAAAATACACAATACATTATCAGTTCAACTCAATAAGTATCAACAATAATCCAAACGAGTCTTACCCGCTTCTGCTTCGTCTTCTGTGCTGGATTCTCCGTCGTCGTCTGCCTCCTGTTCATCGTCACTCGCCTCCTCTTCATCGTCGTCACCCTCCTCTTCATCGCTATCGCTCTCCTCGTCATCATCGACCTCTTCTTCGTCTTCCTCCTCTTGGTAGCAATCCTCCGCCTCTTCGTCGCCGTTGTCTTCCTCATCATCCTCATCCAGAACAAAGTCTTCGTCTTCGTCGTCGTCTTTTTCAATCCCGAGAGCGGCGTACATGTAGTTTAGCTCCTCGTTTACGTTCCGCAGCTGTCGGCCTAAACAATACATACCGACAGAATTCAAACAAAATGTGAGGCACGTAGATACTCTCGTTGCCACCAACATGGAGCATACTGATTACCGTTTATAATGGCTCCCCCCGCAGGAGCCATCGGTCCCCCCTCGCCGTTTGGTGCTTGACTGATTCGCGAGAGGTGCGTGCCCCACGTGGCCTCCGTTCAGCAGCGCGATTCTTAAAATGAGCGGCTGTGAGGTGGCGCACTTAATGGCATCGTACCTAATCAGAAGCGCACTTTAGCGTGATTTGCGTACCTAAGGGCTTAATGGTAATTTAGACATTTAAATTACGCTCGTAATTTTTGAAATCCCTAAAAGCAACCATACATGTCTCAGAATGGCTAAAAGCAACCATACTTATGGTTGCTCTAACCACTCCCGGTCGAGCCACCTCACGGGCGGCATAGCGGCGTAGTTTACGCTCGACGTCTTTTTGACGAATGGAGTCGTAGGACCTTTTCGATTGGCTGAAATCCCAGTCACCGTTTTTCTCAGCGCAGGCCTGACTGAAGGGACCTCCTCGATTGACCCCCGCGCATAGTCAGAAAGCGTCACCCGCCCACAGACCTGTCACGATGGCGGCCGAGCACGTGCCGTGGGCTGCGGCCATCCTGTGCTACATCCAGTACGCCATCCTCATCACCTTCGGCCACCTGCGCGACCACGCGGGCCGTGTCTTCGGCGGCTCGCGCTACTCGACGAACGCCAAGAAGGGCTACGCGCCGCTGCTCGTGGCCTTCGAGAACTTCTACACCAAGCGCATCTACCACCGCCTGCAGGACGTCTTCAACCGCCCCGTGGCCGGCTCGCCAGGTGCGGGCGTGGTGCTGTTCCCCCCCTCCCCAAGTGGCGGGGGTGGAGGACTCGTGCGTGTCTGTGTGCTGAGTATGAGGTAGGCTGACCCCCCCCCTCTCTTTGCTTGACCCCATGCAGGCGCGCACATCGACCTGATCGAGCGCTACTCGGTGGACGAGAACAAGACGCTGCACAACAAGGATGGCTGCATCCAGCACTGCCTCAACCTCGGCTCGTACAACTACCTGGGCTTCGCGGACGACTGGATGAACACGTGCAGCAAGGAGGTCTTCCCCGCGGTCAAGCAGTTCGCGCTGGCCTCGACGGTTCCCCCCATGGAGTTCGGCACCACGGCCGTGCACATCGCGCTGGAGAAGGCGCTGGCCAAGTTCATCGGCAAGGAGTCGGCCATCGTGTACAACATGGGCTACGCCACGAACGCCACCAGCATCCCGGCGCTCACGGGCAAGGGCACGCTCATCCTGAGTGACGCGCTGAACCACACGTCCATCGTCAACGGCGCTCGTGCCTCGGGCGCGTCTGTCGGCGTGTTCAAGCACAACGACCCCGAACACCTCGAGAAGGTGCTGCGCACGAAGATCGCGGAGGGCCAGCCGCGTACGCACCGCCCCTGGAAGAAGATCATTGTCATGATCGAAGGTATCTACTCCATGGAGGGCGAGATCGTGCGTCTGCGTGAGATGGTGGACGTCACCAAGAAGTACAAGGCGTACATCTACGTGGACGAGGCGCACAGCATTGGCGCGCTCGGTAAGACTGGCCGCGGTATCTGCGAGTACGCGGGCGTGGACCCCAGCGAGATCGACATCTTGATGGGCACGTTCTCCAAGAGTTTCGGTGGCATGGGTGGCTACATCGCTGCGAACGAGGAAATCATCAACTTCATCCGCAACTCGAGCGCTGGCGCGATCTACGCGACGAGTCTGTCTCCTGTCATTGCCCAGCAGATCTTGACGGCGCTGAACATCATCTCGGGTCTGGACGGCACGGACATCGGCCGCAAGAAGATTGACTCGCTGCGCGAGAACAGCAACTACTTCCGCCAGAAGCTCATCGACATGGGCGTTATCACGCTTGGAGACTTCGACTCGCCCGTGATTCCGGTGATGCTGTACCACATGTCGAAGGTCGGCGAGTTCTCTCGCCAGTGCTTGAAGCGCAACCTGGCCGTGGTGACGGTGGGTTTCCCTGCGACGCCCCTGCTGCTCGCTCGTGTCCGCTTCTGCGTCTCGGCAGCCCACACGCGTGAGGACATTGACGAAGCCCTAGTCACACTCAAGGAAGTCTCGGACCTGTGCAATATCCGCTTCGAGAAGAAGGCTCACTCCTAGGTAAGAAGAAGACCTCTATCACGCGCATTGGCAAGGCTCACGTACTTGAGTGCGTGCAGTTGTTCGAATTGCTGGCAGATCCGGGAATCCTGACGCTGTAGCTCCTCTCGACTGCGTTCTCCGCACCGCGGTCACTGCTAACAAATGAAAGGCGTGCGCCACGTAGAAATCTGTACTGACCGCTCTCAATGCTCACTACACACTGTTGGTCCAACAGCGCTCTTGCGCCGGGGTCTTGCCGGCTGCCCTCGTAGACCTCGCCGTCGCATCATCATCATCGATCGTCTCAACCTGTACCATTCGCTTCAACCACGTTCACTTGGTGCAGCCAAAGCGTCTCAATCCCTGCAAACTCTGCAGAGCGAGCCTCGACATCCAAAACTTAATCGCTTGCTGCCTTCTTGGCAATGCTATCATATCGGCAAGTCGACAGCGTCCACGTCACGCCACGATGCATAAGTCGCAGAGAGAACGGGCACTGATTAAAGCAACATTGAAATGTTGGCGTTGCGTAACATTGAGCGCAACAATGGTGCCTCTGCCTAACATTGCACAATGTTACGGTATCTCTCGTAGCAGCATATTTGGTTTACCAATGTGACAATAGTTCGCCACGACAGCTCGACAGCTCGACAGCTCGACAGCTCGACAGCTCGATAGCTCGACAGCTCGACAGCTCGACAGCTCGACAGCTCGACAGCTCGACAGCTCGACAGCTCGACAGCTCGACAGCTCGACAGCTCGACAGCTCGACAGCTCGACAGCTCGACAGCTCGACAGCTCGACAGCTCGACAGCTCGACAGCTCGACAGCTCGACAGCTCGACAGCTCGACAGCTCGACAGCTCGACAGCTCGACAGCTCGACAGCTCGACAGCTCGACAGCTCGACAGCTCGACAGCTCGACAGCTCGACAGCTCGACAGCTCGACAGCTCGACAGCTCGACAGCTCGACAGCTCGACAGCTCGACAGCTCGACAGCTCGACAGCTCGACAGCTCGACAGCTCGACAGCTCGACAGCTCGACAGCTCGACAGCTCGACAGCTCGACAGCTCGACAGCTCGACAGCTCGACAGCTCGACAGCTCGACAGCTCGACAGCTCGACAGCTCGACAGCTCGACAGCTCGACAGCTCGACAGCTCGACAGCTCGACAGCTCGACAGCTCGACAGCTCGACAGCTCGACAGCACGACAGCGAAGCACGCTGTATCACTCGGGGCGTGCGCCAACAGCTTCCGCCGCTAACGCGGCAAGCGCGTCATGGCCTGCGGACTTAGCGACGGCACTTCGGGGGGCGGGGGGGGGGGGGGGGGGGGGGGGCCCCTATTTCGCTTCGCTCGGGGGGCGCCGCTGTGCGGCCTGCCCCACCCCCTCGTGCCTTACGCTAAGTCCTCGGCTCGGCCAGGCGCGGTGTCTAGGAAAAAAAATATCGGGTTGCAGCGCTCGCCTTCGCTCGCTCGCGCAGACCCGCCCCCGCCTGATCGGCGGGTGTTGACGATCGGTGAACGCGCTCAGCGAGGCTCGCGCTCGCGTTTGCTCGCCCTCCCCCTTTAACCTCACTGCGCTGTTGGCTAGAGGCGCATTAAAAGCGCTTACGACTGCTTAGAAGGTAGCAGCGCATTCGATTGCATGCAACACGCATCGCACCTGACGCAACGCAACGCACTGGGAAGGCGTTTGCTCCCGCATACGTAGTACACACATGCATATAAGCACCGCAGTAGGACATGCACACATTAGAATAAGGTTGAGCGGGTGACCGCTGCAGACGGTCGCACGACGCGGAGGCGGAGCGAGCGCGCGGTTCCTACCCGGTAGATTCTGAAATGAGAGCTGTTGAGCCAGTCGCTCCAAACATGAAATTTCACGTCTGGAAAATTTACATTGCGTCAATGTTAGCGATCACGCAACATTGGACCCCATCAATGTTATTGATCCCACCTTGGCCTTCGTTCCTCCTGCCGCCGAGCACGTGCCATGGTTCCCCGCCATCATGTGCTTCCTGCAGTACTCGATCCTCATCACGTTCGACCACGTGCGCGACATCGCCGCCAGCATCTCGGGCGTGTCCCGCTACCGGTCCGAGGAGGCCCGATCCGGCCTGGCCAAGCTGCTCATCGCGTGGGAGAGCATCTACACGCGTCGCCTGTACCACCGCGTGCAGGACGTCTTCAACCGCCCCGTGGCCGGAGCGCCCGGGGCGCACATCGACCTCATCCAGCGCACGTCCACGGACGGCAACAAGTCGTTCGTGCGGCTGGACGAGCCGCCGCAGCACTGCCTCAACCTCGGCTCGTACAACTACCTAGGCTTCGCGGACGACTGGATGAACACGTGCAGCCACGAGGTCTTCCACGCCGTGGAGCAGTTCTCGGTGGCGTCCACCGTGCCGCCCATGGAGTTCGGCACCACGTCGGTGCACGTGGCTCTGGAGCGCGCTGTGGCCAAGTTCATTGGTAAGGAGGCGGCCATCGTGTACAACATGGGCTACGCCACAAACGCCACCAGCATCCCGGCGCTCATGGGCAAGGGTACGCTCATTCTGAGCGACGCGCTGAACCACACGTCCATCGTCAACGGAGCGCGCGCATCCGGTGCCACCGTCGGCGTGTTCAGACACAACGACCCCGAGCACTTGGAGCAGGTGCTGCGCACCAAGATCGCGGAGGGCCAACCACGCACGCACCGCGCGTGGAAGAAAATTATGGTCATGATCGAAGGCATTTACTCGATGGAGGGCGAGATCGTGCGTCTGCGTGAGATGGTGGACATCACCAAGAAGTACAAGGCGTACATCTACGTGGATGAAGCCCATAGCATCGGTGCGTTGGGCAAGACAGGTCGCGGCATTTGTGAGTATGCTGGAGTGGACCCTAGTGAGATCGACATCTTGATGGGGGACATTCACGAAGAGCTTCGGCGGCATGGGCGGCTACATCGCTGCGTCCGAAGAGATTATCAACTTCATCCGCAACTCGAGTGCGGGAGCGATCTACGCGACGAGTCTGTCGCCGGCGATCGCACAGCAGATCTTGACGGCGCTGAACATCATTGCGGGGCTGGACGGCACGGACATCGGCCGCAACAAACTCGACTCACTGCGCGAGAACAGCAACTACTTCCGCCAGAAGCTCATCGACATGGGCGTGATCACGCTTGGAGACTTCGACTCGCCCGTCATCCCGGTGATGCTGTACCACATGTCGAAGGTCGGCGAGTACTCGCGCGAATGCCTCAAGCGCAACCTGGCTGTGGTGACGGTGGGTTTCCCTGCGACGCCCCTGCTGCTGTCCCGCGTTCGCTTCTGCGTTTCGGCAGCGCACACCAAGGAGGACATGGACGAAGCCCTCAAAGCCATAGAAGAAGTAAGCGAGATCTGCCACGTGCGCTACAACAGCCACATCTGCGGCTGAGCAAGCGCTGGAAAGAGCAGCATTAGTGGCGCACCCACGGACGAACTGAGCCGTACAAGACACAAGTATTAGCGCGCTAATGCCAAAGTAAATTGATTCGAGACGGAACACCAGCCGAGTCTTTCCTTCGTTACCACTCGACCGGATGAAAGATTTGAGTATCTAACGTGGCCGGTGGATGCGGTGGTGCATCCGCCTGCATGGTTCCTGAAGCTAACTACTTATTCGCTGGGCTCGACTTTAACGGGATCAACGCTGTCTGCGCTCTCCACCTTCACTGCCGGTTCTTCAACACTGGTAGCATTTTCTTGCTTGACGTCCTCCTTCGGGTCTTCAAGAAGTGCGTTGATGTCGGACGAGAGGTCCATCGGCTGGCCGTCAGGGCCAGCTGTGAAAGCGAATTCACGGAGCAAGACGCGCAGCTCCTTCTCCTCCTTCAGAAGCAGAGCGAGCTGGGGCACGGGAAGCTTGCGCAGCAGCAACGGGAAAGATGCCGGTTGGATGAGCGCCGAGCACTTGACGAAGCCCTTCCACAGCGCGTCTTCCATCTCCCACACCCTCCGGTCGATGAGAATCTCCAATAGCGACGCCATATCATGCTGCAGCGTCGGATACGCGGTCACACTGAGGATGAGCGTGCGCAGAGAGAGCTTTGAGATTCTCTCCTCTTGGACCAGCACGCGGCACACGTGGAGAAGCACATCCGACGGGAAGGCGTGGCGGTGCTCCACGCAGAAGTTGATGGCGCTGATCACCTTCTTCTGCATGGTAGGCTCGCTCTTGAGGTCGACGTGATGCAAGGCTACCAGCAAGTCAATCGGGGCGACAACCTGCGGAGGCATCGCTTCCAGTAGCCGAGTGATCGCGACGGACAGCCGAGCTTGGGGTAGCGATAGCAGTTGCGGCAGCAGTGGGAACAGGGTCTCGCCTCGAATACTGGGCAGAACTGGGATAAGCACCGAGATGGAGTCCGGAATGTGCTCGTGACCGTGGTAAAGCTCCAAAATTTGTTGCACGAGCTCATCAGTAGCCGACGAGCTCGTTTCGTTCGGTCGCCCACGAATCGACAAGATCTGAATAATGTGGCACACCAGCCCCAGAGCGTTCGGCTCGTACCCATGCAGCTGAGCGACGACGTTCACGCTTCCGCGCTGTTTGAGATGCTTGATGAGCTTTTCAATGGCGCGGAAGACCACTTGCCGCACTGCCTCAGATGCGTACGCATACGTCGCCACCAAATGCGTCAACAGAGAAGGCTTCTTCGCACACAGTGCCAGGTACAATTCCAACCTCCGCAAGATTTCGGGCTCGCTGTCCAAAGCCTTTGACAGCTCAGCTTCACCTTGTACTTCGTCAGCGTAAGCTCGTAGCTCTTCGCTGGTGTCCTTTTCAGCGAGGGTAATCCGCTCTACTTGCGCCTTCAACCACGCACCCTTGTCCTCAGTACTAGCTGGTTCGTCGACTTCTTTGACGTCCTCTTTTGCACCATTCTCACCTTCATTCGCAGCCTCCGGCATGGCCTCATCCTCGTCCTTAGTGCTCGATTCGTTAGCCTTCACACGCTCGCGCAGTGAATTCACCAGCTTAATTGCAAACGCTTCAATATCGCCCTTGAGGGCTCCAATACCATAAAGCTGGTTAGCCACACATCGAATGGCAGAATTGCGGTAGTGCTCGTCTTCGTGGCATGTGTACCGCAACAAAAGGAGAAGACACGGCGCTTGGCACGCCTTCCGCTCCTTCGTAAGGTCACGCAGCAGAGTGATACCAAGCACGATTCCAGTCTTTTCACCAAACAGCGACGTAACAATGCGTAAAATCTCCACCGGTACACGAGGCAACTGAGCCACCAAACTTCCAAAAAGCTTCTTGTCTGCCGACGAAGACAGATCCATCTTCTTTTGCAGTGCGTCGAAGAAATAGTTGACGGCTGTCCGGTAGATTTTGTAGTCGGCGGTACCAGCAGGAGTCGCAGCAGTGGCCGTGTCTAGCTGGGAAGCTGTAGCACGGATGTATTCTTGACAGATCAAGTTCGTTGCAAGTGTAGAGCGCACAGGATAATCGCCCAACACGAAGTCCAAAATCTTCTGGTACACAAATGGCAGCTTCGGTGAATCATTCGACGACTCCGACACTGGTTTGCTGTTTTCGTCCGTACTAAGAAGCCAAGGGCTCGACGCCAATCGGCAGACTACACCCTCTCGCAGAGCCTCGTCGCCTCGAATTTTCACTCCATACTCGTTCTCTAGAATCCGCACGAGTGCATCGATCGCCATTTCGTGTTGCCATGCCGCAGTCTCCGATTTCAGATGCACCTGAACCACGTTGACCTCCGAGACAGACACCAGTGGCTCTGCAATGGTAGCAGCATTCTTGGATATCCAGTCACTCACTTCTTCCACAGCAGTCTCGTCAAAAATGGGCACCAACGCGGGCTGCTCCTTGTTCTGTGCTTTCAACCTCGGGTCGCGTCTGATGCGAGGGTCGCGCATACGCTTCGCACTCTTCTCAATCGCCTGTACTGAGGACGGGGTCGCGAGCTTCGCCAGCAATGCCGACATCCGCGTCTTTAGAGCGCTCGGGACAAGTTCCAGCATCAAATTCGGCGGAGCTGTGGGCATATCGGAGGCAAAGTTCTCCAACACGAGGTTCGCCACCTCCACTGCCTGCATATTCACGATGCCGTCGTGTGTCACCTTTTCTCGAGAGATCGGAGCCGCCGAAGACCCGGAAATTACACGCCGGCGCTTGGCGTGGGCATTGGCATTCTCCACTCGCTCAGTGATCGACTGAGCAGCCGTGCGCTTGCCGATCCTTGCTCTGCGCAGCGACGCCTCCGTGGGCGCAGACGTATACCGTCTCCGCTGCTCCTTGCTCTTACTAATCGCAGCGAAAGCGCGCTGCGAAGCGCCAACAGCAATCAAAATGTCCGTCACCTCGTCCGCGAACGCCTGCGCAGCCGGGTGGCTCAGCAGCTTCACCAAGTTGGCTGTCAGCGTCTTCTGCAGCCACGCGTCCTCCGTTCCGGGCGCCGCCGCCGTCGTCGAGAGTGCAATGAGTCTGGGCAAGATGTGCGGCATGTGCTGCGGCCGCACCGCGGCAAGCAGCGACAGCGAGTTCACCGCCACACCCAGCTCGCGTCTTGCTAGAGTCAGCTTTGAGTCCGCCACGCCGCCGATGACCCCGCACAGTCTCTGCAGCAGGAACACGCCGAACTCCTCCAGCTGCGGCTTGACCAGGATCGCCTGCTTGGAGCCGCCCAGTCGGTCCAAGCTGCAGACGTTGGGCTGCACGTTGGAGCGCATCGGGTCGCGGTACACGGACGCGTCCTGCGCCGTGCTGAAGAGCATCACGCCGCTCTCCACCAGCTTCCAGGCGCGCAGCCACACCATCGCGCTGCGGTTGCCGCCCCCCGCCTCGGGCGCGTTGGCGACCACGTCCGCCGCCGCTTCGACGCAGCGCATCGTGGCGTCCCAGGCGCTGCGCGGCTCGACGCCCGCGTGGCTGTCGGCGCCCTCGGCCCTGAGCACGATCTGGAAGCTCGCGTGCAGGCTGCCGAGCGCCAGCTGCAGCGCCAGCACCGCGTTCTTCTCGGTCGAGTGGCCGAGCAGCAGCACCGTGTGGCATACCTCATAGAGCCCCGCCAGCAGCGCGCAGGCCGCGTCCAGCGCCTCAGTCGCCGCCGCCGCAGCCGCCGCCTCCTGCGCCACGAACTGCAGGATCGACGCCACCAGCGCCGCGTTGCGCAGCTGCGCGAGCTGCCCGAGCATGGGCAGAGCGCCGCGCAGCACGCGCCGCTCCGGGCCCGACGGGTCGCGGTGCTGCGCGATCTCCTGCACGTGGCGGAAGAGCTCCGTCTGCTCGGCGTTGCTGGCCGCGGCCTGGACCTGCTCCAGCAGCGCCGCCACCTCTCGCTCCGCGCCGTCCATGGCCGTCCCTAGTCGGTCGCAGCGGGGTATTGTATTGGCTGCCCGGGACAAGAGTGCGCGCGCTCTGTCCAGTTTGAAGTGCCCCATGGACGGCGTTGCCAAAAGTGGGTGCGGTAGGATTCCCTAGCTCCCCCAGATACTTACTTACTTACTCGAGCGAGATGGCGAGCGCCGCGACGCGGGAGGTGCTGGGCAACCAGCCGCTGGTGATCGACAATGGCAGCGGGCTCATGAAGGCGGGCTTCGCGGGCGGCGAGACGCCGCAGGTGGTGTTCCCGTCCTTCGTGGGCACGACCAAGCACACGCGCATGATGCCGGGCGGCGCCTACGAGGGCGGCGACGTGTTCGTGGGCAACCGCGTGCAGCACCACCGCGGGCTCTTCAAGATCCAGTACGCCATGGAGCACGGCGTCGTCACGGACTGGAACAGCATGCACCGCATCTGGCAGCACGTCTACTCCAAGGACATGCTCAACGTGCAGAGCGAGGACCACCCGGTGCTGCTCACGGAGGCGCCGCTGAACCCCGTGGCCAACCGCCAGCGCGCGGGCGAGGTCTTCTTCGAGGCCTTCAACGTGCCGTCGCTCTTCGTGTCGCCCCAGGCCGTGCTGAGTCTGTACGCGTCGGGCCGCACCACGGGCGTCGTGCTGGACGTGGGCGACGGCGTGGCGCACGTCGTGCCGGTCTACGAGGGCTTCACGCTGCCGCACGCCATCACCAGGATGGACATCGCCGGCCGCGACGTCACGCGCCACCTGCAGCTGCTGCTGCGCCGCGCGGGCTACAACTTCCAGACGTCGGCGGAGCGGGAGGTGGTCCGCGAGATCAAGGAGAAGCTGTGCTACGTGGCCTTCAACCCCACCAAGGAGGAGCAGCTCGAGGCCGAGAAGTCGGCGCTCGCCGTCAAGGACATGCTCAGCGCCAAGACCAAGCCGTCCGGCGCGTCAGGAGACGACACCTCGGCGTACTACCTGCCGGACGGCACGCTGCTCAACGTGAGTTCTGCAGTAGTGTTGATAGTCTTGTCTGGGATTTGGTGGGTATTCTAACGCTGTACCGCTTTGTGTAGATCGGCCCAGAGAAGTTCCGTGCTCCGGAAGTGTTGTTCCGACCGGAGATCATCGGCTCGGAGGCGCGCGGAGTGCACGAGTGTCTGGTGCAGGCCATTATGAAGTCGGACCTGGACCTGCGCAAGACGCTATTCTCGCAGGTAATCCTCTCCGGAGGCTCGACGCTCTTCCCGGGCTTTGGCGACCGCCTGCTCGCCGAGGTGCGCAAGAAAGCGCCAAAGGATATTAAGATTCGGATCTCGGCACCGCCCACGCGCATCTACTCGACGTGGATCGGTGGCTCCATTTTGGCTTCGCTCGCGACGTTCAAGAACATGTGGATCACCAAGAGCGAGTATGAGGAGTATGGAGCTTCCATCCTGCATCGTAAGAACTTGTAGGCGTCGGACAAACTTACAGTAAGCACAGAAGAGGACCATGCAGACCCAGCCCGCTTCAATTCTGTCGTTGCTTTGATGTGAAGTGGGCGGAGTAGGTCGGCAGGTTGGTTTTCTGGCGTAGAGGCGATAAGGAAATACTACTAATACAGATGAAAAAGATCGCTATTGTAGCGTATGCGTTCAGCGGAGGTGCTCAAGCTGTGGGAAAGCTCAGAGTCTGATGAACTCCTATTTACAGTTAGTTTTTCTAGCTCCTAGTCGGATTCGGATTGCCTGATGTCAACAGCAGACCATCGCGTTGTGGCTCGGGTCTGTGTAGACTACTACAGTAGAGCAGCTTAAAATGAGCCGTCGATCAAACCAGCTCGGGCCGCGCGACGCTTCTCCTCCTGTTGTCTCCGCTTGACCACGATCATCGACGCGCCCCAGAACATCACGCCCCAGCCGAGCCAAACCACGGCAAACATCAGAACGTCGCGAAGACCGGAGCGGTCCTGCGAGCAGTCAGGGTTGAGCTTGGCCTCGCCGTCAATCTCCACCGTGCCACAGTGAGGAGCCCACGCGTCCTTGATAGCGCCCAGGATGATAGGGGACGGAACATCTCCCAGCGCGTGGATGATCAGCGTGTTCGCCGCGACGGCCATCGACTGGCGCGACTTGGGGAAGAGCTCGAGCACGGCAATCGTCTCGGGCACGGACAGCGCGCACATGAAGAAGAGGCACAGCGTGAGGAAGATCAGGCACAGCATCTTGGTGCTAGCGAAGGCCACCATAATGAGTCCAAACACGACCGCGGCGAGCATGAAGTAGAACAGCGCCTTCACGGAGATCACGCAGCGGCGGCCGATCTCCTCGGGCTTCTTCTTGGCGAGCCAGTCGACCAGCATACCTCCCAGGGGCGTACCGATGGTGCCGGTAATGGCCACAAGTCCACCGAAGATGAACGACACGGTCGTCTCGCTCTCGAAGAGTCCCAGACCGATGAAGATAGCAGGACTGAAGGTGCTCATGGCCGCCAGCGAGAACGTGTACGCCGCGTGTCCGAGGATGATGAGCATGAACGGCAGATTGTTGAAGATGATCCACCATTCCGCGACGAACGACGGCTTGGGCAGGGGCAGACCGCGGCCCTTGTCCTCCATGAACGCCGTCGCGTCGGCCTTTTCGTCATCGCCCGGGGTAATGGGCACGGCCGACACATCCCTCTTGTCCTCCAGCTCCTCGGGGTCCACCTCCTTGACGGGGACCTGGTTCAGCTCGTCCGGGATGATCGTGAGGCAGCAGACCACGAACCCGACCATAATGACACCTTCCATGTAGTACGCGCCGGCCCAGCCCAGTCCGGAGCTGGCGAAGATGGAGCCGTAGATGTAGCCGACGGCCGTGCCCACGGTGATCGAGGCCAGGTAGATGCCCAAGTACAGCGAGCGCTTCTCCGGGGGCGCAAAGCGGTTGATGAAGGGCGTGGCCGTGCACTGGAACGAGGCCTCGCCCACACCGCTGACCAGCCGACCGATGATCAGCACGTAGTAGCTCTCGGTGGCCTGCGCGGCGCCGCAGATGACGACGGCCACGACCCAGACGGTCATGCCCAGCGCGATGATGCGGAAGGGCCGGTGCGTGAGCGCGTAGTAGCCGAAGATCATGGAAAAGATGGAGTAACTGGCGATGAAGGCCGACGTGAGCAGGCCGAAGTACAGCGACTGGTTGAGCACGCTCACGCCCAGCGTGTCCGTGATGAACTGGTTGAACTTCTCGGGGGCGCCCGGGATGATGCCGCGGTCGATGTAGTTGAGCAGGTTGATGCAGCAGAGCAGCACGATGGCGCCCTGCTTTCCGATCTTCTTCATGCTGGCGGACTTGGTGGAGCTGGAGCTGGGGCTGGAGCTTAGCAGCGGTTGCGACAGCAGCGACGCCGTCTCGGGGTCGTCGACTTCGGAATGCGTGGTGGAGGACGCGGTGCTGTGCGTCACAGGCCCGTACGCGGAGACTTGGGGACTGGCCATGAGCGCGACGTCTTCGCCCCCGCCGAGCGGCTCCGTCTTCTCCATGGCCGTCTCCATGGCCGTGGCCCTTCTCCGATACATTCGGAGCTGCCAGGTGCGCGCACTAATAGGGCCAGCTTTTCAAGGCGATGTGACTTGGACTCAGTATGACGCCGGTGGTAATGCTCCGTCGCTGGCACGCCAGGAGGCGGATCACTCAGCGCAAGACCGGTCAAAGTGGCCGCCCTTTGCGGGCAGATCCTCCGCGCTACGGCCCGGATGTCTGCAGTGGCTCCGCTTTGCGAGCTGCAGCCACCGATCTCGCGATGACGTTCTCGCCATCAAGGAGCAGCGAAATGGCAAGGAGCTGGCTGACACGCGACGCCAGGACACGCTGCAGCTTGCCGGGCGAACACGCTCAAAATGCTGCCAGCGAGTGAGTACTGTTTGCGAGTCAATCCACACACCGAGCGTGATGGATCGAATTCCTCCGCCCCACCCTCCACCCTCTGTTGCTGTTGAACCGGTGGCGGTCAGGGGTCTGATCCGCGAGGCCTGTGATTTGATTTGGGCAGCGCAGCAAACAAATGGAGGCGTGTCTGCGCTGCTGCTTCAACTAACAGAGTGATGGTCAAATTGTTGCCTTTTTTGATGTGAACGAGTTTCTAGAACTTCAAGTCTCCGCCACAGCAACCCAAAAAGTTTATCGACGCCCAAAGGATTCATTGCTACTGGCGAGTCCTATTACATAGTATAATTTTAATTCAGCGAACATGGTTAAACATAAGCACATTGTAAGCCATAGCAGCGCATAGTTAGCTATAGCAGCGCGTAGTCAGCGATATGAACGTATAGTTAGCGATAGCAGCACGTAGAAAACGATTGCAACGGATACTTTGCGATAGCAGCGCATAGTAAATGATAGTAAATGATAGCAGCGTATAGTAAGCGATAGAAGCGCATAGAAGGCGATAGCACCGACGTAATAAGCGATACCAGTGCGAGCACATGTACAGTAGCTGAAGACGATTGATTAATAGTTTCAGGTTAGTTTTTGTGAAATACTTTAGGGACGGATATATTATAGCTGCAGCGGTGCTGAGTAGCGGTAAGATAATGGGTTCTGGGGATAGTAGATGCCTAGACATGCATTGGAGTGGAGGTTTTGTTGTAGTTCATAGCCGTGTGCAGTAAGCGATACATGTAGCGGAAGGAGATTTATTACTAACATGCGCAGTATATATTTACTGTAATACTTTAGCGGTGGATATATTATAGCTACAGCGGCACTCTGCGTTCATCGTGGGGAATATTTGCTTAAGCGCGTTTCGTATTTACTAAAGTACAGTGTGCAGCGGTAGGATAATGCGTTAGTGGGGTTCTGCTATGCAACGAACATTAGCATTTTAGCATTTACAGTAACTAAGATATTAAAAGTAACAACCTTGCACCGCGTAACTATAAAATTCACGTTTACACTATACTAATTCCGTTTCCTACATGTATATCCGCTCAATATGGTTATTGAAGGAATCTCATGATAAAAACCTTCCGCTCAGTGAATGTCAGAATACATGTATCTACGAGAATAAACTGATAGCCACGTCTAAATATATGACTTTTGAAGCAGACCACGTAATAGTTAGCTACATTTGACGGATCATACACAATACTGAAACAATGAAGCATGATATTTTAAATAAGAACACGAACAGTTATTATATGTTAAGTCGGGGAAAAGCGAAGTCAACACTTTGATTCATGCTCTTTCGTAAGACGATACTTAGCCCCAGAATGCCTATCATAAGACAAAGCGTCTTACGTTTTCCGATCAACGCGTTTTGACTACATCTTGGTTTTTGTATACCAGTGGCTACATTGCATATTGTCTGTCAAAACATAAGACAGTTTGTCGGACACTAGTTTGCGCCATACAATTGGCCAAAAGTGTTCAGGTCACAGCGACATCGTTGCCGCGGACGCGGTGGCAACGTTGAGCGCCGAAACGATGCAGTTGCATGGTGCGGTAGGGTAAGTAGCCACTTGTTCGCACACGAAGCGATGTGCCTGTAGTTGGCCGCTGGCAGCAAGCTTAAATATCGGCATAATGACTGCACGAACGCGTGCATGCAGTCCGTGGAGCTGTTCCACTCAGAGGTGCAGCCGTTGTAGGGCACGGAGTTACGATGAAGTTGGCAGACGTAAACTAAGAGGGACAAATAGCTCGTAACGGTACTACATGTACATTTTAATGTAGTAAATTTTATGCTTGAGCGTACATCATAGTAGTTGTGAAGGCGTGGCAGCCAGGGAACGGTGTTGCCAGTGGGCTTCCCGAGATCCTCCAACCCCCTCTTACCTAATCATTACAGTCCAGCAACAAAATGCAACCACGTACTCTGCAACGGCGATAATACCTAGATCTTATACCTACGACGCTGAGGTGCGGAGGAGCTCCACACTGCTGCGCGGGCGCTCGGCGCGCGCCATATCGCTGCTGGGCTCGACCTTCGGCATCGGCGAGTTACTCGGTATCTCCTGCAACTAAGCCACTGCCTGCAGCCATGCTTTTTGTCGATGCTACAGCGTAGACTGGTTTGCGTATGCGCGCTCTATCCGAATCTCCATCTTCTATGTAGTGTTAGTACTTTACTGTAGAAAGGAGAGTTGGCGTGGTGGGGTGAACGACAACAGTCGTTCACCCCAGTAAAGCGAAGAAACATTGCTCCACTACGGGAACAAACGGTCGCATGATAACTGTGCTATGATGTCCTTACATTCCATTCCTGGCAAGTATATTTAAATCTTCTAGCAGGAGGTTAGTGCATGGCGTCAGGATCAAAGGCCCGGACATTTCAAGGGGCATTCTTCAAGTGCGCTGCCTCTAGTAAAGGGGGCAAAATGCGCACACAGATAAATCAGTCCAATTTACGAGCCGAGATGCAGCAACACTCGAGACTACATAATACAATATTAACCAATGAAATGCTACATTTGATTTGTCGTCAAACTGTCTTGGCTCGACTGGCGCACTAGCATACAAAAAGAACTGCAAGTGGGGGGCCACTTGGCACGCCCCGTACATCTTGGTGTGCCGTAGCCGCTGCCACAGACGCACTTTATCGTCGAATGACGAGTGCGACGCATCTGGAGTGAAGGATTTCACGACCGCTTTGGCATCGAGCCATTTGGCCTGAAAGTCGCCCCCAATGTTTTCATTCTGACTGAAGATGGCAAGTTCCATCTCAGTGTGTGTGTGTGTGGGGTGTGTGTGTCAAGACGGTCGAAACTCAGGAACTCTGCGTTATCGTTTGTACTTGTTTCCGTGGGATATCGTTCGTCTTTGTTGGTGTTAGTATCCGCGGAGTGGCGTGATAGCCACCATCATCAGCAAGACGAACAGCGGTTGCTCCATTCATGGCCTTAGCATTTACGCCAGAATCGCATTGCTCGACCAGGTGCTGCATAACATCAACGTGGCCGCTTCTAGCAGCTAATATCAGCGCTGTGTGTTCGCCATTGTCCTTTTTGTTTACATATGCACCACATTGGCCAGCGAGGTGCTGGACAACCCCAAGGTGGTCATTTTGAGCTGCCTGCATCAACGCAGTAGTTCCACCAGTAGCTTTCCTGCGCATCAGCACCGCATTCACCCGCAAGGCACTCTACAACGTCGACTCGGCCGTATGTAGCCGCCCACATGAGCGCTGTGTAGCCGCTACTGTTCTTGACGTTCACGTCAGCGCCGCATTGCTTCGTAATAAACTGTGCAATATCCTTGTGGACGTAGTAGACGGCCTCGATCCGCGCTGTATTCCCGTCATTGTTCCTGTCATTCACGTCGATGCCACATCGCTCAACAAGGCAATACACGATGCCGAGGCGTCCGTTTTGAGCGGCCCACATCAGAAACTTCTGTCCTTGATCGTTCTTGGCATCGCATTCGCCAGCAACAAGGCGCAGTATGGCGAGGTGGACCGATTCAGTCAACGGATTGACCTTAATGGTGTTTCACTGCCGGATTCGATGAACTGAGTATCTGTCGCCAAAGTAATTGATGACAGTGCAGCATCGGCTGGAGCAACTGCAAGACAGCAGGGATTTTTGTTGTTGATGCTTTAGACTAGAACGGCCCCAGTGGTGCAACGCCCATTTTACTTCTGAAATATTTCACAAGACCAGGGATCTCGAATGTGTCGGGAGCAAGCAAGACGGAGGCAACAGTGGAATGAAACATTGCTCAACAACCAGCACAGGCTGTAGTGATGGGAACAAGGAAGTACATCTCAGCCCCACAAACTGTCTACTGGCAAACTCCTTCCGAGTGATTTGGCATCGCAGAATGAGCTGCTCGAGTATATGATCGCGGAGTCGAATGAATGTTTTGTTATTCACCTCCAAACCCAGCGGTACACCAGCTGCAACGGTAAACTTCGGATATTTTGCATCAATTGCTAACAAAAAAACTCATATGAAGGTCCGCAACTGAGACGAAGATACGAGATATTCTCTCAGTTTAATCGTGTTCTGGTGCTTCGGTCAGTAGACAAGAGCTCAAAGTTGAGATCGTCCATGACCAATGACCTCTCCTGCCTACGTGTTACGCGCCACGACCACGCCCAGATGAACTCCCCACATCCTCTCCGGCCATGGAGCCTCCGACGGAATCACGAAATCGTGTGGGACGTCCGTGTCACCAAAGCAGGGCTCGTAAATATCCAGCAACGGCTCAACCAGCTTCTCCCATGCTTGACGCCCCAGCTCGAAGCTAAAACCCAACTCTTTCAGTCGGTCGACGTCACGCCCAAAGCACCGAAAATAATCCCCCCGGTATTTCATCTTGCATAATTGGCCCCCCAGGCCCAAGTTCCAAGCAGCTTTGGGCCAAGGCTTACACGCAGGTACAACAAACTTCTGCGGTACCCGACAGGAGTTGAACTCTGCAACGTAGGTTTGCAGCGCTGGAATGATACGCTCATCCCAAGTTGACGCATCACGATCCCATGCGAATCCTATTTCCCGCAGTGTGTCCTCGTCTCGAGCAGCAAACTGCACATAATTTTTTCCCATTCGAATACTGTTGACGATCATACCAAGACGAATACCCCACGCTTCTTCAGGCCAAGGGGATTCACGAGGAACCTTGAATGGTCTTTCAACGATGCAATGGTGATGTATCTGACGGTACAGCTTCAGTGACGGGAGAATCTTCTCATTCCATTCGCGCTCAGCCATCGTCGTCTCAAAGCAGAACTTCATCTCCTTGAGTTCGTCCTTCGACTGCTCCACTTGCCGTGCATACGAGTTTCGATTCCTGATATGGTCAACCGTGCTGCCTAGTGCCCAGCTCCACGACAACTGTGGCCACGCATCATCGCCTTCCGGGACAACAAACCAACGCGGGACATCCGTGTGGCCGTGAACTTTGTGGAAGCGGCGCAGAGCCGGGGGGTCAGCAGTCGTTCTGGATTATTGAAGGCGAGCCCGGCATAACGATCTCGTCCCATCGGAACTGTAAAACATTGGAAATGAAGTCCATCTTCTCCAGCTCAGTCTCCATCTGCGACGAAAGCTCTTGTTTCCTAGCTCCAGCACGCACAACACTTACGGCGTTCCCAAGTGCATAGCCCCACATCTCTCGCGGCCAGCGAGCGTCACCCGATGAAGCGATAAATGAGTAGGGCACCAATGTGTCCCTGTTCATCTCCTTGTAAACTCGCAGTGCGGCCAGAAACTTCTCCTCCCACGCGACAGTTTTCCCGTGCAGCGTCTCCCTCGTAGTCTTGGCCTCCTCTCGGCTCGAAGTGCCAGCGTCCGACTCCGCTAACCCCGTCAGGCTGAAGCAGCGACCGGTCAGTAAAGAACCACTCTTCGCTACCTGGGCACCCCGTAGCGACGCGAAGGGCGGCATGTTGAGGCGCCACACCTTACGCGGCTCGCGCTGGACAGCATTGCGAGAAGCGAGTCTTCGTGAAAACCACACAATCTCTAGTTTTTATTCACCAATAATATTGGATTTTTTGCAAGACGACGTCATTTGATTTTCTGTCAATGCAGTAACTTGGATTTTTAACGAGTGCGTTGGAGTGTGCTGCGAGTGCATGATCACGTTGATTCGCGCTGCCATGGCCTGTACGTAAAAGGAAGTGTAAGTGTCTGGACGCTCACGCGGCACCGCATTGCTCAACAAAGGTACTGCAGCGGTTGAGCTCTAAGGCAAATAAGCAGCGCGGTTTTCCAGTCGTTTGCTGTTTTGGCGTTCTCGGCCGCTCGGCACCGCTCGATTATGAACTGCGCGGCGTTAAGATGGTCAAGTTCAGCGGCTCCAATGAGCGATGTGAAACCATCGGTCCGCTTGCTCTTGCTGGGATTGCCGTACTTCCTGCATTGACACCTTCCGGTTTGAGAGCGAGCTCCGCGAGAACAACTAGCCTTTGTTTGAGTTGGGGGCTTGCGCGAGTCTGGCCGCAAGGCGCTTGTGTTCGGGATCCAACAAACAGCATGCTTCGCACTCAATCCGCAGAACTGGTGAGGCGAGCCATTGCGGCAACACAGGTGGCACCGGGCCTTTAACCGAGAGGATTAACCGCCTCAAGGAACTTCATATAATACTTAAGTAACTCATAGCTGTACTATGAAGCTCGATCGTGCTTGGACCGCGAGGTCTCATCTGCACATGAAGCAAAGCTCAACCAGTCAGTCCGCCAAATGGAGTCAAAACGGCTCATGGAAGCTACGAAAGCGATCGACATCGTGGCGGTCCGAGCTTTTGGTGCAGCATGGTGTACGCATGGACAAGGAGGCTGCACTCAGGGAGGCGGCTTCAGTGGGCCAGCTTGAGGTGGTGCGGTACCTCGCGGAAGAGTGCGGCGCAGACGTCCATGCCAAAGATGAGCGCGGCAACACGCTGCTGATGGACCCTGCTGCGTACGGGCACGTTGAGGTCGTGCGATACCTCGCTGCTCAATGCGGTGTGGATGTGAATTCCAAGAACGAGCACGGGGGTACGGCGCTGATGTGGGCGGCTGCAGCTGGCCAGCTTGGTGTCGTGCAGTGCCTCGCGGATGAGTGTGGCTCTCAGGTGAATGCCAGGAACAATGACGATTACACCGCGCTGATTTGGGCCGCTGCCTACGGCCACTTGGACGCTGTGCAGTATCTCGCCTGCCGAGGCGGCACGGAGCTAAACGCCACGGACCGTGACGGATACACAGCGCTGATCTGGGCCATCGACAACGAGCATGACGAAGTCGCGCAATACCTCGCTGGACGAAGCGATGAGGAAGTCGCGCTGCTCTCGCCCAGTACCTCTCAGGAAATCTCCACTAGCGGCATTGCCGTACGGTAGTCTGTTTTGATAGTGTAGCAACAACGACAAATCCACCTCTTAGCCCCGCTCACTTGTTGCACTGGATTTGCTGAGTACGATGATCGAAGTATGTTCTGGTTTAGTGGCGTGCACACTGTCAATTTTTGTGGGAATAACTAGAGACGAATATGCTTGCCGTGGTAGGCAGTAGATACGAGCCAAAACAAGAGGAATGTTGCTCAGCCTGCTGGGGGAAGAATACACAATTAACATAATACGTAAATGGGTTGGTGGCACAGAACTCCTCTTTTTTCGACATGTGTGCGCTACTGTTTGATACTAACGTGGTATCTCGTCGCGTTTGCAGGAGACACAATGGAACCTAGTCTCCCTTCTCGCAAGCAACGAAGTATGCGTCACACCACTTGCTCAATGCTCGATCCAGCGCGTAACACCGCATCGTCGTTTCCGCTAGCGTGATGAGATTTCTGTTCCTGTCGCGTAGCTTCGATATGGCAGCAATGGCGTCGGCGACGAGAGAGCAGAACGTAGCACGACATCCATCGCTTTGCTTGTCGTCGATGTGCCCGTGGAGCTGCTCGAGCCTTTTCAACAACGAAACGTGCAGTGCGAGTGCCTCATCGCGTTGATTCTCGCCGTCTTGCAGCTGGTCCAGCTGTAATCGCGCCACTGCAATTACTTCCGTGACGGAATCCCAGGGCACAGATTCCGGTTGTGAGGTCTCACCGAGATCGCTTGATTCAGTGGTGGTGCTGACATTTGCCAGTCTCGCCAATTCGTTCACCACCGTCGAGATCTTGATCCGCTTCTCAGGGTCCAACGCGCACATTCGCTTCACCAGTTCCCATTTACTGTCCTCGCACGTCACTGGTTGGGACGGCAATTTGCCCCGTGTGGCCTGGTATACCAGTGCGCCTTTGTCAGGAACGTGCCAAGGCAGGCAATGGGCGTCTGTTTTACCTAACTTCACCGCCTCCACGACTCGCAGTGCCTCCACGATGCACATGGCCAAAGAGTACATATCCGATGCGAGTGTGGGGCGTTCGCTGGTATCGAGTAGCTCCGGGGCCACCCAGTTCCATGCGCCTGACACCAACGTCTTGTCCTCTCCACTTGCTACCGAGCTCAACCCAAAGTCCGTCACCTTCGCCTTCATGTCACTCCCGATCACGATGTTGTTCCCTTTCAGGTCTCCGTGCACGACGTCTCGAGCGTGGAGATACTGAACGCCCAGTGCAGCCTCGTGCAGCTTCGCCCATATCTCGTCGGGATTCTTTCGCAGGTAGCTGACCAACGTCCCGTTGGGAGCGTATTCGCAGACGAAGAAGGGTTTGCCCACGTGGCAGGCACCAAAGAGCCGAACGACATGAGGGTGACTGAAGCCGAACCAAATGTCGACTTCGCGGCGAAACATCGCCAATGCTTCCGCACGTTTGGCGTCGTTGAGCTCGACTTGGCTAACCGACGGATCATCATCCCATGCAGAGGAAAATGACTGAGACAGACTCAGCGTGGAGGGGCAGCTATCACTGTGTGAACCTCCTGCTAAGTTGACTCGTTTTACCACCACGTCCGAGTCCAGCCACCTAGCTCGGTTTACACTGCCAAACCCACCTTCACCCAGGCATTTCCACTCATCCACGACCAACTCGTACCAGGGGATGAACCACTCCGGAGTGAGCTCCGACAAATCGCCATCACTCTCAATTTTGCTGGCAATATCTTTGTAAGCTTTCTCCATCACCGTGAGTTGATCGGAGGTGTACTTGCCGACGCGATCCTCCATTTCGGCTTCCAGCATTCTCAAAAACGCTGACCGATCTTCGGTTGACTTCAAAGTGTTCAGCAGCAGCAAAGTATCCGACACTCCCGACACGAAGAACGAAATCTGATCGCTGCACTGCTGCTGCCATCGCGCTTCCGTTTCAGCCGATAAACCAGGTGAATCCCCCAGTGATGCCAAGAGCGACTTGATGCGCCACTGAAGTGCGTACATGCTGTTGCTAGTGGCACGAGTTGAAGACAATCCCATGATCCGGGCTTCCTCAGGCGACATCTTGACTGTCTGATAAAACTCGGTAAGCAGTGTGTCAAATCGCGCGAACAGTGGAGGGTGGTGCGTTGACGCTGTTAGGTGCTCGTGTACGACATTGAGCTCGTCAAAAGCCCGACGATACTCAAGATGATCGCATTTCTCCATGTACGTTTGCAGCTTCTCCCAAGATTCCGTCAGCTTACCATATTCATAATCATCGAAGGAGTTTGCCGGCTCGAGCTCAGGCTGGGGAAAATCGGGGCTCTCTTTGACTGCCAGACGCTCGAGTTTGTAGACGACAGACGACAGGCTGGCACGCTTGTGAGGGTTCTGGCAACACAAACACCACAGCATGTGCTGAGGCCCAAAGTTGGGGTTGGAGGCATTGGAGTCAAAATCGGCCGAGTCAAAGTCGTACTCAAAGTAGGAGCCAGAGTCCTCGTCGGAGTCATCAGCGTCCTCGTCCGAATCCGAGTTTATTTCGCCCGTTTCAGGTGTCCACCTCAGCTTAAATCTGCGCACCCTCTCATCTTCCACCTCGCCCCAAGGTATCTCCTTGCCCAAACACTCGATAAGGCATATTCCCAATGAGTACACATCCGACTTAAACGATGGAGGCTCCCCTCTTAAAATCTCTGGAGCCTGCCAACGCATTGTTCCTCTAAAAACGTCGGAGGAAAGTTGCTCAAGCCTCTTCGTAAATCCGCTCAGAGAAAAATTCGACAGCTTCGCCATTCCATCGCTGCCAATCACAATGTTGCTGCAACGAAGATCACCATGAACGATCCCCCGCTCATGGAGATACTCAAGACCCAATGCTGCCTCGTGCAGGTACTTCCACATCAGCGGGGGCTGGGTGTATTCAGAGAACAATTTCACGTACTCCAACAGGGAGCCTTGGTTGGCGTACTCACATACGAAAAACTGCAAATGGGGACCAGCCTGGCACGCCCCATACATCTTGAGCACATTGGGATGCCGCAAACGCTGCCACAGACGCACTTCGTCGTCGAATGACGAGTGAGATGTATCTGGAATGAAGAGTTTGACGACCGCTTTGGCGTCAAGCCATTTGGCCTGGAAGTCACCCTCGATGCTTCCGTTCTGACGGAAGACCGTCAGCTCAATCTCAGACGCGGGAATCAAACAGCTTAGGCGACGGCCGGCATTCAGGAACCTGGCGTTGTCGACTGTAGTTGTATCATTGCAATCCGGCCCCTCAGTGTGCGACAGCAAAGGTGTTAGTATCCGCTTAATGGCATCGTAGCCACCATCAGCAGCAAGTCGGACAGCGGTCGTTCCGTGTAGATCCTGGGCGTTTACGTCGGCATCGCATTGCTCAACTAGGTACCGCACGACTTCCTGACGGCCGTTTCTAGCAGCTTGCATCAACGCTGTGCACCCGAAATGACTCCTTTCGTTCACGTCGGCGCCACATTGTCCAGCGAGAAATTGTACTCCGTCAATGTCGCCCTTTTCAGCGACCCACATCAGCGCCGTGTAACCATCACGGTTCTTGCCACCCACGTCGGCACCACATTGACCAGCTAGGTACTGTACAACGTCAATGGTGCCCTTTTCAGCTGCCAGCATCAGCGCCGTGTATCCGTCATTGCTCTTCGTATCCACGTCTGCACTACAGTGGTCAGCAAGATATCGCACGGCGTCAATGTTGCCGTTGCCACTTGCCCACATTAGCGCCGTTCGCCCGCCATTGTCGCTGGCATTCACATCACACCAATCTCCCCCCACGATGAACTGCAAAAGCTCCATGTTGCCATTTACAGCAGCTTCCGTGAGTGCCGAGCGCCCATCGTCGGCATGGACGGCCAAGTCCGCGTGATGTTCCGCGAGAAAGCGCACGATGCCCATGTGGCCTTTGTACGCGGCCATCATTAGAGCGGTGTATCCATGATTGTCCGTGGCATTCACGTCAACGCCATGCTCGCAAGTAAGGAACCGCACGAAGTCTATGTGGCCGCTTTCAGCGGCCCAAATCAACACTGTGCGTCCATCATTGTCCTTGGCATTCACGTCAGCGTCATGTTGAGCAGTGAGGAACCGCGCTATATCCATCTGGCCATTTCTAGCGGCTCTCGCCAGCACTGTGCATCCCCGTTCGTCCTTGGCATGCACATTAGCATCGTATTCATCTGCGAGGCACTTCACGACGTCCATGTTGCCGGCTTCGGCGGCCATACTGAGCGCCGTGTGCCCGTCCTTGGACTTGGCATCGACGTCAGCGCCATGCTGACCAGCGAGCTGCTGTACTACGCTGATGTGGCCATGTTCAGCGCCCCTCATTAGCGCTGTGCATCCAGGGTTATCCTTGGCGTTCACATCAGCGTCATGTTCGTCAGCGAGAAATCGTACGATACTAACGTGACCATTTTCAGCGGCCTTGGACAGAGCCATGACCCCGTCCTTGGTCTTGGCATTAATGTCAGCACCGTGTCGATCGGCAAGGATTCGGACGACGTCCATGTGGCCCTTTGCCGCGGCCTTGATTAGAGCTGTGTAGCCCTCCGTGGTCCCGGCATTCACGTCAGCGTCGTGTTCACCCGCGATAAACTTTACGATGTCCATGTAGCCATTTTCAGCAGCTCTCGTCAGCGCGGTGTATCCGTCGTTGGTCTTGGCATGCACGTCAGCGCCGTGTTCATCGGCGAGGAATTGTACGAGATCCATGCAACCGTTTTTAGCAGCAAGCATCACCGCAGTGTATCCGAAGTTCGTCTTGGCATTTACGTCAGCCCCATGCTTAGCGAGTATTTGTACGACATCCACGTGGTCGTTCATAGCGGCCCTGATCAACGCTGTGTATCCGTGCCTGGCCCTGGCGTTGACGTCAGCGCCACATTCAACAGCGAGAAATCGCACGATGTCGGTGTAGCCGTTTTCAGCAGCTTCCAGCAGAGCCGTGCAGCCGTCATTGGTCTTGGCATTCACGTCAACGCCATGCTGATCAGCGAGGAACCGTACTATACCAAAATGCCCGTGTCCTGCAGCCATCATGAGTGCTGTGTTCCCGTCATTGTCGTTGGCATGTATATCAGCGTCATATTCCTCCGCGAGGCACCGTACGATGTCCTCGTGGCCGTTTTTGGCAGCCCTCATCAACGCTGTGCATCCACGATTGTCCTTTGCGTTCGAGTCAGCGCCATGGTCACCAGCTAGGAAGCGTACCATATCCGTGTGGCCCTTATCAGCAGCCCTGATCAGCGCTGTGCGATCACAGCCGTCCTTGGCGTGTAAATCGGCGTCATGTTCATTGACAAAAAACTTTGCCATATCCATGTTGCCATTTTTGGCAGCTCCCATCAGCGCAGTGGATCCATCCTTGGTTTCGGCATTCACGTCAGCGGCATATTGATCAGCGAGCACCCGCACGACATTCATGTGGTTGTTTTGTAAAGCCTTCATTAGTGCGGTGGATCCGTCTTTGGTCTTGGCATTCACATCAGCGCCACATTTACCAGCGAGGATTCGCACGACGCCCATATGACCGTTTTCAGCGGCCCTGGACAGAGCCGTGGATCCGTCTTCGGTCTTGACATTAACGTCAGCATCGTGCTGATCAGCGAGGAAGTGTACGACGTCCATGTGGCCGTTTGCAGCAGCCTTGGTTAGCGCCGTGCATCCACTGTCGTCCTTGACATGCAAAACCGCGTCATGTTCGGCGAGGAACCGCACGATGTCAATGCAGCCGCTTTCAGCAGCCTTTATTACTGCTGTGCATCCGTCCCTTGCTTCGGCATTCACGTCAGCCCCATGCTCATCAACAAACAACCGCACGATGTTGAGATACTTGGCGGCCATCATTAGCGGAGTGAATCCGTACTCGGTCTTGGCGTGCACGTCAGCGCCACATTGGTCGACGAGGAATCGCACGACGTTTTCATGACCGCTTCTTGCTGCCATCATTAGCACTGTGCGCCCGTACTTGTCGGTGGTATTCACGTCAGCTCCGTGTCGATCAGCCAGGAAGCGCACGATGTCCTCGTGGCCGTTCCCGGCGGCTCTGGCCAGCGCTGTGTTTCCACAGTTGTCCTCAACGTTCACGTCAGCGCCACCTTCATCACAGAGAAACTGGACGACGTCCATGTGGCCGTTTTCAGCCGCCCTGATCAGCGCCGTGCCTCCGTCATCGTCCTTTGCGTTCGCGTCAGTGCCATATTCATCAAGGAGGAACCGCATGATGCCCACGCAGCCATTTCCGGCGGCACTGACCAGCGCCGCACAGTCACGGCCGTCCTTGGAATGATGCGTTCTAGCGTCATATTCACGGGTGAGGAAGTGCATGATGTCCATATTCCCATTTTCCAATGCCCTCCTGAGTGCCGTGTATCCGTCATTGTCCTGGGTACCCACGTCAGCGTCATGGTGATCGGTGAGCAGCCGCACGGTGTCCCCGTGGTCATAGCGAGCCGCTCCCATTTGCGCCGTGCATCCATAATTGTCCTTGGCGTTGACATCAGCACCATGTTGGCCCGCCAGGGATCGTACGACCTCAGTGCGGCCGTTCCTTGCGGCCAGCATCATCGCCGTATACCCGTCGTTATCCTTGGCATCCACGTCGGCGCCATGTTGCCCAGCGAGAAACTGCACGAGGTCTAAGTGGCCATAGAGAGCGGCCATCATTAGGGCCGTGTTCCCGTAGTAGCCCGTGGCGTTCACGTTGGCGCCGTGTTGTTCAGCGAGGAGCTGGGCCACCTCCAAATGCCCCTCGGACGCAGCCCTCCTCACGGCTGCCTCCTTGTTGAGTGGCGTCGAGCGCTGGGCCAACTTGTCAACTCGCGCGAGATCGCCCGCTCCAGCAGCGCTAACCAACTGGCTGTCCCGCATCGGCCTTCTTGGTTCGCGTCAAATTGGAGAGTGACTGGGGCTCCCATCCTGCGGCCAAGAGTCTCACTTCGCCCCCCCCTTCCGAGGCACGTCAGCAAGAGCCTCGAAGGCGTCTTTCCTTCAGACAGGGCACAATGCCGGACAGTATATCCACCCATTGGGTGCACCCAAGCTTGATTGAGCGACTCCAAGGCCCGCGTCAGGCGTAAGCTGGACGGATACATCCTGTCGCGGCCAACATATCATTGATCATGTAGGAAGCGCCGAGTCTCGTCTGCACACCACGCGCGGCCATGCCTTCAATTATCGAAGAGAGGATACACCGTCGGAAGTCGAAGAGACCGAGGCGGCCGCTGGCGTTGAGTTGCGTCATTTGATGCCACCTTGCTGGCGCCGTCAAAAATACAAACACACTGAGACACCAAGGTCAATATCACTCCAGTCTGGACCATGTTTGCTTGACCTACCAGGGGCGAGCAATTCACGGCCCCCCTCGGGGTCTAGCTTCAACAATAATGTCCTTGAAAAGAAAGCAGAAATCCACCGAGCGCCTCGAGAAAGAAGCTCCATCCTGAGTTTCGTGGGTTTGGAGGTATTGTCGGATTATTTCAGAGACTTCTCGATACTTCGCGCTTACAGTAAGCTATGCAGAGGTTCATCATAACGATCCCGTCGGGCGGTCAAACATCGACACGTCCAGACCAAGCAAAACCAAGTGCGGCGAAACTCGCTAATCTCTCTGCCAGGCTAACCGCGCAGCACCTCAAAACTAAGATCGTCCATGATCAACGACCTCTTTCGCCCCCGCATTACTCGCTACGAACACGCCCAGGTGAACCTATCAACGACAACCTCATCAACGACGGCTACGTCAGCATCGCACCAGGCAGCGAGCACAAGTGGGGCAAGATGAGCCTTTCGCTCTGGCAGCAGGGAACCTGCGTGCGCACCACCATCGTGGACGAGCACACTGTGACCACGGACACGTTATACATGCGTCCAATCTTCAGCGGCGCGCGGCAGCACCTGTGTATACGATGACAGGAAACAGCGCGGCAACCCCACGCTCACGAGCTTTTTGAAGATTTAAAAAAGCTGCATACCATAGGTATGTACAGAACTTATAAGAAGAGTCAGTGAAGGAGCTGGAGCAACAGGAGCTCTCGCTTGTTGCTAGTTGTTGTGATTCTGTTAACAAACGCGAGTCACACCGAATTAGGGATGGTCCATCCCGGATGGCGAGTGCTCTCACGGCGGCAACGCTGTTGCTCTTCATTTATACGGACCACAAAGCAGCAGGATAAGCGAGAGTGTTCCTCGCCAGAGACCATGTACAGCAGTCATGCCAAGCCGAATAACGAGGAATTTGTGTTGCACGCATATTGGCTGATACATTCAATTGTTTTCTACATGTAGACTTTCGGAGATTTCAGGCTTTTGTCGCGCCTTGGAGCACTCCGTTGCCCCTCTTACGCGAGCAGAAGAGCGGACAGGATCGTGGAGGCAGTCAACATCACCGCTACCCCGAAGTTGCGCCCCGAAGCCGCGTTGGATGTTTTGTCAGCGGCACTGTCGGAGCTGGCCGACTTGCTCGCCTTTTTGTCATCATCACCGACGGATCCATCGAAGAACATGACACTACCGGAACCAGAGTAACTTGGTGCAAGGTTGTCGGGCAGCAGCACCATGATCGTCGTCGGAGCTTCCGTTTCAGCCGTCGAGGTGGAAGCAGATGCCGAGTTGCCGGTTGCAGAAGCTGAGCCTGTAGGCTCCGCGCCAGACAACTCGCCCCAAGAAGCTGAGCCCGCAGACTCTGGTTCCGACAGCTCGGAGGTGATTTGGATGCGCCGGAGCGCGTTCAGCGGCTGGATGGCGTCTCTCGCAGGTACCTCGACGGCAGCCTCGGCTTGATAGTCTGAGCCAATGGCACAGGCCGATTCAAGCACGGCAGCGATGAAAAGCGTGAAGATAAACTGGCTCGGCTTCATGTTGGTAGATCGTAGGAGTGTTGAGGTTCTGCGCAGTCGAGAAGAATTCGAATTGTGGGATGTGTGTGTCTGAGCTGCCATGTTCCTTGGTCACATAGCAGCACTTGGCCGGTAGTCTTGCAATCCATACATCGATTGATGGCCCGATGGATCAGTGATGGCGCTGAAATGGTGGGGGGGGGGGGGCACACACTGATGATGGTGCTGAGCAGTATACTGAGCAGTATGCTCAGCACCATCATCATCTAACCGAAGGTGTTATTCCCCACAGCACAAAGAGCACTTAGTTTCCACGTCCCTGCCCTTCCAGCAGACAGAGCTGGCAATTTGGTTTTAAAAGGGGTTAACCATTAGGTTTTCCCCGGGTTTAAACTCAAAAACCTACCAGTCGAATTTTGCTGGGTTTTAGGTTCAACTTCATCATAGTTACTACTTTCCTCGTTGCTTCTGCACAGGATGCTGGTATATTACATGGATATATTGCGGCGTGGCGTGTTTTAGCTGAGTTTGGCTTTTTACCCCCCCCCCCACATATTCTCTGACCACGGAGCCTCAGACGGAACCACGAAATCGTGCGGGACGGCTCTGTCACAAAAAATGGTCCTGTATATCTCCAACAACGGAGCAACTCGCTTCTCCCATGCTCGGCGCCCCAGCTCGAAGCTGAATCCCGAATCTTTCAAACGGTCGACTTCGCGTCCGATAAAAGGGAAGAAACACCCGCTCTGTCTCATATGGTACACTTGCATACCAAGCGGTGTGTTTCAAGCACTCTGTGGCCAAGGCTCGCCCGCAGGCACAACAAACGTCGAGGGCACCCGACAAGTGCTGAACTCTGCGACATAGGTTTGCAGCGCTGGAATGATACGTTCGTTCCAAGTGGCCGCATCACGATCCCACGCGAATCCTATTTCCCTCAGTGTGTCCTCGTCTCGAGCAGCAAACTGCACATAATTTTTTCCCATTCGAATCTGGTTTACGATCGTCCCGAGACGAATACCCCACGCTTCTTCGGGCCACGGTGATTCACGAGGGACCTCGAATGTCCTCTCAACGATGCAATGGTGATGTATCTGACGGTACACTTTCAGTGCCGGGAGGACCTTCTCATTCCAGTCACGCTCAAACGTCGTTATCTCGAAGCAGAATTTGATCTCCTTGAGCTCGTCCTTCGAGTCCTCCACTTGTCGAGCGTAGTGTTGCAAATGTCGAATATTTTTAATCGTAGTTCCCAGTGCCCAGTTCCACGACAACCGTGGCCACGCATCGTCGCCTTCCGGGACAACAAACCAACACGGGACATCCGTGTGGCCGTGAACTTTGTGGAAGTGACGCAGAGCCGGCATGATGATTTCGTCCCACTGGAATTGATACGCATCGTAAGCGAAGTTCAGCTTCTTCAGTTCAGTCTCCATATGCGACGAAATCTCGTGCTTCCCAGCTCGAATGCGCAAGGTATTAACGGCCTTCCCGAGTGCGTACCCCCACGCTACGCGCGGCCAGCGGGTGTCATCTGATGAAACGATAAATGGGCGGGGCACCAATGTGTCCCTGTTCATCTCCTTGTAAACTCGCAGTGCGGCCAGAAACTTCTCCTCCCACGCGACAGTTTTCCAATGCAGCTTCTCCCTCGTAGTCTTGGCCTCCTCTCGGCTCGAAGCGCCAGCGTCCGATCCCTCTAACCCCGTCAGGCCGAAGCAGCGAGCGGTCAGCACAGAACCCGTCTTCGCTACCTGGGTACCGCGTAGCGACGCGAAGGGCGGCGTGTTAAGGCGCCACACCTTACGCGCAGAGGCGGAGCCAGCCTTAAAAAAATGGGGGGCATAGATTTTTTTTAAAGTAAAATCCACAACCTACATTTCGATTCTTCTTTTTGTCATCGCTTTAAACTTTTCGAGGACCGAGTCTTTGTCGATGCTGTTTGTAAGATCACGCTCGATAGCCAAAACCATCAGATTTGACATCCAAAGATCTCCCATTGTTGTTCTGAGCCGCGTCTTAATTCTTTTCATGGCTGAGAAAGACCTCTCCGTAGTAGCAGTTGTTACAGGCAGCACACACACCAAGTTAATAATTCGGTGCAAGGTCGGGAACAGCTCGTTGTTATCGGTCCCGACAAGTTGGATGCATAGTTATTGCGTTGTCTTCAATTTTTGGAACCTTTTGTCGATTTTTGCCAAATTGCGAAACCGAGTGGCCTCTTCTCGAAGGTCGTCCAGCTCATCGGTGAAATCATCGGGATAAAATGTTTTAGCCAGCTCAACAATTTTAGTAGCGCTCCAATTCTTGAAATTATCACGTGGACTGAGCGATCCGCACAATTCCATGAGACTAAGAACTTCTCCACTAAATCGTGAAGCCATTTCAGAAATCAGGTCACGAAGGATACAGTTGTATACTTCGTCACGATAGTGAGCTTCTTGTGTAGGCTGGACACCATCCCTGGAGGAGTCCGCTCCTGGAATTCCAGCCCTGCCACACCCCCGACTTCTCATTACGCGTCGTTTCCACACGTCATTTTTGTCAGGAATGAGAGGGGTGTCGTCAACTTGTATTGATTTGCAAAAATTGACCGATGAGTTCCAAATCGATTCAAAACTTGGCGAGTTCCCAGTTATAGAACTATCATCGAGCATTTATTTTAGTTCTTTGGATACCTGCTTCGTCATATTCACAGCTGACACGATATCGACGTCATCTTTCTGCAAAAATTAGGACAGCCAATTTGTTTTTCCCAAAACTGCAGTGAGAATCTCCATATGAAATACGAAGTCGAAAGTCCACATCTTCTCTAAAATTCCTGACGCCTCAGCGCGTTTGTGGGGGTTTACACCATTGACCACTACACGCTCTAACACACTTGTAATTGGGGCCCAAAGCATCTTGACTTTTCTTAACGCACGAATGTGGCAATTCCACCTTGTTTTGCTAAGACCCTCGGTAGAAGTTGGTTGATTTAAACCACTACCAGATTCTAGATGTCCTTGATCAAGCATTTTTTCCAATTCCACAGCGGCTTCGTCAAGAAGTTGATCTTTCCTTTTACACGAAGCACTTACAGTAGTGTGAATCCCTTGCACGGTGTCGAAGCATTGCACCACCGAGACCGTGTTCATAGTCACTGCAACTAGGACGAGATTAAGTCGATGCGCGAAACAGTGAACATAGTAGGCGTAAGAACACTGGGAGCGTAGACGTCGCTGAAGGCCAGTAATATCACCCGACATGTTGGACGCACCATCATATCCCTGGCCTCTACAGTTCGCCAAAAGCAATCCCCACTTCTCTAACTGCGTTATCAAACCATCGTACAGTGTCTCCGCATTCGTATCGCGAACATGGACAGTTCCAAAAAAATCTTTCTCTAATAGTCCCCGTTGCAGCGCACACAAAACGAATTACGATAGCCATGGGCTCTTTCTTCGCCATGCAGCTTGCTTCATCCACCAGAACACAAAAATATCCATCTGCAATCTCGACCTCCATAATATGCTTTCGAACAACATCAGCCGCACATTGGATCAGTTCACGTTGAATTTGTGGCGATGTGTACACAGCGTTTTCCCCAGCTAAGAATATTGCGCGAGAAAAAGATGGCGCGTGCTGTGCCATGAACCGAACAATCTCAAGAAAATTGCCTATATTTCGTGACGTATCGTGTGCATTGAAAAAAAACGTTAGTCCAGTGATATCATTTCTTACATAAAAATTAAACCGCTCGTATACCTTTTCGTCGCTGCCCCGAAATGCAATTTCCTGTTTTGCTAGGAGAAGGCAGATCTCCAGAATAAAAGTCAGGCGCTCCCGGTTTTGTTGTCGTTCACCAATCTTTTGAGAATTCAGAGCCACACCAACGTCATTCTGACAGGATCTCCGATTGTCGAAATCGATCAGAGCTGAGTGGTGCTTCGAGCTGGTTTTTGTCCCAACATGTTTTGCAAATCCGTCTTTTGTAGTGGCCTTTTGCCAGTTCCTATAGCCCGTTGTAGGTTGTGCATACACTGTGAGCTCGCTTTGCTGCGTCATTACTTCTCGGCTGAGGTAGCAGCATAAGCAATACACCGCGTCCGTATTCGAGCCATGATTGTTTTTCAAACCACTGGGCCCGAAAAGCACGCATGCATCCACCGATGTCACGGGCCGGATATTGCTTGAGTTGCGGTTGGTAAGGACCAAGGCGAACGTAGGTTTGTATAACGTCACGCAGTAGCTGAGGATCGGCAATCAGTTGCTTAACGAAAAATAAATTTGGTGGTCTGTGAGCAGGATCCCGCCTAACAAAGTCTCCAGCGGAACATTCTTCGGCTCTATCAGGAATTTTGTTGAGCGAACCCCATTCCAACGCTGCTTGCTCTTGTTTTTCGCGCAGCGTTACAGGTTGGGGTCGTAGCCCAGGATATGATTCAATACTGCGGGCCTTGTCAAAGTCTTCGGGCTCTTGACGGGGCTTCTTCACAAAGAAGGTCGTGATTACCGGCTGCTTCCTCTTTCCTTCCATGTTATTATCAACTAAACGGAGGAACAGTGTGAACTTCATGCATGTGCCGTCTAAATAAAAATAATCTAAAAAAATCGAAACGCCTTCGCCGAAAAATGGGGGGGGCATGCGCCCCCCCATTTTGGCCCTGGCTCCGCCCCTGCTTACGCGGCTCACGCTGCAGCGCCCTCGACAGCATTGCGAGAAGTGGGTCTTCGTGAAAACCAGTTTTTATTCACCAATAATATTGGATTTTTTGCAAGACGACGTCATTAGACAGTAGCGCTGCTCAAGTCTCTACGAGGCTTTTCGCGCACGATATCTCTCAGCTCGCTAAAAGCGAACAAGGTCTTGTGAACGCGCTATTTTTCAACCTTCTCCGTGAACACGTTTGGGGCAAAAGGCAACGTCCTTAGATCACCGAAGGCATGCCTCGCAGCAGGTTCGCAGTGAATCCGTGCGAGGCAACCCCGGGAGTGGTGTGGTGGGTCTTAAATCGGCCAGCTAGTTGGCTTGCATGCAAGCTAGCTGAGGAACGCCACCCCCTAAACTAAAACTAAGCTGTTACAGTAAAAAGTGTCAATAGTGTGGGCCACGGTATTTGCGCCACCCGAAATCTGGCTCAGTCTACACTATTGGTGCGGGCTACGGTAATTACGCACCCACACCAATAATAAAGCCACGCTAATATGCAAGTCACACTAATACGGGAGACTTTACATTATGCCTAATAGTCTAGTGTTGGTTAGAAAGGCATGTCAAAAGTAAAGTCGAACGAGTTTGAGAAAACTGGCTTGGCCAATCTATTCTCTAAGCGGATAGCTTAGAGCCAGCGTCATTTCTTGTCAGACCATCAGTTTAATACATTCGGTACATTTTAATATGAACTAGAGTATCCAAAATCTCATGGTATTACCGGTATAAAGCAGCGCAGCGTCCGGATCGATGCTTTTGACGTGGTTTTGGATTTGGAATAAAACTTAATTCAGCAAAGAACATGTGCGGTTTAATTCACACCCACCATTACGATGCATACTGTGGTACTGTGCGACGTTGGGGCTCATGCAGGCTGCGGAATCCAAAACGGAGTGCGCATGGCGCGACAGTAGTGTATGCAGTGTCCGGACGTCGCACCACAGTTGTTTTCTGGACGTCGCATCATATTGAGTACCAGTATCTACATTGATATAGACGGACTGTTTTCTGGACGTCGCATCATATTGAGTACCAGTATCTACATTGATATAGACGGACAAGTCCATGGTGGTGCACTTTAGAGTGCTCGATTAGATGGGCGTAATGTTTGCTGCAGCAAGAACCTAAGTAAAGCAATATGAACGCATGGCGCAGCGAAATTAGCGCCAATTGGCACCGCGTACTTTATAACTGCAGTAACGTGTAAACTGCAGATGTAGTTCGTAAAAATAGAGGTATTTTACTTGGTGCGGCTCGCGAAGAAGTCTCGTTGGATGACATTATACCGGGTTGCAACAACTCACGCACCATGGAGTACTGTAGACCTTGACAGTATTCTTCCTGATCGTGGGGTGAGCAACAAAAAGATAGTAACAATAATAGCGATAACAATATCAGTTTCAAAGTCAGTAACTAATAGCGGTTGCAGTAGCGGTGGCATTGACAGTAGGGCAGTTGCAGTGGTAGCTGGCAGTGATCGTGACGCAGGCGAACAATTTCAATAGCAATATACAAATTTAAAATTATTGTGCCTTTCACTTCTTCTGCCGTGATAATTCTGGCATAACTCTAATCCGTTATTGACCTTAATTATGCCCCGAGTTAGCTAATTCCCAAGTTAATTCCGGGTCGTCCCTCCGTGGCCGAATTAGGAGCGGTGATGGTGAGGCCGACTCAAGGCGGAATAAGCTAATCCAGCCTTCGTTATTAATAGGCGGAAACAGAGCGATTGGTGGTTTCCTATCCGCCAATCCATGCCATTCTGTTCGTATCTCCGTCGATTAGCTGATCGGGGATGTTAGGGGAAGCGCTCACAATCTTAGGCATAATTAGCACTAAATAAGCGTTGATCACCCTTTTATGACTCTAATTCCGCCTGAATTAACAGCTCACCCGCCAAAATACGTGAAAGACACAATACGTCATATTGATATTACTTACGCAGCAATACAAGTCACACACACTATTTGGAAAAGAGGAGAGTGATTTACAAGGGTCTAGAGGACGATAAGATCATCGATAATGTTTGGATCGCGTCGTTTTCACCACGGTGGACGGCGATATTCAGATAGCATCTACTTATAAATTTAGTTTGAGCAAGCCATGAAATGCCCCGTGATATTATGCACCAAGCCATGCAGTATGGAGTAGATTTTGGCAGTCTTTCTCAGGCATGAAAAAGAAAGCAGGAGCAATATCATTATAGTGCCATTATCAATGCTGAGATCGTAGTTGTAGCGTAAATAACAACGGTAGCGGTAGTGGCAGCAGATAATAAACAGTCGCAGTAGCGATAGCAGCAGATACGAACAAGCAATATCAATGACAACATTACTATGACATCATTAACAGTAGTGAAATAGTAGTTGTAGTAGCTGTAGTACAGCTGCTCCAGCTGTAGTTGCAGTAGTGGTAAGCAGATAGTGCCTGTGACCAGCAGTAACGCGCGCCACAGGTAGCATAACAAATGCAATATCTTTAACAATAGTGGAATATGAGTAGTATAGCAATACAAGTAGTGATGAGGTAGGAGTAGGAGCAGCAGCGATAGTGCCAGTGTCAGTAGCAGTGACAGTAGCAGCCGCAGTAGCTGTAGCATGGCAGTGGAGGCGACAGTGGCAGTTGCAATAAATACCAATTGCAACATGATGTTGTCAACGTCAGGGCCCCTCCAATTCAGTATTATATTGAATTGGTAAAATTGCTTGACAGTAATAATGATTTAAATATGACGATAACCAAAGCTAATTATTATACTGATTAAACATTTCAATTCCATGCGCCTTGACTGTGTTTTTGAATTCCCTGAAATCGTACGAGCCAATAATACAAATTTCAATATGGCGCTTGCCAATAACACATATTTTCGTCATATTAATTGACAATGTTCATATTGAATTTTTTTATTCATACCCCTGGTCAACATCAATTATAATAGTATGAAAATTTAAGTTTCTTGTAGTAATATGAATCGTTTCATGTATAGTACCCACAAAAATATTGGTGATAATGTTAATAACAGTAACAAGTGCAGACTGGCGCTGAGGCGCGGCGCGTCCTAACCGTTTTAGTAGCAAAACACACAAAATTGTTCGGTCCGCTTAGAGACCCCCACGCGAAGCGCGCCCCAGTTCTATCGTGTAGCTGCTTCTTTCGCTCCTGATACCGGGCACGCGCGAATGTATCTGCCCATGTTTTGATTGGCCGAGTAAAAAACACCACCCGCGCATACAAAAACCAAGATGCCGATGTTTTTTACTCGAAGGGGCGCCCTGAAACTGTCACCCGGTGATGAGGGGTCGCCGTAACAAAAGTAGGGAAACCTGCTGGCTTTCCGCGCAGTCGCATGGCTTTTATTTCTATTTGGATGGGTTCACCTTTCTAAACCATAGTTAGCTCAAGTGAGCCCGGAATCCATATTTGCGCGCCCCTTTGATTGGCCGCTGACGAGTCGGCAACGCAACTTAAGTAAGGAAGTTTCCGCGACCACACGTTACCGCTCAAGTTAAATTTCGGTGGTGCGACGCTATGTTGAGTGCGGAGCCCATGAACTTGAGCGGGAAAGTACCGTTGTTGCCTGCTCAAGTAGGCAAAAGTATCGAGTACCTAACCTGGGAAATGTTGACACGAGTCTACGCTTCTCAATTCTGTCACAGATTTTTTTTCGCTGTCCCATGCGAGTCGCCAACAATAGCGGGGGCAAGTGAGCGCGATGTGGTGTGCTTGCACACAGGTGTTTTTTACGTTAGAAATTGCGAAAAGCATAGTGAAGCTAAATGAAGCGCTCCGATCGCGACCATAGTGAAACCCAGTGTTTCTTTCATAAAAAAACATTCACAAATTTGGCGAACCGACTCTGCGAACAGCCTGTGCTCTCAGCTTAAGAGCTGAGAGAATTTTCTGTCAATGCAGTAACTTGGATTTTTAACGAGTGCGTTGGAGTGTGCTGCGAGTGCATGGTCACGTTGATTCGCGCTGCCATGGCCTGTACGTGAAAGGAAGTGTAAGTGTCTGGACGCTCACGCGGCACCGCATTGCTCAACAAAGGTACTGCAGCGGTTGAGCTCAAAGGCAAATAAGCAGCGGGCACCGCTCGATTATGAACTGCGCGGCGTTAAGATGGTCAAGTTCAGCGGCTCCAATGAGCGATGTGAAACCATCGGTCCGCTTGCTCTTGCTGGGATTGCCGTACTTACTGCATTGACACCTTCCGGTTTGAGAGCGAGCTCCGCGAGAACAACTAGCCTTCGTTTGTGCTGAGGCTTGCACGAGTCGAGTCTGGTTGCAAGGAGCTTGTCTTCGGGGCCCAACAAACAACATGCTCGCACTCAATCCGCAGAACTGGTGAGGCGACCATAGCGGTAGCACAGGTGGCACCGGGCCTTTAACCGAGAGGATTAGCCACCTTCGTATGACTCGATATGTCGTCGAGCGATTCGATGTTGATGTAAATGCCAAGAACAAGGATGAAGCAAATGCTGTCAGACTCGCTGCCGATGGCGGATACCACGCCACTCAGCGGATACTAACGCGATTTCTCATCGACGATGATACGAACGGAGATATGAACTTTTTTCATGATCGACTTACCTGCTGCGTTCCCCCGTCTGAGATCGAGCTGACCGTCTTCAGTCCGAACGGTGGTATCGGAGCCGACTTCCAGGCCAAATGGCTCGATGCTGATGCGGTGGTCAAGCTCTTCATTCCAGACGCGGCCCATTCGTCCTTTAATGATGAAGTGCGTCGGTGGCAGCGGCTAAGGCACCCCAATGTGCTCAAGATCTACGGGGCGTGTCAGGCTGGACCCCATTTGCAGATTTTTGTATGCGAGTACGCAAGTCAGGGCTCCCTGTTGGAGTACGCCAAACTGTATTCAGAAAACGACTCCTTTGAAGACACCCAACCCCCGAAACTGTGGAAGTATCTGTACGAGGCGGCATTGGGTCTCGAATACCTTCATGAGCGCGGAATCGTCCACGGCGATCTTCGTTGCAGCAACATTTTGATCGGCAGCGATGGGATTGCGAAGCTGTCGAACTTTGCGCTGAGTGGATCGACGACGAGGCCCGGGCAACTTTCCTCTGACGTTTTTAGAGGAACAATGCGTTGGCAGGCCCTGAGGTTTTGAGAGGGGGGCCGCCATCATTTAAGTCGGATGTGTACGCGTTGGCGATGTGTATCATGGCAGCTAGGGAGGGGGATACACCATGGGGAGGAGAAGACGATGAGGACGACGAGAGCTATAAAGAGCTGCGCCTGATGAAGTTGGCTTGGGTACCAGAGAGGGAAGTTCAAGACGATGGAGATTCCGACTCTGACTGCGACATCGCCTTCGTTATTCCGATGTGCTATCAAGACCCTCAAAAGCGCGCCTCCTTATCATCTGTCGTCTACGAACTGGAGCGCCTGGCGGCCAAAGAGAGCTCCGAGATTTCCCACCCTGAGCTCGAACCAGCAGACTCTTTTGATGACTATGCGCTTGGCCAACTGCATCAAGCGTGGGTGAAGCTGCAATCGCGCATGGAGACCTGCGACAACGTGGAGTATTGCCGAGCGTTTGACCAGCTCAAGATGATACAAAAGCGCATGCAAGAAGCAACCCACTACCGAGCACTGTTCGCCCGCTTTCACGCACTACTCACAGAGGTCCACCAGACAGTCAAGATGACGCCTGAACAAGCTCGAATCATGCAATTGTCTTCAACGCGCGCCACCACATCCAGCATGTACGCATTTCAGCGGCGCGTGACAGCTCTGTTAGCAGCACTTAGCGAGGAAGCGGAGGCAACGACAGAGCAATGGATGAAAGAGCGCAGTGGCCAGATCGAGTTCTTCGTGTCTGGGGTGTCGGACATGGTAAAACCTCGTTGGGATCATATTATTGAGGGTTGCTGGTCTTGGGTACTGTGTACCAGTTGTACCCATTAACCGGTTAACCCGAACCGGTCCAATCCGAACCCACGTTGATAATGGTGATTACGGTAAGTTGTTTACGCCACCGATGATTAGACGAGTAGGATGATTGGATGAACACCGGTGGAGTGATGGTTGATTAGATGCACTAGGTGATAGGACGCAGGGTCGCGTGTCTATAACAGTAGGGTGTAAGCTCCAACAATTCAATCACTTTCGAATCTTCATTCTACCCCTCAAGTGCCTTCGCTCCGGTCCCGCCGTCTGCGACGTCATTCCCTACGCTTCGTCCGAGCTTCGTGTCCAAGATCCATACCTTCCATCAGGTTATGAGCCCAAGCACCATGTCCTCTGCCCAAGACGCCTCGACAAGGTCTCCATTGACAAGTTCAACGGGGACAACTACGCGACGTGGAACCGCTACATGCGTGGCGTGTTCCTGACCAAGTCGACGTGGCATGTCGTGAACCGCGAGACGACGCCGAGCTTCACGGACTCGCGGGCCAAGGACGACTACGTCAAGTCGAGCAACATCGCGTTCGGACTGATGTTGCTCCACATGGACGCGGACTACCACCATGTGGTCGACGACTGCGAGGAAGCGTGGGTTGCGTGGACGCGCCTGAAGACGCTGTACGGTGGTTCGCAGAAGGCTGGACGCATCTACCTGAAGCGCCAACTCTTCAGCATGGAGATGTCGGAAGGCGGCAACGTCTTGCATCATTGCAACGAGGTCCTCAACATCAGCGCCAAGCTCAGCAGCATCGGCGCCAAGATGGAGGATGAGGACGTGGCGATCTGCCTGTTGCGCAGCCTCCCCAAGAGCTACGAGAACGTCGTGCTGAACTTGGAGATGAGCAGCGCTGAACTACGATCGCAAGACGTCGTGAAGGTGCTGACGAATGAGCACATCAAGAGACAAGGCGAGAAGACGGCGACGGTGAAGACGGAGAATGCGGCCAAGGCGTTCAACACCGACCGAGAGTCTCGCCAGTGTACGTACTGTGGGAAATTGGGGCACACGATTGACAAGTGCTGGACGAAGCAGAAGGACGAGAATCGGGGCCCAAGACGCGGCGGCAATGGCAATGGCCGTGGACGCGGGGCCAACAATGCCCAGTGGAGGAACGACGACGCCAGCTACAACTACGACTACGGCTATGATCGAGTGGCGTTCGCGGTCTCACTGGAGTGTGGCATTTCGACGGGCAAGAATGTGTCCGGGTTGTGGGCGGTCGACAGCGGCGCAACGCACCACATCTGCAACGACAAGGCCAAGTTCGCTCATTTGATTGAGCGGAATGAAGGCGAACTTTCGGTGGCCGACGGCAACAAGGCGGCCATCATGGGTGTGGGGACCATCGTGGAACGAGTGATTCTGCCCAACGGCGACGAGCGCGACATCGAGATCAAGAACGCGCTGTACGTCCCAAGCATGAGCAAGAATCTGCTTTCGGTGCCACAGATCAACAAGAGTGGTCTGTTCCAAGTCGTGTTCGACAGCACCAAGATGCAGATTGCGCACAAGGGCTCCAAGCAAGTGGTGGCGACGGCAAACCTCGTGGATGGACTCTACTGGCTCCAGACGCCTCAGCGATCGGCGAATGCGGCGACCAGTGGGAAGACGGTCGACTTACACGCGCGTATGGGTCACGCTCCGGTGGAGGTGCTTCGCAAGATGGTCGACAACAACATGATCAAGGACGCGAAGGCACCTTCCAAGTCGAGTGGACCAAGCGTGTGTCGCGGCTACCAGCAAGGGAAAATGGTCCAGAAGCCGTTCCCAAGCAACCGTGACAAGCGTCACTACGACACGTTCGAGCTGCTCCACTTCGACGTGTGCGGCCCCATGGAAGAAGAGTCACTGGGTGGCAGCAAGTATCTGTTGCTGATCGTGGACGAAGCCAGCGGATGCATGAAGGGGTTCTGCCTGCGTGTCAAGTCGGAGAGCGAGGACTGCATCAAGATGTACGTCACGAAGGTGCAGACGCAGTTCGGCAAGAAGGTCAAGTTTGTGCGGCACGACGGAGCCCGTGAGTTCGCGACCAACTCGCTCAAGGCCTTCTACGAAGTCGAAGGCATCGAGCAGCAAACCACGGTTCCGTACGCGCACCAGACCAACGGCACGGCAGAACGCGCCATCCGGACCATCGTCACGATTGGCCGCAGCATGCTGCATCACGCCAAGCTGGACAAGAGCTTCTGGGCTGAGGCGGCCATGACAGCCATCTACGTGAAGAATCGTCTGCCATCACCCAAGATCGAACACAAGACTCCGTTCGAGATCGTTTACAAGTCCAAGCCGAGTGTGAAGCACATGCGTGTGTTCGGATGCCAGACGTACATCCTGACGCCGAAGGAAAGACGGCGCAAGTGGGACCCCAAGGCTCGCGTCGGGCTGTTCCTCGGCTACGAAGAAGTGTCCAAGGCGTATCGAGTTTATGACATCGAGGCGGGGCAGGTGGTTATCAGTCGCGATGTCAACTTCGATGAGTCGACCTTTGGACTTTCGACGCATACTTCGGATGAAGACGTCGATGATGCTGTGCTGGACTTGGACGCGCTGGACCTGGACGACAACGATGGACCGCGCCAAACGAGCTTCAAGCAGGCGGGGAAGCGCAAGTACCGACCGAGTGGCGACGACAACACTGTCAGAAGATCGCGCCCCGTTCGCCACCGAGCTGGCTTAGAAGAAGCAAGTGCGCCGGACGTATCCTCCTCGCGCCGAGCCGACCCCGACGAAGAAGAAAAGTCTGGGGACCAAGATGAAGACGACGACTCGACGCCTCCAGTGTTTTGGCGTGCCAGTGCCAACGCTGTGGAAGCAGCAGCCGATCTATCGGAGCCGACGACGTTCCAAGAGGCTGTGAACGGTCCTGATCAAGTGCACTGGCGCAAAGCGATCCGCGCGGAGCTCAAGTCGATGCGACTGCGTGGTGTGTTTCGAGCTGCCAAGTTGCCTAACGGACAACGCGCCATCGATACCAAGTGGGTGTTCAAGATCAAGCGCAAAGCCGACGGCTCGATCGAGAAGTACAAGGCGCGCCTCGTGGCCAAGGGCTTCAAGCAGAAGTACGGCATTGACTACACCGAGACGTTCTCGCCCGTGGTCAAGTATGTGACGCTGCGCATGGTGATCGCGATTGCTAAGTATTTTGGCTGGCCCCTCGACCAACTCGACGTGGTGACAGCATTCCTGTACGGGATAATGAAGGAGGTGGTCTTCTGCATGGTTCCGGAAGGCGTCGAACTGGATGGTGACTTCGACTGCCTGGAACTGGTGAAGGCCATCTACGGTCTCAAGCAAGCTTCGCGAGTGTGGAACGAGACCTTCGACGAGTTCGTGTGCTCCATCGGCTTCCAAGTGTCGGCCTTCGATCCGTGCCTCTACATCAAGGTGGTGGACGGTCACTGCGTGCTTGTACTGGTGTACGTGGATGACGTACTGATTACCGGGAGTTCGCCCGAGCTGATCGCACGCACGAAGACCGACCTGAAGACGCGCTTCGAGATGACCGACAGCGGCAAGTGCGCGTTTGTTCTTGGGATCGAGTTGGTGGACGGCCCGGACGGCAGCGTGACCATGTGCCAGCGGCGATACGTGGACGACATCCTGAAGCGCTTCGCCATGGACGAGTGCAAGGCCGTGGTGAGTCCGGTGGACATGAGCACTCGACTGGTTCCAAGCGACGCGGCGACCAAGGTGAACGCTCCGTTTCGCGAAGCTGTTGGTGCTCTGATGCACCTGATGACCGCCACGCGCCCAGACATCGCGTACGCCGTTGGCTATGTATCGCGCTTCATGGAGAACCCCCAAGAGGAACACTGGGTTGCGGTCAAGCGTATCTTTCGCTACCTGCAAGGCACCAAGACGCATGGGATCGGCTTCAAGCCGTGCGACAAGATCGACTTTCGTGGCTACTCGGACGCGGACTGGGCCGGCGACCTCGCCGACCGCAAGTCCACTTCAGGCTACACGTTCATGCTCATGAGTGCGCCTGTGAGCTGGGGAAGCAAGAAGCAATGAAGCGGAGTACATCGCGCTCAGTCTGGCTATCCAAGAAGGCAAGTGGATTCATCGCCTGCTATGCGAGATTCTGGCGGCCGCTAATGAGACTGGACCCGAACTCATGATCCGCGAAGACAACCAGTCGTGCATCAAGATGACGAAGAACCCAGTGAACCACGGTCGCGCCAAGCACATCGACATCAAGTACCACCACATCCGCGATGAAGTCAAGCGCGGCGAAGTCAAGCTCCAGTACTGCGAGACTTCTGTGATGCTAGCGGACATCATCACGAAGGCGCTTGCGGGACCACGCCACACGGATCTGACGGTGGCTCTCGGCATTCGTGGGACTTCGCATTGAGGGGGCGTATTGAGGGTTGCTGGTCTTGGGTACTGTGTACCAGTTGTACCCATTAACCGGTTAACCCGAACCGGTCCAATCCGAACCCACGTTGATAATGGTGATTACGGTAAGTTGTTTACGCCACCGATGATTAGACGAGTAGGATGATTGGATGAACACCGGTGGAGTGATGGTTATTAGATGCACTAGGTGATAGGACGCAGGGTCGCGTGTCTATAACAGTAGGGTGTAAGCTCCAACAATTCAATCACTTTCGAATCTTCATTCTACCCCTCAAGTGCCTTCGCTCCGGTCCCGCCGTCTGCGACGTCATTCCCTACGCTTCGTCCGAGCTTCGTGTCCAAGATCCATACCTTCCATCACATATACGGTACAGATCTGATATTGGATCAGACTAACTTACTCTGACAGTGATCAGTAGGTCAAACCAGCATGATGCAGTAGAATAGTAAGGTAAGCCGACGTGTATTAATCTCTCCCGGTAAGATCTTGTTATCACTAAGCTACCTGTTTCTTCGTGAACACTTTACCCGGCCAAGGCTTCTCTTTTAAAGCTCTTGCACAGCTTCTCCGTCCTCCTCATCCGACGAGATGTCCGACGGCGGCTCGGTAACCGCAGGCGTGTCGTCGTCCGAGTCATCGGGGATGTCGTCCGGTAGATCAACGGGTACGGGCAGCTGAATACGTTCGCGTGTAGTACGGCGCGCGCGCCCGCGTGGAACGTCAGCCAGTCGCTGAATGTATTCAGCTGAAAGTGTCTTGATGACACCCACGAAAGTCGCCATACTAAGGCGAGGCTTCGGAAAACGGTCGTTGAGCTCATCTCTAGAGGGTTGTTCGTGCGCGCTACCAGCTCGTTGTTCAGGCCGGCCACGTTCCACACGCTCACGTCGTACTGCTCCAGCCACGTCCGTTGAAAATAACCCCAAAATCCTCGCCATTTAGCTTTAGACTACGCAATTCCAGCGACGTCGCAGCGCTGTCGGATCTCGCGCTTAACCCACTTGATGCATCGCTCAATCAAGTTGTGGTCAACAACCGTTAGCATGTCGAGGACCCCACGGGTCATCGCAATGCCGCATTCTTCCTCCGGTATCAGGAACCGCTTCATCTCACGCCTGAGCGCCTGCTTCAGGTGAAACAGACACCCAATAACGATTGCGTTGGGGAACTGAGTCTGCACGGCATCAATTAAGGCGCTCTCGAAGTCGCACACGACTTCCGCCGGCTCAAGCTGTTGGTCAGTGCTTTGCACGACGAAATGCACCATGTCCCAGAAAGAATCGCCACTGCGAGAAGTGCTCAATACATAGTAGACTGGCACATATAGTCCGGACGCTCGGTCGTGCACCATAAAGATGACACACTGCTTGTACCCAGGGGGTACACAGCGAAATGTACCATCGACAAAAATGGTAGTCCCGTTGTAGCGAAGTAGGTTGATGAGGGAGGGGTGTGCCCAGCCAATGAGTCGGGTAGGCTTGCTGAGGTTCTCGCGGTTCACCGTGACGTAATGAAACTGGAAGAAGGAGACAGCTTCGTCCAGCGCCGTTGAAAGTGGCGGAATTTCAATGGCCCCGTGCACGTCTCCGCTAAAGTGCTGGCTCCTTGCTTGGTACACACGGCGAAGCACTTGAGGCTCAGATAGCCCGCGGACGACATGCTCGTTGTCAGCTCCGTAAAACTCGCTCCGCACAGCTTCCCATATGCGACGTGCAGGAAGCGCGACTTGTTCGATGGCCAGGGTGTCGACTCTGTCCTTCATAGCACTGGAGACGTCGACGAGGCTCGTGCCAGCAGCATCGACATTGCGGCAAGTGTGGGGGCGGCCAGCGGTGTACCCCATGGTGCCAATGAAGAACGCCATCGTCCCGGGACAGCCCTGGCGCCAATGGCTGCAGCGGTAGGAGATTTTCCTGGAGGATGCCCAAGCACGTGTATACTTATAGCCGCGGAAGTAGCACGTGCTGACCTCTTGCCGCACTGAACCCCTTGTACGGCCGGGTATGGCGCTGCCCAGAGGGCCGACGTTGCCTGGAGGTCCTGCAGTGCCCGGGAGAGACTGCGCTGGCGTCTGTTTGTTACCAAATGAACCCTCGCCGATACAAGCGCTTCGCCGGCCAAGGCTCCACGTGGCCTACGTGCTACCGTGCATTTTCATATCTCAAAGCCGATCCGCGCAAAAATGTCATATGTTCCAAAAGCAGATCTGTACCGTATATGACCCCTTCTGGAGGTTACCTCGGACATTGTTCTTCTGCTGAATGATTTGAAGTCAGCTGAAGAACGATCCGCATTTCTGCAGCCGTTAAAAACAGAGATTGACAAACACGCCAGCAAGTACACGCCTGATCAACTTGAGGCGATGAAGAAGGCATACGCGGATATTACAAGCTAGCTTGGTGGTGACGACTTGTAGGAGCTCACACCGGAGTGGTTCATTCCGTGGTATGAACTGATCGTTGACGAATCAAATTGTCTGGGCGAGGGTGGGTTTGGCAGCGTGAACCAAGCCAAATGGCTCGACTCGGACGTGGTGGTGAAACGAGTGACCTTGGTAGGAGGATCGCACAGTGAGAGTAGCAGTTCCACGCTGAGTTTGTCCCAGCCGTTCTCCTCTGCATGGGATGATGATCCGTCGGTTAGCCAAGTCGAGCTCAACGACGCCAGACGTGCGGAAGCATTGGCGGTGTTTCGCCGCGAAGTCGACATTTGGTTTGGCTTCAATCACCCTCACGTCGTTCGGCTCTTTGGTGCCTGCCACGTGGGCAAACCCTTCTTCGTCTGCGAATACGCTCCCAACGGGACGTTGGTCAGCTACCTGCGAAAGAATCCTGACGAGATATGGGCGAAGCTGCACGAGGCTGCACTAGGCGTTCAGTATCTCCACGCTCGAGACGTCGTGCACGGAGACCTGAAAGGGAACAACATCGTGATCGGGAGTGACATGAAGGCGAAGGTGACGGACTTTGGGTTGAGCTCGGTAGCAAGTGGATAGGACAAGACGTTGGTGTCAGGCGCATGGAACTGGGTGGCCCCGGAGCTACTCGATACCAGCGAACGCCCCACACTCGCATCGGATATGTACGCTTTGGGCATGTGCATCGTGGAGGCACTGCGAGTCGTGGAGGCGGTGAAGTTAGGTAAAACAGACGCCCATTGCCTGCCTTGGCACGTTCCTGACAAAGGCGCACTGGTATACCAGGCCACACGGGGCAAATTGCCGTCCCAACCAGTGACGTGCGAGGACATTAAATGGGAACTGGTGAAGCGAATGTGCGCGTTGGACCCTGAGAAGCGGATCAAGATCTCGACGGTGGTGGACGAATTGGCGAGACTGGCAAATGTCAGCACCACCACTGAATCAAGCGTTCTCGGTGAGACCTCACAACCGAATCTGTGCCCTGGGATTCCGTCACGGAAGTAATTGCAGTGGCGCGATTACAGCTGGACCAGCTGCAAGACGGCGAGAATCAACGCGATGAGGCACTCGCACTGCACGTTTCGTTGTTGAAAAGGCTCGAGCAGCTCCACGGGCAAGCAAAGCGATGGATGTCGTGCTACGTTATGCTCTCTCGTCGCTGACGCCATTGCTGCCATATCGAAGCTACGCGACAGGAACAGAAATCTCATCACGCTAGCTGAAACGACGATGCGGTGTTACGCGCTGGATCGAGCATTGAGCAAGTGGTGTGACGCATACTTCGTTGCTTGCGAGAGGGGAGACTAGGTTCCATTGTGTCTCCTGCAAACGCGACGAGATACCACGTTAGTATCAAACAGTAGCGTACACATGTCGAAAAAAGAGGAGTTCTGTGTATTCCACCCAGCAGGTTGAGTCACGACTCCGAAGCGGCCGTTCTTAGCCGCCTTCATCAGCGCTGTATATCCGTCGTTGTCCTTCGCATTCACGTCGGCGCCACATTCACCAGCCAGGTACTTGACGATGGCAGTGTGACCAAATCGAGCGGCCAGCATCAAAGCCGTCTCTCCGGTATTGCTCTTGGCATTGGCGTCAGCGCCACATTGATCAGCAAGGTACTGGACGATGTCCTCGTAGCCTCTTGCTGCGGCCTGCATCAACGCTGAGGCTCCATTCTTGTCCTTATCGTGCACGTTTGCTTCCCGCTCGCTAACCAGGTACTTCACGAGCTCCATGTGATCGTTTCGAGCAGCCCACATGAGCGCTGTGTCCCCGTCATTCTTCTTTGCATTGGCGTCAGCGCCGCATTCGCCAGCAAGGTACTGCACAACATCAAAGTGATTATTCTCAACGGCCCACATCAGCGCGGTATATCCAACATTCGTCTTCGTGTCCACACTGGCGCCATATTGGCCAGTGAGGAACTTCACGTAGCCATGTTGAGCTGCCCCCATCAGCGCCGTGTATCCATCCTTGTCCTCGGTGGAGACGTTGACACCACAGTCACCAGCAAGGTACTGCACAATTTCACTACGCAGCATTCACCAGTATCGTCTTGCCGTTGTTGTCCTTCGCATTCGTGTCAGCACCACACTGCTCGGCGAGGTGCGGTACGACATCAAGGTAGCCGTGTTGAGCAGCTTTCATCAGCGCCGTGTATCCATCATTGCTCTTGGTGTCCACGTCAGCTTCACATTCATGAGCGAGATACTGTACAGCGCCGACGTGGCCAGCGCCAGCGGCCAACATCAGAGCTGTGTACCCATCGTTGTTTTCCGAGTTCGCGTCAGCGCCACATTGCTCGACAAGACACTTCATCACGTCGACTCGGCCCTCTCCGGCTGCGCGCTGCAACGGTGTAGGTCCATTCGTGCTCGTTGCGTAGACGTCGACCCCAGAGAGGCCAGCGACGTACTGCACGATGTTCACGCGGCCATATCCAGCTGCCAGCATCAGCGCGGTGTCTCCGTCACGGCTCTCAGCGTTCAAATCGGCTCCACACTTATCGACGAGGTACTGCACGACGTTAATGTGGCCGCTGATACCGGCATGCATCAGCGCTGTGCGTTCTTCTCTGTCGTCTCCATCCACGTCAGCGCCGCATTGCCCAGCGAGGTACTGCACCACATCCAGGTGGCCATCCCTAGCAGCCAGGATGAGCGCCGTCGCGTTAGGATACTTCACTTGTTTGGCGTCTACGCGTAACCCATACTGCTCCATGAGAGGTAACCTCCAGAAGGGGTCATATACGGTACAGATCTGCTTTTGGAACATATGACATTTTTGCACGGATCGGCTTTGAGATATGAAAATGCACGGTAGCACGTAGGCCACGTGGAGCCTTGGCCGGCGAAGCGCTTGTATCGGCGAGGGTTCATTTGGTAACAAACAGACGCCAGCGCAGTCTCTCCCGGGCACTGCAGGACCTCCAGGCAACGTCGGCCCTCTGGGCAGCGCCATACCCGGCCGTACAAGGGGTTCAGTGCGGCAAGAGGTCAGCACGTGCTACTTCCGCGGCTATAAGTATACACGTGCTTGGGCATCCTCCAGGAAATTCTCCTACCGCTGCAGCCATTGGCGCCAGGGCTGTCCCGGGACGATGGCGTTCTTCATTGGCACCATGGGGTACACCGCTGGCCGCCCCCACACTTGCCGCAATGTCGATGCTGCTGGCACGAGCCTCGTCGACGTCTCCAGTGCTATGAAGGACAGAGTCGACACCCTGGCCATCGAACAAGTCGCGCTTCCTGCACGTCGCATATGGGAAGCTGTGCGGAGCGAGTTTTACGGAGCTGACAACGAGCATGTCGTCCGCGGGCTATCTGAGCCTCAAGTGCTTCGCCGTGTGTACCAAGCAAGGAGCCAGCACTTTAGCGGAGACGTGCACGGGGCCATTGAAATTCCGCCACTTTCAACGGCGCTGGACGAAGCTGTCTCCTTCTTCCAGTTTCATTACGTCACGGTGAACCGCGAGAACCTCAGCAAGCCTACCCGACTCATTGGCTGGGCACACCCCTCCCTCATCAACCTACTTCGCTACAACGGGACTACCATTTTTGTCGATGGTACATTTCGCTGTGTACCCCCTGGGTACAAGCAGTGTGTCATCTTTATGGTGCACGACCGAGCGTCCGGACTATATGTGCCAGTCTACTATGTATTGAGCACTTCTCGCAGTGGCGATTCTTTCTGGGACATGGTGCATTTCGTCGTGCAAAGCACTGACCAACAGCTTGAGCCGGCGGAAGTCGTGTGCGACTTCGAGAGCGCCTTAATTGATGCCGTGCAGACTCAGTTCCCCAACGCAATCGTTATTGGGTGTCTGTTTCACCTGAAGCAGGTGCTCAGGCGTGAGATGAAGCGGTTCCTGATACCGGAGGAAGAATGCGGCATTGCGATGACCCGTGGGGTCCTCGACATGCTAACGGTGGTTGACCACAACTTGATTGAGCGATGCATCAAGTGGGTTAAGCGCGAGATCCGACAGCGCTGCGACGTCGCTGGAATTGCGTAGTCTAAAGCTAAATGGCGAGGATTTTGGGGTTATTTTCAACGGACGTGGCTGGAGCAGTACGACGTGAGCGTGTGGAACGTGGCCGGCCTGAACAACGAGCTGGTAGCGCGCACGAACAACCCTCTAGAGATGAGCTCAACGACCGTTTTCCGAAGCCTCGCCTTAGTATGGCGACTTTCGTGGGTGTCATCAAGACACTTTCAGCTGAATACATTCAGCGACTGGCTGACGTTCCACGCGGGCGCGCGCGCCGTACTACACGCGAACGTATTCAGCTGCCCGTACCCGTTGATCTACCGGACGACATCCCCGATGACTCGGACGACGACACGCCTGCGGTTACCGAGCCGCCGTCGGACAGCTCGTCGGATGAGGAGGACGGAGAAGCTGTGCAAGAGCTTTAAAAGAGAAGCCTTGGCCGGGTAAAGTGTTCACGAAGAAACAGGTAGCTTAGTGATAACAAGATCTTACCGGGAGAGATTAATACACGTCGGCTTACCTTACTATTCTACTGCATCATGCTGGTTTGACCTACTGATCACTGTCAGAGTAAGTTAGTCTGATCCAATATCAGATCTGTACCGTATATGAGGTTTTACCCCATGAGATACCGCACCACCTCGAGGTGCCCCGCTCGAGCAGACTCCCTCAGATCTTCTTCCTTGTCGAGCCTCGGCCCTCCATCAACCAACCCCTTAAGCTTAGCCAGATCACCTGCACTTGCAGCAGCGGACACCTCTCTAATGGGCCTCGGGTGATTCTCCCTCTGCGCCGTGTACCGGGAGGTCCCCGTGATCGCGGCCATCATCTCTTGCATTTCGGCCACCGACAGCTCTTCATCTTGCATCTCTTCCAAGTCCATCTCTCCTCTGCGCCGCAAAACGAATACAGTACTCACTGAAATCTGGCCGCTGCTTTCATTGAGGAAGCTCACCCACGCCACTGGTTTAGGCCAGAAGACCTTTCTGCCCATTGCATTTCCCCCTTCTTGCCAGATGCGGCGATACATGTAATAGTTCATCCTGATTCGACCACCACAACACTTCGCTACTGGCAGCGCTCGTCTTACAGTCGAGTATCCGAGAGTATAGAGACTCGATACATGTAGCACCCTCCAGCAGGTCTGGACCGCGTCGGACGACCCAATCGCTAAAACCCGAGCGTAAACGCGACGTATCTGAAAAGTATCTCCCCCTAGGTCGCTCCTTCAATAATCCATACTTAGCAAAAAATGCATACAGCGGGAGAGCCAGTCGTATGGTAGAGAAGAAGCCTCCCCTCTCTTCTCGTTCAGTCATACCGCAGTTTCGTATCGCCTTCCCGGACCTCTGCGCGCTTTGCCGCTTAGCCGGCATGTCGGGGGCGCTACCGGCCGATGCGGCCAATGCCAACGAGCTGCAGCAAGCTGTGGTGAACGTGATGACGCGACACGCTAGCACAAGACCGCAAAACACGATAAAGCAGTACAAGAACAAGCCGGATGACTTTGCCAGCTGGTGCGCCGACAGGAAGTTCTTTGATGGTTCACTGGTGTACGAGTCGAAGCTAGTAGACTATATCGATAATTTTGTGGTACCCCGAGGAAACCAGCGCGAGAAAAACGACGATGGAAGCGCCGTCCGACTCGGATATGAGGCGGTGGACGCGTACGTCAAGGCTATAATCGATTTGTATCAGTTTCAGAAGTCTATTGTTATGAATCAGCACTCCCACCCGCGTGGCAAGGCTTTAAAAGGCTTGATGGACATGCTGAAGCGTGGAGAGAACAAGCGGAAGGTGGATACATACGCTGACCGTGGTTTAGGAACCGTTTTAGACGGCTACAACCTGGAAGATATGCGAGCGCTAAGCCAATTCTGGCTCAAGCAGCCTACAGGGGTTGCTTTACGAAGTCGAGTGGACTTTCAAGTTGGACACGCTCTTCTAGCTCGCGGAGAATCGCGAAGGGTTATTCAGTTTCCAGATATGCTGTCGCTAGAGCTAACCGACGAAGGCCCCCAAGTATGCAGCCCTCTCGTGGTCATTATGAGAAAAGGCAAATCAAATCAAGTCGGGCGGGTAGAGTATGGAGCTGCGATGCGATGCAAAGATGTTATGTTGTGCCCGTAAAATGCTGTGGCATTGTACCTGTTTTGGCGGTGGCATGTGAATTTGGAGCCCTTTCCTAGCTTTACGGACCGAAAGTTGTGGTACGACATCCGTTTGCTGAAAGGCAAATGTGCAACACGTGATATTGCCTACAACACGCAACTAGAACACGTGAAGAGTGCGTTCACTGCCTGCGGCATTGATTCATCGGTTTGGACACACGCCAACCGCGGTTCAGGCGCTAAGTTGGCTGAGCTACAAGGTGCGGATGAAAACCAGATTAGACGGGCTGGTAGATGGAATGGAGAACGAATGGAGGCATGCTACCTGACTACACTTCCTCGAAAAGCTATGCGCGCTTTGGCTGGTTTCCCTACGAAAGGGGGTGGTTATTGGATTGACCGTGCCACAATCACACCATCACCAGATCTCCAGAAAATGGTTTTCCCTGATTTAGGCTCCGCTGAAGACGATCTTCAGGAAAATGGAAACCGGGAGATAGCGGCAGGCGGGTTTATAGGGTTGCTACACGTATTGAGAGTTGTGTTTCTCCAGGCCTCGGTACTACTACGTCGAAAGTTCCCGGAGCACTGCTTGTGGAGAGACCCGCTTTTTAGTACAGAGGCTTACGGGAAGTTTGAAACAGAGGTCACGATATCTTTGCAATCGACTACCCAGCCTCAGGATACACGCATCGAAGCTGCAATTCCGTTAGTTGCATCAACAATGAAAGACGGATTCCAGGCACTTCACGGGAAAATCGACAGTCTCGTTAGTGAAGTTCGACAGCTGAAAGAACAAGGATTATTTTCTGCGAACAAGAACCTTGTAATCCCATTGGCAGACGACGTTGATGCTCCCCATCGACGTGGTGTTGTCGCCGCTCGTGAGCCATTGGACTCCCAGGCAATCGGTGAGTGCTCAACAAGATCTGAATTGCGTCTAAGTCGCTCGCTGCAGACAGTGAATGAAGTGTGGACTGAATATACTCGTGGAATAGCTGGTCAAATGTCCGTCTGCGAGGCTGAGCAACGATTTGGAAGCAAGTGGCGAAAAGATCCGACAGAGAATCGGTTCTTCTCACGTCGTAAGGTATTCTACGATGCGATCCAGGCATTTGCTGCAAAACACCAGATAACCGAAGGGTCAGCTGCTGGAGAGCTGGAGAAGAAGCGCAAAGAGGCGGGAGAATCTCTCAATCGATTCGGAAAGATCGTACGTAGAGTCGTTCAGAATTCGTAAGGCAAGTGAGAGCTTCTAACTCACTATAACACACATATATACAAAATCCATATACATCCTGAATTGCAGAATAACTCGACCTACTTGCAGTATAACTCGACCTACTTGCAGTATAACTCGACCTACTTGCAGGATAACTCGACCTACTTGCAGTATAAGCCGACCGGCTTGAGGGTTTAGTCATCAATCGTACTTTATAAGTTTACTGGCTTAAAATTTTGGTCGACAGATTGTAAACAAAGCCACGAAATCTACACCGCTCATTTCGACTCCCCTCATTTGGAAAAATACAGGACCTCGCGCACAATGGAGAAGGAGAGACGGCGCCTTAACCAAGTGCCTATCGCCACGAAGGCCAGCCAGCTCAAGGAGTGGAGAGATAACCCTAAGTGGACTGCGAAGGTGGCTGCAAAGCAGCTTGGTGTAGCGAAGATGACGTTGATGGGCTGGAAGAAGGCGCTGTGGCATCTGCTGGACGATCCTGCTGCTTTGGAAGCCCTTGGCGATGCATTTCGCAAGAAGGGGGCCGGCAAGAAGAAGCGCCTTAAGCCCTACGAGTTACGCGTCCTTAAGTTCTATCATTCATGTCACGAGGATGGCGGCACGTGCACCTTCTCCGAGCTTCTAAGCTACGCGAGAAATAATATCCCTGAGTTCGCAATACTGAAGAAGGGAACGCAAGAGTCGTGGATATCACGTTTATCAGCAATTATAAGAATAAACCCGTCGGCCAGCCAAGCCAAACGGGACAGCAATGCCAGGTCGGGCAGCCAAGTGGGGGTGTGGCGTCAAGTGAGAACGACGAGCCAAGTGAAGACGACGAGGCAAGTGAAGACGACGAGGCAAGTGAAGACGACGAGGCAAGCGAAGACGAAAATGGCCCCAGTGAAGACTCAAGCAACGATAAATCAGCCGAGCCTGTTGGAATATGCAATCAGACAGTGTCAAGCCCCAGCCCGAAGAGACGACGATCGGGGCGCCTGTATGGTGTAACGGTCTAACGAGCTATGTTCTACAGGTATGTTGTGAGTTCAATCCCCGCGGCGCCCTACCTTTTCCAACAGAGCCATCCGCGAACGAACCCGTAAATAAGGGTTCGGGTGCCACAAAAAATTTGCACGGGAATTCCGGAAATAACGACGTTGAAAACGGGTCTGATATCAGCGAGGAGGACGTTGGCGATGCGGCTATCGAAGAGAGCCAAGAACAAGTTAAACCCCAGTCAGGCAATAAGCCAAAAGGCACGGCACGTCCCCAAAGGATCGCTAAAAGAAAAAATCGGGACGAGCCAATTATGACTGTGGTGCACCAGCTTGCAGGAAACAAGCACGGTGAAATTATTCGAATTCCGCTGTACCAAGAAGACTTGGACAGTTTATTGCCCGGGGAATGGCTGACGACTCGCGTGGTAGATTGCCTCATTTGCAAGCACATGATTAAGGTGGACGGATTGGCTTTACCGCTTGGGACCTCGTTCTATCTGGAGATCCAAAACGCGTATCGCCGTGAAAGAGATGGTGAAGATGTTCCAGATGAAGCGACCGGTAGCTTTGACTGGGCGGTACACAAGTTTGTGTTACTGCCTATTAGTGGTGCAGATCACTGAAACCTGCTGGAACGATCTGCTACCACATCAACTCGCTACGCGGTTATCACAACTCGGCGTCTGTTTTGGATACGCTGATGTGGTTTTTAGCTCGCGAGGCGAAACGATGTGGCAGAGAAACCAGTGTAGCGCCACAACTGTTAGCGTACAAGACAAGCCCTCTTCAATCGAATTCATTGGACTGCGGGGTGTACATGTTACACTACATGCACAAAGTAGCCCGGTTCATCTCTGAAAAATGACCAGACTCAGTAGCGGAGAAGATGAAATCACTTACAAGCGGCAGCTTCAATGTGACTAAGGCAGGACGCTCGCGCTCGGCACTACTCGAAGCACTACAAAGGGATAAGGTTGCAGTAACTGTGATTGAATAAACTCCGTCAGTTTTTTTCTTTGCCAACCGCGTATCGGCCCTACGTTTGATCCTATGGTCGAGTTAATCTGCAATAGAGAGGAGGTCGAGTTATTATGCAAGTCAGGGGTCGACTTAATCTGCAATGGAGAGGAGGTCGAGTAATTATGTAAGTTGTGGTCGACTTATCTGCAACGGAGGGAGGTCGAGTTAATATGCAAGCGTCGTTCCCTCGTATTTCGAATATGTCCCAGGGGTCCGACCTTATACAAAGCCTAGTATAAATAAGACCGGGTCCGGATGAAAAGGCAGACACGGCCACAGTATCATGTAGCGAGTGTTGGTCTAACTTAGCTTCAGATCTCGACAAAAGAGCGCTTTCATGGTTCGGGCTCTATGCATTTGTTCCCACTGGCCGAGCACCAACATCTACAAGTAAAAGGCCTCGCCCACCGGCTACAATGTGAAACTTGTGGCGTACTGAACGCGATCTACACGAGCCCCTCCCTCCACCGTGTAGTTCGATCTCCACCCGCAGTGAGAAGTTCTCACTGAGAACCATTGCAGAGGGTGCCTCCGCCTCACCAAGGAACTTGTCCAGTGTATTCCACTTCAGTACATGGAAACCGGATTTGATACGAGATTCATGACTTGCGAGCCAATTACCGTCAACGGTGAGTCTCTTAGCTCAAGCCGACATATGGATCTCGCAATATCGGTGCGGTTGAGCTCTCGCGAGAAAGGGGCATGATCTTCCCTGGAATCGGCACAAACTCCATCCTCACCTCACTCTCCTGCCACTTTGTGTGTTGAATATAACCAATTCGTCCGTATTAACACGACAGTTCTCCTGAAATCTGCAATTCCGTTAATCCGAATCCACGACAGAAGCCTTCCACCTGACTTCATGGACAATAAAGAAACGATCGCACAGCTTGTTCAACGCTCGATCCAGCGCATAGCACTGCATCATCGTCCCAGCTAGCGCAACGAGGCTATCTTTGCTGTCGCGTAGCTTCGATGTGACGTCCTTGGCCGCAACAACCAGAGCGCAGAGCGCACCGCGGCACTCATCACTCTGGTTGCCGTCTATCACTCCGTACAGTTGTTCAAATTTTCGCCATAACGAAATGTACTGAGCGAATACTTGGTCCCGTTGAGCTTCACTGTCATGTGGCTGGAGCAGCAATGACCGCACCGATGCAATCACCTCAGGGAGAGACTCCCAGCCGACCGAATTCGATGGTAACATGGCCTCCAATTCGTTCTTTCTGTTGTTATTGGCCAATCTCGCCAACTCGTCCACCACCGTCGAGATTTTGATCCTCTGGGCAGGATCTAGCGCGCACATACGCTGGATCAGCTCCCACTGACCGTCTTCACAGATTGTGGGGCGAGATGGCAGCGTGCCGTGCGTGGCGTGGTACTTGACAACAACCCTGTCAGCAACACGCCACGGTAGACAGTGACAGGAGTCTTGGCTGAGCTTCGCCGCCTCCACAACTCGCAGTGCTTCGATCACACACATGCCCAATGAATACACATCCGCCGCAATCGTCGGCCGCTTGTTGGTGTCGAGTAAGCACTCAGGCGCTAGCCAGTGCCAAGCACCTGAAATCAAATGCGCCTGTTCCTCACTACTTGCGACCGAGCTAAGACCAAAGTCAGTGACCTTGGCCTTCTTGTCGCTCCCGATTACGATGTTGTTCCCCTTCAGGTCGCCATGGACAATCTCGCGTGCATGCAAATACTGGACACCCAACGCTGCTTCATGCAGCTTCGACCATAGCTGCTCCGGGTGCTTTCGCAAGTAGCAGACTAAAGTCCCGTTCGTGGCATACTCGCAGACGAAGAAGGGTCTACCAATGTGGCAGGCACCAAAGAGCCGAACAACGTGGGGGTGACTAAACCCAAACCAAATATCCACCTCTCGGCGGAATATCGCACGAGCTTCTGCTCGTTTGGCGGTGTCGACTTGGGCTTGGCTGGCTGACGGATCATCCCAAAAGGATGAATACGATTGGGAGAGATCAAACGTGCAAGTGCTGCTTTCACTATGAGATCCCGCCAAAATCACTCGTTTCACCACCACCTCCGAGTCCAGCCACTTGGCTCGGTTCACGCTACCGAAACCTCCTTCACCTAGACAATTCCACTCGTCAATTATTAACTCGTACCAGGGAATGAACCATTCTGGAGTAAGTTCCGCCAAATCCTCGGTCTCAAGCTTGCTGGCGATCTCGTTGTACGCGTGCTTCATCACCTCAAGTTGGTTACTTGTGTATTTGCCAGCAGGATTCTTCGTCTCAATTTTTAAATTCGTCAGAAACGCCGACCGCTCCTCGGGTGACTTCAAATCGCTCAGAAGAAGAAAGGTGTCTGACAATCCCGATACGAAGAACGAGGTCTGATCGCTGCGCTGTTGCTGCCACCGTGCTTCCGTCTCCGCAGATAAACCAGCTGAATCCCCCAGTAATCCTAGGAGCGACTTCAGGCGCCACTGAAACGCGTACATACTACTATTCGTGGCACGAGTTGAGGACAATCGCATGATCCGGGCTTGCTCGGGAGACATTGTGACTGTCCGGTAAAACTCGGTGAGAAGCGTGTGAAATCGCTCGAACAGTGTCAGACGGTGGGTCGATTCTCGCAGGCGCTGGCGAACGATCTTGAGCTCCTTAAATGCTCGGCAGTGCTCAACATTGTCGCAGTTTTCCATGTTAGTCTCCAGTTTCACCCACGCTTCGGTCAGTCTCCCACTCTGATATTCGTCAAAGGTGTTCGCGGGCTCGAGCTCAGGCTGGGAATCGTCAAAGCTCTCTTTGGCTGCCAAGCGCGCCAGTTTGTAGACGATAGATGACAGGTTGGCACGCTTGTGAGGGTCTTGGCAGCATGCACACCACACCATGTATTGGAATCCATACTCGGGTTCGGATGCGAAATTGGAGTCGAAATCGGAGGAGGAGAAGTCATAGTCAAACTCGATATCGAACTCCGAGTCAGAGTCAGAGTTCGAGTCCGCGTCAGAGCCCGAGCCTATGTCCGAGTTAACTTCGTGACTAACGTTAGTTCCACTTTCAGGTGTCCATCTCAACTTAAATGTGCGCACCCACTCATCTTCCTCCTCGCCCCAAGGTATCTCCTGGCCCAACCACTCGATAAGGCACATTCCCAATGAGTACACATCCGACATATACGATGGAGGTTCCCCTCTCAAAATCTCTGGAGCCTGCCAACGCATTGTTCCTCTAAAAACGTCAGAGGAAAGTTGCCCGGGCCTCGTCGTCGATCCACTCAGCGCAAAGTTCGACAGCTTCGCAATCCCATCGCTGCCGATCAAAATGTTGCTGCAACGAAGATCGCCGTGGACGATTCCGCGCTCATGAAGGTATTCGAGACCCAATGCCGCCTCGTACAGATACTTCCACAGTTTCGGGGGTTGGGTGGCTTCGAAGGAGTCATCCTCTGAAAACAAATTGGCGTAGTCTCGCAGCGAGCCCTGGCTGGCATACTCGCAAACAAAAAACTGCAAATGGGGACCCGCTTGACACGCCCCGTACATCTTGAGTACGTTAGGATGCCTTAGCTGCTGCCACAGACGCACTTCATCGTCAAACGATGAGTGAGATGCATCTGGAATGAAGAGCTTCACTACCACATCGGCGTCGAGCCATTTGGCCTGGAAGTCGCCCCCGATGTTTCCATTCTGACTGAAGACGGCAAGCTCCATCTCAGACGGAGGAATCAAGCAGCTAAGGCGGTGGTCGGAAGTCGGGGACTTTGTGGTATCGTTTGTGCTTGTATCCTTGGGCAATGGTATTAATGCATCAGTGACTGATAAAAATGGTATTAGTATCCGCTGAATGGCATGATAGCCACCATCAGCAGCAAATCGAGCAGCGGTCGCTCCATTCATGGCCTTAACATTTACGTCAGCACCGCATTGTTCGGTGAGGTACTGCACAACATCAACGCGGCCGCTTCTAGCAGCTATCATCAGCGCTGTGCATCCGTCATTGTCCTCCTCGTTCACGTTTGCATCACATTGGCCAGCGAGGTACTGAACGACCTCAATATGGCCATTTTGAGCTGCCTGCATCAACGCAGTAGCTCCGTCAGTGGCCTTCCTGTTCACATCCGAGTCGTATTCACCGGTGAGATATTGGACGAGCGTCATTTGGTCGTTTCGAGCGGCCACCATCAGCGCAATGGCTCCGTCCTTGCCGCTAGCGTTTACATCAGTGCCGGACTCCTCTGTGAGGTACCGCACGACATTAATGTGACCTTTTCCAGCGGCCACCAACAGAGCCGCGAGACAATCACTGCTTGTACGTTTTCCACATCCTGCGAGGTACCGTACAACGTCAACACGGTCATATTCTGCGGCCTCTACCAGTGCAGATCGCCCTGCATCGTTCTTGACGTTCACGTCAACGCTACAGCTCTCTGCGAGGTATTGAACGATGCCAACGTGGCCCTTTCCGGCGGCCACCATCAGCAAGGTATCTCCCTCATTAGTGGTGATGTCGACGTCAGCGCCGCATTCTCCAGCAAGGCACTTTACAACGTCAATCCAGCCGTATGTAGCCGCCCACATGAGCGCTGTGTAGCCGCTGTTGCTCTTAGCGTCCACGTCAGCGCCACAATGCTTAGCTAGAAACTGTGCAACATCCTTGTGGTCGTGATAGACGGCCTCGATCAGCGCTGTGTTCCCGTCACTGTTCCTTCCGTTCACGTTGACGCCACATCGCTCAACAAGGCAATACACGATGTCAAGACGTCCATTTTGAGCGGCCCACACCAGAAGCCGTTGTCCTTGATCGTTCTTGGCATCGCATTCGCCAGCAGCAAGGCACAGTATGACGTTAATGCGACCGTATGCAGCGGACCACGTGAGCGCTGCGTACACTTCATCGGCAGCCAAATGTCCAGCAAGACACTGCACGATGTCAATGTGGCCTCGAGTAGCCGCCCACGTGAGCGCTGTGAAGCCGTCATTGCTCTTGGGTGCCACGGCAGCATCGCAATCCTCGACGAGGTACTGCACCACGCGCTTGTAGCCCTCTCGAGCGGCTGCCATTACCGCTGTGTATCCGTCCTTGTTCTCAGTATTCACGTTAGCGCCACACTGCTCAACGAGGTACTGTACAACGTCGATGTGGCCATAGATTGCCGACCACATGAGCGCTGTGGTTCCGTCATTGTCGATAGCGTTCGCGTCAGCGCCAAATTGCTCAGCGAGGCACTGCACGACGTCGATGTGGCCCTGTGCAGCCGCTACTGTCAGCGCCGTGACGCCGTCATTGTTCTTGGTATTGACATGAGCTCCTTGGTTAGCGAGATACCGCACGACAATAACGTGGCCATTGGCTGCGGCCTTCGTCAGCGCTGGGTCTCCATCGTAATTCTCAGTATTCACAGGAGCGTCACACACTTGGACGAGGTACCGCACGACGTCCAGATGCCCCGAATGAGAGGCGTTCATCAGCGCTGTGTCTCCGACGACGTCCTGGGTGTTCACATCTGCACCACGTTGGCCCGTGATGTACTGCACAACGTCGAGATAACCATCGCGAGCGGCCCTCCTCAGCGCTGCCTCCTTATTGACATCCACGACTTGCTGCAGTAAGGTCTGAAGCCTCGCGAGGTTGCCACCTTCCGCAGCTTGGCTCCCCTTCATCGACATCGACGCTGGCATTGAAATCTGCAGAAGAAAAAAAACGTGTCCACCTGATTCAGTCCACGGGCCGCTTGGCTATTTATTAAATATTACCTGGTTTCTCCTTGTCGGCGCCTGCACCCTCGAGGCATCACCCGCCCCGCAGCTTCCTCTTTTCCCGTCCGCTCTGGGGAATCCCTATATTGGACTGTCCGTACAACGTGTACCCCGTTGCACTACCAGGAAAACCAATTTGAAAATACTCCACAAAAACCAATTTGTAATAAAGTTTGCGCTGCAAAGGTCAGCAACGTAGGCATCGGGATAGCTTCAACAGCAATTACTGCAAGTATATCGAAGTAGTGACGTCTTCTTCAGTGAAGTTGCACTTCATATCCCCCCCACGATACATATGCATATCGATAAACTGTGACAACGCCAATTAACATTTTGCCACCGCTTAATGATATGAAACAATTGGCGGGAACCCGGGTACCCATCGGGACCCCGGTTCCCGGTCAAATGTATTGGAGTGTTGGTCTATGACCTACGTTCAACGTAGCTTAAGCTCGGTAGAGAAACGGAAGGTGAATTCGTCTTCGCTCCCGTCCTGTGCCTCTCCAGAAAATCCAGACTCTTCCCTGGTACAGCGGTAGAGGGCTTTCCGGCCACATCGCTAACCTCCTGCTCACATAAGGTGGACTTTGACATGGTAAAGTACGTTATTGGGTCTACTCAGTACCGGTGACAGATTTGTGGTAGTCATTCGTCGACAGCACTTGGGTTTGATGGTTTAACTTGCCCAACGGTACCAATATGGGGCCGAAAATAAAATAAATAATTCGCGATTTGGTCGGTATCATTTGCGGGAACCCGGGTTCCCGCCAATTGTTTCATAAGTATGCTATTTTCTCCTAGGACACGGTTGCATTTTTCTCGACGCATTTCCGAGCTGGGTGATACTTTGATTAGCCAATTCTAGGGATTCTCCACCCTCACCATATTCCCAAGCTGAGTAAAGTACTGCCGAAAGCGATGGCGCTGACGGCGCACGCGTAGCTCCCCAGGCAGTTGTTGGGACACATCCATAGGTAAGAGCGCACGTAGTGCCCCTTCCTCAGCGACTACGGCAGAAACTGCGGCTTGAAAGCCACCTATACATACAACAACCCGACACAGCAAACAGCACGAGTGTCAGTACGTCAGGTTAGGTACATTCGGCTGTTGCTATTACGTACCTCGAATCTGCGTTGCTATCTGCGGGGCGTGCAGACACTGGAACAGAAAGTCCCAAATACTTCGCACTCGATAATGCTCCCTCTTGGGCCCCAGGTAGCTTAGAACGACACGCACAACTTCAGTTGCAAATTCGTTAATGCATTCCAGAATCGGCTCTGGCTGGCAGCGCATCGCATCTAATATGAAATCACACGCAGCATCGCACATTTCCTGCATCTAACATTAACCAGATATGAGATAATATCTGTTAGGAGCAAAGGATACCACCGACGGCAATGACACAACTTACCTGGTGGTCCGCTTTCACTAGCCTCGTTGCCAACTCCAAACATACCCAAAACAGGGTAGAATTCTCATTCGGACGCTTTTCCAGCAAAACTTGCGGAAAGGAGACTAGGACTTCTCGCGCCAGCTTCATGAACTGCTCAACCTCTGGAATCAATCTATCTGCTTCGCGATGATGCGACAAGAAGTCCTCCATTGCAAGTTTTTCCTCATTCGAGCGGGGGTCCGCGACAGCGTGCAATTTGAGGCGAAAAGAAGGCAGCAAACGCTACAAAAACAGAATAATGCAGGTGAGTAAGGAGTGAAGCCACGTCCACAAAACAAATATCTGCCTCACCTCGAATAAATTGTTGACCGACGCCTGAAAGCTTTGTCTGCCACGATGCCTCGAGATTATTCGAGAACAGCAGGTCAGAATATCGGGAGCGACACCTTCACTATACCACCATAAGCAGACATCTAGTATCTGCGTTTCGATCGGATGAGCATCGTCTGTCCGTAGATGAGGAATTACGTTGAGGAAGAACTGAACCCCTGCGTGACGACAAACATCTTCCGTTTTGTGCTGCGACAGTGAAGCACTAACGAGTGTCCATAGCTGGTTGATCAACGTGAAACCGTGATGCTCGTTTTGGACCCCTGCAAGAGCACGTCCTAGCATGTACACGCTATTGGAGGCCTCGATGGGATTTCCACTTTGCACACGAACTGTTAAAGTTGACAATATCGAAGAGCAAAGCGTCCCAAAATCTGCTTAAGACACCAGTAAGAAACCGTCGCACCAGGAGACCACGAAAGCAGAGTAAACAGCGGGCTTACCTGCGTCTGACAAATCGCTAGCAACGCGGAACGTCACTTCTAACAAGTCGCCTTCGCTTTCAAGGGTAGTCTTTACATCTTGATTTACGCAAAAACGAAGCAGTTCTTGTAGAAGTGGTGCCCTCTCTTCGACAGTTGTATAGTTGCTGCTCATTAAATCAAATCTGTTAGCTGTGTCAAGAGCGACAAGTTTGGTATCCGAGTAATGCGGACAACTTACGTTATGGACGAACTGTTATGCAGTAGTGATTGTACCGCGACCGGAAAAGACGACACAAACCGAAGGCCCTGGCAGATTATCATTGACGCGCGTAGATATACACCTGCTGGTAACGCAATAGAGGATCCGAGCGATCGCAGGTATCTATGAGCAAGAAACACGAAGTGAGGTCGCGCGCACAATGTCTGCCTATGCCATGGAGGAAATGTCACTTACCGTGCAATACCATTAATCACGAGAGGGTGCATTGGGAGGTTGACAGCGCCGTCTAACACACCCAATAGAATATCAATTCCACCAGTTGACGGCGCCTGGAACAAATCTGGATCGTCCTCAGACTCGGAATCCGACGATACAACATCAAATAGCTCAACCATATACGAGAGCAAGAAGAGCAGCGCATCAACCAGCGCGATCTCCTTGCAATCCAAAAGCATTTGACTTATGCCCTTCACACACGAGACATAATCGCCACTAGGTTTCCCGGGAGCACCAGGCCATTTGGAAAATAGACTTAGCATCGTATCGGCAATTTCCCTGTAGTTAGCATGGCAATCAAAACACGCGTTAGTGTAATACTACAACCGTCGCAGCAAATACTGAAAGCATCGCTTACCTGCGGAAGCCACCAATCGCTTCGATTACGGGGTCGTCACTTACGACTTCGTGTCTTTCAATAAACCATTGCGGGTACTTGCACCGCTCAATCAGAGCATTAACCAGACGTGACAATACACTAACAATATGCTCTTGGCCTGTAGCATCTAAGAGCTTCCATGAAACCTCATTTTGAGCTGAATCGTTGTCTTCGAGAAAGAAGAACCAGATCTCCAGCGTGGGTTGGACCACATCGATGTCATTGAACGAGGAGCATGCGAGCAGCAGCTCCAGGAAATTAATAGAGAGAAGCCGGTGCTGCTCAGATGCTCCTTGAGTGTCTGTCACGTGGCTTGAGAATAGGACACTCGCGTGATTCATCGCTAAAGAGCACACAATTTGGGAAATACCCCTGCAAGCGGTTGTCTGCTGCTCCTTCGTCATCATTCCTCCACTTGGGTACTGGATGCTCGAATGAAAAACCGGAATTGCATCAACCAAACATTGTCCCACATGAAGGACGGCGGCCGTCATACTTTGGGAGACTGGTGCAGATGCAGCATGCACAAAGGAGTCGGCGATGATCCCTGCAGCCAACTACGAGCAAAACTGTCAGACGACAATGCAGATACAGGAAGTCGCACCACTGAGCAAAACTAAGGATGATAGTTACCTGTGCGTGGTCTTCGTTGTCATTGGTCACAATGCTGAGCAACATCTCCATCAATCCGCTACGCAATCAGCAAGCACGCTGTTAGCTTCATATCGAACTCGAGCTCATCCAGTCAAACACGACGTTACCTAGAAAAAAGCTGCGCGGCGGTCAAGCCAAATGTCTCGTGGGTCGGAACGCAGCCCACACCCCACCCTTCTAAGCAGCGCAGAGCGCTGCTCCTCTCCTCAGGTCTGCAACAACAACAACACTAAACACCCACAATTTCGGCACTATAGTTCCCACCGCAAAACCGTACATGCTCGTGAGGATCATCTGCACAGCTGTCATAACTTCTCCTCCTTCCGCCTGGAATCCCGCCAGCACCTCCTGCGTCTCCTCCGCGGCCCAGAGGTTCTCGGACATCAGAATCTGCAGCGGAATGGCCCCCAGAATCTCTGCCAACTGCACCGCAACGTCGTCATCATTAGCACCAAACACCGCTCACACAGCTCTGTTGGCGAGGGTCTCACCACTGCCGCTCCCTTCTGCTGCCTCTGCGCGGCCGTCCCCGCGTCCACGAGCCGCTGCACGTCGCTCTTCCAGCTGGACCAGAGTCTGCACGACTTGACCACAACGTCCGCCAGCGTCACGCAGGCGAGGCGGCAGCTCACGGGTGACAGGCCGCCGTCAGCGTCGACGCACGTCATCTCCAGCAGCTGCAGCAGCGTCTGTCTCACGGCAACGGCAACTTGTTCGTCACCCACTTCAACTTGCGCTGACCATCACTCCTCATAATGACGTAGCTCCACAAACGCACCTGCCGCACAACTTGTTGCTGCTGGGCGCTGATTTTCGTCCAATCCTGCTGCGTCTTGAGGCGCAGGATCTGCATCGCCACCAGCTCCGGCGCGCCCTGCTGCGTCGCCGGGTCGCGCACAGGCCGCTCCAGCAGCTGCAGCGCCGCCTGCCACGCCTCCTCGCGCGCCTGGAACTGCATGAGCCACGCGTTGGCGGCGCGCTGCTCGGCGCTGCCCGACGCGCCCTCGAAGAGCTGCCGCGCGCACGCGGCCAGCTGCTGCGCCATCTTCACTTGGGCGAAATGGCGCTGTGGTGCGTTGTGTACGACACGCAAAGACTGTGTGCACCACGTCAGACGGCGCGGCCTGTTCAACGTTTTGGGGCGACGTAAGATGACCAACTTGGAGCTAATGGGTGCGTGCATTTAAGCACACACATGGAGGCGATGGCGCCTTCTACGCCAGAGGATTTGTGTCGGACGTGTAGTCGATATGCTGACGGAGCTGTGCGCTGCTTGGCTGGTGTGGATTCGCAGAGAAAGCGGCGGGCGAAGGGCTGCACGAGTTCGGAGCCCTCAACACGCTGCTGTTTGTGCGTCATTACCGCTGAGTCAGTGGTGCACGATACGATGAGTCTAATATCTGGCATTGCTGTTTTTGTATTGATGCAGGTGGTCATCCTGGGCGTGTGCATTGTGTGCGCGTACCTGATCAAGGAGTATCGCTTCTACTACCTGCCGGAGTCGGGGGCCGCCATGCTCGTGGGGATGATCGTCGGAGCCTGGTGCGACACAACTGCTATTGCTACATGAAATGCCTTTGACAATTGTGTTTGCCTGCTAACAAGAGTTTTGCTGTCGGTATTGTTGTTGGGCAGTGCTCGATTGTTCTACCCGAGTCGCAAGGAGATGGAGTTCCTCCGCTTCAACGTAGGATAAGCTGGAAGGTTGAGGCGCTTTGTGGGGCTCTGATTAACCTGCTGTGCTTTTGGTGTCTGGCTAGAAAATACTCTTTTATTTCTTACTGCTGCCCCCGATCATCTTCGAAGCGGGGTACTCGCTACACCGGGTGGGAAATGTGTTTACGCTCCATGGATTGTGGGTCTGATGGTATCTAATTCAGCTCGGTTGGTCGATTTTCCTGATGTAGAAACGCTTCTTCGACAATTTCAAGTACGGTTAGCTTGCTGATTAGTTGACGAATGTATGTTGCCCTTTCGAGTGGGAAACTAACTAACTCGGTGTCTGCAGTACGATTCTGCTGTACGCCGTGTTGGGAACAGTCGTGTCGACGTTCGTTATTGGTTACCTAACGTATTATGCGGGACAGGTAAAGTTGCAGTGTGCGATCACATGTGCACGGATAGATTCTTGACCAATAGCCTGACTTATGATGTGGTGGTATTTTTTTCCCTAGCTGGGCTGGATTTCGATTGACACGTCGTCACCTCTGGAAGCACTGTTGTTCGGGGCGTTGATCTCAGCAGTTGACCCGGTGGCTACACTTTCGATCTTGGGGAACCCAGAGCTGAATCTGGATCCACTGCTGTACAGCCTTGTGTTTGGTGAAAGTGTGTTGAATGATGCCGTAGCTATTGTGCTGTTTAACACCTTTTTGAAGGTAGTGTAGAGATGGTTGCTGAATAGTATCTTGCCCCATCGGTACTAACGTAAATGTGCTGCTTCCCTGTCAGTTTGAGGAATCCCAGAGTGAGTTCACGTCAGGAGCTGCAGCCTCCTTGATGATTGAGTTCACGCTGATCTCGTTGGGCTCAGTTGCTTGCGGCGTCTTCACCGGGTACGGTCAATCTCGCTATATATGTCATCTCTTAAGTATTGACTGGATATATTATATGCATGGAAAATAGTCTCGCATGCTCGTACATGTGCAAGAACTCAAACATCAAGGGATATCCTGCGTACGAAATCACACTTCTGTTTCTATATGCGTATGGATCCTACGCTCTCGCGGAAGTCATGAAGCTGTCTGGCATCATGTCACTCTTCTTTTGTGGTATCATCATGGCGCACTACAACTCGTACAACCTGTCCAAGCCGTCGCAAGTGACAGCTGAACACATTTTCAAGAGTTTTGCTCTGGTATCGGAGTTTTTCGTGTTCCTGTACATGGGTATGGGCGTATGTGCGGGTCAATTTGGGCGATGGGACTTCACCTTCGTTTTTCTCGCCATCATTATCTGTTTGGTGGCACGTCTCTTCAACACGTTCCCGCTTAGTTGGGTCGCTAACCAAGGGTACATCGAGCACCGAGCGAATCAAGTAATATTTGTTATTTGTGAAAGCTGATACATATCACTTCTTGTGTTTTCAGGCGGACCACGAAGATTCCGGCGAAGATGCAAGTAGTTCTCTGGTTTGCAGGACTTCGTGGAGCCATCGCCTTTGCACTTTCACAGTACGCCCCCCTGCGTCAACATGTATCGATAGAATCATTCCTGTTGATTCACCTTTGCTTACCATTTGCAGGAATATGCCAGGACCAAACCAGGACTTGTATGTCACCACCACACTGTCCGGTAAGATGCATGGCTCCCGGAATTGTCCTAGTATATGTTTAACCTCTTTGCCTCAATCGATAGTTTGTATTTTCACGACAATAATTTGCGGCGGAATGACGGAGCCATTGCTTACGTACACGCAACTAAAGGTCAGTGCAATAACCTACCGCAATTTGTACATGTACGTGGAAGAGATTTTGAGGGAGTTCTGATTTGGTGCTGCACATAGCGTGATCAGCCGAATCCTTCCGAACTTGGCGAAGAAAATGATGACGAAGAGCAGGGCCTACTCAACGAAACAGTAAGTTGTTCAACAGAATATTTTGTAGCGCGGTGTCTTATGAGTATTGTACGCGTCTATTAGATCTCGGATCACGATGACGATGAAGATGTTCGCAACCACCCCGTATTTGCTGGCCGCCAAGAAGAAAAAAGTGCCTTGCATTCATTCTGGAGTAACGTAAGTCTCACCCCCCCCCCCCCCCCCACATCGAAGTTTTGCCGGGACTTACAATATTTTGCTTTTGTCATTCTATAGATTGATGAACGCTACATGAAGCCTGTTTTCGGAGGATCTGTACGCCGTCGGGTATGGATGCGTGTTGTTTCATGGCTGGAAGTACCCGTATATTGAAGTATTAATGATTGTGCTGTGTGCGCCTTAGTCTTCTCGATCAAGCACGCCGACAAAAGCCAGTAGTCAAGGTAGCGGGCTCCAATAGGCGACTCCAGTTACCCCTCATGTGGATGCCTCAAATGAACTCCGTGCCGTAGTATATCTTCTGGTGCATTCTTTGTGCTGTTACACTGTTGGGTCGGCGAGGCGGACTTCTGCCTCGGCTGACCCATAGACGGTTGTTGGGTCTTGCTTGCCGCTCTTAGGCCTGTCCTTCATCCCTGTGCTCGATCGCTCCTTTTCATCTGCATCGCCGCTTTTCTTGCGGTGCTCGCGGCGGTGGTGGCGGTGGTGACTTGAGACATCATCGTCGTCTCCATGGGTATCTGAAGTTCGTGAAGAAGTTCTGGAAGACGTTGAGGCTTGTGAAGACGTTCTGCGCCCATCAGTATCACTGCGACCAGTTCTGCTCCTAGAGCCCTTCGATCGACTTGAGCCAACATCCGAAGCAGCATCACTAGCTGCGCTCGCCCGCGAGTGCGCCGACTTTCTGCCTTCTTCGACGTCCGACGCTCTCGACACAGAAGGCACTCGCGTTGTCTCTCTGTCTTCGGCTGATTTGGCTTTGGATCGGCTGCGGCTTCCTTTCGTCTTGCGCGGGCTTTGATCCTGTGAATGCGGTCCAGCAAGGGCAATACAATCAGTACAAGTGCACGAATACTTGCTTCGACAGCTATGGGAACCATTGTCACGTACCACGTCCTCACAGTTGTCATCAAACTGGAAAAATGCCTGCGTACGCCAAACTCACATCAGAAGAAGGCATTATCGGTAGCTAGTTTTGCAGTGAGTATCACCTTGAGGTGTGGATCCGAGTGGTGTTTGAAAAAGTCGACAGCAGTCCTGATCTTGCAGATGTTCGACACGAACGCGTCTAACACCACACGGCGCTCTTCAAGGAACTCGGGGTCGAAGGCCTTGCCTAGCACACTTCGAAAGGCATCGCGTTTGTGCTTGACCAGGACAATCCCTTCCATTTGTGGTCCCATGGATTTCTTCAGCACTCTGCAACGTACGATTTCATGTCAGTCAGTAGCTATTACACTCAGTACGAAGCCCAGTAACGCCATTATCGCACTGGTACAGGTCTTCGAACTCGGAGAAGCGTCGCCAGAGACTCCACTCCTTCATGAGGCGGCGAGCAACCATCTTTCTCACTTGGCACGAACAAGTGATCATATATTCCTGCGTTTAAAAATGGTTAGAACATAATAGTCAGCTGGCACGGCTGTCACGCTGAATACGTACTGCGTGGGTCCCGTCAACATGGGGTCGAAACTTCACGACGCGAGCGTGGAACTCGAACTCATTTTCAGCTTGTGAGACAGCAAAGCGCGGTGCACGAGGTCCGTCACGCGCGATCTGAGAAAGAGCTTTGACCCACGCTTTCTTCGTCGAGTCGTCTGCAGCTGAAAAGTAGTGCGTGCAGTCCTTGACTACGCTTGTTTCGCGCACGTAAAAGCAGTAGGGTGCGGTATCGACGTCGACGCCGTAAGTAGGTTCTCCAGGCACGGGGGTCGAGATGTCAGCTCCCACGAGTTGCAGGCTCCAGCAGACCTCGTACTGCGATCGATCAGTAAACGCGATCAATCTGGCAGAGATATCGTCGAGCTTGACAAACAGATTTCGCCACTCTTGGTTTTTCTTCTTTTGGAAGTGCCGGTGCTGGTCGTCCGACGACACGGTTAAGATGAACCCCTCCATGGTTCTTATTGCGTAGATTGGGAAATGAGGTCTCGTACCCGGTCCCAGTTCTGTTCTACTACAAGTTGTAGTCTACAACGTGTACCCGAATCCACGATGCATAAGAAAACGAAGATGAAGTTTTTCGAGGACGCTATTTTTTGCGAGAAATAAAAGAGCAATCGCAGTATTTGGCTTTGAAGTTATCTGCTAGTTGAAGCTCCGCGGGATCGATAGGTGAACGACGAGACATCCAACCCGAGCTCATCGACTCCGCTAAGCGTTGCTACCGTAGATTCGAGCGGTTCATTTTGCGATGTCAAATCGCTTGAAGGCTGGCCAGGTCGACTGTTTGCACGCATCAGGACGGACTTCCTCGTTCCTATTACTGCAGCCTGTCGTGCCATGAGAAGAGATAGTTAGAAAAAATAAAAAAAATTAAGCGAAATGCTCAGACAGGAGAAGCGCTTACTCTGACGGGGAAGCGAGATCTGCGTTTGCCCTGTGCGGACTCCAAAGCTCTGGTAAATGAGCTACCCAGTCGTTTCTGGAGTAGCGGGACAATGAACGCCCTAGTTTGGATAATATCGACGACAGTGCGCCCCTTGAAATTCTACTTCAGCCCATATACATCCGTTAGATACCCTGCCATACTTCTCGGTTCTTATTATTTTGAATGTACTTATTATTTTGAATGGGGCACGCACCTTCATAACCCAGAGCGCAGACGACGATCCAGGTTCCAAACGCTCCTGCTCGAGGGCCATTTGCATCAGCACTGTTCCGTGTCCTTGGCGCCCCGCCCAGTGGAATGCCGTATCACCCTTCGTAGTGCGCGACCAGCTTACTTGGTCAACAATTTCAATGTAAGATTTCACGAATGCAGTGCTGCGCACAACTTACGTAGCTATCGCGGTATCTTGGGCTCGCCCCGTGTCGAAGCAATAATACGCACATATCCGCATGTCCTGCACGAGCAGCTTCAATGAGGGCGGTTGTCTTGCTAGCAACCTGTCAGCCAGCATCAGGTAAATAGTCATTTAGAGCAGCCTCGACAACGCTACTTTAGAACATACACTATCCACGACGTCGACGTCGCACTTGGTGGCCAAAATGAGCTCCACGATCGCCTTGTATCCGTGCCTTTTGTCAGCAATACACAAGTCAGCAGCTCTTTTCACCGTGTGCTATAAATTGTTCTTACCACGCCGCACAATGCAACAAGGTGCGACCACCCTGCTCTGCATCCGGGTGTCGCCGACGCAGCAAGGTGTGAGCACCTTCGACCATGAAGTAGTTCCGCACCATTTCCAGCTCGTTATTGTCCACAGCATCCCAGATGCTTCCGTGGTAGTCGATGACTCGCTTCCTTGCTTCTGCTCGCTCTCGACGCTTCGCCACATCTTCACTGGAATCCACAACGGTCAGCCGTTGCGCATTGCCTCGAGATGAAGCGCCCCGGAATGAGCTCTCTGGTCCTTTCTAAAGTGGAAAGTGCCGTTAACCGGACCGGCAATGTAGTTAGGATCATGGCGGGTAAACTCAAAAATGCCCTACCGTCGCAGCTTTCGTGTTGATCTCGAATCCGTGCGACCCAGGAGAGCGCGACAGCTCTCGCTCAATCTGCCTCTGCTGCATCCTCTCTTCTTTCTTGGCTCGCAGACGCGATTGATACACTGGCGATGTGTCCGCATTATCTTCACCGCCCATGACGTGCTTGGTGAGACGCGACTTCTCGTTCAGCTGCAAGATCCTCAAATATACATATATACCAACAAAACACCGCCTATTGTGACGCATCGTTTTTCACGAATTACTTTGTATGATAAAGTCCGTGTCGGAGGAATCGGACCATTATTTTTTTAAAGCAAGATGCCAAAGCTGATCGACTTTGGTAGGAATCTATCGCATATCTTACACTGACCATAGTGACACCATACTCCAAAAACAGGCCAAATGCCGTCGAAGAAGCAGCGCTTGACCAGCCCCGACGTGGATACCCCGGCACCGTTGATAGCGCCCCACAGACCTCATAGCAGCCCCGGCTCCATCGGTCGCTTGACACAGCCAGAGTCCAATGAGCCCGCCAGCGCCGTTTGTGCGGCCTCAAGACGCCCCCAACTCGCTCCAAGCGAGAAGGTGGCAGTGCTCAATTGGTACCACGCCAATGGGCGCAACCAGAAGGCCACTGCAGCCCATTTCCGAGCACTGTCACGCTATGCCAAGCTGAACCAAGGGACAATCAGTCGCTGGCTCGCTGCAGAGGCGAAGATTCGAGAGGCGCAATCGAAGTCCGTGGCGAGTGATGCAGTTCACAATTGCAGGCGCAATGCTAGAAGAGTCTGAAGCATCCAGAGCTTGAAAAGTGCTTGGCCTCGTGGCTGGAGCAGCTTGATGCGACGCAAAGGAGTCGACTATCAGGGAAGGGGGTTAAATCAACTGCTCGACAGATCTATGACAAGTTGGGGGTGCCCGAGTCGGACAGACTGGAGCTGTCGAATGGATGGCTGAGCAGTTCCAGACGCGACATGGATTGAAGTTGAGTCGACGACATAGTGACGCATTGGTGAGCTCTGCCGAGGTGGATGTGGAGGCAGAACGGGGCAGCATTCGAGACGATATTGCGGTGTTTCTAGCTGGTAATGATACTGGCAATGGTGATGCGGAGGTGAGCCGTTCTTTGGATGACGTGTGGAGTGTGGGGATGACGACAATATACCTCGAGTGTAGTCCAATCAAGGGTGTGGATGGTACCAGCAAAAGCAGGAAGCGAACCGGGATCTCAGTCGGGCTGGTTGTGAATGCAGCGGGGACGGAGCATTTGGAACCGTTCTTTATCGAGCAAGACGATGACAGTGGGGACGAGCAGGCTCTTACTTCTAAAGATTATGCTAGTACTCGCGCCGAGTGCAAGGCTTTGAGTATTTTCCAGGCTTGGCTGCAGTCTAGAAATCAGCTGCTCGTCGACGCGAATCGACATGTGCTGCTGCTTGTACCCAAGTCTCGTGAAATAATGATTGAAGAAGCAACCGTGTTTTCTAATATCTGCCTACGACTCGTGCCACCAGCAGTGGCAAGCCATGTTCAACCGGGCAGCATTGGGCTTACGAGAATCTTTCAGACGAAGTACCGGGAGCTACTGGTGAATCGGGCCGTACACAAGCTCCATAACGATAATGACGGAATTATTCAAGCGGCCGAACTGTTTGAGTTAGGCACCACAGACACGATGGGGTTAGCGACGACAGCCTGGCAATTGGTTGGCTTAAGCTCAAAGCTGGTAGTTAGCTGCTGGCAGAAAGCTCGGATCCTCCCCACTCAAGCAGGTTCGACTTTTATCGAGGCAGATGCGTGCATTTCAATTGCCATCAGCGAGGAGCTGGCAAAGCTGGAGGAAGCGATACAAGTTCTGAGTCTAGAGGCAGAATCTTGCGGTGTTCCGATCACATGCGTGAGTGCGGGCAAATTTGCCTGCCTCGGCCTTGACAAAGCCCAGGGTACTTACTTATGCGTTGCGGAGCTGGCCCACCCCGTCGTCCCGCAACAACAAGTCAAGCATATCACCACCACGGTCGATAGCCCACCATCTACACAGCAAGAAAAGGGCTCCACAGAGTGCTGCTCATCGCCCAACGAGGAGAACAGCTCAACAGATGCAGACCTTCGAGGCATTATATCCCCGGTGCAGCAAGAATTATCCATCTCCCCCGAAGTCGTCCTGCACGCTCAGACAACGCTGGAGCGCTACTGGGCGCAGAACAATGTGACCCTGTCGCCAGCAGTTCTCGACGTTTTACAGCAAACTCGGGCTCAGCTCATGCAGCATCATGCGTCAACATCGTGAAAATCCACAAAAGCCCAATGATGCTGCCCTTGGTGGAATCTTGTGAAGTACATCTAGCGATGCTGATCGAAGTGCTCCAAGATGGAAGCATACTTCGCCGAGGCACGAAAACCAATCCCCCGCAACACTTATTAGCAGTGTTCGATGAATAGCATGGAGAAACTGTAACCAAACTTCTCGAAACTCACATTTCCGGTAAAAACAGTGATTTTACATTTCTGGAGATCTTTCAATCCGGCAATGTTGAGGACGGCGCTGCTGGGTGCGCGGCCTCTACGCAGCTTCGCGGGCTCCGCGCCCCGCACCCGCCTCCCGGGTGCCCCGCCACAAAGTCACTGGCAGGAAGCGCGCACCCAGTACCATTACCGCGCCAGGAGCCGTCGCCAGAGCCGCGCCGTGTCGGGCGACGTGGTGGTGCTGGGGCTCATCTCCGTCAACGCCGTGACCACCATGGCGTGGCTGCGCGCGCAGGCGCCTTCGCCGCGGCACCCGGCGCAGCGGCTGCGCAGCTTCAAGCCGTCCATGCGCACGATGCTCACGCACTTCACCACGTCCACGCAGCACCTGCAGGAGGGGCGCTACTACACGCTGCTGACGGCCATGTTCAGCCAGGCCACGCTGGGCCACCTGGGCGCCAACATGCTGGGGCTCTACTTCTTCGGCCGGCAGATGTGCGACGTGCTGGGCCACCGCAAGTTCCTCGGGCTGTACCTGGCCAGCGGCGTGCTGTCGTCCGCGGCCGCCGTGTTTGAGCAGCACCTGTCCGGCCGCCTGAGCTACAACCTCGGCGCCAGCGGAGCCGTGAACGGCATCACGGCCATGAGCATCCTGCTGTTCCCGCACGGGACGCTGCTGATCTTCGGCATCGTGCCCATGCCCGCGTGGCTGGCCGGCTCGCTGTTCATCTTCAAGGACGCGTACTCGTTCGTGACGGACAGGCAGGACGGCATCGGACACGTCGCGCACCTCAGCGGCGCCTTTATCGGCGGCGTGTACTACTACTACCTGCGTCGTGGTGGCTTCCGGAGCCTCCGACGCTTCTGAGATAAAAAAGTATTGGGGGGGCAGTTTTGTATCGTGGGGAGGTTAATGCAGGACAGAAGAGAAGTAAAAACTTTTGCGGACGTCGCTACCGTATCTGTACGCTCGTTAAGTGACGATCCCACGCGAATTCTTGCAGGTTTAGCTCCTAACCAGACTCGCTTCTACTTTCCGATACATGCATGTGTCAGTAGCTGCGAATACATGTACGTCCACTGGCATCGGTCCCCGCAGTTATTATAAAACTCCGATGCAAGACGGCATCACAACCGACCTCGCCATGTTGAAGTGCTTCATTCTGTGTACGCCACACCACATTTACCCACCCCTAATAGAGGCCCCAATAACAGGCGCAGTAACGTCGTGCAAATCGTGCCTTCACTTTACCTACAGCTCGTAGCGGTGGATCGATCGATCGATCGACTAATAAGGAGCCGCGGCGGAAAAGGATGCAGAAGGGCCGCAGCAAGTACGTCACCTAGCGTAGCCTAGGCCTGCCCTCGTGCTCCCCCCTAACACCTTCTCCTCCTGCTCCTTCTTCTCCCCCACTCGCTCGCTCGCAGCTCCAACCCGTCAGGCTTCCACAGTCTGCAGGGCGTGACCGTGCTCTGGCACGGCTGGCTCAAGAAGCTCGGGCGCTTCAGCAAGCGCTGGCGCAAGCGCTACTTCGTGTTCCTGTCCACGGCCAACGGCATGAAGGAGCTGCGCCACTACGACGCGTTCAAGGACGTCAACACGCTGCTCATGTCCACGCCCAAGGGAGTCATCTCCATGACGGACGCCACGGGCATCTGCTGCTTCACGCCGGTGCCCACGGCCGGCCGCAAACCCATGAAATTTGTGCGCGTCTTTATTAGATATCACCGGTTGTTGTTGGTAGGCTAACGCATTTTGCTAATTATTTGGATGGATTAGAACCGCTCGGACACGAACGATTCGAGGCCGGGGGCCTACGACCAGAAGTTTGCAGTGCTGACGCCTCTTGTACGTCGAAGTTTTTTCCCTATGGGAGGTGGCGGATGCACCTCTTATTGTGTCGTTGACTGTTTTGATGTTGTGGTAGCATGTGCACTTGCTGGCTTTTCACAATGGCCGAGAGTGGGGCGGGTATGCTGCTATTTTACGAAGTAATATGGTGGAGAGTGTTGCTGATATTTTCCCTATTTTTTATTTACTCCCAGATCGAGTGAGTCACAGCAGGGACTATCATTGCTGGCGTCGCTGTCGGCGTTTTACCCTACGGTGGATGTTCTTCATTCCGGGTGGATGGCAAAGCGGCGAGAGCGCAATGTGCACAGCCCCAAGAGCATCATGACGTACTGGAAGCGGCATTTCTTCGTGTTCCTGACCTCGGGCGACTTGCTTTACTTCCGAGATGACACATTGAGCGAGCTGCAGGGTCGCGTGGATGTTCGACACGCTCCTACGGTTCGAGTTACAGGGGAGCAGCTTATGGAGGAGAGGAAAAAGGATGGGGGCATGTTTAAGTTCGGGAAAATGCCGGCGCTCGAGCGGGAGACGTGCTTGATTTGGATCGCCACGCCTCCATCGAAGATGTTTGTATTGAAACTTGAGGATGACCACGATGAATCAGGGGGAGGTCTTGGTGGCGGGGGCAAAGGTGGGCCAGGCTCCTCTGGGGCTGGAGTTACTACGAGGAAAGCCGAGCTCACCCCGAGCTCCAAAAAGTGGCTGCAGTTATTGCTGCAGGGGCATGCGGAAACGAAGTATACGCAACTAGAAAAATGTATTGCGACGGGAAAATATGGACTGACGACAGAGGTAAGCAAATTAGTCCTGCATCTCGACACTCTCTTCACTGTTCACAAGCTTGTTTCTTCTTCTGCACGGGTTACAGATTATATCAGCGGTTCGTGCTGGAATCCCTGACGAGTTGCGAGGCCAGTTATGGAAAGGCTTTTCAGGTGCCACCGATCTCCAGCGCCGCGTCGAGCTCAAGCATGCTATTCGCAGTGCGTCTAAGTCATCTAATGTCTTCCGGATGCCTTCACGAGATTCAACAAGAGCTGGCTTCAAGTCCCCGACGGCAAAGAAGCATGCGATTTATGAAATGTGCTCTACGTCTATTGACGCAACAAAGATGGATACGCCAGAGAACCAAATGCTTTTCTCGCGTCTCTGTGCTTTGGCACTCCAAGAAAGCGGGCATGTGGCAGTCAGTGTGCGCCCAAGCGAGCTACATAATCTAACAGGTCGCTTTGGTCGCGCCGTCTCGGACGCGTCAAACCCGTCAGATCAGTATAGCGAGGACCGCGGATCATTTTATGACGACGAGCGCGACTCCATGGACGATGACGACGCTGAGCAAATTGAGATTGAAGAAGTTAAAGCTGGGCCCGACCCATTTGGTAAACGTGCGTCTGCACGCAATACGCTGAAGCAGCTTGAAAAGGGCAAAATGGGCAATTACGTGTACCCCAGCGACTACCCTGCAGCAGAATGGGAGTTAGCGGCTCGTCGTCGGCTCTTGATCGCAAGTTCGCGTTACAAGTAAGCTGGCTGTGGAGTTGTAGTTCATTTCTTGGATATGGCCGGTGTTATTCTCTAATCTGTGCTCCTGTTTGTTCATGCTTGATGCACGCAGTCCGTATTCGCATCCATTCCCGTGGCGCGTATCCTGCCTACTGCTGGCGTATGTCGAGGAAGAGAGCGCATTCTGGATCATCAACAGGTACGGGGTAGTTGGGGTCTATGCAATTGCAAAGCAAAACAATGTGCTAACGGAATATTTTCACCTTCACCCTTTGCAGCATAATTGATTCACTACTCCCTGGTTACTTTCACGGCTACCGACCAGCTTTGCAAATTGATGTGGCCGCTTTTACAGCCCTCCTGCAAGATCGCTTGCCGGCTCTGGCTTCCCACCTATCAACGCTGGAATTCCCTCTGGGTCGGCTAATCGAGCGCTGGTTCCTGAGTTTATTCACTGCATCACTAATCCCGCTCCCAACGGTACGAGATCTGTGCTTGATTCGCAGAAGGCCGAGTCACTAAAAGTGGTTTGCTCCAGGTGCTGCGGATATGGGACGCATTTTTCATTCGCGGCGTGCTGGTTTTCTATGGAGTTGGCCTTGCATTGCTGTTTCGCGCCGAAGAAACTTTATTTCATGCAAAAACTGCTGCTGAAGCTGAGGAGTACTTGCGAGTCAGTGAGCGCAGCTGCATCGATGCAGACGGAGTCTTCTCGCTTGTCTTCAAGGACGACCTCACTATTCCATGTACGGTCGGTCTGCTTGATCAAATTTGTCCGAAATCGGCTGAAGCTTAACATACTTGTGATTATTATCTGCTCAGGGCTTACGGATGAACAACTTGAAAAACTGCGGTCAACACACCGCCACCGAGTGATGGAGCGAGTATCGCAGAAAGTGAGCTACTTCAAAGACAAGCTGAGCATTCTCAAGCTCACGCAGGACCTCGGATCGCGCTGCCAGGCGGTTGCCAAGCAGTTCCTAAGCGATCGAAAAAGTGTGGCGGCAGCCTTGCAATTGAGTGCGGCCCACACCAACGGGGAGAAAGAACCGTACGACATGTACGGCCTCGACGACGAATTCAGCGATTTGGACGTTGGCTCCGAAAGTGACAAACTTGAGGACTCCTTCAAGACGACCCTGCACCTGCTACTTGAGCAAGTGAGGGAATCTTCCGCGACGGCCGAAGCACTTGCTGTCGAGTTAGGTCAACGGCAAGCAAAGTGGCTAGCGGCATCTAGCCAACTTGCTGCGTGTCCACTTGCTCGCCCGCCCACGCCAGACTCACACAGTTGGCTTTCACAAGTTAAAGAAGGTAAAATCTCGGGCGCAGGACATGATGCTTCTTCGCTCTTTTCAGCTAGAAGCGGTGGTTTCCCCTCTGCATCGCGTGTCATCGAAGCTTCCGGTATGGTGTTTGACACTGGTGAAACCCGCCTTCCAAGCAACGAGGTCGCAGGAAGTGGAAGTGACAGCTCACTCGCTGGCCAGCGTAGCTGCCTGTTAATGGAGAGGGAGGACCTCGGGCTATCAGACCGTCACCTCGCAGAGATGTTTCTGTACGCACTGGTGTCTTCGCTCAAGGCATTGTGCGCTGCTCGGCTCGAGTGCTTGGGTATCACCTATCGCTTTATGTGGCACGGCGGATCGTGGCTGGAATCTGCGGTTGAGTACCCCTCATTCTCTACGCTGTCGGGTACTGCTTCGGCTGCACAAAGCAGCAGTGCACCAGCCAGCTCACGCCAATCCGTGCGAATTAAAACGCCGGCGACAACTCAGTCATCAATTTCGTCCGTGTCATCACTTCGACGTCCACGCGCGGTGGACGACTCCGCGCTATCTGGTCGCAAACGCGGTGACTCTGGCGCCACAACGCCAAGACGAGGTGGACGACCAACTACGCGCAGCTTCTACAATCCGGGCAAGTCACCCACGCGACTACGTCCAAGCCTTTCGTCCGGGGACTTCTCAGTGTTGGAGTATGCAGCTGGAGGAGTGGGAACCAATCTGTACGACGACCCGATCATCGAAGGTCAGCCCGCTCCATCGTCGCCCACGTACGCCGAGCAGCTTGTAGACGGGAGCGATGCCTATCCGGTGACCCCTACGTCTCCACCCCCGCAAGAGAGCAACGCGTTTGGTTTGGAGTTTTCGCTTGGTCGCGGACTGGATCGCTGCGCCTCATCAACGCTGGACTCGTCAAGCAAGCCATTACTTGCAGCACTCACAGCGCAACACCAGGAAGGCGAGCACGTTTTCCGGGAGTCGCATAAGCGACTGCTTAGTGGGCTTGGCAAGTTTCTGCGTCTGGAATACCGCGACAAGGACTGGGCTCTGCGCGAGCGCGCTCTGACCATTGAGCGTGAGTTGCAGCAAGAGCTCCAAGAGATCGAAGCTGAGGTTCATGGTGCTCAATGGTTGCAGCACTAGACTAGACGAAAGCATGGGGGAAATAACAACTTAAACACGAGACTGGATAACTTACGCTTCGCCCTCAGAGCTGTGTGAGCGGGCCTTTGACTCCGTTACTGGTTGGCTGTGCCCCCACCACGGCGCCAATCTCGCTAGTGAACGGATCTCCGACGCTGCTGTCGCCGGCTTGGCTGCTTGTACTGCTGGTTGAACGCTTGAAGAAGTGCGGCGATTCAGCGAACGGGTTGTCGGGCTCGTCATTGCTGAGCACTCGGATCCCCAACTCCTCCATGATCTCCGTCACAGCCAGCCAGACTTCCGACTTGAGCATCGCGTACTTCCGCGCATCCAGCTCTTCCGTATACGAGTACACGCGGATAGTGTACAGCTCCTCCATCGCGACAAAGTAAAACCGCTCCCACTTCTCGCCATGCCGCAAGTCCGACTGGTTTTCCTCATGGGAAGTGAGCCCGACATGCAATGACTGCAGCATGCTCTCAAGGCGACGGAGCGCCTGCCGCAGCGTCTCGACTGGTGTGGCGCGCGACACTCGAACATGCAAGTCCACGTCTCGCTTCGGTCGCTGCGAGAAATTGATCATGGGCTTGTACAGAAAGAAACTGTTGGGCACATACAGAGTCGTCCCCTCGAGGCTCACAACCGTTGTGTAGCGCAACGACACACGATGCACGAATCCTTCAGCGTCTCCAACGCGGATGAAGTCGTCAATTTTGAACTGCGAGTTGAACGCGAGAAACAGCCCACCCACGACATTGTGGAACGACGGCACAAAGCCCAGCGCGATCGCCAGCCCAATCACTCCCAGTACCGAGTACTTCAAGGTGGCGCTGTTGCCCAGCGCGGACGAGTAAATGATCAGCGCGATAATCAGCAACGTCGTTAACCGGAGAATCTACAGCCGAAAGAGCAACAATGAACAGTACTATGAGCCACCTCGAAGAATCTTGAGATAAGTCGAAGATAAACTACAGGTATGCCATGCCGCGTACCTTGACCGATTCAGAGATGACCATCTTCTTGGAGAAATCTCCATTGGCGCCAACAAAGCGACGAATAGCCAGCTGTAAATTCACAAGTAGCAGCAGCAGCATTCCATCAGTACGAACTTGAAAAATAAGGATCGATATCATGCGCAAGAACTTTGAGGACGCACGCTTTGGACGACGTTGAAGAGCGAGTACAGCCAGTAGAGGAAAAATACGCCCCAGATGTAGGTGGGCAGGTGGCAGAAAAACTTGAGCAGGTCCGACACGCTGAGCGCCAGGAGCACGAGGGACATGGAGATGAGGTACGACGTGGAGCCGACGCAGGACTCGCGGAAGTCCTCGGCCACTCTGCAACAGCAGCAGCACAACACAGAATATGAATACCTCGGATACAGATAGATACATGAGCTTGACATGTGCTGGCTCGTACTGGTGCATGAACGGCAGCTTGGTGAGCACGAAGATGAGCAGGCGCACGAGCACGCGCGGCAGGAACGTGGCGAAGAAGACGAGCACGGCGGCCACCACGAGCTTCGGCGCCTTGGAGCTGCGCCACCACTCGGGCAGGCAGGACACGGACGCGCAGTCGTCATTGCAGCTGCTGTCGGCGGCGCGTGCTGCGTCCAGGCGCAGCAGCAGCAGTAGCAGCACGGGCCGCAGCGCCGTCGGTGCCATCGTCGCTCTGTGCCGTTTGCAAATATTAATAACTAGATTTTCATCACATTACACATGTATATTTCCAAAATGCAAGTATTGAAAATCATATTTCCAAATTGGTGAAAATCCAAACAGTAGATAAAATCCACAGATTGTGTGGCTAAAAGACCATCAGTTCCGATGTTGCGAGCACTACTCCAGCCCTGGCACCGCAACAAGCCACCCCTCGTGTCGCTGCAAGGCCTCCAAGTCGTCAAATTCAGTTCCGTTCTGACTAGGACTCGATGCTTCAGCCCCACGGGGTGTGAGGAAGAGCGACGGCCTGGGAGAACTGCCGCGTGGGACGAGAAGGTTGTGGTTGCGCTGCGAGCTACAAGGAGGTCAATGGAGACGCGCTATGGACTTGGGAAAGCCGTAAGTGTCCTGCGTGCTCGAGCCACGAGACAAGAGTTCTCAGCGCGGATGGAGGCTGAACTGAAGGCGCTTAACTTCTCTTCCAATGTCAAGCAATTCCAGTGGGACGAGGTCATCATGCCAGCTCTGCGCCACTTCTACGCGGTGAACGGCCACACGGATGTTTGTAGAAGCGTTTGTCGTCCCGGATGGCGACGACGCGTGGCCACAGTTGTCGTGGAACTGGGCACTGGGTAACACGGTTAATTGTATCAGGAGTCGAAAGTCGTATGAACGGCAAGTGGAGCAGTCCAAGGAAGAACTCAAGGAGTTGAAGTTCTGTTTCGATACGTCGGTTGCTGAGCGTAACTGGAATGAGAAGGTTCTTCCGGCACTGAAAGTGTACCGTCAGATGCATCACCATTGCATCGTTGAGAAAGCATTCAAGGTGCCTCGTGAATCACCATGGCCTGAAGAAGCGTGGGATCTTCATCTTGGCTCGGTTGTCAACAGTATTCAAGTGGGAAAAAATTATGTGCAGCTCGCCGCTCGAGACGAGGATACTCTGAAGGAAATAGGATTCGCGTGGGATCGTGATGTGTCCACTTGGAACGAGCGCATCTTTCCAGCGATTGAGACCTACGTCGCTGAATTCAACACTTGTCGGATACCCACGGTGTTTGTTGTGCCTTGCGTGTGAGCCTTGGCCCAAGACTGCATGGGGCATGGGACTTGGGAAAAAAGTGTACACGATGAGATACCGCGGGGATTATTTTTCGTGCTTGGGGCGTGACGTTGATCGGTTGAAAGCGTTGGGATTCACCTTTGAGTTGAGGCGACGGGCGTGGGAGAATTTTGTTGATCCGTTGCTGGGTATCTACGAGGCCACTTTCGGTGACAGAGTCGTCCCGCACGACTTTGTGATTCCGTCCGAGGCTCCGTGGCCAGACAAGATGTGGGGGGTTCACCTGGGGGTGCTGGTGGCGAGCAATTCCTGGGCAGTTGACGCGGCGGATCATGAACGACCGTAGTTTTAAGTGCCGGTCACTGGCTGCAATACGTTCAACCACCCTTGCACTTCCGTGGATAGATGGGATGAGGAGATTTAGAAGTATATGTACTCCAGTGCGTCGAGCGAGTTAGTAGAATGCGTAGGGCTGCTGTACAACCACTTCCTGCAAGCACTTCAACTTGGGCAGTGTGTGCACCACATCATAGAGCAGCAGATTTTAGATTTACTGTATTACCTAAAGCGATGCGCTCGTGGTTCTACACCAAGTGAGCTGCGTCCGCCATGACGCTCTTCCTCTCCATACGCTAACGAGACCTTGCTACCGGCAGATATGGAGGCCCCGCGGTGCTGCAGACGGGCGACCAGCCCGAGCCGGAGCTGCGCGGGCCCAAGGACGTCGTGGTCAAAGTGCACGCGGTGGCGCTGAACCCCGTACGTCGTGCATTGCTCAGCTTGTGCTTAAGCTTGAGTTGCTGATGCTAGTGCGACGTTGTGAGTGACTGCAGATCGACTACAAGCGTCGCCAGGGTGTTCTCAAGATGCTGCTGCAGGAGACGTGGTGGGCAGCTTGAACGACCAGTGACTAGGCGATTGGAGGTGGCGCCTTGAGGCTAACATACTGGGTGGACCGTTGTGTGTGGTGTGCAAGGCCACATATCGTAGGGTATGACTTCTCGGGGGTCGTGACCAATTGCGGGGATGCACTGGACACGTTCGCACTGGGCGACGAGGTGTTCGGAATGCTGCCACACGACAGCAACGGAGCTCTGGCGGAGTACGTTGGAACGTTTCATCAACTGTGGGTGAGAAGATCTCTGATCTGTGCAATTGCTTCCGCTGCAGCTTCATCGTGGTGCAAGCGGACTACATCAGCAAGAAACCAGCGAACCTGACGTGAGGACGGCTGATGAATGGCTTTGGCCGGCGAGGTTTGGCCGGCGAGGTGTCGGTGGTTGACTGGTTGGTTTGGAATGTGAAATATATCTGTGCGCTGGTTGTAGGCATGTGGAAGCTGCGTCGTTGCCACTGGTCTCGCAGACGGCGTTGCAGAGCTTTCGACTAGGCCAACTCGCTGAGAACAAGAAGGTGCTGATCACGGGTGGAGCTGGCGGCGTGGGCTCCGTTGCGATTCAAATCGCCAAGTCCGTCTTCAAGGTGTGTGCGTACCCTTCGCCGTATTAGTGAGTTTCTACTGGGCTGATTAACACGTATAAATGGCTCGGTAGGCACAAACTGTTGCAACCACTGCAAGCACCAAGAAGCTGGAGCGAATGAGGCTGCTCGGCGCAGACGAGGTGGTGGACTACGGACACGAGCGCTTCGAGCGCGAGCTGGCAGAATACGACTTTGCTCTGGACTGCACGGGAGAGGTCCGTACTCTACGAAGCGCAGCTAAGTAGTGCTTGGCTCCAGTACTAACATCCAAACGATGCTGTAGGCTAAGCAATGCTTCGAGTGCGTCACGCGCGGCGGCGCCGTCGTGTCCATTGCTGAGACGCCAACGTGGAAATCGCTTTCAACCAGCGGCGACCTCCAAGGAGTGAGCGTGTCCTACTTCCTTGGTGCTATCCTGGATTGCCTGAGCAGCTCGGTGACGCGCCGGGCCCGGCAAGCTCAAATCACGTACGAGTACCTGTTCACAGTGGCCGACGGTGCCGTCATGGACGAGATCCGGCAGCTAGCAGAGCGACGCGAGCTCACGCCTGTGATCGACAAGGTTTTCCCGTTCGAAAAGGCCGACATGGCGATGGAATACTTGGAAGCGGGGCACGCCATGGGCAAAGTGGTTGTGCAGCTCATTGACACCACCAAGGCGAGCTGAGCAACCCCACTCGATCCAGACAGAAACCGCCAACACAGAGCACACACATGAGAGCACGTTGAATGAATCACATACATCTTTCTATTATCCAACGCCACTCCATCCCAATTCAGCAGCTATTTCACTTAATGGGGTGTGCTGCCGTAGCGCGGCGTCCTCTTACGCGAGCGCGTACTGTACACAGCCCGAGGAGTGGCATTCGACGCCAGCACGGCTTCAGTAGCGTCGACTTTTTCAGTTTTGCGACTTTGCGAGTGGAGCACGAGGAACGTGCCACCAATAACGAGAGAGGCTCCCACAAAGGTTAAAGGTCCGGGCATCGCGTCCACGCCCATGACAATGCCTTGCGCCGTGGCCACAATCGGCTCCATCAGACAAACCACTGACACGACGATGGGATCGAAGTATTTCATCACGCCAATGTAGCCCATTGTGCCGATGCCATCGCAGATGAAGACGAGGTACAAGACCACAAGCAGGCGGTGAATCGACGGAGTCAACCACCCGAACACGCCGTTGTACGGATCCGTGGAGAGACTCAACTGCTCACCCGAAACCAGCATGTAGACGAGCAACGTGGTTGCTGATGTAGCCGTGAGGCCACACAGGAACACGAGCAGGTGCATGTGCGGGCGCACCTTTTTAGCCAGCGTGAAGTAAATCGCTCCACCTGCAGCACCAGAGAGTGCTACGAGGTCGCCTGCAGCAGTCGGCGATACAATGCTCGGATCTGCCTGGGTAGAGTCCATACTGGTGATACCACCGCCGACAACGCCGATAGCAGCACCCAAGGCCTCGAACGGGGCCACGGGTTGTCGCTGAGCGAGTTTCCAGAACACGATCAATGTCGAGTGAGCGTTGTTAAACAGCGTGGCGTGACCAACCGAAGTCAACGACAGCGCCGCAACGAACGAACCAAGGAAGAACGCGTACGCAATACCTGCGGCGACAATGGAAGGAAGCAGATCCCTCAACTTGGGCGCATGCGGATCACGTTCGCCTCGGAAAAGAATCCACATCGCCATGGGGAAGGTGGCCATCGATGTAGCCATGTTTCGCCAGAAGATACGAATCACGGGTGTGACGACATCGTCAACCTCATCCAGAGCGACACCCACGGAGGAAATCGTAAACAGAGACGAAAGCAGCAACATGTAACCGATGATCGGGGCCTTGCGCTTCACCACGACAGTCACCTCAAGGTTTTCGTCGTAACCACGCGTGTTCAACGAGATCTGCTGAATGTCGGACGGCAGAATCGTTGCCTTGTGCAGTGGAGTCAGCGTAGCCCGCGGAGTAACCAAGCTTCCCGCGATAGACATCTCGTCCTCTTCAAAATCCTGTTCATGCTTGCCTGGCACAGCCAGCAAGTACTCCGACATGCCTGATCCCGGAGGTAAAACGCCTGACGGATCGCCCGGAGTCATCTCAATCAGGTACGCGTGATGCTTGGAGTTAACATCCTCGACGGTCTTGGAAGTCTCGTCATCCATGGGGAACGACAACACAAACGGCGACAGCTCGTCATTTTCAAACGCGGAGCCCTTGCTGTCCATGAACGACCGCGCCGAGAACGGAGACCTCGCGGAGCGGTTCGACCACAGTCCTTTCGAGCGCGCACTGAACGACAGCAGCGGCCGGGATTCCGAGTCATAAGCACCGCTCGGGGTGAGCCCCTCCCCATCAACATCGGCCACTTCAGCTTCATCCTCCGAATAGTCCGCATTGCCTACGCCCACGACAAAACCCTTGAACAGCTTGGAGCCGTCCGTGTTGCCTGCAACGCGAAGTGACAGGTCCGGGTCGGGCGCCGACACTCCAATAACCACATTCTTCGTAAGCGAGGGGTCCCCGACAGGCGTCGAGGCCAGGAAGACCGTCCAGGGCGACAACACAGCCGTGCCATCCGTGTCTTGAGTGTACGCCAGCTGCTCCTCTGTTTCAATGCTGAACCACGTCTCTCCAGCCGTCGGCAGGTACGTCAACCGGCTCGAAGTGGTAGCTGCAGTGCTCTTCTCCCGGGAAAACTTGGCCGTGAAGCTGTCGAGCGCCTCGGCCAGCGAGAAGTAGCTCTTCTGCCCCGCCAGCGCGTCCAACGCGTCGAAAATGGCCGGTGAGCTGAGGAACAGACCAGCGTCAATGCCGTCGTAGTCCTCCAAGTCACGTCCAATGTGCGTCACGTGCTGGTGGTCCTCGTTGATCTTGACCTTGACTGTCGTCGGCGGTAGACCCGTCAGCTCGGCGATGTCCGTCTCCACCAGCACACAGGCGACGGCGTCCCCCAGCTGATAGGCTGACAGCTTGGAGACCACCGACTTGTCGAAGATGTGGTCGGCCGTGTGGATCAGGAACGGCTCCGGGCCGGTGAACATGCGCCTGGCCGCGAGAATGGACCGGGCGTGTCCGTCGTCGTTGTCGCGCCCCAGGTCCAGGAACTCGATCTGCATCTTGGTGTAAAAAGGTGTCTGCTTGACTGCCGCCATGATTTGCCCTCCCGCGGCAGCCACGGACACCACGACGCGCTCCACACCAGCGGCGTAGAGCTGCGTGAGGATGTGGCTGATGATTGTCTGCTGGCCCAGTTGGATGAGGCACTTGGGGCGCTGGTTCTCGTCCAGACTGCTCGGGCGCACGGCGGCGGTGAGCAGCACTTGGCGCACGGCCGGGCGGCGCGACGTGGGGGTGAGCGCCAATGGCGCGGGCGAGCGCGCGGCCGTGGGGCGGCCTGGGGGCAGCGGGGGCAGCATGATGGGGCGCGGAGGCCGAGAGCTCGGCGCCTTCGTCTCCGCCTCCGCCGCCTCCTGGACGTCGAGCACCACCTGCTCCTGCGTCTGCGACGACAGCGGCGCGTGCACGGCGTCGTGGCCCACGGTCTCGAACGGGACGTTCTCGCCGGCATCCACGATGACGCCCTGGATCTCGGAGCGCGACGGGTCCGCCTGGAAGCCCGAGAGCAGCTCCGTCTCGGGGATGCGCAGCAGCTGGCTCACACGCTGCAGGTCCAGCGCGTAGACGGCCGTGGGCACCTCGGCCTCCACGTCCATGGGTCGGCGCTGCACCACCATGTTGCTGGCCAGGGGGGTCTTGAACTGACGCTCGGCGGACGAAAGGGAAGTGATTTGCGTCACGGGCGGAACGGAGATTGGTGGGTGAAGTAACGGTTGGTTTGACTTGCTGTTTGTATGCCTGAGTAGAACCAGAGGACCTGCTGCAAAGCGCACTTGGTTCGGTGGCGAGTGCTGGCCCGGTTGGCTGACAGGACCGACGTTGCGGGTTTATCGCACGGCGCTAGCTGCACGTGGTGCCATGCGGCCGGCAATATCGTGGCCAGCCATCTGGAGCAGCACGCAATTCATGTCATCGCGACGGACAAAGGACGCCTACACTTGGATTCGCCGCGTACTCGGGCATTGGGTTGGTGGTTGTCAAAGCGAGGGGGGTGGCTGGCGCTGGCACTTGCTTGCGGCCAGTCGAACTGAAAATTGAAGCGGTCCAACGGCAATTGCAGCGCAATTGCACGAGCTTGTCTCTTGGTGGCAGGCAACTCATGTTGCTAGCCACTGACTCGCGACGCGTGCAAGGTCTTACCAGTTGACTATTCTATTGCCCAGTCGTTAAAAATTGACTCCAACTGCTCCAGGCTGCTCCGCTGCTTTGGACAAGCGCACAAAAGAGGCTTTGCACGACCAGGTTGTCGACTGCAACAGCCTCCGATCTCTCTGTGGCAACGACAGCACCAGCTTTCGGTTGTGCGTGCGTTGATGACATTGATGAACTCAAGCGACGGTTCTGATGCTCGTTTGTTTTGGTCGACCTCTCCGGTTTGTTGTCGGAAGCGCGTCAAATGGCCGAGTTACTGGCTTCCAGCAACAATGCTATTGGAGCGATGCCACCTCAATCAATGAACCGTAATAGCGCAACCTGATCTTGCCGAGGCCATACAAATGCATGGCAGCTTTCCGCGCTGCGGTCTCGGAGCTCGACAAGATGTCGGTCGGCCATGTTGAAGTCATTTTTCCGAGCGGCGATTGGACGAAAGGGGATCCATGCAAGGATCCCGTTTCGACCAATCCGGGGGCGTTTCCCACTTCACTTGCGCTTTGTATCTCCCGGCCACAAAGCCCAAGAGCTCCGCTAGTGCGTCGCCGCCTCCGCCGCCGCTGCGCGTACACGCGTCGTACCCCGCCACAGCCGTGACATGCCCCCGGGGCTCCTACGTGCTGCCTAACGGTGCGTGCCGGCGTTCGTCCACCAACCACGTGTCTCCCGAGCAGCGGGAAGCAGCCGACAACGTGGCTGTCTTGACACCCCTGCAGAATAGTAGTTAGTAGTATGTAGAACCGAAGGGAGGGGCCCCTACAGCCAGTTGCTGACACACCCTCCCACACTCTACCATCTTTGCCCTTTATACATGTAGACCCACCACCGCCATGAGAAAGAGCCGCCCCATGTCGCCGTCGCCGTCTCGAGGGCCGCGGTCGCTGTCGCCGCCCAGGGGCTCCCCCGTGCACGGCGAGGGCAAGATCTCGCTGCGCGTGGACCAGCCCGTGGAGGGCTGCAAGATGATGACGCACGCCTTCTTCCGCTCCGGGGACGGCGACATCGACGACAAGAACGTGGACATGCAGTTCCACTGGTACAGGTCCTCCATGCGGCGCGCGTGCGCCAACCCGGAGTGCACGCGCCACACGAGCGACGGCGCCGGCAACGTGCTGCTGCTCGTGGCCAAGATCGAGTGCGTGCAGTGCTGCCGACTCGGCATCACGCGGGAGCACTCGTGCTTCTGCAGCCCGGACTGCTTCCGCCTGGCCTGGCACAAGCACAAGCAGCTGCACGACACGCAGGCCCTGCTCGAGACGCAGCAGCGGGAGGACGGCGACTTTCCCTGGAAGTCGCAGCTGCACAACATGGAGACGTTCTGCCCGCTGCCCAAGGAGTCGTGGGTCAAGGTGCAGGAGGAAAAGTACGGCCCTAGCTTAGCTACTTGATGGAACCGTGTCGTTGACCCACTTTTTGGTCGGGACGGAGTTTCTCACGCGCATGCTGCTCTTGTCTTGCAGCCGGTCGTACACGCCTTCCGCTGAGGACGTCGGCCACGTGATTCGAGTGGAGTGCCAGGCCACCAAGCGTGTCGGCGGCGGCGTGCTGACCAAGACAGTCGACACTGGGATCGTGCTGCCGTGTAAGTTGTGTGCTCTCTTGTACTGCTCGGACGGTGTGTGCTGAAACTGACGCGATTGGTGCTGGCCTGACCAAAGTTCCGCCCATGCCACCGCGTCGGCAGATGCTCGCGAACGTGAACGAAGAGCGGTTGACCCCGCGGCTGCGGCAGATTGGCGTCTTCCGAGTGCTCACGTACAACATTTTGGCCGAGATCTACGCGACGCGACAGATGTACCCGTACTGCCCGATCTGGGCTTTGAGCTGGTCATTCCGGAGGGAGCTGCTCAAGCGCGAGCTGCAGTCGTACAACGCCGACATTATCTGTCTCCAAGAAGTACAGGGTGACCACTACAAGAACTTTTTTGCTCCGATGATGGAGGACTGGGGCTACGAGGGCTGGTACTTGAAGAAGTCGCGCGAGTCGATGGGGCTTGAGGGCAAGGTGGACGGCTGTGCGCTCTTTTACAAGCGCAACCGATTCATCCTCAAGGAGCGGTACCCAGTCGATTTCAACGACCTCGCGAACGAGTTCCTGAACCAGGTGCAGACGGAGTACGACCTAGACTACCAGGGCCCGTCGATGGCAGCTCGCGAGATGTTCTTGTCGACGCTCAACAAGATGCGGCAGCGGCTTCAGCGCGACAATGTGGCGCAGATCGCCGTGTTAGAGGTGGTCCCTGCGAACAACGAAGTCGTCGCACGGAAATCGCAGTCGGGGCCGCTGATCTGTATCGCGAACGTGCATATTTTCTCCAATCCGAAGTTCCCTGACGTCAAGATGTGGCAGACAAATATGCTCGCGAAGCAGGTATCTTACTGAAATTCAGATATGCTAGGACGGGGAGATATACTAACCTACCTCTGTGTTCTTGTTGCCTTTGCCAGCTTGAGCGGGTGACGCTGAGTCGCAACTTGCCCACGATTCTTTGCGGGGACTTTAATAGCGAACCTACTAGCGCAGTGTACGAATTTATGACGCGCAACCACGTGCCGCTGGACCACCCAGACATCCAATACCCGCCGCCGCTGATCGCGAACATCTATGCGTCGCTGGATCTGGAGCACAGCATCGGCTTTGCCAGTGCGTATGCATCCGTGTTTGGCGCCGAGCCGGAGTACACGAATTACACAGGTACGTGCCGATCTGTCGAGAGATATTGACCGCACTCGTGCTAACACCCTGCATGTTTGTTGCTGCCAGGTCACTGGACAGGGGTCGTCGACTACGTATGGTATACACCGGAGACGCTGACGCCGTTCGCCGGACTGAAGGTGCACCCGCCCGAAGTGCTCGAGGCGTACTCGAAGACGGCGCTGCCCAACTGCCAGTTCCTGTCGGACCACGTTCCTCTGTGTCTAGACTTCAGCATTAAGGCGGGCGCCATCAACAATGGGAGATACTGATAGAGGAGCTCCTCGCAGACACCCAAGTCTGCCTCTTGCCTCCGTGTACAATGTCCACACCTTACCATAATCATCTTCAAGTCGGACCACAAAGTGGCTCTCTTACAAACACCAAGTCAAATCATGTCGCACTAGCGTCCCCATCTGGCTGCTGCCACACACCCGTCCCCTCTGAGCAAAAGACTTCACTTCACCTCACTCCTCGAGCTCGAACGATGCAGACGTCGCAGGTGTACGCGGTGGACCGCGTGTACGGCGACCTGCAGCCGCAGTTCGTGGCCAAGGACGTGCTCAAGGCGCTGTCCCAGCTGGACGCCGTGGTCGGGGACGTGTTCAACCGCCTGGCGCACAAGGTCTCGCAGGAGAAGGAGCGCGTGGCCGCCGTGGACGCGCGCATCCAGGTGTGCCAAGCCAAGGTGAACGCGCTCACGGCGCGGCGCACGAGCAACAAGCCCACGACCGTCTTCTCCACGTCCAAGTACCCGGCCCCCAGGCAGCTGCCGCTCTCCAGGACGCTGTTCCACGACAAGCCGTACGCCGACGCGCCGCCGCTCGTGCCCGACGCGGACGACGACACGCACTTCCTGCCGGCCGAGCCGCTGCCCCCCGCGCAGCGAGGCCAGCACATGGCCGAGGTCGTGGAGCTCTTCGAGAAGGTCAACGAGTACCAGAAGACGCAGCAGCCCGAGGCCGACATGGAGAAGGAGGGCCTCGGCCGACTGCCCGAGTACATCCCGTCCGTGGGCAGCGTGCTGCTCTTCAACTCTGGGGAGAACCCGTACCAGAAGGTGGACTAGTGATACTTGCTACTGACAGTGTAGTGTAGTGTAGTGTTAGTGGGGGGGATTGGACTCATTGTTGTTGTTTGTTTGTTTTTGTGATGTAGTACACGTCATGGGACAACTTGCTGGGGACGGACTACGAGGAGGAGGAGGAGAAGCGGAAGGAGCTGGCCAAAGCCCCGCGTACCATTGAATACGGAGACGAGCTGGTGCGTGGAGGCTTGAGTTCCTGCTGTGGTTTGGAGTGTGAGCTGACGGACTTTGTCGCTATTGTGTTTAGCCGGCCGTGCACGGACTCAACTACGAGTTCCACCCGTCGATGGGCATCATGCCGGACATGTCGGCGAAGCTGCCGACGAACCTGCCGCTCGAGAACATCGCCGACTACAAGTACGCGCAGGAGAGCAACACGTCGATCGCGCCCTCCATGTTCCAGGACAAGGCGCTCCCGGACCTGCCTGCGGTCGCGAACTTTGCAGAGGGACCAGTCGCACAGGAGCCATCGGAGCAGAACTTCCAAGTGGGCCCCGTCGACGGCGCTCCACCTCCACCTCCACCGGCGCCGACAGTTGACTTCACGAAAATCGACGACGGTGCACCCCCGCCGCCGCCACCGCCTCCCCCCGCTCAAGAAGACGAAGAGGACGACTCGGCCCCGCCACCGCCCCCGCCACCTATGGCTAACAGTGAAGACGAAGACGCGCCCCCTCCACCACCGCCGCCGCAAGAGGTACGCGCTTTTACTACAATTATCCCATTTTCTGATGATACTTGACTGATTGATCCGCAAAATGTGCGTTGCAGGACGGACCTCCGGCACCTCCGGCTCCTGAGGAGGAAGATAACCAGCCACCGATCGTTAGCTTGCTGGATCAGATTCGAAACCCCAACATCAAGCTCAAAAAGGTAAGCCTTGCCTCGCCCTTCCATTATCGTGCTATTCAACAAAACTCCGCTAACCATGACATAATAACAGGTGGACCCGAACGAAAAAAAGGACGACCCCATTGCAAAGGCAGGAGATACCGCTAACAAACCGCTAACAATCGCCGAAGAAATGCAGCAGCGAATGCTGCGGCGACAGGCTGCTATCAGCGGCAAGCAGGACCAGATGGAGCAGAAGCGTGAGCGAGAGAAGGCCGCCGCGAAGCCCGTGACGGTGCTGACAGCGAAGGAGGTGACGGCTCCAACCCAGCCTCCGCCTCCGCCACCTCCGTCTGACGACGGTCAGCAGCACAATAAGCTACCGACGCTTGCGATGTCGGACGATGGCAGTGACGACGGTCGTGGCAACATCTCCGACGACGACAAGTCGAACGATGGTGACGATTTCTTGGCCCAAATTCGGAACATCAAGAAAAAACAAGAGGAGGGTGGTCCAAACACGCAACCACGACAGCCGCCACCACCACCCAAAACACAAGAAATCAAGAATCCAGTGGCGGACTTCGAATCGGTGCGTTCTGCTACGTTGGTATTTGTTCTTGCATTAGTGATCTAACACGGTTACTTTGTGGTGTTGTAGCAAATGATCGGACTACGGAACCGTGAGGACTCCTTGAGCATGTCTGAAGCCTCGGATTGGTCGGACGACTAGACAATGCCGTGAAAATAACGCTGGGCGGCATCTTCAGGTCGAATGCGGATCCGTCATAAATCAATCCTGGTATCGCCAACGTCTGGCCAACCTGTTTCTGTTTCTGGCGTTGATCATTACGTTGTTCGCGTCTAGTTGCTTTGTGGTGCCTTCACTGACTCCATCTTCCTCATCCGCCTCGCTATTCATTAGATGGCAGTCACAAGTGATTCGACCGCAGCCGGAGCACATTGCTGAGCTGGGATCTTCTCGCAAGTCCGTTTTCGGCAACCGATATTCGAACGAGAAGTCCTGAGTGATTGCCTGCATTCGCTGAACTGCCTCGTTGAAGCCGTGGAGAACGTTCGAGTCGCGCTTCATCTCCATCATCACCTCGTTCTGCTTCGCTCGAGACCGCGCGGCGTCTTCAATCGCTTGCTCAAGTTTGCGCTTCACGAACTGCTTCTTCTCGAACGCTAGCACACCAAGCTCTTCCACTTGTCGCTTTGCTAACGCTTCCTTTGCAAATACCTGCAGGTCTTGGCGCTCGCGCTTAATGACATGCTTTCGCACATTCCTCGTGCCCCACCGAATACGCTGCAGCCGCACTCTCTTTGCCTTTTCCTCCGCAAACAAACTACCTGCTCGCTGCAGCTCCATGTCACGATACGACTCGAGCTCCATGGTTTCATTCAAGACGCACTCCTCCATATCGCGCTCCAGATCCTCCAGCTCGATGCGTAAGTCTTCGATCTCCTGCTCGTACTCGCGCACCTGCTGCTTCTTGGAGAGGATATCTTCCACACTGAGCTCAAGACTGAAGTGCAGGATGTGCTTCTCAGTCTCGAAAGCCTCACCCCAGCCTCGATCCAAGTCTTCTTCGGTGAGCTGGCTCAGCTCTTTCTCGACGACCGGCTGACGTCGCTCCCACTCGATTCGCATGTCTTTCATCTCCTTGACGCGCCGCAGTGTTTTCGCTTTGTACTTCATCACGCGCTTCAGATCGGCCCGCGCATCGAAGATGTCGAACTCGATCATCTCGCGGTCTTCTTTTGCCTGAGTGAGCGAACACGCCTTCCGCTCGATCAACGAGCAGAAGCGGAATTCTTTCAGCTGCTTCCGGCTGCAGTAGCTCCTCCAAGCAGATTGGACTGCAAGTGCGGCCTTACCAAAGCAAGCTTGATGCGTAAGACGGCGGAAGTTTAACTCCTGACGGGCTCGATAGCAGAGGTAGCATCGTTGAATCTTCCCTGCTGCAGCCTCCCACAGCATGAGTCGAAAGCCACGCAGCTTCTCCTTAATCGTCTTGACGGTGGATCGAGAGCGCCACATTTGCTGGAGCGTGATCGCCGCCTCGATCTGGTCGCGCGTGTCTTCCAACCGCTTCCGCACGATATAACCGCGAAACACGCGCTGAATTCTCGCGGCGGAGGGTTCCAACACACGCCGGTGGTATCGCTTCCGCTTCTCGCGCTGGATGAACTTCCTCGCGAGGATGCCACGCGCAATAGATCCGATGTGCGACGCCATCCGGTCCTGTCGTCTCAACTCCATGAGCTCCATCCACTTCTGGAAGTATCGTCGAGAGCGCCAGAACTTCTGAATCACCTTCGCTGCTTCGTTGGCAGCACGAAACTTCTTCACTAGGCGCCGAGCCAAGAAGCCCCGAATCAACGTCTCAATTCGTAGCGCAGCGGGTAAGTGCACTCGTATCCGCTCTATCGCCAGGCGTTTGGCTCTAACAAACAGTCGTTCTCGATGGCCACGCCACACTCGCTGAATGAGAACACACGCAGGAATGACAACTTGCTGCTTGTGCCTGGCAAGGAAAATCCGGTTAGCTCTGCGCCGCCCCATGAACCCTCGGACGAGTTTCTCCATCACAATGGCATGGGCCTGCAGGCGACGTATCCGCCGAGCTTGTTGTCGTCCGACGAACCCTCGATACACCCGCTGGAGGTTTAGTGTTGCGTCGTAGTATAGAATGCGCATTGCTTTGGTTTCTTGCCTTGACTTGTACGACCGATACACCGACTGAATGATCAGCACCGCACACGTGACAACGCGGAAGTATGCTCTCGCGTACTTCCGCCGTTGGTGACCGCGAAATAAACGCTGGAGGGCAAGTGCGCCCAAGTGCCGACGGAAGCATCGCCGTAAGGTTTTGCTCTGCATGTTGCTCCGATACAACTGCTGCAGCTTGATGACCACCACTAAATACTCGCGTCGACGCTTCAGATATTTTTTGATGAAGGCGCCCTCGGTGTTCTTGGCAAGCTTCTGGAAGGCAAGAGATTCTGCCCTCCCCTGGTCCATCTTGGCCTGCTCCTCTGCAATCATGCGCTTCACTTCGTCCGGGAGTCCGTGGTAGAAGTGCGGTACAGACTCTGTCTTGTGCCTGGAAACCAGCTCCTCCTGGTTCAGAGATACCAACTCCGCCAGCCCACGAGATACAGGAAGCACCCCCTGATTTACATTAAACGCTCGATCGTTCGCCAGGTGACTCACTCCGAATCGCTCAGTAAACGACCGCCCCATGTCTTGTTTGCTTCGTCCTGCCTTCCATTGTGCGGATGTTTTCGCACAGATAGTGAAATGACAAGCCACGGACCTCCACATCGGCATCGCGATCACATTATCACTGATAGTTGAAAAACTTCGCAACTGAGATGCGGTCGTTGGCCATAGAGTTTGAGTTTGCTGGAAGGCAGGCCTCGTGTCACTTTCTTCTTGAGCATTGGCAGCAGTTGGCGACGCGTTGAGCAAGAGCTCAAATATCAAGTCCATCCGCTCGTTCTGCGACTTCCTCTGGAATCTGTCCGACACAACCACCACTTGAAAGTGCTTGACCAGCTCCAGAGGCAGCTCGCTTTTCCGCGTGCTCAAACCTGTAAACGGGTTAGTGAGGTCGCGCGCCTTGACGGCAGCCTCGAGAGCCGTCATCGCCGCTTTCTCAGTGTCGAAGAAGCCGATGGACTTGATCGCGGCGTCTTCACTGGCGAGTCGAGGTATCGTGTGCCACGTACATTTGACAAGAGCATCAACTGTGGACTTCCGGCAGCAGATGTGGTAGATCTTGACCTCCCAGCGGATCTTGCCCTGCTTCTCCTGCTTGACTGACCGGTACCAGTAGCGCTTGGTGCCCAGGAGTCGGTACTGCAGTCGCGCGCAGCTCACATCACTCACCTCGAGTTGAACAGCAGCCAGAGGCTCCAGCAATACTGACTGCACCGCTGAACAAATAGCCGCACTCTTCTCTGCGGCAGGGCCTGGGGGCTGCGTCGATCTGCGCCGTGGCTTCTGTGACGAGCCGAGGTTCGAGAGCTGTCGCCGCAGCTGCTGGAGGTAGGGCGTGGCCCCCGCGTCTCCCGAGCTGCCACTACCGCTGGCCCCAGACTTGCTGTTGGTTCGGCTCAACGACATTGTGGAAGTAGGAACTACGCGTTGGAAGGCCCCATTGTCTTGATTCGGAGACTAGCCGAGCGGAGATGCGCACGAAGAGACACAAGTCTCAACTGACGTACTTGGATGCTTGTTATTGGTCAAAACCAGGTTGAAGTGCTTTTTTACTTAAAATCTTTCAGAATCGCGAGCAACTTCTTTTCAGCCTTCCTCCAGGACCTGTTCCGTTTATCCTTGACCTCGTCACGTTCGTCCAACAAGTCCATCTTCACCTTCAGGCTCTTTCCAAACGTCTGATCTGCGTAGACCTTGACCCGCACGTGGTCAAACAGTTGCAGGTTACGGTTGCTCACCGTCAGCGTCTGCTCCGTGGAGTCGAACTGCAGCTCAGACCCATCAGGATCATCCTTATTGCACAAGAAGACCGTGCCCTCGATCCCGAAACGCAGCAGCTCCACACGGATACTGTCGCTTGTAACCTTGATGATCTCTGCATCTGCGCGTGTTGGGTACTGCTGGAAGTGAAGTACTGTGAACAGGTTTTTCGAGGCTCTACCAGCGCGCTGAGATGCGCTGTAGCGCTTGTTTAGGTGCTCGCACAGCTCCCGGGCCTGCAATTCGTTCTTGAGACAGCGTGGGATTGGACCAACACCAATGGCCGCCGCTAACAGGCGATGCACCATTACGTCGGCGTAGCGTCGCATCGGAGACGTGAAGTGCGTGAAGACTGGTGCTGCCAACTTGAAATGATAACACTGCTCCGGGCTGAGGTCGCCTGATCGGAAGTAACTCGCCGACTTCCTACAAGATTTAGTCATCCTGCGTAACAGCTTGCTCAAGCTGCGGTTCGTGCGTCTTTCCGCCTGGACCAGTTTCCGCACAGTATCAATTGACTCCTTCAAGTGTTTGGTAGTCTCCACTCGCAGTTCAACTCCAGCACCTCTTGCATCTTGTACAAGTGGAGCAAGCTGAGAGCTGGAAGGTGTTGGGTGCCGACGGAGAATCGAGCACAACGGAAAGTGTTGGTGGATCTTCTTCGCGACGGAGACTTCAGCCAGCAGCATGAATTCTTCCACAATGGACTGATCACCTCGGTGTCTTGCATCCGCTTCACTATCGAATACGCCACCCGCCTCGTTGCGTTTCTTCCTCAACTTGGCGGCGATCATACTCAGCATCTTGATATTGTCGACCAAACGCAGTTGCTGTAGCCGTTCACAGCGTTGCTGGTTGGACTCAGCGCGATTCTCCACAGCGCTTCCACCCTTCGAAGGACGTAAGTGATCCTGCGCCTCGCTGTAAGCGAGGGATGCCACAGAGCGGATGATGGTCTTGCAGAACTCTACCTTGACGACCTGTACGTCGTCTTCAGTGATCTTTAGTTCCCACAGCACACTGAACGCGAAATGATCTTCGTTGGCTGTGAGCGAACAGAACTTCGTCGTCAAAAGATCTGGGAGCATATCGCATCGGCGGTTCACCAGGTACGATGACTTCCCTCGGGCGGCGGCTACTCGATCCAGAGCGGTTCCCGGAGCCACAAAGTGCGTTACGTCGGCAATGTGGACGCCCACCTCGTAGTTTCCGTTCACACGGAACCTGACATGCAGTGTGTCGTCAATGTTCCTGCAGTTGGGCGGATCGACACTGAAGACGTGCAGGCGACGCAGATCACGACGCCCCGCGGAGTTCTGTGGAGTGATCTCCCAGTCTTCAGGTGGCAGGCAACGCACCACTTCACACTAAAATCGTTTCTCGCGATGTTGTGCTCGATAAGCAACACGTCGGTCTCCGTTATCTCATCTCCGATGCCACCCAACGCGCACGTAGTGACCCAGGGGGTAGTTGCTGTCTACAGGCCAGGAACCAATTTCCACTAGCAGCCTCTTGCCCGCAAGTGCTTCCTGCTGACGAGTCTGGATTTTAATCTTCGGCATCTTCCGGTCCACGGGTACGACGAGGCATGCACTTGGCGCATTGAGTGCCGTACCGTGATGAGAAGAAAGCTCCAGCGACCCGCAACATTTGCGCCAGTTCCGCTGAATAATCCCAACGACACGACCAGTAGGCCGCACAGTCCGTTTATCATCAATTTCGCCTGCATCTTGAGCTTGTCGCTCCTCCTCGTCACCAGTCTCTTCCAACGCAGACACGTTGCCACTATCGTCACGCGAATCCGACGTCTTTTTCCACTGTCTTTCGGAAGCATTTGAATAGCAACCACATCACCGTCAATAGCACGATTCATATGGCTCCACCCCTCGACAACAACAGGGATCTAAACACCGTTTGATCCGTGAATTAGTACGCGACATACAAGTCTGTGCTCGCATCGGATCGTCCCCAGGAAAAGCTTCTTGCTCTCAATGCCAGTCGCTATCTCCTCCGCTCGCAAGTGCTCGGGGTATAGTTGCTGTTGTTGGCCACCGCGTCCAGCTGAGCTGCTCGCCCCTTCCGCCTCTAATGCGTTCTCCTCGGCAGTTGTAATAGATAAAAGCTCTTGCAACTCGGGAAACTCAGCAGTCACGGGCTCTAAGAACTCCGCAATAGTTACTCCTCCATCTACTCCACACTTTTCAGCATGCTCCAAGTCCTCAGCATCATGAGCCAGAAACAACACCTTGACGTCGTCTCGCTGGAGCTCCTCCAAGTGCTATGTGTACCATCTCCACGTTGCGGCAACAGCTCTCTCATTGCGCTCCTCCTCACTCTCTCGCTGTGGCTCAACCTCGTCGTCATTCTCGTAACCTCTCGGCAGCTTCACCTTCTTCTCCGCGAAACATGCTCGATGGTGTTCATTTGCGAACGGCACAAAGCGCCTACCCCGGTCCAGTATCAAAGCTTTGAGCCTCCGGTAGACGCGCAGATCGTGCCTCTTGACATACTCCCAGACGGTCTCAAGCACCAACACGTCCGCAAAAACCTCTTGCCCCGCAGTATCGACAGTCTTCGTTGAGAGCTCCAGGAGGTCCATCCGCAGCAACATTGTCTTCATGGATGGCAGCAGGTACACTCCGTTGCGGGGCGACTCTGCTAGCACCGCCTTGGCTCGCTTCAGCACTTTCACTGCCGTAAGGACGTCGACCTCGGCACAGCACAAATGGCAGCGCGGCAGCGAGCAGCTGAGGTCGTCGCGGAGATAACGCTCAGCCACCCTCCGGACGATCTTGCCACTTTTCGTCGCAAGGTTCAGCGCTTCAACGCGCCAGGACGGCGTATCGACGTCTTCGTCCGGGAGTGCTGCCATGACGCACGCTTAAAGCAAAGTGACAAAGCCACAGACAGACATTGCCATGGTAAATGTAACGTTAGTCGCAAGTCATCATCACCCCACATTCGACGGTTAGCCCAATGCCATGGTTGTCAACGTTGAACCATTTGCGATTGGTCAAAACTCGACGGTATCAGGACGGCGATGCTCGTGCGATCATCGCGCTCTTCTGCGCGTGCGTTGCTGCGCTCCAAGGCGCCATCAGTGCGTCGGTTGGCAGGCAACGCGCGCTGTCTGTCCGCGCTGACGTCCGGCCTAAGCTCTGGCTCTGGCTCTAGTTCCTCCTTCGCAGCCTCGCGATCGTGGCGTGGAATCACCGGCAGTGAGACGAGAACCGCCGGCGGAGCGCTGCGCTTCTTCTCCTCCCAGGCCGGCGGGGAGGCTACAGAGGACGCAGATGGAGGCGCGGAGGAGGCTGCAGTGGTCGACAAGCAGCTGGAGGAGGCCAGGAAGAAGTACCGCTTCACGCGCCAGGACTTCCAGCCGCTGGCCACCAAGCCGCTGCACTTCGACATGGTCTTCGACATCACGGAGAGCAAGGTCAAGGTGACGCTGCAGACGACGCTCAAGCACGACGGCGCGCAGCCGCTCTCGGAGCTCAAGCTCAACTCGAAGGAGCTGGAGATCCTGTCCGTGGAGCGCTTCGACGCGTTCTCGCCGCTGGGCGACAAGAAGGACTTCGTGGCGCACGTGCAGAGCTTCGCGCAGCCCCGCGCGCTGCAGTTCGACGTGGACACGGACGACCACTTCCTCGTGGTCAAGTTCTCCAAGCCCGTGCAGTCCGGGGAGGAGTTCGTGATCCGCACCGTGTCGGTGGCCACCCCCACGGAGAACATCCTGGAGGGCCTGTACTTTGACTACACGCCCGAGGGCGCCCCCAAGACCATCATCACGCAGTGCCAGCAGCACGGCTTCCAGCGTATTGTGCCGTGCATCGACACGATGGACGCAAAGGCCTACTACACCACCACGATCGTGGCTGGGACGCGCTACACGAACATCATCACGAACGGAGACCTGGCACCCGGGTACCACACGGAGGCTGGGGTGCCTATCTTCCACCCTGCGTCCGAGGTGCTCGGCGAGGAGGACCCGTCCCGCCACGTGCTCAAGTACTACAACCACAAGGTCAACATGGCGCCGTACCTGTTCTTCCTGGGCGTGGGCACGTACGAGACGTTCCGTCGCACGCTGGAGTTCCCGGATGGCGACACGACGCTGCTGGAGATCCTCGCCTTCCCGGGCTACTTCGAGCCGGCGGACGCCAAGGCTGCGGTCAAGATGCTGCACGACTCCGTGCTGTGGGTGATGGTGAGTCTGGGACCGGAGGCTTGCGAGCACCACGACGAGCGCAAGCGCATCTACGAGCTGCTGGAAGAGCGCGAGGCCCTCAAGGCGAAGGAGGGCAAGCTGTGCCTCGGACCGAACGAGGAGTACGTGAAGACCCCACTGAGCGACTCTGATGCTGCACGACTCGCTGCTGTTCGCGCGGAGCTGAAGGAGCTGCTGAAGGTGTGGAAGAAGACCGGCTACAAGTACACCGGCGCTGTGTACCGCGAGATCGCGATGGAGAACTCGTACTACGGCGGCATGGAGAACGTCGGCAACACCACCATCGTGAGCTCGTGCTTGTGCCCTAGCTGCCGCATGGACGACAAGTCGTACGAGTACATGGAGCACGTGAAGGTCCACGAGTACTATCATAACATCAACGGCAGCCAGGTTACCGGCCAGTCTCCGTTCGAGATCTGGCTGAACGAGGCTGTAACGGTGCACATGGAGCGCAAGCGTGCTGCAGCCATTTTCGGCGAAGACTACAGCCGTCTGAGTGAAGTTCTGTACATGTTCACCCCGGCGATTGGGCCTCTTGCGCAGGACAAGTCGGCGACGTCTCTGTCTGTTGAGCCGCAGGGCTTCAACCAAACGCAGGAGCTTGTTTCCGTCGTGACGTACTCGAAGGCCCCTGAGTTTGTGCGCATGGTGGAGCTGCTTCTGGGTGAGGCAACCTTCCACAAGGCACTCGACAAGTACCACACCAAATATGCATTCGGCAATGCCACGACTATGGAGTGGATCAAGTGCATGGAGGAGTGCTCTGGTCTGAATCTGCAGAACCTGGCCAAGACGTGGTTGAACCGCCCCGGCCACCCTGAGGTGACGTACTCGACGGAGTACAATGCTGCTTCAAAGGAGTACATTGTGGAGATCTCGCAGAGTGGATTCGAGGACAAGCCCCAAGGCAACAATGGCCCTTGGGAGATCCCGATTGACTGGTCGCTTGTCAAGGATGGCAAGTCTCTGAAGCATGGTGTCTTCCTCGTGAAGACGAAGGACGCTAAGCTGGTGATCCCGGATGTGGCGGAGGAGCCAGACTTCCTGTCCTTCGCTCGCGGTTGGTCGTTCTTTGGCAAGTCGAAGCAGACGAACCCGTCCATTGCGCGGCTCACGAAGCAGGCGCTGTCTGACCCAGACGCTGTCAACAAGTACCAGGCCTACCGTGCTGTGGCGGATACGGAGAAGGCGAAGGTGATTGAGGGACTGCTGAAGGGCGACAAGCAGGTGGAGATTTCTCCCGAGTTCGTCGAGCTGCACGGCTCTATCCTGTTCTCGGACGAGCTGACCCCCTCTGCACGTGCGTTGACATTGGGTGAAACCAAGACCATCCCGAACTACGACGAGTTGAGCCACCACTACATCGCCATTAACAGTGCAACAACTTCCCTGCTACAAGCTGTGTGGGCGAAGTACTCGAAGCAAATTGAGTCTGCATACATGAAGTTATGCCAGGAATCGCGCTCTGGCCCCCATTCCGAGCAGTTCCAGCAGCGCGCATTGAAGCGGCACCTTCTACTGCTCATTGAGGCCGGAGGCAAGCCCCCCGTTCTCAGCTCCACGCCACACGTTGTTCCAACGGTGGCGCCGGCAACGCTAGCTCTAGACCTGTTGAGAAATTCAACCTTTGCTAGTGAAAAGGCCACCGGCTTCCGCATGGTCCTCGAAGACGAGGATTTTCCGGACCGTGCCAAGGTCCAGGAAGAGGTGTTCGAGGAGTGGAGTAAGACGCCTGACATGCTGACGAAATACATCGGAATCGTGAGCAGTCTGGACTCGAAGGACGTGGGTAAGCAGGTTGTCAAGCTGCTGGCCAGCCCGAGCTTCAACCCCGCGCAGTCAAGTCACGGCCGTGCAGTGACTCGCTCGCTCTCGCAGATCCGCGATTTCTCGCTGGCGACGGACGAGGGTCTCGATGTGATGGTGGAGGCTTTCGCGAAGATTGGTAAAGTGAACCAAATGTCGGCGTACCCGCTACTGCAGTGCTTCGACCACCTGGACCGCTTCGACGACGCCACGAAGGCGAAGCTGTTTGCGACGCTGCAGCGCATGCAAGACTCCATCGACAAGAAGAAGGAGGAGTCGCTGTACAACCAGCTCAGCATCATCCTCGAGAAGAAACAGTAAGTCAAACCCTGTACTTCAGTAACAGTGCTACTTCAGTAATTCGAAAAAAGTTAGTGGAATTGCATTATCTTACTAGGACACGATCAAACGCAGTACTAGCTTAGTCAAGCCGACGTCGTGGTGGCTTGTTGAACCGGAGATTCCATGGCAGTCGCTCCGCCATCTTCTGGCCCAGCAGAGCAGCTCGTTGGGGCTGTTTCTGCCTTCGGAGCACTGTCGTCCGCATCGGTCGACCAAACCTCGCCCTCCTCTGAGGACGAATCATCGGAAACAATTGGAGACGTGACTGGCGCTGGTGCTGCAGCATCCTCCTCGACTGCTCCAGGCTGCGCATTGCTTTCGCTGCTTTCAGTTGTCGAAGCTTCACCCACCTCGCCCTCCTCGGCATTCTCTGTGAAATCCAGCGGTGGCTGCTCTGAAGCTGGGATGCAAGGAGGGGGAGAGAACCCCTGCTTCCTCTTCTCGGTCGGACTTACCACCTTGGTCAGCTTCGACGTGTCAAACATTGGTGACTCAGCCGCTCCATCTTCAGACGCTTCGCCCGAGAGCGAAGGAATGGCAGAGGGAACCGCAATTGGCTCGAGTGTAGGCCTAGCTGTTGACTGCACGGTAGGTGGCGCCGATCCAGGCTCTCCACCGCTGCTGCCCGTAGCATTGGTACTTTCTTGCGAAGCACGGGGAGGTAGCCTTACGCGAAGAATCGACCGCAAAGGCCCCGAGTGTGATTTCACAGCTGGGATCTCCGGAGCCTTCGTCGATCCGAGTGGGCGGAAGACACGTAACTTGGAGACTTCCACCTCCTTGTCGAACGGGCAGACCAGCGGGATTTCAGCGAACGAAATTTTGGACGGTTGCCAGTCGTCCTCTTCAACCTTGGTCGTCTTCACAACCTCAACTTCTTGGGTATTTTCGGTCAGTCGCTTGCTCACTTGATCCAGCACCACTGTCGAGCGCCGAGCTCGCCAATTGTGCGAAGTCCCCAATCTTCGCTTATTCTGGTTACCTGATACAAGGTTGCCGAAAATGTCTCGGTCGCGGCGAACACTGCTCGTGTCCCTACCGTTGCGAGAGTCTACATTGAACAAAATACAACACACATGTCAGTAGCAGTAAGCGACATAATAGGCGAGAGATTGAGCTTACTCATCAAGTTGAGCAGGTGGCTGGCCGAGTTGGACTGTTGCACGGTAGGACCAGTACCATTCGCTGTCTTTCCTTTGCTTGGCCGAGCATCCTGCTGGCGTGTGATGCTAGCTGGCTTCGAGGAAGCAGACCTTTCATCGCGTTTGTTGTCTTCACGGCGAGAACTTGCGGCACTTCGTCTAGGAGAGCTCGCTCCGCGCGAGTGTTTCTCTTTGTCACCTTCAGACTTACTGTTAACACGCTTGCTTGAGCTTTGGCCCTCAGGCTGGGCACCAACGTCCGATTTCAACTTCTGAATAACCCAGGTAGCAAGAGACGGTATCGTAGAATCCTGGAAGGAGCCACGTCTTTCAACGTTTCTCACTTTCTTCCCTATCTTGCTTTCCAGAATTGCTTCACGCGTCACACCTGGCATCACCGCAAGAGCCTGACCAAACACACCAGGGTCAGATGCTATAACAAGCACTATCACCAGCTTAAGCTGTTTACCTTAAGGATGAGAAGTACACCTGGCTCGGCTTCGGCCTGATCTTCCCATTTAGTAAGGAGATCAGCCAACGATACCAACCCATCCTTGCGCACAAACATCTCTAGTGCCTCTTTATCCTAAATACATGGAAAGGGAGGGTTAGCATTCAAGGCCATGCCAGCATCAGGACCACTTTCCTAAATGACTGCTTCCTTACCTTCAGCTGCGAGGATAGAATATCCAACTGCGTCTCCATCACGGCGTTGTTGATAGTGCTCACAATGATAAATAGCACCTTGCGTGCAATGTTGAACTCGACATTATCAACCGCTAGCATGTCTGTTTCACGAACGACTGGGCTCATCGGTGACATACCACCTGATGACGGTGAGCTGGCCGTGGGGCTCTGCTTGGATCGTCTTCTGGGTTTGACAGTCGAAGTTGAAGCGTTCAGGTCGAGGGTCTTAGGCCGCTTTGGAGATGCCGACGGAGCAGAAGATATGCCGTTCTTCTGTTCCTTAGCTGAGGTCGCCGTTTCCTCTTCTGCTCGCTTCCTTTTACCAGAACTCCCAGAACTCTCAACAGGACGCAAATCCACCGGAATACTGTTGAACACTTCCTTGTACGTGAGATCACAGCACTCCCCATCGAAGTACATGACACGAAACATTTTTGTGGCTGGAAAATAACTGGAGACAGCACCTTGGACAACATCAATTCTGCACCCTTCCTTGGTGACTGTTCTCTCCACAGGTTTACCGATGAGTTGGTTGATCTCCTCGGGAGTGCCATCGTCCTCATCGCCAGCCTCGTCATCGACTACTACTTCTTCTTCCTCTTCTTCCTCCTCCTCCACCTCTTCTTCCTCTTCTTCTTCGCTCTCCGCCTCCTCCTCCTCCTCAACCGTGTTGGCAGGGATGGCCACGCTAAGAGGTTCTGTCAACTCTAGATGAGAAGTAGAAGTTTCAGTGAAACTGCTGCTCCGTGCTAGTCCGGGGGCGTTGGCATTTAGGCTGAGCACTTTAGGCCTGCCCTTGCCTTTCGTTGAAGAAGCCGCCACTGCTACTGACGAGGATACAGTAATGACACTGTCGCTATTAGCCCTCTTCATCGCGGGCGATGAAGGGGACTTGCGTTCCTTTGGCGGCTTGGACGGCTTCGACAGCTTCAGCGTTTTGGGGGGCTTGGGAGCTCTTGGGGGCTTCTGCGGCTTCGGCACAAAGAGGAGATGGTTCTCCACGTCATCTTCCGTCATCTCCTCACTATCCCCATCATCGTAGGAGATGTGGTAAAAGTCGGTCAGCTCCGAGTGCTCATCCACTGTGCCCTGGAACGGCTGAGGATATCCGTTGAAGTATTTGGTTATACGCGTTCCCAGCGGGAAGCGCTGCGTGCGGTGGCTTCTTGCCTAGAGACAGCAACACAGGCAACAGCAACATCACAGTACATTAACACACAAGAACAGAGACGACAGCAGCACCTCATCACGTAGCGCCGCCCCCATCACGCCTACACGCCGATGCGCACAGGCAGAAGGAGGCGGCGAGACAGCAGCACCGACTAGTTGTTGGCTGCTACCGATACTGGCTTGTTTTCTTAGTACTATCTGCAGCTACCGACCATTTCTTGTTATTAAAGCCGACTTTTAACTGTGGCGGCGGCTTAGCCGGCGCTCTTACGCGTCCGCACTTGGCCCACAACGCGATCGTCGGCCTTGCGCAGCTGTCTACGCCTTGCACACGCGCGGGGGCTTTTGGCAGACGCTAACGGCGGCTGCAGGCGTCGAGCTCGCGGCGCCGAACTCGTTGCCACCAGGGCAGAGGCTTGAGAATCTCAAGTTGAGATTTTGCGGTGTGGTTTTGCAGGTCAGTTGCCAATATGCAACGGAGACCCGCAACTTGCAACCGTACATAGTCGGTGTATTGTTTATTTAACCCGAATTAGTAATTAAACAAATAGATACTTAAGTAAGTTCAAAATAAAGTATGGCCCTAACCAAATTTTCCCCTAAAACTTAGTTGTTCATTTTGAATCCACGATGGACGCTACGGGGAAAACGCTGAAGGCCGCGAGCAGCAGCTTGGGGGGCACCGCCGCCTCGGGCGCTAGCTCGCAGTCGCTCCAAAGCTCCCACAGCAGCAGCAACGTGCTGACCGCAGATGACGCGGCGGCTGGTACCAGTGCTGCAGCGGATGCGCCCGTGACGCTCTCGAGTCTGCAAGAAGCGATCAAGGCGCAGAAGGAGTGGGCCAAGCACATCGTCTTTGACGGGGACGGAACTGTTGTCACCAGCAACACGAAGCCGCTGGACGGGGAGGTCGCGTACGTTGCTGCTAGCGTAGAGTTTCCCTAGCTGCGTTTTCTGTAAACTTGGTGGGTATCGTAACATTGCGCTTTTGGTGATGTTGTAGCGGCTTCCTCAAGCTCTTCGACAAGCGTGACGACACCATGGCTTCGGGTATTGTGCTGCTAAATGAGCAGTACGATGTACACCGGTAAGTGGGGGGAAAGGTTTTCGTTAATATGTGAGTCTTTTGGTTGAAACTGATATATGTTGTTGTGTTTGCCGCTGCAGATTTCACCCACCGCTTGTGTATGGACGGCGTGGTGACCCTGCCCAAGAGGAAGGAGAAGGCATTGCCGTGTGCAAGGTTTCGCAGGGCAGCCGTACACTTTTCTGCCTTATCACCTACGTGTACCCGACGCTGTCAGCACGTGCTGTCCCTCAGCTCAAGGAGTTCTGCGAAACCAAACGTAAGAAGGTTCGCATTTCTGCGTTGCCTGGTGCATCGGTATTGATGATGGTGTTGTTGTACCTACTATTTTGCTTTAGTGGCCAAGCTCAGTTGATAGGGAAACCAACGCGTGTATTTCTCGCATGGAATCATGAATGTAGAAGCAGATGTTCCTGCATCTCTGAAATGAATGAGCGATTCTCACCGTGCAGTACAAATAGCGCCATCATGTCTGTAGTACACAGCCACATCAAGGGTCGCGCTGTATTTCACGAGTCCGAGCCACATGAGCTCAAGCCGCAAGCCTGAAAGCTTCCGTGTTACCTTAGTCTACAAGGCAAGAGTGATGTTCCTGTATACCGGTATTAGAGTTCAGCAGAAGGCAAGTGTCTGCAGACCAATGTTATCCTCAACCCGCACTAGCTACGGCAGCGGCACACACAACTCAAGGCAGCGTTGGAATCCTTTCGTCATTCTGCAACCGGTATCTAGTGCTACAGTAATTTATTCACAAAGAATGGTACATCATAGCCCTCACGCTTGAGTCAGGTAAATAAGGGGGCTTTAATTTTGCTGACCCAGCCTGAGGCCTCCTGCGGGGGGGGGTCATGAGCAGCACTTCCAAGCGCCGGATTTGGCATCCAATCTCGCCGAGATAATCGGCGTGTTGAAGCAGCACGCTCGATAGTCGTCCAATCACTTGCCTAACTAAGTACCCTTTCATCGTGTTGGCTCAACTATTTATGCTAAAGCAAATGTTGTACTGATTGGAATTATTTTGAGGATCGGCAGTTTGCCCAACTCGCGTCCCATTGGTCGCGAAACGGTGTAGAGGGCGCGTCACTGCCCGACGTCACTCGCCCATGGCAACAGCAATATGCACAGCAACCTGCTGGAAGCAAGCCAAGCGCTTTTAACGCTGTCCGCGTTGCAACGCTCATTTTACAATTTCCTCGGCAGCGAGCAAGTCCTTCTCCCCCGCCTCTAGCCCCGTCGTCGCCATGGCCGTCGCCAACCACACGCCCAAGAAGTCCGAGCTGGTGCTGGACGGCGAGTCGCTCTGCGCCGAAGACCTGGTCGCGCTGTCCAAGGGCTACACCAAGATCTCGCTGAGCGAGGAGGCCTGGAAGCGCGTGGCTTGCGGCCGTGAGGTCGTGGACAACATCCTCAAGGACAAGACGCGCGTGGCCTACGGTATCAACACGGGCTTCGGACTCTTCTCCAACGTCATCATCGGCCCCGAGAAGCTCACGGAGCTGCAGGAGAACCTCATCCGATCGCACTCGTCGGGCACGGGCGAACCGCTGTCGCCGCAGCAGACCCGCATGCTGCTCGCACTGCGCATCAACGTGCTGGCCAAGGGCCACTCAGGCATCCGTGTGCATACGCTGGAGCAGCTCGTGGACGCCTTCAACGCCGACTGCCTGTCGGTGGTGCCCAGCAAGGGCACGGTCGGCGCCTCGGGAGATCTGGCCCCGCTCGCTCACCTCGCGCTTGGGATGATGGGCGAAGGCCCCATGTGGGACAAGGTTGGCGAGGAGTTCGTCATCAGCGAGGCGTCCAAGGTGCTGGCCAAGAACAGCCTCAAGCCCGTGCAGCTCGGTGCCAAGGAAGGTCTGGCCATGATCAACGGCACGCAGCTCATCACGTCTGTCGGTGCTGAGGCGGTCGTCCGCGCTGAGAACGTCGCGAACTGCGCCGACATTGCGGTGGCGCTCACGCTGGAGGTTCTCTGCGGCACGGTGAACGCCTTCCACCCGCGCATCCACGCCGTTCGCCCGCACACCGGCCAGATGCTCGTGGCATCTCGCATCCGCACGCTGCTGCGTGCCGACAACCCGTCCGAGCTGTTCCGTAGCCACAACTACGAGGGCAAGGTGCAGGATGCCTACACCCTGCGCTGCGCCCCGCAGGTGCACGGAATCGTGCACGACACGATCAACTTCGTGCGCGGTGTCCTGGACGTCGAGATGAACAGCGCCACGGACAACCCGATGGTGTTCACGGGAAGCGCTGAGGTGACCACGGACTTGACGCCTACCATGCAGTCCAACCAGGTGGAGGTTGAGAGTGAGCAGCCCAAGGAGGAGGCGGAGATCACCGACCTGGACGACGCTAAGCAGGAGATCAAGCGCCTCAAGGCCCTGGTCGAGCAGAAGCAGAAGCCTGTGGAGCACCCGGCAGCTGGTATGAAGCGCACGTCGGACACCTTCTACCGCGGTGGCGGCGGCTTCGTCATTTCCGGCGGCAACTTCCACGGCGAGTACCCGGCCAAGGTGCTGGACTACCTGGCCATCGGCATCCACGAGATCGCCAGCGTCAGCGAGCGCCGCATTGAGCGCCTCGTGAACCCGACGCTCAGCAACCTGCCGGCGTTCCTGGTGCCCGAGGGCGGTCTCAACTCGGGCTTCATGATCGCCCACTGCACGGCGGCAGCTCTGGTGTCAGAGAACAAGGTGCTCACCCACCCGTCGTCGGTGGACTCGATCTCCACGAGCGGCGCCAAGGAGGACCACGTGTCCATGGGCGGCTACGCCGCTCGCAAGGCTCTCACCGTCGTGGAGCACGTGGAGACGGTCGTCGCCATTGAGATTCTGGCCGCGTGCCAGGCGCTTGACCTGCTGCGCCCACTGCGCACCACCGAGGCGCTGGAGGCCGTCCACGCGCTGGTGCGCACCCGCGTGCCCAAGTTCGACAAGGACCGCGTCATGAAGCCGGACATCGACGCCGTGCTGGAGCTCGTCCGCAGCGGAGCGATCTGCGACGCGGTCGCGCCGTTCCTGTCCAAGCTGCACGAGTCCGGGCTCTAACTCCGCCGACACAGCCGATAGAGAGTGAGTGAGCAGCAGTGTAGCACCATGTAGTCAATCGAAATATACACAACTTAGAACGTATCCAGTCATGCGCCGTCTTGCATTTTTATCGTTGCGTTGACTGTGAGCTTGTATTCGCCGAGCCCCGACGCGAGACGGCCTCGAGCTTCAACGAGCAGCGAGAGTGTGTCTTCCGGGCAAGCACTGCAACGTGATGCGAGGCGGCACGCCACAAAGCCACGATGGCTACATCCTCGGTACAGTGACCAAAAAGATCAAAAGATCAAAATCTTGTCGTCACTTCATTCGCGAATCGGCCCCCCGAGACGCAGAAGCAAAAGAAGAAGAAGACCCCAGGAGACCCCCCCCAAGCAAGCAACCTGCGTCCAGAATGGCGAGCGCCGCACCCGCCAAGAAGTACCGCTTCACGCGCCAGGACTTCCAGCCGCTGGCCACCAAGCCGCTGCACTTCGACATGGTCTTCGACATCACGGAGAGCAAGGTCAAGGTGACGCTGCAGACGACGCTCAAGCACGACGGCGCGCAGCCGCTCTCGGAGCTCAAGCTCAACTCGAAGGAGCTGGAGATCCTGTCCGTGGAGCGCTTCGACGCGTTCTCGCCGCTGGGCGACAAGAAGGACTTCGTGGCGCACGTGCAGAGCTTCGCGCAGCCCCGCGCGCTGCAGTTCGACGTGGACACGGACGACCACTTCCTCGTGGTCAAGTTCTCCAAGCCCGTGCAGTCCGGGGAGGAGTTCGTGATCCGCACCGTGTCGGCGGCCACCCCCACGGAGAACATCCTGGAGGGCCTGTACTTTGACTACACGCCCGAGGGCGCCCCCAAGACCATCATCACGCAGTGCCAGCAGCACGGCTTCCAGCGTATTGTGCCGTGCATCGACACGATGGACGCAAAGGCCTACTACACCACCACGATCGTGGCTGGGACGCGCTACACGAACATCATCACGAACGGAGACCTGGCACCCGGGTACCACACGGAGGCTGGGGTGCCTATCTTCCACCCTGCGTCCGAGGTGCTCGGCGAGGAGGACCCGTCCCGCCACGTGCTCAAGTACTACAACCACAAGGTCAACATGGCGCCGTACCTGTTCTTCCTGGGCGTGGGCACGTACGAGACGTTCCGTCGCACGCTGGAGTTCCCGGATGGCGACACGACGCTGCTGGAGATCCTCGCCTTCCCGGGCTACTTCGAGCCGGCGGACGCCAAGGCTGCGGTCAAGATGCTGCACGACTCCGTGCTGTGGGTGATGGTGAGTCTGGGACCGGAGGCTTGCGAGCACCACGACGAGCGCAAGCGCATCTACGAGCTGCTGGAAGAGCGCGAGGCCCTCAAGGCGAAGGAGGGCAAGCTGTGCCTCGGACCGAACGAGGAGTACGTGAAGACCCCACTGAGCGACTCTGATGCTGCACGACTCGCTGCTGTTCGCGCGGAGCTGAAGGAGCTGCTGAAGGTGTGGAAGAAGACCGGCTACAAGTACACCGGCGCTGTGTACCGCGAGATCGCGATGGAGAACTCGTACTACGGCGGCATGGAGAACGTCGGCAACACCACCATCGTGAGCTCGTGCTTGTGCCCTAGCTGCCGCATGGACGACAAGTCGTACGAGTACATGGAGCACGTGAAGGTCCACGAGTACTATCATAACATCAACGGCAGCCAGGTTACCGGCCAGTCTCCGTTCGAGATCTGGCTGAACGAGGCTGTAACGGTGCACATGGAGCGCAAGCGTGCTGCAGCCATTTTCGGCGAAGACTACAGCCGTCTGAGTGAAGTTCTGTACATGTTCACCCCGGCGATTGGGCCTCTTGCGCAGGACAAGTCGGCGACGTCTCTGTCTGTTGAGCCGCAGGGCTTCAACCAAACGCAGGAGCTTGTTTCCGTCGTGACGTACTCGAAGGCCCCTGAGTTTGTGCGCATGGTGGAGCTGCTTCTGGGTGAGGCAACCTTCCACAAGGCACTCGACAAGTACCACACCAAATATGCATTCGGCAATGCCACGACTATGGAGTGGATCAAGTGCATGGAGGAGTGCTCTGGTCTGAATCTGCAGAACCTGGCCAAGACGTGGTTGAACCGCCCCGGCCACCCTGAGGTGACGTACTCGACGGAGTACAATGCTGCTTCAAAGGAGTACATTGTGGAGATCTCGCAGAGTGGATTCGAGGACAAGCCCCAAGGCAACAATGGCCCTTGGGAGATCCCGATTGACTGGTCGCTTGTCAAGGATGGCAAGTCTCTGAAGCATGGTGTCTTCCTCGTGAAGACGAAGGACGCTAAGCTGGTGATCCCGGATGTGGCGGAGGAGCCAGACTTCCTGTCCTTCGCTCGCGGTTGGTCGTTCTTTGGCAAGTCGAAGCAGACGAACCCGTCCATTGCGCGGCTCACGAAGCAGGCGCTGTCTGACCCAGACGCTGTCAACAAGTACCAGGCCTACCGTGCTGTGGCGGATACGGAGAAGGCGAAGGTGATTGAGGGACTGCTGAAGGGCGACAAGCAGGTGGAGATTTCTCCCGAGTTCGTCGAGCTGCACGGCTCTATCCTGTTCTCGGACGAGCTGACCCCCTCTGCACGTGCGTTGACATTGGGTGAAACCAAGACCATCCCGAGCCGTGATGACCTGAGCCACCACTACGCGGAGGTTAAGGAGGCGACCAGGGCCTTGCTGCAGGCGGTGTGGGCCAAGTACTCGTCGAAGATCGAGGCGGCATACACCAAACTGTGCGAGGCTGCTCACCCTGGCCCTCACGTGGAGCAGTTCCAGGAGCGTGCCCTGAAGCGGCACCTTCTCCAGCTCATCGTGGCTGGTGGAAAGTCTCCTGTGCTCAGTACGACCCCCAAGGTTGCGCCCACCGTGGCACCGTCCAAGCTGGCGCTTGACTTGCTCAAGAAGTCTACTTTCGTGACGGACCAGGCGACGGGTTTCCGCCTTGTGTTGGAGGACGAAACTTTTGCGGACCGCGCGAAGGTGCAGGAAGAGATTTTCGAGGAGTGGCGCAAGATGCCCGACATGCTGACGAAGTACATCAGTATTGTGAGCAGTCTGGACTCGAAGGACGTGGGTAAGCAGGTTGTCAAGCTGCTGGCGAACCCGAGCTTCAACCCCGCGCAGTCTAGCCACGGACGTACGCTGTCGCGCTGCCTCTCGCAGATCCGCGACTTCTCGCTCGCCACGGATGAGGGCCTTGACGTCATGGTGGAGGCGTTCGTGAAGATCGGCAAGGTGAACCAAATGTCGGCGTACCCGCTACTGCAGTGCTTCGACCACCTGGACCGCTTCGACGACGCCACGAAGGCGAAGCTGTTTGCGACGCTGCAGCGCATGCAGGACGCGATCGACAAGAAGAAGGAGGAGTCGCTGTACAACCAGCTCAACATCATCCTGGAGAAGAAGCCGTAAGCCACATCGCAGTCGTTGGGCAGGTGCCAGACTATAGTTGCGATGCTCGTTGTTTGAAGAAGTATTCAGCTCGGTGAATTGAAAATGTATTTTCAGAGCATTGAATGGTATTGATACGTACGTTATCGCGGTTTGGTGCGTGCCTCTTCGTGTGCAATGCAAAATCTTGCGCATGGAGAAGCATGATCTAAAGCTGCTGCTTGCTTTGGTGCTGCATCACCTCGTCCTAGTGCTGCGTCAGTTCATCCAGCTCGTCCAGGTCTGCGTGCAGCTCGTTCAACGCTATGCAGATGTGATAGCGAGGTCTCCGCAGGTGCTGAAGTTCAGCGCATGGATGGATCGAGTCTCCAAACGGCCGTGGTTCCGAAAGACCCGCAACGCTGTGTGTCACTGCGCCGCGTTCATCGTCGGCTCTACCTACGAGGACGAACGAGTGGCGTTCACTGCTCCCAAACTCGTGAAGAACGACGCCTATCGCGACCGACTGCTTGTTCCCGAGATCGAAGACTTGGTCGCCTTGTGTGACGCGCTTCGGCTCGCGCTACCGCAACGAAAAGCGTACTTCCAGTGCTTCTTGCACGTTGACTTCATGCGACGCTCGAGCATTTCACGAGCTGAGCTCTTGCGATATTGCAATCTACGAGCCACACCGCTCACGAGTTTCTTGCTGCCGAATGCCGAGGAAGCGACGCATCGAGATACGGCACATAATCGTTGGGATATCATGCAGTTAATGGCAGTGTGCTTCTCCATTTGTACTGCAGACATTGTCGAGGTACGTGGTCGTTCGTTGGAATAAGCATGACAAGTTTGGGGAGTTGTGGTGTTGAGCTCGTGATTTTGTTGTCTTTGTGGAACCCGAAGCTTGTGCAGCTTGCAGTGGCGACAGCTGTCCGCCCACCGGAAGCTGCAGCGGACGAAAGTGACGACGAGAGCTCCATACAGGGACAGGATGGGAGCCAGGATGTGGTTGCGCAGGCCGACAACGAAATCGTGGACGATAAACAAGCGACTCGTGGAACTTATCCCGATATACGTCAGCAGATTGACCTGTGTCTCGCGTTTTTCGTGGGTGTTCCTGATCCGTTTGAACGCAGCTTGAAAGCCTTGTTGGTTGCTCTGTATGACAAAGAGCGTCTTGAAGACCCTAGCAAAGAGGGTAACTCGACGAGCCCACGCATAAGCTTTCGGAAGGTCCACGGGATTGCCTCAATATTTGACGTCGTGCGGTTATTCCCGGGTGAGTTGCAGCTACGTTCGCTCTGCTTCTCACGCTCCGTGCCATCACTGACAATCATAGTGCAGTACTCATATTTCCGTGCATCTGGATGCAGCGAGTGATTCGAACACGAATTCTTGGCGTTAAAACGTGGCAGTATCTGCAGCAGCGCCGCATGCAGCTCCAACCACTCCTCCCCGCTAATAGCCTTTTCCTATCCGTCGCTGACATCGTAGCAGCATCTCAAGTTCAGCTACAGCAGAAAATTAACCGGGAGGAAGGTATTCTGACACCTACCGGTGACCAGATCGATCTTGATAGAAGCACGCCATCAACCGCGCTGCTCGACAAGCTCAGCAACAGAAGTGATATCAGTGTAAGCTCAAAAGCTTCCACCCCGCGCAAGGTTGTCCCATGCACGTACGTTACCTTTTCTTCCAGGTAAACCATAAAAAAACAAACTAACGTTCTGTGCATGTGTCTGAAGTGGAAGTGAACCTGCAAAGTCCGACGCAGAGGCTTCATCGTATACCGTGGGAGAGCCGAACACTCTCAGATTAACTTTTGATCAGTGTTCAACCTTGGATGAAGCATGGCGGGTTTCCGCGAACCACGCACTTGCATCCGTTTACATCCAGTGTCTTCAGGAAGAGACTTCGGCGACAAGCGAGGAGCTCCAAGCAAGTTTTGAACGAATTGCCTCGCAGATTTTTGCAGGAGAGCTAAGTGGCGAGCGAGCTGAGAAGATTCGACAGCGACTCGTAAGGTTGTACGGTTATCGCTTTGCCCACTCGCTCCTGGCAAAAAGCAACGTGAGAGAGCTGAACCACGCGTCAAAAACGCCTCTGGAAGAGCATCATGCCAAGCAGCGCTACGCAAAGGCATGGCACGGCAGCGGCCTTGTCGAAGACAAGTTGATCTACTGGAAAGAGGTCGGTGACGTGTCGAATTCTTCTCGCTTGGATGATCAAAGGGTATTGACGTACGTTTGTGTTTATGTTGTACATGTAGTTCGAGGACCCAGTTGCCAAAAGGCCGTTCTACTACAACGTTCGGACGGGTGAATCGCGCTGGGAGAAACCTCCTAATTTTGTAGGGAAGAACAAGGCGAGACGAAGACGTAAGCCGAAAGCCCGGGAGCAACCAGGGTACCAACCGGAAAAATAAACTGTGCATATGTAGTAAAACGATAGGCATAACCTTAACCATGCTGGCAACGACCAAAACTGCACTCGGTTCTCGCTCTATTCATTACAATTACCGAGAAACCATCACTTCGTACCCTGCCAACAGAATCGCGCTAGACTCCTGCAGCAAGTCGTAAATCGGACTCAGTTCAGAGTTCGTTGATGCGCTCACGCGCTGAGAGTACGCATCAAGGCATTTGACCATTTCCTTCCAAGCCTGCTTTTCAGCTTGCAGGCTCAGGCGAGAATCCTTCAGACACGGGTACCCAAGAGGCAGCTCCTTCCACGATGGCGATAACCCTGACGCTTTGCCGCTCGAAGGCGGTGGGGTAGAGGACGGTGACGACGACTGGCCAATAGCCGCACGAGTATCCAGCCATTCAATATACTTGGAAGCCGTCCAATGTTTCATCTGGTGTGGCAATTGAAGCTCGGGTGGAGCACGGGAAGTGAGGTGGTGCCAGACGTTGCTCGGTCGGATCTTGTCAATTGTAGTATCCCGAAGAATCTCACTGTTGTCTAGGAAAATCATGTGCCGGAAAGCGCGAAGTTCTTCGTACGGTGCGCCGACATTGCGCAAGGGCACAATGTTCTCCAGTCGCAGTTCCAGTTGGGCCATGTCATTTGCTAGCCGCAGCTTCCCATTCTCTGTAAGCGGACGCACTAGTGATGCGTGCCGGATGAACACCGAGATGAGGCGCTCTACAAATTCTGCAAGGCACTTGGTGGCGAATGAAGCGATCGGGAGGCGACGCAAATGCTCCTCGAGAACGACTGCGAAAGCGTTGCTGAACTCTTGCATATACTTGGAACCGCTTGTGCCCTGAGACGAACGGAGGCCACCGGTACTCCGCGGTGCTCCCCCCGAGTTGGCCACTCTGGCTACACCACTCTGATCACCGAAAGATTCATCATGCATCTTCGCGAAAATACCCTCCAGTAGCACGGCAAGAGCCTGCAGGTAAAAGCCTAGCAAGGCATATTCCAGCTCAGTGATCATTTCACGGCACGGGGCTAGATTTCTCGAGCACAGCATTTTGGCTTCTTTGAGTGTAACCACACCATTGGTGATGGAGTCGGTAGCTGATGATACTGCGGATGCTGCTCCTGTTTGATTGCCAGTTGCTGATGTTTCAATTCGGTTGCCCACCTCTTCAAGTGCATCGTTCAGCATACTCAGCACATTCATGAGTCCAACATTGTGAGCCTGGGCAGGAGTCCGTCCAAACGACGGCAATGTTGCAGCGGCGGCCTTTCCTTGATGCATTATTCTCTTCACGTTAGTGCAGAACAAATTGACAGCCTTCCGCACCTGCTGAAGTGCACCATCGAGCAGCACCGGATCTTGGCCTGCCTGCTCCAACTCCGAAAAAATCGTGCGGGATAATGTTTGCATGTCACTACGACCAGGAGGCGAGGCGTGAAAGTTGGAGCTCTGAGGAAACATGAGCTGGATTGGGTTCGACATTCGGCGATATGCGCGGTCGATAAACGCATCGTACAATGGCGCCATGGAATCAAGTAGTTGTGTACGATCGGCCGCAGACACCGCAATTGGCACCAATTCTCGCTCTGCTGGGCCATTCTCAGTCTTTGAATTCGATGAATCCGCCAGAAACGCTACACCCGCACTCTGCTTTGTCGCGGCGTACAGTTCGTTCAAAACCCGTGTGGCTTGCTCCCGCATTCGAGGGTACTCGGCGATCAGCACAGATTTCACTGCCGTACTGTAGCCAAGTGTCGACGCGAACAGCTCCCTCACAATAGCACAGGTCACTTCCCAGAAAGTAGCGAAGAGGGACGGCTCGTCCGGCTCAAGTACCAGGTCCAGATACTTCTTTCCGGATGTCGGGTCCGCCATCTTTAACAGCACGCGTTGCAGATTCCACACTTGGAGCGCGTGAACACGAATGACATCGAAAACATCCTCAAGCGCCTTCCACAGATCAGACTTCTGCACGATATTACCAGACGAGGGTTCATTACTTGAGTCTAGCCCGCTGGAGGTGTTCCCACCCGAGCGTACAAGCTTGTCTTCGGAAATGGCAGCGGAGCACTTGCGCTCGACCTCCTGAATCACGTCATTAACCGACGCTTGCGCTGTCGTAGCCAAGTCTCCCAGGTAGAAAAGGATCTGCAGCGCGTCGCCCACGTCTGCCTGGCTCAAACTCTGGATGCCGGAACGCAATGTTGCCCGCACCTCCCGCTTCAAGTTAGCGCTAAGCTTACGCATAGCTGGCAGCTTTGTTCGCACAACACTTAGCTCCTCGAAGCTCTCGTCCTGCACCAGCACCTCCATCTCCCTGATTGCGAGAGCCACTGAGGCCATCTCGTTCTGCCTCGCGTCCCCCGCAAGTCCACTCCCATTTTCCGCCACGCCCCCCGTCGACGACGCGTCAGCATGATTCAAATCCGAGCTCAACACGCGATCTGACAGCTGCTGGAAGCGCAGCACGCGCCGCACAATGTCCCCGCACTGCTCCACGTTGCGGTAGCGCTGGATCGTGTCGCGCAAGTTCTCGTGCTGCTCGCGCACCAGCGCCTGCAGCGAGTGCACCAACTGCTTGAGCTGCCCTACGGAGCTCTGTACCGACGTCACGTGGCCCTGCAGCTCGTCCACGGACCCCACCTGGTCCAGCAGCGTGGCGTGGTGCTCGCCGATGTGCTCCGAGATGACGCGGTCAATGCGCTGCACGGCGCCGTCCAGCCGCTCCACGAACTGCTCCGACTGGCTGGGCTCGTCTGTGTCGTCTCCTGCTGCCGTGAAGCTGGTGGCGGAGCTGGCGCGGCGTCGAGACGCGCCGCTGACGTCGCGTGAGGCCGAGTCGCGCGCCACGACGGCGCTGGCGATGGCGCTCACGTTGCATTCCGGGCTCAGGAACACGCCCAGCTGCGCTGCATCGGCGTCAAAGTAGCACGGAGAAGGTGTTAGATGCGGGCAGCAGGCTTGCAGCGCAGAAGCTGCCACGCAAGTGCGTACCGTCGCTCTGGAGCTCGCGCACGATCGCCTCCATCTGCGTGTCGCTCGGCAGATACAATTATGCCGGGAGGGGGGATAGCATGCCTTGCAGGAGGTTTCTGGTGTGATCCACACTAAATGAGCTCCTGGCAGTTGAAGTTTTATCTTGGAGTTTGTATGCGCCGCTAGTAATCAGCGCGAGGCAACGAAGCTGCGAGCCAAGACGATCCGGATTCCGCACGCGTGGAAGACCATCACTCTGCATTCCGCATTCTGCTCGCTAAAGCATGACGGCGGGGAAGGAGGCGGGCGCCGGCACCAAGTGCTACGTGCCGGACGACACGTACGTGTGGCTGCCGGCGCAGATCCTGCGCGAGGACAAGAGCACGGACCCCAAGCGGCCCGAGAAGACGCTCGTGCTGCGCGTCTTCCCTCCGCCGGGCGACAGCGGCGTCGTCGTGGACGAGGAGCGCGTGCTGGACTTCAATGAGCCCAAGGTCAAGGCGCTGCTGCAGAGCCTGCAGCTCGAGTCGCTGCCCTACCAGAACGACAACCTGGGTCCGGACGGCATCGAGGACATGACGGCGCTCAATTACCTGCACGAGGCCGCCATCCTCTACAACGTCAAGAAGCGCTTCCTGCAGAAGCTGCCGTACACGTACACGGGGGACATCTGCATCGCCGTGAACCCGTACCAGTGGCTGCCAGAGCTCTACTCGGAGCAGACGCAGTCGCAGTATCTTACGAAGGCGCGGGACGAGCTGCCGCCCCACGTGTACGCGACGTCCATGGCGTCCTACAACGACATGAAGCGCCATGAAGTGAACCAGTCCATCCTGGTGAGCGGAGAGTCGGGCGCTGGCAAGACGGAGACGACCAAGATCCTCATGAACCACTTGGCGTCGGTCGCCGGTGGGCTCAACGACTACACGATCAAGAAGATCATTGAGGTGAACCCGTTGCTGGAGTACTTCGGTAACGCCAAGACCGTGAGGAACGACAACAGTAGTCGATTCGGCAAGTTCACGCAGCTGCAATTCGACAACGCCGGCACGCTGGTGGGAGCTAGATGCAGGACGTACTTGCTGGAGAAGACTCGTGTGATTTCCCACGAAGAGGCGGAACGCAACTACCACATTTTCTACCAGCTCCTGGCAGCGAGCGATAGCAAAGAGAAGTGGTTTTTGGACGACGCCAACGAGTGCTACGCGTACACGGGCGCTAACAAGACGATTAAGATCGAGGGCATGTCGGATGACAAGCATTTTGAGCGCACCAAAACGGCACTTGGACTTATCGGCGTCACGGAGGAACGCCAGGAAGTTCTGTTTGAAGTGCTCGCAGGTGTGTTGCACCTCGGACAAGTGGAGATTCAGGCGAAGAATAATAATGAAGAATCCGAAATCGTGCCGGGTGATCAAGGAGCGGTGCACGCTACCAAGCTTCTGGGTATCTCGGCGGAAGATCTGGAGAAGGCGCTGTGTTCACGACAGATTGCAGTGGCCGGAGATAAGGTCACGGCCTTTTTGAAGAAGGACAAGGCTGAAGAATGTCGCGGGGCTCTGTCAAAGGCCATTTACTCCAATGTGTTCGACTGGCTGGTCGAAACGATTAACACGTCACTGGAGAACGATAAAAAGATGCGCCACCATGTGGGTATTCTCGATATCTTTGGCTTCGAGCACTTCCAGCATAACTCCTTCGAGCAGTTTTGCATCAACTACGCCAACGAGAAACTTCAGCAGAAATTCACCCAGGATGTTTTCAAGACCGTCCAGATCGAGTATGAAGCCGAAGGTATCTTCTGGAGCCACATCGACTTCGCTGATAATCAGGATGTGATTTCTGTGATCGAAGACCGTCTTGGTATCATTTCTCTGCTCAATGACGAGGTGATGCGACCCAAGGGCAACGACGAGTCTCTTGTCTCGAAGCTCTCAACTATTCACAAAGACGAACAGGACGTCATCGAGTTCCCGCGCACGTCGCGCACACAGTTCACTATCAAGCATTATGCTGGGGCAGTCACGTATGAATCGCTGGGCTTCCTTGAAAAGCACAAAGACGCACTGCTGCCTGACTTGTCCGACCTGATGCGAGGGTCGTCCAAGGAGTTCCTCAGGGTAATTTTCGCTGAAAAAATTGCCAGTCCTTCTGCCACGCGGAAGAAGAGCAATAGCAATGCCCGGGGTCTTGGTGGTCGAGCTGCGGGAGGCGCACTAACCGTAGCAAACGTTGGCACCCAATTCAAAGACAACCTCAACGAGCTCATGACCAGTATCCGACAAACGAAGGTGCACTACGTGCGCTGCATTAAGCCCAACAAGAACAAGAGTCCAAGCGAAATGGATCAGCTGATGGTGGTGTCGCAACTACGATGTGCTGGTGTGATCGAGGCGATCCGCATTTCGCGCGTTGCGTATCCGAACAGACTGCTGCTAGAGGAATTGGTCGATAAGTTCTGGATTTTCGACGTGCAGCACCGGAATACCGATGTCCCTGTCAAAAAGAGGTGCGAGGCGCTGATGAAAAAGATGGAATTGTCCTCGCCGGAGCAATACCAGATTGGACTTTCGCGCATTTACTTCCGGTATGGAATTCTGGAGCAAATGGAGGACAAAAAAGCAGAGAGGTTGGATCTCCAAGCCCGGCACTTGCAGCACTACATGCGTGGATTTTCTTGCAGACTCCGCTATCTCCGCAAGCTGCAAGCAATTGTCAAGTTACAGGTATGGATGAACCTATCGATGCACATGGTCTGGAAGCTTTATCTAACTGTTCGCATAACGCTTGCGCTTCTGAATTCAGTCGGTTGCTCGGTGCGTCATTATGATGAATCGGTACCAATCGTTCAAGAGTGCAGTGATTGCCCTTCAAGCACACTGGCGTGGGTACAAGGGTCGTTGCATCGCACTTGAGGCAAAGAAAAACAAGAGCGCGATCATTATCCAGAAATATGCTCGTCGCTTTGTCAAACGGTAAGCGCGCAATTTCTGCTGAGGTACTCAACAATCCCGCGCGTGGCTGAGTTTCTGGTGTTGTTGTCTGTGCTGCGCAGTAAGCAGTTTAAGGATGAGCGGAAGGGTGCTGTGAAGATCCAAGCGTTCTTGCGCATGAAGTACGAGCGACCAAAGTTTATGAAGGCTCTTCAGGAGAAGAAGCAGCAAGCTGACATGGAGTATCAGTTAAGCAAGCTGCAGGAGCGTCTGCATGATGAGCAGCGACGAAATGCTGAGCTCAAAAAGGATCGGTTGTCCACGTCATCTAATGACAGCCAGCTCTACGCAGAGACCAATGGGACACGGTCTCGCGGGCGTTCCACAGCTCACATGTGGATGGCCGATGCCGATGGCATCATCAACCGGCTTAACGAAGAGGCGGGTCGTCTGCGCAAAGAAAATGAAGAGCAGCGTGCACTGACAGCGCAGCTGAAAAGTGAGATCGAAAAACTCAAGTTTGACCAAACGGTTCTTACGGGGAACTTTCAAGTTAAAATCCGCGGGTTCCAAGATACGGTGAGCTCTTCGGATTATGAGTAATCTCTCCTTGCAGTTTTGCTAATGATTGCTTGACTAAATGTGCAGATTCGAGAGAAAGATAAGAAGCTCGACGCGGTGGAACGCGAATGCGTAAAGCTTCGTGAACTTGTAGGCTCTGATCCGATGCTCTCAAGCCAAAGATCTACGCGAAAGGACCGCCGATCCGTCTTCCGAAGATTGGGATCCAAGAAGGAGTTTGACGATGGTTTCGATCATGGAGATGCTAGCCGAGCCTCAACAGCCGTGCAGGCAGCGCTCACTCAGAAAACAGCAGAAACGGCGCAGTTCCTTCGGCAGTCTGCGCAACGTATGTCGCGTGCCTCGTTGTGGCGCCACAACAGTGGTGGCGACAGCGACAACGAGAATCGTTATTCTGGAAGTGACATGGGCGACTCCGCCGGTCGGCCGTCGCTTCTGCAAGAGGTCAGTGCTGCTGGTGCTGGCGCTATGGAGTCTTTGAAGAATCGACTCACCGCCGTGAAGGATAAGTATTACGGCGAGGAAGGATCATCCGCTGCATCCCGCCAGAATGTTGAACTGCGGAGAGCTTCTGCAGCAAGAGAGTCCTTCAACTTGGACGCACTGCCCCTTCCTCCTGGTTGGGAGGCTCGGTTGTCCCGCTCGAAGGGCAAGATGTATTACTGTAACCCGACCTTGCGAATTACGCAATGGGACCACCCGGCCATCGAGCCAACCAAAGGGAAAAAGCAAGCAGCTGCAGCTGTACAGCGCGCGAAAAGGTAAGAAAGTGTTGTGCTGCACCCAGTAGGTGTACAATGCTGACTATGCGTGCACTACTTGTGTGGTACAGGAGCGGAACAACCGTGGGAAGCCCCCCGCGCGACTCAATAGGTAGGCTAGTGCCCTGAGCGAATATTGCTTCACGGTTATACGTGCTCACAGTCGCAAATCAACTTTGTGCATTGCTGCAGACGGCGTACTCACGATGGAGGGTCAAATCTAGGCACTGCCAGCTGAAAAACAAGGCTGAGGGAAGTACAAGGACAGCGGCCTGTCAGCGCGAGCGAAAGTCTGCCTTGATCGGGTTATTTGGCTGGGCAACACTACTGTCCGTGTGGGCGGGATCCGTCGTATGCGGTGTAGGCATCGCTCTGAAGACCACCTTGCTGACTCCGTGCTACGTACTCTTTTTCGTAGCATCCCTGGCACAAATACGTGTCGTCTTGAGAGTTCCACACTGCGGCAAACGCTGTGGTTGAAGCATTGGTGCAGCAAGGCTCACAGAATTTGCTGTCGTCAGGATTAGCCCAGCTCTGTTCCATTCGCCGGGGATTGTAGAAAAATTGTTCACCTAGCAGAAATTAAACACCACAAAATGTTAGTGGCGCCAAACAAGGCACAGCACTTTGCACATTCGACCATTTACCAAGCACATCGTCCGTCATGATCACCCAACAGTCTTCGTACTTCAGCTCGTCTGAGCCTAACACACTTGGCTTCTGACTCGTGACTTTCCCCGTCAAGGTGTTTCGATACCTTGGCGCATGAGTTTCAGTGTCGAATTCCTTCACATACAGCTCTGCAAGCATTCGACGTAGTAACTTGCGTGCTGCGAACATTCGAAACGCGCACTGAATGCTCAGAGCGCTCTTCTGGCGAGCTGCACGCTCCTCGGCATTTTCAGCAAGCTGGAGCAATGCAGACAAAGTTAAGCAAGCGACCCTCATCGAGACTTCACAAAAGACCACGTACCAAACGTTCTTCCTCATCGCTATCCAGCTTTTGCAAGAAGTCCGATTCCGCCTGTAACCAATTGCTCTCCGTCTGCACAGCACAAACGCAACAGCACATTAGAAACTCTAGCTAGACACTGAATGCAGCGTCATCGTTTGGCTGCGTACTTTGCGTCGTTCGTCCTCGGTTTCTTCCGCCATAACCTCATGCTGCGCCCGTTCAATGACTTCTCGCTTTGGAATCACGACTCCGTTAGACTTGTACTTCGCTGTAAGTTGCTTCGAGCGTTCTTTAACGCGTTGGTGGAGCTGCGCATGCATTTTTTCCCACTCGCCTTGGACCTCCTCGAGTTGCAGTAACTGCTCAACCAGCTTGCCACGCTTCCGAACTTGCTCCGCTATCGTGTTTTCCCACTGGGACTTCAAACGCTCGTAGCTTTCTTTCTCCTGAAGCTTGAGAGCCTCCTTTCGCGCCACTTTCTCGGCCTTGAAAACTTCCCACTCCCGCTGTCGACGTCGATGTACTATCTTCTGCTTCTCGGTACCGTCGATGCGGCGACGTTGTTCCTTGTACTCAGCCTCTTCACGCAGTTTATCGTACTTCTCCGTCACTTCGCGTCGGTGACGTGCTGCTTGTTGTGCTGCATCCTCTGATAGTCTCAGCATCTCCAACTCGATTCGCCGTTTTGCCTCCTCCTCTTGAAGTTGTCGAGCTCTGCGTTTGTCAGCGACAATTGTCCGGAATAGGCGCTGCAAACGCCGAGCCATCTCCCCACGGACGAACTCGCGGAATGCCTCACGTTCCCGCTGCATTGCCGCCATCTCACGATAGTAATAGGCCAAAAGTCTCTGTCGTGCTCGGATTCTCCCCAACCGGCCGCGATAAACGCGCTGGATACGAATGGCTAGGAGGTTTTGACGCCGCAGCTTTCGAAGATGTCTCGTGAAATGAGCTCGCATGCGAAAGGCACCTTGCACGGCTAGGACAGCTTGTATCTTTCGCCATGCCTCTTCAGCTCGCATTCGTCCGCGCATGCCGCGAAAAACGCGCTGAATCTCCAGTGCTGCGATACTTGCTAGTGCGTGTCGACGTAGTGCCCCAAACGCAGCGCGTTGCTTGATTCGTGCCGTAATTGTGTATGCAAAAGTCATTGTCTCTCTAGCTGTCTTGCGATCTCTGGCATATTGCGCCCACGTGTGGAAGCACAACCGCGTGACTTTGGTCTCATTGTAGTAGCGCAGACGTCGCAAAACCCGCCTGTTGTGCTCCCGCCTTCGCGCACGATACACGAAGTCGCGGTACACAGGAATGCTCAGCTCATCTATGACACTTGTGTGTGGCGTCATTCGGTGATTTACCAACGTTCGTAGCGGCGGGAGCTGCAGCAATCGCTTGAACACCCGGAAAGTAATTCTTGATGACGATATAGCGGAAATAAAGCTGGGGGAGGACAGTGCAAGCGGTGTTGATCGGATCGACGGCAGCATACCGAGTGCAGCTCGAAGCTTGGATAAAGCACCGCAGGTAATGCAAATCGGTGAGTGAGTAATGAGATCGCATCGGAGCAGACTGAAATGGCTTACCCTGTCGGAGACTAGATGCGAAGCAGCAGGGTTTCGCATCGCGTGAGTGAACATCAGCGTCACGTCGTCCGCGTCAATTGCGTCCGAGTCGTTTTGCTCCAGGCAGCCACTCGAGGAAAACACGCTAAACGCCCAGATCAAATGCTCCCGCAGCGTCAGCAGAGGTTCCTGAAACATCCTGCAGTCAAATTGGCTAACGAGTCAAAGATGCAAGATTCATCATCACACCAGATGAAGCACCCAAGCATTACCTGAGTGCGATGAGCAGAGTTCTCCAATTTAGCACAGGTACGTTGTCAACAGATCGCTCGCAGCAGAACTGTAGCTTTTCCAAGTGGCGGTCGAGGGCCAACCGCGCAGCCGTCCTTACGCTGTCTTGGTCTTCAGCATTATTATCTTGGCCCGAGCTTATATCTCGCTTCCCTTTACGGCCATGCCCAGTCTTCTTTGTTTCACGGCGATGATGGATCATTGCTACTACTGGAATGCCAAAGATTTGGCGGACAACACTCGTAAACCGTGCCTTCGTAACGAGGTGGTGTGGGAATGCGCGAAAGAAGCCCTCGTAGAGAGCTCGGTCATCGCCCGCCAGACGAATACCGTGGAAGCATGGCGCCGACATGAGCTTCATCTACAGTAGAGTACCAAAGTATGTTTAAGCGTGCCATTGCCAACCTACTTAACCCAAAGTGAGGCACACTCACGTACCAGTTGCAATAATTCTCTCCACCTCTTGGTCTGACAGGCTTCGAGCGCTGCGTATCCGGGCGTGGTTACTTGTGCCGGCAATTCTGCAATGACCCACGGTGCATCTTCCCTCTGCTCAATTAGCTGGCGCCTTAGAGCTTCTCTCTTCTTTCGGTCACTGATGTTGCGCTCCGATAACGGGTCCGACTCGGCGTCATCCGACTCGCCCTCCCTCGACGATGCCAATATTCGAGACTCAAGGTCTTCCAGCTGTGCGTCGAAAGAGGCAATTGCCTGCTGATCGGCGTCTTTATCCTCGTCCTTTTTGTCATGAGGAGTAGGTGCCGCGTTTGCTACGCCGTCGTCGGCCAGCGGGTCCATCAAGGCGTCCGCGACCGCTTCAGCAACACCGTTCGGCCTGCGTCTCTTGAAGTGGACGCACCATATCTGGAGTCGAGTCTGACCCCTACGGAAACTTGGCACCAGTAAATTTCATCTGCCGAGATAAAAGGCTTGCTATCGATGTTTAGCAGGCAGACGCAGAGCTCGAAATCATGTCCTCTGTATGAGTCGCAACGCAGGAAGGGGGCAACGCTGGGTATCAGATGGACTTTAGTCTTGCCAACTCAGACTTCATAATTTACTTGTGCACTGCAAGTGCGTCTCTCACCACTCAGCCAGCCTTCACACTTGCGGTAGCCGCATCTAAGGAATAAGGTGGGGGGGCTCATTCAAAGTTTGCCTACGAAATGGACGTGTCCTCGGGGCTGATCAAAGCGTCGACGAAAGCCTTATCGCCCGAGCCACTCTCGATCATGTGCTGGATCGACAGGAACCCGTCGCTGTTCATGCGAAGAAACGTCTCGTTGGAGTGCACCAGCGCCTTGAACGCCTGCTGCAGTACCGCAACGTGGAACGTAGCAGCGCAGCTCCCGGGGTAGTCGCCGTCACTCGCCGACGCGCACGAGAACTCGATAAACGCAGAGGACGTCGGCGCGAAGTCGATCTCGCATGACCCCGTCTCGGACGTGGCGCTTAAACTCAGGCACTTGGCCTCCGACGTATCGTCGGGGCTCCTGCTGTCTGCGTCGGCCATGGCTATCGTCACGCTCGCGGCACTCGGCAGGTCGTAGAGCTCGGCGAACGCGTCTCGCAGCGGCTCGGACTGCATGATGCAGCGAGCCACCACGGCCGACTGCTCGAAGGCGCTCTCGAACTCCAGCTGACCCATGTCGCCGCCCTCGTGCTCCAGCACCTGCATCGAGCACTCGCACATGACGCCGCTGTCCTCCACGACCAACAGCAGACTGGCGCTCTACACGCAAGACACCACTGTCAGCAACTGGCTCGCTCCGTCCACTCTACCCCTCCGTTCTACCTCGTCCTACCTCTGGCTCGTAGGTCATCCGCAGCGACGTCGTGGGCAGCGCCGCGGGCCCAAACATGGACAGACACTCGATCAGCAGGCTCACGTTGAGCGCGAAGCTCAGCTGCACGTCGTCCTCGTCGTCGACGAACTCGTCGTCCTGCGGATGCTCCGCGCCGAACTTGTAGCTCTCGAACAGCTCGCGGCCGATGGACGTCTTGATCTGCAGCGACTTGCCCTTGGAGTGCGCCGTGAACAGCAGGCCGCGCCGGTCCACGTCGCAGCGCACGCGCTGGTCGCGCTTGCCGTGCGCCAGACAGCTCAGCAGCATCACCAGTACTTTGACGCTCTCGGTGGTGCACGTGAGCGTCGGCAGCGGCGCCGCCGCGCTCATGGCGGCCTCGTCGTCGCTACTCCACGCCATTGTTCGTGTTGGAAAAGCTGTTGATATGATTTTCCTGGATTTTGATTGGTCAGAAGTACAACCATGTTGTCGGATACAACAAGGTTAGAGTGGAGACCTGCACTTCCTTGATCACTTCGATCCACATCACTAAATTTCCATCTGTTGAGAGGTGCTGAAAGTCGTGTACTTGCTGTCTGCAGAGCTGTAGGCGTAGCAGAGTTGATCTCAGCACGAAGGTGCGGGCAGAAGACGAACGGAAGGTAGGAGACTGAGGTTGCCTTGGCAGAATGCCGTGGCGGGAACAACCAAGGCGGCAGAGCTGGTTGTGCTCCTGCTGGAGAATGCGGAAGTGAGTGCCGAGCTGCGCAGCAGCTCGGCGCCGCCGCCTTGGGACCCTTGCTCGTGTTGAAGGAGTTTCCTAACCGACCTATGCTTTGCTATGCTGGCAGGTGCTGTTGCTGCTGCTGAAGCTGCTAATGTGCTGCGCCTGTCAGTTGCTAACCGCTGCCGCGCGGGGCAACGAGAGGTAGCGACCTCCCACAGTCGCAGCGGTTTCTGTGCTGGCGAGCTTCGCCTGCGACCGCGTGCCGTCTTTCCGCGCTGCGGAGCACTGCTTGGTGGCGCTGGTACCGCTGGTACCTCACACTCCCACTCGCTCGTGGCTCACGTCGAGGTGATGGATTGTCAGGTTGACATCTTTCCAGTCTGCAACTAGAGGCTTCACCTCGCACGCGTCGCGAGCGTATGCAAACACCACTGCAGTAGCGACCGCAGGTGGTATTTAGCTTGCTTGGGTGTCTCCTTGTTCATCCTCGTCCGTTTGCGCTGCTGCTGCAATGGGCAATACCTTCAATTGCTTGCGAAACTTGTGAACTTCGCGTTGGCGAGAGGCTTGGTCATGATGTCCGCAGTGTTGTCGTCCGTGGATACATGCAATGTACGCAAAGCCCCTTCCTCCACAAGATGCCGGATCAGGTGAAACTTGTTCTTGATGTGCTTTGTAGCGAGTGCTTCCCCGGCTTCGCTGTAAGATAGAGAGCAGCCTGGTTGTCACCACGGAGCAGAGGCGTGGCCGCAGGCCAACGCAGTTTCTCTAGAAGACCGTCCATCGACAGGATGTCCTTCACACCTTCGTTCATCGCAATGTACTCCGCTTCTGTGCTGGATTGCGCATTGATGCCCTGCTTCCGTGATCCGTACGAGATGACATTCCCGTCCAGGTACGTAACGTAGCCGGAGATCGACTTCGCATCGTCGGGGTCGTTTGCATAGTCACTGTCCGTGTAGACCATGACCTCAACATTTTCTCCTAGCACGACATCCATGTGCAATCCATGATCGCGGGTCAGCTTCAAATACCGAAGCACTCGCTGGGCCTCACGAAAATGCTTGTGCTCGAAGCAGGACAAGTACTTGCCGAGGTGACGCACTGCATGCGCGATATCTGGCCGCGAGCCAGACACTAAGTACTGAAGAGAGCCCACAATTTCACGATACGGCAGCTTGGTATCAGGTGCAAGTGGTTTCAGATTGGCCTTCGACTCGCTGGTCGATTGCGGTGTCCAGCACCCATACGCATCCTGCATGTTGAATGTTTTCAGGATCTTGTTAATGTATGCACGCTGGCAATACACGATCTTGTTGTGGGTTCTGTCGATGTTGATCTCAATACCGAGTAGGTACTTGACCTCGCCCATGCTCGTCAGAGTAAAGGCGCTCTTCAGCTGAGTTGCGACCTTGTTGCACAGCTCCGGCGATCCCATCAGGAGTAGATCATCCACGTAGACAGTGAGAAGCATCTGCACGTCAACATCAGGATCATACATCGCGTAGAGTCCGTAGTCACTGTCCAGGCGGGTGAAGCCAATCTCAGTCAGCAGCTTGTGAAGAGTCTTATTCCACACTGCTGGTGCTTGCTTCAAGCCGTACAGCGACTTGAATAGTTGGCAGACGTACTGGCCTCCGTTCTCCTCAAACCCCACGGGCTGCTCCATGAAGATGCATTCTTCTAGGAGCCCGTACAAGAACGCTGTCTTGACGTCAAACTGTAACACGTGCCAGCCACGCTTCACCGCGTACAGAATAACTGCTCGAATAGTCTCAAATCGAATGACAGGGGCGAAAGTTTCAACATAGTCCACACCAAACTGCTGCTTAATGCCATGGATTACAAGGCGAGCCTTGAACCGCAAGATACGACCTTGTGCATCCCGCTTCACAGCAAAGACCCACCGATTTGTGATCACCGCTTGGCGTTTGGCCTTCGCCCTGGCTACCAGTTTCCACGTGCCATGTTCTCGTAATGACGCGAGTCCCTCCTCCATCGCTGCTTTCCACCCCAGCCAGTAGATGCATGCCTTCGCTTGTTTATAGGTGGTAGGGATCGGAATCTCGGCGATGGTATTCAGGATCGACCCGACCACATAGTCTCGCAGGTGAGCAGGCAGCTTCCGTTTCCTTCGTGGACTGGCCACACGTGCTGGAGTGGGTGTGGGTAATTTGCTAGATGGTTCAAACGCATTGCTGGAGCTGTCACTTGAGCTTGAACGCCGCTGGCGCTTGCGCTTCTCCCGTCTTTGCTTGGCTACGGCTGGCTGTAACTCCACACGTGCAGGAGGGTTACGAACTCCCACTGGCTCAGAACTCTCTGCAATCTCAGTTTCCGCAGGAAGATTCAACGACCCTTGTACCGCTGGTACGACGAGTGCATTCCCAGCTTCAGGAAATAGTCTCGCTTCCAGGGTTGATGCGATTGGCACCAGTTCAGTAGGAGTCGTCGTACATAGCCCTTCGCAGCCGTGAACTTCTCGTGAAAATGAACATTTCCACTGCGCCTCGTGGTCACAGCTCCGGTTCGTAGATCCAGTAGTTTGTAGCCAGTTGTTTCCGTGCTGTACCCAAGGAATAGCGACAGCGTAGACCGCGGGTCTAGCTTCGCGCGAGTTGTACGAGTCTCAGGAGGCACAAAGGCATGCACGAGACATCCCCACGTCCGGAGGTGACGCAGCGCTGGCGCCTTTCCGAACAATGCTTCATGAGGCGATTTCCCGTGTAGTGGCTCCGTTGGCAGTAGGTTCATCGTGTCGACAGTGTGCAGGACCGCTTCTCCCCATAACAGGTTCGTCATGTTAGTTGCATGCAGAACAGCCCGTAGCCTAGGAAGAACGGTGCCATTTGCTCGCTCCACAATGCCGTTCTCTTCAGGTGAGTAGCCGTTGGTAGTCTTGAACTCGATCCCTTCCTTTGAGCAGAATGCCCATAGGTAGTCGTTCACGAATTCACCTCCCTGATCCGAATGTAGTAGCTTCACGGAGTGCCCTGCACGCTTGAACTGATTGTTGAGCTTCAACACCAGTGTCTCAACCAGAGCCGCAGCCTCGTCTTTATACTTGAGCAGATAGCACCACTTGTAACGCGTAGCCTCATCCACTACAAGCAAGAAGATCGTTTCCCCAGTTGCAGTCTCCTGGTTGATGCAGCACAGGTCCATAGAGAGCTTCTCCAATGGATGCTTCCGCCGATTGGGTCCTCGCTTGTAGGTTGTGCGTTTGAACTTAGCTGACAAACACGGAACACACTCGTAATCCTTCAGCGACTGCATGTTAACGTTAATGCCGAAGTCGACGTTTCCACTCGCCAACTCTCTGATCAGCTTCATGTTGACGTGGCCGAGGCGGTTGTGCAGGAGCCCCATGGCGTTCTTGCGCTGCTCCACAGCTCCAACGAGACGCACCGATCGCTTCACTCGCATACGGTACAGCATGTCATGACAGTCAAAGCGCATATTCAATCCGTCCTTGCACAGCCACGCTGTACTCTGATCATCGTTGAACTCCAGCTTGAAGCCGCAGGCACGCATGTAGCCAAGACTTATTAGATTCACGTGGGCGTTAGACGAGTAGTGCACCTCATCCAGACGACGCGGCTCCCACTGACCCGAGACTCCATTCATCACTCGAAACACGACACTTCCACTCGCTTGCATCGCCTCCGTCTGGCCGCAGGCCATTAGGAGATTGCTCGAAGATCCATGCTCAATGTATGAAAAACAGGTCAGGTCGCCGCACAGGTTCACTTGCGATCCGCTGTCTAGAAGCCATTCCATCTCATCGGCCTGCAAGGCCGGGGCACGCTGGTCACGCTGCACAACTGCTGCATTGACCTCAAAGTCAGGTGACGCTGGTGTCGTGGGCGAATACTGAGTGCTTGTGGCAACAGGACTGGATGGCGGGCTGGTTGGAGAGTACTGGGGAGATAGAGCACGGGCAGGCATACCGCTGGCAGAACTTCGTGCCTGGAGCTTTTCCTGCATCTTCTTGACCGCTTGGGGTCCTAGCACCGCGAGTACTCTGCCATCGTGAGGGATTGACTGCTGGTAGCACAGGGCTCGCTACTGCCAACCTCATCATCTGCACGCGAGGTCATGCATTCCACGACTCGATCTTGCGAACGACGCGAGGCCTGCTGTCTCAACACCGCACCACCAAATGACTGCACCGCTTGGTTACCGGTGCCGCGCAAGGTTTGTCGCTTTCCCTGCTTGCACTCCGGATCACCACGCCAGTGACCTTTCCCGCCACAGGCATTGCACTTCGAGTTCTTCTTCTTTTTGGTCATTCGCTCAGCGCTCCACGACGAGCTTGAAGTGGAGCTTCCACTGCTTTTGTTTCCGCCATACTTGCCGCCTCGCTGGCGCGACGAAGAACGACGGGGGCCTTTTCCATTGTTGCGGTGCTGCTGCACTGAATTTGTCTGAGCCTGAGTCGAGAGGCCACGACTGCTGGTTGCTCCACTACTGCCAGGGTCGTGCTGCGCACGCTGAAGCTCAGCATTCTCCAATCGCCCGCGAGCATCGCGAACGGTGTATTTGAAGCCCGGGTCCCGCCGTAGTTTCTCGGTGACTTCATCAGCAATGACCGGGTAGACAGCATGCGCTTTAGTCAGCATGATCTTAGCCAGCCGAGAGTCCGAGATGGGGTCATTGTTTTCGGCAAGCTCGCGCTGCATCTTCAACAGGTCAGCGATGTACTCACGCACCGGTTCGTCGGGGCGAAGCATCCGCCCGTAGAGCCGCTCCCAAATCAATACTGTGTTGACTTACCGCTGGTACCTCACATCTGTCACGTCCTCTTCGGTGATCGTGCCCCCCGTCGGCTTTGAGCTACACACAGTCCATCAGGATTGTGTCAACTAGCCGAGCGCCGCCGCTACGCGGCGGGGATTTTTAGTTAGTTGGCGCTTGACGCTATGCTCGCCCCGCTATTGGAGCAGGCTGCCTACGCTTCGCTACGGCAGTGGTGGGCCCGTTCCGCTCGCCTCGTCGGCTCGCTGCACTACTCTCAATGTTAGGTTAGTACTACAGAGGCTGGGCGGGCCCTGCGGTCCCGCAATATCGTATGGTGGGGTCGCCTTCGGTGACGGACCGCCTTCGCTGCGCTCGGCAGCTACTCGTACTTAGTAGGATTCGTATTTAGTGAATAAGCGTGACGATTTTGATGCCGACCGACGGACAACGACGATCTGATTGATTCTTAGGACTAGCCGAGCGCCGCCGCTACGCGGCGGTAGTTATGTGGTTAGTTGCAGTAGATAGGGCCGCCCACCTCCCTTTCGCTCCGGTGGGCTTTTATCAGTTCAAATGATATTTTTTTTCCGATTGTGTGCGTGTAAAAATGTTTTTATGCTTAGTGTAGTCGTGGATGGTATCAGCCAAAATAACTATTCCCATGCCAGCGTTACTATGAGTAGATGGATGTTGCAGGGTAAAATATTCTCTATTGTTCGGCCCTATCTTGTACGGGAAAGCCGTGTCCAACTCGTCGCAACTATTTAACTCGAACTACAAAGTATTCGCACGGTTCATATCTAACAATTCGGAAGTGATATGAGAGCGATGGTGACGGAATTCGGGCTGAGCTCAGCCCGCGATAATCAACGTAACGAAGTATTAATAATGCTGCTATCACGGTACGTGTCGTTGATGAGAACGCTGAAGCAACTATGCGAACAAATTGACGGCCAGCAGAGCGAATGCTGCGTTCTGCTCACTGGTTGGTGGTGCTGAAGATGCCACTGCCAAGCTATGAGAGAGGGACAAAGCTCAAATAGTATACGTGTTGTGCACGTAGCAGAATGACCCACGCCAAAGGCACTGGAAAACAAAAGAATGTAGCAGGACGGAGTACATGGCATTCGCGTTCCTCTACGTTGAAATCGCTACGGCTTAATAATAATAACATCCGATTCTCTCCTTTGCCGGTCGGACTTGTCCTCTCTCCTAACAGCCTTGGTTACTGCGCGTAATTCATTCTCCACTCTTATTGAGCTGTTCCCTCGAACGTGACGTGCTGGGTAAATGAAACTCGCTTGCGCTTGCGCAACGACGCGGTAAGTGCGCGCGGCTTGGCTCTCTTCGCTGCAATTCCAGTCTGCGACCCCCACTTGAGGTGGTTGAAAAGTGCCTCGGTGAGGAGGTGCTCCCGGATAACGCCGTCATTTACCAGCGGACGAACTTTACCGTACAAATCGCTGACACTCATGGTCGGGAAGCGCACAAACTCCATCATCTCCGCCAATAAATCTCCAAGCGGCTTGTCAGCGTTCGCAACTCGAGACTCGCCCCACATGACGAGCGCTTCCATTAGCGCCAGCTCCCGAATCTGCAACTCGTCCTGCGGAATCAGCTCCAGCAAAATCTTCTCCGGCAGCTGAACAATCTGCGGGTCGCAAAACACCTCATGCGCGTACTTGAGCACGAACCCCTTGCACATTTCTCTCAGCGCCACCAACTCGTACATCTCGGCCGCAATCAGCAGCCCCAGCACACTCTCGAGGTCCAGCACGACGTGGCCCGTGTACATGAAGAGCAGCATCTTCTCCACAATCGTGGGCTCAATATCGTGCAGCTCCACGTCCCGTCGCGACGACTCGCGCATGTTTCCGGTTAGCATGGCACGGAACGGCGGTGAACTCGCAGCCAAGATGAATCTGTGCGCGTGGAATCTTCGGACCCCTCCCGCTCTGCTGCCATTGCTCTCCGTCTTGCCGTTCCCATTGACCTCTCGCCTGTTCTCGCTGGGTCTGACACACAGCACCACATCCGCTCCGATCATGGACGACCCGAAGCTCTCCTCGCCCTCCGCGTCGCACACCACAGCCTTCTTGAGCCTCTCGGACAGATCCCGGTGGTCCGAGCACGCGGTTGACACGCGCTTCCTGGCGCCTCTGCGTCTGGGCGCGTGTCCAGCAGAGCCCTGACTCACCTCCGACGACGTCTCGGAGCGCGAGTCCTCGTCCTCATTGGACTGCGGCGTGGTGGACTCAACGTCAGCGAACGGCGACATACCGGCCGCCGAAGCAGCAGCAGCAGCAGCAGCAGCAACTGCCGGCGCTGGGGGTCCCGTGGGGGAACCAGCCAGCGCCTCGGCCATCGGCAGCGGCGGCGACGTGGGCGGAGAGCGTCTCTGTATGGGCGGGGGAGGGCTCGTGTCTCGCTCCGTCTGTGGCAGCTCCTGGGTCATGACCTGGTCCTCGATGGGGATCTGCGTCTCCTCCTCGTCGTCCGAGTCCACGTCCTCCTCCTCCTCTTCCTCCTCGCGCTCCATGTCCTCCGATTGGCTGTCGGCGCCCTGGCGTCCTGGCTGACTGCGGCGTCGACCGCGCGTCTCCACGGCGTCGGAGCTTGACGCAGCAGCGCGGCGGACACCAGCAACAGCGTTGGCCATGGCAGCAAGTGGCTCCGATCCGTTTTTGAAGTGCGACCAATTGTAGGCATCTTGAGAGGTCCTATGGGAAGGCATAAATAGAGTGTCTAGTCGGTGTGCGGCACACAATCAGATATTTTTGACCAGGAAGATGATCAAGGGGATCCTCATCGTGAACAACCACGGCAAGCCGCGCATCGTCAAGTTCTACGAGCACGTGGTGCGTGGCAGAAGCGTGTGGAGTGCTGTGGGCGGGTAATCTACGCGGCGGTGGTGGTTGACCGTTTGTTTTCAGCCGGATGCCGAGCAGCAGGCGGTGATCCGAGACATCTACACGCAGGTGTCCAAGCGCCCCGACACGCTCTGCAACTTCCTGGAGGGCACGTACGTACCTTGTAGAGCGTAACTTATTGCCATTAGTATCCTTAGTGGTGGAGGCTGACGAGGGCTACGATTGGTGCAGGGTCCGGTATTGGGGGGACGGTGTTAAGCTTATCTACCGACACTACGCGACGCTGTACTTCGTCTTCGCGGTGGACAAGCAGGAGAGCGACCTCGGCATCTTGGACTTGATCCAGGGTAAGGCCTATAGTTATGTTGAGTTGCACCGGAAGTTGAGTGGCTGACGCGGTGGGTGGGTGATCTGTTGCTGCAGTGTTCGTGGAGACGCTGGACAAGATCTTCGAGAACGTGTGCGAGCTGGATCTGATTTTCCACAGCGACAAGGTGCACTACGCCCTGGACGAGATCGTCATGGGTGGCATGGTGCTGGAGACCAACATTAACGAGGTGCTCACGGCGGTGAACGAGATGAACCGCATGGACAGCATCTCGTCCAGACGCTCGCTGCAGTCCACGATCAAGAAGTAAACCACAAAGTGGGAGCACGTGAGGCTTCTGGGCCCTTGCAGCCCTTCAAACAGTGATGCAGCATTATTGATCGAGTATCCACTGCAGCGTTGTCCTGAATCTTTTGAGCCTGGTCGCCACGCTGCAGCCAGCCGGCCTTTTTCCTCTATGACCGAGCTCTGTCTGCCTCCCCTGTGTGTCTGGCCTAAATAAGCTTGCTCTTCTTGCCCTTCCTGTCGTCCGTCGCCGTGAGAGCCGCCAGCGCCTTGGTCTCCTCCTCGCGCTCACGCAGCGCCTGGGCCTCGGCCTCCTGGGACGCGTCACGGGCCTTGGCCAGCGCCTCGTCGTCAGGCAGCGCGCCGCCCAGGTCTAGCACGAGCTTCTCCAGCACCGCCACTTTGTCGCCCAGCTGCGTCTGCTCGGCCAGCGCCTTCTCGTACTTCTGCTTGTACGTGACCAGCTGCGACGACAGCGACAGCGTCAGGAACGCGACGCCGATGTTGAACACGTTGAGCTTCTGCGTGCGCAGGTGCGAGATGAAGGACGTCGGGTACTCTGCGGCATCCAGAGCGCAGTTAGTCAGGTGTCCAGTTTACACACTGCAGAGCAATAAAGCAGCTAGTTGCGTACCCTTGCGCGGCGCCGCCGTCGAGAAGCGGCGGATACTACGACGCAGAGCGAGCATCCTCCTTATCCTTGATACGCTTGATACGTCCGACGAGCAGTCTCCTTGTTGTTGTGTGTGGTGGTGATTCACGATCGTAACCCGTATCAACACCAGCGTACCCCTATAGGTTACACCTTTACCTCTCTGCGGGGAACATCGCCGTCCCTTGTAGCGAGAAAACCCGCCCCTATTGTATCACTGTACTAGCGGCGGGGATTTTTAGTTAGTTGGCGCTTCACTCGCTATGCTCGCTCCGCTACTGGAGCAGGCTGCCTACGCTTCACTACGGCAGTGGCGGACCCGTTCCGCTCGCCTCGTCGGCTCGCTGCACTACTCTCAATGTCAGGTTAGTATTACAGAGGCCGGGGCGGGTCCTGCGGCCCCGCAATATCGTATGAGGGGGTCGCCTTCGGTGACGGGGCCGCCTTCGCTGCGCTCGGCAGCTACTCGTACTTAGTAGGATCCGTACTTAGTGAATAAGCGTGACGATTTTGCGACGGACGTCTTTCTGATTGATTCTTTAGATTCCCCCAGCCAGCCCACGGCCGGCCGCATGTCCTCTTCGACTTCAGTCCCGGCCAAGCATGCGTCGCGCCCGTTCCGCGTGGGCAGCGACGGCCTGCCGCTGCTGCCGTGCCACGACGCGCGCGTGACCGTCGCCTTCGCCGAGGCCGCGCGCGCTCCGCCGCCGCCGCGCGCCGTGTCCGCGTTCGGCAGCGTGGACAGCCCCGCGGCCGTGCGCCGGCAGCTCGAGGCGCTGTACGCGCGCACGCAGCAGCTGCCGGCGCTGAGCGAGGCCACGCTGCGCGCCGACACGGAGCTGGAGCTGCTGCGCCGCCGCTGCTTCGCGCAGCGCAACGCGCAGTGGGGCTACACGACGCCCGACCAGCTCGAGTTCCGCCCGCAGCCGCACGCGCAGTGGACGCCGCAGCCCGCCAACGCCAAGCTGGCGCTGCGCCAGGCCAAGATCGACGGCGCGCTGGACAAGGAGCTCGCGTTCTCGGCCGCGGACGGTGCGCGCGGCCGGGACCAGCCGCTGCAGCCCGTGCGCGACCGGCCCTGGCCGCCGGTCGAGTTCGCGCTCAAGACGGTGGCCAAGCCAGCGCGCGGCCGCGGCGGCAAGCGCAAGGCGGCGCCCATGGCCGCCGTGCTGGACCCCGTGCCGCTGCTGGCCAGGACGTGTCGCGAGTGCGGCACGCAGTCCACGCCGCTGTGGCGCTCGCAGACCCAGGAGCAGACGCCGGCGGATGCGCAGCAGCAGGCGCAGGCCGTGGCACCGACACCGACACCAGTGTCGGCGCAGCAGAAGCTGGATCTTTGTCTCAGGTGCTACTTGAAGCTGGAGCGAGCTGACCTGTTCGACAAGAAGCGCGTCGAGAAGAGGCGCGAGGAGCGGCGCAAGAAGGAGCAGGCGGCGGCCGCCGCGTTGCAGGAGAAGAAGCGGCTGAAGCACCAGATCCACGCGCTCAAGAAGCAGCAGAAGGAGCACAAGAAGCAGGAGGCGGTGGATGACGAGCAACTGATGGAGCAGGTGCCGCGAGAGCAGCAGCAGGAGGAGGAAGCGCCAGTGATTCTCAAGTTCACGAGGGAGGAGATCGAGGCGGCCACGGGCTCCTCAAAGGAGCGGAAGAAGGACCGCAAGCACAGTCGCAAGGACAAGAAGAAGAAAAAGAAGAAGCATCGACGCAAGCACGAGCTGGAGGTGGAGTCGGACAGTGACGGCCCCACGCCGATCCCGTCGCCTGCGCAGATGAATGGCTTCGTGTACGCAGATCGCGCCCCGGAGCCGTACACGACACCGCAGACTTCGGCATTCACGGTGGACCATGCAGAGTCGGCAAAGCGTACAGAAGCGATGGTGGTTGAGACGGAGCCCGAGGCGTTGGACGACAGCGATGATCGCGGATTCAATGAAGAAGACGACATGTCGTCCACGCCTGCGAGGTCCTCTCGGAAGCGGAAGAGCGTGCAACGAGCTGAGCCTGTTGCGATAGAGGAGTCGCCCTCGTCCGCTTCGAAGAAGCGCAAGACGTCGTCCTCACGGTCATCGCGGTCGAAGCGCTCAGCGGCGAGTGCTCCGCTTGCTCCTGCGGTGGTTGCCGTGCCTCCAGCTCCCATTGTGAAGAAGCGCGCTCGCACGAAGAAGGAGCTGGCACGCGAACGCGAGCTGCGTGCTCTGGGCCAGTACTGTCCGGTTTGCAGCGAAGTCTACGAGGACGACGACCAGAGCACCTTTGTATGCTGCGATTCGTGCGAGCTCTGGGTGCACGGAGCTTGCGATCCGAGTCTAACTCCGTACGTTGCGGTCAAGATTGATAGGGCTACTACTCTGATATCTAACACTTGTGTTTGTTTTATGCCTGCAGGGAGCTGATCGCAGCCATGGCCAACACGGAAGACAAGTACATTTGCCCGCTCTGTGCTGGACGATGAGTGTTAACTGATAAGTGCAGGATGCAGATAGGAACAAACAATACAGATTTTTCACAATAATACGTACAGTATGTAGTGTAGACCGTTGATTCAAGTCATCATTGATATGGCGACGTAAGAATGCAACAGTTGGAAGGTGTAAAGCTCGCAACTACGCTTCGGTCCGCTTCCACTCTTCACGGTGGTGTCGGAAGTCGGATCGAGCCTCGATCCAACTCGGGGCAGGTAACTGCATCTTTCTCCTCTTCATTTGGCGTGGCAACGTCCTTCTGAAAAATGCTTCATTGCCACTGATCTTACTCCGCAGCAGGGGCTGGTTCTTTGCCCTCAACAATGAATTTTGTGTCGCACCACTTGCTCAGCGCGCGATCCAGCGCATAGCACTGCATCGTCGTTGCAGCTAGCGAGACAAGATTTGCTTTTCTGTCCGGCAGCTTCGCTATGGCATCTTCGGCGTCACCAACCAGTGAGCAAAACGCAGCACGACGCTCTTCATTCGGGCTGCCATGAATCTGCCCGTGGAGCTGTTCCAGTCTTTCCAACAGCGAAGCGTAGAGCGACTGCACTTCGTCGCGCTGATTCTCACTGTCTTGCAGTTGCTCCAACTCTCGCTGCGCCGCTTCAATTACTTTGGCGACAGATTCCCAGGACACTGAATTCAGCCGTGAAATGTCATCGAGGCCACTTGATTCACTTGATATATCTTTGATATTGGCCAGAGTTGCCAGTTTATCAACACGCTTTTCTGGATCGAACGCACACATACGTTTGACCAACTCCCATTGACTGTCCTCACACATCGCTGGTCTAGTCGGCAGTTTGCCGTGCGTAGCGTGGTATTTAACATTGATGTCACGAAGGCACCACGGCAGACAATGACGCGAGTCTTTGCCCAATTTCACTGCCTCCACAACTCGCAGAGCCTCCACGATGCACATGCCCAAGGAGTACATATCCGAGGCAAAACTGGGGCGGTTGTTGGTGCCGATTAACTCCGAAGCTACCCATTACCAAGCACCTGAAATCACTTGCGCCTTGTTATCACTGCTGATGACCGAGCTCAACCCAAAATCCGTCACCTTCGCCCTCATGTCACTCCCGATCACAATGTTGTTCCCCTTCAGATCACCATGGACAACTTCGCGAGCATGAAGATACTGAATGCCCAAGGCAGCCTCATGCAGCTTCACGCATACTTCATCAGGGTGTGCTTGCAAATAGCTGATCATGGTCCCGTTGGGAGCGTACTCGCAGACGAAGAAGGGTCTTCCAACATGACAGGCACCGAACAGCCGAACGACGTGAGGATGGCTAAACCCAAACCAAATGTCAATTTCCCGGCGGAACATCGCCAAAGCGTCCGCTCGTTTGGCGGTATCGACTTGGGCTAGGCTAGCTGACGGGTCGTCCCATGCAGAGGTGTACGAGTCACAGAGATCAGACGCGTAGGTATTGTTCTCACTATGAGATCCGACCAAGGTTACTCGTTTCACCACCACATCAGAGTCCAGCCACTTGGCTCGGTGCACGCTTCCAAATCCACCCTCGCCTAGACAATTCCACTCGTCAACAATCAGCTCGTACCAAGGAATAAACCACTCGGGCGTGAGCTCCGACACATCGTCACCACCAAGCGCACTGGTAATGTCTTCATACGTCTTCTTCATCAACTCATGTTGCTCAGGAGTGTACTTGCCCACGTGATCCTCCATCTCTGGTTTCAACATTCTGAGAAATGCCGATCGCTCTTCGACCGACTTCAAATCGTTTAGAAGGAGAAAGGTGTCCGACATTCCTGACACGAAGAAAGCAGCCTCTTCATTGCGCAATTGCTGCCGTTGCGCATTCGTTTTGGCGGATGGGTGCAATGCCTCACCCACCGACGCTCGGAGAGAGTTAATGCGCCACTGAAAGGCGTACATACTGGAGGCAGTGGCACGAGTGGAAGACAATCGCATAATTCGGACTTGCTCGGGCGACATCTTGACTGTCTGATAAAACTCGGTAAGCAGCGTGTCAAATCGCGCAAAGTGTGTTGAGTGGTGGGCTGACGCTGTTAGGTGCTCGTGTACGATCTTGAGCTCGTCAAAAGCTTGACGGTACTCAACATTATCACACTTCTCCATGTACGATTGCAGTTTCTCCCAAGCTTCCGTCAGCTTTCCACTTTCATAATCATCGAAGGAGTTTGCGGGCTCGAGCTCAGGCTGGGAGGCTTTGGAGCTCTCTTTGACTGCCAAACGCTCTAGCTCATAGACAATAGACGATAGGCTGGCGCGTTTGTGAGGGTCTTGATAGCACGTCTGGTAGACCTAGTCGTTTTCAGAATCCGAGTCTGTGTCTGCGCCGTATTCACCAATTTCTTCTGGCTTCCATGCCAGCTTAAACGCGCGCGTATCCTCACCGTCTTCCTCACCCCATGGTATCCCCCCTTCCACAGCTTACCAAATGCACATTCCCAAGGCATACACATCCGACTCAAACGAGGGTGGCTCCCCTTGGAGCACTTCAGGAGCCTGCCAGCGCATCGATCCAATGACATTCGCTGAAACTTGACTCTCTTTTTTCATCCTTCCACTCAGTCCAAAGTTCGACAACATCGCTGCCGATCAAAATATTATTGCAACGAAGATTTCCGTGAACGATTCCGCGCTCATGGAGGTATTCGAGACCCAACGCTGCCTCATGCAGATACCTCCAGACTGCTGCTTTGCTCTCCGACGATGAGGTAACAAACTCCCAAAGTGAGCCTCAGCTGGCGTACTCGCAAACAAAGAATTGTAAGCGGGGGCCAGCCTGGCACGCCCCGTACATCTTGATCACGTTGGGGTGTCGTAGCTGTTGCCACAGACACACTTCATCGTCAAATGCCGAGTGAGCCGCGTCCGGTATGAAGAGCTTCACAACCGCATCAGCATCAAGCCATTTGGCGTGGAAGTCGCCCCCGATACCACCGGTCTGACTGAGACTGGTCAGTGCGATCTCAGACGCAGGGATAGCACAACGAAAGGCTCGGTTTGTAGACGGCTTGGCTCCGCTCGCGGTTCCTTCAGAAGCACCGACTGGTGCTAGGGCCGTCGGCAAAACCAGCGGCATAAGTATCCGCTTGACTGCCTCGTGACCTCTGTCAGTAGCAATGCGCACAGCGGTCTGGCCATCCTTGTTTACTGTGCTCACGTCTGCAGCGCACTGCTCGGCAAGATACTTCACGATGTCGACGCAGTCATCTCGAGAGCGCACATCAGGGCCGTGTATCCGTCCTTGTTCTTGGCATTCACATCAGCGTTGTGTTGCTCAGCGAGCAACTTCACAATATCCAAGCAATCCTCCCGAGTGGCCCAGATCAGCGCCGTGTTTTCGTCCTGGTCCTTGGCATTGATGTCGGCGTTGCAATCCTCGGCGAGAAAACGCACGACGTCCAAGTGACCGCCACGAGCGGCCCAGATCAGTGCGGTATATCCGTCAGTGGTCTTCGCATTCACGTTAGCACCGCAGTGCATTGCGAGCCCAGATCAACGCGGTGTCTCCATCGGTCGTCTCGGCATTCACATCGGCGCTGCAGTGCTCCACGAGAAACCTCACAACGTCCAAATGGTTGTGTCGCGCAGCCCAGATTAACGCCGTTCACCCGTCTTCATTCTTGGCGTTCACTTCAGCTCGGCATTGCTCAGCGAGCAACCGCACGACATCCGGGTGGCAACACCGAGCGGCCTCAATCAGCGCTGTGTCTCCATCGCTTGTGGCGATATTCGCGTCTGCACCGCATTGCTCGGCCAGAAACCTCACAACGTTCGAGTGGCATCGCTTAGCGGCCAAGATCATCGCCGTGTATCCCGCGGAGGTCTTGGCATCCACGTCAGCTCCGCATTGCTCAGCAAGGAACTGCACCACTTCCAAGTAGCCACCTCGAGCGGCCTCGATCAGCGCCGTACTCCCGTCTTCATCCGTGGCATTAACGTCGGCCTTGCATTCCTGAGCGAGATACCGCACAACATCCAAGTAGCCACCACGAGCGGCCCAGATCAGCGCTGTGTTTCCACTGCCACCCTGCGCATCCACGTCAGCTCCGCACTGCTCAGCAAGAAGCCGCACGACGTCCAAGTAGCCGCCCCGGGTGGCCCCGTGCAGTGCCGTATACCCCTCGTTGGTCTTGGCAGTAACATCAGCGTCGCATTGATCAATGAGGAACCGCACGATGGCCAAGTGGCCTTCTCCAGCGGCGCAGATCAGCGCCGAGCTTCCATACGAGGTCGTGGCCTTAGCGTCGGCGCCGCATTGCTCCACTAGCAGCCTCACGATGTCCGAGTAGCCACCCACAGCGGCCCATATGAGCGCGGTGTAGCCATCACTAGGCGTGGCGTTCACGTCGGCGCCGCACTGCTCAGCGAGGAACCGCACGACGTCCGTGCGTCCCTCCTCAGCGGCCCTGATCAGCGCTGTGTACTCGCGGTTGTCCTCAGCATTCACATCGACTGCGTATTGCTCTGCGAGTAGCCGCACGACGTCCAGGTGACCCCCTCTAGCAGCCTCACGAAGCGCCTCCTCTCTTGCGAACTCCGATACTTGCCGAGCCAGCTCCTGGACCTTCACGAGGTCCCCCGCCTCTGCAGCTCTTGTGAACTCCCAGCCCTCCATGGACGTTCCGCTTGGTTTTGCTGGTTCGCCCGCGTCAGAAGGGAGAGTGGACGGCCTCTTGACTCAGTTCCCGTGACTTGCTCAATGGGTACATAGTCGATAAGTCAACACATTCAATACCCGCACAAGCACCCTCGCATCTAGCAGGTTAAGATCAGCTCTACAAAGGGGAGAAACCCCCAGCCAGCCGGCGTGTAGTGCTGTGGCTGGATCGTACCCTCAAACTACGTGTCAAGAGTGATGGTCTCACTTCAACTTTGGGTTTGCACATGCTGGACGGATTCGATCCTTCAGACGAATGAACAAATTTGTCGATCTGGCCCTGCTCGGAAAAATGATGATCCGTTCTTCGCAGGCCAGTGGATGCATCAGTGATATCAAGCGCTGCAGTTTGGTTAACAGTAACTAGTCTTCAACTACTGTAGTCGTAGTCATTCATGCTCATGCTTGCCTCCGTGGAGTATTCGCCTTGCAACACGTCCAAGAAAGAGCTTGAAATCTGCCAGTATAAGAATAAAAAGTGATTAGACCATAGGTTACGACGACAACGTCGTAATTGAACGCACATTAAATGTCCTTGCCGTCGCGAAGAATCGTCCGAGGTCATTATCGCTCTGAAACAGCATGCACCGTTGTTAAAAGAAACCTACAGTCAAACGAAGCAAATTCACACTACCTTGTGCCGATGAAACCAGGTGACTTTCGCGAGGTAGGCAAAGATGTCCCCCGACGTTGACCGGCGTAACAGTGCAGCCTGCTCACATTGAGTTCAAAGTCGCTGTGTGAGTAGGTGAGCAAACACTTCAATTCATACGGCACATTAACCTCGATGGTGCTCAAGATGGCTAAACACGTCTGGAAAAACACCTTCCAGCCAAACTCGAAAAACAGATCGAGGAACGCGATGACGTAGCGGTGGGGAAACAGCCGACATTCGGTGAATAACGTAAGGATCCAGCTGCGCACAAAGAAAGGTTGCTCGTCATGACAAACCATTAATGTAGCTTTCGAAAGATCGGCATGCTCACCAAGATGCGTAGGTTGACGGGTGGATATCCCGGTCTGACAGGTGGGCATGAAGCCTTGGAAGATGCAACCGCAGAGCCTCGTCGAGCTGGAAATAGCGAAGATTGACATCTTTCATGTCGGGCCTATAGACATCGTCCAGCCTGTATTTCTCTGTGAGCGCTAGAAACAGGCGAAACGCGATCTCGCTGTTCATCTTCGACTCCTGCACCAGCACTGCTGCTACTGACGTCATACCCTGCTCCCAGCAAGTTCACACAAGCCATTAGCATCGGTGCACCGCCGAACCAACTAAAAATAAGCTTTTAACCTGGCAGTATCCGATCTGCGGCTTCAGCATCATGAACACACTAAGTAGCTGGTGTGTGCTGGACTTCCAGGCCATAAACTCGGACGATGAGTGCTGCGACTTGACCAAGAAATTGGGGCGCTTGTTGTTCGCCATCCTCGCCTGCAACTGCTGAAAGGTTCGATCAATGTCCTGCAAATAGCAACAAAGTATCTATCAGTCTCAGCCGTCAGCTCTTTCACTCCACCGCCAGCTCACTCTGTCCAGAGTCCGCTTCTGCTCCAAGTGTGCTCCCTGCAGTCTGCGCTGCCTCGGCAGCTGGTGCACGAGCCACTGGTACTCGTCGCCCGAGAGGTCCGTGGGCACCACGAGCGACTGGCGCTTGCGCACCAGGAAGAGCCACTTCTCTCCGTGGCAGCCGAACGGCAGCATCTTGAAGCGCCACAGCAGCTGCCGGAAGGAGAACGCCGGTTGGGCGCCACGCACCTGTGGCTGGCAGCTCTTGCACAGCACGTGGGGCTCGTTGCCGCACGAGCAGAATTGACACACGAGTGCGTGGCAGAACTGCAACATTGGAAAATGTAGCCATATCCACACAGCAATTAAAAATAAAACAAATATTTTAGAGAACAAAATAATTCGATGGGATCAAGAAACGGCTGAAAACAATATTTTATGACGGACGCTGCAGGGCTTGGCCGGCCGGAAGCGGTGGCACGCCACCTGGCAGCACTGGCAGAACGCATTCGCCTCCATGGGCTCCGCGTCTGGCGGCGCAGCGGCGGCTCTGGCCGACGTCGCGGCGGATACGAGCGCGAGCGGGATCGCCATCTCTTGGCAGTCGTCGATCTTATTCAACTCTGCGCGGGTATTTTTACACTTGAACAGCTGAGAGAGCCCGGTTTATGTGCCCAGACCTATGTTGAAGCATACGAAACCTCTACTGAAGCATATGGCTACGTTGCAGTTGGACATGGCTACATGTATGATATGTGTGCCTTCTACTTCTCGTCGTCGTCCTGCTGCTCGTCGCCCTCGCCGTCGTGCTCGGCGGCGTCCTCGCCCTCGGCTTCGGCTTCGGCCTCCTCGGCGCTGTCCTCCGTCACCAGACCCTTGTTCCAGAGCTGACGACCTGCAGCGATTGCAACGATGGGGACGTTACGTTAGACAGGAAGCTCACGGTTTCTTCAGTCGACGTTTCAGGGCATGCATGCTGCGTGTATTGGGCGATAACGTACCTGTGAGCTTTGCCGTGGTTTCGTCCTTGAGAGAGGTCTTCGGTTGGCCACGCATCTCGGCCTCGAACTTCTCCTTCCAAGCCGCGAACGTCTCGACTGTCACGGGCGTGCCTGCAAATGTGTCAGCAACCCACAAGCTGTTATAGCGACACCAAACCTAGGAGCAAGCATATCTCGTATGCATCGGTAGTCAGTCAGCAAGCACGCAAGTAGGGCTCGTACCGTGGAACTCGCGTCGCTTCTCCTCTGCGTCTGCGTTGGCCTGTACGTGATCAGTCGCGACGTTAGCAGCTGAAGACTCTTTTTGAGCAAGTCGTCTCTCCCTTACCTTCTCTAGTTTGTCCGCCTCCACCTTCTCCTCCTTCTTCTTCTTAAGCTCCATGCGACGCAGCATTTCCTGGTGCTCCGATCCGTCCTGTTCAATGCACAGATTGAATGATTCACCACATTCAGCACCGGAGCAGAAGCCGTCAACGGTGACAGCGGCAGCAGCAGCAACGTACATTTCCCTCCCGGTTGTTCTCCACTAAATATTCCCGCACCGCCTCGCTCAGCGTGTACATCATGGCCATGCCCATGTTCTCCTCAACCTGCTGCGCCAGCAACTGCTTGATCTCCTTCACCTGGCTGTCCGCCAGACCTTTCTTCACAACAACCTCAATCTACTCGGAAGCACCACCACAACCGCCATGACCACAACAACAACGCCAATCATCACCAATCCATCCATCGCAGCACCTCACACCAGCAGCCGAGCAAAACACGAAGCGAACCTTAGGCTCCACGTCCGGATACGTCTCCGGGATCTCCGCCTTGAGCAGCAACGCAACTGCAATACGCAAAAATCCAATTTAGTCGCACCAACATCGTCTTGTCAGCTGCACTGCGTTCGGCCTTATACCAGCCTCAACGCCGTTGCAGCAGCACCACGGCAGACGCACCGAAGTTGTTCTCGCCGTCCTGGTTGGGCACCACGTGCACCTGGTACGTCAGCGGCTCGTCCGACAGCTCTGCATCCACCATTCAGCAATAGTCAATAAAACCGCCAAGCTACAACACAACGCTGCAATGATCCGCCCACGCACTGGTGAAGTCGTCCATGTAGATGGCCTCGAGGGCCTCCACCTCCATGGCCTGCTCCTCCTTGTAGTCTGGATCACACCACAGCAACACCGCGATTAGCTACAACCGTCCTTTATCATGTAGATACAGAAGCGTTGGCTCTGGGAGGCTCAAGAGCTCCGCGCCAAGGCGTCAGGGAGCGCGTCGCCCGCAGGCAGGTTGCCATTCGTACCAGTCATCTTGAGGCGAAAGTGTGCGATGCTAAAGTCCCCTCTCGCCAGCTGGTGATTGGTTGAATTTCAAGTTTTTCGATTGCTGATTGGCTGCGAATGTCGACGCAGTAATAATCATGATGGACGAGGACTACAAGCTCGCCAAGGAGGCGTTCGTGGCCGGCCTCCAGGGCACCAGCGCGCGCGAGGTCTTCCTCGTGTTCGCCATAGCTCCAGTGAGTAGACGCGTTTGCGGTCGCTGTCGTGCAAGAACGACCGCAAACCGATGAGAACTCGAGGCGCGGAAGACTAAAGCGCAATGTTGTTACGTCGTGGCAGGGGAGCTTATGGCTCTACTCGGAGCTTATGCTGCTGCTGGAGGTCGTGGGCATCCGACAATTGGGAGCGGGCAACTTGGTGAGAAGTAGAGTCATCGTGATACTTTTACGGCTGGAGTTAGACTGCTGATGGAGATGTAATCGCTTGGCGAGGCAGAACTTGGTGGCGACGATCCTGCTCGAGTTTGCAGTGACCGTGGTGCCGACGATGATCGGTTTTACGTTCGCCGAGTACGCGGTGCCGCTGCTGGCGATGGTGTACTCGCTGGCAGCGATTCTTAGTGCTCTGTCCTGGTTCCACGCCAAGGAGTTCATTCACAAGCACTGCAGGAAGGAGAAGATGAACCAGCTACTGGGGAAGGAACTGCCGTTCCTGACCAACTTCCGCGCACAAATCATGATCTCGACGTACGATGTTGGCACTAGCTTTGCAATGCTTTGCTGTGGTGCTGATTTCTAGTCTTCTATGGCTTTGGCGACGCAGGTGTTTCGCGATTCTGGCTGTTGACTTCACGGTTTTCCCTCGCCGCTTCGCCAAGACGGAAAACTATGGCTTCAGTGTGGTAAGCGATAAGGCCTCTGGCAGTAGTGCTAGGTAACAACAGTGACAACTAATCTGGGTGTGGTTGTAGATGGATATTGGAGTTGGCGCGTTTATCGTGTCGTCCGCGATCGTGTCAGCACCTGCGCGTCAGGCTCGCCCCAGCATTGGCACGAAGAGAGCCCACTCGGACCAGAAGCCAGCGCAAAGCTTTGTTCAAAAGCTTTACGCGTTCGTCCGACCGATTGCACTTGTGCTCGTGTTCGGGATTGCGAGGTTCCTAACGGTCAAGGGTGTCAACTACCAGGTACGCATATGACTTTGATGCGATTCAACGCCTCCAAATTGACGCGAGATGATACTTGGATATTAGGAGCACGTATCCGAGTATGGTGTGCACTGGAACTTCTACTTCACGCTTGCGGGAGTGTATCTGGTGTACTCCTTCCTTCGCGCTTTCGGCAAATGGGCTTCGGGCCCCGCCGTCGCGATTCTCATTGCTTGTGGTATGCATCATGAGCAGGAAAATGGTTTGGTATCCAAATTCTTATCATCAATGCATGACATGTTCTTTCTAGGCTATCAGGTATATATGTCCCAGCTCGGCGGTGAAGAATATATCCTGGATGCACCTCGGGACAATTTGATGAGCCAGAACCGCGAGGGAATCCTAAGCTTGGCAGGTGCGTTGATTTCGATCGGTCTGTCAGTGACTGGCACAATGCAAAGACTAATCTTATTTTCTCTCAATATCCTTCGCCCAGGCTACTCTTCGCTCTATTTGCTCTCCGTTTATGCGGGTGGATGCATTTTCGGCTATATGGACTCCAACGGGGCGAAGCTGCACCGTAACATGAGGTGGCTCGTGATCAGCCTCTTTGTCGTGGCCGCATTCCTCTGGGCTACGACGTTCCTCTCCGTGCGCCTCGTTGCACGTCCGTCACGTCGTATGGTACGCATTCTCCTCTCGTTTGTTGGGGTCTCGACAACAAACGGCTCACAAGTTCGTGTTTCGTGTCCACAGCTCAACTTGTCGTATTTGCTATGGGTCATGGCCGAGTCGATCACATTGCTGGCGCTCTACTGCGCGATCCAGACTGTATGGTACGTGATACCTAGGTCTCTAACGACACTGAACCTATCTTCTGACATCCTTGCCAACTACAGTATGCTTCCGAGGGTGCCTCTGCTGTTCCAGGGGATCAACCACAACCAGCTCTTCGTCTTCATCGTGGTAAGCCAGTTTGGGATCATGCATCTTCTCCACCATACTATGGCGTTAATGAGCTTGTGTTCATTTACTGCAGGCCAACCTGATGACGGGCGCCGTGAATCTGAGCATGTACACCATCAACACCAGCACAGGCGTGGCCTCCGCAGTGCTGCTGCTCTACATGCTGGCAGTCTGCATCCTGGCCTCTGTGCTGCAGTACGCGCACATCCGCATCAAGCTCTGAGCAGCGGTGTGCGCTGACGTAGTTGTGGTACAGTACTGCGTACACCGCGAATTAACAAGTCTCAATAAAAAACGCACTTAAATCGCGGCTCCCGCCGGGTCTCTGTTCGACTGTGCAGACCATCAGAATCGGCACCGCACGGCCAAGTTGGAAGCCTTCGCCTTGGGGCCCACGTCTCCGCATGCAGCGGCCAACTGCATGGCCCAAGCCCATGCATGCGGCCGCTTCTGGTCGAGGACGTCGTCGCTGCTGTCTCCGATTGCTAAGAGCCGAAGGCTGCGGGCCGCCGGACAGCTTTTGGCTACAAAGAGATGTGCCCATGCGGAGAGCCACACGTTTTCCAGGGCGATCTTCCAGCAGTGACCTATCGTGTGGTGCACCCAAAACCTGTGTGAATATATCCCCCGCTAAAGTCCTACTTCAGCCCTTCGCTTTTCACTTGCGAAACCCTTTGTTTTCGAATCTCCCTTGTAAACAACTCCGAATCACAGAATCACAATTCACAGGTGTGTGACCTGCGTAACGGAGCTCGACAGGCGCAGATGACATCACACTTCGATTCGCGCCCACGCCCGGAAGCACCGACGGAATCTCCGCGCTCGGCCGTCGCCACCCATTGACGAACAAGAAGCTGCCATGGCCCCCATCGAGACCGACAAGGCCGTGAGTGCCAACGGTGCGTGCACGCGCGACCTTCGCGTCTTCTTGTTCTGGAGCGACTCCGATCTCACTCTCCGTGTCTGTCTTTCTTCTGTGTTACAGAGGGCCTGCACCAGCGCAAGGGCGCCGCCTCGGCCGACAAGGACGCCACCTACACGTGGCAGGACGTGGCCAAGCACAACACGGCCAAGAGCGCCTGGGTCATCATCCGCGGCGTCGTCTACGACGTCACTGGTGCGTTCACACTGCAGATACTCTGAAAACACCCCAAAGTAAAATCCTAACCTGTTCCTGCGTGATGGCACCACCAGAATGGGCGGACCGTCACCCTGGCGGCCGCGAGCTCGTGCTGCTGCACGCCGGACGCGAGTGCACGGACACGTTCGACTCGTACCACCCCTTCTCCAACCGCGCCGACAAGATCCTGGCCAAGTACGCCGTTGGTAAGCTCGTGGGCGGCTCCGAGTTCCCCCAGTACAAGCCCGACACGGGCTTCTACAAGGAGTGCTGCGAGCGCGTGCACCAGTACTTTAAGGACAACAACCTGGACCCGCGCAGCCCGTACTCGGGCATGTGGCGCATGATGATCGTCGCTGCGCTCGGCGCCATCTCGTACCTGGGCATGAACCAGCTGCTCTCGGACAACATCTACGCGCACTACGCGTGGGGCGCCCTCTTCGGCGTGTGCCAGGCGCTGCCGCTGCTCCACGTGATGCACGACGCGTCGCACGCCGCCATCACCAGCAGCCCCACGGGCTGGAGGCTCATTGGCCGCTTCGCGATGGACTGGGTGGCCGGCGCCAACATGGTATCGTGGCTCAACCAGCACGTTGTGGGCCACCACATCTACACAAACGTGGCCGGCGCTGACCCCGACCTTCCCGTGGACTTCAAGAGCGACGTGCGCCGCATTGTGTACCGTCAGGTGCTGCTGCCCATCTACAAGTTCCAGCACTTGTACCTGCCGCCGCTGTACGGCGTGCTCGGCCTCAAGTTCCGCGTGCAGGACATTTTCGAGACGTTCATCTCGCTCACGAACGGTCCGCTGCGCGTGAACCCGCACTCAGTCGGCGACTGGGTCGAGATGATCCTGTCCAAGGCCTTCTGGGCGTTCTACCGCATCTACATCCCGCTGGTCGTGCTGCAGGTGGACTCGTCCCGCTTCTGGGGCGTCTTCTTCCTGGCCGAGTTCATGACGGGCTGGTACCTGGCCTTCAACTTCCAGGTGAGCCACGTCTCCACGGCCTGCGAATACCCGGGCGGTGACGAGGAGGTGACGGCCATCGAGGACGAGTGGGCTGTCTCGCAGATCAAGTCGTCGGTGGACTACGGCCACGGCTCGTTCCTCACGGCGTTCCTCACGGGCGCGCTGAACTACCAGGTGACCCACCACCTCTTCCCGGGCGTCTCGCAGTACCACTACCCGGCCATCGCGCCGATCATCATCGACGTGTGCAACAAATACAAGATCAAGTACACGGTGCTCCCCACGTTCACGGAGGCGCTGGCCGGCCACTTCGACCACCTCGTCGTCATGGGCAAGATGGGCAAGCCCGTGTCCGTCCACATGGGCTAAGTCATTCAGTCGGCTTGGCCGTCATTAATAATGACTCATTATTCGGGTGCGGAGGAGAAGATCCTCCCCGGCTTGACCTGCTCTTCCACGCTGTGTCTCCGGACGTTGTTGCGAGCTCGCTGGTGATTGCGAGTGGTGATACAGTAGGGCTGCGCAAGGTGAAGGGACAACGGTGTGTGTGCATTTTGGTGGTCTAGTTACCGACAATAATCCATCCTTCCTTGACAACTCAATTGTGTCTACACCTTTGTGCGGCCTACTTCGTACCAACGTGCAATCAAATCCGAAAGTCGCAAAATTCATATTGAAAATTTCTAGTTAGCAACTTCAATTACGCATTCAAAGATGGAATTACGGCAATCAAATTCGTACAGTAAAGTAGGCTACTACTACTGGTCCGACGAGCCCTGCTACATGCCGTACACTATGTCCTCGTTGTTCGCCTTGGTGACGAAGTCGCGACAGTGCAGCTCCATGCTGGCCACCAGCGCTGGGGTCAGCACGTTCATGTTAGCGGTCGCGGCGCGCTCCAGGATGTGCATCTGGCGTTCCGAAATGGAGAGGATCTCACCGTTGCTGTCTGGTTCACGCGAGCGATCGTAGATTGCGTGGCGATCCAGAGCCAAGTCTCGCTTAATGCGGGATTTTAGGACGCTGCTTCTCGAGGACGGTGTGGCGAGTAACGCGGCCTTGGAGGGACATCTGCGAAGAAGAAGGCGAATTGCGAAGTGAGCTCCCCTCGGTCGGCGTCGGCTATAGTGCGCGCCAAACCGCGCGCCCTTGCTTTTGGCGCGAGCGCAGCTCCGTCTTCCGTTTTGGCGTGAGCACAGCACGCCAGCTTACGTAGCCATGGAGATCTTGGACCTCTGGTCCAACTTTGATTGCCGTAATTCTATCTTTGAATGCGTAATTGAAGTTGCTAACTAGAAATTTGCAATATGAATTTTGCGACTTTCGGATTTGATTGCACGTTGGTACGAAGTAGGCCGCACAAAGGTGTAGAGTGTTCGTGCTGGTGGTCTCAGTTTGGTTGCGAGCAGGGACCAAGTGAGCCCGCGAGTCGCACGCTCCGACGTGCTCGGACCAGAAGACTGAAGTCGGAAGCAGATGGTGGTCAGCAAATGGTCGGCATTTTAATCATCTGCCGGCTTGGTGGTCGAAGCTCACACGAAAACCATGAACTTGACCATGTTGAAACATTCTCACGCTCGTCTACCAGCACGCGCGAGTGTCCTTTTAACGCTACGAGAGCGTTCGAGGCCGGCAGCGTTGCTTCGAGGTCGTCGCGATGAAGTTTCGAGTTTCATGGCAATCAACGACTGACCGCAGTGTGCGCCGATCCCGATCAGCCGCTCCTCGTTCAACCACTGAGCGCTCGAGTCGTGGATGCCCAGCATTCTTCTCGTTCCTGGGCCCTTCCCTGGCCACGCCGCTATCGTCAATGGCGATCGATAGCCTCCCGTAAACCTCATTGCCGTTCCGGCCCCACGACACGAACGAGGTTGGCGCCTCCAATCGCTCGGACGGATAGCCGGCAGTTCAGTCTTCGATTCACCAAGTAGAGCTCACAGTCAGACACAACTATGGTCTCCGTGGTCTCATCCAGGACAGCCATTGTGCCGCTGCTATTGCTGTCGGTCGCTCGGCATTTCGCCCAGGCGCACACGTGGATCGACTGCCTTGACACAGACCGCTCCAAGCTCTACGACCAGAGCGCGTCTTACATCTTCGGCGGAGCAGGGGGCAACGGATTCTGCGCAGGCTACGGCGCGGGCTACCCTGGTCGCGGTGACTCCAGCATCGGCACGGAATACACGCACAAAGTGCTGAAGAACGAAGTCGAGGCTGGCGCTCCCGTGTGCGAGGATGTCGGTCCGAACACTTACGGGGATTGGCGCAAGCGGTTGTCGGTGACGCCAGGACAGACCGCGTACTTTGCCTATCTGCCTAACGGACACATCGTCAAGGACAAGAAGGGCGTCGGAACCCAGCACGGAGTCTACTGGACCGGTCAGGCCGGCACATCGCTCCAGTCCACGCTCGACATGAAGCCCGAGAATCTGTTGGACGGGCACACGATGGACTACGACGATGGAAACTGCGGCGAGACGGTCGACTACAACGGGAACCCCAGTGGCCGTGCAGGTGACGGCAAGCCCTGCATCGGCTCGTTCGTTGTGCCGGCGGGTACAGCCCCCGGAACCTACAGCATGGTCTGGTACTGGACGTTCTGGCTGGACAACCAGGGCGCGTATAAGGACCAGGAGATGGCCAAGGGGTACTTTGGCGCGGCGTACTCGACCTGCTTCGAGGTGGAAGTGACGGGCGGTGACGGTGGCAATTCATCTACGACGCAGCAGCAGCAACAGCAGCAGCAGGGCCCCGGGACGGTAGCGCCGTTCAACCCGACCCAGGATCAGGTTGGAGCTGAAGCTGCTTTGATGCCTCCTCCGGCAGTCACGCCGGCGCCGACGCAACCTTCGACGCCGCCCATTGTTGCAGCAGCAGCGCCACCGGCCGAGGAACAAGTAACGCAGTCAGCTCCCGAGGCTACGCCAGCGCCCGCTGCTCCTGAGGCTACGCCAGCGCCCACAACTCCCGAGGCGACGCCAGCGCCCACTGCTCCTGAGGCAACGCTGGCTCAAGCATCTCCCGACGTGCCGGCAGAGGTACCGGCAGCCTCAGAGGTGACGCCCGCGCCTACAGCCCCGGAAGTAACGCCTGCTCCAGCGGCCCCTGAAGTGACTCCAGCGCCTGCAGTTCCGGAAGTTGAGACGATGGAAACCCCTGCTCCCACAACACCCATCCCCGAGACTCCAGCCACGCCGACGTCAGCGTCTACAGGCTCGGTGTGTCGCCGACGTATGCGTTCCTAAGTGGTAAAATACAGTAGATGCGTTGGCCGATTGCAGGCCATGTTGTTGAAGTGCTTTGGTCGCGTCCCGGTGGCATTACAGCGTTCCGCCGATGCAATCAGAAAACTATGCGTCAGATGGCTAAAACAGATAAATGAAGTAAACCAAGGATATCCTACACTTTAGGAAAGCTTTCGAGCAGTGTACGGAACTCGATGTCCAACGCCGCTTAATTATTTCGTGCCTGAATGTGCCGACTCACGAGGGCTTGGCTTTGGGGACGAAAGTGATCCCGGGCAGCAGTGTCCGATCCAAAGCCATGTATGCAGTGCGCAGCAGTCTTCGTCGGCAGCAGAACCAAGCTTCTCAAGGCCCAGCTGGTCCAAGACCGCTTTGGCGAGTGCTGGAGCTTCCGGCCGAAAGTCAACCAAGCGAGATCCGAGGCTTTGCGAGCACTTGGGGGCGCAAAATTTCGCCGATCAGTTTGTCCTGGTGCAGGTTGGTTGCAAAGAGAGAGCCGTGCCCAGCTTTTCTTCCGCTCTCTGTCCTTCTCTGCGCCGTTCCCACAAACCAGACCAGCTCAAACAGTAAAACGTGTTGCTGTCCCTCCGTCACGTGGAGAGAAAACCCTCGACACTCTCTAAATTCTCGAGCCCTGGGCACACCGCAAGTAATAACAAGCAGCAATGATGTCCGTCGTGTCGGTCACGATGGCCTTGCTGCCTGTCCTAGTGTCGGTGATGACGCGAAATGCCGAGGCCCACACGTGGATCGACTGTCTCGACACGGACCGGTCGAAGATCTACGATCAGAGCGCCTCGTACATTTTTGGTGGTGCAGGAGGCAACGGGTTCTGCGGCGGCTACGGCGCCGGCTACCCCGGCCGCGGAGACACCAGCATCGGCACGGAGTACACGTACAAGATGCTGAAGAACGTGGTGGAGGCCGGTACTCCAGTCTGCCAGAGCGTCGACCCCAACTCGTACTCGGACTGGCGGAAGCGACTGCAGGTGACTCCGGGGCAGACCGCGTACTTCGCGTACCTGCCTAATGGCCACATCGTCAAGGACAAGAAGGCTGTCGGCACTCAGCACGGCGTGTACTGGACCGGCCAACCGGGGACGTCGCTTTCGTCGACGCTGGATATGAAGTCCGAAAACCTCGTCGACGGCCACACGATGAACTACGACGATGGAAACTGCGGCGAGACGGTCGACTACAACGGCAATCCCAGTGGCCGCGCTGGCGACGGCAAACCGTGTGTCGGTTCGTTCGTCATTCCGGCCGGCACTACGCCCGGAATCTACAACATGGTGTGGTATTGGACGTTTTGGCTCGACGACCAAGCTGCCTACATCGACCAGGCCCAGGCCAAGGGGTACTTTGGCGCGGCGTACTCGACATGTTTCCAGGTGGAAGTGACAAGTGGTGGAGTTGCTGCCCCAGCTCCAACGGCACCGCCGACACCGGCACCGACTCCTCCGCCTACACCGGCACCGACTCCTCCGCCTACACCGCCACCGACTCCTCCGCCTACACCGCCACCGACACCTCCGCCGACACCGGCACCGACTCCTCCGCCTACACCGGCACCGACACCGGCGCCCACGCCGGCACCAACTCCTGCGCCGACTCCTGCGCCGGCACCAGTATCAACACCTGTTCCAGCCGCGAAGACGCCATCTCCAGCTCACCCCATCGTTGGAGCTGCAGCTCCAGTGGAGAAAGCATCAAAAACTCCCGCAGCAACGGTCGACATCTCTGAGGTCGGCACCGTTGCGCCCGAGCCCGTGGACGGCAGCGAGGGCGAAGATTTTCCGCCGGCAAAGTACGTCAAGAGTGGCTTGGTCACGAAGCGTCCGGCCCGCAACAACTCCACTAGCTCCAGCAGTGACGGCTCGGCCTCCACGAGCTCTGCCTCGGGAAGCAGTGGTTCCGCCTCGTTGGGCTCCTCAATATCGGATGCCGGCCAGGTCGGGCAGGAGGAGCCGTCGTCGCCGGCAATGGTCGTCACCTCTCCGGCATCAGCTTCGTCCTCGTCGTCGGGATCCGTGGACGGCGCCACCGCGTCGACTAAGGAAAGCTCGGCGGTCTCCGTCGAGTCCTGCGGGCGGTGGGCGGCCCTGGGCCTCGCCTTGCTGTTCGGAGCGCTGTTTTGATCCGGTCCAGACTTCCCGAGCAGGAGGTCGGACCAGACCGCAGTCTCAGTTGACCACCTTCACGTTTCCCAGCTGGTGATCCAGCGGAACGCAGTAAAAGACAGGCCGCGGCGAAGGTGTCTGCGGCCCAAAGTGCCATGTTATTAGCCCCCCCAATAGATACGCTGTCCTCGTAAATGTACATGTAGCTTGTATCCTGGTAGTGTTGTTCACTGGAAAAAATATGAATCGATCATTGCGTCCGCACCGCAGCCTTTGTCGAGAACGCTGTGCCTGTCGTGCCTGCTGGGGCCACGAAAGATCACGCCGGCCACCTGGTCGCGTCGACCTTAACGCGATGAGTTAGCAAGTCTCCGTTTGCGGGCGGGGTGCCTGCGGGACAGCCGGCGTATCATTTGCAGTCCTCTCACGGGCTATCTATCAGACACGTGCAGGCTTGGCTTGGTTCTCTCTGCATCGCAACGCTATTCTGCAAAAGGACCGGCCGCCCCTCGCATCGACGTTGACGCTCAGGATGCGGTCGGTGTTGTCGAAGGTGTCGGTGGTTTTGGCGATGGTGCCTGCCGTCGTGACGGCCCATTCGTGGATCGACTGCTTCGACACCAACCACACCAAGATCTACGACCAGAGCGCATCGTACATCTACGGCGGCTCCGGCGGCAACGGCTTCTGCGACGGCTATGGAGCGGGGTATCCTGGCCGCGGCGACACCGACATCGGGACCGAGTACACCTTCAAGATGCTGGAGAACGAGGTCGAGGCCGGCACTCCCGTGTGCCAAACCGTGGCCGCCGACACGTACACGAGCACGGACTGGCGCAAACGCATCTTGGTCGCGCCCGGCGTGACCGTCTACTTCGCGTACTTGCCCAATGGCCACATCGTCAAGGACAAGAAGGCCATCGGCACGCAGCACGGCGTCTACTGGACGGGTCAAGTGGGCTCGGCGCTCACGTCGACGCTGGACATGACGCACGAGTACCTCATGGACGGCTACACGATGGACTTCGACGACGGCAACTGTGGCGAGTCGTACGACTACGATGGGAACCCGGGCGGGCGAGCGGGTGACGGCAAGCCCTGCATTGGCTCGTTCGTGGTTCCGACGGGCACGGCTGCAGGCATCTACAGCATGGTTTGGTACTGGACGTTCTGGCTGGACAATGAGGCGTCGTACGTGGATCAGTCCCAAGCTCGCGGGTACTTTGGTGCGGCCTACTCGACGTGTTTCGAGGTGGAAGTCACAGCCGGAAGCGGCAGCTCAAACGCTCCGGAATCAACTACCCCTGCACCGCCAGCCACAACAGCAACGCCTAGTTATTCCCCTGAACCAGCCACTTGGGCGCCGCAGACGACGACTCCAGCTCCTCAAAGCACAAGTGCAGCCCCAGAGGTGCCGACGGCTACTCCAATATCAACAACGGCGACCCCGCTGGCCACTACGATGTCTCCGGCACCAACGACCGCTGCTCCTGTGACCTCATGGGGCCAAGTCGATGATAACACTGCCGCGGGGGATGCAGATCCCACTGCGATCACGGACGCTCCAGCTTTAACGACGAGCGCCCCTCAAGTAACCACGGCCTCCCCTGTCACGACGACTAGTGCTCCCCAAGAAGCCACTGCCGCCCCCGTGACAAGCACTCCGACACCGGCACCGACCACTGTCGCGCCGACAACAACAGTGTCGGCACAGACAACCGCCTCACCAGAGACGTCAGAACCGGTGACGACGTCGAGCTTAAGTGAATATCCGGACCAGGCAAGTGCTACGTCAAATACGTCAGCCTCGACCTCGGCTACAGAGTCGGCAATGAGTGCAAGCTCGTATGAAGCCTCGACGCAGACAACTGCTTCCCCAGAATCCTCAACCTCAATTTTTACCGAGGAGCCAAAGTCCAAGCCAAGCTCGGATCAATCTGAAGGCGGATACTCTACGTTCGACGCGACTACGTTTTCATCTTTGGGCGGCGACGAGGACAGCGTTGGGACCGTTCACCCAGCCAGCACAAGCGCTTCGGTTTCTGGCCCTGAATCATCTTCTAGCGATGAGGCAACAGCCACGAGCTCTTCGACTTCAGACAGCAGCTCAAGCAGTTCGGGAAGCGATGAAGCGGAGGTGGGATCCGACTCGGCATCTAGATCCGAGGCGTCAAAAGAAGATTCCTTTACATCGTCGTCCTCATCAACGGTAAGTGCGTCTGCCAACGCGGAAACTAGCTTTTCGCTGACGGCATCACAGTTCCAGTCGTGGGTGGTTTTGATTTTGGCACTTGCTGCTGCCACGGTGGCATTGTAAGCGCACGTGTTTGGCGAAGTTCGAGCAGAAAATGTGAGTCGTTCGATGTTATGTCGTCCACAATGTAAGAATTTGTTGCCCCCCTGTTGTTACCGCCTCAAACCTCTGATCGTACTGATATGAGTTTTGCTGAATGTGCGTTTGTTGCTACTACTGGCGGTGTTCCTTTGACTAGACGCCGTCGATGACGCCTGGGACCTATTTACTTGATGTCGCGGCACTTGTGGCCCAGACGCTCGTCGAATGGCAGCCTCCAGGGACTGGAAGCGAAGATCCTGCTGTTGCCGTATTTGCTGGCGTTGAGTGTTGACAACCTGTCGGGCCCCACCAGCAGCTGGGAGAGACCTTCTCCTGCTAGCGATAGCCTCGGTACTGGCATGAGCAGGTACTCTCCTGCTGAGACTGGTGCTGGGAAGAGATGTTCTTCTGTTGGAGCTCATAGTCGATGTAGCTACAGAGCTTCGAGGGTAAGGCTGGCTCTGACTGCTTGTAACGCGTGCTTTACTGCTGTACCCAGTAGATCGTTGACGCGAAGTTGCTGCTGGCTGCCGAATGTTGTATCGAAAGCCAATTTGTCGGAGTTTCTCGGTCATGGCATCGATTTCCTCGTCTGTTGTTGCTCTCAGTTCTCCATTAACGTCATGGACTGGTATGGGGAGCACAACGCGAAGAACTTCTGTGGCTATTCCGCTTACGTCGAAATCGCGCGCGAGTGCGAGACCGCGCAGAATAATGCTATCCTCCACCTCATTCCCATCCTCTTCGACTCGCTGCACGCGCTGGTGCCGTAGAAGCCCCCATTTAATCAAGTCGACACCTCGCCTAGTCATGCGCTTGTTGGCCGTAAGACTCACCACTCGAACACTGGTTGGGGACTTCTCCAAGAAGTCGGCGACATGTTGCGCTACAGCGTCCGTAAATCCGTTCGAGTCGAGGATTATATCGCGAAACCTCACGCCACTCACTAAGATCTTAAGCAGGAGCTGAGCCACGTCGTCATCCTGCAGTCCGCAGTCTGCTAGACTCAACCGGTCGTCCGAAATGCTGTTGTTGTGACCAGTATGTGCCGACGTAATGAGCATATCGCTGGATAGAGGCTGGGTGAGGAACGTCATCTGACGCTGATCATTCTCCTGCTGCTTCTCGGCGTACACGTCGACCATTTTCAGCAGAAACTGGCGGGTTCGGTAGGACTGTTGCGTCGCCTTCCCACCTTCGATGTCGTTGTTGCCACTAGCACTTGAGTTTTTCAATTTCTGTTGAAGATCCGCCACCTCCCGTTGCAAAATTTGGATGGATGCCTGCTGTGCTGCAGCCTCTGACGCCGACCGATGAGCCAGCTCGCGTAATTTATTCAGACACTCGGCCAACTTGCCAACTATCAGCGTCTTGAACTTCTTCCGAGCGGCGCTGCATTGAATCACTTCGAGGAACGCGTTGATCTTGCTTCGATTCAGGTATGAGGCACCGCTGGCGTCGTCTGAATCGGCAGAAAGCGTAACAAGTTGGTTCGTCTGGTCATCGCCCCCGTCTTCCTGTTGGTTGTCTTTGTCTTTCATCTTTAAGCTGCTGATGGCGACTCGGAATGGGGAAAACTTTTTCTTTCTTGCACCAGTGATCGTAGCTGTAGATTCTGTGTAGCCACCAAGCACCTTGGCTGCAGTTTGATCAGCGAGTAGTTCAATGGGATACGGCGCTTCCATCAAGTACTTGTCTCTTGCTAAGTGAAGATACATGGAGCCACTCACTCGTGGCGTAGCGTGGTGCATTCCAGGTGGATCATGCATCTGCTCCAGTGCGTCCTTGATAATGTCGTTGGACTCGACAGCAGCAGCGAATTGGTCTTGCAGGGCATCCAACCGATGCAACAGGAAGGGAAAGGCCTGCATGAGCACGTCCAAACTCCGACTGTTTCGATCGCTGCAGACAAGTGTGCGCAATTTGGTGTTAGTTTTATCATAACTAACGAGTTACAGGGAGTTTCAGCACGCACCGAGCTTCCTCCGTACTGCGCAACTTGTCCGTCAACGTCGCAATACGCGAGGTCAGCTTAGCCACGCGGGAGGCCATTGCCTGGTTGTTTCTGCTTGAAAGCGCGGCTTTGCTGGTACCTGGCCGCTTCTGAGAACTGAGAAGCTGGTTACAAGTCTGCATGAGGTCAGCGTTTGCTCTGTTTTTCTGCAACAACTCTCCCTCCAAGTGTCGGATCCGGCGATGAAGCTATAGCAAAACGTACAATGGTCAAGGATATGCTCACAATATAGTGTTTTAACAAACTAAGCTTTTCGTACCGATTCTTGACTGCCGCCGTGCTGTGTTGACTTCAAGTTGGCCTCTAGCTTCGCCTCCATCGTCCGCATGGCCGCGTTGGTTTGAATTATTTCGTCGTGGGACTTGCGCACCTCCTGCTCCAGCTCCTCCTGACGATCCAAAGCTCGTTGAGCTTCTTGCTGCGAAGCGCTCGCGATCTTCTGAAGTTGCGTGAGTTTCTGCGTCTTCCGCTCGCACTTTTGCTCTAACTCCCGACACGTGCGCTCCCAGTGCCGAAGCTTCTCCTCGTACTCAGCGACAACCTGCACGTGCTTGTCCGAGGTGGCCAACTTGTCCTGCAGAACGTGCACCTCACACTGCAGCGTCTCTATTGTGGTTTGCGCTGCCTCGTAGCTTGCTGTTAGGGTGGCGTGGCAGGTCGAGAGCTCGGCGTGTTTGGCTTCCACGCTGTCGAGCACCTGGTTGAGCACCGTCACCTGCTCTGTCAGCTTTTTGTGGTCGCTCTGCAGCTCCGTGTGCGCGCGTCGAAGGACGTCGTGGCTCTGGAGCTCGCGCTCCAGCAGTTGCGACATCTAAACACACACAAAAACGAAAGCGGGTGGTTAGTCCTTACGAACGTTAATACAAGTTCCCTCCATTCAAACCTTTTGGTTCTTCGTCACAAGCTCAGCGATTCGGATCTCCTTCTCTTTGCGCTCTGCTAGGTGGTAACCATTGCCAATTTCCTGGTCCAGCCGTCGGAATGACGCCTCCAGCTCCAGTTTCTCGTCGCGAGAATGCTCCACCTCGCGCTGCCATTGCGCGATTTCTTGCTGAAGACGCTCGTTCTCAAGCTACCAAATGAACACGAGTACACACTTGGTTAGTTAGTACTTCTAGGATTCATCTAAAAAGGTTGAGATCCTATCCCCCACACCTGCAATTTCCTCTTCGACTCGCTTTCTTCCTCTGCGTTGTTGACGCTGTGGTCACCCCCTCGACTCGTGCTAGGTCTGCGTCGCCCCGAAGCCTTTGGCACTACAACGGGCTTCCGCGGGGAAATTCTGGACACTTCCCTGCGTTGAATGGCAGTGACACGAATCGTGACTCATACTCTTCAGTAATGAACATGACGACGTGCAGCCAGTCAAACCTCGGCACTGTCGCTGCGGGTTCGCCCTCGACAAGCAGGTGCTTGTCTCGATTCCACTGCGGGCCGTGTCTACTGGCCTCTCGCAGAACCTCCTCCTCTAGGAGATCCAGACTCGAGACCAGGCTCGTTTGATTGCTCCACGGAAACTCGTCCGGGTCCATGTTTTGGCTACTTATCCTTTGCAGTTTGATGGAATTGAGGACTGTGCAGGCAAACCAACACACTATTTGCAGCGGAGAAGAAACGGATTTACCAAGCCTTCACTACACCACACTCTATCGCCATGTACAAGTCGACCTTGGACCCTTCGGGGGCTCTAACCTTCGAGTTCGACCCGCTGCGGCCACTCCACGCCAACGAAGACTCGCGGCTGCAATGGCCCGAGTTCCCGTACAAACAAGTGATGATCGATCGGGTGCGCGCGAAAGCAGGAGGGTCTGGTCGTCACGGGAAGGACTTGTCGGAGGAAGCGGCAGCGGGGTCGTTGCTGATGGCCTGCGGCCAGGAGACCGGAGCCTTGTTCCAAGTTGTGCAGCACAGTCGAGACGAGGAAGGAGAAGAAACTGAAGACGGCCACACCCTCGAGACCGGGTGGAAAGTGTTGGAGCGCCGGTTCCTTGACGAACGCGCTGCCTTCCGTCAGGCCAAACGGGAGTTCATTCGAGGCGATAAGGCCAAAGTTTCGAGCATTCTGGACGCCCAAGCTGCCAAGGAGAGAGAGCAACAGGAACAGGCCGAGCTCGCTGCCTGGAGAGCACGACAAATCGTCAAGCGGTACGAAGACGGCAGCAAATACGACGGAGACGGCGTCAACGACAATGGCGTTCTGATCCCTCACGGCTTCGGCACGCTCTGGGTGCCGGAGGAGAAGTACCTGACGTCGGTCGGACGCGGTGCCGACATCAAGCGAGTGGTTCGCTACGTGGGCGAGTGGAGAGACGGCTTCATGCACGGCCTTGGGACGTACTATTGGGCGTCAGGGGAGTCGTGGAAGGGCAACTTCCTCCGTGACGAGCTGCAGGGCAAGGGCGTCTACACGAGCAACGAACGAGACACGGACGAACTCAACAGCGGTCGGGGTGATACGGGGCGAGAGGCGAATAATAATGAGGGGAAAGACCCGCAGACTCTGCGTCCGAACCAGCGGATCCGATACTTTGATGCGAGTCAACACGTTTGTTGGGGGGACGAACTGGTGCGCGGATGTCGTGTTCGCCTCTTTGACAATCGCCACTTCGGCGACCCGCTCGTGTCCGTCGTGAAACGCTACAATGTGGACCTGGAGGAGGAGACGGAGGCGGTGGTGATCCGCTACGATCCCAAGACGGACCGACACTTACTTCGCAAGGGCGAGACGGAAGAAACGCGCTGGCTGTCGCTGTCCAACACAAACTTCCGGGTGGTTATTTCTCGCCCGATTGCACGTTTGCTAGAGGAGTAGAAATACTAAGCTTAGAGACATTCAGACATCCATTACATTGCTTCACATCGATTACCTAGTACATCGATACGCGATAACACGTTACAGCATACACAAACTACTTGTGTGGGTCCCGCTTTGGGAGCCTAGAGGAGAGTAAGAGCCGCAATACTAGTCGACAGCAGCACCATCGCAGCGCCCAACCCGCTCGAGCCTTGACGCACCGCACCATTTGACGTCAGCGTATCCACCGCCTCAATCTTAGCCGACTTGCTGCCTTCATTTGCCGTGCTTCCAACTGTGACCTCGGCCAGGTCAAGCGACCCGCTGCTCGAACCCACTGCGTGCACGCCTCCCGCCACGCTGCTGTCACCACTTTTCAAGGCCGCGAATTCAGCTGCAACTCGAGCTTTGTAGATAGCCGCCGTGCTTGCTTCCAGCTTATCAGGGGCTGAAGCGGCAGCGGCTGAGCCACTCGGGGTCTTGGTGGTTGAATTCGAAGCTGCGGCTGCCGTGGGCACATTAGCCGCTGGGATGGAGGCATTAGGAGCTGCGGCGGGGGCACTAGGAGCTGCTGCGGGGGCATTTGGAGCTGCTGCGGGGGCAGGGCCTTTGGGAGCGGCGGGGGCGGGAGCGACGTTGCCACTCGACTTCACTTCCACCTCAAAGCACGTAGAGTACGCAGTCCCGAAGTAGCCCTTGGCCATCGCCTGATCCACGTAGGCGCCTTCATCTTCCAGCCAGAACGTCCAAAACCACACCATTTTGTAGATCCCGGGGGCAGTTCCCGCCGGGACGACGAATGTTCCGATACAAGGCTTGCCATCACCCGCTCGGTGGCTCGGGTTTCCATTGTAGTCGACCGTCTCGCCGCAGTTGCCATCGTCGTAGTTGAGCGTGTGGCCGTCCACCAGGTTCTCGTCCTTGATCTCGTGAGTGGACGTGAGCGCCGTCCCCGGCTTGCCAGTCCAGTAGACGCCGTGCTGGGTCCCGACGCCCTTCTTGTCCTTAACGATGTGGCCATTAGGCAGATAGGCAAAGTACGCGGGTTGCCCTGCTGTCACCGTCAGTCGCTTCCGCCAGTCTGTGTACGTGTTGTCTCCGACAGCTTCGCACACGGGGGCGCCGGCCTCGAACTCGTTCCTCAGCAGTTTGTGCGTGAATTCCGTGCCGATGCCGGCATCTCCGCGGCCAGGGTAGCCAGCTCCGTAGCCGCCACAGAAGCCGTTGCCTGCAGCGCCACCGAAAATGTACGAAGCGCTCTGGTCGTAGAGCTTGGAGCGATCCGTGTCAAGGCAGTCGATCCACGTGTGGGCGTGGGCGAACTGCAGCGTCGTCGACAGCAGCACGACGAGTGAAGGGACGACGAACGTCATGGTCTCCGATGCCCGATGCAAAGTGCAATCGCTCTCGCCTGGTTGCGGTGAAAATGCGAGGTGGGGAGGAAGCTGCAGCCAGCGCCTTTGACGTGCGCCGATGGCGAGAAAGAGTCTGGCCACGACCAGCAGAGGAGCGACCGCGGATCCTGTGGTCGACTGCAGCCAGCTGACAGGCGGCGGTGCACCACCCCAGCCAAACGCGCCTCAAGCCAGCTCAACACGATGCTGGCAATCATCAGCATAAGACCGCCACTTGCCCCGGGGCGCCCTATGTCTCGAGGTGGACGTTGTCGTCGACAGGTGGACACTCTTTGGCCGTTCCTGAAATTATCCGAATCCGACCTACTGTAACCATCCTCCTAACTCCGAATCAATGCATACAAACTCCTATATAAAATATGATTCCACGAGAACACGCCGAAAAAGTAGTCAGAAGAGCCTCCCGATATCGCGATAATAATGGAGGAGCCGCTGCAGGCCGTGCGCCTCGCGCCGGACCTGGGCGCCGTGCACCGCCGCTCGTCCGTGTCAGCCCAGCAGCGCCACCGCAGCTCCAGCAGCAGCAGCCTCAGCGTCTCGGCCTGCAGCATCAGCAGCACCGTCAGCAGCTACCCGGCGCCCAGCACCACGGCGCTTCGTCCCTGTTGGCACCTGGCGGCCGACCAATCCTACGAGGACTACGAGGTCAGGCTTCCTATTGATATTAGGATGCGTGGTGTAGTGCATGTATTGCAGACCGTCCTGCAGGACGCAAGTTGAAGCTGAAAGGTCGCTTTTGGCCCTGATGGACAACTGTCTGGTTGTATTGATTGCAGGTGGTCTTCACGGAGGACAAGTTGGGGCTGACGCTCAAGAGCCAAGAGCAGGTGGACCCTTCGGGCTACAGGATCCCCGTGACCATCGTCAAGTCCACCATCTTCAGCGTCGGACAAGTCTCGCACCAGATTCGGGTGCGCAACTTTTGTTTTGGGTAAAAAAAAACAATGTTTTTATCCTGAAAATTGTGTTTTTTGTGGTGTTTGTTGATGCAGGAGGGCGATGTGTTGCAGTCGGTAAATGGCGAGAGCATTAGGAATTTGGAGTTCCCGGACGTGCTGCGAATCCTGAAGATCGCGCCGAGGCCGATCCGACTGCGGTTCCGCACGAGGTACACCCTGCGGGGGGCTCGACGAGCGTGGTCCATGTCGGGGGACGATCAGCAGGAGGTGTCGTCGAGGCGGTCGAGCACGGGAAGTGTTGACAGTGAAGTGAGGATGCCGATCGCGGCGGAGCCGTTCGCGTTCCCAGAACGCCCTGGACTGGAGGAGGACGGTGACGACTCGGACAGTCAGAACGCCGTCATGTCCGAGAGTTTCGGCGACGCAGACAGCGCGCGCTCGACGGAGAACAGCTCCGTGGTTGCAGATTGCACGGATACGGAACTCAAGTCGGGTCGGCAGTCGCGGTTGGCTGCATTCTTGCGGAAACCTTTTCGTCGCGGGGACGGGTTTGATGGAGGGCGATGGGAGCTTCGCATGGGCATCGTGCCCGCGTCGCCACGAGCGGAGACCGTACTCGAGTCGCCTTCTAAGGTAAATGCGCGCTTATTTGCTTCGGTAACAGTTTATAATCTAACCTGCTTCACGCACTTTGCTGTTGTCAGGCGGCGATCGTCGTGCGGTGGCGGGCGCACCCGAAGGCCCTGTCGTATCACCTGCAGTTCTCTCGGGACTGGACTATGAAGGTGTGGAAGAGCTGGTCCGGGCGGCCGCAGCGATCGAGCGACGACGAGCACGAGCTCGTCGCGTCGATCTTCGGCCTCGACTACGCGAAGAGCTTCGTGGTGCGGGTCCGCTACGAGTTCAGCGGGGGCAACGGACCCAGCGAGTGGAGCTCGCCCAGCGCGCCTGTTACGACCATCAGCAGCGTGGACGCAATGCACCACCGCATCGCCCCACCACGAGCGCAGCGAGGGTAAAAGGCAGTCACTCAGGCCTCCTCGTTGTGCAGTCATCCTACTGGTCACATCGCGCCGTAGAGAGATAAAACTAAGCTTATCCCCCCATTAATCTTCAATCAAAGTTGTTACTTGAAAAAATATCCGCTACTTCTGCTTGGACAGTGAGTGCAACATGTGACATGCTACGTAGGTAAAACTGTATCAAGTTTAAGAGGGGTTTAACGGTCCGTCTCGTTTACACCCCCATAATCGTCCAATCACATCTTTTTACTTTTCGGAAAGCCAGCGAGCGAAAACCTCCAGACTAAAAGTTAAACTCCATCACACCGCCTTCCTCATCCTCCGCTTTAACTTGACCTTTTTACTTACTAATATTTATTCTCTCTCTCTCTTGGGACGACGATGCTGGAGGGCGCGCTCAAGTCGTGGATCCTGTACTTCCTGGGGCAGTACGTGGAGAGCCAGTCCGTGACGGTCTCGGCCAAGCTGTGGCAGTCGTCGGAGCGCCTCAAGCTCGAGAGCCTGACGCTCAAGGCCAGCGTCGTGCCGCGCTGGCTGCCCTTCCGCCTCAAGACGGGCTTCGTGGGGCTCTTCGAGGCGGACCTGCCCATCTCCGCCATCTTCGGCAGCGCGTCGGCCAAGATCAAGTTCCAGGACGTGCTGCTGGTGCTGGCGCCGCTGCAGCACGACGAGGACGAGCTGCAGGACGAGGTCGCGAGCCTCGTGGAGCTCAAGATGGGCCGGCTGCTGCAGGACCTGCAGGACCGCTGGAGCGGGCCCCAGGTGCCCGAGTACACGGTGCCGCACGAGAGCGAGGGCTACTTCGGCACCGACGGCTGGATCGGACGCACCATGACGAAGCTCATCGACAACCTGCAGGTGGACATCCGCAACCTGCACATCCGCGTGGAGGGCGTGTGGCACCCGTCAGCACCAATGAGGAGCCCGCCTGCCTCCAGGACCAGTGATAAGGAGAAGCAGAAGAAGAAGAAGAGCAGGACGGACGGGGTCAAGTACGCAGTGGGGATCACGTTGGGGGCGCTGTCGGCCGTCACGACGCCGAGCAACTGGCGAGTTGGGGGCTTCGACGACAAGCAGGAGGCGCCACAGGAGGAGAGCAGCCACCTGGTCTTCAAGCTCATCAATGCGCTCGATCTGTCGGCCTACGTGGACCCGAACGCGCTGCACTTTATCCACTCGAGAGTGCACCCCAAGGTGCTGCAGTCGACGCTGGCGAGACTGAAGGAGATGGGCTCGAGAGGAGCCAGGGCGGACTGGTGGAACGCAGAGGAGAGCGTGCACGCGCACAGGTTCTTGGTGGCGCCAATTAATGTGTCGCTCAAGCTGACGATGAACACGGCGACGCACCATGCCACGACGGACGACCCGCGCTACGACGCGGTGTTCCACTTGTCCAGGATATGGATGACGCTGGATGAGGAGCAGCTCTCGGTGCTGAATTTGGTTATTGACTCATTCTCGGGACATGAAAAGTGGAGACTCATGGTGGCGGAACAGGTGAAGGCCTCGGAGCGACAGACAGCGAGCAACGAGGCGAAAATGGCGGAACTGGCGGAGAATTATTTATTGCTGTGGAACCAGGTGATGGGGATGAAAAGCGAAGGGATGGATGCACTGAGGAAGTCGGAGGCGTGGACTAACGCTACGAGGATAGAGCAGCAACTGCCGTACGAGGTCGTGGTGTCGATCCGAAATCGCCTCGGGCTGGAATCTGTAGCAGGAAAGACCGTACCGTACCCTAGCGCGTTGTATGGGATTGGAGATGCAATGGGTATCCCCCTGCCAGAAATCAGCGTGCCGTTTCCTGGCGGTCCGACGGGGATCCTTTTCGATATATTGCCGTCAGGTGACGTGGCGATTAAGCGGTGCGTGGAGAAAAGTCCTGCTGCCACTAAAGACAGCGTGAAACCGGGGCTGCTGCTGATCAAGGTGGACGACCGACCGCTGCGATCAGTGTTTAAATTCAAGTCTGCCCTGGACCTAGAGCTCGCGATCAACGCTATGCCAGATGCAAAGGTTCTCACATTTCGCCACCCTTCGGTGACGCCTCTGGAAATCACCCCGTCTCGTGCTGTCGCTCAAGTTTCATTTACATCTGACCAGCTGAAATTTTGCCTCGTTCGCGCTTACCACAAGGAGGTGATCGCGGAAATTATGGTGGATCATCCTTCGGTAACGATCAATGGTTTTGGGCCCGGGCTGTTTTCATATCATTTTTACGAAGTCATGGTGGAGGATTTCTACGTGCAAAGCACTTCGCAAGCAGACGCCGGAGGCAACTATTGCATTGCTTCCAGTATCTGCAAACCTATGGACGGTTTATCGTATGAAGAAGCGCAAAGCCCAGCTCTTCGATTCAGTATGAATTACCTTTATGCTGCACATCCAGACGCGCGTCCTGGCAAGGTGGATACTTATGGATCCAAGATCTCGCTGGCTATTGGTAACTCTATTGCGGTATTCGATGAAGCCAAGATGACAGCCTTGTTAGGGGAATGGCATGAGTGGCTCGGTGCCATTTCAAGCGACTATACGCATGGAATGCCGTCCTCCAGCGTTCATCGATTGGATGCCGACTTGGCTGCGGCACCGCCGTCCATGAGCTCTCAGCTTGTGGCATCTTACGCGTCAACCAGTCCTTCCAATGCAGTCCTCGGGGAAGAAGGTTACTCACCCGCGGAGATAAGCAGCTACTCGTACGAAGTCAAGATTGACCTCTTGCGTCTTTTCGTGAGTGCCCCTGAAGCACCTGCAGCTCCTGTGACGATGTCGAACGAGCCTTCCTATCGAGCGTTGCTGAAGCAGCTTGTTGGTGATGAGCCAAGCGGCCCCCCAGCCATCCCAGACTGGGCGAGGGCTGCCCATGCCATCGTGGTGATGCAGCGGTTCATGCGAGGCGCTATCGTGCGGAAGCGGAAAATGGTTCGATTGGCACTAGCGAAGAACCGCTGGATATACTACGAAGGCAGCGAGATGATGGGCTGGCTGTACACAAGAGACGACTCCCTCGCGTTCCGTCGATGGCGTCGATCCTGGTGTCATCTTGACGATGACGGCAACTTCTCAATGCACAGCAATGGTTCCGGAGCGGATGTACTCGACGAGTTTAATCTGCTGGGCTGTAAGGTTATCATGCTACCTTACGGTTCCGGAGGCCCATGGGGGTCTAACAGGGACCGATTATCCGGAGTACTTGAGATAACGACGCGATCTGGTGTTCTACGGAAGGTCCTGAGCTGTGACAACTTGATGGAGCTGAATAAGTGGAAAGCGAGTATTGAAGCCAGCGCCCGAAACGCTGCAAAGCGATCCGCAAGTGAGGACGTTGAGGAAGAAGAAGCCATGTATGAGTCGATGGAGGACGACAATTACCCCGTCGAAGATGGCGCCGCACAGTTTCGTAAATTGGAGCAGTGGAATGGAGCTAACTTGGATGAGCTCCTGCTTGGAGGGTTTTCGAGCATCTACCGACCAGCTGCCACTCTCAAAAAGGAGCAGTCGTCATGGATCTCGCTGAGTGTGACTAGCGTAAATTTCGTCGTGGATGTGCATCGCGTATCAGAGCCAGACTGCTCTGCGTTCGCATTGTATTTGGGCTTGAAAGATTTCACGGCCTTGGATCATCGACAGTCATCGGATTATGGGTTGCTGCATGTTGGTGACAAGTTCTTGAGCCTCAAGAATGGCGCATTGACTCCTGGAAAGATGCGAGCAGATCATCTGAACAAAGGCCCCTTTCTCGTTTTGCGGATGTCTTATCGAGGAGCGCGCGCTCGTCGGGAATGCTTCGTGCTACAAAGGGGCCTTCACGCAGACCTCACGATGTCTGGTTGGGTGATGCCTCTCACGTTATCTCAGGTTTTATTCGAAATCATCGACGTTTTGGATGTGCTATGGACCGACAACACTACCACAACAGAAAGTGGAGTGGGTCGTGCATACGCCCCCGAGCCGGTGACTACTGCGCCGTGGAAAGAGGTGCCCGAGCTCGGCATCCAAATACGAGCTCCCATCCTGGAGGCTTACCTGGAAGATTCCCACTGCGTTGCTAAATTGACGATCGAGGATAGTTCGTGCTCGTACCGCGCCGACCCTGGAGTTGAAAACTTCAAGCTGCATCTTGGACCTACCGCGCTGTTTGTGCTGACCGAAGATGTCGCTCTTCGACTCGTGCAAGTCGACAAGTTCTGGCTGAGCTACGACCTCAGATTGCATAGACAAACTGACTCGGCGGTTGGAGGATGCGATTTATGTGCGGACGAGTCAGCGAAACGAGCAGTTTGCCACCGATCCGTCAGTATCTCTATCGGACAGGTCAAACTTGAGGCTGATCGAAGACTGGAGTTGCTCTTTGCTTTGTTGGAGGCTCTGACCAACAGCGAAGCTCCGACCGAGGCTGAGGGAGACCCAGAATTCGACAGCGCCATCGAAGAAAAAGCTATGGACAGCGACCGCGAAGGTTTTAGCAGGAGAGATTACGACGTAAGTTTCCTGGGGGGAGAACATTTTTCTCAGACGGAGCGGATGCAATCGATGCAGTTCAGTATGGACTCAGATCTACGGCCAATGTACACCACTGGATTCAACCGTCAGTACGCTTCTCCATCGGGCCGTAGTCGCATGTCCACAGCGACCTCTGCTGGGTTGAACTATGGACTGACTGATCATGACCAAGAGCGATCCAAGCGCCGGTCGAAGGTATCTGCATTCATCCCGCTGCTCAACTACCAGCAACTTGTCGGCATCTCCACCGAGTGCTTGGATCGCCAGACCTCGTACAAGTCTATCTTTCGCGCGCGCTTGCGAATGGGGAGGATCCACGACCGCCTTTCCATCACCTGCTACTCGGTGGTTTTCGAAGTGATCAAGCGAAGTCTCTCCGTGGTTTCATTGGACACGTACATCCCGGTAATGAACTTCTCCGTGAGTGATATGAAGATGCAGTGCGTGACGCGGACCGAGTTCTCGACGGACTACGTGGTCGACGCTAGTGTTGAGATATCTGCGCGTTACTACAACACGTCGTTAGCAGACTGGGAACCCTTCATCGAGCCCTGGCGAGCTTACGCAAAGGCACGAAGCAATGGCGGCGAGGACGGGACCACGATGCAGCTCAGTGCCTTGCAACGACTCAATGTGAATTGCACGGATTCGCTGATTCGGTTACTGTCTAGTATCGCCAAAAACCGCCGGAAGCAAGATTTCATCGTGGAGAAGCGAACTCTTGCGGCTGTAGCTGCCGATGGCGAGGCAAAGAAGGAGGACGGCCGCGTGTGTGTGCTGAATAACCTCGGAGTTCCGATTCGGCTGGCCAACCTGAATACTTCTCACGCAGGAACTCTTCATGTTGACGTGAGAGATGGATGGTCCTTTCCTGGGTACTCGCGCTTCCACAACGTGCGTGTGTCAGTGGTACTTTTGCCGTGGTGGCATCCGCGTGAAGTGCAGGCCGTGGAGAATTTCCGCCATAAGTTTTCGCTCCCGTACGGAGGAGCTCAGTCGGGCGTCACACCGATTTTGAGGATTGACGTCCTCACTACAGAGGAGGGAAAACGCAATTACGTGTTCGATCACGTCACGAACAAGTACGTGGAGGTTGAAACCGATGACGATGACGATTACATGGACGTATCGGCTACGCGGCACATAACCCCACCTAATACCCGCGAGTGTATGGATCGCGGCATCAGCAGCGCCACAACCACGTCGCAGCGGACGAGGTGGTCCTCGGTTGGGGCAGCGGAGATCAATTTGGCGGGTAATGTCATGTCGTCGCTGGACCCCAATCGGATGAAGCTGAATCGCTGGTACCGCCTCCACGATTTGCGCGGCAATGTCACCGGTGAGATCTTTGTCGGCTTGCATTTTGTACCGGAAGTAAACAGCCCTGTCCATCGTCCGAGAGTGAACGAGCCCCAGCAAGTCAAGGACGGACAGTTCCTCGTGTTTGACCCTCTGAAGATTGTCACTGCCAACACGAACGGCCCTACAGACCAATGCAAAGACCACGTGGTGCTTTCAGACGGTCTTCGGGGAAGTTACATCCCCCCGTTGGCGCTAGAAGTCGTGATCGGTTCTTCGCGAATGAGTTTGATGTGCCCGCTACGTCGCGCCGGAAAGTTTCTCATCCAGGGCGAGAAGGTGCTGGCTGAAGTCAAGGTTGCGCAAAGGGACGAGTCTCGGCGCGTGCTGCTTCTGAGCTCACCTGTCCAGCTGAAAAATGGTAAGTGGCGTGGTGAAGTGGATTTGTTGTGTTCGTGGTACTCATGAATATTGCAATGATAGACACAAGCATCGACATGGAACTGTGGACCTGCCGCACACGCGTACCCCCTGGCGAGGTGAGCACATGATAGATCGCTTGGAGTCTAATCCTTGCACAAATGACCTAACACAGTTGCTTGTATGACAGAGTGGTCCGCTCCCCCGAACAGGCAAGTTAATGACCCTGACTACAAGCAACAAAATGTCCGTCCCCATCAGCGCCATGTTTGGAGATGAAAAGGACTCGATTGTGGTGAAGGTGGACGGATGCAAGCCCACTGTCGTGGCGGATCTGAACCAGTTGGCAGCGGGGTCTACCATTTTAACGCTGGAGTCCGAGGACAGCGAAGGTCTGGGCTACTGCTTGTACGTCAACATTACGTCGCACATGCGCAAGGTGTATCGGGAAGAGCACCAGGGAATGATCACTCGCGGAAACACGAACCAGGACGGTGAGTTGCAGACATATGCGACGAAGTACCAGATTTGCTTGCACTCGTGTCTAATGTTCGAGAATACCCTCCCGATTCGCGTCCAGTACAAGATCGTCGCTAGCGGACAGTTCGAGCAAGTGGTTCGCACTGGTACGCTTTCTCCGGGAGAAGAAGTTCCGATCCATGATTTCCAGCTTGATGCGCGGTTGATGCTGCGGCTGCCAGAGATGGACTCAATCTGGAGCCGTCCAATTAACCTAGGCGATTGCATCTATCGAGATGGCATGGGCAAAGCGATCAAGGCTATGCTGGGAGCCTTTGGTTCCTGGGATCCTGTCGTGGAGTTCCTTCCATCGCCTCAGAGCCCTGGTATTGCGTTCAAGGATGGAGACGTCTCCTCGAACAAGGTCATCACTCGAATTGATTACACGGCTGCAGACGACGGGAGTCCTCGAATTGTGCTGTATTGTTCGCTCTGGGTTTACAACCAGTCGCACGTCCAGACGCTGCTGTTCCGATGTGCCGACAATCCGGATGCCTCTACGTTGGTCGTGCCTCAGCTTGTTCCTCAGCGTCCGGTGCCACGATTAATGGATTGCCCTGGCCAAGCGTTCGAAATTGGTACCATTATCGATACCGAGGTCTCTCGCTGGTCAGACAAAATCCATTCGACGGTGGTGGGCGTTCAAGAGCCCATTAGTCTGAAGTTTGGGAATAAGCTGGGACCGAAGACGCGCAACGAACTGGGGATATCGATTCAACGACCATTGGGTCAGTTCCACCGGACTACGCAAGTTATTGTCACGTCCCACTTCGTATTCGTGAACAAGACCCACGCGGCTTTCAAGGTCTCGCAGTACATGAAGACCAACGACCGAGTGGTGGAGCTGCCGGGTATGTCGAAGAAAGGAATTCCTGCCACGCATCATTTCGATTTTGACGCCACGACAAGCTTGAACAACCGACGAGTGTACTTGCGGATGGACCACCATGGAGCAGAATGGAGCGGACCGTTCGCGGTTGACGAGGAAAATGAGTTCTCGCTGAAGCTGAAGGGCTCGGTGGTGGAGGCGTGGAGAGATGGAAGTGGCAGTGCGTACAAACACGAGGGATTCCGGCGCAGTGCTGCAGACATGCATCGCGTAAAGGTCCGCATCAGCAACATGGGGCCAAGCATGGTTGTCACGCTCTTACGAGACGACCCACCGATGTATGTGATCCGCAACGAGTCCAGCGCGGATGTCTATGTGAGCCAGATTCACAGCTCAGACGAAACTGTGGTTATTCGGAGTAAGGAGTTTATTCCCTTCGCGTGGGCGAAGCCCGATGGGCCATGGTAGGGTATCCTTGCTATCTTGCCAATCAATGTTGGGGCGATTTTAAGTGAACTCACGTCTTCCTGTTGTGTGTTTTCAGGCGAGTCGCTTGTCGAACTGGCACAATGATTGGGCGTCACGAGATGGTCTCACGAACGTATGGAGTGTACGATTTCGCAAATCTGGACCGGGAGCGGAACATCGATTCTCTCCGCTATCGGTTGTTTGGAAGCAAGTCCAAGAGTGTTGCCGGTGACATTGTTGTGGATCGAGCATCGCGCGTACTCGTGTTCCGCGATCACAACCCCAATCAGCCGCCGAACTACATCCTGGAAGTTAAAATCATTGCTGCGCGATTGCGGAACGAGTTTTCTCTGAAGCCAGATTCGACAGCGGAGTTTATTGCGGAGACCGATACCCACGGGGCGAAAACAACCGAGTCCAAAGAACTGAAGACTGCACACGTGTATCGCTTTGATTCCGACCTCGAGTTTGCGTGTGAGAAACGGCCAAAGAAGCTGACTCTGAGCTTCTACGAAAGCCAAGGAGACCGAGAAGGCGTGCAACAAGACATGTCATCTATTGGTATCGATGATGAAAGCTATTTCAATAGCAATCGTATCCATCGGGCAGGTAACAGCAGCTCGGCGGAGTTCGCGTTGGATGCCACGGAGCTAGGAGGATCTGGTAGTCCCAGAACTGGAGATGACTCGACGTCGTTTGAAATGATGTACACGCCGGCAGCTTCTCCAGTTCGGCGGTGTCGGCCTTTGTCGGGGAATATCTCGGACAGCGTGGTGTCGTTGCCACGAAACCAAGGGTTTTATCGCAATGACAGCGACCTCTCGTATGTTGATGCTGGACTACAGATGAGCGACATCGAGCGCGTGAGCGATTCTTATGCGACTTCGGACCAGTCTGACGATAATGAAGATCACAGAAAGGAGCGGGAGTTCGGCGCCGCTGGCATGGTTGAGATTAAGATCCCGAAGAAGGCGTGGACACGATTAGGCGTCGGAGCCAAGAGGTCGATCGCTCTGTCTTACAACACAGCTGAGCAAGCGCGTCGATCACTTGGGCGGGTGGAAGGACACTGGTGGGAAATGCGTGACCCGGAGACCGGTGATCTTGTCGGTGAGGTGCTGGTGGCGCTGAAGTTCCGCACATCGGTGCGCGAGCACATCCAGCCAACGGGCATTTACAACATGAGTGTGATTGTTCCGAGCATTGGATTGTCGTTCCTTCACAACGCGAACTCGAGCATGATGGAAGTGGCGTATTTCTCGATGCAGCGGCTTGGACTTCTGTACTCTTGTGCAGGAGGCAGCAGCGAGGTGGTGTTTTCGCTTGGTAATCTGCAGATGGACAATCAAATGGAACGCGAAGTGGTGCTGGGCCCCAAGGTGCACCGCGTGAAAGAAGGCGTGTCGGTGCGACTGCGTGATCGCTGGCGGAACTTCATGAACTATCGCTACCGCGGCATCTTCGAGGAGCTAGACACGAACAGCTTGAGTGTCATTCAGTTCCGGATGCTCTGGAATTCAAGCAGTCACGCTGGCGAGTTCACGCACTATGAACTCATCGAGCTCATCATGCAGGAGCTGGAAGTGTCAACGGACGAGAAGTTTGTCGTCAATCTCATCAGCGTTTTCCAAGGCCTCGAAGGACTCACTAGCCACCACACGTTTGAGGAGATCGTGAACACGCAGCTGGACTACGCCGGCGGGTTTAGCAGTGGTGCCGTCGCCCCCGCTGCAGGTGCAGACGAACGAAGTATCGTTGCAGGCGGAGGAGGTACAGCTGCGGCCGCGGCAGGAGCTGAAGCTAGCGGTGTGTACATCGAAGAGCTGTCCATCGAAGCGATCCGCATTAAGTTTACTATGGAGCTACACGGTGGGCGATACATCAAGACATTGGGCCCCTCTGGTAGACGCTTGGCTGTGTACCTGCCGGAGTCTAACGTAAAGGACTTCCGATTGTACCTGACCAAGCTGTCATTCACGCATCTGTACGAGCCGCAAGCTAGCGTGGTCGAAAAGGTGACGCGGCGGTACTCGCAGCAGGCTGTCATTCTCGTGCTCAGTGGATTGCACACTGTGTCCGTGTACGCGAATCCGTTCCGAATCGTCTACCGTCTGGGTCATGGCGTGGTGGAGCTCGTGCGTCTACCTGCTCGTGGCTTAGCGTCTGGCAGTCCTCTGGAGTTAATCAGCGGTGCGTACCTCGGCGTACGCTCACTGGCAATGAACACGATCAGCGCCAGTTACGAGATCGTCGCGGGTGCCACAGGAATTTTCGGGGCCATCATGACGCCGTTCGTGCCGGAGAGCAAGCGCAAGGCGTTCGAAGACGACCTGGTCGCGTTCCAGCGCGCTGTGATCGAGGAGGTGGACGCGTTCGACGCTGCTGAGGAGCGGACGATGACCAAGGTGATCGTGCGAAAGCCTCGCGAGTTTGACGCAGGTGGAGTTGGGCTGCTGACGGTGTATGGCCCGGGCTCGGTGCCGCTGGAGGAGCAGGAGCGCATCGACCACAAAGCTGTCGTGCTGCTGCAGCTTTGGTGGCGTCGGCGACGACGAGCCAAGTTGCTGCTGGCTGAGGCACGCCGCCTTCGACCTGAGTCTGACGAGGCCGACCGAGTGAACCAGTGCGCCGTGCAGTAGCAGCCACCGACCGTAGGAGGAAGTTCTCGCTGGCTTGCTGCTTGTATAGTAGTGGCAAGACCGATGGGGTCTGTAGAGTACCGCAGCAAGCTAGCAAGATTTTACCATTTTTGTTATTTATTTCTCAGCGAAAGCTGATTTTAAACGTGTGTGTCAGATAACCTATCCTGGAGGTTCATTTCCTATAATACATCCAGGCACATATAAATCAGTAGTGCTCATGCTCGAGATGCCCGGAGTCTGAGCGCACCATCCTATCATAATAGCCAGCGAGGCCTCGAGCCCAAGGCGGCGTGCACTGGTTGTGCCTTTAGTGCGGCAGTGATGAATTCGAGTTTATATTTAATTTTCACTGTTAGCTTATACTTTGAGTGCGTACGGGGCGCACAGATGTCGGCGGATGCAAAAGAAGGACTACCCAGCTCAAAACAATAAAAAGACAAAATCCTTCTATCTTGGTCTTTCCTTATTGTGTTTCAAGTGAGGTGAGAGGATTGTGACTTCGAAGTATTGTTGTAGTGTTTTTGAGCTGGGAAGTTCTTCTTTATGACCCACTAGCATCCTAATAACAGTGAAAAACAAATACACATCTCAAATTCATCACTGCCGCAGTAAATGCACCGCGATCGCTGGTACGGCATCGCGATTGAAGGTCCAAGATGAAGCGGTGATGTCGCAAGTGGCGAGAATGTCGTTCGATAATATACGCCTAACGACAGTTCTTCAATCTGTGAATTTTGTAGCGTTGCGCCTTAACCCTTCTACTCAGCCCAAGAACCGACTGCCGGATACTGTCATACACGTAAAAGGGTTAGCAGTATTCAGAACAAGTCTAGCAATGCCGTGAGATCTGTTAATCCTGCGGTTTCCCAAAAGGGATCATCTTGATTTCAGCATAGGGTACCGTAAACCAAGGCCTCGGTGCGACACACGGCTTGGGCATACATGAGACAACCCAGAACCAAATGATACTACTGCGCCATTTAGAGTTATCGAGATACAGACAACGACTTACAAAGCCGGCATGCTTAATGCCATCCTCCTATATAAAAAACAACGATAAATTCCCTCCCGTCAAATCTGTAAAACTGTCATAAAACACACGGTGTGTTGCATAAAGTACACAAGAAAGCATATAAAGTACACAAAACCAGATGGTATACAAAGATGAAGTCATTTGATTGAATCTGATTGGCTGGTTTGCTCATGTTAAGCTTTGGATGACTTCGTCTGCCGGCTTTTTGTGTCTGCCGGCTTTGTAAGTCGTTGTCTGTACTGTAATCGCGTTTAAAGTTAGGCCATCGATTTTCGTACTTATATGAAGTTTCGAGAAAACGGCCGATTTGTGTTTTGAAAATCAAACTGTCACTAAACTGAGCTTGCTCACTCAAGAACCTGAGACCACAAGAAGATACCAGTGTCCTGCCACGATGTCCTCTCACGAACCCTCACCCACGCTGCCAACCTCCACCGAGTCTTCTGCTCCGGAGACACGCTCCACACCTTCCCCCACGCCAGCCCCCAGTGCCCCTACGAACGGTGCGGCGCTGTCAAGTCCGGATAGCTGTCCGTCGCAAGAAGTCGACGTCCAACTCGCGCAGAACACCCCTGGCGCTGACGCCGTGCTCAATGACGCTAGCTCTGGCGAGGAGGAGAGCGAGGAGCCAGACAGCGAAGAGCCCGACGACAGTGACGACGAGGACTGGAGTGATGACGACGGCTCCGCTGGTGAGGAAGATGTGACCGGAGAGAGGGCAGAGAGCGAGGCAGATGAGGAGGAAGAGGACATCAGTATCAATTTGCTTGACGTTGATGTCCAGCAGTGCGTGACGTACCTGATTCGAGACGACGTGTGCGAGCGGCGCTGCTTGCAAGGCAAAGCGGGCGAGTTGGAGTGGTTGACGTGCTCGCTGGGGCAAATGCCCAAGCCGGAGAAGACGACTTGCATCCTGACGCCTTTTGGCGTGCTGATGCAGACAGACACAGCCGAGAGACGTCGTGGCAATGGTGAACGCTAGAAGTTTCACTACTACTTACCATTCGTTGGGCGCGTGTGCCGTCCTTCGTTTGCCCGATGCCTCGGCGTGCAGCCGCTTACCATTCAGCGCTACAAAAGGCGCGTGCGTGACGGCAACATTGCTGCCAAGGTGCACGGCAATCGGCTCAACAAGAATGCTTCGAAGATCGATCTAGTTTGGTTGGTCAAGTGGTTCAAGGAGTTTTCTGCTGAAGTCGGCGAGGTGGTGCCCGTGAGTGTGCGCATGCAGAAAACCAAGGACGGTATGGTGAAGAAGTACTACAGTCGTGAAGACTACACGCTGCTACCTGCTACGTTTACCTGGGAGGCTCTGTACGACGAGATGCACAAGTTTGTGAGTCTCGGTTTGCGTGTTTGTGAGCCTGCACGCTCCACTTTCCGCAAGTTGCTGTCCGTCCACTGCCCCAACATCAAGATCCGTTCCGCTCAGTCCAATGTGTGTGACTTGTGCACCATTTACCAGTCGAGGATGCGTCGCAGGGCTTCTGCTGAACAAGTGGAGGAGCTGGGCCAACACACGGAGTCTGCACGTCGAATGAGGTACGAGGACATAGATATCAAATTGATCTACCAAGAACTTTTCACTTGACCATTGGAAACATTTTGATCTGTTGTTATCTATAGACGCGAGTACAAGAAGGACAAAGCTGCCGTCCAGGCAAGCGATGGAAGCTGCGGTGACGTTGCAGTGATTGTTATAGATTTTTCGCAGAATTTAACGATTCCTTCGGTCACCACCACTCCGTCTCAGTGATATTTCTGTTCGCTGCTTGCAGTGAACGTCTTCGGAATTTTTTACGAAAACGAGGGAGTGCAGACGAACTACGTCTACGACGAATTTGTGAGTGGAAAAGGAAGCAACCAGATCAACTCAATGCTTCAGCACTTCATTCGCACCGTGCTGCTCCCTGCCGACAAGAAGCATCTCATTGTGTACGCCGACAATTGCTCAGGCCAGAACAAGAACAATCATGTTATCAAGTTTTTTCTTACTCAAGTTCAGATGGGTGTCTTTGACCGCATCGACTACAAGTTCTTCGTGAAGGGCCATACCAAGAACTCTTGCGATCGTGGATTTGGCCACATTCGCCGCCACGTTGGCCGCGCAGACTGCTGGACGATGGACCACATCGTATCCGCTGTCGATGAGGCAGCCACTTCGAGCATCTCAGTGCACATCTCGCGTGGGAACGAGTTCTTCAAGAGCTACAAGCCGCTCGTGACGGAACTTTACAAGAAGCTAGTGGGGGTACAGCAGTACCAGATCTTTCGTATGGAGGCGGCCAACCCGGGGTAGTGCAGTGCAATAAGGGACCAGACGACGAGCCCGTGGAGCAGGATCTACGGCGCAAGGTTGACGGGGTATTGACAGAGAGCACTAAGGTGGAGCGGAAGCTCATCCACTTCCTGGAGGACCTGATCCCTCCGTCGCTAAATGCGGAGAAGATGACCGAGCTCTACAGCAAGATCCGCCCGTACGTCCCTGATGAGTTTCAGGATGATCCTATCTACGCTGCGCCAAGCCAAGACCAGCAGGACGACGCTAAATCAGCAAAACAAGCTCACAGAGAGCATCGGGCAGCAATGACAAAGGCCGCGAAGGAGAACAGCGACCGCCGAGGAAGAAACAAAGGCAACACGAGTGCAGCGACGAAAAAGAGAAAGACAAACAGCGAGTAAGCTGCTGCAGTCTAAGGGGATCAAAATGATACTTCCATCCATTTGTCAAACAAACTGTTACTTATCGACATATGCGTGTCACTAACTCGGGGTAATAACTTTAAGACGCGATTTGAGCACGTTCTGCTCGGAAATGGACGAATCCGAGAGTACCATTCGAACCGCCGGCCCATTCTTCCTTTACTTCACCCAAAACAATTCCATTTTTGCTCTGGGAAGGGAGATAATTTTTCTGAAGGCCTATAACTTCGTCGGTTTCAACTCCTGGGAGGCGTGGGTGGGCTCAAATGAAAGAGGAGACGCCCCTCTTTCGATTGGTGTGCCTAAATCGCGATTCGTACTTAGGTTCATTAATATTCTTTTGTTTGACGTTTTCTCACATATTGTACGTGAAAAGCTATCAATATCTATAATAATAAATTCGAGATCCTTGAGTGTGTCACGCTTTTTAGACCATTTGATTGGCTGATGTTTATATCACATATCAGTACAAAATTTCGAGCTGCTAGCCCTCCAAAAGATACTCAACTGTGTGACAACTGCAAGACAGTTGTATTATTTAGTCGAACTGCTAAGATCGAGTACGCGCCGCACCCGTACGTGCGGATGTCACGTGCGTGCTTCGACGACCTTGGCATAGTGACGGAGGGGTTCACTGTCTCGACCAGCTGCCTTCACAGAAGTTTAATCCATGTGCTGAACAACGCCGTGGCTGGCAAGCTGGCGCTCCAGCTCATCAAGTAGCTGCCGCATGTTTCGGATCGGTGCAGATACATTCAATTGCACCGACACACTAGCAATACGCGTGTCAGGCCTGTAGGAGTTCCATTAGGTGCAGTTGATCGCCTGCACGATGCAGTGCATCTGGCCAGTTTCAACCAGATACGGCATCACCCGTCGTGGTATTTGTTAAAACGTACGTACTCCCGTACGAACACGAATGGAGGTATCCGCAACCATAATGATAGTCACCGCGTACGTACGGGAGTACGAACAGTAGTGAGTACATACCGTACGTACAGTAGCACAATTACAAGCATAATCTTACTGTGTGTACAGTCGTACGGGGCTTCGGCCGAAGGGATAGAAAGAGGTCGCGAGGCGAAAACCAACACCGTGGCGAACAACAAAGGTAAGCAAAATGTGTTTTATCAAAATAGAAGGTGCCACGTCAATATTCCTGTACCGTTAATGACGATAGGTAATAAGACGAAAAACTCGCTCGCGGCTGAAGCTGTACAAATGATAACGTAACGTGGTACAAATGCAAAAATGATAACGATTTTCTCATCGAATAAAAATTTAGCGTGAATCTTTTTCTGAAAGGTGCCATAAACATGTAAATTCACTACCAGCTACATTGTTGACTGCGATTGCAGCTTGGTCTCAACCATGTTTCCATTTCCATTTCTGCTTTGAACATGGCAGTCCAGCTCCGCTCCGGGAAGACCTGCATGACTCCGACCGTCGCCCAGGAGGTTCACCGCGCTCAGCAGCGCACTAAAAAAATAGCGGCCAAGGGCACCCACGACTCCGCCATAATTGTAGAGACTGCCCACGGCTACACGGCGCACATTCAGGCGCTTCAACAGCAGCAGAGCGACCTCGCGTCGGAGTTGCAAGCTGCGGAGGACGCCTACGCGGATCTGAGCAAGAACTACGAGCAGCTGAATGCGATGTACGACGAGCTACGCGAAATGTACGACGAACTCAAGCTTCATGCCGACCGTCTCGAGCAAGAAGTTGCGGCGGCATTTGAGGGCTATTTTTGTAATTAGATGTTCTATAACCTAATATCTAATAAAACAAGTTGGCTGACTTTAGTGATCTTCACCCTGCGGACGCGACAACAAACCGATTGATTGAGGCAGAGCTATCGTACGATCAAGCGGAAATGGAAGCTTTACGGGACCAAGCCGATCGCTTGAATGACGATCAAAGAAACGTGTATGACAAGGTGATCAGCGCTGTTCAGCTCGAAAATGGCGACGAGAAGCTTTTTTCTGGATGGCCCCGGTGGTACGGGGAAGTCCTTCTTGCTTCAGACGATCCTAGCGACTACACGGTTGAAAGGCAAAATTGCTTTGGCAGCTGCCTCACGCGGAATTGCAGCCACACAGCGAATGGGCGGCAGGACGGCACACTATACATTCCAACTAGGCTTGGACCTCACATCTACGTCCACCTGTAACGTCACAGTCAGCTCCGGTTGAGCCGACCTACTACGGCAAACATCTCTCACTGTATGGGATGAAGCTCCACTGATGATTAAGTACGGTTTTCAGGCCGTTGATATCACCCTACGGGATTTCATGAAGAACGACAAACCTTTTGGGGGTAAGGTTATGCTGTTGACCGGTGATTTCCGTCAAATTCTTCCTGTAATGCCGCATGGAGCATCGTCAACAGCTGCATTAAGCGGTCCTCATTGTGGACAAACTTTTCAATTCTTCATCTCAAGACCAACATGAGAGTTCAAGGTATGACGAATGAAACGACAGCGATGGAGACACAAACGTTTGCTGATTTTCTACTGCGTGGTGGAGAAGGCCGGAATCAAGGTTGTATCGAGGGAGGACGCGACTACACGCGAATACAACAAGACATGGTACTGGCGGCTCCAGCTGACGTGGAAAGGCAAAGGCCCTAATTGACCATGTTTATGGTGGTATGGAGGAGCGTTACCTCGAAAATGACTACTTTGCGGGCAGAGCTATTCTGACGCCGCTAAATGCCGATGTATTGAAGATAAATGACGCAGCAATCGAAGCACTCCCAGGGACAATCAAGGAGTACGTATCTATTGACACGGTCGAAGATACGCAAGGGTCCGATACGTCCGTGTTTCCCGAGGAGTTTTTAAATTCTCTAAGTATATCGGGGATGCCGCCACATATTCTGCGCCTCAAGGTTGGTGCGCCAATCATTTTATTTCGAAACATTAACGGCGAGGCCGGCCTGCGCAATGGAACACGTCTTCAAGTTTGCCACATGCACGACCACTACATCGAAGCTAAAGGGCTGACAGGAATCCTCACAGGCAAAGTTGTCGTCATCCCTCGCATCCCATTGATTTCTCACAACTCCGGTCTGCCATTTGAGCTTCGTCGGCGCCAGTTTCCAGTTCAACTCGCGTTTGCCATGACTATTAACAAGGCTCAAGGGCAAACACTACGGGAGCTTGGTATATACTTACCACAACCAGTATTTGCACATGATCAGCTGTACGTGGCACTTTCTCGAGCGACATGTAGGCGTCATGTTAAGATTGCGGTCGACTACAACGCGCACCGAGAGGAGGATGGATATTGCATCCTAAACATTGTGTACAAAGGTATAGTTGATTAGGTAGCTAGTAAAAACGCTAATCGGAATTGTGACTACTCAGAGCGCTGCGCCGTTTACGGCGCAGCCAGCTCGCTTGTTTTACCAAGAAGTGCGGAGACATTAGCGGGTAACACCCCATCCACATCTTTACTTTGTATACTTAAGTCGGCATCCTAACAATACTTAGTATTAGATATAAGTATATACTGAATTTAATATTTTACGAGAGCTATGCGTAGGCTGGGATAGCTAACGAACTTAGTGCGGGCATCTCCACCGCGGCCACGCCGTCACTATCGCTATAGCCAAGGCAACAATTCAACAAAAAACAAAGTCGGCCGTTGCATGAAGAAGCTCTGAAATCTACTACTTACAGTATCTGCGGTGTGTAAATTTGCGTTTCCATTACAAATTAATGCATTCTTTCCTGTCGTAGTTATAGTTATAGTTGCAGTTGTAGTCGACGGACGAGACTGCACGTGCAGCTCGCTTATTCGTAGTCGCGAGTGTGACTGCTTGTACAGCTCGTTGCTCAAGTGGTAGTTGGAGGTGACGGACGAGAACGGGTTCGTAGCCGTCGGAAGTATGCGGAACTCCGCTGCTCAAGTCGTAGGCGTAGTAGGCTTAGGCGGAGGACACCGAGACTGTAAGCGTTGAAAGAGGCCAGAGTAGCGCGTGCAGCCCAGAGCGCAAGTCGTAGTTGTAGTAGACGTTCGAGAACGAGTTGGTAGCCGTCGAAAAGCGAACGGATCTGCAGGTACAGCCCGCTGCTTAAATCGTAGTTGTACAAGTCGAGCGAGACCGACCTTGCAGGCGTCAAAGCGACGGATCGGATCGTACAGCAAATCGGTGGTGTCGACGGGCGAGATTGCGCGTGCAGCTCGCGCCGGATCCGTAGTCCGTGAGCGGGACTGCACTTACAGCCCGCTGGTCAAATTGTAGTCGGAGGAGACTAAAGACAGTGAGCTTGTAGCCGCCGAAGCGAACGGCGCTGCACGCCGGTGCTGCCGTATCAGCACGAACTGACTGAAGCGGCTACCGGTAGCCACTACGACTACGGAGGCGATCTGTAAGTTTGCATTCAACGCCTACAACATCAGCAGCGGACTGTACGTGCAACCCCGCTCGGCTTCGACACTCACGACTACGAAGCCAGCGACTACAACATCAACGGCGTCCTGCAGGGGCAGCTCCGTTCGCTATCAACGGCTTCAAATCGATTTTGCTCGACTTCCACGACTACGACTTGATCAGCGAGTGGTACATGCAGTTCCGCTCGTCTTCGATAACTACGACTAGCCTACGTCAGCAGCCGCCTGTATGGGCCACTCTGTTCGCTGCAGCGACAAAAACCTCGGTCTCGATCGACCTCCTCGATTATGACTGTAACAGTGGGCTTTGCATGGTTCCGTCCGCTTTCGAGGAATACGACTACGGAGCCGGCGCGAGCTTTCCATCTGTCTAATACGATTAACTTCGACATCAACGGCGGGTTGTACGCGCCGCTCCGCCGTTTTCAACAACTATATCTTGGTCATGAGCAGCGGGCTGTGCGTGCCGCCGACGAATTCGTATCATCCGGCAACTGCGACAACGACCCCGAAATGTTCTTTATCACTCCCGTGCTTGTCTCGGATTTCAGATGGATGGGCCGATATTCGGTTAACTTCAGATACCGGGGCCAGTTTTTCGGCTTCAGTATTACGGGCTTCAGCTACCGAGGTGCCGCCTAATTAATCTGTGTTGGGCTGGCCACAGTACTCCCTTTGGGGTCTGTCGTAATTCCCGGGTTCCAAGCAACACAACACACAACGATGCGGGGGCCAACCCGCACGGAAGTAGGGCTTTGTGTATTGCTAGGAAGAATCGAAAGTGAAGGGGGTGAGGCACTGGGTCTGATGGTAACCAGCCCGTGGCCTCACCAGTCTCCAAACGAGAGAAGCAGCTTCTAGAAGCTTCTAGAAGGCAGCTACTGCTCGAAGAAGTGGACATACAGAATAAACTTGCACTTGAGCCTACTAAATCCTCCAGTAGCTCGACTGGACACTTCAGTCCAGCGAGCCACGCAACCGCTCGACCTGTTTACGCCGTAAGACACCTCAGCGTCGAGAGTAATCATTCGAAGAGATCATCCATTGTCATCAATCGGTGCTGCTGACGCACTTGGGCGATCGTAGCTTGGGTTATGCTGCGGTGACACCAAGCTGGACCTGGAATTCACTACACTGCCCCCGAAGCTTGTGTCACCGCTCATATCGTCTCGATCACCGACAGCGACAGCATTTCTCCGCAAGAAAGCTAGTCGTGCTGGCCACGGCCCTTACGAGAGCGATTTGAACGGCGAGAACGTCGTTGACCGCCACTTGGAGGATGTCCAGCCTCTGCGACTCTTGTCTTCGGACGCTTGCGTTTTTTGCTCGTAGCAAGAGGCCTCGCTCCAGCTCGATCGCCATTATCAGATTGTGGAGCGCTACGATCAGCACCTCCATCACGTTTTCGCCGCTTGTTCCCGGATAGTCGGCGCCTTGGCTGTCCTGCGTTGCCTGGTAGCACACGCGACTCACCGGTCGACGTAGCGCCGGGAACGACAGGTTGCCCGTCGGCGCTCTGCCTTGTGTTCCCCTTCATCTTTTACCAATGCTCCGCGAGCGCCTGGTCCTCAGCATGCAGTACTAATAATTGTTCACCAAAACACGAATCTCCTTAGCCAAATCACTCAGTGGCTCGTAGGAGTCTTCTATGGCCTGGAAACCTTTCCACCCGACCAAAATCTCGTAGTCCTCGATGTTTTCGTTCCAGCGGTGGCCTTTGAGTTTATCCACCGCGAGCACAATGCTTTGCGATGCCACGTGCTCCAGCAACTCCTCGGAAACGTTCAGGCTGTCGTCCGCATAAAACTTGAGCCTGGAGGGATGCACGTCTAGCTCTTCACCTGTGATAAGATGTTGTACGCCGAACGAATGCTTATCAGCTCGCATCACCTTTCAAGGGCCAACCCACGTCACCTGCAATTTGTTGCGGTGCTTTTCGTCGACTCCGGAACGCAGCACGTAGTCTCTGGGCGCGAAATTCACCATATTTTCGCCTCGTTCTCGCCGTTTGTTGAGGAGACGTTGCTTTTCCTTTTTGTCGGCGACGGCGCTGTGCATGTTCTGGATACTCGCGCGAAGTGTGTCCAGGAACGCATCAATTTCATCATTTGCAGGAATTTCTTGCAGGTCATTCTTGTCAGGTAGATAAAACTCCTTCAATGGAGTCGGGCACTCAAGACCCGTGAACAGCTCTACTGGAGCGCGATTCCCGAGCGAAGGCACAGCAGTATGGTTGAGATTTGACTGGATCATCGGCACCAGGTACATCCAGTCCTTGAAGCTCACCTTGTACTCGAGTATCATCGCACGAATGACTTGAAGAATGTCGCGATTGATTCGTTCAATTGAACCGTTCACCCACGGACTGTACGCAGGTGTGAACGACTGCTGGGAGCGGAGGCGGCGACAGAGCTCGGCGACTACCTCACACTTGAAGTGTGATCCTTGGTCGGATATCCAGTCAGGTGGAACTCCAAACCGCGAGTGCCAATCCAGCAACGCGTCCACCACGACGTGACTCTCAGGTGTATCCGCGACTATCAGCTCACAGTAATGGGTTGTGTGGTCTTTCAGGACCAAAAGGTACTTGCTCGCACCATAACTCGGCCGCAGGCATAGGAAATCAAAATGTAACACGGCGTTCCGTGTACTGCAGTCAATCTTCTCACCCCATGGCCTCGGGATTATCTTGCCTCCGTGAGAGTGTAGACACAACGAACATCCACTCCAAAAGTTGCCACCGTCTTCGTCAGACGATCAATTGCAAACAGTCGATTCAGGTGGACTGTCATTGCTTGTTGTCCCTGATGACCTTGGGCTCCGCAGTGCGCCACGACGCACAGTCGCTGGATCAAATCCGTAGCTTCACGCGGCACCCAGATGCGGTGCCCAAGCGTTATGACGCTATTCTCACCGCGCTCAGCCTTTGGCGGAGGTGAAAACTTCGCTTGGATCTCGCGCAGCTCCTCCAGCGTAGGCCAAATGAAGCCGTCGTCATCGAGAGGCCTTAGGAATGGCGACGCGTGTCGCTCGGCCCCTTGTTGTCGTCGTATTGCTTTTATCCGTTTGACGGAAACAGCGGGCACATGGTTCCCAGCCCAACGGGAAATCATGTCTGCCCACACATTAGCTGGTCCAGGCACATGCTCTACGACGTATCAAAAGTTCATCAGCTTCATCGCCCATCTTAGAAGCTTGCCCTTGATATGCTTTTTCACGCTTTCGTGTGGGGCGAAGACGTGAATCAGGTTCCTATGATCGCAGTACATCCTGAAGGGTTTTGGGTGGAGAAGCAAGTAGTCCAGCTTCTCGCACGCAATGACTATTGGTAGTGCTTCCTTCTCGATAATTGACCAGTTCAGTTGGCTGCCCGTGAACGTCTCGCTCATGCAGTGGATCAAGCGGTGTTGCCGTTCCGTGGCAGGCTTGGAAGAGTCAAACTCCGCAACTTGGGTCACGATCAACGACCAACCGACGTCCGATGCGTCTGAAAACAGACACGTGGTCGCGTTGTCATCAGGGAAGTCGAGCGTGGCGGACGTTGCAAGCAGCTCCTTCACGTGATCATACACCCGGCGCTCTTCTTCAGTCAAATCGATCTCAATACCTGCGGCAGCACGTCTTGTTCGTTTAGTGTCGGCAAGTACTGCATCCAATCGGCGCTGCAGGGGTGCGACTTGGCGCGCGAAATCGACGATACTCTCGCGCATCCAATTGATGGCGCAAACAAACTGCTGCAGCTCCGCAGCAGTACGCGGGTACGGGAGTGCTCGCAGAGTATCAATGCGCTCGGTATCATGCCGCACACCTTGGTGATCAATTACGCGACCACACCACTTCACCTTGGTCTGGTACAAACTGCATTTCTTAGCACTCAGCTTGAGGCCAAACTGGTTGAGCAGTGAGAACAGCTCCGCCAGCTTAATCAAGTAGGACTCGATGTCCGCAGCGTACAATAGCAGGTCGTCAATCCAGATCAGAAGGTGCTCGTAGAGTAAGGTTGATAAACACTCCTCCATTGTCTTCTGGAAGTGAATGGCAGCGTCACTGCTTCCTTGCGGCACTCGACGCGGCGTGAAAACCTTCATGTCAGTCATATAGGAGAAAAACTCTTGGCAGAGCTCTGCAAACGGCAACTGCCAGAAACCCTTTAGGAAATCAAAAAGGCCAAAGTGCTTCATTCCTCGGGCGTTTTCCAGAACTAACGAAAGAATAGGCATCACTGACGCCATGACGCCCGTGAGCGAGTTGACTGCTCCGTAGTCGGTAGTCTGGCGGAGGTCCATGAGGTCGGCCGATTTCTTGACTGGCAAAACGGGGCTTGACCAGCGGCTCTTGGGGTTAGTCCTAGAGCCACAAGACGATCGTTAAATTCTTGCAGGAACTTCCGGATGTGCGGCGGGTACTTGCGGGGCTTACACTTAGCTGGACGAGCCCCGCTCTGCAGACGCACTTCAAGGGGCGGCACGTTTGCCAGTGGGTCAGCACGCAACTCGAGGCGCCACACATCGTACGCGTGCACGATCGTGCGCAGCTGCTCCACATGCTCCAGCGGAAATCCGTTCTCCACGGCGCGGTCAATCAATCGTTCCACTGCAGCAAAAATGTCATCATCATCACTTGGCGGGGACCCATCGGCGCCAACAGGCATTTCATCTGCCTCCAAATTGATCGGATCTCCACTTAGTTCATCTTCATCACGCGAGGCCAGCTGCTCCAGCTGGTGATCAACATCAATGCCGAGCGATAGTAGGAGGTCATTTCCAACGATAAACTCACCATCGTCGACATCCACCACCAACACGTCGATCATGCCCATAGGTTCAACAGGGCCGACTGCTGTGTGGATCATTACGTGCAGCTTGCGGGCCGTCACCACCGTGGAGCCAAACGTCTGGTTCTCCACGGGGACAGCAAGTTCTTCGACTGTGATATTTGGATCGTGAGCACGCAATTGCTCCCAGTGGGACCGCCCAATGACTGTAAAGTCCGACCCACCGTCAGGGCAGTACGGTACTTCCAGCACACCGTTGAGCATCACCGTGTGGCCCCCACTTGGCAGCAATTCTCCGAGGCGCTTTAACTTCGCCTTCTTGTTCTTGCGCAGTGTCATGATCAGCTCGACCTTCCCCTCTTCCATCGCCACCGTGCACTCGCGGACCCAATGCATTGCCTTGCACTTCGGGCACGGGCCTGGCGGCGGCTCTTTGGTCGTCGATGGCTTAGCAGGACCGGACGGTTTTTGGCTATTGTCGGAGTGTGCGGGCCTCCAATTAGATCTCGCTTCAGCACTAACAGCCACAGTTTACTTTGCGGGCGGTTTGTTGTTCCAGTCTTTCTTCGGCTTGGCTGGCTGGGTTTTCTCCGACTTGGCTTGGTCTCGTTCCGCGGGTTCTCGCTTCTGCTGCTTGAGGCGGATGAACTGCCGCTCGTGCTCGTTCGCCTTCTCGACGACCTGCTTGAACAGCAGCTTCGGGTCCGTGGCAGCTGGGACGTGCGTGAAGCGGATGCACTGCTTCACCTCGTTCTTCAGCGCCTCTGGCTTGAGCTGCGACACGAGTCGCTTGCACGTCTCGCATACGCCGTTGACGTGGCTGAAGCACGCCGTCAGCCCGTTCTCTTTGGTGATCTTGTTGAACAGGATAAAGTAGTCCAGCACTCGGGCGGTCACGTCGCTCTCGCGCATGTTCATGCGCAGCTCGCGCTTGAACAGCTCCTTGATATCCGGCAGCGCGTCGTTCTTGACACTGTCGACAATGCGCTCAATCTCTGCCAGGAGAATGGTGTCGGTTACAGCGGCGGGGGTCGTGTCCAGCTGGAGCTCGCAGAAAACCTCCAGTAGATCCTCGTCGAATGCCTGCTTGATTGACTCGGCGACGATGTCGTAGTCTTCGCCCGAGATACGGCAGCGGGAGCACAGCTTGGTCTCGTAGTAGCGCCGATCGCGCTGCCACTTCACCAACGCCTCGTGGGAGATCGACGTGATCTTCGGCGGCAGGATAGGGACGAAGAGTGGCACAGAACCGGTCAGCCCGTCGCTTTCCGTCGAGCGCGTCATCTTCAGCTGCTGGCCGTCCGGATGCTCAGGGACTTGGGTCTCTGCCCTTGAAGAGGGGGTTGTAGTAGGCTTTCGACGTCACTGAGCGGCGCAGTCTATCTGTGGCGGGCTGCGCTCGGGCAGTGGTGTCCTACTAAAGAATTCTTTGTAGTATTTCCCGGGTTCCAAGCAACACAACACACAACGATGCGGGGGCCAACCCGCACGGAAGTAGGGCTTTGTGTATTGCTAGAAAGAATCGAAAGTGAAGGGGGTGAGGCACTGGGTCTGATGTTAACCAGCCCGTGGCCTCACCAGTCTCCAAACGAGAGAAGCAGCTTCTAGAAGCTTCTAGAAGGCAGCTGCTGCTCGAAGAAGTGGACATACAGAATAAACTTGCACTTGAGCCTACTAAATCCTCCAGTAGCTCGACTGGACACTTCAGTCCAGCGAGCCACGCAACCGCTCGACCTGTTTACGCCGTAAGACACCTCAGCGTCGAGAGTAATCATTCGAAGAGATCATCCATTGTCATCAATCGGTGCTGCTGACGCACTTGGGCGATCGTAGCTTGGGTTATGCTGCGGTGACACCAAGCTGGACCGGGAATTCACTACAGGGTCACTGCTATCCCAGAAATATATTAAAATATATTTGCATATATTATATATATGCAAAAGATATTATTAATATCTTCAAATCCCTAGATCTTGCGATGGTCGATCTCCGTAAAAAGACTGAGCCAGTAGTTTACGGAAAGGTTTGCACGAAACATCCAACCGCCTTAGGGTATGTACACTACAAGTTCGAACTACAAACTCACAAAATTGAGTGTTGCTCTTACTACTACGTAGTATCTAACCTGTGGCTTCGTCGGCACCTTTTAAAGTGCCGACGAAGCTTATTAACATTAAAATGTTAATCGCGAAATTTCCCCCCCTTGAACCGAGTGTGTCGAAACTGACCGCTAAGATGCGGAATCATTGTGAATTGTCTATTGTCAACCAGGCGATATGTCCCTACCGAATGCATGTACGCGATCGTGTAGACGTTTCTGGTTGTCGATTACGGAATAGCTGGGTGTTGGGCAACGCCAGATATATGGTACGGTACTCACACCCACTCATTGTCCCCAGTGTGCCATTCTTCATTTCTCCTCCCAGCCAGCAGTTCTCCCTAGACGTCAAAGAAGATTCAACATGCGATTCTCCACCACGCTACTCGTCGTAGCCGCAGCTGGACTCTTCGCCACTGGTCATGCGGCCTCGGACCTGAGCCAGACCAAGATTTTCCAGGCACAGGGCGTGAGTCAGTTTGCTGGTGGAGTCAAGAGCGTTGTCACTGGTGGAAGGCTTCTGCGAGCTGCCTATGGCGAAGACGAGGAAGAGAGAGGCGCCTGGACGGCTTTACTGGCGCGTTTTCCGGGTACGACTGCAAATCTGGCACGGAAGGCTGAGAAGCAAACGAAAAAAGATTAAGCTTTATGCCGACGATTTTGCAGCCTTCCTAGCAAAGGATAAGGACCCGTATGACGTCACTGTGGCGTACATGGCGAAGGGTTTCTCGGACAACCGGGCATTCAAAATGGGACTCCGTTACGAGACCTACATGAAAAACCCGTCGCTCTATCATCAAAAGAGCGGGGTTGTCCTTACTTTCGAGTACATTTCAAGGATTTTCGAGTAACGAGTAATGTACTCGGACTTTCGAGTACATAAACTTCATTTGAACGCGAGCACTGCATCAACTTGCTACTACTGACTCCTCTCCAAAGGCGTTGCTTGTTGGGATGTCATTCAGGAACGTAAATAACGTGCTACAAGCCGACAAGAAGATTTTTTTCTTTTGTTTTCTGCTAGATAACGCTTAAATTCTCTATTTGCTTGCTCGCATCCGCACAAGTGATTCGATGCGCTACTTCCCCAGATGCATTCATAGCGTGCCTTATTTTGGTCTCGTTCAGGGTGGCATGGCTTTCTGTGGCGTCTTTCCTAAGTCACAAATAAGACTTGTGCGAAATTACTCGGAAGTCAGTGAAGTGTACTCGCAATTAAGTAGCACCCAAAAGAGCGGCTCTGAGCGAGCGAAGTGTTTTAAGATTGAGTCCAGCGTTGTGTTACCCTACACTTATTAGAATCATTGCAATCAAACAAAAGGCTTCCCCGATCCTTGACTTCATTCTTACTTGAATTTGATTTTTTTAGCAATCGCTCCAAGGCGGAAATGCGTTCTTCCTCGACAAGTATCTGTGATACTTATTACGCTATCTTTTATACTTGTGGTAGCTGTGATACTTGTGGGAAACAAAAAAAGCTACGATACAAAGTCGTGCCTCCGGCCCGAAGAGCCTCTAAAATGTAAGCGTTTCATTATATTCGAGCCGAATCGATAGACGCTCTTCAATGCAATGTTGGCACCACATATAAGTACTGATAATTCTGTTGTCTCAGGGTTCGCTTAACGCCTGTATAATTTTAGGTTACTTTTTAAAGTAACAGATTATTTACTGGAAGGTCACTTCAAATTATGCTGGTTTCATAAAAAATTAAATCCGCAAATGACCCAAGCCACCCCATGCTTTGATGGTGCCCTCAGAAGCATCTAAAAACATTCCCTGGCACGTTTTCACGCTCTGGTTGCTGCTAGTTTAGGCATCATTAGCATTCTTATCCTCCAACCCCTGAGACTACCCCTTAGCTGTCCATTTTCGATACTCAAGCTCAGTTGTTTGAATGCGCTATTTTTAGAATCGACCCGATCGCAGCATTTTTAGTCAAGTGGTTGCACTTCATAGCATGCTCTGCTTTTATTAATGCTCTTCCTCCCAGGTGCAATTGCGTACCATTTAGAGCACACCCAGCGCTATCCGACGAAGTATTTATCCCAATGTAAAAGGACCTAACGGATTTAAAGACTTTTGATCTAGCATACCAAAAGGCGGCTTTTCGTGACCTTCCAGTAAATAATCTGTACTTTTTAGAAAAGGTAAAGATGGTGTGTGAGGTCTTACCCAGAAGCTTTTTCAAGTGAGCGTTGAGAAAAAAATTGGTCGTCTAGACCAGCAATCATATTTTTTTTTGAATGGCACAGGATCACTAATGCCTTCAGCGAGCTCGACTTCGCTCGCTATCATCTAGTACAACGCCGTGCAGGCTGCGTTTAGCTATGCCACGGCACACAAAAGATCCTCGCTCAATGGCGGTCTAAACTGTTGTACACTCAGACTAAACTGTTCAGTTGATGCCTCTTCTTGGCCAAACGATGCAGCAAAGTTGTTAGCATCGCTCATGCACCTCCCTAGCACCGGTCCATCCGTTTTTTTAAAGCCTAAAGTTCGAATTCGCTGTTCGAAGAACTGTCGTTAGGCGGCCCAGGCGTGTGGATCGTCACGACATTCTCGCGACTTTCGCGCGACATCCCCACTTCAACTGGCACCTTCATTGCGAAAGCAATGCGTTGCCGTGTCAGCGAGCCTCTGCATATAGTGCTCGTGCTCAAGATGCCCGGATTCCGAGCACAACATTCCCTTATCATTGCCAGCGACGTCTCGAGCCCAAGGCAGCGAACATTGGTTGTGCCTTTAGGTGGCAGTGACGAATTGTTTGTTTTATTAATTTAATTTTCACAGTGATGTATGTTTTGAAGTGCGTTCGGGAAAATGCTGCGGCTGCTTCGCAGCCGCAGGAGATGCCGGCGGATCGTAAAGAAGTACTTCCTAACTCAAACAGTAAAACATACTTCGAAGCACACGTAATTTAAAATCCTCTTATCTCAGCCTTTGCTGGGGCCTACAGTAGTGACGTGTCAAGCAGTCTCAGTTGCTGTTTGTTTGAGTGTGTCCGTGTTGTCGAATCGGTATCCTATCGCTCCTGAGAACTGCGAACCCCCCGGACCACCAGTCAGGGTACCCCGAATCTTTATCTTCACATCTATCGATTTCGTCAATCTTGGTGTCGAACCGAAAAAAAATGCTTGTTGTTGGTAACTACTTGAATTATTATTTTTACCTGAAAAGTACATGAAGCGACAACCTTCGCTGCGAAGAGGAAGAAAATATAATGAATGTGTTGGTTAACCAAAAGTTGATGGCTTGTTACTATTTAATGACACTGGCAATGACAAATCGACGAACGACATGATGAAAGCGGCTACCATTCACATTGGCACGATTAATTCTACTCGAACCGGATGCTCACCAAGCAGCTACATCGACATCAGATCCGCACGGGCTCGTTTTGCAGGTGGTAGGAGTTCCTTCGACGCATTACCGCCGCCACTCGCCGTTCTCTTTTCGGAAAGGCACCAACAACAAATATCGGAGTCATAAATTGTTGCCTTCAACCATTTGCGCATGCGACGTGTCGTCTCTCGGATAGCAACGCGAATTTTTTATCTTCAAGGCCTCCTCCTCAATGTTCGTGTGTACCAACCACCACCACACAAAGCGTTCATTGCCGTTCTTCATTGTGTCGAGTACCAACTGCGCGCGATCGCTTTCCTGGAGCCACCGTGTTATTTCCACATGACAGGGTGATAACAAAATTTTCTTGGCAACAGACAGCTCCAACGGGACCCCCTTCTCGATCAGCCGGCGTATTATTGGTATACGCATAGCGTACGTTCCGTCGACGTACGTGCTCTCGGCTGCCATCAGAAGCATTTTCGACAAATCCATCGTGTAACCGTGCTCTGACAACCAGTAGGCCACGGTTAGATATCCATTCCTAATTGCCAGCTCAGGCTCGCAGATTTCGTATCCATTTCAGTGAAACCACTTGACCAAATTCAAGTCCCCTACACTGACGGCTGGGCGGATGGGAGCAGTAGAGCACAGCTTGAGGCCGAACTTCATTAGCCAGTCCAGGATATTAAGCTCATCCCATGCAAGTGCGATATACATGGAATTCGTTGAGCGTGCTCCTAGTTTGTTCTCTAGACACCACCGCACAACCCCGAGATGTCCATTTCGAGCTGCACCACCTACAGTAAACTGCACACGAGCTAGCAGCCCTTTCGAATGCAACCAGTGAAGCATTTCGAGGTGCCCACCTGCCGCCGCTTCAGCTACATTGCTCGGAAACACTACCATTCGAATGCTGTTGCGTTTCGACCTCATGGATCCACTTCGCTACGTCAAGGTGGCCACGCGAAAGCGCTCGGTTCATCGCTCCGAAGCACCCTCTTTACAAGCCGCACTCAGCACGTTTGGATCTAATTCCGAAAAATGTGAAGTCGCCAATACGCCGTTCGACATGAGCTAGAGCGCCTCCTAGGCGATGTCGACACACAAGTAGAACGACTGAGCTGGCAAGAACCATGCTTACGGGATTCGTCCGAATAAGGAATGAACCATTCTGTCGGCTTGGAAACTTGGACATCTTTGCGAACTTGTGGATCTTAACCACTTAAGCTTACCTTTTATCTCAGGAAGTTTTTCATCTAAGTTAAATGAATGCTAGTGTGCTGATGAAACCAAGTGCCATGACCAGCTTTACAATGGCCAAGGACTGAAGGGAGGTCGCGGCACTTGTAGCTATGGGCGTGTTGTCCGTTGGGGTGTAGACCAGCGATCCGTTGGAAGTCGCGTACCCTGCCACGTACTTGACCGTCGACGTGCATGAATCGTTGTTCAACGCCAGGTCCGGGATCTGCTGAGTCTGCTCCCCAGTCGTGCAGTCCGTGTCATTGTAGTAAATCAACGTGGCGGACCCGTCCGAGTTGAGGTAGGCCTTCGCGCTCGCCGCCTTCTCGAGACTGACGATCTGGCACGCGCCGTCCGCCAGGTGCGCGAAGACCCAGTCGATGACCTCGCAGTTGGTGTTTTCCACGTAGCCCACGAACATCAAGTAGCCATTGTTGCCGAACGTCAGGCCAGCGTAGGCAACCGGGTCAGTCGTGCAGTGCATTTGCATCGAGGCGGTCAAGTTGTTAGCCGTGTTGCAGACGTCCGACTCGGTGCACGAATCCGACGGTACACTGACGAGTGCCGTCGTGAGCGAAGAGCACTCGGTGTCTCTGTGGTAGTCTTGGGTGACGAACATTTTCGCTTGCGTTGCACTCGATAGGTACTTGGTATCACTGGCGCACACGTCGGTATTGATACTCGAAGTCGGGATGGTTTTGAATTCTTCACCTTGCGTGCACCCCGCATCCGTGTAAAGCTTCAAAGTTGCAGACCCATCCGAGTTGAGAAGAGCTCTGGCGCTAAGTGTGCTTCCGTCCTTGACGACCTGGCATTGACCATCAGCCAGGTATCCTTTGGCTGACGTCACAGTCTCGCAGTCGGTGTCGGCGTCGTAGTTGACTACCAGGAGGTAGCTGCTCGACCCGTAAGCCGTCTTCATGAACGCGGTCGAGTTGGTCGTGCATTGAGTGGTCGAGTACGCGTTGAGGTCGTTGTCAGTGGCGCACGTAACCACTGAACACGTTTCATTGGGAGAGCTGACGAAAGTTTTGGGCGTTGCTGAGCAGCTCTCGTCTTGGTAGAATCCTTGCACGGCGAACGTGAGCGGTGGGGTGACGCTCGAGTAGAACTTGTTGCCGTTCACGCAGACATCGTTGTTGACGCTCTCGCCGGCGACGCTGTACGATTGAATGGAAGCTTTGCACGAGTCGTCCGTGTACAGCGACAATGAACCGGACCCGTCCAAGTTCACGGACGCGATCGCGCTTTGGATCTTGCCGAGGGAGAGCAGTTGGCACGCCCCCGTGGCTTGAACGGTGATGGCGGACGCTATGGTAGCGCACTGGATCTCCTCGTCCTCATCGTCTTCGTCGTACGCGACAACCATCAGGTAGCTGTGACTTCCGAAGGTCGACTTGGAGTCGGCAGCCAGATCCGTGGCGCAACCAGTGTCAGAACTTGTTACACCGTCCGCTGAGGGGGTACAGCTTTCAACGTCGGTGCAGGAATCTACAAGAGTGTAGAATATCCCCGCAGGCTTCGAAGTGCAATCGGTAGTCGAGTACAAACGTTGGGCTGAGTAGCCCGCCCTCACGACCCCTGCGTTCAATGTCAGAATAACGAGAGCAGGAATGATTTTCATCTTGTTGTCGAGATGCGAATCTTGAAATGATGTCCAGACGAGAATGGAATGCTTTTTCATCTTGCCAAGCAGCTATTACCAGAGCCCGCGCTCCTACCAAAATACCTTCGACAAGTCTAGCACGAGCTCATTGAGCTTTATGGGACTCTTATGCGCTCTTATGCTGCTCAGGTCAAACTGAATGCGTTGAGTGAGAATCGCTACGTCTCAGGACGGAGCTGATGGAGTGGTAAGAGTGATCTGACTCGGTATGAAGGCACGATCTGACCGCGATCACCGTTATCGGCAAAAAAAAATGTCTTGGTCCGCAACTTCTTTAGATATGGTGCGTTGGTCGTCGAAATGACAAAGCTGCGGGGGCTTTACATTACGAGGTTTCCATAATCTCCGACTAAAACAGCTAGCTAGGACTGTGTCAAGTATTCAACGCAAGGTCTAGGCGCACGTAAAAAACTTGCGCCGTGGTCGAGACAATGGACGGTTCTTGAAAAGTACCTCTTCGAATGTTTTATTAAATTGGCAATGATCGCGGTTTATGAGCGAAAGCCTAAACGGTATCTATCCAAGCTTTCCTACTTCTCCGTACTGGTCGTTGCAGCGCACAAACATGCCGCCGTTCGAAAACACGCTCGAAGCCACCGCCGCTCCACAGCCCGCGTACCCGCCGGAATTTCCGTCGATACCCACGTAGCAGCCGACGTACTTGAACTGAACTTTGACCGCTGCATCCGTTGTGAGAATGCTCTCCGAGCAAACTGCGGGGGTCGTTCCGCTGTGACCGTCAAGTTCAAACTCGAGCTGGCGACACACACAGCCCGCAGGAGGGGTGTAGGTCCGCGTGCCTTCAGGAGGCGAGCAGACTTTCCCCGGACAGCCCAGCGCACACTGCGTGATGGTGCTGTCCGCCACCTTCTGGATTCGAGTGACCCCTTTCTTGAATTTGTTCACTCTGGCGAGAGTGACGCCCTTAGCAGCAGGAGTGACCACCGAGAGTACGTCAAGCCCCGCGTTAATGCACGACTGGAAGGTGCTCATCTGCTTGCACGTGGGCTGCTTCTTGGCCAGACCCGTGTAGCAGTTCATGACGTCGTGGATGGCGTCGTTGATGCTCTCCTCGGCAAAGTCGATTATCGTGCTGATGGGATCGTTGGCGAAGTCCTTCACAGCCTTCTCCATGTTGCTCACGATGTCGTCCAGCTTGATGGGGCTGATGACGTCCACGGCGCACTCGAGCAGGCCGATCGGATCCAGACACACGCGTTCTCCCTTGCACCACATTTTCTTCCCAAACAGGCAGCCAAGACCGAAGAGTTCCTCCGTGCCGTTGCTCGTGGCTGCAGGAACATCCTGCGTGTCGAAGTCGGGGACGTACACTTGGCGGTAGTCTGGAATCTCTTCATACTGGAGCTCCGGACTGTCTTCAAGCGATGCCGCCGTCGAGATGAACGCAACAGCGAGCAACGCTCCCACGCAAGGAATTCTGTGGAGCACCTTCATATGTATTTTACTTGGAGCTTGTGCGTTTGGGCTTTCTGAATGCAAAGTGTGAAAGGTGTTTTGGATGAACACAGCGAAAAATGGGATGAGACCGATATCTATAGGACAGACAGGAAACAATAATTATCCACGTTACAAGCCCCCCATTCAAAGTGTTCTTATGTTACCAGAGTAGGAACAAAGGGTAAGACGGCCTGTGCAGCGCTATTCTCGCTCGTAACGATATGGGCGCAGCGACGTTGTGGATGGATGGTTGCAGTTCTGAATGTATTAGAATGGTTTAAAGGAATCTGTGGCTAGCCACCCGCGCCTAGAGCAAGTATGCGCTCATCGCGATGACGAGGCCAGCAGTTGTCGCGAATGCCCCCGCAACTCGAGTCGCATCGCTGCCGTCGGATGAAGAGGCGGAGGCCGAAGTAGACGACGCGTCACCGCCATTCTCCGTGTAAACTGTCGTTCCATCTGAAGTTGTCGCCAACGCGCGCGCCCCTCGAAGGTTGTGAGCTGCGGGGCCTGAGCCGGACGCTGCGTTGCTGTTTGGGCGGTCTGCGGCAGCCCCAGGAGTTGCCGTTGTCGGACTTGCGACGAAGCCGAGGACCAGGACCGCAATCGCGCAGATATTGCCGAGGTTCATTGTTGTGAGCCGACCTTGACAAGCGAAACTCCTGCTCTGCTCCTGACCAGTTCAAAATGAAGAATGAAGAGTACGATAAGAGCGGAAGGTGCTGCTCTGGGCTCACGAGGACTCGGACAAGATTGCACAAAAATACCTGCACTCGCACTTGGTTGAGCAGGAGCTTCATGCCCATGAGTTTCGGAGCATGCCATGAGATTTCAGAGCACACTTCTCACGGAGTATTTAGACTTCGACCGACGCAGTCGACGGGGCCAAGGTCGAACTTGTCGAAGCTGACACTTCAACGTCGAGCAAAGCGCTGCGGCTATCGAATAGGGCTACTCTTACGCCCCGCTTCAACCACTCATCGTTGCTCAGCCTCACGCGATCTATGATGCCCGCAGCGTTAAAGTCTCGATGATTGAGTCGATCCAAGGGTCTGCAGTGCAGACTCTTGAGCTGCTGCAGGTGTGCTGCACTAACCTTCGCTGCGTAACTGCTCTCAAGCTGCGCGACTGTATTGCCAGTCGCACTATTCGCGGCTGCTGGAAGTGCATTCTTCAATTCGCCAGCTGGCCCTCGCCTCGACCTGAATGCGGGGCTTCCGCATCTCGTACGACCGCTGGCTGCGCGACTCGCCGCTGCTGACCAAGGGCGTGACGTCGGCCGTCCTCTTCGGCATCGGAGACCGCGTGGCCCAGCGCATCGAGCGGTCGGAAAGTGCCACCGACAATGCCGACACCGACACCGTCGACCGTCATGGCCTGCACCGAACGGCGCGGATGATGCTGTGGGGCGGCGTCCTGTTCGCCCCCGTGGGCCACGCCTGGTACAACTTCCTGGAGCGCGCGGTGCGGGGCAAGGGCGCCGCTTCCATCGTCAAGAAGATCGCCGCGGACCAGCTCATCTTCTCGCCGCCGCTGTCGCTCGCGTTCTTTACGTACGCCGGCTGCTCCGAGGGCAAACCGCTGCGTGACACAATGGAAACGGCATTGGCCAAGCTGCCGCCGACGCTGGCCGTGAACTGGACGGTGTGGCCGCTGGTCCACGTGGGCACTTTCGGCTTCGTGCCGCTGCAGTACCGCATTTTGTTCATTAACGTGGTGAACATCGGGTGGTCGGCCTTCCTCTCGCGGATGGCCAGCAACGACGACGGACAAGTGTCGAGTGCCGCGAAGCTCAAGGAATTCTTCCTCGTACGGCGCGTGGAGGACTCGGAGGAAGCCGCCACTGCATGACCCGTCCCATTCTGACAAATGAGTAAAACTTCTGGGCAGAAATGGTTCAATGAATGAGCTATGACAAAACAAATGGGTTGATCTGAATATTTTTGGAAACTTGTTAAACAAAAATAGGTCACTTCTGGATAGTCGACTTGACGTCTCCGTTGAACCTCACGTCTGGCGATGGTGCGTCGCCTTGGACAGCTCTACCACTACTGGCTGCACGAAGCCCCGCTGTTGACCAAGGTGTTGACGGCTGCCACGCTCTCAGGCCTCGGAGACCGCATTGCGCAGAGTCTGGAGGCCGACAACCCCGCGGCCACCAATTCCGAGCATGAGGCTGAGCCCACCAATGCGCTCGTGAGCCCCAGCACGGCCCGGACGCTGCGAATGATGGTGTGGGGCGGCCTGTTCACGGCCCCCATCATGCACACGTGGTTCCATCTCATCGAGCGCGCCATTCCGGGCACGGCCAAGGTCGCCATCGTCCAGAAGGTGGCGGCGGACATAGTCATCATGGCGCCCGCCATGGCGCTCGGCTTCTTCACAGTCACCAAGAGCATGGAGGGCGAGCGCCTCAGCGACGCGTTCGAGATCGCCAAGGCCAAGCTGGAGCCGACGATGATAATGAACTACAAGGTCTGGCCGCTGGCCAACCTCATGGTCTTCAGCGTCGTGCCCTTCCAGTACCGCACCCCGTTCGTCAATTGCGTGAGCCTGGGCTGGTCCACGTTCCTGTCCGGCATGGCCAGCAAGAAGCTGCAAAACACTCAGGAGGCCGAAGAGGCCATTGCAGGATAGAGTTGCAGGGCTTTAATCTCAATTGATTTTCATTAGACCTTTACTCGGAATATCTCTGTAACTCTAAGGTTTGCGTGGTGCGCTCGACGGCACTGAAGGCTTTGGAGCGCCGGTGCTCCATGGCGTCGTGAGCTTCGGAGGTTCGTGGCTGGCCATCCCAGACAGGAATGTCGACCACACCAGGCTGACGCAGTGCGTGAGCGGAGTGCGGTAGTGCAGCAGCACCAAACCGAAGATGACAGCATTCGCCGCCGGCCACAGCATGTAGTCCGCAAGCAGCGTCGGGGGCAGCTTGGCCTTGGCTATTTGGAAGGACTCGTGTATCGGCTCGCCTTCCACGCACTTGGTGACGGTGAAGAAGGCCAGCGACGTCCCAGGGGCGATGATCATCATGTCGGCCGCCACCTTCTTGGCCACCACGAGCTTGCCAGCGCCGGGGATCGCGTGCTCGATCAGGTGGAACCACGTGTGCATGATCGGCGCGGCGAAGAGCCCTCCCCAGACCATTAACCGCAGCGTCCGGGCCGTGCTGGTACTCACCCACTTGGCGTCGTCTTCTGAGCGTTGTAGATCACTGTCACCCGATACCGCAACGAAGATGCTGCTGCTTGGAGACGAGTTGGCCTCGATCCGCTGCGCGATGCGATCCCCCGCGCCGAAGAGCGTTGCGGCCGTCACCATCTTGGTCAGCAGCGGGGCCTCGTGCAGCCAGAAGTGGTAAAGCTCACCGATGCGCCGCATTTCGCTTCCAGCAGGACCCAAGCGCCAGAACCGTTGCACTGCTGGCCAAACGGGAGTGATCCTGTGCTGGCCAGCCCGCCAGGCCGGGCTATTGACGGTTCAGGCACAGCACCGACCAACCAAGACGCAGCATGGCGTCGATGTGGAGGAGGACGAGGTCCTGTAACGACGACTGCGGGGATCTGAGCCAGCTCTACAAATAGCGTGCTCGTGATCGCCTACCGGCTACTTAGTAGTGGCGTAGTTCACATCGATCGATGCTGTGATCAAGCTCAATGGATGCCGTCTTGAGTCAGGAGCTGCCATCCATGCGGCGGAAGACTCACCTAAACCAGCTCGCACGCGAAGCTCGTGTCTTTGTCGAGGGCCAATGCGCAATGTACCGGCGGGATCGAGGGGGGGGGGCATTAGCGTTTTAACGCCCTTTGGCGATGATGCGCCGCCTGGGGCAGCTCTACCACTACTGGCTGCATGAGGCCCCGCTGCTGACCAAAGCGGCCACGGCGGCGACGCTGTTCGGAGTAGGCGATCGAATCGCCCAGCGGATCGAGGCCGAACAGAGGTGTAGGTTGCGGAAGCAACAGAGGTAACATAGGTTAGAGCAGTGGCTGACGAAGGCGGTGTTTCCCGCTGTCGCAGTTAGGCTATAGTTAGACCGGGGGGGGGGGGGGGGGCGCCGAAGCGAGCAGGCTCCAGTCCTGCTCATTCGCGAATTTCCTCGCCGCAGTTAAAACCTCCAAGCCTGACGACTTCTCGGATATCCTGTCTTGCCCCGAATAGCCCCAAGCTATTTTTACCTTCGGCCGAGCGTTTTCAACCTCGTGGGCTTCTCATACGGCAAGGTGGACGGCACCCTCGCACGCGGAGCGAAGGTGAAGGTCAAACTGGTGCAGAGTGGGCGCTGGTCGGAGGAGCCCCCGCAAGCTGTCGAGCTTCCCCAGGAAGAGCTGGCCCCAAGAGTTGTGTCAGCCGCAGAAGTCGAGAATTGTGTCGGTACGTTTGTGGGTGGCGTCATCTGCACGTCACGGGTCCGCCCCGGAACAGCTCGGGTCTGGGATTACAGCTTAGTGATCGGATACAGCTGGGAACCTGAGCTGCAACATGGCCTGCTTGATGTGAACTTTCCGTGGTGCTGAGACCTCGTTGAAGTTCGTATCGGACACTACTCACGATGTTGCAGTCGAGGTTTATGCGTTACAGCCGTGTGCCGGACAAAGCACGTGCTTCGTGATGGCCGGAGAGATGAGGTAAATACACGACAAAGTGTATAACAAGTTCAATGGGATCGACCAACCAGCGATCCGAGATGCTACACAGCTGCTGGAGGGGGTCCGGAGTGATGAACTTGACGAGGCACAGATTCTCCCTCTGCTTGATATTGGGAATTTTGCCATCGCAGAGGTCTCAGTCCAGCACATACTCGACTACGTCTACTACAAGGACAGTGGGCGGCCGCACCCATCGGAGGCAATCTTTGGTGACACCATCTTTGACAAACCGATCGCACAGCAGGAACCAAGAGCCCTTGCTGCCACTGAGGTCGTGCTTAGCGATGGCTTGAGTGACCCTGACGACGATGCCGCCGACCCTCCTACCGCTCACAGTGGTGTGAGCTCGACTCAGCAACGTGAAACGAAGCGCCGGTGTCTAAACGAACAAGGGCGGACAGCTTTGCCAGGCTCAATTCACTCGGACACAGTATTACATGGACGGTAGCGCGACGCGAAGATGGCAGTGGCGATAAAAATCTATTTCACGCGACGGGCATGCAGACGACTATTCACATGGGATTAGTTGACGGTAAGTACGCGTCAATGACGGCGCAGCGGTTTGTGGAGTTCGTTCAAATTCATTGGCGAAAGTTTGGTTTTTTCTTCATCCTGCTGTCCTGCGTGCGCTATTTGGTTGGGATTTCGGTACGAGAGGACTTTCAATTTTACATTTCGGCCGCGTGACAGAGCTGGAGAAGAGGAAGCGTGTTCGAGTTTACGACATGAGCAACTTTTCCAAAAATAACAGCCTGCCTCCTGCGCAACCTCCTGCTGATTTTACTACTCTGATTGGGTGTGTCGACGTCCTGTGTGCCATTACCCAACTCCTCTACAAGCCCGTGGTTCACGAGACGCTGAAAGCTGCCTCCGACTTCCTCGGCGAGTTGCGAGTGAGCGAGTTGATGGCTTCCCAACAAGCTTTGACCGAAAGTGCAGCCTGGGTCGACGATCAGCTGGAATTGTTTCGGCTAGCTATTACGGATGAGAATTGGAAAGCTGTCGCGGATATCAGGCCATATTTCTGCGCATCACACGACTCCTTTATCCCGGTGCATCAAATGATTCTGCGTCAGGATGTCATCGCCGCTGTAAAGTCAACTCACTCCAACTCCGGTCGGTCAGAGCATCACTCGCGAGGCAGACGAACCAGCAACTCGGACAAGCGCATTCCGATTCCGCTTGAAGTTCGGCAGGCGCTTCCAAAACAACGCAACCAGCAGATTTGCCTGAGATTTCTATCTGCCCAAGGCTGCCGGGGAAAGAACGGCAACTGTGTAATCAAGCATCTTTGCCATTTCAAGCCGGCAGCGCTGCCGGAAATTGTACGCGACTTCCTTACCAAGAATTACGGAGGCCTTTCCGCAGACATACAGTGACGGTGTCGGGCACGGAACGTAGGACCTACTCGCACCCCGAGTGCATCGGGGTCAATTAATCGGCAACGGTATATACACCCACACGCTGTTCAACCACCATTCAGGTCTATCTTTCCGTGTCAAAACACCACCGGGCCGCTCGATCGACTCATGTCGATGAGCCCGCCCACCATCGGGCCGTTCGGCCGACTCATGTCGTCGAACCCGTCCACACTCGGGCCGCTCGCCCGACCCATGTCGCCGAGCCCGTCCACCCTGGGGTCACCCAGCCGGTACAAGCCGGGGGGCCCACCCTCACTTGAAGCAATGAGTCGCGCGAAAGCGAAGGCGACAAACAGCAGCCTCTCGACTTCGTCGGCTGATGCACCATTTCCGGCCACTGACTTTATTCGGCGGCGCCAACGAAGGTTCGATACTACCAGCCTCGCCCGCCGCCGGTTAGCAGAGCTGCACGTTGACACTACTTGGATTAAGCTGATTAGCGCGCTAAGACGACAAGCCTTATCACCGCCACAACCAATGGCGTCGACAGCAACGCAAAGGGGCCACACGAAGTACCTGCTCGACCGAAACAAACAGTCCGTCTACAGTGAGTTCATACGGCGCTCTGGTATGCAGCTGCCCGAATTTGTTCGACTGCTGCGAGGCGAGACTGAGCAAGACCCCCGCCCCAATAAATCGCTGATCGAGCCAACATCCCTATCAGCATGGCAAAGTTACCGCTACGAAACTCAGTGGGCCGAGATTGTGCAGCACGGGGTATGTCCCCGGTGGAAATCGGGGTTCGCAGTACAAGACGCACCACCCGCAAATCATGGGTCGGCTGTACGAGCCCTGAATATCGTTGTTAAACGCCTCCGCAAAGGGCAGGACGAGAACCGCTATCTGATTCTCGATTTGGAGCTACTGTCGATACTGCATGGTGTCACATGCAGTCCATTCGGGGCTGTTCAGAAGGGTGATGCGGACCTCACTGTTGATGCTCGTCTAATTCACGATTTGTCATTTCCCCCGGGCGCCTCGGTCAATGACAACACTGTTCCGGATCATGAGATTGACGTTTGTTATGACGGCTCTGATGCATTGGCCAATCGCATTCTGGATGTGGACGAGGTCTTCCCAAAACTACAGCAGATGATGACTGGAGACGTGAATGGAGCGTTCAGGAACATCCCGGTGTCCGCTGACAACGTCGGCCGGTTTGCAGGCACGATACCCGAGCTTGGGATCCTGGTCATCGACCTGTGCCGTCCATTCGACTGGTCAAACTCTCCAGTGTCATACTGGGTAGCTGGTGCTGCTATTTCGCACCTTTACTCCTGCTCGGCACCGGAATGGCCTCTACAACCTACATCTGGAAAGAACAACTTCGATGCCAAGACGTGGTGTGATGACCACACAGCGATCGAGCCTGATATAGGCTCTCGGCTGGCGGAAGCCCAACTCGCCTTGCGAACAGCTATGATCACCGTATTGGGTCCTGATGCATGCAACGAGAAAACGTTCACGGGCTGGTTTAAGGAAGGGCGCACCCTCGGTCTAGATTGGAACCTGCACTCCAACACAGTCTCTATGCCCCCCGAGAAGATTTCAAAAGCGCTTTATCGTGTGCACGACATGGCAACACGGGCGAAAACGACCCGGACCCAGTTGCAAAAGCTACTAGGCAGTCTTCGACACGTTGTCACGTGCGTCAGAGCTGCGACACCATTCTTCCAGCCCGTTGCAGCACTAGCTCGAGCTGCTCCAAGGTTTGGAACCGTGGAGGTATCGTTCGAGGCAAAGGAAGATTTGCAGTGGTTTGAAATGGTCATTCGAATCGGTAAATTGAACGCTGTCCCGTTGTCTAGATTCACGCGTCGTCAGGAACCAAACTACCACATCCAGATGGACGCCAGTGACAAGGGCCTTTGCACCTGTTCCCGCTTCGCAAGCAATATCTCCAGGTTCAGTTCACCGATGCCGAGATTGACTTGATTTGTCAGTGCAACGAAGAGGGCGACAGCACATTCTGCATCAACGTCCGTGAGCTAATGAGCGCAGTGTTTGCGCCGTTAGTTTGGGGCTGTACCTGGAAAGACCCTACGGACAATGAGGAAGAGCACGTAAAATTTTGGATCGACAACACGTCCGCAGTGGCGTGGAGCAACCACAAGACGAGCCACAACCCGTTCGCTCAAATGCTCCTCCGTATATTGGGTATTTGTGAAGTTCAGCATGGATTCTATACTACGGCTGCCCACGTCGCTGGGGTGGACAACCAAATGGCGGACGCAGGAAGCAGGATATGGCAGTGGTGTCGGATAACACGTCCTAAAACGATTCCTAAAGTGTCCTAATTGTCCTAAAAAAAATCTCGAAAATTACCGTGAGATGTCCTAAAACTCGTATAATCCTTCGTAACAGAATATAATAAATTACGTCCTACGAGCTGTCCTAAAACCTAGTTTAATGAATATTACGCGTTTTATTGGTGACCACAATGTGTGGTACGCGTAATTTAGAGCGTTCGCAACGTTATTTATGCGTAATTACGGGCTCATCCTAGCCACTCGTCGAATGTCAGACCCCACAGTGCAGTGCTGCCAGCAATTTCACTTTTTGCAGCCTAAGTGTGAGAGCCCAACCTTCTTGTCATGGACCACGGCGGGTATTCATTCTGCGTTAAGCGCACATGCCCGGAAACAAACACGATCTACTACAGCTGCAAGAAGTTTCGTGAGGGATGCAAGGCAAGACTGATTGTCCGAGGAGGAGCCGTCGTCGCCGAGAAGAGTGTGCACAGCTGTAAGGATGAGTCCAAGCCAGAAGTGGTGGACGTGCGCAAGGAGATAAGAGTGGAGCTCCAGCGCTCTAGCATCACCAAGATGTCAACCCCACCGGCGGTCCTGCGGCAAGAGGTGTACGACGATCTCAAGCTTCGCTACGGCGGAGAAGGTATTGCACTCAAGATCATCCCTGCGAAGCCGGCCGTCTCTATCATCAAGGTCACGCGCAAGGATTGCTCTGGCGGTGATGTCTTTGAAGCCATTCTGACCCAAGCTGTTCGGTGCGTGAGTGACATGGATGCGAGGGCCTTTCTTCAGTTCAGCGTGGTCCACCCCACCGCCGCGGGCACCGGAATGCAACGTCTGATCGGACTGGCCCATCCCGACTTGGCTCGAATTCTACGGTACCCGAAGATCACGCTGTTCATTGACGGAACATTTGCGGTGGTTCCTAAGCCGTTCAGTCAGTGTCTGATTGTGATGGCTTTCGAGCCTTCTGTCGACCTCTACGTGCCTGTTTGCTATGTACTGGTGCAAGGCAAGTCCCAAGAAACGTACTGGCGGGTTCTCAACGAGCTCGTGATCCTGAGCAACCGCCAGCTGGAGCCTGAACATGTCACGTGTGACTATGAGTCCGCCCTTATCAACGCTGTGCTGGAGCAATTTCCGACTGCGAACCTCGTTGGGTGCCTGTTCCACTGGAAACAGGCCCTCCGTCGGAAAATGCTTGAGCTGCGGCTACCCGAAGACCAAATCAAGGACGCTCTCAGTCCAGGAAAGCTCGACACTCTCACAGTTATCCCGGAGGACCAAATCGCTGAAAAGGTGTGGACTATGTTTTGGGGTGACCAATTTTTTGTGTCTGACCTATTCTGATAAATGGCTGCATTGTAGGGTGTGAGGTACGTGAGGAGTATTGTCGACGAGACCGGCGCGAAAACAAAATGGAATACTTTTTGGAACTATTTCCTCAAGACCTGGACGCAGCGATTTGATGTCACGACCTGGAACGTTCATGAAATGGTGCGGTGCGGTGTTGACATCGTTAACCGCACCAACAATCCGCTGGAAAAGTACAATCGTGACTTCGCGTCGCGAGTGGGTACACACCCTAGCCTGCTTACCTTCATTGAAGGCACCAAGCAAGAAGCAGCCCGCTATCTCCAGCGCATTGACGACATCAAGAAGGGACTCCAGACGGCTCCGCAGCATGCTCCGCCAGTAGTGCCAGGCATCCCAGCTGGCTATGCGGACTTTAAGTAGGATAGTACGGTGTTCAGACGCTGATAATGCAGTCCTGCTTCAACGAGAGCCCTTGCTAACGAGTTGGCAAAACATTTCATTTGTCCTAATAGGACAGCTCCCAGTTATAGTCAACAAAGTGTCCTAATTGGACAACTGCCAGTTCTAGGCAGTTAAGTGTCCTAGTAGGACAGCTCTCGGTTATTACTCGACTAAGTGTCCTAATAGGACAGATCCTCATTTAGGTGAATTGTTGTTGTCCTATTAGGACAGATTTCGGTAAGTGAATCGTGGCTGTCCTATTAGGACAGCTCCTAACCAGCCCGTTCGTCCTAAAACGAGCTGTGTTGTCCTAATTTTTGGTACCGTTTATGAGCAAACTGCAAGTAATATCCCGCATTTTTTAGTAGGACATCTTAGGACGTCTATTAGGACGTGTTATCTTTTACCATGGCAGTCGCCGGTGCTCGCGGCCGAGTTTGCTAACTTATCGTCTGATTGGACACAGGTGCAGATACCAGCCGCCTTGCGCGATCTCTCGCGTCTCTGGGGGCGTTATTGCGAGCAGGTGCCTTAGCACAGTCGTCGAGGGAGCAGTATTCACGTGGGTGGGCGCAGTGGACTGCATGGTGCACTCTGATGAACTCGAGTCCATGGCTATCAGCGACTGACATCGACAAAAACGCTGAGCAGCTTGGTCCCTACGCCGTGTATCTCTGGAAGTATGGCATGAATCGAAAACACGCTGGAAACACCTACTCAACTATCTGCACCAAGCTGTGTGCTGTGCGGTCGTTCCACCGCAACTCTGCAGGTTACGATCCGGTTGTAAACGCAAGTCACGCTATCCTGCTGCGAGGTATCCGCCGCTCCACGGACCCAGTTGTTAAGCAACAGCCCTTGACCACGCGGCTGCTCCGCAGCCCATGACCTTCTCCTGGTCCCAGAGCGTGTTTTGCGGCCGGCCACGCCGCCAATGCGCCGGTGATGGTAATCCGACGCCAGCTCTTCGATGAACTCGCACGTGCCGTGGCCGCTGCAGTCGTTGGGGCACTGCATGCGACGGCAGCCGCTGCCGACGAAGCCGGCGTCGCACGCGCACTCCCCAGTCGTCCGGTCACACGTGCAGCGGTTGCCACACTCGGCGTAGTAATGACCATCATCGTCTCGCTGGGCCGTGTCGTGCCACGCGCGAGTGAACGGGCATTGGCGACCGGAGCAGTCTCCGCCGACCCAGTTCTGCATGCAGTCGCACAAGTCGTTGAGGCCGCACTTGCCGTGTCCGGAACACTTGTTGGGGCAGGCAGCCATGGCGACGCTGGCCAATGTCGACACCAGCGCCACTGTGAACCACCACTTGGTCATTGCTGGGTCTCTTCAGGACAACGCTGTCGGTGTTGTTCCTGTTGCTTCTTGGCGCAGGAGGCGAACTGAAATTTGAACAGCCCAGTTGAAAGCACGAGGAGCGATCTTGTTGCGAGTGACTCGTGGGAGACGTCGCGTTGGGGGGGGGGGTGATATCTTACGACAGGCAGTCCTCAACCGCTCGTTTATGAGTCTGGAGCAAATTCTGGTGAACGCGACTCCTGCTTCCGTTTCAACGGTCAAGTCGGCGTTTGATGGATATTTTTTCACTGCCACAGCAACGAAGCTGGCATCTCCCGTAGCAGCACTGGATAAATTACTTGATAAACTCCATCAAACAGAGCTGGAACCAGAGTGCAACCCATTCTCCCATTTGCCAAGAGTTAGTCAGTCTACAATAGTTCGCTCCATCAAGCAGACTGCGCGTGGGAGATGTTGGAACGAACCTTACTCTGTTGTTTGCTTTCACCACCGTCCGAATCGGAATCCTCTGCTGCTTCCATTTTGAATGACGGCAGGAACGGCAATGTCGGGATGGGGTGGCTGGCCATGTAGGAGAGGAAGGAAGCCCACCCGAGGTGCACGCAGTTTGCAAACAGCAATCGGTACTCGAGCGGCATCACTCCGTATGTGATCGAGTTGGCCGCTGGCCAGAGCATGTAGTTGGCCATAAGCGTCATTGGCTGCTTCTCGATGGAGTCGTCGAACGCCTCCTGCAGTGTCCTGCCGGCCATAAGCCCCGTACTCGTGTAAAACCAAATGGGCATTTGCGGAGCGACGAAGACCATATCGGCCACCACCTTCATGCGTTCCCAACTCACTCCACTGCGATGACCCGACTTGGTGTTAAACAGCGCCAGCGCGGATACAATTGCTTCAGTGTGGCCTCACGGCATGCATTTGGCGATGGTGTTTCGAGTCACAACTTGTGATGCATCGTTTCGGTTCGGTTGAACGGCAATGGGACTACCGTCGGTCTGGATGAAGCGTGCCGAAGCGAATAAGGTCACGAAGGATGTACCGAGGATGTAGGTGCAGCTCCCTGAATAGAAACACACACTACAACTAACAGCCTTTGCTGTCATCCGACAACAGCAACACAAACACAAAATAGCCTTGCGCTAGTCGATTTCTGAAGTTGAAGTGGTTGGGTGTACCTGCTCAACTGCCGTTCACTTACATTTTGTATGCCGAGGTATCATCCAACATTTGGTTGTGGCTCCGACCACGAGGACCTCTGATCATTTCGGAATCGGAGCCAGCCCAAGCACGCCAATTCACAGCAGCTCTTGGTCGAGCATGCGCAGCTTCCGATACGTGTACGACGAGTGGCTGCACCGCCGCCCGCTACTGACCAAGATGGCGACGTCCTCCGTGCTCTTCGGCCTCGGGGACCGTCTCTCGCAGCGCGTGGAGAAGATTGGCAAGACCGAGGAAGAAATGGCCGAGCTCGAAAAAGACAGCATCGTCCAGGAAGGCCGTCTCCTAAGCGAGAGCACGGCCAAGACCGTCCGCATGATGCTCTGGGGCGGCCTCTTCTTGAGCCCGATGATGCACAACTGGTACAACCTCATGGAGCGCGTCTTCGTCGGAACAGGCAAGCTCGTCGTGGCTAAAAAGGTGGCGGCCGACATGGTCTTCATCGCGCCGCAGATGCCCATTTGGTTCTTTACGACCACCGGCGTCATGGCCGGCAAGCCGTTCCGACAGGCCCTGGACGACTCCATCAAGAAGCAGCCGATGATGCTCATGGCCAACTACATGCTGTGGCCGGCGGCCAACTCCATTACATACGGGGTCATGCCGCTGCAGTACCGACTCCTGTTTGCCAACTTTGTCAATGTCGGCTGGGCCTCCGTCCTCTCCTACATGGCCACCCACCCAGTCACAACTTTACCGTTCTTGCCGTCATTTAAGCACCCATTTCTCTCGGAAGACGACGAGGACGGAGCAGTCAAAGTGTAGCGTGAAGAATACATGTAAGCTATTGAATCAAAGCCAGCGCTTCGACAGCAACTTGACCTTGTCAGCTTGAAGGCTCTGCTGCACTCAGCAGCACTCGCGTTTTTGTAACGGGTCTAAGGGGGAGGTCGCGTGTTTCACAATCGTGTGGTGGTCGCCGCTGTCAGAGGAGGAATTGCGGCCATGCGCCGACTGGGTCTGCTGTACGATGGCTGGCTGCGTCGCGCGCCCGTGCTGACCAAGAGCGTCACGTCGGCCGCGCTCTTCGGCCTGGGCGACCGCATAGCGCAGCGGGTGGAGAAGTCTCGAGAGCCGAAGGACCGGACACCCCACCCAGAGGAGGCCGAGGACGATGCAGCGCTCGTGAGCGCCAGCACGGCCCGCACCATGCGCATGATGATCTGGGGGAGCGTTCTGTTCGCGCCGATCGTGCACACGTGGGTGAACTTCGTCGAGCGAACGGTCGGTAGCCACGGCAAGGTGGTGGTGTTCAAGAAGATGCTGCTGGACATGTTCGTGCTCGCGCCAGGCATCAACACGCTCTTCTTCACGACGAAGCAGCTGATGGAGGGCAAGACGTTCCGCGATGGACTGGACTTCGCCGCGGACCGCCTGCCGCAGACGCTCAAGGCCAACTACACCATTTGGCCCATCGCCAACATCGTCAACTACGGCTACGTGCCGCTGCAGTACCGCATTCTCTTCATCAACTGCGTCAACCTCGTGTGGACGACGGTGCTCTCGACCGTTTCAAGTCGGCCAGCGCTGAAAGGGGCGGAGGAGGGGGAGACGAAGGACGTCGTGCCGGCAAGCGAAGCAGAAGTTATGTGAGCCAAGATGGAGATTGAGCGTCCATTTTCCCCCTCGCAAGAGGTGAACATCCTAGTGGAGACCGCAGAGCAGCCGGCGCTCGCAGAACTTGTAAATAATAGACACCCATCCAATGCGAGAAGAAGGAAGCCGCATGCAGGCCGACACCACCCCCACGCTCACCGAAACACCTTGAGCGAGGATCAGACGGAGGATGCAAAGTGATAGCGATTTGAGTGTCACAACCGCGGCGCGTAATGACCCATAGAGGCGGCGCGCAATACAAAGTGCAAGCACTCATCGAAGAAGACGCAGCACATCAGACGCTTCCCCTGCGCCGCGCAGTGCGCGGGCCGCTACTTCATTTCGCAACTTGCATCCGACCAAGCAGCAGCAGCAGCCCTGCGTCACCGCGACCATGTTCTACGAGCCCGGCAAGACAGACCACAACCTCCCGCACGACCCCTTCAAGGCCTGCGTGATCCCGCGCCCCATCGGCTGGATCTCTACGGTGTCGGCCGCTGGCGAGGCCAACCTGGCGCCGTACTCGCAGTTCAACAACCTGACCTTCGACCCGCCCTACGTCATGTTCAGCGCCAACCAGAAGCCCTCGGGCAAGCAGAAGGATACGACCGTCAACACGGAGACCACGGGCAAGTTCTGCTGGAACCTCGCCACGTGGGACCTGCGCGAGGCAGTCAATATTACGGCCGAGCAGGTGGCCCCGGGCGTGGACGAGTTCGAGCGCGCCGGTCTGAAGAAGGAGATGTCCCGGCACATCCAGGGCGTCCCCATGGTGGCCGACAGCCCCGTCAAGTTCGAGTGCGAGTACTACAGCACGCTGCGTCTGCCGGGCAACCCGCCCATGGGCTCCGTGGACGTCATCATCGGCAAGGTCGTGGCCGTGCACATCAAGGACGAGGTGCTGACCGACGGCATCCTGGACGTCAAGAAGACCAAGCCCATCGCGCGCTGCGGCTACTACCAGTACACTGTGGTGAAGGAGACGTTCGAGATGGTCATCCCCAGCAACGGCCAGGAGGGCGAGGACGTCCTGGGCGGCCTCGAGGGAAGCACCCGCAAGCACCGAGAGATTGCGCAGCGAGAGCACAACAAGGAGGAGGAGGAGCCGTGAGAGCTCGCGTAGGTAGAGTGCGCTTTGGGCGTTCCGTTAGTTGCAGTGCTGCGTACAACTGATAGAAAAATAGAGCTCGTATGTTGGTGCTGCATTATTCTTTCGTGTTGAAAAATTCGTACGTGGTGACTGCACACCGAAACATGGATCACGTGGCTGTGAGTCACGCGATCCAAAGTGGTCGATCTTCAGAAGTAGCAGTGCTGATGCTAGAATTTCACAACGGTTCTGGGCCTGGAATCAGTCCGCAATGGGCGCGCTCCTTTTGGGGGGAGACGATTCAGTTGCCATTTTGCGCGTATTGAGTGGGGGCGACGGATAGCGGCGACCTCACTAAACATTGCGCCACTCTATTTGAGTGTACGAACGTCGTGGAGTGTCTCGCTGGTAAATGTGGCGCTGGCGTCAATTTTCGTTTCAAGGTGAGGTTCCATTTGAGTCATTTACTTCTAGTATTCCTAACGACCAAGGTGCTGGCGTCAATGCTCAGGACAGTGGCGAACTCGCGGTGCTTTGCTGGGGCGCTCAACTTACACGGATGCGCGTGCGGAAACCTGAAAACGCTCCAAGATTTTTTATGGTGGTTGACGAACTGGCAAGGCTGGCCAATATCGCGACGACCGACCACGCGATTGATCTCATCGAGACTTCACCACCGGGGATCTGTCCTCAAAGTGGTTACAGCGGCGCAGCAGCTGTTGACTTCTCTGCAGGGCGACTTGAATCAACAGGCTCAATTTGAGCCTGTTGAGCCTCAAAGACGCTTCGTTGTGGTTACAAGTTGAGCACAGTTACAGGCAGATCGATGGCAGTCGGAGTGATAAGTGTTGCGCATCCTTTTACTCTCTCGCGGTCGCATCCGACGCGTCTACAGCGACGCTATACGACCAAGACGGATCTCTTGTCTGCCTCCTTGGCGGAGACGGCGATGTGGCATTTTCTAAGCCGTTAGTTAGGCCTCAAAAAAAAAAAAACGAAAAAAAAACGGAGACGACGATGCGGTGCTATCGATATCGGAAGTTAGTCGTCATCGGCAGTACCGTCTTGTCCAAGTGGCTCGAAAATACCCAGCCTCGGACCTCACCCACTCTTGCTCAGCTCTTTGAGGGGAAGCATTCAAATCAGTCGATATCTTCTGCACCACTCCGTTGGTGCGAAGGGGTCAAGTAATGCCGCGCCGTCGAGATGAAATGATGAAATATGAGCTTCCGGCTGAAACGTGTTGAGACCTCGGGTGAGTAGTTTCGAGCTGACGACGGGGCAATAGTGGAGACTTACATGTTAACGAACTCGCAGATGGAGATCTTTACGCCGCAACCCCCCTAAGTCAGGCCGAGTGAACCGCCATGTTGCACGGTGCCAGCAAACACTAGTATGCATCCGGACCCATACTCTCAAGTGGTGAGCTTAATCCTACGAGCACGTATGAATGCCGGCGACTTGGAGGCTATGCTACTACGTGCACGTGAGCTTGCCTTGCTAGCAGGCGAAGGCCACTGCTGACGGCGCAGACACGATGGCCCGTGGTACGAAATCCAAGGTGTATTCTCGGCTGCGCTGGTGGCGAGATCCGCACGGAGCGTTTTCCCGCCATTGCTGACTACCCGCGGCGATATAAAACTCCGCCGGCGGACGACGACGCGGAACGTTTCTCCTCGAGCTAGCGATAGCAACGGCAACAGCAACGGCGCCTCTAGTCACCGTTGCTAGGCCGCTGGCATGCTCGGGACAGAGCATGCAGCGATCGTCGAGCGATATTAATCCGCAGAAGATCGAAATCGACACTTGCTGTCCGTACTACGGACTTCAACATGCTGGATTTTGACCAATCACAAATGGGACAGGCGCGTGCCTCCGTCCGGTCTCTTGCCAACCTGCACATGCCGTGCGTGTCCCTCTGCACTCAAGCTTCCATGGATAACAAGAAGTGAGCCGCAACCAACGCTGGCCGCATTCCTCCATTCGCAGCCTTCCACCTCAACCCCATGGGCGGCAAGGACAACGAGCCCAACGCCGACGGCGTGTTCACGCCCACGGCCAACTACGCGTCGGCCGAGACGCAGCCGAACACGCAGCACAAGCGCCAGACGCTGCTCTGGGGCGGCGTCTCGCTCTTCCTGCTGCTCAACGTCGTGGCGCTCTACATCCTGCACTTCGTGGACCGCGGCAGCACCAGCCACGCGGTCACGAGCTCCATCTCGGCCTCCACGCTCTCGAGCGCCAACGCCCAGTCGGCCACCGAGGGCCAGGCCGTGAGCTACACGGCGGACGGCCAGCTCACGGCGGGCGCCGGCACCACGGCCTACCTGGCCGCGGCCTCGCTGCCCTCGGAGGACCAGTACCTGGCCTACATCAAGTTCGCGCCGCTCGGCACGTCCGAGACCGCCTACGCGGCCAACCTCATGGCCTACCAGACGGGCACGTCGCCCAACGTGTCCAGCACCGTGACGGTCGCCACGGCGGACGCGGAGGCCAAGACCGTGAGCATCGCCAACGCGGCCAGCGGCAACGTCTTCTCGGGCGCGACGGTCAAGGGGCTGGCCACGCTCTCGGACTCGCTGGCCGTCGCGCTCTCGACCGTCACGGCCGAGGACGGCTTCACCGCCACCACGTACGTGACGCCCGTGACCATCAGCGACGGCAGCGTGGCCGTGCAGCAGGACAAGACGGTGGAGGCCTACAACACGTCCAGCACCACCTTCTTGACGCGCGTGTCCGACTCGAGCTTCGCGCTCGTGTACTACGAGTCGTACCTCGTGAGCCCCTACTACCAGCAAGTCATCATCGGCTCGGTCGCGGCCGACGGGACCATCTCCTTCTCCGACAGCATCGAGTTCGGCACCGCCAACGGCGCCACATTCACGCAGTTCGGCACGCCGCAGTCCGTCTTCAACTCGAGCGACACGGTGACCGTGCCCTGGTACGTGGAGGCGAGCTCCACCTCCAGCAACGACACGGCGTCCTCGGACGTTGGCTCTGTGGGGCTCTGCCTCTTCACGGCCAGCGTCTCCGACAGCACGCTGACCAAGAAGTCGGAGGCCTGCGACACCACCGTGAGCCCGACGTACTACGTGGACTCGGCCAAGATCTCGGAGACCGTCGTGGTGCTGAGCTACTTCGACACGGCCAACAACTACGCGCTGACGGTGTCGCTTGTCGAGTTCTCGACCATCACGGGCGCCCCCACGTTCCGCAGCAGCTACGTGCTGGACGAGTCGGTGGGCCAGTTCGACTTCGGCTCGGCGTTCGGCTTCTACCCGACGCCGATCGTGCGCGTGCTGAACAACAACCGCCTGGCCGTGGGCTTCCTCAACCCGGCCAAGTCCGGCAGCCCGAGCATCAAGGTGCTCTCATTCTCGTCGGACCTGACGCTCTCGGAGAACTCGCCGGTGCTCCCCGTTGCGAACGCCGACTTCTCGCTGGCCTCGGCTGACCCGAACGCTGCCGGCTCGATCGTCCTGGACGTGGTGGCCACGGACACCGGCGCCGTTATTGGCTACGCGGGCCTGTGGGCTGGCGCCCAGAACCAGCGCGTGGCACTGGTGGAGTCGTTCGGCCAGCCCGTGGGTGTCGTGTCCAATGTGGACGGATCGGACCTCGACATCGCGCTGTCCGGCACCGTGGACATCTCGAGCGACCTCGTCAAGGGATCGGCCTACTACGCCTCGACCGAGGGCAAGCTCTACGCTGCGTCGACCACTACGACGGACAAGTACATCCTTGCCGACGACAACAGCGTCGTCATCTCCAAGGACGCGCTTGTGGGAGTCGCCGTCAGCGGCAAGAAGCTGGTGGTCACGGTCTAACGCTCTCCTGCTGAAACTTCTGGGCCCCGGTGTTTATAGTTTTCCGTACTCACCCCTGACTCTCGAGTATCTAATTTGTTCCTGGTGCAGCAACAAGAACACCTCCATCTGATAGCGCGCGAACGAAAGCGGGGCCACTAAGTCATTAATGAACGTATTTGCTGTAGTTTTGCGCGATCGTATCACGATTCCTGACACTCAAAACATATTCTTTAGGTGACTGAAAAATCTGGGAGCTGGTGTGCGTGCTGGAGCCTGGTAAGCGGATCAAGACCTCCACGGTTGTTGACGAGCTGGCAATCCAGCAAAGCAGTCGATCTTTCTATTCTTGACAGGCCTTCCGAAATAATTATTTATTTTGAAATAACAATACAATATGTTCCACTCAATAATGCAAACCAATAGTTTATTTCAATTGTGATCCGAAATACTATTACAATAGTATTATCGGAAGGCCTGATTCTTGTTACCAAATGCCGCGATTTGGGAATCTATCCCCCAAGTGGTTGCAGCGCTGCAGAAGTTGCTGGCTTCACTCCTGGGCGACATGAATCAAACAGGCTCGACGAACACATGAAGCGACAATTACTTTTGCTCGCTTATTTTGCCTCACATAGGTCCACAAGGGAGCTGCAAGATACTGTAGTAACGGGGGCTCCTTAGCCAAGACGACGATGCGGCGGAGATTAGACAAGTTGTGCGAAGCGTTTTTTTTGACTGTCGAGGACTAGGATGTTAACCAAGGATATGTGTGACAAGACAAACCCATGCCATATTTTTAAGAAGAAATATGCTGTAGACCTCGATGAAGCCGACAAGAACATCTCACTGGTCTCCACCGTCGAGAAAGGATGCCTCGCACAACTTGTCCAACTTTCGACGCAACGCATAGCACCGCATCGTCGTGTCAGCTAACGACACGAGGTTTCCCTTCCTGTCTTGAAGCATCGTCGTAGACGCATGAGCAGCGGCTACGAGTGAGCAATACGCAGCCCCACACTTGTCGTCACTCCGACTATTTTCATTCTTCTGGTAAACTCGTTCGAATGTTTCCCACAACGACGCGTACAGCACGAGCACACCATCACCATTGTCCTCCAACGAAGCCAAAAAGTGGTGCACCTCTGCAACCATTTCAGGGGCAGAATCCCATCGCAGAGCATCTGCAGCAGAAGGGTTGATGTGATCGATCCCATGGTCGTTCGTGCCCACATTGGCCAGCCTCGCGAGTTCGTCGACAACGGTAGAGATCTTGACCCGCTTACCGGGCTCCAGCACGCACATTCGTTTGACCAGCTCCCACTCATCATCCTTACAGATCGTAGGTCGGGAAGGCAACTTGCCGCGAGTGGCGTGATATTTCACGGCGGCCTTGTCAGCAACACGCCACGGTAGACAATGCCCCGCCGTCTTGCCAGATCCCACAGCCCCCACCACTCGCAGCGCTTCCACAACGCACATGCCCAACGAATAGATGTCCGATGCTAAGGTTGGACGCTTGTTGGTATCGAGTAGCTCCGGGGCCACCCAGTTCCATGCCCCCAACACCAACATCTCCTGCTCACTGCTTGCGGCTGAACTGAGGCCAAAGTCCGTCACCTTCGCCTTTAAGTCGCTTCCGACCACGACGTTGTTGCCCTTCAGGTCTCCATGGACCACGTTTCGAGCGTGGAGGTACTGCACACCTAACGCCGCCTCGTACAGCTTCGGCCACAGATCACTGGGGTGTTTTCGCAAGTAGCTGACCAGGGTTCCGTTCGTGGCATATTCACACACGAAGAAGGGTCTTCCAACGTGACACGCACCGAACAAACGAACGACGTGAGGGTGACTAAAGCCGAGCCAAATTTCGACTTCGCGGCGGAACATCGTCAAGGCTTCTGCACGCTTAGTGTCGTCGATCTCGGCTTGGCTGGCCGACGGAACGTCCCATCCAGAGGAGTCAGAGAGATCGTATGAGAAAGACCTGTCATCGCTATGCGAGCCTCCGGCCAAGATCACTCGTTTCACCACCACATCCGAGTCCAGCCACTTGGCTCGATTCACGCTTCCAAAGCCACCTTCGCCGAGACAATTCCACTCGTCAACGATCAATTCGTACCAGGGAATGAACCACTCAGGCGCGAGTTCGGAGAACCCTTCGGTCTCCAGTTTGCTGCAGATTTCCTCGTACGTCGCTTTCATCACGTCCAGTTGGTCAGGAGTGTACTTACCCACCGGCGCCTCCATCTCGCCTTTCAGCGTCTTAAGAAACGCTGACCGTTCTTCGCTCGATTTTAAGCCATTCAGCAGAAGAACAGTGTCCGACACTCCTGACACGAACAGGCCGGTCTCTTGCGCTTTTCCTGCCATCGCCCCTCTTCTTCCTCTGCTGCCCCCAGCGATGCCGAGAGCGACCGAATACGCCAGTCAAGCGCGTATACGCTCGTGTTAGTGGCACGCGTCGAAGATAACCTCATCAATCGGGCTTGCTCAGGCGGCACTCTGATCGCTTGACTGAACTCGTTAACGAGCATGATGAATCGCTCGAACTGCGTGGGGTGGTGCGCTGCTTCCTGCAGGCACATGTACACGCTCCTCAGATCAGCAAACGCTCGCGTGTACTGGTCATCATCGCACTTCTCCATTGATGTTTCCAGCTTCGACCACATCGCTTTCATATCAGTGTCGATCTCATGCATATCAAAAAGTCACGTGGGCTCTTGATCCGGCTGAGCACATTTGGGGCTTTCGAGGGTAGCCAAACGCTCCAAATCATAGACGAGGGAAGATAAACCGGCGCGCTCGAGGGGACCCTGGCAGCACATACGCCACACGAACGCGCGTACAGCAGGATTAGGACAGAAGGGGTGAAATCCAGAGTCAGGCATCTCTGGTTTCCAATACCACTTACAGCTTTTGACCATAGAATCGTTATGCTGGCTCCATGGCTCCTTCCCAGTTGTAGCTTCCAAAACGCACATGCCCAACGAGTAGACATCCGACTCAAACGAGGGCGTCCTCCCCTCCAGTACTTCAGGGGCCTGCCAGCGCAACGGCCCAACAGCACCCGCGGAAACCTCACTGGATCTGCTCGTCGAGGCACTCAAACCGAAATTCGACAGTTTGGCCTTGCCGTCGCTGGCGATTAGTACGTTGCAGCATCGAAGGTCGCCGTGAACAATCCCGCGCTCGTGAAGATACTCAAGACCTAGCGCCACCTCATAAAGATACTTCCACATCGTTCGCTTGTCCACTCCGGGGGATGTCACGTACTCCAGCAGTGAGCCGTGGCTGGCGTACTCGCAAACGAAGAACTGTAGATTCGGAGCAGCTACACAAGCGCCATACATCTTGATCACATTGGGATGGCGTAGCCGCTGCCATAAACGCACTTCATCCCCAAACGTCGAGTGCGAGACGCCCGGAACAAATAGCTTCACGACTACATCGGCATCGAGCCATTTGGCTTGGAAGTCACCGCCAATACGACCATTCTGGCTGAACCCGGTCAGCTCGATTTCGGTCGGAGGGATGGAACAGCTCAACGATTGGTCCGAAGACCCGCTCAGGCATGTATCACCTGTGGATTGAGCAGTAAGTGAAGTAAACGGCGTGAGCATCCGGTTAATTTCGTGATATCCACGTTCTGCAGCAAGTCGGACGGCGGATGTTCCTTTGTTATTCGTCGCATTCACATCTGCACTGAATTGCTCCACCAGGCATCGAGCGACCGCGAGACTCTTGTTTTCAGTCGCCATCATCAACGCTGTGCGTCCGTCATTGTCCTTCGCATTCACATCGGCACCGCATTCACCAGCTAGGTACCGCACGAAATCAATCTTGTCGTCCATGACGGCCTTCATCAATGCAGAGTATCCGAGCTCGTCAGCGGCATTCACGTCAGCACCACATTGATTTGCAAGGAACCTCACCACATCCATGCGGTCATATACGACGGCACTCATCAAAGGTGTGCATCCTTCACTGTTTTGGGTGTTGACGTCAGCGCCGCATTGTTCAGTGAGGAAACGCACGACTTCCACGTGACCACCGTCACCAGCCCATACCAACGCTGTCCGCCCAGCGTTGTTTTTCATATTAACGTCTACGACGGATTCCTTCACGAGAAGCCGCACAATGTCCTTGCGACCGTCTCTCGCTGCACTCATCAAAGCTGTTGTCCCTTCAGCATCCTGGATATTTGCATCTGCAGCGCATTGACAAGTCAGGAACCGAACGACATCTAAGTGGCCACCCTCAACGGCCAGCATCAATGCCGTGCGTCCAGAATTCGTCTTGGCATTTACGTCAGCGTTACATTGGCCGGCGAGGAATCGCACGAGGTCCATGCTGTTGTTTTCAGCGGCCAACATCAGCGCTGTGAAGCCATTCGTATCACCAGCATCCACATCCGCACCACGGTCAGCGAGATACTGCACGACGTCCATGTGGCCATATTTCGCGGCCAGTATCAAGGCAGTGTAGTCTTCTTCAGCCTTGCCATTCACGTCTGCACCGCAGTTCTCCACGATGAACTGTACAACATCTTTGTGGCCATTAGAAGCGGCTGAGATCAATGCGGTGTATCCATCATCGGCTGTAGCATCGACGTCTGCATCACATTTCTCCACGAGCAGTCGCACGACGTCCATCTGACCCTTTTCAGCGGCGAACATCAACGTCGTCTTCCCGCATGTTGTTTTGGCATTCGCGTCGGCACGTTGCTGCGCGAGGAACCGCACAACGTCCATCTCCTCCTTCTCAGCAGCCCAAAGCATCGCTGTCACACCGCTATCGCTTTTCGCATTTACATCAGCGTCGCATTGTTCCACGAGATACCGCACGACGTCCTTGTGGCCTCTCATAGCGGCCCAGGTCAACGCTGTCTCTCCGCTGTTGTTTATAACATTCACGTCTGGGTCCAATTTCTCCACGAGGAACCGCACGATGTCTATGCGGCCCTTTTCAGCAGCCCCTATCAAGATCTCGCCCACGTTGGTTACGTCTGCACCGCATTGGCCGGCGAGGTACAGGACCAGGTCCATGTGACGGCACTCAGCGGCGGTCAGCAACGCCGTGTCCCCGAGTTGGCTTGTTACATTAACGTCTGCACCACATTGTTCCACAAGGAGCCGCACAACGTCCATGTGACCGAATATTACAGCCCTCATCAAGGCTGTGCTTCCGGAAAACATCGTGCCATTTACGTCTGCACCACACTCCTCCACAAGGCACCGCACGGCGCCCACGTCTCCATCTTGCGCGGCCCTGGTAAGAGCTGTGTTCCCCATTACGTCTCTGGCACTCGTATCAGCGCCACATTCTTTTGCAAGAACGCGCATGACGTCCGTGTGGCCATGGAGAGCTGCCAATATCAACGCTGTAGCCTCGCGGTCGTTTGCGGCATCCACATCAGCTTCGCATTCCTTCGCGAAGAAGCGCACAATATCCGAGTAACCGCTGTCAGCGGCCCACATCACTGCAGTGTTTCCGTCGTTGCTCTTGGCATTCACGTCAGCGTCACACTCTTTAGTGAGGAACTGCACAAGCTCCACGTTGCCGGATCGAGCAGCCCACACCACCGCTGTGAGCCCTTTCTGGTTCTTTACATTCACATCCGCGTCATATTGTTCCGCAAGGTACCGCACGACATCCATGTGATCCCTTTCGGCGGCCCATATCACCGCTGTGTAGCCATTCTCACCGTGGCATGCACATCAGCGCTACACTCGCAAGCGAGGTACTGCACGACGTCCAGGTGGCCATGTTGAGCAGCCAGCATCAACGCTGTATCTTCATAGTCCATTTGGGAGTCCACAGCAGCCTCACATTGGCTCGCGAGCAACTGCACAACGTCCATGTGACCATTCTGAGCAGCCAACATTAACGCTGTGTGTCCTTCGTAACGAGTTTTGGCATTCACGTCGGCGCCACAGTGTTCCACGAGAAATCTTTCATTGTCGACGTGGCCACTGACAGCCACCCGAATCAATGCGGAGTATCCATCTTCCGTCACGGCATTCACGTCTGCCTCACATTTCTCCGCAAGGAACCGCACGACATCGTTGTGGCCATATCGAGCGGCCCCGATCAATGCTGTGTATCCCCAGTAGCCCTTGGCATTCACGTCAGCACCGCATTCCCCGGCACAGAACTGCACGATGTCCATCCGGCCATTTGTGGCGGCCCGTATCAATGCTGTGTCGTCCGTGTTGTTCTTGGCATACAAGCTAGCGCCACATTGGTTCACTAGGAACCGCACGATATCCGTGTGACCATTCTTAGCGGCCTTACTCAAAGCGGTGGCTTCTTGGTGTCCACTTCAGCGCCACATTCGCCGGCGAGGAACCTCACAACGTCCTGGTGGCCATTTCGAGCGGCCCACAGTAACGCTGTGGACTGGTCACCGTCCTTGACATTTACGTCAGCGTCACATTCTCCCTCGAGGTACCGAACGGTGTCCTTGTGGCCGTATCGTGCTGCCTGCAGCAGTGCGGTGTCTCCACTTTCATTCTTGGTATTCACGTCGGCTGCACAGCGCCCCGCAAGCAGACGCACGACGTCCGTATGGCCCCCTTTAGCAACCCATAGCAACGCCGTGTCTCCGTCCCTGTTCTTCACATTGACATCTGCATGACATTGATCTGCGAGGTACCGCACGACGTCCACGTGACCATTTCGAGCAGCCCATAACAACACTGCGTCTCCGTCTTCATCCTTGGCATCCACCTCAGCGCCACATTGGCAAGTGAGGTACTGCACGACGTCCAGGTTCCCTTTCCCCGCGGCCCACATCAGCGCTGTATACTGTTTGTTGTTCTTGGCATTCGCGTCTGCGCCACCTTCCTTCACGAGGAACTCCACAATGTCCATGTGATCATTCTGAGCAGCCCACAAGATCGCTGCATGTCCGTCATCATCCATGGCGTCCACCTCAGCGTCACATTGGCAAGTGAGGTACTGCACGACGTCCAGGTGTCCGTTTCCAGCGGCCCGCATCAACGCCGTACACTGTTGTCTGTTCTTGGCATCGGCGTTCGCATCGCATTGCTCCACGAGGTACTGCACGACATCCAAGTGGCCATTCTGAGCTCCTTCCATCAACACGGTAGTTCCGAACTTGTTCCGAGCATTCACACCAGCGTCGCACTTCTCCACGAGGTACTGCACGACGTTCACGTGGCCGCCTCGAGCGGCGAACATCAACGCTGTTTCCTCCCTTTTGTTCTTGGAATGATTCACCCCAACGCCACATTCGCGAGTGAGGAACTGCACGACGTCCACGTGGCCACCTCCCGCCGCCCGCATCAGCGCTGTGCCCTCGTCCGCACGTTTGGCGTCCACGTCAGCGCCGCATTGCTGCGCGAGGTACTGCACCGCACGGAGATGGCCCTGGGCAGCAGCCTCCAGCACGGCATTTTCCTTCTCGAGCGCCCAGGCTTGCTGGGCCAACTCCTGAACCTTTGCAAGGTCTCCCGCCTTTGCGGCGGCGATGAACTCGCTGCCCCCCATCGAATCGATGCTCTCGCAAGCACGTGAAAATGGGGACTGGCTCAGGCTGGCAAGCTGTGGCTTGGCCCTACGTTGGTAGTGAACTGTACCCATTGACGAGAGGTGCAGACCAGATCCTGCGGTACATGTATTCGAGTACCTTCCCGATGAGATCACCAAGGCCTCCTGCCACCGTCTTGTCCTGGTCTTCGGCCGTGACGGTCGAGAGCGCGACGGCCAGCGAGTCCGAGAGCGTGACCAGGCTCTTGACCGTCGCGCCCGAGAAGACGTTGCCGCTGGCCGTGTTGGCGATGCTCACGGTCTTGGCGTCCGCGTCCGCCGTGGAGACCGTGACGGTGCTGGACACGTTGGGCGACGTGCCCGTCTGGTAGGCCATGAGGTTGGCCGCGTAGGCGGTCTCAGACGTGCTGAGCGGCGCGAAACTTGCTGTACTTTAAGCTACAGAGGTACTTGTCCCTCCGAGGGTAGCGAGGCTGCAGCACAGGTAGACCGTGGCTCGCTCTACGTCCGGTACGTCGCAGGCAATAGCCACCATCTTGTGAGCGGAGGAAGAGTGAAGAGTCACCGATTGTCCGAAATTGCAAGTATCTGGTGCCAGCAGCAGTTAAGCCCAAATGGCGGTCCTGCTAATGTGGTGATACATAGCCCAATGCGATGCTAATGCGTTGCAGCGATCATGTGGCGATGACACTACTGTATCGGGGATATGAAGCTCACTCGCACGAATTTGCTGCATGCTGCAGGCTTTGGGCCCTCTTTATCTTTCTTGGGCGCGTGGTTGGTCGGATTTCCAACTCTTGAAATCAGGTCCCCCCGCTCTGCGACGACCAAAATGGGGCCTTCCTCATTCCTTGAGGCGTCAAAGATGGGCGATCTCGCTAGGGTGCAGGAGCTGGTGGGGCAGTGCACGGACTTCAACCGAGGAGAGGCTCTACTACGGGCCGCTCTAGGCGGTCGCCTCCCGGTCGTGCGGTTCCTGGTCGAAGAATGCGCCGTCGACGTGGAATTCACGACAGAAAACGGAGTCACGGCGCTCATGTGGGCCGCTTCGAGCGGCAACGTTGAGGTCGTCCGCTATCTGGCAGAGCAAGAAGGCGCCAACGTCAATGCCACAAGTCAAAATGGCTACACCGCATTCGTGGTGGCGGCTGGATTTGGCTACACTGAGGTCGTGCACTACCTCGCGAAAGAGTGCGGCGCTGATGTCCATGCCAGGGATGAAGATGGGTCTACAGCACTGCTGCTGACAGCTGCAAATGGGCACATTGATACAGCTCGATATCTCGTGGAGCACTGCGGACTCGCCGTAGACGGCAAGAACACAAATGGCTACACAGCGCTCATGGGGGCCGCTCGCGAGAACCACCTCAACCTGGTGCAGTATCTCGCTGGACAGTGTGGCGCTCACGTCGACGCTAGCAACGGCGGGGGGAGCACAGCTCTGATGGAGGCCGCTGCGCACGGCAGCGTCGAGGTCGTTCGGTATCTCGCAGGACAGTGCAACGCTGACGTGGATGCTAGGAACGACGTCGGAGCTTCAGCACTCATGTGGGCCGCTGCCACGGGCGAGCTTCAAGTCGTGCGGTGTCTTGCCCAAGAGTGCGGTGCGGACGTCAACGCCAAGACGAAGGATGGGAACACTGCGCTAGTGGTGGCTGGTCAGAACGACCGCATTGACATCGTCCGGTGCCTTGTGGAACAGTGTGGGGCAGACCTGAGCGTCCAGAATAATGAAGGAATGTCGGCTCTGAATCTGGCAGCCCAACGTGGAAAGCTTGAGCTCGTCCGGTATCTAGTTGAGTATAGTGGAGAGGACACCAACGTCAAGGATGAAGCGCTCATGTGGAGCGCCAGGAGTGGGAGCATTGACGTCGTGCAGCACCTCATAGAACACTGTGGAGCCGACGTGAGGAGCGAAGACGGAGCCAGAGCCGTCATATTCGCCGCATCCCATGGGAATATCGAGGTCATGCGATATCTGGTTGATCAGTGCGGGGCAGACGTGAATGCGAAGGACAAGTTCGGAGGCAGCACAGCGCTGATGTGGGCTGCTGACAACGGCATGATGCAAGCGGTGCAGTACCTTGTGGAACAGGGTAGCGTCGATGTGAATACCAGGAGTGAGATGGGGATCACAGCATTGATGAGAGCTGCTGCAAGTGGCAACATTCAGGTCGTACGTTATCTCGTTGAACACTGTGGCGCAGATGCCGAAGCCAAGACCAACACTGGAGACACAGCACTCATGTGGGCCGCTGAAGACGGGAGGAATGACGTCGTTCGCTACCTCTTCGAAAACTGCGGAGTTGACGTGAATGTCCAGAACGAGAATGGAGATACAGCGCTGATGCGGGCGGCTGCGAACGGAAAAATACGTGTCGTCCGGTATCTCGCTGCGCACTGCGGTGCTGGAGTCAACGATAGAAATGAGGAGGGCGACACTGCGCTGATGAAAGCTGCAGCAAAAGGCAACACTGAAATGGTGCGCTACCTTGCTGAAGAATGTGGTGCAGACGTCAGTATCAAGAATGAAAAGGGCAATACAGCACTGATATCAGCAGTTGAGTACGAGCACATTGAAGTCGCTCGCTTTCTCGCTGAGCAATGTCCTGCCGACGTGAATGCAAGCAATGAATACGGGATCACCGCTTTGATGTGGGCTGCAAGGCACGGCTACTGTGACCTGGTGCAATACTTTGTCGAAGAGTGTGAGGCGCAAGTGAATGTGAAGGATGGAGAAGGGAAAACCGTACTGATGTGGGCTGCCAAGAGCGGCAAAGTCAAAGTTGTGCGGTATTTCGTTGGGCAATGCGACGCACAAGTGAATACCATGAGCAACGACGGAAAAACAGCTCTTCGAATGGCGGCGGACTATGGATATCACGAGATTCAGCGTATACTCACGCCTTTTCTTCTGCCTGCTTCCCATACCAGCGACTCCAACGAAACTGCTGGCACAGTAGTGACTATGTCTTCCTACGGTATTCCCGCGTCTGAAATCGAGCTGACTCTGTTCAACCGGAACGGGAACATCGGGGGCGAGTTCCGAGCCAAGTGGCTTGATGCGGATGTAGTCGTGAAGTTGTTCATCCCGGACGCATCCCATTCATCGTTCAAGGCTGAAATTCTGCTCTGGCAGCGACTCCGACATCCCAACGTGATTAAAATGTACGGGGCGTGTGAAGCCAGCCCTCATCTGCAGTTTTTCGTGTGCGAGTTCGCGAGCAACGGGTCACTGCTCGACCACGTGAAGGTACACCCCGAGGGGAAGGCAAACACGTGGAAACACCTATACGAGGCGGCATTGTGTCTCGAATATCTGCACGAACGGGGCATCTTGCACGGTGATCTGCGTTGCAGTAACATCCTAATCGGTAGCGATGGCCTGGCCAAGCTGTCGAATTTCGGTCTAAGTGGCCCAATGAAGAGGCCCTCTTCAGGTACCCCCGCATTGATCGGATCGAGGCGCTGGCAGGCCCCCGAAGTGTTAGAAGGCGAGATCGCATCGTATGCTTCGGACGTGTACTCTTTGGGAATCTCCATTTTGGAAGCTGTGAATGGAACGACTCCGTGGGGCGGTGGGGATGATTCAGCTGACAATTGGTCGGCACGGTTCAATAAAAAGCACTGGACTCCAGAGACGGATGGAGATTCTTCATGGTACGCTCCAGACTGTCCTGCCGGTGATGCACGCGAGCTCGTGTGGCGCATGTGCTGTCAAGACCCTCGCAAACGCGCCAGTCTGTCTGCCGTTGTGCGTGAACTAGAGCGTTTAGCCATCACAGAGAGCTCCGAGCACTCCCAGCCGGAGCACGACCCCGCAGACATGGTGCATGAGTACGAGTCCGGCAAAGTGGCAGGCTTGTGGCTGAAGCTAGTGGAGCGCAAAGCAAAGGTCAACGATGACCAGTATGGCCGAGTATTCGACGATCTCGAGAGAATTCACGATTGTCTTCAAGAATCAACCCGCAACTCGACTCTAGTCGCGCGATTCCAATCGCTGCTGTCGGAGTTTTACGAGACCATCAAGATGCCTCCCAAACAAGCTCGCATGATGCGGTTGTCGAGCACACGCGCCACCGCCACCAGCTTTTACTCGGTTCAGTGGCGCATTGAGTCGCTCATGGCATCGTTAGGCTTAAGAGAGTTCGAGGATTCGTCAGGAAGAGAAGCGCGATGGCAGCGGCAACAACAAGAAGACGTCGAGTACTTCGTCTCGGGGGTGTCGGACACCTTTCTTCTGCTGCAGGAGTTGAAGACTGCGGAAGAACGGTCGGCGTTTCTGAGGAATCTGCAGACTGAGATGGAAAACCCTGAAGGTAAATACACCAGTGACCAACTTGAGGTGGTGAGGAATGCGTACGAGAAGATTGCTGGAGGGCTTGAGACCGATGACACGTCGAAGGTTACACCCGAGTGGTTCATTCCGTGGTACGAGCTGGTTGTCGACGAGTGGAATTGTCTGGGTGAAGGAGGTTTTGGGAGCGTGTATCGAGCTAAGTGGCTGGACTCGGACGTTGTGGTCAAGCGAGTGAAGCTGGCTGGATCGGATTTCAAACTTGGAGCTTCGACCACGATCGATCCCAGTTGGCTGACATCAGAGGACCCGTCAGACAGTCAAGCCGAAGTGGACGCCAACAAGAGAGCAGAGACCGTGGCAATATTCCGTCGCGAGGTCGAAATTTGGTTTAGTTTGAGCCACCCGCACGTCGTTCGGCTCTTCGGCGCGTGCCATGTAGGCAGACCGTTCTTCGTCTGCGAATACGCCACACACGGGACCTTGGTCAGCTTCTTGCGAAAGCATCCCGGGGAAATATGGACGAAATTGCACGAGTCAGCACTGGGGGTTCAGTATCTGCACGCTCGAGGCGTCGTGCACGGGGACCTGAAAGGGAACAACATTGTCATCGGGAGCGACATGAAGGCGAAAGTGACGGACTTCGGCCTGAGTTCGGTAGCAAGTGGTGAGGACAAGACGTTGGTGTCCGGTGCGTGGAATTGGGTGGCCCCGGAGCTCCTCGATACGAACAAACGCCCGACCTTTGCCACTGATGTGTATTCTCTGGGCATGTGTATTGTCGAGGCGCTGCGAGTTGTGGAGGCTGTGGAAGCAGGCAAGGATTCGAGCCATTGTCTGCCGTGGCGCGTTGGGGACCGAGCAGCGGTGAAATACCACGCTACTCATGGCACTGTGCCATCTCGACCTGCGATCTGCGAGGACAGTCAATGGGAGTTGGTTGTCCGAATGTGTGTGCTGGAGGCTGACGAGCGGATCAAGATCTCGACGGTGGTTGACGAGTTGGCGAGGCTGGCCTATATGAGTACTACTACCAGCCAAGCGGTGGAACTCGCGGGCATTTCGATTTCGGGCGCGGTGACTTGGGAGTCGATTCCTGAAGTTACAGCGCAGGCGCAAGGACTGTTGGCTTCGCTGCAATGTGACGATGCCATGATCTCCCAGTACACTGCTTTGTGGGAAAGGCTCGAGCAAGTTTGCGAGCATGTCGATGACGACGAAAGCTGTGGCAACGATAGATGTCGTTTAGCATTTTGCTCACTCGTCGCCGCCTCGCGTGAATCCACGGTGAAGCTGCGAGAAAGGAAGGGAGGTATCATTTCGGTCGCTGAGACGACGATGCGGTGTTTCGCATTGCAGCGGTCGTTGGATAAATTCTGTGAAGCATACTTTCTTGATCGTGGGTTCCAGAGATAGAGTTGATATGTAGGTTGCAATATTCAAAGTTTGCAGGTAAAATAGGGTTAAATCGCACAAAGTTGTAAAGCTCAAGGTTGTGTGAACCCTGCTTGTGTGCATTATAAAGTTGGACTCACGATATTCTGTCTTCTGTCCCTCTCACCCCCCAAGAATTCGATATGCTTGTCTAATACCAGCACACTGAATGAGCTCCGCCCTCCCCTGTTCAAGCAACTTTAATGCACACGAGCAGTGTTTTATTTTCTTTCACTACGCTGAACTTCACTACTTTGTGCGATTTAACCCTACGTTTCAACACACTTTGGGTAAGCGTTCAAATGTGCAAAGTATACATCAAATACGGCGCCCACAAACAAGAAAGTATGCCTCGCAAAATTTCTCCAACCACCGCTGCAGCGCGTAGCACCGCATCGTCGTCTCAGCCAACGCGACGATATCTCTTTTCCTATTTTGCAGCTGCGCCGTTGACTCACGAGAGGCGGCAACGAGTGAGCAAAATGCTGAAAGACAGGCGTCGCCCTGACTGTCATCAATCCGTCTGTGAATCTTCCCAAGGCTTCCCCACAACGACACGTACAGCGATATCGTTGCATCCGGTTGATCGCCGTCTTCTTGCAGCGACAGTAGCAGCTGTTGCATCTCCGCAACCACTTCGGGGATTGATTCCCATTTCGCAGTAGCAACCCCTAACGATTGTACACCGATACCGGCCGCCACTGCCAGCTCATCCACTACCGTCGAGATCTTGATCCGTTTGTCAGGCTCCAGCGCGCACATTCTTTGGATAAGCCCCCACTGATCGTCCTCGCAGATCCGAGGTCGAGACGGCAACTCTCCGTGTGTTGCGTGGTATCTCACTGCAATTCTATCGCCAACGCACCATGGCAGGCAATAGCTCGAGTCTTTGCCGGCTGCCACTGCCTCCACAACTCGGAGGGCCTCCACAATACACATACCCAGCGAGTACACATCAGAGGCGAAGGTTGGCACTTTGCTGCCGTCAAGTAACTCTGGGGCCACCCAATGCACTGCACCTGAAACCAAAACCTCAGCGTTACTGCTCGCGGTTGAGCTCAGACCAAAGTCCGTCACCTTGGCCTTCAAGTCGCCCCCGACGACGATATTGTTCCCTTTCAGGTCGCCATGAACGACGTCTCGAGCGTGGAGATACTGCACACCTAACGCAGCCTCGTGCAGCTTCGGCCACAGTTCATCAGGGTGCTTCCGCAAGTAGCTGATCAAGGTTCCGTTCGTTGCATACTCACAGACGAAGAAGGGTCTGTCAACGTGGCACGCTCCAAAGAGCCGAACGACGTGGGGATGGCTGAAGCGGAACCAAATGTCGACTTCGCGGCGGAACATGGCTACAGCTTCTACGGTGTTGGCTGCTTTCGGCTCGGATTGGGTAGTTGAAGGATCATCGGACGCCAACAAACTCGAACAAAACGTAGTGGAAGGGTCTGCCTTGCCCCCCGAGCCAGCTAAGATAACTCGCTTCACCACGACATTCGAGTCCAGCCATTTGGCTCGATACACGCTCCCAAACCCACCTTCACCGAGACAAGACGCCTCGTCGATTACCAACTCGTACCAGGGGATGAACCATTCTGGTGCAAGCTTCGACGTTTCTTTCGTGTCAACTTCGCTGGAAATGTCCTCGCATGCCTTCCTCATCACCTGATGTTGATCGACCGTGTAAGTGCCAAGAGGAGACTCTATGGTCGCCCTTAACCTTCTCAGGAACGCCAAGCGCTCTTCAACTGTCTTCAAAATCCGTAGCAGAAGACGCGTATTCGATATGCCTGACACGACGAAGTCATTTTGTTGTTGCTGCCACCGCGCTTCTGTCCCAGTTGCTGCCGCGTCAACCGAGTCTTTCAAGCCGAGTGATACCATCAGTGACTCAACGCTCCTTTGGATCGCGTAGAAGCTGTTGCTAGTGGCCCGCGTTGACGACAACCGTAGAACTAGAGCTTGCTCAGGCTCCATGGTGACCACTTGAATGAACTCGACCAGGAGCGCGTGAAAACACGCAAATACTCCATGCTGGTGGATGGACACTCGCAGACATTTCTGGATTGTCGTAAGTTGACTGAATGCTCCGTAGTATTGAGAGTTGTCGTTTTTCTTCATGCTCGCTTGCAATCTCAGCCATGCGTCTTGCATTTGGCCATTCTTGAATGCACCAAACGAGTCTGCGGGATCAAATTCCGGTTGGGAGGGCTCTGAACTCTCCTCGATGGCTAAACGCTCCAGTTCGCAGACGACAGACGACAACTTGACACGTTTCCGAGGCGATTTACAACACATTCGCCAGACTAAAGCACGCGCGGTACGATGAGGATACTTTGGAGTATACCAAGCATCCACACCCTTTTCTGGAGCCCACTCCCCTTTAAAGTGCCTAACGGCCCAATGATCCGTATCGCCCCATGGTTGCTTCCAGGTTGCAGCCTCCAGTATGCACATTCCTAATGAATAAACGTCCGACTCAAATGACGGCGCCATTCCCTCCAGAACCTCGGGGGCCTGCCAGCGCATGGATCCAACAACATCGGAAGTATTTGTGCTCGATCTTTTCTTCTGGCCACTCAGCGCAAAATTCGACAGCTTTGCTATGCCATCGCCGCCGATCAGAATGTTGCAGCAACGGAGATTTCCGTGAACAATCCCGCGCTCGTGCAAATACTCGAGCCCCAACGCCGCCTCAAGCAGGTATTTCCACATAATTGCCGGCTTCTCCACCGACGAAGCAGTCACATGCTCGAGAAGTGACCCATTGCTGGCGTACTCGCATACGAAGAACTGCAGCCCGGGACCCGCCTCACACGCACCATACATCTTGATGACATTAGGATGTCGTAGACGCTGCCAGAGGCCCACCTCATCGTTGAAAGACGAGTGTGATGCATCCGGAATGAACAGCTTCACGACTGCGTCGGCATCGAGCCACTTGGCCTGGAAGTCGCCCCCGATGTGGTGGCTCTGGGTGAAGCGGGTGAGCTCGATTTCGGACGGAGGAATTGAGCTGCTAGGCGAATGGACGGAAGGCGAAACAACAGTCTCAGCCATTTTGCTCGCGTCGCCAACGCATAACCTTAGCAATCGCATTTGAGGCCACTGATGCAACACTTTGGCCGCAAGGAGCTTTGCCCGGAGGCTGGCCACCCAACGATAGAGTCGCTTCCGAACACTGCTGTCATGACCTCGGTGGGGTTGAGTCGGCGACAGTGAGATACAAGGCGTCAGTAGCCGCTGAATGTCGTGATGCCCGTGGTCGGCAGCAAGTCTCACAGCCGTCTTTCCGTCCATGTTCTCGGCATTCACATCTGCGCCGCATTGCTGAACGAGGTACTGCACGACGTCAACGCGACCGGTTTCAGCGGCCTTCATCAGCGCTGAGTTTCCTTCGTGGTCCTTACAATTCACGGCAACGCCACACTGTTCGACGAGGAACCGCACCATTTCAAGCTGGCCGTGGGTGGCAGCCACAATCAGCGCGGCGCCTCTGACGTCGTCCGGTGCGTTCTCGTTTGCACTACGAAAGCCTTTGAGACCCGGTACAGCATGAGCCAGGCTCTGGTAGAACCCGTGTGGGTTGTTCGCATCCACTGTCGCGTAAGGTTGGCCGACGACCGCTTCCGTGAACTCACCGCTCTGCATTCGTTTCCTCCGTCTGCTTCGTGGTGGGTGTCGGAATCGAGACTGACCATCGTGGAAGTGCTCTTCTACCGGCTTTGCTCTCTGCCGATGGGGTGCATGTAGATAGATCCACCAGCCTAATGTAGCTGCTGAGGCGGTAGTAGCCAGCACTTCTTCCGACTATCGGCCCAGGACGCGGCCGAGTCGATGCTTCCTAGCCACTTGCTCTCACCCCATCAGCGCTACGAGAGCAACAATCTCCCAGACAGGCGCACAAAGTCTCTGCCCGACACCGACTGGCTCCTCTTGGCACCTCTAGCAGCTTGGAAAGCTGTTGGGTCTGGTTGGAAACAAATGAAGTATAAGGTTATCCGTTCATAAGAGAAATTATTGAGAAAAGAGTTTAGTAAGTTCAAACGACTTCACTGCACAACTTGAGTTTAACCCAACGTTTCTACAAACTTGTTTAACATGTATACCTCAAACATTAGCATGGTGCCCACCAACAAGAAAGTATGCCTCGCACAATTTATCCAAACGCCGCTGCAACGCGTAGCACCGCATTGTTGTCTGAGCCAACGAGACAATGTCTCCTTTCCTGTTTTGCAGCTGCGTCGTGGACTCTCGAGAGGCGGCCACGAGTGAGCAAAATGCTGAACGATAGGCGTCGCCCTGACCGTCATTAATTCGCCTGTGAATCTGCCCAAGGCTTCCCCACAACGACATGTACAGCGAAATCGTCGCATCAGGCTGATGGCCGTCTTCTTCCAGCGAAGCCAACAGTCCTTGCGCCTGCGCTGTAACTTCAGGAATCGACTCCCAAGTCACCGCGCCCGAAATCGAAATGCCCGCGAGTTCCACCGCTTGGCTGGTAGTAGTACTCATATAGGCCAGCCTCGCCAACTCGTCAACCACCGTCGAGATCTTGATCCGCTCGTCAGCCTCCAGCACACACATTCGGACAACCAACTCCCATTGACTGTCCTCGCAGATCGCAGGTCGAGATGGCACAGTGCCATGAGTAGCGTGGTATTTCACCGCTGCTCGGTCCCCAACGCGCCACGGCAGACAATGGCTCGAATCCTTGCCTGCTTCCACAGCCTCCACAACTCGCAGCGCCTCGACAATACACATGCCCAGAGAATACACATCAGTGGCAAAGGTCGGGCGTTTGTTCGTATCGAGGAGCTCCGGGGCCACCCAATTCCACGCACCGGACACCAACGTCTTGTCCTCACCACTTGCTACCGAACTCAGGCCGAAGTCCGTCACTTTCGCCTTCATGTCGCTCCCGATGACAATGTTGTTCCCTTTCAGGTCCCCGTGCACGACGCCTCGAGCGTGCAGATACTGAACCCCCAGTGCTGACTCGTGCAATTTCGTCCATATTTCCCCGGGATGCTTTCGCAAGAAGCTGACCAAGGTCCCGTGTGTGGCGTATTCGCAGACGAAGAACGGTCTGCCTACATGGCACGCGCCGAAGAGCCGAACGACGTGCGGGTGGCTCAAACTAAACCAAATTTCGACCTCGCGACGGAATATTGCCACGGTCTCTGCTCTCTTGTTGGCGTCCACTTCGGCTTGACTGTCTGACGGGTCCTCTGATGTCAGCCAACTGGGATCGATCGTGGTCGAAGCTCCAAGTTTGAAATCCGATCCAGCCAGCTTCACTCGCTTGACCACAACGTCCGAGTCCAGCCACTTAGCTCGATACACGCTCCCAAAACCTCCTTCACCCAGACAATTCCACTCGTCGACAACCAGCTCGTACCACGGAATGAACCACTCGGGTGTAACCTTCGACGTGTCATCGGTCTCAAGCCCTCCAGCAATCTTCTCGTACGCATTCCTCACCACCTCAAGTTGGTCACTGGTGTATTTACCTTCAGGGTTTTCCATCTCAGTCTGCAGATTCCTCAGAAACGCCGACCGTTCTTCCGCAGTCTTCAACTCCTGCAGCAGAAGAAAGGTGTCCGACACCCCCGAGACGAAGTACTCGACGTCTTCTTGTTGTTGCCGCTGCCATCGCGCTTCTCTTCCTGACGAATCCTCGAACTCTCTTAAGCCTAACGATGCCATGAGCGACTCAATGCGCCACTGAACCGAGTAAAAGCTGGTGGCGGTGGCGCGTGTGCTCGACAACCGCATCATGCGAGCTTGTTTGGGAGGCATCTTGATGGTCTCGTAAAACTCCGACAGCAGCGATTGGAATCGCGCGACTAGAGTCGAGTTGCGGGTTGATTCTTGAAGACAATCGTGAATTCTCTCGAGATCGTCGAATACTCGGCCATACTGGTCATCGTTGACCTTTGCTTTGCGCTCCACTAGCTTCAGCCACAAGCCTGCCACTTTGCCGGACTCGTACTCATGCACCATGTCTGCGGGGTCGTGCTCCGGCTGGGAGTGCTCGGAGCTCTCTGTGATGGCTAAACGCTCTAGTTCACGCACAACGGCAGACAGACTGGCGCGTTTGCGAGGGTCTTGACAGCACATGCGCCACACGAGCTCGCGTGCATCACCGGCAGGACAGTCTGGAGCGTACCATGAATGATCTGTATCCATCTCTGGTTTCCAGTTTGTTTTGTATGCTTTCACCCTCCGCTCATCGAGATCCCCCCATGGAATCTTACCGGTTTCAGCTTCCAAAACACACATTCCCAGCGAATGCACATCCGATTCAGGCGATAGAGGCTCGCCTAGGGCAACCTCAGGGGCCTGCCAGCGCATGGACCCAAGCACACCTGATGAAACTTGGCTGGAACTTTTCATCGGGCTACTTAGATCGAAATTCGACAGCTTGGCCAGGTCATCGCTACCGATCAAAATGTTACCGCAACGCAGATCTCCGTGGACAACACCCGTTCGTGGAGATACTCGAGTCCCAACGCCGCCTCGTGCAAATATTTCCACTTAGTCGGCTTTTCCAGTTTGAGATGTGAGCTGGTGCTCGCGTTCTCGCACACAAAGAACTGGAGAGATGGACCAGCAGCGCACGCGCCATATATCTTAATCACGTTGGGGTGTCGGAGTCGCTGCCATAAACAAACTTCATCTTCAAAAGGCGAATAGGACGAGTCTGGGACGAAAATCTTGGCAAACACATCAGCATCGAGCCACTTAGCGCGTAAATTGCCTCGTACCTTCGGACTAGAGACAGAAATGAGCTCGACTTCAAGCGGGGGGATTGAAAACCTTGGCGGCAGAGTCGCAGTTCCTGTTGCACCACTTGCGCATATTTGCGTCGCTGGGGCGATATACGGAGTAAGGATCCGTTTAATGTCGTGGTACCCACGCTCAGCAGCCAGTCTTACAGCACTCTTTCCAGCTTTGCCCGTTGGGTTCACATCTGCGTGACATTGTTCAACCAGACACCGAACCACCTCCATTTTGCCCTGTTTGGCGGCTCTCATCAATGCTGTCTCGCCCTCGTTGTTCATGGCGTTGACATCTGCGCCACACTGCTCAGCGATGTACCGAACAACGTCAAGCTGACTGTTAAGGCAGCCCACATCAACGCTGTGCACCCGCCTCCATCCCGAGTGTCGATGTCGGTACTACTTTGTTCAATAAGGTACCGAACTACATCAATTTTGCCGAATCGCGCAGCTAGCATCAGCACTTTGCGGCTCGAGGCGTCCACGTCTGCGCCGCATCCTTCAGCGAGATAACGGACCACTTCGACGTGACCGCGACGAGCAGCCATGACCAATGCTGTGTATCCGTACGAGTCTTCCGCGTTCACTTCTGCGCTGCATTTCCCCGCGAGATACCTGACAACCTCCAAGTGACCGTGCTTAGCCGCCAGCATCCGCGCTGTACTGCCAAATTCGTCCTGTGAATTCACATCTGCCCGCATTGTCCGACAAGATACCGCACCACCGCTAGATGGTTCACCCCGGCGGCCGCTTTCAGCGCTTCCTCCTTGTCCAAGTCCACGCTTTGCTGCACCAACTCCTGGACTCGTGCGAGATCGCCAAAGTACGCAGCTCGAATGAACTCTTTTCCTTTCATCGCTGTTTTGTAGCTCTGTGGCGGATAGAATTGGCCCGAGTGGTGATCTCGCACTGATTCAGACTCGATTGCTATAGACACGCGAGAGGCGCCCATTCCGGTCGCAACTTGTACAGTGGAACACTATGGGTACCAGCACCCCTAACGCTGACATGTTAGTTGCTATACACGTTAACTAACTGTTAGTTAGTGTCTAGTATTTTGAGCTAACATGTTAGTAGCGTTAGAGCAAAAGTATGGAGAAGAGTATATGTTTGCACGGAAGGCAGCCGAGAAGGGCGATGTATCAAACTGAGCACAAATACACCCTCAAAACTAAGAATTTACCATCCAATCTATAATACTTTGAAGTATCTGCTAACATAGGGAAACATTTGCTGGGTGGAGCTCACATGGGAGGCTGGCACACCACTTATCAGCGCAGACGATGACCGATTTTAAGAGTGAAGACGACTTAGGTGCCTCCTACCTATGTCAAAGTCCGCGGTGTAATACAGACACCCAGACCAGCTAGTAAATACGCTTTCGTACAGATTACTAAGTAATCTCCACATGTACCCATTTCCTCCACTATACAGTGTAGCTAACATGTGTAGTTTTCAACTAACTGTTAGTTAGTGTCCAGTAGAATCAGCTAACATGTTAGTGGAGTACACTATTTGTCACTTAGATACTGCTTGTTATGACATACAGGCTAATATTAGCCAATCAATGGCATTTTCACCTGAGCACTTATGGCATACAGGCACTCCTCGCCTACCAATTACGCTCAGTTGCGGACTGACTCGGGTGGCCTCGCTTGCCTGACGCAAAGGAGAGGAAGGCATTAAGGCACTCGGTGACGTCGTCCCCGGCTGCCGAGAAGCTCATGTCGGAGACTTCCTCTTATTCTTATGCTCGCAGTTGTTAGGATAAGACCTTAAGGATGCATCTAAAATACATGTTGGGTCAATGCAGCTTCGGTACTTGTGAGAGGTATGCGGCTCCACTTTCCGTTCCGCCACTTCCCTCTCAAGCACCACAAGCCAAGACCCAGGAGGCACTTTGGCCCTTCCCTCTCGTGTTCCTCTACTACCTACAATATGAACATGACCATCAACCGACAGGTTATGGGCCCAAACAGGGCCATGCCTCGCACCCGTGGGTCATCGGCACGTACAAGTGGTGGTGACAGCTCTGGCCACGAATCTGACTCGGCGGATACCAACTCAGACACCGCTGGCACTCGTAACACGAACCGACCCCCAGATGAGGTCGCTGTCGAGTGACGACAGCTCGAGCAACAGCTCGCGGGACTCGGACAGCACGAGCTCGAGCTCGTCGGACGACTCGTCCAGCTCGGACAGTGGGCGCGAGAAGAAGCGTAAGCGCTCCAGCAAGAAGAAGAAGAAGAAGAGCAGCAAGTACAACCATGACCGCCGGTCGGCCCAACACGACTCTAATCTCGAAGTCCCCAAGCTCACAGGAGCCGACCACTATGAGCTATGGCACACGATGATAGAGCTGAAGCTCAAGGTGCAAAAGCTCTGGTCGTTAGTGACTGAAGAAACGGTGAAGAAAGACTCATGGAGCTTTCATCGCAAGCGGCGCTGGGAATCGCGCTGGTAGAAGGCGCAAGAGACGATTACAGGCTCGCTCGGACCGCGCCTTGCTGGGCGCTACAGGCGGCTACTTGTCAATTGCGATCTTGTACTTCTATTTCAAGAAATTGAGAAGGAGTACAATGCTGGCAGTGCAGCCAAGAACGATATTTTGATCACGGGTGCGATGTTTGCACGCAAGCTGACCCGTGGGGAGCGCGTCGACACCTACATCGACGCTGTGATGAAGTTGCAAGAAGACCTAGTCACGCTTGGCTTCCCACTCGAGGATGCAGAGCTGGCCCGCCTACTACTCACCAACGCTCTCGAAGTTTTTCCAGATCTCAGCAACGAGCTAGTTGCGGCTCGGCTGAAACGAACTGTGCTAGAAGTGGGTCAGGTACGCGGGCGACTCCTCGCAAGAGAACAAGAAGAAAATATGCGCGGGCCTCAAGGGTCGCACAATCCCACGACCTTTCAGGCTGGAAACCCCTCAGCACCAGCCCAGGACGGCAGTCGAGTTCTCCAACTGCTCAACGACCACTCCCCAACTCGCCCACAAGATAATCGGGGCGGTAAGGTGTCAGGAAGGCGGTTCCCTGCCCAACAAAGTCATCGGCGGTCTGTGCGGAGTGGCATGGATCGACGTCCGTGTGCTATCTGCAATCAACTGGGTCACTGGTATCGAGAGTGCCATCGAAATAACGGCCAATCGCACCACCGTGGACGCCGACCACCGCAACAACGGACCTGGCGGGCGACTTCGTTCTGGTGGAAGAGCAAGGCGTCAAGACCAAGAAGCGACTGGGCCCCTGGAGCTGATGGTGTCGATGGAGGCACCGTCGGATTGCTCGGTACGAGAAGGCACGGAGTGGTGCCTGGACAGTGGTGCTCAAGTCAATATCTGCTCCGACTTTTCCTGTTTTACCGAGGTGTCTACCGTTCGCGACGGCCGTGTAATGCGCTGTGCTAATGGGAGCTCGGTGAATGTGAATCAAATAGGATCGGTAGAGCTGTTCGTGGTTAATGAGCGCACGGAACGACGCGAGCAGCGAATTCTACCAGACGTATACTACGTCCCCGGCGCAGTTGCCAACCTCATTTCGCTCGATTACATGCAGTCGCGGCTCGACTACTTCCTGTCCATGGCGCACGACCAGTCGGCTTGCTTCATGACGAAACCTACTGTGTCCCTCAAGTTCGAGAAGGTTGATGGTATTTACCGGATCTGGTCGGTGCGGCCTCGGCGGCAGCGGTGTGAAGTCGTTTGCAATGCAATCCTGAGGCCCAACAACAAGCGAGCGAAGCAACCAATGGCGGTGTGGCACAAGCGGTTCGCTCATGCTAGTACAGAAACAATTCTGGATATGGTTAAGTAGCAGGCTGTTCGCGGACTGAAGCCGGAGACGAAGGTGAAAGATCACGCTTGTCTGCCATGCATTAAGGGTAAGACAGTGCGCATGTCTTACAAGGAGCGGCGGCACCGAGCGAAGAAGCCGCTTCAGCGATTTCAAGTAGATGTGTGCACGGTCAACGAGCCAACAGTCGAAGGATTCACTGCCTTCCTGCTCGTGGTCGACTAGTACTCGCACTACTAGTGGCTGTTCCTCCTGAAGCACAAGAGCGAGGCAAAACCTCACATCATTGCACTTGTCAACCGTCTGCACATTAAGTATCGTGCTACCCACTGGCGAGGCGAGGAGATTCACTCGGACCAAGGCGGCGAGTTCGACAACACTGACCTTCGCGAGTTCGGCAGTATGCATGGCATTGCAATCACTACCACCAATGGATACACGCCTCACGAAAATGGGATCGTTGAACGTGCAAATGGCATTGTTCTCCCGAAGCTACGGTCTCTTCTGCACATGACCAGCTTGCCTGCCCCACAGTCTGTGGGGAGAAGCTGCCCTGCACGTGGTTTACACTCTAAATGTGACAGCGACACGAGTCCTTCAAGGTCGCACGCCGCATGAGCTGCTGTCAGGTGAGCGCCCAGATGTTTCGTGGCTTCGGACGTGGGGCTCACTCTGCTACTATCATATTGCGAGCGCCTCAAGGAAGAAGAAGGAGAAGCTGTCCTCAAGAATGGGTACTGCTATTCTCATGGGATACTCGCCCAGCACCAACGGCTACAAGGTTCTCGACTTGGAGTCAGGGGGAGTTTCAACTCACCGGGGGGGAATCTAGTCTGGGCTGAAGACTACACTGTTGACCTAGAATATATCGAGAAGCTGCTGGCGAACGCGTTCAGTCACGGCGATCATCAATTACCAGCCCGTGCTCCTCTTGTTCCTATGCAAATGCAGATTGAAGATGTTGTGCGGCTCGATTCGATGAAGGAAAGCGTGTTAGTGCGACCAGGCCCTCCTGAACCCTGTGGCTCCACTGTGGCAGTGACGCAGCCGGTCACTGAGCAATGACCAAGGAACGAGCCCATAACTGTGACGCAGCACGGCAATGAGCCTACCGCAGCTTCTGGTGCAGCCCCCGGCGAACATGATACCGTTGCACGCCATCAAGTATCTCGGTTTGGCCGCAAACGGAAGCGCAACACAAAGTTCAACGGCTTCGAGCTCAATTTGTAGCTCCGAGCAAAACCAGGCGAAAGCTGCAAGTGCCGAGGTATTCTTTGGATCCTCATGAAACTTCTCGGCTGCATACACGCGATGTTCCTATTCCTCGGACGTACGGAATGGCGATGCGCTCACTGTATGCAGCATACTGGAGAGCTGCAATGGACGAAGAACTGGAGTCGCTGCGGCGTCATGGAGTATGGATCGTAGTGGATATAAACTCTGCTGGAACAGCTGTAGTCATCACCAATCGCTGGGTGTTTGCGGTGAAAAAGGATGAGCAAGGCTTTGTCAAGCGTTTCAAGGCTAGGCTCGTTATACACGGGTTTAAGTAGCGCTATGGGGTCAATTTCAATGAGACATTTGCTCCTGTAATTCGGTTCGACACGATTCGCGCTGCGGTGTACTACGCTGTGCAACGAGGCTGGATGATTTTGCAGTATGACGTCATGCATGGATATTTGATGTCTGTAGCGACCAGACGCGGGCACTTGCCAGACAAGCTGTATTACAGAGCATGCCGGCTAAGACATCTCGTGCAACACCGGCACGTGGCTCAGCAAAATCTTTGCTGGCGAGTCCTACGTGCTGTGCTTTACTGTTTATGGGGAGACCTGCGCATTTTGTTCGAGTACGCGACTATCACCGAGCCGAAGAACGCTCCAAGATACTGCACCGCAGTGAAGGACATTTATATGGCGCTGTCTTTCGTGGGTCAGTTGTACGGTCCCAGCTCGCGTCACAACTTTTATTTTTGTATTATAGTCTTGGAGTTTGCTAGCAAAATAACAAAACCACGACGCACATTGTCAGTCACCTGAAAAACCATGCTCCCGCACGATCATAACGCTCCACCAACTGAGACGTAGAGGTCTTGCTTCGTTCCAGTGTAAGAGTAGCTCGCCGTCGGCATCTCCCTCGCTGCCGTGGCTAGCAGACCACTTTTCGCAGCTTTAAAAATCTGCCGAGCTTGACACAATGGGCAGTCACGCAGCGCATAGCGAACGACTGCTACATGCGGTAGAAACACACCACATATCCACACTCCTAAATGCACCCTCGCGTTCGTGCTACGCAGATCAGCCACGAGACGCTCTGCGCGGCCGGTGAGGGCTGCAGGTGCACGTTGTATGCGGTCTCAAAGCCGTCCCATGCACCGTCGTCCGCCTGGAACTGGCCCGAGGCGTTGGGCTCCGCGGTTTTCTCCTCTCTATCGTCCGCGTGGCGACGAGCGTCTTCGTCGCCTCCACCTGCCTCCTTGTCGACGTCGGAGCCAAAACCGCCGCTGTGATTAGCGCCACCATCCCCCGCGTCCAGCGATGTGCCAGCGCTCATTTGACGCCTCATCCCCAGCTCCGCCGAAGGCCCAGCCGCGGGAGAACACCAGTGGCGTGCTTATGCTTACTTTCTCGGCGCTGATTGGCTGAAAACACCCCTTCAAACGCACGAAATCAGCAGCATGATGAGTGTAGCCATTTGTTGAACACGCAGAATCATTTCGAAACACGACATTTTGGTGTTTGATACTGTACAGTCGAACCCCTCAGTTAGCGCGGTGGGGGTTTGGAAGCGATTTGAAAGGGAATCGGAAATAATGAAGAGTGGTTAAATCAGGATATGTCCTTTACTTCAATCTGATTTTACGGGGTATTTGAAGGTAGTGGTGCGCTTACTGAGGGGATTGACTGTAACAGTTTAAGCATTAGGGAAAGCAACACGCAGGCCAGCTTCTTGACCTCGACGACGAACTTCATGCAAGTGGGTTGCGCTCACGAAGCGTCTTCGTCATCAATCATGAGCATGTTCTCCGGGTCGTCGCAGTCGTCGCCGATCGGACAACTGACGTCGTCGTCGGGCATGTCGAACAGACACTTGCTGATATTCCTGGCGGTACTTTTGCACCGTCACGTTATCGATGCACACATCAAGGAAGTACTTGAACAGGAACATGCCTCCAATGAATATTTAGAACATCCACTCGCGGGTCGGTGTGTCCAGGTGGTTGGAGAAGTTGCCTATGAAGACTACCACGGTGGCATTGGTGCACACTACGATGGGTGAGTACATTACCCTCATACCGCGCACATTACGTGGGCGGGGGCGCCGCGACCCGAAAATCAAGCGATATGCGTCCAGACGAATCTCAAAGTAGTTGTTTACGTACGATAGCAGAGGCGTGAAGGGGAAGGCCACGACGAACATTGTAGTCATGAAGCCAAACTGAAGCGCCATCTCAATGTAGTCATCGAACAAAAGGAAGAGCACTTGAGCAGTAGTTGGCAAAATGCAAAGTGATTCGATTCAGGTCCTTAGTTCGCAACCGCGTGCTACCTCTAAGCCTGCTACTGGATACCTCTTACTGGATACACCCTACTGGATTCTCTACTGGATACACAGTTACCTTATCCAATCAGAGAACGCCACGTCGATGCCCATCTTGTACCCACAATCCTGTACCCACAATCATGGCGTAATCACCGTGACGTAATCATCGTCCCGTAATCACCTGAATGATTGCGGTACAACACAGTGAAGGTCACGCCAACCTCACTGATGACGCGTTCGCGTCACACGGTCGCTTGGCGAGGCGTCGTCACATCAGTCTTGACAACACTCCCACTCGACTCGTCAGCGACCACGATGCCCAGCTTCGTCCTGAGCGCGTCGAACTGCGGTGCCGCGATCGGCTTCGTCATGATGTCCGCCAGCATGTCGAGTGTCGAAACATACTGCAACACCACTTGACCGTCTTCCACCTTTTCGCGCACGAAGTGGTAGCGAATGTCGATGTGCTTGGTGCGCTTGTGGAACTCCGGGTTCTTGGCCAACGCGATGGAGCCTTGGTTGTCCTCGTAGATCTTCACCGCTTCGTCGCTCGCCATCTCGCACAGCTCGCACAGAAACACCTTGAGCCACACCGCCTCCTGCGTGGCCTCCGACAGCGCCATGTACTCGGCTTCCGTCGACGAGAGCGCCACCGTGCGCTGCTTCTTGCTTCGCCAGCTGATGCATCCGCCGTTCATCATGAACGCGTAGCCGCTCGTACTCCGTCGAGACTCGATGTCGCCAGCCCAGTCCGCGTCCGAGTAGCCTTGCAGTCCGTCCTCGCTGCTCGCTTGAAACACGAGGCCGTGCGTCTTCGTGCCTCGGATGTAGCGGAAGACCCTCTTGAGCGCCTGCCAGTGTGTCGGACATGGGTCCGCTGCGAACTGGCTCAGCACTCCCACTGCCGCTGCGAGGTCCGGACGAGTCCCCACCATGAGATACATGAGGCAGCCCACGGCGTTCTGGTACGGAACATTCGCCATGGTCTCGTCGTGCTTGCAGCCTCCCTCGCACATGGCCTTGGTCAGCTTCAGACCCGGATCCTGCGGTGTCTTTACAGGGTTGCTATCATCCATCTTGAACTTCTCGAGAATGTCCTTCGCGAACTTGGTCTGCCGCACCGACACCTTCCCAGTCGCCACATCTTGCTCGATCTCCATACCGAGGAAGTACTTGAGCTGGCCCATGTCAGTCATCTCGAACCGGTCACTCAGCGCCTGCTTCGTGTCCTTCAGCATCCCGTCGCTGCTGCTGGCGAGGACCAGATCGTCCACGTACAGTACCACGAACATCATGTCGTGATTGTCCCGCTTCAAGTAGATGCAGTGGTCGGACTCGCACTTCTTGAACCCCAGCTTCAACATGAACTCGTCGATCGTCTTGTTCCACATCCGCGGCGACTGCTTCAGGCCGTACAGCGAACCCTTGAGCCGGCACACGTAGTCGGGTCGATCTCCGTCCACATATCCGTCCGGCTGCGCCATGTAGATGTCCTCGTCCAACAAGCCGTTGAGGAACGCGGTCTTCACATCCATCTGGTGCACTGTGAGCTTGTACTTGGCCGCCAGACTCAGCAACACCCGAATCGACGTGAACTTGGCCACCGGCGCGAACGTCTCGTCGTAGTCGATGCCGTACTTCTGCGAGAACCCCTTCGCCACCAGTCGCGCCTTGAACCGCTCGATCTCTCCAGACTGGTTCTCCTTCACGCGGAACACCCATCTGCTGCCGATCGCCTTGCGTCCCTTCGGCAGTGGCACCAGGATCCACGTCTCGTTCTTGCGGAGCGACTCCACCTCCGAGTCGCACGCCTCTTTCCACTTGTCTGCGTCGCTGGATTCCATCGCCGACTTGAACGTTGTCGGCATCTCTCCCACTGAATCCACGACGTACGCAGCCTCGAAGTCTTCCTTCTCTTGTGCTGCGGCAGACATCTCGTCCAGCGGCTGCTGTCGTCTCGGCACCGCATACCGCTTGGCACCCGGAACCTCCACGGCTTCCTCGAGCGACTGCGTGCGCGGGTGTCGCTTGCTGCCGGGTTCAAAGTCTTGATTCCGCGCAGCTTCTTCTCTGTTCTCGTCTGATCCGGACTGAGTCTCTTCATCCGTGGTGTCTTCATCATCATCTGTCGGAAGACCCACCAACACCTCCTTCGAAGCGTAGTCGCGTCTCCCACCGTCGAAGACATCCTCCATGAACTGCGCGTCGCGGCTCACCAACACGCGACCGCTCTCGATCTCCTCGAACCGATACGCCTTCTCGTGCTCCGAGTACCCGAGGAAACGACAGCGCACCGACCGAGCGTCGAACTTCGACCGCTTCTCCTTCGGCACGTGCACGTACGCGTGGCACCCGAACACCTTGAGGTTGGCCAGCAAAGGCTTCTTGCCGGTCCAAACGTGGTGCGGCGACTTGTCGTGACTGATGGCGCGCGTCCGACACCGGTTGCGGAGGAACGTGGCCGTCATCACCGCTTCTCCCCAGTACTCCTTCGACAACCCGGCGTGCTCCAGCATGCAGCGCGCACACTCCACCAGCGTCCGATTCATTCGCTCGGCCACTCCGTTGAGCTGAGGCGTGTATGGCGGCGTGAACTTCTGCTCGATGCCGCGATCCGCACACAACTTGGTCATCGCACCCGAAGTGTACTCGCCGCCGTTGTCGCTCCGAAGCACCTTCACTCGCTTGCCGGTCTGCGTCTCAGCCAACGCGACGAACGCAGCGAACTTGGCAGCCACTTCCGACTTGTTCCGTAGCAGGTACACCACGCAGAAGTGCGACTTGTCGTCGATGAACGTGACGAAGTAGCGCTTGCCTCCGAACGGCGCCGTCTGCATCGGACCGCACACATCGCTGTGGACCACCTCCAGCACTTGCTTCGCACGGATCGGCGACGACTTCATGAAGCTTACTCGCGTTTGTTTGCCGAGTGCGCACCCGTCGCATACCTCCCACTGCTTCACCGACGTCATTGGGATGCCAGTGCCGTAGCCTTTCTTGACGATGGCGTCGAGACCACCATGGCCGATGTGACCAAGTCGAAGGTGCCAGAGGTACGACGTGATGTCCCCTTGGCGATTCTTCGAGCTTGCCGCATTGGCCTCGTCAGCAGGCGTCCTCGGCGTCATGCAGAGCTTGAACAGACCTTTGCCTTCGCGAGCGCCGAGCTTCCACTTGAGACCCTTCGTTTCCGCGAAGCACCCGTCGCTCTCGAAGGTCACTGGCCCGACGTCCTTGGTGAAGCGGCCGACGGAGAACAGGTTGCGCGACAGCTTCGGGATGTGCCACACACCCGTGAGCGCACCCTTCTTCATGCCGCGCGGTGTCTGCATCGACATCACGATGTCGCCGCTCCCCACCGCCTGAACCACGCCGTCGTCCGCCAGATGCACGTCCACCGGAGAGATCTTCTTGTAGTTCTTCATGTACTCCTTCGAGTACGTCATGTGCTGCGTCGCCCCTGAGTCGACCAGCCACATGCCGCTCAGCTTGGAGGCACCCGTGTCGCCACCAACCGAGAAGAGGAAGTCGCCAGAGTCATCTTCGACCTGCGCGACGTTCGCTCGTTGCGGCCTCTGCCGCTCCCCGTTCTCGCGGATCCGCACCGGACACTTGGCGATCCAATGTCCGTGCTCGCCGCAGTAGTGACAGGCGCTCGTCCTCTGCGCTTGCGCCTGCCGTCCCTTGCGCTTCCCGTTGTCGCTTGTCATGAACGCTTGACCTTGAGCGTGCGCGGTTCCGTCAGCACCGCCACCTTGTTCCTTGCGCTTCATGTCCTCGTGCAGGAGCCGAGACGTCACGAGCTCCCACGTCAGCGTGTCGGAACGCGATTCCAACGCCGTGATGAGGAACTGGTACCACTCGCTCAGACTGGCAAGAAGCGTGATCACCAAGTCGTCCTCGCTGACCGGAGCGCCGACCGCGTCGAGCTGTTCCGCCAGCGTCTTGAGCTTGTTAATGTGCTCCAGCACATCATCACCTTCGTCCATCGTTGTCGTGAAGAACCGTCGACGAAGAAAGAGCTTGTTCGCCAGGCTCTTCTTCTCGAAGTCTTGACCATGCATCATGCGCGTCCTTCGCCGACCGCACCAGCGGCAGCTGCGAGTCCTCCATCGCGAGACAGACGATCGCCAGCGCCTTGCGCGACTTCTTGCGAAACGTCGCTTGGTCCGACGCGGTCGTGCACTGCTCGAGCATCACTTCCCCACTCGTCACTTCCCACAGTTCGCGCTCCTCCAGCACCATCTGCATCTTGAACTTCCATGTGTGGAAGTTGGTTCCGTCGAACTTGTTGATGCGGGCGGTCGCGGAAGGCGTAGTCGGGGTCTTGGTCAGGGAAGACGGGGCTTGGGCTCATAACCAAAAGGAAGAGCACTTGAGCAGTAGTTGGCAAAATGCAAAGTGATTCGATTCAGGTCCTTAGTTCGCAACCGCGTGCTACCTCTAAGCCTGCTACTGGATACCTCTTACTGGATACACCCTACTGGATTCTCTACTGGATACACAGTTACCTTATCCAATCAGAGAACGCCACGTCGATGTCCATCTTGTACCCACAATCCTGTACCCACAATCATGGCGTAATCACCGTGACGTAATCATCGTCCCGTAATCACCTGAATGATTGCGGTACAACACAGTGAAGGTCACGCCAACCTCACTGATGACGCGTTCGCGTCACACGGTCGCTTGGCGAGGCGTCGTCACATCAGTCTTGACAACACGAACGTGCCATGCCGGTCATACTGGGCCATGAAGAGCTCGCGCTCACCGTCAGATTTTTTGTAGTCGTCCAAGTGACCGAGTAGGCGATACCTACTCATGTACATGAACAAGCGCGGGATGCTATCCTCGGTAATGTTGCCGACGAACAGCTGAGAACAGAACACGATGGCGAGCATATACTCGTGCATGCAGCTGATATCGCAGCCTTCAAAGCCTTGCTTGAGGAGCGCAACGTAGCAGAGAACGGCGTAGTTGTTGACAAACTGGACGATCACAGTCTTGACAATGAGACTGTTCTACTGCTCCATGTGGGTAGTGGCGTAACCAAGCAAATTGAGAGATGCTCAATTCATTCGTGTAGGATTGCAGCTGCTGGAATCTTTGGCTGGAGTAGCATTCTTGGATTCTACGTGAAGTGACGTCCAAAGCCCCAAGACGCGGTGACACCATTTCCAGAGCCGACTCTCATGCTTCCGGCTGCCATTCACCTACGGAGCGGCACCGTTTCGTACGTCAAGTAGTAGCAACATCAATTTAGCGAGTGACCGAGCTGTTTTGCTACAGCTCTGCAAAGTTGACTACGGGTCCTACGTGTAAGTTAGAGAGCGACTCCAGTCTCGACTTCACTTTTTCCGACTCAAGTAATTCTCGATCGAGCGCGCGGAAAGCACGCGCCCACCCTGGCCACATTAGCCCCTTGGATTCAGTCTAGCCCCACAACGTAGCAAACGCACTTCAAGTTTGTATATGTCCGACATGGGCCAATCCGGCGCTCGTTACGAGTCTATTGGGTGATGCACCCACCAGCTTCCTGATTGGCCCGCACTCACCACCACACTAACTCTACACCACTCTACCACAGTCAGCACAGCATCTGCATCACCTCATCATCACCACCTCCATCGTCAGCCATGACTGCGACTAAGATGCGGCCGAGACGGAGACGCTCAAGCGCACCATCTACGTGTCGTCGCGCAAGAACCAGCTGACCACGGCCCAGATCAACACGGTCATCGCCATGCTGGAGGACAAATTCCCGGCGCTGCGCTTCGTCGTGGAGCAGCAGGACACGGTGGGCGACCAGGTGCTGGACCGCCACCTGAGCGACCTGGGCACGAGCACGGCCTCGGGCCTCTTCGCCAAGATCCTGGAGGACGCGCCGCTGGCCAAGACCGTCAGCTTCGCCGTGCAATCACTCAAGGCCATGCCCACGACGCTGCCCGAGGGCCTCCCGGCCGCCATCACCAAGCGCGAGATCCCTGAAGACGCGGCCGTGATCCACCCCAAGCACAAGACCAAGGGCCTCACCACGCTCAAGCAGCTGCCGGAGGGTAGCGTCATTGGCACCGACTCGCTGCGGCGCGAGGCGCTGCTGCGCAAGCAGTTCCCGACCTTCGAGATCCAGACGCGGCAGGCCAAGCTGGACGATCATGACGACTACGACGCCATCATCGTGGCGGCCTGCTGCTTCCGACTTGGCGAGCTGGGCGACAGGATCGACGAGATTCTGCCCATGGACACGTTCGGCTACGGCGTCGGACAGGGAAGCATCGGCATCGAGTGCCGCGCGGACGACGGGGAGCGATGAGGAAGAACTCATGAGCTACAAAATGCAGCACACGCCCTCAGTGAATGCTGGAGCAGCAGTAACAGATCCAGGAGCAGGAGGACATTCAGACAGTCACTGAGAGAGGTCACTTCAGCTACGCGCAGGGCAATGCGGTCTTCGATTCAATTATCGTTTCAATATGCATGACTTAGTCCTATCACCGTATTCATCTTATAGCTTCAATCACTTCCGAAGCTACTGTCAATTGGGCTGCCGCCAGGGCTTTCACTAAGCACGTAACTGCTATCGTCGTCGTTATCAGAGTTGCTGCTGCATGAACTGCTACTGCTACTGGCTGGCAGACGAGCGGGGGCTGGGAGGTTGGACGCTCGACGCTCGACTCGATCGTCACGTTCCTTGTTCTCAATACCGATTTTGGCGCTCTTCCGTACGTAGCCAAACGGAATTTCCGAGTCTTTGAGGAACCCCCTCTTGGTGTACCGGAGGCGCCCAATCTTGCACGGGTGTTCGCCATCGGACAAATCCGCTGTGACTTGATGCATCACGCCTTGATCTTCAACTTGTGCATCACCGACGCCATCTTCGGGCCCGTCATCGCTACTCTGGGCATCGCTACTGGTAGCATTCGCGCCATCAAAAGTCTCAGCTACACCACCTTCACCGCGGCTGTCTCCGCCGCCACCTCGTGCACGGCTCTCCTGCCCTCATCCTTGGTTCAATTGACGCCGGTCCTGCAAAACGCTTCCTGGGGCGGTGGCTTCAACGCCGCCTTGTGCTTGGCCGTTTTGCCGTCGCCCTTGGCGCACTTGACGCTGGCCCTGCGAAACGCGTCCACGGGCACGTTCACCTCCGCCGCCATCTTCACCGCTGCTGCCATCGACGCTGCTTCGTGCCCGCCCGCCCTCTCCGCGGCTGTCTCCACCTCGTGCGCGGCGCGCTTGCTCTCGCTCTTGGCTCAATTGACGCCGGCCTTGCGAAACTCGGCCATGGGCGATGGCTTCACCGCCGGGCGCCCTTCTCGGCCGTCTGGCCCTCGCCCTTGGCGCGATTGATTGCGGCCCTGCGAAGCGCTTGCACGGATGTTGTCATCTCCGCTCCCTACTTCTCGACCGCGGCCGCCGCCTCGTACTCGGCCAACTTGCCTTTGCATTTGGTGCAAAGCGCCCCACCCCCATGAAGCTTGTACACGGGCGCTACTTTCACTGCGCCATCCGCCTCGACCGCTCTCACTGCGGGAGTTGACGCCGCCTCCACCAAAGTATTTACTTATGTCAGCAATTCGTATAGTGTGGTAGCCCCTAAAAGCTGAAAAGAATGCGCTAAGCTCTCGGTCTACGTCTCGGCCAGGAACGCACAGGCGCAGGACGTGTTTACGAAGGACGATCCTGGCATAGGGATCAACGCTGGTGTTAGCGTCCTTCAGCGCCGTGCACCTATTGCTGAAAGCGCCACGGGAAGGAAATCTTGCCATATCGCTTCTCGGTTGATTGTTTGCTTTTGGTGGTTCTGACAAGAATTTCGACCAGGCGCCTTCGTTTTGATCGCCGGGTCTCACATCGAGAACAATTTGAACGGTCCAGCAACTTCGTCAACGGCGCTGACATGGCCATGCGGTGCAGTAGAGCGAGCGTCAAAACCGATGTCGGCCTGCAGTCGAGTAACGAAGCGTCGATGCCGGCCCATTGCCATGCAGCACAGTGAGCCTCGTCGACGGTGCCGGCCTGGGGCCGAGCGATGGAGCGTCGATGCCGGCCCATTGCCGTGCAGTAGCGTGAGCCTTGGCGGCAGTGCCGGCCCGTTGGCGTGCAGCAAAGCGAGCAATGACATCACGATAATATGTGAATACAGATTTCTATTTGAAAGTAAGACGTTACAATTATATTTTATATAACGCGTGTATGGGTTTATGGTGTGGATATCTCATAAAAGATGGAGCATCTTTGCAAAATCGTTCGATTAACGGTTGCAATAATTAGATTTGATGTAAAAACTGTAACTACAAGAAAACGAGCGTACTACGGAGAGGAGAGGTCGCCGAAGCAGAATACGACGTGGCCAACCCGCGGCCAACCTGCTGGTGGTGGTGGACATGACCCCGTGCGCAAGACACGCGTGTACACGACGGATGACTATCAGACGTCCATTTACAAGGGTGGGGGTGTCGGCGTCGCATCCAACAACAAGCTGGGTGAGCTCAATGTCTGGGACCTGATGCCCGTCAAGCGCAGCGAGCCGCTGATCGCGGTGACGTTCGAGATCGACGTCAACGGCATGCTGAATGTGTCCGCTCACGATAAGAAGCCGGGCGCTAGGGCTGATACCACCATCTCCAGCAACCGCGGCTGCCGGAGCTGATAGGGCATGGGCCGCATGGCCGCCGAGGCCGACAAGTTCAAGAAGGGCGAGGCTGAGATGCTGCGCCTCATCGAGACCCGCAACGACGCGGGGAAATTCGGCTTCTGCGCCATCGAAATGGCCCGCGAGAAGGTTGGCGCTGGTGTTTCGGCTCACCACGTCAACCATTTTGGTTGCGCATGCAGCAAGCGCGGCACTGGCCCAACGCTGCAGTGGGCCAGTATCAGTCAACAACCAAAAACAAAACGTATCCAGCTTTGGCGGTATTTCCCTCCTTCGGCATTTATTACTCTGCCGGTTGGTGTGCCGGGAACCTCCCACTCACTACGATAGGTATGCGCTTCCCCTTTCCGTCGACGAGCCCTTATTGGTAGTGGCGGAGACCATATAATTAGCAGTGACAACAACAAAAAACAGTGGTTACCAACAACGACGAAGGTGACATGCCGGGAACTCTTTCATGTCCGAACAAGGTAACATTAGTATTCAGTTGAACTTGCTCGGCTGGGCAGCTCAGATAGTGCCTTTGACTGACTGGCCGCGACGTTAGGCTAGGCCGCGATCGTCGTAGACCTTATTGCGGGTGCACCTACCGCTTCTGTCGCCTAGATTGAACGGCTGAACTGGGTTTGATTCCTTGTGGATGTTGCGAGGTACCGGCAGCGCACGACGGATCAGTTCTAGTACAGTAGTGTGTACCGTTATCGTTACCAGCACATTCGTCTCGGAGAACACGCACGAAATGCCTTTGAACGTGTCGGACATGGCAGCGGCGTGGGTATGAGGTAATGTTAGGATCTGCGTGTAGTACTCGGAAAGTAAATCGGCAAGTTATCGTGTCGATTGAAGTCGATCTCCATAGTTGCTAACTCCCCAGCGACAGTAGTTGTGGTGGTGGTGAGGTGGTGGTGGGATCCATTGGAGTGATGCCACTACATGCGTGAAACGGGAGGGCTTCTCGTCACAGGTAAATGACCGAAGAGGTAGCTAAAATATACTACAGTTACGTCGCACTGACAGTGCGTATGAAGGCACAGTTTTAGAACCCTAGGCGTGATATTGGATATTGTCTTTCTTCGCCAAGGTGGTGTATGTATCTCATTCTGGCGTTTCGCGAACAATAACACATGAGCATTGGGATCCATGATCCGAGCATGAACACTACACAGCCTAATAAAATAATATATTCTAGCGTACAAGTAGTACGATATCGTGCTGTGTGAGAGGAGCAGGCTCCTGTTGAGCTATATTTTGCAAAGCTTTCTGCCACCTGTTCTGTTTCTGCGGTACGGTTCTTGGACCGGCTTGATGCAACGTAAGTCGTGTCAATACGCTTCGGTGGCACCAGCGTGGACGGAAGATGCACGCTAAGGACCTAAGCACGAACTCGACGTTGTCGAGCCGTCCTGTTAGGAAGCTGAGGTCACGGCCCTTTTTGACGATGGCACCGGAGGGAGTGCAACATTTGAAATGCGCGCCGCGTGAGCATTAGCGGATAGAACTTGACGAAGCGAACAGTACCTACTAGCCACACGTTTGCACTGAGAGTTTTTACCAGTAAATGGGTCAGACTTCAGCGTAATTACCAAATGGGTATTTCCTGATTTTTGCACCCAATCCGTAATAACTGTTTGCATCATATCCTTTGGGCTATGTCGCCCATCCTGCTTAACTACCAGTTATTGTATTGTGGCAAGCACGTCAATCTCAAGTATGTCGCCCTTCCTACATCCATTTATATTGAATATAGCACAAGACATGTCATCTCATGCTGGCTCTCTCCCTCCACCAGTCCTCCCTCAACCACCACGTCTCAAAATGGCCGACAAGCCGCCATCGCCGACCGACCAAGAAGCCAAAGCTGAAAGCAACGACGAGGACATATTCACTCCGCGACCGGACCCGGAAGTAACCCAACCCGTCGACCCTGTGCACCAGAAGGAGCCGGCGTTCTACGTTGGTGGTGTAAGCCCCCCGAGCCTCTGACGATGATTCGGTGGGTGTCGACGTACCGAATGCTGCTGGTGTCATCACCGGCGGCAGTTCGAGTCCTGCTGAGACTGAGGTGTGGTCTGCTGGTGTGATCACCGGTGGGGGAGAGCGCCTTGGTCTACGCTTGACGAGCACGCGATACCCATGGCTAGATGACTACAATCCGTTCATGCGGAAACACAGGCGGAACGGTCGCGGTAGGGAATTGTTCGACTGCTCGGAGCTACATCATGTCGTCATTGCGGACGGGTGGGACCCTCATGCCTGTCTGATCGATTTATTCTTCCAGAAGCGATTCTATGCCAAGTCCAAGGCTATGAAGCTCGACCCTCCCGCCCGTACAAGTCCTGATGCGCTCTCCGATGCGTGGGACGTATTCGTCCAGAGCTTGGTTGACGACGAAGCCTCGTGGATGCTGACATTTCACAGCCTCAAGAACACGTTCATGACGTACACTGTCGAAGGCGAAAAGTTGCGCGTTCACCAACAGACCATCGGTGAAGGCTTCCCGTGCTGCGTTTTGAGTGAGCAAAAGTGCCCGATGTGCTACGCGGACTCGTTAAAGGCAGCCGATCACATTCGGAGGGGCTCGGACGGCATGTCGGATCGCCTGGTCCGCTACATCAAGCAGCTGGATCGGCGTTGGGCTCGACATGCCCTCCGCCGGGAGGAAGATCGTCGGAGAGTTCGTGCCCTCCAAGAAGATATCATGGACGACATCACCCTTGCTCAAGCGGAACCCGGAAAGACCGACCAGCGCATCCGCGACATTGAGTCCGACATTTATCCCAACGGCTTGGATAGCCATCAAGTGCGTCTTGCGGTAAGGACACTTATCAAGGACGGCAAAGAAAGTAGAAGCAAGATCAAGACCTTATAGCATCAACTTGGTCTGATGCAAAATGCAATGTATCAAGGTGGTTCTTTTCAGCGCGCCCGCGAAAAGCTTAATCGAATCAATACAATGATTGACGAATAAATATATTTCGCTTTCTTTATCGTTGGTGTCCATCAAGGGAGTTGACCAGTGACACCTATACGAACGTCCCAGAGCACGGTAGGTTGGCGAAGCCCACTCTCTCTCTCGTAGGACGGCGGTGTCGACATCGACGCTTCTGAAACAACGCTGCCGTATCCATCGTTCATGCCTCTCGCCTGTTGCCGTGTACCGCATCATCTCCGCGACGACGATCGCTGTAACTTTGGGATTCCTGGTAGTAGGAGCGAAGCCACGCTCAAGCGCTGTATCGCCATGGTCCCGCTCGCTCGTGCCCGTACGGGGACGCTGGCACACCCGCTAATCGGTTTGCACTCTACTACTCGCAGCGCGCATCGGACGGCGGACAGCTCATCACCAAGGCCGCCAACATCGGTTCCCCCACTCGCGGCTACCTCGGCGCGCCCGGTCCTTCGAACCGAACCAGCTTGTGAGCTGGAGGCCCGTGACCAAAACCATTCATGACAAGGGCGTAAGCAACGCTGGTACACCGGCCGCGTCGGACACCGTTTAACCAACGCAGCGGACAGCTGCCCGTGCCATCGAGCGTGACCATGGGGAACATCGACAGCAGCCACGCCGTCATGTACGAAGCCCGCAACAAGTGCGTGACTCCGCGCGCACTCGACGTCGCAGAGATCCCTGACAACGTCGCCGACTACAAGCCGCCGGGAACGCCTTCGCCGCGGGCTTCGGTGGCGTCGAGATCCACGCCACCAACAGACACCTGTTCGAGGAGTTCCTGAGCGACAGCGTCAACACACGCACGGACAAGTACGGCGGCAGAATCGTGAATCGCGCGCGCGTCATCTTGTGCTCTCCAGCCTGCCGTCCAGCCAGGTCGGTGTCTGACTGTCTCCATTCGGTGAGACCTTCGACTGCAAGGACTCGACGCCGCGCGAGACCTACGGGTACGTCGTGAACAAGCTCTGCGGCTGATCATGCCTGCCTTCATGTGGTTGAGCGTCGTGGCTTGCACATGGACAACTCCGACGTCCTGGTGGATGGTGTGGAGTGTCACTTCCGCGATATCTGCAAGGGCGTCCTCATCACTTCGATCGCGCCGACGCCATAAAGACTATCGAGGACGGTGCAGGCGGCCTCGTGGCTTTTGGCTGCGACTTCATCTCCAACCTGGACCTCGTCCAGCGACTGCGCACGAACGCGGCGCTCACGCCCTACGACCCGAAGAGTCCGATCTGCAGCCGAACATGCCGATTGCGGTGGGGTGCATGTTCGTGGGCAAGGAGGGCAAGGGCGATCGAGCGGCGGGATTCGACTGGGAGGCATCAATATGGCTATATTCTCGTTCATTACACCATTCCTCTGTATCTCGAGCCGAACTGAAGTCGGAGTGGACGTCTAGCGACATTTACAGGCACCAACCTCCCCTACTAACCCAAGATGACTCCCCATTAACTACCCTACCCAATGAAGCTTCCCTGCCTCCCCTTAACACGCATTGGGTTACGGCCGCAGTACGTTCAACACGACTACGCGCCACCGGAGGACCAACCGCCCATGACCCTATATGTTCGACTGCGTCAGACTCAATGATCTTGGACAATTCGTGCAGCTGCGGATTAGCGACGCAGCACCGAAATGTTCAAGTCCACCCAATTGCTTACTGGCAGTGCAGAAGACCAGCGGGATTTCCTGCACTAGTTGCACTTCATTGGAGCGCCCATGGACTTCCCTTGTGAGGACGGGCGGGCGCAGCTGTACTCCATACATTGACGCCCGTGCTGATCAACATTCGCGTCGCCAATATGTACCGCTCGCCGCTGCTGTTGGCAGCGCAGAATGGCATCCGTTGCCTTTTTGTGTCAGAAATTGAGCTGATGTGTCGCTCGTGGACGCGGACGGAGATACAGCGGTATATTGGTCGGCTAATAAGGACGTGGTAGAGATCGTGGTGGTGTTCCAGTCCCTTCAAGTGAGCTCGGACGCACCGGACTAATTCGGTCAGACACTGTTGCACCTTGCAGCGATGTCAGGCGAGCTAAGCACGGTGCATATTCTGGTGAAGAGTCTGGGTGCGGATGTGAAGTCCCTGGATTGCAAGAATCGGACTATGGAGGACCTGGGGGAGTTGAAGCATTTCCATGATGCGGTGCGGCATCTAAAGTAACGGGAGCTGCGTGTTGCGGCCTGAAATGTGGCGGTGTTTACGTGGTGATGCGACACTGGAGCCAATGCTGTGATCGCTACGTTAGTCTACCTATTCGTCTGTTCTGATGTCGAACGGGTCGATCGGCTAGGGCGGCGTGCTCTACGGTAATATCGCGGTGGTGCCGATGAAGTCTGGACTGGACTACCGGGTCCAAGTGTATTACCCGCCTGCTGCCATTGCTCAAGTGGCGCAAGCAGATACTAGCGTCAGTGATTCGACTCGTCCGTTGCGTATGCCGACATCTACATTCGCTGGTATTGTTGATGGAGAAGTCATGCTGGTGGCGTTGGGCGCTGCTTTTTCGGCCACGTTCGGTATCTATCTCACCGCGACGTGTCGCCACATTTTCTACACGGGGGGTGGATGCCAGAGTTCGCTGTGTATTATGCGATGCCGCTGCCAGTTGAGTTCCAGAAGCAGAAGTCACGACGTGATACTTCCACTGAGAAGTATTCATGCAACCTTACAAGCAGACGTCGTTCGCCGGGCTGGTGGTGATGAGTTGCTTTACGGTCCGTGTCGGCTAGCATGGGCTTGTGGACGACGTGAGCGTGGCGGCAGCGGTGACGTCAGGTTTGCTATCGTTCTCGTTAGCTGAAGACCTTTCGTTTGAATTTGAGTCGGTGGAGAACGTGAGGTGATGTCGACCGTGGCTGCAACGGCGAGGTGACCACTGTCTGTGGAGGCGTTTTTGTCGACACGGGTATAGTCTTGAGGCGTATCCGTAACGAGTACGCGTTTCTTCAGTGTACACTATCCCCCAAAAGAAACTATGCTGTGGTTTTCTATTGTTCTCATTCATGAAGAAGACGTTCTAAACCAGTAAGGACGGCTTGAAGTACTTCACGAGCTTAGTGTCCGCCGAGGTCGTCTCGAAGTACCCTCTCGCGGCTGGTGCGGGTGTGGCTCCTTCTCGAATGCGGTACGGTACATGATGAGGGTCAGATCGTCTATTGATTTTTTTTAACTGCTAAGATGTTCTGTAAGGTTTGATCTTCTACCATGACTCGCTCATGTTTTCCTCTTCGCTGTCTCATTCTGCTGGTTCGATACTTCGGGCTTCACGGGGGGCGGGGTTAGTTGGGCGCGCACTTGCGACCGGATGGCTAGGCGGCTCGATGAGTAGCTCTCACACAGGAGCAGTCTGCTTCAGGGGACAGAGGATGCTAGTACCGGGAGGTCGAAATAATGCGGTACAGTACATGTACTGTACCTGTAAATGAATGATTGCTGTACAATAAAGGCAGCGACTATGTAACGGGGCCGGCAATGACTTTGCGCATTTTGTACCAGACGTAATGCAAGCAATGCCACCTCTGACATGTATGGCTCAAAATCTAGAGATTATTGTACTCAAGTCGGAGGTATGTCGGAGGTGTTGTGCGACAAAGGATGCAAAAACATTGCAAGACTCTCGTACTTAGAAGTTACTATACAAATCAGTAGTATATACTTGACAGAGGCTCCGACATGTTCGGGACTTTATCTTTTTCACAGATGTGCCCGGGGAATGAGGCGTTAAGCAAGCACCGCACGTGTGGAACAAAACTCTGCACCGTCATCTCGTGGCACTTGGCTTCGTTCGACTTGAAAGTGATCACGGTCTCTACGCTCTTCAGGAGCAGGGGGAGATCGTCATGCTACTGACGGTGTACGTAGATGACCTGCTTCTCATGGGCACAAGTCAGCGATGGGAAGCCGTCGCATCCCAACTGCCCACGAGCTTTGAGCTTGTCGCGCTCGGACCAGTGAAGTACTTTCTAGCAGTTGAAGTTGTGATCGACAAAGAGCTGAGCACCGTGTTCTTCAGCCAAGCAGCTTATATCGAGGAGCTGCTGCGGCGATTTCACATGAAGGACTGTCGTGGCGTAGCAACACCTGAGGGCGGCACAAGCGACATCGAACAAGAACGAGTTGACGCCACTCAGATGAACACGCTGCCCTATCGAGAAATAATTGGTGCCCTGCAGTATCTCGTTTCAGGCTCGAGACCTTAAATCGCGCACGTGGTTCGCAGACTGGGGCAGTACATGTCCAACCACGGTGCCAATCACTTTGCGCAGGCGAAACGTGTCCTGAGATACCTGAAAGCTACGATGGATTTTGGGCTTAAAATGAAGGTCACTGGTTCAGCAGAGGTGGAGCTGCTGCGGCTGGAAGCCTACAGCGACGCTAATTATGCAAATGACCAGCAGGACCGACAGTCAGTCAGTGGCTACGTCACTATGCTAAATGGCAGTGTAGTGTCGTATGGCTCGCGGAAACAGGGACTGAACGCGCAGAGCACGATGGAGGCCGAGTATGTGGCGATTGATGAAGGAGCGCGTGATGTGATGTGGCTGCGAGGGCTGTGCGACGAGCTGACGTGGAAGTACGCGGTGCCAACACTCTGGTGTGACAACACTGCTGCGATTTCACTGTCCAAGAGGCCTGGCAAGCACAATGGATCGAAGCACATTGAAATTCGCTATCACTATGTCCGCAACCTTGGAGAACGTGAGCTAATCGCAGTTCGTCATTGCCGCACTGATCAGATGACAGCCGATATATTTACCAAACCACTAGCTCGAGTCAAGTTCGCACCATTTCGCGAAATACTGGGAGTCTGTCGCCGAGACCAACCAGGGGGAGCAGTGGAAGCAGAAGACGACCGAGCTGCTTCGGTCTGCATGGTGGTGATGTTCACCGCCAAGTAAACACCGCGAAGGTCGCGATGATGCGATGGTCGCATGTGTTTCTGTGGTGATGTTCACCAGAGGATGATGATGCGCGAGGTTCGCCACATCACCAGTACGCGCGGAAGTTGAAGTTCATTACCTCCAATGATGCGAAGGTCGCAGTCATTGTTGCGTGCTCGATGCGAGCAAGGGGGAGTGTCGGAGACTTCCTCTTATTCTTATGCTCGCAGTAGTTAGGATAAGACCTTAAGGATGCATCTAAAATACATGTTGGGTCAATGCAGCTTTGGTACTTGTGAGAGGTATGCGGCCCCACTTTCCGTTCCACCACTTCCATCTCAAGCACCACAAGCCAAGACCCAGGAGGCACTTTGGCCCCTCCCTCTCGTGTTCCTCTACTACCTACAATATGAGCATGACCATCAACCGACAGCTCAAAGTACTTGACCAAGGATGACAATATCCTTCCTTGCCACCATCAACAATTCCTACCCTACACTACCCAACCAAAGTCGACAAACGCTCACACAGAGCTGGAAGCGCGGTCGCGCTAGCATCAAGCTGCTGTACGCAGAACCAAGCAGAGCAGACAAGCGAAAAGTCCAGACGGTGGGTGTAGGTACCGTATTGACACCGCTTGGTAAATACAGATCCTCGCTAAACTTGCTGCGGGGCTTGCCAGCTAAAGGCAATAGAGCTCAGGGTGTCAAAATGTACAACGCTGGTCAAATAGGCGTCTTAGCGTATAGTCTATTTGGCGTTGATAAGGCGGTAGGCCAGGATCTGCGACTGACGAATTCAACGAAGAGTTTTGTTGCTACATAAATAGTTGCTCCAAGTATAGATCGAGTTTCAGCTTGTTAGTGCGGGTAGGGTAAATACAGTGCGCGCCCGGTGGAAATTATCGCCATACAAATCCCCAGTCATATCGCTTTGTACAGGCTTTCCCTTTTTATAGGATTTTGTATTGGGATGGGGGTGGTCCTCATTTGTGTCGACTTGGCATGTGGGCTATCGCATAGAGTACAAAAACGCGAGAGTTAGCGCATACCTGATCTTTCCCAGCGTGTTTTGTAACTAGCCTCGAAACCGCACCTTAAAAAAATCAATATTGACCGAGTTATGAGAACTTTTCAAGGTGGTCCTATCATTTTGGCGCGCACTGTAGGTGTAGGTGGGTTGTATGTGATGACAAAGGGATGCCTGTACCCCTTGAATTGGTGTTGAAAACCAGTAGTCCGCTACATAATACTTCTCTGGCCCACATAAGAAACAACACTCCGGTTTTCAGGGCATAACTATTTACAAAAAAATTCGTTAGGTGACGCGCAATACCTCAACCGAAAGCTGCGCATTTGCTCCGTTTCACGCTGTGATTAACAGGCGCGGTCCCTAACGGTGTACAGTATTACCGAGAAACTGATAAATTCGTTTTGTCCTGCGCTTGTCAGATCAAAGCCATATTTCGGAACGGGATACATCAATAGCGGAGACCCCTCTGCTTCATCAGTATTTACGTTCTTCTGCAAGATGCCATACTTAGACGTAGTCAATTTTGACTGCAGGCTTTCAAAGGTCGCGCTGAAAAATACGTGTCAGATTATTTCGGTGATGGCCTCGCATCCAAATCTGTGGGGAAGACGCCTGCGCAGCGGGGTTCCAAGCAAAAGCCGTTTAGCAGGAATACCCCAGTGTCTACAACTATCGTCGATCTCTTAATCTGACAAACATAATACGCACACTATCATAAATAACTTGCGTATGAAAAGGCATTGCCGAAATTTATGTCGAAGATTCGCATGAATTGCAAACTTCGTGTGCTCTTTTCTCGTGAACTGGTGCACTAGTGCAGCTCTAAGCATCACCGTTAACCTAGTGGCAGTAAGACCTATCCAATGATACCTCTTGTGCCTGCACTGGTAGTCTCTTTCTGGTACCTAAATATGTGTCTTCTCGAAGAAATCCAGTTATAGGTACGTTATTAGGGTCCGCCCTTGTTAACCCCTTGAACGCGAGAGCGTGGACCGTACACGATAGGATGGAAAGCTTAACGTGGACCGGTCCACGTTAAGCTTTTCGGACTTGATGTTTGTATGACTCCTTACAAATACCAAATCAACAAGGGCTAGGTGGTATCCCCTGTCCCTCCCACTGTTGAACATAAAGTATTCGTGTACACATAGACTGTAAAATATTAGAAGTGAAAGGCGAATCCGTGCTTGTTCATCATCTATATATTTACGCGGGTCTCTTTTCCCCGCCACACACTGCCTCGCTCAGTTTCAGATTCGCCGGCTTCAGCACACAGACCCGGGTTCGGTGGCCAGCGAGGTGCCGAGGACGCTGCGACAACCCAGGGCTCTCCAACGGCTTCACTATATCAAACCTAAGAATAAGATGCGGTCGACGAGGTGCCGAGGACGCTGCGACAACCCAGGGCTCTCCAACGGCTTCACTATATCAAACCTAAGAATAAGATGCGGTCGACGAGGTGCTGATGTAATACCTTGATCATTTGAGCCGCTAAGCTAACATGTATGCTTATAATAAAACCTATGTAGGCACTACCAAGAAACGCGAAAGCTGCCGTGATTCGCAAGGGACCTCTGAAACAGCCGAACACTGACAGGTATGAAAGTATTAGAATCTATATACACGTTTATGCTGGGCCTAATTGTGTAGATGTTTGCTATCGTGTATCGCAAGGCACTGTCAATTCAAGACGCGCTCTTCTCGCTGCACATGCGCCTTCTCGGCTTGTGACTGCGGTTCGAACTACGCTAGTGACGAGGTGATGCTACGAAAAGCGGTAAGCAGCTGCATGTCTACGATTCACTGTGCATATTGATCCATACTAACGTGGGCTCCCGTGTATCGTGTAGAGGCCAAACTCAGCGAATGCAGGACAGTGCTGTGGGAGGGATTGTAGCTACGATCGCGTGGGCTTATAAATAACCCCGTATACATGCAACTGGGTATGTACACGTGATGACCGACGGTGTATCGTGTATCCGCTCCCAACGTCAATGTAGATATCACGGAGTAGTGACGTATCTTCAATACACAGAGACACATTTCTTGATTTTACTTATAGATATGGGTCCTGTTTTGTTGTCTAGAGATAGAGTAACCCATCAATGCTTCTCGCTCAGCATTATGCTGTGTTTGCTATAATCATGACAATTTCGATCGATGCCCCAAACTGGAAGTTGGCGTCATTAGCATCTCCGAAACCGAGTACAACATATTTCCCTAAGTTGTTTTATCATATACCAGACACCATACCAAATTCTCTATCATGTATGGTACAGGCTTGAAGATCTCCTGCTATTGTTCAGCATGCCATCGTTTTTGTACTGATGATACCAGCGATTAATAGCAATCATGGCTACGTTAGACTCATCCATTGTTGTGTTTAGAAGTATACTAGCTTTTGTAAGCAAAACTGAATGTCCCGTCTTGGCTATTAGCATCTGTCCGTGGTTTCCTTTGATTACCATTTTCAAACGGCTATGCTGGGTACCTGCCAAATCTCTATCACGCTTCAACCCTGTTTTTGCTACCACTTATACAGAATAAGCTCATATACTGTATCTAAAAAGCGCGGTAACATGGATATACATGTTAATGAGAGATCCTGTTCAAAGGGGCTAGTTTATGATACGGCTATGTAACATACAAGATATCAAATTATCTTATTTTTGGTATTGCCAACCTGATCCTTGACATACAAGTTATGTTGGCTGATAGGGGCGGGAAGAACTCAAGGGGTTAAAAAAATCTAGCAGCAGAAAGAAAAGAGAAACAGCCTCTTATCTGAAGTCCGTTTTAGGCACCATTAGATTTTTTAGCGAGGTGCCGTCAAATATTAGAAACTTAAATAGCACCGTTATCGCGAGTGATTGCTTTATCCATATGTGCGGTTGCCGATGTTGTAGCGCCTGTTGGAGACGAGCTAGAAGGGCTATAGTTTTGAGGGGTTTCTACGCAATTATCTCGACATGTACAGACCCATTTTATTTTGGCCAATCATAAGATGCAACGCGTTATTATAACGAATCATAATTGACATGTGGCCCACATCAAATTGAGGTTTAATACCGAACGTTGTTTCTTAAGTGGGCCAGAGAAGTACACGATTGCAACTTCATTAAAAAATATGAAGAAATGCATGTAGATACTGTTAAGGCATACAACTGGCTAATCAAACAGCAAATAAGTCAGTGATTGGCTAATTATTAATTTAAGGTAAGTACTATTCAATCAGATGAAAGGAGCTGCACATCCGAAAAACTATCTGCCGAGGGATGTAATGACTGGAGGAGAGGCAGGTATCGGGACAGCCCGATGCCCGTGCCTCTCTCAGTTCAAAACTGACGACCAAATAACAAGTGCAACATTTCAAATACGACCAAGACTCTCTTCCTCGCTCAAGATGACTCAAAGTCTGAAGCCCAACTCTTCGCTTGGCCTGGAGCGCTTCTCCGGCAATAAGCAAGAGCTCACTAAGTGGAAGGATAAAGTGTGCACGCACAGCGACGACCTCGACCAAGCGTACCTACGAAAGTTGCTGGATAAGGAGCAACCGTACGCCATGGTCCTCATGGCTACGTTCCTCGATGGTCGACCTGAGAAGCCACTCGTCCCCTCTGGCGAGGGTGCGATAGCGGAGGCAGTGCGTGATGGGCGCTAGGAGTTGGTGCACTGGAACCGGGCCCACACGGCCGTGTAGAACCTGTTCAACCAAGCGCTGCTGAATGGGTTCCTGCCCACCCTACCGGACACTCTCTCGAAGATGGGCCCATGTGAAGTATGGGGGCTTCTAGAGCAGGCTTATGGTCTGGGAGATGCGGCGGGGCTCATCAAGCTGATGAAGCAGTTGGGCCGTGTGTTGGCCTCCAACTGGAAGGATGTTGGGTCTCTGTTTGCTCGACTGAAGAAGCTAAGGAACAGCACCCTGCCCGTCCCGGTGGTCAACGTTTCCGGACGGACATCAAGACCGCGCCTGGCGCGAAAAAGCCGAAGAAGACCAAAGTGGTGGGCCTGCATGCCGTGAAGGTTGGTGAGGGTGACGACGAAACGTCATCGAACCACCTTCTCAGCTTGGCTGCTGGTGAGAAGCCGTCGCTGGAGATGAGCTTGGAGAAGGGCGACCACTTGCAGGTGGACGAGATACTGTTCAAAGATGGTGGAGATGTACCCATGGGAGATGGTGAAGATGTGCCATCGCCGAAACGTGTGCTTGACTTTAAATAGGTCGTAGCACCGGCAGAGCCGTACTCGTAGCTCCTCGGCCAGCGTACCTCGCGCGTGTGAAGGCATCTATAGAAGGCAATGGTACAATGTAAAAGAAAGTTAACATTAGTGAGCGGTGCATCCTATCAACTCAGAATTTTACCATAGCAGAGAAGCGCTAATCCTGCGTGGGCACCTGGCATTCTGCGGGTGTAAATGCTTGTGCGGTGGCCAATGGTGGCGCGGAAGCCCGGCACCCATGCCCATCTACCTTTCAAGGTAAGAAATCCGCAAACAGATCGCATTGGCCAAAACGCTGTCGGCGGTACCTTGAAGAGTCGCAGTGACCCTAATCACCTGTATGGCTTGAGCCGGCACTTTCCCCCGAGATTTTTCTTATCCCAGCAAAATCGGGTTAACGGTCGCCGGTGGGCTAAGGCACCCTCGGAACGCACTGAGGCGTAGCTGGTCGTCCAGGACCTCGGTGGCCCTTCCCAGAACCTCTTGGCTTTGTACACCGAGGCGTTCTCAGTGTAGAACAGGGGAATGAGCTTCACGGCGTTCTTGATGTGCGATGGCAAGTCCAACGTGTTCGCCATGGGGGCGAAGGGCACGGGAAGAAGCCGCCGTGGACATTGGAGTGGGTGTCACAGCGCCGTAATACGCCTGGGTTGTCTAACCCAGCGTACTTCCGACGTACTGGTGTGGAGGTTGGGGTGTCACGCCCACCCCCCACCCACCACTTCCAGGTAGGTCAGAGGCTCCCGCGCCTGCCGCACCAGGTAGATCTACCAGGGAGTAGCCACCGTACGAAGCGATGGCCGTGCGGATTCGTGACGTCGGGGTCGGAGTAGGCAGTGCCCCTCCAGCCTGAGGAGTCTGTACCCAGGTCGGCACGGCAGCGGTAGCAGGACCACTGACCCTTGCGTAACCCATCCCGCTCCGTACTCACGGGCACCATCGGAGGCGGAGGGATCCCTCCAACAGCAGCTTGAGAAGCGACGTACTGGTGACCCCACCGGGCCTGAGGTGCTGCTGGGGCCGCTTGAGGCGGCGGGACACCACCGACAGGGGCCTGCGGAGCTTCAGGCAGGGGTACCCACCCAACGCCGTACCCCGGGGCACTCGTCGGGGTGGCTAGAATGCTTGTCTGGGTCGGAGGAGGGGCAGTGCTCACGGGGGCGCTGCCGTAGCCCACCGTTGCACTCGGGGCCGTTCCAGCACTCGGAGCAGCCTGGGTAGGTCCGGCGACTTGAACCGTCGCACCAGTCCACCCCAGACTGATGTGCGGGTCAGAGTGACGGCGCGTGACCTCCACGGCGCGTTGGAGCGCCGTTCGGGCTGCAGCGATGCCTTCCGGCGTAGTCCGATCGGGCACCGGCAACGCGGGCCTCGTGGGGTTGGTCGTCATCGCACTGGGTGCGGCGGCTGCGGCGGGGTCTCTTTGGGCAGCCGCGGCGGGAGGAGGTACCTCGCCCCCTCCTGATCCAGCGGAGTGAATCCTTCTCTTGTCACGTCTTCTTGGACTCGGAAGTCTCCTTGCGTCATGGTCACTCGGCGTGGGCTTTCTCAGTGTAGAATGTGACGCCCCCACTTGTCTTGGGTCGTCAGCCTCCGGATCGACTCACTCGGCTCGGACGCTCTTCTCGGTCTCAGATTCAGCTAGCAGCGTACCCTGCTTCTCCACCAGTTGTCGTATCCCACCTTATTCGGGGTCGTTAAAGTACGCCGCGGCTGAAAGGAGTTAGGAGGAGTGCGAGGAGTCGGAGCAGTAGTTGTAGTCGAAAGAGTAGGGATGTAGAAAATAATGAAAGTGTTGCTTGTTCTTGAACAGGGTAGATTTACGAGTGTCAGCTAACTATGAAACTGACAGGGTAGCTTGGTCTTCGTGAGGGTGATACCCCTCGTGGACAGCACTGGGTATCTCTTGCTGTGTCCTCCATCCTCGGACGTGCAACTCCTCTTCTTCACTATACACACCATTGCCCACACAGCGCGACACCCGTCCTGGGTGGTCTTCTCGGCTTCCGTTGACCGCAGACACGGCCGCTCGTCCAGGTACCTCGCACGTGGACCTTCAACGCATTCTCCGTGCGCTGTTCGTCGCCACTTTTGGGTACGCTAAGCACGATACCCCGCAGCGACCGGTCCGTCACAACACGAGTCCGTCGCCCGGACCACTGGTACGCGCTCCAGATACCCGGGTACGGGACGAACCCAACGCGCTCTAGGAAGCTACTGTACCGACAGTGCTCAACGACGGTCATATGGAGTGCCAGAATCCTCAGAAGCGGCGAAACCCGCAGAAGACTAGCAAACTCGCACAGAAAATGTAGGATTGGACAGTAGCGTTCGGTGGTTTATGCTGCAGTTGAGATATTTAGACCCTTGCCTCGCCTCCGAAGTAAACAGTAGCGCGCCTCGAGTCCTCTGTCGAGGGCTCTTCGCGCACGAGATCTTTCAACCTACTAAAAACTAAACAAGTGCAAACAGAAAACGACTTTTTAGATTTTCTTGAAACTCACATGGATCTCACTTAAGTCATCGAGCAGGCAAAGAAGCGGATTGGAGTTGCTACTGCGAATACGCCGCATGCAAGTCACGCACGACGGCTCGAACTTTGCTGCAGAGCGCTTAAAATCCTCGTGCGGAATGCTAATCGCATTAGTTGCAGTGTAGTCGTGGCATAGCTGGTTCCGCTGCTGCGAGAAGTTGTAGATGTCTGCGCCGAGCTCGACACCTCGGGATCTTTGAATTCTCTTCATAATGTTCACCGTAAAAACGCGCTGCTTGAATCTTGAGGAAATGCCATCTGCAAGTATGTTAACAACAGAGAGTAAACGTAGAAGTTGTGAGTAATGATCTCAAGTGAAATAGATGTGTGTCTTACCGTGAGTAGGGACGGCAAAACGCTTTGCAAAAAGCTCGATGTCGTGCTCCGCAGCTGCACCTGAGAAGTAGGATACTAGGCGTAAATTCAGCTCGGCGATTTGATTCCGTGAATCAGCTGCCTCTCGGAGCGCTTCCTCCAGCGCAGCCTGCGCAGCTCTCTTGACATTCTGCTCGACAGTGAATCTCTGTTTCCACCCGTTACTTTCAGGAGCGTAGCCATTACTCTTCTTTTGTTCTTCAAGACACTGAACGCGCCGCTGTAGCGCTTTCTGGATGGCGGAATGTTCCTGCTTCCACGCGTCGTTCAGGTCTTGCTGTTGCTGCATGGCAGCGCCGCTCTTGCTGGCGCTTTTCGTCAATCTCGTCTTCCAGGCGGCGGCGATCTTCCTCTAGCTTTTGAACTTGACGTCGAAAATCATTCACCTTTTCGTCATGGCAGGCTGATTGAGCTGCAAGCTCGTCTTCTTTCCGTTTCAACTCCTACTCTTTGTCGCGTAGGTGCACTTCGCGAGCGTTGATAGCAGGTGCACGAAGTTCCAGTTCTTGGGTACTTCGGGGCGATCCAACGCTTTGCTTGAGGGTGCGGATCTCTTCCTCGAGCTAGGATACGTGCCCGCGACAATCCTCCGCAAGCTTCCGAGCACTGGCAAGCATATCCACGCAGCTCGCCGTATAAACTTCGATGTCAGCAATTTGCTGCTGATGAATACGTTGGTGTCTTGCAAACTTCTCCTGCCATTGTGCCACTGTGGTTGAACGTCCCACGGACGCAAATCGGCGCTCCTCCTCTAGCGCCGCGTGTAGTTCAGAAATGATAAAAGGCTGCATGGCCTCTAATATAGCATCATTTTCAAGAAAGGTTGTGAAGTGACAGCTCTTTGACATGCGTAGGTGGTCGAGTGGTCTTCCGTCATTGCGAGCCGATCTCTAACTGTTGGCGAAGAGTACATTCTGGTGATCGGATAGTCGATACTTCTCCATTTTGGTGCGTTTTCCGTATTGGCGCTTGCCATCTTTAGCACGCTTGAGCGTCGAATGGAGCGCCTCGCAAGCTTCTGCAAGCTTCGTCAAGGTGAAACCGTCGGGATGAGGGTCGCCCATTGCTTGCACCGCTGCCCCCGTTGGCTCACCATGAATCCGTATAGAAGATGGCGGCGCAGGCGCCGGTATGGCATCGCGCCCTGAGCCTCCGGACGTTTTGCGTCGCTTCGTCGTCGTCGCAGGGTCGGTGCTAGTTGCGCTTGCTAGCGCTACGTGTTTCGGCTTCGCCATGATGGCAGCTCGACAGCCGCAGCACGGATGAGCTGATGCGGCTGCTGAAAGAAATGAAATTGAAGAGAGTAAAAATATACCGATAGAGAATGGATACATCACTTTAGTGTCCCGTACCGAGGTTGGAAACCACAAAATCGATATCACATGGCTTCAACGAGTTATAGAGGATTTTGTATGAGAACAAGAAAATTGTGTAAATGGTATGTGAAGCAGAGAACCGGTTCTAAAATGATGAAGCCATTTTCCATCAATTTTCCATCAAGTCGTCGAAGCGCCCGGCCCTGAAGTCGTAGCTGCCTTCTGAGCCGCAGCCAGTGCCCGAAGCCGTCGCTGTCCTCCGGGGCACAGCCAGTTGCTGAAGGCTCAGCTGCCCTTCTAGCCGCAACCAGTCTCGACGTCTTTGTTGCACTCCAAGCCGCAGGTAGTGCCCAAAGGCGCTGCTGTACTCGCGCCAGAGAAGCAGCCTGTGCCCGAAGTCGTCGCTGCCCTTCCAGCAGCAGTCAGTCCCAAAAGTCGTTGTTGCGCTCCGTCCACCCAAACATCAGTTAGTCCCTGAAGCCGTCGTTATCGTTGGCGTCCGAGTTGCTGTTGCCCTCGGAACGTGAGCCAGTGACCAAAGTCGCGGCTGCCCTCCGCGCACACAAGCCACAGCCAGGTCCCGAAGTCGTCGCTGCCCTCCGAGTCGCGGCTACGGCCCTCAGTTCGCCTGAAGCTGCCACAAGTACCGGAAGTCGCTAGCGCCCTCCGCGAATCTGCGCACCAACCACTGGTGGAAGTCGTCGCTGCCCTCGGTGCTCCCGAGCATCAGTCCGTGCCTGGAGCAGCAGCCTGTGCCCGAAGCCGTCGCCCTCCTACTAGCTGCAGTCAGTGCCCCCCGAAGCCGTCACCGCGCTCCGAGCCGCAGTCAGTACCAGAAGCCGTCGATTTCCTCCGGCAACAGCCAGAGCTTGAAGTCTCACCTATCTTCCGTGCACCTGAAGGCGATACCAGCACCGTGGCGAAGCTCCCCAGTTCAGGTGGAAACGACGCCACAGAAGGTGGTGCGTAGAGCTCTATCTGATCCGACTCTCTCCTATCTGACGCTTTGTCTAACCTACTATTCTTCTTGTTTGCGTGTGTGCAGAAGATTTAGCTGCCGACAAAGGAAAAGTATGAAATCAACGGAGCTGAAGCAGATGCCCTACGAGCTCGCAATACAATGGCGGAACACGGAATTGGGTAATGTTGATGACTTTACGGGGGGAACGTGGGATCATGATAAGTGCATGGTGGAGTTACGTGGATTGCCTGGGTGTGGTAAGAGCACGTTCGGGGACATTCTCGCGAGGGAATTTCGGGAGGAATTTCATTTTTCGGCCAACACAGATATGAACGACCGAAAGGTGCGAGTGTGTTCGGGCGCGCTACATCAGATTCAAAAGGCCGTGGCGGTCCGCATGCTCGAAGCCTTTTCCAGCAAGACGTGGCAAATTCACTGCGGATGTCAGATGTAGTGATTGTTGACGATCTGAATGTGGCGTTGGATGCGTGCGACTGGTTGGCACAAGAAGCAGAAAGTTATTGGAGAAGTGCAAATCGCCATGGCAAGATTCACACCGTTACCTTTGCGTGCAGAAATCTTGATCATGCTGTAGCGTTGAACGGTCGAACGTGGCGTCCACTGTCTGCCGATACCATTTGTGATCTGTATCGATCGTTCGAGGCTCTTGAAGTCCAAGCAGCCGCACAACCAAACTGCGTAGTGATTGATTCTAATTTTTAGGAAATTAAAGGTGACCATAAATCAAATGAACGCGTTGAATGAAAAAGAGTTAGTTCATTTGGGTATCGCGTGTTTGTAGTAACGATTTTCTGTGGTATTTGGCAGTTGTAGTAAGGATGTACATGGGTGAAACGTGGCGATCTGCACATTGTTGGTTTTAGTTTAATGTGGTGACAGGATCGTACTGCGTAGTAGTTGTTAGGGTAGGATCGAGTTGATGTTAAACATCGTGGGGCATAATTTCGCTCTGTGGAGGACTCTCCTCTTCAAAGGAAAGTTGAAGTGGAACGAACCCAAAAGGTAAAGCATGCTCAAAACACACAAAGAAATACTTGAAGTAAAACAAAGTAAAAGAGGACATATCTATATGATAACCCCTCGAGATGAAATGTTTTTATATGTGTTTACATGTGAAGTGCAAAAACAATCAAGATAATCATTACAGCAGCAATGTGAGTTAATGGTGAGATACCCTATGGTGTTTTGATAGAGCGTACCATGGATTAAAATGTTGATGTTAGTAAAGTATGAGAAATAACGCGTGTCTTCATGTGAAGAGGCAAGCACGCGTACCGCCTCCTTCTCATTGGTCCTATGGGTGCTGGTTTCCCTTCCACGCTCTAAACTCAGCGATATCTGCCTCGGATGAAACCGCACGAGATCAATAAGACGCAACATTTCATCGACAGTCTCTTCACTTGGAACAAAGTTCAGTGCGTACGAGCGAGTGATCTTTTCCGTAAGTGTCAGGCCAGCTTAGCTTGTTGCTCTCGATAATGCCACATAAAATGACTGCGTGGGACATCCCCTGGAGCGGATGAGGGGCGTGACAATAACTCCATCATGACAAGTTTGGCCCTGCAAATTTTCGGTACTGCACGCAAAAGCCAGTACCACAGCGAATTGATCGACAGTGATGCTAGATTGCGACAAGTTCGGAATGTGTTTAAGTCAGAGACTTGCGTGGAGCGGCGGCAATTCAATCACTCCCTCCGGGAAGTCAGTGACGAATGTTTCGGTGGAACCGAGAAGTTTGATTAGAAGTAGATCTGGTTGCTGTTGTAGTCGGTGGATGAGGGATCCCTCAATGGTATATCTCGTGGATTCAAGCTGGGCGAGCGGGGGAAATGCACCTGCGATTGACCCGATAACCCCATTTGCAATTATGTCGGATTGAAGAAGTGCAGGATGTTTCCAAGTGACCATCACAGGCATTCCGACGTAAAATAGTAGTTTCATCGGGACTCGGTTGGTCATATCATCGTTAGCCTTGGCGAGTTTGTCAACAATAGTTTTTGACCTTGACGACGGTCGAGCCAGGCATTCATAAACGGCGACGTCGTGTTTTGCTGCGACTTTAAGAAGCATCAGGTGGTTTATAGGGCATCTAAGTTTGTTGGTAGATACAACAATAGGCCGGTGAAATATGTTGCTAAGTTGTGGCCTCGACATTTCGACTTCGTTCACTGACTGTACGCGAGGGTTTAACCCACCGGCGACCGCTCTTATCCCGATTTCGCAGGGATAAGATTAATATAGAAATTTGTATACTGGCGGGATAGGGTAAGCGAGGTCCCCAGCGGCCTGCGCCGACTCATTGGGTTCCACCGGCTGTCAATCTCATTGGTCTGAGTTATCCGATCAAATCTTGGATACGGCCGTAATATTAAGCTCTGGCGAGATTTCGATCGAAAAAACCTTGGCGTAATTCGCAGGATAATGCGAACATTCGCTAAGTGAGTGAATTGTTCTGAGCTGAATATTGCGGTTGATGGACGTGCTCGCCAATCGCTGTGACACTATCCCAGGGCAAGCACGGCACGGTACATGAGGGACGCCTTCTACTGCAACGACGAGACGTACGAGGCACAACCGAAAGCAGAACAACTCAATCTCGGTACGCTGCTCACTCTAGCCAGCCTGTTGCCCCATTGCTGACGTGTTTCTCGACTGCAGGCGAGGCGAGCGCTGGCGGCACAAGCCCCCCCCATTCCATCGGCAGTACACCCGCCTGACTTCCTCCTTCCTCTTCGCCAATGCTGGGCTACGGCTACTCGCAGTACCATGCGCACTCGCCGCACCACCAGCGCAGCTGCAAACTTCCCAAGCTCTACTACAAATCCCTGGACCACGGCACCAATAGCGGCGGCTTCAAAGAGCTCGAGTATAAAGCTCGAGTCCAAGAAGCCGCTGCGCTCGAGTGGCTTGCTGTCTGGACGTATCAGACCGAGGTGATGTTTCCTCGACTTGGGGTATCGTTGAGACGCTAGTACGTCGGAAAGTGCTTAGCCCAGCTTCACAGAAGCATACATATTTTGTTAGCGATGCTGAGATGTAATGAAGAAGCCCATGCCTACATATATTCCGTCATCGCTTTCTTATTGTAGCATAGATCTCAACGTTGACAACCAGCTTGGCCGCTGTCGATGCCAAGGTTGACTTCGCTCTCCCTCACAGGCGTATTTGTATTAAATTTTGTATGGCAGATGTCAAGATTGACTTCGCAGTAAAACGTAGATCTCAACGTTGACAACCAGCTTGACCGCCGTCGAGTCAAAGCTGGCTTCGCTCTCTCTTGCAGGCTTATTTTGTCAAGATCGACTTCGCAGTGAAATATTGACTCCCACCTAATTATCCGACTCATTCTGCTGCTCGACCCCGCTGAGCGTACATTCCACCGCGCCGAGCAGCTCCGCCAGCACTTCCGCCACGGCCTCCCGCTCGCTCTCATCCGGGGGCCTCTCAGTCGCAGTTACTCCTTCTTCATCCTGTCCTGCTGCATCTGCGCCTGGCCGCTCTGGCTGATGCACTTGTACCTCTACGTTTCGCGTGACACTAGGAACCGGTAACTGCGATGATGACACCGAAGCAGCCCGATTGGCATTCTGAACATCGGTCTCGTATTGCCTTGGCAGTACAGCATCCGAGGAAGCTGTGTCCATCGTTTCCGCGCGTAACTCCTCCTTCGACCGACGCATTCGAATCCGTCCGAGCTTTTCAGAGTGCGGAAGTTGATCTCCGTTCTTCCATTTCGAGTGCCAAATATTAAAGCACGATACAGAATTACCATCGGATACGTGTCGCGCCTTGGAACACAAAACAGTCTTCCTCGATCAGTGGAGCACTGCTTGACGCGTTGTGCCGGGAGGTCGATTCGATCCAGGCCTGCCAGCACCACGCAGTACCGAACAAACTTTGCACACGCGAAACTTGAACTTGCCCTTCGCTGTCTTGTCCGTCGACACCATCAATTGATGCTTCGAGCTTGCTAGCGAGTACGCCGTCGAAACTGGTGTCTGGTTAGATCTTGGCTCCACCTCGGTAACAGCGGCTTCGGCGACTGGCACCGTTTCCAGGAAGTCATCATCTCCGAGAGCGAGTAGCTCCTCGTGTAGCTGAATGAGAAAATCCGCGTGTGAAAGAGGGTTTTCCCCCACCGACTTCGCGTACTCACGGTGGGTGATAAAAGCGTTAATAACAGCTATGTCGAGAAGCCCGTAGAAAACAGTTTTGTAGTATTTCTTCGGTCGCATGACTCTTTGGATGGAGTACCTAGTCAGAAGCATTTTCAGCGAAAGTGATGGGCGGCAGAACCGCAACAGAGCAACACGTACCTTTGCAGACGTAACTGGTCGTGACTGTCACCCCCCCCCCCATGTACTTGTTGTACAATACCACAAATCCCGGACACGGAATGTTTGCCTGTGAGCGGTCCTTTTGCTTCCTCCGCACAATCGCACGTCTAGCGGAGGCCACAGTCGCCACAAAGTAGCAAATTTTCGAGTCAACCCACCGCGTCGAGTACATTTGACGATTCGTATTGTTCCGAGCAAGAATGTATGAGCCCCGCGGCATCCCTCTCGAAGCTGATTTTTTGTCGGTCTTTAAGTCTTCGGGGAAGCCAAGACGCGTCGTAGAAACCGTCCCGATATTGTAGTACCCCATGTCCATCAAACGAAACCCCAACGTCACCGAAGAATACTCGCGATCAGTGATGATGATTCGCTTCTTGGATCGATCCACCCGACGCTGTTCCCACAAGGCTTTAAGGTTTCGAACCACAGCAGCTGGTCCACTTCTGGTGTCGACAAATTGACTGTTTTGTTTCTTACCGCAATAAACCTCAAACCTGAGCATGAATCCACAGCGTTCAGATACCAACTATATAAAATAGCGCAAATGAGCATACCTGGAGCAGTAGTGGGTTTTCCCGCAACACACAGCGAACAGCTTGGTGCCGTACTTGTGCGGCTTATTCTTCAGGAAAACTCGTATTTTGTTCCGCGAACTTCTTGAAGGGATAACCATCTCGTCGAATGCAACCCAGCGCCCTAATTCCATTCCATCCTTGAAAGTAGTCTGTAACTTGTTTATCACGTTGCGAATCTTCCATGCCCGGTCCGTCTTAGCCTGCGGAGCCTGGTTGTTCGTAAAGTGGAGAAATCTGGCGAAGGACGTGTTAGTGGGCCCTTTATTAAAATAACGTGGAAGTCACAGTACCTGTTAATCTCCTTGAAACGCTTGCGAACCATAAATGGCGACCAAGTTCCAGCTGGGATCGCTCCACGGGCTCGCGTCTTCCAATGATCTTCCAGTCGAGACTTTATCGGGCAAATTGCCCTGGATATTACTAGGGCCAGAAAATGCATGATCTCCGCGGCAAGTACGTCTTTGAACGGGTCCAGCTCCTTTTTCTTTGCTTGAAACATTTCCTTGCGTTTGTGGATGTCGTCCGTCTTCTTTTCAATGGACAACTTCGCCTGTCGAAGTCTTTCCGGTCGTGTCTGACGCTCGTAACGATTAGTTTCCTCGGCAATCTCCGTCCAGAGAGTCTTCGGCATGTAGTAAAAAAAGATCAGAAGGTTTCATCGTTTTCGCTGCCTCTATAGCCGAGGCAGTAAGTTGAGGAGGGTCCGTAAACACATCCGTAGCGCCGGACAGGTTCAAGTCATCCCGTTCGTCGGTTACCGGTAGCAACTCCCAACCATTGTCAGACATGCCTCGAAGCATTTCATCTGTTATGTAGTCCTGGGGGCCGGCAACCGCGCGAATTCCCTCTGCTGTTTCGACACTAAAACTTTCGTTTCCGGTATCATCCGCAATATAAAGCTCATCTGCAAACTCATCTTCAGAACCGTCGTCGGCACTCTCGCCAGAACAGCCATCCGATTCCAGCACCTCGTGACCGTCATCAATACCCACGTTCACTTCATCAGCAAGCATCTCCGCACGTCTTTTCGATTTCTTCCCAGATACTCGACTCCCGGGAGGTGAAAGAGTACGTCGATTTTGCGAGGGTGTTACGGTTGTTTCTGCTGTCTGCCGGGGCGATTTTCTTTTTCTGGGAGCCTTGCCTGACCCTCTGGAATCTGCTCGCGGTACTGGCGTAGCATCCGCATTGTTTGAGATCCCGTCACCCCAAGGCTCAACACCACCACCTGCATTTGAGATCGCCTCTTCCTCAGTAGTGTCGGGAAAGTAATCCGGGTAATCGTACTCGTAGTCATTTTCGGTTCGATCATCGGTTTGCCGGCTCTCGGTAGCCACATTGTCAGCATCATTGGTTACTCCGACTCCATTATTTTCTGGAATCGGTGCTCTGCTTGCTTGGCGAGCTGTAGATCCACCGCTGGGTTTCTCGTTCTCATCGGTATCTTTCCGAGGGCTGTCATGGCCTACCGTCCCGGTAGCATCGGTGACTTCAGCTGGAGTTGGGGTTTCGAGCATTGCTTGACGGGCTGCTTTCTGGCGACGCCTAAACTTCTCCAATTTGTCAGGGCAGTTCAGATTGGAGGCAGGCTCCCAGCTCGTTTGGCGTCACGTGGCTACCTCGGTCAGGCAAGTCCGCTTTTCGGGTTGCATTTTTTCTTCAACGCGCGTGCCTCTTGAAGTTGTGCTGCCTTCAACTTGTTGAGGAGCTCAGGACAATGCAGATTCGATTCCGGCTCCCACGACGTCTCGTCGTAACCCTTCCACTTCACATGGTACTTGGGCTCTCCACGCACGAACTTCATCTCGATGATCTTCTCGACTTCAAACTCGTCGTCTGCAGCATTATGAACGTCTACTATAAGATCGCTACGACGCTTTGCTAGTGAAAGATGCGTTTTGCTTACCAGATGCCTCGGAGTTCACTGTCCTCGCTGCGTTTCTTCGCGCCTTCCGGGGCGGCTGGGCGTCGCGCCCGCTGCCTACTCGGCGCTTCTGTGCCATCGCGACGAGTGACGGTGGAGGGGGGGGGGCAAAAGGCGCACTTCTTGCATCCGGATACGTGGGCATTGTTGACCTTGATCATACAACTATACTGATATTAAATTTCGAATCTAAACACATCCGGATACGAAGCACGACAGAGCAGATCGTATACTTGTAATATCTCGATGTTGAGTTGCAAGTGTCAATGTTGACACCGCAGGTGAATTGCTTAGCAGATTCCTTTGGGAATAACAAATAGACTGGTACTGCTAGATGTCCTAAACCGCTTCTAGAGCTCCTCAACATTGTTTTCACAGTGATAAATACACGCTCGACGTCGCACTCACCGTGCACGTAACCCGCTACATAGCAACGGGCAGCACGACCGAGCTCGCGAGAAGCGAAACGACGTGCATGACGGCCGCACACCCACCCACGTACATGTAAAGAAGAGGGATTCAACCTCGGGCTGGGGAATGTCAACATTGACATCGTAAGGCGCTGGAACTCCAGATCAGCGAGGCATCGAAGCTCACTAGAAAACTTGACGGCAAGCATAGAGGCACCCGGAGCAGCGACTGCTGCACGGTTAACATAGCTGCTGCAAGCATAGTGGCGGCGTAGGCGACAGATGAACAGCGAGCATGGCGGCGGCGGCGAGTGCGAACGTCGGGCAGCCTTCCGGTGAGCCCGGTCACAGCGTCACGGCGAGCGTAGCAGTAGCGGGGCAGCGAGAGCAGCATGATGAGCATGGCGGCGGCGGCACGGGCGGCCGTCGGCCAGCAATTCGGCGAGCCCGGCCACAGCGTCACGGCGAGCGTAGCGGTAGCGGGCACAGCGAGAGCAGCATGACGAGCATGGCGGCGGCCGGCACAGCGAGAGCAGCACGACGAGCATGGCGGCGACCGGCATGGGCGAGAGCAGCACGGCGAGCATAGCGGCGGCCAGAGTAAGGATCAGCAGCATGGCGAGCTTGGTGGCGGCCTTGGCGGCGACGGTCAATGCGAGCCGGTCGACGGCATAGTTGGGGAAGCGCGCTGGAGCAGTAGCTGGCGATTTCGGAAATGAGGTTTGGGATTGAGCGCGCGGAAACGATCTTCTGGCACGGATCGCAGCGCGAGCGTGATTGGCCGCAAAACGGCTGGCCAATTACACGTCGCAAATTCAAACGATGGGGGCGCTGATTGGCGTAGATACCGGAGCGAACCCACGGGTGAAAATCTGCGTGTTGCGCGAACTCAAAGCGCAAGTTGGAAAAGCGCGCGAAAAGCTGTGTGTTGCGCGAAGCTTGATGGCTGAAGCCAGGCTGATACCACTTCGTGTGACCTTTGGATTGAGCCAATGCTGATTGGCTTATTAGCTTCAACTTCAACCCTCGATAAGCACTCCGAATTATAGTAGTTCTTGATTTAGTGACTACCTAGTACGAGGGCATTTCTTTTGCAGTTCTATAGTAACTTACTTTTGCAAGTTCTTCTGTAACCGAAATGATGGCAAACGGTGCCTGAACGTCGCTCGCCTCGCTACCTAGGCCAGTGTGGTGTCCTCACAAAACGCGGTACCCGTAGATATGAAATACCAACCAATGCGTGCACACGGTTTCTATAGGTGAGCGCTAGTACCATTGATCTTATCCGTCGAAAAAGCTCTGCTTCTGGGTGGTCAAAATCTCACGAGACAGCACACTAATTCCCTCCTGTTCCTCGACAACACTGATACGAATAGACGTCTGTGACTTCAGCGAGGAATACGCCGCGCTAGCTAAGAACACGGATGGTTGATGACCCCCCCCCCTCCTTTATTTTACTGCAATTTACTACATATAGGAGCCCACACACCGCTTGACCTCCCGTGCCGTGCCACCGCGGCTCGCCGCGTCGCCCAGTGAGGTGCGTTCTGCGGTCCGAGGGTGGCTGGTATCGGTGGTATGGCGAACGTCGAGGGTAATTCGGGTCCGTTGGCAATGGTGCTCCCGGGAGCTTTGGGGGATGCATGGAGGTGTCAGTGGTGACTTGACCGGCCCAACCACCAGTGCAGCACCACCGTGCAACGCCGCCTCCCAGCCGGGAGCACGGTGGCACGGCACGGGAGGTCAAGCGGTGTGTGGGCTCCTATATGTAGTAAATTGCAGTAAAATAAAGGAGGGGGGGGTCATCAACCATCCGTGTTCTTAGCTAGCGCGGCGTATTCCTCGCTGAAGTCACAGACGTCTATTCGTATCAATGTTGTCGAGGAACAGGAGGGAATTAGTGTGCTGTCTCGTGAGCTTTTGACCACCCAGAAGCAGAGCTTTTTCGACGGACAAGATCAATGGTGCTAGCGCTCAACTATAGAAACCGTGTGCACGCATTGGTTGGTATTTCATTTCTACGGGTACCGCGTTTTGTGAGGACACCACACTGGCCTAGGTAGCGAGGCGAGCGACGTTCAGGCACCGTTTGCCATCATTTCTGTTGCAGAAGAACTTGCAAAAGTATGTTACTATAGAACTGCAAAAGAAATGCCCTCGTACTAGGTAGTCACTAAATCAAGAACTACTATAATTCGGAGTGCTTATCGAGGGTTGAAGTTGAAGCTAATAAGCCAATCAGCATTGGCTCAATCCAAAGGTCACACGAAGTGGTATCAGCCTGGCTTCAGCCATCAAGCTTCGCGCAACACACAGCTTTTCGCGCGCTTTTCCAACTTGCGCTTTGAGTTCGCGCAATACGCAGATTTTCGCCCGTGGGTTCGCTCCGGTATCTACGCCAATCAGCGCCCCCATCGTTTGAATTTGCGACGTGTAATTGGCCAGCCGTTTTGCGGCCAATCACGCTCGCGCTGCGATCCGTGCCAGAAGATCGTTTCCGCGCGCTCAATCCCAAACCTCATTTCCGAAATCGCCAGCTACTGCTCCAGCGCGCTTCCCCAACTATGCCGTCGACCGGCTCGCATTGACCGTCGCCGACAAGGCCGCCACCAAGCTCGCCATGCTGCTGATCCTTACTCTGGCCGCCGCTATGCTCGCCGTGCTGCTCTCGCCCATGCCGGTCGCCGCCATGCTCGTCATGCTGCTCTCGCTGTGCCCGCTACCGCTACGCTCGCCGTGACGCTGTGGCCGGGCTCGCCGAATTGCTGGCCGACGGTCGCCGCTGAGATCGTCCAGGAGCGCAACAGGTCCGGCCAAGATGTCGATGTTGACTATCCCAGGTCAATGCTGACTTATGTTATGTGTGTTCACACATGGTCGGTGATATGGTGTGGTCAACATCAGAAGCAGCGGAATCTTGGAGGTTTGACGACACCCGACGTGTGAGAAATGGAGTTCAAAGCCCGACAAATCGTTGACGACTACCGGGCGTATTGGGAGGACTGCCGCGCGTATATGCAGTACCCGCCTCGGCGCGTCGTGATCATGAGAGGCCTCCCGGGCAGTGGCAAGACAACGTTTGCTCAAGAGGTCGCTGTGGTTAGGGTGAAGTGTCAGCACCCGCATGGTTTCAGCGGTGGGGGCACGTAGCTTAGGTGGGCGCAGATGCGCAAGATCGCCTCCTTGCTCAACTCCTGCCGGGAGTAGCCGATGAACAGCTCGTCCTGAATGTAATACGCCTGTCGACAGCAACACCACCAGTATGAGCCCCTAGGTATGAACGTCAAAGCTGCCAAGACGCTGCCTTACCTTGTGGGGTTGAAGATGGTGTCCAGCTCGCACACCTACCGAGTCCACAACATCTCTCAGCGTCAGCCTCCCTTCTGCTAAAACTCCAGTAGCCCTGACGCCTCACGTACATTGCCGAAGTAGCGGTGGGGCTCCTCCACGAACAGGAGCGTCCAGGTCTCGATCGAAACAACTCGGTCTTCGCAGTAGCACCGGCAGAGCCGTACTCGTAGCTCCTCGGCCAGCGTACCTCGCGCGTGTGAAGGCATCTATAGAAGGCAATGGTACAATGTAAAAGAAAGTTAACATTAGTGAGCGGTGCATCCTATCAACTCAGAATTTTACCATAGCGGAGAAGCGCTAATCCTTCGCGGGATGTAAAACATGCTACTTAGCCATGTTTTGGTACGACCCTTACTGGCTAAAATTATCATTCAAAATTCTGATTGGAGCGATTTTGTAAAACATGCTAGTTAGACACAGAACCATCGCAAAAGGGTTAATAAATCAAGTTGATCATCCGATAATCTGCCCCAGCGAAGATTATCCAAAATATCAGCGTATACAGGATCGGACCGCGCGCGCATGTTTTCGGTTAAGAAGACGACAAAGTTGATAGCGGCATATAGAGCGTAGCCTGTGTGACACATTCGATTGGTTGTAGGAGATGATGTGTTGAAACCTATGAATTAGGTCATTCAGTAAGTCTTAAGACCCTTTGTGTACGTAGAGAAAAAAGAATCAAACTTACAAGAATGACCTCCCATTGGTGGTAGCTGGAGGAAGTCGCCTATAAGCAGTACGTGCCTGCCCCCCCCCCATGAATTTATCGGGCGTGCGTGACATCGATCGCGAGACAGTGTCTGTGCCACCTAACAGCGCTTGGTAGGTAATCGAAATCTCATCAATTATGACTAGAACCACTCGACCTAATCGTGCCTTCATCTCTGCTGACGGGGTTGAATTTGGTTCAGCTCCGTTAATCTTAAGATTACGAGCGCTATGCATCGTTTTCCCGTGAATATTGATTGCAGCAGATCCAGTGAAAGCTAGGGTCTCGACACTTCCTTCGCGGCCCCAATACTTAGCCATGGCCAACAGTGCCTCGACGACAGTTGATTTTCCTGTTCCAGCCTCACCACTAAGGTAAGCGATCATCTGCGGCTTAATACCATAAGGATCAGGTCTGCCCAAGTTAACATCGTCAACTGTATCTTCAATATCGCGACTGTAAGCGTAGAGAAGATGGCGGGCGGAAAACTCAAAAATGACGTGCTGCCAGAAATTTAGTTTGAACGCCTGTGAAATCATGGTAATTGTCGGAAAAGGAGGCAGCGTAGCTGGCGTCCACTGCGGCGGCACGGGTCCAAAACACTCTTGTAAACGTTCAAGCCGGGTGCGACTTGTGGTAAACGTTTCAATGAACTCTTGAGTACCAAACCGCACGCCTCCGTCAAATGGCTTAACTAATCGAGTTGCGTACGAAGAAATAGTAAAATCAGGTGGCAAAGAAACTCCATCAGAAGCATTGTACTGTTTGCTGGCCGCTGATATAGCTGTAGCGATGGTACCAAAAGCGCTCACGGTGGAGATAGCATATTTAACGAGTTTCGTCGTTGATGAATTGTGTGTAATTGTATCCGCGACATCAATGAAGTCATCAGGAATAGGATCGAGGGAAATATCATCTTCGGTGCTTCATCTTCGTTTTCGGACGGCATCCAGGATGATGTAGCAGGATGCCTAGTCCTTAGCAACAGCTCTTCGGGGGTCTCCTCTCTGTCGTCTGCAGTTCGTTGAGAGTGATAGTAGTCTTGCCACTGCATTTCGTAATTGCGTAGCATCCGCACGTGTTCTTCGTCACCGGTTTCCAGAAACGAGCGATAGCTTCGCAGCAACGTCTGGTTGTTGGCCAGGAGTGTTGAACGTCGATGGGGTTTAAACAGAGTCAAAAGTGCTGTATAGTAGTACTCGTGGTATTCAGTGTCTAGGTGAGAAGAGATGTCTGGAATCTCGTCCCCACACAGAACAAACACTTTCCGATAACTACGTTTCACAAATTGACACTTAGTTCTGGTGGAGGCCGATTTAGCTTGTTGGCTGCCGATGTACTCGTAGCGCTCGCAAATTTCCAAAAACGAAATATTTTCAAGAGTTGCATCGCGCTTCCAGTATCGCTCCAAAGCGTTTTCGCGGGAAACGCTAGACTCATCTGACTGACCATCTCGGGTATCATGCTGCGAAATTGTGACTTCCACAAAATCAGTGGTCTTCCGTAGCATCATTCGTAGATTTCTATGAACGAATTCATGTGAGAACCAAAATGGGGTATCGTTAAGAATTTAGAGCGCCGCCATCGTCGCCGCAACTTCTTGGTCATTCGTAACAGAGTATAACATCGAGCCCAAAATGAGATAACCTCTCTCAATAGGAGTCGTGCCTTCCGGTAGATCATCGGCTTTGTTGAACCTTTTTGCAAAACCTGCGATCGATAAAGCTGGATTGTTCTCCACTCGGTTTTGTTTATTCAGTACTTCGCGACGTAAAATGCGGTATCTCACGAACCACAAAAAACAAACTGCGCATCGTGGTTACACTTGAGAGCGGCCATGAGTATTGGATTGAATGCGTTTACATATTCACACCCCACCGCACGGTGCAGCTTGAGTGTGGATCCGTCCTCTTGTCGGACCGAGATGGACGTTTTCAGGATAGAAGCTTGGGGGGTTCGTATTGTTGGCTGTACATTAATAAAAAAAATCGATGTTATGTCGGAAGTTCATCTCACAGACGGACCTGAAGAATGCATACGTACCTTAAAGCAGGATCTACAACTGTTCCAGTAGTCTACCTGAACATCACGAACGAGCAAGGACGTTGCCAAATTACTGGCGGACCCACACGAAGGCGGGCAGCATTTTTCGAAATCAGCAAGGTATGTTTCTATCAGTATATTGTGGTTGTTGGCAAGATTCTGGACCGACAGGCTTATTATGTCTTTGTCGCCGAAGTTAGCTTGACAAGCGTGACAATGACTGGTTGATGGTGGAGCCGAACCTGGCTGAGGACGCCTGAACGCATCAATTCCAGGAAGGATAGGCTCTAACGTACCGATCGCGAAGCAACTCGGACATTTGTGTTCCTCGTAAATACATGGAGGCTTCGTGCACAACACTCTGTCTGCGAGGCTAATCACTCGGTTTTGAAATCCCGCGCTAGTCGGTGATTTGTATGATAGTCTAATGCCGTGGTAGGAAATCCATGTAACCACACAGCGATGTGAGCGTGGAGGTCCCCGGCAACTTGCGTCTAGGCCGCGGCACCATACGTACGAACTACACCAAAAATACCACCGCCGCGTTTTGGCGCGCGGAATTTCGTGTTCCACCCCAGAAGTACTTCTACAACTGTTTTCATAACTCGTAAAAAGTATCTTGCGCATTCAACAGGGTGTGCTGCTGCAATTTCTTTCCGCTCAGCTCGATTCGGCACCAACAGTAGGTTAGCGTCATTAATAACAGACTCGGGAACTATCCCTGTCTTGATTGCAATGTTGTAGGTGCCGGCAGAGTCGGGGAAAACTGTAAAAAAAATTACCTGCAGTGGGCCGAACTGCTTCATCATGCCGAGAAGATCATGTCGGGCACGCATTCTACCGGTATTGTACCCGTAGAATGCGGACTCAGGAACGTACAGACCTTTTCTGAGGTCGATTACGCGCTGTACGTCAAGTAACGGGGGCCGCGGCTTGACACCCTTTTCTCGACATGTGGTTGAAATATTCAATAGCCTTCCTCACCGTACTTCGACTGACCGATGCTGCTTTTAAAGCCTGCCGCTTGATGTTCATTGTGACGTACATGGTTTCTCGAGCTTTTGGGGTCGCCAAAAAATCAAATGCAAGTAACATGAACGCGTAGTGCGTTTCAAACCGGTGTCCGTGGATTTGTAAACATCGCAAAATCCACTTCCGAACCGACATACGAGTTTGCCTCGGTTCCGTTGGACCCCCACAACCGAATGGAAACAACGCGGGAAACATTTTCACACACACGGCCCATTTCGGCAGCGAGCCAGCAATCCCTCGTCGCCCAGCATCGACCTCGTGCCGCCCTGCATGAGGTCCGACCTCCAGCCGTGTCATCGATCCTCACAGCGGCACAACAAATGTGGCTTCGCCTGTTCGACCGGGTTCACGGCAACATTAACCTCGGACTCAACACCAACCCCAGTCGCTCAGAGGCGATTGCTCCACCGAACGACCTACCGCTAGTTGGCGGGGACTACGATTCGCTGCTTCATTGGCTTGCGTCGTGTCCGATCCAGCTTCTTCGTGGTCCTCGATCTGTCCTTGAGCATTATACCAAGCCGAACGCGCCATAGGCGGTGGCGCACCAAATACTTGAAGCCTTGGATAGGTAGTCACGGCGGGTGGAGGGGTGGCTGCTACGCCATTTTGCACCGCTCTGCACCACGGCTGACGGAGCTCTTGGATCCGTCGGTCCTGCGCATGACGGCGCCTCGCTCGCTCCTCATCGTACCGTTCATGCATGCATGGTTTCAGGAGCATTTCCGTCGGCCTGGTCCATTAACCCTAAAGTGGCAAAATATGGCTTGGTTTCACTATATCAGTTCCTATACAATCTTGCAAAACATGCATAAATGCTTGGTTTTACCCCGTTGCCCGCTCCCTGGACCATCGTTTATGAAGGGTTTTAGTCCGACGTGATCTCTAAAACATGCATAAATGCTTGGTTTTGAAGCATTTCCCGCAAATCCATTTGATTGGCTATAATCGATATTTATCCGAGTGGTGCGCCGAAGTTTCCATTAAGCTTAACCCCTCCAACCCGGGTGCTGCATAATGCAGCATAGCCTTTCCACTTAAACTGAATATATTCAGTTTAAGCGATTTTTGACTTGAAATTTGTATGGGTGTCCTTTCCCCCGACACGAGGGTATACAAAGTTTAAGATAAACGTTTGTTTGGTTTCTGTACGCGTCTTTTTATTTCCATGCGGACAAGGACCAGTGTTTGTCAATTTTTGTAATATTGATTATGAGAGGCTGTTTGGGAAACTGCAACTGATCTGTATTACTTTTCGGCGGCTCAACCAACGAGTGGCTCCTGATCGACCGCCTCCCCGCCTTTTCAAAATCTCCCTCATTCAAGAATTTTCGCGGGCAAAGCTCAAGTCGCCGGAGCCGGAAATGGTGCAAGTGCTCGGGAAGGTAGTGCGCGACAACGAGATCACAGGCCGTGACCTCTCGTTCAAGTCGGTGTTGCGCGAGCTCAAGGGCAAGGGGTGGGCGCGGAAGCCGCCTCCACGGCGCAGTCTCGACGACCGCTACTTCTACGTTCGACCAGGCGAGAGCTCAAGCGGGACGGAAGGCGTTCATTTCTTCCGAGGCGAGGACGCAGTACTGGAATACTACGCAAATGGTATGTTTCAAAGGGCTTTTATTGTTATTGATGTTATTCTAAACTATCGTTGCGTACTGTGTGTAGCGCTTCGGAATGGCTCTCGTGCTCCAGCAGCAATTGCACCGCCACCAACTCCTCCCCGCGCCGCTCCTGGTGACGCGCAACTTGCCGCTGCAGCTAAAGTCGTGCGCTTGAACTACCTCGCTGACATCGAAAGGGCCGAGGCGCGAGCCCAATCCGCCACGAACGCTGCAAGTCGAGTTCCTACTGCAGCTCAAGGTGCTGCAACTCAAGCGGCAACACAGTCGGATGTTCCTCAAGCTGAGACGCAAGCGCGTGAGCGCGAAGTCGTCACAACTCCAACAACTCCACCGCTCGCACGCACTCGTCCAGTGAAGGGCAAACGACCAGCACGGCGCTCCCTCGTTCGGGGTGATAGCCCGATGGCGAGTACGCCGCCTCGATCTCGCTGCCCAACGCCACTGCTGGCAACGTCACCTCATGTCCAGGATTCAGATGCGTCCATGTTCGACGACGCGCCGTCGGACGACACCGTGATCCCCGACAACGAGCCTGTCGAGTCCGTGTAGACACCCAGTGATCATGAACATAGTAAGCTGTCTCTTATACTGTCCCTTATGCTGCATTGTATGCTGAATGTTATGATGAATACTGTACTGAATATTATGGTGAATGTTATGCTGCATTCTGCTTTTTACTGCTGCTTTACTGTAGACGATCACGGCGACGACGAAGAAGCTGAAGCTGGTGCACTCGGCAATGAGCTACTGGCCGACAGCACGGGCGCGTCGAATGTTGTGACGGATGGAGATAGCGTGCCCCAGTTTGGTTCCATGGATTCTGGCGATGAAGCAGAGAAGGATGATATCGAGAATGGCGAGTACGGGTCAGACGAAGATGTGGACGCTTCGTGTGCCCCTGATGACGTCGTCGACGATCCCGAGCAGACCGAGAAAGAGATCGCAGCGGAGGTTCTCTTCGCGGAGAATTTTCTGTCGCAGTTTGGTGGGGAGGACGAAGTGCTGGCGGATAACCTGAAGAACGCTGTCTTGCGGGGCATGAGTGCGACGGGTTGGGAGGACGTCGTTCAGCCTGACACCTACGACTATCTCATGACGCCTTATGAGCCTGTCAATGATGCCGGAAGCTACCCCGGTCTTCGCCAAGGTTACTCGGGGCCTAGTGCTGAGGTGCTTCGAAGGGGCGACTCCCCCATCACTCAATTCTTCTACTTCATGCCCGTCGTGTTGTGGCAGCACATTGCTGCCTGTTCAAAAGAGTATCATCGTGAGATGCTCCCTCTTCGAGTGGACGAAGCCTATCGCCGCTATCGAGCCAAGCGACGACTCAACGACAAGTTGCCGAAGAAATCACGGCGCGACATCCAACACGAAATGGAAGGTATGAAGCCCATCTTGCCACATGAGCTGGGGCCTGCTAATTGCCAGAGCTATTGCGCAGAACCGCGAGAAGCTGGCCAACCACTGGAAGACCACGGATGAGGGTGCTATCTCGCGTGGGTGCTTCGAGTCGGTGCTGCCACGGGATCGATTCATGGAGATCTCTCGTAACCTACACTTCAACCCCAACAGCGACGCCAGAGCTCAAACCGACCGCGCCTGGAAGATACGCAAGGTCGTCGAAGTTCTGCAGCTAACCTTTGCGCGTGGATACGTCGCTCCATCGCACTTGGCGTTTGATGAAGCAGTGCTGCCAAGCCGATCTTCGTTCAACACGATGCGCGTCTACCTGAAGGACAAGTCCCACAAGTGGGGCACCAAGCTCTTCATGCTCTACAGTGCAGCCACAGCGTACTGCATTCGGTACGGATTTTGTTTTAGTTATTACATTGCATTATGCAGTTTAATCTAACAAGCATCTCTTGTTTAAACTGAATATCGACAGGTTTGAGATCTACTGTGGAAAAAAGCAGCACGCGAGTGATGCCCACAAGACCGACATAAAGTCTGGACCAGCGGCGGTCGTGCGAAATCTGCTGGAAGTGTTTCGACCAGACTCAAAGAAGCAGGGTGTGAGGCCGGTCGTGGTTGGCCGCTTCGATACATCGGTGGTCTTAGCGATTCAGCTCCTGCTCATGGGGTTCTACTGTGTCGGCACGATAATGACAAACCGACTCGGCTACTGCAAGGAGGTGATCGAAAAGAAGAAGACGCGCCCGGAGGACATTGCGCGGGGCTCATTCAAAATTGCAAAGTCCAAGCTGGTTCCAAACATGGCTGCCATCAGCTGGTGGGACTCGCGTCCTGTGCACCGGTGGCAGTCATGAACTCGATCGCGTTGCACGGCAGGACGGCGCGACGCAGGTGGAGGTGCCTTGCCCCCCGCGTTATCAAAGACTACCACGCCTTCATGGGGAGCGTGGATGACCACGACCAGCTGTGCCTGCAGCGCTACTCACTGCAGCGAGCCCTCCGCTTCAAGAAGTACTACAAGTCGCTCGTCCTCGGCCTTATCGATTTAGCCATCGTGAATTGCTACATAGTTCACAAGGGATATCACAAGAACAAGTCGTCCCGCCCGCTCACGCATGTGAAGTACATGAAGAAGCTGCACTTGCAGCTGTGCAATCTCGACGCCACGGACATGTACGAGAACAGCACGTTCGGCACGCTGCGCCGCCCGGAGACCCCCGCGTACGAACCTATTTTTTTTGGCGGAGGCCAGACGACCTCTCACACTGCTCGCCAAGCCGATGAGTGGCGCAACGCAGATACCCAAGCGAAGAGGCGACATCGTACTTGTAAGGTGTGTTCTGTGCTGCGTACGGGGACACAGCGAGCCTCGACGACTACGTACTTCTGCGGCGACTGCAATGACACCGGCCTGATCTTCCTCTGCATGCGAGCCCGTCGCAAAGTGCGTGAAGTGGCGATGAGTTGCTGGGATATTTGGCACAAGGAGTGGTCAAACGGAAAGCTGATTCCGGTTGACAACGCGAGAAATATTCGAGTGAGACGCAAGCCAAGATCAACTCCACCGGGCACTCCGTCGTCTCCTGGCAAAGCCACACCTACAGTACAGCCACGCTTGATCCGCCCGCTGGGTGGTTGGGCAGATCATGGCAGGTCCCAGAACACTTAAACACATCAGTAGCGATTGAATGTTTGGCTTTGTTGTGAATATATTGCTGCAGACCCTTGGGTGTGCGGAAGTATGGACACGACGACACTACTGAACAGTCTCCTGGTCTTGCACTGCAGCTCGATACCGGTTACTTTTTGACGCACTTGCCGTTGCTGCACTTGAAGCCGGGGTCGCAGCCGTTTGGGCAGGAAGAAGCCCGTGGCCGGGTTGAAGCACTCCTTGCCGACAGGGCCGCGGCACTGCTTCTTGCCGTCGTTCTGGCAGTACTGGCCGCTGGAGCACTGCACGTAGCAGACGTCCTTCTCCACGTGCACGCGCAGGTGCACGGACACCTGGTTCTCGGCGGTCGCGGGTTAGAACAGGCACGCGACGGCGACGACAGCGGCGGTGGACACGGTCGAGATCTTCATGGCAATGGGCTCGAGCCTCGGCTTGGGGCTGGGGCGGCGAAGCGACGCATAAAAGATCTGCACGTAACTGTGTACCGGAACACCAACTTGATGTTCCTGACACAAAAAGTTACTTTGAAGCGAGCGAGGATCCCATGGCGACGACTGCGCCGTCCGCGCGGCCGCTGGCCGAGGTGGCGCTCTACGCCGAGTTCGACCTGACCAAGGGCAGCACGCTGCGCGCCAGCTACCCGCGCGCGTTCGCGCACTACTCGCCCGAGTTCTTCGCTGACATCATGCTGCCCGAAGGCGTGCACAACCGCGAGGAGGACTTCACCGTCTTCTTCCTCAACCGCCAGAACGCGCACACGCCCCCGCCCAGCAGTGGCGACTCAGCAGCCGACGCTGCCAATGGCAGCCAGGAGCAGCCGCAGGACGAGGCGCAGGACCCGCTGCAGAGCTTCATGTACTGCCTCAGCGTGGTGCGCACCACGCACGACACGGCGGCCCGACGCGGCGCCAAGGTGACGGCCGTGGCGCTGTGCTCCACGCACAAGAGCTGCTTCGCGCTCAAGGAGGTGCTGAACCTGGCCGTGCTCAAGATCGTGGGCGCCAAGAGCGAGGCGGAGAGCGAGAACGTGCTCAAGGAGCTGCACGAGGTCGTGAACGCCGTGGACGTCTCGGGCGTGCGCGGCCTGTCCAGCATGGAGCGGCGCCTCATGAAGCGCACGATCAGCAGCACGGGACGCGCCGCAGCCAACCACGAAGACGCCGAGAGGCTGGAGAAGGCGCTGTTCTTCCGGGCGCAGGCGCTGTGGGACGACATCCCGATCCCGCTGCAGTTCAAGGTCTGCAGCACGGACGACCAGCACGACGACGGCACGCTCACGCAGCTGCTGCAGACCTTTGGGGACCAGACGATGACACTGTTTAACGCTGTGCTGACCGGGCAGCGTGTGATCATGCTGGGCTACAACCGACCCGCGGGCGAGGTGTGCAACTTCGTACTCGCGACGAGCTCGCTCGTGTGCCCGCCGCTGTTTGGACTGATCCACCGCCAATACCCGTAAGATGATGGGGGTGTTGACTACAGGGGGCAAGCTGTGGGGCTAATACTGTTGTTGCTGGTGTTCACAGGTATGCGAACCTGACGGATCTGGGCTTCTTGTCCACGCCGGGGTACATTGCTGGTGTCACGAACCCGATGTTCAAAACCAAGCGCGAGTGGTGGGACGTGTTGTGTGATATCTCTACAGGTGAAGTCTTCGTGTCGGCTCCTGTGGAGAAGGAGGACTACGACGCTTCGGATCGCAACTTTGTGCTCGAGGTAGGGTGGAGAGGAACGCTGTGATGGAAGTTCTCGCTCCTTACGGACTTTGGACCGCGCAGGTTTTAGACGGAGTGGCCGCGGGTTACGACGAAGAGTGGGTGCGGTGCATGTTCGAGGAGTACACGCGCAAGAACATCGTGGACATCGCGCTGGGTGAGGCCAACTACCTGAGTCCGGACGCGCTGGCGAAGCGCTCGGCTGTTAACAACAAGCGCATTACGAAGTGGGCACGCACGGACAGCTACAAGCGCTTCATGGACTCGCCTCACCGGACACACTTCCACTCGCCGGCTTTCGATATATCCTACCCACCGATATCTTGCGTTTGTTTGCTATCATAGCATGCATGGGTTAGATAGGACGAATACCTTGCTCACGTGGTATCCTTAACCTGGCGAGGCCAATCGCTATCTTGTGATGTTTTGCTATGTGTGTTGTTCACGTAGAGAAAACGGGCGTGGATCTGAAGCGGCACATTCGAAGTCTTCAGGGCGATATGGTGGTGCTGGACGACACACTCGTGGAGAAGATCTACTCGGACTTCGCCACGCTACTGAACACGGAGGTTGAGCTGCAGGAGTTCCTGAGCTTCTTGCCAGTACTGCGTGGCGGGTTGCAGACCATCGCGCAGGGCATCTTCCACCCGTCCATCAGCGTCAAGCACAACACTGTGGTGCTGCTGAAGAGGCTGGAAGAGTTCCCGTCCACTGCCTCGAGTATGCATCGTCTGAACGCCTTCCTGCTGATGTCGTACCAGCGGATCCACGACATTGTGAATCCAGACTCGCGGGGCTGAGGAACGCAAACGAAGAGATCAGTCGAATGGCAAACAGAGTGGGATGTCATGAAAAGTACACGCGTCGTATTGAGCCTGTTACTGCCGGTTTCATGGGGTTTGCTGTTGTAGAGGCCTATGGTGCTAGGGAGTCAAGAGTTTGGCTAGTTCCTCGAATCCCTCGCCAAAAAGCTGGTCGCCACTCGTCGTATCACTGCCACCAGAGCTTGTTACGTCTCGAAGAGCTGCTGGTTTGAGGTCAGGTTCGGCTTGCTGGCAGAGCTGCTCGAAGATATGGTCGCCGTGGTCGAGTTCTGCGGCTCCTGTAGCATTGGCAGCTCGGCGCTGAGAAAATTTTGTTTGCTGCTCTGGCTGTAAGAACGCCATGGTTTCTCTGCGCTCGTCCTCCTGCGCTTTCCGCTGCCGCTCCATCTCTCCGAGATCGACGATCTTGCTGCGACTCAGGAGATTCACGTACGCGGATGACGGGCGACCCTCGCTAGACCCCTTCGGGTAAAGCTGCGCCTTCGTCGAGTTCAAGAAACCCCGCTTCACTGCGCCGCTGCTCTTCTTCTTTTTCGCTTGTGCTGTGGGTTTTGACGCGGCATTTGGCACTGAACTTGCTGTCTGTTTCGCGTTCGTAGGTTTGTCAGCGCCACCAGTACGCAGCTTCTCCTGTTTACTCGAAGGAGACGGCAGCTCTTCGATAAGCACCTTCTTCTTCTGCGGCTTCGTCTCGGTGGCGTTTACGGGCACAGGTGGGGGAGTGATTTGCTCTAGTGAAGGTGCCTTCAGAAGCACCTCCGGCGTCGGGATGGTGTTTTTCTCTTTGGACGGCGTGATCTTCAGCTCGTGCGTGGTCTCGTCTTTCTTCGCTTCGTTCAGATTGATCTGCTTGAGAAGATCGGCGGGTGATTCCATGCGCTGCTTCGCTGGATCGGCGTCCTCGATACGGAATTTCGACGTGATGATCTCGTTGCCCACAGCGACGCCGCCCTTGTAGCGAGCTTTGATGAACTTTCCCGTTGGCGTGACAAGCCTCACACCCGCGTCTTGCTGCACCCACTGCACGGCCAGCTTCATGACCTCGCGCTTGAAAGTCGCGTCCCATTCACTACGACGCAGCACCCACGGATTCACAACGACGTCGACGACACAGCAGAGCGCCCCGCTGAAGTCAGTGATTTCCCGTAGCTTGCCCACGATGAGAGGAACTTGCAAGCTGTTGGTGTTGGGCACAGCTCGAGTATCTTCGGGCACCTCCTGGCCAGAGTTCGGGTTCTTCGGTGAGTCGATGAGCTTGTGGGCGCAGATGTTGAGGAAGAGCTTGGTCTCTTGCTGCTGGCACTTGACCGAGTGATACATGGTGCACTTGACCACGAAGCCCGGGTTTGGCGTGAAGAAGCGAGGTGCAGGGGCGTCATTCGAGGCTTGGTTTGATGATGATGAAGAGTCCGTGGACGGAGGCAGCGGGGGTCCGTCCTGCAGTTGCTCGTTGATGAAGGACTCGTAGCGCTTGGGGTCCGACGTTGAGAGGTCGTTGAGCGTCTGCCAGAGCGCCTGCGCCTCCTCGCCGAAGTCTTTGGGCTGCAGTCCCATTTGCTTGGCGATTTCACGCATGCGTGGGTCTGCGAGGAGTGCACTGACGGAAGATGTACCGCCACGCTGCCGCGGGTCTGGACGCCGGTTGTTGATGATGCCGTAGTTCATTGCAGAGCTGTCACGCAGAGCAAAGATCGAGATGTGGATCGCAAGCGGCCGCAATGCCTACGAAACGACGCGACCCCGAAATTTCTCGAAAATGATGAAAGACAACATGAATATCGACTGGAAACCACACACTTTTCATTTTTTAGACGAAAGCTTCGAATCAACGCACTAACATTTTCAGGACGGACTCTCCCGTTGTCTTTTCACCCCACCATCGACCTCTTCAGCGATGGTTTTCGCACCTTGGGGCTCCGTTTCGGCAGCTTCACACGTTTGGTCTGCCGTGATCGCTTCACTTGCGCCCGAAAATCTTCGACACTTCCATTGACACTAAAACGGACCATCGAGTTACGACCAAAGTGAAGGCGTCTGCGAGCGCGGGCGCTTTGCACACCATCGTCCTCTTCCTCTTCCTCGTCTTCGTCGGGGTCGCCAGTGAGATCAACCAACTCGGGGGGGGTTGGTGGCGCAGGAGGAGCAACTTTCGCAGGTTTGTCGAGAGGCTTGTTCTTCGCCGTAGACAGGAGGTCTCGCACGTGCTGGTCGCAGCGAGAGCGAGGACGGGGAGAGGTAGGAGACTTATTTGTAGCTGCTTGGTAAGATACGGGATTGCCTGGAGGAGGACGTAGTTCTCTTTTCACACCATTTTCCTGTCCGTTGTCTTCACTTTGATCACAGATTTCTCCACCTCCGCTCGCCCAATTGCGAAGAGTCTGGTGCATGAAGTCCAGGCCACCTTCTTCGATGTATCTCGCAAGTGCTGCTTTAGGCTACACAGCAAATTAGATAAAGTATTAACCACCCAACCATCTCAATAGTCTTGCTCTCGCACCTGCTCCGATCGATTATCCAGCGTCGCCAACAGCGCCTGCTGCTTCGCATCACTGACGTTGTAGGTCGTCGTCAATGCCCACAGCATATCCTGCACGAAGCGTGAGGCCAGTGGAGCCACATCAGGACGAGCAGCAGCAGATGCGTACGTAGACACGGGAGGGACCAAGGCCGTGGCTTTAGTGGCTTCCTTCTTTACAACTTTGACTCGTTTTACGGTAGCGCGTGAATGTTCTTGACAAGCTGTTCTCTCTTCACCTTTTCGCTTCTTCAATCTGCGCTTTGCATCCGGTAGCTGGCGCAGCAACGGCACGTGGTCTCCGATCTCATCGATCGGGACTGCCTCCGAGGACCCGTCCGAGTACAGCAGCAGAAACTTGGTCGACATGGGGCAATAGCTCATCACTACTCCTTTAATCTGCACCTCGCGCCCGCAGCCATCCTCTCCCTGCTTGTACACAGTTTCGCCCACCCATCGATTCGGATGGCGGTCTGCCGGCATCGTTGCAAAAGCAACAAATTGTGTGATGCCACCGTTGAACAAGTTGAAGTGTGGTCAAGCCTTGCCTAAAAAAAGTGGTCCACACACTCTCCAAACTAGAAGGGCTACGAATTGAACTGTTACAGGGTATGCTATTCTGCGTCAGCCGACCAAATTCTCCCCCAAACAACGCTTGTTCACCGAAGCGCGAGTGTAGGTTTGTGTGTTTCGTCAACGGCAGCAAGCACGAAAACTCGAGCCAACGTCGACTTCCTATAGCAGTGGCAACTGCACGATGAAGGGGGCATTGCGAGCAATAAATAGACTTCAATTGGGGCATACGACTGCACCTGGGGGGGGATCAATGATACGGTATCACACACGAGGATCAGCTCAGACTTGGGACCAGGAATTTCCTCCTCGACCAGCAATTGTCCATGGCGCCCAACCCTTCTTCGTTGACTGAGCGCTCTACGTCTACGTGGATATCCCCGAATTTGAGTTTCCCGGGGCCTTCATGCTGAATGGCAGCCAATAGACCGAAGACCAGCGGTGTGGAATCCACGGCGAGCTACAACTCCAGTTACACGTGATTGCCTGCAGCTTCTCCACATTGATCGTGTTCTTAGCTCAGTCTTTCGCTCGTCTCGATCTTCAGAGTCGCCGCACATGTCTCCGGAAATGGCTACAGTATAAAGGTAAAAAGTATGGGCCCCACCAAATCTTCCCTATGGGGGAGAGCATATATTTTATACAAAGACTAGCATTAAATTTCGGAAAGATTTGTTTCACTCAGTGCATACCGATACTAGTATTGAATACTTAATGGGAAGGTTTATATGTATATACCCACATGTAATGTTTTCCCGAAATTTAATACTAGTATTTGTATACACAAAGTCAACTATTATCTTGACAAAATTTGAGGGTTTAAATTAGAGTTACTATATTTAGTAAATTCCCGTATGTTGAACTAAATCATACAACGACATAAACATCATAACCATATGAAACACATGAAATTAAAATCTTCTAGAAAAATAATCTGATAAAAAAATCAGCTCAGAGAAATGACAAATATTGCATTTTCGTGGCCAATGACAGCATTTTCTTTGCTCTTTGTGGATGTGTTTTTAGGTCATCTACCGTTTATCAAATGCATTCGACCAATCTATGTTTCGGTATAAGCACGGATTACTAATTGGAGACAGTTTCACCACGCACTGCGCAGTTTTGATCATCACTGTTGCTTCGCATTTAACTCTACATCGTTTCCGATGCGGAGATCCTAGCCGGGCCCGGCACCATCACATCAAAGTCACGTTGAGTTCCGCCGTAGTTATCTGTGTCGCGATCATCTTCTCCTTGAGCACTGCATTCTCGTCCTCTAACCCCGCTACCGTCCCTACGAAGCCCGCCTTCTCTGAATCAAGATTCTCCGCTTTTTCCTTAAGGTCTGAGTTCTCCAATCCCAACTTCACCCTCGCCTCGACATCTGCCTTTTCGAACTATAATGCCTGAGGCCAGTCTTCTTTTTCATTTCGTCATTTGTTGATTCGACCACCTCTAGCCTGCGCTTGATACGATCCATATCGGCAGCGATATCGTTTTGCTAGGCCACCGTTGTTGTGCTCACGGCCGATGCAACTGGAGTTTCGGCTTCGGCAGCTGCTGCACCAGCATTCACCATTAGCTCGCTTGCGCTGGCGGTTGCGGTGCCATTTAGAGCACAAAGGCCGTATCGACGGCTAATGCTGCAGCGGCGGTATTATCGACAGCGTCCTGCAGACCGTGGCGCTTCCGGAAGCGCGTGGGCCATCCCGTGAACACTGAAGCTCGTGTACCCTCGCCCTCCGAGCTGGAGGTGAAGCCTTTGGCTAGTCGTTTAAGCGAGGGGTTGTTTAGATCCGGTGACCCAAATGCCTTGAGCCGGCCCAATACGTATAGGCCCAACAGCGTTTTTTTGCCGGAGTAACTCGCTTGGCATGCGCGTTGGCACACACTTGTTCAGGCGGCTCCACGATGTCCTTCAGCGCCGTCAAAGAGATGCGGCCACAGTGGTTGGCCACCCAGTCGTGAAGCGCTTTAAGGTCAGGATTCGGCCCCATCTCTCGGTACTTCTTCCGGATCGTGTTCTTCTGCATGATACTGTGGTGGGAAGGAAGAGCCATCGAACCTCGGGGGCCAATTGTCAAATGACCGCAAAGGCGTAGAAGAGCAGATATAGTGAGTCATTACCAAGCTTTGAATTCATAAGACTCAACAAACTTGTAAACTTAAGCGATAATGCAAATGGGCCTAACGCTTCACCGTCATGTTAGTGTTCTCAACGGCGGTTTACGTCCAGCTGGTTTAGCTGCGTCGCTGCTCGAACCATAGCTCGCGCTGCTTGGCTCAAACGTCGCCCGGGCAATCTCATCAGGGTCGTCCATAGCGTCGTTCTTGACAAACGACGCGGCGATCCGCTCCTCGGTTTGGCTATCAATATAACCATACACTGCGTCGCTCAACTTCATGCAAAATTGCGGCAGCTTCATCGTCGAACCCCTCCACCCCCGTCGTCAGCAACAAAACCCATCGATTCCTGGTGCAAAGTAAGGTTCCAGTCCGTATAGCTTTAAGTGCCAGTCAGATGCTCAAGAACTGACTGACAAAACCAGGATATGACACGCCACCTGCATTTAACTCCTGCCAAAATTTCGCTTTCAAAACTTTGGAGCGATATGCGAGCTCGCCTTGACACAGCTTGTCCTCCGGCACGTTGAGAGCAACAAATTCCAGAGCCGAGTCCCGCTTATCTTTAGGAAAGCCCAATGCTTGAAACTTTCTCCCGTAACCTGCGCTAATTGTTGAGCGGCATCTCTTGTAAGCCTTCGCTTCTTCGCTCCGACCCGGGGTTTCTTGTTGTTGAAGCTTGAGTCACTTACCTGACTTGGAGTGTGCCATGTCCCAATTATCTCTCGCCGTACAACTCCGGCTGACAGAGTAGTCATAGAGGCATGAACCTCAAAGTAAATTCGCCCGATGTGAATCCTAGTTCAGTAGTCCTTGGAGCGTAAAATGAAACGAAGGACAATCACACAAAAACCACAGACCTCTCGAACGATACGAATGGCTTTCGACCGAACAACAGCACGCGGGATTTTTGTCAGCCTGCGTCTCGAGCCAACCAAAACGGGTTGCTTATTGACATCTGCGCTAATTGCAGTTAAACTGTTTTTGTTTTTACATTCCATGTAAAAATGGGAAGTCTTACACGTATTTACCCACATGTAAAAAAATCTTAACGAAATTTAATACTAGTGTTTGTATGCACAAAACATACTATTATCTTGGCAAATGTTGAAGGTTTCTTTAGTGTGAGCCATACATGTTCCAGGAAATTTGAGGACGCTAGCTACTTCACTTGTTTTCCGATAAAAAAGATTTCGCTGATGCTCACCATGCCACACGACCCAAAATGTACTGATGCTAAAATAAACCTCTTCCAAAACACACTTGATAAACAGTCTGTTTTAGAGCATATGAACGGTAAACTTATTAAATAGATGATTATCAAATATCATAGATAAAAAACTCGCAAAAAAGTCAGCATTTTTGCTGACGTTTTTCTAAAATCCGACACGAATATGCTCATTAAATGAGCATATTCGTGTCGATACAAATTTTGTATGCAAAAAGTCACAAAATACGAGATATTTAGTAAATTAATGCATGTTTAGTTAAATCATACAACGGTATACGCATAATAACCATACGAAACACATGACATTTAAATCGTTTTAGAAAAAATAGTATGATAAATAAAAACAATTTTTTTAGCTTAGAGAAATGACAAAATATATTTTGTGGGCAGCCAATAAGAACATTTTCTTTGTTTTTGTGAGTCTGTTTTTTGCCATCCACGATATATCAAGTGATCACTACGACTTACCTATGCTTTTTTGCATAAGTCTGAACTAGTAATTGGAGGCAATATATATTGTAAGAGCCGGCTAAAACGCCCACCTGTAGCGACACCCAATCAGATCTTAATCGCCAAATTAATCAGAGTACAAATCAGGGGTTAAGTCGATTGTGATCCATATGAGACAATGGCAACATAAATGATACTTATCCACCATTTAGAGTTATCGAGATAATCGCCTTAAAAGAGGCCAGGTTCAAAATCGTAACTAAACGAAGTCGTGAGAAAACGAGGAGTTTTGATTTTCAAAAATTTGAAGGGGGTGTATCGGCACGGATACCATTTCGAAAAGCCACTCGGACCACTACCTACAGCCATGCAGACACCACCCACGACGCCGACAGCACCGACCTCGCGCGCTGCAGCGCCAACTGCGCAGCCTGCGCAACCTCCAGTGCTGCCTCTCTCAGCCTCGCCACCGGCCACCTCGGCGACAAGCCCGCCAGCCACGGCTCCGAGTCCGCCAGCCGCGACGTCGGGTCCGCCAGCCACGACATCGCCCTCCCAGGCGCTGACTCCGCCGGCCACAACGTCCCCCTCCACGGCGCTGACTCTGTCGGCCACGGCACCCCTTGCTGCTCGGCGTCGCGAAGAAGACGAAGAGCCTGATTCTGCCGACGATTCTGTCTGTAGTGTCGATCCCACTGCTACCTGTGAGAGTGAGGTGAACGAGGACAGCAGCGACGACGACTTTACGCCTGATTCGGAGGCGTCACCCAGCGACGACGAGGAACCGCGCACAGCAGAGAGCGCGAGCAGTGAAGCCGAAGATGAAGAGGATTTTAGTATCTTTTTGAATGACGCGAGACCTCGAGCCCGTGTGACTGAGGTGATTCATGCGGACGCGTGTGAGAACGAGTGCGTCAAAGGCAAGGCTCGTGAGTTGGAGTTCTTGCTGTGCTCGCTGGACCAGATGACGAAGCAAGAACGCACCACGAGCTTGTACACGCTCCTGGCTGTGTTGATGCAGACCCCCACGGTTGAGCGTAAGAGAGGACGGGGTGACCGTGAGAAGTTTCCGTACATCCTCCCCTACGTAGGTCATGTGTGCCGACCCACTTTCGCGCTCTGCTATGGAGTAGTCCCCATTACCTTGCAGCGCTACAAGATGCGCATCCGAGACGGTAACATGTCGATCAAGGCGCATGGTAACCGGCTCAACACGCATGCAGCTCGTAGAGGCTGTTAGTTCGGCGTCCAAGAGCTCAATCCCGATGCATCTGCCTCGCGGAAGCTCAGCGTTCAAGTCCTACAAACCTATTCTCACCGAATTGTACAAACGACTTGACGGCATTCAGAAGTTCCAGATTTTCACGATGGACGCATCGCAGCCGGGTGTCGTTGTCTGCAAGAAAGGCCCCGAGAGCGAACCTGTAGAGATTAGTTTGAGCCGTCAAATTGACGGGATCTTCACCACGAAGGAGAAGGGGCAGCGGATGATGACGGACCATATCGAGACGCTGTCCCCTCTTGTCCGCAACACCTAGAAAATTGCGCAGATGTGCCACAACATCAGACCCTACGTTCCTGCTGAATTTCAGAGCGATCCCCTCTACGCCAAGCCTAGCGAGCAGGAAGGAGAAGATATCAAGTCACGGAAACAAGCACGACGTGAGCATCGCGCGGCAATGGCCGTGGCGGCTAAGGCTAACCAAGACCAGCGTGGTATCACGGAGGCTGTTGCGACGAAAAAGAACCCAGCAAAGAAGAGGGCTACTGCAGCAAAGAAGACGCAAAAGAACAAGAAGCACAAAGCTACTGCGGATCTGCATGCTGAGCAAGAATAGGCAGCCGAAGGTTGTAGTCGATCATTATGATACTTATGTCCACAGTTCATTCAAAATGTTACTTACATCCAGATATCAAATTTTCTAAAAAAAATCAAAAATATACCCCTGGTGATTTGAAGTGACGGCACAAAAGTGAGATTCTAACACTGTTAGGCTTCGAATTAGCTAAAACGGACAACATTGTCGGATTCGCTGACTAATTTTACACCAGTTCATCAAAAAAAAAATTCCCTTTCGGGGTTGAAGTCGGGCATATATTTTTTGACGGTCTCGTTCTCGGTCGTTTCTTCATACCAGAAGCTCGGGAGGGGCTCAAACGAAAGAGGAGACATCCCTCTTTCCAATTATGCGCCTAAATCGCGATTCGTACTTAGGTTGATAAGTAACATTTTGTTTGCCGTCGTCTCATATGTACGCCAGACTGCACGATTGCCCAGTAAAAGTTGGGCATTCTGCTCCAAACGCATCTATATCGACTGGTTTCCCATAAGTCGATCGTCTTATCTGCACACCAACTCAAATATCCACCCTGGATGGGATGCCTTGTAGAGATCTAGTTTACCGTAATAAGTTTTTGTTTCTCGTTAAAGCAAAATATGTCCACATAGTTATTGCCCCCACTCATGTACCAGGATGAGCTGACCTCGGGTATCGGGGAGGCCATACTGTCCTCATTCTTCACCTCATCCTTATTCGGTGTCACAGCGCTGTTTTCCGGTTGTTTTGCGCACCCTCCAGCGTCTAAAACGTTGCTTTATGTTTGTGGTGGAGTAACTCGCTTGGTATGCGGGTTTGCGCACAGTTGGTCGCGCAACGCCGCGATGGTTACTCAGCGCCATCAGCGCGAAGATGCCGTTGTACAATACCACGCCGTCGTGGAGTGCATGGATGTCAGGGCGTGGCCCCTCTCAGTACTTATTCTTTCTGGCCATCGATATAGCGATACACCCCATCCGCTATTTGTCCATCAAGCTTCACAGAAGCGCAAACATTTGCGAAAACCTCTTGACACATAACTTGCCGCAACATCACCAGCACCTTCAACAGATTCCCCCTCCCCTTCCACCACTACTGCGCGGTGCAAATCTCCATTCATCGCTTGGGTGATGCTCGTCACTCATCGTACATCGCCGTGGCCGTTTACCGCGGCCCCGCAGTCACAGTGTAACAATCCACGCCCGGACCGATGGCGCCTCCATGATCACTGCTTTCATCACTCAGCTCTATTGCGTCTCCATATTCGTACTCAGCTTTGGTACTGTACACACTCCCACCGGCTCTGACAACATCACCTGCGCCAAATCCAAGGGCGGCGATTACGTTCTGCACGAAAGTTTGTAGTCAATCACCGCGGCCATTTGGTGCGGCTTCCGCCGTGAAGGCACATGCAGCCCCCCGCACTCGTTGCGGCCTACTGCCAAAACCGGATTGTCGTGGCGCTTCACTCATCGCTGCTCTGTATTCTGGAAGGCGCGTGCATTAGCCGTGTTCGCTGCGACGAAGGCGCTTTGACGTGAGCTGTCCACCAACGCTGCAACCAGCTCGGCATTCGCGCGGATCGTGGCGTTGCGGACTTCGAGAGCTGACCCAGGCCCCTTGCACTGGCTGCTACCGCGTAAGAGCGTGCAAGTCGCCGTGCCGCTTCCAGCGTCATAGGCTGGCTGTGTGTCGTCAACAGACGTAAAAAAACGCAAATTATCATTCTCATCATCATGTCCTTCAGCTTGTTCTCGTTGAAGAAGTCCATTATGAACTATTGGTACGTTTGCCAATCTTTGCCGTCCCAGTTCTTTGGCACTCCTTCGTTCGTGTACTTTATTGGCATGGGCATCCCCGAGACGTTTCCTCAATCGGGTGCTTTGATCTCATAACCCTATTAGAATCTGCGCCGGTTCCGAGATCCTTGGGCCCACGAAGGATAAAATGAAGACTAAAATGACTTGAGCGTTAGCTTCTCACTGCCTGAGCTCCTACCAACACCCACGGGTCCCTGCCCGCCCCCATACAACGACCTGACCCTCTCTGCTTCTTAGATTCCCTCTCAACTGTCGTGGCCAGGTTTCAGATACTCATTCCAACCGGATCTCCCCGAGTTTGAGCTTCCAACCGGCCTCTGTGATGGATGGCAGCCATTCCAATGGGGTTGATCGAAGACTAACAGCGTAGAATCTACGGTGATCCACACCTTCAGACACCTTGCATCGCTTCACACGCGTTTGCCTACGCCTTCTCCGCCTTGTTCACGCTCCTGAATTCACCCAGCCCCCCTGCTCGTCTCGATTCGATCTCCAATGAAAAAGAGTCGCCCTTCATTTTGAGCAGAATGACATCTTCTCCATGTATTCGGAAATGGCTACATTTGACCCCCGACTCATGTCACTGTTCAAGTGACCCACACGAATTAATCCTGCCGGAATATCAACCAATTCGGTCCTTCCGTTATCATCTTTCGCGGGCGGGTCGACGGGTCCGCTTACCCACCACCGTCCAACGTGTTGCCAGACTTACTTTTTGTATCAACGTGCATAGCACGGCCGTCGGGCTTGCTGACCCGGCGGGTTCGTCGAAAGCCCTTTTCCCCTGCCGATCGGCTACACAGCCCAGCGCCAGTATCAAAAACGCCCCAGGAACGCACAGGGCATGGCGAGAGCTGACGACGACGACGCGCTGCGGCGCCGCTCGCGGCCGCGCCCACGCCCGCCGCCGCCCACCTCCATCGCCAGCATGTACGCGCAGTCGGCGCCCCTCGAACCGTCCGCTACCAATAGCAGCAGCAACAGCAACAGCCGCGCGCCGCGCTCGAGCAAGATGAAGATGGCGTCGCTCATGGCCGTCGTGAACGACGCAGACGTCGACAACGCGCAGAGCAAGAGCAAGCGAGTGAAGGTCGACCCGCAGAGCCCCGAGCGCTGGGCGCCGCGCAACGCACCCATCAGCATCAGCCGCCTCACGACCGGCGGCAGCGAGCCCAGCGGCAGCCGGTTCGCCATCGCCGACGAGCAGACACAGGCCCACGTACAAGCTCAAGCAGCGCAGGCGCCGCCTGCCTCGTCGCTGTTCCACAACGAGATGCCGCCCGTCATCCAGAGCTTCAGCGAGGAGAGGCGCCAGAACGGCGACAGCAAGAACGGCGCCGCCGTGGCGAACGGAGACGCGAGTCCGCCCGCCACGCGCTCCATGTACGACTTTTTGTTCCCCTCGGGCGGCCGCGCGGAGGCCAACGGAGCGAGCGGCAGCAGGTCGCTCAAGAGGAAGCGACGCAGCGCCCGACGTGCCGACGACCTGGCGGCCGCAGAGGTGGACCTGCTCCGCTTCGGCGTGGACGCGGCCAAGCTCGTGCCGCAGGGGCTCGTCGACCGCGTGGACGTCCATATGAGCCGCGCGGTGCTGGTCAAAGTCGTGGGCAACCACGTGGCCAACTGGTGCAGCCGCGCGGGCTTCGCGCCCAGCTTCCGGCAGGAGCTCACCACGCTGCTCGCGGCGTACTACCCGTGCAACTACCCGACGCTGCTGGACGAGGTGCTGGCCGGGTTCCTGTTCAAGAGACCGGAGTTCATGGATTTATTGTTGCCGCCCATGCTCGAGAAGATGAGCAAGGCCGGCGAGTCGGTGTCGACGACCAAGTATCCCGTGGCGGACGCCTTGGTGAGGATGTGCGCCACGTCGGCGGTGAGGACGAGCTCGCAGGCGGTGGCGCGCCATGATCTCGCGTGCAGGTCGCTGCTGCGCTGTCTGGCGGAGAACAACGGAGACAGATTCGTGCTGAGCCCCTGGATCGTGGCGTGTGCTGTTGAATCTAGTGACACGGTGCTCCGTACGTTGTGGCGAGCGCTGCTGCCTCGGTACACGGTGGCAGAGCCGGATGAGGATGACCTAGACTGGCAGATTCAAGAACCGGGGCAGCAGATCGTGGAGCTGCTGGCTGAGGAAGGCAAGCTGCGCGCGTGTCGAATGACCTGCGGGTTCGTGGAGCTGCTTCTGAGTGATGATGATATGAAGCAGCAGCTTGTGAACGCGCGGTCGTATCTGATCCCCGACTGCCTGGAGCGGGCATTCAAGTATGCTGGCACAAGTTGGAGCGCATCGCTGATGGCGGAGTGGATGAAGCGGCGCCGGAAGCAACACGCTGATGGGGCCCAGTTCAAAGACCTCGTGGACTTCTTAGTTCGCTTCAATTCGAAATTGAGTGTGAAGAAGCCAGAATGGTTTGTCCAACACGTTCTGAGCTTCGTGTTGTCCCCTCAATGCCAGGTAGAAGAGCAGGAGCCGGCACTGCGCGCAATCCTGCGTGACTACATGCCGTTCGTGTTTGGCGCAGTAGACGAGCAGTCGAATGAGCAGAAGAGTCGACAGAATGGTTCTGCTGACTCGGCAGCCACTGACGCAAGTGGGAAGACGGGATCTCTCGACGTCGTTGTTAGTCAAGCTGTCCTGGAGGCCCGAAGCAAGATGGAGTTGGTCGTCGGTCTTTTGATTGCTGCGAGTGCTCGGACAAGTGCATTGTTCGTCGACATTTGGTCCGAGGTTTGGTCAGACAAGCGGACAGCGCCTTCTTGGAGCCAAGTGCACGCACTAACCAGCGTTGCAATCCAAGATAGCGTGGAGGACCAGAGTGAGTTTGGGCAAAAGCTTCACAGTCTGACGACGCGAGTTTGCCGGCTGTACTACTACCGTCTGAGTCGTCATATCGGAGACGACAACACACACGACGAAGTCGCTGTCAAGTTCTCGGAGGCGCTCAACCTCCTCCTGCCGTCTACTCGCCTGATTGCACACGCTTTGTTGCAAGAAGTCCTGGGCGCCCTGGCGGGCTTTGATCAAGAGCATTCGGCCGACGCGTGTACAATTTTCGGCAATGCCGTCACACTGCAGCTTGGTAAATGCGGTGGCGCTGGCGGTGGCGTGAGGACCAGCGTGAAGCGAGGCGTTGTACAAAAGTCGCTTGTAGAATATGACCGCTCGCCTCCCAATGCTGCCAACGATGCCGCATCGTCAAGTGCTCACCTTCTCACGACACTCAAGTCACTGGCTGGGACGAACAACACAACGGGAGATTTTATCCGGCGCGTGCTATCCTCTGGACATTTGGTGCGCTTATTAGCTGGCCTGCTCAACGTTGGGCGGAGGAGACGGAGGCAGGAAATGCTGTTGGATGTAATGGATGTCGTCGTGATCGGCAATACGTCGGCGAAGCTGGACGGAGAGTGGGCTCGCCAGTATGTCGTGCAAGAGCTTGTGTATTGCGCGTACACTGGCCCGCCCAGCTCGGCGAGGAAGGCGATTGCGCTATTGCAAAACATTTTCCGACACAGCACGAATGGAGTTCGAGCGTTGCTGTGGGTGATTCTGCAGCAGTGCACGAAGCTCTGTTGTGGACGCGAAGAGAAGCCTGGCGATGTCCCTCCTTCAGATAATTACCAGGGGAGGGCGGACTCGTTCGCGGAGCTGGTGAAGGCGATGGTAATCACAGTCCCCGAGAGCACAGTGCGTGAAGTGTTGAGTTTCGTGGAGCAGAAGCTCTCGTCGTGCTCCGTTGGGAAGACACGGATGAACCTGTTCCTGCTGCTGCTACTCCGGAAACTGGTTGTTTGCGAGCTTAAATGTGGCGTGCTCCTCCCCGTCGTGCAGCTTGCCGTGTGTCCACTGGCGCCTTCCGACTTCGATCGGATCCGGTTGATTCAGCTGCAGTTGCTGAAGGCGCTGTGCTCGCGGTTGGTGGCTGTTCGGCTCCGCCCAGGAGCGTTGAAGCACACAGACTGGAAGCGCTGCGAGGGTCTGATTCGCAACGAACGGTTACAGTCTGATCTCCGATCAATGGTGAAGGTAACGCCTCTGAATGGCGTGTACTCGAAAGTGGAGCGAACTGGTCGTGCCTCCGAGGTGTTGGCTCAGGGTATTTTGGCGTTTACACATCAGCTCAAGCAACAGGGCCTCATAGACGAAGACGAAGGGGCTCGAAGGGAACTGAAGAAAGGCAGGATGAAATGACTCAGCACACTGAAGTAGGATAAATAAAATGCCGGGCGCAATTTCCCACCCACAACCCGAGCTGGTCGGTCATACTTGCGCAGTCCGAATGGTACGTCAGCGAAACTTGGCATGAATGGATACGACTGATAACTCGTGTTTGTGTCTTAAGACTCGGTGCTATCATAGTGGTGTCTCCATGGACTCGTCGTCTGTTGGGAGCTCCCAGGTGCACTTGCCAGTGCGAAGGTTGTGGAAGAATCGTTTTGGCGTAGGCGGCTGTGCTGCAGGGTCTGCCATTTCTCGCCATTGAGACTCTGGCCCGCAGCGACGCAGCTCCTGTAGCAGGAAAGCAGTTGATTAGTTGTGGCATTCAGCGAGGTGATCGAACTTCAGCGTGCAAGATGTTAGCATCAACTGGCGTACCGAAGATCGTGCGAGTGCGATGGTTCCCGGACCGGCAAAAGCGTACATTCGACCTGGAGTTCGTTCGGCCTGCAACCGCTGGAAGTTTGTGACGAACAGGTCGTTGGCTGGATCCAGATCAAGCGCTCGTCGATAGAGGAGCTCGGCCTGCAGGCATCGGCGGTCAAATGTGGTTCGAGGCGATGATGGCTGGTAGACTCACCTTGTCGATATCGAGGTGAACGCACTGGAGATACACCGCAAAGTTCGCGATTGCCTTCAAGGTTCGGCGGACAAGGTTAGCGGTCAAACTATAGCTCATCGCAAGACGACTTAGATGGGGAACTTACGTGAGGGTTCTTCGGCTGGAGAAACAGCGCCCAGCGGAATCCATTCTGCTCGATTTCGTGCAACGCGCTGACGATGTCACTCCCTGCTGAAGTGCGGGCTTGCTTGAGTAACTCCATTGCGCGCAGCCACGATTTTGCGGCGGGGTATCGACAAGAAATGACAAGAAGTGTCGCCAGGCAAACGAGCGTGTGAGGGTCTTCGGGGGATATCTGCGAAGACAAGAGACGAAGATCAAGTTACTGGCTGCGGTTAGCACGGAGCATTTCGCAAGTTAACGAGTAACTCGAGCGTACCCTCAGAGCAGCCTCGTACAAGGGGTAAGCTGCTTTATACTGGTATCAGCGGATAAAAGTGAGTGCCTCCAGGCGACAACTTTGACTCCATGGTCGGTACATCCCGTACCTGGTGCTGGAGTACGTGGAGCTGCAATGCATACCGCTTGATCACTTCAAGCTGTCCCGGATCCGTCATGTTCGAGGGCTTCTGAACGTTGCTGTGATAGCCCAAAGCCAGAGCAATATCTCGCAGCTTCCAGTTGTTGATTCCGCTCCACATCTTGCCACGGAACCAGCGCTGGATGATCGTCGCAGCTAGGACGTCGTTGTATCGACTGTAAACTCCGCGCCGAGGGTTGAAGAAACAATTATCGCCGTCAGTTGCGGCGGGGGGCGACATGATCAGCCATTCGTCCTCGGGTAGCGGTACGTCGTGGTCGAAAAGGCTGAAGGGCTTCCGCTTGCCCAGGACAGCGCGGTCACCGGTCCGATGTCGCAGAACGTACACGAACTGGCCGCGGTCTCGGTCAAATTCCTTGGAGTAGGAAGACTGCAAGAAGTCAACGTGAGTTTCTGACGCTCTCATGGATTACAGGGTGGTGATTAACTTACCAGAGCGAGTTGTAGCCGAGTTGTTCTCGCGAGACGCTGTCGACAGCGTGATTGTACCTTCACTACGAGCTGCCGTTCACGGGTGAGTCTCGCCTCGAGCTCTGCAGACTGGCGCTCCTTCTGCAGTCGCTCTCGTTCCGCTATCACGTGGGGCAGCATCGAATATGTCGGAGTGCGGACGCCATAGTGGAGCACGTAGCTGAGAACACACTGAAGCGCTCTAGTCTTGTGGGGTCCGGTCACGATACGGTGAATCTGGTGGTGGATCGGATGAAGAGCAGGCGGATCTTCTCCTTCTGAAGCAATGGTGTCATGCTCTTCATCCTGGATACGCAGTCGCATCGAGTCGAACCGTGAGAATTGGAGGACGGAGAGAACGAACGGCGCCGGGAGGTCATAGCGACGTCTAGCCGAGGTGGACGGTGTGTACACTATGAACTTCAGAGCACCCGCCCACTCCAAGACCCGAACGATGTGGCGCTGAGCATGACCAAGCTTTTGATCAGTCTCTCCTTGGCCCAGTTGAGTCCGGAGCGCACCCTTGAAAACAAGCTGCACACCAACGCACGCATCAGTGAGCGGACTAAACGATGGAGGACTACAACAGGATATTGCAATTCCAGCAGCGTACCCTGCCAAGCGACGTGTCCATCGGATCAGAGTAGCAGCGCAAGCTCAACTCACCCCGGCCAACGCTCTTCACAATGGTGAGCCGCCTCGCTAGCGCCAACAGCATAATGTTCGACTTCCGCACTGGATACACTACCGAGTCTCGCGCAACGCACGCAACTACTTGCTTGCGGCCACGTGAAACTTTGGTCTGCACCAGAGGAGGAGGAGCTGCATCAGTTGGGGCCTCCTTTCTAGCAATTTCATTCAATACCGGCAGTCCCAGCTCCAGCTGCAGTGCCAAGCGTTCGCTCTCCTCGACGATGAACTGATCAATTTGCTGCTTGGAGACGTAATATACTCCTCCCCAGGATCGAGTTGCATTCACAACTTCCAGCTCGTATGCTTCGCATTGGTCATCTTGCCTTGCTTGGGTGTTCTCCGAAGGATTGGGTTTGGCACGGTACAACGAGAATCGTACGCGCCGATCACCCAAGGGGAAAACCGCCACTCCAAGCCGCCGGAGTCGCTTTTCACGGATTCTTTCTCGTCTCGCCGCCAGCGCTGCGTTCAACCTCTTCCACTGGCGCAGAAGCCAGAGATGGTGGCGCATCCACCGCACCATGCGAAGTCTCATGCGCTCGATAAAGGCCGCGCGTTCTGCTCGAAGGCGACGCAGCTCCGACCGAGCGTGGATCCGAAGCTGCGTCCTTGTGACGATGCGTCGTATGCGCTGATACTCCACGTACCATTTCCTGCCTCGAGCAACGCTCTGGAGCTTGGTAGCTGCCAGACGCTCCTCCCTCATTCGCTGCCGCCTCAGCAGAAATATCCTCCAAGTAACGAAGCCCACCCAACTCGCTCGCAATCGTGTTGCTGCACAGTACTTCAGTGCGTATTCCTGCATGCACTGCTGCTTACGAGCCAATCTCCAAGAGTCCATGATGTCGTGCCAAGTGGACGATAAACTGGGGAGATGCACCAGAGTTTCGTAGCAAAATCGTCGTAGTGGAGCCAACAAGTGATCACGCGCATCGTTCTCCGCACGTCGTGACAATTGCCACTTCATCATGGCGTGCTGGACCCCAGGGAGTGTCTTACTCGGACTATTTCTCTTCGCCTTGGGGCTCTTTTCACTGTAGAATTGCTGAGCGAGCCATTCCACCGCGCGAACGAAGCCACCGAAACCCATTTCGTATGTAATTCCGGGCGGGAGGTTACTAGCGAAGAGGAAGGCGGCGTCTCCGATTGGGAGCAGATTGGGCTGGATCTTGGCCTCGTACAGCAACTTGCTGAACTTGACGCTGTCGACGCCGAACGCCGGTGGATGAGATCGACAGAGCGCGTCGAAGATTTGGCGCAATACTGTGTTGTACAGATCTGTGGAGTTCATGGCGAGCCTCCAGTCGACATCTTTACTCCAAAATGAGGCCTCGACGGCGCGTTCAGCTCTGCGCCAGGACATTCGCACACGGAAGTGATTGACCTTCGGACAGTCTGACGATTGGAAGTCGTAGGTCGGATGCTGGACGAAGCGATACAGATCGATCATCCATTCGGTCGGGACTTCTGGTATACTGTGAGCTTTACGCGGTACAGTGAGCCAGACGTAGGCTCCCTTCAACTTGAGCAGTGAATCTAGTGAGCAGGACTCGTCACGAACGAACGTGAGGTCAAAGACGGTGAGGTGAACACCGAATTTGTTGCGTTCAGTGGCCACGCTGTTGACTCGAGTGAAGTGAACGACGTGTTGTTCGTCCGCCAAGACAAAACGACACGGCGAGGTTAAAGTGCGCTCTACGTCTTGGCGGAATGGTGTCTTCAACAGGCCCGCGCTTGGGGATACAACGTCGATCGTGGCGTACAGTGGCAACAGGCACTCCTTCTTACTGTTGAATTTCTGTCGAGGCAGCAAGCAGCACGTGAGCGATGGAGAGAGCTCTGAGAGTTTGCAAACGGAAGCGACACGTACTTTTCGAGGGAGTGGCTGAGGCTGCGGCCCGTATGGCACACTGTCGTCTTTGGAATCTTGGTGATCATCACTTTGACGTTGTTTTGGGGGCTTTTGCAGCAATTTCGACTGTTTTATGGACTGACGCTGCGGTAGCTGGAATAGGACGGAAGAGTCTTGAAGCTGCTGGAAGTACACGAACGCTCTCCAGTGCGTGAAAAACTCCACGACGACCGAGGTGGTTGTCGTCGTAGGTGATCGACCTGCATCTGACGATATAAAGGGCTGGCGCATGGCAAAAGCTTGGATCGGAACCGGGGCACTTTCATCCTGTGGAATGTGATCAGGAACGCCAGAGTTCACGAGAGCCTGCGAAACTTCGCAGTTATGGCGCCAGAGCTGCGATGAGAAGCTACCCACACCGAAGTCCTTCACGTGATAACTATCCGCTACAACCAGCAAGGCAAATGGCAGCAAGGTGACAGCAGAAATATGTCGCTCTTGTGATTCTGCAAGCAAAGACCCACGGTACATGAAGCGGAAAGTTTTCTGCTTGTCGGTGGAATGAAACAATCGCGATACGAGCAACGGAGTCAACTGTGACCGCAGACCAGCTATTGTCGTCTCCATCGTGATCAATGCGTTTCCTATCCCCAACACTTCACAGTACTGCTGCGAGTTTATCTTCACTGCGTCAAACTTGAAAGCGAATAGAGACGAAGTAGGCCGTGGTGTTTTACCGTAAGGAATGTCTTGCGGTCGCTCGAACAAATGGGCATGAAAGCCCAGCTGAAGCAGCAGAGACTGCTGCGCCAATGGTGTCATGTGGCATAGTGCAAAGGTTCTGGGGGGCCTTGAAATATCGATTGCACAGAAAGGTTTCCACCACGAAACATTCTGCGGTGGTAAATCCGAAGGCGAAGAAGTCTGTGTCACGTCTGGATCCGCTCGCTGTTGCCGTCCAATCCGATTGACGTCGAGGCAGTAGACTGACCATTCACCGAGTGATTCAAGGCAATTGACTTCGAGTCGATCGTTTGAGCTGGTGGCAAAGCGTGTATGTAAAATGAGAAAGCGACCGCCGATCTTGACCCCGAAGCGCCTAGAAGATCGCAAACGCCGATGGGGTACAAGCGGCCGCAACTTGGAGACCACAACAGTCGATGAACTGCTAGCAGTTTGGTTCGGATCTCGCCTTCGTGGAGAATTATTCCGTGTCGGGATCTTGGTGCCGGGTGCTGGTTGAGCCGACGAGCTATTACCTTGGACAGTTGACGAAGCAGGAGCTTCACAGCGGAGACTGGTTGATGGGGAGGGCACAACGGAGCAACGCAGGCAGAAGACTGCCCAAGCGCCAAGAGACGCAGCGATCGTGCTGACTTGGGCGAGTCGGTCAATCTCCCAGCCCTCATGACGACGACTTTGAAGGTTATGGGGCAGGATAAACGCCACCAGCTCCTTGTACCCGAATCGAATCTGCACGGGTGATAGCGCCTTGACTCCAGTCTCCAGTTGCCACGCTCGCTTTCGAAGTTTTCGCCAGATTTTGTGGGCATTTTCCAGCAGCTGAAGCCTCAGCAGCGGCCATGGAGGCGCACGAAGCTCGAGTGCTGTATGTTCCGGCGCAAGGGTTAGCAGTAAACAGTGCGTGACTGCCACGACGCGACCGATGAGCTCGTGGGGCTCGACCGGGAAGCTGGCGAGAGCAGTCAAGTCGTCCACACTGAGCCGCTCGAAGTCTCGACGTAGCGCCGCAACATCAAACTTGGATAGTGAGGCTGCCGTCGAAGAAGATGGCGACACATCGATGGCCGTCGGGGAATCATGCGAGTCCTCTGTTCCCATGCATCTACACTCGGCTCGGCTTGGATCTTGTAGATGAACAGGGGCGACTTCACCAGGCGAACTGTAACGGACACTATGTCTGAAGATGCAAAGTAAATGTATTAGTGTTATGGAGTTATGGATCTTGGGGTGACAGCATGGGAGATGCTGCTTATAAATGGTTGCTCGATTCGCTTCGCTTCCGATGGCAAAGGCGTCGTGCTGGATTGATGATGGTTCCATCATAGTTCTTACAGGGTCGTCGAGATGAAGAGCTTGTCGTCATCGACAGCCACTCCCACGCGGGAGTCCTTCGTGACAAGCATCGTGCCGTCCGCCGTGTAGAAGAAGTCGGGGTCCATGGACGTGCCATCCTGAGCCACCACAGCGCCCGAGGTCGTCGCGTAGTAAACTGCACCGTCCGTCAGTCCACTGGTCTCAGCCTTGCCCTGCGTGGTGACAGACACACTATCACCCGACGTCGACTGAACGACGCCCACGGGGTTACCGAAGGACTCGAACGCAGCGAAGTTCTGCTGCAAGATGTGGTTGCGTCTGCCCACGTAGCCCGTGACAAAGCCATCCGTGCCCAGAGGAACCATGGCGTGGTCAACGGGCCGCTTGTTGGCAGTCGTGATCCACGGGAGATCCGACGGACCAACGGGCAGGATCGGAGCGCGCTCCTTGAAGGTCAGAGTATACAGCGAGAAGCTGAGGACGCGCACGCAGAGCCTTCCGTTCATAGCGGGGTTGAGGAAGCTCACGGCCAGACGGTTGCCCGACAACAAGCGACCGTGAGGCGAGAGGAAGCTTGGGTTGTATGCCGACAGATCGCCGTGGACTTCAGGGAAGACGTACGAGCCGCTGACACTCAGCGTCTTGGCGGAGGATAGAGCCATCGTGACCACCGTGAGCGCGTTGTTGTTGGCCGTATCGTAGAAGATGACGGCAATCGCATCGTCGCTGAGCGCGACGATCTCGGGGTAGTGTCCGGGACGGTAGTCTGAGGCACACACTGGCGTGGCGAAGTTGGACAAGGTGCCGCTGCTGAAGGTGGCAGTGGTGACGCAAATGCCGCTCAGATCAGCGTCAGTCTTGAGGTTGTTGGGGTCCTGAGTGTAAGAGTTGAGCTCGGTGTAGTACGGGATGGCAAAACCTGCATCAGTTGAACTCAGACCCTTGAGGGCGACCGGGGCGCCGAATTCCGTGAACAATCCAGCGCCATTTGTGACTCCGAAGCTCTTGGCTGAAGACAAAGTGATCGTGCCATCGGCAGCCATGACGCCAACCTTCGCGTACTGGTCGTACGAGGCACTCCACGCATCGTAGTACGTGACGACGAAGCTCGAGCTCGAAATTGGTGCAATGAAGTTGGTTGCCGAGTCAGCGGTCACGTTCACGACCTTGCTCTGGTCCAGCGTGACACTGCCAGTGGAGGTGTCCAAGGTTGCAGGCACGACCGCGGTCTTCACTGACGTGTAGCCGTCCGACGTGTTCCACACCGTCAGCACTGCCATTTGCGTGTCCGAAAGTGTAGCGAGGCCGCGGATCGCGTCTGCCGCGATCGTGTTCGCGTCCGAAATGGCTCCAGCTACCATCGTCCTGTTGTCGGGGTTGAACGTCATGGTCGTGAGGAAGGAGGTCGTGGTACCGGACTGCTGACGCACGCTGTACGCCATCACGTTCGTGTACTTAACACTGGACGTGCCCATGGGGGCGAAGTTGACGTAGGGAATGTTGAAGGCATCGTCATCCAGTGTCATCAGGTTCAAATAGGCCGTCGTGCCTGCACCGACGCGCAGAACATTGTCGCTGTTAAAGCTGACAACGTCGCCCACGCTCGCGGTGGCTCCGTCGGTTGCACCGAGTTCGTCCGAGCTGAAGCGTGTCGCCGACTTCAAGCTTCCCTTGGTCACCGGACGATCCGCGAAGTGCAGCGCCCACAGCGCCGCCAAGTTGAGGATCACGAAGACAAAGCCGAGGACAGAGAGCAAAAAGCTCTTGTTGCCGAGGCTGCAGCACCCGGTGACCCTGGAGAAGCCCATCTTGACTTGCGACGAGTCGACGTCGTCGGTGCCCATTGCGATGCAACGAAGCGATAGTGTCGAACAGAGGAGGAGGAGGAGTCTGGTGGTTTTGTGCCTTGAGCTGGAGGAGGCAGAAAGCAAACTGAAGATCCACGGTGGCAGCTACCAAGACAAATCCACACGTGGAGGTGTTTCAATAGGACGAGACTGCGACCAGCAAGACGCAATTATCCGCCTAACTCACGCTTAGTCTCAGGTCTGTCGCGAGCCATGATCTCGTTCCAATTCGCCCAAAGTCAAGTGCGACCGAGACATACACCGTCCTAAATAGCCCAGACACGCGACTAAGCATCGAGCGCCATTCCTACATCGCCATCCGTTGGGCAGTCTGCGCCTCGACCCAGAAACGGACAGCGGCATCCCAGCAAGTCGGTGCACCAAAATACTACAAGCGTCACTTCAACTTGGCGCATGCAAACTCCCTGTCATCCTGATCTTGGGTGTACAGAACCCTTAAATTATACGACCAGAACAAGGAATGCCTGTTCGAACGAAAGAAGTGGCATACGTCGCAATAACGAAGAAATTGAAAATGGCGAGCAATAGATGTTTAATTATTTTCCTTTTTGCTAATGCATTGCATGTATTTTATGTTAGGTTAAGGTATTCATAATAAAATGGATGGTGCCCTAGAAGGCATGGCACTGACAGGAGCCATCGCGCCTTTATTGCTGAACAAAGGAGCAGTATTTACCTCAACGACTAGCCACGCTGGGCTTGGCAGTCAGTTTGCTTTAATTTCATTAAAATTGTTAAACATCAACATGAATCGATTTCTTCTAATGATGCATCCAATTGAATTTGAGGCTGTAGTCGTAGCCTGCACGTGTTGCACCAGTTTTCGCGTTAAAGCTGCTAATGATAAAGGCAAACCATTCTACGATTCCACGCACCTGAGTGCTGCAACGAGGCATGGACGTTGTAGTACACCCAAAACACGAACTTGAGCTGCACCCCTCGGAACTGTCTTTCCAGTACGTAGGCGAGTTGATGAATCGGGGCGAGTCCCACAAAATAGCGGAGAGCAAATAGCAGCATCAGAAGCGACACGAGCTGCAGCGAACAATAAAACAGGACGTTATTTAGCATGAGGCGAAGATGATCCTGATCGACGCCACGAAGCTGGATGTAATAGTCACGGTTTGGCAGGTGGTACATGGCGTACAAGTACATCGCTACAGAAAATTCTCACACACTATTAGCCGAGAGTTATACGGTTGTCAATGCGTGAGGGTACTTACAATAAATGAGAGGGATGACAACCTCGACGTAGTTCAGCAAGAGGAGAAATTCCGCAACGTAGACCAATCGCTGGACTTTGCGGGCGTATCTGATCGGAGCTCTGCCATCACTACTAGCTGCTGGGTGTACACGAACTTTTCCGATGGGTGCAATCGATTTCATGCTCCTACTTGCAGCCTCAACGGACGGTTTTAACTCCACGACACTCGGCGCAGCCGAAAGTCGACGTGATACCGGCGAGATGTCCAGCCCAGAGGACGAGGTGGTTAGTCTGGTATTCTGTAAGATCATACTTGCTCGATCCAGCGTTGTTAGCCTCTTAGTTGCGCGTCCGGAACTTAAACCGCCTCGGGTGATGAAGCTGTTCCAACCCCGCTCTTGCTCGATTCGTCGTTCGATGTCGAGTAAATTCCGATGCTCATTCCTTGCATCATTCAATGAGAAAGCCATCATCAGAACATCGAAAAGGATGATCTCTAGAGTCACCCAAAGCGATGGGGAGTTATGCATGCAGTAGCAGAGGAAGAGGTTGTTGAAGACGTCCACATTCAGCACCACAACTTCGGGCATCTCGTCCTTGAGATGGACAACCGACCGAGCGATGATATTCTTCATCAAAATCTTCAAGACTGGTAGAAGCAGAGTAAATGCCGTCTTGCCCCTCCTCGGCAGTGTGGTGAAGGTATAATAGTACACCGGATAGGTAAAAACCAGCGATGCCTCGCACATCCAAAGCTTAAAGGCGTTGATGACCATCGTGCCAGCGCCTGGAGTACCTTTAATCTGCTTGCCCCACTCAATCGCCAGAGAAACCAGAACGAGAGAAACCCAGGACGGAGCGATTATCATCGCAGAAAATGGCAGCGGAAACCCGATGGATGCGGCAAGGCCGTACGACACACCAACTCCGATCACCGATACCACCACAGTGTTTCTGATGACCCTGGCTAAAGGGTACGAGAGTGCTGGTACGCTGATCCGGAACTGACAGGTGGCCAGGAAGGTGTCGACTAGGAACGTGTAGAATAAGCGCACGTAGAACATTTTGTTCGCGTGGATGCCTTGAAACGGGTTGGCAAGCGGTAGGAGATCCACGAAGACTGGGACAAGCAAACACGGCAGCGGGGTGATGAATAAAATCGTGATCACTCGAAGCCAACTCGCCTCATTCCTGTATTTAGCCAGCTCGAGCACGCGCTGGGATGAGTAGCCTCCGTGCGTCTCCACTTGCAAAGAGCGCCAAAGCCTAGCCAGCAAGGAGCAAGTAGACCCCATTGGCAGAGTGTAGACAACGATGAGAGCCGAGTCTTGCCGCGACCTCGCTGTGCGTCCGCAAAAATACTTGTGCAATCACAATACAATGCCACATTTATCACCAGTCCTAAGTACTCGAATGCTTTCTCATCCCTACCAATGAATTCGCGCTAAAACGATCTTTCCCAGTTCACCTGCTTCCCATTCATTGTCCCTCACTTGAATTCGCTGCTGTCGTGTGTTCTGAGTGAATGTGGATGGAGTCCCTAGCTTTGCAGCATCGTTCATCACCGAAAAGGCTTTTGTACTGGGCCCACACAGATGCGCAAGACCTGAGAGTGTCCTCGGAGAAACTCTCGTCGAAAAGTTGCGATACGATGGAGAAGTCTTCGATGGAGCAGATCGCACTGGCGAGACGATGCATCTCGTACTTTTCAGCGTAAGGAGCGAGGTGGGCAAGCACGCGCTTCTGGATGGACTTGTTGAAGTGAGCCACTTTGGATAGAAACTGCAGGAAGCGCACGGCTTGGGACCCCGTGAGCAGGTACAGCGCTCGAGCAGCGAGAGATTCAGAGGAGCGGGTGAGCGATTTCTTCGTGACTTGGCGGGACATTAACTCGCTGGTGAACAACGTGACTGATCCATCTGCTTCGCCGTGGTCGGTCGTTGGGCGGGTGAGCTTGTCAAGAAGCCGCGCTGCTTCCACCGTGACGTTTTCTGCTACGTCCAAGCAGCTCCAGCACACGAGGTTAAATGCGTCACCATACGATGAGTTGGCGTATCCGTAGAGCATCTTGCGCGCTAGCTCGTGCTTTTCGGTGATGCTGGCGATAGGCAACACAGTGGGGAGGCCGTGTCGGATGTACTCTTCGTCCAGATTGCCTTTCAGCATAATGTGGAGCAGCTCGCTCGTGGGCACTGTGATGGCTTCGTCTACCGCAATATTCAAGATCCGCAGTGCCAGGAGCTTTTCAAAGTCTTCCAGCTCTTGAGAGATCTCCTCACGCAAAGTGAGTACGCTCTGTTTGCCATGGACCTCATTCATCTCTGGTGTTACGCGCAATAGAAGGAGTTTTTGTGAGAATAATGAAAAGTGCGTTTACCTCCGAATGCGACAGGGCCACTTACTTGTTGCGTATGTATTAAACTTGTCCTCCAGCACTTGAATCGCTGCTTTTCCATGGCAGTGGCGCCCACACAAATTCAGAGCCTCGAAGAGAGGATCCGGGTCGATTCCCCAATCTAACAAAAAGTAATCGTACAGTAGAACAAAGTTTAGTAAAAAAAGAGGGTAAACACAGCGCAGGATGACCCACCTTTCACGCAGAAAATCAGCAGATCGAGGCAGTGCTGCGCGAGTTCATCCACCGTAAAAGAGTCCAACGTGCGTTGCTGCTCTTGCCGAGTTTGAACGTCCACCACCCACGTGGCTCGGCAACTGTCAAAAGAGTCAAACGACGAAGCCAGTGTGTTGCGATAGTCTCGAGCAACGAGATGAGCCGACTTCTTCCCAGCAGCCTTGCGGGTGAGCCGCTGGCCAGCAACTCGGTCGAGATTGGACTGCTGGAAGGGCAAGCTTGTCTTCAGCATCCACCTCGGAGGAGTTGCGTCGTCTGCGTCCAGCGTTCTACGTCTGAGTCGCTGCATCCTGCCGGTGCTCATTAGACGAGCAGTCGAAGAAAGGCCAAACGTGTCGTCGTACTGGTCTCGCAGTCCAAGGAGAAGCGCTGCGCTGACCTGGCTGTTTGAATACTGTCTCGGTGGTGCAGTCGCATCGGGACCATGGCTAAAATCTCCAACGCGAACATACAGCGCTTGGTCTGGCGCCTTCCCCAGATAGGACGCAACGATATCGCCAAAGTTGGTAGAGCATCCTACTACAACACCGTACTCGTTGTAGATATCTTGAATAGTCTGACAAGACACGCGGAACTCCTCCTCGGCAAAGTTCTCAGCTACGTATCCTTGGATGACCTGCATGAGGAAGGCGTGTCGTCTCCGTTCAGCCTCCGTGCTCAGTTCATGGGCTCGAAGTCTCGGGTCTTTCATATTCGCTGTCGCATGGTACAGACTCGATCGGAATCCGTAGAACAAATACTTCTCTCGCTCGACTTTCATTTCGCTGTACCGTCGACGAGCAATGATTCCACGTTGAAGAGCCTGCAGCATTTGAGCAGCGCGCATACGCACGTGCCGCTTGTGGTCGTACGACTTCTTCTGAGCACTCATACGGAAAGCGGCTTGCAGTTTACTCGCGTAGTGATCATCGTATCCCCCAGAGTACTTGGCCGCGTGGATCTCGACGCGGCACTCGAACGCGATAAAGTCCAGAATCATGTCGTCAACGATAGAGAGAATGGCGATTTCCTGTGGTTGCACGCACATCCAGAGACAAAAAGGTTAGCTTAGGCCGGAATTCAACTAGAACCATGAAACGAGAACTTGCCCGGAGCTTTGCCAATTTAGCAGCCTCTAGGTTTTGCTCAACGCGGTCATTAAAGGCGGCCTCGCTGTCAATACAAGCGGCTTGCTGTATAAAGGCAGCTACATTAAGTTGCAGGGCTTCTTGCTGCTGGAAATGCCGTAATGTTGAAAGGATTCCATTCTCCACGTACGCCTGCACAAGCACCGCAACAGTCCCGACCATTTTGTTCTCTGCAACAGCCTCTTGGACGTAATTCGGCGAGTCAGGTAACTCGAACTTCACGAACGGACTTGCTCTTCCAGTAATATCATCGGTAAAGTCAGTGGGCGATGCCGAGGATCCATTTGTCAGCAAAATAGCGTCGCATTCATCAACAAACCCCGTGCAGCTCATTCCGAGGCGAATGACGTTGCTTTTGGTAGCTAACTCGGAGAGAAAATCGTGGTCATCAAACAATACAGATACGTCTCGCTCAGTACCGTCAACAGCAGACATCTTGCCTCTCTCGAGTGCAAGGCGTCGCAAATCATCCGCTTTCAGCAGAATCTTCGCCTCATTAGCACCGGATTCTGCATCGCGGATCGATATGAGCAAGCTTGAGGCTGCTACCAACGCAACCATCTCCACAGCGACCTCTGCGTCATTGACATGGGCTGTTCCCGAAAAGCAGACCCGTTTTTCGGTGCCCTCAGCATCAGAAAGGTCGATGTAGAAGCTCAGTCTTGAATCGCAGCGCACTTTTGTAATGATCCAGTCGGCCCACTTGGGTGTTAGCGTCTGTAAGTCGGGACGAAGAAGCTGGGATTGCTCCAAATCGGAGTCAGTGATGTCAACGGTGCTTTGGCCAGCATCGCTGCCACCTTTGCACGTAATATGAGAATTTCCACGTGAGCTCAGCAGAACAGTGACAAGCACGCTGCAGCCTCTGAGTGTACGTAAATCCTTTGCCAGTGTTTTGTACACTAAAACGTCCGACTTCAGAGCACGCTTGGCTGCAGACTGGCATACTTCTGCTGTGTCAGAAGCAGGTGATGTTGATTCAATCACGTCTCGCAGCCAGGTCAGTTTGGGGCCTTCCGTTTGCAAGAATGGCTCGTAGCAAGTCGAGACGTCCAGCTTTTTCAGCAGCATCGGGCCCACATTTGCTACAGGACTCGAGTTTGGCTTGAACTGGTGGCTAAAGACCGGGTCCTCTTCCTCCTGCTTTATCAAATCTTGGGTGTCCGCAACGACTGCTCCCAAACAGTCATCGGGAGAGGGGGAGCTGGTCCTCACATCGTCTTGGTTCGACGCGCCACTCGGCAGCTCCTCCAATTCTCCTTCTTCCACGTGCATACGACTGTCCTCCTCACCCTCATGCTTCGTCTTCTCCGAAGCATCATTGTCCACAGCATCCACAGCTTCTTGAGCGCCTCTCGAATGATCCTCTCCACACGATACAGCTTCCCCCTTCTTCGTCCCGCGCTTCACCTTCCTCTTCGTCGACGACGGCCTCTCTCCATCCTCCGACCCCCTCCTCTCCTCGAACAGCGGGCGAATCGCCATGCGCTGCTCCGCTCCCTGGCTGTACCTGTAGATGTCCACGTCCGTCCGCGACGAGATCCCAGTCGGCGGTTGAGGCCGCAGAACTCGAGGCGAGTCCACCCCCTCCTTACTCCGTGGGCGTTGGGGCTGACTCGGCACAACCGGCGGCGATCCACCAGAAACTGCAGCCTCGTCCGAGCCCCCGACGCTCTTCTTCCTCGTGGAGGCGTTGGCCACCATGTAGGACTTGGGCGAGGACGCCAGCACCGGCTCGAACTGGTGGATCACCGGCAGCGCGAACACGTTCCTCGAGGCGCCATCCCGGGCCTTCGACCTCGGCGAGGGCAGCGGCCGTCGCGGCGCCACCAAGTGCTGCAGCGCATCCATTTGCTATCCACGGCGCGAAGTTGAAGTGGACAAATCGACGCAAAATAAGTAGCCAATCGCGAAATTTGGGTGTGAGCAGACTATTTTAGTCCAGCGCAAACCGTTATCCGTCGTCATTTTGGCTATTTCGCTCGCGACACCAAAGCACACCAAGACCGACGTGGCGACGACCATGAGCTCCCCGGCCAAGCCCGTGTACGTGCCCTCGCAGACGCGCGACGCGTGGTTCCAGAAGCTGCGCTCGGGCGTGGCCAACAAGGGATGCTTCGACTGCAACAAGCGCCACCCCACGTGGGCCACGGTCACGTACGGCGTCTTCATCTGCCTCGACTGCTCGGGCTACCACCGGCGCCTGGGCGTGCACCTGTCGTTCGTGCGCTCCATCGACATGGACGAGTGGACGGAGGACCAGCTCAAGGCCATGTCCGTGGGCGGCAACGCCGAGGCGCGCAAGTTCTTCAAGCAGTACGGCGCCGCCGAGATGACGAGTGTAGGCAACGAGTCACGGGATAGAGACAAGAAGATGTGCTCGAGTGCAGTTCTGACGGTGGTGTTGTGGGTTTATGCGGGCAGATTGAGGCCAAGTACAACTCCAAGGCGGCGCAGATGTACAAGATCGCGCTGGCCAAGAAGGTCAAGGCTTCGACGCTGCAGATCGTGGCGCCGGAGGTGGAGGAGGTGCGGATTGTCGGGGTAGAGTTTAGGCTTGGTGGTGACTTTGACTGGAGAATGATGCTGAGTGTAGGAGACTCGCGACAATGAGATTGACGGTCTGGAGGCACTGGTGAAGCACGTGGAGATCAAGAGCGAGACCACTTCGGCGGCTGTGCACGGTCACTTGCCGGCTGCTGCTCATGTGGTGAAGAAGCCGACGCCGGCAGCGGCTCCCACTCAACCGTCGGGTTTGTTGACGGTGAACCGCCCCGTTGTGTTGCTGGGAGCGAAGGCTGGAGAGGCCACGACCCCCGCCACCACTAGCTCTACGCAGCTGAACACGCGCACTAGCAAGGTGCAGTTCGACGCTAATGTGCTGGGCTCTGTTGGGTACCGGGCTGATGGGATTGGGCTGTTTGTTGAGTGTAGGCTACTCGTCTAGGAGCAACGAAGCTGTCAACAGGTGGTAAGGCCACGCGCCTTGGAGCTACGAAGTTGTCGACGGGTGCCGATGACTTTGACTTTGACGACATTCCGTTTGAGGTGGGTGCATCTCTCACTAATCGATTTGAATTGCCTGTGCTGGCGTGTAGAACTGATAAGAAGTTAACTCGATACCATGCAGAACCCGCCTCCGCCTGCACCTACCGCTGAGGAACTGTCCATGGAGAAGCAGATTAAGGACGACGAAGCCCTGGCACGAGCTCTGCAAGAGGCTGAAGAGTGAGTACCAACCAGTGCATCCTCGCCACACTTACATCGGTAACTAAGATTGTGATTCTATGTTTATGCAGCGAGCGCCCATCAGCTAGATCCGCACTCGCACCAGCGGCATATCAGCCCGCTCCGGTGCAAACGCAGACCCTGGACAAGTACAAGAACGCCAAGTCCATCTCGTCCGACAACTTTTTCGGCGGCGAGGCAGTGCAGGCGGACAGCTCCCACCTGGCACGATTCCAGGGCTCCCAGTCCATCTCGAGCGATGCGTTCTACGGCAACAACACCAGAGGCCGATCCGCTTCCGGAGAGTGTACGTTTGTCCGCAACGTTGGCACGGACTCGCAAGGGTTTGATTGTCTAACTCTTGTGTCTTGTGTCTGATCTTCTGACTGCAGTGACCGATGAAGCTGCTTATCAGCTGCAGTTGATGAAGGACAACATGGCCAACAAGGCCGCTAAGGTGCGCACCTTGCTGGCTCGGGAGGAAACATGAAAATGATTCTAACAGAACTTTTGGTCTTTCGATACAGCTCAAGAACATGACGAGCGGCTTCTTCAACGACTTGCAGACGCGCTACTCGTAGACATAGCTTCAAGACGCTCCGATTATCCGGATGTAGCCATCTGTTGGACCGCTTCCACGTAGCTCACCAGAACCTAACGTATCCGGATAAATGGTGTCCAATCCGACGATTTCATTCGCAGTTGTAGCCTCTTAGAACGGGAAAATGACAGTACACGTATGAATGTAGCCGGTAAATGCCGAATCCGTAATCTGTGTGACAGTAGACGTATGCGGGAAACTGAAAAACTTTAGGTTTTTCACGCCTTTAGCTTTTAAGCTAAAGGCGTGTCAACGTATGCCACAAAGTGACAACAGGCGTATGAACATACGACCTCCGCACTGCCACAGCGGCAGCAGCGCACCTGCTGGACGCGCTGCCCGTGGGGATATTTATCACGAGGGTACCACAACGGGTTCATACGATATGTTGGGGCCGACAGGCCCCGACATATCCGACACCGAGCTCCGAACTCCGACACTCCGCCGCATGTTTGTTTATAAGTTTATAAGTCAGTTTAGAATTGAGTACAAGGTCGTTCAAAGGGAGTTCAAGCCGTGACAGACGTTCGCTATGAGCTGGAGACACCGAGGCGGTGCTGAAGCACTTTGACGTGACGAAGGGGCGCAGCCTGAGCGCCGGCAGGTGGAGCAGTGCAGCGCAGAGCACGGCTACAAGGACCTGGACAAGGAGGAGCAAAAAACCAGGAGCGGAAGCACTTCGCCGTGATGAAGGAGGAGGGCAGACAGGAGTCGGAGGCAGCAGCTATCCGCATCTAGCGTGGCCACTTGGCTCGTCAGATCTTCTCCAAACTGTGCATCGAGAAGATCGAGAAGGAGAGAGAGATCAACCACGTGCGCGAGGAGTTCTCCAAGTTCAAGATGGAGAAAGCTGAGCAAGACGACGAGTTCGCGCGCATGCGAGAGGAGAACGCCAAGTTGAAGAAGCAGTTGGCGGAGGTGCTGAGGACCAGCCAGGAGCTCGGAGCACTGATGCGACTGCGACGCGATCAACAAGGAGGTCGAGCTCACGCAGAAGATGACCCCGCAGCTGGAGACGACGCGCGGCAAGTACTAGAAGACCGGCAGCTCGCGGTCCACGGAGCCGACAAACTCAACTCGTCCGACAGCTCGTCCGCTTTCAGCGAGAACGAGCACTGGAAGGAGGTCTGCCATTGACTCGAGCACTGAGTCTTTACTGCACAAAACGAAAGAGCAACCAAGACAGTCAGGTAGGATCGATTTAGATAAGATCATTACATCGCACATGTTCAATCCATCAAACATACATTCTGTTCTCCTTCTTGCGAGCTGAACCAATCTCGCATTCATGAGCTGGCCTTTCATCCACAGCTTGGTGTCCTTAGCAATCTCGAACGCAGCGCAGCCCTTGCAGAACGCTGAACGCTAAATGTCATGCCCGTTGTGTTGCTCGCCATCGAGCGCTAGGGTAGCGTCAAGCCCTACGTGGACGAGCTGTTAGGTCTCCGGTTCTTCTCGATCATCGTGGCCGTCGTGGTCGTGGACACGAACTTGATGTAGCTGATCAGCAGGAAGCGCCTCACGCTCTGGCCGCTGCTGTAGAACGTCGGCATGTTGGTAGGTACTCAGCGCTCCGTAGTCCGTGTACGCCGGCGAGTCCAGTCCCGTGTACATAATGGTGCCCGTTGCCGCCTCGGACGAGCTGCTGTAGTTGCCCCCGGTGTCGAAGATCGAGTCCAGGTTGGCGATGAACACGAGCAAGGGCGTCAGCACGGGCGGCAGCAGCAGCTCAAACACGGAGGACACGGGCTTGCGGCATCTGATGACGAGGTTCTTCCTGATCAGGTTGGTCACTTGTCTCTAGGCAGCGACCATCGCAACGTTTACTTGTTGCTGCTCGTCAGCACTCAAACCGAAGACGGCGGACCACCTTCGCCCCCGCAGTCAGACACGTCACCTGCGCTGCAAGAGCCGCTCCTGTTCCAGCATGTGTGTCGCCAAACCGCAGCGAGATAGCCTCGCCAGCACCGCTGCTGCCCGTGCCCACGCTGAGCAAGACGGATCCGCCGTTGCCGCAAGTCGCCCGCCGAGCCCAGCCCGTCGTCAGTTTGATCAGGCCCGACGAAGCGGCCGTGCTGTTTGCGCCCACGCCGCCATCCGGATTGTGCATCAGCACATTGCCGCTCGTGAAGCTATTGCTGGACACGCCCACATCGCCGCCCACGCCGCCCGCAGCGGTGCTCGTCGTATTCAAACCAGCGCACGCCGCCGCCCTTAGCCGTATCGCCACTGCCCGCGGACAGCTTGATGTTGCCTACTCGGCCGCCGCACCCGTCGATAGACGCACAGACCCGCTCGACGAGGACGATGACGCACCGCTAGCCAGAGACAGAGACCCACTCATGCCGGACGCAGCGCTCCACAGTGACGTCGCCGCGATAGAACGCCGGGCTCTCGGCAGTCGTATCCGTAGGATAGACAGCTGTAGCATGGCCTCGAGGTGACCGTCCGCGAGGCCTTCCAACCTCTTCGACTTCGTGCTGGGTGAGCGCGTTTGCGTGCTTGCTCTACTCAAACGGAATACCGGGTCCAAAAAAGGTGAGAAGTCGTCAAATCCGGTCGGATATGGTCCCGATCGGTGGCGGTAGATTCCCCGGAATAACACAACGAAGGGAGAATTTATCACGAGGGACCACAATCGATATGATTGGCCAAAAACATTAGGTGCTTCACGCTCTTTTAGTCTGGCCGCACTAATTATAGTCATAGACTCAACAACTAAAATCGATCGACACTCGATCGCTGGACACGTGACGATGCTTGGAGAGAGTGTAGTGTCGTGGTGCAGCCAAGCCGAAAAGACTGTGGCGTTGAACACCACTGAGGCAGAGTATATAGCGCTGAGTATGCTAGTGCAAGAGATCATTCATCTTAGACAGATGAGCAAGGAATTGCTGAAGAAGCAGCCTGAGACTACTGATGTCTTTTGTAGACAACGCGAGTGCGTTGAAGTTAGCCAAGAATCCTGAGTTTCACTCAAGAACCAAGCACATAGATATCAGACATCTTCATCCGTGAGAAGCAAGACAGTCACGAGATTGAAGTGCAGAAGGTTGCTAGCGCAGACAATGTGGCAGACGTGTTCACGAAGCCGCTACCGCGAGTTGCATTTGAGAAGCACAGAGACGCTTTGCGCGTCATGCCAGTGCAGTGTAATGTACCTGCCTCCGAGAAGCATCCGGAGAGCGTGATAGTCACGCTGTAGCAATGATGCTGCTCTTCAGCAGAGACAAGTAGTGGGCGACGAGACCGTAACCTAGGGGTACAACCGTTAGTACCCTCAGAGAGAAAATCGTAACCTGAGTAATATATCGTCTTTTGCCCCCTAGCTCACAAGTAAGGCAATGGGATCGGCGCAAGCAGTTTGACTATTCGAGAAGGCATATCTTTCTACCTGGAAAGGATGCGTGAAGGCAGTGAAGGGCTTTTGCGCTATCGCAGGGGAAATGCATGCGAGTGGCCTGAAGCGAATCCTACGTTCCGCAGCGTCGTACACGAGTACTGGGCATTGGTGGGCTTATTGGGGCATAGCCCCCCCTTATAATGAAATGTGCATAAAGACCTTTTTACCTTTTTTACAGGTACTTTTCACTCCAATTTATGAACCCCTGTATTACAATTGAGAATGGGGTAGGGCAAATGAACTATCATAGCCTACCCGGGGGCGATTTCGATCGAATTTTACCTCTTTTTAAGAACGCACGAACTCGTGTTGAACGGCGCCCAAAAGCGACCCTTCAAATGTTACCTTTTTCGAAGGTATAACAAGTTATTAAACTGAGGTCAACTTTTTATTGAACCGGAGATCGCCCGTTTGTATCAGCAAACAAACGATTGCGTTAATCGTTGAAGTTTAAGGTAAGAGTTGATGACCGACGATTTATGCACATGGACCGTGGAACCCTTTTCAAGGGGTGGCTGAACTCCGGTTAAATGTGGTAACGGAGGCAAATGACACCGTAAAAAACATATGAGAGGTGCCTGCTCATATGTTTTTTACGGTGTCATTTGCACACTGATAGATCCTTGGCAAAACTGGTATGGAGCTGTGAAGTCTAAATCCAAAGGCTATACTATGCTACCGCTAACTATTACGAACCACTCATGCGGAAGCAAGAAGGCAGCACTATAATTAGCATATTAGTTGCTGCAATCGTTGACTGAAGAAATCTATAAATCGCTTGCTACACACAGTTCTGCAGCAGCGGGGGCAACCGAGTTCGAAGATTGGCATGATACAGAAAGCGGTGACTAGGCCAGACGTGCCATATAGTGGAGACAATAGCCAGGATGTATGCTCTGTAGCTGTGAAGAAAACGTGGAGAATTCTCTTTTTGCCCTGACATTTGGTATATTATTCTGACAACCTTGATAAATAGACGAAGTATTGTCATTTGCGCAGGAAGTAAGACGTCGTTGCTCTCCAAAATCACATGCTATTTCCTGAGCAAGTTAAAGTACCAATGTGCAATTCTGACACCAACTTTTGGTCTTGCATGTTCACACAAACGCCAAATATATAGCTAACGCTAGCGTTTGTTAAATGTTTGTTACTGTATAGTGAATCTGGCGAACATGTATGTGGAGTGAGACGTGTAGTCGTTCATCTTGAAGCTCTTTTAAATCACTTACAGTGAGTTCGTGTTATTGTGAAAAGCACTTACGTGTTGGGGGGCACACTGCTGGTCTCGCTGTTTCAATGAGCTTTAAATTAATGTAATGTAAGAGCAAATCTGCTTGTTGAATGTAATGTGACTGAAGTTTTCGCCATGAGTTACAATTTTACTGATATATTGGCTTGCTGAATGCTCGAGCACGATTTAGCCTGGTACTGTGGGGGATATTTAACGATGTCCACCCGGACATTTGTTGCAATCGATTCAGCGGCCAACGGTGGCAACGCCAAAGCCACTTATAATGATTCGGAAAGTGTTTATTTACTACTGTAGCATGGAAACCAGGACTAAGCAAAAGACTATACATTGATTTACGGTTGAAAGAGGTCGAAAGCTACGACGGCACTACCAGATGCGGCACGAGATCCCTTGTTGTTACGTCAAGCCTCTTTCCTGTCTTCATTTATGGCGGCGACGGATGACTCGGACATGCAAGTTCTAGTTGATCAGCATGTGTGCAACGTCGGGAACACGCGCGCTGTCTACCAGTGCTCGCTGCGCTTGCTCGTGACATCGGTCCCCGTGCTGCCTATACCGTTTTCCATATTAAACTCCAAGCCCGGTCATTTTAATAAAATCTGATGCAAACCCGGCACTTCGTGCATATATTTTTGAAACCAATTTGGTAAAAGTATGAGTGTGTATAGGATACTTGGGGGCGGTGCTGAGAAGCTAAGATACAACATTTTCCGAAGCAATGCCCCTCTAGCAACCGGGGCGAAAATTCGCCGTGAGGATGCTGCTATACTAGTTATTTGTTAGTACACGTATGCGAAAGTGGTAGCTCCTTCTGCATTTAAAACTCATTTTTATACGGCTTTCGTCATTTCCACCTCTTAGAACAATACCTCCCTATTCCGATGCAGTTGAACGAATCGATTTGCAACAATCCCCGTCTAAAGCGATGCAGCTTCTGGTACACGCGTCGCTTCCAGCCGAAGGTCGGCCATTTCTGGATATCCTTCGTCTCGCTAATCCCGCGTCGAACATGTTGAGCACCAAGCGTGTCGTGCTGCTGGCCCTCGTGGCGCTCGTGCTGGGCACCGCCCCGGCCGTGCAGGCCGCCGACGAGAAGGAGTGCGAAGGTGCGCAACCGCTGCAATTAGGGGTCTCTGAATCGCTTTGAGGTGCGACTACTGACACTGGACACGTACTTGTTGGTGGTACTGTACTGTAGTGTGCGTCAAGGTGATCGACGACCTCAAGGTGACGTACGCGCAGATGCTGGAGGAGTCGCCCAAGGCCAAGACGCAGGCGGTGGCCGAGAAGGCCGTGACCAAGCACTGCGGCAAGAAGCTCAGCACCAAGGACAACAAGCTGGTACGATTGACACGCTGCTGGTGCATGGTCAAACGTGTAGCTGTGTGTGAGTGGGTGGCTGACAACGGGTGGTGGTCTGTGTGATGCATGCAGTGCTACAACCTGGAGCCTCTGAAGAAGGACGTGGCTCGCCAGGTGTCGTTCAAGAAGGACTCGATGAAGATCTGCAAGTCCCTCGAGAAGAAGAACCCGGACTTCTGCTCCATGCGATACCGTACGTCGTCTTGCATTGTGATCGGTGCATGAGTCCACTGCTAACGGGTCACTGTTGCTGTTGTTGTTCTGTTTCGCTGTTCGGTGCTGCAGCCGTCAAGACGGACGCCAACACAGACTACTCCAAGATGCGCGTGAAGCAGCTGCGGAAGATCCTTGGCGAGCGCGGCGTGGAGTGCGTCGGCTGCGTCGAGAAGTCCGACTTCATCGCCAAGATCAAGGCCACCGAGTCGCTGCACTCGGAGTTGTAGACAAGTAAGGCGCGGTGGGGCCAGGACGAGCCGCAGCCATCATCACGGCGTCGACAGTCTCTGGCTCCCAGAGCCTATTGAATCAATAAAAGTACCAGCTACACATCAGCACATGCGCTCCATCTTACAGACTTGTTGTGAGTGAAGTCGTCGGAAGAACGGCAAGCATATACTAGTTCAAAACACGTCACCACCGAAACGACAGCATTGGTTGAGGGTAAACGTAGCTCATACTATTAAATTAGCAACGATAGCGCAGCAACCTGCCGCTCGTTCCGCCTGGAGACACCAGCGCTTGGATCGCTGGAGACGGGGTTGATGAATTGTTGCGCAGGCAAGATATTCGCTCTGTCGTCGCTCCATACAAACGGGAATGGATGTACAGGCAGGAAGGCAGTCGGGCAGGCAGAGGCGCTTAGAGGCCGAGCTGCGCCGTGCGCAGGATCTGGATCACTGAGGAGCCCACCAGCACGAACAGGAAGAAGCCCATAAGCACGGGGCCCACGCTGTAGCCCTTGTCCTCCTGCAAAACAGCAAGCACAAAGGGTCAGCCTCCGCAACGAGATAGAACCTCTCAAAGCGCTGGATAGAGGTGGCGCACCTTCTGGGGCTGCGAGACGTGACCGCGCTTGGTGATGTTGGCCAGGTGCTTCTCGGAGCGCAGACGCATCTTCGCGGGGGCAGCCATGGTTCGTTCTCCTGGATGGATCGACTTACTGGGGCTTGATGCGGATCTGGAAATGGTCCGCGATGCAGGCGTCGTCTCGACGCGGGTATATTTTTAGCCAATAGCAGTGCCGGCCACGTGTCGCCCCGATCTTTAAAACGATTTGGCTCGTGTGGCATACACAGGATGCGATCCGTAGTCTTACGTGGACCACGCGACAGATTCCGGTGTTCGATTGAAGTGCGCCGCAACACCATGAGATGTATTACGGGAAAATAAAAGAATAGTGAGCTCGCATGCTACGTCATATACAGGTAGCTAGCTAGCTGCGTGCTGTAGTACTTAGGGGGATCGACCGCTTTACTGGCGCGCGTTGATCTCGCTGGCCAGCTTGTTCTCGAGCAGCATGTGGCTCTCGGGCGCAAGGCCGACGCAGGCGCGGAAGATGTTGATCATGCACTCGCGCTGCGCGAAGAGCGCGTTGACGACGGGCGTGCCGCGCGGCACGAGCGGCGCCTTGAGCATGTAGCTCAGGATGGACAGCACCGAGTGCAGGTGCTCGAACTCGGACGCGCCCTCCTTCTTGAGCGTGATGCGCTCGGCCAGCTCGCACACGAGCACCAGGTCCAGGATGAGCGGCGACGCCAGCAGCGAGTCCTCGCACGTGTTGTGCATCGAGATGGTGTTGTTGCCGTTCATGAAGATCTTGGACGTGTACTCGTCCAGCGCGCGCTTGCTGTCGCCCACGAACGGCACGTACTTGATGACCACGACGTGGTCTGGGTGCTCGTTCTCCTTGTAGAGCAGGCGGTTGGAGGCCACCATGTCGTCGACGACGTTCGACTTGGAGATCTCCTTGGAGCGGAACTGCTGCGGCGCCGACAGGTTCTTGCCGTCGTTGTTGCCCAGGTGGTTGTAGCTCACGATGGACGTGGGCTTGATGCCGGCCGACACGAGGAAGTCCACGAGCACCGACTTCATCTTGGTCTGGCCCGATTTGAAGTCGTCGCCGCCCACGAAGATCTTCTTCTCCTCGGCCAGGTCCAGCACACCGGGCACGAACGTGTTCTGCGGACTGCCGTTGATGTACGAGCAGCCCTCGAGGATCGAGGCCACGGCGAAGATGGTGGAGGGCGAGATCTCGGCCTCACCGGCCTTGATGGACTCGAGCAGGTTGGCCGACGTGTCGTTCACGCCCTCGACGATGTCCGAGAAGCGCTCCGTGTTGGCGGACCAAAGCACGATGACCTTGTCCAGGCCGTTGCTCTGCTTGAAGTCGCGGATCTGCTTGCGCACGGCGTCCAGGTTCTCCTGCTTGGAGCCCTTGAGCAGGTTGTCGGCGCGGTCGGCCTGGTTGGCGGCGATGAAGTCCGGGTAGTAGATGGAGGGCAGCGGCTTGATCTTCTCCAGGTAGGGCACGAGCTGGCGCTGCAGGTCGTGGTCCAGCACCTGCGCGCGCTTCATGGCCTCGGCCATGTTGAGCGACGAGATGTCCCAGCCGCCGATGACCAGGTCGTTGGGCGAGACCATGGGCAGCAGGTTGTGGAACGGGATGTACACGCCCTCGCCGTTGGCGTTCGTGCCGAGGCGCACGGTGGAGGCCTGCGTGACGGAGCCGTAGTAGTTGGGCTCCTGCACGCCCTCCTTGGTGGTCCACGTGATGTGGTGCTTGTTGGCGAGGATGCTGGCCAGCAGCGTCGAGCCGTTGTTGCCGCCCAGGCCCACGATCATGACGCCCGTCTTGGGCACCTTGCGCTGCGTCTTGAACGTGTACTTCTCCTCCAGGGGCGTGGCCACCGTGCCCTCCACGCGCGTGGTCGTGTACGTGTATTGCGACGTGATCTCGGCGTCCGTGTACACGACGTTCTTGCTGTTGACGGTGAAGGGCTCCTGGAAGAAGTCGGACGACGCCATGGTGGACAGAAGGATGTGGAGAGTCGAAGAGGGAGGGGGCGGGAGCTGGAGCTTGAGCTTGGCGCGGAGAATTCGAGAGTGAGGATCTTGCTCGAGTCCACTGATGCGGTTCGGGCGAACCCGGAGCGGCGGCGTCAGCCCCCCAACCGTCGCGCGGTGTGCACAGCCGCGGCGGCCGACTGTCTATCACCGCACGTTGCCACAGGCAAGTTGACTTGGAGTTTGTGAGCGGCAAAAATGTGCCGGAATTATCGGCGACGCCGGGCTTGGAGGTACCGCTGCCTTAGACTGTAGGCTTCTAGTGATAAGAGGACAGCGGGGTCGTCGCTGGGCTGCCGATGATAGGCACGAAGCCCCTGCGGTGCATCAACGGCTATTTGGTACCATGCAATGCCGGACTTTCATCCACAGCCGTTGCGGTGCGCCACAGGCAGGCAATCGTCACTTCAGAGCTCAAAACTGAAGCAGGGATCAGAAACGGTGGCGGCCGGCGGCACCACCTTATCCGCGGCGATGCCTGCAAGAGGGCTCGATTTAACCCGGGGCAAATCGCAGACGAACTCGCAGGGGCACTCCAACTTTCGGCTGACGTGGACAGCCAGCCAGCCAGCCAAAGCACTCGCACCGCACCGCGCCTTCGATGCCAGTCGCCGCCCCCGGCGGCACTCGGTTTTGCAGGGCTTTGAGGAAGCGCTGCTTCGTTTTCGCTCGGCACGTGCTGCCGAGCAGGAGCAGAGCACAATCGGCATCTGCGAAGTCGACGCCGCTCACAATCATGCCGCCGCTGGACTCTCTGCAACACGTTGCCGCTTGCTGTTTTCAACGCGCGTGGACCAGGCGAGCGTGATGTCATGCCAGCCGCGCAACTTCAGGGTCCCCTGCGGCAGTGGATACTCGGCGGCAACTGTTCCAATTAGCACGCGCCGAACAGGAGCCATGGTTCCCTGGCAAGCGCAACGTGGATCGATTGCTCAGCCACGCCCACTTGCACGCAACCTGGATCTCCACAATGCGCAGCAGCGATGACCCAACAGTGCTGGGCCAACAACACCCTCTCGCGCCGCAACTACTAGGAGTTCTGGATCGCGCCGTTCCCCCAGCCCCGTCCTACAGCGTATGATCGCTGCACACATCGAAGTACTCTACCCGCTTCACGGCTTCGCAGCAACAGCACTCCAGTGGCGAATGCTCCGAAGGTGGCCCCAGTTTCATCGACACTCACAAAGCTTTCATATTCCCGCGACCGCCTGTCAGTTCAAGGGAGCGCGCAGCCTCGCAATCGAGCGTGCTTGCTGCCACCGCGACGCAAATTCATGAGTGCCGTGACAGCCTGGAAGTCCTCGCTGGGTCGAGATTCATGCCAGATCACTTGGCTTCAATATGGCTGGGGTGCCAGAATGGTTGTAAATCGCAAAAACAAGCCTATTTCGGCGCAAAAACAGAGTAAATACCGTCATTCTGACCTGATCGCTGTTTTTGTACCTCAAACGCGGTTTTTGTACCAGAACATAACTTAGGCAAAATACCATCATTCCGGTGCAAGTTGTTTCTACACAGGCATAAGTGTAATAATAACAATTTATTTCTCCACCATTTTTTTCCTACAAGTTCGCCAAACACTCGGAGGAGGAGGGTCAGATTCGTCTATTTAACTTACGGTTTACAAGATTGCCTGAAATATGTATTTGTTTCTCCACAGGCACAAGTAATAACAACTTGTGATAATGAAAATTGCAGAGCTCTGCTCACAGCGCTATTGATGAGCCTGAAGGATGGCGAGCTTGTAGAAAAAAGAATGCTGGAGAAATATATTGTTATTAACAATATATTTCTCCAGCATTTTTTTGTACTGCAACAAAGCAGCAGCTCACATACAGGGCAGTCAAGCAGGAAGAGAATGCGTGCGTTGGCCGTCAGCGCATGCATTCTCACTGTGAGCCAGATTTTGCCCGGTAACGACATTGATGAGTCTCGCGGACCAGCCTACGTCTTGCAGGGCAAGTTGCCGCGAGCCAACAACGACACCAAAAAAGGCAAATAGACATTTAGTCGTAGTTTGTTTCGATATTTTCCAGGTTCGACTGGTTTCTACAGTCACGTAGAAACTATCCGGCAGCAAAAGTCCAGCAGACAACAGTCGTGCGATGGACAACAAACATCTCGTTTTCGATTTCTAGTTGAAAATTATGTTTTCACTTGGCTGCGTTGGCTATACAACAAATAGACATGCATGTGAATGCGCGATGGGTTTCTAAACAAAGAATGCCGTCAAACTTCATAGTGCTCCGTGCCATGTTTGCTATGTTATCTTCCTTCTCGAGTATATATGACGTCACTCTAGCTTACAACGGGCCTGTTGATGCCATTTTTCGATCAATCCCTACATGTACTGGTCAACCCAGGCCATGACCATCGTGATCATGGTTACGACAGGGATAAGGCTTCTGTGCGTGTTGGTGCCAACAAGGACGGCTGTCAGTGCAAGTCTCTCGCGCTATCCGGTCCAACACACTTTCATCTACTTTACTCTCGCGTCTGTACATCTGAGGAATGCTTCTTCAAATATCACTTCAGGTTCATTACATGTGCTGCAGACCCGTAGACCGTATCCGCCCTAGCAGACTTGTTATGAGCCGATATGACGTTAATGAAATGCGGCGAAGGATGTAGCTCATTATGGGATCAACTAAACGCAAAGCAAAGTGGCGAGAGGACTTATTAGCGATACGTGAATGATCCGCCTAAACAGCGTGCAAACCAACCCTGGCATTTTAGCCGTGTACATTCGGTGTACCACTCGTAACATTGTGTGTACCACACCACATCGTGTTTTTCACATAAAAGTCGTGCACCAAAAAAAGATTCGGAATGGGGTCTCGAGGTGTATTTCTATGACTGCACCTAATTATAGTGGCCTATACATGAAATACGGCCCAATCATTCCAGCACATTTCGCTATACGCTCCCTCAAGCTCCATTTTTAGAAGCAAAGCGCAGGCTGGACAAGACAGCGAGCAGCTCAGCTCCGTGGCAGTGTGCATCGCTTCGACCCGCGCGCAACGATGGAGATCCCCGCGCCGCTGCTCAATGGCTCCATCACGTACCTGGTGCTGACACTGCTGGCCTGCTTCGCGGGCATCGGCATGGGCGTCACGGGCAAAATGAGTCGCGAGAACTCGTCGTACGTTTCGTCCCAAATTTTGGTCTTGTGGCTCTAGGCACCAATCGCTAACGTCTGTGCGTTTGCGTCCTGCCCTCAGAGTGTTCACGCTGCTAGCCTTTATGACCGGCATCTGCCTCTGGATGTTCTGGTGAGCAAGAACTCATAATATTGTTTTCTCTGAGTTTTTTTTTCGTAATGCTGACCAATTTTTTTTAAATCATTTGTGATGCAGGGCATGCTGTTGGCTGCACCAGTGGCACATCCTTGTGGTCCCCACGTACGGCGCAGAATAGGAAGGACCCGCTTGAAGGAACAGGAAGAAGGAAGGACGGAGAGAAAGCAGGTGACATCTTCTAGAGCCGGCGACAGAAGTTGATCCTTCGTCAGGCGGAGCACCTGCTTCCTTATAAACAATGGAGCGGAATACGAAGTCGGATTTATTTTTTCTGTGCTGTTCTAGTTGTTGCAAGATGTATGCTTCTGTTGCTGCTAAAGATCTATGGGTTGGCAAAATCATGTGCTTCATTCGTTCTTGTGCAGGACACGAACCACTGTGCCTGCCTACCACCAGGGTGCAACATTGTTCGTTGGACTAACACTACGGCCTAAAAGTTAAATCGCAACTGGTCTGCGGCTGCAGCTGTACCGACAGCGTCACTGCCCACCCCGAATGTGAACTGGTGCGAGCCGTAGTCCATGTCCGGTGCGATGTCGAAGTCTTCCTCGTCTTCACCATCGAAGTAGTCACGAATAATACGCACAGATTTCTCGTAGATGTCTGGACAAATAATGGCAAGATTTGTTAGCTGCCTTGCACGTGTTGATCTTGATCGGTCTTCCTGCTCGTGCTTACCTTCTTCTTGGTGAAACTGCAGGTTCTGGATCAGCTCAATGCCGTCCGCCTCCTCAATGTATCGCGCCATGCGATTCTCGGTGTCTGCAAGCGACATATCTGCCTCGCCTGCCCGAAGGATGTTCTCCAGAGCGTCCAACGACACGTTGATAACACGGGGGTCTTGTACGTCCAGGAGCTTTACTAACGGAGGGATACATCCTACAGAGAATAACCACGACGAACTAGTATTAGACCCGAGTAATACAACAGTAAGACCGCAACGATGTCACTCGTACCTTGCTGAACTAAATATTTGATCTGCTCTGTGGTGCCGCCGGACGTTGCATTCGAGATGGCCCAGGCCGCTTCTTTTCGGACATCGAACTCGGTCGACATCAGCTGGTACAGCAATGGTGGGATCACGTTGGCGTCGATAACTTCCTGAATTTGGCTCGGAGTGCCGGCAGTAATGTTGGAAATGGCCCAGCACGTCTCCTTGCGAATGAGTTTCTTCTCCTGCTTGAGCAGAGGCACAAGTCGCGGCAGCACAGCCAGATCCAGCATCAACTGCGTCTGCTGCTCGTTGCCAGTAACGACGTTTCCTATTGTCCGGAGCGCCGGCGTCTGGATAGATGCGAGTGTGTGGCCCACTAGATCCACCACTCGACTACACACTCCAGCGTCAATGACGGCCTGAACATTGTCGGTTGTGCCATCCGAGAGATACGAAAGCGTCCAGCACGCGTCCGTGATAACCTCCTCGTCGGGAGAATAAATGAGGTGCGGCAGCAGCTTCAGCGCCGGGCTAACCAGAGCAAACTCCGGCCTGGGTTTACCCCGACAAAAATTCGACAGCGTCCACGTAGCATTTCGGAGAATGGTGATCTTTCCTGACGATCTTCGCAGCACCGCAAGCAGCGGCATCATCGCGCCGGCATTCAGTACCAAGTCGCGGCATTGCGGCGAGTCGCCCGAAATATTTCCCAAGGCCCACACAGCCTGCTCGCACACGTCCTCGTTCGGCGACAGCAGCAGTCCGCACAGCAGCTCGACCGCGCCGCACCTGATAACAGCCTCCGTGTGCTCTGTCGTGCCGGATGCGATGTTCGTCAGCGCCCACGCAGCCTCAAACTGCATCTCCGGTCGGTCATGCTGCTTCAAGAACTCCACTAGCAGCGGTACGACGCCCAAGTTGATCACCTCCTGGATCGGCGGGTTATTCTCTGTCCAGCACGAGATCAACCGTTAAAGCCCTTTTCATAGATTTCCCACCCAGGTATGAAGCATCACCTACCGAGCGATAGCAGCCGCCGGAGCTTGGACACGGCGTTCGACTGCTCCATGGGGTCCAGCGACTGGATCATCGCCGCGATCTTGGGCAAGTCCGACACCTGCAGAATGCCACCGAACACCCAACACCCGCCTAATTATTACCGCGCTCACACTTCCTGCATTAGCCACCCCGAGACAGCAAAAGAAAGCGTACACTGACGCCGTTAAGGGAGCGCATAGGCACGTCCGGACTGCTGCTCGACTGCATCGCCTCCACGCTCATGGCGCTGTCCACCGCGTGGTGCTCCGCCTGCAGCCACCCCGACAGAGAGAGAATAAGTAATTAGCTCTCTACTAAATAATAATAATATGAATGCTACCAGTGCTGCAATATTTTACCACGGGGATCATGCGTCGGCGCTGGTTGAGCCGCTCCTCGCGGCGGCTCTTGCGGATCTGGACGGTGGTGTCCTCGCGCCGCCGCCGCGTCTCGTCCGCGTCGATGCCCTTCTTGAAGCTGCGGATGCGCTCGGCGACGCGCGCCGCGGAGGACGAGACGCTCGTGGCCATGGCGGACTACAGTCCCGATGCGCTCTGCTCTCGTTCCGAGTAATCGTCGAGTGGCGGCACGCACGCACTTTGAAACCCCGCCCATTGTCGCTTATCAGGTATAACGGGGTGTGGGATGTGAAATCGAATGTATTGTTCACAAAAGGTAGAGGTATTGTGGGGTTTATGCTAGGATTTGTATACCGCAGGGAAGCGCCAGTCGGGCAATGCATATATCTTTATATCGCGATGGGGTCTGTGCAGCCGTGAATGGTAGACGGCCGCAGCAAGCAAAGGCTTTGGGTTTGGTGTGGCTGGTTGCGAGATGGTGGGCGGATGCCATGCGAATCAAGCTTCCGGCCATTCGCATTGGGCGTTTAATAACTGCGGAGGACGAACAGCGCAGGAATAAGGGGACGAACTGCTCGCACTGAACTCTTGAAGTGCAGGTGTCGTAACGCGGCACTTCTTCCCACGTTGAATGAGCAGGTTGAGTGGTGGAGGGCGTCGCTGCGGATGTTTAGTGGCTTTAGGGCACACACTCGAGTGTTCACTCTGCTCTGGACTGACGCAGCTGGGAAGGAGACGTTGCAGCCTTCGATGCCGTCGGGCGTTCACCAGAATGGCTACAAACCGATCTCTTTTCGTGATCACCTCGAAAGTCTTCACACGTCTTTCGAGGCTAACTGGTGCTCGTTTGCTTGCATCCCCTTACATGCTTGCCAACCGTGACTCGTAGACGGGGGGTCGTTTTGTCGGCGTACGGTTACCTTTCGCGTTTCCTGTGTCAACTCGCCGTTTCCGCGCGATCTCAACACGAACTCAATCTTATCCTTTTGCCGCCATGACATTGACTGAGGGAGCGCGATAGGCTACGATGGACCGAAGCAATACGATTCGGAATTGTTCCTGCCTCGAGGCCTCCTCTCACTCGCGATTCTTCTCGTCATCTTTCACAGCCCCCCCCCCCCCCCCCCCGATGCTCGCAGCGCGCCGCTTTGCAGTGTACCGCCGTCCTACATGGCAGCAGTCGAGTCACCACATAAACCACCGTCACTTCGGTCGTCGTAGCAACCGACTGGAACGCATCTCGAGGCCGCGCCCTCCATCTGCCCGAGCACCGGGATCCACGAAAGCTCTCCTGTTGCTGCTCGCCACCATATGTGGCATTCAAGTGTACTCGGGCGACTCCTCCGAGGGCGCCGACTTCGTGGCCAGGAACTTCACGACGTCGACCGATAAGGTTCGATGCGGCAACGTGCACACGCTGGCCACGTCGACGCTCTACTCACCGAACGCTCGCTCGGCACTGCTGAACGTCCTATGGCTCGTGATCCCGGGGCGTCGTGTGTGTCGCGCACTGGGCAACACGCAGTTCCTCGCACTGTTCATCGGCAGCGGGACGATCGCCAACACTGTGTCGGTGACGACGATCGATGGTCTTCCAAGATCCCAGTCACTCGGAGGCGCGGTGTGCGCCGTGGACTGCATCGTGACGCTGAATGCGTTGCTGTACCCGCGACTTGCTCGGCGATGGAAGCGCTGGCCGCTGTGGCTCTTTAGTGCCAAATTCCTCATGCGTGACGAAGATGAACAAGCACCAGGGATGCACGTGACGGGCATGCTGTGTGGACTGGCGGCGTACTTGGCGCTGAGGCGCCCTCGCCAGTGTTTTCCAGCGCGGTAGCGATACAGTATCTGTATCCTATGCGGTCCCAAGTTCCACATCCTCAAAGCTCGGAGATAGTTGTTAGGCCGAGTGCAGTTTCAGCGCTTCCAATTTGCAGTTTCTCATGTTTTAACTTAACTCGCCGTCGAATGCAATACGAACTTCCATGTACCAACAAGTTTTCCCTAATACCAGCGCAGTACGCGTACAAAGCTACTGTTGCTTGCTTGTGAGGTGATCGGACTGAGGGATAGCGCTACACGGCAGGTATCAAAACTACCTACAGTTGAAGTGTCCAATATTCGTACTTAACGTCTCAACTGTGGATCAACACAAGCGCTTCTCCTCTCCTGCCCATGATCGCAGCACGCCACCTTGCAGTCTACCGCCGTCCAATATGGCAGCAGGCCAGTCACCGCCTCCACCATCACCGTCACCCCGTTCGCCATAGCAACCGACCGCAGCGCTTATCGCGACCACCCGCTACGCCCGATACTCCGCCCGAATCCACGAATGGTCTTCTGCTGCTGCTTGCCACCATGCTGGGCATTCAATGGTACTCGAACCCCGTGACGGGCTCCTTCGAGAGCGCCGACTTCGTGGTCCGCAACTTTGAGACGTCGCGAAGCTACTTGAAACACGGATACGCGCACACACTGTTCACGTCGACGCTGTACTCGCCCGACGCTCGCTCGGCGCTGCTGAATGTCTTGTGGCTCGGCATCTCGGGGCGTCACGTGTGTCGCGCGGTGGGCAGCGCGCGGTTCCTTGCGCTGTTTGTCGGCGCGGGGGCACTCGCCAATGCGGTCACGCTGGCGACGAGGGCCAACGAGGTCAAGCTCACAATGCTGTCGATGGCCCAGTCGCCCGGAGGCTCGTCCTGTGCTGTGGACTGCATCGTGACGCTGAACGCGCTGCTGTACCCGCCGTCGAGAGTGGCTCTGTCGCGGCAATGGATACGCTGGCCGCTGTGGCTCTTTAGCGCCTTGTTCCTTACTCGGGATGAGGGCCTGCAACCAGCGTGGGTGCAGGCGTGTGCACCCCGTAAAGGCCACGTGACGGGCGTGTTGTTTGGAATGGGGGCGTTCTTGGCGTTGAGACGCTGAGACCTCGGTATATTTGAGCGCCACGAAGGGTGGGTTTTGGTGACGGTAAGCTTTCAATGATAGTCAAATGAGGCTTATGAACTCTTCTGCCGCAATATTTTGATTGGCAGCGATGGCATGGCGAAGCTGTCAAATTTCTGGCTGAGTGGCTCGAGCAACAGACCCAACGTGGAATTCTCTAGTGCCATGGGCTCACTTCGTTGGCAGTCTCCTGAGGTCTTGGAGGGGCAGCTTCCGTCCTTCAAGTCGGATATGTATTCTTTGTTTGGGAATGTGCGTCTAACTGGAAAAATAACGTGGGGAGACTCAGATGGATCCAACGTAGCAAGTACGGAGTTTGAACCTGGCTGCCCTCTCGCGATCTGGTGTGGCGCATGTGCTGTCAAGCTGGTAAATGTTCCAGTCTATCTTCGGTCGTGTGCATCCTTGAGCAGTTGGCTATTTCTGGCTGCTATGAACCGGAGTGCGACCTCGTCAGCTCCTTTGATGAGAACGAGTGTGGTGAGCTGGAGAAAGATTGACACTTTCAAGCCTTTGACCAACTCAAGGTAATACATGAGCGTCTCCACAGTTCAGCCCACCACCCGCCATTTTTCGCGAGATTTCACGCTCCTTTCACCGACTTCAGTCCGATTGTGAAGATGTCGCCTGAACAACCCCGAATGACGCAGCTATCTTCAACGCGAGCGACCATCACCAGCTTTTACGCGCTTGAGTGGCGCATGCAATCGCCCACGATGCGTCTCGTGCCCGAGAGACAGCAACTGCGCAGCCTACAGATCAAGCGGTGGAGTATCCGACACTTTCCTCTTGTTGAACGACTTGAAGTCGGTGCAGGATCGATCCACATTTCTGCGGACACTGAAAGAGGAAATGGAAACTAAAGGCAAGTACACGCCTGGTCAACTTGAGGTGATGAAGAAGCCGTGCAAAGATATTTCCAGCATACTTGAAGGAGAGGAGCTCGCACCCGCATGATTCATTCTCTGGTACGAGTTGATAGTTGACGAGTGGAGTAAACTGGGTGAAGGAGGGTTCGGAAGTGTGCATCGAGCCAAGTGGCTGGACTCGGATGTGGTGGTGAAACGCGTCATCCTGGCTGGGTCAAGTGATACAGCCAAGTCTTTGACCAGTTTTTCGGGTTTGTCCGCGTCAGAGGTTCCTTTTGCAACTGAAACCAGTCTGGCATCGGGAGTGCGATATTCCGCCGTAAAGAAATCTGGTTCGGCCTGAGTCACCCTCACGTTGTGCGGCTTTTTGATGTTGGCAGACCCACCCTTCTTCCTCTGCAAGTATGCCACGCATGGGGCCCTAGTAGCATTCGCTTCGCTCGTTGCCGATGCTGGGAAATGCACGAAAAAGCTCTGAGGAAGAGGAACCCAGCACTGCCTTGTACAGGAACTTTCAAACCGTCCGCTTCTATTGACGTGCTCCAAAAGTGATCCATCACTGTCGAAGACGCTGTCACAGACGCACTTCACGTTCGAATGAAGACCGGGACACGCCGTTGCTCTTTGCATTCACGTCTGCGCCACAATTCTCAGCGAGGTACCAAACGACGTCGACGTTGCCGCGGCCAGCGGCCAGCATGAGCTGGCTTGGTCCTCGATGCTCATATCCGCTTTGCATTGTTCAGCTAGATACCGGACGACTTCACCCTTTTCCGTATTCAGTCGCCGCCCACATGAGCGGCGTGCACCCGCGGGTGTCGACGGCGTTCGCGTTGACTTGACACTGCTGAGCCGCAACGTACCGAGCCAGCGCCTGCACCTCCGCTTGGTCGCCAATCTCCGCGGCGGTGTTGAAATCCCTCGACACTTGGCAGCGTATGCTGTCGAAATGGGGGTGGGGCTGATTCAGACCGCTCCTTGCTGGCTACATACTCAAGTTCCCCCCACACTGGGCTGGAGTGAAATAGTGAGCCGCTATTGCGACCCAACTGGCCGCCGTGATAGCCCATTCATTCGGTAACTTAACCTCAGGTGTGCGCGCATGACGGCCTGCAGTCTCGTTAGCTGCCTGGAAGCCTTGCTCATTGAAGTGCCTTTGCTAAAAGCAAGGCTTCTGGCAAGAGCAGGGACTGCTTCATAATTGAGGGCGTATTGCTACGAGATACTAGCGGCGTGAATAATAGCAAATACAGGAATATGGCTCCGAGGATGAGCTCATCACCCCGATTAATGCCGCGAATTATGCCTGTATAGTCAGACATCGAATCGAACAGCGAGGCGGAGTGCTGCTGGCCCCGCCAGATGGCTTGACCAAGTCGGTCTCTCGCCCGCATTCGCCATCTCGCTCACTCACTCGCTCACGCCTTCCTCCTTCCTGGCACGATGTGCCCCAAGCCCAAGGACCTCGAGGCCGCCGGAGGCTTCCGTGCCCCGTCCACCTTGAAACCGTCCGAGATGGACCCTTCGCTGCGCCGACGCGTCGGAATGGTCCTCCTGTTCCTCCTGGCGGGCGTCTGCCTCAGCGGCCTCTTCACCGCGCCACTGGCCGCGCACCCGCCGCTCTTCCGAGCGCGAGGCGCCTCCTTCGACCGCAGCGTGGCGCGGGACAAGGCCGTGGTCATGTGCATGCACGACGGCGTGGTGCCCATGGGGCTCTCGCTCGTGCGGGAGCTGCGCTGCCTGGGCAACCGCGAGCTCATCCAGGTGTACCACTGCTTCCCGGACGAGCTGTCGGCCAAGTCGAGGGAGCTCATGTTCGCCGCCGACTCGAGGCTCGAGATCGTGGACGTGTGCTCGGACCTCGTGGAGAGCGGCGCGCTGGACGAGGAGACGGCCAGGCACTTCCGCAGCTGGTGGATCAAGCCCCTGGCGCTCCACCACACGGACGCGCGCGAGGTTATTCTGCTGGACGTGGACGACCTGTTCATGCGGGACCCGGCGGTGCTGCGCACCACGGAGGGCTACAAGCGCACGGGCACCACCTTCTTCTACGACCGCGTGATCGCAGGCCACGAGTTCTTCAACCACAGGATGGACAACAACGTCTCGTACCTGGAGTACGCGCTGCACGAGTTCGACTACGCTAGTATCGGCGTGAGGGACGGGTACGAGCCCTCCGAGCACCTGAAGCAGTCGTACGCGTATAGAGGAGAGACGGCTCACGAACAAGACTCGTCGGTCGTCGTCGTGGACAAGTCGAGGGCTGGCCAGGCCATGCAGGCGCTCTGGTGGCTCATTACCAAGGAGCGATTTCAAGAGAACCACCAGTTCTCCTACGGAGACAAGGAGTCCTTCTGGCTGAGCTTTGAGCTGGCCAAGCAGCCCTACTTCTTCTCGCCCTGGGGGGTGAGTGTGGTAGATTCCTCCACCAACGACGACCTGATCACGCACAACGACTCGCTCTGCGGTAGCATCGCGCACTTTATGCCCGTGGAGGACGAGATCCCCGAGTTCCTCTACGTGAACGGCAAGGCGCTGCTGGACCCGTTCGCCGAAGGACTCACGAGCCACCACACAGCCACGACCAACGTGCTGTACAACACGAACCCGACGCACATTTCACCCCGTCAGAAGCGGGCGCCCAATGGAGAGACCAAGACGGACTTCCGAGACGGCTGGCCCAACGAGTGTCTGAAGGGATTCGGAGCCACCCCCTTGCCTGACAATTTTGCACCGCAGCTACTTCGGCGACGCATGTTCTACATGGGCGCTCGGATGGGTGTCCCGTCGGCGCTGCAAGCATGCTACCCGTTCAATGGTTAACCCAGTAATTTTCGACGGGACCAATACAGTTTTTAGCCGTAGTCGCTAGAGTATCGACAACTAATAGAGTCTCATACAGTACATGTATTTACGCTGACTACGGGTTGGAGTCTCGTTCAGGGTCTGTGGATCAATACTTCACTGTGCACGCGGCAAGCCAGGTTAATTTGCATGCGAATTCTATGAAGTTCTGCTAAGTTTGAGAGAATCCGCGATACTAGCTCTTCTGGAGCCACCAGCAATGAAAACAAAGGATACCAGTCAATCTAGCCTCGATCATTCACAGAATCAATCGTCCATTTGATTCCCTTTGGTCAGGGAAATATGCCTAAATAAATCGTCGACTCAACGCATATAGGGCCGCATAGTTATCAGATATCTCGGCTAGACCCCCTGTCTAGCAGCTTTGTTAAATAAAATCCCCGAAGCAATAGCCAGCCCCTTCGCACGCAATTAATGTTGGAGCACTGGCACAGAACAACATCCACCTCTCTCCAGAAGTTGTGCAAGTCTTCTCGTGGAGACACTCGAGCCCCAACACCGCCTAGAACAGATATTTCCAAATGATTCACTTCTCCATTGATGGCGAACTGACCTGACCAAACAGTGAGCCCTTGTTCGCGTATTCACTTCAGAAGTACAAAGAACTCTGGTAGCAGTGTGTCCACCGATCTTCTTCGTGTTGACATCAGCGCCACACCGTTCAGCGAGATATTGCACGATTTCTTTCCGGTTGCATCACACGTTCATTATCAGCGCCGTGTCTCCAAGCCAGTTCTTCATGTTCACATCGAAGATCTCAATATTGTTGTGTAACATTGTTTAGCTGCCAGCATTAATTAACGCCGTAGCTCCAGTCTTCTCTCGCCATGCCCAAAAGAGCTCCCATCTATGTGCACACCGCACTTTACCCAACAAAATTCGGTTGCCAGCAGTAGCACACTACGACGATGCCCGAGTACTGGCATACTTACTTAAGTACATGGATTGTTGATCTGCTCTATCATATCGTTGTGCAAGATACAAATTGGATCCACACGTTACCCTTTGCAGTTACAACAAAAAATCCTTGTTCGTACTCTGCTTTTGCAAGCACCGCCCTAGCCTCTAGGTCAGACTATCAAGCTGGATGACGTATTTGTCAGGCTAGCGTTAGTTGGTGATAGGGAGTCGTTCACCTCTCTCTCCCCACACATTACTCGCCACGAACACACCCAGGTGAACTCCCCACATCTTCTCTGGCCACGGCGCCTCAGACGGAATCACAAAATTATGCGGCACAGCCTTGTCACCAAAGCAGGACTCGTAAATATCCAGCAATGGTTCAACTAGCTTTTCCCATGCTTGACGCCTCAGCTCGAAGCGAAATCCCATCGTAATCAACCGGTCGACGTCACGCCCGATCTGCACGAAATAGGATCCACGGTATCTCATATTGTACACCACGCCCCCAAGCGCCATGTTCCAAGTATCCTTGGGCCAGGGTTCACAAGCAGGTACAACAAACGTCTGGAACATCCGACAAGTCTCGAACTCTGCGACGTACGTTTGGAGCGCTGGGATGATACGTTCGTTCCAAGTAGACGCATTGCGATCCCATGCGAACCCTATGGCGTTGAGTATCTCTTCGTCGCGAGCAGCGAACTCCGCGTAGCTCTTTTCACTTCTCATCTTATTTACGGTCCGGCCGAGTGGGAGATCCCATGTGGCTTCAGGCCACGGAGACTCACGTGGCACCTCGAATGTCCTCTCAACAATGCAATGGTGGTGAATCTCGCGGTACACCTTCAGCGCAGGAAGAATCTTCTCATTCCAATCACGCTCAGCAAGCGACGTCTCGAAGCAGAACTTCATCTCCTTCAGCTCTTCCTTCGACTGCTCCACTTGCCGGGCATACCCGTTGCAATTCCTGATACGCTGAACCGTGAAACCCAGAGACCAATTCCACGACCGTCGTGGCCACGCGTCGTCGCCATCCGGGACTACGAACGCTTTGCTAACATCCGTGTGGCCGTTCACTGTGTAGAAGTGGCGCAGAGCTGGCAGAACGATCTCGTCCCACTGGAATTGAGCAGCGCTGTACGTGAAGCTCAGCTCCTCCAACTCAGTCTGCATCCGAGGCGAAAGCTCTTGTCTCGCAGCTCGAGTGCGGAAGGTATTAACGGCATTCCCAAGTGCGTACCCCCACGCTACGCGCGGCCAGCGAGCGTCGCCTGATGGAACAATAAAAGACTGCGGCACCAACGTGTCCCTCTTCATCTCCTTGTATGCTCGCAGCGCGGCCAGCATCTTCTCCTCCGAGGCAGCAGTTCTATGATGCTGCTTCTCCGGTTGACTCGTAGCAGTCTCGAGCGTCGAGCTGAAACACCGAGCACTCAGCAAAGAGCTGGCTTTGCCTGCTTGGGCACCGCATAGCGAAGCGAGGGGCGACAGGCCACGGCGCCAGACACGGTGTGGCGCACGCAGCAGCATTGCAATTGCAAAGTGCGTGTCTGCCAAAACCACACAATTGGAGAGAACGCTCGATTTTTTCCACGACTAATCTTGGATCTTTTTTGAAAAAAAAAGTATATCCAATATTTTTAGATTTTTAAAATAAAAATCAAGCCATTAGATTTTCTGTCCTTGCATTCACTCGTTGCTGTAACATCTTGAACGGTCCATCGGCTATTGAAGACCGAGTGGATTCCGAGAAGAGAGCGGAAGCTCCCGTGAAGTCGTTATTTGGATTGGTTTGAGTTACCCGCACGTCGTGCGGCTTTTTGGTGTTTGCCATGTTGGCAGACCCTTCTTCGTTTGCGAGTATGCCACGCATGGGACACTGATCAGCTACTTACGAAATAATCCGGGTGAACTGCTCAAGCTACACGAGGCCGCTCAGGGAGTTCAGTATCTACGCGCCCGAGACGACGTCCGTGGAGACCTGAAAGGAACAATAATATTGTGATCGGGAATGGCGAAGGTGACGAACTTTGGTCTCAGTTCGGTCGCAAGTGGGGCGTGCAAGACGTCAGTATCAGGGGCATGGAACTGGGTGGTTCCAGAGTTACTCAATACCGATAAACGCCAGCCTTTTGCGTCAGATGGGTATGCGCATTGGGGAGACACTGCAGCTTCTATCGAGGTTGTGAAGATAGGCAAAGACTCGAGACGTTGTCCATGTACTACGCAAATGCCGAACAATCAAGTAAAAACGTTTTTACCAGTCTTGCAGCGGTTCACGCCCCTCAGACAACTCGTCCAGGATTTCAACCAGTCTCGAAACCAGAAACTGGAACGTCTCACCTGGTTGTTTGCCTGTCAGCATTGACAGTGGCGGGAGCGCTCGAAGCAACGTGGATTCCTCTTTAATCGATTTCTGGAAGCCCAATCCACGGAAGTTCACCGTCCTCGATACCCATTTGACGGTAACAAACTCAACTGTCAGGTCTCTGTCGGAGCAACCGACCAGGTTCACTTCCGTCTTGAACGGATCGCCAACCGGCTCGTCAAGCAGCACGAAATCTTTGATGGACCCCCACCAAGCCTTTCTGGGCTCGAACAGCTCGGCGATCACCTTGACGCGGAAACTCGTGTTGTTGTCCAGAGAAATATCGTGACTCAGGTGCACGTCCGATAGCGCCCGCACCTCTGCGAAAACCCACTTGTCATCTTCGCGAAAGTAGGTGAGCTTGGCGAATTGAGGTCCTCCTCTGGACTTAAGGCAGCAGCGCATGGTCAGCTTCAGCCTCGTAGGTTCGAGGTTTGCAGCATCCGCGCGGTTCAGCTCCTCAATGAGTGCATACACGGTCGGGGCGCCATCGTCGCACACATTCGACCAACTGGACTGGAGATCGCGAGGGTAGCGTACAGCGCGCAATCGGTCAAGTTGGTACGTCTGGTTGGGTTTCAACGTGCGGAGGCCATACAAGTTTCGCCCGAAGGCGGCCTCGATTGTCAATGAGCCTTCCACTGTGATTCCATTGAGAGCTCTCGCGGTCGAGTCCATGTAGCTGCTGCCGAAGCAATCCAGAAAAACCTCTTGGTTGTTAGCTGCTTGATCCCGCTGGCGTGGTTGATACGGAGTTGAAGGAATCCACTGGTGCTGCCATTGCTCTAGCAAGGTCTGCAGTTCCTCCCTGCATTCCACTACATCCGGTAGGCGATCCTCGCGCACTAACTCATACGGATACTTGGTAATATCAACGTCGCTCACAGGCCCGCAAACTTCCACGAACCTCCAGCGGTACATGCAGGCATCACGCGCCACTCGACTGCGGTTGGTCGCGCTGTATCCATATACTTTCGTTGCCCGCGGGGTCTTTCGACTAGATCTGGATCTCCGGCTCGCGGTCTTCCACGCATTATCGTCATCTTCGTCAGCAGCGGAGAGTATCGATGCATCCATCTTGCTCAACTGCCGACGCAGACGCTGTGGAGTTTTCATCATTTTTCGGGATGATCCAACGGCAGGGAGATCATCGAGCCAGGAATCCATCCTTCTCTTTCTCAGGAAAAATTGCGAATGGTGTGGACTTTGAGCTCACGAGTCGTGATTGATGGGAAAGAAAGCAGAGCAGCAGCACAATAAAAATTCTGTTAAACGTTCTGATTAACTGCTCAAGAATCAAAATGCTTAGAGACTGCTGTATCGGTGCTGTTCGTGCGGCAGGATATCGACGAGCTGCCTCTCAATGTACTCTCTAATAAGCGGCGAGAAGACGTCCAGCTGCATCTGCTCGTTGAACATGGCGTCGTGACCGAACTTGGAGTCCACCTCCACCAACTGCGCGTTGCGGCCGTACGACTGCAGGATGCTCACCAAGTTGCGTTGCTCCTGGATCGGGATCAGCAGGTCCTGCTTGATACCAACGATGAGGGCATCACACGAGATGCGACTCGTGCCCTCAGCCAGGCTCAGCGCGTTACGCCCCAAGTTGGTGAGATCAATAGCCTTGGACAGCAGCAGGTAGCAGTTTGGGTCGTACAGTCGCGCAAACTTGTTGGCCTGGTAGTCCATGTAGCTCTCGACCTCGAACGTCGCCGCCTTGAAGTCCGTTGGACCCGTAGGATTCCAGTCGAAACGCGTGTCGAACTCTTCGCGTGAGCGGTAGCACGTCATGCCCAGCTCACGCGCCACCTTCATGCCCTCAAGAGGGACACCGGGAGTGTAGTTGCCGTCCCTGTACATTGGGTCAGCAAGGATGGCACGCCGCTGCACCCGTCGAAAGGCGACTGATCCGGGTGTGGTTTGGTGCGTGCAGGCAAGTCCGATGAGGCGATCAAGACGGTCTGGGAACTGAGCCGCGAGCTCGAGAGCCTGGATGCCGCCCATACTGGAGCCGATGACGGCGTGGACGCTGTCGATGCCCAGGTCGTCCAATACTTTGGCATGGCAGCGAGCCATGTCGGCCGGGGTGATCTGCGGGAAGGACGCCTTGTATTTGTCGCCCGTCCGCGGGTTGATCGTGAGCGGGGATGTAGCTCCGAATGGACTGCCGAGCACGGACGGACAGATGACGCGGAAGTAGGACGAGTTGATAGCCTTGCCGGGCCCGACCATTTTCTCCCACCAGCCGGGGCGAGGGTCGTCACGGTTGGACGCGGCGTGGCTGGAGCTTGAGAAGGAGGGAAGCAGTAGAATAGTGCGGTCTCCAGGTAGCGAGGAATCGCCCCACTGCTCCCACTCAATAGCCACCTCGGGCAGCGAGCCGCCCAGTTCGAGCTGGAACTCTTCCGTGATAATAGACTGGTGTTTGTTGCGAGTCAGAGTTGAGTCGCTGCTTTTGGGGACTGCAACATAGGAACGCTGTCGCTGCTGGGCGGCGAAGTGAAGTGCGCTAAGGTGGGTAACCTGCGAGGCTCTGGGGAGCTGACGCAGCGCCGCCTGTGCTGCATGGCTGTGCATGCAATGCGGTTGTTAGGGGTCATTGAGAACCGAAGAAAAGAGATAGCACTTACCAAGTCAGCATGTTGCAGCTTCGCTCGCTTCCACTTCGCAGGTCGAAAAGTGATGCTGGTACAGTGAACTTTGTCAGTGCCGTTAGGTTGCTATTAGTGGCTTGGCGTCTGGGACTCCTTTGCAGTATGATAAGCCTTTTCTGGTGTTGCACGTTACATTTATTGCACGTCATTGCCGCTTGACCCCTACAACGATCGCTTCTCGGTGCAGCTGCAGCTCAACTCATTCTACCTCCTGGTCTTAACGAGAACAAGAGATACACTCTTTTCATAATTCGATGCCCCCGCGCGAAAAAAACACCCTTTATCATAGCCAACTCGCCTATTCAAGAAAGCATGCTTCGCAGAACTTGTCTAGTTTTCGATCCAAGGCATAACACCGCATCACAGTTTCAGCTAGCGAGATGAGGCTTCCCTTCTTATCCAATAACTTTGCCGTGGATACTTTAGCGTTGCCAGCTATCAAACGAATCAACTTGATTGGAGTTGATCTGAACGTACACCCGCTAAATTTTAGCCCACAACAGAGAATACAGCGACGCATACCATCGGCCAGAATCGCGTCGCTTCGCAGTTGGCACAGCAATTGCTGCGCTGCGGCAACCGTCTCGGGAATAGAAGTCCAACTCACCACTGGTACGTCATCCGACTCTCCTTCTACGTCGTGAGCGTTGCTACACCTTTTCAACTTCAAAACCGCAAATTCTAAGTTCAATTCTGCGAAAGGTAAGTTCAAAACTGCACGAGCAGAGACCAGGCTAGCTTCGTACTTTTATACACAGCTCATTGGTTGGCACGCAGCACAGCTAGCCAATAGGCAAATTGTACTCTATAATCGTATACGATGATAGATATCATACAGTTTGTAATATACATTTGTAGAGTATTGTTGTTATGATCTTACCTTTTGCTGTTTTGAACTTACAATTTGCAGTTTTGAAGTTGAAACGGTGTAGTTGCCAGGCTTGCCAACTCGTCGACAACCGTTGATCCTGATCCGAGTTTTAGGATCGAGCCTACACATCCGCTTGACCAAATCCCAATGTTTATTCTCGCAAATTTCAGGTCGTGATGGTAAAGTACCGCGTGTGGCATGATAAATTACCGCTGCTCTATCAGCGAGGCACCAGGGAAGGCAATGATGCGAGTTTTTGCCGGAGATCACGTCCCCCACTACTCGCAGCGCCTCCACGATGCACATACCAAACGCGTACACATCTAAAGCAAAGGTTGGGCGTTTGTCAGGATCCAATAAGCATTCCGGAGCCACCCAGTGACATGCCCGGCATTTCTTCGCTGCTTGCGACCGAGCTCAGACCAAAGTCTGTCACCTTCGCCTTCGTGTCACGGCCAATTACAATGTTGTTCCCTTTCAGATCCCCGTGGACAGCATCGCGCGCGTGAAGATACTGAACACCTAGCGCCGCCTCGTGCAGCTTGGACCAAAGCTTTTCGGGGTTCTTTCGCAAATAACAAACCAGGGTTCCGTTTGTAGCGTACTCGCAAACGAAAAACGGTCTCCCAACGTGACATGCACCGAAAAGGCGAACGACATGAGGGTGGCTAAACCCAAACCAAATGTCGACTTCACGGCGAAACATCGCCCGAGCTTCCGCTTTCTTAAAGCTGGTCAATGGCCCCTGACATTGACAAACTTGATAGCGTAGCCCAGTCATCGATATCACTGTCTGATCCAGACAAGGTTACTCGTTTTACCACAACATCCGAGTCTAACCACTTGGCTTGATATACACTTCCAAAGCCCCCTTCACCCAGACAGCCCCACTCGTCAACAATTAGCTCATACCAAGGAATAAACCACTCAGGTGTGAGTCGCTTCACATCTCCCGTGTTTAGCTTGCTAGCAACCTCCGCGTACGCTTTCTTCATCACAGCAAGCTGATGAGGTGCGTACTTGCCAAGAGGAGCCTCTATCTCGCCCTTTAACGTCTTCAGAAATGCAGCACGCTCTTCCACCGATTTCAGATCTTTTAACAGAAGAAAAGTGTCTGACACGCCCGACACGAAAAGCTCTACGATTTCACTGCGTTGTTGCTGCCATAGCGCCTCCCTCTTTTTTGCAATTTGTCCTGTTCCTTCCAATGATGTCATGAGCGATTTAATGCGCCACAGAAACGCATAAAAGCTCTTGGAAGTAGCCCGAGTTGACGACAGCCGCATGACTCGAACTTGTTCAGGCGACATTTTGATCATCTGACGGAACTCGGTAAGCAGCGCATAAAATCGCGCGAAAAGTGTTGGGTGGTGACTTGACTGTAGCAAACGTCCCCTTACTTTCTTGAGTTCATCGAATGCTCGGTAGTGGTGAGTACGGCCTGACTTCTGCATGTACGTTTGCAGCTTCGCCCACGCTGTACTCAGTTTGCCACTCTCATATTCATCGAAGGTTTGCAACTTCATGCCAATTACCTTTTGTTTATTTCCGTTCGCAGGTTCTCGCTCAGGCTCCGAAATCGCGAAATTCTCGTTAATTGCCAGCACCTCAAGCTTATAGATTAGAGACGACAGGCTAGGACGTTTGCGAGCGTCTTGTGAGCAGATGTGCCACACTAAATCGCGCGCAGCTCCGGTGGGGCACTCAGGGTCGTTATCGGAGGATGCATGCGTCTCCGGTGCCCACCTTATTTTGCATATCCTGTTCCCCACGTATTCCGATTTGTTGCTCCACGGCTTGCAGCTTCCAAAATGGTCATTCCCAAAGAATACACATCCGATGCATAAGTCGGCAGAGCCCCTAAGATAACTTCAGGAGCTTGCCAGTGCAGCGACCCGCACAAGCTTGATCTAACTTGTGTAGACTTCGCCACCGATCCACTTAATCCAAAGTTCGACAGCTTTGCCGTGCCATCACTGCTGATCAAAACATTGCTGCAACGAAGATCACCATGAACAATTTTCCGCTCGTGGAGGTAGCCAAGTCCCAATGCAGCTTCGTACAGGTATCTCCAAATGAGTGGTTTGCTTCCCGCTGAAGACGTGACATGTTCATGTAGTGAACCCCTGCTTGCGTACTCACATACGAAGAACTGCAGTTGCGGGACAGCCATGCACGCCCCGTACATCTTTAGTACGTTGGGGTGGCGGAGCCGCCTCCACAGATGCACTTCATCCGCGAATGGCAACTGGGACGCATCTGGAATAAAAATCTTCACCACCACATCAGCGTCAAGCCACTTCGCGCGGAAGTCGCCTCCTACGCTGCTGCTATGGCAGAAGACGGTTAAATCGACTTCAGACGGAGGGATCAAGTAGTGAGCCACACCACGGAGAGATTTCTGAATGCCATCAGCGGGTCCTGCTCCGTCGTTTGTGTATGGCGAAGCAGTGGGTCTCAAGAATGGCGTGAGTATCCGTTGCATTTCGTGGTTCCCAGAATCCACAGCGAAGCGAACAGCACTATTGCCGTAAGCGTTCTTGGCATTTACGTCGGCGCCACATTGCTCAGCAAGATACCGCACAACTCGGATATGGCCGTATCGGCAGGCCACCAACAGTGCAGTATCCCCTTCCTTGTTTGTCGAATTAACATTAGCGCCAAATCTCTCAGCGAGATACCAAACAATGTTGAATTTGCCCGATCTAGCGGCCCACATAAGTGCTGTGTCTTCAAGCTTCGCGTTGGAGTTCACGTCGGTGCCACAGTGTTCAGCAAGGTAGCGGACCAAATCCAAATGGCCAATGCCAGCGGCCCTCCTCAGCGCTTCCTCCTTATCGACTGTGTCAACTTGCTGGACCAACTCTTGGATCCTGGAAAGATCACCAGCCCATGCTGCTTCAGCGAACTCCATTTCTAGCTGGTGGCCAAAGTACTCGCTCCTCCGAAAGGTGTTCCCCATCCTCGATCGCACGTAAAGTCAAAATCGACTCTGCTGCGCCGGCCCGGCCAGTGGAAGCCCCCGCGGTACACCCAGCCGTACCCAGCGACGAGTGATTCGGGCCAGTAGTTTCTACTCAAGTAACCGGGTTTTCCGCCGTTTGCCCTGGGGCGCATCACAGCATTCTTATGACAAACTCCATGCATCATGCAACGCCATCACCGTGTTGGCAGGACATTTTCCCCCAAAAAATCCCTTGTCACCCGTAGAGGCTTCCCCTTCTCGATAGCCTGAAGGAGTGATTGAGGCGTTTGGACTGCTCCCTCGCAGAGCTACGTGCAATGTTCTTCACCAGTTTTTTTTTGCTGCACTACTTCAGCGGCAGGCTGCTCATCCATAAAGCCAAGCCTCGCTCTACAGTACCTGCGCCGCACGAGCTGCGCGCCGGCCCGGCGGGAGCCGGATAGCCTTGGTTGGCTGTGTTTGCATTGCGGAATTACGGGTCGTTGAGAACCGGGCTAAACAGAAGAAGAGCTCGATCGAGAGCACTTACTGAACCAGCATGTTGAACCCTTAAAACCGAGAAATCCAAGTCATTTACAAGTCATTTACGAGTCATTTACAAGTCACAAGTCATCTTACAAGTCATTTATCGGCAACCCGGAGCATTGCTCCGGGAGGGTACACAGGTCGGCGAATAGTTTCATGGACGATAATAACGGATAACAATGGGGTAAATCCCAAAGTTGTGTTGTTTTTAATCCTTTTAAGGATTTTAAAAGAGCACTACCACCGAACTCTCTAGTAGATTCTAACGTGGGCATCTACTGCGCCTGCTTCGTAGCCGCAGCATCTGCCCGGGAATAACACCCTCGTCAGCGTCCAATGGCTGCGTTGACGCCAGCAACGAGAGAGCTATTTCATTCAGTTTGCAGGTAAGGTATACTGTGCTCATTTAGTACTATGTTGTGTGCTAACGATCAGACGAGAGAGCTAGCGGAACGAAGGAGAGATGCATGGTGCGCTGATCTTGACCTTTTAACTTGAGGGTGAATTGCGGAATGAGAAATACGTTAATGTGCCAAGTCCTAGGAAGTGGGCGCTTCAACGCAGGTAAAGAAAGCCTAATTCAAACGAACGATGCTCGTGTCACTGTCGAGTTGAGCTGGTTGGTTTGGCGAGAGACACGAGGTTGGGCATCTTCGGCTAAGTGATTGAGTATTGAGCAAATTGACATGTAAAAAATGCAGCCTGCAGCTAGACAAGTCATATTGGTCATCTTCAGCTAAGCTTGGTCGATTATGGCGCAAATTGATACGCCTTCAGCGAGGCCATGACGCTCTCATAGTGTACTGGAGCGTCCGTAAGCGATTCCGGCAGATATTAGCTGAAACATTACAATTAAGAAAGAGAGACCCGGTTTGGTACCCGGTTTTGGAAAGTTACAAGTTTTTTTGCTGGGGCCAAGCACAGGTCTTCGACCTGTGAACATGAACTCCCAACCGTTCATTTTTTAAAAAAGTTTTTAAAAAAACTTGCAACTGACCATTGAACCCATTTGACTTCCAGCCATCCATTTGACTCGGTAGAGTAGTAGAATTAGCGTTTTGGTGAGTCGCGGTGGCTCCGATGGTCTTCGACGCCAAGACCGCGACGAAGCTCAGCGTCCACTTACTTCAACTCGGCGGGGCAAGGTGAAAGGGAGGCGGCCAATGTTGTGCTATGCTCTGCCTCTGCTAGTTCTCGTCGGCGTTATCTCTTTCGCGGTCAGATCCTTCTCCGTACGGCCAAGACCAGCCACCATCACGAAGTTAACCTGGCCAAAGAGTACGGCATTCAAGGTGGTGGATACCAACAGCACGCTGACGCGAGACAAAGGCGTCATCATGTGCATGCACAATGCGGGGGTCCCCATGGGACTCTCGCTCGTCAAAGAGCTGCGCTGTCTGGGGAATCAAGAGCGCATCCAGGTCTACCCTGCTCGCCGGAGGAAATGTCAAACCAGTCGGCCACGATGCTGCTCCAGGCGGACGAGAACCTGGAGATCGTGGATGTGTGCTCGGACCTGGTGAAGCGCGGCATCCTCACCGAGGACAAGGCGCAGCAGTTCCGCAGCTGGTGGGTCAAACCCCTCGCCTTGTATCACACGAACATCAAGGAGGTGCTGCTGATGGACATCGCCGACATCTTCACGCTTGACCCGGCGGTGGTTCGAACCACTCCAGGCTATCAACGCACGGGGACGACCTTCTTCTACGACCGAGTGATTACCAGCAAAGAATTCTTCAACCAGGACTTGAATGGGGCACAATATCTCCGACAACTGCTGAACGACTTCGATTACACTCAGTTCGGCCTACCGCCTGGGGCCTCTCTGTCGGCGCATCTCGACCCAAAGACATCTTTTGCGTGGAACGGCCAGACATGCCACGAACAGGACTCGTCCCTCGTAGCAGTCGACAAATCCCGCGCTGGACAAGCGATCAACGTGCTGTTCTTCCTCTTAACGGAGGAGCGCTTCATTCGCGAGTTTTCCTATGGCGACAAGGAGAGTTTCTGGCTGGCGGTTGAACTGGCCAAGCAGGAGTACTTCTTCTCGCCGTGGGGGGTCGGGGACATTTCGTCCTCGTCGAATGAAGACGTGGCCAAACATAGCGATACTATGTGCGGCAGTATCGCTCAGTACATGCCGCTTGAGAACGAATCACCCGAGTTCTTGTACGTGAACGGCAAAGCGCTCCTGGACCCACTCCCCGGCCCACTTGAGAACCTCGGCAAGGCCTCGCACAATGTGTTGTTCAACATGAACCCAACGCATCTCACACCTCGTCAGAAACGCAGGTTGAATGGCCACACCCGCACCAGCTACAGAGGAGGATTCCCCATGGAATGCCTTGTTGGTTTTGGCGCCGATCCGCTCCCGGAGAAATTCTTCCCTCAACTGCTGCAACGTCGGTTTTTCTACTTCGGCATTCGGATGGGTGTGCTCTCAGCGCTGGACCATTGCTTCCCCGTCGATGGAATGAAGTAAGCCTAGCATCAGCCGCGTTCCTGTTCGCCCTACGGTTGTTGCAAACGAGATTGTAATGAATGTAGTTTCTCGACCCCCCAAGTACGTTGCAATGACCTTCAACGTAGCCCCGAGCTCGTCGTACAACGCGCGACAAGCTCAGCAGGAGCCGCGCACTGTGGAAGGATGTTTATTACGCTCGCATTGATCAGCACGGCTGCCTTCAACGACTCAATCATATCGGCAAACAGCTACCGCAGTGGTCCACCGATGCAAGTGCCCAACCATGGTTGTCAAAGAGTGCGCACAAGAGTGATGATCACTGCAACCCTATGCATGATGTGGTGCACATCAATAACCTTGTTAAACCGCATCGTATTCCGTATCCTAGGTCGTCAATTATGCTCCACAGATCGCAAAAAGGCTCACTTATCGGATCTCCCCACCCGTACATACCAGTGCCGCCATGTTGATGAAGATGCTGTCGAGGCCGGCGCTGAGCGTGGCGCGCAAGCAGCTGTCTCCCGCGTCCGTGGCGCTGTTCAGCTCCGCGCGCGAGCAGAACCCGAGCGTGTTCTTCGACATCTCGATCGGCGGGCAGCCCAGCGGCCGCCTCGTGTTCGAGCTGCGCGCCGACGTGGTGCCCAAGACGGCCGAGAACTTCCGCCAGCTGTGCACGGGTGAGGCGGGCGTGGGACAGTCGGGCAAGCCGCTGCACTACAAGGGCAGCAAGTTCCACCGCATCATCCCCAACTTCATGTGCCAGGGCGGCGACTTCACGCGCGGCAACGGCACGGGCGGCGAGTCCATCTACGGCGAGAAGTTCGCGGACGAGAAGTTCGCGCTCAAGCACGAGGGCGTGGGCGTGCTGTCCATGGCCAACGCGGGCCCCAACACCAACGGCTCGCAGTTCTTCCTCACCACGGTGGACTGCCCCTGGCTGGACCAGGCGCACGTCGTGTTCGGCCAGGTCACGGAGGGCCACGACGTGCTCGAGGCCATGGAGGCGATGGGCAGCCAGTCGGGCGCCACGCGCGCCCCGGTGGTCATCGAGGACTGCGGCGAGCTCAAGGACTAAGCGCGCGCTCGTTCTTTGCAGCGAGAGTGAGTCACCCGAGGTCGACTAACATGGCTGGCTAAAAGTGAAAATTGACTCCAGGTTTGCTGCTCTTTTGATGCCTGTTGAGGTGGTGGTATGTTGTCTAGTGGAGGGTGAGAGTGGCTACTGCTAGTTGAGTTGGGGATGAGAGCAGGAGGAGAAGGGAGGTGCTGCTGCTGTTGAGGACTGACGTGGAGCTGGGGGGTAGTTGCAGAGCTTGGGCTGCTCGCGAGTTGATGGGGACTAGTTGCCGGTTGGAGAGGTGGAGCACTGCCATGCGGCCGTTTGCTTCGCTCAGCAGCACAACTCCCGCGGCTTCAGGTGCGTCTGGAGAGAGAGCTGCGTGGATGCAGCGAAGCAGGACGGGCTGGTCGAGGTGGAGATTGCTGGGGTCGAAGACCAGCCGCTGGATAACTTGGCGCTGCGTACAGTTGCGGAGTTCGAGACTCCACGCACAGGGTCCATCGACTGAGGTTTGCTCATGTTGTCGCTGGATGGAAGAGTACAACACGCGTACACTTTCGGGCGTAGAATCTGCCGTGAACACTGCTGCTGCGTGCTCCAGCTCGGGGCGAATGCGAACCCTCCACTCGTCGGTCGGTGCTATCTCGTCTTCTGCCAGGACGCTCATTGCAGGCTCAGCGAACACTTTGACCACGCATCTACCATCTCGATATCTGGCAGGGCCAGTGTATTTCGCCACAATGAGGAAAGGATGGATGTTGAGGTCTCCAGAAGTCATGACCTCGATAGCCCCAACTTCCACAAGGACTTCCTCGCTCTTCGCAAGACCGGGTAATCGCCTCCGTCGCCTGTAGCTTGAAGGTAGTAAGGTGAGTTCCCGGTACACCACTTCTCGGCCCTCTCGACGACCACCTGTCGCCCGAACTCGAGGCTTCGCTGTGGGTCTTGAATTTCCTTGACCCGTTCTCCTACCGGGGCGAGCATTCGCTCGCTTTAACGGCGACGGGCGTATGTTCATGCCTTGAGCGCTCTGAGCTTGTTCGTTTACCTCCAGCGCGTTGGAAATGTCCACTAGCAAGACGCAGTTGTCTCTCGTCACGATGAGTGCAGCGGAAGCTCCGACAAATACAATTCGCTCAAAAGCGCCCCCGTCGTACTGCGCAGACTTTGAGATTGAAGGTGTGAGCTCGAACCTCGACAGCAACCGCATCTCGCACAGATCAAACACTCTGAGTGACCCATCGCTGTATCCCGCCATGACCATGGACTGGGGAACGCCATCGAGGGTCGTAGAGAACGGGTTCACTGCAAAGCATGTGCAGGCTGAGGAATCAACCTGGAAGCTCGCGACTTCTTTTGAGAGTTTAGGCAGCCAGACGTGAATCGAGTTGTCGTTTGGCGCCGTGGAGAGGAGAACGGACCCACCAAGCGCCCATGAGGCATTGGACACTGCGAAGGGGATATCGCCAGCGGAAGCTGTCTCTCGCAACACTTTCGTTGTCGGTGGTGCATCGAAATGGACCAGCACAACTGTACCATCTTCTGCCGCCGCGATACCAACGTCACGAGCTGGATCGACCGAGAGACTACGCAGCAAGCCACTACCAGGCAGCCCCACCTTGCTCAGGAGCGACACGCCTGCTCGAGCAACGCGCTGCCAGTCCACCTGCACTCGCGCTGAGTGTTTCGTTGACACCATCGGCAGTCCGTGCACGTACAATACATTCTCGGACCTTGAGCCTGTGATCAGTAGCGATTTCCCAGCGGTGGTCACCCACTCCATGAAATCGACTGCTTTCCGAGTTGAAGCCGTCAGCTTGACCTTATTCTCGGGTTGATTGCTACCACCTCTCGATTTCGATGGCAATAGCAAGAGCTGCGTAGTCGCGATGAACGAAATGCTGTGGAGATCGTAGAAGTAGCAGTACCGGTCGTTGTCGATGCCTACGAGATAGCGCAGTCGGTCACGCGAGCCGTTTCTGTTGTAGAGACGGATCAGCTGGACTTGCGTTGGGAACACTCCGATCAATGGTTCAAGTTCAGCGTCCGAAGTTGTATCACAACTGGTCGTCATTGCATCTGGGTAAACAGTAAGTGTGCTGATGCCGCTGCGCTCACTGGACAGCAGTAGAAACTCAGTGTCCGATGTAGCAAGAATTTGGCACATTCTTGTCGGCTGCAACTCTTTCGATGCTGTGCTCATCCAGATGACCTCCTTCTTGATCGTACTCGCAACTACAACCACGTGTTCCTCCTGCAAAAGATCTGGTTTCTTAACATCACAAGCCATGCAAAGAAGTTCTTCAACTTGCCGCTGTCGAGATTTCTCCCCAAACGCCAAAGCAGTGACAGCGCACGTGCCCAGCGGGAGATTGATCGAAATGTGGTCGTCATTCGTCTTCCATGTTGTGTCCTCGCCAGTGAGAGCAAGCGGTCTCACCGCAACAGCATCGAATCGGGAGGAGACTGTTGCGACGTATTCCCCACTGGGCGACAACTGTACCAGAACAATTTCATCAGGAGGCTTCAATGGTGAGGAATCATTCGAGCTGTGATCATCGCAAAATGCTTGAAGGCCAGAAGCGATATACTCCACCACTAAGATAGTGTTCTTCGCGTAAAGCATCTTCCCCGTGGTGTACGACCAAGCGAAACTCGAAGGGTTAAAGCCACCGGCCGCACTGGATAAAACGAGGTTCCCGCCACTAGTCTTTGCTAGCCCCACAGCCGCTGTGGGCACATCGGTACCCACTGTGTCAGTCTTGTTGCTGAGAACGCTGTCAAGTTTGTCGTTTTGTGTGGCGCGACTGCCGGATTCCAGCTTCAGAGCGTCGGCTCCGAGACTTAGTCGGAAATTTGACTTGGACGCAGCTGCAGTTGTAGCAGACAGCGACGAGGTACTTTCGTTATTGTGTGTGAGCTGTTCACCGCTCGATTCGGAGTTGTTGTCGCGCCGCTCGAACGAATAGATGGCTTCTAAATCCATGCTGCCGCTCTTTGCTCGCGGCGACAATGGCGACGAATCTCCGTGGAACTGCCAAATGCAGATCGCACTCGACTCACCCGAGGCAATAACCCGCTTTCCATCTTTTGTGAACGCCAAATCGTTCACTTTGCCCCCATGGCCGATAAATGACTGGTGCATTCGCCCAATGCGTCCTCTGTCGTCCCAGTTCCAAACGCGGAGAGATCCGTCCACTCCTCCAGTGGCCATGTATTTCGCATTGGCACTCATTACCAAGGCGCTGATACCATCTTGCCCAAGCAGGGGCATCGACTGCACGAACTCCCGGTCTGGAAGGGAAAATATATGCAGGCGATCGCTTGCTGATAGTACCAGCAGCTCTGTCGACCTGTTGGAGAAACGCACAAGCTTCAGTGACTCCTCTTGACCTGTCAGAGAGATACCTCCTGGTTGTTTTGGTGGCTGAACCGTAGCCGCCACGCGAAGTGAGCAAGGATCAAGCATGACGATACTTTTCCTGTCGCTGCTGACTATGGCTAGCCACTTCTTGTCGTGACTGAGTACAAAACGACCGTCTTCAGGATCAAAATCTGCCAGCAGCATCTTCAACGGCAAGTAGTCTTGCTGTCGTGCGTCGTATAGACACAACTGCTTCCCAGCCCCCGATGTGAATAGATGCTCCGCGTCGATGTCGAACTCAATGTGACGAATGGAGCTCTGATGTTGCCGGAATTCATGCAGCATACTTGAAGGGGCCTCGCTAGCGTTGTTGTCACTAGTAGTATCCATCGTAGGCGCTCGGTGTACGTCAAAGATCCGCGTGCAGCCTGAAGCGAAGCCTACTGCGACAATGCCGCTATGCACCGGCGACGCGGCCAAGCACGTCACGCGTTCTTCCTGCATGTCGAACTCATATAACTGATACCCCGACGTTGTGTCCCAAACGCGCAGCGTGCCATCACTGGAAGCTGTTACCAGCTCGCTCTCTGCGGTACCAATCTCCCCTGCTCGTGCATCTTCGAGTAGCAAAGAGGCTAGCGGAGAACCCCATGGTGCAGGCGTCATCGCAGTTATCTCTTTAGTGTGGGATCGCAGCAAAGTTGCGTACTGCTGGTCAGCGATATCCAATAAACCGATCGCGTTGTTGCGACTGCCGACCAGCACCTTCATCCCATCGGGGGATACATCCAACGAGCTCACTCCAGCTTCGTGGTGCGCTTCCAAGAAGAAATCGGTGAAGTCCAATGGCCAAACTCGGAGAAAGCAGTCGTCTGATCCGGTCACGCAGAAACCTTCGTTGATAGACAAGCAGTTGATGCTGGCATCGTGAAGCTGGTACACGCAGATAACCTGCTTCGAGTCGTAGTCAATCACAAGCAATGTCCCCAAGCTGGACGCCACGTACAGCGGGCGAACACGGCGAATGTCGGAAGGATGCGACTCTGCGATCGTGTCAAAGCCGATATCCGTGAACACGGTTCCTCGAGAGTATTCGTTCAAAATGACGGGACAACCCGTGAGATGGCCAGTGTTTGGATTCACGCGCCAGTAGCGAATATTTTCCCGACCACATGACACGAGATGGTAGTGATCTTGCTGCTCGTATGGAGAGAAGGCGACGCGGTCGATCGGGAAGTCCGACGTTTGTCGCGCCATTAGACTGACTGCTGCCCCCGAATAAGCTTCCTTTTTTCCATGTCGAAGGCACGAGCAATCCCAGATGAAGATTTGTGTGCGGAAACACTCGTCACGCCCGACAGCGCAGAGCAGCAGGCGGCGCTTTGACGCGCTCGAGAAACAAAGCGCGTGAACGCCTTTAGGCTGCGCCTTGACTACGGTGACACATTCGCGACTTGCAAGATCCCAAAGTCTGACCCCATTTTGGTTCTTCGCTTGAAGAGGTACCTCTGCCGATGCCAATAGCCCCCCATCGCTCGCTACTGCTAGAGCACAGATGGACGCTGAATGCCCGTATAAGAAGTGCTCCCGAGTCGCGGTAGCTGAACTGGTAGTTTCCAATGAGCCTTTGACAGCTTCAGTGGAGACTCGCTGTGAAGTAGCCGACCGTCTTGGATCCATGCCTTCGTCGCAAAATTCCCTGATGATGATCGCTGATGAACTTGTGTACACGCAGGCAGAACCATCAGGAAGCCACAGTAACATTCGTGAATAATCGTTCGAAAATCCGATAACCCGGTCAAGCTCCAAAATCGGATCGGGCCACTCTGCCTTGGTAGAAGACGAGACGATCTTGGCTCGGAGCCCTCTCTTGGTCAGCGAGGCATACCTCATAGCAGGAGAGTCAAGCGGTGATTGGTATGCGGTATCCATTGGCTCCTGGTTGTTCGCGGTGCCTGCACTCACGTCAAAGATCCCAGCATCGCGTAATATCTGATCGGCCTGAATAACAAATATTAATAATAAAAATAACCGAATGACGTGAGTTTCCAGCAACAGTTTGGTTCAGATTCGCTCGAACAAACCTTTGACAAGATGTCGTTTCTGTCACGGCGAAGATTCGAGTCTCGTGTTCTTGGAGATCCTTTCGCTGTCACTTCAGCGTCTACTTCGTGAGTAGGAGATACTTCATCCGAAACGAATTCGTTGTGGGATGTACGCGTAGACTCGAGTGAATGTCGACGCACTCGAGTACTAGGCGTGGGTGTTGCGGCAATACGAAGATCCTCCTGCTTCACTGGATCGATTTGTCGGTGAATACCGTGGTGTACAATTGGATTAGATTCTGACGGCACCATGAGCCAACGATACTGCTCTCCGAACTCCCCAGGAAATCGGAGGGTGCTCGGCAAGGTCTGACAAATCTCAACATCAGATTGAGTCAACTTCATGAAGATGTTGTAGCAAGTTTTGAATTGATGAAACTTACCGTCGGTGTATACAGCGTGGGAGACACAAAGAAGTTTCGCACATTCATGGACGCACATAGTGTGATGGTCTAAAATAATTGAACGCGCCACAAGGTCAGAAGATATAGGTCAAGATCCTGGCCTCTACCACCAATGTTACCTTGAGGTGACGATAGGTCTCTCTTGCGTACTGGTTAAAGGAATCCAGTAAGGCCGCCATGTCAATCACAACCACGGTCCACCGAGCATCCAAGCTTAGAGGCACTCTCAAAACCGTTCCGGCACTCCGAACCAGCTGATAGATAGAGCTCAGCGTGAATCGCAGCGCCGTCTTCTTGTTCGTGACGAAATCGAGATGAATCGTCATGGGTAAGTCTCCGATGCGACGTAATTGCACGTAAGCGTAGCGCCCTGTAAGGCCCAGTCCGTGTGTTCCCTTTGCTGCATCTCTAAACTCCAAACAACAGCCATAAGAAACAAGGAGCCAACAAACATAACAGCCTCGCCGACCAACCTTGGAACCCGCAGGTAGTTCGTCGCAGCAATTGCCCCTCGGATCCGGAAGACGTTCTTGTGGATGTGCTGGTCTTGGGTCTGTTCGACGTCGCCCTGTGCGTGCCAGCCAACGTTGCGATGCGTCATGCCGAACTTGATCACCTCCACGAACGGATCCTGCCACACTATGAACGAGATGAGCCAAGGAATCCTGCATTGAACGTGACGATGGGGCTCACCTGGCATCACGGCGGGAGCAAACGGAGACGCCATTAGGCTTGTGCTCCTTGAAGTCTTTGAAGTCTTAGACCCGACCTTTCACGATATGAGTCATAACCGAGGAATTATTGTATCCAAAGTACGTCAACCTTGACTTCAAGGGTATCAAAATGCACGTTCTGTGCGAGGTCTTGATATGAGTTCCCGCCCGCCGACCGGAGAGGCCTGTGCAATGGCGTAAACCCCCTCACTCCCCAGCTTCGTTCCCCAGTCAAAGGCGGCAAGAATGTGGTTCGTCGCCAGAGCGGTCGCAGCAGCAGCGGTTATCCGGGTCACCAGCGCCGCCACATGCGAAGTGGCCTCGCTCCAGACGGTCCTGGCCTCATCAGACACCAGCGCGTGTGCCTCGGACTCAGGGTACGTCGTTACCTCGCTGTCCACGCCTACGGACGCCGAGATGGCCATCATGTGCACCAGCACGGCCTGCCAGTCGGTTGTGGCGCAGCTCGAGGCGGTCTTCCCTTCGGAGTGCTCCATAGGCTCGTTCGCGCTGTACGCCGACCTGACCACCCCCGTGACGAGCTACTGTTCCTGGGGCGACTTATCCTCATCCGAGTCGTCGTCCTCAGGCTCTAATAGTGGCCTGGGTACTGGCCCAGTACTACTGGGGCGATCGTTGGAATCGTTGCGGGGGCCGTGGGGGTCGTGTTGATCGGTTTTGCGGCTTTCGTCGTGTGGCGCCGGCGCAACAACCGAGGAGGACGCAGCAGCCAACCCCCAATCAGTTTGTTGGAATCGCCTGACGGTCGGAAGAACGCGCCGCTACTCGAGGGCGTCTATGCTGCAGATAAAACGGATTACCAAGACATATCTATCCCCACGTCCAGAACGTACTCCACGGAGGCCTCGATGCCAGGCAGCACGAACGGCAGCAACGGTCTATGGGAGGACCCCGCCATTGTAGCGGCAAGGATCTCTATCGATCGTGTACAGCTCGGGGCATTAATCGGTAGAGGGGCTACGGCGAGGTGTTCCGCGGCCGCTATCGAGGTCAGGACGTGGATATCAAAATGTTGCTCCCGAGTAAGCGCAAGGACCTGGTGCAGATCCAAGCGTTCCTGTCTGAGATCCGGCTGATGGCAACGATGGAGCACCCGTACATCGTACACCTGGTTGGCGTGACCTGGGAATCACTTAGCGACTTGTGCTGCGTGAGCGAGTTCATGGCCGGTGGCGACCTGCGCTCGCTGCTTAGCAGCTACTGTCCCACAAGGCATGGACGCCACCAAGGTTGAGATCGTGTACCAAGTGGCCAAGCCCTCACGTACCTGCACTCGTTGGAGCCCGTAGTGCTGCATCGCGATCTCAAGTCTCGAAACATTTTGCTCACAGAATCTCTCGACGCGAAATCACCGACTTTGGGGCGTCCCGCACTCGATCGGACGAGACGATGACCGCTGGCGTCGGTAGCTGGCTGTGGATGGCACCCGAAGTGATGCTAGGAGAGCACTATGACGAGAAGGCCGACGAATTCTCACTAGGCGTCGTGCTGTCGGAGCTAGACACCCATGAGTTGCCATACTCGCACGCGAAGGGCAGCGGCTTCTCGGACGCAGCCGTCATGCAGATGATGTCGACGGGGAAGATGCGCGTGCAGTTCTCACAATTCATGGACCCAGGCATGGCTCGCTTTGCTGAAAGTTGCGTGAGTTTGAGTCCTCTCGAGCGGCCCACAGCGGCTGAGGTTCTCTACTACTTTTAAAAGGCCAGGAGGAAACAGCATTGATGAGTTATATGCTCTTTGTACAGTATTGCAACTCGATGTCCCAGTCGACCACAGTAGCTATTCTACGAACTACAGAAACAGAAAATGAATCTAATGAATCGTTAGGATTGTAGTATTGAACTTTAGGGCGTGTATCTCTGTTGCAGCAGTTCCTGGATGTAGCTGCACACAGACGCAGTGATGAGGTCTCCATTGAGAATTGGCCGGACGACCTCTAGACTTTTCCGAAGCACGGGGTGGTCTGGCAGCAAATTGTAGCGGAACAGCACTACCCAGCGCAGTGTCACGGATACGGTTCTACCTGTGGTGGGGTCTTTCCGGGGCGTAAGGGTGAGTCCGCAGATGTCGAACGCCGATCGGCAAGTGGGGTACAAGGCGTCGTCGGTGATAGCATCAACGTGAACGACGCCAAGCGACGGTGTGAGGCTGGCACACATGACGTGGTTTACGGTCGGTGCGAATCCGACGCCGTCGGTGGTGAGCGCCAGTACGCCACTGATGCCTCGACGTCGTTGAGCCTTGTGCGACTTGCTTTAGCACCAAAGTGGCGCCTCATCGCCGTTGGGATCGAGTCGAAGTACGCCAGAACCGCCGCGAAGACTTCTTCTAACGAGGTGTGCGGGATTTCCGACATGAAGACGCTTGTAACCAGCGTGCAGTCCTTGCAGCCGGTGATGTCGATTTGAGAAATGGGTAGTACACTTTTGGTTGCGGTGTTGTTGGTTTGGTAGTTCTGTGCCTTGTCGACTGCCATTCGTGTGACCTGGTCCATGTAGGACGGAAGGATTGCCAGCGACCGCTGTTTGTGGATCATTAGCGCTGAGTTGCGGTCCGCTGGGTCAGAGGCAAGCTGGGTGCTGAAATGGAGTGTCTTCAAGATTTCCTCTCCACTGGAATACAAAGGCGAACGGAAGATGGCCGACTGGATGGAGGCAAACATGAACTGTTGCTGCAGGTGGAGATCCTTGAGCGCGTCGTGCAAGACCACGGACTGGCCGGCTTTGTACTTCTCGTGGGCCGAGTATTGAGCTGTGAACAGAGCGCGCTTGTCCGGTAGGTGCTTGATCCACTTCGACTGCAGTCCGCGGAGCTCTTCCTCCAAAGACGACACCTCTGCTCTCAGCATTCGAATCTTGTGTGCTGGTCCGTAAGAAGCCTTGGCAGCCCCGCGTCTTCCGCCCCTTTGTGGCTGAATGGGTTCTTTCACTGCGCATGATCTCGCACTGCCGGGTTGTTGTTGCTTCTTGGTGTCTGGAGTTGGGCAGCCTGGAGATCTGAACGGCAGTTCCATATCGGGAAGAGGGATCGAGAGAATCGGCTGCCTACCAAGTCGCAGGAGGGTTTAGAGAACCGGAAGCGCTGTATGCGCTCGAGCCCAAAAGTTGGAGACTGGATCGTCAGGGGCAAGGATGGTTTGATCCACTCAGCTGTTTTATTGATTGATCACATCTGGTAAGGCCCTCTGATGTCAAACGAGTGCACATGGCAAAATGAATCAAAGGGGTCTGGGGTTTATCTGTGACTGGTGGCCACTCGATTGAGCCTGTGAGCAAGTCTGGGCAGCGAAGTAAGCGAGTGTTGACACCGTTCTCCCATGTCCTCCAGCTGCACAAACTGACGGAATACAAGTGGAGAGGCCACTTTTAGAAAGTGACTTCTTCACGTTAGAAGAGAAACCGTCCTTCGCGCTGAATAAGTGAGCAGTACTATAGGTCGTTCCCTCCTTTCATAATAGCGTTCTAAGACCCGTGAATCGATGCTCTTCATACTTCTCTAGAGAGGGCGAGGCTCCATTGAGCTGAGTGCTCGCAGATGGGACCTCTAGCGGTGGACACCAGTCACGGTAGCACCCGATATCCTTTGACCGTGAACTGCATACCCTCTGGTTTGAAACAGTTGGCTCGAGTCACAGCTATTATTATTATTATACGAAATGTGCATTGTAGGACGTATTCTCTTCCTTCCTCTAGTAATCGGAGATTTCGCTATACGGTGCGAGCTCTGGCAAAACATCGTGATGATTGGGATCGCCACGTGGACGAGTAGCCGGATATCCATGTGCATGAAAATGTAGGTAGCGACGGCTGATGTTGCCTGTAGATCACTGCTTCAAGAGCATTGATGATAAGATATTATCCTCTACTACATGTACTACACTGTACACCGTAGTAAGCTTAGTAAGATATATGTAACCCAAGGTGAAAAGTTATGCACAGAGGAAACTAGTGCATTTGAATGGAGAATGGAGAATCACAACTATCAAAACGGCGGGTTGTTCGGTGACGTTTATCTAGCGAATTAGCCAATGTTTTCATCATCCTCTTCGGCCTTTGACGTATTTATCATATAACACTGGTATATTATACCCACTGCGGTGGGGCTTATGTTGTGTGAGAATTCTTGACTACAGCGCGGACACCCACGAAGGCTAGACCCGATAGCACTATTGCTCACTTGGTCGAGAGGCCGCTCAAATACTCCTCCAGCTCCTCAAAATCATCCGCACCAAAATTCATAACGTCGTCGGTCCCGTCGCCGGCCTTCGGTGACAAACCCTCGAGACCCTTGAGCTCGGCATCCAGCAGCTCGAGCTGGGGATCAATCTTGCCATCAGGAAGACTTGCCAGGTCACTAGAGAACGATTGAAGACCCAGCTCCTTCTCCAAGTTCTTCATCTCGTCGAACTCTTTCGACAGGTCTGTAGAATCATCCTTTCCGCTGGCGGACTTTGCTGCATCGGCGGTTTTTTCCTCCAAATCCACCCCTGCTTCGGCTGCCTTAGCCAGCGCTCCACTCGTTAATGATTCAAGCTCGCTCATGAGTTCCTTGTCCTTCTCCTCATTCCAGCTCCCCTTGCGGTTAATCTTCTCCTTAGCCGCGTATCCAGCGTCTTCGTCTGTGCCACTAATACTGAACGAATTCTGCTTCTGTGCCGCTTGCGCCTTCTTCGCCGCCTCAGCCTCTGCCTCCGCCTTTGCCTTGGCTTCAGCTTCGGCGGCAGCAGCAGCCGCAGCTTCAGCGGCAGCCCTAGCTTCGGCTTCCGCCTTCTTTTTCTTTTGTAGCTCCTCGCGCAGCTTTTGAAGTCGTTTCTTCCTATCCTCGATGTCTTGCCAGAATGCCTCATCCCGGTGAAGCATATCTTCGTAAGCTTGGCGGTCCTCTTCGTTCAGAGAAACACCCTCACTCTTGGGGGCATTTGCCGCTTCACCACCTGCAATGACATCAAAGTCAGCAATGGGAGGGCAGCAGATTTATTGGCAACTTACATCCACAGCACTTACCCGTTGCATCTGCAGAAGCAGCCTTTCCTTCAGTTTCGACATCCGCGAATATCAAGTCGACGAAAAAGTCCTGGTCGAAGCGGGGGTCGCCACAAGCACCATCCAGCTGCGCCTTGGTGAGCCTGCAGTTAATACACCATAACGTTAGATGTCAACTACGACTAAAGCCCAAAATGTTGATATAACGTACCTTAAGATGCCCTGCGGGATGTAACCGGTATGGAATGCGCCACGGAACATCGAAACGCGCTCTCCGGCAGCCGTCAAATGACGACAGCGGACCAGAATGTCTCCCTGCAGCATGCAGTTCACGTTGAATGACACGGATCCGTCCCCAGTGCTAGCCCACTGAATTCCATGGCCATCCTCCATGTCCTTCCAGGTGGTTGTGAACACGAGCTTTCCTCCCTTGAAAATCTGCAGGTACGGGCAGCATCCTTCCTCGACTGTTTCAATCATTTCTTCCTCCTCGTCCCCTTCCGCTGCTGCAGCCGGGGTAGTCAGAGACTCGCCCTCGACGCCCACCGTCTCAGATCCGTCATCCGTGGACGAGTTCTTCTTCGCCGGCTCCAGCACCCGCCGCTCTTCGAACACGGGGATCGTGTTGATAATCACACGGCGCAGCAGCAACGGCGACGACCGCGGCTTCACTCCGTCCATGACGTTGTTGAAGTACTGAATGTATCGGCGCTGCGACGGGATCGTGAGCTTCTCGACCGACGTGTTCCGCTGCTCCGCCACGTACTCCAAGCTCTCCATGGCGTTGGGGAACTGCCCCACCCAGGCCAAGTAGCAGGCGATGACCGTGCCCGTGCGGCCCTTGCCCGTCAGGCAGTGCACGGCCGCGAGGTTCTTGTCGTCCGCCTGCAGCCAGCTCTCGATGGACGAGCAGATCTTGAAGACGAGCCCGAGCGGCGGCGCCGGGTGGCCCGGGAAGTTGAACTCGAGCACCTGGTTGTCGAAGAACGCGTAGTCGTACGTCTCCTCGCTGAGGTTCCAGATCATGTAGTGGCCGCCGTGCTTTGAGTTGAGGTACATGGCCACGAGGTCGATCGGGTTGTCCTTGAGCAGCGTGCGGTTCGTGCCCAGGTTCATGTTGGGGAAGCCCATGGCCACGACGCTGTCCGTGACGTACGAGAAGTTGAGCAGCTCCAGGTTCACCTCGCCCGTGGAGCGGTCCAGCGCGTAGCTCAGGCGGCGCTGCAGCGCGTCCATGTCGGCGGCGTCCAGCGCCTTGCGCGCCTTGACGGCGCCCTCCTTGGCCGCCGAGGCCGCCACCACCTGCGCCTTCTTCATGAAGCCCATCATGCTGGCGGCCGCGGCCGAGACCGACTCCGAGTTGAAGCGCTCGGCCAGCGCCGTCTTGAGGGTGGCCGGGTGCGCCGACGGGTCGTCACTCTCCTCGCCGAAGAGCGTGGGCGGCGGCGGCGATGGGGACGGGCTCTTGCCGTCCGACTCCTGCGCGGGGGACGGGGGCGACGTGGCGGTCGTGTCGGCGTCCGAGGAGGGGGACGCGGTCTTGGCGTCGTGGCTGGCCGACGTCCCCGTGTACGCCTCGAGCCGCGTGGCCGCCGCGGGGAAGCGCTCCGACAGCCGCTTGAACATGGCTCCGATACTTTCTGATTGATCGGACCGTGTGTCAGATGCCCCTCAAGCTGCAACTAGCATAGCATCGGATTTAGTGGCCTAATTGGATAAGAACATATAAAGGGTACGGTTTTGTGCCACCTGACTTTAGCGACATGACGGGTTGGGACTCGGTCGTCAAGTGGCAACCCTGGATTGCAGCCACACAAGATCAGTGAAGCCATTTCCGATTATGACCATCGAGAGCTTCGCGTGGCGCGTGGACCGCGATGCCGTGCGCGGGCGGATGCTGCGCGCCACGCGCGACTTGCAGGAGGGCGAGAGCGTGCTGAGCGAGCGCGCGTACGGCAACGTGGTGCTGTCGCAGCACCGCGCGACGCTGTGCGCCGTGTGCCTCTGCGCGGCCGACCCGGACATTTGCTGCGACGACTGCTCCAAGGTGTTTTTCTGCAGCGACGCGTGCCAGGAGAAGCTGCAGGACGTGCACGAGAAGGAGTGCGGGGCGCTGGAGGAGGCGGACCTGGCCGCGCGCAAGACCAGCACGGACGTGGACCTGCTGCGCCTGCTGATCCGGATCTTGGCGGCGCGCTCGCTGGACACCGCGGACGGGAAGCTGCGCGCCGACGAGCAGGGCGTGGTGCACGCTAGCTACGCTGGTGTGCAGGACCTGGTGCACGTGCTGGACAAGGAGGGCGGCGCGTGGGCGGATCACGTGCGCGCTGGCGCCAAGAAGATTTTGGAAGACCTTCCGGACGAGTGTCATCTGCCCGTGGAGGAGATTCTCGTTATCGCAGCGCAGATCAATGAGAACTCGTACTCGATGGATGCGTTGGATGAAAAGCATTTGGTGGCGGCCGTGGGGCTGTTCCCGATCTGCGGACTGATCAACCACAGCTGCCAGCCGAACTGCACCTGGTCGAACGCGGGAGACGGGATCGCGGAAGTGAGAGCGCTGCGGGACATCAAGGAAGGAGACGAGATCACGCTGAGCTACATTGACATTGACAAGGAGCGCGCCGAGCGACGCAAGGAGCTGCGTGAGACCAAGCACTTCGATTGCCAGTGTGGCCGGTGCGCGGCGCCGCTGAGCGAGTCGGTCGACCGCTACCTGGAAGGATTCTGCTGCCCGCGTTGTTCTGTGATGGCTTCTGGGAAGGACTACTTGCTCGCTCAGGTGGAAGACAAGCTGGTGTGTTCTGACTGTCAGCTCGATGTATCGGCGGCTGCTGTCGCTTCGGCAGCCCTCGCAGCGAGGAATACGCTGGCGAAAGCGAAGCAGAATCTGAACCAGTTCAAGTACGCGGAGGTCGTGACGCAGCTCACGAACCTTTCAAAGGGCATTGAAGTGCGCGGCCAGGTGATCCCGTTCCACCGTAGTCACGGTATTGCGATGGCGGTGGCGCGGGCCCTCTCCGATGCCCAATTCAAGCTGGGCAACATCGTTCAGGCATACGATCTGCGCAAGCAGCTCCTCCAGGCTCTTGAACTCGTGGCTTGGCGCAGCCACCTACCTCTTGCGCTCGCCCACTTCGACTATGCAGACACGCTCCGGCGTATGCTGGTGAATCCATCAATTCCTCTTCCCGAGAACCTGAACCACGACGAGTTGCAACAGGAGATGCGCGCTTCCTACCAAGCTTTCAGCGATATCTGCGCTGTTTGTCTCGGAAAGGCTAATCCGTTGCACCACCGTGCGTTTGCTGCTCTGAAATTCTGAGCAATTATCTAACGCCTTGCCAGGACAGCTCATATACTGCATGTAGTACACTCGAAGAGTAAGCAGATGGGAGGAACTCGTTGTGAAAGTAGTGGTGACCACACTCAATACAGTTGCTTGTACTTAGAGCTTGCAAGAAATGACCAACCTTACCCCGCAAGCTATACCCGCCTTACTCAAAGGAATCCTTGCGCCGACGAAGGTTCTCAAGGACGCTAATGGGATCTGTGCCGCCGACAGCGTTGCGAATGGTCTCGTTGTGCACGCGCAGGAACGGGTTGTACAGCATCTCTTCGCGCAGCGACGACGGCACACTGGGCAGGTTCTTCGCTCGGCGGATACGAACGGCCGCGATTTTCTCGTGCAAGGCCTGGTTGGACGGGTCCACGCTCAGCGCGAAACGCAGGTTCGACATGGTGTACTCGTGGCCGCAGTAAACCTTCGTGTCCTTCGGCAGCGTGAGGATAACCTCGTACAGCGCTCGGTACATGTCCTCGGCGGTTCCTTCAAAGAAGCGTCCGCAGCCTCCAACAAAGAGCGTGTCGCCAGGGAACAGCAGCGGCGGGGTGTCCGCGTCTCCCGTGACGACGTACGCCACGTGCGCTTTCGTGTGGCACGACACGTTCAGCACTTTGACGTTCGCCGCGCCGATTTTGAACTTCTCCCCACCGTTCACAGGGCGGTTCCGCGCTGGGATCAGCTCGTTCTCCGGCCCGGCGATCATGATGCCCGGATACTTTTCGGCTATCTCTTCGTTGCCGCCGGCGTGGTCACTACAATGCCACCAACATCAAATTCCAATTAGTCTCCACGCTACTCAGTAACTTTACGTATCGAATGAGTTGCTTACGCGTGCTTGTGCGTGGTCAAGACGCCGAGGAACTCGCGCTTCCGAGTGGTCTCCTCCTCCTTCAACACGGGCAAGATCTTGCTGGGCTCGGCCGGGTCCACCGCGAACATGGTGTGGTTCGCCTCGTCCACCACGACGTAGCCTGCATGCATGCAAACCCACACACACGCAGCCGTTAGCAAACAAAATGGCTACTCATGCATATCTCCACTAGGTAGCTTTGGCGTCACCGTAGTTGTCTTCCAGCATGGGCACGATGCGGACGCGGAGGCTCGGATCATTCAGGTACTTCTTCTTGGGCTTGGCGGGAGTCGCAGCAGCAGCAGCAGCAGCAGCTTTACTCGACGCACTTCTCCACTGCGACGTCAACAGCCTCGACGACCTGCAGGAACCCGCAGCCAGCGCCGCGGGTCGACGCAACTGCCGCAACAACATACACGCGATCGTAGAGTAGATCTGTAGTTGTGGTTACACTGGACCTGAGGGGTTACCCGTCGACTCAGGTGGGGGTACACAAAAGGGTACATCTTCATCTTTGATTGTGTAACCCTCTGGAAGGGGGCCTCAAGGCGAGCTCATTTTCCGAGCCGAGAGCCTGGAAGCGGCCAGCCATGGAGAGCTTCGGCGCGGAGCTCAAGGAGACGCCGTACCCGCTGATTGCGGCGCTGGGCTCGCGCGAGCTGCAGGGCAAGGTGCTGCCGCTGGTGCGCGCGGCCAACGAGGAGTTCGTGCCCAAGCTGCACTTCGCGTCGCTGCCGCGCGAGCACCGCTTCCCCGTCAAGAAGGAGCTGCGCGAGAAGCACGGCACGTTCCCCAACCAGACGCAGCGCGACTTCGAGGGCTACCGCACGCAGGGCGTGCTCAAGGCGCGCTGGCTCAAGAAGCACCACGAGCTGCTGCCCGCCGTCGTGCTGCTCTTCGACGAGTTCGACCCGCGCTGGAGCCCGCAGGACTGGCAGCAGCGCGAGACGGCGCTGCGGGAGGAGGTCGAGAAGCTCAAGCGCACGCTGTCAGGTGGGCGTTGTGGGCCTTATACCCCGGGGTGGGTGAAGTGAGGAACTGATACTGATGGGGTTTTATGCCTTTGTGCAGCTAGGGAGTGCCGAGTGATGCTCGTGCTGATGCAGCAGGTGGACGACGCCGGCGTTGCGCCCATGAACACGACGGAGGAGAGGCTGGCCAACCTGAGGAGGAGGCTGGACACGGACGCCAAGGGCTTGGTGCTGCTCAGGTCCAGGGACCTGGTGAGGGGCTCCAGTGTGCTGCTCAAGCTCGAGTCGTCGGTGCGCAACATGGCGCTGGACTACTACAAGGCGCAGTCCAAGCGCGTGAAGAGGTACAAGAAGGCGTTGGCCAAGACGCCCGGATACCAGGCGCTGCACGCGCGGCTGAGCTTCAAGATCGCGCACTACTACGAGTTCCGGCGCTACACGACCAAGGTGCTGCAGCATTACGAGGCGTCCTACCGCGCGATCATTGCGCTGCCGCTGAATGAGAACGAGGCGGTGGATTGCATCGCCTACACGCAGGTCATGACGATGGCGGAGTTCGTCAACTTCAAGCTGTGCTACCACTTGATCTTCTCGTCCAACAACATCAAGGGGGCGGTGGACCAGCTGCAGCGCCACATGGGCGTCTACGCGCGAGCGATTATTGTGGCGGACCGAGCGTACGAACACTGGGAGTGGGTCTCGCGCCAGTACCATGTCTTCGCGCAACTGTTGGCCGAGGCCACTTCCATTCGCGGCTCCCTTCCGAGCACGGGGCTGGACTCGGACGTGTATAAAGAGCCGTATTTATATTACTCCATCGCTGCCAAGTACGCCATGTTCCGGAGGAAGGCGGCTGCTAAGCTCGGTCTGACCGCAGCGACCACCGTTCCCACCGCTATTCCCAATGGTGAGACTTTATCGGAGCGCGACTTTGTCGTGGTGCCTTCCGTCTTCGTTGGTGGTGACCCGGTGGTCTCTGAAGCGAACGCGGCGTCTCAGGATCCGTCGGTGGCAGCACTTGTGAAGTATCGACATGCTATGGAGAGGACCGTACCCCACGCCAAACGGTCTATTGTTTTATTGGAGCACGCAATCCAGCACCTGACGATGTTCGTGGCTGACCGCAACGCGCCGCGAAGTCGGATGAAAAGCCGATTGCTGGTACATTTGGGCACCGAGCGGTTGGCATCTGGAGAGTACGAGCGCTCGCGCGCCGAGCTACAGAAAGCGAAAGCTACTTTTGCGATTGAGAACTGCTGGGCACAAACCGCTCAGATTCTGAAGCAGCTACTTATTTGCACCTTCCGCCAGGGAGATACTGCGGCCTACCTGGACTACTCGCTGCAGTTGTTGTCGCCTGTCGTGGAGGAATTTATATCCCCGAAGGAACGTGGCCGTATCCAGGACTCTTTTCTTACTGCATGGAGAAACCCGTCTGCACTGGGAGCACCGTTTACTGAGAATTCGGCGCTTGGCAATGGACATGAACTGGCACTCGATCGATCTCGGCCTGTGTTCGCTCTAACGGCGCAATTTGATCGCGCTTCTGCCTGCGTGAAGGAGGACGTAACACTGGAGCTGGGATTGCGGTCACATTTCCCGTCGCCGCTTGTGATGGCGAAGATAGAATTGGTGTTCAACGACGAGCGCTATCGTACGGTAATCTACCATCAGGCTGATCTGGAATCTGGAACTTTGGCTTGCGTGGATGGGAAGTTTTTCACGTCGTTGGAATTTACACATAAGGTGACGAAAGATCTGCGAGTTCCTCTGCATGTGCTCGATGGCCGGCAGATGTTATCTATCCAGGAGGTGCGGTTCTACCTTGGAGGTTCGGAGAACGGCGTGAAGGCCGATGGTGTCGAGGCGAACGGTGTACAAACAGAGGACGAGTTCTTGATTTTCAGCCTGCTCGTTGAGCGTGCATCTGTGGAGCAACGAGAAACACCGCAGCCGTATCTTGTGAACGGACGTGTGCCTGCTATGGGCAACGGATCCGCTTCGCCGAGCTTCTCGAGGAGAAAATCGATGTTCTCCCTCGTGGAAGGCCCTCGGCCAGGTCTCGCTGACGCAGTCGAGCCTATTCAGGAGGATGGCACCGCTCACCTTCGGGGCTCATCGCTGATGATTATGCAGCCACGTGCAAAGGCCACTTTGACTATGGTGTCCCGCGAGCCGCTCCTGACAGGAGACTTCCGTGTACTTGCGTTCCAGTTATCAGCCAACGAGGACACGCTGGAGAACGTCACATTCCAGGTTGTTTGCGAGCCCCCGCCGGTATCACCAGCGCCTGGGGATGCATTCTTCTTCACAGAGCAGGCTGGAGAGCTGACACCAGTGGCGCTGGATACGAATCTACAACCTCGAGACCTCATTTCGCTGCCTAACAAGGACCCGGAAACCGAAGAAACTCTCCGTGTCATTGTTCGATCGACGAGAGCGACTCCTGTTACGCTAGTCGTATCAGTCGCGTACACAACCAAGGCTGGCGTGGCTGTGGGTTTTGATGAACGCTTCGAGTTGGTATGTCACGACCCGTTCGCGATTCAAGGTGGCCTCATCCACGACTTCCTCAGCGGAGGAGGTGTACCCGGTGCCGCGCAAATGCCGAAGGGCTCTTATGGCTGCGTGGGCAACACGGTAAATTTCCAGGGCAGCGTCACTTGCACATCCGGAGAGCCTCTGAAGGTGTTGGCGCTAGAGTTCGAGCCCCGGGAGACGAACATGGTGGAAGATCTGGCCATCTCGGGGTTCGGCCCGGTATCTTCGGACTCCAACGACACCGCGGAAGATATCTGCGCAACGTTCAACGACGGCGACTCGCGGTGTTTCTGTCTGCGGTTAGTGCCGAAGGTGGCTTCTACCTTCATCACGCTTGGTCGGGTAAAGGTTGTCTGGAGTCGAGAGGCGTCGACGATTGCGAGTGCCCCCGGTGGCGAGCGGAACGATGTGGTGAGCACGTGGCTGGAGATCCCGATGGTCTCATTTGTGGACGCCCCGCTCACGTTCAGTGTGGAGACGCCGCCGTTCGGCGTCGAGGGTGTGGTGGTCCACATGGATGTTCGCGTAAGGAACAACGAGGCCGTGTTCCACAGCCTGCGCGTGAAGCCCGTGGATGCAGAGGGCGCGTTCTACATTTCCGGTCGCACGAACGCCACGGAGGACTTGCTCCCTTTCGACGAGCAAGTGTTCCGGCTGGGCTTGGTGCCAACGAAGACAGGTAAACTACATACTTTGCTGCTGATTCACTGGAACTCGACGTCATTTATTCCAGAAAAACTAACAGTTTGCTGCCTGCCTGCCTATCTTCCCACGCGTGCAGGGTACCTGCGGTTGCCCCGCCTAGAGATCGTGTCGTTGACGTACAACCTGCCGTTCACCAACCCGGACGAGCGCCAAGAGCTGTTTGTGCTGCCCCGCGAGTGCCCCGACTGGGGGGCCGCCGCCCAGTGAAGAGGCCCCGATACTGCGTGTGCGTGGAGATAGATCAGTAGACTTGATGGAGAGCTCTCGGTTTCAGACGAAAATGAACTTCAACTCACTATGGCCATCTCGCTCCCACACCGTGTGTCACGACCGCCCATTCTTTCCGGACCGCAGCACGGTCGCCAACACTGAAGTCCAATACCAGACGAGCTGTTGTGCAGGGCGTGAAAATTTCTGCGTCCCACAAAGAGCGGTGCAGAAGCCCATCCTTCGACACCACGACATAACGGCGAAACCATACATTTTCCCCGCAGACGAGGAAGGAGGGCGATCGGGTCGAGTCGAGTGCTGCGTGACGCGGGGCGACTCTCCTCTCCGCGCACTCCGCTCCGCTCCGCCGCACCGCTGGGCGGAGAAGCAGCAGCCGCATGAGTCTCTGGTGTCGCTGCCTGTCGCGACGACGCGGCGACCTGCAGAGACGCATGCTCTTCCAGGAGCAGTTCGAGCGCATCAAGGCCGTGTACCCGGGCACGAGCTACGTCTGTCTGTTGGATGGCGACAGCGGAGACATGATGTGCGTCAAGTCAAGGGACCATGCTGGCATTGGCGATTTAACCACTAACGTATGGAATGGATGATGCATGGAATGGAATGGGTGCAGCGCGCAGTCGGAGACCACGGAGGTCAACACGGACGAGTTCACGCGCACCATCATCAACCTCAAGGACGCCGCGCTGCAGTTTGGTAGGCAGAGTGCAGCCGGAGGTCGTGGAGGCTGCGTACTGACGAGGTGCTGGAATTGTTGATTGATGCAGCGGCGACGCTGAACCAGATTGACCCGCAGGTGGTGCACGTTCGGGGCGCGCAGGGCATGTTTTCGTGCTACGGGTCGGCGCACATGGTGCGTTTGCAAGACTGGAGAAGTTGCTGTTGCTGTTGGGGCTCTTTGATTGACCGGGGCTTGTATTTGTGGGCAGATTCTGGCGTTCTACAGCGAGATGCCGGGGGTGGACTTAGAGCTGTTCGACTGCTTCGAAGCCGACAGGAACATCGAGCCGATCACAGGGGAGCTGCATCGAATTTTGGACGCCAACCAGGGCGGCAAACGGCGGTATCGGCCGGCGTAGTCTGGCAGATCGACCGACAGCAAGCGCCTTTCAAGGGTCGCTTGGTGCAGTCGCCGTCGACTCCGCTCGACGGACAGATGCCACCAGGGCGTAACCAGAACGCAGACGAGTTGCTGCCGGTATAGACACAAGGCACGACGCTCGACGCGTAGAAAGCGACCTCTTCTGTTATTTGCTGTGCCCCCCCTCTCTCTAGAGACACAGCATCACAGGACCAACGCACGGATACAGCTAGGACGACAAAAGACACAAGCAAAATGAATATATTTAAGTGGGGACTCCGATGTTTCCCCTGTGGTTCCTTCCATCGCAGCTCACTGCAGCAAAACTTGCAACTCAAAGGCTCCGGACGGGGTCTGGTGGTACTGGTGCTGGTGCGTTTAAAATCGTTCGTTCATTCTACTAGCTACATTGCGCATCTTGTTGTACACCTTGCCGGGCGGCGCGCCCATGATGAGCGAGCAAATGGCGTCACGCGCGAGCTTGATGTTGGCGAACGAGCCGAGGATGTGGATCTTCTGGTCGGCCAGCACGATGCGCGTGCGCGTGGCGTTCTCCACGGCGTACTTGGTCTTGCCGTCCTGGCCGGCCACGCGGCCGATGGCGCGGCTCAGGTGGTCGCCCTTGAGCATCTTGACATCGTTCACCTCGAACGTGTCGATGAACAGGTCCTCGAGACGCAGCAGCGCCACGGCGTCCTGCACCTCGAAGCCCATCATGTAAGCCTGCACGAAGTCGGCGGCCTTCTGCAGCGCGCCGGCGTCCGTCGTGTGCGGCGAGTTCTTGAGCTCGATGCAGCGCGTCTTGGTGTTCATGCGGATCTGCAGCTTGAGGTGCTCCACGATGGGCTTCATGATGTTGGGCCAGTCGTTCTTCAGCGGCGTGTAGCGGTGCGCCGGCACGCGCACGCGGCGGAAGTCGTTCTTGCCGCCGGACTGCTGCTGCGCGCTGAGCGCCGGGAAGTTGGGGCGCACCACGCCGCTGTCGTTCTCCTCCGTGTCCATCATCGTGTCCGCCTCGTCTTGCGCCTGCTGCGCGATCGCCTGCGCGTTGATCACCATGTCCTGTCCGGCCATCGAGTCCACCTCCATGGTTGCTGTGAGCTGTGGGCTTCAAGTGTACTGAGCTATGCGCCGGTAGATGCCGAGGAAGCCGAAGTGATGCGGGTCAGAGCGAATTCCAGCCAACAGCTCAGGAAACGACTGGAGTCGGCCATCCGCGCGATCGGATTGGTTGAATATAGATACTGGTACCATGTACCATCTGGTCACAGATGGCTTCACTTTCCCCAGCCCACTTCAACGTGTCGTTATTGGCAAAATTAACGAGTAGAATTGAAAGCGCATAGCACTCTAGACGTTGCCTATTGATTCTTGAGCTGGCGCTTGGCGCGGGAGAAAAGGAAGAGGCCGAGCGGAGGCGCCCAGCCACCGAACCACAGCGCGAGTGCCCACAGCGGTCTGCGATTGCTAGAAGTCAGGCACCACAATGATACCCTGCTTGGTAATGTAATACCGTACCTGTACAGAATCCAAAACGCCCCCACGGCCGAGAACGTGAGTGCAGCGCTCATGCTGCTCGCAAGCAAGTGCTGCTGAACCCCAGCTAACAACGGACCAAACCGCTCGAGAAGCGGTCGGCGCAGCACCAGGAAGCCCACAAAGCCCAGGACACCTGCAAACAGTCGGAAGAAGCGGTTCTTGCGCACCTGCACAACAGTTCGAGTTAGCTTTGATGAACTCTTGTCAGTCGCCATACGCCCCTTTTCCTTGACGCACCTCCGCCTGCGTCTTCTTGTCAAAGAGTTCATCGGAACTCATGATCCCGTCCTCCAACAGGTGCAGCGAGTCGCCCGCAGTAGTTTTAAACGGCACCAGCTCGTTCCCTCGCTGCCTCGCGCACACCGTCACCGGGTAATTGGGCGTCACCTCAAAGTGCACTCGCTGATCCCCCAAAACAGGGTCTCTCATCTCCGGCATCAAGTAGAAAAAGTCTTCCTCCACGCTCACATTGGCCAGCGCACTTTTGTCTCCCCACGCTTCTCCCTCCCTCTGATCCAGCAAATTCGCCATCACCCGTCGACTATCAGCATCCAAGTGCACCGCATCTCTACGTTGAATTTGATCTACCAGCCCATCAGGTAACGAAAACTCTCCAACGACAAGATCCTTCGCCTTCACCACCAGAGACCTGTACTTCCACGCTTCAGCCGGCGGGTTGCCGTAGCTCGGGTCGTTGAACTCTATGCTGTCAATGGACTCCTCTCTCCACCGCAAGTCGTACATGTAGATCCGCTCCCGGTCGTCGTCAAACCGCCGATCCTCGTCCTCGGGCGTGCTGCTCGTGGAAGTGTGCGACGTCTCCACCCACTGCAGCATCTCAACGTGTCGGTGGAGTCGCACGCCCTTCACAGCGACGCCAAACGTCGGGTCCAGCACGAATGGGCTCTGCCGCAGCTGTAGAGCATCAGAGTCGCGTTTATTCAATTGGGAACTGGGCGTGGGCGCTGTGGTGGTGATCAACCCCGACACGTGGACCAGTTGGCCCTCATTTGCCGCCGAAACCTCCGGTTTGGAGAGAGAAATCGCGACGGATCGGCCCTCTTCGAAGCTCTTGACGCTGCGCACTAGAGCCGACTCGAACACACACGTCGTCGCCACCGACGCCAGCAGCAGCAAGCCCCCGATCGCCACCTCCTTCGTCTGCACCATGTTGAGACTTTGGCCAAAAAGGATACAAATTGTCCATTTTTGTGTACAGTAGCACCATATAATTTGGACCAACCAAAATGAAGCTCGTATATTCTGCAAGTCAAGAGTTAAACTCTGCCACTATTTTAAGGGAACAACATGGGCCGGCCGGGTGGCCACGTCAAGCCCTGCAAGTTCTTCCTGCAGGGCAATTGCCGCAACGGCAACAACTGCCGCTTCTCGCACGACGCGTTCGGCGGAGGGAACCGCAACAATGGGAACAACGGCAACAGCGGCGGCTTCGGGTCTCAGGCGCAGTCCCAGTCTCCGTTCGGGAACTCGAACGCATTCGGCGGCAATGGGAACAGCTCGTCTTCGGGCACTCAGGGCGTGGCTATGACGGAGTCCGGGCGGGCGCTGGCAATCGAGGAGCTCAAGAACCCGCCCATGTGGCCGCTGTCGGGCTTCGCAGTCGCTAAAGGCGTACGTGGGCCGAGTTCTGCGCTGTTACATACCGAGGTAAACTAAAGTGTAAACTAACGTGTAATGTTCTGCAGCTGCCGAGCGTCGTGGCAGGCGACGTGAGTGCTGAGGAGGCTCGGTGGGAAGCGTATCAAGAGCTCAAGACCTCGGGAAACTGCCTGCAGTCCACACAGAAGCTGCAGGCGCTGGCAGCGGAGCAGCAGACGCAGCGACAGCGGGTGGTCTCGCTGCTTGAGAACCACCAGTCGGCGCTGAAGCTGTTCAACGGAGAGCCGCTGCCCGGGAGCTCAGGTTTTGGCGGCCAGGGCGGCGCGGCCAACCCGTTCGGCGGAGGTGCTGCCGCTAGTCCTTTTGGGGCGGCCAGTACACCTGCTGCGTCGCCGTTTGGTGGCGCCTCCTCGACTCCTGCTAACCCGTTTGGAGGTGGCGCTGCTGCGCCTGCGTCTTCGCCCTTTGGGAAACCAGCGACACCTGCTGCAAGTCCGTTTGGCGGAGCTGCAGCGGCGAATCCGTTCGGAGGTGGACCGACGACGGCATTTGGAGCGCCGTCAGCGTTGGGAGGAGGATCAGCCTCGGCGTTTGGTGGTGGTGGAGGTGCGGCTGCTAACCCGTTTGGAGGAGGAGCTGCCGCTCCTGCGTCGTCGCCGTTTGGGAAACCGACAACGCCTGCCGCTAGTCCTTTTGGAGCTTCGTCGACGACAGCTTTTGGAGGAGCGGCTTCGACTTCGGCGCCGTCTTCGTCTCCGTTCGGTGGAGGTGCTTCTACTACGACGTCGGCGTTTGGAGGTGGAGCATCGATTTCAAGTACGACATGTGGGGGTGGCAACTCGGGATCAGGATTTTCAGGCTTTGGCGGCGGAGCCAAACCGACAGCTTCTCCTTTTGGCGGTGCTGCAGCGGCACCTTCATCCTCGCCGTTTGGTGGCGGTGCATCAGCAGCAGCTCCTGCGTCCTCGCCGTTTGGGGCAACTTCAAGTACTGCCTTCGGTGGCTCGTCAGGGACAGCAGCAACAGCAGGCAGCTCCAATCCTTTCGGGGCGACATCAGCGAACAACGCCAGCACAGCTTTCGGTGGATCTTCATCAGGCTTTGGAACGTCGTCTGGCAGTACTACGGGAGCCTCTAACCCGTTTGGAGCCCCCGCTGCGTCTAACACTACCGCACCGTCTCCGTTTGGAGCACTTGCTGCGCCGTCCAGTAGTCCCTTTGGAGCTCCAGCGACATCTACGAGCACAGGCAGTGCGTTTGGTGGATTTGGGAAGCCGGCTGCGAGTAGTTCATCGTCTGGTTCAGCGTTTGGAGCACCTTCGGCTACGACCACGACGGCACCGCCGCCCCCACCTCCCGCACCGGCAGTCAGTGGCCCGCCGCCTGATGCTCGCGACGATGCATGGAATGCCGAGCAATTCCAGCAAGCTGAGTTCACGCTGGGTATGGTGCCGACCGTGCCGCCTCCGCCACAGTTCTGCTAATCGGAATTGGATACGCAGCAGCTACAGTGCTGCTAGTGTGCATAAAGACCAAGAAGATCGAGGTAGCGAGCGTGCTTTCATATTATAGAGCGCAGCGATAAATCTATATAAATAAGGGCGAGCATGACGGCGAGGCCCTGCATGCTTCCGAGGGCAATTAGTATCCATCCAGGCCACTGAACGAGCCCGAGTTGCGAGCCTTCTTCTTCACCACTTGGCCGACTCCGGCGTCCACGAAGTTCTTGCCACGCAGAGAGCGGAGAGGCACATCAGCCGTGTGGCCATGCGCGCTGTTGAGCTGCAGCAACAGTCGATACACGGCATTCTTCTGAGCTGGTGTCGCTCTGCCCACCAACCTCGGACTCTCCGCGTACAAGAACGTCGGCTGTGTGGTCGCCAATGCCGATCGGGAGCTGCAGTTAAACCGCTGCAGCAGCTCAAAGGCCACGGCCTGTCCGTCCCTGAACTTGGACATCAGTGTTGCTGTCGGAGTGGTCATGAAGAACCCGAGCAACAGGCCGTCGTGCTGCATGACGAACATGAAGCGGCACTCAAACACGCAGTCCGCAATAGCTGCAACATTCACGAACTTGTTTCGAATCCGCACAGCATTCGAGCGAGCTGCGTTACTCAGTGCCATGGCCCACTGTTGACACATGGAGCTGTTCCAGAGCTTGATGTTGACGTCCACCTCACGTCCGAAAAAAGACGTGACCCGGGAGAAACCAACTGTCTTGGTTGAGCACGAGGACGCAGCGCCCTGGGGCTCCAATGGGTGCGTGGCAATGGCCGACGACGTCATGGCGTTCCTGTCGCGCGTTTCCAGGGGTGGTCGGCAGATGAGCTGCTGCAGCACGTAGAACTCGACGCGGGCCGAGACCTCCTTGCACAGCAGCGCCATCTTGTAGATCAGGCTCTGCGTCATCTTGCTGCGAGGCATGTAGTCGAAGAAGAGGAACTGCAGCGGGCCGAAGTGGAACCCGAAGGCCAGCAGCGCGTACACGAAGTACACGACCATGATGAGCAGCGACAGCGTGTAGTAGGCGGTGCCGTGGAACACGTAGTCGATCTGAAATAGCCACATACACAGCAGAGACACGAATATGGTCAGCACCCCAATACGTCCCTCTCCACCCCTTCCTTCAATTCTACAGCGACGCCAGCCCTACCAGTCTGATCTTGAGCCAGCAGTAGAAGAAGCCGATCCACATGCGCTGCGACGGCGACAGGAACGACACGCGGCAGCCGCGCAGACAGTGCTGGGCGATGCGATAGCCCACGAACGTGGCCAGCGGCTCGGCCACCACGAAGTAGGCGGAGAAGAGGCGCAGGTCCAGCTGCAGCTCCAGCGACCGCGCCGAGTCGTCCGGCGGCCCGTACGAGTGCGTCCAGTCGCCGCCTTCCAGCGCTGCGGGGCCGGGGCCGTACAGGCCGAAGCCGGGGCCGCGACGGTAAAGCGGCATTTGCAACGAGTGACGATAACCGCTGCTAGACGTGCGCAACACGCGCCAAGATGCAAACTGCCGGCTTGGAAAGAGTTAAAGGCGTCGTGGCGTGGACACGAGGAGCGAAGCAGCGTACTGTCGCTCGCCGTGAATCCTCGCGGGGCGGACACGAATGGATCCGTTCGTGCGCGCCGGAGCTCAGCAGCAGCTCAGTCGGTGCTTGGCGCTGTTTCCGATGTATCCGTTTCCAGGCTTTTGCGATTGTGAGCTTGCAGTGACTAATTTTGGTCCAGTCGACAAAAATGTATCCGGGAATTAGGTGTATCTTTGTCGTCGGTCGAGGCTGGACCCAAAATGAGACAGAAAAAGGCTGCGGGTGCCCGCTGTTGGGGATGCCAGCGTCGAGCTTGGATTCAAAGCCAAGATCCCTCGGCAGTTGAACGAACCCGCGCAGTCGGTGCGGGCTTACCACCGCTGCGCGGTCGCGGCCGAGAGCCGGGTGGTCGACGCGAGGGGGGCACCATTGAAGTGCCCGCCCCATGATGGGGCGGGCACTTCAAGCACGCTTCAAGCGTCGACTTTTGGTCCGTCGGTTAATTTGAGCAGACCATTTTTTGTGAATGTATGTTTACGCTACGATGTGGACGGAGCGCTTACGGTACACCGAAATCTTGGGTTTTGTATGCGGAACAAAAACCGGAACGTTCTGATTTGGTCCGAACGATCTTGCCGAACCTGAAGTTGCAAGCTCAGAAGCGCTTTTCCGGGCTGTAGAAACGTATACTTAGAGTTTTTTGGTCATTAAAACGTTTATCAACAAAACGGGTAGTGGCTACACCGCATTATGTGTAGTTGGTGTACAGCTCATTTGGGTTTTGTATGAAGAAACAGGTCCGGGGTTTGTGAATTTAGCTCGAGCATCCTCAGTTAATTCCTCTTGTGTAGCCATTAACTTCTGGATAATTTTTCAGCAATCCACGGTATTTCTCTCGAGTAAGTTTAGGGCTGAAACAATATTGTGTGAAGAAGCTATAAGAAATAGGGCTGTTTCGTCCACCAGTTTCGATAGGGTTATGTCTGTAATTTCAGGAGTTTTAATCGTACTTGGTAGAGAACTGGAATTGATGTCTCAATGTGCTATCCTCGTAATAAAGGGCTGATGAATTTGCACGAAAGTACTTTCGTGCACATTTGAGCACTGCTAATAAGAAATGAAAATACACGCAAAGTAACGGTACTGCGAAGGGTCGCGAAGTATCCACTGTGCGTCTACACCAGGCGCCTTTTGCGCCAATGGAGTCAGAGGCCTATTTACGGGGGCCTTGCGGCGCTTGCAGAGCTGCGGGGTTGCTTGAGTCAGTTGAGTTCAGTATGAGTTTTGTATGAACTTCAACCGTTATCTTCAGCTTCAATTGAACTTTACCGGTAGGTTTCTAAAATCTAAAGCTTTCTAAGGTGGGCCACATCACTGTTGTGTGTTACACATAAATAAAGGTCGCGTGCTTGGTGCAGCACGCTCGTAGTGTATGGCTGTGTGGAGATGTAGCTATCCACGTAAAACAGTGTAAGAGCTGTATTAGCTGTATTAGCTGTACACTGTCCATAATATTTCTATTTGACAATGCACTGTGCCAGCGTTCTGCCCCAAGCGCCAATCTGCCTCTACTGCGGCGACCGTTTATGTGTAATACACAACGATGTGGCGCCCCAGTTGTCTGTTGCTTTCATGTTGTACTTGTCAATATCTATCGTTAGTCTCTTGGTATCACTGCTAGTTTTGGTTTTCGTAGTAGACTGTGAATTCGGAGTTGAGATGGATCAGATAAACCAGCGCCGCACGGGGGCCTTGCAGACTGAGATCGCTGCCTTTACCCATGTCGTTGCTGCGTTTGAGACCCTGCACAGGTTGAGGGAAACCTACGATGCGAACAGCCCTGTTGTGCAGACAACCGTCAGGCGCCTGAATAATAGGCTGGAGGCCCTGGAGCAGGCCAAGTTGTTAACCCTATTGTGGTGGGTCCACCACAATACCAAGCATTTTGCCGGGTTTAACATAACAGGTTGGGACACGCAGTTTACTACCAGGATTAATACAAGGCCTTCGACCAATCAACCCTGTTTTGAATCAGAAAAATACCTCCAAATTAACGTCTTGCAGTTTTCATCCAATCAAAATCAATATCGAAATCAAATTTTGTGGATACAATGTTGTAGCTGCGCAGATTATGGACATATTTATGTAGTTTACGGCCCTACAAATAAAATACGATGAGTGAAAGAGTGGCTGCCGCGCCCTGGGGCTAGTTTTTACGGTATACAAAACGGTATATAGTTGCCCCGACCCAAGTTAGCACTCCCATACACAACAAAACTCGCCATGTCAGACTTCAGCGACAACCAAGACGCGGTACTTGTTCGCCTGGTGCGTCCGTACCTGCTACAGCAGCAGCCCTTACAGTGGGGCACGGTAGTGAAGCGAGTGCGCGTGCAGACGAAGTCGAAACAAGCACTTCGGGAACGTCTCAAGACTCTCAAGAAGACACATGGCAAGCTACTCGACCGTTTCCCAGCATTATACTTCCGCACACGTAGTGCCTGGCAACCTACCCTGCAATGTCCTCCTCAGCCTATTACAAAAGGCAGTATCAGCGCCCAGCCATATACTCGACCTTCCTGACAAGCGCACGTTATCACTGAGGCTGTGTTTCGCGGTGTATCACAGCGTAATGTCCGACAACTTCCTGGGATGCCGCATTTCAATGCTGGGGAAATCGCCTCGGGGGGCGTGACAATGTTGCTGAAAGTACTGAATATCGGCGCGGGCGCTACTTTGGGAGATATTGGGTGCGGCATTGGTAACGTCCTAGTTCAAGTTGCGCTAGAGTCCGGTTCCAAGGCGTGCATCGGTGTCGAAGTGAGGGAGGAGCTGGTAGCCGCAGCGCATAGCGCACTATTTAGTAACTCAACTATGTACCCCCGAACTACTTCGCGTCTCTATTTACCAAGGTGATATCTGCAATCTGGCCGAAGGTGTGTATCGCGCGCTTTCTGATTGCTCGGTCGTCCTGGTAAACAACATCGTCTTCGCGGAAGAAGCCAATTTAGCGCTAGAACAGTTCTTATGTATGTCGACGGTCGCAAGTCAGGTGGTGTTAGGCCGCAAGATGTACCCGCGCCATCGGAACTCATGTGGTCGTGTGTTTTGCTTGCTATGGGACTTGGTGCAGCCCGTTCAACTAGAAGTCAAGTGGGCCAGCATCTCACATGAGTTCTACCTATGTCGACGAGCTCAACTTGCCTCATTCTGCTCAATACAATTTTTCACCAGACAATATACTCAGATGCAACGTTTTATTTAGTTGATATGTAGCGACCCGCTCATCGTTACTCTCTAGCTAGTTCGCTTGTATCGGGCAGCCCTCACATGTAGACTGTAGAGCACTCGGACGGAACAAGTCGGATGTAATCGGTTCTTGATCTATCTCCTTGCTGCGCTTGTACAGACTCGACGACCGCCGAATGTGCCCACTCTGGTTGAACAAGCCAGCGGTGAGGTAGTACTCATGCTTCTTCCAACATGTCCAATTTTCCTGGCAAACAAAGCCCTTGGTGGGTTGAATAGGATGCGCTTGTGTACACAGTGATACCAAGTGTTTCGTACACCAGTCGGTCATCTCAGTCGGGTATCGGCCTTCAAACCGACATGTCACGCAGCCCCTCTTCGTTCGAGAGTCTGGAAATTGCACTTGAGAACGCAAAGGGTAACATGACGGAATGGGGCTTGAGGGGGCAACCCGGGCTTCCGTTTGATTTGCTCTGCTAGATGGGGTACGAATAATAGCGAGCTCGGCCTCTGTAGGAGTCGCGTACATCAATCCTGAGTCGAGAAGCGTGTTGCACCAAGCCCCAGAGATCAGTTGGCCGATCAACTCCACCATAAACTCTCGATGGGGGTCTCGTTTGCTTTTGCACCCGCCCACCATCTTTCGCGTGATAAATGCATTGCATCGAGCCAAGTCAATAAACACAAGCGCTAACTTCTTGTGCCACTTGCGGAAAGAGTGACCATCTGCCACGGAAAAGCGAGCTCGAAGCTGGTCGATACGATCCACGCCTTGCATAGCGCTGTTGTACTCTATCACGCAAGTAGGCGCCGGGAATGGGCGTTTTGCTTGACCAACCTGCCGATACACCGTAGTCGATGTCGATGCGTCCGCATTGGAGACAATGTTCACCACGGATCCATCAACCCATGAGGCGGCGACAATTTTGCTTCTTTCACTCACGGCCTGCTTCATTGCTCCGCGCGATAAGTTGTCTTTCTTTGAAATCATAACGCAACGTGGATAGTGCTTGCTGTTCGCGCGAATCGTAGAGACCAAATACTGGTAACATCTCCAAAAGCTGACATGAAGTATAGTAATTGTCCGTGTTGACAATGCGACCAGAGTTGTGAATGGGTGTCGTGACTTCAGCAACACATTTTCGAACTTCTGCTGCTACCTCAGTTGCTGCCGCTACTGCACTTGTGTCCGTCCCCGAAACCACCCCGTCAAGACGCTCACTTAGCTCGCTAGAGCAGTGAAGCCGAAAGTTAGCCATCAGCCAGGTCTCCGAGCAGCAGCACATATAGATCTTGAAGTGGTACTTCCCAAGCGTTAAACACAATCAGGTGGTGGGCAAAACGCGAGCGACATGCAATGCTGGACTCGTCAACAGCGACATTCCTCCCAAGGACGACAAACTTGGACGCTCTCACCTTCAGCATGTTCATCAACGGACGAATACGCGCGGCAGGATCACGCTTCAAGTCCACATTCGAGACAGCACCACGAAAGGAGAGATTCTGTCGAATGAACTTGAACCGCGACAGGCTCATGATGGAGTCTAACCGAACGCTTTCAGAGTCAAATATGGTGTCTTCCACTTGCTCACCCCAATAATTGCTGTACTCGCCCTTGTCGACGAGAGCCATGTAGAACAGTATCCCCAAGAACTTCATCATTTCATCGAGAGTCACCTGCGGGCGCTTCTGGTGTGCGGCATGTGCGTTTGTATTGTCAAAAACTTTCTTCCAGAACGCTAGAGGTAGATATGCAAGAAAGCTGGACGCCGCCGAGTGCTTGAAGATGCTTTCAAATTCTGGTTTGACGTGCGGAGCCGTATCTCCTCCTTCGTGCTGAAATAGGTCGTCTGGGGGATTCATCGCGGCGCGTGGTTGAAAATCCATACCGGATACGCGCTCGACCTCGCCCACATCTTCCGGAATGGTTTCACTGCTGTCATAGCGTACCAAGGCCTCGCTAACCCCCTCGAATTCATCCCACAAGTTGCCACCCTCGACCTCTTCATGGTACGGGCGACACAAAACATCCCAGGTCTCATCTCGCAACTCGTTACCACTTAGCCGGTTACGGCGCGCAATTCCTTCGAGGACTTTAGACCGAGTAATGCCATGCACATGCCTTGGCATTTGAAATTGCGTTGTCGTCCACCGAAGTTCGTACAGTGGGTTGGCTCTCGACGGCTTCTTCTTGCCCCTTTCCACGTACTCACGAGCAATTACGCCAGTCAGATAAGCCGATCCAACACAACGGTAGTCTGTAGTAGGCATCCATTCTTCTTCGCTTGGCAAAAAGACAACATGAGCGCCTATAAGGCTGGAGTCAGCACTACTAGGCGGGCTGGTCTGTAACGACGACATATCCTCGGCTAGTGGATGCTCGTCATCACCATGAGATGGGTTCGTTGCCGCGGTTGACCGACTGATCTGTTCCTGATCTGCATCTCGTCGCCGACGAAATTGCTTCACCATTTGAGGCTTCAGATTGCACTCGGGCTCCCAGGTGTTGTCATCCGTATCGTAACCAGTCCATTTCACGAAGAACTGACCGTCTTTCTCCTTGATGATAGCTTCAACCTCATACATGTCATCTTCATCACTATCGCTGCAGGCATCATCAGACTGGATCGAGTTTTGCGCCTGAGGAGGCCGTCGTTGTGCTTTACCGCTGATAGTTTTTCTTGGTGCTTCCGTGGTGCTCGTCTTACTAGCCTTCGATCTCTGCGAGCGGGTTGAGCGGTGCTCTGTCGCGCCGAACGCAGCAGCAAGCGTTCGCTTTGCGCGAGTCGGCGCCATCTTTGCTATGACTGAAGTAGTCATCGGCTGTACTCGCATGGGACAAACACTTTCAATTGAGTATTGCACGTGCTACATAGTCACATCAAGTAATTTGCCCCACACCACCTGTCAGTCCCGCATTTACGGTAACCTTCATCATTGTCATTCACGTACACAGCCAAACAACACACATCAAACAAGTTTTCTGTGGTATTCTCATCAATATCTAGCACAAAAATTTCAGCGCATGTACGAACTGATGTCCGGCATCCATTTCATCGTAAACAAACAGGCACCACTCCGTCCGCACCCGCCGCTGCTTTAGCAAACGCACGAACTAATTCACAGTCAGCGCCACACAAACAACGCGATAGAACAGATCACACACGCTCGTCTTACCGCAGTCGCTCCGCGGACAAAAGGCGTGAGCGAGGGCTCGAATCCACACCACTCACGTCGGGGCTGACGCGCTTGACCACTCAGCCGCTCCAAGGCTGCGTCCTCCGAGCGCGACGTCGTCATCACGACCACTCTGGCGTTTTTCGGCTTCTCGCAAGTATTGAAGGATAGTGGCCGCTCGTAAAAAACGTATTTACGAGGACCCTCACCTGGAATAGCTTACGTGAAATTCTTGTCATTTATTTTAATCCCCCCCAAACCGGAGCCTCAAAAGTATTTTCATATGCAGTATTCAGCTTAATTAGACTTGGCCTTTGTATATGATGGGATAGGGCTGACTGTGGCTAGCAGCAGGCCAGTTACAAATATGTACTTAACTCGCATATAAACTGCATACGGTGGCTTTGAGTAGCTACCCCATGTTGCATTATGCACTTTAGCGCTGAAATGGACAGGGCAACAGATCTGACTCTCCGAACAGAACCGAAAGACCCCAGCATTCTCCTTTTCAAAAATTCAGAAATTCAAACTTCCGCACGCCAAGCACTCCTGCTTCAACCAAGCGACGCAGAACTAGTCCAGAGGCTGTAAGTTGAATATTAGGCTGTACCTAATATTCATATATGCATAATTGATATGATTACTTGTTTTGCATTCGTAAAGCGCAGGATTGCGTGTTGCTATTGCACATCTTGACATGCATCGTTCGTGCCTTTCTTTTATCGCCAGTGTGCTGCTAGACGTGTGTTCAAGCATATGCTCTCACCGACTATTTCTTTCATTTGGGTTTTATATTGAGCAAAAAACTAGCAGATTCGTGTACACTGCTTGCGTTAGATGTAGAGGTGACACCATCTTTCAATAGGCAAGTTTGTATGTGCCTGCCGTGAGCCTGATGCGGTGGATCCATACCGTGCGATCATGGATCGGAGAAGTTATCGCCGCAGAATGTCCCCCCACAAACAGATTACGAGATATCGAGTCGTCATCTACTGGAAATGTCAGGAGCTTATGGGTCTTTTGGTCGTAAGCTCGAGCACGTGGGGCTGGGATTCTGTCTTTTCCTCGCTCTCAGTCGGCAAATTTCACCAACTCCAGTACCCATCCAAGTGCCCTAGTCAATGCGGGCCCACTACCTTTCCGTGCTCGTTGTTGCAGCCATTGCGTTGTGCAGTGATCTTGTTTCAGCAATGGGAAGTGAACGCCACCTTAGAGACCAGGAAATGGTTGCTGATCAAGACGCCACCAACATCGAAGAGCGAGCGATCTCGGATATCGCCAGAAGTGTCAAGGAGTGGGCGCGAAACACGAAGGCGTTGTCTGACGAGGACAAGGTGGCCAAGGCGATGGCGCTGCTTAACAAGGAGGCTTCCTTTAAAGTCCTGTACAAGCACAAACTGACACCGGATCATGTGTACACGGCGCTCAAACTGCAGATTAGGATGAGGAGTGCGTACGGTTCTGGGAAGTGGAACAGCCTTTTGAAGAGCGAGGACTACCTCTTGTGGCAAGATTACTACTCATTCTGGAATCTGGCGCAAAGAAGCAAGAACGTGTAGGCCGAGCATCGAATCAAAGACCAAACGACAAACTTTCATGTCTGGCAACACTGTTGGTTGTACCCATCTAACTTTTGCAGCCTCTGCAGTTGAGTCATTTCGATCGTGATCAGAGAACCTTCGATCGGAATTGTCGAGACCAACGTATCCTCGGTTGAAACGCATACCGAAGCAATCAAAATGTATTCACAAACTAAGTATATACTATAACTATGACTATATCCCTTGTGCGCTACTGGTATTCGCTGGTTCGACCGATACCTCTTACTTGCCAACACTCTTGCCGTTGCTGCACTTGACGCCAGGGTCGCTGCCGTTGGGGAGGAAGGAACCCAGCCGTGGCCGGGTTAATGCACTCCCTCTCGCGAGGGACGCGATACTACTGCTTCTTGCCGACCCGAGCGGCAGTTGGTATAGCAGACGTTGTCCTTCTCAACGTGCACACGCAGGGGCACGGATGCTTGGTCCTCGGCGACCGAGGACAGCTTGAAAGCGGATGCTAGAATCAAAGATCAGTGCTAGGCGAGGCGTCGCTGCAAGCTTCGTCTTCAATCGCCGCCATGAAATCCTGCTGACGCTGTGACCACGTCGGAGATAACAGCGTCGTTCTGTCTGGCGACGGATCTGTGGACTTGTCGGTCCAGCTAACTTGCGAACTTTCGCTGACGGGAGTTGCGGTACTTTCTCCTTTCTGACTTGAGATTGTTGCAGTGAACGAGTCCCTGAAAAGCGCCTTGGAGTTCTTGTGCATCAATGGCGACGCTGCCGCCGCATCATGACGGAGACGAGTTGACGGCGTAGAGTCCACCACTTGCTTGGATCTTAGTGTTGAGGTTGCTGGTGAGATCCACGCCGGTGATTTAACGCCTGGTGAGCTCACGCCGCGCTTACTTGCAGAGCCAGCATTGCGCTTGTTCCTTTTGACCGGTCTTGGTGGGGTCGCTGTCGGTGTTGCAGCGCTACGATCAGAGTCCGGAAGAGGCAACGGCAGCTGCAGTCGATCCATTTTGCGCTGGCGGTCACGTAGCCTAGCACTGCATTTCTCAATCGTATCTCTGCAACGTCGATGCAGCTCCAGTGGCGAAGATCGTAATGAAAAGTGCGTCGCAGTCAATGTTGCCTTGATTTTATCTCGAAATGACGCGGTCCTCAGCTCGTCCTCCAGTTTCTCGCTTTTCGCCCCAGAGCCGCTGGTCCCATATGTCGTCTTCACCGGACCACCGCCTCCTTGTTCCGGAATCGCGCTGGAATTCTGGGCCATGTGGTCGCTCCCAGTCCTGTCGACCATCTTCGCTTCTTTCAGAGAATGCGGAGTTCGGGGTGGAGCGAAGCGCAGGCCGTTTCAAAACCAACTCACCACCAAAAACCACATTCTCATGCACTATCGCGCAGAGCCCGACAGGTTCCCACAGCGTTAATAGCTTGGCGAACAACAAATCGACAATTGACTCGACCATCACTCCAAGTTGAAGTGTATTTTGTAGCCATGTACCCGTTACCAGGTACTCCACACAAACCCCTTGAGCAGCTAGCAGCTACAGCTTTAGAAGCCCGCTTGATTCGCAGTTCGGTGTTTTTTGTAGTTGTTATTGCAGTACGCTTTACATACATTTCTTACGTTTGTAGTTATTGCGGTCCATCAACCACTCTCTTGACTGCAATAGCAGTACATATGCATGGCTTGCCTGCCTCGCTATGCTTTGCTCTGTTTTGCTGCTTAGCTGCTGCACGATGAGAAATCTGACTGGGTTGTGCAACTTGTGTACCTTAAGGCCTAGCTCTAACCGCGTGCCATCCGTGCAGCTCCTCGGGTTTAGGTCACTGGTGCCATGCATGGCACGCTTTGGTGCCATGGCAATTGGTCGTGCCATGTGCCATAATGGGGGAATTGCTCGCGACGGGCATGTTGCCTGGTGTAGCGAGAAGGTTGCTTAATGTCGTTTGATGACAAACTCGCCTGGGGTGGCAAGCACAGTTCTTACGAACTGCGAACACGGGTTGGGTAGTACGTCAATCGGGGACATGACACTGAGGGTCGGTGATCGACCAGAATGTCTCGTTCATGGAGACATCCAGCAATGAAAGTTGCTTCTCGCCCAGTACTCTGTTGAGGTGCGTCTCCAGATATGCAATGTAGCTCGCCCGCTGCTTGTCTGCATCTCCCAGTACGTTCAGCGAGGTATACGGCGGAATGAAACTTGACCAGACAGCAAGACCGATCGCTTCCTATCTAAGGGAGGGGTTGACTATGACTACGCCATTACTCCGACCTAACCGTGGCCACCATCTAATGCGAACACGAACATATATTTTGTTTTTGTATGTATGCAAGGTGGGAATGGAATCTCAAAAGTTGGGCCTCTGCTCTGCTACCCCCGGGAGCAGTCGTCTACTGTCGACAGCCAGCGTCTCGGGGGTTGATTCAAGCTTGCCGCTCAATATAGGCGATACTGCTGGTTGTTGCCGCCGACCGGTTTCTTGGTCGAGTGGCCGCCCGCGCGTACGTAATTCTTGCGCTTGGGCTGCGGCTTGGGCTTGGGTGCCGCCTTCTTCGGCTTGGCCTTGGATTTAGGCTGAGCCTTGGTCTTAGGCTTGGACTTCTGCTGCTGAACCTTGGCCTGCTTCGACTTGACAGCCTTTGCTTCAGGCTTCCGCTGGGCCTTGAGCTTCGAGTTGACGGCCTTAGTCTCGGATTTCTGCTGGGCCTTGGGCTTCGAGTTGTTGACTTGACCCGAGGGGGGGGCTGGAGTCGGCGTCTTGGCGCTTGAAGTTTTCTGCTTGGGCTTGACCGGCGCCGGCGTCTTCTTGGTCGGGCTGTAGGCCGCTGGCGTCTTCTTCTTGGCGGGGGGCTTCGGCGTAGACTTGACAGGCTTGTAGGCCGAGGACGGGGCTTTCGTGACAGGAGGCTTCGCGGTGGTGGGCTTCTTTGTGGGGGCATCGATGCACGGTGCCTTGGTCGTTCCAGGCGCGGAGCTGGGGCGCACCGTGGTGGGAGGTGACGAAGTCCGAGGAGGAGAGCTCGTGCCAGGAGGTGGGGCTATTCCAGTTTCAGGAGAAGACGTGCTCGGCGGTGAAGATGTACCCGGCGGGTATGCGGTACTCGGAGGCAAAGTAGTTCCAGGAGGGTACGCGGTGCTGGGTGGTTCAGCCGTCCCAGTTTCGGGAGAATCCGTGCTCGGAGGCTCAGTGGTGCTGGTCGGCTCGGTCGTGCTCGGTGGCTCAGTCGTGCTCGGAGGCTCTGTGGTGCTGGGCGGCTCGGTCGTGCTCGGTGGCTCAGTCGTGCTCGGAGGCTCAGTGGTGCTGGGCGGCTCGGTCGTGCTCGGTGGCTCAGTCGTGCTCGGTGGCTCAGTCGTGCTGGGCGGCTCGGTCGTGCTCGGTGGCTCAGTGGTGCTCGGCGGCTCAGTGGTGCTGGGCGGCTCGGTCGTGCTCGGTGGCTCAGTCGTGCTCGGTGGCTCGGTCGTGCTCGGCGGCTCGGTCGTGCTCGGTGGCTCAGTCGTGCTCGGTGGCTCCGTCGTGCTCGGTGGCTCCGTCGTGCTCGGAGGCTCAGTCGTGCTCGGTGGCTCAGTCGTGCTCGGTGGCTCCGTCGTGCTCGGAGGCTCAGTGGTGCTCGGTGGCTCGGTCGTGCTCGGAGGCTCAGTGGTGCTCGGTGGCTCGGTCGTGCTCGGTGGCTCAGTCGTGCTCGGAGGCTCCGTGGTGCTCGGAGGCTCGGTCGTGCTCGGTGGCTCGGTTGTACTAGGAGGCTCGGTCGTGCTGGGCGGTTGCGTCGTGCTCGGTGGCTCAGTCGTGCTCGGTGGCTCGGTCGTGCTCGGAGGCTCAGTCGTGCTCGGAGGCTCGGTTGTACTAGGAGGCTCGGTCGTGCTGGGCGGTTCGGTCGTGCTCGGCGGCTCAGTCGTGCTCGGTGGCTCAGTCGTGCTCGGTGGCTCGGTTGTACTAGGAGGCTCGGTCGTGCTGGGCGGTTCGGTCGTGCTCGGTGGCTCAGTCGTGCTCGGTGGCTCAGTCGTGCTCGGTGGCTCGGTTGTACTAGGAGGCTCGGTCGTGCTGGGCGGTTCCGTCGTGCTCGGCGGCTCAGTGGTGCTGGGAGGCTCAGTGGTACTGGGCGGCTCGGTAGTGCTCGGAGGCTCAGTCGTGCTCGGAGGCTCAGTGGTGCTGGGCGGCTCGGTCGTGCTCGGTGGCTCGGTTGTACTAGGAGGCTCAGTGGTGCTGGGCGGCTCGGTCGTGCTCGGTGGCTCGGTTGTACTAGGAGGCTCGGTCGTGCTGGGCGGCTCGGTCGTGCTCGGTGGCTCAGTCGTGCTCGGTGGCTCGGTTGTACTAGGAGGCTCGGTCGTGCTGGGCGGTTCGGTCGTGCTCGGTGGCTCAGTCGTGCTCGGTGGCTCAGTCGTGCTCGGTGGCTCGGTTGTACTAGGAGGCTCGGTCGTGCTGGGCGGTTCCGTCGTGCTCGGCGGCTCAGTCGTGCTCGGAGGCTCAGTCGTGCTCGGTGGCTCGGTTGTACTAGGAGGCTCGGTCGTGCTGGGCGGTTCGGTCGTGCTCGGTGGCTCAGTCGTGCTCGGTGGCTCAGTCGTGCTCGGTGGCTCGGTTGTACTAGGAGGCTCGGTCGTGCTGGGCGGTTCCGTCGTGCTCGGCGGCTCAGTGGTGCTGGGAGGCTCAGTGGTACTGGGCGGCTGGGTCGTGCTCGGAGGCTCAGTCGTGCTCGGAGGCTCAGTGGTGCTGGGCGGCTCGGTCGTGCTCGGTGGCTCGGTTGTACTAGGAGGCTCAGTGGTGCTGGGCGGCTCGGTCGTGCTCGGTGGCTCGGTTGTACTAGGAGGCTCAGTCGTGCTCGGTGGCTCGGTTGTACTAGGAGGCTCGGTCGTGCTGGGCGGTTCGGTCGTGCTCGGTGGCTCAGTCGTGCTCGGTGGCTCGGTTGTACTAGGAGGCTCGGTCGTGCTGGGCGGTTCCGTCGTGCTCGGCGGCTCAGTGGTGCTGGGAGGCTCAGTGGTACTGGGCGGCTCGGTCGTGCTCGGAGGCTCAGTCGTGCTCGGAGGCTCAGTGGTGCTGGGCGGCTCGGTCGTGCTCGGTGGCTCGGTTGTACTAGGAGGCTCAGTGGTGCTGGGCGGCTCGGTCGTGCTCGGTGGCTCGGTTGTACTAGGAGGCTCGGTCGTGCTGGGCGGTTCGGTCGTGCTCGGTGGCTCAGTCGTGCTCGGTGGCTCAGTCGTGCTCGGTGGCTCGGTTGTACTAGGAGGCTCGGTCGTGCTCGGAGGCTCCGTGGTGCTCGGCGGCTCAGTGGTGCTCGGCGGCTCGGTCGTGCTCGGTGGCTCAGTCGTGCTCGGTGGCTCCGTCGTGCTCGGAGGCTCAGTGGTGCTCGGTGGCTCGGTCGTGCTCGGAGGCTCAGTGGTGCTCGGTGGCTCGGTCGTGCTCGGTGGCTCAGTCGTGCTCGGAGGCTCCGTGGTGCTGGGCGGCTCGGTCGTGCTCGGTGGCTCAGTCGTGCTCGGTGGCTCCGTCGTGCTCGGCGGCTCAGTGGTGCTCGGTGGCTCAGTCGTGCTCGGAGGCTCAGTCGTGCTGGGCGGCTCAGTGGTGCTCGGAGGCTCCGTGGTGCTGGGCGGCTCAGTGGTGCTGGGCGGCTCGGTCGTGCTCGGTGGCTCAGTGGTGCTGGGCGGCTCAGTGGTGCTCGGTGGCTCGGTCGTGCTCGCTGGCTCAGTCGTGCTCGGAGGCTCAGTCGTGCTGGGCGGCTCGGTCGTGCTCGGTGGCTCAGTCGTGCTCGGAGGCTCCGTGGTGCTGGGCGGCTCGGTCGTGCTCGGTGGCTGAGTCGTGCTCGGTGGCTCAGTCGTGCTCGGAGGCTCCGTGGTGCTGGGCGGCTCGGTCGTGCTCGGTGGCTCAGTCGTGCTCGGTGGCTCCGTCGTGCTCGGCGGCTCAGTGGTGCTCGGTGGCTCAGTCGTGCTCGGAGGCTCAGTCGTGCTGGGCGGCTCAGTGGTGCTCGGAGGCTCCGTGGTGCTGGGCGGCTCAGTGGTGCTGGGCGGCTCGGTCGTGCTCGGTGGCTCAGTGGTGCTGGGCGGCTCAGTGGTGCTCGGTGGCTCAGTCGTGCTCGGCCGCTCCGTCGTGCTCGGTGGCTCAGTCGTGCTCGGTGGCTCAGTCGTGCTCGGCGGCTCAGTGGTGCTCGGAGGCTCAGTCGTGCTGGGCGGCTCGGTCGTGCTGGGCGGCTCAGTCGTGCTCGGAGGCTCAGTCGTGCTCGGAGGCTCAGTCGTGCTGGGCGGCTCGGAGGCTCAGTCGTGCTCGGAGGCTCAGTCGTGCTCGGAGGCTCAGTCGTGCTGGGCGGCTCAGTCGTGCTGGGCGGCTCGGTCGTGCTCGGCGGCTCGGTCGTGCTCGGAGGCTCCGTGGTGCTCGGTGGCTCAGTCGTGCTGGGCGGCTCGGTCGTGCTCGGTGGCTCAGTCGTGCTCGGAGGCTCAGTGGTGCTGGGCGGCTCGGTCGTGCTCGGTGGCTCGGTCGTGCTCGGTGGCTCAGTCGTGCTCGGAGGCTCAGTGGTGCTGGGCGGCTCGGTCGTGCTCGGTGGCTCAGTCGTGCTCGGCGGCTCAGTGGTGCTGGGAGGCTCAGTCGTGCTGGGCGGCTGGGTCGTGCTCGGTGGCTCAGTCGTGCTCGGAGGCTCAGTGGTGCTGGGCGGCTCGGTCGTGCTCGGTGGCTCAGTCGTGCTCGGAGGCTCAGTCGTGCTCGGAGGCTCAGTGGTGCTGGGCGGCTCAGTGGTGCTCAGTGGCTCAGTCGTGCTCGGCGGCTCAGTGGTGCTGGGAGGCTCAGTCGTGTTGGGCGGCTCGGTCGTGCTCGGTGGCTCAGTCGTGCTCGGAGGCTCCGTGGTGCTGGGCGGCTCGGTCGTGCTGGGCGGCTCGGTCGTGCTCGGTGGCTCAGTCGTGCTCGGAGGCTCAGTGGTGCTGGGCGGCTCGGTCGTGCTCGGTGGCTCGGTCGTGCTCGGTGGCTCAGTCGTGCTTGGAGGCTCAGTCGTGCTGGGCGGCTCGGTCGTGCTCGGTGGCTCAGTCGTGCTCGGAGGCTCCGTGGTGCTGGGCGGCTCAGTGGTGCTCGGTGGCTCGGTCGTGCTCGGAGGCTCAGTCGTGCTCGGAGGCTCAGTGGTGCTGGGCGGCTCGGTCGTGCTCGGTGGCTCGGTCGTGCTCGGTGGCTCAGTCGTGCTCGGAGGCTCAGTGGTGCTGGGCGGCTCAGTGGTGCTCAGTGGCTCAGTCGTGCTCGGCGGCTCAGTGGTGCTGGGAGGCTCAGTCGTGCTGGGCGGCTGGGTCGTGCTCGGTGGCTCAGTCGTGCTCGGAGGCTCAGTGGTGCTGGGCGGCTCGGTCGTGCTCGGTGGCTCACTCGTGCTCGGAGGCTCAGTCGTGCTCGGAGGCTCAGTGGTGCTGGGCGGCTCAGTCGTGCTGGGCGGCTCGGTCGTGCTCGGAGGCTCCGTAGTGCTCGGTGGCTCAGTCGTGCTGGGCGGCTCGGTCGTGCTCGGTGGCTCAGTCGTGCTCGGAGGCTCCGTGGTGCTGGGCGGCTCGGTCGTGCTCGGTGGCTCAGTGGTGCTCGGAGGCTCCGTGGTGCTGGGCGGCTCGGTCGTGCTCGGTGGCTCAGTCGTGCTCGGAGGCTCCGTGGTGCTGGGCGGCTCGGTCGTGCTCGGTGGCTCAGTCGTGCTCGGTGGCTCCGTCGTGCTCGGCGGCTCAGTGGTGCTCGGTGGCTCAGTCGTGCTCGGAGGCTCAGTCGTGCTGGGCGGCTCAGTGGTGCTCGGAGGCTCCGTGGTGCTGGGCGGCTGGGTCGTGCTGGGCGGCTCGGTCGTGCTCGGTGGCTCAGTCGTGCTCGGAGGCTCAGTGGTGCTGGGCGGCTCGGTCGTGCTCGGTGGCTCGGTCGTGCTCGGTGGCTCAGTCGTCCTCGGAGGCTCGGTCGTTGTTGGAGGCTCTGTAATTGTTGGTGCTAACCGTCTCCCCGGTTTAGCGATGCCCCGGTTGTCGGGAAACACGCACCTCCAGGTCGAGTGCGAAGTAAGTGCACACTGAGCGTCCACCTTGGCCACGCAGTTTGTGCCGTCGAAAGTCTGCAGCGCGGAATGGCAGTCGGAAATGGCAACGTCTCCCTTTTGGGGGCATGCCAAGCCCAATGGCGCCACGCCAGTGCCGGAGCAGGGCTCGCCCCGTTCATCGGGGAGCGAGTAAACCGCGTCATCTTGCACTGGAACCAGAACGTCGGCGTTCGCGAGTCCGACGGCGGCGGAGGCGAGCGCGATGACGGTCCCCAGACGCATTGGTACCAGTATCCCGCTTGATGCCCAAGTGGTGGAGTTCGAGGCGGTGGGGGATAAAGCAAATTGCAGAATGAACTCGGGGGCAGCAGCAGCAGCAGCAGCTCGCTGTCCGTCGGCGAGCCGTTTCCGCTTGGCCGTATGCGTCCGGGCCGCTTGCCGAGAAACGGGTTACGCGTTTCGAGTGTCTTGGCTGGCGTGCCTCGAAAGGCCCATGCAACATGTTTGAAATGACCTCACGAAAGGCCAGAGTGCAGTTTCCGTTTCAGGCGGCAAGTTTCAGACTTTCCGGGAAAACGGTTTCCGCAAAATACCTAACGTCACGGCTGCTTTTGTTCGCCAGCGGGCCTTGCTGGCCTTGCAAAGCAGCAGAGGGATCCGAGCGTTGGGGCTGTTACCGGACTCGTTGGCAATGTGATAGGCGGTGAGTACACTTGCTCGGGGCTGTTGCTACCGAGCGTGCTGCTACCAGGCTCGTGTCTCTTGAGGTGGCGTCTATCGGATACACTTTTGGCTTTATGCCAGCGCCAAAGTCTGAACCACGGTTGGCCAGTTGTTGAGCTTGGAGTTTCTTTTTTCTAACAGCGAATCCATTACTCACCCGCTAACGCTCCATGGTTGAAAGGGCCTAACAGACTACAAAACGAGGGAAGTTACCAACAGGTGCAACCTGAACTTGGCAGCAGGTTCGGAGCGGCCGCGGCGCTCCATGAGGGGGCTGCGAGGTGGTGAGGAACTTGCATTGCCCACGGTCGACAAGTAGACGAGGCTAACGCATTCTGCAACCAATGGTGCCAACGCTGATAGTTTCAGTGCGTGTATTGTGATGCTGTACGGCCATTTTCCTGTGCCTCTCGAGTGAGTCGGCGCGTGCTCGCATACACAGTTCGCCCCGTTGTAGTTGTCATCTAAAACCCGCTGCAATACCAGGACGAGGACAAGTACATGCACATATTTTCTCGACGCTGCTTCGAGCTTCGTTCAGCTCGTGAAAGATCCGATCCCGCTTGACAATGAGTCATTGCCAATGACTTGCACACTATACAGCCCCTGAAAACAACCTCAGCAAGTTCGAAGACCTATAGTAGGGCGCGTATATGGGCATCGACCACCTTTCCAAAAAGAACTCGGGCTCCACCACATCGGCTATTAACTCGTACCTCGCCATCATTTTATCTGCACCGCCATCAGGCATCGGCGTCGACCTTGAACGTTGTACTAACGAATGGCACTCTGATTCAAAGAGTGCCATTCGCCGGGATAATAGCAGGCACGACGACAGCTGGTGCGATGAGGCCAAACGCATTCTTCCGGTGCGCTAGGCGGACATGAGTTAACGCTTTCTTCTCATTAAACCACAAAAAGTAGCATTGTTCATTCGAATCCCCGAGCGCAAGCTGGAGGCGGCTTTAAACTAGCAGCTACTAGTTCTCCAAATGCTTGGAATTGATGTTGCTCCTCCACCTCTTTCTGGAGTTTTACAACCTCACGTGCATCTGCTAGCGGCTCAAGGGGTTGGATTGATCTGGAGTCACGTCAGTCGTTCCTCTCAGGGCAAATGACAGTCGAGGATCGGTAATTGACAAGACGTCAAAGGCGATGTAGTCGTCTTTGAGTCGCAACGTCGTCGCCATCCTCTCTTCGTGTTCGGTACCAACATCGGACAGCGAGTAAACCGACCTCCTGAAGCACTTTGTTGACCCATGCCTCCATAATTCCTCCAATCTGCTCGATTGATTGTATAGCACACCAGCACGTGAACTTCGCCCTTCGCCCGCTTGAAAGCCCACCCCAAAGTATTTGCCGTTAATGGTCGGCAGCTTGGGGCCCATGAGCGTGCACAAACCCTGGCCTCCAAAGTTGAAGTTTTAGGCTTTAAGGCCTGTCGTGAGATCGAACGCCGCGAGCCAATCAGCGCCGCTGCCTATAGGCCGCGATCTGAATCGGATCGGATCATCCGGTAAAGGCAATACAGTACACGTACCATATCGCTGGGATGCGGCTCGTGTCGCGAGTATTGGACGTCGAGCCTTCGGCCATCGGTGGTAAACCAAAGCTGGCAGCCCCCTCTTCTTCCTTCTACAAGGGGGAGGGCTAGTACGAGCTTGAAGAGAAGGTGGAAGTCACACAAGAAGCCTCAGTCACTGGTCCAAACCAGTTGCCGAATGCTGTGCTGGCGTATGAGCGGCCTTCAAAGAGCACTACAGCGACCTCGTCACCGAAATGTCGGAGAGCACGCAACAGATTGTAGACCTAAAAGGCATGCAGTTCCGACAACATTGTGGACAATGAGGAGTTTATTGCTACGATGGATGAAGGCGACTGAGATCAGGGCCAAGCTGGAGCTTACGAATTTCACAATCTCCTCGGTGCTTCCAGGCATTGGGGGATTAAAGAGTTTTCATTGTGTTAACGGGCCAAAGCCAGAGGCGCTTTGGTTGATAGGCAAGGTGCCGAATGGCAGCCCCCAACATTGGCCCACTAACACGTTGAATGGCGAGATCCCCCCAAGCCGATCGCTGTCGTCGAGTGCGAAAGCTGAATGTAGGAACGTGCTCGCAACTGTAGCCGACGCCGTGCTTGTGCTCGCAATCGTATGCGTCCGAGTTGTCGCCGTCGTAGCCGAAGTCGTTGTGGTTGCTGCAGTCGTAGTGCTGGTCGTGGGCGTCGTTATCGTTGTACCGGCAGTCGTGGTTGCCGCCGTAGCCGTAGTCCTAGTCGTCGTTGTAGTTGTAGTCAGCGGCGTGTTTGCCGTCGAAGCTTTTAGTCATGATCGCAGTCGTGGTTGCTTCCACTCTGGTTGTCTTGTCATACTCGTTGGCGTGGTCATCGATGTGGACGCGGTTGTTGTCGTATTTGTAGTCGCTATCGAAGTCGTCATTCGATGTTGTTGCCGTATTTGTAGTCGCTATCGAAGTCGTCGTTCGATGTCGTTGTCGTCGCCGGCGCCCCGCGTGGAAAGCTGCCCCAATCGGTAGATGCCTTTCGAATGTGCCGTGGTAACATGGGCGCTGACAACTTGAGCATGTTGAGCGAGCAAAAGCCCCATGAAGAGAATTTGGAAGGCGAGACGTGACCAAGTTGACAAGCGCTGCTCGTGACGAGCCCGGGTGTAGTAGTTGTCGTTGTTGTAGATCGAGTTGCCTTCGGTCCAGCGACATGTCGTAGCTGATCTTGGAGCCGAGGTCGTTGGGAGCGAACCGGGCTGTTTCAATTGCCCGCCCATAAATTCGTAGTAATCGAAGGCGAACGGCGCTGCGCGTCCAGCTTGTCGAAGGCGTTGATAGCGGCGGTTGCACGCGTAGCCCGCCGCTGATGCTGTAAGCGCTGAAAGTAGAGCTCGGCTGAGTTTATAGTCGTTGAAAGCAAACAGAGTTGCACGTACAGCCCACCGCTCATGTCGTAGTCGTAGTCGATGTCGTCGTCGTAATCGAAGAAGAGGCCAAGAGGCCAGCTGCACGTGCAGCTAGACGTCCGACTCGTAGTCGTAGCCGTCGAAGACGAACGGGACTGCACGTACAGCCCGCTGCAGACGTTGCAGTCGTAGTGGACGGGCGAGACTGCACGTGCAGCCCGCTGCCGAGGTCGTAGTAGTAGTGGACGGACGAGACTGCACGTGCAGTTAGACGTCCGACTCGTAGTCGTAGCCGTCGAAGACGAACGGGACTGCACGTACAGCCCGCTGCCGAGGTCGTAGTCGTAGTGGACGGACGAGACTGCACGTGCAGCTTGCCGCCGTCGTTGGGTTCGTAGATGCGAGCGGGATTGCACGTACAGTCCGCTGCTGATGACGTAGTTGTGGCAGTCGAGCGAGATCGAGTTTGTAGCCGTCGAAAAACAGCGGAACAGCATGTACAGTCTGCTGCTCAACTCGTAAACGTAGAAGACGGAGGAAGCCGACGAGATGTATGCGTCGAGAACGAAGCGAGCTGTGCGCACAGCCCGCTGGTTGAGTCGTAGCCGTAGTGGACGGACGAGCATAAGTTGGTGCTCGTCAAACGGACGGTACTGCACGCACAGCCCGCCGTTCAAGTCGTAGTTGTAGAAGTCGAGGGAGGCCGAGTTTGTTGTCATCGAAAGCCAGTTGATCTGCACGTACGGCCCGCCGCTGGTGTCGTAGTTTTAGTCGTAGTACTGCATGTGCAGCTCACCACCGAATTCGCGAGCTGGGCTGCACGTACAGCCTGCTCGTCAACACGTAGTCGGAGAAGGCGGAAGACACCGAGATCGTGGTCGTTGACATCGGACGGAGATGTACGCCACTGATGTTTGGTCGTAGTAGCAGTGGCCGGACGGCGCGAAGTTCTTCGGCGTCGTAAGCAATCGAACAGTACATACAACTCGCTGTTCGACTTGACGGTGTAGTATACGGACAAGCATGAGCTGGGTAGCCGTCGAAAGCAGACGGGCCTACGTGTATACAGCCCGCTACTGAAGTAGTAAACTTGAAAGCCGATCAAGACATAGTTGGGTACGACGTCCATGCATGGTAGTTGGAGTTATCAATGTTGAAATTGAACGGAACGGCATGTTCAGCTCGACGCCGATGTCGTAGTTATGGGTAAACCTGCACGTGCAAATCGCCGCTGGATGCGTAGTCGTAGTCGTCAGAAGCAACCAGAGCTGCACGTGAAGCCCGCTGGAACAACTGTAATGGAGATTGAGACCGCGTGGAATCGCTGACAGCCAATGGAGAGTCCCACACAGGCTGTCGCTGCTGATGTTGTACTCGCCAGGATCGTAGTCGTAGTTATCAATGACGAGAAGAAGTGCACGTAGTGCTCGCTGCTCGAATCGTCGTTGTAAAAGTCGAGCCGGGCCGAGATGAAAACCGTTGACAGGAAACATAACAGTCCGCCGCTGATACCGTAGTCGCTGAGTTTGTAGTCGTAGTTGCGCAAAGGCGAGTGGGGCTAGACGTACAGCCCGCCGCATATCGTAGTCGCAGTAGACGGACGACACCATATTCGTAAGCGTAGAATACAAAATAAGCTGCACGTACAGCCCACCACTGGGACATCGACGTTGTCGACGCTAGACTGCACGTGCAGGTCTTCACCAGACTCGCAGAGTTAGTCGTTGGTGGTGAGCGGAATTGCACGTAGCCCGCCGCTGATGTTATAGTCGTAGTAGACTGACGACACCGAGTTCGTAGGCGTCAAAGCGTACGGGGCTGCACGGACAGGCCGCCGAGGCTCTGCTCAAAGGGTGGTCGGAAAAGCGGACGAGAATGAGCTGGTAGCTGTCGAAAACGAACGGAGCTGCGCATCCCGCTGCTGATATCGTAGTCAACCCGCTGTCGTAGTCGCAGTCGCAGCCGTAGTCATAGTCATAGTCGTAGGAAACAGAAGACACCGGGGGATCATGCGTTGAAGCGAGCACGAGCTGCGCGCGCAGTCCGCAGCACATGGCGTATGCGTTGAAGGAAAACTTACAGCTCGCCTCCGTAGTCGTAGTGGCCGCCCTTGGCCTAAGTATCGTGGTCTCGTGCTGACTGCTGGTCGTTGTCGGAGTATTCGTGGTCGCAGGGGCGTCGTGGACAGAATAGTATCTGCTGCTTGTCGTGGGACTCCGGGTCGCTGCATGTTGTATGGCGGAAATCGTTCGTACGTGCGTAGTCAGGATCGTTGTAGCTTCTCATGCAACAACATGTCGCCGTCTTTGACTGGAAATTGCATTGCTGGTAGTCGCCGAAAAGATCATGCGGAACATCTTGTATCCACTCACGCAGCGGTTCGCTGGTAGTTGCCGCTCAGGCCATCGTCGTCGTAGGTACAGGTGTACAAGTTTGTGCTGAGATAGATGCTTGTGTAGCAGTTCGCTCTAATGCTTGTAGCCGTAGAGGCGGTAACTTGGTCATGTAGTGTGACGCTGCAATAAACAGAGCTGACTTGCGTAGTAGTTGGCAAAGAGGTCACTGCTCGCGGAGCTTGACAGTCACCTGTTCGCAGAGTTTCTTGTCTTCGCACCACGATACTCGAAAGATTCGTTGTCAGGATACCAGCGTACTTGAGTGGGGGCGTCGTCGTAGTCGTAGTGGTCGGGGTAGCAGGCCGTGGATGTTATCGTGGTTGGGAATCCCAACTTGGGATAGCGGTGATGGAATCTCCGAGCCCACCGTCGGGGGCTGCGCATTGTCGCCATCGTCATAACACGCATTCGCAAGACGTCAGCGGCTCGTCCAGCCGCGGCTCGACAGCCTTGTGATATTGTCGTGAGGCCGTAACAGCATGTGCAGCTCGCCCTTGGCGTCACGGTGGCAGTGCTAGGTATAAAGGTCACTGGCACAGGTCTTCCGACTGTCTTTCTGAATGGCAATCGTAGCTGAGGGTCCGCGCGTGCGCTGATTTCCCGGTCATCTTAGCGTAGCTTGTTGGTCCGACTGTACCAGAATGAAGCATGCTAAAATGAGATTGTGTGTAGAAAGGATCACTTAGAATAGAATAGATGCTTAGAAAATCTGTCTATCGAACTGGCGGCGCGGAGCTGGGGCGTGTCGGTCACGGCAGTGTGACTGGAGGTCGACTCGTGTAGGACGAGGTGCTTGCGCTCGGTGACGCAGGACGCGGAATGAGCCGCGAGGTTGCTCTCGGTGCTTGACTGTCTTATCCGACAGCGGTTCCTGTCGGCTGACGGCGTGTCGGGTTTCGTCGTGCCTTCCTTCATTCGGAAAAATAATTATCCACTTGTTCACTTCGTTGCACCGTGGACTAATTTCACAAGGACGAGACGCAAGGCTCGTGAGGTGTATACGCCTGCAGCTTTACATGGATGTTATCGTGCATCTCGCTACGGTACGGCACCACTGGCGACGATAATGAAGACGTACGAGATTTCGCTGGTGAGTCCCTGACAGCCTTCCACACGGCGCTTGAGACAGCTAAACGCAGCGTTGTGTTTGAAGAGAGACCCCGGTGCAATACGTAGGTGTCGACTTGCAGGGTGGAAGCGCATGCTTGGCCTGAGTAAGCTGGGTGAAGGCGAAGGAAAAGGCGTAGGAGGCAGCAGTGTCTTTGGGAATCAAAAGTCGGACGTCGCGGAGAAGACGAGCGAGAGCAAGACTTGATATGACCTGAAAGCGCCCCAATTCGCATATTCCCCCGCCCCGTGCTGCCTATTCGGACAAAATGTGCAGCTTGCAGAAGCTGCTAGTCTTCCGTTGTTTCCACGAAGGCCGCGTTTCCAACGCCACGAAGCGGTTTGTGATGGCAGTAACGGGAGAAGAGCTCGTTCAGCCTCCGGACTACGCGCACATTTGCATTCAGTACGCAGCTACATCACCAATTGGGTGTATTCTGAGTTCGGGGGCAGACAGCAGAGCGACATCAAGAGATTAGGTGATGGGTACGGGTTTTCAGGACATCGCTTCAAGTGATAAGCTCGGTCATGGTCTGCGGCCTCTAGCCGAGCAAATGCTATGGAGGCTGGAGCTACTTGAGAGGGGGGGGGGGGGTAGAACTGCCATTTAATAGCGAGCTAGCGGAGGAGTCCTCAGTGTAGACGTTGGAAAAATACTGTCGGCTATGTCCAAGCTTTCCGACTGAGGCTTTACACCGAGCCCGCCGATCGCTTTCCGCTTCGAATCCTGCAGTGCTCGCTGAAGGCGTCACGGAGCCGCCCGACGGACTCAAGCAGAATATTCGGATGCTCTACTTGAAACGGGGTCAATCCATGCTCGAGGAGTGCTCTCCAAGTGCTGCGTTCCGGTCGGCGATATATGCGTTGTGGTTCTTGCATGCTGTGGTTGTGGAGCGACACAAGTATGACAAGATTGGCCGGAACGTGTGCTACGACTTTAACGAGTCCGACTTCACGATCTCGAGGATGATGCCGAGTCTCGACCTCTACAAGGCGTACGAGGACCGCTTGCAGCTTCTCTGGGGCCCACTTGAGTACCTCATTCATGACGCAATGTACGGCGGTCGATTGAGTGACGACTAGTCACCGTCGAGATGCTGCCAGCAGCACCGCCGTGTTCGGCCTCTGCTCGAACGCTGAGATCGAATACTACACCACGCATATCTAAGAGTGTGTGGAAGGACTTGATCTCGCTGCAGCCCGTGGTCGGCTCAAATGGGATCAGGAGTGTCACGGGAGGATCACATCGGTAACGTCGCTAGTAGATGTCGGAGCCTGTCGACGTGGGCCAGACCTGCAAGACGCTGGCGCTGACACCCACGCCGACACGAATTGCGCTGCCAGAGGAACTTGATCCCAGAAAACTACTCACCGCTCGTACGCGCACTGTCACGGGGAGGGGGCTTTAGAAGGCGCTCGTGGGTGAAACTGGTATGAGCGAGCGATGAGCTGGACGCCTCTCTACAACCAACTTAGTCTTTGGCGGTCACTGGGTTCCCAGACGGAAAGCCGCTTGGGAGCTGGATGGAGCACTTCACTAAGTGTCTCGCGCCGCAACGACCCACGCAGCTCGTGGAGAAGCTTTGACCAAGTCATACCCATCGAGGCCAGTCGACTCAAACTGCTGAATATGTTTGTATGCTACGCAGGCGTCGTAACACCATGGGAGTCAGCCTCCTCTCCGAAGCAGACTTACATTCAACCGAGAACGCCGCGCATTGAGTTCTGCAGAGTATGGCGTTGGCTATCAACACAACCTCCAATAAATAGGTTTGGAACGGCTTTTATTACGAATGTGGCAGTTTTAGCGCCATTATATTATACATCTACGCACTGAAATCATCCGCGTTGGCACCATTGGTTGCAGAATGCGTTAGCCTCGTCTACTTGTCGACCGTGGGCAATGCAAGTTCCTCACCACCTCGCAGCCCCCTCATGGAGCGCCGCGGCCGCTCCGAACCTGCTGCCAAGTTCAGGTTGCACCTGTTGGTAACTTCCCTCGTTTTGTTGTCTGTTAGGCCCTTTCAACCATGGAGCGTTAGCGGGTGAGTAATGGATTCGCTGTTAGAAAAAAGAAACTCCAAGCTCAACAACTGGCCAACCGTGGTTCAGACTTTGGCGCTGGCATAAAGCCAAAAGTGTATCCGATGGACGCCACCTCAAGAGACACGAGCCTGGTAGCAGCACGCTCGGTAGCAACAGCCCCGAGCAAGTGTACTCACCGCCTATCACATTGCCAACGAGTCCGGTAACAGCCCCAACGCTCGGATCCCTCTGCTGCTTTGCAAGGCCAGCAAGGCCCGCTGGCGAACAAAAGCAGCCGTGACGTTAGGTATTTTGCGGAAACCGTTTTCCCGGAAAGTCTGAAACTTGCCGCCTGAACGGAAACTGCACTCTGGCCTTTCGTGAGGTCATTTCAAACATGTTGCATGGGCCTTTCGAGGCACGCCAGCCAAGACACTCGAAACGCGTAACCCGTTTCTCGGCAAGCGGCCCGGACGCATACGGCCAAGCGGAAACGGCTCGCCGACGGACAGCGAGCTGCTGCTGCTGCTGCTGCCCCCGAGTTCATTCTGCAATTTGCTTTATCCCCCACCGCCTCGAACTCCACCACTTGGGCTTCAAGCGGGATACTGGTACCAATGCGTCTGGGGACCGTCATCGCGCTCGCCTCCGCCGCCGTCGGACTCGCGAACGCCGACGTTCTGGTTCCAGTGCAAGATGACGCGGTTTACTCGCTCCCCGATGAACGGGGCGAGCCCTGCTCCGGCACTGGCGTGGCGCCATTGGGCTTGGCATGCCCCCAAAAGGGAGACGTTGCCATTTCCGACTGCCATTCCGCGCTGCAGACTTTCGACGGCACAAACTGCGTGGCCAAGGTGGACGCTCAGTGTGCACTTACTTCGCACTCGACCTGGAGGTGCGTGTTTCCCGACAACCGGGGCATCGCTAAACCGGGGAGACAGTTAGCACCAACAATTACAGAGCCTCCAACAACGACCGAGCCTCCGAGCACGACCGAGCCTCCGAGCACGACTGAGCCACCGAGCACCACTGAGCCTCCGAGCACGACTGAGCCACCGAGCACGACCGAGCCGCCCAGCACCACTGAGCCTCCGAGCACGACTGAGCCACCGAGCACGACCCAGCCGCCCAGCACGACTGAGCCTCCCAGCACCACTGAGCCGCCGAGCACGACTGAGCCACCGAGCACGACCGAGCCGCCCAGCACCACTGAGCCTCCGAGCACGACTGAGCCACCGAGCACGACCGAGCCGCCCAGCACCACTGAGCCTCCTAGTACAACCGAGCCACCGAGCACGACCGAGCCGCCCAGCACCACTGAGCCTCCGAGCACGACTGAGCCTCCGAGCACGACCGAGCCGCCCAGTACCACTGAGCCTCCCAGCACCACTGAGCCGCCGAGCACGACGGAACCGCCCAGCACGACCGAGCCTCCTAGTACAACCGAGCCACCGAGCACGACTGAGCCACCGAGCACGACTGAGCCACCGAGCACGACCGAGCCGCCCAGCACCACTGAGCCTCCTAGTACAACCGAGCCACCGAGCACGACCGAGCCGCCCAGCACCACTGAGCCTCCTAGTACAACCGAGCCACCGAGCACGACCGAGCCTCCGAGCACGACTGAGCCTCCGAGCACGACCGAGCCGCCCAGTACCACTGAGCCTCCCAGCACCACTGAGCCGCCGAGCACGACGGAACCGCCCAGCACGACCGAGCCTCCTAGTACAACCGAGCCACCGAGCACGACCGAGCCACCGAGCACGACTGAGCCTCCGAGCACGACCGAGCCGCCCAGTACCACTGAGCCTCCCAGCACCACTGAGCCGCCGAGCACGACGGAACCGCCCAGCACGACCGAGCCTCCTAGTACAACCGAGCCACCAAGCACGACTGAGCCACCGAGCACGACTGAGCCACCGAGCACGACCGAGCCACCGAGCACGACTGAGCCACCGAGCACGACGCAACCGCCCAGCACGAACGAGCCTCCTAGCACAACCGAACCGCCCAGCACGACCGAGCCACCGACCACGACTGAGCCACCGAGCACGACCGAACCGCCCAGCACGACTGAGCCACCGAGGACGACCGAACCGCCCAGTTCGGGGTCCCCTGAAAGTGGAACGGCTGAACCACCGAGTACGGTGTACCCCCCTGGAACGACCCAGCCTCCGTGCACATCTTCTCCTCCCGGAACTACTGCGCCACCGAGCACGGGTTCTCCTGAAACCGGGACGGTCGAACCCCCGAGCACCGCGTACCCTCCGGGAACGACCCAGCCGCCAAGCACCACTTACCCTCCTGGAACGACTTCGCCTCCGAGCACCGCGTACCCTCCTGCACCACCCAGCTCGTCTTCTCCTGAAACTGGAACGGCTCCACCGCCTGGCACGAGCTCTCCTCGTCGGACTTCGTCGCCTCCCAGCACGGTGCGCCCTACTTCTTCGCCTGGTACGACCAAGGCTCCGTGCACAAAGAAGCCCGCCACCGCGAAGCCTCCTGTCACGAAAGCCCCGTCCTCGGCCTACAAGCCTGTCAAGTCTACGCCGAAGCCCCCCGCCAAGAAGAAGACGCCAGCGGCCTACAGCCCGACCAAGAAGACGCCGGCGCCGTACAAGCCCAAGCAGAAAACTCCAAGCGCCAATACGCCGACTCCTGTCCCCCGCTCGGGTCAAGTCAACAACTCGAAGCCCAAGGCCCAGCAGAAATCCGAGACTAAGGCCGTCAACTCGAAGCTCAAGGCCCAGCGGAAGCCTGAAGCAAAGGCTGTCAAGTCGAAGCAGGCCAAGGTTCAGCAGAAACCCAAACCGAAGCCAAAGACCAAGGCCACGGCCAAGAAGGCGGCACCCAAGCCCAAGCGCAAGAGCTACGTGCGGGCGGGCGGCCACTCGACCAAGAAACCGGTCGGCGGCAACAAGCAGCATATTCGTCCACACCACTGAAAGGGATCTGAAGCACCTTTCGAGGCGCTGTCGACAGTAGACGGCTCCCGGGGGTAGCACCAAGCCCCAACTTTTGAGTTTTTATTCATTCAGTTTTTTCCTCTTACATGTACTCCAGTAAAAAAAGAATATATGTCCATGTTCGCATTTCACGGCAATCTTTCTTTGAGGAAGAGCCGATGTTCACCGCTGATAGAGTAAGATGCCTGCTCCTCGTGGTGCTCCATTACGGGTCAGTAAGTGAGTATTCGGAATATTGAGTAGTTCATTGAGTACTTATTCCAGTGTACCTTCTCATCTAGCCATGGGATCACTCTCTGCGCGCACTCCCATTAGATTATATCTCTAGTTAGGATGCTATTGCCACGGACCCCAGAGAGAAAAGAGGGCACTTCGAAGTTTTGAAGCAAACCTGTGAGTAGCACTGTCGAAGTGACTAATCTCTGAGTAGAGTATCGTAAACTTTGGGGGTCTGTCTTCAACGAAAGTCTGGCAACAGCCGAGCAAGACATGCGATTATACGTCGTAGCTACTATCAATCTAGCCAGGGTCTGTGCAGTGTTTCGCTCACGAGCATCTTCGGAAACGAAATTGTTTCTTACTCAGCATTATCAGCACGACTTGTATGATGACGATGATGTGTTGCGTGTTCACGTACCTAATTACTCCGTCCTAGGCTATATCTTCCTTGGTGCGGCTTTGTATGCGATCGTATAAAGGCCTATCTTGTTCAGCGCGGCATTTAGCATTGAATTTGCCGTGACAGCAATTACTGTACTATACTAATCCACACAAAATACAGTTACGTCTTCCTCCCACAATTCAATGTTTGCATCATCGAACCAGCTGATACGCAACACTACGAGCGATAAACCTGCAAACCGCACGCTCCGAGACGGCGTGTTTGCCATACTCGACATTGCATCGAAGCACCGATCGGATTTCCCAATTCGTACTCCGATGTCCTTCTCCACGGACGCATCCTTCGGTGTAACTTGAGCACGAGTTGCTCCCACGCCACGATTCTGCCCACGACTAATTCGGCGTCGGACCCACTGGTTCTTGGCTCCGGTACCCAACACTGGACGTCGGCGAGGTCTCGATCTACATTGAATGGTGATCACCGAGTTTTATCGCGCCGAGTCGTACGCATCAGTTATGGATTGATAGCCTGTAGCCATTTTAACCATGCCGTCGTCTTTTTACCAGCTTGCCCACGCCAGCGATCGAGAGCTTCGTTTCGACAAGGTGGCGTGGGCAAGGTACAACTTCTAGCGAGTTTGCGCCACCTTTGAGCACATTCGACAAATCATGAGCAGCTCTCAGCAAAATTACTGAAGAAAACCACTAAAGCGGGGGTTAAACCCCGCTTTAGTGGTTTTCTTCAGTAATTCGGGGTTTAACCCCCGCTTCAGTGGCATCCGATCACCGCATACAAAAACCAAGACGATTCCCGATCTTCCCCGCCCCCATTGTGCAAGTCTCAACACACACAGCTTCGCCAAGAAGAGCGCCGCCCGCCCGTCCGCCATGTCGTCGTCCTCCTCGTCCACGGAGCAGCGCGTGGCGTTCCGCTCCACGGCCGTGGTGACGGACTTCGAGGGCAAGGTGGAGTGCGTGACGCACTACTCGTCGCGCGTGGTGGTGGGCTCCAAGGACGGCCGCCTCGTCATGTACGACACGCGCAAGGGCACGACCGCGTCCACGGCCTCGCACACGTTCGCGCACGGCCAGCGCGTGGAGCAGCTGCTGGCCGTGCCCCACATCCGCATGCTCATCGTGGTCTCCAACGGGGAGGTGTCGGCGCACGGGGCCACGGACCTCAAGCCGCTGGACTTCGACTTCTCCAAGGCCAACATGCACCAGGTGCGCCTCGTGTGCGTGAACCAGCGCGGACCCCCGCACTTCCGCCTGGGCGTGGCGCTGCTCAAGCGCAAGGCCATCGCCATCTACCAGTACCACAGCAGCGACAAGAGCTACGCCTTCCTGCGCGAGTTCAGCACGCAGGACGTACCCGAGGCCATGAGCTGGTACCGCAACAAGGTGGTGGTGGGCTTCCGCAAGGACTACTTCCTGCTCAACGACAAGTCCGGGGACGCCACGCAGATCAACTCGCCCGGGATCCAGGACCCCACGGTCTTCCCCGTGGTCAAGCTGCTGCCGAAGGAGGAGATCCTCGTCGCCGTGATGGATCGCGTCGGCGTCTTCGTGGGCTTCACGGGGGACACGCTGCCCAAGAACTCCATCACGTGGTCGCACAGCCCGCAGCAGGTCGAGTTCTCCTCGCCGTACCTGCTGGCGCTGGTGCCGAGAGTGGGTGTGGAGATCCACAGAGCGAGTGACGGAGCGCTGGTGCAGACCATCCCGCTGACGAGGGCGGTGTGCATGTTTGCCAACGGTATGAAGTGGGACATGGAGCCGAGACCCAGTGGAGACAGCGAGGACGTGGTCATTGTCGGCGTGAGGGACTCGAACGGAACGTCCAGCGTCATGAAGATCGAGCCCATGCCCATGGACCAGCAGGTTGGAGAACTCTTGGACCGAGGACAGATTGACGAGGCGCAGAACCTGGTGCGCAAGTCCATTGCGTCGCTGTCGAGCGACAAGCAGCGCAGCAAGATCAAACGCTTCCAGCGCCAGGCGACGGTGGCGCTGCTGCGTCGGCTGGAATTTGACCAAGCTGCAGAGTACATGTACCGCGCTGCGATCGAGCCGTGCGAGTTTATTGCGTTCTTCCCGGAACTCCAGTGCGCCTCCTTCGCGTACGAGCCTTCGGTGTTCAAGGCCGAAGTGCTCCCGCGAGGCAACAGCTCTGCGCCTGATATTACGTCCGTTATCCAGGAACTCCTGTCGTCCCCCCGCGCGCCGTTGAACCCCGACATCGCCAAGAGCAACGCTGCGGATCTTGTCAATGCGGCGCAGAAGGCACTTCTCAAGTTCCTTGGTCAGTACAAGAAGCACATGCGGGATAAGGCGCGTGCGCGCGTGCGTGCCGCGTCATCAGCTCGTGGACGCTCACCGTCGAATGCTAGTCCGAAGGATGCGCGCCGTGTCGAAGCGATTGATACGGCACTCTTCCGCCTCTACGTCCACTTCAAGCGGTACAAGGAGTTGCTCGTGCTTATCCAGGAGCCGAATCCTGACGTGGAAGGCCCTCCAGGATCTCTCGGAGGCTGCGCGTTAGAAGCGGAATCGTGCCGTTCGCTGCTGGTCAAGCACAAGCTCTACTACGAGGCGGCCGAATTGTTGTGTGCCCATCAGAATTACGACGACGCCCTGGAGATATTTGCGTTGCTGCACCATGGTGAGTACAAACAGCGTACTGGCTCGAGCGGCATGCCGAAATCTCCTATCGAGGCGGCCATTGATGCACTTGTATCCGTGCCCGAGTCGGAGAGCGAATTTATTTTCAAGCAATCGATCTGGATTATAAAGGCGACGTCGGCCAAGCAAGCCCTGCGCATTTTCACTGACCGGCGGCCACCGTTACCATCTAATGACGTCGTTGCGCATCTGCGAGAACATTCGAGTGACCCAGCTATCGTTCAAAGATACCTCGAAACCCTTGTCAAGGCCGGGGACACCGGAGCAGCGCTCATGAGCGGTGCCGTGGGTGCCGATGCGAGTGATAACGGTCTGGGCAGCAGTGGAGGTGCCCTTGAAGGCAGCAGTCGAGGGTTTACCGCTTTTACCGACTCGAGTACCACGGAGCTGGGAGTTAATGACAGCTACAGCCACTTCTTAGCTGGTGACAACGATGACGACGATGAACCAACGCGTGTGGTAGACGGTGGTGCAGCGATCGTGGTGGACCCGCATCACACGCGTCTAGCGCTGGAATATCTTGATGAAACCCTCCGGCTAGTGGCGCGTGGAGAAGTGCCGTCTAAATCTCAACCGGGTAAGGAGCCTGGTGCGCTGGGTGATGCGCGGAAGCGGCTACTCAAGTTCCTCAAGGCTGGCTCTTCACGCTACGACGTGGCGCCGCTCGTGGAGAAGATTAAGGGCAAGCCACTGTACAACGAGTTCGTGATTCTTTGCGGCCGCGGGTCACTGCACGAAGAAGCTGTGACTTCACTGGTGTACGAGTTAAATGATCTGCGCGGTGCTGAAAGCTACTCGGTCAAGTATGGAGCGCGTGCGCCGTCGGTGGGTTCGTCAGCAGGAACGACCAAGAAGACAGGAGCCGGCGCCATGGAACGCAACGACGCACTGATGGAGCTGCTGAAAATCTGCTTCTCGCCTCGCGACGAGTCCAAGAAGGCGGCGTTCAATGACTTTGGCTTTCAACTGCTCGCACGTCACGGCAAAAACCTGGACAGCGCTGCAGTGCTCGAGATGGTGCCGCCAACCACGCCCCTGTCGAAGCTGGGTGAGTTCTTCGCACAAGCCTTGCCGCACAGCGCGCACAATGTGCGCGAGATGAGCATCACCAAGTCGCTGTCGAACGTCTACAACCTGCAGGTCCAGTGCGACCGCGTAGAGCGCTTGACCCACAGCGTGCAGATCGACCCGAACACACTCTGCCCTGTGTGCCACAAGCGCATCGGCGACATTGTGTTCGCCGTGTACCCGAACGGCAAGGTCGTGCATTACAACTGTACCAACAGCAATCTCCAGCTGTGCCCCGTGACGGGCGAGCGCTTCTCCTAGACGAAAGCTGCAGTAAAGCTGCCTGTTGTGGCTTGACTAGCAACGAGTTGGTGTGGAAAATGTAGTGGCAAAAAATACAAGTTGCACAGAAGTTCATATTAGACGAGGTACAGTTTGTATACCGACGAGTTCTCCAGCTCGTTTAGCGCGACCGACGCGATGACTTCTTGCTTCTCGGCTGCTGTGGCTGTGCGCGGTTGCGCGGCCCAAGCTCGCGCTCCTTGTCCGAGAAGGCGTCGCACACTTTGAGGTGGTCGTCGATGCTTTCCTTGGTTCGCACTAGGAACATGTGTGGACACGCCGACTCGGCCCGACCCAGCTCGTCCCGAACGTAATCGGCGAAGGTCATTTGCTTCTTGCGGCGGAACGAGTACACCTTGCCGGCCTCCAGACGCCCCGACGCCCGCAGTCGGCCCTCGTCTTGCTTGTCCGGGTCCGCCACGATACACACCTCCTTGCCCTTCAAGTGGCGACACAACTTCTTCTGGATGAGCCGCCGCAGCTTCAGGTACGACCGATTCCCTGCCGACGAATTGCTAGCAGCCGAGCTGTTCGCCGACTCCGTCTTCTGTTTCTTCGCCGCTGCAGCGCTGCTCGAGCTGTCCACCTTCTGTCTCTTGGAAGATCTTGAAGGTCTCTGCGGCGACGCTCCAGTCTCCGACGGCGCAGGGCTCCCCGCAGGTGACGAGGCAGCAGCAAGGCTCTTGGCCACCGACCGTGCGACTCCTCTCGCCGCCAAGGCGAGCACCGCGTTGTTCACAGCAGGCGCAGGCGGAACCACGGCCGACACCTTCATCGTCGTCAGCCTCGGATGACACTGCGCCATCGCCTCTTTCAGCACTCTCCTGTCTTCCTCGCGCTGCTCTTGCTCCATTTTAGCAGCCAACTGCCTCAGCTTGATGAACCCGGCGGGGTTCTCCGCCATCTTGGTCTTCTGCTCCTCGTAGCCCTGCAGCGCCTCCTCCTGCGTCTTAAAGCTGCCGATGGTCACGACCTGGCCCTTCAGCGACACATTGCAGAGCCACGACGTCTGGTTCTCCGTGCCCTCTCCATCTGAGCCGACGGGCGTGACCTCCTGCAGCCCACGAACGCCGCAGCACGAGCGCAACGCGACGGTCGCCCCGCTGCTATTGGAGACCTTGTGCGCGCCCTCCTGAGCTTGATTCTCGCCCTCCGAGGCCGTCAGACGGCCCAAAAGAGTCTGCACTTGCAGCTTGATCTCCGGGGACTCCGCGGCGCGCTCCAGTTGCCCCAGATCCAGCAGAAACGCGCTGGAAGAGCCGTACTGGTACGAATTGAGACGCCATAGCATGAAGCGGCAGTGCTGCGTGTAGCGGTCGTCTGAGGACGCAGAAGCCGAGGATTTGGCCGGTGCGATGGAGGACTTGGGTGTGGAGAGGGCGGACGCGGAGTACGGCGGCGGCAGCAGCTTCAACAGCGGCGAGAAGTCCGCGCGCAGCCGCTCGTTGAGCGCGACGACGTCCATGCTCGATTAGATTTCGCAATAGTTTGTTCAAGTGAAAAACACCATGATTAAACCATACTTGAACGTATATTAAACATTTTAACTGTCCTTCGGGTACGTTAAAACAGCCTTAACTAAGAGAAAGCTTGGGGAAGTTGCAGGAGGAATTTCCATAAGTCAGTAAATACTACTGAGATTTGCAGATTTGGATTTGTTCCAGGAAAACTACTGATCAGTACTTTTCCGACGAATTAGTATTCAGGTATAGTACTATTAATAGTACTGCACTACTATACATTAAGCCGAGCACGTGAGACTGCTGCGTTGCAGTGCGTGCTCTTGGCCTACGTGTTGGTGCTAGCCGTGACGGTGTTCCTCTGGTCGTCGCTGGCCTTCACTACCTCGACAGCGTGTAGCTGTTTGACTAGCACCTGCTCGTACGAGTACGTGTGCCTGACGAACCACGCCAAGTAAGGCCTAGCGGGGGGATATTGCAATATTGACATGTATCGGTGGTAATGTTATTTTTACATTCTGCATCTATTAGAACATGAAAAAACACTACGTAATCGCTCTCGTTGAGAGTTTCGATACTCGTATGTGTTCTGAACTGAGTTCTCATTTTACCGCAAATAGAGCTACTCAAAATGCACTCGGACTCTCCCCTGATTCGTAGACAGAATAACAACCCGCAGTACAACATATTGCCTTAAAAAGCTACAGACAGCTAATGCTGGATCGCACACCAGGCGGTGGACGTTCATACAAACCTGCCGCGCAATTTTAACTAGACGAGCATTTTAGCTAAGCGAGTTACAATACCGCCACGTGCAGTTAGCTCCTATTGTTGGGGTGTGCGTTAGAACCCCGCGTTTTACTGCCTATAGTGTTAGAGTTGTAAGACATCGGTACTTTTTAGTAGTAATTATCGTGCCCTATGACTATTTCGAACCTGTAATACATACTATGTACGAATGAGCTCTGAATGCCTCTGATAGCCACTAACCTGTTTCTAGAACTGCTTCGGTGTTACAGAGTCTACATCGAATGCTGCAATCAAATGGGGGGCTGCAGCGGAGAGCAGTCCTCTGTCAATGCTGCCTCTATTCAATACTTACAACTCTAGAACTTCGTATTATAATTCAAATGACCCAACAGGACATCATATTTTCAACTGCTCTTTGTGTTGGGCGATAACCGATTTGACGAATTGAAAATGTGTGTAACAGTTTGACCTATCCTAAATCCCACTACAAGGGCTATGTTTTTTGCAGTTAGCTGTACCCTCGAGAAAACCATAGAAATATTTGGGACTGCGGGAGAACTATGCCCCAGTACAGCCTCCATTACATAGTAAATAATCTGTGAACTGAAGCACTGCTTCAACTGCGAAGCTGCAATATACGCGCTTATGTTCACGAGTAGATGCAGTGCTCACTCCGAGTGCGATTGGCGTTAAGAGTGAAAAATAAAAAATATACGCACTTATACACGTACTATTGCTATATTGTAACATCCGTAGTGATTTAGACAACACAGCACGACTGATAATGACTTGTTTAGAAATACTGATAACATCTCAGAACTACTGATGTTCGAAAATAGTAATCCAGAAGCAGTTGTGCAGAATACTATTTTCCAATCCCAACACAAAATCTCAGTAGTATTTACTGACTTGTGGAAATTCCTCGAAGTTGCAGTGGAAGAATCACCGAGTTGATGGCGACGATGGACGAGTTCGAGCGCGCCCAGGCCCAGGCGATGGAGCTGCTGATCCAGCAGTGCGTGGGCGCGCAGCATGACGGCTCCTCCGCCTCAAGGCCTGTGAGCGCCCGAGAGAACGCGGCGGCCAACGCGACGTTCCTGGACTTGCTGGCGCAGACCTGCGCAGAAGCCAACGCGACGGTGCAGCAGCTGGACGAGGAGGAAGTGGCCGCCGGCCTGGCCAGCGCCGTGGCCGCCACGCAGCAGAGTCTGCGCAGCGTGGGGAACAATGTCGGCGCGATCCTGCAGGACCCGGAGCAGATGCGCGAGTTGTGCTACCACGTGCAGCAGGCGGACGCCAAGGTGTTGGAGGCGCTGCAGACGTCCTCGGCGCTGCTGGAGGGCGACAGCAGTAGCGGCCAAAGTGGCGGTGCGCTGACCACGAAGAATGGCGGCGCGTCGACGGCGCTCGTGGTTCCGCCCGACGAGGAGCACGTGCGCAACATGATGCTGTTCGCGGAGAACATGTGCACGACCATGGACCACGCGCTGAGCACGATCACGCAGGACGAGCTGAAGCTGGCGGCGCAGCTGTCGCTGAACATTGCGCAGAGGCTGCTGGACGCGGGGCAGGCGCTGTTCACGTCGCTCGGAGACGAAGAGCGGAGGAAGGTGCACTATGGAGACAGAGGGGAGCACATTACGATCGAGGAGCTGGAAGAGGAGGATGCGGTGACTGTGGCCAAGAAAGATGAAGGGACGAACAGTGGTCGGCAGGATAGCGTTAAGATGAAGCGAGCGGCGGTGCTGCGCACATACGTGGCGGACTTGTATAACCGGACGCGCGAAGAAGCTGTGGAGCACCCGTTCCTCGCTGGAGCACTCACTGCAGCGGGGTTGCCGTTTATTGGACTGGCGGTGCGTCTTTTTAGTTTGCTTTCGCTGTGGTGGAGTTTAGAGATTCATGGGTGCTTTTGCTGTTCTTGTGTTAGATCCCCGTGGCGAGCATGGTCGCGCTGGCGCTGATGATAGAGAAGTACTACCCAGAACACGCGAAGCTGACACTGGAGCTTTGCTCCAACTTCATCCAGGTAACAAGCCTTTATACAGTAGTTGCACTGCGGTCCCAATGCTTTGTAAACTCATTGCTAACTCTTCTTCGTGAACGCGTGCACTAGATGTCCAAGCTGTGGTTTCTGCTGCTGAAGATCAGTGCGCGCCAGGTCAGCGTTGTGGCGAAGGAATGCTTTAAGTCGTGGTACGAGTACGCCTCCACGAACGGCTTCATGGCTACAGGTATGGAGTTGGCGTCGACAGGATGCAGTCTCGGCTTCCTCGGCGTCTCCTACCTCTACCAGATGGGCGTTGGGCTCACCAAGCAAGCTCTTCAGTGAGCGCGATCAATAAGTAAGTATGAGCTTTGAGACGTGAGCAGAGAAGCGTTCAAGCCAGGAATTTAGTTAGTCGAGCATTTTGAGCAACAAGTTTTGCCGTTATTTTTATCAGGTAGACTGTGTGCTTGACGTGTTTTAGCAATCATGGGCGCTAAGCAGAGCGCCTTGAAGAAGGAAATCGCTGCTCTACAGCAGGAAGCTCGGAAGAGATCAGCGAAGCACCAGGAAGAGTTGACAGCCGCAGCGAAGGAAAAACGACAACTACAAGTGAAAATCGATGAACTGCAAGCAAGTGTAAGTTGCGGTCTTCGATCAGGACATGTAGCTTCGCCTCTGCTTACTAAAGTTATGAATACAGGTGACAACAGCTCAGGAGGAGGCGGAGAGGATGAAAAGCGAGGCGCGAGAGCGGGAAGAACGCATGAAAGCTCTGAAGTGGGAGCTGGTCCGCCAGCTCAAAATGTCCGGGTCTCCCACTTCCACCAGTCCTCGAGCCTCGTTATCCCCGTCTTCTTCGGCTCGCATCCCTCTGAATTGGAAATTAAACGATGATGTGTCGCTGCGTCAGTCGATCGTGTCGCCAAAAAGAAAGCCAACTACCGATGACTCAGTAGATAGCCGCAGCGACAATTCTCCCGCCCAACCTGTTGTGTCACCGAAGAAAGAGCCAAGCGATAGTGATACGGTGGATACCCGCAGCGAGACAACTTCCACTCCTAGCTCCAATCGATCCCTCCTGCTAGCGCCTCGTCGATCTTTACTCAATGCAGCAGCAGCAGCTCCCATTGTGAGCCCAAACCAAGGTGCTGACGCCAAAGAGACCACCCAACCGCCAGAATCAACGTCACAGACTAGAGAAAGCAAAACCAGCAGTGATGCTGACCCTCCTCCATCAAAATCAATGCACGGTCCTGTGATCGAGTCAAAGGAGCCCCCACGCGAGTCAAAAAGCGCGAGCAGCAGCGACGACCCGCCGTCCAAATCACCACCAAAAGACGAGGACGAAGCCAAAGAAGACGCTGCTCCTGCCCCCTCCAAGCCCCGCTACGCCGAGAGCAAAGACAGCGATTCTGACGACGGCCCCGAGACGAACGATGTGCTCCAGTTCTCCGAAGACGAGGGCAGCACCAACAGCAGCTAAAGCTAATCAATGTAGCCATCTCCCACTTCAACTTGATGTCCATTCACGTAACTTAGGTGCGCCACACCACCAAGAAATCCCGCACTCATCATAGATCATCGGCGGCCGTTGCGCTCCAGTCGCGCCCTTCACTTGCTTCCTCTCGCTCGCCTCCCTCTCTCTTCGCGCAGCCATGGAAGGCCGCGAGCGCCTGCAGATCGACACGGAGGTGCCGTCCAACGTGTACGCGCTGGACCTGCACAAGCTCAGCGAGCTGGCGCACATCCCCGAGGCGGAGCTGGTGCGCGGCATGCAGTCCGAGGACGCCGTGGACATGCAGGGCGTCGTGGTGAACCGCGGCCAGGAGGTCCCTTTCGAGGCCGTGGGCAAGACGCCCGGGGAGGAGGACGACGCCAGCGCCGGCAGCCCCGACGCGAGCCCGTCGCCCGTCGGCGCGGCCGCACATGACGCCGGCGTCAAGCAGGTGCTGCTCACGGCGGCGTCCAGCACCATGTGCCTCGACGGCTCGGACACGCCCAAGTGCCTCATCATGCTGGGCGAGTACACGCTGATCGAGCACATCCTGGCGCAGCTGTTCGTGGCCGGCATGGAGCGCGTGGTCATCATCATCTCGTACTTCGGCCACGAGATCATGGAGCACGTCAAGGAGAGCTTCCTCTACTCCAAGCTGCAGATCGAGTTCCTGAACCTGGGCGAGGAGACGCCCTACGGCCACGCGCGGACGCTGCTCTCCGCTCGAGAGATGTTCACGAAACCTTTTCTGATCCACACGGCGGACCATATCTTCGACAGGGCCATCATCAGCCGCATGGCGCACTTCGAGCTGGAAGGATGCGTCGCCTGTGTGCTGGTGGACGCGGACATGGAGAAGCTCAAGGGCCTCCCGTCCACTGCGGGCAAGGTGCTGCTGGATTCGACGAACGGCACGATCCGCAAAATCGGACGCGGCTTGAAGCAGTTTGATGCCATTGATGCGGGCTTGTTCCTTACGACTGGGAGGTTGTTCGCCGCGCTGGAGATGCTGGCCTATGAGAAGCCCAAGTTCTCGCTCGCGGAGGCGCTGAACGTGTTGCGCCCGAGCTACGGACTGAAGTACTTGGAGACGGACGGCGACGCGTGGCTGAGTGTGGAGACGCAGGCGCAGCTGGATGCGATTGTGGCGAATGACAGTGTGGCTTCGTTGTCACCGTGGCCGGTGTTTGTCGCGAAGGAGCCAACGGAGCAGGTGCCAGCACGGCCGGTGACTCCTGGCGGCAAGAACGTGTTTTTGGCTGTTTCGGCTGCTGACGATGACTCGATGCTGCGCGCGGTTGACGCGCATGTGCGCCAGTCGGCAGACGTGTTCGAGGGCTTTGTTGTGGGTGTGAACCAGCTACAGGAAATTGACGAAGGCACCACCTCGGCCCCTGCTGGAGCTTCAGTACAGGCACGCGAAACCACACCGCTGCTTGGGTCTACGGGAAGATCCCCCTCGCGTCGCGACCGCGAGGCGTCAGGCGCACCCCTGGCTATTCGGCGCAAGCGGAGTTCGTTTTTGGAGCAGACTGAGGATTCTTTTGTGCTGTCCATACCCTTTGAGCAACCGCCTAACGTCAGCGTTGATATCAGCACCTCGCGCGATGAACACGGGGTGCCTTCAATTATGGAGAGGAACGCATACCTGATCGAGCTTCCTCACGTTACGACAACTGGGGGTGGTCCTGGTGCAGTCCAGGAGACGTCGCAGCAGTTTGTATTGGCTGTTCCTGACAGTGAAACGCTGTACAAGCGCCCCGGTCTACTGCGCCGTTTGTCGTCGCTACCCACAGATGTGAAGGACATCGCTGTGGAAACGGTAGAACTTCGCAATGGTACGATGGAAGTGCAGCTACTTGTCAAGCGCCAAGTGCCTTTCATTGGTTACGTGCTCTTGCTGGCCGCGCTATTCACGATCTCGTCTATGGGCGCGGCGTTGGACCTACAGCGTAATGTGGACCCGTTCATGAAGCTCTTCTGGCGCACGACGGCGTCCCTTATCGTGTTCATCCCGATGGCTGGTGCTGCGATGTACGACCAGGGCCTACCGCAGTTCTCGACGCGGAATATGATCGTGTTCCTGACGTGCTCGCTGTCCTACGCGGTCTTCCTCATGACGTTCCTGTGGTCACTGTCGCACACGTCCATCGACCATGCCTACATATTTAACAACTGCCACTCGCTGCTCATGGTGGTGGGTCGTCTACTTCTCGGACGATACGTTTCGCAGTTCGAAGGTTTGGGTACTGCCATCGGTGTTATCGGCGGTGCTCTAACGACATTGGATCACCAGCAGTCATCATCGTCGGGTGAAGTGGTGCAGGTATCGCTGGCTGGAGATCTCGTGGCGCTTGTCGGCGCGGTGGGAGGTGCGCTGTATCTCATCACTGCCAAGAAGTTGCGGACTGAAATGGATATCAGCATTCTGTTCGTGGCCATGTTCACGCTGCTGGCGCTGCTGATCTTCCCTATGTTCTCGCTGTTGGAGATCCCCTTCGAGGCGTCTCGGGACCCTGAGATTGGGCTATTCGGCTGGCTGGATCCATCGCACGCTGCATCGGAGGCGTACATCGTCCTCGTGTGTACGCTTGTGGGCACGCTGGGCTACATCGCCGTCATGAAATACTTTGCCCCGATCGTCGTGTCCGTCGTAATGCTCGTGGAGCCCGTGCTGGCCGCGTTTATGGGTGTCGCGGTGGGCGTCGACGTCTTTCCTGGCCTGCTCACGATTGTCGGCTCGCTGCTGATTATCGGCGGCACTGCACTTGTGATTGTGTCCAATTCCTCCAAGACACAGACGATTGACGCTACCCAAGCGATGTCGTCCACCTCCACGGCTCTGCCCAAGGGCCTCAGCTCGGCCACCGCTGCCGGCCTCAGACTGCCGCAAACCACCCCTTCGACGAACCTAAGATACGTCTAACCAAGTACCATCGCGACCTAGAAGCCTACAGCAGCAGCAAGAGAAGTAAGCACTAGTCAAAGTGTCCACAAGGACACCACACTCGAAATACAACGTTGAAGTTGCCACTCGCAGCTTATATGAATTCATTTGAAAAGGGTTAGTTGCGAGCCGTTCGGGGGTAAAGTCTGCATATCGGAGGCTTGATGCAGCTATGCCGATGTCGATTACTCTGACGCCTCCGAGGAGTCCGAGCGCGGGCGCTTTTTACTGGAACGGGTAGGTGACTTGGGGGCCGGTGGAACGCCGTACTGGCCATTGGCATACGACCTCTTCATGCCCTCCAGACACCGACCCATGGCTTCTTTGTGGGCGACAATTGGCGACGGATAGTCTTTGCCGATGCGGCATCCTGCGGCGTGCTGTAAAGTCAACGGCGCCTTCCACGGCTCGTAGATGTACTTGGCTGGAAACTTCTTGAGCGCCGGGATGTACTTCTTGATGAACTTGCCTTCAGGGTCCCACTTCTTGCCGAAGGCGATGGGGGAGTACACGCGGAAGTAGGCAGTGAAGAAGTAGCTGCTGCTCAGCCAGAGCCAATTGCCAGCGTTCAGGCTCCAGTCGTGATCGATCAGGCGCTCTTGGAACACCTCGAGGCCACGCACCCACGAAATGTACAGGTCGCCCCGTGTAAGGAAGCACGCCACCGAGTGCCGCGCTAAATGGTGCATCCACCCCTCCTCCTTCAGCTGAATCATGATGGCGTCGATCCACGGGAAACCAGTGCGTCCTTCTTTCCATGCCTCGAACTGCGAGCGAGCGAGCTTGTCATCGTCCGTCATGTCTTCCTCCTTCTCCGGGATCGTGTGCCATCTCCAGTCGACCTGCAAACACGTCGGACTCTCCTCCATCTTGTCGAAATACGGGTTGGCGTGGCCATGACAGTGATAGAACTCACGCCAAAGGAGCTGTCCTTCTAGACTCACAGGGGGCTTCGACGGATTCTTATGGCGCTGCAGGATGTCCCGCAGTTGGTGGTAGAACGTTCGGGGGCTGAGGCACCCGTAAAACAAGTGCGGGCTCAGAATCGTAGTTGCCGGAGACGGAGGCGTCTGCGCCGGGGACGTGTTGGGCTTCTCGAACTTGGCCACCCGCTCTTCATCCGCAAAATATTCTTTCAGAGCGCTCAGCGCCTTCTTCTCCCCGCCGTAGATGAACGAGTGTTTCTCCGGGACTTCATACCCAAAGTACGTCAGCTCTGGAAGCGTAAAGTCCTTCTCAGGTCCAGCGATCTCCGCAAGCTGTCGAGCCTTCTCCTTTGGATCCTCCTCCTCTTCCTTCAACTTGTCAAGCTTCAGCCGGTCCTTCCAGTAGCCCACCACTTGCTGGTACAACTGACTGTGCGTACTCACGGGGGCAGGCAGCGTCTCCGGCGCTGGAAGTGGCTCGGCGGGCTTCGCCTGCTTGGCCACCGCGCGAAGGAACATCTGGTACGTCTTGGGCGCCCTGCCTCCGTTGCCTGCGATCACTGCGTCCATGTTGTAGAGCTCGTAGCCGCGCGTTACGTGGGTCTGCACCCCGAGGCTCTTGGCCAGCGCCAGTGCCCGGTTATCGCGCTCCACCGCGTAGGGCTCGCTCACCGCGTCGAAGTACAAGTGGGTGATGCCCCACGCCGGCAGCAGCCGCCTCAGCACCTGAAGTCCGTCGCCTTTGGCCACCACCAGCCTTGAGCCGCGTTCTTCCAACGCGTCGGCCAGGTCCTCAACGCTTTCAAGCACGAACTGGAAGCGGCGCGCGCCGCAGCGCATGATCTGGGGTCGGTGCACGATGTACAGCGGGATGAGCTCCACCTTGCCGCCATCGCCCTGCTGCTTGGCGAGGTGCAGCGCCGCGCTCAGCGCCAGGTTGTCGTGCAGCCGCAGGTCGCGCCGGAGCCACACCAACACCTTCATCATCGATCGTCCTCAAGTGGTTTCGTCGGAAACAAAAGTCGGCTAACTGTCCGACTTTAGTTTTTGAGACTCCGTTTTATGGAGTTTTTACGTCTCTTATATACACTCCGCTTTATTATACTTTTTACATTAATTCTGCGAGTGGGTTAGGGTCACAATTTAGAATCGCTCACACGGGGACCAAAAAATGAAACAAATACCGACACCACTAACTTTAGATGCCATAAAACCAGAGGGTCGAAGCCGTTAGTATGGAGGACATCAGAAATAGACTTAAACGTGACATTTTACCCTTATTTGGACCCGCTTAGGACCCTTTATTAAGCCTATTTGCCTTTCAAACCTTATGCTGTCGTAAGAAGGGTCGCTCTGCGGCCGTTGGTAAGAAGTCTGTGGCCCTTCGGGATCGCTTGACCAGCGCACAACAGAGAGTCCAAGCATCAACGAGCAGAGCCTCAAGGAAGCGCCAACGCTACGCCAAGTAGCAAGCAGCTTTGCATGCTGAGGACCGGGTACTGTCGAGCAGCAACTTCTCTAAATTACATTGAAGGCTATGCGCGGATGACGAGCTGGGGTGTACGAGCCGGAGTCCGTGTCGGTGCTTCTTGGTAGCAACAACGGCTCTCTTTTGGCCCGTTCGAGCTCGCCTGCTACTTCGCTTTAAAGAAATCAGACAGCTCCAAGTCCTTCCTGCACGCTAAAGGCGCCGATTATTTGCTCCTTTCTAGTCTGCGTTAATTCATTCATTCATTGCGTTGCTCATGAAAAGATGTTCGACTAAGCAAATTCATTAGCCCACTCAATTACAGTTCTGTTGGGTCAATCTCGGGCGTCACAGCTCTGCTTTGATACCCTACATGCATGTGTGATGGTACGATATCGGGCTCAACTACATTACTTTGAGCTAGTTATCGTTCATTATATATGTTTCCTTATTGCGCTATTGCGCTCAACGTGCATGAGGTTATCTACCTACGCGTGCAGACTAACAGCTTTGAACAGCCGTGCATGCCATAGTCGCGGCAGCAACATTGGCCATTGCGGCTGGGTGTAGATGACATCTGGAGGAAGAATTTCAACATGGATCGCGAAAGGTTACTGGAATAATTCGCTCGTACTTTCACTCTGAAAATGAACACACCACGAAATTGAAACATCGAAAGTTAACCCCTTATTCACTTTTCGTTGTGCCAGTGTGCACATTCTGCTATTACACTTACCTAAGTAAGTAAAATACAAGTGTTCTGGCATTCGAACCACAGGTCAGGTGTATCAGTCTACCGTTAATAACAACGTATGAATGGTACTTATGTTGTTTGCAAAATAGCCAGCAAATCGGGGAAATAAAGCGCTAGAATTTGCAAGCGGCTTTGTACTCAAATTCCTCAAGTGGGGACGTCGTCCAAAACTCTGTGGTCAGCATAGTTTTGGGGGTCGACCCCTAAAGCAACATGAGCGCAGCGACCGTGCTGCTCCGCTAGTAAAAAAAGAGCTGTTTTTTTATAAACAAGGGGCTTTGCTTGAGGCTGGGAAGGCAGTTAAATTATGTGAGGTGCCACTGGCACTTATCTCACGAAACTCGGCCTATTTGGCGACCTGCGGTCGCCACCATTTAAGAAGGTTACAATGTTTCGAACTAACGTCCTGCGATGGCCTACATAGCAAGCAAATAGATTTAAGGACGCCGCCCGCGCCCTTAAATCGCTCGGGCAGTGCATTGTTTCCACTGCACCTCTTTTCGTTCGAGTAGGAGGGTTGCCAGAATGCAAACTGTGGGCTACAGTGACGTAGCGAGAAGCGATTGCTCGGTCATACCGGTACCATCTAGTTTCCGTGTCCTGGAACACACGACGACAACGTCAATGAACGAGGCGAGTGTCCTGACCCGTATCATGCGCTGGAAACAGAGGATGCTCTTGTCATAGCGAAGACGCGTGCCACATCTAATAACCCACCAGTGCTACTAAAGATGAGGCCGTTTGGCCCCTCAGAGGGACAATACCTGGATGCAATGAAGAAGATGAAAGCGAGTGAACTGAAAACAGTGCGATGAATTAAGAAGCTGTACATCTTATAATAATGACAGATTTATTAGATTTATAATACAACGAGTCTGAGGCTAGAGGTAAGTCGATCTTACAGGCAGACCCTAGTCCGGCTTTTAGTCTTTCTTGGCCAAGTCATGACGCCATTCACGCTCAACATGTTTGGCAGTTCATCTTCCTCAGGTACCTGTTGGCGAAATCGCCTTTCAGACCGAGTCGTCCGCGAATCTCTCTTCTTCATCGTCGACGGAGTTGTCCTTTTTGCCCCGTCAGAAACCTGTTGCCTAGCCCTTCTAGCCCCAGACCTTATTCTGTAGGATACAGAATAAGCATTAGACTTGATTAAAGTATACTTCAAAACCTGTCAAAGATTTGCTGTTGGAAGCCCTTTCGCATCTTGCGGTCAAGCGCTGGGTACATTGTGCACAGAACAGCTACGAAAGTGAACAAAACATGCTCAATGTATCCACCATATGCCGAAATGGCGAGCTTCTATTGGTCGTGGCGACCGTAGAGCACGCTCAAAACCTGCTACATGGTAATACCTTGCAAGGCTGCTAAGGCAGCATACTTCGGCTCCAGCCACCCATCTTCGACACGTCGCGATAAACGCGGAGGAAGAAATCGCCCTGTTCCTAACTGACGTAGTGAGGAGGAACTGGGCGAATTCTTCCTTGTGCTTGACATTAGCGCATCATTAGATTTCTTTAGCCCACCTAACAAGCTTGTTACGATTGTCTCTCTAACAACACCAGGGAGCTTGCATGCTCAATAGCCCGTAATGACACGCACTACACACGGTTCCTCTTGTACGGAACAGGATAATATATGATATTCATGCCAACGTCTACTTCTTCCTTTACATGCGCACGCTCTTCAATGTTCACGCCAGCCGTGGGTCATCTTCGCCATTTTGGCAGCCTCCACTTTGCTCTGTAGCCTCCGGCGCTGCCGCTCCATTCCTGCCGCTTTCATCGGTAGCCTCCGTCGTAGCCTCTGTCCCTTCTTCTGTAATCTCCGGTGTAACCTCATCACGCGGAGAGCTTCTTCTGTAGCATCCGCCGTAGCATCTACCGCTTCTTCTGTAGTCTCCGGTGTAGCCACACCATGAGGAGCGCTTCTTCTGTAGCCTCTTGAGTAGCCACTGCATCAGCTACAATGTAGCGGTAGACCCGGCTGTAGCCGGCTTCGTAGGAACCGATGAGGTTGTGCGCTGACTCCGCAATCGATCTGCCAATCGGGCCACACGCGAGAGCTCATAGCGTCGTCTGGGTCGGATCACCAGGTCTGGTAATCAACATCGCAACGTAGAATCAATATACCATTAGTACAATGTTACAGAGCAAAGTACACGCTCTCGCTTACCTGTAGATCACAATGGCACTCATCATGATCGTCTTCGGCCATGGTCCTTGGCCACTTGGGCGCGCTCGACGGGCCCCAACAAAGCTTGCACTGCGACGTCTTGAACAGCGCAGTTTCGGAATGAAGGAAAGTACGAGTGGCTGACACGCGGCGGTTTTAGGCTTCCACCCGAATTTTCAACCTGTTGGTGGTTTATACTCGTCCGTCTATTACCGCGGAATAAACCCCGTTTATCTTCCCATCGCTAATCTAACAGGAAGATGTGCACAATACCGGCTATACAAACATCCATATGCGAAGTTCGAAAGAGAGGACAAGTTTGCTGGATATTATGTCCTGTGACAATGCTTATTCTGTAGGATACAGAATATGGGGTTAGAGGGGCTAGTCACGTTCTTGCTCTCCAGCTTCACTACCTATAGTCAAGCTGATCTGTGTGACTTGTGGTACGAGCAACTTTTTTTGGACGAATTAATGTCTGTGAGGCTGTCCATACAGCTCTTCTAGCTGCCTTCCCAGGAAAATAACCATAATGCTACTTCAGAACGTATAACCACTGTAAGTTACTTCTAAGCATCAATCTACATGCAGATCCAGCACAAGATTCATCGTAACTTCTACCCGGCCCCCACAGAAGTATGCCTCGCATAATTTGTTCAATCTTCGCTGCAATGCGTAGCAGCGATCGTCGTCTACTTTTTTCTTGTTGCAGCCCGTGAACACAATGCAGAGCGGCACGATCATCACCAATCTGTATGTGAATCTGCCGAATTCATTCCCACAATTAGGGGGAGTCGAACGTGCTGCGAAACCACAGGAGCGTCTTGTAGCGAAGCATCGCACATTCACTGGAGGGACTGATCCCCAACTTACAGCATCAAACGTCGAGATGTTGGTGAGGTCGATCGTGCTGATATTGGCCACTCTCGCCAGCTCGTCAACCACCGTTGAGATCTTGATCCATCCAGCATATTCGCATCCGCGTGATCAACTCCCACTGACCATCCTCGCAGATCGTTGGTCGAGACAGCAATGTGCCGTGCGAAGCGTGATATCTCACCGCAGTTCTGTCCGCAACACGCCATGGTAGGCAATATAGTGAGTCTGTACCAGATTTCACAGCCTCCACAACTGGCAATGGCTCCACAATGTACAAACCCATAGAATAGACATCCGACACAGCGGTTGGGTGTTGGTTGTCGTCAAGCAAACACTTCAGGCCCCTCAATGCAACGCACCTGAGATCACGGGCTTGTTTTCAACACTCGCGATGGAACTGAGACCAGTTTCCTGTCACTTCCGACGACGATGTTGTTCCCCTTCAGGTCGCCATGGACAACATCGCGAGCGTGGAGGTACGACCCCAGTTCGTCAGGGTGTTTTCGCAAGTAGTTGACGAGCGTTCCGTTTGTAGCATATTCGCAGACGAAGAAGGGTATGCCAGCATAGCACGAGCCGAACGACACGAGGGTGACTAAAGCCAAACCAAGTTTTGATCTCGCGGCGAAACTTCGCTAGAGCCTGAGCTATTTGAACAGCATTTACCTCGACTTGAGCTGCTGACGAGTCTCCCCGACACCGACCGACTTGATTCGACAGTATTTGAAGCACCCGTTTTGGCATCCGAACCAGCAAAAGTCTCTCGTTTTATGAGTCCATCCACTTCGCTCAGTACACACTTCCAAACCCACCTTCACCCAGACAACAACTCGTACCACGTGATGAACCATACCGGCGTGACCGACGCCAAATCTTTCGTGCCAAGCTTTCTTGCAATCTCCTCATACGTGTGCACGATCACCTCGAGTTAGCTATTTGAGTATTTCCCTCTCAGACTTTCCATTTCGATTTTCAAAGTCCTCAGATATGATACGCCGACCGTTCTTAGCATGCTTGTTTCATTTTCCGTGCGCGAATTCATCGAATGAAGCCGCAGGACCGAGGTCCGGCTGGAAATACTGAGAACTCTCTTGAGCTGCCAGGCATCTCAGCTCGTAGACGATAGACGCCAACCTGGTCCGTTTGAGAGGATCTAGACATCACATACACCAGATCATTCGATTTTCGTCGCCGGAGTAAGTTCCCTCTTTTGGCACCCAGTATCCATTACTTCGATCCTTCAGCCTCTACCAGACCATGAATTTTTCTGCTCGGTAGCGGCTTCCAAAGTACACATTCCCAATTAATACTGTAGGCACAACTCCAACAAGGTGACCCCCCTTCGCAACCTCAGGGGCCTGCCAGAACATCGACCCAACAACGTCCGTCGAATCTTTTTTTTTCCTTTTTGACTCAACAGACCGAAATTCGGCAACTTTGTCATCAGCAAAATGCTACTGCAACGAAGATCGCCGCGAACATGTAGATACTCGACACCTAACGACGCCTCGTACAAGCATTTCCACATTGTCTTCTCTTCAACACGTGAATTGACATACTCTAGAAGCGCCCCCTTGCTGGAGAAGTAGGTACGGACCAAAATTGCACGCGCCGTACATCTTGATCACATTAGGGTGTCGAAGCCGCTGCCATTGACACTTCATCGAGTGAGATGCATCTGGAATGAAGAGCTTGACAACTGCATCGGCATCGAGCCACTTGGCGCGACAGCCGCCCCCTGTAGCTTCAATTATAAATCGGTGTACGCCACACCACATCTCCAGGAGACCGTCTCCAAGTTTCTGTAGATTCTCATACATTCTCCAAGTCCACCAAATCGAATCTAGATCGCCATGAGCTCTGCTTCTGCGTCGTCGCCATCTTCAACCCCGGCGGCGTCTTCCTCTTCGACGGCGCGGGGCTCGACTGGCGGGCGGCGCCAGCGAGTGCTCTGGGACAGCGACAGCGCCGTCCGCGGCGGCAAGACATCCATCGGCGTGCTGCTCGAGTGGCTGGCGACGCCCGGCAACTACGCTCGCTGGCGGGACGGCAAGTCGCAGACTGGCGAGACGCGCGAGACGCTGTGCTCCGAGATCAAGAACGCCATGAGGCAGCACGGCATCCACCACCGCGCCAACGCCAACATCCGCACGCAGATCAGCGAGCTGGAGCGCGCCTTCGACGCGGCGCGCAGCTGGCTCAAGGAGAACGCCCTGGACCCGTACACGTTCAAGCGGCTGGACCAGGAGAACGCCGACGACGGCAACGAAGGCGTCATGGTGGACGCGGAGCGCAGCCAGGCAGAGGCCCACGTGCTGCGCCTGTGCCGCTACTACCCGACGCTCAACGAGGTGTTCGGCCAGGACGAGGACAAGGGCATCCGCGGCCGGCGCTACCACCGGCCGCTGATCGTCAAGAAGCGCAAGCTGCCGGGGGACGAGGACGACGACGTGGAGCTCAGTATGAAGAGTGCGCCGGTGGCGGAGGCGGCGGCGGCGGCAGCAGCAGCAGCAGACGACCACAGGGCGCAGCTTGGGGCGCAGGGCAGTGTGGAGCAGGTGCAGGTGATCACGACGACGAACCCCGTGCCGATTGCCGCTGCGCCGCCAGTGCCTCTGGCCCCTGCACCTGTGAGTGCAGCGAACTGGACCAACTTGGAGAGCACGCAGCGCATGCTGGCGGAGGCGGTACGGGAAGAGCGCGACCGCAAGAGGTTCTGCATGGAGGAGGAGCGGCACAAGCTCGAGTGCGAGAAGCTGCGCTGTGAGGTGGAGGCGGCAAAGCTCAAGCTCACGATCGACCGCGCTCTCGCACGTAAAAAGCTGCTGGACGCCGGCCTGCCAGAAGCGCAAGTGAACGAGCTCTTCCCCAAGTAAACAGCGATCTTGAAGGCTCGAATTTATAAGCCCAAGGGTCCCCGTCAGACTCTGTCACGTGTGGCCGGCATCTGCAGCGTCTTCGGCGATAGTTAGGCGAGCAGTTGTATAAAAAGCGTACTCAATATTTTTCACTCGGTCAAAAGTGCTGCCCTCACAGCGCCAGGTGCTTGCGCACCCGCTCGCGATACTCACACAGCAAGTACTGGACATTGTTGTCGCGCACAGCGACCTCCACGAGGTCAGTGGCAGCCACATCTGGAGTCAGGAACTGTATCAACATCATCATGAAACGAGGTAAGCAACTTGGAACGATAACCCTTGTCAAACGTTGTGGCTGGATGAACCCACCTGGACGCGCTGCAAACACGTGGACTCTGGATCGCAAAAGAGTCGCACCAAATGCGACTTCAACACGCGTACTTCGAGATAGTCGTCGGCCACCTTCATGATCTCCATCCCAGACAACGATTCCTGGATGCTCCGGACATGATCATACCTACATACAAGGGCAATCATACAATTAGCTACGCTTACCAAACTATGCAGTAGAAATGATTCGGCGCACCATTGCTTCATGTGCTGGAGCGTCATGTAGTCCTGCTCTCGCTGCTTGACTTCGGCGTCCTTGCTCCTCAGGTCGTTCTGGATAGCAAAGGCAAGTCATATGAGGCTGAGTGGGTACCCAGCTCACCGCGACTATCCACCATATTGCAGTAGTCTTCAACGCACCTGTTTGGACAAGTTCTCAATGGTGCGCTTGGTCCGCTTTACTTGGGTGCTGATGTCGATCTTTTTATCCTGCTCAAAGGCACGCAAGACAAGGTCGCACGCATTAGAACGCTCCTCTGCTCCAGACTAAGCACACCCGCAGATACGGTACTGTACCAACCTCCAGCAGCTTCTGCTTCTGGTGCATTTCCTGGATGCTCTGCGTCTGCATGTCCAGCACGCGGCTGCAGTCTTCCTCATCTGTGATCATCACAGTCGTCGCCAGTTGCACCGCCGCCTTCCGTTGCGCATTCTTCTGCTGGATCGCCTTCCACACCTCGTTCAGCTGCGCCAGCTCGCTCTCGTGTGCCTCCCTCGTGGCTTCGTGCTCGACCACGTTCCGCTTCTCCTGCTCCACCTCGTCCGCCATGCGCTCGAGCATCCGCAGCGCCTCGCGCCGCTCCTGCACTGCAGCCTGCAGCTCCCTCTTCTCCTGCTCGTAGCCCGCTTCCACCTGCGCCTTCCGGGAGGCCGCAGCCTTCTGCAGCGCCTCCAGCGTGTCCACCTGAGCCAGTCGGTCCAGGAGATTCTGCTTGGCCTGCTTGGCCACGAACTCCTGCTGCAGCTCGCGCAGCCTTCTCTGTCACAACAAGAACAACAACAACAACAATGAAAAATATCATCAGAAAACTTGACCAGCATATAAAAAAATTGCAGCAATAAATATTTTCATCACCAGGGCGTTCTGGAGCTCGACGGCCGCGGCTTGTGGCGTCTTGTTGCTCTCCCGGAGCTTGGCCAGGAGCTTGGACATGTAGAGCTCCGCGAACTGCAGCGTGTCATCGTTATTACTGCGAAGTAAGAGACGCTTAGCAGGTCGAAGAGCAGGTCCTTGTCTGGCGGCTCAGACGCGCGTGTACCTGTGCTGCTGGGGCGGGTCAGACGCGTGCACTGGCTGCTCCATCGTGGCCACCTCCACCTCCATGTTGCTTGCTGCTCGAGTCGCCACTTTCTTTGTGCGCGGCACTCAATGTGCGCCACACAAACGAGCAAATCACCCGTTAGAGAGGGTGTTCAGGTTCAGCAAAGCAAAGCAGATGTCCTCGCCCTTATTCCGCTCCTCCGCGACGACACCATGAGCTGAGCTGTGCAGTACCGTACAGTAGGTAAGTATAATACATTTCCACATTTGACACTTCGCATCCACAGCGCACAAGCCAATACAAGTAGCAGCAGTAAGCAGCAGCACAGTAAAGTATGGCGACCACCTCCACCCCCACCGCCACCATCACCACGCCCAAAACGCAGCCCCACGACGAGGCGCTCCCGCTCCTGGGCGCTAGGGACAGCGTCCACGGGCGCGACAGCATCCACGGCGCGCTGCTGGAGGACAAGACGCCCGAGATTCTGTTCCACGAGGACGCCATCGGCGACACGGACTCGGAGCACGAGGACGACGACGTCGTGTCAACGGACGGCTCGCTCGTGCTGGACGACGAGGCCAAGCTCGTCATGTGCCGGTCCACTGGTAAGGTGGGCTCCAAGGAGAAGTGGGGCCACGAGCCGCTGGCCGTGGACTTTAAGCTGCTGGGCGTGGGCGTGCAGATAACCGACGGGGCTGTGGTCAAGGTAGAAGGGTTCTACCTCCCGGACGAGGAGAGAGCCGCGGGTCTGCACGTCTTCGAGCTGCGGGAGGACGAGTTCATCACCAAGGTGCACCTCTTCCGGCTGCGGCGCGAGATCCACGCGATCCAGTTCGTGACGACCCACAGGACGTCCGAGCGCTTCGGAGGCACCAAGCACGGCGAGCTCTGCAAGGCCGTGGAGGCACCCGAGGGGTCCTTCATCGCCAGCTTCTTCGGAGACGTGGCCAAGGACGAGGCGGACATCGACCTGGGCGTCCGGTTTGCCGACAGACCCAGAAAGGAGGAAGGAGAAGAGGAGGAGGAGGAGGAGCAAGTGCATGCCGAAGTGGCAGAGATCGACCAGGTCAAGTAGGGAGGCGAGTGCATGTGAGACCATTGCCTAGTTAAAGTGTTGCTGTAGCCTACAGCGTGTAGGTAGCTCTTCAACATTGAAGTCAAATTTGTACGATGTAGTCGACGCTGTTGCTGCTGCTGCTGCACTTGATTTTCTCGTTTGGTTTGGTCCGACACTGCGTCGTTCATGGCACATGTACGATCTCACGAAGAGCGTGCTACATGTATTTGCATAGCTGGAGCCGTCGTCCAAGCGTCGGATCACCCGAAATGCTGCAGTCGTCGCGCGGTTGCGACTGCTGCTGGGCGGAACTTCTCCGAAGTCACCGCCCGGCCGCCACGCTCTTCACGTGTCTGCGCGCCTGGCGATATGTCATCCTGCAGCATAAGCACCGGCGCAACCAGCCCTCAGCTCGAGAATGGCAGCACGCACGGTTCTTCGAGGTGACTTCGTTTAACAAGTTATCCGGCTTATGCAGTACCAGTGCATCTCATGCTTTGTCGGTTGTGGGCAGATGGAATTGCCGTTGCACGCCGTCGTGGCAGCTTTGGATCACGATGGTGATGCGATGGACGAGGCGTTCGAGGTGCTAGGGGCGTTCTACGCGCTCTACCCTCGCTCAACCGAGTTGCTGGACCACCAGGTAGAGTATAGATGCATTTTGGCGAGTCTCCTTTGATGTATTGATTGTTGTAAATTTGTTCGTGTGCTCTGGTAGCGACGTCCTGCGCTGTACTACGCCTTGGAGCAGCGGTGGGGGCTGAAGAAGCTGTCGTGGCTTGTGGACAAAAGTTTGGGCGTTGTGCTGGAGAAAGACTCGGACGGACTTGCCATTGTCACGCACGCTATCGTGAATAAATGTCCTGAAGAACTCGTCATCCGTCTTGCAGTAGCTGCAACCGCACGATGTATCATCTCGGTCGATGAGTTATTAAGTGGCCAGCACTTCGAGAGCGCTCGTCGGGTGAGTAGATATACTCTGCATAGATCTCTACACCAGCGTTGGGGTTCGATACTTACTTAGTTATATCACTCGAACCCAGTTCTGCCATCGTGCACTCCAAGATTTCTTCCCCGGAGTTCCAAAGTTCCCACATGCACGGTGTCGGGAAATAATCGGACAGCGTCGAAAATACGGGGAAGATCAAGCTCGTGTGGCTGCCACAGCTATCAGAGATGTCTGGACACAGTTCATCGATACCTGGGGGCATTTTGGTACGCGTTCTAGCACTCGCTATAGTTTTTCCCTTCAACTAATCCCTAGTCGTGCTGCTCAGGTGCCCCGTTGCTTCAGCGAGATCTACCTGATGCGCTGTACCCCGTCATCGACTCGTTCGTGGAGGTTTCTCTCGTTGCCAAGGGCGAGCCACTGACCTACCAGTGGTTCATGCAGCTGGACGGTCAAGACGAAAGCTCTCCGATCGAAGGCGCTACCCAGTCATTCATCTTCCTATCCCCCAGTATCCAGCCTCACAATCAAGGGACCTACTACTGCGAGGTGGTTAACCGCCGCGGGCGTGTGGTTTCCACTCGAATGATGGTTCGAGTCGTCGATGATCGTGTTCCACCCGACCCAACGCTGAATTTCACTGTGGATAGAGCGCTGCTGAGCACTCAGGACTATACTTTACGGTGTCTGAAGGCGAGCGCCGGTGGATGGGTGCGGCACTCGCAGACGCACACAACGATAGCGTTCCAGCCAGACTTCTTCACGTGTCTGGATCGAGATGGGCTCAACGTGTCAGACACACACGGAGTTGAAATCGCGATCTCTCGCCGTGTGGATCTGGAGTCGAGACTTCGGTTGCGTAATGGAGAAACGCTTGTGAGTTGTGTGGTAGAAGTTCTGCCGACGTCGATGGGGGAACTGCTGCGCCCCGCGTTACTCTGGCTGCCGCACTGCCTCGTAGTAGATACGAACAATAGCGCCGTGGTAGTGGAGATCGACTCAGAATCTGGACGGATACTGCGAGATGTGGAGCATGCCTGCGTCAGTGAAGCATACACCCGGGTAACCATTAGCCGGCTGGGTGCGTTCGCTGTTATCAGTCGGCGGAAAACGCTGCGTAGTGGCGAAAGCAGCTCGGATTTCACTGTGGAATCCGCGAGACTCTTTTTAATACGGCCCAAGTATGTATCTGCAAGTCCACCGACGGACAGAGTCAAGCTATCGCTAGCACTTGTACGTGATCTAGAAAATTATTGCGCGGAAGCGGAAGTTCAATTGAAAGACAAATTTGCGCAAGTAGATGATCCGACGTTAGCGGGGACAATCGACTCGTTTAAGCTGAATATCCGAGAAAACTTTTCACTAAACTTGGACATCGGCGGAGAAGCACGAGCAGTGTTTCGCTGGCCCCCTCCCTCGCCCGAGGTTATGGTCGCTGACGTGGAGATCTCCGTGGCAAATTTGGCGCCTTTGAACTCTGAAAGAACCCATTCTGCATTTTTGAGTCTTCCTCTTCGCGCTGCTGTGTGTAAGTCCCCAGCGCAGACGCGGACACGAGTGAATACTGCAGAGAACAAGAGCTCCGAGGCCATGCCTAATTGTGAATGGACCCTTTTCGAGCGCGAATGGAGTGTCTTGATTCCTGTTCTGCGAGATGCCAAGACGATATTTGCAGTTCCACCACCGACACCAGTATTGATTGAGCGAACGAGTGAGCGTCTTGCACTCGACTTGATCCCACCTAAGGATAAAGACGTTGCTGACGAACCGCGCGATGATATGGAGCAGAGTAACTTTACGCCATACTTTTATGTTGTGGAGATAGCGAGTTTTTCGCCAACGTTTTGGCGCCGCTACGACCAAACGTGGTGGTTTGACAAGACCAAGACCAACGTCATCGACGGAATGTACAAAGTGGTCCATCGCGGCTTTGGCACGAAAGTTACTATCTCCACCTCAGCTTATGCTGGGTGTGTGCGAGTGGCGTGGTCTAGCATCGACCGCTTCGGAGCGTACAGTGAGCCCTTACTACTGAGACCATTGCCTGAACTTGACCTCGGCATCGGATCACCCTTAAAAGGTGGTGGGGTGTTTGAGAGCTTTTCAACTGAGCTCGAGAGCACAAGCTCCAGATTAGCAGAGCTCATGAGCGATCTTCGTATCGACCCTGGCATGCTAAACACAGTTTACGGGTTTTCTCGCTCCGTTAAAACTGCTTCCAACGTGGTGCTGGCGCTGCTAGAAGCGAAGACAACGCTCGGCACCTGCAATTTTGAGCTAGCACTCTTGCTGTCAGGCTTCAAAGCTTTAGAGCGACAGATCGCTAGAATCAAAATTGCAAGCAATGCGTACGCAGCGTTCTTAGAGCGGTTCGTGCGGGTGCAACGCGTAATTCCCGAGTTGGATTGGTTTGCAGCGTCAACACGACCGATCCCGAGGCACTTGCACGAACTATTGCTGGTAAGGTTTGAGTGTTGGCGTTTGAATTCAAGCTTGAAAATCTAGAGGCTAACCCCCTGTTCTGTCAGGAAACCTTTGAAGTGGTGGCGAAGCTTTCCCGTCGCGGCTGGATGCAGCAGTACGTTCAGCTTCTAAATCTACTTCACATAGAGCGTTTGCTCATTGTTGATACATTGATACAGCTTTCTCATGGACGAGTGGTTTGAGGCCACACTGAATCGAATTTGCACGGACACAGCGGGGCTTCTTGCGAGCGATGACCGCTGCTTGGAATGGGCTTCAGACCTCCGAGTTCAACTGGAGACACCCACCAGGGACAGCATCCCCTGGATAATGAAGACATCGCGAGCTTACCTACTTATTGCGGTTGGTCGGCTCCAGGAGGCAACCGACCAGCATACGAAGCTGCTGATCTGCCACGAACTGTGCCACACCCTTGATCTCTATCGTCCCTCTCCCCAGATAAAGGAAGACGACGAAGAGTTACAGTCTTCCTTAGCATCAGAGATGCTCGCTGAGATGGAGTCCCCGACATCACAAGAGGCACTGTCAGCCCTGCGTCAACAAGATTGCCTTACCAACCACCTCATACAGGTAACACCCAGTGACAGCGAGAAGTGCGCTCGCGTCCCCGAAGCCGTTCACTTCGACTTGGACCCATTCATTCGGGGCGTCAACCGCACCGGGATGCACCTCGTCATTCGAGTGGCGAACGTGACTCTGGACAATTGCGTCGTTCAGGGCAAAGCCTCCTTCTGCGAGCAAACGTCTCGACTGAGCTTCTTCCCAGCAGCCGAGTTCGAGCGGAAAAGTCGATACCGAGTCACTGTCCGAGAGCGCGAGATACTGTCTAGTCTCGGAGGAACGCTGCCCGACCGACCACCATTTACTATTCACTTTTCAACGCCAGCATAAAGAAGGGCGACGACAAATGAACTAACTACACCTAATGAATACTTCACTCACCCACTCGTTTGCTGTTAGCAGCCGGGGCCACCAGCAACCATTAGACACGAGGTGCTCTTGAATATTGAGAGGAAGTTGGCAGTAAGAGCTGCGCAGAAGGCGATCCCAATAGTGGAGAACACGGACAACGCCATGACCTTGCTCGATCCGCCCCTGGCCTTCAGTTCCCGAGCATCGCGCTTCTGTCCGGGCAGCAACGGCAGAGTCCCCAGACATACCAACGCTCGTACACTGAACAACACAGCGAAGAGCGCCCCCACTCTCATTCGAACTTCGTCCGAGTCCTGCTCGATGTCGACGTCAAAGACACTGAAGTGGGCTCCCATTCCATTGCTCAGAGCAGTCGCGACAGGGTCCGCGAGGTTGTAGACGGACGTCACCAGACCGTACGTGCTGCTCTCGAAGCCAGGCTCTGCGATCTCCACCACCACGAGCATGCGCACGACCATAGCGACACAGTCGGCGAAGCTGACGATCTGCGTGGCGATCAGGAAGAGAAACTTGTTCCTCCACACGTCAAAGACCACCGTCATCACCACTGGGAAGCCGATAACGAGCCCTCCAAGCAGAGCAACGAAGACGGACGAGTGCCAGCTTCTCGACAGAAGACAGCGGTGCACGAAGATGGACGCGGCGACGCAGACGCCGCCACTGGAGAGTGCTAGGAAGAGGTTCTTCGTGAACGGGTCTGTGTGCAGCCAGAACTCGTGGACGGCCTGGGAGGGCGAGGCCGAGTCCATCCCGAAGGACATACACAGCTTCTGCAGGAAGCCGAAGGCCGCGATCTGCCATGTCGCGCGCTGCTGCATGATGCGCCAGAACTCGCCGAGCCTCGAGCGCAGACTCGGGGCCGCTACAGCCATCGGAACGGCGTCAACACTCCCCATTCGTTCGCTGTTGATGTCCTCTTGGAATCCCCACGTCGTGGCACCCAACGCAACCACTGCAACTACGATTAGTATACTGAAGACGGCCTTGAGGGAGAGCTCGAACGCAAATCCACCGCCGTACTCCTTCGAGTTCAATCCAACCGCGACAAGCGTCGTGCCCAACAGCTCAGCGATGAACCTCACAGCATGCACTGCACTCTGCGAGAGCCTCGAGGACCGGAACACGTTCTGCTCTTCAATCTGACTGTCGCGATGCACCGTTTCCACCATCAGACCGTCACACGCTGCGTCGACCAGCAGATACCCCACGGACACCGCAGAGATCACCAACACAAGCCTCGGTGCGTCTGTAGCGTCACCATTGCCCCCTTCCAAGTCGGGGTGGAGTACCAACATGAGCCCGAAGATCAGCAGCACCAGCGCCCAGCCGACATAGAGGTAGGGTGTGCGTCTGCGCCCGTAGATCGGCATGCAGTCCGTCAGCAGACAGAGTAGAATCTTCCCGTGCCACGCACAACCGAGCAGCGTCTGCGTGGCGTTGGCCTGGTAGCCCTGCAGCCCCAGACGGACCTTGAACAGAGGGTAGACCAGAGCGGGCACCACCCCGTGGAACAGCCCCGCCGCGAAGTAGTTGACCAGTAGAGACACCGCTCGATGGGATCGGTGGTGCAGCTCCTGCTCGTGGACTGTGGGTAGTGGGGACAACGCCGCCTCGTAGAATTCTCCATCGTCGTTGGCTGTGACTGTGGAGGCCGCGTCGAGCTTGGTGTTGAGGCTGAAGCTGCTGCTGAAGGACCAGGACGAGCAGTGTGGACTCACGAGCTCGTGGGCCATGGGCGGATGGGCCCCGTAATGGAATCGCTCCCGATTGAGGGGGGGAGCTGCGCGCACGACGAGGGGTTTTCAGGAGTGAGGCACGCAGGCCCAAAGGATCGATCTTCATTCACCTTAGACGCGGCAGGTGCCCCGCGGACGGATCACCGAGAGGAGATGGGGCGTTCGACTAGCTGACGACATGACTTTCGATGGGTCCATTTCAATCGAAGTTGTGTGACGTGGCGGGTCGCAACTGTATGCTCGAGTATAGGGACATTGAAGTGGTGGCGCTGCTCAACCAATCAAATCTTTGGTGCCTCGAGCAGGGCCATGGTCTCTAATCTAAAGTCTCTCAGTCGCTGAGTCAGCTCTGCTGTAGCCCATGCATGTATGTAGCTGGAAGGCTGGGGCGACAACCAGAGCTTCTTTGCGATCGGGGCTGTAGCACGAAAGTCTGCATACCCAAACTCGGCGTTCCATCGTCGACGAACAGTCGATCTTTTGCTCGATCTGCTATCGTGACCAAATGCGCCATCCCTCTTCCGAAACCATTTGTCTGGCCTCATCCTCCGGCCGAACGCGGTCGGAACGTGGTGGGCTGGCAAGGCCCCATGCTGCTGCTCGAGGCCGCTGAGATATCAATGGAGCCCCATGTGCGTGGGTTTCTTTCGACTCGACTGCGCATCTGACCCCCTTCTGGACTGTAGCCATATCGGGGATAGCGCCGATCTTTTACGTGAGGGTGGCGCCGACTGCATTGTCCGCCGCGTGGATGCTTGGTCTCTACTGGATCCTTTTCGCTGCTTGGCTCTTCACCGAAAAGATGAAAGAGTTCCACGGCGGGGGCATCAAGGATTTGTGGGTCGAGATCCTGAATGTGCCGGAACGGAGCCCGTGAGGTACGTGTCATGGATTCAGACAAGGACGAGCGATACAGTGCACGTTAATATCGTTCGAGCAAATACTGCATCTGCTTGAGTTTTGCTTTCGAAAGTCGTGCAATAGGGCCAGTGTGCATACAGTACACGCGGATGGCAGCCACTTTTGCTTACGTCGTAGCGAACTCGGGTTCAGCACAATAATACTACCACAGAAGTCTCCTATGAGCAAACTAGAGATCAGCAAACCTTTCCTCTCGTTTCTGGAGAAAATTTACTGTAGTTGAAGGCTACCACGATAGCTCGACCGTAGTCGTCTTCGCGCCGAAGGCGCAACAGCCGCCCACCGAAGAGTTGGGTACCCAACTTTTTTATGCTTTTCAGTTACCAAGTACTTTCCAAAGATCGATCTTCCAGCAGAGGGAGCGGTGCTGAGTTGGGGTTTTGAAATCTTTGGTCGCCAAGCCCGTGCAGACGCCGAACATCTTTAACGAATGGCCTTCAGGGTATCACATTAGCAAAAGATAGGTGTTCGAGTGAGCAGCGCGATTGCTTATATATCAATGCTTGAGGAAGAAAACGTGGAGCGTCCAGAGTTTCGACCGCATTGGTTCTAAGATTCGCTACTGTCCGTTTTCGACGTCAATGGTATTGTGCCTTTCATTTAATTTGCCGACAGCAAAATCGGACTTCAAGTCCGATTTTCATTTACTAAAACAAGGGAGATAGTCAGTAATTCGTTATAGTATAGCTTCCCCGAAAATCGGAGTCCGGTTTTCCTGTGCTTTGCTCCTTCGGTTTTGCTCTCGTTTTCGTTCGAGGTCCCGAATGACGGTGATTTGTTCGCCAATAGCGAATCGCCATCTGGCTCGAAAAGCGCTACAGACGCTGAATGGCATCCTCCATAGTAAATGTACCAGAATTCTCTGTCGGGAACGATAGATATTGTACAAGGCAATGACATAAAATACACGCAAAGGAACATAAAGTACACAATAACTTAGAGAAAGTACCGCAAATCATACGGAATAACAATGTCAAGTGTGATTCTTGAACTTGATTGGCTCTCTGAATTACTTACTGTAAAAAGTACAACATCTGTGTGCCGGATTTTGCGTTGCCGTATCAATCCGTCGTTGTTTGTATCGCTTTCCCTCGCTTTCTATTGAAAAGCGGAGTCGGATCACCATCCCTCCGATTTTTCAAATCGGGGGTTGGTCCCCTTTATTATAACCTACCTCAATAGTAAAAGTGATAGATTTTGAGGTCCGTTTAGACTGAAAGGCACAATAAGAAATAAAATAGTCTTTGCTGTTAAAACCTTACACCGACGAGCTCTCTAAGGTACGTAAACTATTATTGGCATCGACACACTCTATCCATGCAGTAAGGCCTGTGGCGAGCAAAGCATCAGCGCTCGATGACAGTTGGGAGATCTTTGAGTGCTCGTTTTGAGGTCGTGCGTTAGGAAGACGAGGTGGAGATCTACACCTTTTCAACTTCAAAATGGCAAATTGCTAGCTCAAAATGACAAAACGTAAGTTCAAACTGTCACGAATAGAGACAGGACCGTCTCACAATCTTATACGAGCACGATTGGCTGATACAGCTCACGGTCAACCAATAAATATTCGACACTCTGTATTTCTATATATTCCACTAACGTTATTACAAACAGGTTTAAGTATCGGCTTACATAGTATTCGTTTTGATTTTACATTTTGACGTATTGAATTTTCTTTTTGCCATTTTGAAGTTGAAAAGGTGTAGAGTTGTCTGATTAACAAAACCTGCATTATTTCCCGAGGGTGGGTGGTGGTGCCTTTGACTGAGTCTTGCCTCGATTGGCTGTCTACTGCGTCTTAGCAGTAGACGGAATCCGCAGAGGCTTGTTCTTGATTCCGATTACGCGTCTCAACCACCCGATGGCTTTACTGAAGTACTTCCTCGCGAGCTCCGGAGGATAACCGAAGTTGCCAGTCTGTGCATGGACTCGTCCTCTTCCTCCCCCCCCCTCTTTCTCCGCTTCTGCCTCTCTCCTCTTCACTTGGGTCCATACCAGCGAGCTCGCGCGTCGGTGGTATCTTGTTCTGCAACGCGTTTGATTCTGTCGCGGAAATCTTGCTGTCGGCGCTTGCCATTCCATCGCTGAGAACGACCATAGTGAGCACCACGACCAGCACACATTTAAGCAGGCCCATGCTTCTTCGAGAGGAGTTGTGCGGCTTCAGCTTGACGGGGTTAATTGCAGACTGCGGACTCCGTCGCCTTCATAGGCGACGGAGTCCGCAGTCTGCAAATAACCCATGAAAGAGGTGGAACGCACGATCGTACCTACAGCCGATATCTTTGGCTTTGCTTAGACAGCACTACTTTTAATTGAGGGCTGCGATGTATCCACTGTGACTCTCCGGATTCACCAAACCAGGCGAAAGCATTTATTATACAAATAGCGTTATGGATGTCACTTTTCTCTTGGGATAGGTCAATAGTTTTGGGTGATTACGTGTACCGTGCTGGATTCAGCAAATTCGGATTGGTAGATCACACGCATCAATGGAGTAATTCTGGTGGATACTTCGAAGCACCATAACTCGGTCCAACCAGAATACATGTACGCGTTGAAGAAGCAAAATCTTTTTGTTGCGCGTTGAACCCCAGTGTGTTAATGGGAAAATTGTTCAGAAAGCAGCCGTTCGAACTTTTTGGCGCGTTCCTTGACGTGCCGGAGGTCATTTTGGACTTCTGGTATCGCGAATGGCGCAATTAACCCCCATCATGGACGGTATCCCAGCGTGGTCTGCCATATTGGAAAACCCACCATACCGTTCTCAGTTCCTCGACAAAATTGGTATCCTAATTTTTTTAATATTTTTTTCATTTTTCGAAAAAGATAATAAAAAGAAAGTAGTACCATATATACTATCTGAAATAGAACATTTACTTTCAATATAATCATAAGCTTGAATTAAAGTAAAAAAATGCTAATGAAATTGTAATAATGCGATGCTGAAGAAGTAGGTGGCTCGCTCAATAGCGCACTGCGTATTTCGCCTCGCGTGCGTGAGGAAGGAAGGGGGTCTGGTCTACGGATGGGTTTCAATGTTCTAGTTTGTAGGTACTTTTTGTTTTTGGGTAAATTACGCAGCTTCAATGGCAACATTGCGTTGCTCATTCGCGACAATTACTTGAGCGTAAACCCGCAAATTTTAATTTAAGCAACTCGCGGATCGTGCTTCACCGCGGTGTGGCCAGCGATCCAACGCAGGGGTTTCTTACGCACCCTTCTGTTATGGAAGTCATACACCTTTCTTTGCGATGACGATATGGTTTATCGATACGCCTGTATTTGTCCGTAGTGATGTCGATATGGTTTGTATAGCAGAGCTAAAATGAGGGAAATGTTCGACGAAGGACTCACCGTCAGACAAGTTGGGTATTTCCGAGGCGATTGCGGCAGCTGCGAAGAGTAGCTCAGCATTGCTGAAACTCACGAAGACGAACGAGTACCAACTAAGCAAGATTGGACACATCGGGAGAAATCAAACTCGACTCGTAGGCGCATTATAGTACGGCTATTATATAATAAGAGTGTCGTGAACAAGCAGCATGTGAAAGCACTGGTAGTGCGCACTCGTTTAACGGGTATACGATAATAGAACGTTCGTCTCAACAACATTATTGTGTGAATGTATAGCAATAAAAATCGTGACTAAGAAGCTCAACCCGCGTACGAGTCGAGAAATAACCCCCCGACAAGTAGGATCGACATGGTGTCAATAGCAAAGCGGAGGCACTTCACTTCGAATGAAAGCGTACAGTACATAGTGCTGCAAGGTACATTTATATTGTAGCTGGGTCTGAAACCCTATCTCCTGCCATGTAAGCTGTTGTAAAGTCTTGCTGCATTGTACTTGAAGCCTACCAACCAGCAGGACTATATCGTTCGACGGAAATGAATTAAGACCGGTCCCAGCCTCTGATAACCTATCGAACGTAGACCTTTTGCTGTTTCAGGGAGCAGACAACTGACGCCCACATTGTTCACCCGAGGTCTTGGATTGCTCGCCAACGTCTGAGCTATTGCATCGACGGAAGGAGTATGCATCCGCAAACTTGTCCAGACTGCGTCGTAAAGCATAACACCGCAGCGCGACTTCAGCAAAGGACAGCAAGCTACGTGCAGATCTTGCCAGCTTTTTCGTACTCGTGTTGGCTTCCTCGACCAGAAAACAAAACCTCGTTCGAGCCGCGGGGTCTAAGTGGTCGTCAATCTGAAGGTACAAGTGGTTGAAGCTATCCCACAGTGACTCGTAGAGCGAGTACAGCGCTCTACCCTGGCTCGTAGCGTTGTCATTGGCGTTTAGCAGTCGCTTCAGTATGTTTCGTGCCGCTGTAATGATATCAGGAACTGACTGCATGCTTATTGTTGCACCCGCCGTAGCCCGACTGTGGCCGTCGTGTGAGGCTCCTGTTAATCGTGCCAACTCGTCAACCACTGTCGAAATTTTTATTCGCTTTTCTGGCTCGAACGCACACATTCGCTGCACCAACGTCCACTGCTCATCTTCACAAGTTCCGGGTTTAGTCGGCAATTTTCGATGTTTTACGTGGAATCTCACAACACTGTTGTCGAGGTTTCCCCATGGTAGGCAAATCTTTACCCTATCCGTGCCAGCCTCGACAATGCGTAGTGCTTCCACAATACACATACCTAGCGAATAGATATCCGACGCAAACGTCGGTCTTGAGTCCTGGTAGTTTGTCAGACACTCTGGAGCAACCCAATGCGACGCCGCTGAGATCTCTGAATTGCCGTCGTCACCGATGATAGAGCTGAGGCCAAAGTCCGTCACCTTTGCTTTCCTATCACTCCCAATAACGATGTTGTTCCCTTTGAGATCGCCATGTACGACACTACGAGCGTGGAGGTACTGGACACCCAGCGCAGCTTCATGCAACTTTGCCCAAAGTTCGTTGGGGTGCTTCCTTAGGTAGCTGACCAGCGTACCATTCCTAGCGTCTTCACACACGAAGAAGGGTCTACCGACATGGCACGCGCCGAAGAGCCGAATGACGTGAGGATGGCTGAAACCGAACCAAATATCGACTTCACGTCGGAACATCGCCATTGCCCCCACCCGCTTCTTGGCATTGGCAGCAGAAGTTCCTGGCCGAATGGACAAGCAGAACGATGAGGAGCAAGACATGTCGACGTCGACTCCAGACCCAATCAAAGACTTTACTACCACGTCTGAATCGAGCCATTTGGCTCGACACACGCTTCCGTAGCCGCCGTGACCAAGAGAGGCGTACTTGTCGACAGATAGCTCATACCAGGGGATGAGCCACTCCGGCCTCAGTTCCAACAAATCGTCCTTCTCGAGCTTGCTTGCAATATCCTTGTACGCCTTCATCAACACTTCAAGTTGGACAGGTGTGTATTTTGCTGGGTGTTCAATCTCTTCTTTCAACGAGGTGAGGAAGGCCAGTCGCTCTTCTTGCGACTTGAGCTCTTCTAGCAGAAGGTAAGTTTTCGACGCCTCGGAGACGAAAATCTCGACTTGCTCACTGCGTTTCTGCTCCCATCGCGCGTGCCGCTCTCTCGCTACATCGGCCGACTGGCCTAGGGCTGCCCATAGAGCTTCAAGACGCCGTCGAATGGCGACGATGCTGAAGGATGTAGCACGAGTAGCAGAGAGTTGCAGGACTCGAGTTTGCTCGCTTGACATCGCAATCAGTTTGTGGAAATCCCGAATGAGTGGATGGAAACGATTGAGTACTGCTACAGGAGGGGCAGTACCATCCAGGTGTTGACGAATCTTCTTGAGTTCGTTGAAGGCGTGGTGGTAGAGTTCATTCTCGCACGTTTCCATGTGCATTTGTACTTCCAGCCAAGTTGCATCTGCCTTGTAGCTGTCGATGATACTGCCAGGCTCGAACTCCGGTTGAGAACAAGATATTTTAGAGAAATGTTCCAACTCGTGCACGATCGAAGATAGACTAGCTCGTTTGTCTGTGTCCTGGCAGCACATCCGCCAGACCAGACTATGGACAGTCCCAGCAGGGCACTTTGGAGCGTATCTCGAAGGCACGTTTGATTCTGGGGCCCAATGCATTTTGAGATATCTTACGCTATCATCACCGACCCCATCTGCCCAAGGAGCCTTGCTGGTCGCAGCTTCCAGGATACACATACCCAACGAGTATTCATCGGAAGCAAAAGACCAATTCTTCCCATTTAACACCTCGGGAGACTGCCAACGCACCGAGCCAGCCCTAGGCGACCCTGCATTCCGCTGCATCGAACCACTTCGCGAGAAATTGGCCAGCTTTGACAAGCCATCGCTACCGATTAATATATTACTGCATCGCAGGTCGCCGTGAACGATCCCACGCTCGTGGAGGTATTCAAGTCCCAACGCGGCCTGGAGCAAGAACGACCACACTTTCTGTTCTGCAGATGGCATTTTTGACTTGACATACTCGAGCAGTGATCCGTTGCTGGCATATTCACAGACAAAAAACTGCAAGGACAGCGGGGGCACGTCACAAGCCCCGTACATCTTGATCACGTTAGGGTGACGCAACTGATGCCACAGACGAACTTCGTCCTCGAACGCCGCGTGGGATGACGTGTCGGATAAAACAATTTCACGGCAGCGTCGGCATCAAGCCACTTGGCTCTGTATTCGCCCCCAATGTTGCCTTCCCTCACAAAGCTCACAAGCGCAATTTCCGCCGGGGAGATGTACCAACTTGCGGTTGGTGCATCTACGCTCGCAGCTTTCGCGTGCACTATCGACAGAAATGGTGTGAGAACTCGTTGAATTTCTTGGTAGCCACGGTCAGCAGCAAGATGGATAGCTGTGTATCCGTCTTCAGACGCAGTGTTCACTTCAGCATTGCGCTCTTCTGCTAGGTACTTGACGACGTCTAAATGTCCTCCAGCAGCGGCCATCATCAGCGCCGTATCTCCGTCCCCATTCAATGCATCCACACACGCTCCGCATTTCTCAGTCAGATAGCAAACAATCTCCGCGTTTCCTTTCTCAGCTGCCTTCATCAACGCTGTAGTCCCTCGTTTGTTAGTCGCGTTTACGTCAGCGGAACATTCACCAGCTAGACTCCGAACGACCCTAATATCGCCAATCTCCACTGCGCTCCACAGCGCCGTAAAACCGTATAGATCCGCGGCATTGACACTGGCCCCACATTCTACTGCTAGGTAACGAAGCGTGTCAATATGGCCGTTTGCAGCCGCCTTCATCAACGCGGTGGTTCCGGTTGGGCTAGTCGCGTTCACATCAGCCCTACATTCGCCCGCTAAACACCGAACAATGCCAAGGTCTCCTCTGGCAGCAGCCGTAAGTAGTGCTGTATCACCATTGCCATCAATGGCGTCCACATCTGCTGAACACTCTAGAGCAAGACAGCGAACAAGTTCAAAACCCCTGCTCTCAGCAGCCATTATCAGCGCTGTGTCGCCGTCTTCATCTGTGGCGTCCATATCCGCCCCGCATTCGGTTATCAAGCATCGAACGGTGGCTATGTGTCCTCCCACGGCAGCTTTCATTAAAGCGGTAGCGCCATCTGCACTCGCGGCATTCACGTCCGCCCGCAGGTTCCAGCTAGATACCGAACGATGTCTTCGTGCCCTGCTGCAACGGCCATCATCAGCGCTGTCAGGTCACCTCGGTCTCTGGCATTTACATCACACACACCGGCTAGTATCCACGCCGCCCTGTTGTGGCCTCCACTTACTGCCTTCATAAGCGCCGTGGTTCCGTCCATATCGACGGCGTTAACGTCAGCCCCACATTCGACCGCTAAGACCCAAACAGTACAATCCTGGCCTCTACCAGCGGCCTTCATTAATGCGGGTGACCCCTTTAGCATCGACACCATTCACGCCAGCAAAGCATGGCCCAGCTAAGTATTGAGCATAACCTCGAGCCGCAGCTTTCGATAGTGCTGAGGCTCCTCCTCCAGCTTTCGCGTGAACATCGTATATTCCTGCTAGGATCCGAACGACTTGTGCATGTCCTGCAGCTGCGGCCAACATCAGAGCCGTCGCCCCTGCTTCATCGGTGACGTGCACGTCGCAAACTGCTACTAGACTTTGAACGACTCCTTCGTGTCCTCCAGCAGCGGCCTTCATCAGTGCCTCCGCATCTTCTCCGCCCCCAGCGCTCGCTCCCCGTTTCCTCCACGTCGCAATCATGATTCCCAAACTCTCGGTCTGCGTTGGACCCAGCTGAGATCTTTCATCGGCATCGACTGGCCAAGCGCTGCATCATCTGCTAGGATTCCGTTGCTGGGGCCGGTCTCAATTTATTCTCTATTTTCAAGCAACGAATGCAGGACAAACACCGGATAGCACACCATCCAACCCCCCCCCCCCCATCTTGCGGGGTTAACCTACGAAGCTGCCATCTTTGTCGAACCTGCTTATCGGGGTATTTCCCGGCTCGGAGCGGAGATTAAGTTTCTTGTCCAGGAATTTCTTGATCTTCTTGCTATGTGCCAAACCGCGTGCTTTCTCGAGGACTTCCACCGGCCAGTCTCCACGATCGCAAATATACTTGAGCACCCTCGCACAGCTACATCTCGCCGCGGTGACAACAGCCTGCTCCTGGACACTTCTTTTCGTACCCGGTACGTCAAACAGTATCGCGACAATGTCTCGGCGATCACAGGCTGTGGCTGAGTTAAATGCTGCAATGACCACATCACCGGAGATACACGGAAGGCCGAGCCAAGCCGCCACCAGCTCTAAGCACCCACTCTCCGCAGCTCGAACAAACGCGTCCCCAATCAGCTCAGACTCAAGTGCTTTGTCGTGGCTTAACCCCATCAATACGACAGGCTGCAAGCTCTGCGTGGCTTCCGTGAACACTTTATTCACGATCTCAGGCGGGATGCACTCCCGGTTACTTAAGAACTGCAGGATCTTGCACTGGTCTTCTCCAGGACAGTAATCCACGCCGTTAATGGAGCCACAAAAGGCAGCGTTTTCCACAGCTAAGCACACGCTCTCAACTGGGAGTCCTTCCACTTCGTCGTACACAAACTCCACCACGGCAGCACTCCTTGAGCTCTCGAATGTCGCCAGCAGCGCCTCTCGAGAGACTTGGCCCTTACCATAGAGGAACTCCATGGTAGTGACGATTCCGGCTGAGGCTGCTCTCACGAACGCCTTGTCAGACACCTCGGACGAGACACCTTTGCACTTCAGTAAGAACTCCAGAACATCAACTGAGCCCAGAGATGCCGCTTTAATGAACGCAGCTTCAAACAACTTCGTGTCGACAAGGTCGTTGCTGCAGAGGAACCGGACAACTTGAAATTTGCCAGACTCCACGAGGTCAAGCACGATATCGCAACCACACTGCTGTTCGAGCCGCCGATAAATCAACTCGGCGATCGCTCGCTGCTTGACGGCTACCGCGTGCTCCAGAGCGTTGAGATATCTCCACGTAAACTTCCCTGGCTTCAAAAGGTACTTCACCACTTCAAGGTGCCCGCCAGAGGTGGCTCGACGCAAGGCGTCGCTGTACTCGTGAGTCAAATCCCTGAACTGCGTCGTCAACTCTGCTCCGAATTCGACCACCCGGAGATGTCCATGGGCCGCTCCTTCGTCCAGAATGCGCCAGCGAATGCCAAAGTCGCGCTCTGGGAGGTCCTTGAGCAGATACTTGACAATCGCCAGGTGTCCAGCTCGAGCCGCAGCGACAATTGCGTCCTTGACGATGACTCCCGCCTCGTACTCGCGCCGCCCTGTCCGAGAGCTCCGGAACTCGAGTCGTAGAGTCCGCACGACCTCGAGGTGATCCTCCCGAGCCGCAGCGACGAACGCTTCCTTGAGGACCGTGGACTCGACTTGGTCCATGAGCCTCCACATCCACTCGAACTCGTTGGTCCGGGCAGCCTCCACAAGCGCCTCGCACGGGGTCATCAGCAGGATGTCGATGTACTTGAGCACGTGAGCCAACGTACAGATCTGGGCTGGGAATCTGGCGTGCTTCAGTCGCCTGTGCACGCTTGGCGGCCGCCTTCTCCGTCGGTCCTTAGAGACGAGACTGGCGCGGCTCATGCCCATGATCCGCAGTCTCGAGAGCCAAAACGTGTCGCCTTTCCGGCTGATGGAGAGCTCCAAAGTCAGTTGATGCAGGTCGCGTGGATCAGCGCTGGAGCTCTGCGTTGCGTTCCTGGAGAAGAATGTGCACTGCTGCCTTTCTGGATCCGAAGAGCTCCTCTCGCCTGGAGCCCAAGCTGCTGTCGCTGGGGGATGCTGTCCCTTGCTGCCTTTCCACACCGAGTAGCTACTAGCAGGCCAAGGGACCACCAAAGAGAAGACGGAGCACGAAGACGAGTGCCTTGTTCTCTAGATTATAGCCTATTGTCCTCGCCCCTCCCTCTGACTCGCGCTAGAAGCCCTTCCAGCCGTTCTTCGTCGCCACCGCAAAGCGAGAATGCCAGTCACGGCAGCCGTATTCGTCCACGCACGGGTTGCCGTAAATGCAGGAGCACGACTCGAAGCCGCGGCCGTCGTCCTTGTCGGCCTTCTTCTGCTTCTGGAGCTCTCCATCCCAACGCGCCTTCGTGGCCTCCTGGTCACGGCGCAGCTGATCCGCCTCCTGTTCTACGACGACGTAGTACGTCTCGTCCTTCACTAGATCGTGGTAGGTGCCTCGCGGGTCTTCAGGCACGAGGCTGTCGAATATACCGGCTCCTTCGCGCTGGAATCGCTCAGGGTTTGGATGCTTCGAGAGACGAACCAGGCAGTTGGGCATCACGAACGACAAGCAGTAGACCTCGTCGATATTCGCTTGTGTTGTGGACCCGTCCTCGATCGGGAACAGCTCGTCGTAGCTCTCGTAGATCAGCTTCACCATGCCAGTTCCATTGAGCTTCCGCAAACGCTGGGCTTCCTCCGCTGCGGCGGCAGCTTCTGCAGCAGCAATGGCATCGGACGAAAGATCGACGTGTTCTGAGGGAGGTCCTTCCGTTGATACCAATGCCCCCTCGAGCTCTGACTGTGGGGTTTCAGCTACCAGCGCTGTGTTGCTGCCATCAGTCGCTAGAACGGCGCTAGCATCAGGCCCTGAGCATTCTTCGGGGGTTTGGATTGCTGCAGTTTGAGGGGTAGTCGACTGGGCTGGCTGGGCCTTTACGGGTGCCGTTAACTTTGTCGGCGTGTTGCGGGCAGTTGGCTTCGAAGGAGACTTCGGCGGGGCTGCCTTTGCTGATTTTGCCCCGTTGGGAGTTGATACTGGCTTACTGGGCATCGGCACATCTTTGACCTGCACTCAATGCAAAGATTACGGAAGTTAGACAGATTGAACAGGTAATGCCACAACTGGTATGCCAAATACCTTCTTGTTCGGCGAAGGGGGCGACAACACCGGCAATTTGACTTCTTCCTTTTCACATTTAGCCTGCACCATGCTAAATCAGTTAGAAGAGATCAAACCGAAGGCGATCGCACCAACGCACGAGGGACCTGCAGCGCGTACCTTCTTCTGCGTGTCAACATTCACCTTCGCCACCTTGCCATTCCGCTGAGCCATAGCGTCACCGAGTAAATGCGCCTCTAAAACGAGAGACGAGCGACAAGAATAAAACTGGCTCAGGCGTTTCAAGTGCAAAGCATGTTACGATTTCGATGGACAAAACAATCGCGGCGGCCCATTCACCAGTTGGCGCCTACAGCACTTCGTGTCCACTCCCCACAGGTTTTGAATGGCTTAGTGCAGCTGGGCCAGCTCTTCAATCCGCAACGTCAAATCCTCCACCGTAAACTGGTCCGTGCCGTCCAGCATTCCGTCGCTGTTGAGCTTGTCGACCACCTTCGTCATCTGCGCCTTCGGCAAGTCCAGGAAACTTTCGACGAGGTCGCCGTCGATAAAGTTTCGCGCCTCTGACACCGATCGCCGGTTTTCGAACATGCGCCAATCCTTGTGAGAGAAACCTCCGACGCCCTTCACGACCTGTGTAAGCGCCTGCTGGACCCGAAGCAAGAACGAGTACTGGTCTTTGGTGAGGGGCAAAATGACTCCAATCATGCCGCTAACCGTTCCGAAGAGCATCGACTGGTTTTGAGCGGCCGGAACAATTGGGGCTTGTTCTACGACGTCAACCATGTCCGTGGGGCCAGCAGCGGCGGGAGTCTGGGTGGCCGGGGCATTGTTCTGCATGACCAGGGATCCATATCGGAAGCGGTTCACAAACTCGCCCAGGTGGAACTCTCCCACGGTCTCCAGTCGACCACGTTCTTCGTCCGATGCCGCGCCACTATTGCGTTGCACAGTAAATAAGTTGAAATCCGTCTCGCTGCCGATGTACGTGTCGTCGTCCACGATACCCAACGCAGACATCCAGTTGGAGTTGAGATCCTTCGCAATCTCTTCGATCGTTCCGTCAAGCTGCTTGTAGCTCAGCAAAGAAACCGATTTCATCAAATCTCCCACCACGATAAAGTCGCCGCGGGACTCCATATAGAGCACCAAAGTGTGACCGTAGTGGCCGCATTCAGAGACCAGTTCCTTCTCGTTGTCCGTGTTCTCACTCCATTTATACAGTTGCGCCTTGCTGTTGACTCCAGCCAGCACCTTTCCATTGAAGGCGTTCAAACAATACACTGCACCCTTCACTTCCTTTTCAGTGACCAGCTGCAGCTTCCGCTCACCGTGGATACCGGTGACAGCAAATACTAGAATACGGCCTTGGTGCGGCTCGGCCTCATCCTCGTGAATATACGCCGTTCCGACCACGAAGTACGACCCACTCGACGAATCGCCAGAGAAGGGGCATACGACCACTGAGCTGGGCGTCTCAAACGGATCCAGGCGGTACGAGTGCAGCACCTCGAACGTTTGGTCGTCGAACAACCGCACGAAACCCTGATCCACTTCTTCACCTGTGTCATCCACCGTGAAACTGACAGTCAGCACTCCAAGTGTGTGAGATTCTGGATCGTGAGCAATCCGACGCGCCCACTCGTTCAAGTGGAACGTCTGAATGTGCAGCTTCTGAATGTCATCCACTGTGCCGATTGTCAACTCTTCCTCAGAAGACAGCGCAAGACACTCCGGGAAAGACTCGGAGTCGAACGGACACATGACGTTCACCTCCTTGGAGTTAATGTTAGAGTACAGCAGCTTGTTGTTGCTGGAGTAAATGACTGTCGGGCGATCACAGGCGGCGAAGACGTGAGTCATGTTCTTGGAGCGGAAAGTTGAGAGGGACAGAGGCTGCGATCCCAGCGACACTCGCTTGCGCGTTCCAAGCGTCCCTTGCGCGACATTCAACTCGTAGTTCATCAGACTACCGTCACCAAGTCCGACCAACAGATAGTCCTTGCCCTCGAATGTGTTGCACAGCACCGATCGCGGCAGCAGGTCAGTTCCGAGCGATTCAGTAGTCAACTTCTCGAGCGTTGGCAGTTTCAGGACAGACACTGAAAAGTTGGTCCACAGGCCAACGACACAAATTGAGCTGTTGAGCGCCGCCATATCCCAGTGAGTCGACGAACCAGTCATCGCAACATCGCCATCAGTCGCTTGGCTACGAGCAAGCGGCGTGATGTCAACGCATGCAATCTCGTGCTCCATCTTGACCTTAGTTTTCTCCGTAACCTGTCCATTCTCGACCTCCAGGTACACGAGCACGCCACCTGATGTCGCGACTGCAACCTGCGTCGGGTTTGCAGCAGCCACCGTGATTCGCGATCCCAACGGCGGCGACCACGTAGAGCTCAACGACAACGATGTACAGCTGATAAGGCGCACTTCAGACTCTGTCACTTGCAGCCACACGTCGCCATACATGTTCCGACACAGCAGGGTCTTCACGTTGGTAAACGCCGGGATTTCTTTCTCCTCCATCTCGTCCTCGTCGCCAATCGCTAGAATTCGAATCTCACTCACGTAGCTCTGCAGCAAATACTTGTCGTGCTCCGCCGCAAAAGTCTCACGAAGCGCCCACATGCCCTTGATACCGGGCAGCTCCGCACTGGCCTGTTCATTAATCCCAATTCCGTTGCGAATGACACGCAGCGTTCCGTCCTTGTCAGCGCCACTGCAGGTTACAATCTGCCCCTGTCCCTGCCGATCGAGATCCATCACGCAGAAGTCGATAATCGGGCCCACGTTCACATAAGTGTCCAGCACTTCAATGTACGATCCGTTCTCGTCCCGGTCCGCGTTCAGCTTGATCAACTGCGAGTCACCAAAGGTGCTGCCGATGAACACCACGCCGTTGTCCAGATACGACAGACAAGACGCAATGTTCGTCTCGCCGAGCACCTCCAGGTGCACCCCCGTCACCTCCTTCCCCGTGTGTTGCAGCGCCACGACCGACAGCGTTCCGTACTGGTCCGCCAGCAGGAACCTCGATCCGTCCTTGTCCACGGCGCCGTACACCTGAATGACCGTGCTCTGCATGGGGATGGCGTGGAACGTGCTCCCGTTGTGATACACAATGGTCTGGTTGGAGACGATGAGCACGCCCCCCACGGGCGCGGGGACGGGGATCAGCAAGCTCGCCCCGGACTCGACGTTGCTCTGGCTCCACGGACCCTCGGCGAAGTCCTTCTCCTTGAGCAGGATGTGGTACGTCTTGATGTGCCTCGCGGCCTTGTAGTCCTCGTACAGCACGCAGATGGTGGGCTTGGTGTAGCCGTGCAGGAACTTGATGTCGATGACGCGCAGCTCGTCCAGCCGGATGTTGAACGTGTCCTTGAGGATGCCCTTGCCGCTGTCGATGGGGATGACCTTGAAGTAGCCCTCGTAGAGGTTCATGCCGATGAGCCGCCCCTCCGGGTCGATGTTGCCGCTGGTCACGATCTCGCTACTGCGGCCGATGGAGTCGCGGATGCTGCCGTGCGCCTTGGTCACGAACTGCTGCGCCGCGGCGTCGTAGGCCAGCACGCAGAACTGGAAGCGCTGCGTGACGATGAAGAGCCAGTCCTGCGGCTCGTTAAGGGCGCGGAAGACCTCGAAGATGGCGATGCGCCCGTACAGGTTGACGTCGTGCTGCGGCGAGAGCCCCTCGGGCGTCAGCAGGTGCACCTCGAAGCGCGTGCTCTTGGCCAGCAGCAGGTTCGTGTCGTTCGGGCCCGTGAACGCGGCGGTCAGCGAGTGCGTCACGCTCGTGGGCTTCTGCGCCGTGGCCACGTAGTTGTACGCCATGTCGGCTCGGTCTTCTTGGGTTTGGCGCGAGTTCTCGGGCTACAGCGCGAGCTGCGCGGTGGGACTTGGATAGGGAGACAGAGCACGCGCAGAGCGACGAAGTCGGCAAGCAGCGAGCGCGTGACGAGCTGCGGAGCGGGGGATACGAGGCGCGGAAGCGGCAGCCGACGGACACCTTTCGCCTTCCTTTCCTTCCGCGTCAAGAAATCTTCTGTGTGTCGTTAGTGTGGTGCATGCACGGGCCTGCGATTCAAATTTGAATTGAGTGGACAGCGTCAACATCAGCGGAGGTGTGCAGGATCATGTTGCACCGACAGCAAAAATGGTATCATCATGTTTTGCAGTTAGAACTCGATGGAGCCCATCTTGATCTTGTCGCGGTAGGACACGCCGTTGAAGTCCTCGATCAGGTGCTGGAACTCGCTCAGGTGCGTGAGATGATAGTGCGCTGTGTGGTTCGGGATGGCCTTGTCACCGGGCATGTAGTGGCACACGTGCGTTCCAGCCGCCCTGCGAGCAAGACAGACGTGGCAAGAGTGAGTTGTACAGATAGGTAATTTAGCGTAGAATTGAGCAGAGCAAGCAGGGCGTACTTGGCGGCTTTGATGGTGGGTGCGTGTCGCGCGAGCACCAAGACGTCGGCCGGCTTCAAGCCGAACTCGTCACAAATGTGAAGAATCGGCTTCGGGTCGGGGAACTTGTCCTGCTCATCCTTCGGCAGGAACATGTCGAATTGGCCCACCATCTGAATACCCACCACCAAAACACATTTGTTAGCTCGCTCGTTAAGAGTCTGCACAGTCAAAACGAAGCTGCGTCGTGCGTACCTCCTTCAGGAAGAAATTGTACTCTTCCTGCGCATACCCAAGAATGGTTAGTCACACCCATGCGATCAGTACTGCGCACCTCTGCCAATAGATTAACTGCACGTCGAGCCATACAACTCTAACGTACATCTTGCAGCGGGTCACGCGGCGGGATCACGGCCTTGAACAACCCGCGCAGGTCCGAGTAGCTCTGCAAACAGCACACCAGCAAAAATGCATCAGCACCACGCCCAACTATGGTAGCTCTGAGCCAACAATAGCAAAACCGCACCAGCACTTCGTTGGCTCCGTCGTTCACGACCCACGTGGACAGTCCAGCTGACGTGGTAGTCGCCCCCACAACCTCCTCCAATCCGCTCGTCTTGCTCGCGCTCTCCTGCTTCTTCTTCTCCTTCAGCTTGTTGATTTTGTCCAGGTACTTGTCCCTGAGCGAGCTGGCCTGACAGCCGCTCTTGACTCCGAAGCCTTTGCTGCTCCACTGCTCTCGCTCCTGCCGCTCCTCCTCCTTCTTCTGCTTCATCCTCGCCAGCTCCTCGGACGCCGACTGCAGCTGCTTCTCCAGGTAAATCTCGTCCTCGCTCTTGCCCGCCGCCGCCTGCTCCTTCTCGTCCGAGCCCGTGACTCTGTCCAGAACTGCATTGCATTGCCGTCAGCCTCCATCGCATATATCACGCTACTAGTATATTCCCAGGTTTACTGAAGCTCACTCTGGCTCGGCAGACCCTGCAGCGTGTTCTGCAGCCGCTCCTTGACCACCCACGGCTTGCCGGTCGAGTCCTCGTTCAGGTCCTTGAGCAGCCCGCGCACGTCGCTCACCAGCATCGACTTGATGCTCCTGGCGCCGAAGAGCAAGGACCCGAAGCGCTCCTCGCGCTGCTGGCGCGCCTTCTCCGCCGCCAGCTTGCGGCGCGTCTGCTCCGCCTGCGCCGCCGCGGACTTGCCCAGCAGTGTGCTGCACAGCACGTCATACTCGATGACCACGCCCATGAGCTGCTGGGCGGCGGCCTTGGCGAGCTTCATGTCTTGCTTATGGCTACCGTGGTGTCGGAATGGCATCTTCCCCTATAAGAACGGACATGGATGCATGTGGTGTGGTGCACATAATATGTCTTTTAGTGAAAGGATACGTATCTTTCGGCTCGTTGAAGTGAGCAATAACGGGTTGGCTGGATGGATGGGGAACCCCGGCTGGCATGAGGACGGCGTAGACGATGGTCCGTCGTCTCTGGACATGTTGCTGGGCTGGATGAGGACGCGGAACAATGCGGAGCGGTGGATGGATACGGCGGGGAAGATGGACGGATCGCGGCTGGAGCTGGCCCAAGAGAGCCAGGACTTCATGTGCGAGTGCGGCATCGATTATCGGACTCCTGAGGGTATCCGAACCAGGCTGTTGATACTAGAGCGCGAACTTCAAGACGCAGAGGACTGGATGAAGAACAGGGGGCTGCGACACCATGATGTCAGTAAGAAGACGGAGCGAGCAGTACTGCAGATGTGTCCTTACTACGTCGAGATCAAGCCCCTGTTCCGCGCGAAGATACCGTCTTCAAATACACCAATTGAGCACCTTACAAGCCACTACCAGGAAGAAGTCGCAAGCACAGAGGGGACACTGAGGGCCATACCAGTGACGAAGCGGAAGACAAGTCCATAAAACGAAGGAGCGCTGGAGGATGCCTCGATATGTCGAAGCGCATTCGAGTAGAGCCTCAGTCCCGGGAGGTGAAGACAGAGGACACCAAGTGCGTAGCTGTGCTTGAAGCTGAGCCGGACGAACGCTGCGAGTTCTTCGAGCTGGAGCTGCAAGTGAAGAGAGATCACGCGATCTGTGTTAGAGCTAAGGTCCGCAAGGAGTTGCTGGATCTCGGGGTTCCTCTGGATGCCGTTGACCGGCTTTTACCGCTTTAACCGAGTGAGCCATTTAGAAGTGCATGTTGAAGCGATATCTCCCTCTACAAGAACAATGACACGCTTGCCACGAATTTCTTGCACTTGATCTGTTAGGGGGCACGAATGAAGCAGCGGAGCTGGGATGCAGATGGCGTGGACGGCGGGCCGTCGTCAATGGAGGTTCTGCTGGAATGGCTCTCGACGTCAAGGAATGCGGCGCGTTGGCGGAGATCTGCAGGCAAAGCGGACGGGTCACGGGCCGAGATGACCCACGAAATCTACGACATGCTGCGGAGTTACGACATCGACCACCGAACTCCATGCAGCGTTCGCTCTAGGCTTTGGACACTGGAGCGCCAATTGGACGAGGCTGATGAATGGCTCAAGAGCAGGGAATTGCGCAACTACGACGTCAGCAGGAGGACGGAGGACGCGGTGCTGCAGATGTGCCCCTACTACCCTGAGGTCAAGCCCCTGTTGCGACCAGCGCAACCAGCACCAGCTGCACAGCTCGCTAGACCTAGAGCCTACAGCAGCGAAGATGACAATGGTGGGGATGCGGGGTATCACAGTAGTAACAGCAGCAGCACTAGTAGTGACGAGGTGGAGCTGCCCAATGTTGGCTACAAGCGGGAAGCTTCGTATGGTCCTCATGTGCTGCATCCCGAGGGACCAAAACGTGCACGGATAGACGATACGTTGACTAAAGTGAAGGTGGAGGACACCAAGTGCGTGGCAGTACTAGAAGCCGAGCCGGAGGAGTGTCGCGAGTTTTTCAAGCTCGAGCTTCAGGTGAAGCGTGACGAAGCGATCGTGGCGAGGGCCAAGGCGAGGAAGGAGATGATGGACATGGGCGTCCCGCTCGCCGACATCGATAGACTACTTCCCCTGTAATGAATCAACCCCACCTGGCTAAGCATGTAGAAACCATTATCCTAAATACATTTGACAACTTCACAAGTGATGGATGCGGTCAGCATCTTCCTCTAGAAGAACCCTTCAAGATACTTTCAACCTGGAAGGAAGCGCGCTCCGATGACCCACTCAATCGGGTGGAATGCCGACGCTGTGGATGGCAATCCGTCGTCGATCGACGTGCTGCTGGGGTGGCTGGCGCGTCCTGGGAACGCTCAGAGGTGGCTGGAATCGTCCGGCCTCCAGGACGGCTCGCGGTTCGACCTGGTCTCCGAGATGTGCGACTTGCTTCAGAGCTACGGACTCACACACCGCACTCGCCACAGCATCGTCGCCAAGTTTTGGCACTTCGAGCAGCAGCTGAACAAGGTCGAGAGGCTGATTCGAGAGAGGGGGTTGACGCATTTCGATGCCAATGAGGAGACACAACGCGTAGTGCTCAAGATGTGCCCTTACTACCATCAGCTCGCGCCTGCGCTGCGTCCGTCATGGCCACTAACACCCCGACAGTACAGCAGCATTGAGGAAGAAAGGGAGAGCGACGCCCATTCAGAGAGTACCGACGAGGGGAAAGAGGAGGCCTGGGGCAGCTCCAGCGTCGAGCGTGCAGCTTCGATGAATCCGAAGTCAAAGACTAGGAGGACCCACCCCCAGAAAATCGAGTACGCGTATAACTCTGCGGTGTCAGTTAGGTGGGACTCAGATGCAGCTAATGGGAGGCCATCGTCTCTGGATGTGCTGCTGGAGTGGCTGGTGGTTCCTGGGAATGCTGAGCGCTGGTGTGTAGCGTCCGGAAAGCATGATGGATCGCAGTCGATATTGGCCTCTGAAGTCTACGACTTGCTGCTGGTCCATGGCATCACGTACCGCAGTCGCCGTTCTGTCGTCAGGAAGCTTCGCTGGTGGGAGGAACAGTTCGACAAAGCTGAAAGCTTGCTCAGGAAATCTGGGATTCAACAGTTTGATGACTCCGCCGAGGCTGAACGCATGGTGCTAAGAATGTGCCCCGCATACCCACAGATAGCATCTGTGTTCCGTTCAGCACGTCAATCGGTAGCTACCGCGAGTTCACAATCCAGTCGCAGTACGCCCAAGGATGTCAGATATCGGGAAGCCGCGCAGAAGTCTGCCACACCGCGCGCAAAGCGGGCTCGTTCACTGAGCCCTGAACGAGAAGATGCAGTGGATGCCGAAGCGGTAATAGCGCTGAAAGCGGAGCCAGAAGAGCGTCGCGAGTTTTTCAAGCTTGAGCTTCAAGTGAAGCGAGACCAGGCCATCTGTGTCCGAGCGAAGGCGCGAAAGGAGCTCTTCGACATGGGCATGTCCTCTGAAGATGTTGATCGGCTCCTACCGCTATGACTGTCCGTCGAAGAAGTAATTATATATGTAGTTAGTTGTCAGGTATTGATACTTTACATTTCCAGCAGAATTGGTCGATGCGGTGGCGTCGTAACCCTGTGGTCACCGTGGCATCTTCCTCTACAAGAACATTGTTGGAAATCTTGAAGGCCGTAAATGCCGGGGAACGCGAGCTGGGAATCCGATAGCACGGGTGGGCGGCCGTCGTCGATCAACTTGTTACTGCAATGGCTGGTCACCCCTGTGAATGCTGGGCGCTGGTTGCGAGCAAAAGGGAAGCGAGATGGGTCGCGACGCGAGCTCAGCTCTGAGATCCACGATACGTTCGTCGCGTATGGAATCAAACATCGTACCAGAGCAGCAATCGAGATGAAAGTTGGGGAGCTGTTTCGACAAGTGGAAGCCGCCGAAACGTGGCTAGAGGACAGGCAGCTCAGTCGCTATGATGTCAACGACAAGACCAAGCGTGTAGTGCTCCAGATGTGCCCGTATTTCCAAGAGCTTGCGACTTCGTTGCGATCTTCTCGGTTTGAAGAGACGGCGACGCCTTCAACGCTCGGGGGAGAGACGGAGACAAACAGCGAAGCAAGTTATCAGAGCAGTGAGGACGAAAGCAGTACCGTGCGGGGATATTCATATCGTGTGCTCCCAGAAGAGCAGCACAAGAAGCGGCCCATCAAAAAATATACGCGCACGATGTGGGACTTGGATGGTGTGGGTGGGAGGCCATCTTCGCTGGATGTGCTACTGAAATGGATCGCAATTCCTGGGAATGCCGCGCGGTGGCAGGCAGTAGTCCAACACGGTGAATGCTCGCGGCTGGAGCTGGCAGCGGAGATTTGTGAGTTTCTGCGGTTGTACGGTATCACGTATCGCACCCCTCGCGGCGTTGATTCAAAGCTTTACGAGCTTGAAAGGCAATTCGACGAGGCTGAGGGCTGGCTCAAAGAGAGAGGGTTCGTCGACTGTAAGGAGACGAGAGCAACCGAGCGCAAGGTGTTGCAGATCTGCCCCATGTACCCGAAGATTGAGCGGTTACTACGCCATGCTGCGGCTGCACCAAGGAGTCGAACGAACTCTAGCAGAGTTATCGATGTCAGGTTCAGGAAGTCCAAGGTCGCTGAACGACCGGGGACCAAGCGTATGCGTAACGATAACTTCGGAGCGTCCTCTCAACGACCAGCGGAGAGCAAACGTTCCGTGATGTTGAAAGCTGCGCCACGGGAGCGACGGGAGTTTTTCAAGCTCGAGTTGCAGGTCAAACGCGACCACGCAATATGCTTCAGAGCCAAGGTCCGCAAAGAGATGCTGGACATGGGCGTCACACATGAAGATGTGGACCGACTGCTACCGCTGTGACTGTGAAGGTAAATGTGTCAAAGAATTGCTATGCTTAGAGATGGTCAATGCAAACCCACGAATACTTAAATGGCATGTAGGCGAACACGTCCACAGTTGAAGTGGTCTCTGGATCTTCCTTTACAAGAGCAGTTGACTACCACTCAGCAGGTACCTCCAAGCAAGATATCTTCGGCAAGATACCTCGCAGATATCTTTTCGACTGGAATGGCGACCTTGGACTGGGACGAAGATGGCGCAGATGGGAGACTCTCGTCAATGGAAGTGCTGCTGCAATGGCTCTCGATTTCAGGCAACGCCGAGCGATGGCGGTAGGCAGCGGCTGCGCAGGACGGAGCGCGACGTATCCTGATAGACGACATCTACGAGTCGCTGGTGGACCAAGGCATCACGCACCGTACACGTGGCGGCATCGATGCAAAACTTTGGTCTTTAATGCACGGTTTTGACAAGGTCGAGCATTGGCTGCGGAAGAAAGGACTCCGCAATTTCGACGACAACAGCAAGGCCAAGCGCAAGGTGCTGAAGGCCTGTCCCTACTACCCGGAACTGGTGCGGTTGCTGCGGCCGTCCAGAAATGCTTCTACTCCGAAACCTAAAACACACACGAGGGATACGACTTCTACTGAGGATTCAGAGTGCTCGGGTAATGATGAGCCAGAAGTTGTCTCCAAGCGGGTGCATACTCGTGGCAAAAGTGACACCATGAAGCGCTCAAAACGGGTCCAAGGCAATGCTGAGCAGGCAAGTTTAAGGGACGCTGAGATAAGTGTCCGTCGTGAGCTTTACAAGATGGAGCTCCAAGCTAAGCGCGATGAGGCCATCTGCGTGAGGGTGACAGCGCGCAAGGATCTGCTGGAGTTAGGCGTCTCAGTGGCCGAGGTGGACCGACTGATGCCGCTGTGGGAGTCCGACGCTCAGATGGAGTAAAGAAGAAAACTAAGATACAGGGACGGTTGCTCGTGAAATTAACGGTGACAGCGAAATATGCGTCGCGCGTTGGAGCAGGCTAAGGAATGGAGATCAAATTGCCAATACTTCTCTGTCCCACCTGAAAATGCAGTAAATTTTTAATCATCGATATCTCGAGAAGTAGTTGTGATGTAAAAGTATGTGCGTATTCGTCGTCATCTTGCGCACTCAAATAAATTGGCACGGTCTCTGTAAGGGCTGTTTTACGCGAGTGACAACGCTGTTTTAATTGGCTTCGATCCAGCGTTCTCGACTATATTTATAACCAATCGGGAATGACTAGCTCCAAATCCTAAGATTAAGAAAATATGTACCCACATTTTATTAAATGGCTACAGAAGCTTCTAGACGTGATTGGCAGGTGTTGACTAGCGATCCTTCCAAACTGCCCACGCTACCAGGGGCTTGAGAGGAAACGCCTCAACAGCGGCCGTAACCGCTACGGAGGCATCTATACCTCGAGCCGCCAGCTCGGCGTGGGAAAGTTCAACGGACACTTTGCTAGGTCGCTGGTTCCGCATGTACGGATGCTGTGTGTAGTCGAAAGCGCGAAACGATTTAGAAGTCGGTAAGCTTAAAGTTATTTGAGATATTTTTAACCAATCAAAATGCATATGTGGACCACATCGAATAAATCGTGTGGCAACCGCAGGGTTCTACTGCATTTTCAGGTGGGCCAGAGAAGTATCAATAATAAAGTAGTACATGCATGAAAGTTCTCGTTTCGACCACAGAAGTTGATGCTACCATTCCTCTAAAAGGACAATTGAAAGGCATCGGCCCCCAATCCCATAGCTCGGTTATCTTGCTGGCCATCCACCCATTGCGTAAACTCGATTCATGCGACTCCGTCGAGCTGCTAGAGTCCATTTCCCTTGTTGATTCCTGATACCCACCCAGAGCTGTACATAAATCATAAAACCAACCCGAACTTCTATCACTTGCATGAGCGCAAGAAACGGAAACCCATTTCTATTATTACTGTACAGACAAAAAGCAAACAAGCGCCAATCCTTTTACAAAAAATATGGCACCGATAGTAAAACAGATTCCAGTGTCGACTATACAAAAAACATAGAGCAATGGTTATGGGATTGGCATAGAAGCATGCTCAAACAGATTCAGTGATACACGTAAAATTCAATATTTGCGTTGTCTTATCCGCACGAAATAGCGAATAAGACAATTGAATTTTACGACCCGAACGCGCAAAAAAGGAGGAAAAAACCTTGCCAATAGCTAGGCAAGAAGGATTAATGATAAGCCAAACTGATTCAATGTGGCATCTGTGCAGCACTTTACTTCTACTATGTACTGCTACAGTAGTATTTCACCAGTCCTCGCCAATATGAGGGTTTCAATCGTTGCACATCCATTAGGGGGTTTCAGTTAATAATTTCTTCAAGGAATGAGTCGGCAGAAAACTGTAGAAATCCAAGGAATGATTTTCATGGGGGGTTTCAGTTAAAATTAGCAACACGAATCTTTCAGCACCGCTCAACTTCTGCAGAATCCCCCTCTTATACTGAATATTTGGAGGAAAATGTCTCCTTCTGACTTCAAGAAGCTCAAGCGCGGCGTGCCGACCACCATCTTCCAGCTAGCGATGGTCCGGCAGCTACAGGAGGCGAGTCGCGCGGGACACGACGAAGAAGACGCCTCAGAAGACGATGTCCTGCCAGATCTCGTGAAACTGTGCCACGCGTTGGACTCCGTGCGCTACTCAATGTCGCGCCCCATTTGCTCGTGTGTCGAGGGTCCGCAGGTTCGTTCTTCATCATGTAGTTGTGAACATACTCCACCATGCTAGCAAAACCAGACAGCTTCGTCACCCCAGCTCCATGGGCCATGCCCTTTCCAGCTGTTGACTCGCCAAGATAGATGGCGCGATTGCTTGGCTTCTCCATCTAGCGGATCATCCCATCGAGTTGGACGCGCGTCGTGTGCGTGTACTTGCTCGGCGCCCGTATCTCCGTCTCTCCTGAGACGTCTTCGTCCGTCTGCTCCAGCTCGTCAGCCAGCTCCAAATGCTCGGAGAGCTCCTCCGACTCGTGCGGCTGGTCCTCCTCCTCTGACTCCTCCAGCATCTCTGCTACCGCATGACGCACCACTCTGGCGCCTCTGGCTGTGCGGTTGGCCGCTTGGACTTCTGCTGGGTTTGTTTGGGCTTAGATACCTTTGATGGGGCCGATTTCTGCGAGTCATTCGGCTTGCTAGCCTTCTTCCTAGATGCCTTCTTCGGTGGAGCGTTTGCATGCTGGGCCTTCACGCGCGAGGCCTTCTTCTGCTGAGTCTTCTTTCGCTTGCTTTCGCGAGTGCGTGGTTTCCTTTTGCGTACGGAGTTGCTTTCTGTTAGTAATCAATAACCTGACGAAACCGATGTAAATATGTTTAAAAGGGTTTTTCGTATGACCAAGGAATGAGGCTTTCGGAAGGAATGAGCCCGAGGAATGAGCCTCCGGAGGCTTATTCTTGAAGGAATGAGCTCATTCCTTGGGCTCATCGTTTGAAGAAATTATTAACTGAAACCCCCTATTGGTTTCGTCCACTTGCTGTTTCATCGTTACTAACTGTTTAGTCCCAATTGCAACCCAATGGCCAACATGTACTCTGTGTGAATACGGCCTACTGCCTGTTGACTGTTTTGGCTGCACGCTAGGGCACTATCAAATTTTCCTTCCGGGTAACCATCCAAGAATGATCGACCAAGTCGACTACGAAGGCGAAAATAACCCTAGAGGTTGCTTTGTGAGAATCACTGCACCCTTAGGTGGGGCCGAGCTGGAGTATGTCGAAGAACACAAGCCACGAACGGTGGAGGAAGTCAACAAGCTTGTTGGTCCTGTGGTAAGTAAATTCACATTCCTTGGGTGCTGCATTGAGACGAATATTGATATTGTGTCGCGAAGCACACGTAGATGGTGACAACATTTCTTGAGTTTCTGCCGGAATTCATGTCGATCGTGTTCGCCGTCAACATTCCCTCGACTAAAGCGCGAAAGTATGTTGACGCTGCGACCTTCTCCTGCATGGTACGAAATAGCATACATAACATTTTTGCTATCTCCACTAAACGTCACGCTTCTTATGTTAAAAAATGCAAACGTTGCAGATGATCAACCTCACGTCGTATTCGGTTGGACTGGGCCTTGCGTCTGTTTTAGACACACACTGTTCGCAAGCGTACGGGGCCAACGCTTTCGAGAAAATCGGGATATATTTCCAGACCGGAGTTCTTGCTCTCGGGACTCTTCTCGTACCTCTCTTCGTCATTAACTGGCACACTGAGCATGTTTCGCTGTGGTTCGGCCAGGATTAAGAAGTCGCTCGTTTGGCGGGGCAGTTTTCGCGATACTTGCTTCCAGGAATTCCATTTCTTTACGTCTACGAGCTCGTGTGTAAAGTGCTGCAAGCGCAGAACATTTTGTCTCCGCTGGTCGTTTGTGCAGCGCTGGGGAATGGTGTCAATATCGCTGCGAGCTATGGATTGGCTTATCGCACCTCGCTTGGTTTCCGTGGAATTGCTATCGGCTGCAGCCTGGGAAACATGACTCTTGCGCTGCTTCTTGTCCCGTACTTTGCGTGGCAACCTCACCACCTGACTCAATGGTGGACTCCTCCCAACTTTAAGGCTGCTACTCGGTGCATCGGCGCGTTCTTGCGATTTGGTGCCCCCGGGATGCTGATGCTTGCCGTGGAAATGTGGGGAATGGAAGCGCTTTCGGTCCTCTCTGGGCTGCTTCCTGATAGTGTCGTTGCGTGGCTGCCCATTCGGTGCTCGTTAATGTCAACCTACTGGTGTACACAACGTTCGAAGGACTCTCAGTGGCTTCCACTGTTCGAATCGGCAACTGTCTTGGTGCCGGCAAGGCCAGCTCGGCGAAGCTGGCGTGTGTTGCGGCGATCAAAGTAACAATCGCGCTGTCCTCGATACTTGCAGTACTGCTTTATGACTTTAGTGGAACGATCCCGCGCCTGTTCCCCGACGAAGGCGCTAGCGCTGATCTCGCCTCCACGATACTGGCGATTTGGTCTCCACTCACAGTGGTGGACGGCCTCATTTGGGGCGTTTTTCGAGGAGCTGGGAAGCAGAAGTCGGCGGCTGTCACAAACACGTTGGCGTACTACGCCGCTGGCATCCCCGTCGGCGCGTTCTTAGCGTTCCGGTGCGACTTTGGCGTCGAAGGACTTTGGATTGGGACGGGAGTGGGTGATGTCCTCGTGGTGAACACTTTGATCGCTCTAATGATGTGGTGTTGGAGTTGGCAACAGCTCGCAGAAGATGCTAAGGAGCTCACTGAGCTTTAATACGCGCCGAGGGCGGCTTCGTCGATCGAAGGTAAGATTGCCCCAAAACTTTACGAGCTACTCCTGGCGCTCGAAAGCCCGCGACATCCATGAAACCAGGTCATCGGACGATCACTATTATATGGCACACAATGAACATTTGTCCCACATACTGCTTCTTTACATTTTGTGTGCGTTCCTAAATATGTACCGTACATACAGGCTGCGTACATTATGTACGCAGCCTGTAGAGCTTTTTATTGAACCAACCGGTTGATCCAAAAGCTGGAAGGAGAGATGCCACCAACGGAAGCAATGCCACCACCGAAGGAGAAGCCACCGGAGGAGAAAAAGCCATCGGAGGGGAAGCCGCCGAAGGAGAAGAAGCCGAGAAAGCAAAGAGCGAAGAAGCCACCGAAGAAGCGGCGGGCGCGGGGCACATGGAGATTCGACAAGCCGTCGCCCGACGCGCCGTCGGCGCTGGACGTGCTGCTGGCGTGGCTCACGACTCCCGGTAACAGCACGCGCTGGCGGAACGGCCTGCAGTCAAAGTACGACCTGTGCCGGGAGATCCTGCGGGGGCTCAAGGCCAACGGCATTGACAACCCGAAGCGCACGGTGTACCGCGTGTACGACCAGGTGCGCAAGTACGAGGCCGGCTACATCCAGGCCACCGCGGACCTGATGATACTCGAGCAGATGGACGCCTACCTGCGGGGCGAGGCCAGTGAAGAGGTGCAGCGGCTGGTCCGCAAAAGCTCCCTCCTGTACAAAGAGCTCACGCCCTTCTTCGGCGAGGAGGTGATAGGCAGGAAGAACCTGCCGGTGCTGGTGCCCGAAACGCCCGAGATGAAGAGAGCGAGAGAGGTCATGGCTGCTGCTGAGGCAGCGAGATTGGCGGCAGCGGCAGAGATCGAGAAGCTAACGCCGTCTTCTGATGCGGCGCCTACCGGTAGACAGGCCAAGAAGACGCCTTCCAGTGCTGGTGCTGCACCTGCTGAAGCAGTTAAATTGGCTGAGAAGACGGCAGTGCCAGCTGTGGCTGCGAACAAGAGTGCAGTGGGTACGTGGAAAGCGAGTGTGGAGAAGAACCGGCCCATGACTGTGTCCGGAAAGAAGAAGCAGGGTGGGCTGCAAATGGTGCCGGCGGAGAGCAAGGAGCAGGGCGCTGCTACGACGAACGTTGGTGGCGGGGACGCGAAGGAGTCCAATGCACCTTCTGCTGATCAGGTTGTTATTAAGGTTGAGCAGGTCCCTGTTGTGGCGGGCGCCAATGCGCATAGTAGTGTGGGCGTTGAAGCGGACAAAAAGAACGCAGAGAGGGAGGGTGTGGATTTGGAGGCCAAACTGAGCAGTGGAGCAGAGGAGAGCAAGGATGCCGGGGCTAAGCAGCAGAACACTGCCCCTGTGCAGCGTAGCGAAGGATCTGTGGAAAAGAAGAACGAAGGTGGCGCTGATCAAGAGAAGAAGCAGGATGGAAATGAAGCGGGAGGCAAGAATGCTCAAGAAAAGAAAGCCCAAGATGATGACAACGAAAGTGGCGATGAGAGCCCTGAGGAAGAAGTGAACGATGCTGCCAAAGTGAAGCGCGTGGTGAAGCGAAACAAGCTATACGTGTCAAGTGATTCGGAGGAAGATGACGGTGCTGTTGAAAATTGGAGCAAGAGCGATAAGGGCACCAGTGACAGAGTAGAGCAAATGCCACTAGCACAACGCGATGAGGTGGAAGACAAGCAAGAAGAGGAGGACGCGGAGAAAGTGGGAGGAGAACTCACCGAGTATATCAACCCCGACAAGAAACCAGAGGCCGATGATAGTGAAAACGAGCGTGAAAATCCGAAACAAGGGGAGGAAGAGGTCGACGAACAGGAGGAGAACGAGGAGAAAGCGGACAAAACCCCAGAGCAAGACAACGCAGCGGCAAAAGAATCCGGTGCCGACGCTGAGAGCAGCTCGAGTGAAAGCTCGAGCGAAGATGACGAGCTTGAGACCGAAGACGCTCGACCTGCTGCACAGGCCGTTTCCGATGATGAGGGCGAATCCGAGTCCGAGTCAGAATCTCAAGAAGACGACGACGACGACAACGACGAAGACGCCGATATGGACGAGCCCGTCAAGGAGCAGAGCGACCCCGAGGTTGAGACCCCTGCACAACAGCGGCCTGCTCGGAAGCGCGGTAGCCCCGCCCCTTCATCACCATCGGCCAAGCGATCTCGACGAGGCAGCACCGTCACCATAGACCTGGAACGTGAGACCTTTATTGAGCGCGCGAAGCAGGAGCACACTCAACGCCAGGAACTGTTCGAACTGGAGCGCGCCAAGGTCGAGTGCGAGTTGCAGGCGAAGAGAGTGCAGCTCGCGATGCAGAAGTCACTCGCACGGAAAAGGCTTCTTGGCGCTGGCGTTGACCGTGCTGAGGTCGACCGTGTGCTGCCTCTGTAAGCTGGTGTGCAGCATCTAAGTCGAAACAGCGTACCACACGATGTGCACTTGACCTATGGGGAGGGGCTGATGTGGCTGAACGGAGATCATTCAGTGGTGCGGTGCGGTGAGCGTCAAGGGTGGCGAAGGGTCTGTGTGCGTCAGCCATGTGAAGATCGTGGCGGGTTGACTAGGTGCACGGAGGCTCTTGTGTTGGTGTCGCCCGGTGAGGACGATGGGGTAATTCTAGAGAAATACTACAGTAGTAAGCAAAATCATTAACCACAGATCGTTCTGATCTATCGCGAAAGCTGGCGCTGTCACGCGGAGATGAAGAGGCCAACTCCCCACTACAAATTTTATTCATGGGACGCGAGAAAAAGTGGTCCATAAAATGTTTGGCCATGTATTACCACTTTTTGCTTTGCTATTATTATTTGGAGAAGATGGCGAAGAAGAAGCAGCGACTGAAGCAGGAGAAGCTGGCGTGGAGACGTGCCAAGGCGTCGCCCGACGGGCCGTCGGCTGAGGACGTGCTGCTGGCGTGGCTCACGACGCCGGGCGTTATCCAGCGCTGGCGGCGCGGGCAGCTGCAGCTGAGCAAGGAGATCGCGCGGGGGCTGGAGGCCAACGGCTTCGCGGTCCGCTCGGCGACTCAGGTGCTCGAAAAGATCCGCGCCTTGGAATCCCGCTACATCAGCGTCACCGCAGAGCTGCTCCTGGCCAATGAGCTGAGCGCGTTCCTGCGGGGCGAGGCCAGTGAGCTCACCACGAAGCGGTTCGAGCGGACCTTCCCGCACTACCGAGAGCTCACGCCCGTGCTCGGCATGGAGGAGGCGCACAAGAGGAATCTGGTGCCGGTGCCCGAGAGGCCCGAGATCACAAAGGCGAGAGAGATTGTGGCTGCGTCTCTGGCGGCCAGGGAGAAGGCCTCGTCGCGCGCAGACGCGAGCAAGAGCGTCGCCGGCAAGTGGAAGGAGAGTCTGGAGAAGAACCGGTCCGAGGCTGGAGAAAAGTCAGGCGGGCCGAAGGTGGCGCTGAGTGAGAATGCAGAGGGGAAGGAGCAGGGTGCGGCTACGACGAGCGGTGGTGAGGGAGCCGAGAGGGAGTTGAGTGCTGCTGCTGCTGAGGATGCGGAGGCTGAAAAGGATGACGCTGTGGTGGGCGCCAGGAAGGAGAATGATGTGGCAATTGAAGCGGACGAGAAGAACGCTGAAGGGGCGGATGTGGATATGGAGGAGAAACCGAGCAGTGTTGCTGAGGAGGGGAAAGATGGAGGGGACGATCAGAAGAAGGACGATGCGCCTGTGCAAGATCACGATAGAGCTGTGGAAAAGGAGAGCGAAGGTGTTGCTGATGAAGAGAAGCAGGGTGGTGATGGCGAGGATGACAAGGGTGTGCAGGGACAGAAAGCTGAAGGTGATGACAGCGAGAGTGAAGATGAGAGCACTGAGGAGGAAGTGGAGGTTGTTACCAAAGCGACGCGCGTGGCGATGAAAAAGAAGCTGTACGAGTCTAGCGACAGCAGTTCTTCTGATGAAGATGATGATAGTGACGAAGAAAAAAAGAGCGAGAGCGACGATGACGATGGCGATAGAGAAGAGCAGATCCCGCTAGCGCAACGCGACGAGGTGGAAATGGAGGAGGAAGACGAGGAGGACGAGGGAGAAGAGCAAGCTGACCAACAGATAGACGAGAACGAAGAGGCTGATGTTGATGAAGAGCGTCACGAGAAGCCGAAAGAGGGGGGTGACGAGGAAGACGGAAGCGAGGGGGAGGAGGAGGAGGAAACAGAGGGAGCTCCAGTGCAAGACAACGCAGAGGCAAAAGAATCCAGCGTCGACGCAGGGAGCAGCTCGAGCGATAGCTCAAGTGAAGATGAAGAGCTTGAGACCGAAGACGCTCGACCTGCTGCAAAGGCCGTTTCAGATGACGAAGACGAGCCCGAGTCTGAGTCTGAATCTCAAGAAGACGACGACGACAGCGATGAAGACGCCAATATGGAAGAGCCCGCCAAGGAGCAGAGCGATGCCGAGGCTGAGGCATCCGTGCGACAACGGACTGCTCGGAAGCGCAATGGTTCCTCCAATGCATCGTCAACTGCTGCCAAGCGAACTCGACGAAGCAGCGCCGTCACGATAGAGCTGGAACGCGAGACGTTCATCGAGCGCGCGAAGCAGGAGCAAGCTCAGCGTCAGGAGCTGTTCGAACTGGAGCGCGCCAAGGTCGAGTGTGAGTTGCAGGCGAAGCGAGTGCAGCTCGCCATGGAGAAGTCACTCGCACGGAAGACACTTCTCGGAGCCGGCATCGACCCCGCCGAGGTCGACCGTGTGCTGCCTCTGTAAGTTGCTGGTGTGCAGCATAAAAGTCGAAACAGCGTATCAAATGCAGTGTAAGTACTTGACCACCCCGGTGGCATGTCGTGTTGAGAAGCTTTCACTGCGAAGTAAGTAATAAACACTTCATTTATGATACCGGACCAAGTTCAGGTTTCCAAGGTGGCTTCGACCAGAAGGCCAAGCCCGTGCGTAGTAGTCTGCAGCACTACCGCACAACCGAGATAAATTGTCTTCGAAGTTGCATTTTGTCCGTATCACATTTTAGAGGGTTTATCCGTTCTAACTAAGAAACCCTCCCAGAGGTGTTACCTTACCACAAACCCGTTTGCACATATTCCAACTAAGAAACCCTCTCAGAAGTGTTACCTTACGGCACATGCCCAGCATTTTTTTAAGAGAGCCCTTCGATCCGTAAAGCAATGGGGAGGAAGCCTGGCACCAAACAAGTGTCCGTGACGGCGGACAGCGCGCGCCCGGGCGGCCCCTCGACCATGGACGTGCTCGTGGCGTGGATCACCAAGCCGGGCAACGTGAAGCGCTGGCGCTCCGAGCCGCACGCGCCGCTGATCCGCGAGATCGTGGAGAAGATGCACGGCGAGGGGCTGGTGCACCGCAAGGCGCCGTTCGTGCGCTACAAGGTGGACGCCATCGAGAAGCAGTACCTCCTGGCCAAGCAGTGGCTGCTGGAGACGGGCATGCACGACGCCTTCATGCGCGGCAAGGCCACGCCCGAGGTGCGCGCGCACGTGGAGCACACGTGTCCGCTGTTCCGCAAGCTGGACCCGGCCTTCCACGGCGTGCCCTTCAGCAAGAAGAACGCTGAAACCATCGAGCTGGACGACAGCGCCGAGGACGGCGAGAGCGCGGAGGAGAGCAAGCAGGAGATCGAGGTCCCGGACGACAGCGAGGAGGACGAGGATAAAGACGGAGAAGAAGAAGATAGTGAGGATGACGAGGATAAAGACGGAGAAGAAGAAGATAGTGAGGATGACGAGGACGAGGACGAGGGCAGCAGCAGTGACAGTGACAGTGACGGTGCGGAGAGTGAGGAGGTCTATGACGGAGAGGAAGGAGAAGAGGAAGACGAAGATGAGGCTGCTACTAAGAAGGGCAAGAAGAAGGCCCCTGCTGCCGAGGCGGCGAGCCAGAAGGCCTCGACGCCTTCGAGGTTCAAAGAGCTCTTGATGGCGAGGACGGCAGAGGTGGAGAATGCCCCTGAGCCGAAGAAGACGAAGAAGAAGGCTACGCTTAAAGAGAAGGTGCTAGCTACGACGCCGGAGAAACGGAAGGCTGTGGTGAAGGAGAAGAAGAAGGCTCCAACGTCGGTTGAGAAGCAGAAGAAGAAGGCGGCTGTTTCCAAGGAGCGGGTGTTGCTGAAGGTCGACGAGAAGAAGACGAAGAAAAAGGCCGTTGCTTCCAAGTCGCTGAAGGTTACCGCGAAGGAGAAGTCTCCGGTTGAGAGGCAGAAGAAGGCCGGCACTGCTGAAACCCGCGCGTCAGCAGCAGCAGCGGCAGCGGCAGCGGCAGCAAAGGTTGCTGAGCAGAAGAAGGCGGACACTGCTGAAAACCGAGCGTCGACAACGGCAACCAAGGTTGCTGAGAAGAAGAAGACCTCAAAGCCAGCTGAGCCGCAGGAGGAGAAGAAAACCTCGAAGGCGAAAGAGCCCCCTGTATTGTCGTCGGCTGTGGAGGCAGCTTTGGAACAAGTTGCTCCTGCGAAATCCAAGGCTGACGCGGTGGAGAGCACCCCGGAGCCGGTCAAGAAGAGAAGAGGACGACCCCCAAAATCTGCGACTGTTGCGTCTCCTGGGACGAATGGCACAAAGGAAACTGCGCCGAAGGCGAATGGCAAGAAGCCGCTGAAGGCAAGCGGCACGAAGCGAAAGGCTTCTGAGGAGGAGACAGTTGCCGTCAAGACCACGCGTACACAGCAGAAAGAATCAGAGACCGCAGCTAAGCGCCCGCGTACTCAACAGCAAGCTGGAGAGAGCGCTGCGAAGCGTGCACGGACACAGCAAGAGGATGAGGCGGAGAGCAAGACGATGGTGGAGATCGAGCGCGAGGCACTTCTAAAACGCGTCGAGGATGAGCAGAAGCAGCGCCATGATGTGTATGAGCTTGAGCGCTCCAAACTACAGTGCGAGCTGGCAGCTAAACAAGTCCAGCTTCTGTTCGAGAAGGCAACTGCTCGCAAGAAGCTTGATCAGCTTGGAGTTCCTCTCGAAGAGATCGATCGCCTTTTGCCACTGTGAAGCGGAGACTACGAGGGAATTATTCAAGCAGATATTGAAGCCGAGATGATTGTCTATTCGTTGTAGGGGAGCGATAATTGTTTTGGGCGAGGTACCTGGTTGTGACGCATTGAAGCGCCCTAAATGGTACCGCGTATAATATCTGTTCGAGTCCTCTAGATAATTGTACTACAGCAGTGCAGCAGCCTTGGCGTTGTTTTCCGCTGACACGCGTCGGTGAGTACGACCACCTCGTGAAGTGACCTATGGCTGAGCTCATGGCGGAGCCCCACAGCGCGCCCAAACTTGTGAACGCATTGCCTGGACACTGCTTCTGATCCGGCAGATGCGCCTTGATATTAATTTTTGTATCAAGCACAGAATATATCGCTAGCGAGTGCGCACACTGCTTTGTTTTGTTCCACTACTAATACTGTTCTACAAAAGTAGAAGTAGTATCTTACGTAAAAAACTCTTTGTAGAATAAAACAAGCATAGCATAGCGAGAAACCTTCAGGCACATCACGGAAATGTCCACTTTTGGGAAGTTGATGCTGGTAGTATTCATCAACCTTCTACTACATGTACTACATGTACGCAGAAATACAGGCATACATAATAGCGTCGACCGGGTAATGCATGGGCTGCTGCGTTCTCTGTTATCGTAGACGTGTATTACCCTAAAGAGCTCATTCATAGAAACGAACTTAGAGTGCTCGCTACCTCCACTACTAGACTACACTTGCACCTGTTGCTTGTTCTAGACTGGAAACCCGCAGGTTTGTCCGCTTGGTTGCTTGGTGGCTTGCCATGAAGAGAAACCTAGTGGTTACTCGTATGTGATCCGCGGAGATCCGTGCTGCTTGTTTTGCGAGATGTACTTGTTCAGCTTCTATTGGTAGGTATTGTAGTTCGCATGCGTTTGCAGGTACATTGCGTTCGACTGAGCTTTATTCCAATCGATGCCCAGCCTACCAGCCAACTTTTTGAGTTTCTCCATCTGAGCCGAAGAGAGACCCCTTTCTTCGTTGTCGAGCGAGTCTTCACTGTCGAGGGAGTCATCATCACCATCATCCTCTTCGGCGAACTTGCCGTGGGTCCTCAGAAGCCGCTGGCTTGGGCCACCATCCGAAGTCACCTTGGAGACCTGGCTCCATCGGAGTCCGTGGCCGTCGAGAAAGCCTCGCTAGTGAGCAGGAAGGAGGCTGCGAGCGCCACCAAGACGTGAGAAAGACGCATGCTGATGCTTGCTGGGGGCTGGGACTTGAGGCCTGGGAGATAAGTTTCAAAGTGGGTGGCGTGAAGCCGCTCAGTGCTTAATCATTACTCCCCATCGGTAGGATAAGTAGGATGGCGCGCCTACCGGTAGCCTCAACTTTAAAACTAAATGTTGCTCGAGTGAACGCTGTTCAAAGGTCCTACCGACATTCATACGAAAGAGGAGATAACAGCGAGTTTGGCATTTATTTCCGCATCGAATTTGACCAAGGTAAGATGGTAAAACCCCAAGTAGAAAATTGGGCTTTCGACAAATCTAGGCACACCACGATTTGAGAAATTTTGCCTTTTAGGTCCTGAAAACGCGTCATTAATGCCCGGGATGGCAACGAATAGCGAGTAATAAGGCAGGGGTGCACTTTAGTAGCCGCGAATAGCCCAATTGTCGAGAAACCTCTTCATTTGGCTTGAAATTACAGCTTTTGGTAGGCTTACTTTGCTCGCCAGTAACTAATGTGCACAGAAGAATCTAGCCAGCATGTTTAGCTAGTTAGAGAGAGGAAATGACGTACAAGAAGGATACGAAATATTTCAAGCAGAACAATGATGCCGGTGGCAATACCTCAAAGTATTTGTCTGGGCTACCCAGTTTTACTTTTTGAACCGTCTATTCATGCTCCTGTCAGCCTCCGCAGGAGCTCGGAATACGAATCGAGCGTACATCTCATGCATTATAACTGCCTGACTACACTTCTAAACCTCTAGCGCTTTAGTTTTGCTGAGTTCGCCGCTACTCGCAGTTAGAAGCTATCATCCAAGTCTACACGGCGCAAGTGCCTTAGATCGATACACCCCCACGTCTCCGCTGCACTTTGTACTGTCTATGATGGACATATGTCGCACTATACAAACTTTCATATTAAAACTAATCTTTACGCGCCTACTAGTAGGATTGTACCCATGCTACTGGTATGCTTTCGACCTGGGGAGAAGAGATTAAGGACGGTCGATGGAGGACAGTTGACGCGTCCCATTCCATGCTGCTCTTCATGGGGTCAGCTCAGCAGTGATGTTGCCTGTACTTCGGGCTGCGAGACGCATTCTTGGCGAACATCCGGGATGACATTTCAGAAATCCTGTACTTTCAAAGCTGGAAGTTTTACCAAGTCAGATCTCATGTTAGATCTTGTCGATTCAACGCCGTTGGTGCACTGCATATGGAGAAGCGACGAACAGGAAAAGGGTTGTCCGGCTCCAACCAAGCCGGACACTAGAGAGGTTTCGCAAGTTAAACTTGTGGAAGTTAGAGCTGTTCGAAAGATTTGACAGAGAGCGGCCATAGATTTATTCGACCAAGTTCTAGAACGAGCTTTCGCAACTTAGACTTGTACGTCTGTAGCATTTTCAAAGATGAACTCTACTTACGTACAAGACCTTCTCGTGCTCGGCATGCTCTCAGAGGAAGAAGCGGTTTGTCTCCTCTCTGCTCGAACGTCGTCCACAAGCAACGTCCCCCGGTCCATTTCCTACGGCGAACGCTTTAACATCAACGCGCTCAACGACTACGAAACACGGTTCTACTTTCGCTTCTGGAAGCGAGACCTATTTCGACTCTTTGAAGCGCTCCGCCTAGACAGCAGCTATAAACTCCCAAATCGAGCTGTCTTCTCCGGTTTCGAGGGCCTCTGCATTCTCTTGCGCCGCATGGCATACCCGGGACGTTATGGAGACTTAAGCAGCTTTTTCGGGCGGTCCACCCCTATTGTCTGCATGATATTTAACTTCATGCTGGGGTTGGTGTACGACACGTACAAATGCCTACTCACCATTGAATGTGGGCTACTTACATCGTCGCGATTGGAGGAGTACGCTGCTGCTGTGGCACAACGTGGAGCACCGGAGCTGAGATGCATTGGTTTTATCGATGGCACTGTGCGTGCTATTGCACGCCCAACGCGCAACCAAAAACAAGTTTACAACGGACACAAGAGGAAACACGCGCTAAAATACCTAGGAGTAATGGCGCCGGACGAACTATTCATCGACTTTTACGTCCTACGGTTGGACGTCGTCACGACTCTTAGCTTTTAAGGCAGAGTGGACTGCTGGAGCGCCTTCCGTGTGTCTTACATCACGACGGGGAACTTCCGTATTGCATCTATGGGGATTCTGCCTACCCACTCAAACCAACGCTGCACGTCGGTTTCAAGGGCTCCAATCTGAGTGATACGCAAAAGGCATTCAATGCGGCTATGAGTGAAGTTCGCGTGGCAGTGGAGTGGGGGTTCGGAGGGATCATTCGCTTATGGCCGTTTCTTGATCTGAGACTGAGTCAAAGACTATATCTATCACCTGTGGGGAAACACTACTTGGTCGGTGTACTCCTGACAAACTTCCGCAACTGTTCCAACCCCAACCAGATCAGCAAATTCTTTTCCATTAAGCCGCCAAGCCTCGAGGAGTATCTTAGTCTAACTACTACGAACTAGTCTTGCTGACGACAGTCTTTAACATTTCAATAAACGCAAGTCGCTCGTCTCGCTCAAGTTCCATTCGCAGCTCTTGCAGTTCCAGGCGTCGCTCCTCCAACACAAGCCGCTTCTCCTCGTTGGCGACCTTCCTCCCTTCCAGTGCTTGAGCGACTTGGTCGCGGCGTTCGAGATAAGCAACCAGTTGCTGCTGCTGCGATCCACCTTTTCCTCCTCCTCGGCTCATCCCTTCTAAGGCTGCGTCGCGCATAGCGCTAGCTTGCTCGTCCTCCTGCTGCTGCTGGTCCTTCTGCTGCTTCTTGTCGTTCTTCAGCAGCGCCTCTATCTCGCGCATCTCCAGCAGCTCCGCCAGACATTCGTCCTTCGGCGTGTACTCTTCACACGGCCCGCTTCGTTTCTCACTCGCCTTCTGCTTTGCCTCATACGCATCTACGAGCTGGTTGCAGCGCTCGCGGCAACGGCGACCGTCGACGTCCACTTCCAAAGCTGCAGCTACATCAGCCCAAGCCTGGGTCTTCTTCCCGTAGTCTTCCCCATACGGATTTATCGCTTGAGCTTCCTGGATCAGTTGGAAGTCACGCTCATCCGTAAAGCGGACCATCGTTTTACGACGCTTCGTCGGTGGGTCCTCCTCCACGGGGTTGTTGTGCGTTTGGCTTGGCTTCTCCATAGTAAAGATTGCTGGGAGATTGTAAAATGCTTACCCGTATCTCCTCAAGTACCAACGTGTACAGGGCGTTCTAGACGTTCTAGACGAGTCGAGAACAACTTGTAGACACACGTCTCTATAGAGGGGTAGGGAATGTATTGTCGCTAACTCCCACAAGTTGCTTTGCGAAACCTCTCTACTAGACGTGCCAGGCAATTGCGTATCTACAGCGAAGTATGTGACTTTGCCGCCAATAAACCCGCCGATTTACAATATATGGATACACTGAAAAAATACTCTTAAATTTGATTTTGTCCCCTAAAATTGATTTTTCCTCGTAACATATTACTGACTGTGCCACAACCAAAAACAGCTAGGAATTCGAAAATGGTCTGAAACTGAACAAGAGATGGTAAAACATTGTATTCATGATCGAACTAATCAATGTGCGATACAACTACTTTTGGGCTTACAGCTGTAACTGCGTAAGTGGAGTAGGTGGTGGTAAGAGGTGCCATGACGATCTGTGCAATCAAGGCTTCCCGGCAGCTCTTATCCATCCAATCCGCCTAGTCTTCTGAGCACCATCCGTTCATCTGGCGCCGAAGTCACTGACCGTACGGAAAGACGTCGTCATTTTCAGAACGGCATGACAAGCCAACAGCCGTCGGTCACCGACACCTTAGCGCGGCTGTTAGCGCGGGAGGAAGAGCATACCAACTCCCTTGCGCTCTCCCACCATGAATTCAGCGAGTATCTGGACCACCAAGAACAAGAACCGACTGACGAAGACGACGCTCCTGTCATGCTGTCTTTCGTCCACGACCTGGGCCCCAACGCTCTCAAGTCCATGACGAACTTCACCGAAGACGAGTTCTCGCTGCTATGGGAGCAGGTGGAGGAGAAGCTTCTACCAGCCTGAAATCTTGGTCGTGGCAGACGGCACAAGGTCAGCGCTAAGGACGCGTTTTTCATGTCCCTGACAGTCCTCAAGCATCACGACAGCTGGCTCAAACACGCGACGGACTTCCGGATGCTGCCGCCAACGTTCGAGAAGATGGCCAACAAGGTAAGAACACGTCATAGTGCAGACAAGAATGAGCGCATGATATTTGACTCACTGTCTGTGCATGTAGGTATGGTCTTAGGTGGAAGAAGTGCTGATGGAGCGCAACGTTACGAACGTCACGATGACAAGCCAAGAGCGCTGCAACCAGCCGTTCACCAACTATCCCTACGCGCTCTACGCACTGGACGTCAAGTTCCAACCCGCGTATCGACCATCCGGCCGCTTCACTGAGCAGAAACACTACTTCTCAGGAAAACACAAGTTGTATGGCTTCAAGATCGAGTGTGCGGTGGTACCACCAGGCTTGGCGGTGCATGTGTCGAAGCACTACCCTGGATCTGTGTCCGACATAACCATCTGTATGAAGAATCTGGAAGTGCACAAGCGGCTGCTGCACAAGACGACTGCTGAGGCTGAGCGAAACGACTACGGAGAAGGCTCGACGTCGTTTGGCAACATATGGGGTGTTCTGGCCGACAGGGGTTATCAAGGGCTCGAAAAGTCTGTGCGCGCCATCATACCGAAGCGTCGTCCTCGTGGCGGACCTCTGACGTACGACGAGGAGAGTCGTAACCGGCGCGTTTCATCGGATCGTGTTTTGGTGGAGAACTACTTTGGCCGCATGACAACACTCTGGCGCGTGGTGAGCACTACGTTCACGTGGAGTGAGGCAAAGTTCGACAGGATCGTGAACATCGCGTGGCACTTACCAACTTTCACGCCAAGCTGCATCCTCTACGGGCCGATGACCAGGATCGGTACTCGCAAATTTTGGCGCGTTACGTCTCGATGTCTGAGGCTCAGCGCAAAAAGCGCGAGCGCGATCGCGTCGTTGCGGAAGCCAAGCGAGCCAGTGCCCGTTTGTCCGTCGAGTCCACGGCTTCCAACTCAAGCTCAAGCTACCACTCAAGCATGCGCGCGCGCACACGACCCCAGGCCAGCACAACCGGAGCCCGCAACTCTTTCAGTGCGACGACAAGCTCCTCGCCCGGATCAAGCCCATGCTCTGGTCTTAGCGCGATTCTGGGCTCTCAGACGTCGACTGTTATGGGCTCCCAAGAACTCTCGCAGGAGTTTTAAGCTCATGAGCCCACAGTAGTGAAACTTCACTACTAGTTTTCTGCATTCAATACATACATGCATTTTGCTTGCAATCGTTAATATGTGTTCTAATTAGATCTAATCACTCTTAAGGGTTTTAGACACTTAAACAATGTATGCACCATGGATCATCGAACTAGCTTGACATTTGTATACAAAAAGTCATTAGAAGTATGTATGAACAATCGATCATTGAAAAGGCATAAGATTAACACCAAGTATTCGACTTAACTTCAGTAAGCACGTTCCATCACCGAAATTAGTCATTTGGATGCACCTAAAGCTAACTTAGATAAAGTATGCACAGCCAGTCACGGTGCTACTCGAATAAGATTTTTGGGTTGACGAAAACATAAGATTATCTTATAAACCTTTTAAATTTTATAAATTATAATTTTGTAGAGATATTTATTCAATGTAGTCACTGTCTGAGTCGTGCGCACTTTCCGGGGATGATGGCGAGGATGCGGTGATGTCAACGACATCAGGCACCGGATAAGATGCTGGCAGAGGATAAGATGCTACCGGACGAGTAGGAACAGGTGCCTCGTTGACAGAATCCTCGATGTCGGCGCTGAACAGGTTGAGGAGAGCCCGACACATGGGACAAACAGCGTGACTCCCATGGCGCTGGTACACTTCAAGCAGACAAGTTGTACAAAAAAAATGCTGGCACGATGTCCCCGAAATTGGGTCCTCTACATCTTCGCAGCATATAGCACACTCGAGGGTTGCTGCCGGCGGAGTCGCCGGAGGCGATGCAGCGAGGGCAGTATCGCTGATCATAGATTCCACTGTAGCCATTTCGATAGGGACGGTGGTTGACACGCCATCGGCAGTAGTAGCAACAACAGCGGCAGCAGCCTGTACCTGGATAGACGTAGATGCTCCGTGTTTTCGCTGGTGATATCGCTCCCGCGCTTGGGCGTTGATTTGCTCCTTCGCCAACGATGCACGGCGAGGCTTCTGGCAGACGCGGTGCTCGAGGTGTCGGCGAAGGCTGCTGATGCTGGAGAACACCTTCCTGCAGAGATGGCATCTGCGCGCCATTTTTGAAATGAGAGCATTCAAAGAATCATACAAGGCCTTATCTATATTTGTACTTAAGTACCTCAGCGGGCTGAACCATCAAAATAAGCTCTCAGCTTTCTTCTTTTAGCCTTGTTTCGCTGTTGAGCTCGTAATTCGAAGCTGCACTGTTCAAAGGAAAGATTCTAGAAACTGATTATATTCGGAGCGGCATCTTATCATGGAATGCTGTAGTCTTTTTATCTCACAGTTGCGCAGTTAGAAAATATATCGACGGCGTGCAGATATAGCGCTCCTCTCTTCTAATTTCGACTTTTTGCTTGCTATTGGTATACACGCTATAAATTATAACTGAATTGCGCAGTACATAGCCAACTAGTTAAGTCTTCTACTATAGAATATTGGAACGGCGTTACGGCAACATGATTACGACAAGACGACAGCTCTTACGGCACCATAGCAAGGGTTTTTCCACTTAGCAAACACCACACCAAGCAACGTAGAGGTTGTATGGTATGGTGCTTGCTATGTAAAACTGGGTTTGCGGTAATCTATCGGCGATTAATTACGGAAACTGCAAAAGTTACCGAGCGCACTCCAGAATATCACAGTAGACATCTAGAATCAAACGGATGTTGGTGCACACTAAGCGTGAAAGAAGATGGAATCAGGCGACCTTAACAGTGATGCTCTGCCGGCCTCACCGCTACCGCCCACGACCGACGCAGGCACGCGTCTATCGCGAGCTCACGGGGTGAAGATTTGCAAGGGTCTGTTGATGTCTAGGCTCAAGGCAAGGCAAGGAGGAAGCTTTCCGTCTCGCAACGGTGCTTGGGGTGTCTGTGCGTGAAACCGGCTACGTGGTGTCGTACGGCGTAATGCTGCAACAGTGTTTCGAGGCTCTACTCGAGCAAGACTAGGCCAATACTTCGCGCGTGTTGTGAGCACGAAGAAAACATCAAGCCGATAACAAATACAACGGCTTTGAGGTCACAATTGAGCTATATTCAAGTCTTTACGATTGCCATCAACTCGAGGTCGGTTACATCTACGGTCTTGGCTACTTGGTTCGCTATTGTACTCACTTCAGGTTGCATAAGTATCATCCACATAATACGTAGTCGCATGACGGCAACGTCATCGGCTGAAACTGTGGCCTCGGTAAATCGGAAGTTATCCTTCAGCATGCAATACACCTGGGCTATCACCATAACACCGCACGACGTTCCATCGGGCTGTCTAGGCGCATCCAGCCACACACCATTCTCCACAACAGGATAATCCACTCCAATCATTGTCTTCTCGTGCCAGCCCAGCAGAAATGGCGCTACCGTCTCTTCGTAGGTATCTTCGATAGTCGCTCGATATTGCGGATCACACAGCGGCTCGTAGAAGTAGGGTGTGATTGACGGTGGTTCAGCCTGGTACGTGATACTGACAATGATGACACCCCAGTGTATGTTGCTCAGATTAACTGGCAAAACAACAAAATGCATGCTCGAAATGCGGGTCTGGGGCGGGTCAGGACAGCAAAACGTAGCTGCATACGTATCCAACGCGTAGCAATCTCCGAGCGCGTCACAGATACATCTGACAGCGAAATCAATGATCGTATCAGACAGCATCTCCTTGCGAGCAAGTATCCCAGCCAATCTGTCCAGCTTTACAGTGCCTGCGCCGCTTGCCAATCGAAATGTGGAGCTCAGAGAAGCTCCTTCAAGCTGCTCCAGCACTTCGTTTGCCAGGGCCACGTGCTTGGCCCCTGTGGTGTCATCTGTGAGCTCGTCCGAGTCCGTTTCCACGTCGAAAAGCTCAGGATTGACCGTCATTGCGTCCCATTTAGTCGACGGTAGCCAATGCGCATCCTCCTTCCACGCATCAAGCTTGCGGACAACGTTGTAAAACTCGCTCATCCTGTACACTGCGGCGCTGAGCAGTACCAAACATCAACACAAAGCATAACAACATAACAACATAACAAGCAACATTGTGAGCACCGCATAATACAACATACTGAGCAACTTGGTGACTACAACCTGGTGAACTGCGGGGTTCCTCCGGGGAAGTAGGCGATGATCTCCTCGGTAGTGCCCTCCGGATGATTGTGGTCCGCGGTTTGGTTGAAGTACTTGGACTTTGATCGCTTCATCTTCTCCGCTTTGACCACGGCTTCCAACTTGACGACGAGATTCTTTGGAATCACAAAGTTGTAGTCGTAGTCGTCATCGTAGACGTGATCGCGCTTGCTGTGAGCAACGCGCGGGTTCATGAAGTCGTCGTCCATGATGGTTGGGTAGTTTGCCAGGATTCCGCTGACATGGTTGCGGTCAATAGTGTTGTTTGCCCACTCTAAAACACGCGACAGCGACGGCACATTCTTGTCTGGGAGGACAATTGCAGCCAGCTTTTGAAGTTTCGCCCCCTTTACCAGCTTGGTTTGCTTCAGTTTGGTTCGGGTAGTGTGGCGCACCTTAGGTTTCTTGGGAATACGTAGCACCTCCAGGATCCCTCCCTTACTTGCAACTTTTGCTGCCGTTTTAACACGTACGGCAGCTTTGGTAGGATAACACTTTTTCTTCGAGGATAACACCGCTTTGGTTGAGTACAGCTTCGGCGTAGAAGGCGACGTTGCTTTGGGTAGAAGCGGAGGGGCAGTCTTGGACATTGACGCCGACTTAGTTAGCATTGCCCCACTAGTCTTGCTCGATGTTGCCGCCAATGTTGCTTCATTGTTTTCTGCTGTAGCCTCTCGCTTAGAGGCTGCAGCCGTGCTGTCGGACCCCGCTTTATCTTGTTCCAACTCCTGGATGAAGTTCATGCTGTCAATTAAATCAGCCGGCGTGATGTCGGATGCGGTGTCAGACGTGTCTGGATCGTCGGATTCCTCGCTTTCGTCAGGACTGGTAGTAGAATCTGCCTCAACGGTCTCCAACCCGCTTCGAACAATGTCCTTCCAGGACTTCAAGGCTGCGACGAAAGCTGGGGTAGCCAATCCTGCTAGGTGCTCCATCACAGGCTGGAACGCAGCTTTAGCGTACCAATATTTCTCTTCTCATGAGAGAACCACAACGTTGGCACGTTCTCGTCGACGCATCTTGACGTAAATAACACCACGTTGCTTTCGACGGCGGCGCCCGATCTTCTCTGCGGCTTCTACATCATGTTCATGTTGGGGTGGTGGCTGTGTTGCACTTTGTGTTGCTTCTGTTGCACCTTGTGTTGCTTCGGACTCATCCAGGAAGACGTCGTTTTGGGTCAGACCGTCATGCGCCCAGGCATCTCCAGCTTCTTTCATGGACGCTTGAACTGCTTGTAGCGCTCCGATACCATCTCGAAGCTCTTTCTCCAGCTCGGACATTGCGACCATATCCCAGCGCTGCGGGACAGTCGACTCAGGTAGATACTCGAACCGATGAACACGATCAGCGATGAACACCAAATGCTGGTATGGCAGGTGATGACAACAATAGAATAGGCATGTGCACGTCCACTCATAGACGTTGCATACGTAGGTATTCCTCCGAGTACTGAGTTCCCACTCGCCCACAGCGTCCAGCTTCGTGCACTTAGTGTCCGCCAGATACACCATGAAGCGGTCTCATTGAGAGCGCACTTTAGACAACGGGTAGTCGCTAAGACGCGCTGAAACGCGTGTCAAGAAGTCAAGAATTGCGCCTGGGTGTCGCGATGTGGACACGTGCTTCCTCATCGTCGCGAGCACTTGGCGAACAATAGTCCCCTGGTGCGCTAACAGACCGCTAATAGTCGCATCCAGACGAGGTCGTTTGCCGAGAAGCAGCTTCACTTGGTCCCAATTTGATTAAATCCTGTTGGTTGTAGTGTTGCCAGCAGAGAAGTACTTTCCCCGGATATAGTTAGCCCACATCGAGTCGCACTCTTTCCAGTTTGCCGTGAAATATTCCAGAAGGGCTGGGCATTTCTTCTCACAGACCTTCGTAAACGATTCCAGCTCTAAATTGAAACTTCTCTCTGTGTTGCTGATGGTAAACGACATACAGAGCAACCCAATGAGCAACACAGTCAGCAACACAATAACATAGAACAACATTGAGTAAAACATAGCAAGTAACATTGAACATTCAATCCTCTCGTACCAGTAGATGAGCTTTCTTGAATGCATGCTCCATCCGCTCGCGTTGAGACATCGTCAGGTTGTACTTCGGCCGTCTGCAAACCTTCCTCCAGTACGTAAGGGCGTGAAATTGGCACAAAAGAACCTTGGCGTCAGGAAACACTTTCTCCAGTACTCGCCACTCCACGAAATCCTTATCAATCGAGAACGTCTCAATTGAGGCCCATGACGGATTGTGACGCTTGAAGAACTCCAAAATGCGTTCCATGGCCCCGTCCTTCTGGTCGAGCGCGAGAAAGTCAACCACAGGAATGCCTCTTCCAGTTGCTGACGTCACTACAAGACTTCCTGTATGTTCAGCAAATGATCGACAAGCAATAACATCTCATTAGTATGCGAGTTAGTTTATACATAGAAAATAATAGGAGATAATACAAACCAAGATGGTAGCCTAAGTTGTTAGTCCCGTGCGTCCAATCCATGACTAAACTATCGCCCCATTGCTTGAAGCACGCCTTCTGCACTACAGTTTGCATCGCAATGACGCAGGTGATGTCCATCTGATCCTGCACCAGCAGAACGTCATGATCACCGACACGAACAATGTATCAAGCAGCAATCGGGTCCGTTCGAGAGTCGTAGACCCTAGTATTTGTTGCAGTATATTTCTCGTTTGCTGGGGGGTGATGATCATACCTGTAGATATTAATCAATCGAAATACAAGGACGTTAATACCCATTCAAATTAAACAGCTAGAAAAAACAACAGATCAAAAACTCCAGAAGTAGAGCGTTCACCAGGAACACCCACCAAGCTTGTCCGAGAGGTACCGGTTGATCGCCGGCGTACTGGTTTGCACCTCGGCCATGAGACCGAGGTCCTTGCGAGCGGCTGCTGGTAGCGGCAGGGCCGCGCTTGTAGGACTCGTAGATGGTCTTGGTGGTCCTGTGGTTGTGCATGTAGATCTACAAGGCGCATAGTTGTACACGTTAGCATCTAAGCCCTCGAAAAAATATAGATACGAACAATACCTTCGTCTCTGGGTCGGTGCACACCTTCCACTTTGCCACACCGTCCTCAACATACTTGACAGAGCGCACAGTGAAGCTTGCCTCGCAGCCTGTGTACCGCTGGCCACTCTCCCGAAGGCCTTCACCTCGCGAAGATTGTTTAGCGCCGTGGGTGCACCACATCGTCTTGAACTTGTGGGTGAAGTGATCGGGGAGCTTTTGGACCCCGGGTAGACTTAACAGCACAGTTAACAACACAAGAAGCAACATTAATATAAATAGAAGCACCATACTGTAACAGCAACATAACCCGTACCGTCGTGGTTCCTTTTCGATTGCGAGCTCCGAACGCGGTAGAACACCAAGTTCGCGTCTTGATAGGCATCGAGCGCTGCCTCGAACTCGCCCCAATTGGCGAACGACTTCTTGGCAAGAGGTGGCTTCAAATTGTCGACTGTGTTGTGCGCCTTGACTATCTTCTCCCGCTCCTCCAACGTTTTAGTGCGGCGGCGCTCACGATGACGTGGTAGCGGCTGGTCACTTGCTGACGTGACAACAGCCTGCGCCTTTTCCTTCCTCCCACCTTTCGCACGTTTGGGAGGTGAAGCACCAACTCCACTTCGACCCGGGGACGGCTTGCGCTTTCGTGCTGTAGCTTTCTTCCTAGCCGTCGTGGAAGAAGCAGCGGCTGCCGCACGGCGGGCACTCGACGCTTGGACAGCGGCTTCAGCTTCGGCTTCTTCCCGGGCTGCGCGTACAAATTGCTGGATAGATTCTTCGAAACCTATCTCAATATACACCAATAGACATTAGTACAACAATAACGCTCAACATTGCAAACAACACATAGTACAACATACCCGTCACTTGCCGCTTGCTGCCAGCGCCTTTGTCGTTGTCCTCTGCCACCGAGTCCTTGTCCACCACGTCGTTCACCGTCTCTTCATCGTCCTCACTGCCGAACAAGTCATCATCGTCGATGACGGCAGCAGCCACGCCACCGTCCGACTTGGCCTTCACGTGCGTGGCGGTGGTGTCGTCATCGCCATCACCGAACAAGTCATCATCGTCCACTTGTTTCTCGTTCGGACCGACCGCATATTCGACGGCGGACATGGCGCTGTTGCCCGCCATCTCTTCGCCTTTCGCCTCCTCGTCGTCCTCCACGTCCTTCACCTCCTCCTCGTCCTCCACGCTCTCCTCCTCCGTGTCCTTTGCCACCACTTCGTTCGCGTGCTCGTCCTCCTCCTCCTCCGAATTCTTCGCCTCCTCGGCGTCCTCCTCCTCCAAGTTCTTCGCCTCCTCGTCGTCGTCCTCCTCCGAGTTCTCCGTAACCTCCTCGTCGCCACCCACCTCCGAGTTCTCCGTACCCTCCTCGTCGTCGTCCACCTCCGTGTCCTTCGCCTCCTCCTCGTCCTTCTCCACTTCCTCCACGCTGATCTCTTCCTCTTCGTCCGGAATCACCTCCTCCTCGACATAGTCTTCGTCGCCCTCGTCGTCTTTCGTGTAGCCGTGGGCCGCTTGGACGTAGTCAACGGTCTTACGTGGCCGTAAGCTAGTGCGACGCCCTGCAACAAAACTTGTTAGCAAATGATATGGGTAGACGTAAGTTTTTGTGTCGCACCTTGTTCTCCGGCCCCCCTTGCTCTCCGTGTGCGCGGCGCCCTACAGCACAACTTGTTAGCAACTGACATGGATGCGCGTAAGCTTCTGTGTCGCACCTTGTTCTTCAGACGCCTCCCCTTGCGCTCCGTACGTCGCCATCCCCGACGCGATGGTACTGCTGCTGCTTCGCGTTCTCCCCGTTGACGTAAAACAAAATGGGAGGCTACGGCACGTCGTACCTAAACGGAAATAAAGATATCACAAAAATCATATTTTCAGCTATTGACAATTTTCACGTAAGATAAGTTGCGATAAATTACCAGCAACACCTGTGTTGCTCCCAACGAGAAATCGTCGAGTTGTAGCAGAGTTGCCGTAATGACTCCCAGAATGAACGCAGAATATTGTGTGAACTGGGACTGAAACTGACGATAACACGCCGACAGCAGCGGCGCTACAATTCAATTCTTCGAAAGAGCTATATCAGCACGCGCCTTTTATGCTTGGCTAGAAGTTAGCCTAGTGTGGAGCAATGCGTACGCGCTACCCAATAACTCTACATGTATCCTTGGGCAAATTGCTGCCGTTGATTCGTTGGCAATACGTTTGCGTATTATGTGTTTTGGCATGTATCATATCATATAATTCATATTAGTAGGGCATACTAACCGTTTATCGCTTCTTCGCACACATGTTGCGACAACGTATTGCCACCACGACATCGATTTGACCAAGGATACATGTAGAGTACATGTAGCTCTACATGTATCCTTGGAACGCAGCAGCCCATGCATTGCCCGGTCGACGCTATTATGTATGTCTGTATTTCTGCATACATGCAGTAGTAGAAGGTTGAAGAATACTACTAGTATCAACTTCCCAAAAGTGGACATTTCCGTGAGGTGCCTGAATGTTTCTCGCTATGCTATGCTTGTTTTATTCTACAAAGAGTTTTTTGCGTAAGATACTACTTCTACTTTTGTAGAACAGTATTAGTAGTGGAACAAAACAAAGCAGTGTGCGCACTCGCTAGCGATATATTCTGTGCTTGATACAAAAATTAATATCAAGGCGCATCTGCCGGATCAGAAGCAGTGTCCAGGCAATGCGTTCACAAGTTTGGGCGCGCTATGGGGCTCCACCATGAGCTCAGCCATAGGTCCTTCACGAGGTGGTCGTACTCACCGACGCGTGTCAGCGGAAAACAACGCCAAGGCTGCTGCACCCAACGCACTGCTGCAATACATTATGGAGCTGAAGCACAAGTTCACCAGCTCTTTGCGCCCAACCAATACTATTACGAGTACGAAGATCCGGGTAAACTCGACCCGCTCGTGGTACATGCAGTATATGCAGTTCGGCTAATCGCAACTCTAAAAGGTTGGCATCGTCAAGAATATCGCGATGCTACGTACAGTAGTGTCTTGTGTGAACCTGCGTTTTACATTCGTCACGAGGAAATATGAAAAATCCACAGCTTTTTGAGGGATAATCCACAGCTTTGCGTCTCCAGTCCACAACGATTGACGACGGAGCTGGCCGATGGGTACAATAACAGGCTGCCAAGGACAAAGTCGCGTCAGGACCACCAATCTGCGGCGACGGCTGTACCATTCTTGAGGTACATGTATAGCGAGCTACGGTACTTCTTCAGGTACCCAGGTCGGAAGCACATGCAGCTCAGGGTTGTGAAAATCCCCATATTTTTGCAAGGAAGGGTGGATTTTTCGATTCTGTCGGGTGGGTCGGGGTTTTGGATAAATACAACCTAACCCTTCAACTGCAGTCATGCAATGGATTAGGATAATATCAGTTGATATTAGTTGAAATAGGTTATGGTGCCACATTTTAAGATCGGTCTTGCTCTGCGCCTTGGCAGCGGGGTTCACGCTGGACGTGGGGTAGTTGACCTGCTTGGCGGAACCCTGCGCGGCGGCCAGGGACTCGTGCAGCGCCTCCTGGATCTGCTTCTCGTAGTCCACACCGTAGATGTCGCACCAGGCCTTCTCGCCCTGGGAGATCGGCGGCACGCTCGTCTTGGCGGAGCCGCCCGAGGTGGCGGGCGTCTGCTGTAGTACGCGCGCGGGCGTGGACGAGCTGATGCAGCGGGCAGCGGCCTTGGGTAGTCGGAGCGAGTTGCGGGCCAGCATGGCTGTAGTTGCTGTTGTAGTTGCTATGGGCGGCAGGTAGCGGCTTGCGGGGTGGAGAGTGAATTTGGATGTGAGCCAAACTCGAGTTCGCCGCGCCTCCAATGCAAGTGATGAGCGGGTTAGAGACGCAAATAAATGTCTAAACATTCGATTTGAGTCCTATAACAATTGCAGAACATCATTTCACCTTCGGCTTTCCTCAAATATTAGCGTTTTTACATGCATTTGGTGTTAAATTGAGTATAAAAACTAATAAATAGTGCTTAGTCAATGGGTGGATGGGTTTTATGAATATCCCCAAAAAGCCCGACCCCGGATGACTTGGGGTGGGTGGGTGGAATAAATGGTTTATTCCCAATTCGAAAAACCCCATCTCGCAACCCTGATGCAGCAGGTGCTGAGTGTGCAGGTTCGGGCGTCTAGCGAGGGGGGGGTGTTTCAGCACCGGAAAAATCGGCTGTAGCACCTACACTTAAGTGAACACCACCACAGCAATACAAAAAAACACCGACATAGCAAATATAGCATATCCACGGATGGAATAGGAGTTTGTCATCATACTCACGTGTAATAACACCGACATGAAGGGGTTCAAGCACGTATATTCGTTGCCTATGTACACATAGAGAAGTGATCGACTAGCTCATCAGATTCAACGCGATTGCCACCACGCATCAATCCCTCTGCGCTTTAAGCGCTCAGTACGGCAAATCCGCATGACCGACGGGGGTACGGCGGTAATTTGGCCAAGCTCGAGGACCCGACAGTCCCGGGCGATGTGGCCGTAACAAACTGCTGCAACACCTCCCTATCATGAAAACCAACCTCCGCCGTCATGCGCTAGAGTATCTTAATCATCTCACCCGCATTCACGCGTCGCTTGTCGTGCACACTGTGAACACCTTGGCGGGCGTCTCGACATTTGACGAGGATCCGTTTAACGATTGAACGGGGATGTGGTCGAGGACGTCCACGAACTTGTCATGTACGAGCGTCGTCACACAGACTAAAGCGGGATCAAGCCGCACCTGAGCGTCATCGTGTAGACAATCCTGCGCGCATACATGGCCTGGAATAAACAATAGATGAGAATGGTCAGGCGAACATCGAGGTCACACTTGTAAGGTTGGCCGTCGGTAAAACTTTAACCTGAATTTTAGTGAATATCAATGCAACGGTATATTGAGAGACAAGTAGAATGAATAAAAGATGCGAGCAAGCATAATTCCTCTAACGCTTAGCGATAGTTGTTCGTGCCCGCTTATCATTTTGTAAGCGAGACTCAATCGATCGCTTTGTTGGTTTTGGTGCGCGACGAGAGCGACGAACGCCGACCTGCACATTTGTGTTCATAGGGTCCTCCGATGTAGTGCTGCGCCCACCACCACGTGGACGCTCGACTTGGTCTGCCAATTCGACAACAGGACAAATAGTAAGCCCGCTTCGGACGTTTTCGGGCTCACGGTCGTCCTGAGAGAGCTGGACCGAAAGTTGAATTGGGGCTGCTGGAAGAGATAGCTGAGTACTCGTATATGGCAAATCCGACACCGCATCCTGCGTACTGTCGTCATCACGCCCATCGTTCTGTTCTACCTGCTGTACAGCAGGGGCCGGTTCGCGATAAATAGTTTGCAGAAGCTGCCGTTCAGTATCGGGTTCAATTGTACTGCTGCCTGCAGCCTGATCCCGTTCTTGGGTTTGTTGCAGTCCTTGGACGCGAGTAGTGGGGGTATCTTCGGCGGGATCCGCTCTGACACCATCCAGAGCATTCGCGTCAACTACAGCTGCAGCTTCCACGCGCACCCGATCTGCGCGATGATGCGGGTGCACGAACTGCCTGCCATTGTTGCCAACGCCTGGCATATGCACACCTGCATGGATACACGCTGCAGCAAGATGACAACAGGCATCGTTTTTCTCGAAATATGGGCAAGGGCAAGCCTTGCTGCGGACATCAATAACCCAGCCCGCAGCGGGCATGCCTTCGAGTTGCTTGCGCCTTGTATTGGCGGATTTAATTGACTGCTTCACCGACTTCTTCTCTGTGGCGGTTAGAGCCAAAGGCCGATGCAGGACGCGGTACAAATCGGCCTGGACAGTCCCAATCGGATGCAGACGCTCTACGGAAATGCAACCTCGGCGGCACAAAAGCCGATACAGGAGCATGAGCCTTTCTGAGGCTGTAGGAAAATTGCAAAAAAACACATTTCGATGCAGAAAAGCAAGCCGCGCACCATTAAGACTCTTGATCAATTCATCGGGCGTATGCACATTGCTTGGGCACTCCAGTTTCAAACGCCGATGATACTGCTCAAGCGGATTATTGGTCGCAGCATATCCTCGCGGGGTGTAGAACGCCTGCCATTTAGCAAAGCGCTGGGTCTCAATCTACTGCTTTGTCACATGGTCTGTAAGTTTGCGGACGGCAGATCCTGCAGCTAGTCCCCTCCGCCTCCCCAAAACCCGCGCTTTTACAGCTTCAAAATCCGGCCGCAGTGCATAGTGCATGTCATAGAGATCTTCAAACACAGCTGCCGTGTCGTCGTAGGAGACGCGGAACTCCGCTGCGTACTTCCACACGTTGTTAGTGACATGGAACCAACACATTAGAACGGTAGAATGGGACAGCTCGGTCACGGATGCATTGAATTGGGCTTTGTCAGCGTCCATCATCACGTACTGAGGGGCAAAAGGTACATTGCAGATATCCACACAGACCCGTTTAATGTAGCGAAGACACCAACCGATATCCAGCTTCCGCTTCTGGGATGTACAGAAGTAGGCTAGCGGCACAAAGTGGCAACTTTGATCCGAGTAGCCAAATGCAAAGACCGAGTAGCCATGGATGGCCATGCTATGGGTACTATCGAGGTGCAGAATCGTTGTACAGTCACTGCGATTCTGTACCGAGATGTAATCGCGGATTTGCCGAATGCACGTCATCCCAACACGAAACGGGAATGCCTCTGATCCATCTCCTAAGCGCGACACAATGCTTGTGCTTCCCGGTCGCGCATCCGTTTGCGTGTCGCAAAGGATCATCATCTCAAACTCGTCTAATGTCGCTATATCTTGTTGCTCGTAGAGGTGGCCATTGCAAATCTCGATTGTAGGCGCCATTTCGTTCTTAGGATTTTTCCGTCTCCAATTTTTCACAAAGTCCACAACCTGCTGGTCTTCGGGCGGGGGCCCACGCATGTCACCTTCGTGCACCATGCTACAGATAACGGCAAACAAACGCGAAGCCGTCGTTTTCACACCCGAGCTAAGCTGCTCCACTATGAAGGTCTTCATCTCAGGCGTTAACTTGCGCACGATGGGGCTGGAGGACCCGTCGACGTCCGCCAGGTGGGCGTCGCGCTGAAAGACCTCCTGCACATCGGACGATTGGCAAATCTTAAACTTATATCGGCATGGACAGTCCCCCGGGGCATCAATGGCTGAGTCATTCTCGTCATCGTCTTCAGAGCGATGAGGATGGCATCGCCGCGATCGGTACTTTGTAGTCTGAACTCGCATCTTGTGCATGGCAGTAGCGAGAGCGTAGTTCTTGTTGAGTAGATGGTCGATTGTGCAGCTCGTACGGTCACTCCTCTTGATGCTTCGCCTAGGGAGGGTATCATGAAAGGCTTCAAACGCCTCAGAGGCGGTCGCCGATGCCCAGATCTTAGTCCACCTTGGTGATTCAACCTCATCTGCGCTGTCGGAGTCCGAAGAAGGTAGAGACCCCAGAGTGTCGGCTGTGTTTTCCTCACGGCCCTCCATGGCAAGTTGCTAACTGCTAAAAGGTAGTGTCCCGTCGCCTACAAGTGGGTGGCTGCTCTATTTTAGTCGGTGTTTTTCATTATATTTTAGGTGGTGCTTCCTATTTATACAGTGGGTATCCCAACACAATTTCTAGGTGCTGCTACACTTTTTATGGTTACACAAAACACTGAGTGATGGTGTGTAATCTCTCCACTCGCGTCTAGCGCGGGGAGCAGGTGGGTACAGGCAGCATCTATGGGTACGATACTTAGCTGGCTATTTGGGCAACAAAATGCAGTGTCGGCGTCGAGCTAACTCACAATACTGACGTTACTGTGGATGAAAATGCAGACTCCAAGATCCTGCTTGCCGGGCACGGGTGGCTCTGGGGCCGTAGAGGATGGCGCGTGGCCATTTTCCGCAGGTGCGCGTGCAGCGGCATACTTGTGTGGTTATAATGATGCTATGCTTGTAGGCTAACGTGCTATATTGATGGTGCTGTGAACGAATAGGAGGTGAAATGTGGATTGGCGCTCGAGGGGCCAATACACCCATGCCATGGACCCCATGGTACGTGTTGGGCGTGCTGGTGCATCCGGCTTTTTTGACAGCAGCACCTGGGCGCGCTATTCGTGGACGACCGTGAGCAGCAGCGCAAGAACGGCTGCATCGCGTGCAAGATCGGCGACTTCAGACTCAGCGCGGACGAGGTGCTGCGCGGCCGCCTACCCAAGGTGGCGAAGGTGGCGCGCCAGGAGGCGTACGACACGATCGCGGCCGGCAAGTAGTCGCGCGTCATCATGCTCGTGCGCTTGCCGCTCATATCCGACGCGTCGTGCGCGTTCGACACGTTCTGCGAGATGTTCGTGGCCAAGGACATCAACGCGTACCCCTACGGGTCGCAGCGGTTTGCTCCGTTCGCCTGCTTGTTGCAGGACAGGCTGCTCAGCGTGGCGGCGTGCGGACGGATGAACTGGTAGAGCTACAGCTAGATGCACAGTTAGGGTCGTTCATGTACAGTAATTCCTTTAATGCTATTAGAATATTTGCTAGCCATGGTCATGTAATGCGCGTGGACGAATAATGCAACCATATCTAGATTGACAAGTTGTTGCGGGTCATGGCAATACCTACTACTGCTAGTAGATACTACGTAGTATGTGCGTAGGATAAGTTTAATGCGTAAGAGAAAGCTTACATGTTCAACTTGTACTGTATTGTTTGTTATTCTAGTCCAATTATGCGTGGAGTGAAACAACATGTGCACCTAGTATCACTACCAACCATGCGTGCAGATGCACGACAACTGCCCTGAAGGGAGCTGCTCACGCGGAACAACAACAACCTATCGTAGCTTGCTGTTGTTCCGCGTTGAGCACTACGTAGTCAGCGGCGTCACTTGCTGTCCGCAAGTTTAATCCTCTCGCTGGCGGTGGCGTCGCCCTTGCGCTTGAACTTGTCCCGCGACGACAGCGAGTGGCGGCGAAACTCCGAGTGGACCAACGGCGACGCCTCGCTGTCGCTGAGCGCCCCCATGACGCTCCGCGTCGATGCTCTTGTGCTCGGCGAGCACCCCTGTGTGCTGCTTCCAGCTTCATAACCTCTATACAGCAGCGTAGACACGTCAGCATTTAGAGTTAGTACGTCAACCATGCCACAAAAGATGGGCCATAACACAGGTGCTCAGACGCACCTGCAGCCCACGCCAAGAGCGCGCTCCATCGAGAGGGACAGCCTGGAAACAGCCCGAACTGCAGCATCGAGTTTCATTTTAGCTCTACAAAACAGCGTAGAGACGCCAATTTAGAGAGTTAGTAGATCAAACAAGGCGTAAATGCTGCTGCTCACTACACCACAGTCACGTGCGGTGTCGAACGAAGATCGAGTCTACTGCCAACAAGGCGAATCACTGCGTTTGTTCAACGTCTTCTCATTGTACTATTGCGGGCTTCGAGCTTCAGCCCCACCAATATAGCGAATTAGGTAGTAAATTAGAGTTCATTAGATGTGTGATGTCATGGCCTAATAGTTCTGCCTGAGGAACTTGGCTTCTGCTGCTATCCTTGCGCTCAATAACACCAACAGCATCATCGACTTCACATTGCACTTCAATCGCATTTAGTGGTCACGCAGATAGAGAGAGATTCTGATTGGATCAAATATCAAGATAGAGAATGATGATGATTGGCTTAAATAGCTGTGGACTAGACATCCTGCATCTTGTGGATTGACTCTGGGAGCTGTGGATTTGCTCATTGAGCTGTGGATTATCCCCAGGTTCTGTGGATTGTCACCACCTGTTGTGGACTGACCTCGCAAATCTGTGGATTAAGATGATCGCTGTGGATTATCTCGAAGTGGGTCCTCCGACGTTAACTAGCCCTAACCTCAGCTCAATAACGTTGCAATAACAAGAATAACGTCACCCAAAAAATAAATGTCGCGTAAAATACGTGACAACCAAATCCCTCATTCAGGCCGGATTTTCCCTCAGGATTAAAATACTCATTTCAAGTGAGGTTTTACCTCGATTAATTTCGAACTTCAACGAAAAGAAGCTGTACTTTAGGAAAAGGGGGAGAATCTCAGCCCTCCATTTCAGAAAACCAGCTCGGACGGCGCAGCCACCTCCTGGAAACATTACGATAGCCCGCTGTTTAAGGGTGGGGCAAGCCAAGCGACTTCACGAATTACGTAAGTTTGACCTTGCTTCTTACAGGTGTGCATTAATGTTGCTTGTTATATGTGCATTAACTTTGGTAATTTGTTCTTGTTTATTTGGTAATGTATTAAGGCTGTTAAGGCAAAAGCGGCAGGATGCTCCGTACGAGCAAGCTGAACGCATTGGCATCGGAGATGGCCAAGCTGCGAGAGTCTGCCCTCCCCCCCCCCCCTCCCGCGAATACTAAAGGTAACGTTGCTCTGCGCTCTATTGTCTGCTAATGTTGCTCTATGATTAATAACACTGCTTCATTAATATTTATGTTTCTATGTTGTTTTGACGTTAGTATTCAGCTTCAAGCTGCGCGCCGCGGGACGACAAGGACGTGCGGGCTGAGAGGGAAGTCCACATCTAGCAGAGTAGTTCGGCCTGGTTCGCAATGACAAGAAAGGAGGCTCTACGAAGCACCAGCGACCAGACCAGGACGCAGCAGCGATGAAGAAGACGATGTCTTTGACAGAAAATCGATGCAGGAGGAGGCCAAGGTGGACAACCGGACGCTGGAGCGGCTTTGAGGACCGATGTAGGTTAGACATACAGAGTAGATTAATCATACTAGTGTTAACGTTGCTCGTAATATCGTCGCGATTACTATCGTTGCTTAACATAACGTTGCTCTTGGTACACACCCCAATTTTCTTTCCTAATTAGTACTACAAAACTCGTTGCATGTCTTCAACCTTTCGAGTTATTATATTATTACCCAACCACTATCATCGTCCAGGTCCCTGACATAATGTCTGCTGCTTCCTGTTGCTTGAAGTTATGTTCTCTAATTTCCAGTAACTCAATAACCTTTTTCAATATAAAAAAAATGTTCTCTAATTTCCGTACACCTATACGATTGTCGTCCTAAACGTTTGCGAAGCATTTGCGCCCAAGCGCTTAGGTTTAATCGAATGAGGTCGACACTATACGAAATATCGCCGAGTACTAACGTTGCTTCTCAATAACGTTGCATTATGATTAGCGTTGCGCATTACGTTGCTCCAAGATAACGTTGCGTTATGTTTAGCGTTGCGCATTAACGTTCTCCAAGATAACGTCGCTTTATTTTTAGCGTTGCACGTTAACATTACCCGTTAAGGTGACTTATCCTACTTCCTCTGTTCTTATATAAAACTAGTGTTCAAAGCCGTACTTATAGTTATCAACCGCCAAACTATTCAATTGTATTACCTGGGTCAGACGCATCAGCCATTACATGATCGCTATAAAACTTAGCAAAGTGCTTCACTATAATGAGAGAGGATAGCACTACGGTGACTTAGCCAGCGCGTAGTATAGGAAGCACATTAAATGGAGGCAGGATCACGCATCTGCATACTATACCTATAGATGTATTGAGTCCATTTTTAAGAAAACAGCGATGCATATGATTTAGAACAAGATCGCAATTTTGACCACCGTAGGCGGAGATGCAGCAGTGCGCGTCTCCGGGAGTAGGTAGCCGACTAAACCGCAACAAATTCAAATTCAAGAACAAGATCGCAATTTACTTTAATATCACTGCTATTAAATTACAGCACACAACTGATGACATGTCGGCTAGAACCTGCGACCTTTCTGGTAGATTAGCTGTGACGATACATTTATGCATCACTTCGACAATGTTACCCTAGATGAGTTTGATAATAGATTCTACGTCCATTTGTTGCATGTGTCGATGTGTGGTAGTTATTGTACACAGTAATACGTAAAATATAAGCATGAACAGCTATGGTTTATCGGCTAAGCAACAGGCAGCAATTCAAGTCTTACGCTTCTTAAGTTCCAAATTTTACAGCGACGTTAATAGTCGCAACGTTAACTGGTTTTACCTAACAATTATGATGCGCGATTGACGGTAGCACCACTCGTACTAAGCCTTTTACACTTCATACTGTTAATATATTGAAACCTATTTATTGTAGGTGACGCAACCTGGCAATGTAGTCATTGATAATCTGCGGATGTACTAAGACGGAGACAATGAGAGTATAACTGAACAGTAACCGAAGGTAATGGACGTGCACCTAATAGTTTTTATTTTATAGATTCTGACACGACTTTATACAGTAGACGCGGAACTTCCGTAGTAGACGCGGAACTTCAGCGTCTACTATTATCCCAGATTTTCTGAGAAGAGGTCAACTAGTTTGTAAGAGAATAATGCTTAAACTAGTCAATGCACGATGGTACAGCATTGAATGCATAATGAAAGTGTCCGTACATACTCTGTGCATTCTGAAACAATATCAACCATCGACGTGGACCTGGTATGTTACTTGATTTATCAGTAGGGTTTGCTGCCGTGCAATACTGTCGCCAACAACTTACCTCGAAGAAAGTTAGTGGGCGATGTGATCGAAGGGCAACGTTAGCGGGCAACGTTGCTGAGAGAGCAACGTTATCAAAAGAGCAACGTTAATGGTTTCGAAAACAAATATAATGGTCACTTTTAAAAAGCTTTTACGAGCGCTTGATTAGTTTTATACTCTTACAATAAGAACTACGTCTCGTTGTCGAAGAAGTACAGCCCAGAAAACCATTGGCATCCGCGATAAAACGTACCCATGCAGAGATAAATGAATCCGAACACCAGAGTATTCACATTTTGAGCCTCTGTTAGCATACTTTGCGCTCACAAAAGTGTACTCGTGGTGTGTGCCACTTCAGAACTCTCCCACCCTCACCTCAGTGAGCGGCTCGATGGATTTGCGCACCTCGTGAGCCTACTATGTACTCATTCAGCACAGATAATACCTCAGAAATAAATTACCTATGTGCAACACACCAGGAATTTATCCGATAAATTACAAGTCCGACCTTGTCCTACCATGTACCCATGTTGCTAATAACGTCGCAATAAGGCCCTAACGTTGCCGTAAAAGTGTTGTGACGTTGTAAAATGATGACTGATAACGTTGCAGGAACGCCATCGATTATCTTGTATTTCTGTAGATATTTTAGCCGTCCTCCATTCGTCACATCCGGTGGCCGACTTCAAGTATCAGTCGCATACATAGTACTGTACCGCGAAATTTACTCAAAACACGATCACGCTTTGCTGCGAACCCAGTCATGTCGTTTCATCTAACCACTCATTTCTTGCACCCGATCTTGTGCAGTTTCCAGTCCGCCTTCTGGCACTCCGGACTGCAGTAGAACTGCGCCTTGCATCTCGAGCACCGCAGCGTGCCGTTCTTCGAGCAGCGGTCAGCACCGCAAATGCGCTGGATAGATCCAGGCAGCATCATCTTCGCCGGGGCCTTCGCCCTGGCCAGCGCAGCCCCCGCCGCCGCGCCTCCATTGCCCGCAGCAGCAGCAGCAGCCTGCTGCTTGCCCTGCTGCACCCACGGAGCGTCACCCGACACTTCACTCAAGCGGAAGTCCATGCGCACAAAGTCGTCGTCTACAATAAAACACCGTTTAGAACTCTACAAGTACCTTTTGACCCCCCGATACTACCCCCCCCCCCCACTCACCGTTATCAAACACCCGTCCAATGAACGCGTCTCCCTTGACCTCCAGCATCTTGCCACACGCCTGGGCGATGGCCGAGGCGCGCACGTTCGTGGGCAGCGCCTTGGCCGTGCCCTTGTCGTCCACGTACATGTTGACGCCCACGTGCTTGGCGTCGGGCGAGTTGAGCACGAGCGGGATCGAGTCCACGAGGCTGTCCATCTGCAGCATCATCTGCAGCATCTCGTCCGTCATGGCGGCGCCCTTGGGCAGCTGCGCGAGCAGTTGCTGCTTGAACGTCTCCTCCTGCTGCTGCTGGGACGCGTTCGTGGCCCCCGCCTTGAAGTGCGCGCGCAGCCGCTCCGTCAGGCAGCCGAGCTGCGCCTCCTTGTCCTGGGGCAGCGCCACCGCCCACTCCTCCAGCTCCTTGCGCTCATCGGCGGGCACGTACACGACGTGGAAGCTGCCGCGCGTGGTCTCCTCTTCGCCAACCATCGTCTTCGTGTCTGAACTGCCTCAAATGGCTACACATCACAACGGACTCAGATTCAGAACTGTTCCAACTGATATATTGTGTCCGGTTTGGAACGCCCCGTTACGATCGGGACATTTTCAACGGGTCAGACGTTAAAATTTGCGAGTCAAATCGACGTTTCTATCGCATTATTGGCCGCTGACGTCGAGACGTCGAGCACTCGCGCTTTTGCCGCCCCAAGGCCCAAGGAGGAGACGTGAAGGATGAGGAAGAAGATCGAGGGCTGCCTGCAGCTCATCATCGGGCCCATGTTCAGCGGCAAGAGCACGGAGCTCATCCGCCGCATCCACCGCTACCAGCACACCAAGCTCGAGTGCCTCGTGGTCAAGTACCTCTTCGACACGCGCCACTCGGAGGAGTACGACTCTTGATGTCTACATGCACTGGGACCTCTCAGGGCTCACTCCTTACTAACTGCTGGCAGGTTGCTGTCGACCCACGACAAGGTGTTCGTGGAGGCCATGCCCGTGCAGACGCTGGCGGAGGTGCGGCCGTTCCTGGACCAGTTCGACGTGATCGGCATCGACGAGGGGCAGTTCTACCCGGACGTAAGGACATGAGACTTGAGAGTGGTGCAAATTGCACTTGGGCTCGCTGACGCCTGACGCCACCTGGGTGGATGAATGGATGGATGAACGTGCTGTAGTTGGTCGACTTCTGCCAGGACGCGGCGAACAGGGGCAAGGTGGTGGTCGTCGCGGCGCTGGACGCGACGTTCGAGCGCAAAGTGAGTGGCGGCTTGGAGTGCATGATGGGAGCTCAAGGACTGAAGTGTTTGTGGCTGAATGCAGGCGTTCGACAACGTGGTGGAGCTGATCCCGACGGCGGAGCAAGTCATCAAACTCAATGCCATTTGCTCGTCGTGTGGCCATGATGCAGGTACGTCCGTGTTATTTTTTCTTTCTCATACTTACGTCCGTTAGGTCAGTGCTGAGTTGGAGACCGACCCGCGTATTTTGCTGAATTTCCGACAGCTTTTACTCGCCGACTTGTGGCGGACAAGACGCTTGAGGTAAGTCACTCAACTTGAGGGGTACTACTTTCTTTCTCCATTGTGCTCGCACTCACAGCTGGTTAATGCTTTAGCTCATCGGAGGCATCGAATTATACCAGCCGCGTTGCCGCCAGTGCTTCAGCCTGGATTAAAAAGTGCCCACCAGTATTCTATAGACGCCATGCCATGCATTTACTTCGAAGTACATGTTTGTTCCCCGTGGGCCGCGTATGCAAGTCTGTTTGTCTGCTTCGCAAACAATACTTAGTGCACGAGTCCAAATACTACTGTACACGCGGTGCTAATATCATACGAATATGGTAGCGCGAAGGATACAGTGCCCCCACTACGTTTGTATTCTCTTAATGCTTCGTCTACAATGATGCTTCGCCTACAATAATCCCGCAGGTTAGCTGTTACCAGGTGACAGTTACTTCAGTACTCCAAGTACTTACTATTACGACTACAAGTGCATTATCCCGAAGAATGAGGGGGGTGGACAGCTCCCAACGGATTAATTGGACGCGTAAGCGTAACCTGGCGCAACCTTCGTGCTACACCAGCCAGAAGGATGTCGACCGAGCAGGTTCAACGGCAACTTTCAGCAAGACAGACTGAGGCAGGAAATGCACGTCAACAGACCCATGCACCAGCTTCAGAAAGTGAACTGCGGCCCGCGCGATATTCAGGGGTGTGGCCCCTGCGGGGCCACGCCCTTGAATCACGCGGGCCACAGTTCTCCCTTATCATGGCAATTAGTACCGGTACCATCACCAGCGTTTTACCACTGGTGTTCCCAGCCAAGTCGAAGACAACCTAGTTATGGCAAGGTACAGTAGTGATAGAAAGTGTGCCTATCACATCTCATGGTCGTCTCAGCCAGGCTGTTTGCCATATTTTGCAGACAGATTTTTCGTGCTTTCATCTTCATAGAACAAGATTACCTGACATCGAAGTGGAGCCTTTCCTTTCAACACGGCATTCTTCGACAAGACCCCAAGAGCCGGGCGATGTCAATATGCCCATGGCGCGAGGTGCGTATAAGTGCGGTGACTCCATCTTTATCCACGGCATTCACGTCTGCCCCCTATTCACCGACGAGATAAGCTTACAGCACAGCATCGCCACCAGCAGCCCTCATCAAAGTGTTCGGTTCAGAGTTACACTTCGATGTATCGGTAATGTCCATATGTGGTAGGCGTCTATTTTTTTATTCGCTTATTCGTAATGAATCTAGAGTCGTCTTCATCTTCGATAGCCTTGTTGGTCCTCAGAAGTCGCTGGCTGGGGCTACGGACCGAGGTCGCTTTGGCGATATTAGCTTGGCTGGAGACCGTGGCCGCCTCGCAAGAGGCCAGGAAGGAAGCCGCGACCACAACCAAGACGAGAGAGAGAGACGCATGGTTCGCTGCTAGTTTGGAGTGGCGACTTGAGAGCTGGCAGGGAAATTGCAGAATGAGAGAGAATTGGACCAACCAGAACGTGTACTCGACAATCGATGGAGAGCCGTCTCGCGCGCAAGATGTCGTCGATTGGCATCTCGTATCATGCGAGGCTTGTGGACTCACTGGTTGCAGTCTGGAGTTGAATATGACGGTTTATTGTTCACTAACGTGGTTCTACGACGCATTCTTGTGAACATCCGGGATTGTATTTCGATTCTGGCCATGAAACAGGTCCTCCAGTACTACAGTAAGAAGTGTAATTACTGTGGGCCACGGATTTGCGCCTGGTCGAATTTTGTTGCCCCCCCCCCAAATAGTGTGGGTAAATCTTCCCGAAATTTAATGCTAATGTTCATAGTGAAACTTATACTGTTTTCTTGGCAATTTTAATTAATGTTGGCCATACTAATTGCGCGCCCACACTATTAGCGGGCCCACACTAATTACACTTCTTACTGTACGTTGTTAGATGGCAAGATGGTGTTTTATGGTTTTCTTGTGTGCTTTTCTAAAATTTTCAATTTTTTTGGTTGGGGAAGGCAGCTTCTGTAACAGTACAGTACACCATCGTTGAATGATTATTGATGATTACTGAACGAGTGGTGTTTCTCGCTCCTTGGTAATTTGCAACCTGTAAAGGACAATCGGTCAACGACAAAGTAACCTTACAGGTTGCAAATGATGTTATTGTAGGATGTCTCATCCGTTCTCCAACTCGATCTGGGGTCTTGTACCTAACGATGACCATGGCTGCCCATACGAATACGCAGTTGGAACACCACCTCTAGCCAGCGGGTGTGGGTAACCATGCCATACTTCTCAAAGATAGTCCCCCCCCCCCCCGCGGAAACACGAAAAACACAGAGACACACGCGACAACTTCTCAACGAATGTATCCGACTGGGTGCAAATTACTAAGGAGCAAGGAACTGTTATCATAGCGAAATCATCAAATGGTTGAAGCAGCAACTATTATAGAGGGTCTGGTTTCCGCAACAAGGTGTCCACAAGCAAGACTGCATGAGCGATTAGCAACGCAATTATCGGCTCGCTCATAAAAATTTACTTCGAAGTACACATTTCGTAAGTTCAGGTTCGGAAAACGTTGATAAAGTCCGTTGTCAAGCATTTGCACATGAAGCCATGCGTATTTGTGTTGGGTGATACTCCTCGCCTGCCTACCTCCGATCAACTCGAGACTTGAGTCGTTCGTGCTACAACTTCGCTGCCGTGGTAGGATTTAATTGTACACGAAAACTAGATAATTTCAACTACACTTTTACAACCGTACTACTTCTAAAAAAGTTTTAAAAAAGTAGTACGGTTGTAAAAGAGTAGTTGAAATTATCTAGTTTTCGTGTACTTAAAAGTAGTAAGCTTGTCTCTTTTTAAAAAAGAGACAAGCTTTGTGAGTTTCAAATAGCCTTGATTCTCCGTCAACGACAGATTAAAAACAAGTATCCGATCGTTGAGCTGTTATTGTTGCTCCACTTGCTTCCGGATTTGGGACAAGGGAAGGTTATGGGCTTCCACAAACTTGTTCAGACGTCGTCGCAACGCGTAGCAAGTCAATGCACTCTCAGCCAAGGAAACCAGACTATCTGTCATTCTCTGCAACTTCCTCGTGCTCGTCTCAGCGTCACCAACCAGTTCACAGAAATCCACAAGACCTGCAGTCGTAAATTGTCGACGGTCGATACGACTGTGTATCTCCTCGAGTCCATTCCACAGTGACTCATAAAGGGGGTAAACCTCACCATATTGATTCGTGACGCCGTTGTGGAGTCGCTTCAGTAACTCCCGTGCCGCTACAACGACCTCCGAGATCGATCCTGGGCTTACGGCTGTCTGAGGTGGGCTCGTGGTGTCTGAAGAATTCGCTAACCTTGCCAACGAGTCGACCACGGTCGCTACCTTGATCCGCTCCTTTGACTCGAAGGCGCACATTCGTCTAACTAATTGCCACTGCTCGTCTGTGCAATTCCAGGGTTGAAATGGCAACTTTCCCCGCCTCACATGATTTTTCACTGCAATATTGTCGAGTGCTCCCCAAGGTAGACAACCTCTAAAACTGTCTTCACCAGGCCCCACCACCCTTAACGCCTCCACGATGCGCATACCCAGAGAGTAGATATCCGACGCAAACGTTAGTCGTGAGTCCTCGTTTACCAGGGCTTCTGGTGCTACCCAGTGCGACGCAGCAGAGATCTCCGAATGACAGTCGTCGTCAACGAAGGAGCTGAGACCAAAGTCCGTCACCTTCGCTTTCTTGTTACTTCCGATCACAATATTGTTCCCTTGAAGTTCGCCATGAACAACACCGCGCGCGTGGAGGTACTGGACGCCCAGCGCAGCTTCAAGCATCTTAAACCAAAGTTCGTTCGGGTGCTTTCTCAAATAGCTGACCAGCGTTCCGTTCGTGGCGTATTCGCAAACGAAGAAGGGTCTGCCAACATGACACGCGCCGAAGAGCCGAATGACGTGGGGGTGGCTGAACCCGAACCAAATGTTAACTTCGCGAAGGAGTGTTGCCATTGCCTCCGCTCGCCTGGTGGCATGTGCAGGGGTGGAAGAAGTGGATGACCGGAGCAACGAGTCATACGACAAGGATGAAAATGTGGCGCGTTTGTCGTTGCAGTTTGCCAGCCTTTTCACCACCACATCTGAATCGAGCCATTTGGCTCGATACACGCTTCGTAGCCACCACACCCCAGCGGATCGCGCGAAGTGTCAATGACCAACTCGTCCCATGGGATGAACCATTCCGGCGTCATCTTGGGCAAACTGTCTGAATCAAGATTGCTGGTAATATCCTCGTATGCTGCCTTCAACACCTCGAACTGGGTTGGAGTGTACTCAAACGACGGGTGCTCAAGTTCGGACTTCAAGGTGATGAGGAAAATTATTCGGTCTTCCTCCGATCTCAGCTCTTCCAACAACGTGTAGGTCTTAGACGCCTCCGAGATAAATATTTCGATATGCTTGCTGCGGTATTTCGTCCAGCGTTCTTCTCGAGCTCTAGCTGCATCGTCAGTCTCGCCTAGGGCTGCCCAAAGGGACCGGATACTTCGGCAAAAAGAAGTCATACTGGTGGCAGTAGCACGCGTTACAGACAGCTGCAGGACCCGAGCTTGGTCACTCGGTACGGTAATGGTATAGTAAAAGTCACGGACAGCGTGGAAACGCTCCATCACTCTTGGTGGGGACGTACAACTGCGTAAACGCACGCGAAGATCCGTTAGCTCGTTAAATGCTTGGCGGTAGAGGTCGCTATCGCACTCCTCCATGCGAATTCGCAGATCCGACCACAATTCTCTTCTTTGGGGGTAGTTGGAAGCGTCAAACGTACTTGGGAACTCACAGTCTAGCGACGAATCGCTGCTCTGTTCAACAGCGAAGCGCTCCAATGTGTGCACAATGAAAGCGATACTAGCGCGCTTCGCTGGGTCTTGGCAGCACATACGACACACCAAGGTATACGCGGCGTTAGAAGGTGGACGCAGGGGCTCCCAAGACTCGGTTCCACTCGCAGACGGATCCCACCGCCTTTTGACAGTTCGGAGGTCTTCAATCCGCCAGTTTTTCCACGGCACCTCCCTGGTCAACGCCTCCAAAATGCACATTCCCAACGAATAGATGTCTGACGCGAACGACGGTGGGCTGCCTTCTAAAACCTCGGGAGCCTGCCAACGCAAGCAGGCGACACTAAGCCTCAGCGTTTGAGTCAACTCTCGTCGCCCGAAATTCGACAACTTGGTCAATCCATCGCTGCCGATGAGGATATTGCTGCACCGAAGATAGCCGTGCACGAGATCTCGCTCATGAAGATACTCGAGTCCCAACGCAGCTTGGAGCAAGAACGACCACACTTTGTGCTGGGTAGGTGGGGCCACCTTGACATAATCGTGTAGTGATCCATGGCTGGCGTACTCACACACGAACAACTGCAGCGGCAGTGGACACGCGTCACACGCTCCGTACAACTTGATCACATTCGGGTGCCGCAATTGGTGCCACAGCCGAACTTCCTCCTCGAAGACGGCATTAGAGGTCGAGCCGGGGAGAAAAAGCTTCACGGCGACGTCAGCATCGAGCCACCTTGCACGGTACTCGCCACCGACGTTGCCAGTGCCCACAAAGCTTAACAGTTCAATTTCAGACGGCGAGATAGACCAACTTGGCACGGTACTGACCGAGTGTTCAGCCTCGTTGCCGTCCGCATGGTTCACCTTTAGAACCTGAGTGAGGATCCGCTGCATTTCTTGGTCATTTTGCTCACGAGCAATGCGGAGGGCGCTATCGTTAACATTGGCGCCGCATTCTCCTAGACATCGAACCACATCGACGTGGCCTTCAAGGGCAGCCTTCATCAGCGCCGTAACTCCACTGCTATCGGTGACGTTCAAGTCAGCCCCAAACTCTGCAGCTAGATACTGTACCATACTGACGTCTCGTTTGCATGAGCGCTGTGGCTCCATTTGCATCGGCGACTTTCACGTCAGCTCCACACTCAGTGACCAGAACCCGCACAAGGTCGGGTTCACCTATATCGACGGCGTGCATGAGCGCAGTAGTTCCCCACTCATCTGAGGCGTTTACATCGGCTTTGCATTCTTGTGCCAGACACCGAACTACAGCGAAATCGCGCGTACCGGTAGGTGCCCTCGCTGGCACCCTCATAAGCGCTGTTGTCCCGTGCCGATCTGTGGCGTTCGCATCGACTCCGCATTCCATTGCGAGATTCCGAACGACTTCAACTCGCCCTTCCGCTGCGGCCCGCATCAGTACCGTGGCTCCGCAACAGTCGCTGAAATGTGCATCAACCCCGCTATCAACCAGGTACCGGGCAAACTTCACGAGTCCCTTACCAGCAGCTTCCGCGAGCACTTTAGCGCAGCGAGGGTCAGTGGCTTCTATTGCAGCGCTGCAGCCACCAGCTAAATACCAGGCAACATCAAAATACCCTCGACAGGCGGCCTTCATCAACGCTGTGGCATTGTTTCCGTCGGTCGCATTGACATCCACGTCGCGCTCTCCAGCCAGATACCGAACTACAGCGACGTGGCCTCGACCTGCGGCCTTGATCAACGCGGTACTTCCGTCTCTATCTGCGGCGTTCACACTAGCGCCGCATTGTCCTACAAGATACCGCACAACATCGAGGTGTCCTCTTGCAGCCGCCAGGATCAGGGCCGTCGTTCCGTCTCGGTCTGCAATATCCACATTTCCGGCACACTCACCAACAAGATACCGCACGATAGCCATGTGGCCTCCTTTGGCGGCCATCATCACTGCGGTGCTCCCGCTGCAGTCGGTTGCGTTGGCATCAGCTCCGTATTTCCCAACCAGGTTCTGGACCAAGTCAAAATATCCTTCTTCCGCAGCCCTTATCAGTGCAGCGGTATGCCGGCGATCGACGAGACACCGGCCGCTATGAGCACGCTCGAATGCGGCACTTAGACCAAAGTTGGACTGTACTCGGTGAATACGCGCGCTGACATCGACACGCACTCGTGATCCGCTCTTGTTATCGGAGGTCGTCATATCCTCTAAATGGCGCTCGTATTCGCCGGATAGATAGCGAAGGATGCCTCTGTATCCCCTCCGTGCGGCCTTCGTTTGCGCCGTGTCTCCATCCGCGTCTGTAGCATTAACATCAGCTCGTCACTTTCCGACGAGATACCGAACGACGTCAAAGTGTCCATAGCGAGCGGCCACCAACAGCGCTGTTGTCCCCATTCATTAGCCACATCGACGGCGGCACCACACTCTCCAGCCAGACATTGGACGACGTTAACGTGCCCGTTAGCAGCGGCCTCCATTAGAGCGGTGTCTCCCCAATTGTTAGCCATATTCGCATCAACCTCGTCGTTGGCGGCCAGGTACCGAACTACGTCGAGGTGCCCATAAGCAGCCGCCCCCGCTAGCGCTGTGACCCCCCAGTTGTTGCTGGCATTTACATCCGCCTCGCACTCTCTAACCAGGAAACGCACCACGTCAATGAGCCCTCCCGCGGCAGCCTGAGCCAATGCGGTGCATCCACTTCGATCCTTTGCGTTCACGTCGGCCCCCATTTCCACTGCACTGCGAATATCTTCCACATCCCCGCGTCGTGCAACCCAAAGCAACAGTTTGGTGTACATTTCTTACTCGTTTCGTCCCCCTGCAGTGCGCGATGTTCGAGTCAGAATTTAAAGTGAGTTGCAGATTTGCATGTGCACCCTACGCTTCAAATGGTATGGAGAGGTGGCGCCAGTAATCTCAATAAGTTTTCTAGCTTTGAGCAGAAAGTCAAGGCGCACCCAATTGTGAGGCGATGTAGAGCGCCACTCTACGAGATCAACCTATGGCTCGAGGCACGCCGCTATTGGCATCTTGCGCTCACCCCACCGACGAATCGGAGCTGGAGCTGGAACGTCTTGCCAACATCAGATGAGCCAAACTCGCACGTAGAATTGAAACGATAAGCTGTCGAAAGTACAAGGAGAGAAGAAGAAGCACCCTCTGGTTTGAAGAAATTTTTTTTTCCAGAACTTGCATCTTCACTCGCGCTATCTGGCATACTTTTGAGTAACACTAGCGGAGCATCACGGTCGCTACGCTCATGTTGCTTTAGGGGTCGACCCCCAAAACTATGCTGACCACAGAGTTTTGGACGACGTCCCCACTTGAGGAATTTGAGTCGCTTGCAAATTCTAGCGCTTTATTTCCCCTTTCACGCTCCCCGATTTGCTGGCTATTTTGCAAACAACATAAGTACCATTCATACGTTGTTATTAACGGTAGACTGATACACCTGACCTGTGGTTCGAATGCCAGAACACTTGTATTTTAGTTACTTAGGTAAGTGTAATAGCAGAATGTGCACACTGGCACAGCGAAAAGTGAATAAGGGGTTAACTTTCGATGTTTCAATTTCGTGGTGTATTCATGTTCAGAGTGAAAATACGAGCGAATTATTCCAGTAACCTTTCGCGATCCATGTTGAAATTCTTCCTCCAGATGTCATCTACACCCAGCCGCAATGGCCAATGTTGCTGCCGCGACTATGACATGCACGGCTGTTCAAAGCTGTTAGTCTGCACGCGTAGGTAGATAACCTCATGCACGTTGAGCGCAATAAGGAACCATATATAATGAACAATAACTAGCTCAAAATAATGTAGTTGAGCCCGATATCGTACCATCACACATGCATGTAGGTATCAATGCAGAGCTGTGACGCCCGAGATCGACCCAACAGAACTGTAATTGAGAGGGCTAATGCATTTGCTTAGTCGAACATCTTTCCATGAGCAACGCAATGAATGAATGAATTAACGCAGACTAGAAAGGAGCAAATAATCGGCGCCTTAAGCGTGCAGGAAGGACTTGGAACTGTCTGATTTCTTTAAAGCGAAGTAGCAGGCGAGCTCGAACGGGCCAAAAGAGAGCCATTGTTGCTACCAAGAAGCACCGACACGGACCCCGGCTCGTACACCCCAGCTCATCGTCCAGCTCGTCACCCGCGCATAGCCTTCAATGTAATTTAGAGAAGTTGCTGCTTGACAGTACCCGGTCCTCAGCATGCAAAGCTGCTTGCTACTTGGCGTAGCGTTGGCGCTTCCTTGAGGCTCTGCTTGTTGATGCTTGGACTCTCTGTTGTGCGCTGGTCAAGCGATCCCGAAGGGCCGCAGACTTCTTACCAACGGCTGCAGAGCGACCCTTCTTACGACAGCATAAGGTTTGAAAGGCAAATAGGCTTAATAAAGGGTCCTAAGCGGGTCCAAATAAGGGTAAAATGTCACGTTTAAGTCTATTTCTGATGTCCTCCATACTAGCGGTCGAATTTGCTGTTTCATAACTTCGACCCTCTGGTTTTATGGCATCTAAAGATAGTGATGTCGGTTCAGCTCATAAAAATCCGTCCTGATACCACCTTTCGATAAGCATCCAAATGTTGTTTAACCGAGGTAATTGTTTCATTTTTTGGTCCCCGTGTGAGCGATTCTAAATTGTGACCCTAACCCACTCGCAGAATTAATGTAAAAAGTATAATAAAGCGGAGTGTATATAAGAGACGTAAAAACTCCATGAAACGGAGTCTCATGATTATAGGGGGGACTTCGTCCCCAATAAAACATCACATTGTGTTGAAGCGAAGTGATTAACGCAACCTTAATTGAAACATAAAAAATCCCATAAGGTTGCTCGAGCAACCTTATATTTCTGATAAGGTTGCTTGAGCAACTTTGTAATTTACGACACATTCGGCTACTGAGTAGTTTACCGCAAACTTTCTATTTGAGGTAAGATATTCGTACTACAAAATTGTCAAGGTAGTCCAACGCGGCCGGAAGCTCGAGTGAAAGGTGCTCCATTTCGAAAGATCCAACGTGGGAGGCAAGCCGAAGAACGAGCAGCAAGCAAGCACCATGCTACGTCCCGCCCGACGACGTGTAAGTAAGTTTCTTTGCCATAGCTTCGGGTGCGCGTATATCTAACACTTGTGTGGCTCTGGACAATAGCTACGTCAAACGGCCAAGCAGTGGACGAAGCTGAACGACAGCCAGCGACTGGGCGATTGGAAGGCGCTGCGAGGAGGACTGCGGCGAAAACTGTGACAGCGAAGCACACCTGAAGGCAGCTATAGTACGTTGCACTGTGCAGAGAAAATTGCAGGGTGCGTTCTTTCGTAACCCAACGTTTGATGCCTGTGCGTGTTCGAGCAGACGTGAAGCCGCGGTCAAGGCTGCGTTCCGGCGAATCGAGATCTCAGCCAAGCGTAAATGGAAAGAAGCGAAAGCTAGGGCATAATAGATGGTGTGGGTATTGCTTAAAACAGACTACTATGCTAGAGGGAATCGGTTTCGTCGGGAGATTCTTAGCAGCTACCATTTAGGCAGGAGAAACCAGTGATATGAACGACGACGACCTTTGTAGGTGTAGGCTGCACTTGTAAATACTCGATGTCTTGGCGTGACGCACGTGAAGTCTGTCGACTCATGGCCCCAAGCTCGAAGCTGTTCGGCTTCGCTTGCACAGCGCTAACAACTGGCACGCTTGCGTCAGGAAAAGGTGCTGCTCAAGTTGCGAGAACTTGACACCGGGCATCGCCTGCATCTCTCCTTCTGGCAGCACTTGCGGTGCTTTTAACTCACTACTTAATTGCTTGATGTACATGTATTCGTGTCGTGTGGAAGCTGAACCACGACAGACAGCTTCCTGGCGGTGATAGTCGCGCTTAACGCGGTGTAGCTCCGTCGTCTTCGCTAGGATACGTGTTGCAACATGTTTTGAGAAGTCACCAGCCCGTACGATCGTCAACCTTCGATCTCAAAATTGTCGCCGCTATTGTCATTTTCTCCTCGATAAATTACCGGTTGCTGAAGCAACCTGTAATTTTAAGGTTGCCGAGCCGTTTTTAAGGTTGTGGAAGCCTCTTTAAGGGTGCTGTAGCGTACAGACTGCCGTGTTGAAGAGCTCATAAGGTAAAGATCCAGGTAGATACCAAACTATGGTGGGGAAGTACGTGTCGTGCACGGCGGACAGCGCGCGCCCGGGCGGCCCCACGACCATGGACGTGCTCATGGCGTGGATCATCAAGCCGGAGAACGCCAAGCGCTGGCGCTCCGAGTCGCGCGCGCCGCTGATCCGCGAGATGCTGGCCGTCATGCACGGCGAAGGGCTGGTGCACCGCAACCCGCAGTTCGTGCGCGCCAAGCTGACGACCCTCGAGAAGAAGTTCGTGGCGGCCAAGGACTGGCTGCAGGAGGCGGGCGTGCACGACGCCTACATGCGCGACAAGGCCACGCCCGAGGTGCGCGCGCACGTGGAGCGCATGTGCCCGCTGTTCCGCAAGCTGGACCCGGCCTTCCACGGCGCCAGGAAGAACGCAGAGACCGTCGAGCGGGAGGACAACGACAGCACGGAGGACGCCGAGAGCGCGGAGGAGGAGAGGAAGAAGGAGAGGGTCAAGGTTTCCAGCAGTGAGGGGAAGAGCGGCGACGCAGACAGCAGCGAGACGGAGGACGACAGCAGCAGCAGCAGCAGTAGTAGCAGTAGCAGCGACAGTGAGACGGAGGATGCGAGTGCGAAGGCAAAGCAGAAAGCTCCAGCTGCAAAGGCCGTGAGAAAGACGGTCTCGACGCCTCCGAAGCGGAACCCGTTCTCAGACATCCTGGCGGCCAAGTTGGCGGAGATTGACAAGACCTCGGACTCGCAGAAAACGACGACGAAGAAGAAGAAGGAGAAGAAAAAGGATATGACCAAAGAGGGCGGTCTGGCTAAGGCGGCGGAAGAGGAGAAGACTGCGGAGAAGGAGAAGACTCCGATGGCGGTTGAGAAACCGAAGAAGAAGAAGAAGGCGGAGAAGGCGTTGGCGAAGGCTGCTGAGAAGAAGAAACCGAATTCTGCCGAGGAGAAGGCGGTGCATAAGGCGGTTGAGAAGAAGACGACGAGTTCTCCAAAGGAGAAGAAGACGACGACTTCCCCAAAAGAGAAAAAGACGACGAACTCTCCCAAGGAAAAGAAGACGACGAGCTCTCCCAAGGAAAAGAAGACGACAAGCTCTCCTAAGGAGAAGTCGGTGCCGAAGGCTCCTGAGAAGGAGGTTGCCCCACTTGATCTGCAGAAGAAGGACAACCCGGTCGAAGACGAACCAATGATGGCAGCGAAAATTGTTGAAAAGAAGAAAGACTCGAAGTCAGCTGAGCCGCAAAAGGAGAAAAAAACGCCGAAGGAGAGAGCATCTCTCCTGTCGTCAGCTGTGGAAGCTCCCTTGAAGCAAACTTCGATTGCGAAAGCGAAGCCGGCGGCTGCGGTAAGCGCTCCGGCGCCGGTCAAGAAGAAAGCAGTGAACTCTGCCACTGCGTCCCCAGCGGCGAATGGCACGAAGGAAACTACGCCAAAGGCAGACGGAAACAAGCCACAGAAGGCAAGCGCTACGAAGCGGAAGGCGTCTGAAGAGAAGGGAACCACCGCCAAGCGTGCGCGGACACAAGCGCAGGATGAGGCGCACGCCAAGACGATGGCGGAAATCGAGCGCGAGGCACTTCTGAAGCGCGTCGAGGATGAGCAGCACCAGCGTCATGACATTTACGCGCTTGAGCGCTCCAAACTTCAGGATGAGAAGAAGCAGCGCCTTGACGTGTACGAGCTTGAGCGCTCTAAATTGCAGTGCGAGGTGGAAGCCAAACAGGTCCAGCTGCTGCTAGAGAAGGCTGCTGCGCGCAAGAAACTTGATCAGCTTGGAGTACCCAAGGAAGAGATCGACCGCCTTCTGCCACTGTGAGAGCACTAGCACTATGTGGGGCTTCGTCACACATACGACGAAAACAAATTTAACGACGTCTGACCGAGACCCTTTCTCGTGGTATGCACTCAGCTCTTTATTTTTTCTGTACCGGTAACTTCTAAAATCCCTCGTCGTCATCATCGTCAAATCCACCAAGTGTGAAAGCATCAGCAGAGCCGAGCGGTGGGAGTCTGGATGGGGGCGAGCTGGCTGAAAGAGCAGGAGACGGGTCGAACATTGTGCGTGAGGGCAGAGGGCGCTTAACAGGAGCACGATCTTCGTCGGCAAAGCCTTCGTCGTCGTAGGAAGAGGTGACCGACATGTTGTAAGACCGACTAAGACTGCCCATATAGCTGTCAGAACGGTAGGAAGCGCCCCCCAAGCTCATCGGATTGGGCGCACTTCCAGCCATGCTCACATCTTCGTCGTTCAGGTCCTCTTCCTCTTCACTGTCATCGTCCTCTTCTTCAGCATCCTCGAGCATCTGGCGGATGGTTGCCTTGACAGACTCCAGTTTGTCGCAGTTCTCACTCGATGTCGGGTCTGCATGCTTCCAGTACAGATACGATGGGCCGATGTAGCGGAACGAGCGGCGCAGAAGATATGGGTCGAACGGGAAGAACGTCTCAAGAGGCTGGCGTTGACCCAGCAACGTCGACGCAGGAGCCGAGCCTGCTGTAGGCTTCTTCGAGCGCTCCATAGACTTCGTGGACTTGCTCAGCGTCGAGACTGTGCCAATTGCCTGGTCCACACGCTCCAAGCACTCCTCGGAAACCAAGTCGAACGCCTCCACCAAGTTGAGAAATTCGGTGGCCACTGTCTGCTGGCAATATGCTAAGGGGCAGTACCCGGCACTTGTCACGAGTAGCCTCTCCCATCCAAGACTCCGCAAGGATTCGTAGCCAGCGCCATCGTCCATGGTAGCGATCTCTAACCCGCGGAAGCACATCATATAGCACACAATCTGTAGCGACGAAATATAGATGCTCTCCTGGAACGCTGCGGGGGGAGCTTCCCCCCTCTCACGCCTCTCCAGTAGGCGTTCCTCCTTTTCGGCGGCGCTTTCACCCTCCCTCGTTTCATCTTGGTCCAATTCCTCGTGTGCTGCATCGTAGATATCCATTTGGTCATGCAGCCACTTCAACAGTTGATACAGAGCTTTCTGGAGATAGGCCACGGAAATGTACTTGGCTCGGGCGAGGAAGCTGGCCAAGTAGGCACCACAGCTTTGACGCGTGGTTGGCGGTGTATGAGGGTCCAGCGACGTAGTCAGCAGCTGCGAGATGAATATGTCTTGGAACTGCGGGTCCATGCGGCACACATAGAAGAGCAGGAACTGCGGGTACTTGGATCGGTGCGTGTTCAAGATGGAATGCTCGAATACCTTGAGCAAATACTTGAAGATCAACGCCGCCTGACGGACGTCCGTTTCTTCATTGCTAGCATCCGTCGCCGCATCAGGAGCGGCAGTGCACTGTTCAATGTGCTCAAACATGACGAGCATCATCTGGTCGAGCTTGTCCGCCATCTCGTCCACCTGACGCGAGGAGTCATCAGGCGGCAACATGTCGTCGTCCAAGAAATCATCCATCGTAAAGACATCCTCTTCGCTCTCATCCAGCTTAATTTCCACGTCAATCGCCACCAACTGGTCGATGATGAGCCCCAGAACGCGCTCTCGTAGCCCGCTCACATACCCAGTCACGCGCAGCACATTGCGCAGGTAAGCCACCTGCGTCGGCGCGTCCATCCGCTTGTGAGGAAAGTGCTCACACAAGATCGGGAACAAAACGTTCGCCGCGGTCGGCACGAGCGCCAGCACGCGCTCCAGCGTCTGGTGAGCCGCTTCGAACCGGGCCTGGATGCGCTCTTCCAGACTCGGACCCTTGGGTTGCTCCTGAACGACCTCCGCCACAGGCGCTGGCGCCGCAACGGTCGCTCCGAACGACCCTCCGATAATGATTCCTCCTCCCGAGGTGGCGGGCGCCTTGGGCTTCTCCGCCTCCTGGAGCGCTCGAAGGTCGGGCGGCAGCTCCTTGGTCTCCGGGCGGCGCATGTTACGCACCAGCATGTGCAGCGACGGCACCACGTAGACGGTGTTGGAGGACACCAGGTGCACGATGAAGCTCGTGTAGTCCTCCACCTCAAGCGGGTCGCCGCTGGACAGCAGGTTGAACTTGAACAGCACGTCCAGCAGCGCGCGGTACGTGCGCGGCTCGCGCGCCATGGTGGAGATGCAGCGAGGCAGCGCGCGGAAGATCTTGCGGCGCATGGCCACGGGCGGCGGCACCAGCGTCAGCTGCGTGATGAGGTACTGGTAGCTCTTGGCATTGCCCTGGAGTAGGAAGTAGCGGTAGGCAAGGCGGTGAGCGTTCTGAGCGTAACAAGGGGTTCAAATGGCGGGCTTTTCCACCTTGATCAGCAGGTCCAGCGCGTTCTCGATGAAGTGGTGCATGCTGGCGACCTCCTCCTCCGTCGGCGCGGCCGCCACCGCCGGCGACGTCGCGCTTCCAGCCATTTCTCGGTTGTGACTAGTCTCGGCTAAAACGGTATTAATACTAACTGACGTTAACAGGCATTTGATTTTTTAACAATTATTTACATTTTGTTATTTTCAACAATAATTTGAGCGAAAATTGCTCTGCTCCACTCGACGGACTCGATGACGCTGGAGAAGCACTCGTTCGCGCTGTTCGGCAACCGGTGAGTGAGCCTGCCGCCCGATGCGCACCTCACTCAAGCTGCGCGCAGTCTTCCTGACCCTCTCTGTCTTAATGCGCCGCAGGACGCTCCACGTGGGGTACTACACGGACGTGAAGAACAGTCCGGCGCTGCGCCAGGGGCTGCTGGACAAGAAGTTCGACGCCGCGCTCGTCAATGCGCAGCTGGTATTAATACTGCGTGCCTCCTTCTCTTGCAGTGATGTCTCGACGCTAATTGTGCTGTGGTGTTGCCAGATCGCCGGCCCGTTCCAGGTGCACGCGGCTGCCGCGCGCGCTCTGCAGTGCGACGCGTCCGGCCGCCTGACCACGCGCAGCCTGCACGCCGAGCTGGTCTTCAACATGTCGGGCTCGCGCAACGTGTCCGAGTCCTTCAAGCGGTTCGGAGTGAGCGACGACACCTCGTCCGTCGTGCTCTGCGTGCTCGACGCGGACGAGGCGGCGCTCAAGCAGGCGGAGGCGCTGGTGCAGGGCATGCAGGTGCCGTTCGAAGAGCTCGGCACGCACCTGACCGACGCCGACGTGAAGCTCATCAAGAAGTTCTACAAGATCTCGGACATGGAGCTCACGCAGTCGTCGCTCGTGGACGCTGCGACGTGCAGAATAGCGACCAAGAGCTGCAGCAAATAAGGGCGAGGCAGCGGGTGGACGTGGAAGGCGCCTTAGAAGAACCATGTTATCAATTGCCAAGTAACCTCGCTACTGTTAGATCAACCGCTAGACTGTGCTGCTATATGTCACGACAGCTCGTAGAGTTTCTTGAGGTCAGCGACGTCGTGATTGTGAGTCTCTGATTCGAGGCGCGAAATAACCCACGCCATGTCCTCCTTCTCCTTGTCAGACAGGAGCATGACGGTCATGTTGAAGCGCGTCACTTTTGTGAGCTCGCGGGCAAACGCAAACATGAACGCAGTGCTCTCTTTCGGTGGAGGGGCGTTAGAGGTCGATGAAGACAGCATTGCGTAGCGGAAGACGTGAAAGATTTCGCACAGCACGTCGGACTCGATCGCTGTCTTGAAGATGGTGCGGACTGCAGAGGGGTCAATCATGCGCAGATAATCGGCGCGCAGGTTGGTCAAGCGACTTTTATGCTCAGAATCGCCGCGCAAAGCCAGCGACTTCCACACGCGACCAAATTCGTACGAAGTGGCCGGAGCCTTCCTCGGCAGCTTGGGCAGAATGACCGAGGTCGTCTGCTTCGTTAGCTTGTTTCCAGTCTCTACAGTCGTAGGAGTTGAAGATGGAGCTGGAGGCAGCTCAGCGGGATCTGCTTCCTGTAGCGGTGACTTCTGCTTTGCGACGGCAGCAGCTGCGGTTGATTTTGTATGCTGAAGAGATCCGAGGTTCTCCTTGTTCTCGCTGTCGTGCTGTGACCCCAGCAGTTTGCTTGGAGGACTTTCGCCAACCACTTCAATCGCAAACTCGGTGCGTTTTGGGGCACGCTTGATAGCCGTCCGGATCAGCTCTCGGGTCGACTGTAGCTGTGTCTGGATTTGTCGGCTTTTTGGATCCAAAGTCGCGGCCTGGTAAAAGTCGAGCAATGCAAGCCGGTGCTTCCCTAACGAGTTGCGCGCAGTGCCTCGACGAGAGTACGACTTGACATGGGTAGGGTCGGCCTTCAGTGCCAGCTTGCAGTCGTCTTCAGCGTTGGCAAATTCCCGATTCTTCAAGTACGCCATGGCGCGGTTCGACAGCACCACCGCGTTCTGCGGGTTGTAGCCCAGGCAGCGCGTGTAGCTCTTGATCGCAGCCACATAGTCGCCGCGTTTGTAGTGCGCGTTGCCCTCCTCCTTCTCCAACTCCTCGCGACTCTTGGTAGTCGCCGGAGAGGAAGCAGCCTTGCTCGCTGCAACCACTCGACGCGGAGCAGGCGAGCTCTGCAATGACGGTGTCGTATCTTCGCTCTTTACCCCGAGAGTACTGTCGCCATCGGCCTCTCGCAGCGCTGCGTCCTGCTCAGAAGCCATTGCATTAACCACATCAACAGTCAATATACCAGCAGCACCAGCACATGAGCCAAAGAAGCTCAACTAACCACGTCGAACTTCTCCCAGCGCTTGTATCCTTTGTCGTACGTGTGTGCGTCCGGCTTCTTGCCATTGGCTGCACCTGCTGCTGCGTTGTTATTGCCCACGCCGACGACTCGTGCGGTTCGAGGCGGTGGGGTCGCCCCACTAGTCGCGGCGGCAGTCTTGGGCGTCTTGGCCGCCCGCTTGCGCGCCGAGTCCTCCTTGCCGATGCTCTTCTCCCACGCGTACAGGTCCGAGAAATAGTCCTGCAGCTGCGACGCGTTCGCGCGGATCTGGTGCTGCACGTCCACCACCGACGGCGTCTTGCCCTCCTTCATCTCGCTGCAGCAGGCTCGGAAATGCGCATCAAGCGACGCCGAGTGTATCTGTATTCGATACAGTAGTAGTCAGCAGAGTAGTAGCGATAGTAGTGATATCACAATTACTACTATATTACTAATATAAAGTTGGGGTCTGGGTTTAATAATAGTGATATAGCTACAGTAGCGAGAAAAAACGCCACCAGTAGTGATAATAGTAACTAGCTCCGCGCAGGTTTTTGGGATAACTCCTTTATTACTTTTTTTTACGATCCACAGTCATCTCCTGCGCCTGCTTCGCAGCCGCAGCATCTGCCCGATCATTCACCTCAACGGCGAAGATGCAAGATACGACTAGGCAGTAATTATACACAGTAATGAAACGAACCTTGCTCGAGATCTAGCTCGTAGAGAAAGGAAAATGCTTGCATTTGTATGCTACAGTCCTGTAGTAGTCCGTTCGATTCAATCATTCACCTTACATCACTCCACCCGGTTCGGTATATGCTACTGACCCATACCGTTTCAAACTCCCCACGCATATAAACCTTTTGGAGGGCACCGGGGTCATACCGGTTTCTGGAAATGTGCCAGTTGGGTGTCAAGAGAGGTCATATTTTGACTTGACGTACCACTGATATAATCCTATTTGGTCTGCGATAGCAGCACTAACGTTGCTTCCTATCCCAGTATAAAAATATCACTACTACTTTCCCCAACTTCAATACTCGTCAGATCTCCAAAGGGCGCGCAAATTGGTGGTTCCCAGCAGGCCCTCCGAAAATACAGTTGCAGTAGCATTTTGAGGAGCTTCGCCAATAAGTAATTCCACGGAGAACCCGAGGTCAGCGAAATAAATTATTCAGTATATTGCAACAATTTCAACACAAGATGGCAACTTGTATTAAGCAATTAAGGCTCTACAAAACCTAAGCGTTCACAACCTTCGAGACCGTGGCAGCTCCCCAAAAGCACCGGTTAACCTTTAAAACCAACAGCAAACCGAGACGAATGGGGAGGATCACACCTTCTACGAGCCCTGGGGAGAGCCGGGCTCCTGGGCTCTTGGGTGAACCCAAAAAGTCGCGAGCTCGGGCTCCTGGGCTCTTGAGTTCAATAGGTTAAGTGAAAGGAGCCCTCCAGAACTGTGAGCCCTCGTTAAGGGCTCCCCTCACCTGTGTTAAATATCTCGCTGATGATTGGCCGTCATTGAAGTATCTCCAGGTTCTAACCTGAAAAGGCATAGGAAAGAGGGCTTCTCCTTGAGGGGAAGGAAGGACTATCGGCGACGCTGGGGTGGCCTCGGAGCGGCTGTACACATATGAGTGGCGCGAGATCTTCTAGTGTGGCGATCTTTGAGCTCGATCTTCTAGCGTGGCGCATCGATCACGCGAAGTTGCTCGCCTTAAGTCTAGGTAAAATTGGCCAATCAGATATTACTATGAAGAGCCCGTCATAGATTTGAAGCTAAATTTGGGGAGCCCTGGAGGGGAGCCAATGGGGAGCCCGAACCAGGGCTCCTTGGTCTCGTACTCACCACGAGGGAGCCCATTTTGTGCGACTTTTGGCTCTCGTTTTAGGGGGAGCCCACTTTTGAAGTAGACGGGCTGTGGGGAGGATACTGTGGCCGTGTAGCGATAGTACGTGACGCGCCTTGCTAAAGAGGCGTTCCACAGCATTCGACGTCTGCGCGCTGCTTCTTGCGGGCGCGCAGTGCGCGATCAGCAAAACCCTGCACGGTCGTTCTCGTCCTCGCTGGCGTCAGCACTGGCGCGCCCTGTAGCGCGCACAGCAAACGGGCTTAGCAGCTTCTGCTCGTCCACTGTCAGCTCCGCCTCCTTGCCGAGCAACACCTTGACGCAGGCGTTTTCAAACGCCGGGCTCTTCACGATAGCCGCGTCGGCGGCAAGGTACTGCGCGACCGCAGGGTGGCGCTCGATCAGGGCATCGAAAATGTCACGCACATCGAGCAGCGTGACATCTTCGTCGCTCTGCAGATTCTTAGACGCCGACTTGAACTCGCGGTGATCGTCGCCAAGAGCGCGCAGCTTGTTCTCCTCGTGGCGGGTCAGTATGAGCTCCGCCAGCTCGTCATCAGACGTGTCAATGAAGTCCTTGATAGCGAAAAGGCGCTTGATCATCTCGAGTCCCAGCGTGTAGCACCGGCCGCAACGAAGTGCTTTTTTCTAAAAACAAAAATAAAAATATTTTTTTCAGGAAAAATTCAAAAATAAAATACGAATACCCAAATTACTTACCGAAGTTTCGCGGAGTGGTTCATGTTGCGTAAATTACGCATCAGCTCCTGGATCGTGCCCAGTAATGGCTCTTAGTCGGCCATAAACATCTGCACAGCGAGGTCCAGGCGATGAGAGGCACAACCAACCAGCGGAATACCCAGAAGGTCCGCGAGCTTGCATTCACTGCACAGTTGTCACCGACGAGGTAGACAACATTAGAGATGTCTCGATCAAAGAACGGGAGGATCCCTTCGAGGAACATGACGTGGCTCGCGGAGGAGTTGTCAGTGACCTCGCCGTCAATCAAAGGCGCAAACGCCAACAGCACCTTGTCTGCACGACCGTCGTGCTCAAAACCGCATCACTGCGAGATAGTGCTCGGAATGGAAAGTCCACCCGTTGAACATAATACTGAAGATAACAGGGAGTGCCAAACCGATTTCAATCTCGGCCTGTCGCACGACCAAATGGGCGTACTTCAGCAGCGTCTCCGACGAAAGGTGCTCCAAGTTCGTGTACTTGGCCACGATGGGATCCTCGCTCCTCGAAAATGGCAGGTTGCAGGCCGTGGTCCAATCCAGCCAGCAGAAGACCGTCTGTGACTTCTGGTCGATGAAGCTTACTAGGGTAGCCGTGTTGGTGCCGCTGGCCATCATGGTCGCCACGAAGTCCGGGTGGCGCTTCAGGACATGGTCGAACAGGTTGCTGTAGCCGGTTTTGGAAGCTTGTTTTCTAACGACGGAGCACTGACAGCGAAAGTACGGAGTCGGCTCATCTTGAGAATCCGTGACGGCCTTGTAATAGTAGTTGCAGACTTGGCGGGTGCTGAACGGGTTGTTGGTTGGCATCTTGATTCGACAATGACAACACTAGGAAAAAGTCAAACTTGCGGGTGCTGGCATTTTAACTATGGTAAGGGCGTTCTAACCAGTGCTTTGTGGCGTCTAGAATTGCAGCGGAGACCCAGAAACGCAATAAAAGTAATTACCTCTGAAAAACGTACTTATTTGAAAAATGCTTTTTACGACTGAAAAATACCTTTGTAAAAAGTCAAGCCGTAAGTTATTCCACTTTTTTCTCGTTCGCGTAAAATAAATTATTCCGTACTAATATTTCCGTATATTTGCAGTACAATCTTTTATTCGGAGGGCCTAGTTCCCAGCCCACCCCTCCCCGCGCTTTGCCTCTCTCGCTCATTTCTCGATCCCTGGGCGGAGGGACGAGCAGTAAAAGCGCGCTAGTAGTGCTGTCATTAGTGGAAGCGGAGACTTCATCGAGCAGTGTTTGTGTTCACCATTCGAGTAGTCCGTCGACCTCTCCAAACGGTAGGACATATCATCTTGCATGCAGCAGGTGCTGTAGCCGCTCACACCTTAGTACGTTCTTCAAAATAGACAGCGACACAGGAGATCAAGAACCTTGGGAGGAGCAGAGTCACTAACACCATCCTCTACCACATCATCCATAAGCCACTCACGCTCGACCGGTTTGGCGTGCTAGCTCGTCTATCTACCAGGGCAGACGTGTTCGTATATTTTTTGCTGTATATGAACCCGGAGACGTGCTCACTATCGTGCTGGCGTAAGCGATCCAATTACAATTTTCGCGAAACCAGCGGTAGAAATGGTAACCGCCGACAGTGGGGTTAGTTGGGGCATAGCCCCCCCCCCCCTTATTAGGGAACCCGGGCCATGAGGCCCGGAGATTTGCAGTTCTCATTGACCGATGACTAGAAGCAACGAAAAGAAGAAAACGGGTATTGTTGTTCATGGAAGGAGGAGGCTTGCACCGAGCAAGCGCCCATCTCCGTATCTCAGGGTTAAAAATGAATTTGGATGTTGCCACAAAGAAAACCAAAAACAGCAAAACGGGAAGCAGTCGCGCACTCGTACGTCTGCAAAGCTCCAGAGTGGAGCTAAACGTTGGCTAGCGTAAAGTTATGTCTCGGGGGCAGGGTCAAATACCAGGAGGGTTAGCTGTCTTTACTGGACTTGATCAACTCCAGAACAAGTAACCGCGTGAACCTGAAAGATTTTAGCATGGAGTAGGAGTACTTGCTCCGGGGGAGTACTCAGGTCAGCGACAATAACGAGGTGACTTCGAATAACTGGCAAAATGCGAAGCCTCAAATCTCAATTTTCACTACGCGTTTTTTCTTCAAAAAACGTTTCGCTCAGCACCAACAAACACTGTTTTTTTCTCAAATTGAGAAACCACTGAGAATCTCAATGGCATTTTTGCGGGGCACTGGACCAGACAACAACAACATAATAATACTAAAAGATCCAGATTAACTGGGCTTTCCAGTGTATAAGTATTTTGTTTTGAACATCTCGCATGCTTTGCGTGCCGTCTGGTTGGCTGATACTGCATTTACAGTTAACGCCTTAGCCATGAATCGGACAGTAGTGCATTGAGTTGCCTTTTATTTTATTATTACTAATCAGCGTACCATCTACTTCTGAACCACAGGCGCTATGAAAAAGCTACTAGCATCAAATATTAATTAACGGACTTCAAAACCTATTGCGATTGAAGGAATGTAGGAATGTAATTCAAGAAGGTACCTAATATGGCATGAGAACATCTATATTCTCAACTCGGACCGCTTCGATGAAATGTGCATGATCACCAGATCGACTGTCACGAACCAATTTGACGTTGAAGCGAGTTTTCTCATCAAATAACACCTTCACCAGTATGCCTAAACTTCCGTTTGCAGCTCTTGAAATTTTTGTGTGAGCTGAATCGGCAACTACTAGGACGAAGCTTCTTTGCACGATGGCTGGCATATGCCTCCATTCGGAGACGGTTCCACCACAGCGCCGGGCTCCAGGGCTCAATCTATAGAATACAGACAGTGTACCCGCATCACACAGACTATGTTCTGTAGCAATGTTGCCAACAGTGTTGCAGGATGTCAATGCGTCAAACATGGCTGCATCAAGCAACTTAAAATTGCTGGCCGTAATGTTTCAGGATGTCAATGCTGCAAACTTTTCTGGGGCCGCCTAACGCAGTTCTTCGAACTGCGAATAATGAAATGTGCATAAAAGACTTCTTACCCTTTTTACAGGTGCTTTTTACACCAATTTATGAACCCCTGTATTACAATTGAGAATGGGGTAGGGCAAATGAACTACTGTAAAACCTGTGATTGTGCCCCATGGGGTACTCCATTAGTACCCTCCTCCTAACATGGGGCACTATTAAAGGGGGCACAAATAAAGGTAATGGGTATCCAACTACAAACAACGCTAAAAAGTCAGCTTTAGTGGATAATTTCCACTATAAATATTTATTATTCCACGACAGTATACAAACTTCAAGTGTTGATTATGTGGAATTGTACCTAAAACCTCAAACTTTTGGATAAAATGTAGGGGGTGGGGCACTACCGTAAATCACGGCGAAGATGCAACGGCGTAAAAAGAAGCTTTCAAGTCAAAATATAAAAAGTCAATTGACTCGTAAAAAGTTCGTACAATCCTAAAGCCAAGATGAAATACCAGTATTTGTAGTAATTTGGCGGTAATGTTGCATCTTCGCCGCGCGTTGCATGTTCGCCGTTATTTACGGTATCGTAAGTCCCCACTCAGATTCTAAATTTTGGGGGGTGGGGTACTATTGAAGGCTGGGGGCACAATCACAGGTTTTACAGTATCATAGCCTACCCGGGGGCGATTTCGATCGAATTGTACCTCTTTTTAAGAACACACGAACTCATGCTGGACGGCGCCCAAACGCGAACCTTCAAATGTTACCTTGTTCGGAGGTATAACAAGTTCTTAAACTGAGGTCAACATTTTATCGAACCGGAGATCGCCCTGTTTGTATCAGCAAACAAACGATTCCGTTAATCGTTAGATCTTCATGTCAGTTTCTGAATAAGTAGGCGAAGTGTCAGCAAACAAGCAAATTATCGCAAACATCTTTGAGTGCACGCAATTTGATTGGCGATTAGGCACAGAATCAAACACTAAGAGAAATTCAAGCTTGTTGTTGGCGGGAAATCAATCCGTCTTCTCGACGATGGCTAGATATTCGCGCAGGCACTGAGTGTCGCTATCAACGACATCGACATTGAGCGATTCAGAACACTACAGCGGTGAGGTATAGGAGCGAGGCACTCGTCGGCGTTGTCTCCGGGTGACGACGGACAGGGAGACAACATCAAGCACCTGGTCCGGTGTTTTATAGAGTTCACGACCATGGTGCGCTCATGGTGAACTACAAAGACCGTCAATTTGGGTGATCCGTCGTTGCTATCGACTGAAACTGTAGGATTTCCTGCGCTACTTGTCGATCTCACATAGCTTGTGTCGGCTCTTCACGCCGAAGCGCCGCCAAGACCATGCGACTTTCGCTGGATCAAGCACTGATGCTACGGCTGTGGTAGCGTTCGTTTATAAGGCTAACGGTTTCTCCTAGAATACTACAACATTAGAGTGAGCAGTACGTTAGTGCAGTGGGGAAGACGGCGGCGCCCCAGCCTGATGTGCCGCCGTGGCACTGTCGCCAACAGTAGAGGTGGTAGAGTTCGTTTCCGTTAGCAGGGGAGTTCCTGCTCTGGTGGTTTGGAGCGCGATCATAGTGACTTCCTGTACACGTGGCGTAATTGGAAATGAGGCGCTCAACCCTCTAACGTGTGGACATTTGGTCTTAGCCTCAGACCTACTCTAAAGCTTGAGGCACTGGCTCTCCGCACATCTTCAACCAAATTCTAGTTTACTCGACAAAGCCTCAAGCTAGGAGTACAGTTGTGCACCTCTTTTTCGGCACCGGTACCTCTCGATAACCTGCAAAATATAATGTTTACACCCTCCAGGTTGCGCAAGTGGCTTGCCCATCTCCATTTGCTCAATTAACCTCATCGGTATTCCCCTCCGGAGGAGGGATGACCCGCCGTCACAATGTCCTTCTAATCGTTGCCGAGAGCTGGTCTAACACTAAGTTCACTTTACAATCTACTTCAACCTCCATGCAGCGTCGCCCTTCCTCCTACATTACACTGAGTCTATCGCAGAAGAAGACCGTCTGTGAGAAAGCAAAGACCGAGCCTGCGTGGACGCACCAAGACATCGCGGATTGGGCTACACAGCACTTCAAGCTCGCCGCCGCTATGAAGCAATCTACTGTTCAAGGCATTCTGAAGAGGAAACGCAACTATGACGACGTGCCCGATGCACATGGCGACCGCAAGCGCCGCTGTCCTGATGCTCTGCGTGCTTTTGACGCCCGTCTACTGAAGAAGATCGACGAGTACAGGGACTGGCACGACAACGCCACAATTACCGGCGCCATTGTGAAAAGGCTCGGTGGATTTCGCCACCGAACCCATGTCCAGCTGACCCGTATCAATCCAGGATGCTGACCCGTATCAATCAAGCAGACTTCAAGTGCGTCATGGCCGTGATGGATCTGGACCACCAACTGTCGGACACGAGCCGTGTGACGAAGGAAGCTGGTCCCGAGGTCTGGGCGGAGCTCCGCTCAGACTCTGGGCTTGAGCGAAAATTGTCTGAGACCCGAGATGTGTGGTGTTGAGTATCCCAAGTCTGAGCTGAGTCCAGGAAGCAGAGAGAAGCTACGCGGAGTTTGATCTGAGCCTCGAGTGTGATGACCGGAGTCCCCGCTCAGGTCGAGGAGCTGAGCGGAGCCGGTTGGAGTTTGAGCTCAACCTCCCCAGTGGTTGTGGGGCCGTTGTCTAAGATACCGAGATGAGTCGAGGAGCAGGCGTCCGAGCGAGGTCGTGCCGAGCCCGAGCCCGGCTTCTACAGTGATCATGGAACCTTCACCAAAGTCGACAAGCTGGGCGAGGATCGAAGGTCTGAGCGGAGTGAAGTGGAGTCCGAGCCCAGCTTCGAATGCGATGTTTGAAGTCTTTGCTCAAGTCGAGAAGCCGAGCGGAGTGTTGCGGACCTGAGCGGAGTGGCATGGGCCTGAGCGGAGTTGTCGGAGTCCTGTTGAAGTGCCGGGTGGAGAGTCGCTGAGCTTAAGTCCAGATAGTGCTACTGACGGCGAAGTTGGTGGCACCGGCGAGTACACTCATCCGGTGAATCAGCCATGAGCCAGCCTACATTGGGCGTGACCGCTCAAGATCGCGGACACTTCAAGCGGATCTCAACGGCCTCCAGCAGCTCCAAGACGACGCTCGCCGACGTGGAGCAGCCGCATTGGCCAAGACCAAGGATATCGGGCGGAGCTTCAAGGGCCACCGGTAAGCATACAGCCGACGCTCTTCGCGCAGCCAGTCAGTGTGTACCCAGGGTGATATTGCGCCCCCACTTAGTGAGTCCTAGTTTGTGCATGTGTAAACATTTAAACAGAGTTCGTTTTGCCCCGAAGGACGCAAGTGGTGGAGGTCTTTGGCCAGAAGGTGTCTTGGCGATCATCCACACTAATTCAAGCTAACATATCAACGTTGTCAGAGTGCTTCTGTGCGACGGCAGTACGGTTATTTCATATTACTGTTACAGCTTAGGGTGTATTTCATATTTTCGGGTGGAAGGTGATCCATTCTGAGGTTTAGGCAGGGTAATTGTATTGTGTGCTTGGGGACATTGGCGTGCCCCGGTGCATTGTGTGATTATTAGTATCGATTCATTGTGGACCTGGTGCGCAGGTAGTCCCAGGGTGTGTGTGAGTGCCTTGGATTCGGACTAGGCTCAAACCGAGTCAATAACTCCAGACCGGGTCGTTGCTTGACTCGAAGAGAAGAAAGGAGAAGCTGGTACGAGCCTCACCCAGGCTCAGAGAAATAAAGGGAACTCGGCCCAGACCCAGGCCGACCGGGAAAGAAGGGGTGTTGTGGTTCTGAGCCGTAACCAAAGAGAGGAAGTGGAGGCTATTGTGTGCGGTGTCGTGTTCATTAAGGAAAACCCGGGGGATTTCGGGCTGTGGACACGTGCGGACTGGGACTCGCCAAGTGGAGCGCAAGTTTCGTCTGGGAACACCTCCGGAGACCTTCAACATCGACAACAGCTGGTGTGGCCGACGCGAGTCTGGACCCACAGCGTAGCCGTGATCAAAAGAACCGCCAAGGGGATCGCAGAGTGAGGAACACACGCCTCGCCCGACCCGAGTCGGAGCTGAGTCAAGCGTTCAAGCGGCTAATCCTAGCGAAACGGAGTGGGAGTGTTCGCTCAGTGGAAGGAGCTGAGCGGACCTCTTGCAGCGCTAAGCGGGGCTGAGCCAAGTGGTACAAGGGCTAAGCGAAGACCAAGGTCGAGCGGTCTAGCTACCTGAGCCTTCAAAAAAGCACGGGCGCTTCGTCGCTGAGCGCGAAGGCTTGCAGCTACCCAGCGGCAGTGCACCAAGCCGTGGGTGGCTGCATCGCTTTCAGCAGCGAACATATCTATGGTTTTCGCTTCGGCATGGCGTGGGAGCTTCTGTTAGTGCTGACGACGTCGAGCAAGGGCTCCGAGACTTGAGAGCTGCTGTTGCCGGCTACAACCCTCGTGACATATTCAATATGGACGAGACGTCGTTTTTTCTACCGTCGAGAACCTAAGGGGGCTCTGACGGTAGATAGAAAAGAGAAGGACAAAACAATCGAAACAACATGTGACTGTCTGCGTGGCATCTAATGCCGATGGCACCGAGCGGCTCCCCCTCCACTTCATCGGCAAGTCCAAGGTACCAGTCCCGCTGAAGGGCCGCGACGTCTTCGCCGAAATCGGCACCACGTACACCAACAACAGGTCTAAGGCATGGATGAACACGACACGGTATTGCGAGTGGCTCACAGAGATCGACGGGAGCATGCGGCAGCAGAACCGAGAAGTGTTGCTGCTTGTCGACAACGTGTCGTCCCACAACGACGCGCCCATCGAGCTCACGCACGTCAAAGTGCACAAGCTGCCCCCCCCCCCCAACACGACGGCAGTACTACAACCAATGGATCAAGGCATCATCAAGTACCTGAAGGACAAGTATAAGACTAGTATGGTGTAGGGAACATCAAGTTTTGTGTCACACTCCAAGGCCGCAGTGGAACAACGTACCAGGAGCCAAGTACTACTCGGCGGGATGACCATCCGCCGAGCTCAGTGGGCAAGAATGCGCTGATGGACCGCTGACCTCGGCTGATGGTGTCAGAAACTCAAGGCACACCGGCCCCGACCTGGCGCCACGTGGCAGGCCCAGTGATGAAGACCCAGCCGAGTTCAGGAAGGCACTGGACACGCTCAGTCGAGGTCATGGGGAGTTCAAGCCGCCGAGCTCGGCTAAACGGCACCACGTACCATCCAGATACGGTAACCGGGTCGAATTGAGTCCGGGAGTCGCCCAGTCGAGTCCAAGGGGCGCTCCGCCGAGTTAGCCGTGTTATCCGGACACCTTATCCGGCTCCGCCGATTTCACTGGGTTATCCGGACACCTTATCCGGCTCCGCCGAGTTCACTGGGTTATCCGGACATCTTATTCGGCTCAGCCGAGCTCGCCAGGTTATCCGGACACGCCGTATCCGGCTCAGCTGAGTTCAAGGGGTTATCCGGACAGGTTATCCGGCTTAGCCGAGCTCAAGCGTCGCCGAGCTCGGTGAAGAGTCGGCCGAGATCCAAAACCGCCCGCTTTCATTTGGTATTTGTATAGGAGCTTAGGAATGTGGAGGCGCCCCTTCAGGGCAGAGATAACAAACAACAGAGCAGAATTTTCTAGGTCCACAACACGTGCACGCGCTTCCAGTAAGTCCCTGCACGGGCCGGATTATGTCTGCTGTCAGCACCCGAGAGGCATAGCTTGTAGGGTGTTGACTGGTAGCGCCAAGAGATTAAGGTCGGCCGGGGTTGGGAGCGTGTCTCGCCAAGCGCGAAGGAAAAGTCTCGCCACCGCTGCGAGCCGGTGTTCCCGTACGTCCCGGGCACTGATTGCTGAGTCGAGAAGCCTTTGCTCTCGGCGACCCGTAAAAGCCCGCGAGGGTCGTCGTCCGTCCTTTGGCGGAGGGCACGGGATTTCTAATTCCGGAGTCAGGTAACTCAGCTGTCTTCCGTGATTGACTGGCTTGGGGTACTTGGCCTCGGCGAGGACGAGACATCACTGTCCCGGAAGGGCCGAACCGCTGGGGGACATCTCAGCGCAGGCCAACAAGGGCCGACTAGCTCGGCTGTTGTTGTGTTTGTAGCTAGTTGCCACATCTGACGATTTTGTGGGTGCTACTACACCACACTAAGAAAGCAGAAAGTAGAGCTAGATATGTTTTACAGTGGTGTAGCGTACAAGCCGGTAGACTTGTACACTGCCATGAAGTGGTATTCGGAGGGATGGAGTGATGTCTCCGAGCAGACTGTTCGCAACTGTTGGTGCCACACAGGTATTGTATCGAAGATGGATCTTCAATTAGTACTGATTTAACGACAAATATGTCAATACATGAAATTACCCATCCTTACTACCAGCTTTTATCGACTTGCAGCATTTGATATGGTCCGCCCTGCCGAAAACGAGGTGCACAACTGTATTTCACTGTCAGTCCTGCAACGGAAGATCATTCAGTTCGGTTTATGTAAATAATAGACAAGTTTGTAGCGATGCAAATCCCATACAAAACGTGGTCATTTCGGAGGAGTGGTTAAGGGAAGCATGGCCATCAGCTCAATTCGGCGCCCTGTCGATTGGTTTTCGCAGAGGGTGCCTGCACTAGAAAGAGAATTTCACTGTGTTGCTGATTTCGGGTCACCAAACAGCTTCGTCTAACTCTGCATAGTTTTAAAGCAATGTAAATATCTTTTGGAGACTTTAGACTTTCGAGAATCAGACGGCCATGACATCCGTCCTCCTTTTACCTTTGACATATCATGCTGTGAGCACGGTGTGACAGCGGATATTAATGATACCAGGTTTTGATGATGTTCCGTTTCTCTGAGTGCTCTTCCGTTGCTTAAAATCGCTGTCGTCAAATTTTTATTCCGTTGCAGTAACGAGATTAACTGTATTTACAGCGCCAATCAGTCTAGGACATAGGTGGGTCTGCACTGTAGATTCAAAGTGCAAAAATACCTAGAAACGGAAGTGAAGGTATGTTGAAGTTTAAGGTAGTAGTTGACTACCGCATTTCGCATGTAGAGAAACACACCCCATGTCATAGGTTTAGGTTAATTACTGCACTCGAGCCTAAAAACAATGTAAACCAAAAAACTGGGTCACGCGATCATTTCGTACACAAATTTGGCAAGATGGTTGGTCATGCGGATGGCGCGAAGCGATCTCCTCTGGGATGGAGCTTAAGCTAGCAACAAGTCTAGGCGCCATCTACAACTATGTTGCACAGGAACCACACCACTTAACCAATTATCTACACCGTTGCTTTTTCTACTACCATCGCTACAGCAGCCGTGTTGTGCGCTCTCTCGAGCTTGCGCGTTGTGGTTTAACCTTGTGCTCCCCATATCCCGCACTCAAGCGCGCCTCAACTGAGCCCACACAAGGCGTGGCTACTAACTATCACTCCGACGAGGCGTATGCCTCCAAGTGCGCGGGGAGGGGGCAGCGCGACGTTGGCGAGCTCTTCCCCTCTGCCTTCGCGCACTTGGAACTGGTGGCTCAATGTGCATGCAAAAATGCGCAAAATACCCAAATTAGGGGTGTATCTCTACATGCGATCCCACGGACTTTTCTCTCGCATCTCTGATTGGTCTAAATAAAAGTGTATCTCTTAAACCGCTGTAGCGCTCTACATGCGAAATGCGGTACCGACGATTTATGCACATAGACCGAGGAACCCTTTTCGAGGGGTGACTGAACTCCGGTCAAATGTGGGCAAATGACAGTGGGGCCCGCCGTAAAAAAACATATGAGAGTTTAGGCAGCTCCGAAAAAAGTCACCGCTAACGTTCGAAACAATGTAATTAAGTGTCGTTTGGATTAAGTTATTCATAGATAACCTAATTCAAGGTATCGGTCAGTACACTGATAGATCCTTGACAAAACTGGCGTGGAGCAGTGAAGTCTAAATCCAAAGGCGATACTATGGTATCGCTAACTATTATGAACTATTCAGGAGCAAGAATGCAGCACTAGAATTAGTTGGCATACTGCTTGTATAGACATATTAGTTGCTCCAATCATTGAATGAAGAAAACTATAAATCGCTTGCTACAGTTCTGTAGCGGCGGGAGCAACCGAGTACGAGGATTGGCATGAAACAGAAAGCGGTGACTAGACCAGACGTGTCATAGTGGAAACAACAGCCAGAATGTATGCTCTGTAGCGATGAAGGAAAAGTGGAGATATTCTCTTTTTGCCTTGACGTTTGGTATATTATTCTGACACTCTTGATAAATAGACGAAGTATTGCCGTTGCACAGGACGTAAGACGACATTGATCTCCAAAATTGCATGCCAGTTCCCGAGCAAAGTAACAATTTGCAATTCTGACACCAATTTTTCGGTCTTTAATGTTCACACAAACACCAAATGTATAGCTAACACTAGCGTTTGTTAACTGATGTCAGTGTATAGTGAATCCGGCAAACATGTATGTGAACTGAGACGTGTAGTCGTCCATCTTGAAGCTCTTTTACGTCACTTGCACCGAGTTACCGTTATTGTGAAAATCACTTACGTGTTCGGGGGGTACAGGGCTGCTCTCACTCTTTCGATGAGCTTTAAATTAATGTGATGTAAGAACAAATGTGCATATGGTGGTCGTTGAATGTAATGTGACTGAATTGCTCGTCATGATTTACATTTCTACTGATATATTGGCATTGGTGATTGCTCGATCAGAATTTAGCCTGACACTGTGGGGGATATTTAACGATGCACATCCGGAAATTTATTGCAATCGACCAGGTTAGGATCAGGATTTATTGAAATCAACCGGATTTGAAGTTTAATCTAGGAAAAAAGGCATAGCCGCACGGGGACCGATGTCACGAGCGAGTGCAGCGAGCACTGCTAGACAGCGTGCGTGTTCCCGACATTGCACATATGCTGATCAACTAGAACTTGCATGTCGCTAGTCATCCGTTGCCGCCATAAATGAAGACGGGAAAGAGGCTTGGAGTAAATCTCGTGCCGCATCTGGTAGTGCCGTCTTAGCTTTCGACCTCATTCAACCGTAAATCAATGTATACACTTTTGCTTAGCCCTGGTCTCCATGCTACAGTAGTAAATTAAAAAAAAATCAAATCATTATAAGTGGCTTTGGCGTTGCCACCATTGACCGCTGAACACTTCGTGGATGACCGCGGCTGCCACGGGGATATATTTTGAAACCAATTTGGTAAAAATGTGTGCGAGTATAGGATGCAGGGGGGCGGCGCTGAGAAGCTAAGATACAACATTTGCCGAAGCAATGCCCCTCTAGCAACCGGGGCGAATATTCGCCGTGAGGATGCTGCTATACTAGTACTATTATAGTAGTGACATAAATAGTGATATATCTTTATGACGTTCTCAGATTACTAATAGTAGTAGTACATACATAGTATAGTACTATGTTAGTTGGATAGTAGTAGTAGTAGTATCACTATTAGCCGAAATTATCACTGCACTACCAAATCCTGGTCGAGGTGACCCAATTCAAGCTCAAGTCGATCCCGGTGAAGGATGGCAATGCAGGTGAATCGCGCGCTGGTGGACAAGGAGTTCGACCGCTACGTGTTGGCAATCGATGGGGTCTCCAGGCGGTCTGCTGCGCTGCCCGTGGCGGCGCTAACGCCGCTGGACGCGGGCCAGAGCATGCGCAAGGCGCAGTGGGAGTCGCGCGTGCACCACAACGCCCTGGCGGCGGATCCGTTCCTGGGCAAGAGCTTCGGGGCGGGCGTCGCGTACTTCGTGGATGCGGAGTATCAACTTGTGCAGGTGGTGGACCGCAGGGCGGACGGGGTAAAGCTCGAGAAGGTCTACAGCTTCCCCATGCTCACGGGGAGACAGGAGAACTTGTCGGTGCAGGTGGCGGGCAAGGGGCTGCTGGTCTATTGCGACGGCCACGGGACGCTGCACTTCTTGAAGGCCGAGAGTGACCAGGAAGCAGCCAAGTGGGCTGTGGTCTACGAGTGCGCGCCGTGGGGCGTCGTGCCGCTGCTACTTTTGGGGGCGTTCTACGACGAGCAGGACCAGCATATTCACGCGGTGGTGGCGGAACCGCTCGCGGGCAATGAGGCGGATGGAGCGTTCCGAGTTTCGATGGTCGGTGTGCGTGCGGCTGTGTCTGGCTGTGGGATGGAGATCGACAGTGGATCTGTTGGGCTGGAGCACACTGTGGCGGGGATTGCCGTCGTGTCGGAGCTGCCGACCTACGTCTCGTTCAGCGGACCGGAGGTGGTGTTGCTTGTGGAGGGGACGCCTCAGTTACTGATGGAGTTGATGGCGAAGAAAAAGGTGCAGACAGCGCCGAATGCAACTCCTGCAGCTGCTGCCGCTGGCAAGTCGTCGCCTCACAAGCGACCTCATGGTGAAGATGACTTGGATGACGACGAAATGGCCGTGCTGCTGTCGAAGCTCCCGCGAGCTGGCATCGGTTTCCACGGAGAGATCACGAAGCCGAAAGAGCCTAGTGAGCTGGCGTCGCTCGACTTTAACACGCCGTTGAGCGAGCGCTTCCACAAGTCTAGCACGCCATTCAGCTCTGTCGATGAGCCTCTTCATGGAGCACCCGACATCGCCACTCGCTACCGCAAGGAGAGCATTGGCGCCCACCAAGACCGACCACTCGAGGTTCCCACCGCAGAGTCCATTCTCAGTGGCTATGAAGAGTGCGACAGTGGAGATCCGAACGCCAAGGCGGCACTGCTGCTGGTGAACTTTGAGCAGAAGGTGGTGCAGGAGCAGGTGGACATCGACTGCACGAACTTCCAGTTCCTGGCCCCAAGCGCTCGTGTGAACGGCTGCAGCGACTTCAAGTCCTCTCTTCTCTTCCGAAATGATGTCCACGGCCTCATTTTCGAGCTCAACGTTGAATTGGCCCGGCTGACGCTGAAGCACGCAACCACGCTGCCAGCGTTTGGCTTCGTGCAGGCGTCCAAGCAGGAGAAGAAGTTCATGTCGTTCCATCCGTCCGGCTCGTTCGCCTGCATCGGCGAGTTCGAGCGGCGCGTGTTCGTGTACCAGGGCAATGGGTCCGACGAAGAGCGCAATGCTCACACGCGCAAGCAGCACGTGGTGGAACTGGGCGACCAGCAGCTCCTTGGGCTGCGGATCGTCAACGACGACACCATCCTCGTGCTGACGCCGACCCAGGTCTACTCGCTCGGTCTGCCTGCACAGTGCTGACTGCACACAAGCTGCATACGCCTTCACAACTATGTCGTGCATGTAGCAAAACCCAGTAATATCAATTTATGACGGATCGCTTCAACAACAGGTTGCACCATCGGAAAACATTCATTCTTTGTTGCCTTTCTTTTCATGCAATCATGTTAGCTATTATTGAATTCTAGTTCAGCCAATCCGGCCAGGGTTTGGTAGTAGTGAGAATTTTGGCTAGTAGTGATACTACTACTACTATCCGACTCAGAGTCGATAGCACTAATACTACTATTAGTAGTTAGAGAACGTCATTAGTAGATATCACTACTAATATCACTACTATAGCACTACTATAGTACTACTATCTACACTGTACCCATTTCTGCCGCTGTTTTCCTCCACGCGCGCGAACTACGACGCCAAAGCCGCAGTGTAAAAGGTCAATCCTTGTTCGTAGTGGCCAGTCACGAAGTAACCTAGGAATGCTGTTGAACAACCATGCCCCAGCTAAACTCGAGCAAGTTAAGCAGCTGACCAGTAACGCCGACGAGGACATCACCGCAAACGATACAGTGAGATTCAGCAGCTTTGAGCAAAACAGAAATTCAGACACGCACCAGGATCAGCCACCGCACGATGCCACCCGAAAATGATCCCTAAAGTCAGGACGGTAGTGAGCACATCTCCGGATTCACACACAGCAAAACAATATGCATATTGTACATGCCTTGGCCTTGTCGTTAGATGAGCTCCACACCGAGTCGATCGATCGTGAGTGCGGTATGAATGATGTAGTCAGGGATACTGTTAGTGACTCTGCTCCTAGCTTCTTTAACTCCTGCGTCGATGTCAGTAAGAACTTGCTGAGGCGCGGGTGGCTGCGAACCTGCTGGTAGAAGTATTAGACAAGCAAGATGATGCGTGCTGGCAGCCCTACCGTTTTCAGAGGTCGACGGACTACTCGACTGGTGAATACAAACTGCACCATGAAGTCTTTGCTTCCTTCCACCAATGGCAGCCCTCCTAGCGCGCTTTAACTGCTTGTTCCTCCGCCCGAGTATCGAGAAATGAGCCAAAGAGCGCAAAGCGCGCGGAGGGGAGGGCTGAGAACCACCTATTTTCGCGCCTTTTGAAGGTCTGCCGTGGGTTGAAGTTCGGGATAGTAGTAGTGATATCAACACTACTATTATCACTACTAGGGGCATTTTTTCTCGCTACTATAGCTATATCACTATCACTACTATAAGGCGCAGACCCCAGTGCTATACTAGTGACATAGTAGTAGTAGTGATATTATCACTACTATCGCTACTATTCTGCTGACTACTGTACTACCAAACCCTGAATCCGGCAGCAGATACGTTCCACTCTGTCAGTGAAGCGAGGTCGATCTAGTGACGGCCTCGCGCGCCGCAAGCCACAAAAGCCAAACGGCCGAAGTGATGGTGGTCCTCTCGATGCGTCGCATGCAGCCGGCCTCCATGGCCATGGCGCGCGCTGCCGCCCGCAGGTGCGTGCACCCCCCTGTGCTCTCCCCAATACTCACGGATGTGCAATTGCTGACCTCGTCACGGTGTGCTCTGCATTTCTTCTTGTGTCATAAACCAGCGGCCCTCGCGTCGCCCAGGCCGGACGCACGCTGCGCTTCGAGCACGCGGCCCAGATGGGCGCCGTGCAGCTCATCCCCACGCACAGCTTCGGCGGTCGCTCGTTCTCCTCGTCCCCGGCCACTGGGTACGCAGACGCTATGCAAAGTACTAGACGGTGGAGCGGTTTATTGATGATAGGGGATTTTATACCGCTGCAGACTGCTTAACGACGAAAAGATCGTGGCGGCCTCACCCACGGAGGCGGCGGAGCAGGCACTGGAAGTTGCGAGTACGACGCTATCAGAAAACTCAAGTCTAAGTTGTTGTGCGCAATGAGTCTGACGGTATTGTAATCTGTGTTGTGTGTGGCAGGCACTATTGACTACGCGTCCGTGTCGGACCTGGGTAAGATGACGTCGGTAGAAATGGTCGGCTGGCTTCAAAGTCAAGGGATGCTGACTTCTGTGATTTCTATTCGAACGCAGGCTTCAGTCTCTCGGACATCGCCATTCGCTCGCTGGATGTGATCCACGCCACGACGGGACTGCCGTGGTGGGCGACTATCATCGCCACGACGGTTGCCGTGCGTACGGTGTTCTTCCCTGTCACGGTCATCTCGGTGAGTCTCGCAAACGAGAAGTTGCTGGTTAAACAGGCCCCGAATTTCTTACGTCGCCGATGTTTTTGCCGTGCTAGATGCGCAATGCTGCGAAGATGAAGCTGTTCCAGCCCGACATGGAGAAGCTTCGCGACGAAATGGACTCGAACCCGACGCAAACCCCGGAGACTGCGCAGGAGTTTCAGAAGAAGTACAAGGCGCTGATGAAGAAGCACGATGTGAACCCGTTCAAGAGCATGCTCACGCCTATGGCGCAGGTGAGGATGCAAGTCGTTATCCTGCAGTTGACTTTTTATCAGCATTGTGACTGACCGCTGCTCATTTTTTTTGCGGATGCTATAGATCCCGGTGTTCCTTGGCTTCTTCTGGGGACTCCAGGACATCTCCAAGTACTTCCCTGAGTACGCCCACGAGGGCATCGGCTGGGTGACCGACCTTTCGGCTGCTGACCCCACCATGGCGCTCCCTTGCATTTCCTCGGCTCTGATGGTGGCGTCTGTGGAGCTTGGTGGAGAGGCTATGACCGGCGAGATGAAGGACAAGATGAAGTTTGGCATGCGTTGTTTCGCGCTGATGATGGTCCCGCTCACCATGAACTTCCAGTCGGTAAGTCAATTTATCTGGTGTCTATTGTTTCTCGCTCAGTTGTGTTCCAATGTCTAATATTTAATGACTTCGCTTGATTAGGGCATTTTCGTGTACTGGGTGACGTCGAACATGTACACTCTGACGCAGACTGCGTTGCTCCGGGTAAACTTCATCAAGCGTGCGCTGAAGATCCCGGTGACGGAGGTGCAGCGCCTCGAGGCGGCTAGCATCACGACGACGTCGCCATTCGAGGCCGCGGTGTCGCGTGCTAAGGAGGGCACGGTTGTGAAGACACACATGTACAAGCCCACCAAGCCGAGCAAGAAGTAAGTAGACCTTAGACCTTTCTTCAAGCTGGTCAAGTACGAATGATGTTTGGCATGGCTCGCCTTCGTTTGTACGAAACAATGCAACTGTATCTGTTGCCTCATAGAGGAATAACAACCATCTAGCTTGACTGGCAAAAGGAAAGTATGCATGTTTGGAATACACCCGGGTTGGTCTTGTTTGTAGCTGTGAGAGCTCATTGTGCCACCTCCGATGTAACGGCGTCCTCTTTACTTACTTCGCGGATGATGCTAAATTTGTCGGGAGGATACTAATAACGCAAAACCAAGCAAAATTCGCGAGTGAGCTGACAACGATGTTTCGCCACAGCAGATATCCTCCCATTTGGTTGCACGTTTACCTGAATTTCGGGGCACAGTGTAGATGGCAAGAAGCGAGCATGTTCTTCACAAAACGTGCTGCGCAAAGCAATCTCTTCTTGTTCCAGTGCCGCTAGCTTTGCTTGTGTTTCTTCAATCTATGCACCGTCAGGAGTCACATGTGTAAGTCCAGTGACTATTGCCCGGAAGAACCGCAACTTACAAATTGGCGAACGTTCACGTTATACTGCTTCCGTCGTTGCAGTTCGGCCCCGACAGACTGGTACGACGCCAGGAATTGGAGATAAAAGTCCCGAAGGCTCAGCAGTTCATCGAAAAGAAGCTGCACGTCGGCAAAAATCACCTCGTAGCTGAAACAAACCACCCAGCCAACATGTAAGTCGCTCTGCTTGCGTATGATCTTGGTGCAACGTCGACGTACTGTGGGTAAATATCGTTGATCGTGGTGAAGTACTGCAGCAAAAAGCGGTCGCATTGCTCCATGTCGACGAAAAAACTCACCTATGAACGAATGTAAGATCCACGATAACAGACTGGTAAGTGATCTTTCGAGAGGCGACGTTGACAACGTATGCAACGCATGTACAATACGTACTGCTGCGTCGTACAGCTCTTCAACTGGCTTGGTTTCTTCGTCACTACAGCGACAAAACATCCAGAAACCCATTAGTATCCAGCGCCCAATGCATGGCACAAGCGTCCAGCGTACGGGATCAAAGAGAGGTCTCGGTGCTCGCCCACCAATGCGTCGACATTACTCGCATGGGCTTTTTCAAATGTACAGAAGAAGTCGTATATAGCTGAGATCCTCGTGATGGCGTGTTGATGCGCGGCCAGCAGCTCTTCCACCCTGGACACACCCACACGTTCAGCACCAAGAAACAACCAGACCTACCAAAGCTCACAATGCACTGCACTGCACCCACTCCTTCGTCTGCTCCAGCGTGTCCTGCTGCAGCGACTGCACCGTCTCGGCATCGACGAAGTCGAACAGCGTCTTGCCCCGCTCGCCGCCCACCATGCTCGGGTCCACCGCGCTGCTCTGCAGCTGCTCAAACACGCGGTTCATCTCCTGCAGGAGCTGCCCAGCGACAACGCGCGCCGACACCCATACTGGATTAACACATATAGTTATGATGCGCAGGGCTCTGTAGCAGCGAGCGCACCGGCGTCTGCGCGAAGACCGAGTCCTGCGCGATCTCCTGCGCGCTGTGCAGCTTGACGCGCGAGGCCTCCAGCATCTTGCCCAGCACCTGCGGCGCAGCACCAATCGTGAGTCGGCGGAAACACAACAATGCAAACCGAGCCGTGCAGCACCTGGCATTTCTCCGAGATGGTCTTGACCACCTCGCGCGTCGCGACGGCGAAGTACTCGGCCCCCATTTCGGTCGAAGGTGAAGATGGATCTGATTACGATTGGTATCAGATCGGATAAAGTCTGATACTGTGTGTGCGACACACCTGGGCGTGATCCCAAACCGCTACGTTGAACTAGGTCCAAAATACCATGAAACTGTATTATTCGATTGGTATAGACATGCAGACATATACGTTATAGTCACTATCAGCACGACAGAGACAATAAAATTGGAAAAAACTTCTACATAGTTGGACGTGAATAATGTTGAAATATCATAAAACACATAGTTACTCGGTTAGGGAGGGTTCGAAGGAATCCACCAGGATCAGCAAAGCTGCCGCAATCAGCACTCAGACCTCAATACAAGGCTAAAGCGCAGTAACAGGAGACGTCGTGTATGCGGCCATGGACGGCGGCGTGCTTGCGCTGCTCGTGAACGTGAGCTTCGTGGCCGCGCTGGCCATCGCCTTCTTCATGATGCGGCGCAAGCTCGTGCGCCTGCACACGCGGCGGCTGCGCGAGCTGGCGGCGCCGCTGCTCGGCAAGTACGTCCCAGGCGCCATTTTAGCCTTTAGCCTCCTGTTGCTTGGGCTTTTCACTAACGAAACCGATGTAATTGCGCGTCGGTGGCATCTGCAGCGCGTCCACGGGCAACGACCACCGCCTGGACACGGCCACCCGTGAGGCCGAGAAGGGCTTCCAGGTGTGCGCCGTGTGCGAGTTCGAGAACTTCAAGGACGCGCTCTTCTGCTGCATCTGCGGGGAGCGCATGGACACGGGCGAGGCGACTGACAGCGGCGGCAGAAACAAGAGGAAGCGCCGGCGGAAGGAGAAGAAGAAAGAGCAGCAGCAGCTGGAGCAGCGCCGGAATGAGACTCGGGCGGCGCTGCCGCGCCACTTCACGGAGCGCCAGCAGCGCGCCCGGAAGCGGAAGGAATGGACGCGCAAGCTGGACGTGGAGGGCAACATGTTCTGGTTCCGCGTGAAGGAAGGCAGCGGGTCTATGGCGCCCGCGCGCGTGGGCAAAGTGATTCGCTTCGTAAAGCCGAACGCGAGCTCCAAGATGCCCGGACAGGTGAATGGGCCTATGGCGACGCAGAGCGAGGTGGCCGTCGTGGAGCCCGCCAAGGTCAAGGTTTTCGCGGAGATCGCTGATATGGATATCATCCCCGCCACCAAGTGGGATGCGGCAGCACGTGCGACCGGAGAGGTGCTCGAGGACAACACACAAGAAGGCGTCGAGCGCCGGCGCGAGACGCTGGAACTCGCGGGGAAGGACTTCCCCTCCAAGTACGCCTACTTTGTCAAGACCACGGCGTCGCTGCTGGTGCCGCCCGAGGTGGAGTTCCTCAAGCTGTCGATTCATCGAGACTTTATGTTTGAGGAGTCCATGGAGCACCTCGGGTGTATAGAGGAGAAATACATTCGGTCGGTCATGCGCATCAACTTCCTGGAAGAGAGCGGCGTGGATGCTGGCGGGCTGCACCGCGAGTGGTTCATGATGCTCACGGAGCTGCTGACAAACACCAAGGCGGGGCTCTTCAAGCCCACGCAGGGGGAGGACCGCGCGTTCTTCCTCAACTCAAACTCCCGCTACGACAATGGCGAGGACCATCTAATTTACTATTACGGAGCGGGGCGGCTGCTTGGGCGCGCGCTGCTGGAGGGGACAGTGCTCAACTTCCACCTGTGCGTGCCGCTGCTGAAGCTCATTCTGGGCACGCCGCTGTGTATGGACGACGTGAAGTACTTTGACCCCGAGGTGTACAAGAGCATGACTTGGATGCTGGAGAACGACGGCGTGGAGGCGCTGGACCTGGACTTCAGCGTGATGGAGCGCGTTGGCGACCGGACCATGACGGTCGACCTCATCCCCAACGGGCGCAACGTCGAGGTGACCGACGCCAATAAGCACGAGTACCTGGAGCGCAAGTTCGAGCACTTCCTGCTGCGGAGCGTTGCGGACCAGCTCTACGTGTTCCTCAAGGGTATCTACGAGGTCATCCCGCAGCAATTGCTGATGCTGTTCGACTACGAAGAGTTGGACTACCTCATGTGCGGATCGCCGGAGATCGACGTGGACGACTGGGAGAAGAACACGTCGGTGGCCGAGAGCGTTGCGCGGTCGCCGACGCTCGTGTGGTTCTGGGAGATCGTGCGCGAGATGCCCAACGAGTACCGGCGCCGTCTGCTGCAGTTCACCACCGGGTGCTCGCGCGTTCCGCTGGTGGGCTTCGGGGGGCTCACCAGCTACGACGGCAAGGTGTGTCTGTTCACGATCCGGGGCATCGTGGGCGCGCCCGACGAGTTCGTGCGCAGCTACGCGTGCTTCAACCGGCTGGACCTGCCGCTGGGCATCTCGCGCGCTGAGCTCAAGCGCATGCTCTACGCCTTGCTGGACACGGAGCTCTACGGGTTCACCACGGACTAAGCAGCGCTGGCGCCAGGTGATTCACCGGCCAGATCCAGAAAACTTGATCTGGTTGAAGTGTACCATTTTTTTTTATTTGTACGCCGCATAATCACGTTAAATGAGAAGGGGCTGACACAATTCCGAGAAAAGAAAACGACTTGAATCATGTATGTGGACCTCGTGTGCAATCATTCCATGTCGTCCGTGACATCCAGCCCACCGCCAAAACGTGAAGCTTTTTTGAGCTCAATTTGTCGGCGCACAAAGCTGCAACTTGGCCACAGAGAAACGGACCCACCCATCCGATTCAGCAGGGGAATTCGGTCTTGTAGGTTTAGGCCCATCTCCCTCGAGCCAAGCTCTGTTGTCGTCGCGTGCTATGTCTCCGCAACCCTTCGACGCATCCGATATTGCAGGTTGGGTTCTACGACCGTTACGGGCGTCATCCCCAGGATTTGGCTTCGCTACTGCAGAAGCGATTCTGCTTCGTCCCGCCTGCTTCCACCGACTTCCTTATCCCCCCACCGCATGACGGCGCTGGCGAGCAACGGCGTCTCTTTCCTGGCTGCCACCGACCTGTCCGTGTGCGTCGCTGTGCTGCTGCTCGCCGCCGTGTTCGTGACCAAGCGCGCCGTGCGCAAGACCAGCTCCGTCGACGAGGACGAGAAGCCCCACAACGCCATGATCCTCTCCACGTACGTGCAGCAGCAACAACATTAACTGGCTGCCTCCTAACTAATCGATGTCCGCTCTGACTCTGCAACAGTGAACAACTGGCCGACCACCGGCTGCTGGCGGCCCAACGGTGCGTACAGTGCAACAGTATTTTAGTCGACTAGCCATATCGTAGCTAACGAACGAACATGGCTACACGTTGTGTTACACCCCCACAGTGAAGCAGAGCGAGGATTCGCGACCTGCATGGCCTGCGGCTTCAAGAACTTTGCGCGCGTGGTGCACTGCGCCCTGTGCGGACTGTCGAGCGCCGACCAGAAGCAAGTGTCCACGTCCGCTGTCCGGCCGATCGTCGAAGGTCCGAGTGGATCTACGCCGCTGCCTCGCGCCCACAAGCGGCGCGAGTGGACGCGCGAGCTGAACGCCCAGAGCCGCCTCGTGTGGCGCCGCCGACTCACGGAGGGCGGCGACCACTCGCCGGGCTACGTGCTGCGCTTCGACCTGCCGCCCGAAGCGGAGCCGGAATCCGAGCGCGCGTCGTCCAAGCGCCGAGGACGGAGTCTCAGCACGGGCTACGACCCGTGCGCGGGCGTACAGTTCGAGCTGCTGGAGCCGCGCGACGTGGACCCCACGCAGTTCCCGCTGCCCCCGCCGCGTGCCGACGTGGCCGACACCCTAGAGGACCTGAAGCGGATGGCGGTGGACGCTGCTGCTCAGGACTTCCCGACCAAGTACGCGCACTTCATCGCTAGTGCGGCGGCGCTGCTTCAAGCAGGCGACAGAAGTCTGCACTCGAGCTTGTCGGTGCACCGTGACTACATCTTGGAGCAGTCTGTGCAGCATATCAACTGCATTCGCGAGACGAGCATCCGCTCCGTGCGTCTCCAAGTGAATTTTGAAGGAGAAGAAGACGCGCCCAATGGCGTCGGCGGACTGCACCGAGAGTGGCTGACCCTCCTGAACGAGAAGCTCGTGGACCCAGAGGTCGGACTCTTCTCCTGCACGCAGCGCAGCGATCAGACGTACTTCATTAACCCGCAGTCGAAGCGCGTGCTCGGCGCCGATCACTTGCAACATTTCCACGCCGCTGGCCGGCTGATCGGCCGCGCTCTGCTCGAGGGCGCTGTGCTCAACTTCCACTTGTGTGCGCCGCTGCTCAAGATGATGCTGGGGACGCCGATTACTTTCGGTGATCTGGAGTACTTGGATGCAGAAATGTACCGCAGCTTGACGTGGCTGCTGGACAACGACGACGCCGAGTCGCTCGAGCTGGATTTCACGGTCACGCAGCGCCACGGCGACCACACGCAGACGGTGGAGCTCATCCCCGCTGGTCGAAACATCCAAGTGAACGACGACAACAAGTTCGAGCTCGCGGACCGCAAGTTCCGCTTCATGATGTTCGAGAGCGTGGCGCCGCAGCTCGCGTCCTTCCTCAAGGGGTTCTACGAGGTGGTGCCTCAGCGCATGCTGCTGCCTTTCGACTACGAGGAGCTAGACTACTTGCTGTGTGGCTCGGACGCGATCGACGTGGCGGACTGGAAGCATCACACCCACATGCACGATACACTGGAGTCTCGGCAAGAAGTGGCGTGGTTCTGGGACGTCGTGCAGGAGATGTCGGGCGTGTACCAGAAGCGACTGCTGCAGTTCGCGACGGGCTGTTCGCGCGTGCCGCTTGTGGGCTTCCAAGGCCTCACGAGCTACGACGGTCAGCTGTGCAAGTTCACGCTAACTGGCGCGGGAGATGTGACCTACTTCCGCAGCCACGCGTGCCACAACATGCTCGAGTTGCCGAGTTTCTCGACCAAAGATGATCTGCGTGCGGCGCTGTATGCCGCTCTGTACAACGAGTCCACCGTTTGCGACAATAAGGGTGCCGTCAACCCCACCACCGTAGCATAGATGTATAGATGGCTAGCAGGCGTAGTTAGTTCGGCTTAAACGCAGTTGTATGGACGATGTAACATGCTTATAGTTTATTTGGTTGCTAGGTTTCAACATTCACTCGACGGCCTTACAGGTATAGTACAGCGTACTTTATCATACGAAGCAGAACGAAGTAACTCGACTAGAAATCCCAGTGAAATCGTCGTTGATCCTAGGCAAGGCTCTTAGCGCTTGTGCCACCAAAATCCGACCACACGTCGTCGCAGCGCGTGGCACTGCATTGCCGTCTCAGCTAAGGCCGTCAGACCACTTGTCATGTGTTGCAACTTGTTCGTACTCGCGAGTGTTTCTTCAACCAGCGAACAGAACGTTGCAATACTGGCGGGTTCAAGCTTGTCATCGATCTGATGATGCAACTGGTCGAGACGTTCCACAGCAAAACATAAAGCGAATATATTGTCCCGGCCAAAAAGGCTTGGACGGAGAATTGATTTTTGATTTGATGGTTTTTGACCGACCGAAACTTCGCAACCACTTGGCCCATGATGCTGTGGCCGCCCTCGATGGAAAGATACGTGTCTATTCCTTTGTATAGCACTAGGTTCACGCCCATAACTCGATTGTTATATTCAAAATTGGTTCGGTAATTTATTATTGCCACGATAGAGTCCGTCCAAGGTTCATGCTTCAAATTTGAAACCTTCATAATTTCTGTTTGACTGTGTTTGAAACGCTCAAACTTCAGGAGCATCTTGACGAAGCTCTGGCCTTTGTGTAGAGAGCGGCTATAGCCGAAACGAGGTTCTGGGAGCTAAGATAGAGCTGCTGGTGTGGTGGAACCAGTGCTCCACACCCAGTTGCTGTTACATATCGATATTAACGTTTAGCTAGTCGCAGTGATAATATATTGAATTTTACAGTATTGGGAACTAGTGTTATGGATAAAGAGGATTTGACCTTGCACTACATATATGTTGTGCGAGGTTTCTAACACCAGCTGTCAAATTATAACATGTAGGATAAATGACGAGATGGTGGTATTTTATCGTGATTATGAGCTTATCCCCAGCTGCTATCCTGATTTGGCCAATTGGGTAGCGGTAAGACAACTACGTGGCAGGCTTTCAATTGCAAACAAAGTTGCAAGAAATAGAAGTATTTTCCAACAGCCGAAATGAACGGGAAGGAGTTCAGATACGCTAAAATAGACCGCAAAATCGGAATCTACGCCCGATTCTACCCCTTATATCTAACTATCGTTATAGGTTTTATGCATGGAAGTAGCCCTAATTATTACTCAAAGTCCGTCCAAGGTTTGGTGTCCGGGACAATAGCGCTCTGTCACGACTCTCAGCATCTCCACTATCGTTTTGTAGCCGCGCTAGCATCTCCCGCGCTTTCGATATGAGATTTGGTACAAATCGCATATTGGCTGCTGTCTCAGTCGTTCGTTCAGTGAAGTACTTGCCAGCCGCTCCAACTAATCGACCACCGTCGAGATTTTGAGCCTCTCCTCCGGATCAAACGCACTCATTTGCTGCACCAACTCCCAGTTAGTGTGTGCAGATCCACTGTTTTCTCGGCGAGGTACACAGTAACAGTAACATAATATTGGTACCGCTTGGTTCACAATGGTCACAGTTACCGGCTCACCGGCAAAACGAGCCCATTTTTAGAACGGTCTAAATCTAGAACGGAGACTTGCAAAAATGGTAGTTACCGACACTTTTGATGTGGCCCCGCTACTACCCTGGATCTTGGTAGGTAGTTCCGAGCTTTCCCTGGGGAAACCGATGACAACAGCGCCTCTGGTTGAGCGCGGAAAAATAGATTTTTAGTGCCGAACAAACATATTCAAATCAGCCCTGATCGCAAGGCATACAAAACAGAAGTAGCGCCGGGGCTGGTGGGCGTGTCGTGTCGAGTGGGTGTCAACATAAATGCAGCACAATGGGGTTCGTAATACAAACACAATAATATCTGCCCCGTTTCTAGAATTTGAATGTTCTAAAAAGTGGGCCTAATCTGCCGGTGAGCCCAGTTACCTACTACCCCCTATATTTAATAGGCTTGGAATGTCGCGCTATAGCTCTCCACGTCGGCTTCACTAATGCAACACCCGCCTTCATCATCAGTCTGCCTCACTTCCTCGTCGCTGTTGCTGTCTCCTTCGTCTACAACGATCGCTCGTCAACCAGACTTGCCAACGGCACTAGACCTTGCCTGGTCCCTTTTGTCCCTGCCGTTGGCGACGTCGAAGTATCTGCCAAGCATCGTTGTTACGTTGGAGACGGGGAAACAGCGATACTGACGAAGAGGAAGTGCTAGCGTGTACGTAGACGACTGGGTGCGGCTTCTGAAGAAAATCGAGGAATGAGTGCTCGACTATGAATAGCTTTACCGCACAGATCATTTACCGCATAAGGCTATCTATCCCACGATAGCCAACGCATGGTCAAAGCTCGTCTTCAAAAGCAATGTTGAAGTCAAGATCCCAAAGCTTCACCTGTAACATGTTATCGGGTCCTTTCAGGCTTCCTGGCGAAGGGGGTCTCATGAGCAGGAAACGTGTTACCAGATTCTGGTACACGGTAACATCCACTGTTTCCTTGGGTTTTCTTGGTAACTGTGGACGTGTACCTGCGCACACTACTCCCAGTGCGCATCGTTGCAAATTGGGGGCCGCGATGGCAGTTTTCGCTGCTTTACGTAATACCGTACGGCATTGTTGTCCAGATTTCCCCAAGGGAGGCATATCTTCGCTCCGTCGTCACCAGCCTCCACGACGCGCAGCGCTTCCAAGATGCACATAGATATCCGACGCAAATGTTGCTCGCAGCTTCTCACCAACGATACACCCCGGTGCAACCCAGTGCGAAGCAGCAGATATCTCCGAATTACTATCGTTATCAACGAAGGAGCTGAGACCAAAGTCCGTCACCTTCGCTCTCCTGTCACTTCCAATAACGATGTTGTTCCCTGTGAGGTCGCCATGCACAACACCGCGCGCATGGAGGTACTGGACGCCCAGCGCACCTTCGTGCAACTTTGACCAGAGTTCATTCGGGTGCTTTCTTAAGTAGCTGACCAGCGTTCCGTTCGTGGCGTATAAGAGTTTCGAGGAGTCGGCTCTTGAGCACTTAGGAGATTAGCGTAGGAGACTGCAAGTAGGTAGGAGAGACGACTTGTGTGGCAAGATGCAAATCGCAAAGTGACCACCAGAGGCGATCGTGTTTTATTGAGCTTCTGTGACTGTGAACTCCGGAGGAAAGCCTTTGGCTACAAAACCCCCATGGACTAACCGGATTGGCTGCTCTGCAAGATCCTGCATTGCAGCCATCAGTTTGGAAGCCAGCGTCCGCACACGCCAGCGTTCCGTCGACCAGAGAGCACACGGCATCTCAGCCGTGTGGCTCACACATAGTGGTCGAGTCCACCCAAAACACACCCTACACAGGCCTCATCAGCAACTTGTGACGCAGTGCAAGTGACCGCTAGACTCAGCTCTTCCGGTCTTGTTCCTGGCTTGATCCGAGCTGGATTCTCGTAGCGTATTCACACACGAAGAAGGGTCGACCAACATGGCACGCGCCAACCAGCCGAATGACGTGGGGGTGGCTGAACCCGAACCAAATATCGACTTCACGTCGGAACATCGCCATAACTCCCGCCCTGGTTGCAGAGGTCCCTGGCTGAACGGACAAACTGAACGACAAGGAGCGAGACTCGTCGACTTCGATACCAGATTCAATCAAAGTTTTGACCACCACGTCCGAATCGAGCCATTTGGCTCGAAACACGCTTCCGAAGCCGCCGTGGCCAAGCGAGTCATACGTGTCAACAACCAGCTCATACCAGGGGATGAACCATTCCGGCGTCAGGTCCGACAAATCGTCCTTCTGAAGGGTGTTTGCACCTCGTACGCCTCCGTCAACACGTATTTTGCAGGGTGCTCAATCTCCGCTTTCAGCGAAGTGAGGAAGACCAGCCGCTCTTCTTGCGACTTGAGTTCTTCCAGCAGAAGGTAGGTTTTCGACGCCTCGGAGACGAAAATCTCGACTTGCTTGCTGCGCTGCTGCTCCCATCGCGCATGCCGCTCACTCGCCACATCGGCCGTTCCCCCAGTGCGGTCCAAAGGGAGTCGAGGCGCCGACGAAAGGCGATCACACTGCAGTTGGTAGCTCGTGTTGCGGACAATTGCAGAACCCGAGTTTGCTCACTCGACATGGATACTATCTGACGGAAGTCGCGCAGCACTTTGTGGAATCGGTCAAGCATTGTCGAGTGATGTGAAGCTCCCTGTAGTCGTTCCGAAACTGTCTTGAGCTCACCGAATGCTTGGCGATAGAGATCATTATCGCACGTCTGCACATAACCGTCCACAATTCTTCTGTGCTGTCACACTTGTAGCTGCAGAAGTCGACTAAGGGCTCGTATTCGGGCTCAAGCGAAATGGAACTCTCTTGAATAGCTAAACGCTCCAGCTCCTGCACGACGGAAGCGAGACTCACACGTATGTCAGGGCTCTTGCAGCACATTCGCCACACCAAATCTCGCGCGTCTTTAGATGAACACTTGGGCCCCCAGGTATCGTACTTGATTTCAGCGCTCTGAAGTAATTGACGTACCTATCCGCGCACCGATACTTCCATGGCATCGCCCTGGCCACGGCTTCTAAAATGCACATTCCCAGCGAATACACGTCTGATGCAAAGGACAATGTCTTGCCGTCAGAAATCTCTGGAGCCTGCCAGCGCATCGATCCGACCCTCGAGGATATTGCCGTTTGGCCCACCTTGGCACTTCGAGTAAAGTTGGCCAGCTTCGACAAACCCTCACTACCAATCAAGATATTGCTGCACCGAAGGTCGCCGTGGACGATTCCGCGCTCGTGAAGATATTCAAGCCCCAACGCAGCTTGATGTAGAAGCGACCAAACTCTTTGCTCGACAGGAGGAGTCGGCGTTACGTATTCAAGCAGCGACCCATTGCTAGCATATTCACAGATAAAGCATTGCAGTGGCAGTGGAGTAGCGTCACAAGCTCCGTACATTTTGATCACGTTGGGATGCCGTAATTGATGCCACAGCCGCACTTCGTCCTCGAACACTGCGTGGTAAGACGCATCAGCGATAAACAGCTTCACGGCGACGTCGGACATGGCTCGATATTCCCCTCCGACGTTGGCGGCCTCCACGAAATGCATCAGTTCGATTTCGGACGGGTGAATGCACCAACTTGGTACCAGGAAATTGGGAGATACTGGTGCATTTCGTTGGGTGGCGGTCACAAATGGAGTGAGAAAACGCTGGATATCTTGGTGGCCATTACCAGCAGCCAACCCAATAGCAGACCATCCGTCCTTGTCTGTTGCATTGACGTCAGCTCCACATTCCTCTGTGAGATACCGAACAATATCCAGGTGGCCGTCGGCAGCAGCCCTCATTAGCGCTGTAGTTCCGCGATGATCAGCGGAATTCACATCAGCAGCACATTCCTTTGCTAGACACCGAACGACATCCAGCTGCCGTTTAGCACAGGCTTGCATCAGCACTGTACACCCGCCTCTATCGGTGGCATTTACGTCAGCCTCACATTCATGAACTAGGCGTCGAATGCAATTTAGATCCTTGTTACCGACCGCCAGCATTAGCGCGGCATTGCCATCTCCATCGACGTCGTTCACGTTGGCTCCACACGCTTCAACCAAGTACTGCACAATTGCAACATGACAATTAACAGCGGCCTTCATGCACGCTGTCGCCCCCTTATCGCTAGTAGTGGCCGCTGCGACGAAGCATTCTCCAGTGAGATACCGAACAACTTCAAGGTGCGATTCAGCAGCAGCTAGCATTAGCGCGGCATCCCCATTCGTGACGTTCACGTCAACTTGGTATTTTTGCTTGAGAAATCGGATGATATCAATGTGATCATTAGCAGCAGCCACCAGCAGTGCGGCATCCAAATCGCTGGCGTTTCCACCACCAAACTCAAGACAAGTCATCGCGAGTGTCATGCGCGCGGCGACGTCGATTTTATATGTGATGCTCTCATCGGATTCACAGCTTTCAGAGATGTTGAACGACACACAGGTGTCCTCTAGCAGCAGCGACCATGAATGTTGTGCTCGTTAGGTTGGCACCGCTTTCCCGGCTAAGCCACCTCACGACACCCTGATGCTGTTTCGCAGCATACAGCGGTGTGGCACTTTGGCCAAAGCCCCAGCGGCCATATTCTCGTCTGTTAGCGGCTGCCAGCAGTACTCGAGCAATATTGAAATCGGTAGCTAGGCTGGAAGTAAAATCCGCACGGATGAAATGTCGCTGTTTGTCAGCAAGATACCCAGCGACAGCCCTGCGCCCGTTAGCAGTGGCCACCACCAGCGCTGTCGTCCCCATATAGTCACGGGCTTCCAGATCGGCTCCGCATTCCTCCACAAGATACCGAACGACATCCGTGAACCCATTTCCAGCTGCCATCATTAGCGCCGAGGTACCGTGGATGTTGGGGGCGTTCACACCAGCCCTGCAACATCTTGCTCGATACCGAACAACGCTAGTGTGCGCAGCCATTAGTGCGGTAGTTCCCGTGTTGTCAATGGCGTCCACATCCACCCCGTATTCTTCAACCAGAAACTGCACAGCCTAAACTGAGTTTCCTGCTGCGGCCACCATCAGCGCGGTGACTCCGTTGTTAGTAGTAGCGTTGACATCGGCACCACATTCTGTAGCGACAAACCGAACGGCACGTACATGTCCGCAAGAAGCAGCTCGCAAGAGCGCCATGGTTCCATCGGCATCTCTACATGTAGTATTAACATCAGCGTCGCAATCATGAACCAGATATTGAATAACGCTTACGTCTCCTTCGCTCGCGGCCTTCATTAGTCCAGCTATGTTGAGATCGCTATCCTGGGAGTCTGGCATAACATTATCATTCCGTCTGGACGAGCGGAGCAGCTTGGTAGGCCTCTCCACGGTTTGCTCTGCTGCTTGCCGCACGCAGTTGGCACCCATGCTGGCCCACTCTAGCACGCTGGGTCTCAATAGGTACCCAGCAAAAGAAAAAAAATATAGTTCAAACGTGAAATGATAGAAAGTTGAATGAGTGGCGTTCAGTGAACACCGCAACACGTATGGGCAAGTTGCAGTATTGTGAACTACTGGTTGGAGGTTTTCGACCGGATTCAATTCGCAACAAGACAGAACACTCAAAGCACCCTCTGAACCAGCAAGCTGAAAAAAGACTTCAAGTAGTTTTTATGCCTGCCAGCATTTTAGCTTTTTTTTTTTTAAAAAAAAACAACTATTTGAAAGCAGCACTCGTCAACTTGGAAGTCAATACCGTATGCAGTGGATGGATCCGGTACTTTGTTAATGAATATTGTCAGCAATGATGATAGCTACTGGGAACACCCGAAGAATGAGGGGGTGGACAGCTCCCAACGGATTAATTGGACGCGTAAGCGTAACCTGGCGCAGCCTTCGTGCTACACCAGCCAGAAGGATGTCGACCGAACAGGTTCAACGGCAACTACAGACTGAGGCAGGAAATGCACGTCAACAGACCCATGCACCAGCTTCAGAAAGTGAACTGCGGCACGCGCGATATTCATGGGTGTGGCCCCGCAGGGGTCACGCCCTTGAATCAGTCATCACGGCAATTAGCACCGGTACCAGCACCAGCATTTTATTCCACAGGTGTTCCCAGCCAAGTCGAAGACGATCTAGTTCATTGTCTGTCATCATTGTTGACTCCGTATAGCTATGCGATGTGCCAATACTACAATTTCGGCTCGACCCTGAGGAGTTAGGAGCTTCCTGCCGCGCGCGGTTCTCGCTTACGAATTTACCTTTCAGCCACCCAAGTTCCCAGTTCTAACAGCACGAACCATGCGGCTTCCTCAAGTTTTGCTGGTGGTCGCGGCTTGCTTCCTGCTCACCTGTGAGGCTCTCTCGACAGGCACGGGCTCCAACCAGGCCCAAATCGTCAAAGCGACATCGGTCCTTCGCCTCAGCCGGCGACTTCTCCGGACCGAACCGATTGAAGAGGGCGAAGACGATTAATCCGAGGAGAGAACGATCTCGAAGTCTGAAATGAAGGCGATCCTCAGTGAACTGGCTATTGAGTGGGCGAAGGCCAAGGCAAACTTTAACCACCTACTATTCCATCCCAAGTACCCGCAGTACCAAGCGAGACTCAACGAAGTCATCACTACGAAAAAGTTGAGTGGGGCCCCTTGATCTTGAGCCCCAACAGGAGGAGTATTTTTCTCGCTCTCCAAACCGTGCGTGTCGAATCCTACATGTCCATGTGTGACTGGCTGATTAATGTGATGTGAACGTTAGATGTGACTAATCGAATAAATCGTCGGCCTCTTTCCAAACTCGCTAAATGATTTCCGGAACGCAAGATGTTCCGTCAGATCCAGCACGGATTCGCTCGGCCGGTCGAATATACTGACGCCGTTCTGAAGGACTTATGAAGTCCCCTACACACATCTAATGCAAAGTGATACATATTGTTTCCGCGCTTTAAATGAGAAACACTATTTTGTGGACGGGATAACATTATAAACACTGTTTGGTACTTTGACAACGAACGACGTTGAAATCTGCAAATACTCTAGTGGAGGCTTGGTGATGGTACCAAACAATGGCAACTCGACGGCCGCGCTCTACTGTCCGCGTTTTCATCCTTCTGCCCAGCGTCAGTGGTGCAACTAGCAGAGGAATGTGCAGCGCTCGACCCATCCACTCGACCGTCCGCGCCCATGGTGGTCTACCGACTGCAGACTATCCTGAAGGAATCGTTTAGTTCTTAATTGACGTCTGGTTTCTTGATGCACCTTGTGATGCATACACGTACAAGTTGTAGGTCCATTTTTTTCCGATTACGCACGTGCACAGTTGACGTGGTTGCCGGGGGCTGCCGTATCCGACGGCAGGCAGCCTTCCTATCCCAAGTTGAGATCTCGACCACATAATCGCGTGACTGCATCAACACTCAAAGATCCCAATCGAGCGCCAGTCGTTGCTATAGCGAAGCTGGCTTCCGTGAGGCACAGCAACAGACAATGGATCAGACGATCTATTCGAATGAGCCCACTTCCCAACTTTCGTTCAAGCGAGCAAAGGCCGAGGGCTTCAATTGGAGTGTTCAAGATCGTGCTACAATGCGGTTCAGCCCCCTGCTGCTGGTCGGCTTAGTCGCCTTCATCGTCTGCTGTGGCGTCGTCTCGCCTCCAAAGATGTGTACTCCAAGACTGCTTCCTCGGATCTCGTGAGCCCACTCGAATCTTCGTCGATTGGCCACAAGGGTGGTAGACTCTTGCGATCAACCGCGTCTGCTGATGCTACCCGCAGGGAAGCAGACGATCAAGAGCGAGCGGGAGTTTTTGAGAAACTTGGCAACCTCCTGTGGAAGCTTTGCAAGGGGAAGGCGGAGTGCATGGACGAGTTGAGGCCGATGCTGCACCGATCGAATTCAGCCCCCCTGATCCCCTCTGAGAAGATGGCTGCGGCTCCGATTCTGACCAGGGCCAAGACCATATCACATCAGCACGTATTTAATGTGGAGGCTGTCCTCAAGATGTTGAAATATGCCGGCGACGATATTGAGCAGTCCTTGAAGAAGGTGTTTGTGACCATGGTGAAGCAGAGGAGGGATCCCGACGAGGTGGCAGTGTTCTTTAATCTCCACCCTAAAGTTCAACTGTCGAGGCAGACTGGAAAGAACGCGATGCTTGCCGCGAAGGCTCAGGCGAACCCTGGGGAGTACTACCTCTTCTACAAGTACTATTTGTTCTTCAAGGACGTGAACCCTAGCTGGACGAGCAAGTTTGAGCGAGCGACGGGGGCTTAGCTACTGCAGAGGATATGGGCGTGGGTTAGCCAGTAGCCTGGTACGACACGTCACGTGTAGAAAGCTCTTGCACAATGAACAGAAAACAGAATGATTGTGAAGCTGGGGGAGGGAGCATCGGCATAGTACCCCGCTACACTGTACTGTTACTCGTGCACTACGGACAGGAACTCTGCAGCAGCAGCACAACGAAAAAAATGCGAATTCGAGGATTAATACTACACGAAAAGATGACCTTTTGGTATTTGTTTTGGTATTCTGCTCTAATGTTGCAAGCGGTTTGTACAGTATAGATCGCAAATGTACTTGCTGATACGCGAGAAGCCTTTGCACGCTGTTGTACTTTTCCTTCCCTGCGAAAATCTCGTTGTGGACTTCAGGTTATAGAGGTCTGCGTTAGAAAATGACACAGGTTACTACTCTCGGAGGCAACAAGCCCTGCTTGGCGTGGCATTGCACGACGAAGTTGTCGAGAAAACCCCATGAGAGCAGGCTTTTGTAGGGTCTTCTCCGGCCTCTACGACCCGCAGAGCCTTCACTTACTCTCTCGGCATGTGCATTCACGAGGCACATACCGAGAGTGTAAATGTCGGAAGCAAGGGTTGGGCGTGCACGCTCTTCAATGAAACATTCCGGGGCCACCCAGTGCGAAGCACCAGAGATTTTCGAATCCGCGCCGCCGCTGGTCATCGCGCTCAGGCCGAAGTCCGTCACCTTGGCCTTCAAGTCGCTCCCGATCACAATATTATTCCCTTTAAGGTCCCCGTCGCGCGCGTGAAGGTATTAGACGCCTAACACAGCTTCAATCAATTTCGACCAGACTTCGTCGGGGTGTTTTCTGAGATAGCTGACCAACGCATTCGTACCGAACAGGAACCACACGAGGATGGCTGAGTTCGAACGAAATGTCGACTTCGTGTCGGAAGACTGACATGGTGTTCTCTTTTTGCGGAGGATTCACTGCCTGCGCCAATGAACTAAACGACAAGGATGTGGAAGACATGTCGAAGCGCCCAATGCCTGCCTCCTCAAAACCTCTGGAGCTTGCCAACGTACCAAGCCCATCCGTGAGAAGGCTGCATTATTGTGAACTTTGGCCAGCTTCGCCAAACAGTCACTGCCGATCAGAATGTTGCTGCACCGCAGATCTCCATGGATTATTCCACGTTCGTGAAGATATTCAAGTCCCAATGCTGCTTGATACAAGAATGAAAAAAAAATGCCACACCCACTAATCTTCGAGTGGAATTAATTTCACGTACTCGAGGAGAGATCCTTTCCTGGCGTACTCGCAGACGAAAAACTGCATCGGTAGCGGACTTGCATCACAGGCGCCATACATTATCATCACATTCGGGTGGTGCAGTCGATGCCATAGATACTCTTCATCCTCGAATGGGACGTGCGACGAAGCGTCCGGAAGAAATAACTTTACGGCGGCGTCAGCGTCGAGCCACTTGGCTTGATATTCACCTCCAACATTGCCAGTCTCCACGAAGTACACCAGCGAGACATCAGAACCAGGGATAAACCAGTTCGGGCTGTGGCTCACTCTTGTATCGGCGGCCGTAGAATTCTGTGTCAACATATCGTGATCATCCGGTTGAGGGACGGAAAGGAAGCGGGTGAGGAACCGTTGGATGACTTCGTGGCCGCGCTCGGCAGCGAAGCGAATTGCGGTGTATCCGTCCTCGTTTGCAGCGTTCACGTTGGCCCTGCACACCGTAACTGGGTACTGCACAACGTCAACTTGCCCATACAGAGCCGCGATCATCAGCGCTGTTGTTCTCGTACTGATCGCAGCATTAGCATCAGTCCTCTAGCAGCGACCCTCATGAGAATCGTGGCTCCTCCACAGTCCACTGCATTCTCCAGCTAAGTACCGCACAATGTCAGCATGTTGTTCGGTTTCAGCTCTCATGAGCGCTGTGTGTCCCCTGTAGTTAGCGATGTTCACATCAGCTCCGCACACCGCGACCAAATACCGAACGACGTCCAGGCACCCAAAGCCAGCGGCCTTCAGCAGCGCTGTATCTCCGTCTAGAGCCGTGGCGTCCACGTTGGTCATCAAGTTCCCAACGATACAGCGAAGGCCGTCAACGCTCCCGTCCGCAGCCACTTGTACCAGTGCTGCGGCCCACGCGCCGTCACTGGAGGCAGACCTTTGACCATCTGCAACTTTTGCATCTCTGCCTCGCTACTGGCGCCAAACCGAGCGACAGCATCGTGCCGATCGGCCGCTGTCTCCACCATTACACGACTAGTGGTGTTCATCACGACCCGACATTCCGCTACCAGGTACTGAGCGACATCGGTGTGTCCGTACTGGGCTGCTAGTGTCGCTGCCGAGTCTCCAAACACGGTAGTGGCGTCCACGTCAGCTCTGCGCACCTTAGCGAGATACTGAACGACGTCCATGTGTCCTCCAGCAGCAGCCTTGAGGAATGCTGTTAATCCCTCGCGCTCCTGGAGCTCCGGCTAGACACTGCACGACCTCGATGCGACCCCACGCTGATGCCTCCATCAGCGCCGTGTTGCCGTGCTCATCCCGGGCGTTCACGCTGACACCTGCCTCCAGCACGCGGCGAATATGGCGGATATCCCCCCGTCGAGCAGCCTCGAAAAGCGACTGAGGTGTCTCCATCTTCTCTTCGGGATAAAGGAAGCGGCTCAGATGAGGTACCGCAAAGGTTTTGTTTTCAGGAGATATATATTCCCTTGCCCTCCAATACTTACTTCCAGCCAGCCCTACCTGCACATGCACACTCATGAATACTCCCAAGCTTCCGCTCCAGACTCACTGGGGCAGAACCCTGTCCACTTCCTTGATATCGATGCCAGCGTCCAGCATCTTCTTGCGGTTGAGGGCCGTGTTGCAAGCGACGTCAGCTTGCAGTTGCGCCTTCTTGCATTCCAGCTCAAACTCTTGCAGGCGTCGGCTATACTCTTCAGCATTCAGCTTCGCATCGGGCTGAGGTCCACCTCGTGGACACGCGTCAGTGCCCTGCACCACACGAATATGTGGCGATTGAGACTGCACCATTCGAGCACTGTCCATTCCAGGGTCGTGCCCGGCGTCAGAGAGAGTAGTGTCACTGGAGCCCTCGCTAGGCGCCGTGGATGCGGGAACGCCACGTTGGAACACAGGGGCAAGCTCGTCGTAGTACCGGCAGAGCTTTTCGAGTTGGCGTCGGACATCGCCCGCAACGCTGCCACGCTGGAAGTCTGCGTAGTGGCCATTCGCCAGGAGCCAATTCGTAGCCGTCTCGAAAGTGTTCTCGAGCTTGTCCATCTTCATCCAGACGTTCTTCGCCCCGCGGTGCATGATGCCTTGCCCTTTCAGATGCGCCACAATCTCATTGCACACAGACTGCTTCCCCGCCGTTTGCCAGCGGTGGTAGTTGCCAGGAATGCTGAGCCACTGGAAGAGCACGTCCAGAGACGTGGGCGAGTCGAGGTCTTCTGCGTCGGCATCCCAATATCGCTTCGAAGCGACCTTCTTGCTCTTCTTGCTCTTCTGGCTCCAGTTGTGCTTGCGTCCACGCGGCATGGATGTCGGCCCGAGTGTGTAGATCGCAGCTTTCCCCTCTTGAACGAACAATGAGCTTTGCGGCGGCATTCTTTGGCCGCATCCCACAACTGGGAGTAGAATCTGGGACTAGGGGCAACTCGCGCATGCAAAGAGAACTCGCTCTCTCTAGCAGCCAGCCGACTCTGCAATGTTGCTGCAACGATCACATCGGGCCCAGGAAAGCTCAAGGGAAGCTAGCCGGTAACAAAGCCAAAAACACTTCGCAGAGTGCAATTAGCATCGCTGCCTCTGTTCGCATTGGCCATCTGAACAGAAGCCGGCCGCAAATGTCATCCACTATATCCTTGACTCTGGTTCAACGGGCCGTGCACATGACATGCCCAGTAGAGTGACCACGGTTTTACGACACCGATCACACGCGGTGTCAACACTCCAGCCAGCTTACCACGTAAATCAAATTCCCATCGAGAGCACGCAGTTCATCTTTACTCTGCACCCTTCTGGTCTTGCAACCCGCCAATAGTCCAGCAGCTAACACCCACTCGCCCATTTTCCAGTACGTCACAGTGGGAAGATGCGATCCACCTCTTCAGCGGAGATCCCAGCGTCCAGCAGCTTCTTCCGTGCCAAAGTCTTCTCCAGCACCAGCTGAACGTTCCTCGTCTCAATCTCGGACTGAAGCCGCGCACACTCCAGCTCAAACAACCGCCTCTTCTGGGCCTTGGCCTCGTCCTCACTGTCGTCTTCAGCAGCAGCAGCAGCAGCGGCAGTAGACCCCGTGCTCTGTCGCCGTGGTTTCTTCGCCGGTCTTGGAGGCGTATCAGCAGCATCATCAACGTCACCCACCTTAGATCTCGATGCAACTTCACTGCTAACTTGAGTTGCAGCTCCACTGCTCACTTGGGCTTCACTTCTCTCTTGAGTTGCAGCCTCTTTGCTCACTTGTGTTGCAACTTCACTACTAACTTGAGTTGCAGCTTCAACCGTAGCAGTAGCCGGCACCTCGGAACCTTGAGCTGCATCTACCGCACTGTCATCATAGTCCACGTACGCAGCCAGCACGGGCGCGAGTCTCTCGTAGTGCGGGCACATGTGTCGCACGTGGCTCTTGATTCCTTCCTGCTCCAGCGTCATCTCCTCCACCTCCGCCGGGTACTCGACCCTCGTCTGCCTCAGCCACGTGTGCGCCGCCTGGAATGTCATCACGAACGTCGACAGCTGCTGCCTGATGTCCGCGCCGCTCATGCCCCGGAGTCCGTGCGAGCGCAGGAACAGGTTGATCTCCCCACAGAGCGGCTCCTTCTCCTCCTCGTCCTTCAGCAGCCACCACCTCGAGTAGCTCCCGGGCACCGCGATCCAATCCAGCAGCAGCTCCGCGGTCGCGCGTCCCTCCTCCCTCCTCTCACTCTGCAGCGAAGTAGAATCCCCCTCCTGAACTTCTGCCTCTTCTTCTGCCACTTCCGCCACCTGAGTCTCCTGTTCTACCTCCACCGAGTGATCCTCCTCCTCCTCCTCTACCTCTTCCTCCTCCTCCTCCTGCCCCTGCTCCTCTGTGACTATTACTACCTCACTCTGCTGCTGCTGCTGCTGCTGTAGAGTGGGTGGGTCCCCCCTCCTGCCGATACTGAGCTGGTGCCTGCTGACGAAGCTGCTGACCCAGCCCTTGGAGAAGCTCAGGTCGGCGGGCAGCTGCATCTCCCTCGCCAGGTCCATGGCTCGCTGCTGGATGGCGAGCCGCGTCACGGGCTGCAGCCGCAGCTGCTCGTGCACCCAGAGCAGCACGCGCCGGTCCAGCTCCGGGTGGCGCACGCGCCGCGCCGAGCGGAAGTCCGGGGGCACGGCCGTTGCCAGGAGCTTGCTCTTGCCGCGCAGCAGGTTGGAGATGGTGGCCTGCGTGGGGCGGCTCTCGAGGCGGAACTGCTCCTTGGCCCACAGCGCCAGCGCGCGCTGCGTCCACGACGGCTCCTCCTCCTTCTTCTGCACGATCGCCAGCTTCTGCCGGTACGTCAGGTTGCGCCGCCGCGGCCGCGTCGCGGATGAAGACGTCGCCATCGAATACTTGATGGGTCGAGAGGTTCGTCTTACTTTATATGGGAAAGACTGTTAAAATTGGTGGTGGATGTGGTTATTATTATGTGTGTACCACATCGATTCGGGAGAGGACCCTTATTGGTTTTGGCTCAATTATTTCGAGACGACTGCAGCGTTGCGCATTGTCGAGCCCCGTCAAGTCGAGTCAAGTCGAGTCAAAGTTGATGGGGCGCGCGCAGGCGCTGACGGCCGAGCAGAGGCTGGCGATCGTGCGCCAGAGCGACCGGCACCCGGCGTGGAAGCAGAAGGAGCTGGGCGAATGGGCGGCCGACACCTTCCACCTGAGCGTCGTGCCGTCGCAGCCCACCATCTCCATCGTGCTGCGCGCGGCAGGCAGGCCAGCCAAGCCGCGGGCGAGCACAGGGGCTAGAGCGCCCAGGAAGCTGGTGACCAAACCCAAGCCACAGCCCAAGAAGCCGAAAGTCGTCCGGTGTCCGGAGGTGGAGCGCGCGCTGGTGCGCTGGCTGGACGCGCAGATTGCCAAGGACCTGGCCGTTTCGGTTACAGCGGTCCAGACGCAGGCGCGGGGGCTGGTGGACACGTTGAAGGTGGAGGTGGACGGTTTCGTCGTGTCAGACGCGTGGGTGGACACTTTTGTGCGACACAATATTCTCAACTGTCCATTTGGACTGTCCGACTCGGAGCCGACGACGGACGGAGAGGACGACAAGGTGCACGCACGCGTCGCTGCTAAGAAGACGGTAAAGAGCGTGAGGACGCACGCAGACACTGAAGCAGGGTCGAAGGCGGGCAAGACGAGTCGCAGAGTGGTCAAGCCCCTGGCGTCAAAGACGGACTCGCGCAGGCCCGCGCCGACAAAGGTGACGTGTCCACCGGCGGGAAAGCGGAAGCGCGAGAGCTGAGAGCGAGGAGCATGCACAGACGAGAAAATAAGGTAAAATATCAACAACCCAGTTTTATGAGGAATTACAGAGGTACGTGTTCCATATTTTTATTCTGACGCGTTGGTAGTTTTGCTGTTGTATTTTTCTGACTGCTTGTACAGAGCGTGGAGCGATTCTGTGTCCAGTTCAAACGACGTGAACGTCGGCATGCAGTTGACGTGACAATGGCCAGAGTTGCAAGCGACGGTGATTCACTGCTTCGCGATGGCGTCTTTGGGCCCACTTTGGTCTCTCCGTCCTCTTCGGTCGCTGCTCCGTCGCCCCCCATGTCCCCAGGCCCGCCGATGACTTTTCGTGGTGCAACCCCAAAAGTCGTGTCTGAAGGTTCCGATATCAACGACTTCGCGTCTGCTGCTATTGCTACTAGGAGCCATTTCGCCCGATACGTGCATAAGCTTCCCGCTCCATATCGCCCGATGAACAGTACCGGCCAGGCGCGAACCACCCCTGCTACCAAGGCGGACGTGATGAAGGCGGCTGCCAGTGGGGACCTCGACAGACTTCGGGATCTTGTGAGCGAGTGCGGTGCATATTTCGTGGCTAGTGGAGACCAGGAGGGTCTCACGGCCTTACAGTGCGCAGCTGATAAAGGGCGCATTGACGTGGTTCGCTACCTGGCTGGACTCGGCGCTGACCCGAACGCCGCTGACCGCAACAATGTGTCGCCTCTGATGAAGGCTGCCGGTGAAGGGCATCTTGGTGTGGTGCGGTGTCTAGCTGGAGACTACAGAGCGGACGTGAACGCCGCGGATCGTAACGGCAGAACGGCCCTCATCAAAGCAGCGTGCGGAGGGCATCTTGGTGTTGTTTACTATCTGGCTGGAGACTGCGGGGCTGATCTGAACGCCACAGATTGCAATGGGAGAACTGCTCTAATGGAGGCTGCCGGGGAGGGGCGTCTTGACGTCGTTCGGTGCATAACGAAAACTTACGGGGTCGATGCGGGCGCCAGTGGTATCCGCCGTAGTTCAGCGTTAACGAGAGCTGCTCGTGGGGGGCACGTTGATGTTGTTCGCTACCTGGTCGCAGACTGCGGGGTTCGGGTGGACGCCACTGATTGTTGTGATGATAAAAACTGTATCGGCCGAACAGCGCTCATGGAGGCCGCAGATGCAGGGCATCTTGATGTTGTTCGCTGTCTGGTTGGACAGTGTGGGGCTGATGTGAACGTAAGAAACTTTATTGGAGTCACAGCGCTGACTATGGCCGCAACTAGAGGATATTTTGACATTGTTCGTTATCTAACCAGCGACGGTGGAGCTGCAGGAGATGAAAAAGACAACCAAGGGGTCACTACGCTGGCCAAGGCTGCTGCTCACGGCCATGTCGACATTGTTCGCTATCTAGCCACCAATTCTCCGGTCGATGTGAACGCGATAAGTGATACGGGCATGACAGCTCTGATGGAGGCGGCCTCTCATGGACACACGGAGGTTGTGAGGTCCCTCGTCACTGGGTGCGCAGCTGACGTGCACACGGCGGATCGCCATGGAAACACAGCGCTGCTCATGGCCGCGTCTAGGGGGCATCTTGCAATTGCCCGGTGCATAACGCGACAGTCTTCGGGTGCTGTTCACGCTCGAGACGAACAAGGGAATACGGTGCTCATGAAGGCCGTTTCGACTGGAGACGTGGATCTGGTCAGGTGTCTAGTGACGGAAGCCAAGTCTGAGGTGGACTGTAAATCTAACACAGGAACTACTGCACTGAAAATGGCCGTGGACGAAGGGCACACCGATATCGTTCGATTTCTGGCGCTAGAGTGCAGCGCAGACGTCAATTCCGCCGATGATTTCGGGTTTACAGCGTTATGGAGCGCTGCGGATAAAGGAGATACTGCGATTGTTCGGTGTCTCGCGACAGAATGCGCCGCTGACGTGAATGCGGCCACTTACGACGGGACCACGCCGCTGATGAGGGCGGTGGAAAGAGGGCATATCGATGTCGTGCGGTGCTTAGCTGGGGAGTGTAAGGCTAACGTAGATGCCACTAACGAAGATGGGGATACAGCGCTGATCATAGCTGCGTCGAGAGGAGATACCGATGCAGTTCGGTATCTAGTCGAGTCATGCCGAGCTGATGTCAACATCAGAAACCGAAGGGGCTACACGGCAATTCAAGGTGCAGCTGATTCCGGCGACCAGGAAGCCCAACGCATTCTTACGTCGCTCGTTACGGCTAAACAAACCGAGGCTCGTGCGATCGCAGTGGTGAATTACGGACATTCTGGTGGAAGAATGGATGATAGCTGGTACATTCCTCCGTCTGAAGTGGTGCTCCTGAAATTTGAGCAGACCAGCAACATTGGCGGCGACTATCGAGCCAAATGGCTAGATGCAGATGTCGCCGTGAAATTTTTTATCCCTGACGCTTCCTCTCACGCCTCGTTTGAGGGCGAAGTGCGTCTGTGGCATCAATTGCGTCACCCTAACGTGATCAAACTGTATGGCGCCTGTGACGCCAGTCCACTGCCGCTGCAGCTCTTTGTCGGTGAATACGCAAGCAACGGATCACTGCTCGAGTACGTGAAGTCGACTCCTCCTGCCCAGCAGAGGATCTGGTCGTATCTACACCAAGCAGCGTTGGGTCTTGCCTATCTCCACGAGCGCGGGATTGTGCACGGCGACCTACGCTGCAGCAATATCCTGATAGGCAGTGATGGGTTGTCGAAGCTGGCCAATTTCTCGCGAAGTGACCAGATCGACACGAGAGCACCATTCTCTAAGGCCGGATCAATACGTTGGCAAGCTCCAGAGGTTTCTGAAGGCAACAGAATGTCCTTTGCATCCGACGTGTACTCCCTGGGTATGTGTATTATAGAAGCCGTGACCAGAGATATGCCATGGAAGCATCGGTGCACGGACAGATACGTCAACGTATTCATATCCTATTGGGCTCCAGAGTTGACGTTCGATACCTGGGGGCCTAGGTGTCCACCTGGAAAAGCTCGAGATTTGGTATGGAGGATGTGTGGCAAGAACCCAGACAAACGTACGAGTCTTGCTTTCGTCATACACGAGCTGGAACGTCTATCGGTTCAAAAGAGTGCGAACTTGAATCTGTTTGAGAACGAAATCACGACTACCGGCGGGTTTAATAATCGGAACAGTGATGGCATTCAAGAACTATATACAAATGTGCAAAGTCGCATGCAAAACTGCGATAACGATCTCTACCAAGAAGCATTCGCTGAGCTCAAGACGATCCGTGAGCGTCTGCAGGATGGGTCCTATTCCTCCACGATATTCGACCAATTTTACAAAGTCTTGCGTGACTTTCGCCAGGTCATCACGGTCTCGAGGGAACAAGCTCGAGTACTGCAGCTGTCAGCGACGCGAACTACCAGCTCCAGTATTATCGCCTTCCGTCGACGGCTTCAGGCCCTTGCGATAGCATTGGGCGAGTCGACCGATGGGATTGCAGAGCGAGAGCAAGACGTACTATGGGACAAACGGCGCAGACAGCAGATCGAGATTTTCGTCTCCGAGGCGTCGAGGACTTATCTGCTGCTTGAAGAATTGAAGTCACAAGAAGAGCGACTATTGTTCCTTGCCTCGTTGAAAGCTGAGATAGAGCACCCGTCACTGGAGTACACTTCTGGGCAGCTTGACGTGCTGAAGAAAGCGTATGAGGAGATTGCGAGCAAGCTGGATGCAAATGATTTGTCGTCGCTTACTCCTCGGTGGTTTATCCCGTGGTATGAATTAATCATTGACGAGTACGACCAGCTAGGGAGCGGTGGCTTTGGGAGTGTCTTCAGAGCGAAGTGGCTGGATTCTGATGTTGTGGTGAAACTCTTGTTAAGTTCTGGAGACCATTCTACAAGTGTGTCTTATGATTCACTGCTCCAGCCATCAGCTACTACAGCGAACGCTACGATCCGGACGGATATGATGGCAGAGTTTAGACATGAAGTAGACATTTGGTTCGGGTTTAGTCACCCCCACGTCGTTCGGCTCTTCGGGGCTTGCCACGTTGGCAAACCGTTGTTCGTGTGTGAGTACGCCACGAACGGGACGTTGGTCAGCTATCTAAAGAAACACCCCGACGAGGTCTGGTCGAAATTGTATGAAGCTGCCCTAGGCGTTCAGTACCTTCATGCGCGCGGTGTCGTTCACGGGGACCTTAAAGGGAATAATATTGTGATCGGGAGCGATCGGAAGGCCAAGGTGACGGACTTTGGTCTGAGCGCGATGACCAACGACGGCGCGGATTCAAAAATCTCTGGTGCTTCGCACTGGGTGGCCCCGGAGTGCTTCATTCATGAGCGTGCACGCCCAACCTTTGCGTCCGACATTTACTCTCTCGGTATGTGCGTTGTGGAGGCTCTGCGGGTCGTCGAGGCCGGCGAAGACAACACGAAAGCTTGCCTACCATGGGGTTTTCTCGACAACTTCGTCGCGAAATATCACGTAACGCAACGTGCATTGCCTCCAAGACCACTTTGTACGGACGAGCAATGGGAGCTGGTGCAGCGAATGTGCGCTTTCGAGCCGAGCAAACGGATCAAGATTTCGACTGTGGTAGGCGAACTGGCAAAAATGGCCAATATTCACCTCTCGGCTAACATGTCGATTGAGCCTGTGAATCCTAAATCTGTTGCAGAAATGATCACTGCGGCCCGGACTCTGTTAGCCAAACTACAAGACGACAAGGAACAAGAAGGATCCGTGTTCTCCTTGTACAGCTCCCTGTGGGATGGGCTCGCCCAGGTACACAACCAGTGTGGAAATTTGCAAAGTTCTACAGATCTCGCGGATTTTTACTCCCTCGTTCGTGAAGCGTACGAGGGCACGAAAATGTTGCGAGACCCAACGACAAGTCTGATATCACTGGCGGAGACTGTGCTGCAGTGCTACGCGTTGCAACGTCGGTTGATTAAGCTGTTGGAAGCAAACTTCCTCCCGCTGCGCGGTCAAGACAGTGCAGCAAGTTCCGATTCCAAATGAGATGCAGTCATCTACAAAGAGAAAATCTTTGGCGGGCCAAACTTGTAGAGATACCCCGGACGTACACTTCGATCCACCGTCTTGAGTAGTGTCGCTATCTTTCGACGACTTGGCTTCGTTTGGTTAGTATTTGGCGAGCCGGCGAATGCAAAGCGAAAGCAGTACAAGAAGCGCTGAAATTTTTATCTGAGGTTTCAAGCGTGTTCTCTATTTTTGGTCGAAGAACTGAAGACATGCTCACACCTTAAACTACCACAACCGGCAGTAGTAGTTTGCACGCATTAGCAACACTGTTCGTTTAAGTGCGATGGTGTAACTGCAGTAACTTCAACATCCTCGTCACTTGCTTTGTCTTCTCGAGATGCTTTATCATTACCTCGTGCACTCGACTTACAACATCAAAACACTACACTCAAGAGCCAACACTAAACTACACTTCTTCCTGTCGACATCGCAGCCATCGTCGTCTTCATGGGTCGTTTTGCAGTGCCGACAGTGGCAGCAGGAGGTCGATATCTGCCTTGGGGATCCGCTGGTGCTTGAGCGACTGCCGCGACTGCAGCGTGTCCACCTTGAGCTGGAGCTCGTGTTTCCGCAGCTCGATTTCTTGCTGTCGCCGCTCGGTCTCCAGCCGCATATCTTGTCGGCGCCGCTCCATCTCGAGCTAAAGGTCCTCCCGCCGCTTTTCCGTCTCGCCACGGTACTGCTCCGTTTCGAGCCGACAGCGAGCGACTGCGACCTCGCACTCGTCCTTCACCTGCTCCGTGGCGAGACGCAGCTCGCAGACTTTCTCAACCTGCTGCAGATGGCAAGCTTCCATCTTGCGTCGGACCTCAGCAGCGGCGCCTCCGAACGTGGCTGGCACGATAGCGCTACTGCCAGCCTCGGCTTGCGTAGTGGACTCCGTGTCGGCTGTGTCTGCCGCAGTCATGCGATCAAGAGCTGGTTGGGTGCTGCGGCGGCGCTTGCTCCTGCGAGATCCGCTGATACCATCGGTTGCCTTGCGCATCATGTTTCTTGCTGCGTTGCCGCCTCCACCATCGTAGCCGCTGTCGCCGCTGTCGTCGCCGGTGGTCCAGTCTTTCGGGCCCATGTCGCGCAAATCGATCCGCCGGAAGATCGGTAGCAACACGCGATACTCGGGGCACTCCTTGGTCACAGCAGCTTCGACATCTTCATCGACAACCTCGCTCTCGAGGTGGTCGCTTGGCTGGCCGCTGCTCCGCAGAATTCGCACCGCAGAGACGAATTGATTGACCAGCTTTTCGATCTTGGATTGAACGGCGCTGGCTGTCCGGTGGCGGATCCCGTTCGCTTCCAGCATTGAGAGAATCTCCAGCGATGCGTCACGCTTCTTTTTGCTCCATTGCTCGATGTGTCCGGGAACCTTCAGCCACCCGACCAGCACGTCCAGCGACGTCGGTCCACCTTGCCCCACGCTGTCGCCGTCCCACGGAACTAGACGCTTACTCTTAGCATTTTGGCCGGGATCTGACGGAGCGTGCTTGTTGTTTGTCCTCAGATGCATGCTGCTCGCTCGGGGGAAATCTCCAAATGACACCAAATCGATAGTTTGGTCGCGCCCGGTCTCAAGTGCCAGCAGCTTCAACCGGTTGACTATCACTTTCGGACAAACTTCTGTAGACAACGTCCTGCTTCGACCCGCACAACGAACACGAGCGCGGCAGTATCCAAGCAACACAAACAAGCAAGTAACTACAACAGTAGTTAAAATACCTCTCTTGTTGAGGAAAATGTCGTGTCATCCAGTGCAGGTAGTTCAACAAAGCGTGCCCGACGGCGCGCAGGACTTGGTAGCAGTTTGCAGACTGATATTGATGACTCCCCAGACCCCAGTAATAGGAAATATTACTCCGAGTTGCGGCAACATCGGCGATCTTCAAATTCCACGCGACCCTCATTGCGAGTCCAGTGCGGGGTTTTGTGTGCTCGGCGACTGATCTTTGATTTTCATGTATTCCCGTAGTAAAACCAACCAAACAAACAAAAACTTGCGTCTTGGAGACTTTATTTAGAGCTCCAGTGATCGCAGAGTTTGAGTTTTCTTGGTTATAAATTATAGCTAATAGGTCGAGTGCCGCATACGTAAGTAGGACCTTACATATCTATCTCAGCATCTAAACAGGAAGTAGATCATGTTGATGACCACGGCGAACACTGGGGCATCCACGAGACTCAACACAAGAGTGCTTGTTAAGACTCTAGTTTTATTCCCGAACTTTCACGGCCGCTGTTGAAGCAGGTTTTAATTCCCCGTATTCATTCCGTAAGCCTCAGTTGATGCAGTTGTGACGCGAATGATACGCTTGGAGTCGGCGACTGAGCATCGGAATACAAAGTAGTACTTCATACTAGCTCATAAGGGTTTAACGTCACGTCTTGGGGACTTTCAGAGCTCCAGTAAGTGGCTCAACAGGATTATATTTTGCAGCTTGAGTTTGAGTTCATTGATCATATACTTCAAAGTATATTATTACTACTACGTATTGAACAGTTCCCTGACGCAAACTAGGTGCTAGCAGCACTGACAGTCATTTTGGGCAACTATACTGTTCGTAGCGTTTGCAAGCTGTGTCGTAGTGTATACTGGATCTGGTTACATGTACCATGATTGCAAGTTAGACATGTATTAATACATGTATAAACGGTATGTACGTGGAATGGATTCGACAGCAGCAGTGAGTTGGTGTATTGTGAAAATCGCTAACACGAATTATCCCAATATCGGTGCCGTTGAACAGGTAGTAGATCTTGTTGACGGGCACCATGAGCCGGTCCAAGAATCCTTTCCCAAACTCCGAGTTTACTAGCGAAGTTTCACGGCAGCTGTTAAAGCAGCGTTAAGGTCGTTGGCAACCAATAGCTCTTTCACTTTCTCTAGCGTCTCCTTCCCGCTCTTCTCTGCAAACTGCAACGTGTACGCCTCCAAAATTTTGTAGCGGAGATCACTTTTGGACAGCTTCGGAACACTTTGTCCAATGTTCAACAAGCGCGCCACGTCCTTTGGCTTAGAATCCACTGTTGTCATCCATCTCTGGAACAGATTCCTCTCCAAGCTGTTGCCGAGTCTTTTCAGGTCCGGAACCGTCTGAAGCGACTGGAAAAATGCCGCCAAGTTTACCTCCGGTGTAAGCGGTCTGGCCTCCAGCAGGAAATTCAGCGCGTGGCGGTCGGAATAGGAACTTTCACCCACTTTAACCTTGTACTTCTCGATGAAGCGTAGCCACTGGAGGAACATGGCGCTGTCAGCCAACCGTTTTTTCCCAAGCTGTAGAATATTGAAAAAAAACTCTCTGCGGGGTTTCTCCGGAACTCAGCCACACCTCGTTCATCCATCTGCGTGTAGCGTCCGGTGAAGCAGGAATTGCTGCATCATGTCCGCTGATTTCTTCATGCCTGGGACCTGTTTAATCGACTGAAGAAGAGCTGCCAGCTCTGCCTCCGGCGTTGTCTTCTTCAAGAGGTTGAACACATCGAGATCCGAGAACCAGTGCTTCCCCAGCTTGGCTCTGTACAAATCCACGTACTCGAGCCACTGCAGGAACTTCGGATTGTCGTCGAGCCTTGTCACACTAGCCTCGCCAAGACGCAAAGTCTTGAACACATCGCTCGGGTCGGTTTGAGACTTTAGGCACTTCTGGTTAGCGACGTTGGGAGAAGACGGACGTATCTTCATTACCAAATCATCGAACTTCGACAGCCTGCTCTCTCTCCATCGTCGTTGTCGTTAGCTTCGGTATCGGCCGTGAGTGATCTCAGTCTGGGGGCACCTCCGCCCGCTTGGTCGAGCGCTAAAACGACGCCACAATTCGCGAGGAGGGCAACGCAGAGCAACGGTACCACACACTTCCTGTGCATGTTTCGACGTTGGCACTTTGCGAGAAGTGAGAATCTTAGCCCAAAATGGGGATTAACTTCAGTGGTTTAGGGCCGCTCTCGGTTGAATTCGTTGATTCCGTACAACCTGAAGGCGCAATCTTCCGAGCATAAAGCACGCTGTAGGTTGTACGGATGGTAGTAGAGACTCTACGACACCGTACATGTACACTGTACACTGTAGAGTTGAGTCAACACTGTACACACTCAACTTAGTTGTCTAGGCCTGCTGATGATCGACGTACAGCGGCAAGTTCGTAATCGAACATCAACGGGAGAGTTCGTAATCCTCTTCATGTTCGCCTTTGTCGGCTGTGAATACTACTAACTTGTTGTACTTTAGTAGAAGAGACTATTGAGTTCCCACGGTTAAAGTCCTAGATTTGCTAGCTGTGAATACTACTTCATGGTATGTACTCTCGTCGTCAATCTTCTGATGCGACAAACTGACTTGGATCAGGTCAAAGTCGATGGCACAATTTTCTCGAAGGGGAACGAGTTCGATCGGGTTAGTACGCCTGCCTTCGAGAATGGCAAGAATATTAAATCGAAGAACTAAGTAAGAACTGACAGGATGCGCTTTCTTGAGTAAATGGCGAGCGCTATCTATCCGACAAAGCACCAGAGTTTCTACGACGTAGTACTTCGTAGAAGTAGTAAGCACCATCCGGGAGTGTTTAGCGAACAAGTGTGCCAGTGCTGCGGCAAGTTAACAACATTATATATTTGCAGATCAAAACATCAAATGTTTCACCGTAGCGTGCTACGCTCTGCCTTCACGGCTCGTGCAGCGCCAGCGCCATCTCGATCTCGTCCGTGGCGACGCCTCTGTCCTTCATCGTCTGGCGCGCCAGCACCTTGGCCAGCATCACGTCGATGTCGCTCTTGCGCCGTTCCGCGTCAGTACGGTGGCGCTCCGCCTCGGTCCGGTAGCGCTCCGCGTCGATACTGCATTCGCGCGCCCTCTCCTCAGCGTTGAGGATTCCTTGGCTGCGCTGCTCCGCGTGGCTTAGTACGCACTCGTCCATGCGCTGCTGGAACGCAGGGGTGAGCTGCGGCTCGGCCACGCGGTCCACCACCCGCCACTCCCGCTTCACTTGCGGCACGTCTTGGGTCGTCGTCGCGGTGTACTGAGCAGCATCGCTACTGGCAGCATTTGTTGCCAGCTCCAGGTTATCTTCTGCAGAGAGGGCAGTCACCTCAGGTGCTGGACGCTGGTGGCGCCGCTTGGCCGCGCGAGCTGCCTCCGCCGCGCGGACATCCGATTCCCTCTTGCGGGTGGACCCCCGTGCGTTGGTTGTCGTCTCAACACTGACGCTACCAACGACCGGGATGAATGGCTCGAGCACGGGGAGAAGCTCGAAAAAGTGGGGGCACAACCTGTCCACTTGTGCCTGCGTCTCCAGCTCCAGCGCCCCTCGAGCGACCTGGTCACGGCGACCATCCAGGCCCCTCAGATACGCAGTCGCCGACGAGAACTGCGTCTCGAGACCTCGGATCTTGTGAGAAACGGCATTCGCAGAGCGGGAAATGCCGACGGCCAGCATCGCGACCACGATCTCCTTGGCGAGTCTCCCCTTCACTTCGTTGTGCCAGCGCTCGTAGTTCCCAGGAGTCGTCAGCCACGTGAGCTGGATGTCCATGGACGTTTGGCCACCGGGCGACCGACGGTCACGCTCCATGACACCCCACGACCTCGAGACTCCATCGGGCACTGTATGCAGATCTCTTCCGGCGGCGATACGTGCTTGGTCTTTGCGGTTAACGTTGGAATGATATGTATCTCCTCGTCGCTTCTTCTTCGCCGAGTCCCAGCGCTCGTATCTAACCACCTCGTGCCGCTCCATTGTTCGTTCAAGGCAGCAAGCGGCATGAATGGTCCTCGGTGGGATGGAGACAACAAGCATGGAGCTCCGTCGTCGATGGACGTGCTGATGCAATGGATCAGAGCACCGGGTAGCCGCCAACACTGGCACCAGCGAGCGAAGCGAGAATCATGTGAGGAGGTTGCGCGCCAGCTGCGGGCCGCGGTTTCAAACGCACAGCCAATGCCGTTCTCAAAAAGATGTTAGCCCTGGCGGACCAGTGCGACTCGGCTGCCGCTTGGCTCCAGCAAGGCGGGATGATCGAGCTTTACCACCGCGGCGAAGCTGACCAGAATCTGCCCGTTCAAGTGGAGCAACGCTGCCCACACTACCAAGAGCTGTCAAGGTTTTTCCAGGCTGTGGTGGAGGTGCCAAGTGCCGTCAGCGTCAGCGACAACAGTAACGGTGCGCCAGCTCTCGTAGCTCCAGAACCAGCAAGAAATATGCAGGAGCTGGACGCCAATGCCGCTGGTCCACGTGATAAACAGAAGCGGAAGCGCGAGCCACGGACCAACTCCGCGCCGTCGAAGAAACGCCAGAAACAGGAGACGCGACGTTCAACAGCGGCTGCTTCAGTTCTCCAGTCGGCAAAAAATGCAGCGAGGTCGGCGAGTCCTGCAGCAACTCGCCAGTCAGAGGGAGATTTCACCGACACTGCTGCGAGCCGAGATACCAAGGACGACCTCAGTCGCAGGCTGCTTGAATGCGAGCTGCAGCAGAAAGAGGATCTGGCCAGGTGCCACCTCGAGGGCGAACGCGAGCGAGAACAAGTGCGCACGAACTCCGAGCAGGAGCGCGAAGAGATCCGCATGAACTGCGAGAAGCTGCTCTCGCGACACAAACTGCTCAGCGCCGGCGTGCCGATCGATGTCGTGGATCGCGCCTTCCCTCTGTGAACGGAATCGCTCGAAGCTACGAATGATTGCCGAAACCTGCTACGCTAGGACACTTGAACTCAGTAAGAGCGACGGACGCGCAGCAGCTCAGCAATTTCCCAGTCAACAAATATCATTTCCCGTCCTCTTCTTAACAAGCTGCCGGCTCTTTCCGTATCATCCTTCTTGAATCAGCGTCAGTGAATGCAGCTGGTCCGACGAAAGCATGTGCGAGTTCTTGTTGCAGAAGCTCACAAAGCCTCGCAGCTTCATCTTGCTCTCTGGCGGGCAAGATTTGATCGCAGTCTGCACCTTCGGGTGGGTCAAAATTTTCGTCAAAGCCACGGAAAACTTGGGCGAGAACGGCGGCGCAATGCGAGAAAAGAGCATCGTGATGAAGTTACGCAGCAGCGCCTGATCCAGCTCCAAAGTGTTCGTGAATACAAACTCCAGAACTGGCAGCACGTAGCCGCTCGTGATCATGAACACCATGCATCGAAGCGTCTCGCGCTTCAGCTCCAGAGCCTTTACTGGGTTGATGTCAGGGTGCAGACGCAACGACGTCACCAACACACTGAAGGCAATGGGCCACTGAGCAACGTGGAGCTTGATGGACGCCTTCAGTATCCGGAGCAGACTGGGGAAGCAAATGTGCAGGGGCGTGCTGCTGAAAAATCCGGGTGACGTGAGGATAACCTCCAGCCAATGCAGCACGCCCATCGATACAACGGGGACAGACATCACCGAAATGAGTCTATCCACAACTCCCGACTGGTTCATCTGTTGAACATGCGCACACACGAGCAGTTAGCCTCAAGCGTATAAATTGCAGCGGCTAGACTGTTAATGGAAAACTCACATTGTAGCCGAGGGTATGGTCCGACTTGCAGATTGCTGAGGCTTCGACGAGTGCCTTCTTGGTCGACTCGACGCCATCGTCATCCACTTCCACGTGATCCGATGATCCCTGAACTCCAGTCTGAAGCAGACTCCGTTCATCCTTCGTAGACGCCGCGTATGCCAGCAGGAAGACACAGTTCTGCACGAACGCCGGTGAAATGGAGTCCGACCGGTTGAAAAGCCGATCCAGCAGAGCCGACAGAACCTAACCAAATACGCACGTCAACGTTAAATCGCCAGTCATCCGAACAAACCCACATCAAATCGAGTAGCATACGTACCATGGGGTCTCGCAGATGGACCACCGGAGGAGGCGCCTTAGACGTCTGGAACTCCTTCGCCAGAGTCTCCGCACTCAGCTCTGAGCATGTCTTCGACTTCACGATCGACAGGATGGCGTCGCAGAACTTCGGGTTCGCATCATAAATGTACCGTCGACGCAAGATGTGGAACGGAACAATTTTCGCGCCGAACCTGCCGCTTGCCGTCTCCTGGAGCTCGCCACGGACACGGTTGAGCTTGGAGCGCACCATCCGAATGTGCGAGTACTCAGCGCTGTCAGCGCCAGCGTCCCTCTGCATCGTGTACAGCTTGTCGTCCATCGAGCAGAGCAGTTCCTGTGCGTAGACGTACGAGTGCGACGACTGACAGCAGACCTTGTTGAGCGCCGCGATGTCTTCGACAACCTCCTCTTCGTTGGCGAACGGAATCTGCCACCATCATACAAACACCCAGTTAGCTCTTACGAAGTGATCACGAGTAGAACAGCGTCCATCAAACTTACTCGGCTGAAGGCGTCCACCAGCACGCCGCTAAACACGGAGAAGAAGGCGTTCGCGCTCGTGATCGACGCAATTTCCTTGTGGTAGCCAGCCTCCGAGATCCGTCGGATCGCATACTGCAGCAACGTGCACGTCTGAATGATTTCCACACAACCACAACATCATCAGTACTCCCAACCCTTCCGCATAAACACCATGTACATACACAAACCTTGTGCGTCTCCGCCAGCTCAATGAGCATGAGTCGCCACTTGCGGTCGTTTAACATCTGCGTCAGCCACTCGGGCTCCACCGCCGAGCCACTCAGCACATTGGACACGAGCTTCGGGTCGTAGTTCTCGTTGATCACGTCCTTCAGGTGGCTGTAGAGAATCTCCTCGGCCGGGTCCCAGGACGCGCCCTTGTTCGCGATCACCGCTCCTTCGCTGACATCGAACGTCATCTTGTTCTCCAGCGCCGTCGTGGACACCGGTAGAGTGTCCAACCAGGATGCCACGAGGCCGATCATCTGCGCGTGGCCGCGGTACGAGGACGAGAGTTTCTCCACGAGGATCTCCGGCCCGTTGGACTCGGTGTGCGCTCGCAGGAAGCCGTTGATCACGGCCAGCACGTTGGCCTCCATGATGGCGTCGGTCCTGGACAGCTCCTGCAGCAGCCGCGTGGCCTCCTTGCCGTCCTCCGTGTCCTTCTCCTCGATGCCCTTGGTAGAATCGTTCCCCTGCTCTTCGTCGTCCCAGATGATGAGCCGCTTCTCGTCCTGCCGACGTCTCTTCCTCTGGGTCTCGACGGGCGCCACCTCCACCTTCTCCCTCTTGGACTTTTTCTTCTTCTTCTTCGAGTGGCTCGTAGTAGCGGGAGTAGTAGCAGTGGGGATACTACCTTCTTGTCCATTAGCCGCTTCTTGTTCATCCTGTTCAGCCTGATTCTTCACTTCAACATTCTGAGTCTGATTCTCTTCCGAGGTAGAGTGGGTAGAGCCGTTCTCCCCTGTGTTAGAATCGTTCCCCTCCTCCTTGGTAGTCTCGTTCTCCTCGCCCTTGTTGCGGGTCTTGCTGCGGTGCTTCTCGTGGTGGCGCTTCTCCCGCGCCGCCGTCGCCCCCGCGTGGGGCTTGATCTCCACGCCCTCGGGCCGCTGCCACTGGGTCTTGCGCGTCGCGCGGTTGTAGTAGTACGCGCGCTCGTTCTTGGGGTCCCAGAGCTCCTCCCATTCTACCTTCTTGGCGGACGCGGAGGAGGGCGCCCCCGCCGCGGCGGCACTGGGCTCCTCGCCGTCAAAGTCCGCGGGCTTCTCCCACGCGCTCTGCTTGGTAGAGCGGTTGTAGTAGTACGTCCGCCCCTCCTTGGTCACGTGCGCGCTCCAGACGCTCGTCATGGTGGGGCGCTAGCTATCGAAACTCGGTGTATTGAGTCAAAAAGGTAGAACGGCGCTCCATTGGCTGATATCCGTCCGCTCATGCATTGGTCTAAAATGAATTTGAAGGATTTGAACCAATAGGACTCTGAACGATGTGGATTGGCTGAAATGCGAGTGCGCCATCCGAGCCCATCACACAATCGAATATTCGAGCACGACAGATCAAAGAGTGGCGGCGTCGAGGATGTCGAGCGACGAGGGCGAGAAGAAGCTGCACAGCGGCTACCACGGCTGGATGAAGACCATCCCCAAGACGTCGCAGGTTGGTCGCTGTATATTCCGCTGCTAAATTGCTGCAAGTTGGTGCTAAAACGCTGCGGGATGGGGCGTCATTCCTCGCTCTCAGGACTTCACCCCCGTGCGGATCGACAACTCGGAGGCGGTGGCGGCCCCCGTGAGTCGGAGCGACTCGAGCTCGGTCTGGAACTCTGCGGGCACGTGGTACGCGTCGCGGTTGCTGGGTCGTGACATGTGGGGGGCTCTTCGGTCTGACTTGGTGCTGTTCGTGCATCGCTGCACAGGGAGGAGCGCGACAAGTCCGAGTGGGCTCGTGAGCGCCTGAAACACCACATCCTGACGTCCTTCAGCTTCGACGACGAGTCCATCAAGGCTACGTCCGTTGTGCGCTGCGACGGAGAGGCCAAGGTGAGGTGTCTGTCGAGAGATTCGAGTGATGTTGCCTGTGGCTCTAAACTTGGTTGTGTTGATGCTCTGGTGTCGATTGAGCAGCTTGTGTTTAGTCGCGGCAAGAAGCGCTGCGGCTACGAGCTGTCGGTCAAGTTTGCGTGGGAGAGCGGCGACGTGTCGGGCCACGTGGAGCTGCACGACTTTGACGACACGAGCGGAGACGACTACGAGGTGCTTGTCACGGTGGACGGCAACAGTCAGAGCGAGCTCGCCGCGAAGAAGGCGGTGCTGGGCAAGGAGCCTGAGCTGCGCAAGCTGCTCGCTCTCTGGAAGGAGGAGCTGCTGCAGCAATAAATCAATTCAATACATTTGTGTACACTGCACTGTGTGCGCGATTTTCACAGACTAAATAGGCTGAACTTCTATCTCCGGAAGCGTGGGGTGTGAGGTACCAACGCCTCCTTGCGAATGCTGACGAGGGACTGCTCCATGAGACTTGACAAATCGGCCATGGCGTTCGAAGCTCGTCGGGATTGAGGGTACATCATGCGGTACGACGCGTCCGAGTCTTCCTCCGTGCCGTGGGACGACGACGACATGTGCATCGCTGCTTTCGATGAAATTCCAACGCCGCCGTTCTTCATGGCCAGTTTCGCTTTCCGCTTCCACTTGCTCGCCTGGAAAATGACGCAACCAATTACTGGTTAATAGTGCCCCCCCCCCCATGGGCATGCAACGACTTCAACCGATTACCTCGTCGCGAAGCTCGTCCGTCTCCTTGTCCAGCTTTCGATGGGCTTCCCTTAGCTCCTCTTCAGTACGCTCCAAGTCCATTCTCTGCAGACAAAAGCTGAAATCAGACATGGTAGGCGCAAGGGAGGCATCGCAGGCAGATTGGCCGTACCAGCTCAATCAACTCGTTCTTGGCGTTAGTCGTAGCTCGACGTTCCGCCTCCAGCATATCCCGTAACTGGTTCATTGTCACCTGTACGCATCCAGACACATCGATATCAGCACAAGAGCACGATGGTTCATCACAACAAGATTAAACGCACCTCATAATCCTGGTCGGATTTCATGATAACACGGTCAAGACGCTGTTTCAGCTGCTCGATGCGCACGTCATACTCGGCGCGCAATTCTTGGAGCTCCTGCTCTTTCCGCTTCTGCAATGTTTGCCGCAGCAGTTCCATCTCCCGTAGCACCGTGTCCTTTTCAAAACGCAGTAATTTGTGCGCCTCCTGCCACTTCGCCTTGCTGTCAAGCACCTCCTTCTTCTCTGCTTCTTTTGCCTCGATCTCTCGTCGTAGCGATGACACCGTTTGCTTGTTCGCCTCCCTCTCTTTCTTCACGGTCCGTACAGCACGCAAATACCATGGGAGGTGTCCCTCATACTCACTATCAGCAGTAGGCGACGAGTCGCTCCAGAGAAACTTCAGTGCGTTTCTTGCAGCTTCTAGCTCGGACACCAAAGGAGCACTGACGCCCTCCTTCGTACTGGTTGTCGCCTCTGCAATGGCCGTGTGAATTGCTTCTGCCTGGGTTTCTTGAAGACGTGCTGCTAACTTACCCAGCTCATCGGAGAAACGCCGAGGATCCCAAGTGGCTGGTTCATTGACAGTCTTCCCAGTGCTCGTGAGATTGGCTACAAAGTCCGTCCCACCGACCTTAGCAAGCGAAGCAGCAAAACCCTGGTACTCTTCACACATAGCTTCTCGGGTCTTCAATAGAGCACTCACACGCTCCTTTTCGCGGGCTTCCTTTTGAATAAAAGCCTGGGCGTTGGTCAATCGTTCCTGGAGTTGTGACTGTTCCATGACGCGGAGCCTCAGTTCCTCTTCAAGCTTCTGGATAGTTTGCCTTAACTCGGAGCTCAAATCCACTTGTGCTGCAAGTCGTGTTCCCAAATCGTCGAGCTCTTGGGATTTTTTTTCTAACCGCTCCACGACCTGGTCGTACTTGGACTGATCGTTCACGCGTTGACTCGAGAGCAGCCCATCCATCTCCTTGTCCTTTTGGGCAATGCGCTTTTTCCACTCCTGCTTGTCTTCTTTTGCCTTCCGTCTCCACACCGCGTCAGCTCCCTGAAGCAATTCATCAGTGCGCTTCTTCCACTCGACACCTGCCAAGGCCACCTCCTTCTGCAAGTGCACCCATTCAACATTCATCTCGCTAGAAACATCTTTGCGCATCTCCTTCCATTCGTGAGCCAGCTGCTGCATGCTTTGTCGATAAGCGCTCAAGCACTTGTTGCGCTCAGTCTTGACGCGATCCACGAGCTTCTCTGCCTTCAGTGCTCTCATCTCCGCGGCAATGCGCTTCTCGCGCTCCTCTTCCACTGCTTCATTTGCCGCTTGTACTCGGCTATTCATCGTGTCCGTGAGATTTTTATGCATTCGCGACAAATCAGCAAACTCCTTCCTCTGCTTCATGCTGTCGCCTTTCATCTGCTCCACCATGAGTTGTAAGGAATCCTTGGCTGCTGTCAACTCGCGCACGGATGCTTCCAATTGACTCGCTTTTGCTTCCTGTTCAACACTCCCTTGCTGCGCTCCGTCGATCGTATCTTGAAGCCTGCGCAGTTGTGTATCATACTGCGAGGACACATTGCGCAGCTCGCGTGTGTTTTCTTCCTCCAGGGCTGACATTTCAGTCTCAAAATGTTCCTCGCGCACTTGAATATGGTGCTCTAAGACCGCAATCCGATCAAGAAGCTCCTTCTTCGACTGTTCGCTTGACTCCACAGAAGTGTCGAGCGAGTTTTCAAGTTGAGTTGCTGCCTCTGTAAGTCGCGCAAGTTGGTCGCGAATGTTGTCGCTGGTTTTCTGAGCATTTGCTGCTGCCGCCTCACTCTCCTCTTTTTGAGCGACTGCAATCTTGCTCTGCTCCTCAAGAGACTGACACTTAGCTTGCAGATCCCTCACAACAGTCCGAAGCCTGCCGAGATTCTCGTTCGCCTCCTCGAGCCTCTGGACAACCGTGCGCTTCGCATCCTTCGCCTCGTCATGCTCATTCTTGAGCGTCACGAACGCTTGCCGCTCGCTTAGTAGCTGCTCTTCAATGCGCTTCTTCTCTGCCCTGGCGTCCTCTAGTGCGATCTCTAGCTTCTGGATACCCTTCCTCACATTAACCATTGCTGCTCGAAACTCGGACTCTTTCCGCTCCTGGAACTCTTGCATAAGCTTCTGCACCCGCTCTTCCGCCCGCAATGCCGCTTGGGCTTCTTTCGCCTGTAGCTCGGCTGCGTGTTGTGCAAGTGGGATGGTGTCTTCAGTTGCTTCACGTTCCTGTTGCTCTCGCTCGTGAACCCTCCCACTTTGACGACGGTTTGGGGGGCCAACTTGAACGACAGCATTTCCTGGGACTCGCTGGTTAACAACCTCGCCTTCGTCGGCAGAGCCCATGTTCAGCACGACAACACTCGGTGTGGTGGGTGCGGGTGGAGGAGTTGCGGGTTTCTTTGCCTCTTCCAGTCTTCGACGTTCCTCTCTCTTCTCTTTCTCCACCAAAGCCCTTTCACGCTCCAGCAGACGCCTCTCTCGCTCGTTAAACTCCTGCTGCATGCGCTTTTGCGCCATTTGAAGCGAGCGCTGCTCTTCTTTGCGCTCCTTTTCGCGAGTTGCATCCTCTGCTCGTCGCCGACGCTCTAACTCTTCTTCCTCCTTTTGCGCTAGCTTTGCTTTTTCCCACTTTGCAGCCGCGGCATTCGCAGTTTCTAGCGCCATTTGCCGGGCTCGAAGCAACTCTGCCTGTTGATTCTCCAGAGCAGCGTCATACTTCTCCTTGAGTTCTTCAATCCGAGCGTCTTGTCTTGCTACGAACTCGTTTTGCCAGCGCGTACGAGCCTCAAGTTCCTTCTCTTGGGCGCCTTGTCGACTCTGCCGATCCATGGCTTCCTGAAGTGAAGCAATCTTGCGCTCGTACTTCTCCTTCGTTTCAGCCAGCGCGTGCTGGAGATTATCAACCTTCTCCTGCTCTCTTTCCACTGCATGCCGCCACTGGACAATCTCCTTTTCCAGGGCTCCAACTTGTTTCTCGTGGCGCAACTTGGTGTCTAGTTGCTGCGCTTCCAGAGCTGCCGCCCGCTCTTCGAGCGATGCGATCTTCTTCTCCGCCTTGGATAAAGCGTCGTGTCGGAACTTCAGCTGGTCCATAGCCCGCGTGAGCTCGCTTTGTTTCGCTTTCAGCGCGTCCTGGGCTTGTCGGTTGACGGTCTCCAGCTGTGCCTGTAGCTGTTTAACCTGCTCCTCGCCTTTTGAAATAAGTCCTGCTTTCTCCTGCGTCTGCTCATTCATGTACTGCTCCACTTGCTCGCCAAACTCTTCGTATCTCCTTTTCAAATCCTCGTGGTCCTTCTCGGCCAGCACAGTCATTTGCTGCTGGTGCGCAAGCTCCGACTCCATGCGCGCTAATTTACTGGGGTAATCCTCACGCTGCAGCTGCTGCAGAGCTTGTGCTACCTCTCGGGTCTTCCCCTCTGACAGCGACAGCAAGTGCTTCAAATGAGTCGCCTCCTGCTCGCTCGCCTGCTTCTCCAGCTCCAGTTTCTGCGTAAGCCATACCAAAAGCACATAACATACATCCAAATTAATACCACCACACAACTCAAACCTTCTCCCGACCACCCTCATCCACGCACATTCTTCGCTTCCTGCACGTCCCTCACACTCCGCTCCAGCTCAGCCCTAGCAGTTTGTGCCTCGCCCCCTTCCCTCCGCATCGTCTCCTTTAACGCTTCATGCTCCTGTTGCAGCGCCTCCAACGCCTGCACGCGCTGCTTCATCATGTCCACCTCCCTCCTGGCCGCGTCCCGCTCTTCCAGCACCGCTCTGCATCTCGTCCTGAGCTCCGCGTCCCTCTTCTTCTGCTCCTGCAGCTCCTTCACCCTCACGTCCAGCTGGTGGTGCAGCGCCTGGATGTCTCGCTGCGCCAGCTTCCACTGCCGCTGCGCGTCGCCCTCTCGCCGCTGCACGACGCGCAGCTTCTGCTGGGCCTCGCGCAGGTCGCTGGCCTGCCACGCGATCTGGTCGCTCATTGCCTTGACGTAGCGCTCGCGCTCACCGTAGAAACACTCGTGCACGATCTCGCTCAGCCGCGCGCTCGCGTACTCGCTGGTCAGCGCGTTCTCCTGCAGGCAGTGGACGGTGGCGTCCTGGTGCAGCTGCAGCACGGCCTCCTGCACGCGACTGGCCAGCGCCTCCAGCCGCTGCTCGTAGGCGCCCTGCAGCGAGGCGTACCGCAGCCGGAACTTCTTCTCGATGGAGCGCTTGAGCTCTCTGCGGGCCGAGGGGTCCTTCATCCTGGGGCTCTTCTTGCCTGACTTTGGGCGGATCTTGTGGGCTCTAGAGGGCGACGCGGGCTCGGAGCTGCTGCCCGATGAGCTGGAGGAAACTGCAGGGTCCATGTCTGCACTCGGACGCGCGTGAGGGCCGCTGGATCGGGCACTGCGAGCGCTGGAAGGAGGCCATGCAGCAGCTGGGAGCTGCGCGTCTGCCTTTTCAGAGTTCAAATTGCCAAGTGAACTGTGATAGGGTGAAAATGGAAGATATTTATTTTGGCCAACAGTGCGACGTACAGGCAAAGTTACTATGATTGGTTAATTTCAAGGCGGAGTGTTGAAGTGGCTACTTGTTCAGTACGGTAATGCTCCTCCAGACACTAGGATAGCAGCAGCGCGCTTAGTGGTCGGCGGCCTTGAGCACGCGCGGGGCCGGGCGGTCGAAGAGGCTCGGGGCGGAACGGCCGTCGTAGTACTTGACCAGCTTACGGGCCTCGTCCGCGACGGTGCTCGGGTTGAAACCGAACTGCTCCTTCAGCTGCGCGATGGTGGCGGACGCGCCGAAGCGGTCCAGGCCGAACTGCGCGTGCGAGTACGTGGCCCAGCCGAAGGTGGCGGCGGCCTCGACGCTCATGGCCGGGACGCCCTCGCCCAGGATCTCCTTCTTGTACTCGACCGACTGCTCGTCGAACAGGTCGCGGCACGGCACCGACACGACGCGCACCTTGTAGTTGGTCAGCAGCTTGGCGGCGTCGATCGAGAGCGACACCTCCGAGCCGGAGGCGACCAGGACCAGGTCCGGCTCGCCCTCCAGCGACTCCACCTCGGCGCCGCTGGCCACGTTGGCGATGATGTAGGCGCCCTTGGCCACGGCCTCGGCCGTCGACTTGGCCAGGTTGGGCAGGCCCTGACGGGTCAGAGCGAGCACCGACGTCTTGTGCGTGTTCTCCACGGCGGCGATGTAGGCGCCCACGGTCTCGTTGCCGTCGGCGGGGCGGTACACGTACATGTTGGGCATGGCGCGCAGCGAGGCGTTCATCTCGATCGGCTGGTGGGTCGGGCCGTCCTCGCCCAGGAAGATCGAGTCGTGCGTGGCGATGTAGATCACACCGAAGCGCGACAGAGCACTCACGCGCACGGCGCCCAGAGCGTAGCCGATGAAGTTGTAGAACGTAGCGCAGAACGGACGCACACCGCCGTGGGCGAACAGGCCGTTCGAGATGGCGGCCATGCTGTGCTCGCGCACGCCGAAGCGGATGTAGCGGCCGATGGGAGTGTCCTTCTGGAAGTCGCCCGACATGGATAGGTGCGTCAGGTTGGACGGGGTCAGGTCGGCCGAGCCGCCCACGATCTCGGGCAGAGCCGTGGCCACGGCGTTCAGGGCGATCTCCGAGTACTGGCGGGTGGCCTTGCCGGCGTCCGCGGGCGTGTACTTGGGCATGTTCTTCTTCCAGTCGGCGGGCAGCTTGCCCTCCATGCGGCGCGTGAACTCGGCGGCCTCCTTGGGGTGGGCCTCCGTGTACTTGGCGAACAGGTCGTTCCACTGCTTCTCAAGCTCGGCGCCCGAGACGGTCTTGTCGTAGAACTTCTTGACCTGCTCCGGGACGAAGAAGGACTCGGTGCCCTTGAGGCCGAACTTCTCCTTGGTGGCCGACAGGTCGTCGGGCTTGAGGGGGGCGCCGTGCACCGAGTGCGTGTTCTCGAGCTTGGAGCCGAGGCCGATCGTGGTGTGGATCTTGATGAGCGACGGCTTGTCGGTCACGGCCTTGGCCGCCTCGACGGCCTTCTGGATGGCGGCGTGGTCGTAGTTGCCGTCCTCGACGACCTGCACGTGCCAGCCGTAGGCCTCGTAGCGCTTCTGCACGTCCTCGGTGAACGAGATGTCGGTGCTGCCGTCGATGGTGATCTTGTTATCGTCGTACAGCACGATGAGCTTGCCGAGGCCCAGGTGGCCGGCCAGCGACGAGGCCTCCGAGGACACGCCCTCCTGCAGGCAGCCGTCGCCGCAGATGACGTACGTGTAGTGGTCCACGATGTCGAGGCCGTCCTTGTTGAACTCGGCGGCCAGGTGCTTCTCGGCAATGGCCAGCCCCACGGCGTTCGAGATGCCCTGGCCCAGCGGGCCCGTGGACACCTCGACGCCGGGCGTGCAGAAGTTCTCAGGGTGGCCGGGCGCCTTGGAGCCCCACTGGCGGAACTTCTTGAGCTCGTCGATGGGCAGGTCGTAGCCCGTCAGGTGCAGCATGCTGTACTGCAGCGCGCAGGCGTGGCCGTTGGACAGCACGAAGCGGTCGCGGTTGCTCCACTTGGGGTTCTTGGGGTTGAACTTCATCGTCTTGCCGAAGAGCACGTGGGCCATGGGCGCGCAGCCCATGGGGGCGCCCGGGTGGCCCGACTTGCCGGCGCTGGGCTGGTCGGCCGACAGCATGCGGATGGTGTTGATGCACAGCTCCTCGCCGATGCGCGGCTTCTTGTCCACGTGGTCAGCCATGGCTACTAGAGAGATGTGGGGGGAGGGGGGAGGAGGATCGCTTGAGCCCCGCGGAGAGAATCCGGAAATGAAATGCTGCCTGTTGTTGGACCGCACGATCCAAGCACCCACGTCAGGCCCCGTCGAAATCGCTAGCGTTTCATTGGGAGGGCTGATTCTGGGCCAATGAACGGCCGTTCTGGCACGTAAACTAAGAACTATGGCTCGTAAAACCGGCAAGGTGCGACAAGTTGTTGCCCGATGCGCATTGCTCGTGCTGAGGAAATCACGGTGTTGACCATTTTGCACGGGTAGCTGCGGATCGGGCGGTAAAATGAGCGGAACGCGCGGTGTTATCGGTTAGCCAGCTGAGGATTTTGCAGCTGAAGAGACAATTGTACTGCAGTGCAGACGGTGACGCGGCGATGGATACGTAGCGGCATGATCTACATGTAGTTCACGTACATGTTCTGTATGCAAACTGTGTTGGCCCCGTGAACAGTACACACAGCAGTCGAAGTTTGTACGATGCTTACAAGCCTCGGAATGCAGCACTTTGACGGGTGCTATTGCATTTGTGAGAATTGCTTTGAAAGCCGATGAACGCGAGTGTCGTGTGTGGAAAAGTGATTCTCGCACTATTGCATTGGCAGTGCCGCCAGTGAACCTCGGCCGACAGCGTTGATCTTGCATCGTGATTGAAGACGCCCAGCGGCAATCAAAAACGAGTGAGCAAGCAAACTTGCAAAAATAGATTGTGTTCAGCACTCAAGATTTGTATCACCCCTGGCACATTTGGCCGCATCTGCAACTTCGCACACAACAAGTGCACCTCTACAGCTATCATATACTGTACATGTATAGTCTTACATACAGCGGTGTTTGGCGTTCGATTCCGGCCCACATCATTCAGCTTGCCATGAACTGTAAAGCTTACTTCAAAGTCGTGGGTTTCCAGCAATCAAACGTGCTTCGAATCTTAACACCTGTAATAATGACCCCCTGGGGCACTAAATCAATTTCAGTCAATTATTTTGTAGTTTAGTTACGTCATAAATTATTGTGTAGAAACTGAAACAAATGTATCAATAATATTGTGTAAATCTCGACCAGGATTGGTCAAAATCCCTTTTTTGAAGGAGCGGCCCTGAGAGCCTTTCAGTCGAAAGAGGTCACCACCATAAGCTAGACAAGGCAAGCATGGGCCGAGCTCGCAAGCGCACGATGGACATGATCCGCCTGGTGAAGGGCCTGTCCCGCAACGGCGGCATGCGCCGGCCGGCCTGGGTGCCCATGGTGGACCGCTTCCCGCCGCCGCCCGTGCCGCGCCAGGACCGCGACAAGCTGCCGGTCATCACGTTCCCGCAGGACCGGCTGGCCGAGCTCTACATGAAGCAGCGCGACGGCATCGTGGACGGCCAGACGGCCTACGAGTTCGCCGACGAGCAGCTGACGCTCATCGAGCACGGCATCCCGGAGGAGGATGCCTTCAACATGCTCATCGAGAAGTACGACCAGGTGGAGAGCCACCGCTTCCTCGACAAGTTCTCCAAGATGCGCGGCATCGAGTTCGCCGACCCGGCCGAGTACGACGACATCGAGAAGGGCTGGGTGGAGGCCGAGAGCCGCGCCATCAAGGAGGCCATGCGCCTCGAGCACGAGGAGGAGGAGGCCCTCCGGAACATGTAGAGTCGTGGACGAGCTAGAGGACAAGCAGGGAACAGGCAGGCAGGCGCAGCCATGGACGCAGGGAATAACACTAAAGGAGAGCTGGCTGGCTGGCTGGCTGTTTGTTGTAGCTGCAGTGGGTTGTGTATGTAGTATTGCATCGGCTGTGTCTTGGGCGTGGTGCAGGACGCCCGCCATGGACTCAAGTACGCCAACAGGGACTTGACGCTCTGAGGACGAGCCGCATGGACAGCTGAAGCACCGTTGCCAGATCCGGAGACGACTGCGACGGATGGGATCTCGACCGCTTGGTGCTGCTTGCCCATCAGTGCCACTGTCTCCGCGCTTCCTGTTGTTGAGTTCTGTCTCCTTGGGATCTCTGCGAGTCTTCCGCGGTGCCTTCGAGCGCAAGCTCAACTTTATGCTCGCCCAACCTGTTAACCACTGGGAGAGTGCTCGAATGTGAAAAGATACTCAATGGAGAACCCACAGCTCAAGAAGCGAATGAATGAGCAATAGGTAAACAGGAAGTGCATTCATATTTGCTGACTTTCAGTTCATTCACCTGGATAACTACGCAGCAGTACGACATGCATCAACTAAAAACCAAACAAAACACGGGTGGGACTCCAACCTCACTCACTTCGGGACGATTGCGTCCACTTCTTCTTCCGACAGGCCTGCATTCCGCAGGCGTTGGCGTTCAAGCGCATTCGTGCATCTGGTGTGAAGCTCCTGCCGTTTAGCCTCAGCCTCGAGCTGCACCTTGGCTAGGGCGTCAACGCGCTCGATCTCGCGGTCTAGCAGTCGCTGAGACCTGATCTCGTCGAAACGAGGCGCGAGTTCCGCCCCAGAGTACTCGATCCATCGAGACTCGCTTCGCCTTTGAAACTCGGTCAGCGCCAGCGATCTCTCGGCCGGAAAAACAGTCTGCTGCTGCTGCTGCTCGGGGGAGTTCGTCTCCATTGCGTCCACCACCGCCTGCTCCACAATCACCGGTTGCGCTTGTGATCCTTTCGTTTTCCGCTTGGTCGCGCTTGACTGCTGGGCTTTCACGTTGGGCGTCGTCTTCCGTTTGCCTTTGGCCGTCAACTTCGCGGGTTGCACTTCCTCCTCGACCCCTGCAGCATCCACTTCGCCACTACTTCGGTCCGAAACATTAGCTCCATCACTGTTGTTGCTGGGTTCCGCGTCATCGACCTGGAAGACGGGCATCAACTCGAGGTAGAGAGGACATTTCTCCTTCACTACGTCGTCAGCTCCGCCGCTGCAGAACTGCGCGAGTTGTCCTTCACTCTTCAGCCAGATAGTCGCCGTCTCGAATTGGTGCTGTAGCTTGAAAATCTTGTGGCGGACGGACGAGGGCGAACGAGGCGAAGTCCTCTCCTTCTTAAGTGCAGCGACAATCTCTTCAACCAGCGGCTTCTTTGGCTGCGTTTCCCAGCGCTTGTAGTTGCCAGGAGTTCGGAGCCAACGAACCAGCACGCCCATGGATGTCAGCGACCCGGGGGCCGCAGCATCCACATCCCAGGGTTTCGCCATGCTTCTGCTTGTTCAGCTTCGTTCAGTTGGAAATGTGGCTCGAGCCACCGTTGGGTATTAGCTGGCTGGCTGCTCTGAGACTAGACGCTGGGAGAGCGAAGGGGGAGAGCGAAGACGAAGAAGTTTTGTCAGTTCCCATTGAGAAGCTTCAATTGATAGCAAGAATCGACCATGAAGCAGCGAGATGGCTACGGCGAGGACCAAGACACGGCGACGACCAAGCGGATCCCGTGGAACGTTGACAATGCCACCGAGAACGGGCCGTCATCGCTGCAAGTGCTGCTCATGTGGCTTCTGACCCCAGGAAACTACGAGCGTCTGCACTCCAAGCAGCGCAACAAAGCCATATCCAGTATTCTGTCTGCGCTCAAGAAGAACGGGATCCACCACCGCTCCGAGTCGAGCATCCGCAGCAAGGTCAGCGTTATTGAGAACCAGTACTTAGCTGCCAAGCGGTGGCTGGACGACCGAGCCATGCGCGGCGACAATATCGTCAACGGTTCTGCCGACGCCGACTCGGAGGCCCAGGTGCTGGCCTTGTGCCCTCACTTCATCGAGCTCTTCCCTGAACTTCGGCACTCCGTCTACCTGAACGAGTTGGCGGCGAAGCAGGACCAAGACGAAGCCACGGATTCCGACCACAAGCCCAAACCAGCTCGCCCCAAGCAGAAGCGCAAGCTTAAGAAGGACGACCACCGCCCGACCAAGCGACGACGAGCGCCTTCGACGGATGACCACATCCAGGAGGTGGATGAAGTCCGCCCGCAAAAGCCCCAAGTGCTGCGTCGGACCTCGTCGTTTGGGGAGATGATTGACGACGATATCGCGCTAAACGAGGTGCAAGATTGGCTCCGACCGGACCATAACGAGTTGGTAGTGCGTGACCCGAACGTCCAGCTAATACACTCGGATCTCCAGCGGCAGGTGGCTGAGATCAAGCTCGAGCACGTCAAGAAGGAGAGCAAAGCGGTGCTGGAGAACGACGACAAGATGCGCGCGGCCATGTTGGAGTGCGACATCGAGGTCAAGCGGGAGCGAGGGCAAGTGCAGCTACTGCTGGAAAAGGTGCTGGCTCGTCAGACCATGAAGAAGGAGGGGGTCCCCAACGAGGAAATCGACAGCATCCTGCCGCTCAAAGAGCTGTGAGGTGCAGGGGGTGACTGTAAGCTCGTATTTGTTTTGCATCTTTTGCAAGTTTAATTGATCAAGAATTTATCCGTGACTTTGCTTTCATCTTCGTTCGTCTTAGCAATGACGCAGTATGATGTTACGATAATGAAAAGGAAGAATGCGTGTAAAGGATTGAACAGTGGATTTGTCAAGAAACTTCTCAAAAAGCTAAACTTCCGAATCGCACAAGGCTAAACTCACTTCAAACTTGTGCCGATATCTCACTCACTCACTCACTCACGGCTCGGGTAGTGGCAGGATATGGTCGATCTCCGCCTTGGAGACTCGTCTGTCTTTCAGAGTTTGTCGCGACAACACAGTGTCAACCTTGAAGCCCATCTCGCTGCGGCGTTTCTCCAGCTCCGCTTGCTGCATCCCGACTTCGACGCGGTACTGCTCGAGCTTGAGCTCGCACTCCTGCATCTCCCGCTCGTGCACGAGTAGTCTGTGAGTCATCTTCCGCACATACTGCAGCTCGCACTCTTCCGTCTGGCGCCGGTGCTCGAGCGACGGAACGTCAACAGCTCTCTGCTCCTCTCGAGGCACAAGGTCCGTGCACTCGACCACAGTATCTTGGCCTTCATCAGGCTCTGCGTTGTAGAGTAGCTGCTCCTCAACGTGGGGGCTGCAGCGACGCTTGCTCGAGCGCAGCCCAGCGCTTGACTTCGCCTTGCCCTTGCGTTTCGACGCGCCAGTTCTCGTTCGCTGCTCCACGTCGTCGCTGTCTTCGCTGCCGTTGCTCGCCGTCCAGTCTTTTGGCGTCTTACTGCAGAAGTTGAATTGGCTCAGCACGGGGGCTACAATGCGGTAGTGCGGACAGCGCTGCTGTATCTTGGCTTCCACGCGCTCGTCGATGTCCTCTTGGTCCACGTAGGCGCTCAGCAGGTCTTTGTCGACCATAACCTTCAGTGCAGCCAGATACTGCTGCACAATCGCCCCCACCTTCTGGGCCACGCCACGTGCAGTGCGGTGGTAGATTCCGTGCTCCTCCATCGCAGCGAGAATGAACTGAACGGCGTCGGCTTTGTTCTGCCCGCCTTGGTGGTAGTTTGCGTAGTTTCCAGGTGTGGAGAACCACCGTAGAAGAACACCCAGCGACGACAGTCCGTCCGGCGTGGAATTATCAGCGTCCCAGGGGATATTGCGCTTATTGGAGCTTCTCTTCTGCTTCATCTTCCTTGGCTTTTCACGAATGAAGGGGAACTCGGATACAGCGTTGTCTGGGAAAGTGTTTTACAGTAGATCAAGTTGAAGAAGTTGCTGTTTGGTACAGTACTCGTCTTTGTATTGCAAGACGTTAGCACAGATCCACAACCTTTGCTGCTGTCGGAATACAGACTACGCACTGCTCCACATTATCAGTATCATTCCGCGATCATAGTGCCATTTACGCTTCAGGGGGATTCTCAAGCGAAGCTGAAGCGGGATTAGTGATTAAACGCATTTTGTAGAACTTTGGCCACAGCACTATTTGTAGTTGTCCAGCACGCTATTCCTGAACTTGACGGGGGAGTTTGATGAACTCACTGCTGAGGTTGGCGTCAGCATCTCTGCAGCCCGAGGACTGTGCCTCGATTCCTCCTCATTGATGCTCTCAGCCGATATCTTGCGAGGGCGACGAGCCTCCGCTGCAACGGGCTCCAGGAGACAAGATGGGGAGAACGACTTCCTCAAACTCATCGCGGTGGACTTGTCGCCGCTGGAGCTGCGCTTCGAGAACGTTTTCTCTCGTCTAGCGGCGATCGAGAAGCACTTGAACCTAAAGGAGCCACGCCAAGATGAAGGAGACAACGCCACCACAACGGTGTCGGAAGAGGAGGCACCATTGAGCACAACCAGATCGGAAGTGCAGGATAGTGATCAAGACACGGCGCGTTCCGGAGCATCTAGCACCCCCGAGTCGGACTCGGGGGAAGCGAATGAGGCCAAATACCGCCTTGACGCCGACCCGGCTGATACTACCGCGGACGCAAGCGAGAGTGAGGAAGTGTCCGACGTCGAGGAACCGAAGCAAAAGATCTACACCGACGGCGTCACGCTTGCTCAGGAGATCGAGTCGCTGCGAGCTGCGCAACTGCGGCTCAAAATCGACCAGGAGGTGGCTCATTCTACACTCCAGTTGGAAATGGTTCGGCTGCGCGGTGACTTGGAGCAGAATGTGACAACAAATCTGCAGGAATTTCGCGAAGAAGTGACGACCGCTTCAGCCGCCTCCATCAGGGCGCTTCAGACCGAGTACCAGAAGCTGGCGCAGACCATGAGCACAACTCTTGCAGAGCGACAAGTGGCGGAGAACCGCTGGAAGGCGACGTTCGAGGACACGATCGCCGCGCGCATCCAGGATATCTGGTCGGGACTGCACTCGACGTCGAGGAAGCTGCAGGAGAGCATGCAGTTCTTGCAGTCGGAGATGGTCACGCAGGAAGAATCGTCGCGGGATGTGAGCACCGTCGTGGAGTCCATCAAGGCCTCGAGCGAGCGTCTCGACCGGGACTCCAAGAAACACGCCAAGATGCTAGCCGAGCAGGAGAAGGACATGGAGCACCTCCACGGCATGTGCACGCAGGCCTCGGTTCGGCTGGACGAGCAAGACGCCAAGCTCACGGGCCAAGTCGGATTGATCTACCATCACATGGAGAACGCCAGCGCCAATGTCCAGGGGCACATCAAAGCGTACGACGCGTTTGTAGCCGCCACGGACAAGACGTTCACCACGCTGGCGTCGGACCTCACGGCTTGCAGCTCGACCATCGCAGCGCACCAGTCCAGCCTCCACACCTTGAACACCGTCGTGCAGCGCCACAACGAGGACCTCATCCGCGCGGACGAGCGGATGGCCGCAACTGACGCGAGAATAGGCAGCATCGACGGCCGTGTGGCGCTGACGGAGAAGAAGCTCACGACTGCGGTCGGCGTCATGCAAGAGCACTACCAGGAGCGCCAGCAGATAGTGGCCGCGATAGAAGCGAGCCTCAACCAGGCAGCTCTGGAGCGCACCTCTGTGAAGCACATCGCGTCGGACCTGGGCTTCTGCGTCCAAGAAGTGCAGCACAAGCTGCACGAAGTGGACAAGCTCGCGCACACGACCGAGATGGCGCTGAACCGAACCGCTGCGGAGCTGCCCAAGATGCACGCGCTGGTGACGACCAACTCGTCCAACATCGCCAAGAACCGCCAGAGTATCCGCGACATCACCACGATGATCGAAGACGACAGGCAGGTGGCTAGCACGCTGCGCAGTGAGTTCGACAAGGAGGTCAGCGAGAGTGTGGCCCGATTCACGGCCGCTGAGGAGCGCGATAACCAAGCGCAAGACGCGATCGCCAACGCCGCGACCAGTGCGGGCCACGTCAAGGCCGAGCTGGAGGCGCGCATCCAGAAGCACAGCAACCTCATTCACCAACTCAACACGATGGTGGACAGTCTGGCCATCACCGAGACCACGGAGGACATGGAGGACAAGATGAGCACGTTCGCGCTGTCGTGCGCCCAGCTCGGCCTCAAGTTGGAGTTCTTCGGACGCAAGGCCAGCTCGGTCGACGGCGCGTGCGTCATGAAGGATGACGTCAAGGCGACGTTGGCGGTGCTGCTGACCAAAGTCATCCGCTTCTTGGGCTCGGGCGTCTCCATCGAGCAGAACAAGTACCTGCTCACAGCCAAGCGCTCTCAGGCCGTCGACCCCATCACGGGCCAAGTGACCATGGAGATCCCCCCGCAGCACGTGCTCGAGAGCTTCCGCATCGCCAAGGCTGCAGCGTTCTCCGCCAAGACACGCACGGCCATGGACCAACTGGAGCCAGTGGTGCGCACCAACCGCACGTCCATCGAGTTCCGCGACGCCTTCGAGCGCAAGCTCAAGTTTGTGCTCGAGTTCGGCCTCGCCAACCTCTTCCCGAACGTGGGGAAGCCCAAGAACCCGTTGAACCGACGAGGCGGCGACGAGTTCGGCACGTGCATCGCCTGCGATCGGCCCATGGACAGTGGCGATCCTGAGGACGACGCGGAAGACGCAGAGATCCCAAGGAGACACAGAGCTCAACAACAGGAAGCGCCGAGGGCTTCATCATCCGCTAATGACACGACGCCAGAGCAGCAGCGCAGCACGCCGCAGACCCAGCAGCAGGACACTCCAAACTCCCGCCCCAGCTCCGCGGCCGTGAGGAACCGTATCGACACGAAGACTGCCGTCCGAGGGCGCTCTGGCGGGTCGAACGTGCGCCCCAAGAACAGCGGAGACGCGGTGCACTACGCTCCTGGAGCCAGCGAGTTCGTCTACCGCGGCGGCTTCCGCATCCCCAAGACGCCCTCGAACGCCGCCATGAGCGCCAGCATCAACTCGCTGCTCAACTTGTCCCTGTCCTCCTCGACCAGTCTGGCCGTCGACAGACCTTTGGAGGAGTTGACGGGCAACGGGCCGCTGGACGTGGACAACTCGTGCCTGGAGAAGGTGGCGCTGCTGGGCAAGCACCAAGTGGTCGAGATCCCGTCCATCGCAGGCGTCTCCGGGGCTGGCAACGGCGCCGCTGCAGTCCGCGCGGCGCGCCCTCACACGGCTCCGCTGCGCATGAAGTCGCTGCCTCGCCTGGACGTGACGCCGACGTCCGCCAGTGTCGACATCAGCACTTCTTCTTCGTCTTCTACTGTTGATACTCTTCAGCCGCTGGACACCACGGCCGAGCCGGTCAGCAGTTAGTCCAGCCAACACACAAGACGGTGGACGTTGGTGGACACTTGGTCGGGCTGTATTGTCCAGCGGAGTGGACTTCTCTATCTAAGCATCTACTCGGACAGGTCCATTCCGACGAGCTTCAACAACTTGTGGGCCTGTGTCACGGTTGCGTCCGCCTCTTCAGTGGACGCAGCATCGACCTTCTCTCCGTCCTTGTGGACGCTTGTGTCCATCTCCAGCGTGCGCAGCTGCTTCAGGCAAGCCCGAGCCTGGCCCAGGCTCTCTGAATTTATACTGGAGAACAAGCCGCTCGCTGCAGCCGCGCTGAGCGCGCCCCGCAGCTTGCCGAAGCGGAAACTGCGCTCCGCTCCCTCAGCGAAACCCAGGTCGAACCCTTCCTGCAGTGTGTCCTCCTTGCCGACCTCCAGGCCATCGCGGATGCCCATCTAAACGCGCAATATAACTTATGAGAGACTCGTCGAAATTGCTGGACAGGGGGAGTTCCAGGGCCTCACCGTCTTCATGCGGCGCTCCAACGCAACACTCTCCTGGCTCAGCAGCGTCTCCTGCTCCTCGTCCTCGCTCAGGAAGTCCTGGAAGCCGTCGTCCGAGTCGCTGAGCGCGGCGGTGTCTGGCATTGGAGACGTCATCTCGGCTGGCAATCCACACTTTACGCGAAATAGTAAAAACCTGATTATCCCCTCGGCTTACATGTACAGTCAAACCTGTTTATATGATCCTCTCTATTTGAGCCATAGGCTTTGTCGCTACCAAATATTTCACTTAGTTTTTGTATGATCCCTGTTTATATGCATACAAGGTATATGAGTCACATTTTTGGGGACCAAATTAGGTCTCACCTGTTTATTTGATTCACACTGCTCACGGCCACACACTCTTCAAAGCACCACTGCTCAACACTCAACGCCTACCGCAAGCCTTCTTCGCTCGCCATGTCTCCTCGCACCTGTCTGACGCTAGAACAAAAGCTCCAAGTGCACCTAAAGCTCAAGCAGAATCCTGGCATGAACAACCCCATGCTCGCCGAGTGGATCTACGCAACTTTCAAGGCCCGGGTCAGCCGTGCCACACTCGCCCGACTGCGCAACCTGCCTTCTTTCTACTTCAGCCACGTCGACCTGAGTGCGACCAAGCGGCGCCGAGTGAAATTCCCTCAGTTCGAGCGGGAACTGAGGGAATTTTTCTTTCAGAACGAAGCTAAAACGGCGATGGCGGACGACGTGCTCATGCTGAAGGCGCACGAGCTGGCGGAGCGCTTAGGCATCGATGCCACACAGCTCCGGCTAAGCAACGGCTGGCTTCAAAGCTTTAAGAAGCGCAATGGGATCCGCTCCCATACGCTACACGGCGAAGGTGGCGCTGTAGAAGCTGATGAAGTGCGAGATGCGAGGCTAGAGCTACAAGAGTTGGTGGCGCAGTTTACACCCGAGAATGTGTTCAACTTCGCCGAAACGGCGCTTTTCTATCGCTTAGCGCCTAATCGAACGCTAGCTACGACTATTCGCAAGGGCAAGAAAAAGGAGAAGCAACGTTTGACTTTGACCTTCTGCTGCAACGCGACTGGCTCCGACAAGCTCGACCCAATAGTCATCGGTACGGCCAAGAACCCGAGGTGCTTTAAAAAGGGAGCGGCGATTAAAGGTAAACCTATGTTGTACAAGTCCTCCAAGAACGCCTGGATGACATCCGTCATTTTTGACGAATGGCTGCACCTCTTCAACATGAGAATGGCGGCCGCCAATCGCAAGGTCCTACTTCTAGTCGACAATGCTTCATGCCACAAGATTCTACGAAACCTGACTCATGTGCCTGTTCACTTCCTCCCTCCTAACATGACATCCGCCGTACAGCCGCTGGATGCAGGTAAATATTTTATCTATATTGTGGTGTAGCCTAAACTAACCAACTCTATTACGGTGTTTTTTTTACTCAGGTATTATCCGGTCGTTCAAGGCTCGGTACCGAAAGTATTTTGTGCGGTGGTGTTTGGATGCACTTGAAGCTAACATTACACGCAAGCTCAACGTACTGGAAGCTGTCCAATTCTCCATTGATGCCTGGGCGGGTGTGACGCCAACGACAATTACAAATTGCTGGGTCAAGACTCGCATTTTGGGAGGAAAGATGCTAGGAAGGGCCCGTGCTGACACGGATTACATTGAGGAGGTATCCAGCAACGAGATGGAGGAGTTAACGGCGATGCTATCGAGGTGGGAGAGCGCTGTTAGCGCTAGTGAGAATCTGGCAGTGGACGAAGACGTTCCTGTGCACGAGCCAGATGTGCTAGTGGACGAAGCGGCAGGAAGTGATGCAGTTTCGCAGGACGAGCAGGAGGAAGAGGAGGAACAGGAACCCGCAGTTCAACCTGCCATTGCTCTGAGACACTGCATGGAGCTGGCTCCATTTCTGCTGCAATGCGGAGAGCAGACTGACAGAGAACGAAGAGCTTTACAGACCGTGACCGCTTTGGTTCGAGAGACTACGGTGAAGGCAAAGCGGCAGCGAACTATGCACGGTTTCTTTACGTGCACCACATAATTTTTTTAACTGAGTCCATTTTATATGAGTCATTGTAGTAGATGGTCACCAACAGGGCCTCATATAAACAGGTTTGACTGTAAACCTCATTGCAACGACCATACTAAGTACATGTATTCGTGACGGTGAAGACAGTAGGAGCTCAATTTGTGGCCGCCCACTACTAGGGGTAGTGTGTGTGGATCACGTTTGGAGAGTGTAGATCACTTATTCCCTGAGCGTAAAGCGCATTCGGGGAGTTCACACTGGGCAGTTCCGGTATACTACTCGAACCGTAGCGAAAGAATGAAAGCCGGCGCTTCATTAGAGCACGGTCTCGTTCTCATTCCACAGCTCACGAAATGGCATGGCTTGCGCAGCTTCTTCCTTGGGCATTCCCATATTCTGGAGTTCACGTCTCGCTTTGGCCTTCTCCAGCTGAACAGCCACAGCACCCACGTCTCGTTTGATTTCAATGTCGCACTGGGTTATCGCCCCGCGCGTCTTCTCGTTCCCGTCGATAATTCCTTGGTGGTGCTTCTGTGCGTATTTAAGACTCATCTACCCCAGTTTCTCCTTTATCTCCGATGACGCAACGACTCCAGTTCAACGACACCAGATGAATATAGCGCCTTGGGGATCACGGGTCTGTTAGCGTCTGTTGTCCCATACTCCAGACCATCGATCTCGTTGCTGGTGGCGTGCACCTGGCGCTTCGCGACGGGAAAAGAGTACGGCAGCAGCCGTCTTCCCTCTCGCGCCGTGCACTTCCAGTAATACATCGTCATCACAGCTACATTCTTGCTTGTTGGTTCAGACATGATAGGGCTTATTGTTTGAAATGCGGTACGATACGATTGTTTTTACAAGCATTGGTTTTTTTTGTTTTCTGGTACAGTGAACTCCAAATTTACATGCAGATGCTACCGGCGCGGATGGCTATCACATGTGCTGTAGTGGATCGAGATCGGAGATTCCTCGACATTGACGTACGTTGGCCTGGCTCGGTTGGAGATAGCCGTGTATTTTCAAACAGTCCTGTAGGGCGCCTGCATGCGTCATCCTTTTCAAGTGCGAGTGGAGACAGTGGGGCTGGCTTACTTCAAACTGGGTGGTTCGAGTACAGAAAAATCACGTTTTTCCTACTTGCAGACTCGGCGTATGCTAACTCCAAGCACGTTGTGACAACGTATGAGATAGCGGAGACCCAGAGAAGTGTGGTAATTAGCAAACTAAACCGGAAGCTCGCTGGAATGCGCTACTGTGTCGAGTGTGCATTTCGTGCTGCGAAGATGCGATGGCGGCTTCTATCGAAGCCTATCGAGATAGCGAGGACAAACCTGAAAGACGTACCCACGCTAGTAAGTTCAGTGTGCATTTTGCATAACTTCGTGATCGATGAGAAAGATGAGGTCTGGAACCCCGAGCTCGAGCAAAGGCACCGAGAGTTTTACTTCGAAAACTATCTAAGATTAACCAACGAGCAACGGTGCACAGAGAATCAAGTTGAAACAAGCAAAACTAGAGATGCAATTCAACACTGGATGCAGTACAGAGATTCAGTGAGGTCGTCCTAGGTCCACGTTAAAACGAAGTGTTAATGCGAAGCTATTACTGACTAGAAAATAGTTCGCGGAGCAATGAGCGGGTCTTTTCGTTTTCTTCTTTTTGATGTTGCAAATATATTTCACGATCCCGTTGCGCAATATCCTCTATGGACTTGATGGTCTTCTTCATCACATCGTGCATCAACTCTGCAATATCTTCGGTCCGCGTCCGCTTCGTGCCACATGAACTTGGCTTGGATAGGGAACTTTCGGCGAGATGTTCGCTCGCATCAATTGCTAAACCACCATCGATGGGCCTGATACTTGGATCGCCCTCGAAAATCTCCCCCAGTGCTTGATAACAATCCGCTGTGAGCGCGACACGGCCCCACTTTTTTTAAAACCTCGGCTCGCTCAGCGGGCGGCATTTCAAACCACGCAGGCCGCCCTGTGCTCCCTACCAAAGTCCCTTTGTTGTGGTCAGAAATCAACGAGTAGATCGACCTCAGTGAGGCCATCTTGTTATCCACCGCCCGCGGTTGCCGCGGCCTGAAATCCGGATCCGTAACCGCGATACCGCCTTCAGGCTTAGAAGGCGCTTTTGCCATACGCGCTAAAAACGAGCTTGCATCTTCTACATGCTCTCCGAGCAGCTCTGCCTTTGTCAATAGCAAGCGGGAGATGTATGCGTTGAATACAGCCGTAGCAACATGCTTGGCAGTGGACCCTTCTGGTAGCTCCTCAACAGAGGCGGCCTTCCACGCACCGATGAGCAGTAGAATATCTTCTCTTTCCCACACCTTTCCCCGCGTATGACGCTTTGTGGCCGCGTTCTTTTTCTGTTTGGCACCTTCGATCCGGCCATCAGCTTGTATCCCGCTGCCGGAAACTTGAGCAGCAGAGTCCGCGTCTTTGGCCGCGCTACAGACACCACCACTCTCTGTGCTGCAATCTCCTTCTTCGCTCTCCATGGACACCTGACAAACCTGCGAATGGTAACCAACGAGTTTCTTGCTAGCCTTTTTAGAAATTCGGAATATTTTTATATTAATGTGAAAATCGGAATAGTGTCAGTATGAACGCTGATCCGGCTTAGAGCCGGAAAACTCTCCGGAATAGTGTATGCCGGAACCCTTCAGTGTGACCCCCCCCCACTAACGTTCACACTATACAATACTAAGTATTGAACAGGGTTGGCACTGGCGACGCTGTCAACACGAAGAACCTCGATTAAAAAGACTAGATAAGTAAAAATGCTACTGGTAGCAGGTACCTACGTATGCATGGGAGCTGGGGGAGCCTAACGAGAGTCACATCGGAATCGCACTATTGATTTCCTCGTCTGAAATCCCCTCGCGCTTCATCTTGTGCCGCAAAAGCAGTTTTTCGGCCTTCGTCCGCATCTCCTCGGCCTCCGTCCGCAGCTTCTCGCGCCTTTCCCCCTCCTGCAGACGGATAGCTGCCAGCTTGAGCTCCACCTCGTTTCCATGGCCCGCGTTTCCGGTTGGAGTGGCGTTCGTGACATCATAGTCGTCGTCACCGTCTTCGCTCTCCCAGGGGAGTCGGTCGACTGGGCTGGCCCCTAATTGCGTCCGCGCTCCTTGCGCCTCAATCCGCTTACCCGCGGGGGGGAATATTGGTCTGTGTCTGAGCCTTTGACGCCTCTCGTCCCCCCCTCTTGGTGTCCTGGGGTCTATAGACAAACGCCTTCCCCTTGCTTCCCGCACCCTTGGTCGGATGATACTCGTCTTCATCGCTCGACCCTTGGTCAGCTTCTTCGTCTCCATCCTCGCCCTCTTCATCACTTGCTGTGTCATATCCGTCGTGGTCGAACACAGGTCTGAGCTCTCGAAAGTGCGTATAGCGTCTCTGCATCTGGGCCTCCACTTGCTTGATCAACTCACCGCGGCAAAACAGTTGGAGCTGCCCCTGGGCCTCAAGCCACTTCTTCACGGGCTCAAAGCGGCGCATGAGGTTGTAGATTTGAAAGTAGACGTCCCGGTGCTTGCGGTGCTTGATCCCGTTTTTCTCCATTTCCTTCACGATTTCTTTCGTGAATTTCGCTTTGTCGGGGCTCGCCGTCCAGCGGTTGTAGTTGCCTGGTTTCAGCAGTCATCGGAGCACCAAGTCAATGGACGACGGCCCGGCGTCGCGGCGTCAGTGTACCACGATACGGTCATCACGGCTTGGAAGCACTTACTACAAGCCGTTGGATCCGAAATCCGACCGCATTCTGGGGCCGGACTCTCGAGAGTACAAGCAACGAGGAGTCCGGTCTCACGAGAACGATGCTGACTTTGCGTGGGGTCATTTGACAAAACGCAAGCGACGATGGCAGGAACGCCGGGGCAACCTACGGGCGAAAAGACTCGATGGAACAAGGATGGCTCCTTGGAGGTGCTGCGGCGCTGGCTACATAGCCCGAATAACTACAAGCGGTGGCGAGAAGCGACGGGAAAAACCTTTATTTATGCATCCATCGGCTACTTTCTATTACATGGGGATTTATTGTATTATCTAGGACTAGAGGCGAAGCTTTGGTCTGGGAGGACACTGTAGAGTTCCTTTGTGTGCAAACGTGGGGTAGGCAAGAATAATGTAACATGAAAATTGGTGGCAAGTTTTCAAACCCTGGTGTAGCGCCTTTAAAAATATGGCGAAGGTGCCGTGCAAAAGACACGAAAGAAGTTTAAGGCGCGCTCGGCCGGGGGCGTTGACGTCATGCATTCCAGCTATGCAAATTTACACAAGAAGGACTCATGGGGTTTAGTCAATTTAGAGCGTGACCAAAACGAAGCCAAAGCCATTGGCGCGCAGGAAAAAGAGCAATCCGCTAGTTGTTATTTCAATGATTTTTCTGCATTTTCTCCTTATAAGCTAGCATTTACTCCTATCCTACCGCAATTCACATGTTCACCCGCTTATGAGATGCACCTACATCGACCAGTCATATGAAGCGATCTACATATTTTTATCTAATCAGACCAATTATTATACCCGGCAAATAAGATACCCACAATATTACAGTTGTGACTTACACATGTTGAATTTTGTATATGATACTTTTATAGTACGAATACAGATCAACATTACCGGGGTGAACATAGGGTGCAGCTCTCTACATTCGTATACACCGCCTAGGCGTTCAATTGAAGTGTTAAGACCAAAACCAGAAGAAAGCGAATACTACACGAGCTTTCTCTATTAAATGTGCATACCATCTACCTGCACGGCATAATATGATCCATGCCGAGCAATACAAACTGATCGAAAAGGGTTCGTGACGGCGAATGTGTATGCTGAGGTGACCCTACACTCGTCGTTGAGTGTTTTTACCTGAATATTGCAGGAATGCAGCTGAGCCGCTGCGAAAATCTCGTGCTCGCTACCGTCTCTCTCTCCGTTCCTGAGCGAGGTGATGTTGTTGTCATCGAACAACCCCTTTAGATCATCCAGCTCTCGCATGTAGCTCGTCAAGACGTGAGCATAGTCCGCGATACTGCTTGCCAGAGAGTGCCTAAGACAGCAAAACAGACTTGAGTGCGTGTCTTCGGGCAGGTACCAGGCTGGCGGTTGAAGGCATATCTGCTCCCTCTCATCTTCTTCGTCGTCGCCGACCAAGTGTTGGTACCGCAGATGCCACTCATGCATGCCGATACTAGAGGAGATAAGCTCGCGCAGCGGAGGATGCAGGGAGGTCTTGTCAAATGAAGATCCCGCGACAAGCCCACATAGCCTAAATGCCTTCTTGATCTCTTTCGGGTCCTTGGTGGCGATCCAGTCCAGCACCCACTGCGAGACCACTGATTAGTGCGGTACTTTCGGGTTCCCCGCCTTCGTCTGAAGACTCTTGTCCTTAAGAGCTTGACCCATGTACTTGTCGAACTTGTCACCGTAGAAACTTGAAAACTTCGATTGACTGCCACGACCAGCGGTTGCAGTAAATTGGTAAGGTTTGGCGGTACCAAGAGAACGGAAATATGGTAGCTCTGGAGCAACTTCTCGTTAAAAAGCGTGACATGGCAAGCGTACGAGTCGAGAATGTACAACACTGGCTGACGGTAAAATTGGGTTTCTTTTCTGCTGCAAATGACCGTTTTTGCGTGATCGACGAGGATTGCGTCATTCCACATACCGGTGGCGTTCACATCGACGAGAATGCCCTTGGGGACGGCTGGCTTCCGCTCGAGCTTTGAGAAGAGCACGTGAGGCGTCAAAAACTTACCGTCTCCAGTAATCGCGAAGGTGGCAGTGAACCGTTTGTGGCTGCTCCCACCTTTCTTGAGGAGAACCTCTCGGCTGCCACGAGTTGTAATTGTGTGTTTTGCCTCCGTTTCAAAGTACCTCGGCACTTGATCCATGTTGATAATATTTCCTGGTTGTATGTTGTGCTCTTGGATGAGTTTTTGCGCCTTTTCGATGAACTCCAAGCAAGTTTCCTTAGCGTCGCTAGGGAGGGTCTTCGTCGTGGTCTGGTGCCTCGACACGAGGTTGTATCGATCTTTAAAGCGGTCAAGCCACCCAGACGAAGCGGCAAACGTCAGGTGCGGGTCGTCCTCTCATCGTTGTGCTGCGAGCGATAAATACTCAGCGCTTGGAGTCTGATATATTTGTCTTTGACCCTCAATCCCTTGTTATTGCGGTCGACAATCCAGCTATGAAGCCGTTCCTCGAGGTCGTGATGCTGCGCCTTGCGTCCGGCTCCAGGCATTCGGCAAGCCACGCGTGTACCCACTTGGCGGTCTTTAGATGCTTGTTGTAGTTTGTCTTGATTTTTAACCCAGTCGCGGACCATCGACGATGTGACCTTGTGCTTTTTGGCCAGAGCGTGGAAGTCGCAGCCTTTGACGTTATGCTTGTACTCGCGGGTAACGTTGAATTTGAACTAGAGACTGTAGCTCGCACGCTTTTTTCTGCTGACATGATGTACAGTTGAAGGCGACGGCGTTTTGTTGAAAACAAACTAAGTAGAACGCCGATGGTACTGGACGTGATGGGAATTGGTTGGTAAAGGACTGTTCACCCGAGCGTGGTTGGTGAGGGTGAGTGGGGGTGGGTTGGCATTATCAACTGTTTTGATTGTAGGGGTTCGTTCTATTTGACCATGCGTACAAATCGAGGGTGCCACACAAAAGAAATCTGGCACAGTTCTCGTATTGAGCGCCTAGGCGCTGGTGCGCGGTAAGACGGTAGTTATGATTTTTCAAATAAATTTCGTAAATTCAATAACTGCTCACTACAGTGTGTGGTACACACTACGGATACAGTCGACATTCTGGGAACAACAAGTCACGAGATGTACCAACTTCGTCGTGTTACGGTAGCCATTATCTGTGGACTATGGACTCAGGCGACATTTGCCAATTAAAGTTGGCGGGGGCGGCCGCTGAAATAAAAATGGTTAGGCTGTTCAGCCAGCTAAAGCTGTCCTCCCAGTATTAATTCTATTATCGACAGCTACTTTCAATGCAATCAATGTTTTAAATCGAAATCGTATTCAAATAAATTTTCTTTAAATTTAGATTTACCGATAATTCATGCATGGCTTTAAAACCTAATGAAATGAAATGAGTTGCGTGTTTCGCGTAGCCTAGTTACTCCGTCCCAGACTCTAAAATATTGCTAGGTTGGTGTAAAAAATTAGGCGAGGCAAACCGCTACTGTACCCACAACTGGGTACAGTTCCATTAAAACCTAAACTTAATTAGCACCACGCATTACGACAGGGCCTGCCAACACTATACTTCTTGGTGCAAACTTTGAGTCCAAACCACACTAACCACAGTCTCGTGTTATTCACGACTATAGGTAGGTGTTGTATGGTGCTTGCACTCAAATGGTATTGCCAAACCGATTTTGCATTACCAGCCTATCTAGCAGTGCGTGATACCAAAGGTGGCCCAGAAATAGACGACAGGTCGTATGAGCAACCGATATCTTTACGGTGGCATAGGAGTACTAAGGTAGTGAGTCAGGCGCTATCATATCATGGGCAACGGCCCTCCCAACTGTTGGATGATGGAACATCAGAAGTAGTTATTTTAGATCCACAGAGAGCGAAGACGATAATGGAAAGCACTCTGCCTTCGCGTAAGCTGGTGTGGTATCGGAAAATGGAGATTACCGGAGTGATTGCCCGTCGCCCAAGAATCAAGGTACAATCAAGGAGCAGTCAAGTGCGAGATGGAAGTGGCTGCTTTGGTTAAGCTGACGACAATATCCTCGTTAGAGTGACGGTTAGTGGCTGGAGCCTCGTCGGGTCCTAATACAACCCCGACCGAGGCTTCATGGTGCCTACTTTTTGGTACAGATGCATTTAGTTACGTACTTCGGCCGCACTTATTAGTGTAGCCGCGGTCGTCATTTGATGTGTCCGGGATCGCCTCATTGCGATCGTTCACACTAGATATTTGTAAAGGGACATAGGACTCATCATAGGATGACCAGAGCGAGGCCCTCAAGGCCTCAGAAAACTCAGTAATATAAAGACAGTCTTCCTTCAAAGCCAACAAGGGTCAAGTCCGACTTCGGTAAGTGTAGCTAGCTTATTGTAGTGCATGGACACGCTCGGCTGCGTGTGGATGCCTGTCGGGGAGCTTATCGTGCTTTGACCGACTTTGGCGACACCAAGAGTTGGCGTGGCCGGAGAGGCAAGAGCGACATAGGAGTGTCGTTCACTGTATATTTGTGGGACAAGAGTGTCCCTGAGTGTATTAGTCTACCTACCGAGGTTTTACCTCGGCCCCCCTGTGTAAGGCCTAACACGCCGGTACCCTTCCTTTCTGAGGGACTGCAGTGGGGTTGCGCGAAAGCGGTACATAGTATCCTAGCCTTAGCTCGTGGCTAGTGGTACAGGTTTTTGGGTTGACCGAAGACAACCTAAGGTGCACAGAGGCGCTTGCAACCGACCCGGTGTAAGGGATCGTTTCGGGTCTTCAGGTTTTGATCCAATAAGCGCTTACCTTTGCGGGTTAGCGTGTTGTTGGTGTCTCTAATACCTTTTGGTAGAGGAGGATTTTAGTGGAATTACCACACCACACTGGCGCCTCAAATTCATTTCCGGCCTTCGTCCGGGCAAGCCGAAAACCCTCCCACCTCGTACCGCGGATTTCTTCATCAGCGCTAATTGTTCGCTAATCAACCGTTTTGCGTTTGCCTTAGCTCATGGCGTCAGCAGATCAGCGCAGGAACTTGTGAATCACCATCCGGGAGCATTGCACCCACAGTAGCTATAACACGAACCCCGAGTTGCGTGTAAGGACTAAAAACGTACTTGCGATCGAAGCACACTGAATATAGGTCGCAGTCTAGTTAGTGACAATTATATAGCACTCTACAGTCTACCAAGGGCGTGTCGTATTGAGCTACAGAGGTAGTCATGCAGACGTTTGTTTTGCTCTAATGCGACTCATCTACGCGACCGTATTGTCCTCTAACGACGGTTAAGTAATCCCCTAGATAATAAAACTTACGAAACGATGATGGCAAGTACTTTGTGTGGATATATCGTGACATTTTGAGATTTATTTGATGTTAAATCGCGTATAAATAATCAAACTATTAATCAATGTATCAACATTAGAACCATGATCTGAATACAGCCCGATTCTCGGTTGGACCTGGGTTTCAAAGATATACGTTGGAATAAAAGGCGGTGGTGAGAGAACTCGCGCTACTGCTATCGATACCGTCGCCATTACTAAAAGCATCCTTTTCGGCTAGGAGGTGTTGCTACGACATTCGTAAACTGTTCCTACAACGGCCGTCAATAGTTCCAAAAACTTGCGCTTTTGCCCAGTCTACCCTGAGCATGCAGCGTGACTGCTGCACTGGAAGCGGACACGTCGGGTGCATGATTGTGTAGCAAGCATATATGTTGGTCAACGTAGTTACACCGTTCACCCTAATTAGTCGTGCCATGACTATTTACCGTGTACGACCTGAAGGGCACCTCACCCTGTTTTGAATTTCAGTTTTCTCGGAAACGTATTTACTGAAAACAAAATATACCACGCAATTTGTATTGCCGAGATCTTCCCGAAACCGGTCTCTTTTCTCAATTTAAGGTGAAACTAAAAATATTTTTCAGAACCGGTGGAATAATTACCAAAGGTGCACGACTATTTAGGTCACACGAGTAATTAGGGTGAACGGTGTAGCACCCAATATCAAGTTATAGAATTTTGTAGATGTTAAGTATATCATCCACTGCTGCAATGAATACAGCGCATACATCTTGTTTCTAGTAGGGCTGCGTATTCCTTTATCAAGTTAGCAATTCCATTCATACAGAAACCTTACTGTCACCGTACACGTCGAAGGTGGCGTGTCGAATATTTTGCGAGCTATTTACAATAACCCATGACAGCATACAATATCACCCTCATGCATACAATTAATCGGCGTGCATTGAAAATAGCCGCTAATTAATAAAAAGCAGTCGTTTTGGCACGTAATAAAAAGTAGACGTCAGATGCATAAAAATAATCCGCCCCCAGAAGCGACAGCAGGCAGTGGACAGCCTATTAGCTGCGTTGGAGGCCAAGGGTATATCGCGATCTGACCCAAGCATCATGAAGAAGCTTGATACACTTGATCACCAATACGGCTGGGCTTTTAAGTGGCTCCAGCAGAACGAAATCTCCATCGATGACGCCCTGAACGGTTCCATCGACGGCGAAGTACAAGCGAAGGTGAAGGCGAAATTCCCTCTTTACCGCGAGCTTCTGTCGGTGCTTCGACCGTATTTCAAGCCTGGTAATAATGCCGCTACTGAAAGCACGACCCGCGTGGGTCAAACAAAGGGGAAGCGTAAAGCTGCTGATCAAGACAACCAGAACACGAGCAAGCGGCGCCGACGTGCTCGGGCCTCCGCTGCACCCGTGGCTGCACCGCCTGCCTCGCACGACGCGGAAGCGGAAACTGAAACACCTGTAGCTACGACGGCAAGAGTGCAGCCACCCAGTGTGACGTACAAGTACCAACAGATGAACGTTGCGTCGAGCATGAACTGGTTCTACAACCAGAGCGACGAAATGCTATTGCAACCATCCGAGCACGGCACGCAGGAAACGAAGAAGCGGCTTGGCAACGCCAAGGTGGAGCACATCCGGCAGCTCAGTGACTTGCGCTTGGAGTCGCAGAAGCTGCGCGTCGAGGCGCAAAGAGTGACGACGATGCAGAATCTGGTCAAGGAGGGCATACCCGACGAGGCCATTCAGCGCCACATCTCGTCGCAGCGTCAGTAGGAACGCGGCAACTAACCGCCTTGCATTGGCATGGTAGCTTCATGTTGCCCTGCACGTTAATCGGCTAATACACTTCAACTTAAGAAAAAAAGATCGTTTTTAATCTGATTTCCCTATGATACGCTACCGTCAATCAAGATTTCGATTCATTCGGCGTCAGCCACAGCACTTGGTACTAGATTAGACTAGCAGCAACTAGGTTCCTCGGCGCATCTACATGTAATAGAAACCAACGAGTAGGCAGTGAAAGCGCGCTGTTTATTTCTCTTCTTCTTCCAACATTAAACTTCCAATTACACGCACATATCGACACAACCACGTGGCAGCAGCAATGACTCAATCTGGCAACGGGAGCACCTTATCAAGGTACGCTTTCGAGTAGCCTTGTTACTGCAGTTCAAATCTCGAAATCAAAATTTTCTTCTTTTTCTCCACGACCCCCAGCTCCTGGTCCACCTCAATGCGGCACTTATCGAGGGCTTCCTTCCGCTTTATCTCCGACGCGTCCAGGTCTTCCCGGCGCTTGATCTCGTAGTCAATAAACCGCTGCGCCATCTCTTCACCCGCTTTACCAGACAGCGAGATGTTTCGGATCTTGGGCACGAAAGCGCCACTGCTCTTCCAGAAAGCAGGATTAGTCGAACCATCTTCGACCTGGAACTGGACGGCTTGGTGCTCTTCATATTCCGGCCCAACGGAAGGAACAGCTAACACCCGGGACTGAGAAGAACCTCCTTTTCTTTTCTTGCTGACAGTGTTGGAAGGATTCTCGAACCCGTCGTGAGGCTGCGCTCAAGATTCTCGCGGATCGGAAGGCCAACGGGATCCACCACCGCACCGAAGCAACCGTCCAGGGAAAGCTGGGCAGACTTGAAAAACGGTACCTGGACGCTGCCAAGCTGTTAGCGGGGAGGCGAATCTCCGGCGGTGGCGTCGAGAATAATAAAGTCAACGATGCTGTGAAGGCTGAGGCGCAAGCGGTATGTCCGTTATACTTTGAGCTGAGACCGATACTAGGAAGTACCGATACCTGCAGTGGACGAGAGACTCCCAGACACGCCGGCTCGAAGGCGAAGCGAGATGACCAGAATGCTGGCAAGAAACAACAAACCGTTCGATCTCGCGTTGTAGCCCCTCCTGTGGCCTATTTGTATGGCTCAGTACGCCACAGGGTGAACTACGGAGCCATGCATCCCGATGTTGACGAACGAAGTGAATACCTGTTCGCGGACGAGAGCGAGATCAGGGTTATCCAGCCCAGTTCGGAGCTTGCGGAGCGGTAATTCGAAGCGTGCACGGTTGATATGGTGCGCGAACAACACCAGGGTATCATCGACAGAGATGAGAAGATGCGCGATGCGATAGCCAAGTGCGAGGTTGGAATCAAGCAAAATGGTAACGTGCGTGTCCAATTCGCGAAGGCCAAAGCAAGAATTGAGCTCGAGAAATTGGGCATGTCCGAAGAGGAGCTTAATCACTGCATGCAACTCCATGAGCTTCGAGTACAACTAGCGTAGCTGTTTATGTCTCGCTGTTAGCCAGACTATCATAACTGGTTTTAAGGAACGTTCTTGAGGAACCGTTGAATGTTTTGTACACTATATCTGGGACGAGGGGATGAACGAGAAGCACTAGTAGTAGTCACTTCACGAAGTTCCGGGGGAAGCGCACTGAACGATGAGCGAGGAGCGACAAGGTCAAGGTTTAGCAGGAGCGGAACCTACGAAAATCAAGCGTGTTTCGTGGACCAAAGACGGCAAGAATGGTGGCCCATCGTCCTTAGATGTGCTCGTTACGTGGGTGGGGTCAGGAGAAAGCTACCAACTTTGGCTGGATGGACGCGGTAAAAGTGATGGCAAGCACCGTCAGGCCTTGCAAGAGATTACGTCCGAGCTGGAGAATGCTGGTCTCACGCCCCGCAGCGACTCGAGTGTGAAAGGCAAGATTACTTCACTGGAAAAGCAATACGCTGCCGCCACAGAATGGCTCAAAGAAAAGAGTATCGAGCCCAAGGACGTTTTGAGTGGCAAGGCAGGCAGCGACGTGCTAGAGGAGATACTAGACAAATGCCCATACTACCAGAAGTTCATGCCGGTGTTCGGAGAGGTCCCTCGCTCGAAGGAGAAGCGGTAAGTGGATCTAGAACTACCCATGCCTCAACCTGAATACAGTTCGAGGATACCTACCTAAACTTTACACTACATTTAGAGCACGGAAGAAGTATTGAAAACCCCTCACCCTATTGTGGTCACCAGTATGCAAAGGAAAGTAAAATGAATTCTGATGTTAGCTCCAACTCTAAACTAGTGCTTGTTCCTGCTCCTGGCTTTTGCCTACGAATTGGTACAGCTTCTCAAATCCGGCTTCTAGAACTCTAAGCACCAGAGCGAGCTTTGCTTCGGATCGTACAACATACACTGCGGCAGACACGAGACCGGCCAGGGCTGACCACACTGCCTCCCCAGGGTCTGCAGCTCTTGAAATATGCAATGCCACTTGGCCATGGTGTTGCGAATGCGTTTAACCCCTCTAACCCCGTATTCTGTATCCTACAGAATAAGCATTGTCACAGGACATAATATCCAGCAAACTTGTCCTCTCTTTCGAACTTCGCATATGGATGTTTGTATATCCGGTATTGTGCACATCTTCCTGTTAGATTAGCGATGGGAAGATAGACGGGGTTTATTCCGCGGTAATAGACGGACGAGTATAAACCACCAACAGGTTTGAAAATTCGGGTGGAAGCCTAAAACCGCCGCGTGTCAGCCACTCGTACTTTCCTTCATTCCAAAACTGCGCTGTTCAAGACGTCGCAATGCAAGCTTTGTTGGGGCCCGTCGAGCGCGCCCAAGTGGCCAAGTACCATGGCCGAAGACGATCATGATGAGCGCCATTGTGATCTAAAGGTAAGCGAGAGCGTGTACTTTGCTCTGTAACATCGTACTAGTGGTATATTGATTGCGATGTTGATTACCAGACTTGGTGATCCGACCCAGATGACGCTATGAGCTCTCGCGTGTGGCCCGATTGGCAGATCGATTGCGGAGTCAGCGCACAACCTCATCGGTTCCTACGAAGCCGGCTACAGCCGGGTCTACGGCTATATTGTAGCTGATGCAGTGGCTACTCAAGAGGCTACAGAAGAAGCGCTCCTCATGGTGTGGCTACACCGGAGACTACAGAAGAAGCGGTAGATGCTACGGTGGATGCTACAGAAGAAGCTCTCCGCGTGATGAGGTTACACCGGAGATTACAGAAGAAGGGACAGAGGCTACGATGGAGGCTACCGATGAAAGCGGCAGGAATGAAGCGGCAGTGCCGGAGGCTACAGAGCAAAGCGGAGGCTGCCAAAATGGCGAAGATGACCCACGGCTGGCGCGAACATTGAAGAGCGTGCGCATGTAAAGGAAGAAGTAGACGTTGGCATGAATATCATATATTGTCCTGTTTCGTACAAGAGGAACCGTGTGTAGTGCGTGTCATTACGGGCTATTGAGCATGCAAGCTCTCTGGTGTTGTTAGAGAGGTAATCGTAACAAGCTTGTTAGGTGGGCTAAAGAAATCTAATGATGCGCTAATGTCAAGCACAAGGAAGAATTCGCCCAGTTCCTCCTCACTACGTCAGTTAGGAACTGGGCGATTTCTTCCTCCGCGTTTATCGCGACGTGCCGAAGATGGGTGGCTGGAGCCGAAGTATGCTGCCTTAGCAGCCTTGCAAGGTATTAGAGGAATTACCATGATCCAGTAGAAAAGTACTGGATCGTCCCCCAGGCCGACAGCCATTTTCTTCATACAGTAAAAAATCCTAAGTACGCCCGGCACGCCACTTGCGAACCTATCAACCATTTATGGGCTAACTTCGAGCTCTCGGTTTATTTGCGGGACACCTGAAATAGCTACGTGGGAGGTAAGATTTCGAAGGCTAGTGCTAAATAAAAGCCAAGTAGACTTAAATAATAAATAATTCTCTAAAGGGTGATTCACAGCTATATTCTGCTGCATTGTGCAAACGTCCAAGTCAAGAGCAAGAAACCCCCCAAACTACGGCTCTGCTCGCTTTTCACTCGACGTGTCTGATCTCGAAGGTGCCAAGGAGTTGGGACTACTCAGGGACGATGTTGCAGTCGAGTCGACGAACACGACAAGCTCAACGTATGGCTTGGCCTACCAGCTCCGAGAGAATATTGCCAATTCAGTCTTTTCTTCACAAAAAGCAGTCCACAGCAAGTGCAAAGATTTGGCTGTGAGGTGCGGCTTCCAGATTTTTGTGAAGCAGACCAGTGTGAAGGCCGACAACTCCGGTAATGCGAAATTTGCGTGTAAGGCGCTCAATGGAACGCAATATTTCGACCGGAATACACCAGCTGCCCAACTCACGTGTCCGTTTTTCGTGAATGTTCACGGGAAATCGGGGAAGTGGAAGATAACCCAGGCAAATTTTGCGCACAATCACCTCAAGTTCGTTGTAGTGCCAAGGCCCCTTGTGTTGAAGGGTCCATCCCGTTGCCGTCCAAGCCCATGCGGAATACCACGCAGCAGATAAGCAAGCTGACAGCGATTGTCGAGACCGAGATGCTTCCCGCCCACGATGGATCTACGGCTTCTATGTCAGGCGCCGCTATCAAGAATTTTCTGAAATCGAATGGAGCGGATGTAAGCGCTACATCGGTGTCCAGAATGAAGCAGAAAATTGACGACAAAATTCACGGCGACTTGGTAGAAAGTTACCAAAAACTGCGGGCGTACTTCGAGTTGATGGCGAACAAGAACCCCGGATCGGTTTGGAGAGTGAAAACTGCCGCGGACGGATCGTCGTTTGGTCGAGCGTGCTTCATCCCTAACGCTGGTATTCACATTGCCCAGAACTGCAAAAAGATGGTCGGCTTTGACGGGGTCCACCTTAAAGAGGAAATGCACGAACAGGGCATTTATCTGGTAGCTACCGTGAAAGACTACAACAACCACATCGTTCCAGTTGGACTCGCGCTGGTTTCACAAGAGGACAAGGCCAATTGGATTTGGTTCCTGGGAGCATATAAGGAGGCAGTTGACTGGGAAAAGTTCACGATATTGTCGGATAGACAAAAAGGTCTGCTTCCAGCTGTCGCGACAATTTTCCCCAAACGCTGGCCATCGATACTGCCTGCGGCATATCACGGACAACATTAACAGGAAATGTTCCAGGTTGTCCCAGGAAGACCGTGCGTGGGTATGCCGAATGGCACGCAGCGACTGTGAAAATGACTATAAGCTGTATCGAAGTGAACTCGCCGTGAACAACCCTGCCGCTGCGAATTTTCTGGACGGAATCGAACGTGCTCACTGGGTGAAGTACAGTTTCCAAGAAAAGTTTAATCTCCCGACTTTCGACGAAATAACCTCAAATTTGTCAGAGCAAGCGAACAACTGGATGGGTAAAGAGCTTCGGACCGCCAAACCGTTGGACGGATTCCACTTGTACTTCTTGAAGCTGAGTCAACTGATATCCAAAAGGCGACAATTGATTGTAGCGTGGACAAAATCTGGCGCACTCTCGGATTTAGTCCCCAAGTTGTTAGAGCGACGTACAGACCGCCAAGCTGCAGCTGATATGTGCGAGTTTACACCCCTTCTCGAGGGTGCGTACAGCGTCTTGTTCAAGGGCCCTGTTGCCATACCAGGATATGTGCACCCAGACCGGGTAGTGGATTTGCCAGCGCTGGAGTGCAAGTGCGGCAATTGGCAAGACCAAATGTTCCCTTGTGTCGACGCAATTTGCGCTGCTTCAAAGGATGGCCGACGAATCGAAGACTTGTATGACGCCAAGCGTATGTCGATCGAGCACTTCCGCGATACGTACACATTCAAATTTCTCCCTTGGCCGACAACAGCAACCTTACAGCGGGACGACACAATTCTTCCTCCACAACTTGAACCCACTCCTGAACGGATTGGTAAAAGAGGGTTGAAGCCGGGGAAGTGGCCACAACACAAGGGAAAGATTGTGAAAAACGCGCTGTAGGGACAAGAATAAGCTTCGTCGGGCAAAGCCAATTTATACTTTATCGATCTGTATTTTTGACAAACAACACTTCATAATTAATAGATATTGTGCTTTCCGACAATTCTAACCAAATATGCAAGTGTTGCTGAGTCATATTTGGGTAAGGTATATTAAAAATCTAAACCGATAGATCTCTAGTGTTGTGCCCTAAGAACACGCGAGTAAAATATTCGTGAAAATCTCTTAAACTCTAGAAGGAGTAGGAACTCTACGAATGTACCACTCCATGGTACACCCTTTTTGTATAATTTAAGCCGCAATGGTGCAATATGCTACGTTGATCTGCAATCTGAATTTTGCAATTTAACTACGTTAAATTTAGCTAAATCACAACCTGACCTCCGGGCTGAAGTCTACTGTATTTATTTTAAGGCAACACTTAGAATAGAAATAGACTGCGATATACATTTTCAGCGCTTAGGCAAGCCCCATTCTGCTTTGTGCTCAATGCCACGCCTTAACCCACGACAGTGCCACGCCCGGAACATCCAGCGCCGCCTGGACGGCTCGTTTCACCGTCTCCGACTGAATCCCGGCAATTCCGCTCATGACGTCAGCGACGAAGACACCGACGAGCAGGAAGAGGAAGAATCATCAGTCCGGGGTGGACTCCGAGAAGAACGACGTAGGGGTGGTGGCCTCTTCGCAAGCAATCGAAGGGCCCAGAGAGGCGTGGATGGGCAGCTATATGAGGTAGAGCGAATATACGCGAAAAGGTGGATCAACGAAAGAGTATATTATCTCATCCAATGGGTTGGGTACCGGGAGCTTACATGGGAACCGGGAAGCCACGTTCCGATGCGCCTGAAGCTACGGCTCGAACGCGAATCGATCGACTTCATCTGGGTCTACCAATCGACAAGAGGGAGACGTCGGACTCGCCATCGACGACCGACACGACGCAGCACAAGGATCCAGTCTCGCAGAGAGTAGGTAGATACGTCTTGATAAATACGCATCACGAACTTAGCAAATACTGTGACAGTAGTTTGTTTTTCGGTCGGCCTGGGGGGCGATCCAGTACTTTTCTACTGGATCATGGTAATTCCTCAAGGTATTACCATGTAGCAGGTTTTGAGCGTGCTCTAAGCTCGCCACGACCAATAGAAGCTCGCCATTTCGGCATATGGTGGATACATAGAGCATGTTTTGCTCACTTTCGTAGCTGTTCTGTGCACAATGAACCCAGCGCTTGACCGCAAGATGCGAAAGGGCTTCCAACAGCAAATGTTTGACAGGTTTTGAGTATACTTTAATCAAGTCTAATGTTTATTCTGTAGGATACAGAATAAGGTCTGGGGCTAGAAGGGTTAAGCTTTATCCAGCTGTGCCTTGAACTCCTCGTCCTGTTGCTGTTCTGCGTAGTTGGCCACCAGCACTGGCACGTCGCGCAGCATGGTCTCCAGTGGCTCCCATGAGTCCTCGATGTCTTGCAGGCCTCGCCACGATACTAGTACTTCCCATTGTTGCGTTGCCGAGTTGTAGCGGTGGTCGCGGAAACACTCCACTCCTAGCACGATGCTCATATTTAGCGAAAAGAAGCCTTTCCGGTTGTAGAACTTCTTGCTATTTTTCACTGCTGGCTGCACGATAGGAATATGGCAGCCGTCGAGGGCACCAACGCACCCCGGAATGCCATACCCATCTTCAAAACGCATAGCAAGCTTCATCAACGCCTGCCGACCCGTCGGAAATCTTACCAGCCCGCTCATCTGGCTGACAATTGCACTGGATACGTCGTGCACAATGCCGGATGCTGTCGATTTCCCTATTCCAAACTGGGAGCGTAACTGGTGTAGCGAGCAGCCTTGGCCAACGTAGAATAAGAACACAGCTAGACGTACTTCTGCTGGCAATGGTTTCCCAAAATTGGTTGTCTCCTTCTTGATATACGGCTCCACAATCAACAGCAGCCTTTTGAACGAGGCTCTCGTCACTCGAAAGTTTGCTCTGAACTCGCCTTCATTCATCTGCGGCGAAAACACTTTCATTCTCCATTCAATACTTCTGGAAATCTTCGTTCGCGTGGAGCCAAATCGCACTAATTCCGTAGCAAAAAGAACAGTTAGCCCATGAACAAGAGGAACTGTTCCTGAGCGTGCTGGTAAAGTCGGCGTGTCCATAAGCAACAGCTTCATTAAAAGTAGAAAAGCGCATCGTTGCTTTTGAGTCAGTCTACACACGATCTACAAAGATATAAGATAGAAAGACAGCAGCAACATGTTAGTTTGTGTGGTAAATGACTGCCCCCACAGTGTAAACAGGTTTTACCTACTCTTGATACAGAGGTCCGATGCGCGGGGCGTAGTCTGCCGACGAGATCTTGCGTCATAGTGTAGAGAGAGCTGCAACTCGAGTTGTCGATGTTCACAGCAGTCTCCTCGTTGACACTGACAGTGATCTCACTGTTGCTGCTGTCGGGGCAGCCCTTGCTAGTACGTGCGCTTACCCAGCGCCCTACGGAGCCGGTATCGACGGCTAGAACGACTGCACATGAGACGCAGCTGGGCACATCCTCGCGAGTAACACTGCTTTCACTAGCTTGGACGCGCACCGGAACACTGGGAAACGTGGTCGAAGTCGCTGCAAGACGCTCGTGCCGGACGCACTCCGCCGTGCCTCTGGTGAAGCCTTCCGAGAAGTCAGCGGAGGCACCTTCTGCAAGAGGTGGAGGCAGATCAGCCCCCTGTGCGGCTGCACTAGAAATGCCAGCGCCACCGCTGAGTTGTTTGCAGCGAGGGGCGCCTTTGCTGGTGTATCGCGAGCTTCGTCGGCTGGAGGAGCGGGTCATCATCTTGATCTTACTCGAGTTTGCGGCTTTGTTGGCTATGCCGGGTTCGATAGGGGTTGCCATGGAGCAGGGGTATACAGTCGGCCAATTTGCATTTTTATGTGTGCTTTCCGGAATAGCGTATGCCGGACTCAGCCAGCGTGAACCGTTGCTTCCGTTTTATTTCCGGCACCTTGCTTGGCAACGTGCTCGAGGATCTCTTCATCGACGTTCATGCTTGCGTCGTCGTAGTACTTGAGCCTGGAACCATGAACCTCAAAGGTGTCACCAGTAAGGAGATCTCCACCATGAACGAGTATTCGCGAGCTTCTGTCACGCGGTAAGCCCCCCCCCAGCGTACCATCAATTTGTTGCCGCGTAGACGCTCGTCGACACGAGACCAAAGTACATAGTCTCCAACGCTGAAGTTCTCGAGTTTCCCCTCCTTAGCCATTTTCTGATACATTCGGGTCTTCTCCTTTCGATCCACAACCTCTTGATGCATCGAGTGTAGGCTCTCACGCAGCACCTCTAACTCCTCCTCCACTGTGTCCATGTTAATCTTCATCAACTTGTCCTTGGTCTGCAACGTGCGGGGGAGCAGCACCGTGTCCAGCTGCGTCGGCACTTGGAGGCCTGTGAAGAGCTCTAGGGGTGCATTGCCACCAAGCGAGTTCACGGGCGTTTGGTTCAGATTGGCCTGCACGAGAGGCACCAAATGCTCCCAGCTCTTGGTGTCGAGCTGGTATTCCAACAGCAGCGCTCTCACCACCTGGAGCGCTTCTCGGTTGAGGCGCTCGACAGTGCCGTTCACCCACGGAGTGTAGACGGGCACGAATGCGTGCAGCGCCCTCAATCGTGCCCGCAGATTCTCCATCAACTCGTTCTTGCAATGGGTGCCATTGTCCGAAACCCACATTGCCGGCAGTCCGAATCATTTAGCCCAATCCAGTATAGCCGCCACAGTCACCGTGCTTGTAGGCGAATCACTCGGCACTAACTCACAGTAGTGCGTCAGTTCATCCTTCAGTAGCAGCAAACAGCGCGTGCTTCCGTACGAGTCTCCCATAAACAGAAAATCGAAGTGCAGTACCTCGTTGCGTCCGGCAGGCTCGGGGTGATCGCTCCATGGACGCTGGATAAGCTGGTGCCCTTGATGTGCTTTCAGAGCAAGCAGTCTGCGACGAATTCCCTGACCAACTTTCCCATGGACTTAATCCAGTACTGCGCCTGCATCTGGCGCAGCATGACGTCGGCTCCCCGGTGAGCGTTCAAACCGCACTGAGCCACGATGAGAATGCGCGTGATCAGATCCTTGGCCGGCGCCGGGATCCACACCTTCCCCTCCACCTGAAGGAGCTCAGAGTCCGGTGCGGCCGACGCAGTTGCCGTCGACGGCGCTGAGCGGCGGTGGCGTTGCTGCGCCTCTACGACTTAATCAACAGACGGCCACACGAAAGCTTCGTCACTAAGCGGGCGAAGGCGCGAGAGCTCACGGGACGACCGAGTCCGCACAGCCTTGACAGACACTTGAGAGGTGTCGGCGGGAGACAACCAGCGCGACACTAAATCCGCCCGAACGTTCTCAGAGCCCTTGACATGTTCGATTTCATAGCGGTAGTCCGACAGCATCAGGGCCCACCGCTGCAACTTTCCGCGCACATGCTTGCGAACCTCCGTGTGGGGGCAGAAGATCTGAATGAGATTCGCGTGGTCGCAAAATATTTTGAACCCTGCTTCGCGGTGCAGCAGATACTCCAGGTCCTTCGCAGCCTTGATAACGAGATAGCCTTCCTTCTCTGCAATCGACCAGTGTAGCTGAGCACCCTTAACCATACCGCCCTTGCAGATTAAAAGCTCGTGCGACTGGTCGGTCAAGCTCTTATTGTCATCCCAGCACTCCACTTGCGAGACAATGAGTGACCATCCTCGGTCCGAGGCATCCGTAGTCACGCACACAGTAGCCGCCTCGCTAGGGAGCGCCAGCTTCGTTGATCGAGCCACAGAGTCAAGGAACTCGCGATAGTGGTGCTCCTCCTCAGCCGTCCACATGAGCGCAAGTCCTTCAGCATAACGCTGCTTCCGACTGTGTCCTTCAAATGCACTCTCCAGTTTGGCTTGAAGTGGGGGCGCATACTGGGCAAAGTTCACGATAGATTCACGCAACCAATTAGCTGCGCAAAGCAGCTTCTGCAAATCTGCCGCTGTGGCTGGAAGCGGCAGTGAACACAGAGCTGCAACTCGTTCGGGATCGTGGCGAACGCCCTCACCGTCAATGAGGCGTCCGCACCAGGAGATCTCACGCGCGAAGAGACAGCCCTTGTTGACTTCAGACCATACTCGCGGAGGCGAGCGAAGAATTTCTTGAGCACCGCGATGAACTCCTCCGCAGGCGTAGCGAACACGATGATGTCGTCCACCCAGATTAGCACGTTTCATACAGCATATCGCGAAACACTTCCTGCACTTGGTTTTGGAAATGGATCGGCGAGTCGGTTGCTCGTTGTGGCACCCGCGTGGATATGTACACAGTGTCATTCGTGATGAAGCTGAAATATTCACGGCAGTCTGGGTGCAGCAAAAGCTGCCAGAACCCCTTGAAGAGATCGAACGTTGCGAAGAAGCATGCACCCTTAACCTTGGCAATCACCACCAGTAGGTTTGGCATTGCACCTGCGATAGGTACGGTGCGCTTGTTGATCGGGCGGTAGTCGGTGGCGCACCGAAGTCTTCGACGGGACCCTTCTTGCGAACGGGAATGGCCGCACAAGCCCACCTACTCTGATTGTTACGTACAACCAGCTCAAATTCTTCCAGCTGCCTGCCATAGTCCCGAAGGAACTTGGTTTTCAGCTCAGAGTACTGGCGAGGCTTCGTTCGATACGGTGTGGAGCCGTCGACCAATACGACTCGCAGTGGCTCGAGCTTGGCGGGTGGGTCCGCGCCTAGCTTCGTCCGCCATAGATCAACTTCTTCGTTGGTGGCATCTCGCAGCGCATCCTTAAATTCGTGTGGAAACCCGGCCTTGACAGCGTCGTCCACCATTACGTCGAGTCGGTCCATGATTTCATCCAGGTTGGTCGCGCCCACGATGTCATCCTTCGGTATACCATCCTCGTCCTCCTCGGGGGCACCTTTGGCTGCGAGGCGCTCCAGGAGATGATCCACGTTGATCCCAAGCGACTTCAGAGTTCGATCACCAAGTAAGAACTCATCCGCATCTCCATCGATCACTACACACTGTAGTCTGCGCAGATTGACCGGACCGGCAGCCGTTAATAGCTGCACGTCAACTTCACACATCTCGGTGCGAGGAACGAGTCGTCCGTCTGCCACTTCAACCTCCATCGGCACATTCAGCTCTTCCACCACGAGGTCATCATCCAGTTTCCTTAGTTCATGCGCAATGTGGCGGGTAATCACGTCGTAGTCAGCGCCAGTGTCGGCTCGGAAAGGCACCTCCAATATGCCATTCAAAATGGCTGCACGCTCGCCGGGCTGCCCAATTGATCGCACAGTCTTCGCACGCAAGCGCTGGTTCTTCATGTCATTCATTAGTTTTAGGGCTGCTTCTTTGTCTACCTCACTAGCGGTGGGGCAATCCTTCACCCAATGTGCTCCATTGCACACGAGACAGCCATCGCGCGGCTTCTTGCTTCGACTGCTTGGGTTTGCTTGATGACGAGTGCTGGGGCTGTGAAACCCGAGGCTTCAACGAAAGTGCTGGCTTCTTGTTGGAGTGATTGGTCTTGGGGTTGCTACGAGGTTTATCCACCTGCTTGAGCTCCTGGGCCAGCATGTGGTAGTGCTGCTGCTCTCGTGCGCGCTCTACTAAGGCCTCGTAGAGCGCAATATCGTCCTTCTTGAGCACCGGCTTGGCGATGACCAGGCGCTCCATCTCCAGCCTCAACATCTCTGGTGCAATGTTCTTTAGCAGGTACTTGCAACGCAACTTCATGCGTTCGTCGTAATTCGGTTCATTTTCGTGTCCACTACCGAGGATTCCACCCAAACCATGGCCCTCCACAATCTTGTCAAACAGCACGAAGTAATTCACCACACGAGCTTCGGTGTCTTCAATCTTAAGGTCCATCTTCAGTTCGTCCTTGAAAAGCTGGTCCATGTCCGGGATGTGGCTATTTTGCAGCGCTGAGCAACGCTGCGTGATCTCCAGGCCGAGATCTTCATCGGTCACGTCAGCCGCTCGCTTCTTCAGCACGAAGCGAGCCAGGTGGTCCAGGATGCGCGGCTCGATCGAGTTGCGGATGGAGGTGACAACGTGCTCGTACTGCTCGCCAGTAACCGCGCAGCGATTGCGAATCTTGGCTTCGTACTGGCGGCGCTGCCGCACCCAGGAGATTAGGGACGCCTGGTCCCAGGCACTCAGGCTCGGGGGCTGAACCACCTCGAACACTGGCTGCGGCACGGTCATCTCAACATCTCCGTCTGCGTCCGTGGCAAGATGCCATCTTGCTTGTCTAGGCTTCACGCCGTGCAGGTCGACTTGATGCTGTAGCGGTCGGCCCGCTTCTTCCTCTTGCCGCGGCTTCTGGTTCGTCCAGAAAGTATACTTTGTGGTCACCAGTATGCAAAGGAAAGTAAAATGAATTCTGATGTTAGCTCCAACTCTAAACTAGTGCTTGTTCCTGCTCCTGGCTTTTGCCTACGAATTCGTACAGCTTCTCAAATCCGGCTTCTAGAACTCTAAGCACCAGAGCGAGCTTTGCTTCGGATCGTACAACATGCACTGCGGCAGACACGAGACCGGCCAGGGCTGGCCACACCCATCCAGATTTTGAGGGTCTGCTCCAAGCCGTCAACATTCGAGCAATGTGTAGGCGTTCTCGCGAGGTCGAAGCGCAAGAGCCTGGAAGCTTCACTCTATGATAATACTACTTACAGCAAAAATTGGACCCTAGTTCTCTGAAATTTATTTCTGAGTCTACCGGTGATACCACTTTCCGCGCTGTTTGAATACATTAGACAATAGCGACGCCTTTGCTTGAATGTCATATGTGCTGTATGGCTCACCCATTTCTCAAACTTCATAACAGTCGGACACCATCGAGCCCCCCCCTGAGTGACCTATCACTATTTTTACAAGGACAGATATAGATAAAATCAGCAAAAAAAGTAAGAAGAGTTTGGCATCAGCACACTCCTAGAAGACTAGGGCTTCGCGGGGGCTGAGATAGCAAAAATACACAAAACAGATAAACGCACAGCGCACACGACTTAGTCGCGCCGCACTTGCGGCGCACCAGTCGCCCGCGCTGTGCTGTTATATTATGAGCATCCACAACTACCAGATAATCAGACCTTTAAGTGCAATAACACACTTACGATAATATCAATTTGCTTTGTTGCCTCCGCGCTGTTTTAATAACCAAATACAAGCTGCAGTAACGCCCTCCCAACTATTCTTACCTTCGTGCTGTAAATTCAACCTGATGTTGCTGCGTCTTCGGGCGTTAGAACTGGAAATGATTCGAATCAAACTTGATGATGCGATTGATGCTTATCCATTGATAGAGACCGACAAGGTAATTATTCAGAATAACTATTAAGTTTACTTTCATAATATGTCAATATATGATGGATACTTAAACGCATGCGTTACACGCACGGCTTCATGCGACACCAAATAGGCAACGCGGAGCGTTGCTCCGGGAGGGTACACAGGTCGGCCAATAGTTTCATGGACGATGATAACGGATAACAATAGAGTAAATCCCTAAGTTGTGTTGTTTTTAATCCTTTTAAGGATTTTAAAAGAGCACTATCTCTAGTTGATTCTAACGTGGGCATCTACTGCGCCTGCTTCGCAGCCGCAGCATCTGCCCGGGAATAACACCCTGGTCAGCGTCCAATGGCTGCGTTGACGTCGGCAACGAGAGAGCTATTTCATTCAGTTTGCAGGTAAGGTATACTGTGCTCATTTAGTACTATGTTGTGTGCTAACGATCAGGCGAGAGAGCTAGCGGAACGAAGGTGAGATGCATGGTGCGCTGATCTTGACCTTTTAACTTGAGGTTAAATTGCGGAATGAGAAATACGTTAATGTGCCAAGTCCTTGGAAGTGGACGCTTCAACGCAGGTAAAGAAAGGCTAATTCAAACAAACGATGCTCGTGTCACTGTCGAGTTGAGCTGGTTGGTTTGGCGAGAGACACGAGGTTGGGCATCTTCGGCTAAGTGATTGAGTATTGAGCAAATTGACATATAAAAAATGCAGCCTACAGCTAGACAAGTCATATTGGTCATCTTCAGCTAAGCTTGGTCGATTATGGCGCCTTCAGCGAGGCCATGACGCTCTCATAGTGTACTGGAGCGTCCGTAAGTGTTTGAACGCAGGTTTTGGTAAAGAATGTGCATAAATCTTAGCATTTATAAACGGGTACCCGATTCCGGCAGATATTAGCTTAAAGATTACAATTAAGAAAGAGAGACCCGGTTTGGTACCCGGTTTTGGAAAGTTTCAAGTTTTTTGCCGGGGCCAAGCACAGGTCTTCGACCTGTGAATTAATCCTGTGCCGGCTGCATAGCAGCATACCTTACGGTACACTAGCTATCTCAGTATAACTGTAAAATATAGCAGCATCCTCACGGCGAATTTTCGCCCCGGTTGCTAGAGGGGCATTGCTTCGGAAAATGTTGTATCTTAGGTTCTCAGCACCCGCCCCCAAGTATCCTATACACACTCATACTTTTACCAAATTGGTTTCAAAAATATTTGCACGAAGTGCCGGGTTTGCATCAGATTTTATTAAAAATGACCGGGCTTGGAGTTTAATATGGAAAACGGTATAGGCAGCACGGGGACCGATGCCACGAGCAAGCGCAGCGAGCACTGGTAGACAGCGCGCGTGTTCCCGATGTTGCACACATGCGAGATCAACTAGAACTTGCATGTCCGAGTCATCCGTCGCCGCCATAAATGAAGACAGGAAAGAGGCTTGGCGTAACAGCAAGGGATGTCGTGCCGCATCTGGTAGTGCCGTCGTAGCTTTCGACCTCTTTCAACCGTAAATCAAAGTATAGTCTTTTGCTTAGTCCTGGTTTCCATGCTACAGTAGTAAATAAACACTTTCCGAATCATTATAAGTGGCAGGCTAAATCGTGCTCGAGCATTCAGCAAGCCAATATATCAGTAAAATTGTAACTCATGGCGAAAACTTCAGTCACATTACATTCAACAACCACCGGTATGCACATTTGCTCTTACATTACATTAATTTAAAGCTCATTGAAACAGCGAGACCAGCAGTGTGCCCCCCAACACGTAAGTGCTTTTCGCAATCACACGAACTCACTGTAAGTGATTTAAAAGAGTTTCAAGATGAACGACTACACGTCTCACTCCACATACATGTTCGCCAGATTCACTATACAGTAATAAACATTTAACAAACGCTAGTGTTAGCTATACATTTGGCGTTTGTGTGAACATGCAAGACTAAAAGTTGGTGTCAGAATTGCACATTGCTACTTTAACTTGCTCAGGAAATAGCATGCGATTTTGGAGAGCAACGACGTCTTACTTCCTGCGCAAATGACAATACTTCGTCTAATTATCAAGGTTGTCAGAATAATATACCAAATGTCAGGGCAAAAAGAGAATTCTCCACATTTTCTTCACAGCTACAGAGCATACATCCTGGCTATTCTCTCCACTATATAGCACGTCTGGCCTAGTCACCGCTTCTGTATCATGCCAATCTTCGTAATCGGTTGCCCCCGCTGCTGCAGAACTGTGTGTAGCAAGCGATTTATAGATTTCTTCAGTCAACGATTGCAGCAACTAAAATTCCAACTAATTCTAGTGCTGCCTTCTTGCTTCCGCATGAGTGGTTCGTAATAGTTAGCGGTAGCATAGTATAGTCTTTGGACTTAGACTTCACTGCTCCATGCCAGTTTTGCCAAGGATCTATCAGTGTACTGACCCATACCTTGAATTAGGTTATCTAAGAATAACTTAATCCAAACGACTCTTCAGTACATTGTTTCGTACGTTAGCGGAGACTTTTTACGGAGCTGCCTGACCTCTCATATGTTTTTTACGGCGGGGTCCACTGTCATTTGCCTCCGTTACCACATTTAACCGGAGTTCAGCCACCCCTTGAAATGGGTTCAACGGTCCATGTGCATAAATTGTCGGTCGTCAACTCTTACCTTAAACTTCAACGATTAATGCAATCGTTTGTTTGCTGATACAAATGGGGCGATCTCCGCTGGGAGGTGATATCGGCAGCGGGGAGCCCGCTATCCGCAGCGGGCGTGCATACAAAAAACAAGTCTGACAAATCATGTGGTAGATGAGCAGGCACTCTCCACTACAAAAAAGAAACGCACATCGGATCTGACGAAAGTTCGTACAATCGGCTCGACGGCCGTGAGAGTCGCTCACAGAGCCTCTCGCAGATCATATAGTAGAAACCTTCCTCCGCCTCCTCCGTCCCCACCCCGCCGAGCATGAGCCCCGCTGGTAAAGCCCCGCGCAAGTCAAGCAACGCTGCCGATTCACCTGCCCGCAACGCGGCTAGAACTCCCGGCCGACGCATCCCCCCGCGCAAGCAAACAACGCGGCCCACCAGCACGCTCAGCCAATCCGCCTTCGCCTGCAGCCAAGAAGCAGGCTGCGGCTTCAAGTCCCGCTCACTTGCACTCGGCAGCGGACGCGCACTCGGTGGACGCCTCGGCGTCCTCGCCTTCGACGCCCTCGCACTCGGCGCCCTCACACTCGACGGTGGCACGCGGTCGTAGGGGCAAAGGCCCAGTTGGAGCCAAGGCAGGCCGTGGCGCCTCGAAGGCTGGCTACATTTTGGAATATTGGCTATGCTACTTTGCGTGGGTTCATGGACCAAGACGAAGTTAAGTTGTTGCTGAGCGAAATAATGAGCATGAGCGAGACGAAATGGCTACGAGACATCAGAAACCCAGCCCGCCGTGTAGCAGAAATTTGTATCCAGGATAGCGCTCCTGCCGCTTTTCAATTGGTGTTTGAGCGCTTTGTGACGTTAGCCTCGAACGTGCACAAGTCGTGGAGTGTGTCGGAACGGATCTCCGTGGTGCCGTCCCTACCAAAAGCTCGGGGCGAGCAGTTGCACCGCGATTTTCAGTCTGCGGGGACTGCTGACGCGACGATCAAGCATGAGTGGGTCCAGGCATCCCTGCTGCTTGTTCTACAGCCCGAAACGAAGCTCATAATCGTACCTGAGGCGTTCGCGGGGGCAGCGCTAAGCGGGAAGTGTACGGCACTTGAGGATCTGTCCCCGGGAGATGTTGTCGTCTACCGAGGCGACCTTCCCCACGCCGACGCCCCGTACAAGGATGGGAACATTAGGATCCAAGGTCTCATTAACGTAAACGGTGTCTACCACGATGAGGGCGTTGTGGAGTGTGTGGCGTGGGCTGTTTACCGCTGCATTCACTGTTTTAAAAACTGTGTCGATATGCGGGACATGAATAACCACAAACGGTTTTGCAGCGCTAACCCCGAGAAGCCTGCAATTGCTACTAAGAGAAAGCGGAACAACGACAAGGGAGCCTACTGCGAGGTTTGTGACTCTCACTTCAGCAAGAAGAACACGTACTATACCCACACATGTGCTGGGGGCACCGGGGATGACGAACAAGAAGAAAAAGAGGAGTAAACAACGTTAATACATTACACCTGTTGTTGATACATACTGTGAAGAATATATTAACTTACATTTTAGGTGGGAAATCATGGATCCGCAATACAAAACCATCGATCCGTATCATGCAATCATCGATCCGCATTACAAAATCATCGATCCGTATCATGCAATCATCGATCTGCATTACAAAATCATCGATCCGTATCATGCAATCATCGATCTGCATTACAAGATCATCGATCAGTATCATTACACCATCGATCTGCATTATATAATCATCGATTCGGTTACGCCACAATATATAGGCATTTCTATGCAGTATAATATAACAAAGTATAAAGACAAAGAGATGTCTCTTTTGGCTATTTCGGAGCCGAGCATGGCAGCAACGAGAGTCACCCATGTAGAGAAGACAATAAAGCTCGAGATAAAGAAGTTAGATGAAGGAGATGACTGTGAAGTCATCTCACTTCCATAACTGACGGCCGGAATCTATACACAACATTATATCATCGATACGACCCATGCACACATCGATCGGCATCACCATGACATCGATCCTTGTTATTAGCTCATCGATTCACATGATCCAATCATCGTTGAATTGTCAACGTCCGCCTCATGGAGATCATCGATCGGCATCATTATATCATCGATCGGCATCATTAGATCATCGATCCGCCTCATTAAATCAACGATCCACACCATTAAGCTGAGTCCACATACAATTGAAGGGATATTTTGCGCTAACGAAGGTATGATCTAGCTATGTTAAACTTATACACACCATATTTTCAAAAGCAGAGGGTGTTCCCCTCGGTCCGGCTCCTGCCATATGCCGTTGAGCTCGGCGCTCCGCTGCACGTTGAGCTCTACGATCTTGAATACGCTCGGGCTCTAGCACGCGCGGCGGTAGCTCACGTGGAGCTTGGTTACGATGGATCCACCAATGCGGGTGGAAATCCGACGGCTGCAGCGGAACACGCCCGAACATTTTTTGGTGGAGGACGTGGGCGCGTGGCAGTCCCAACGTCCGCTGATAAGAACCCGTGCATGGCCGTAGTTGCTCCGCGCCATGTTGTAGAGTTTCTAGACACCGATGCAACGCATTTCGATGAATAACTTTGACGATCCCAGCAAAGATCGTCGCGCGAAGCCTCCTTGGTACGTACACCTCCGCGTTGGAGACGTTGACCCAATGCTTGTCTATGGATTGGCGCCACCAGTGCTCCATCCTGGTATGAACAGTTAGAAAGTCCCCCGTAGACGTACCCAGCCACCCTTTCATGGTGGTATGGTAGCCTTCCACCCGCGAAGTAGCGTGCATACCAAAGTGCATGACTTTGTCTGTCCAACATCGCACAATTCTGTATTTCCAGATATCCCGCCATACATCCGAAACGTAAGCAGCCTCTACGGGCGCAAGAAGATAGAGCTCACGCAATCGGAAATTGAAATCTTCTTCTGTACGAGCGTTCACCACGAAAGCTTGACAAAAGCTCTCGTGAGGCAAAGAGTCACACAAGCGGCCAGTGTCTGGGTCAACTTGCTTGGGGAATGAGTGTCGGCGGGCATACGCTTGAACATCTTTCAAAATATGCCAGATGCACAATAGCACCGGCGAGTGAGAAAATCTAATCTCCAGCGCGTTGAGCAGAGCTAATTCTCTGTCTGCCAGAAAAACTTGCGGCGGTGGGATACCATTTGCCTCTTGTAGGTTTTGAAATTGCTGTAGAGCCCAGTGGTAATCAGACTCCGTTTCTCCGCAGATAAAAGCTTGTGCGAAGTGGATTGTTGTGTTCATACCGGTTACGCCGACAATGTTCAGGAGAGGGAAGTTGAAGTGGTTGGTCTTGTACCTGCAATCGAGCAGTACAACATCGTAGTTCACACGATAGATTTCGATGGCTTCCTCATTGGCAAAAAACAAGTGCGTCAATCTTTCACTCTCATCTTGCTTGTAGTCCATGTAGTACGGCCCAGTTCTCAGTTTCTCCAATAGGCAATCCATTCGTGAGAGACTTCCTACTGCGACAAGACCAGCTCTGTATCGCTCATTGTAGACGTCCCGAGGTGTAATTATCAGGGATGGGTCTTCAACTAGAAGTCGTGCAATAGTTTGGCGGGCAGTTGTCCCAGTCTGACTATCGATTGCAATTGCCAATCGAACAGCATCAGAGAGAGTAGCTCGGCGGTGGAGCGGGTGCGAGGCCGGGTGGGAGGAAGGAGCGTGATTGTGCTCTAGCGCTCGTCCACGATGCTGAAGCTCCCACGTAATCTCTCCGTCAGTACTCAGCTTTCGAACCAAGTACACTTCTGTCTTGCAGCCACACTTTCTGCTACTTGCGTTGCGACGTTGCTGCACGCTTGTTTCCACGGGGGACCCATGGCGATCGCAGCCATAGCGGATGAGCTGACGCTGTCGGAATTTATCGTAGGTCGTTCCTTTGTAAACCATTGCGTAACCGTGTTGGCGCCCAAAGTCGTTCAATGCCTTCTGCGCCAACAGTGGCGACGCAAAATGCTGCTCTTTGAGGCATGGTAAATACCAATGCTCGGGTTCAACCCTCGCAAAGTTCATTGAGCTCATGTTCCACTCGCTTGTATCAACGAAGCAGATGTCAGCCGCTGGCCCAGCCTCGGCGGTTGCTCCGTAGCCGTAAAACGACTGAGCTGAACAAATGCGCTGCGACGGTAGGCGCAGTACCGTGGGCTGCTCGACGACTTGCTCTTCCGGATAAAGTAACTCACGCAAGCTCTATCCTCGATGCGAGACACTCGAAGTGGAGTTGCTGGCGAGACGTATCCACTGAAAAAAGCATGGGGAAGTCGCTGGCACAGAGCTCACTGAGCTGGTGGTGTTGCTCGCGGCGTGGCGGTAGAAGCAGGATATGTAGCCAGTTAAGGCGTTTGAACTGGGAGACGGGCAGGCAGCAAGCGGTAAGCGGACGATTTTACTGTTTGACTCGTCAGACGATGGATGGCTATGAAAGAGCTACAACTTTTGGGAATTGAAGTAGCTGCAACTTCTGGTAAATTCTGGTAGATGCATCCCTTTTATATGCACGCCCGCTGCGGATAGCGGGCTCCCCGCTGCCGATATCACCTCCCATCTCCGCTTCGATAAAAAGTTGACCTCAGTTTAATAACTTGTTATACCATCGAACAAGGTAACATTTGAAGGGTCGCGTTTGGGCGCAGTTCAACATGAGTTCGTGTGTTCTTAAAAAGAAGTAAAATTCGATCCAAATCGCCCCCGGGTAGGCTATGATAGTTCATTTGCCCTACCCCATTCTCAATTGTAATACAGGGGTTCATAAATTAGAGTAAAAGGTACCTGTAAAAAGGGTAAAAAGTAATTATGCACATTTCAATATAAGGGGGCTATGCCCCAATATACAGGTCGACGACCTGTGCCGGCCCCGGCAAAAAACTTGTAACTTTCCAAAAACAGGTACCAAACCGGGTCTCTCTATCTAAATTGTAATGTTTAAGCTAATATCTGCCGGAATCGGGTACCCGTCGATAAATAAGACGGTTTCAAACGAAAAGATGCTTACGAACCTAAGTACGAATCGCGACAACCGCATCAATCGAAAGAGGCGTGTCTTGTGCTTCGTTTAAGCTATCGAATGCTTCGAAAATGTTAAGAACTCCCGGAATGACATCGGTCTAGTAAAATTATCTCCATTTTCGGACCCCCTAAAAGGAAGAACACTTGAGCAGTAGTTGGCAAAATGCAAAGTGATTCGATTCAGGTCCTTAGTTCGCAACCGCGTGCTACCTCTAAGCCTGCTACTGGATACCTCTTACTGGATACACCCTACTGGATTCTCTACTGGATACACAGTTACCTTATCCAATCAGAGAACGCCACGTCGATGCCCATCTTGTACCCACAATCTTGGCGTAATCACCGTGACGTAATCATCGTCCCGTAATCACCTGAATGATTGCGGTACAACACAGTGAGGTCACGCCGACCTCACTGATGACGCGTTCGTGTCACACGGTCGCTTGGCGAGGCGTCATCACATCAGTCTTGACAACACTCCCACTCGACTCGTCAGCGACCACGATGCCCAGCTTCGTCCTGAGCGCGTCGAACAGCGGCGCCGCGATCGGCTTCGTCATGATGTCCGCCAGCATGTCGAGTGTCGAAACATACTGCAACACCACTTGACCGTCTTCCACCTTCTCGCGCACGAAGTGGTAGCGAATGTCGATGTGCTTGGTGCGCTTGTGGAACTCCGGGTTCTTGGCCAACGCGATGGAGCCTTGGTTGTCCTCGTAGATCTTCACCGCTTCATCGCTCGCCATCTCGCCCAGCTCGCACAGAAACACCTTGAGCCACACCGCCTCCTGCGTGGCCTCCGACAGCGCCATGTACTCGGCTTCCGTCGACGAGAGCGCCACCGTGCGCTGCTTCTTGCTTCGCCAGCTGATGCATCCGCCGTTCATCATGAACGCGTAGCCGCTCGTACTCCGTCGAGACTCGATGTCGCCGGCCCAGTCCGCGT